CTCTCTCTCTCTCCCTCTCTCTCTCCCTCTCTCTCTCTCTCCCTCTCTCTCTCTCTCTTTCTATTTTATCCCCTCGGCCACGTGCCTCTCAAGAAGAAGTATAAGGGTTTGGTGCGGGCTTGTGACCGTCGACGTCGGTGGAGTTGCTCAGGGTCTCGTACTTTTTGTAATTCTGTTCGTACTGTTCTAGTTTGTTCATGATTGCGGCATACTAAGAAATTTTTTTTTCATCGTCCAAAAGTTAGAAAAAAAAAGAGTCTCGACAGGCCTTGTGATGGAATCGCAGTATTGACAGGGTTGGGGGGGTGGGGGAAGACAGGCTGTATTGTCGTGACAAAAAAGTGGAGGGAAATAAAGTGGGCGGCGACGACGACGTCGTCTGGTGTGAGAATACTTACGGCATCACTACCAATGACACATCTCAAGGGAGGATCTTTCATCGAGGCCAGTTCGTACATTGCCTTGGCACCTTTTACAGGGTCACCCGCTTGGTTACCATGACGAGCCGCCATGCGTTCCATTGCATTCATGTCTGTTTTTTTGGTTGTGTCAGACTCGTAATCAGCACTTGTCTTTTTGGGGGGGGGGGGGGAGGATTCCGCTGCAAAAAACTCACGATCATAAGCTGGATGAGTGTCTGCGAATTGCATACTCCGGCCGGCCCAGTCCGTCCTGAACCCGCCCGGTTCGACGCACGTGAACCGAATGTTCCATTCGGGTTTCACCTCCAGGCTGACGGCCTCGGTGAAGCCCTCGACCGCCCATTTGCTGGCACAGTAAACACTGAAGAGCGGCACGCCCCTCTGACCCCCTATGCTGGTGACCTGTTGGATCAGCCCGCCCGGGGGGGATTGACAGTCCCTCATGACCCTCATGGCTTCCCGGGTGACGTCGATCAGGCCGAAGAAATTGATCTCCATCTGCCGTCGGACCTGACCGTCGGTGTAGGCTTCGAAGCAACCGGCCAGGCCGTACCCGGCGTTGTTGACGACGACGTCGACCCGGCCGAACTTGGACAGGGCCGAGGCGAAGGCCGCCCTGACGCTCTCCGGGTCGGTCACGTCGAGTCGGAGGGCGAGGTGGTTGTCTGGGGTGGCGTTCTGTAGAGGAATCTTGTCGGGGTCCCTGGCGGTCGCGACCACTCGATCTCCACGGTCCAAGACTTGCTGGGCGTATTCTCTCCCGAAACCGGTGGAACAACCGGTGATGAGAAAAACTCGAGGCATCTTGGCTTTTGCACTCGAAATGATTCCTAAAGAGAGAGAGACAGAGACAAGATGAGTAACTTGTTCAAGAGTTGAAAAGGAAAAAGAAAGGTGTCGGTGGACAGGTTTGAGTCTGCGACGTGGACTTTGTACTTTTTTTCTTCTTGTACAATCTGCTCTCGGGACGGAGGTGGTCAAGGTAATATCGGAATGAGACAGCAAAGGTACGGAGATAGGAGAGGCCAAGAGAAAAACAAAAACCAAAGGTCACTTACCGTTTAAGGAGAATGAAAGAGGGTATTCGTGGTGAATGGTAATAAAGGAGCCAAGTAGTTCGCAAGATACTCTACTCAGTACTTGTCGTCCGCCTTCCGAAAACGATCTAGTGGTGTTGTCGAACTCCCGAAAAAAGGTCGAGGTGAGTAATACGCCGGACGGGGAAACACCAACTAATGGTCAACTTCCTTGTTTGTCACCCGTACTCTTGTCTTGTTTTTTCAGCGACACATGGAGAGAGATGAACGAGATAAAGACAGGTGGGACAAGGTGAGTACGGGGCTCGAGTCCTTAAGGCCACGGGGGTTTTGTTATTGAACACGGTGCTCTCGTGACGATTTGACACCTCGTTTTTTACCCCTGAAAATTATACGGAGTAAAAATAGTCTTGTTGTCAGTATGCTTGTGGCGTGGCCAGAACAAGTCCGAGGTAGAAGATGGGCTCCGTGCAGTAAAACGTCAGGAGAAGCTCCGGAATGGAGGGGGGAACAATATGTACAGTAGTTATTGGCTGCATCTCGACCGCATTCCCTTCTCTCTCTCTCCCCCCTTTATCGATAAGGATTGTGAGTTTACACTCCATGTACGGAGTACCGAACTCCCTTGACCTGCGGGGTTGTTTATTTTCTGTTCTTTGCGACCAAACGACGAGTCTTTTTGGCCACCTCTCGAACTCGTATCATGCAAAGTCATTATTTTGTCTTGAGAACAAAAGATATAACCAGAACAACAACCAAACAAGACAAGATCTGTGAGACGACCAATAAAATTTTCCAAACAGCTTCTGGTTCTTTCTCTTTTTTTTTTCCGATCGCACTCTCTGTCATGTTGGAACGCCTGACCTAGTAAACGAAGGGGGGAAAAAAAAGGGAAATTCCTTTCTTTGAACCTCGTCCGATCCAAGCCGCAGGAAGAGCTTACACCAGGTAAACACGGGGATATATACCGTACAACAGCTCATCTAGAACCTGTTTTACTGTCACCTTTACATTCATCACTCCAAGTCTAACCCAGCACCGGTCTTTTTCTTTTCGACAGTCCATGGATAATTCCTCTCCAAACGCCGGCGGCGAGTCAGCCGCTTCCCATACCAAAACAGACGTCTCTACACCCCAGCATGGCAGTCATGACAGACCCGGTGAACCTGTACACAACCTCTCTTCACCACCGGCGGCGTTACGACCCTCGGAACTCAACCGGCCTCCATCCTTGACGAGTCTATTGCTCAATTCTGCCCCTCAATCTTTCTACGTGGCGACGCAGCATCCATTTCTCCGCCAGGCTGGACTGGGCACCCTTCCCAAAGAAACCCTCCAACGTTGGCTGTCGCAGGACCGCCTGTACGCTCAGTCCTACATCGGCTTCATCGGCGCACTGATTTCCCGAGTCGACCTGCCCTACAACGTCACCGACCAATCCAAGTCACTGCGTTGGCGCATCGTCAATTTACTCTCATCCGCACTCGAAAACATCCACAGAGAATTGCGATTCTTCAACGACACTGCGGAAAAATATGGCCTACAGATCGACGCTTCTTCTAGACCAGGCGTCCCTTTCACCGCCGAACCAGCCACAAAGCAATACATTGACCTATTCCGAGCCTTCGGCACCGACCCTAGTATGAGCTTACTCGAAGGCCTGGTGGTCTTGTGGGCCACCGAAAAATGTTACCTGACTGCATGGACTTTCGCTTCGTCATTCATGAAGCCTTCTGGACCGCCAGAACCTCATGCCGATGATGATGGCGGGGCACTGCGCGGTGAGTTCATTCCGAACTGGACAAGCTCCGACTTTGAAAAGTTTGTCGAGGACATCGCAAAAGTGACGGATTTGTTGGCTGAGCGTGAAAACGCCATCAATCGGAGATTCAATGTATATACGGCTGTGTGGGTGCATATACTCGATATTGAGGCAAAGTTTTGGCCCTCGGTAGAAGAGGAAGAAGCCAAGAACGAGGAAGCGTCGTAGAACCCAATTCGTATCTGAATCTTCGTTCATGTCCACCAGCTTATGCCGGGTCTTCAGAGCAACCTCTCGGTCCAAGGTAACGGGAACGGGCCTGATGTATGACCACGAAGGAGTTGGTCGAGGACTCTGGCCAATCTCTCAGTTTTGATAATCATTGTCCCGTGTATTCCGTTGTCTCTCGTCTCAATCGAAACCTCTTGCGGACCGCACATTTTCAGCATGCCACAGACCCATGACCGCGCCCGTTTCATTCATCCAATCTCTTGCACCGTTGACGGCGGCCTTTGCCATCCCAGTGTTCCGTCGCTTGTGTCCCTTTTGGAATCCCACCCCTTGTCTTTCACCGGTCGCGTATTCCGAACCCATACTGGGTAGGACGTTTTCTCCCGCGCTCAGACTGACGAACAGAGAAAACGGCACCAGCCAAACACAGAGGCCGAAGTAGGACGCGATCTCGGTGAAGGTGGGTTGATCGTAGACGGGCGTCGAATACCAATCGCGCCTGCTGCTCGGGACCCCGCGATAACCCCCCCCAGGTTGACTGAAGTGCCGGAACCACATCCAGTGGTTGAGGATGACCAGACCGCAACTCGCGACGAAGAAGGGGTCGGAGAGTTTGACTATCGGGAAGTGTCGCAGGTTGGTCGCGTAGACACCGTGGCTGACGACCCCCAAGAGGGTGAGGTACCAGGGGAACCCGTCGACCAACCAGAGAAGCACCTGTACCACCACGACCACGTAGATCAACCGTCGGAGTAACCTGGCGCTCAGCACGGAGTGTTCTTCGACGAGTTCGGAGAGGTAATACAGGCCGGAAGCGATGGACAGGGTGAGAAACCCGAAGCCCATGACCAGCCCAATGTAACCGAGGAGGGGTAGGATATACATCTTTCTTCGTCTTCTTCCGTGGCCTTGTAATGGAGTGGTGTTGGAGACACTGGGGATCACCTCGAACTGTGTCGAATTTTCACCTTCATAACTTCCTAGAATTGTGTTTGAACATGATCTTTTCTAATGGCCAGCTGTCACTTTCATCGATCGGAACGCGAAGGGGGTTAGAAAAATAAAGCAACCAGTGACGTAGACAGGAGATCGATAAGCTAGCCCCAACACCATTTTTATCACGCGCTGCTTTACGAGATCTTCTTCGTCCCAGATACACCCTACCAATCCGAAACAAAATAGTGCTGGCTGAGGTATTTCTTTCATACGAGACATGTCCATGAAATTAGCATTTTATGCAATGTTGAAGTATGGTAACTTGAAAAGAAACCTCTTTTCTCGCGCGTGGTTCAATCTTCCTGATCACCGCGCCCCTTTTGCTTTTGGCTCCTTCAATGTCGATGGAGCTTTCTTGAATGATCCTGAACTCTCTGACCATGTCTGCCATCTGACTGAGATAGATTCAAGCCTGTGTCAACAAACCTCGAGCCCTCAGAGACAATAGATCACTTTGATCTTGGGCAAATCCCAGCTCGAAGAAAAGACCTTGGAATTTGAAAGTGGAAAAGAAAGGTCCCATAAGATTGACACCTTGTGAATACGCTAAGAAAACCAATACAATTCACCAAGCACAATCGCCGACGCTGTCGTAATCTGTGTCAAGAGCGGTAAAGCATTCACACGAGCGAACTTGAATTGACTGACTTTGATGCCTTTGTCAGCAAGCAAATCCCGCCAAAGAAGACCCGCAAGACTTCCAGCAAACGTGTAGCTGAAGGCTCCAATGTTACTACCCATCGCGACCGAATAGATGGCGCCGAGTAGTATTCGATGGTCAGCTAATGCAGCCGAAGACTGAGAGAAAGCAGGGTTTCGCATGATTTCAACGAGGATGATTGTAGCTCCAATATTCGTGCCCGCAAGTGGACAGAGAAAGGCGGCACTGACAAATCCCATGAAGAAGACAGTCTTTGCTGGAGTGGTACATGCGTTCGCAAAACCTCGAGCAAAGACTTCGATCCAACCTCTTTGCTCAAGGCCGCGGACAAGAATAAATTCGCACATGGCAAAAGGCAAAAGGGAAATCGGCAGTCGGAGGACTGTCCCCGTGGTTCTGGGAAAGTGGCTGGCCACGTTTCGCGCAAAAGAGAGGAGAGATTGTTTCTCTCTAGCGGGACCGTTCGGGTTGGAATTGTTCGCTTGAAGAGGAGGTTTCGTCGGTTCTTTCGAATCATTCGCAAGCCCATCCAGTGGGAGTTGCTCCCTCTGCGCCTCGACAATTTGATCTTCTGTGGACGATGTGTACGGATCCTGGCTTGCAACTTCCTGCTTCTGAGGTGGCCTCCATAGATCGCTTATTACCTCGAAGCAGAATGCCAGAACACCAGCCGGCATGGTAACCATCCAAACTTCGACGGCATGACCTGGGACAAAGCTTGTGCCGACCAGGACGGCGACTGTGACGACCATGAGAGCACTCAGCGCAAAGGCACCAATGCGATCGCGTAGCTTTGACCAGGGATCAACTTCGATTGGTATCAAGGTTTTGGGGATTTTCTTCCAAAACATGGTCATTAGGATCGGATAGGTCAGGATGGCCGGAATGATGGAAGGCAAGATCGTCCATTTCGTGAAGTCCGTCAAGTAATTCAATGAAAAACTGCCTGCAATGAGGATGTTGGTCGGGTTCGAAGACACCAGGACAGCCGATGCGGTGTTTGCTGCCATAAACTCGCTAAAGGTCCATGCTTCTGGCTCGAGTTTGGAATGGTGAGTTAGGTACGCAAGAAACTAGAACCGTAAGCCTCGACGTGTATGACTTGTTCATGGTAACTTACAGGAGTCCCCGAGAGAATCAAGGGATCGTTTCCAACAATGCAAGCAGTCAACAAAAAGAACGCATAGAGGTAGGTGAAGAGCAAGCGGCCTGAGCTTCCACCTTTCTTGGACACCCAGAGCGCCACTGCCTCAAGAGCACCGGTGCCATCGAGAGCAATGGAGATGTATGCCTGTGAAAATTTAGACAGTATTCAAAGACAGACCTGATTGTCTTACCAAGGAAATGAACAGCACCAGCACATCGTACGGTTTGATGCTTGCGTCGCCTTTGATCCCGAGTTTGATGGTGCTGCCGTGAATAGTGGTCGTTGCTAAGAGTAGTATCACACCAATGATGGGCGCAGTCTTCAGCGACAGAGAGAAATGCAGTCGCTGTTGGGATAACTTGTCATGGTCATGATGAGAGATTATCCTCGCGGATCTCAGCAGGATTAGCAAACGTCGTTGGGCAGCTTTGGGTATCGGGATCCGTAAAGGCCAAATCACGAAGATCGAGACGACGCAAAAGACAGCAAGAATAAAGCCACTGTGGCCATTCAAGTGGCCTTGCTGCCCACCGGATTCGGGCATGCGGCGCAGAGTACTGGCGACCGCGACAAAAACTTGTCCAGCAAACAGAGAGGGACGATGTCGAGAAATGTTTTTAAAGACCGAATACGAAAGCCAAGATTAGGAGGCGCAGCATCTGGGGGTGAGCGAGCTTTTTTTACCTATCGATAATGCACGAGCGTTAAAGCCTTTGATCTTTATGTGCTGTAACCTTGTGGCGCTGGCCTCGCAGTGAAAAGAAATATCGTCCGACCTTGGCGATCACGAGTCACCCACGTGAATAACATCGTGAACATGAATGAGGCACCCAAGAGGAATGAGAGTGGTGAATATGATGCCCATGAATTACGAGGCTCGGTACCGCTAGTTCCCTTCACATTCGCGGCGACTAATTAATAGAGGCCTTTAAAGTGGCCCTTTCTTATCGATAAGACTGCGGTTTCTTGCAGCTCGTGGGCTCTGCGTGCAACTGTGCAACTTCCCTCTGATTAATATTTGGCTATAGCGACGACATGGCAACATCAGCAGAGTCAGACCAGTCAGCTGGTCAAGGCGTCAATTGGAACAAAGAAAATGAAGCTTTCCAAACGTAAGTGACGTGTTACAACATCCCGGGTGTCTGCATGTACTGATGATCGGGGATGGTCTGTAGAAAGCGCACCTCAGAATACTACGATCCGTGCCAGGAAGCCGCGAACAAAAGCATCAAGTGTATGAACAGAAATGGAGGAGATAGAGATATGTGCCAGGATTATTTTCAGTGCGTTGGTTCGCCGTCGCAGCCCACAAAAGCCTTGCCCGCAGAATGAACCTTTGATCTCGCATCCTCGCATCCCTCATCGCCAGGCTGGTAGAGCTGACCGTGTCCACAAAAATAGGGCCTACCGGGATTGCAAAAAAGAATGGGTACGAGTCCTCCTTTTTGAAGGCGCGAAGGCCCGGCTAACAGTATTTACCTAGATGGCAAGACGAAAAGCTGAGAAAAAGTCATGGTTCAGCTGAATGAACAGCCAACACTTGGCGATGCCCATATATCGTAAATGAAAATGTGAAAGGTACATGTATAACAGGAGCATATAGCAAGATTTGCACATAGCGTTGGCGCTGGTCATGCACATATTAATGTCACAGTAGGCGGAGCGTCTTGTATGCCTGATGTCAAATGAGATACCTTGTACTCCGTATAGTGACGAAGTAATTACTTTGAGGTCACGATGATAGCACCATATCTCCACTCCCTGAAATATCTCGTGTTTACTATGACTAGACATTTATCTCAAGGCGTTGAAGGCTTGCTCGTGCCATCATCAACAGTTGTCTGATGGCAAAGATCTACGGCTACTCCGCAATCCACTGTTTTTGTCAACTAGTCTTTGTAAAACAATTTTCCCCTCATATCATTTCCCTGCGCATTCACCTTTGGTGGTTTGGGTGGCCGGTATGTGAGAATGTCGGATCCAAGCGTGACTGAACGCAGGATTCGTCCGATACAGGATGCTATCGCAACCTCTAGCTGGAAACAGGCCCTCCAGGCGTGTGATAAGTGGACAAAGAAGGGCGAGAAGTCCGACAGATTCCTGGTAGGCCGGGACCTCTCGAGTTCTCGAGTCTATGTGTCTGCGAGGCTAACATTGCACGACAGGCCCTGAGAGCATTTGTTCTTGTCAGCCACCCTGAGCCAGTTCATCATGTTCGCGGCCGTGCAGAGGTCGAGAACCTCTGCAAGCGTAATCCTCCGATCACTAACCCCGAAGCCATATATCAATTGCAGGATGCGCTTAAGGCTCTCGGTATGGAAGCAGAGGGCGAAGGTATGAAGCTGTGGGAAAGAGCAGCAGTAGCAAAGCCCAATGACAAAGACCTGCTTATGCGCTGGATCAATCAAGCAATTTACTCAAGCGACTGGCACAGTGCTCAAAAGGTGTGATATATGAATATCTGTATGATCACAAGAGACGGACGCTGACATGGGGCCACTTTCTCGACAGGCCGCCATGGGTTTGCGAAAATCATTCCCCAAGGACCGAAACTACGAGTTCTGGAACATCGCCATGTGTTATTTGATATCCGTACAAAGCGGCGTGCCAGAGAAAGACCGCATGCTATTTGGAACTCTGGCATACAGGATGATCACCAAGGCTGTCGAGGCGATTCCGCCCGGTCAGGTTTGTAACGAGCTTGGACTGCGAGAGGAAATACTGATGTTTTGCAGGACCGCGTCATTGCACCCGGGAAAGAACTGGCGACTCCAGAAGAAGTCTCGTTGCTTGTCCAGATTCTCAACTCGACTGGTCGCCCACAAGAGTCTGTAAAGCTATTGCAGAGCGCTTCTCTGAATACAAAGTCTGCGATCGGCAAGCAAGATAGTCAATTGATAGCGCTTCTGCTTGCTCAATCTCTCGAACAGTCACAGCAGTGGGAGGAGGCATTCTCCTACTGCCATGGATTACTATCGTCAAGCCAGTACTCCCGGAATGACGACCAAGTTTGGGGCCTCTACCTAACGGCACTATCAAACTTGCCTTCGGAGAGGTAAGTTTCACATGTTTATTGCTACTGTGACGAGTCTGACGTCGTGCTAGCTTTCGACCAAAAGCAAAAGAGATGCTAGACTTTGCCTGTACGGAAAGGGCATTTTCAAGGAGCGCACACATGGCGATGATGAAGTTCTTATCAGGCGAGCAAGGAGACGATCATCTGGAAGACCTTCTTCGAACCTGCCTGAAGTACGGATGCAACTTTTCTGATAAAGCTTTTTGCTTCGACGACATGAAAATTGCTCTACGTCGACTCGACAAAAATCGGCTTGACACGTTCAGCGAATCACTCCTCAGTCCCACAGATATTCTGAAAGATCTCTTCAACCTCAAAGTCGACTATAGCTTTCTTTCGGCCGACGCAGGCGAACAACAACTCATAGATTCTGCCCGACGAACCCTGTTGCTCTTCAAACGGGCCCAAGAGACCTCTCAACCTTGTCAAGAAGCCGCGTTCCTAGCTGCATTAGCTATACTTCGGCTTTCGATGAAGAAAAATTCCAACGAACTTGGGTTGTTCGCTCTGGCTTTGCTTGAGACAGGACGTACTAAATCCGGAGACTATTACTTATTCACCATCTTAGTTGTCCACCTTCAAGTGCACTTCGGCCTCATGTCTCTGGCAATGAAAACATTCCTGCGGCTCAGTGTCAAGAACATGCAGTGGGAGTCTGTCGGCCACCTCTTCTTGACACGCATATCAACATTGCATCCTGCGCCGAGCGGTGCAGGCGAAGAAGCTTTCGATCCATCCCATGCCGTCGGTATTGGTCTAACGATTCTCGAGAATGCAGATAATGCCCTTGTCCGCGGCATTCGAGAAGGCCTCAGCCACGGCAGCTATTCCAACATCCACAACAGCGTGACGGTGCGATCTCAAATCGAACACAGTATGAACCGACAGCTGTTTATGATCGAAGAGCGCAAGCTTGCGAGACAGCTGGGGATACCTCAAGACACCATGTTACCCCCCTGTCCATCACACCTTGTCGATAAGCGAGACTTTAGCTACCTCCCCTCTTATCGTGACGATGATCCTGAGCTGTTGCAAAGGTTCCGATGTGGCCCTTTGCCGAAGGAAAGGTGGATAACAGCAATGGCCGCCTTTGAGAATGTGGCGACGTATCTCGAGGCACAACTCACCTCGCAGTCGACCTTGTTGGCCAAGGTCTCTGAAACCTTGAACGGCGCCCTCACACAGCTTGATAGTGTCAGCAACGATCTCGAGAATTCGGACCTGACCAAACAAGAAATCTCCAACCTGACGTGTTACAAGCTTCTGGCTCAGGCTGTGATCTTCATCAGGGACGGATCAGCCAAGCTAGACCAATGGAACGATGTATTGTCCCAGCTTGATCGATGGCTTTCAAAGACTCTCGAACAGCGCAAAACGCACCCCTCTGGCTTCTCGGTGAGCGATGTACGCCTGCCAAGCTGGGAGGACCTACACAACAGCCTGAGTCAGCTGGAGACGCTCAAGGCCATTGCCATGTTGCTGGGCGTCTTGTCCAAAACATCTTCCAAGGGAGCCAAGGGCAAGGTCGCGGCCAGTCCGAGCAAGGAGTCACTCGGTGACGTGCGAGAACGTGTCTCGGAGCTGGAGAAGCAGATTCACGACGATGCACGAGACTTGAAAGAGCAAGTCACCGCGGCCGGCGTGCTGGGCAAATTGGTCGACGTGGGTCTCGGTCGCGAGGGCGTCCCCTCCGAGCTCGGCAGTATAATGCAGGAGCTGTGCGAGGAATCCTGGATGGAAAACTACTGTGGGAACATGAAGGAGAGCTGGGAGGATGCCGTCAATGGGGTGTTGGCCGTCAAGGTCAAGGTATACTCCTGAGGAGCGGATCCTCTTCTTTTGCTTCACGCTGGTTTGTTCCGTACTCTGTTACACACTTTGGTCTGCGACTTTGGTCTTGCATAGCATCGGGGGCTCGCATTGGCAGGATACAAAAACACCAGTTAAGTTCTACTCGGTAGAATATCACAGTTCCCTTGGGAAAAAACACACGCAAAAGAGAGCTCAGCTCTAGGTTGGGTCATGTCGTAGGAGAGGTCTTGTTAGATTGTGATTCTTCGCTGCTATAGCCCTACCACACTGTGTCGGCTACGAATTCATGACGTCCCGGTTCGATCAGTCGGAGAGAGCTTTGCCTCTTTTTGAAACCCAGAATTGATCCCCCATCAATGCATATTGCGCCTCTGCGCCCGAAGTAACTTAGTCCCTCGATCGACGCCGGTTTGTATGCTTTCAGTGACCAGCGGATTTTCCTCTCTTTTTTGCCAAACATACAGATCAATCCGCCAAGCTTGCTGTCTATCCCGAGATAAGTGCCGGAGGTGTTGATCCAGAAGTCTACTTCAACACAGAATTCCTCTTCCTGGTCAGTGGGAGTGTGTGAGTGATGATAGTATTGAATCAATGGGTCGAGATTAGTCTTGTCTCCCCTTCAGTAATCGTTTGGTCACCTTGTCTTTCTCGATGATGTATACGTGTGCACCCCAACCGGAGAGGGCGTCTCGGTCCACGGCATTCAGAAGAGCTTGTGAAATGGTTTCGAAAAGGTCATCTGGTTCCTGTTGTTTGATTTTATTAGCCTTTGTCTCTTGACACTCCGTGAATCAAAAAATCGCCAGCATACCAAGTCCGGCTCCCACAACCCTTCGCAAGTACCAAAAAGTTGATCACTTGCTGTTCCGGCCACGATGAAGTCCTTGGCAAAGTCAATGCAACCTATACTGTCGAAGCCGCAGATGAACGGTTTGCCGGTCGTGTGGTTGATGCCAGCGAGCACTGGGCTGACGAACCAGGGTCCGAACCTCCTCTCGTACAGACTGCTCGAGACCAGATTGGCGAGTGTCTGTGGTGAAATGTTGCGCTCCTCTCGTAGTCTGTACATGTTGACCTTGTATCGGAACGTGTCGCTGACCGTCTGAACGTCCGTTGCGAGACCCGTCAAGCCCAGGTACACGGACGGTGCGTAGGGGAAGATCTTTGGGAAGTTATTCGAGACGGTCAAGGCTTGCAGACCGAGACGGAGATCGCAGGCTATGGCGACACAATCCTTGCCGACCATCGCAACGCAAGCGCCGCCATCTGTACAGAGATATAGGTTAGAAGGTGGCCCATTTGCGGACACGAAAGAGGCCAGGACATACTGATATCGAACGGAGAGCTCTGAGGGAGAAAGAAGTGTCAGTGTCCGATCTCATTTGAAGTTCATGTGCTGGCGGAGGAAGCTTACCATTCTGGACTTTTCTGGTTTGTAGAGAACGATAAGACGAAAGACAATCACGAACAACAAGGGGCCTTAAGCTTCAAGAAATCGTTGTAGTAGAGAGGGAGAGTGTTTGAAGACAATGGAGTTGAGAGATGGGATTGGGATTGCGGACAAACGCAGGCACTTGCTGCTAACGCGTTATTACAGTTAGTTTGCCCGGAGGCCTCAAGTAGAGGCGACCAATAAGCGTGACTGATTCTAAGCCCAAGGCTGGCAAATCATCGCTATGTCATCGTTCGTCTGCCTTCGACTAAGGCACTTGTCGCCGCCGCTGCGGAGGAACTCAAACACACATCCAGAACGAGTTGTACTGTATTTCAATGCAATGATACTTCGCTTTTCCTTCTTTTTCTAGACTCTTCTATTTTACCTGTCATCTTAGCAAGCCAAGTTCTCTTCCAACATTCACAAAGCCGCACGGCAACACCTGCCAGGAACCTCCCTCATCTCAACCCAACCCCACCTCATCTTGACCCCAGCCTTGCCAGGAGTCGAATATGGCTTCCCACGTCGTGGTGATTGACTCGAGTCTCCGACGTGCAACGATCAAAACCACCCCGACGAAACCATTAAGTGAAGTCTTGGAAGAAGCATGTACAAAACTGAATCTCTCTCCAACCCAGTATGGTCTCAAGTGAGTCCTGGCAAACCCGCAGTCGCCAACATCCACGTCTAACAATTCTACCAGACACAGCAATAAACAGGTCGACCTCTCTAGAACGATCAGACTCGCTGGGCTTTCTTCCGGCGCTAAATTGGAACTCGTCCAACTCTCCAAATCAGCCGGTGTCGTCTCCATAGCTCTACAAGTGCCCGATTCAGAAGCGACGGGGATACCTAATGGAAGATTGACGGACAAGTTTCCCAGTGACACAACGTTATGGAAAGTGCTCAGAAAGTTTGAAGAGGGAGGTGGTTCTCGAAACTTCACTGCAAGAGGAATCCCTTCAACAACCCAGAGTGGTGCTGGGAGGCTATACTATGAACAACCGGTGGTCCAGGTCATGAACCGAGAGCTATCCTCGCTGACTGATTTGCAAAAGACCCTGGCCCAGCTTGGTTTCAACAGCGGCTCTGCATTGCTAAGGCTTAGTTTCCGTGCAACCGAAACACCATTAGAAGAGGCTATGCTCCAGATTCGGGGATATTTTGAATCGGTAGAAGGCCCTCCCTCTGAAACCAACCCGGACACAACCCCTGTGCGAGATGAATCTTCAGTTGCCGTCAACCAACCGATATTTACACCGGAGCCTGAGTCATCAATTGCTCACGCACAATCTCATCAAGAGACCCAACCTGCTGCCCCATCACAGCCTCAACCAGAGCAGATAACAAATACTACAAGTCGCCCAGTCTCCGTCTTCAGACCGCCAAGCTCGTCAACACCGGCTGCCGCTCGCCAACTCCACAACGATTCAGATTACACACCTACGGTTGAGCATGCACATGTGCACCAAAAGCTGCTGCAGCAGAATAGTAGAAACACAAGATTACTTACCGACGCCCAATTGGCCGCGCAGGAACAGGAAGAGGCCGCAAAGTGGGCTGCGGTGAAGGACGTCGAGATCAAGATCCGTTTTCCAGATCAAAGCGCAGCAAGTACGAAATTTGGTCAACTCGACACGGCAGCAGATCTATACAAGTTCGTCAGAGAGTGCTTGGCTGCGCGGTGGAGATCGGAACCGTTCATCCTGAGAAATCCTGGTATCCGAGGCAAGAATGAACTGATACCGGACGATTCGAGTAAGAAGCTTATCAGCGATCTTCTTCTCAGAGGTCGGGTACTGGTCAACTTTGGTTGGGATGACAACAAAGCTAGTGTGGAAGCGAGAAGCACCAAGTCAGTATTACGAGAAGAGTTGCAATCTCAGGCTCAAGAGCTGAGAGTGCTAGACATTCCTGGCGTTGTAGATGACGACAGGGATCCAGGAACAAAGGTGAATGTGGGTAAAAAGGACACGAAATCTGAAGAAGGGGGAGGAAGCAAGGCTAAGATGCCAAAGTGGTTGAAGGGATTGAGCAAGAAATAGATGGAACCAAGTACTCTGTACCTTGAAGGATTTTGGGGTTTCGAGATTTGACTCAGCGAGGCATGGCATATTAGGTAGTGTAGCGTTTAGCGTGAACATGATATGGAATGTCTCTTCACATTTGACATTCCAAAGTCGTCCTACTACCTTCATGCTACCTATGGCGATCAGTTTCCAGGCACTGTTGCATACGAGACTACTTTCGAGCAGAGGGAGAGAGGACTTATCGTGGGCTAATACCCAAGGCAGGTATCGAGTACTCCGCGACAAGGCTACACCTCAGCCTTGCAGTCGGTCAGTCAGTGAGAACCCCGCACGTGACGATACCCTCGCGACTCCTTCGGCGAAAAATAAGTGGGGACCCGAATATTGCAAGCCCACAATTGGATTTTGGTTTGAGCCCGTCTTTGGTTGTGTATGCGCATTCGAACCGACCACCTTTTTCGACACACCTTTGACGACGAGTACCAGAGATCCCGACCGCTTTTTTTGTCACGAGATCGACAAATACGCACACGCAAGTCTTCCGAGATGCCTTCCGAAACCACCGATATCAAGCAGTTCCTCGAGATTGCCCGGAGAAAGGATGCCAAAGGTGCGTTGTGACAAAAGTGGGAATTTTGTTTTGCTTTTTTGGAGGGGGGAAGGCGTCGACGAGTTGAAAAAAAAAGAAGGGGTGGCGACATTGTCTACATTGACTAGCTAGCTAGGTTGTTGGTGGCTTGAGAAGAATGAGAGAACGCAAGACGAGAAATGTCCATGTCAATTGCTAACCTCCAGTGTGTCCTACCGACTTTTACAGGTGCCCGACTCATGAAATCCTCCAAGAGCAAGGACATCAAGATGAAGATTCGATGCAAGAGATACCTCTACACTTTGATCCTCAAGGATAGCGACAAGGCCGACAAGATCAAGCAGAGTTTGCCTCCCAGTAAGTTTTTGAGTCTCTCTGTCTCTCTCTCTCTCTCTGAATATCCTCCCACGTATTCTCGAAAACTCTATATCCATTTTTGTGGTTGCCCGGTGGTAGCAAGAAGGAGGAGGAAAAATTAAAAACATCAAGTGTCAAAAAGAGCAAAGGGATATCTCATACCTCGGAAGACTAGGTATCAAGTGACGTTATGATTTGGAAAGAGACCAAAGATATCTTTCGACACAGCGACGGACCGGCGCAAGAGGACACCAGAGGAATTGGATCGAAACGGCCCTGAATACCATGGCAATTTCCCACAAATGCGACGGGATACGAACACCATTACTGACGTTTGCTCCTCTCCTAGCCATGCCGTTCCAAGAGATCAGCAAGAAGAACAAAAAGGCCAAGAAGGCATAGATGAAAAGTCACCTTCCCGTGGTACGGAGGACGGGTGGTTGGTCCGGTCTGGTCAATACGATTCCGAGAAAAGCCCGCGACGAGAGGACATCAAATCCAATGCCTGAGAGGCAGCGTTGCAAACAGTGAATTTGAAAGATCTTGACTTTCGCTCGGACGCGACCCCGATTCTCGCATTCGACTCGTCGGCGACTTCGACCCCCCCCTTTTTGTATCACACCAGGGCACGCGATATTCGGTTTCGCAGTCGCGGGATATGCAGACAGACAGAAGGAGGGGAGCGTTTACCTAGCTAGGTACTCAAAAAGCTAGACAAAGAAAAAATCCGAAATGAAACCCAAGTCAAAGGAAAAGAGAAAATATCACGGCCAAGAAGTAAATGAGGACTTTCTTCACGGGTCTTGAAACATTTCCGTAATCTGTCTATCTCGTATGCTCAGGACACACGTACTCCATCTCCACGTATCCTTCCAAGAATCGACCCATCCTCGAGTTAGAGCCCAAAAGCCCATCGACCTTGTCCCTCTCGAGCCGTAACTCGTATTCTCCAAAATACGACGGTGAGTCACTCGTTTTACAAAACCCCAAGCTCTCAAAGAGTGCAATGCTGCCGTGATTCGTCTGACCTATCTTGACGGCGAAGTGGTCGAGTCGAGACCGAGACCGAGGCCGAGGCTCAATGGCAGCAGCATGTGTCTGATCAGACATGAGTTCCTGCAGTATGCGCTCTTCGTTGGTGACTATGTATCTCACAAAGGCCAAGAGCGTGGCTCGGCCATACCCCTTGCGATGCTCACTGCGTTCGGCGATCATGAGTTCGAGTTCACCGACGAGAAGTTGGGAGCCTGCGTCGTCTTCGGTAATTGAGATGAACATGTTCACGTCACCAATCATTGCATCAACGTCGAGCGATCCATGACGGATCGTCGTCTCGGTCTCCCCTGGCCGACACACAATAAAAGTCAATTTATCTGCATCGGTCCGCCAACTCTGTTGCATGTCATATTCCTCGTCCAGTGTCAATGGTTCGGAAGCAGTGGCTTCTTGGATTTCCTGACACAATGTGAGATCCATGCCAAGCACCAACAACAGGGTAAACCCATACTGGATCTTTCATCCATACATGATATCTTGGTACGTGATGTGCCGAGTAAGGCACCAAGAGCACCTGTGCCGTCGAAACAGCTGCGGATGGTCAAAACAATCATCGCGGACACAGATTTGAGCGTCACTAACCGGTATGCTCGTTAACGCGCATTATCCCATAGCGTTGGCGTCTGTAGGGTTGTGGAAAACAGACATGGAATAGACCGACAGAGAGTTTGCAAAGTATTTCTTGAGATTATCCGAAGATTTTCCGGAACGTTAGTCTTGCTTAGAATGGCCGTTGAGTTGCGATGCTGCGTCGTGGATATCAAACTTGATCAACTCGACCTCGAGGGTTTTCGTGTCCACAAGGATGAGCTCGCCGGTCTCGTGGAATTTGGGAATGGTGATTAGGCGAACTTGTTGGTCTTCGGGTCCGTCTATAACGGTAGTGTCGAAACGCGGTTGATTGCCGACAAAGAAGACATGTGGACATTGTTCGATAACGAACTGGTCGCGATCCTGGAACGGATAACACCACAATGTGTCTGGCGCTGTAGGCGCCCCGCACCGCCATCTCAGCATACTAGCCATGACCTCTAGCCTACCATCAGCCCCTTTGCCGTAGGGACCACCGTAGTCGACATATTTGAGAATGTCGTCCACAGGTTGACCACTGTTGCCCATGAATCGCCACCCCTCGATGTCGCCGTCCCAAGGATTCGTGACACTGTCTAGCCACCCAGGTTGGTCGGCTTCAGGATCGCTTACGTTGGCGGTCGCATATGCTCGTGAGTGAGGGAACATCGCAGGGTGAATGGGTTGTTGCGGTAGACTGACGTTTGCCGGGTCCTGATCGCCTGGGAGGAGTGTGATGGGGATGCTTGGGAGGAGTTCAGCAAGGAACTGGTCAAGGTGAGCAGTTGGGACAGGATTGTACGATGCCGCATCGTAGCCGTATTTCCTGTTCCCGGGCTTTTTGGGGTCTTCAGCTACTGGCTGCTGAGGTGCAAGTTCGGGAACGACAGAGTTTCCGGCAATGATCAAGCGTGAGATCGTGCTGGCCTCTTGTCTGTCTTCCGTATCCAAGGACTCGCCCAGCAGAAATTCAGTGAGCAAGGAGAGCGTCAAAGTGTCTGCGTCGGTACCTGAGATGTTCAGGCCACTCAGAACTGCAATCTTTTTCGCTGGCTGGTCCACGTCCATTTTCCCTCCCTCTTCATCTCCCTCCCATCTCTTGGGCTGTGACGGCAGTTCTGGGACGTGTAGATCCAACACTTCGAAGTCTCCATTGGCGTTTTCCGTCCCTAGCACTGCCACGATGACACCGGTGACCAACATGCTGTTCTTCAACGTTGTCCCGGTCAATCGCAGACGACCAGATTCGTCCTCTAGCATCACTTGAGTGTCTCCGTTCTCGGAATAGTAAGGATGCTGCGGTGGTGGCGCAGCGACCCAGTGGTCTTTCGAAATGTCATCCAGGATATTGGGCTTCAAAGGCATGTCCATGTATATTGTCCCCACGACCCAACACAATTGACCCTGTCGGACATCCAGCACTCTTTCTACCCTCTGGGCTCTTTCGCCTGCGATCTCAAAATCATCCCAATCTTCGGCGGCGATTGCTTCGACGGCAGGCTTGAGTTTCGCAAGTCGTAAGAAGTACATGTCGCCATATTGTTGCACATAGTGTTTGCTTTCTCCTCGTAAAAGACGATAGGAATAGAGGGGATTGTAGTCGCTTGACACTCTAGTTTGCTCCTGGGCATTCTCGTCCTTTTGCCATGGCCGCAGTAAACCGTCGGTCAGTGCCATTGCGATGTATCATCAACGTAGATGACCTTTCTCAAGTTTAAAGGCACTTGTTGCGGGGAGAGTATGCCTGGTGATCGTGGTAACCGTGCGAGCATAAATTAATTGGTTTCTACACGAGACGCGCACGAACGCGTTCAACTGGCGTTAATGGCATTGCTGGAGACTCGGCATCCGCTGACAATTCACAGCCAATCGCAAAGGCAGTATTTACGGCCTCGGTAAAAACGGCCACGAGAGGATTCTCCAGCCAACGAAGGGCTTCCTTTCCAGGCGAATGCGATTTCAAGTGGCATCGATCTTAGGCATGTCGGAATCATATTTCGGACATGGGCATCATGCAGGTTTCTGTATGGCTTAGAATGAAGACACAAAAAAGGACATAATTAGATACATATAAAGACATGGCCATGACCGTCAAAATGCAGGTTGACAAGTCTCCTTCGCAATCCTCTCAATGTCGAGCTATCGCTCCATCAGCAGCAATGCATCGCGTCCTCCTCCACCTCCACCACCGCCGCCGCCTAGAAGAGATCCAGATTTCCGCACTCGGAAGAACGTATCATTTGCCTGTGTAGGATGTAAGGAAGCTAGACGAAAGGTTCGTCGCGGGGGGCACAAGTTAATCTCACTTGCTCTCCCCGTGCAAGCTAATTTTGCGGACAGTGTATTGGCACACAGCCTTGCGATAGATGTGTTGAAAAGTCCCAGCAATGTATTTTCAATCAGGAGCAGGATGGCCGGCACAAGACCAAATTGAAACGCCAAATACAGGAGCACGAAACCCATAGTAATCTCCTCAATGACCTGCTCACGGCTCTGCGTGACAGTTCCGAGGAGGGGGTGGAGGAGACGGTATCTTTCATCCGGGACAATTCATCCCTAAGCGCCATAAGCCAGCATCTGCAAGAGAGGAGCCTGGCCATCCAGTCGGGCCCAGTGTCAACCACTGAAACTGGGAACACATCTAGTTCAGCAGATAACGTGCGATCAACGGACAGCGAGCCTCGCGAGGACGGCGTGCCAAGGAACAACCCTGGCAGTAGGCCATTGGACGTCGACGGGCTCGTTGGAAGACAGCTTGATGACGGGTCGCCGCCATAAAATGCGATAGAAGAAGGGAAATGCAAGTCTGCCTCTACAGAGGTCAATTTGTGTGTTGGGGGAGGCTAACAGCACTTTGCAGGTCCCAGGCAGCATGATACAAAGACTGAATCTGTAACTGACCATCGATTGAAGCATCGACCTTTGAGACGATGAAACCATGTAAAGCAAACAGAGTATTGCGAAAACGAGACCACTTAGCTTGTTGGATGTATATCGGGCTCTCGGCTCCAATCTGTGTGTCATGGAGTGCCAGCCTCGTAGCAAACTTGTTGCGTAGCAATCGCCAAGTGTTGACTGAATCGTAGAAATCGATTTCTCTGCATACTCGTTCTGACGCACAGGTTTGCCGGATGTAGTTTATCAAGGAGGTAATGATTTTGTATACGGTACTTTGTACAGGTAGAGCTCTCTGGTTGCTACTCTGTACCTATAGAGCACCACTTTTGCGATAACAGCTGGAAAAGGAGACAAGCACGAAATCTTTCGAGGTTTGTTATGTCTGCCAAAATGTCATGTCTGACCAGGAGATACAGCGACAAACTCCACATAATAGGGGCTGGTTCTTCTTGTCAGGCACGGGTATTGTATAACTGTCTCTACCTAAACTTCCCCGTCATTTCTTCTCTTCTCCCCTTGCTCCAAGGATGCCCTTCCTCTACCAATATCACACCCAAAGAAATGATGATCCTCGGTATATAACATAGCATCCTCATCATAATACGACTCACTGGACAAACCACAACTGCATCCTAAGTGTTTTTAGACCTCGGCATCTTGTCAGGGGACTGTTACAAGTATGATCAGCTTACCGCCATCCTGCCGTAGTCTTTCTGTCGAGAGCCTCGGTAGTTGCGCGCGCTGTGTAGCCCAACCCCACAGTTGACCATTGTCTGGAGAGCGAGTATTTGAACGAGTCCCCGGATTCTTGTAGACAAAATGCTGACCTAGATTTCTTTGCCATTACAACAATCCGTTCTCTTCTTCCACCTTTCCCTTGACTTGATCTGTAGATTTGTCCTCGTCCCTACTGCTCAAGATGTCGTCCCCACCGCCTCTCACCACCCCGTTGACAAAGTTGCTGGGTATCAAATACCCAATCATGCTCGCTGGCATGGCTCGTACCTCAGGCGGTCCGCTCGCCGCAGCAGTGTCCAACGCCGGTGGCATAGGCACGATAGGTGGACTAGGGTATACACCAAAGCAGCTACAAGAGGTATTACACTGGCTCCCGTACACCTGCAACCAAGTGGCGGACGACTGACTCGCACAGATCATAGACGAACTGAAATCCAACCTGAGCGATCCCTCGCTCCCATTCGGCGTGGACCTGGCACTTCCCCAGGTAGGTGGTAATGCCCGCAAGACGAACCACGACTACACACACGGCCAACTCGACGAGCTGATCGAAGTGACCATCCGTAACGGCGCAAAGATCTTCGTGTCTGCGGTCGGCGTCCCGCCCGCCAGGACGATCAAACGCCTCCACGAAGCCGGAATCCTGGTTATGAACATGGTCGGTGCGCCGAAGCACGCCGAGAAGGCTCTCAAGGCGGGCGTGGACATCGTCTGCGCGCAGGGTACCGAGGGCGGCGGTCACACCGGCGACATCGCCAACAGCATCCTCATCCCCGCGGTGTGCGATGTCGCGAAGAGATACAAGTCGCCCCTGACGGGAGAGCCAGCGCTCGTGGTGGCCGCCGGTGGAATCTACGACGGGCGCAGTCTGGCGAGCAGTCTGATGCAAGGCGCCGTCGGAGTTTGGGTCGGCACGAGGTTCGTCGCGGCCGAAGAGAGTGGCGCGAGCAGATTGCACAAGGAGGCGGTGGTGAGTGCCGATTTCACAGACACCCTGCGCACGCTGGTCGTGAGTGGGCGGCCCCTGCGGTGTAGGATGAACGAGTACGTGAAGAAGTGGGAAGATCAGCCTGAGCGAATCCGGGACTTGACAGAAAAGGGCATCGTACCCATGCAGTACGACCTGGAACAAGAGAATGAGATTGACATGCCGTTCCTAATGGGGCAGGTCGCGGCCATCATCAAGGACGTCAAGCCGGCCAGGGCGATCGTCGAGGAAATGGTCTCTCAGGCCGAAGACATGCTGAGGTTAGGAAGCTCATATATCGGGGGTCCGCGAAGTAGACTATAGGGACACTCGGTGCTTGGGTGCTTGGTCAGGGACAATTGGATTCATACAGATACACTGATCGCCATTCAAGCTATGGGCGGGCGCAACAAAGCATCCTTTACAGTAAGAACGACCCTGATGCGAATATGTAATGCACCACCAAAAATACCAACGCAGCTGCGCCAGGCTACCTTTAATGTTGGGCGCCGTTAACCAAGGCGGCTGCTTTCTGGCCATTAGCTTTGTTTGCCACCATCTCTGGCGGAGGCACCGGTCCAAATACAGGCTTCGTGATTTCGGCGGCCGATTCTTCCTCGTCTTCGTAACTAATATCGTCGTCTTCTTCGTCTTCGTCACCATACCCTTCCTCGTCCTCCTCGTCGTACTCACTGGACTCGACAAGCTCTTGCTGCACAGGCGGACCGCGGCCTTGCTCTTGCATACTCTTGATGATGTTTCGCATCTGGGTTTCCTGCTTTCTAAGCCGTTCCAGATCCTCCTTGTCTCTAGTTCGCTCCTCGGCCATCTCAAGGATATTGCGATTCGTCTGGTCATGCTTCCTAGTCAACGTGGCATTCTCCTTTTCGAGTCGCTTCGTCTTCTTGGACATTTCTTCCATCTCTCGCCTAAATGTCATGAACAGCTCATTGCTGTTGTTGAGCGTGTCTTCCACCTGCTGCATTGTGAGCAAGATTTCAGCCATTTGTATCGACAAAATAAAGGAGGGCTTGGGGGAGGGGGACTGCAAACTAACCTGCTTGAATTTCTCGACGTAGATGTTGAGCTGGCTGCGCAACTCCGCTTCTGTATGGGAAAACGTAGAAACCTGATTAGTGAGCTGCCGGCACCGTCCAGCTTCTGCATCGGCTCTTCGACGTTCGACCTCGTGCTTTGCTTGTAGATGAGCGATTTCAGCGTCTTTATGTCGAAGTATTGCTTTGAAATGCAGCTCTCGGATTTCTGCTTGATCTGCCAGTACTTTGCACCGCGTCCTGAATCTGTTAAACGTATAGTCAGTATCCTTGTCTCTTGAATGATTCTCATGCAACATACAGTTCGTCCAACTCAAGATGCAGATTCTCAGAATGTGTACCCGGCTTAGAGTTCATCACTTCTTGAACGTCGTACAACATCTGATCGAGTCTGTCATTGATATTTTCGCGGGCCCGTTTGTCTGTCTCTTCAAGTTTCTTGTTCTCGTCCTTGAGTTTCTTGTTTTCCTTCGTCAATTCTCGGCAAAGCTTTTCTAGTTTGTCCTTCATTGTTGCGGTCTTGCTATGCTCAGACTTTGACTTCTCCTGGTCTTTTTGAAGTTGATCTGCGCGCTTTTTGGTCCGTTGGTATTCTCGGTTCATCTTCTCCATGTCTCGCAAAAGCTCTTCATATTTTCTTTTCGCAAGCTCGAGCTGTCCAGAATGTCCTTCTACGCTATTGATCAACTCGTTGAGATCTCGTTGAGCCTTCTTGACTTCTCGGTCAACTTCTGCTTGTTGGCTCTTCTCTCCAGCCTTTTCTTGTTCAAGCTGTGATAATCGTGCCTGGATCAATTTCGCATTCTCTTCCGCACTCAATTGTTTGTCCTTCTTCGGTTTGGCCTTCTTGCCCGTAGCCGCTGGCGGGGGCAGATCCTGCATGTCGCCATTTGTTACCGTCGTTGTCTGGGAGATCGGGCTCTGAGCAATGGTAGCCATATGAGATATCTCTGACGATCGCCTGTTCTTCGAACTCCGGGGCTCTTTCAGAGCCAACAACTATCAATGTAACGTGTAGATGAGGGACTTTCCCCGTACATCTGAGAGCGCAGGTAGAGTCCGTTGGGGCAGATGAAGTCGTTCAATTGCTGTCTTTGCGCGGCTAGGGCGGTGGAATATGTCTGCTTGGAGTTAGGATGCTTGAAGCAAATGCTAAGGGCCTAAGATAGCAGAGTTGAGAGTCAATATCAACGTCCGGGAATCGAAGTGGTGGAGAGGAAACGCAGATCTTTGCTCAGGGCCAAGCCCATTCGTACAATGCGCAACAGGGCGGTTTAGACGGAATCTGGTAAGAGAAATGCTTTGCGAACAATAATGCCACCCGAGTTCAAGTATTACTGTATGTTGTTATCGTTCACTACAAGAGGTACACCGAGTTATTGAATTGATTGAACAACGAAGACCTGGTGAGGCAACTTCGAGGACTGCACGTGACTACGTTGGCATATATGAGTAAAATCTATTACCTCTACATCTGCCTTGGTCCATCTGCCATTTTCACCTATTGACAGGAAGAATTGCCCGTTCACTCACCTTCAATCAGCCGACGAGACAACGGTCGTACTCCCTTCCGGAATTTGTCCTCGGTACGAAAGCAGCACGAACTGTCATGCTCAGGCATGGTGCGATTCGCCATGGCCTCCAGACCTGCGCCCGACGAACTGCACCTAATACCAGAATATGTTGGAATGGACCACACAGCAGAAAAGGATATGCTTCGGTAACAGATTTGTCGGCATACCCAAAACCGGGAGAGAGCATACAAGGATTCACCTTGAAAGAGATCAAGTATGTTCCAGAATTACACTTGACGGCACTACGATTAGAACATGACAAAACAAAAGCAGAATATCTGCATGTGGCTAGAGATGACAAGAACAATGTTTTTGCCATCAATTTCAAGACAAACCCCACGGATAGAACAGGCTTGCCTCATATACTGGAGCATGTTACCTTATGTGGAAGCGAAAAATATCCAGTTCGAGATCCTTTTTTCAAGATGATGCCCCGGTCTCTGTCCAATTTCATGAATGCTTTCACCTCCTCCGACTACACATCCTATCCTTTTGCGACTACAAACGCGACAGACTACCAGAATCTGTCCTCAGTCTACCTCGACGCCACGTTGCATCCACTACTCAAGCGGACTGATTTCTTACAAGAAGGATGGCGGCTTGGACCAGAAGATCCTCGCGGACCCGCTACAGAGGAGAACGTCATCTTCAAGGGTGTCGTATATAACGAGATGAAGGGTCAGATGTCTGATGCGAGCTATTTGTTCTACATTAGATTTAGAGAACATCTATTTCCATCTTTACACAACTCTGGTGGCGATCCAGAGGTAATGACTAACCTCACTTACGAACAGCTTGTTGACTTCTCCCGACAACATTACCATCCAAGCAATGCAAAGATCTTTTCTTATGGCAATCTTAGTCTTGCCGAGCATCTTCAACAAGTCGACGAGACGCTATCGAAATTCGAGCAGTCATCGCCAGATTCTGAAATCAAGTTACCAATTGATTTTTCCCGTGGCCCTCTTACCTTCGAAGTCTCTGGGCCCCTTGATACGATGCAACCGACAGACCGTCAGTATAAGTCTTCAATAACCTGGCTTGGGTGCCAGGCCTCCGATATCGTCGAGACTTTTTCCGTTAGTATCATGATGTCGCTTTTGATGAATGGATATGGCTCGCCGCTCTACCAGGGTTTGATCGAGTCGGGACTGGGAACCAACTTCAGTCCCAACTCCGGGTACGATAGTTCGACCAAAGTCGGCACTTTCTCGATCGGTCTCGATGGGATGAAGGCAGAGGATACTGCTGGCTTGAAGGACACGATCCAGAGTATACTCAGAGATAAGGCACATGAAGCATTCCTACCTCATAAAATTGAAGGCTATATGCACCAGTTAGAGCTCAGTCTCAAACATAAAACAGCCAATTTTGGAATGGGTCTTTTGGAGAAGACTCTGGCTGGTTGGTTCAATGGTGTCAATCCGATGGACGGCCTCGCTTGGAATGAAATCATTGATGCCTTCAAGCTACGATTGCGAGATGAAAAGTATCTTGAAAACCTTGTACAGAAATATTTCATGAACGACAAATGCATGCAATTCACAATGACACCATCTGAGAATTATGGACAGGCTCTGGAAACGCAAGAGGAGGAACGGAGAAGATCTGTCCTAGAAGAATTTAAAAAGAATGCAACCTCGCCAGAGGCAGCCATTGCCGAGCTGGGTAAACAAGAGTTACAGCTGCTCGAAGAACAAGAGTCCGCCCAATCCAAGAATCTCGAGTCGTTGCCTACACTCCGTGTGAGTGATATCGCACGGGAGAAGGAGAGGAAACCACGCTACCAGTCAAAGATTGGCGATGTCAACTGTCTTTGGCGTGAGACAACTACAAATGGGATTAGCTACTTCCAGGCAAAACATGTGCTGAAGAATCTTCCTGAAGATCTGAGATTGTTGATGCCACTGTTCACCGAGTCCCTGATGCGACTGGGTACCAAGAGCAAATCCGTTGGGGACCTTGAGGCTGAGATTCTACTTAAGACTGGTGGCATCTCCATTTCTCCCTTCACGGCCCCAGAACCCTGGAGCTTAGACAAATACAACGAAGGTTTGATTGTCAGTGGTCATGCCCTAGACAGAAATGTCCCAGCTATGTTTGACCTGATTCGCACACTGTTATTGGAGATTGATTTCAAGAACCCCAAGGTTGTTGCTGCTGTACAGGAACTTCTGGAATCAAAAACCTCGGGCGCTTTGGATGCAGTGGCAGAGAGTGGTCACCACTTTGCTATAACAAGTGCCGCCGCTGCTCTTACTCGTCGAGGCACTCTCCAGGATCAACTGTCAGGATTAACTCAAATAGAGGCTACGGCTCGAACGTTGAGTGCTGCACGCAAGGATCCAAAAAGCCTTCAGGAAGTCATCGAGAAACTGCAAAGGATTCAATCTTTTGCCATTCTTAACTCGCCTGATCTATCGATGCGTCTGGTATGCGAGCCTGAGTCAGTATCTGCCAACCGCTCTGTGATTGAAGCCTTCCTGGCGGAGCTCCCACAAGGTCAGGCAAATATTGCAAACTCTAGCTCGTCCACTGTCGTATCAGGATCTTCACTTTCAAGGAGAGCTTTTTTCAACCTACCTTTTCAGGTATCATATACTGGCAGCTGCCTGCAAACGGCACCCTACTCCTCACCCGACAAAGCACCTCTGACCATTCTCGGTCAGCTCCTGGTTCACAATTTCTTGCATCCTGAAGTGAGAGAGAAAGGCGGTGCATATGGTGCTTCGGCGAGTGCAAGTCCAATCAGCGGTCTTTTCACCATGTCTTCGTACCGAGATCCTAATCCTCGGAACTCTCTCCAAGTCTTCAAACGAGCTGGAGAGTATGCTCGCGACAAGGTTTGGAGCAATCGAGAGCTGGAGGAAAGCAAACTCAGCATCTTTCAAGGTATTGATGCTCCCAGCAGCGTCAGCAGCGCGGCCAGTAAAGAATTCATGTATGGCATAACAGAAGACATGGATCAGAAATCACGGGAGAACTTGCTCGATGTTACCAAGGAAGATGTCCAACGAGTTGCCCAGAAGTACCTGGTTGAGCTTTCTCCCGAACTGAGATCTACCTGTATTCTTGGGGAGAAGAAGGACTGGTTCGAACAAGATCCAGAGCGATGGCAGGAGAAAAGCCTACAGATGGCCGCATAGTTCGTGAGTGTTGTACAAAATGGCTGTATATTAATTTCCACTCCAGCACAGATACCCCATATATACCTGTTACCATTTTTTTCATACCCTTGTCGAGCTTATTACCCTTCCATTGCATTGTTTCCAACAGCGCGACTCGAACAGAACATACGTCTCCGGCTTCAGTCATGCCATAGTCGGAGATCACAAGTCACGAATGCCTTTGAGCATTTCCCGCGCAAGATCGAGGAAAGCCTGTCTTGCTCTTTCACGACAAACTCATCCTCGGATGATGTTTGGCTGAAGGAGTCTTGCTGGTTTGTTACATACCTATTTCAGACCTGTTTTTCTTTGAGATCAAGGACTAGCAGACTAGAGGTGTGCGTACATATAACGAATGCTTCTTGAGCACTCTACCCATGTTGGGTTGCTGAAATGACAACCACGTAAAAGGTCCAGGTTGGTATCGAGATCTCGATGTGCTGTTGACCTTGCAAATTCTGTCAATGTTATGATGCGATCGAGTGTAAGCAGGCGCATCCTTTCTCGGTGCTCCCAATGCCATGTCAGTTTCCATCATGATTTACGTGTCATGCTTGGTTCGATTCGATCAGTGGCAAGAGCAGTGGCTTCACTTGCTCAAGCCGCATTCACCTTTGCCTTCAGGCCGATACCATTTGCCTCGTTTGACTTTGTCCTTGACTGTTCTATCTCCCTGTCAATTCCAACGGCTCCAATTATGGATTTCGAACGAGTCTACGTGATTTGCGCGCTGCTGTTCTCAATCCCTTTTATCTCGCTTCTCCTAATCCGAACGTATTCTAGATTTGAAATGTCTAATGACAAAACGCAATATCCGCGCCTGGTTGAGATGCAGATGCATGGTTTGAGCGGCTGGGTGCAGTATTCTTCAAACTCTCTCATCTCTCATCGTCAACTAAAGCCATACTGACCTCTATTCAGCTTCGTCTCCGAACTTTACAGAGCAGAACACCCTGGCTTGACGATTATCGTCGGAGAATACAGTTGGAAAATTCATGCCCAGGAACTACGTTCCGTATCTAAGTTCTTCGAGAGAATACTTCCTCGTGCGCCCGAGGTATGCTAGCCTCAACGATGAACCCTGAATTCTGTTGTTCTGATGATTAAAGTCCCTACTTCAGGCTGCTTCAATCACTTTACGCGACGAAAGCCCCGTTATCATCGCCTATCTTGTTCTGTGGCTCTACACGCGCCAATACTACGAACTCAAGGCTGTGGCCTCCCAAGACTTGATGCTCCCAACAATCCAGAGCATCATGACCCTAGGACGAGATGCGAATTCAGGAGACTGCAGCCCGATGCTTGGTCAATATAGTACGGAAGAGCCTGACTCCCTCCACGCACAGATGTACTGGCTCACGGATAGATATGAGATCAGCGAACTCAGAGATGATGTTGTGTCCATGATCAAAGATCATTTGAGCCGACTTCCGCATGCCCTTGTACCGACCTTGAAGCATCTACTCGGCCTGTCGATATCTTCTGCCGGCGTCATACCAGTGAGATCACGATGTGCGCTGACCACAAAGGCGCCTCAACGTCAGGCCTCCGATGCCTCTGGGCTTGTCGACTGCCCAGATGGAAGTCCAAGCTCGCCTACACCCAGCGACACTGCTATCCAGCCCGACAGGACGGATGTACTAGCAATGGTTGTTGCCTCTGGGCGGTCAGGTCGAATAGACAGCGCGGGAGGGCTCAGTATCAATCCCGAAGACGACGCTGATCTATGGTCTGTCCTGGTGGGCAGAAGCAGCGAATATGTATTGCAGCACGCTGACGATACCGCGTTCGTGGCGACCATGCAGAGCAAGCCATCCTTTCAATGGGCCGTTCTACAACGGGTCGCAAAGGGACATGTCAAAATGCAAGGTGAAGTTACGACATGGCGGAATAAGGCTGTGGAGTTGCAAGCCGAGGTCGGGGACTTGCAATACGAAGTCGTCAAGCTACAAGCTGGGGTGAAGCATTGGCCAAAAGTAGTCAGCAAATGGCGAGCTGAAGTCGAGGAATGGAAAATTGAAACCCAAAGATGTCGAAGTGAAATTAGAGAATTATGCGATGCACTCGAAGTCGACCAATCTCGAAACACGGCCGGCCCAACGAGGTCGAGGTTCTCCAAATGGTCGAGAAGAAGACACGAGCGACAAGAGCCCCTCGCGAACCGCGTCTCAACCAAAAGACATATGGGTATACTAGGAAGTTCTTCTCGACGACGGCTAAGAGGGTCTCAATCACGCAACTCTTCATCGGCTTGAGGACAGGAATTCACTCGACTCGAAAGGAATCATGAATTCATGTGGCATAATAAACATCAAAAGTTGAGGCATATTCATTGAGACCCGACAGACTCCGTTGGCCTAGACTGATTATGAAACATCTTTGTACACATTTGGGACGCCAGAACGCTCATCGCATCTCATAACTCGCTTCATGTTCCCCCGGGCTCAGAGGCCTGAATCCAAACAAGACGACTCGATAACCAAACCAGACTTTTTTTTGTACATTGCGTGATCCCAACTCATGTGGATGGACGGTTCCATGTTCATTAAAAACGGAGAGAAGAGTCTGTGTGTGCTGTCGTTTCATTAGTACTCCCCGTAAAAATCATTGTCATAGCCACCAGGATTCTTAGGCAATGTTTCCCGCCATGCCCTATAAATAAAAGCAGGTTGACGTTAGTAAATGTGTACTCTCTTTTTTTGAGGGAAAAAAAAGGAAAAAGAAAAAAGAGGCAATATTGGGACCGAAGGGAACAAAAAAAAACAACGTACCAAGAAAATGGCCTGGACCGCCAATTGCAAACTCCACAGGCCGACCTTTTTGAAGCGTCTCAGGCGTGCCTGTTCGTCTGTGACGTCCCTCGCGAAGGCGTCGTAGACCTCGGCCGACAGGTCGTCCATGAGGCCCGAGTCGAAGACGGTCCAGCTGCCGTCAAAGTCGGACAGACGCTTCACGACACGGCAGTTGATGGGGATGAAGGTCCGGCGGGAGTTGATGTAGGCCACGATGGGGCGGATGAGGGCGTTGTTGATGTACGACAGGTCCCGGGTGAAGAGGGGCACGACGGCGCGGACGTCGTTGAGGTGGATGCGCAGATCCATCACGAGGAAGCGCTTGTCTTCTTCCCTAACGGCGGCGGCAGCAGCAGCCGCCTTGAGCCCGGTGGACGTCGTGGGCAGGGCGCCGCCGTCGTCCCCGTATAATGATGATGATGATGATGATACGGCGGTCGTATCGTCGCGAGCAGGGACGGGGTCGAAGCGCTTGCGTGAGGTGAGCGCGTCTTCCATCCGCTCGTAAAAGTCCGTCATGACCTTCATGACGGATTCTTCACAGTCGTTGGGGATCATCACGTCCGCGACGATGTCGACGTTGCCTTCGTGGATCCACGACAGGGGGCCGACGGCGCCACGATTGAGGTGATCAATGTTCATTGCGTCGATACGGATTCGGGATTGCTTTCTCCACGGCTCGTTGGACGGATCGTCCGAATGCTGTAACGTGGCGCCAGTGTACGAGTGTGTCTGGCGAGGATGGATGGTGAAGAGGGATCGGTCGAATTCGCCTGTCATGCTGTTCGCACCGAGGAAATCGTAAAAGAGCCACTGCTTACGTAGGCGGGGGAGATCTGCGTTGTAGATGCTGATGGGGAATGGGCGGAAGCCTTCTGGCTGTAGGACGGTGACGAGGAGGTCTTCGATCTTGAAAGACTCAATCTCAAAGTCGCCCGGGACATGTTCGTGACGGTATGATTTGGGGTCGATCGGTTCGTCGGTCCAAAAGACGTGGGTTCGGTCGACCACGCCTCGGATGTGTTTGATCTCGACGTTTTGTAGAGGCCCTTTGGAGTTCCACCACTTGCTGAACGAGAGTGTGACGTTGACTTCGCCAATAGTTATGTCGAATTGTGTATAATTCTGCTCCTCTGGCGGCACAGGGTCTTCTGCTGAAGAGGCTTGCGCAGCTGCCTCGGGCGAACCCTTTATGACGCGAGACTTGCTTTGGCCGGGCCTCCTTGAGACGAATACGTTCTTGAATGTGATGACTCCATCACTCCACTTTGGAACGATGGCCGATTCGAACACCACTTGAAGACCCGATGACTTGGTCAAATAATTGCCGATCCAGCCAGCCAACGTTTCCTGAGCGAAGACCGTATTGATGGCAAGTATGGCCAGTGATACAAAGGTCGTGGTTCCTACGACAATCCAGATGACATGACCCAGCGCGATCCACGAGATAAAACCAACAATTTCATCGACATTGAATGGTCGAGTGCTCTTAATGGTCAACCACTTGAAGCGAACCTTGAGTCGCGACCAGAATCCAGTGGCGGCCGCCAGGAGCTCTTCCTTTGTCGGACGATGAAACTGCGGCATGTGTATTCTGTCGTAAAAATGCTCGTGATGGGACTGTTCCGGTCCTGCCTCAACCTTGGCTGCATTCTGTTCCTGTAGTCCTTTGGGTTTCGAGGCTTTGTTCGTTGCTTCTTGTTCCACTCCTTCTCTTTTCAAATTCGACCTTTCCGTGCGCCGTTGGCTCTGGTGAAAGGCTCTTCGGAGCACCCGGGTCAGACGAGTTCGTGGCCAGGATTCAGCGTTCCTTCTGGTTAAATGTAGGCCTAGCGCTGATGTCTGTACTTGGAAAGGACACCTTGTTGCGCTGAAGTTTGCGTGGGACGCTGTCGGTGCGACGAGTGAGCGTCCTCCTTCGGCCGATAGAATATCTCTCCTACAGAGTTCTCCGGAAGCATGGGTGCCATAGCTGTTTGAAGGACTCTGGAATAGTGCTATTCGTCTCGGGGTGTGGTATCTGAAGCTTCGGTTGGAAGAGGCTGGGAGCCTTTGTGTCACTCGGGTCGTTCTGGGAGCCAGTGCAGCAAACTTCGAGACATCATGTATGCCTCGGACAAAGACGTCCGTCATAGTCGAGAAGTCATAGTGATACAGGTGGGTGTGTGGGATAATGTAGAGGAAGCCTCGTGGTTGGCAGAATGAGGCGATTGAAGGATGAAAGGAAGCGAGGAGGGAAGAGAAGCATGTGCATGGATGATGCAAACCGGAAAAGTCTCGCCTGTCAATGAAATCGTGATTTTCAAGCCCAAAATCCGCTGCGGAGAAAATTATTTTCTGCGCCCGAAGCCGAAACCCTCACAACCACCGCCATCAACAATTTCTTACAGACAAACCAAACCCAGACAACGGAATATTCCATTGTCCACTACCAAATAGGGAGCACTGAATTCTTCATCGACAACATGCCTGCTCCTACGGCGCTGCAACGCGCTCCTGAAGCCCTCGCACAGACAGAGGCACAACTCCAAGAACCTTCCCTCAACCAACCCACCGATGAGACAGGCGACCTTGACCTGATCACCGCACCACAAGACACAATTTTCTCTCCAGAAGGAACAGATGACACGAGCATGCAAGTCGACGAAGAAGGCCGACCTCGTTTCGCACCAGCATCCCAGGCAGACTCTCCCGCCGCTGTGCGAATACAGTCCCGCAAGGTCCCCATCCCACCACACCGTATGACCCCGTTGAAAACCAACTGGCCCAAAATATATCCTCCGTTAGTCGAGCACCTCAAACTCCAAGTGCGGATGAACGTCAAATCCAAGGCGGTGGAGCTGCGGACGTCGAAATTCACGACCGACTCCGGGGCTCTGCAGAAGGGCGAAGACTTTGTCAAAGCCTTCACCCTCGGATTCGACACGGATGATGCCATTGCTCTCCTGAGGCTGGACGATCTGTACATCGAGACCTTTGAAATCAAGGACGTCAAGACATTGCAGGGCGAACATCTGGGTCGAGCGATCGGTCGGATAGCAGGCAAGGACGGGAAGACGAAATTTGCGATCGAGAATACGAGTAAGACGAGAGTTGTGCTGGCGGACAGCAAGATCCATATTCTAGGTGGGTTCCAGAACATTAGAATAGCCAGAGAAGCGATTGTCAGTTTGATTTTGGGCGCACCACCTGGAAAAGTGTATGGGAATTTACGGACGGTCGCAAGAAGAATGAAGGAGCGATTCTGATCGAGGTGCAAGGCACGATTTATGACGGGTATGACGGGTGAAAGATGGCGTTACAGAGGGTTTTGTGCTTTGGTAGTACGAGGACATCAGTAAACTACAATATTCCATGCTTGGGTAGGATCAAAAAAGCGTAGAAAGCATGAGACAGATATGAAGACCAATCAATACTGAATTGGCCAGTTTCCCGTTCGCCATACCATGCATACAATGACAACGCCACCAGAAGCCAGTACCTTTTCTAACCTGGTCTAGTCCCTCTTGAGAGGGGTGAATGTCTCTTGAACCCCATCCTTCGTAATGATGAACATCTGAAGACCATCACCAACTTCAATGTGTCGCTCAGTGGCGCTCGTGAAAGCATCCTTGACCAGTCCCACCACCACGTCTTTGGGCAGAGTCTCGACTTGTCTTTGTTGCAATTCGTGTCCATATCCCGAGGCTGGGATATATTGATTTTTGTAGTTGACCTGGTTATCCAGGAAAGGCATGATCAGACTTGCCGCGGCACCGGCTGCTCGACACTGTTCTCGCTCGTAGCTGCCAACCGGATCGTAGCTGTACAATGCTCCCTTCCCATCCTCATCTAGACCGCCGAGGATTGCGTGGACGTAGTATGGAAAGAATCGTTTCTGGTAGAGGATCGTGGATAGCCGCTGTGCACATGCCTTGACACTCATGGACTTGCCATGTTGATACTTGTACATCTTTGCAATCGCATCTAGCCGTTCTTTCAAAGCATGTCCATCTGCAGCAAACCCAACAACTGACAAAACGATGCGTGATGAGTCTTCTTCATCTCCAATCCGAAAGAGCTTGGGTTCGTAGCGGGTGTTGATGTTGTAGCCGGAGGTCGATCGCGTATCACCAGCGAGGATAGCAAAATCGGCACCAGTGATTCCTAACGTCGAGCCACCATTATCTGTGTATCTGGTATACGGTCAGCTTCCTGTACTTGAATCCATGATGAGCTTCTCAAACTGACGGGGAGAAAGCGTGTTGCTTGGTTCCGGCCGCCTCAGTGGCAGCGGCAGAGTTTGTGAACGAGTAGCCAGGCTGATCTGAGGGCATAGCCCCGGTATTAAGTAAGGAAGCCATGCTTAGAAGAGGGATTATGAAGAGAGGTTTCAAAGTTGTAAATATCCTAGAAATGATATACTATGCAGTCGCAATCCCCGTGTGCCTGCGGGCTGGCCCAGAAACGCAATGGCGCGCCGTAGTAAGCTCCGGTGAAACTTTGAGTCCATAATGGACATTTCCATATCCCTACAGAATAGTGAATTTCTTACGATGTATCTTTTGCTCTCGTTGTGAGTTCCTTGCTGATGACACTTTGTTGCAAGAATATTGGCCAAATACGTCTCGAAATTGCCCCAAGATGAGTGCACTGGTGGCCTACGAAAGTAGCAGCGATGAAGACGAAGTGGCAGACCAGGATGCAGGCCGAGATCAAGTTGCCACCACAACAATCGCAAAAGGACACCATGATCAGAATGGTGATATTAAGTTCTTCGTCAAGCCTAGTGAGCCAAGTCCAGACATTACTGCTCCCACTGCCAGCGTCGATTGTGTGGCGCCTATGGTAGGTCCATCAATGCCAAGTCAGATGGATAGCGAAGTCGAGCAAGAGGATCCTTTATCAGAACTTCAACAATCCATGTCTGAGCGAGATATAGTTCACCAGCTTACATTCGCGTCGCATCCCATGGCGTCGCTCCCTCCGTCTCCGCCTGGCTCCCCCGACCCGGTGCTTGAAGTCAAGTTCAAGAAATTTCTCGATTTGAAGACGAAAGGAATGCACTTCAACGAAGATTTGGCTAGCAAATCAGCATTTCGTAACCCAGGCCTTCTTGCCACCATGATGGTCCGCATAGGTCTGGACGAAGAAGATCAATACAGGACATCATTGCCTCACCAAGTTTGGAACCCTACAGGCTTCCCGAAGTCGGCGTACAAAGAAGAACTCCTTCGAGCCCAGCAGACTCTACGCGACCAAGATTTGGCCGCGAAAAAGAGCCTGTCCGCGCAAGGGAAAAGAACGATCGAGTTCATGCCCGGAGGGAGGTCTGGGGACAGTAGCCGCGATTCCACCCCAGGCATGCCAAATAAACGGAAGCGACCTTGATTACGCATCAAAGCAGATCCGGGATGCTTTTTCAGATAACACCAGAGCCGACGATAATAAGCCTTGACAAATTCATCGTTTGGGCCTACTCTACAGTAGATAGGAGATTGCGTGGAATGCACCAGCGAGCATCCTTGACTTGGTTGGGAGCCAGCGCACACCTTGGAGCAAGCGAATTTCGCAGTCGATGGATTTCTAGAGAAGGTGCACGACGCGCTCCAACTGGTTGCGCCAGATCTCAAGTCGATGTGAACAAAATCGCCCGTCACAGTGGCCCCCTTCCAGATTACGCTGATTGGGCATGACTCCAGCCAATACCCAAGATAGGTCTGGTAAGGACTCGGGTTCCTGCAGCTGAAACGACTCTGCAATATTATTGCGTTCGGCCAACAGAAGATTGATGGGTCACAGGCAGTCTAGGGAGAAGAGAGAGCACAACAACAGTATGGAGTACGAGTACCAAGTACGGAGTCAAGCAGACGACCGTTGACGCCTCGGATCTTCAGGGTCCATATAACGATCGACAGTGTGCGCGTCACGTTACGAGTGCTAAGGCATGCATTGACTGAAGGATCATGTCAGTTGAATATGTATATCAGAGCGCGCTCGAGCCTCGACTCATAATTTCTTTTTTTGGGACACCTTCCAGCCTGACTTAGCCAACGTCTGATATTGTAGCCCATCTCGCACAACTAACGGAGTCGCATGCAAGAAAAACAACGGGCATGCAATCCCCAGACCCAGTCTGGCTAAGCATCTGGAGTACAGGTATGGGTGTCGCCTAGGGACAGGGGGCATGCATCTTGGCCAAAGTTCAGGGTGGACATGGCTATAAAGAACCACCTACACTACAGATGGGGTGGTTTTGCATGGGGGTCAATCACTCCTCCTGGCCTGACTTATTACTACTCCGCAGACTAGCTGAATTAGATGCTCCCTCCGAGACGAACCAACGGCTGAGGGCAATGTTTCATGAAGATCTAGGCGACCGTTTGAGCCTCTCGAGTTGGATCTGAAACTGGGTGGTCCTAGATTAATCACTCGTACTCCGTACCTACCGGGCACGGTGGAGGTGACAAAGCGCGGTAGTAATTATTCGTTCATGGCGCAAGAGATGTATAGATGCATGGCTAGGGAGTATGGAGTATGGGAAAACTGAAAGCTAGGGGTAGTCAGAGTGCCTTGGAACGTGTCTGTGAAATTGAGCTGCGACATGAAAGCAAGCGAGCTCGCGTGTAGGAATTACGCATGCGGCCGTCTGTAAGCGGTAGAGGCATTTCACATACGGAGTACCCACGATTCATTACAGAGTTCAGTGTGATGAGTTCCTTACCAGTTGGCATTTCCTAAGTCAGGCTGTCCAGCTATACGAGCATCCCATTGAATTTAGGCGTCGGTTTCATGTCAAGCATGGCCCAAAGTCCACTTATATTAATTAACCGTAGAGATACGGAGTAGAGAATACGAGGATGATCAACACCCTGTATCCACCTCCGTTCGTGTGAGAGTCAAGGATAATCAAGCACTCGCTGGGGTGTTGTTCTATCTGGCTTGTTGGACTCAGTACTCGTAGTTGTATGGTGTGCTATTGTACTGTATGCCCACCATCAGCACCACCACCTACATCGTCCAAACACCAAACAATCCCTCCCTAACAATTGACGGCACCCAATCACTCCCTCCACGATCTTTTCGCCTCTTCTCCCGGCGCTTACATGCACACTTGAGCTTGTCGACTGTTGCGCTTTTAACTCGTCCGGGGCTTTTGCAGGAGCACGAACGACCGAACCTCTTACACTTCTCGTTAGACCCGTCTGCGCGATTCCACACCTTTTTCACCCTCATTTCTCACGCCGCCGTTTACGGCTGGCCTGTCAGCGGTCCCCAAGTGTTCTCCCCTGATCCTCATGGCTTGAGGCCAGAATCTTAGGTTCCTCATGCCGCCGAACAGTCGTTTCCCGATATGTCGACCCTGAGCGAAGCAACCTCCCGCTCACCCCAGATCCGTTTGAGCCCATCAGCCGCCACTGTTTCGTCCCCTTCACCGACTGATCCTCAAACCTACGTCTCGAACTCCCGCAGGCCTGCCCAGAATGTCCTTGGGAACAATCTGATTCCTCGAGACTATCTGAGCTCGAGACCTGGTCCTGGTCCTGGTCAATCAAGATACTCCGAGGACACTCCCACTCCCACCCCTCAGCAGATGAGTACTGGCTCTGATGCGGCGATAAAGAGTGCTCCAATAAACATACCGCAGGGTAAACCTGCTCTAGCACGCGGCGAGGCCGGCAGCATTGGTACAAGCAAGTCGGGATTGGGTGCAAGTCCCTCTTCGAGCCTCACCGAGTCGAGAGACAACGAGCCACCTCCCCTGTCCGAATCACCAAAGTCGTATGGTTCGCTCCAAACGAGCGCACCGCCCGTGACGAACATGCCTCGCACGTCCTCGATAGATTCGGCCATCTCGAACATCTCCACGCAGTCGCACGTTCAGAAGCAACCAACAGATACGAAGGAACCGTCTAGGGAAGAAGTCCTGAACCTAATTGCCACAGCTGGCTCAGCGGAGACTCTTGTTCTGCATCTCTTGAGGGACAAGAACCATGCTGCTGCACAGAATGCGCAATTATGGAAACTAGTGGACAAACAAAGAACTCTGCTTTTGGGCTTGAACAAGGACTTAGAGCGTGTAACGAAGGAAAGGGACCGTTACAGGAAGAAAGTCAAGGAATTACAATCTCAGACACCAGCTGTTCCCGCGGTGAGCGTCCGGCCGGATGACGGTGAATCACCACGATCAGATGGCGATGTGTCAAGCACTTCGAGGGACATGAGCACAATATCAGCGTCCGAGTCGAAACTCAGAGCTGAACATCAAACGCCTAGCAAACATGGGACGGTACAAACACAGAGCTCACCGATAGACCCAGCCATGATGCCTCCTCCTCTTCACCTACAGCAGGCGCCGAAAATCCAGAGTCTTGTCACAGACATTGTACAGCCTGTCTTTGCAGTGACCGAGGCGACACCGCTCTCAGACAAGGCTCCAAAGTCTTTTCAAGCGTCTAGGAAAGCTCCACCAAGACCTCTTGACCTACGTCCTACAAAAGAAGAACTCGCGAGTACCGAGGTGGTCGTCAGCGATGGCGATGATGACGAAGTACGACTACCCATGGAGCGCGGAAGGCGGAAGACACGAGAGGAAGACGATCGCGAACGTGAGCTCCTTGTCATCAAAGAACAGGAAGCCAGAAGCCGCTCTAAAAAGGACAAGGAGAAGAAGGGCAAAGACGAGACAACAGAGGTAGTGCTGGATGACATGCCTCTTCCCCCGCCAGCCCATTCGCCGCCAGCAGTGCCCAGACAGGCTCAACCAAGCGAAACCAAAATGCAAGACCACCTCTCGCCCTCATCAACACTTTCAGCTGTTTCATCAACTCAGCTGTCTGTCCCTCTACGAAGCCCCGGGCTTCCGACCAGCCCGCGACCGTTTCCTTCTATGGGAGCTACGCTTCCAATGTCGCCACGAGCGCCAAAGAACAATTTCCCATTGTCTCCTAGAGCACCTAAGCAAGCTCTCCCGAACCCTACCACACCGGGTCAGGAGACACCAGCCCCTGGCAGTCACAAGAAGGTCGCCCCGTCGCAACTCTCGAAGATGGACACAAATTCCGCCAAGGATGACATGGGCCGACTTCAAGTGCACGAGTCTCCCCTGAGCCCGGACGAAGCCCCTCCTGTGAGTCGCTCACTTGTCAGCCCAACCTGGCCTGACTTCTTATTGCCTCCCAACGCTCTTCCCTCGATCCAAATCAAGGTGGCATCTTCGCGACTACGGCCCTCTAGGAATAGCATTCTCGGGGTGAAAGGAACGGAGGAAGCTTCCGTATTTAGCCTTTCCATTTTCGAACGAGCGACTACAGCAGAGCTCTGGCGGGTTGAGAAAGTACCAACGTCGCTCCCAAGCCTGGACCAGCAGCTTCGCCCACGTTGCGCAGATTTGCCAAAAATCCCAGAACGGAAATTGTTCTCTGGTCACTCTCCAGTCATAATTGATTCACGGAGAGCTGCGATAGAATCATACTTTGAAGAGCTCCTGGACACACCAATGGACGAGCAAGCTGCTGCAGTAATATGTAAATATCTATCTACGGATGTGATGGATTCGCAACTTAATTTGCCAATTCAGAAGAGCGAAGAGTCACAGAACAAGACAAAGCCGCCACCGAGTGCAGGCATCCCAACGAAGTCTGGGTACTTGACCAAGAAAGGCAAAAATTTCGGAGGGTGGAAATCAAGATACTTCGTGCTGGATAGTCCCGAGCTGAGGTACTTTGAGGCACCAGGCGGCGCCCATTTAGGGACTATCAAATTGCTCAATGCACGCATTGGGCGACAGACACAGACGGATCCTGCGGCAAACGCCGAAGTTGACACGGAGAACCAGTATCGGCATGCTTTCCTGATTCTTGAGCCCAAGCGGAAAGACAACAGCAGCTATGTTCGTCATGTTCTCTGTGCGGAAAATGATTTCGAAAGAGATGAATGGGTCGAGACTCTTCTTCATTACATCGATGAGAGACCTGCAGAGCCCAAATCTCAGTATGGTGCGGGGATTCCAAGCACACAAGCCAAAGATGCCAAAGCTTCTTATAAGAATGCCGTTGAAGAGGGAGGTCCGAAGGCAGCTGCGAGTCCCAAGCTCATCCAGTCTCAGAGTGATACTCCGTCACCATCCAATGCATCCAGTCATACTTCCGAATATACACAAGAGGCAGCATCAAAATCGGTCAACATCTCTGGTCCGATGAACGGGGGTGTGATCTCAGATGCTGGACTCTGGGGCAACAAATCAGTCGGACATGGCAGCAGCAAAGAACGGGAGCAGAAAAAGCGCACCCTCTTCGATCACTTCAGAAAGTCCTCGTACGAACAGCTTGCAGCGGCGCCACAATCGGCTCAGCCCAAGCGAATTGACCACAACGCTCACCGTGGGGGCCATGTCAGACCGGTCTTCGGTATGCAACTTCAAGAGGCTGTAGAGTATTACTCACCTACCGATGTGGATGTATATCTACCTGCCGTTGTCTATCGATGCATCGAATATCTTCGAGCCAAAAATGCAGCCAGCGAAGAAGGCCTGTTCCGTCTCAGCGGTTCCAATATTGTCATCCGAGCGCTCAAAGACCGCTTCAATACCGAAGGCGATGTGGACTTGTTGACGGATGAGGAAGATTACGACGTGCACGCGGTTGCTTCACTTTTCAAGACGTACCTTCGGGAGCTTCCGTCGACCATCTTGACCCGAGAGCTACACTTAGAGTTCATCAAAGTTCTTGACTTGCATGACAAGGCTGAGAAAATTACCGCATTCAATGGCTTGGTTCACCAACTCCCATCGGCCAACTTTTCGTTGTTGAGGACACTTTCGGCTTATTTGCTCGAGGTGGTGCAGAATTCGGATCGCAACAAGATGAGTGTGAAGAATGTTGGGATTGTCTTCTCGCCCACTCTGAATATCCCAGCACCGGTGTTTGCCATGTTCTTGACCGAGTTCGAGGCTATCTTCGAAAAGACCAACGACCAAGGATCAATCCGTTCGACTGAGATCGATCGTGCTGGTGCCTTGACTCCCGAGGATATTCGGTCACCTCGTCGAATGATGTTTACCGACCTCCCGACGCCAGCATACAATCAGAGTAGTTTCTCTCACAACGCGAGCGCGATGGCGGCATCTCCGGGTCAAGGTTCGAGTGATCATCACATGGACACCGCCAGTGATGTTGGCTTTTCACCCATCCACCCTTCCTACGAAACACGGAGCTACGTATCAATTCCACACGATATGCCGATGCAACCGCGTTATCCACCTCCACAACCACCGTCGGGTAGCCAAAGATATGGGGGATCGAATAACATGCTTGTTCCTGAGAACGCGGCCAGCGCCAAGGCCAAGCGACGAGAAAGTGCAATGCTATTCATGTGAAGATATTGACGAGATTACGAGGCGTGGTTGACTCTGGGCCCTTTTTACAAGCAAGCATCTTGGCCATTCGGTTGATTTTTTTTTTCATGTTAAGAAGCTTTTCCAAAAGCTCATCTCATTTTAGAGATACCCAGGTTTTCGTTCTTTCTATTCAGCGGGTGGATGTGTGCGTGGTACTGCGACTGCTATTGCTACTCATGTTCAAGTTTGAGCGACAGCGAGGGGCATTGTGAGCGCTTTAGCATATGGAGTATTGTAGTTCTATCTGATGGTGGATGGAAGGGAAAAGTGGCCGGACAAGCTTCTATTCTGTTCGTTCTTGTCAATCACTAATGAAGGAAAGGGTTTGTTTTTGTTTGAATTTGTAGTAGAGGAGAAATTGGAAAAGAATATTATTCTTTCTTGTTTTTTGTCTTTTTTTAGAAAGAAAAGAAGAGACCCAAAAGGGGGGAGGAACCAAAAGACATGATGGGATGGGAAATGAGTAGGACAAGAGATGGATGATTTATTTTTTGAGATGTCAGGATAAACGGATTACCAGGTGATTTAACTCGGTGTCTTGCCTTGCCATACGTACAGCATTGGTAGTTATCTGAGTGGACCTCCCTTTTTGTCTCTCTTCTTCTTTTTCCACTTCTTGATGGTGATGATGAGGTGGTTTAGATGGTGGAGGGTAGATTCAGGGTTTTTTTTTACCAAGATTCGAAAAAGAAAACACAACTATTCGTACGGAGGAAGAAGAAGGAGGAGGAGGAGGAGGAGGAGGAATTGGGATGATGAGTAAAAGGGTGAATCGTAGTTAGACTCGGAACACTGGGTTTGGGGCCTTGTCATCCTATACGAAGAGTAGTATTTTTTTGGACAAGGTATGAGAATGTCAGCTTTTCATCCCTCGTGATCTACGGGAGGTGGTACAATAGTATTGTAGGTATGTACGTCAATGTGGTCAAATGATCTTTCTTGGTGACCGGGGTAAATAAGAAGGAAATAAATCCTACTCGGTATGGAGTTATTAAATAATACGGGAGTCCTTTTAAAAATAATTTACAGATCTCTCTCCGTCTCTCTTTCTCACCCCCGCGCGCGTCGCGAATCTCTCTTTTCTCGCGTTGAATATTTTATCCTCAAGGGTCCGTCAGAAATCAAGATCAGATCCGGAGAGTAGAGACGAGAGAGAGAGAGAGAGAGAGACATAGACAGATCTGCCGACGAGGGGGGAAGAGAGTCTACGCGGCCTTTTGAATATTGCAAAATTCACCAGAATCAACTGCGGAAGTACGAGTACAGTACGGAGTACTTCTTACTCTCTCTCGTATTGACCTATCCACACCACTGAAAAGAATCTACTCACGGAGTATACTTGGGAATCATTTTTATTTTTATCTATTTAGTCACTGACCTGGGTACGTACTTTTGTCGAGAAGAGAACAGAGAAAAGAGAAAAGAGAAGGAAAAAAAAAGTGTCCTCCAAAAAATGGCAACGGGACTCGTCAATTCCTTTCTGGCCGCCATCCAGGCCAGCCTTTCGGTCTTGTTGGTGATTTCCTACGGCGGGCTCGCGGCTCACCTCCAACTCTTGACGCCCACCAACACAAAGGCCATTTCCAAGGTCTGCGTCCGAATGTTCTTGCCGGCCTTGTTGGTCACCAAGATCGGCGGGGAACTTCATGCCGGTTCCGCCGGTCGTTACCTGACCGTCTTGGTCTGGGCCGTCGCCTGTCACTTGGTCAGTTTCCTGGTCGGGGTGATGGCTCACTTGTGGTTGGGCATGCCCGATTGGACCACGGTCGCCGTCATGTTCAACAACACCACGAGTTATCCTTTATTGTTGATCGCCGCCTTGGAACAGACTGGTATTTTGAAATCCTTGATACCATCAGATGGTGGAGATCACGGTGAAACCACAAGTCAAGCCGTGGAAAGAGCAAAGAGTTATTTCTTGGTCTTTGCCACGGTCTCTAGTTGTTTGACTTTCGCGGTTGGTCCGAGATTGATCGACACTGAACATGCTGCCGACAGTAATGATGAAGATGATGATGAGGAGGAGGAGCCGGAAGAAGACAAAGACGATATACGTGACGACGACGACGATGACGATGATGAGAACCAAAACAATGTTGATGGTTTGTTATATCATCATCAAAGTGGTGGTGTTGGTGGTGTTGGTGGTGTCGGTGTTGGTAGTATGAGTACAAGTATTGTTTCTTCGAGGGGTGGAAGTATCGGTGGAGGTGAAGACAGCACGGAACGTACAAGACTACTCAGCAGGAGAACGAGTACATTTTCACTCACCAAGAAGAGACAAAACTCTTTTTTCCCTTCTACGAGAACCACCAGTATCATTGATTGGACTGATGACGACGAAAATTCCCCTCAGAGTCAAGGTCAAATCGATACGGACCTTTTAAAACGTCGACCTACAATGGTACCGGTACCAAGGAGACGATGGATCAAATTGACACCAAGAACAAGATGGTGGTTGTTGTTCATATCGGACTTTTTCAACGCCCCGTTGTTGGGTGCCATCTTAGGTGCATTTATCGGGTTGATCCCACCTTTACACAGGGCCTTTTTCAACGACACGGAACACGGTGGTATCTTTACGGCGTGGCTCACTTCTTCGTGGCAGAGTATAGGAGGGTTGTTCGTACCATTGCCCGTCGTCGTGGCAGGGGTGTCACTCTACACTGCCATGAAGGAAGCGAGGAAGAGGAGGAGGAAGGCAGGCAGTACCCACGACGACCACGACCACGACGACCACGACGACCACGACGACCACGACGACAGTGACCATTCAAACGGCAGTCTACCTTGGGGGACAGTCACGTTCATCATGGTCATTAGATTCATCATCTGGCCAGCCGTTTCAATCTCGGTGATATATTTCTTGGCCAAAAACACGAATATCTTGGGGAACGATCCAATGTTGTGGTTCGCCATGATGTTGATGCCGACTGGTATGTCGAACCTGGCACTGTTGACTCTTTCAAAAACAGAATGAAGCACCCTCCAAAAAGGAGATTGAACCTTTCTCATTCGATTCAACTGACTTCTTCACTCACTTACACTGTTCATGTATAGGACCGCCGGCCATGAAATTGATCACCCTGGTCCAAGTCAGTGATGCCGATGAGGCGGATGAGACGAACATGGCAAAACTATTGACGGTGAGTCAAGTTCTGTGACGCCCCCGAAGCAAAAGATGGATGGTGGTGGTGCTGACGCCAATCTCTAATTTCCTAGTTATCTTATGCCATTTCACCCATCTTGTCGTTTACCGTCGTCGGAGGATTGAGAGCGGCTCAAGCGGCCACCTGAGATATCAGAGAATTGTACAATCCACCGCAATGATTTATGTGTCGAAACTTGGATTCTCCATTCACAAATTAAAAATGCCTCTCATTTTGTTTCAAGTGTTAGTAACAAATCATCAATTCATCAACTCGTCTCGGGTAGCCTTTACATCGTAATCGTCCCCCGCCCACTACACTGGAATGATCCTAACGCCCATCTCGTACAATGCTCGTCTCCAATCCATCGTTTTTGGTTGTGTTGAGCCATCATCATGTTCGTTTGGGCCCTCGTTTGCCTTCGCATCAAGAGCATCCCAAATCTTATACACCACGTCCCGCTGCGTCGCGTAATTCCCAACCCGATAACTCTGCACACGTGCCCACCACTTCTTCCATCTCCTTCTCTGGTCTCCTACCGCTTCACAGCTGGCCACAAACGCGGGCCAACTGATAGGCGCGGCGAATCCGGTCGTGGTGGTCCGCGTACAGCCATGCCCTCGCTTCAGATCCTCGGATCGGTTCAAGGCGTCGAGACACGCAGTCTGTTCCTCACGCAGACTCCGTCGATCGCAGTCCTGGATGGCGCGGAAATAGTAGATGAGTGCCGCGTTGTAGAACGCCGACACCTGCGCTTGGGCGATGGCGTGCATAACCGGCGCCAAAGTGCTTTGGTCTCTGATGGACGAAAGCGGTTCGGACTCCGTGGTCCAAAGGGCAAGGTTGTCACCTAGGCTCTCACACTCGGCGAGGAGCGACTCCGGGATATCCTCACTGGCATGTCTGTAGTATGCGAGGGATTTGGAAAGTTGGTTGATTTTGAATATCGCTCTGGCGATGGAAGGTGTGATGCCGTAGAGAAATTCAATGCTTGGATCGAGGTCGGCGAATTTGGGTTCGTCGTCAGAGTCTGGAATTTGGGCCCAGGGTTGGGGATCGTCATTGTACAGTGCTGTGCGAGCAAAGAGATTCAGCATCGTACATATACTGTTCAGCTGTCTTGTCTCGTGAGTGACCAGGCGAGAGTCGTGACGGGACTCTTGCAATCTCCTCGCAGCTTCGAGATGGATCCAATGATCGTGAGTTCCACCGTCGGCGACCTGTCAACGGAAATGAACACGTTAGCAGAGTCAAAGCCCCTACGAAACGAGAAAACACATACATCGACAGAGACGAGTGACAATATCGCAGTCATGAGTTCCTTGTAGGTACTCGTCTTGTTGGCGAGAGCCTTGCGTGCGGCTGATAGAGCAATCTGCCTATGGTAGTATGCCAGCTGATATAGGTGGCCTGCATCGGGTTTTAGGCCCTGGAGGTTGATGGCGGAACTGGTCAGTATGCTGTGGAAGACAGCAGTGCTTGCTATTGAGACTTCACCGCCGTTGGTCGCCATGTTGAGGTCAGGGCAGCCTTGTAGCGCTGTTGTGAAGTAGATCGTTTTGAATGGACTTTGCACATGATACACTGGTTGCATCAGGCATATCGAATATTGTTCGTAGTGATGAACGAGCATGGCGGTAGTTGAATTGGAGAATAGCGACAGTGGACGTTCATGGTTCAGACTCAGGCTCATCGGGGTGGCAAGGTTGCTTTCTGCGTGATATGTGTCGATAGACAAGTCGACCAAGGAGTGATCATCAAATGCCGTAAGATCAGTCGATGTCGTATGAGAGTGGTCTCCGTCATGTTCGAGCTCGTTTTCTCCTATAACCCGCGTTGCTTCCCATTTCGACCCTAAATAATTAAAAATAGGAAGTTGTTCAATTTGTAGTTCTGTGAGTAGCTCCTCATCTAGAACAATGTCGCCAGAGATAGACTGGACTGAGTCATCGTCCGAGTTATTGGCCAGTGAAGCAGTGTGATGGGCTTTCGGCGAATCAGATGATTTTGGTTCGAAAGTTGTTGCTTCATTCTCTGTTTCTTCAAGACTCTTTATCGGTAACTCAAGGCTCACGTAATCAACCACATTGTCGGGCGAGAATTCGACATGTTCAGCACAGATCATTGGCTCCGGCTCTTCATGGAAAGGAGTCGTTATGTCTGCGAGTCTAATCACAGAGAATGGACCAAAATTGCCGGACCTATCGTCGGTGGCAGCCTGTTCGACCTGGGAAAGCGTCTTCGATAGTGCATGTTGTGTGAGTGGTTTGAGACCAATGTTTCCTATGAGGGATATCAGACAACGATTGTCCGGATATCGAACGTTGAGCCACCCTACCTGAAGCAATTCGTCTTCGAGTCCATCGTTGTCCATCACGGGCGTCTGGCTTTCCATCGGTCTGCCAGTTCAACCGCACGCCATATCCGGCACAAGATATCTTCGAGCGCTCGCAGTTTCTACACGACTCAGGTCTTTCGTCGCATTTTATGTGCCGTGATCGACATGTCCAGCACCTCCATAGCATGAGTAAGAGAAATCATGGGAGCGAGCGACGTGCAACTCACCCTGTGAATGTAGTGGACCTGCGTGTCTTGACTGGGCCTCCATTGACAAGGCCGGTCTCATTTGAGCCTGCTAATGCCCACGCATGTTCAGTCATCTCTTTCCGATGGTCACGACTGCCCCATCTCGTTGCGGCTTTCCAGTTGAGGAGAGAAAAGTGGAAGAAGGAACATAGTGTAACAGTCACCCTCTTCAATGACAGTATGTCTGTCTACTGCTCACCGAATACGATTCGATCGAGGGCCAGATTCACGGCATCGAGTTCTTCTTTTGTGTCTCACGGATTTGGGCGTGTTGTGCTTATCAGCGACTTTTCTATGTTGTCAAAAGTCGCCCAGTGATTGGTGGGAATTTCCAGACTATTCCCGATTCAGCTCGCAGCCAACTTCCCATCTGATCTCGCTGCAACTTTCCCATTGTTCTACTATCAATGACTTGTTGTGAAAGGTATTGATGGATGTTACTGGTAAGCTGAAAGTGGCAGAAGAAGCGCCACCAGATATATGAACCATGACTGTCGCCGAGATGGACATACCACGTCTCTATCGCAGGGCACTTCCCCTCTTGACTCTCCGCCACCATCAACATGCCTCTCGTTCGGGGTGAAGAGATTGCAGTCTGGGGAGACCCGTACAAGGCAAACGGTCATTTTGGAACAGACGAAAAGTCGACTCTCGCCATTGCTGGTGACTTCAAAGACATCCCTGTCATCGACATTTCAGGGATCTTCTCTCCAGACTTGAAAGATCGCAAGGCAGTGGCAGATCAGGTTCGAGATGCCTGTGTTCGGGTCGGCTTCTTCTACGCTCAAGGTCACGGTGTACCACAAGAGATGATAGATAAGACCTTTGACTGGGCTGAGAGGTTCTTCGAACAGCCCTTTGAGAAGAAGATGGAATTGTTCATCAACAATCAGGACAACTATCGTGGTTACACGCCCATGTTCGGTAGTGGGAAGCCAGATATTGATGGACTAGCGAGTGAGTATCACATCTCACATCCAAACTTGTTACTAGGTTCCTAATTCGCTCTCTTTTGTCAAACCCTCTAGATGCCAACGAGGCCTTCGACTGGGGCCTGGACGCAAAGTTAAATGATGATCCAGAATACGCCTGCTCAGATCCATACATGAAAGGAAGCAATGTCTGGCCCAAACAATTGCCTGGTTTCGAAGAGCACTTGTCCCAGTACTACGGCAAAGTACGAGATCTGGGTCGAGTCATGGCCCGTAACGTCGCCTTATCCCTGGGTCTCCCCGAGGACTCTTTCGATCCATACCTCACTCATCCAGGTTGCTCTGCCGTCGTGGCACATTACCCTCCAATGGAAACGACGAGTACGAAACTTGGACTCGACCCTCACACTGACAATGAATGTAAGGACCACCTTCTCATCCATCTCGATTTTTACCACGACGACGTTATACATCATCCCAATGCTGGCCTCAGGCTGATCTGAATATGTAAATAGTCTTGACTTTCCTGGCCCCGGGTAAAGTGAGAGCATTAGAAGTTCTCAACCGTGACGGACAATGGATTTCTGCACCGCCAATCGAAGGAACGTACGTGGTCAATGTCGGCGACCAACTTCAACGGTAAGTTTTGCGTCCCTTCGTCCTCTTGTCCAACACCCCCCCCCCCTTTCCTCTCTGTCAATGGCGATCCATTGAGGACCGACAAGACCGATGCTGACTGTGTCCCGACCTGCAACAGCCTCACGAACAATCTCTACATCTCCACCAAACATCGTGTCATCAATCACACGGGCGAGGAAAGAATCTCCGTCCCATTCTTCTTCTCCGCGAATTGGGAGTGTATAATAGATGTGAGTATACTCCGTACCCTTGGTCCAATATACACTGTGTACTTTGGCCCACTTACTAACGAGTCATAGCCCCTGAAACAGTTGCTCGAGACTGATGTCGAGATCGGTTCCAACCATGTATCAGCAGGACAGGTAAATGATCAATCTACACCCCAGACTCTTTTCAGATTCCTTTGAACGAGGCGCCGGCTGACCCTGCGCAACGTCTCATCCAATAGATGTACAAACACACCATGATGGCCTTGCACATTCCTGGTGACAGCAATCCCCTTTTCCAAAAATATCTCAAGGTCGCGTAGTTGGGCACCAACATTCTCCATTTTAGGAAGAATGAGAAACCGTAGAGAGCAATGTCATGAATGAGAATTTTCTTTCCGAGAGACAGAAAGAGAAATATGTTGATTATACGATATACTTTTCAATTCATTCATCGTTTCTTCGTCCTGGTAGTCGTCACCGTCGTCTTCTTCTTCCTCGGCGCCTCATCTTCTGCAAAGTCTCCATCATCATCGTCATCATCTCCATCATCGGTATTATCGGCGTTTTCCTGTTGGGTGGCTTTTCGACCTCTCCTTGGCGGCCTCCTTGAAGGCACCTTTTTCTTTTTCTTGTTTCTTCCGACATCTTCAGATTCTTCTTCCGACAAGTCACTCTCGACGACGAACGCGGGCTCTCCGGCACCGTCCCCCACAACCTGATCCTCCTCGGTCGGCCGATCGGCTTCTTCAAACTCATCCCCCTTTCTCCTTTTGACTGCCTCTCCCCTCAACCTCTTGAAAGCATTCTTCATCCTGCCAGACTCCTTGCCCGTCCTGTTGCGCGGCGCCATACCTTCGGCACCCGCGTTGCCCGGACCTTCGCCACCCATCGCGAGACCGCTCATTGACGCCGCCGCCGCTCTCCCGCCGACACCCACCCCACCACTGAAGAATCGTGTAATGTTGCTCTGGGTGCCCTCGACTTCACGCTTGTTCATGTCCCTGATCACCGGCACGAGGATCTCGTCGGTCCGTTCCTGACTCCACCCGATCGTCGCCATGAGGAAACTCCGCAATTTGTCCAAGTCCGGCACACCCCACTGGAAGGCCTCCGGGTCGGAATCGACGTCCGGGTTCAGGTACGCCTCGTCGACCCTGGCGTCGGGAAAGCCAGGAGGCAAAAACAGCCTCTTTTGCACCGTGTTTCGGAACTTGCGTCGAAACGGCGTCGTGAGTTGGTCTTCCAGATCCTGGGGTCGTCCGAGCTGAACGCGACCGCACCACTCTTTGAATTCCGTCAGCGTCTCGAACTCGGTGAGGATCTCCAGCGCCGTGACGGGTCCGACGCCCGGGATGCCCTCGGTGTAGTCACTCCCCAGAAGGTGGGCGAAGCGGATCAGCCGCCGCCGGTCCAGAAGGAATTCTTTCTCGAGTTCGCTCGCGAGATAGCACTCCACGTACTTGGCCGCGTTGAACATGTTCTTGTATATGCGCGTGCCACCGAAGAGGAAAATGTCCGAGTCGTCGGTGACGATGCCGTCGACGAGACCAAGGCGGACCAGCTCGGCGCATTGGGCTTCGGCCTCCATCGGCGCCGTGATATAAGGGATGCCGAAAAGGCGGAGCAGGGCTTGACACTCTTGCACCATGACCTGGGTGACTTCGTCCGCGTCACGGCGGTCCTTTTTCTGTTGATTGCGGAGTTGTTTCAGTTCGTTTTCGTAGTCGCGCATCGCCTGTTCCGAGGTTCTCTGGTGGTGCAGAGACGAAACAAACCGGGCATGTTCTTCCGCTTCAACGGCAAGCTGTCGCATGAGTTCTTCCTCGGACTCGGAGAGATAGTCAAAGTCTTCTCCGGCAATGGTACCCTGGGGTTGCGAACTATTTCTCTCGTCGACTATAAGTTGCTCGTCCAGTACGTCATCGATAGATGTTTCTGCGGCGAGGCTTTCTCGCACCGCAGGCAAAGCTGCTGGAGGTGTGGACATTTGGACGTCTTCGAAATCTTCACCCTCATCATCGTCATCTTCAGCAGCAGGAGGCTGGTTTGCATTCGCCAGTGGTTTGTCTTTTGGTTTCTCACTGTCTACTGTCCCCAGAGATCCAGGTGTCGCTGGCTGTCCGTAGTCCGATTCACTCCAGTCGACTTCCTCAAAGTCACTACCTGCTGCCCCTGCAGTTTCTGGCCCCAAAGTCGAGGCATCCGGCGCAGGGTTGAACTGAGGTACGTCTGATGGCTTCGGAGGTGTCGCTTGGGATTTCTCCGCCACGTCGTCCATCAACATAACATCCGTGTCATTCTCAGCTGCGATTTGTCGTGCCATCTCGTATCGCTTTTCTCTCTCCTCGTCCCGCTTTCGCCGTTCGTTTTCCGCTTTTTCGTCAACGACCGGCACATCATCCTCGGGCATTTCAGGCTCTGAAACGACATTAGATTGCTGTGTCATTTCCGGAACCTCTTCCTCTTCATCTCCCTCAATTTCGATAACATGATCATCCTTCTTCTTTCCATCGTCTTCTGCTTCTAGGTCGATGATCTCTTTCGTATCTTGTCTGCGTAATCTGTCATTCATGTCCGTATCTGGCCTCTCAGTTTGGTCGATCTCGTCATCTTTGTTCGGTTCCGGGGCATGCTTGAGATCTTTCGTGCTCGGAGCAGCGTTGAACCAGTCGGGCATGGGCTGGGCTGGTCTCTCCTTGCGAAAGGCATCGTCTCCTAGATCCCGATCAAAGCCTCCTGATAAGTCTTCCTCAATCTTCTTAGACTTCTTCTTGCCAAGTAAAGAATGGCCAAGGTTAATGGACTCGAACGGTAGAGGTCCATCAAACTGTGGTGTTGGAAGACTAGGCTTCTGTGTTGGGGTGCGTTCCCTAACGTTGGTCTTCGCCACATGCTTAGACTTTCTTGATTCTGCAAGTGCTGCTTGTAGATCGAAGCCTTCATCATCATCCTCGTCTTCCGCTTCTCTCGGTTTAGATTGCTGCGGCAGAAACCCTCCGGCATCTTCCTCGTCAGAGACTCTTTCTAGTGACATCGCAATTGCTCGTTGTAGATCATCATCCACATCTTCTTGAATAGGATCAGCGGGCAGAACATCCTCGAACAATTCATCAGCACCACCATCCTCATCAGGCTTGTCTTCTGGTACGAACAGCGCATCATCATCTTCATCTGCCGTCGCATTCCCCGTCTTACTTGTAGCTGGCACGGGCCCTTTCGGGCGAACAGACTCGATCTTCGACGCCGCGCTCCTAGCCTCATAGACCGCCTTTCTCTTTCTTGCAATTTCTTCGACCGCATCATAAAACGGCGCATCTCTTTCCAAATCCGCCGCCTTCCTCTTCTTCGCCCACACTCTGGGAATTCGGTTCAAGCCCTCGATCGCCACATCCTCAAAGTCCTCATTCTCTTCCTCATCTGCTGTTCCATCAGCTTTGTCTTCTTCATCTTCCAGATCAATCGCAGTCTCTTTCTTGGCTCCCTTGCGATCGCTCACAACACCAAGGGCCCATCCTCCTTCGACCCCATCATTTTTCACAAGAATGTACTCCTTTCCTTTCTCACCCGCAATCCTACCACCCCCGTGCATCAGCCAATCTCCTTCGCTCATCCCGTTGATCCCCATAAGCCTCTGCGTTAGCTCATTTCTCTCCTTGACCCTCTCGATTTGAAACTTGCTGAATGCCATCCTGTCCGGAAACATGCCATCCAGCTGTTCCTTACTGTACCCCATTCTCAGGCGACTTCTGAGTCTTGCCGCGTTGAGGATATTGTATCGATCGCCGGGAGGCAGGGAGAGGAAGAAGGGACTTTCAAAGTCAATCTTGCTGAAATCGTAGAGATTCACATCCTCCCCACTGTGAAACTGTCGCGCATAGTCTTCCAATTCAGCTTGCGACATGATTCTCGGATCGTTCGGCGCGCCCATGTCTGCTATGCTGACATCCAGATCTGGGAGATGGTACTGGTCCTTTCTGCGAAACTTTTCCCCCCGTCCGGCTTGTCGTTCGCGCGCGGACATGCCCAGCTCGTCAACGTATACCAATTCCTCGTCTTCGGGCAGTTCCTCCTGATCATCGCCCCGTCTTGTGTCTGTGTCTCTCGCGGCCTTTCGTCGCTTCTCCTCTTCTTCCGCCGCCCGCGCCACTTGCACGGCCAGCAACTTGCCCGCCGTCCGCGCCGCATCTTCCCGTCGGCCCTCCCTGCGCCGTGCGCGTTTCCGGATCGTCTCGCGCTTGAGGATCGGGGCGCCTCCGTCAAACACGAAGACAGGTTTGATCCCGAAGTACAGCAGTTTGCAGATGCGGCGAAAGAACCCGACGACGTGGCTGTTGCGCAGGGCATTGCCTTCTTTGTCTCTCACCGCCTTGAGGAATTGGTAGATCCAGATCGAGGCGTCGACCGCCAGACGTTTGCGGTTCAACGAAGCGAGCTGCGTTGGGCGGGCTGTGGGCGCAACGACAGTCCACAGGCCGGTGACACCCATGGTGAGACTTCAATTTAGCGGGGAAGAAAGAGCCTGATCATCGCGCTCGAATACCCCGTTCAAGATTGGATGTTGGAAAACCCTCGGTTTATGCAGCCAGGAGTAAGGCAGAGTTCGCAGGCGCAGGATTCTGCATGGGCTCTGTCATGGTGACAAGTCTGCACCGTGGACTTTTGTCTCTATTGAAAAGTGACGACATTGGCACAAACGCGAGATCACGTGCTCATATCTGCCTAAAGTGCAATCTACTGAGGATGGATATCTGAAGAACATTTGTACGCTCTTACAACTGAACAACTACACTAGATAGGTATTCATTGCTATCCTCTCGGCATCACATTATGATGTCGTTTTCTCCTAACCGAGAAATGACCAGTCCCATTGTTCGTGTTGGTCAGTCTTGGTCGAAATGCCAGCGCCATGCTCATATCCGGAGGCCTCATCAGGGCCAAATGTGCTTAGAACAACTCAAGACTTCCACCATTAATACAAGAGAAACCACATGAATGATTTCAGGGTTTTCCATCTTCCTTTGAAGATTCCGTTGAGCCCGATGGCCCAACAAGTGTGGGTGCTATTCTTCTCTTCTTCGTCTTATTCTCCTCCTTCTCGCTTTCGCTTGTTGCACCAACGTCCCTCTTGCCCAGGACACTTCCGCTGATGGAGCTGGTCGCAGAATGATGTCCACCATGTACACTTGCTGGTGTCTGTGGTGGTGTTGACATTGGTGGTATGGCCACGGGTGGGCCTGAATTAGCAGCCGTCACCAGTGGTACATGACCCATGGTTGGGGTTGGATTATTTTGTAGACTCGTGGTCTGTATGGATGCCATTGTGGCAATAGATGATTGAGAGTTGGATCTAGCTGGACTGCCAGGACGGACAACGAATGGAGCTGGAGACTGGTGTGACACAGGGCCATGTACTGGAGATGCTTTTGTCAACGAAGGAGAAGCTGTGGCAGTAGGCGTCGGCATCGGGGTAGATCCTGCAGACGAAGTGGGGAGAGGAATAGAAGTCGAGATAACAGGGTGGTTGTAGGTCGGGTGAGGTCCTGTGTAAACCTGGCCCAGTTCGCCAGGTGAAAAGGCCAATGTAGAGCAGTACCCATCGGTCGAGGACATAAGTAGTGTCAATCCGTCATTCGACCTATATAGGGTTAGAGGCAAACTTCAATCATCATTGTATATAGCTTACCAAGTCAGGTCAGAGAATGTTGCATAATGCAAATTGCTCACGACACAGATAGGGGTCATCTGCTGAGTATCATAGACAAACACTGCATCCTGAGTGGCGACAGCGTAGATCATCCGATACGGCAACGCAAAGGCAGGGGAAGAGGATGAGTCGCCATCAGCTGTATTCCTTGGAGAAGGTGCTGACATCGATTCGGGAACGGATGTAGCAGTCGTGAGGGACGGGGGCTCCATGATGGACGTGGGAGTTCCAGCCGTGATAGCCTCTGGAAGCAAAGGTATCTCTTCGCTGGCTGACGAGGTGTCAATGGTGATATGGTTGGTAGGTTTCGTGGTTGAACGGAGGGTATAAAGGACCGGAGAACACTTAACGGCAACGGACGGTTTCTTGTGTCCAGGTAGATGCGCAATAGGAGGTTTGTTGAAGCCAGCTCGGGTATAGATGTAGACGGTATTTGAAACGTCCTCGATAGCTTTTACAGGGTCAACCGCACTGGGAAATGCTTGCTTGTAATGACCTGCAGGGGTGAATAGCAAGCTTCCGTCCGGCGAAAAGGACAGGCGACGAAAGAAAGACGTCAGTGTTTCGTTGTGGTAGATATTCGTGTTCTTGACAGCCAGGCCCATGGCTGCGTTGAGACTAGGGGAGGAGATTTCTGGTCGCACAGCTGGCAAAGGGAGCGATGGCGCGGGAGAAGCTGAGCGGCGAAATGAGGGTGATGATCCAAAAGAGGAACGGCGGCTCGAAGTGATCATTGGGGGGTCCATGGGAAGAGGTGTCGTCAGAGGTGTTCCAGGATTTGAGGGTGCAGGAGAGGCAATCGATAAATTGTTTGCACTGGCATTCGACGCACGATGTGCCGATTCTACCGGCGCGGGACTGTTTGAAGATATACGTCTAGCAGGTAAATCCATCTTGTTGAATTTGCCATGTGTCGAGAGGGTAGCGGTGCCATCCTTGAGCTTCAGAGCGTAAATATGTACGGATCGATCAGACGATTGAGTTGCAACGAATTCGTTGAGAGGATCCCAAGCAACACCTTGCACGAAGTGATTATGTTCTGCTATTTGTCGTATCATGGCACCTGCAATTGTCAGTATAGCTTCTTCCTGTGCGGAAACGGGGACATCAAACCAGTGTGTGCGTTGAATATTCTAGCCGTATTGTCGACTCCGCCTGTAATAAAATATTGACCATCAGGAGACCATGCGAGATCGTATATTTCTGCTCCGCTGGAGGTTCTGCACATGTGCTTTATCCTCCATGTTTCCTTGTCATCCGCATGCTCTTCGCTCAAGGTAGTAATAGCAGACTCGGAAGGGACCCAAAGGAGGACATTGCCATCGTCTCCGGCCGAGGCTAGCATTTCCCCTGTGATTGTGTGAGCAAAGTGAGACATAATTTAACCGCAGACACTGACCTTTGGGACAGAATCGAACGACATTTACAGGTTGAGTATGTCTTGTAAGTGTGGATAAGTAGGTAACCTTCCTCTCTTCTCCTTGAGCTTCAATGCTCCATAACTTGAAGCCGTTAGCTGAGGTACGAGGAGTGATGGTTGCAATGTTCATACCCGGACATTGTTGTCACTGGGAGGATGGTCAGTGGACGTATCTTATGTTTGAACAGTGGTGGACTCACTTTCCAGCAGTTGCCAATCTACCTTTTCCACGAGGATCAAAGTGAACAGAGTAGATGGGCTGATTATCATTGTGCCATGTTATGAGAAGCGGTCCAGCCTTCATGGTTGCATTTGTTAGTGGCCTCGCAGGCCACCTTTGGAAAGGCAATCAAAACAGCCAGGTGGTGCGTGTGAAGAAGATTATGTATGTTCAGGAACTCCGGTAGAGAATTGTCAGATGCTCAGAGCTTTCCGTGGGAGGAGAGTGATCGACACAGGTGAGAGGCTGTATGGAGAGGTGTGCAGCGGGAGTGCACCGTGCAGCCGTCTCAGGATTCCGGTCTCTGAAGAGTTTGGGGGGATTCGAGAGTAGACGGGATCAAAGACTGTGATTTGGATCACACACAGAAAGATGCTCGTGGTTGTCAGAGGAAACTATAGAGCAAAGTGAACGCAGGCATGGGCAGAGAGGACAATGGATTAGGTGCGGTGCGGAAGGGTAACGACCCCGTATAGCTGATTGATTGAGTACTGAGAGGTGGAGATGACCTGCTGCTACAAATCTGCCCACAGGCTGCAACCCTCGAGCACCCTCAGCATCACCACCACCACCGACAATCGCCAAATCTGTTCTCCCACGCGACGCGCCGCCCGCCTATCGCGTCAGCTATTTAACCCTTGTCAGCCGCCTCTTAATGGGCCCTCTACCACTCCCAGCTACTCACAACCGGGTTTCCGGTCAGGGCAACGCAACTTCTCAATGAACGAGTCTCCAATAATACCAGCCGTTTCATCCAGAAATCCTCCTACTAGCGCGTCTACTGTGACAATCTACTGTGTCGCTTGGGTATTTTTTTTTAAAAATGTGAACATGTCTTACTAAGCTTGGACCCAGGGCCTGAGAAGAGTATGTATTTCTTGTGTAAAGCATTCCAACAAAAATAATTCGGTACAGCTGAAGATGGATTCAGTCCCTTTGCCAAAAGTTCATCACATTACTTCTCTTCGTCGTCAATGTCTGGCCCCCATGTTGCCCATCTTGTGGCCGCTTCCAATCTTCCCAAACCGATGAAAACCACCCATCCTCAAGCACATACTTCGCATTCTTCCCATGGCTGAGTTTATGCAAGCCACAGCGGGCTTTTCTCTGGCATGGCCTTGTATCGTCAAGAATCGCCCTAATGCAGTATATCGTCCAACGCCGCCTGTGTTTTCAACATCAAGACCTTGGTTGCATGCCTTTCCAACGCCTATAGATCGAGAACCGTGGAGGTCAAGTGCACCACCGCTAAATTAGACCCGGATCAGCCTTAGCTGCTGAAGTCTGTTGATGTTCCATTCTTGGGCCGTATAGTGCTTTCGATCTCAGGTTCATAGTCCGCATGCAAATCAAGGGGCATCGTTGCGCCTGGCCACCGTCACTAATGCGGTGTATTTATCGACGGATGTGTTTTGTTTAGAAACTCTGGGCCGATACTTGTGCAGGCTGTGCGAGGTTGTTAGCTGGGACCAAGAGTTGGAAAGTAATCCACATACCGGACTGTTGAGCATATTCTGCCGTGCATTCCTGCCTCGTTTGATGTGACTCTTCAGAGCACTCGAGTCGAGGGGCTTCAGGAGTTCAAAGCTACATAGGAGATTGCTGGACACCGACATAACGGCGCCCCAATTGTCAAACTCGCCACAATACTATTCAAAGTCAGCTCTACTCATCCCGTAAAAACGAAATGACTCACGTTTGGCGCAGAAAAAACGGTGACCAGGAGTCTGTCGTTGAAAAATTCATAGCCGTCCTCAACCACCATGTGTGCCCGGCAGACCAAGTCGAAATCATGCCTCTGAAGAAAATCCACTATGACTTTCTTGCCAAAGCAGTAACTAACTCCACGTTCGTTCGAATCCCAGTCTTGTTCCATATCTGCAGGGTCACTCCATAGTAGATCATTGAGCAAGCCATAGTCGGGGACATCGGTTGGTCGGGCAATTTGACGAATGTCGTCCATGTGAGATAAACTGGGCGAGAGTCCCCCATGGACACAGAAGATTTTGTCTGCAACAATCGCAGCAATGGGCAAGCAATTGAAGGTATCGATGAACGTCTTCCAGATCTTGATATTGCACCTTCGTTTGCATTCATCGTAGAAGCCATAGACGCGCGTCACATTGGCGCATTCATGATTGCCTCGTAGAATGAAGAAATTCTCCGGGTACTTCAATTTATAGCAGAATAGCAGCAGGATCGTTTCGAGGGATTGTTTGCCACGATCAACATAATCTCCTAGGAAGAGGAAGTTTGCGTTGGGAGGGAAGCCGCACATCTCGAAAAGTCGGATCAAATCATTATACTGGCCATGGATGTCGCCCACAATCTTCACAGGGGCGTTCAATTCCAGTAAAGCCGGCTGAGACAGAAGCACTTCTCGTACAGCTGTACAAATGGCGGTGATCTCAGCATTCTTCAGGCATACTGCTTTCGTAACCTTGGTACTATAGCCAGCATCCAAGAGCCGAGAAATCATGTCGTCAAGGTCCATATCATTGACGTCGCCGATTCCCATGCCTCCTCCTGGTGATGCACCGGGCAGTTCTGCTAGTTTGGCTCGTAAAGAAGCCTTGGTCTCTGGCGCCCGGGGATTGATCTGGTTCTCACGCTTGACCAGGATCGAATCGCCGGCTTTCTGCGCCGATGAGTGATGGTGCGCCTGGTGTGGTCCTTCATCCGAAACAGCGCCTACCTCTCCTGTTCGCTGAGCACGGTCTACCGACTTGTGGCCTTTTCCGACGGATTTCGAGGTGGGCGACGGCGGACGTGCTGGTGTGCTTGTACCTGGAGAGGGTATCTCATCATCTGCGTCTGTGGGCGAGACCGGGGATTCTACCAGAGCCGCATTGGTGATCTTTTCTCTCGGCGGCCTGGATGAGCCTGAACGGCCGCTGGCGATTGAACTGGCGTCCCCTCCGTCTAAGGCCGAGCCTGAAGCTCTTGGACTGTCATTGTTCTTTTCGTCTATCGAGTTTTTGATCTTGCTCCTGATCGAGGACCGTATAGACCTGGAAGTGCTTTCTTTTGTATCCGACTTGGATATGGAGGGATATTGTTGCAGTGTTTCAGTGGCTAAGTTGGAGGAGGAGCCGCTTTTCAAAGGAGTTCTGCTTCCATCACTGTTCTTTGACTGTTGTTGGCCCATTGAAATGAGCGAAAGCTTGGGGGGAGTGGCGGGAGAAAGAGGAAGGTAGGAATGGGTCGTGAAAGGTTCAAGGAGGTTTGAGGAGTGAGATAAGCAGCCGCTTTGAGGAATGCGTTTTGGCGACTTGATTCGGTGAACTCGGGAAGGAGCACACTTGCCGTATGCTCAAGTCGATTCAAGTCGCAAACCGACGGGAGGCTGAAGCTGAGTCTCGTCTCGGCGGTGTGTTCGCTTCATCCAGGTAGAGAGACGACGAAGGGATTCTGATCGTACGATCGGGTCAACGAAGGCGACCGGATTCTACGTCGGTGCCTGCTGGCAACAGAACTGACTGGTTAGCAGCTGGCCATGTAAGGACGATTGAATATGAGCTATTTAGCAAGCCAGTCACGACGGTCCCGGCCAGGGAGAGCCAGATTGTCGCATGGGGCCATGTGGTGAAACAGCGTTGCGTCACCGTTTCTGGCAAAGGAGCATAAGAGAGAATGACTACTAACCCGTAAAAGCGTCAAAAAGACCGGCGTAGCGAAGTCGATGGAACAAACAGCGTCAGAATATACAAGATGCAGGCGGAAGATACGGAAGATAATGATCGGGAGGAAGGCTGGAAACAATACTGTAGGAAGTACGGAGTTCTGAGATGCTTTTGTGGTTGATGCTTTTCAGTCTCCGCCCAACCAGTTGAGTGCTTGGAGGCAATAATAAGCCAGGTACTCCGTAATAACTACAGTAATAATGCTCCGTAAGTCTGCTGCGTAGGTAGGTACCTAATAATGACTCCCGGACCACCCATCGCTCTGGCTCATTATGTGATGCAGCCTCCGAGCCCGTCGGGGGACACACATTCACCAAGCGAGCCAAACGGGCCCTTCAGCCTGTCGCCTAGTTTCCCTTGGCACCGAACCCTCCTCTCCTCTCCCCCCGTCTTCGGCCTCTTCCAGAATCTTTGGCCTGAAGCGAGGCGACCACATGCGGATAATATGCTGATACTCCCTAGGCTCGCCACGTTTCGTTTCCATCGCGACTGGCTTGCCGCTCATCACCCAGGTACCTGATAATCTCACCTGACTAAGAATATGCGTCGAAACCCTCCTTGAAGCCTAGCCGTACTCGTTACAGCCCAGGGTTATGGAGTTTCATGATTTCCCTCTGAGTGATAAAGACTGTCCACTGGGCCACTCTCTGCGTTCCTCAACCTCTAGCTTGGTGATCTGATTTCCCGGTACTACAATGAGTCCCACGAATCTCGAGGTCATGTCACTTCGGCTTGCCTGTCCTGTAGACTTCAGCTTGCCAATGGCTGCTGCCTCGACAGTCTTTGATGGCATTCTGTATTCAAAGGTACTCGATAGAATGATATTGCTATCCTACGGTGCGTCAGTATACAACAAAACCTGAACGTGTTTCCACGGAGCTTTACCTTGTCGGTACACCGAAATGTCCCCGTAAAGAGCCGCCCTGTTACGAGTTGTCAATAGAATTGTTTAGATGATCATCGTAGATGCGGTGTTACCATCAGGAGCGGTCACATGTAACGTCTTTCCCAGCAAAGACTCCAGGAATTGGGCAGCTTCAGCTTGCTCCATCTCGACTGGGAATGTTTCAAACGAGGAAAACCAAAAAACAGTCCCTTTGTATCCTCCCACACTGGGTTATCATGCTGAGTGCCTGTGCATGGTAAGCTGATTCCTCTTATGGGGATCATGGACCAACTAATTAATGTAAGTTCATTCGAGCCTGACGCTTCAGAGGAAGAGGTAATGATGGCTTGGCGGCTTTCCCGGCGAAAAGTTAATGCGTCCACCAAGTCCTTCGTACTCGTATCGACCTGGCCACCCTATTGTCTCAAGTTTGGAGGTTGACATTCAGTGTTTTATTACTACTTTCTTCGATAGAATGGAGGGAAATGTGGTGTTTGCTTCACGTGCGCGTTCTTCAATAAGCGCACTGGTCTGTATCTTTCGTGTCAATCCCCTCGGACATGGTATCCTTCTCTCGTTTGACAAGGCTAGGCCTTATCGACAAGTACCGCAAGGCTGTCGGCTAAACCGTGGTGCGCTGCATTTCTCCCCCAGAAATTTATTTCACACCGTCCTGTTCGACGACACCAAACCTAATGACTTGCCCTGAACCACCTCCGTCTTCCTCTCCAGAGATCTTCCTCGAACTTCCAGTTTGTCACCATGTCTCGCCCCGAAGACCTCCTCCCGCCCGATCTCTACTACAATGACACCGAGTCTGCCAAATACACCACCTCCTCACGTATCCAAGCCATCCAAGCGTCCATGACCAACCGCGCCCTCGAACTTCTCGATCTCGATAACCCTTCCTTCATACTCGACATAGGCTGTGGCTCCGGTCTCTCCGGCGAGATACTCTCTGAAGACGGCCACATCTGGGTCGGCATGGACATCTCCCCCAGCATGCTGGACATCGCCCTGCAACGCGAGAGTGTCGAGGGCGATCTCTTCCTCGCCGACATGGGGCAGGGCGTACCGTTCCGCGCGGGCGCGTTCGACGCCGCCATCAGCATCAGTGCCGTCCAGTGGCTCTGCAACGCCGAGACCAGCGGTGTGAGCCCCGAAGGCAGACTCCGCCGGTTTTTCGACGGCCTGTACGCCTCGTTGCGAAGAGGAGGGCGCGCCGTGTGCCAGTTCTACCCGAAGAACGAGCAGCAGAGGACTATGATAAGTCAGGCCGCCGTACGAGCCGGTTTCGGCGCCGGCATCCTCGAGGACGACGGTGGCACCAAGAACGTCAAGACCTATCTCGTGCTGAGTGTCGGTGGTGGAGACATCACGGGGACCGTGTCGAGGATGGACAATGTCGATATCGAAGACGGCCGCAGGATGAGAGAAGCCATGCACCGCAACGGACGGAAGGGGGATGTCAAGGGCAGTAAACAGTGGGTCATGAACAAGAAGGAGAAGATGAGGAGCAAAGGAAAGGTCGTGAAGACAGACTCCAAATACACTGGGAGAAGGAGAGGGCCCAAGTTTTGAACCAAGGATGACCCTCAGACGAAGTTTACGAATCGAATGATTCAATGGACACGACCTTTTGGGCATGGTGGGACTCTTTTTTTCTCCTCCCCACCATCCTGCCGCCTTTCGCGATGCTCTCTCTCATCTTCTCTCCCCCTAGACGACATCTGAACTGAGATGAGAAAAGTCAGTGTCAACTCATGAAGGAAGCGCTGATGTATACTGTGAGCGTGGCCGGAAGGCGGACAAATTCGTGACGAGGGATCGTCCACCATGTACGGAGTTCCAGTCAAGCGTGTTGTCGACACAACGAATGCCAGAGCATATCGACACCGTGCCTGGTCAGAAAAAGGAAAAGCCCGGCTTGCAGGAACCTGGCCAAGCCCTGTATTACACTACGTTTCGATAACCGGGACGCTTTCGACGAACCGGTTTTTTTGTGGACATTGGTCAGGCTGGGTGCAAGGAAGACACCGTCATTCTCGACGGTCGCGCGCAGTGCCTCCGCGAGGCTCGAATCCACGACACGCATCCAGGGCCAAAACGAATGACCTCTCAGTTTGGACGGACCAAGCGAGTACCACATAAAGTCTCGGACGGAGACGGGGATAGAGAGACCTAGGCTGACACGACCCTGGACTCAAGAACAAAGAAATAGGGCAAATTAAAAGGCAGTGGTCAAAGTTCGAAATGCTTATACGTGGCCTCGTGTGTTCTCTTTTTTGCCCCTATTCAACAATCCGATTCGGCCTCTTCTTATGCTTTGGACCGACGATACATCATGCAATGACTTACGTGGGAGAAGGAAAAGGAAGACTTAGATTCATATCCAATTCGAGCTCAAGTAATGGCACTTTCTCGGCCCTTTCTCTTATCCAATGCTCGAGTTCTCCTTGGGCCTGTTTCTTGTTTCTAAACTTATTCATCCATGACCGCGTGATTCAACCACTCGGCCTCCTCGGCCTTGTACGCGTGAATCCCTAAAGTTCTCCAGCGGCGAATGTTCCATTTGCTCCTTCCCGCCGCCGCTTTCTTCAATGTGCCCGTGCTCCATTGTGTCATCGTGCTCGTGCTCATGCGGCACCGCGACAGCAGGGTTTTGCTTCTGGTCGCCGCCACCACCACCGTCCGACTCCCGCTCGACCTTCTGGGGTGCGTCGACGCGCACCACGCGTCCATCACTGCCGGGTTTCGGGTTTGGCGGATCGCCGGTGGCCCTCTGCCAGCCCGTCGTGAAGACCTTGCTCCCGCTGATGTCGAATTTCGGGAAAGCGTGTGCCTCCGTGTTGAAGACGACGCTGTCCAACGGGAAGAACGAGTCGTCCGAGAAGAGCAAGTAAAAGTACTTGAGCGTCTCGGCCAGCCAGAAGCTTTCCATGTTGTCTCGGCGTTTGCGGTCTTTGACCGGATTGTCCATCACCGTGTCGAGCGAGGTGTACGCGTAGACCGTTCCCGAAACTTCGTCGATCACCTTGGTGTGTTCGCGGAAGGCTTCGAACATTTCCCAACCCCACTGCCGGTATTTGGGGTCCTTGGTGATCCGGTACATGTAGAACAGCGATTCGACCGTCTCGGGTCGTTGCAGATTATGCACGTCGTTGGAATGGATGTCGTAGTCAGATCTCCACCCGGCTCTGTGGTCTTCTGACAGCTCATCCGACACGGGAGGTGTCCAGTCGGGATCGACGTGGCCTTGCCATTGCCTTGGTGGACTGTCGGTCCTGAAGTAGGATATTTCCGGCGCAAGGCCTGTCGGTGTAACCTTATACATTCCCCAACATGTCTTCATGAGCTCTTCGGCAAGTTTCAGGTTCTCATCGTGCTTCTTCGTCCACTGACTACCTAGTCTGGCTTTGGCCTGTTCAACGGTCTCGCCCTCTGTGACAGCAAGTGCGATCGTTCCTGGCATGAAGCAAACGAGATGATCCATCTTGGCGGTCAAAGGTGAATGAAGTCCGTTCTGCCTCTCAGCCAGGATGGTCAATGACGCATGTTGAGAATAGGTGATCAAGTGTTTTTTGATGCCCTCTAGTGCCTCATCCCACATGTCTCGGTAGATGGTTTCGACTTTTCCTGTTTGCAAATATTGCTTGATCAAATATTCGTAATAACTGTCCCCACGCGATCCTAGCCGGATATTATCGCCTCGAAATTCGCCTGTCGCAGGATAGATGAAAATGGGAAGCAAGCCGTCCTCTCGCCGATGTGCGTCAATGACCTCCATCACCTTTTCAGCTTTGTGCCAATAATGCGGTTCACCTGTAACCTTGGCCAGGTACTTCATCTCAAGCTGGAGTGTTGCTGCCTCAGCGGTCGAAGAAGCGCCGCCATCCAGATGAGACAGAATACCTTGCGAAGTGTTGAGGTTGACCGACGCATATGGAACTCCCGAAGGCGATTCATAAGCACCGAGGAGTCTATCTGCGAGATCCGTGGCCTTCTCAATATACAGATCCTCGCCTGGTTGGTTTGTATCGTCGTCACGTTGCGGTGCCAAGTTGGGAAAGCTCGTCGATAAGTAATATGCCGATAAAAGACCTCCGAGCATACGGATCGTGGTCTCAAAAGTGCTAACATCATGGTTGGCAGTGTAGGACAGAGATGTAGATATCCATTCCCGAGCCTTTGCAACCTCAGAGGTCAAATTCATCATGATTGCCGTATCCAACGCATCCACAATGATCCAACCCATTCCACCTTGCACCATGTTCTTCCCTTTGCGCGTCAAAGGATTATATTCGTCCATGCCCCAGGCATACTTTTCATATCCCGCCCACGATGTTTTAAACACCTCCCTCACGGCGTCCCTCTGCGCTGACCAGTCCTCATCCTTGTAGAAGGAGTGCTGATGTTCAGCAGGCTTGTAGACTGCGCGCGACGTCCAAGGTAACCAGCCCATCCACCACAGAAAAAGTACAACGGGAACGATTATTAGGGCGAGTACTCTCTTCCGCTGTAACATCCGCTTCCTTCGGCTGGAAGAAGGAAAATGTGGTTTGTCCTTGTACATAGGGAGGTCTTTGTGCTCCCCAAAGATGTCGTTGATCTTGGATGCGACCATTCCCGCCGACCCAACTCTCGCGTGGCCATTACTTTGTTTCTGGCGCCAATAGGTATCCTCATAGACTCGTTGGTTGCTGGTGACTGAAGGGACATTCTGAGGGACTTGGAAGGACATCGAGTCTAGAGAAACCCTGTGGCTTTCCTTTAGATGCTGAGGATTCGGACCGGCCGAAAGGGGCGTGGGAGTGGTACGATTACTCGTGTGACCAAGGGAATCTAAATCATGGGAGGTTGATATGGGCTAATATACAGTGCACAGAAGCAATATCTGAAGGAGGGAATAATATTTATTGTACAGACGTGAAGTTGTTGAGCACTACGAAGAGTATTTGGCTGGGAGTTTGTCTGCGAGTACGCAATACAGTGTCCGCATATGCCAGTTCATCCCTTGACGGATTCGCCAAAACTGCTACTTAGAGAACCCCGGACCACTAAGGCAACAGATCACTAACCAAGGTATTTGCGCCGCTTTTAGGCTTCTCCTTTACCTGGAGTATCTCTTCAGCACGACTCGACTCGCTTCTTTCGTAAAACAGTATCTGCTCCTATCCCATGTTGTTATGAAGTAACTTGTCCATAGGTTGTCAAGTCGACCAGGACTCAGGCCCTATATCTGCTTAAAACCGCACTGCTTCCAGATCCATCAGTGGCCGGATGCAAAGTTCGGGTTCTTTGATTGATCAAGTTGTTCATCATGGTCCCTCTCTAGAAAAGAACAGATACTACGCTTCTTACGAGCTTGGAAAGATATATGAGGGATGAGAACACAGCGAGGTATTCATACGTACTCGTTTATGAATCATGCGTGCATGGGTGAACTTGGAATGGCTACACGGACACCATAACGAATACCTGGGACACCATAACGAATACCTGGGACACAGCCATCACTGGTCACCCATTCATTGACCAAATTTTCTGTCGAAAGATGCCTATGCTACACAAGGCTGCCTGACAAGAAGCTTTGTGGGCGACTTTGACACGAGGACAATATTTTTACTAGGTAGGTGCGGTGAAAAACAGAATTGACATTCATACGGATACTCCACGGGCTGATGGGACAATCGAAAGTACCTGCTCAACCCCACTTACCCTATTCACGCGAGACGAATGCTCACATCAGATACATGTATGGAGTACGAACCCAGCGTTGCTATTTCTTACCTGGCACTGGATTTTTGGACAAAACATATCAAGGACGTTACTTGAGTATAGTAACAACCTCCTCTTTACGAAGACGAAAAACACATACAAGCTCGACTGCCAACCACCTTTCCGCTGATTCATTAAAATGTCTACAAACACGTCTCCTTTGACAGTTGGCGTACTCGGTCCTTCAGGCATGTAAGTCCATCTCCCATGCCTATCAGCCTCACAATACACCCCCTCTGGCTTTCTCCAGCAAATGCAAGGTCTCCTTCTCGTCGAACTAATCAACCTCTACAAAAGGAGCGGATCCCATATCACACTTGAACTCATATCTCGGGGCCACAAAGTCATCGGTCTCTCTCGCAATCCCTCCAAACTAGGCACGCATTCACGTTACGAACCTCGAACCATCGACCTCGAAAATGGCACTGTGGACGAAATCTCAAAGACGCTCACAGATCTGGACGTCCTGGTATGCGCCTACGGTCCTCATACCAGCGGTCTCGCAGCCTTGAAGTATGGTATGTTTTCAGTCTCCGTGTCGACCCGCTACACTCCTACAGGCGAACAACACTAACACCCCCTTTCTCTTGGCTCTCTGTCAAAGTCCCATTCATCGAAACGCTCCGCAAGATCGTGCTGGCGTCTCGAGCTGCAAGGGTCTCCTATTTCATCATGCTAGGTGGTTGCGGCAGCCTGTACATGCCGGGCACGGACACACACACCTGCGCCGTCGACAGCCCGACCTTCTGGCTCGCCTACTGGCGCCACATCGCCTCGTCACCGGCACACATCTCCTACATGGAATCGCGCTTCGGCAGCGCCCTAGCCGCCGGTGTGCGTGCGTACGCCAGTGCCCGTCAGGCGTTGAAAGAAGATCGCGACACGGAGGAGGCGCGCTTCGTCCGCGACACGCACGAGACCAACACTGCGCTGGGCGAAGGGGGCGCCAAACCGCTCATCACGGCGTGCCGGACGAGTTTCATGTTCTTCGACGGCAACACGAGTTTCGACTGGACCTTCATGTCGCCGCCTGCCATGTACCGCTCGGGTGCAAAGACGGGCAAGTATCAGGTCCAGCTCGACTACCTGCCGATCAAGGGCGAGCCGAAAGACGGTGGCGAGCTCAACGGTCGGTTCGAGGGCATTTCGACGTTTGACCTCGCGGTGGCGATCGCGGACGAGGCCGAGACGAGGAAAATGAAGGGGAAGCATTGGACGGCATGGGCCGAAATTGACAATGAGAAACCCGCCACGGCGCCGTATATCGATTTGAGTCACGATTCCATCTCTTGAAAAGGTCTTGGTATATTGTATGTATGTATTTACGGCCAATCCATCAAATATTTCGCTTTCCCAATGTTTTTTTCCAAGAAGAGCAGGTTTCGTCTTTCAAAAAGGTTCATCCCTTGCCACACGCCCTCGAACATGCTCGTCGAAATCGTCACCCAACAAGCCGAACAGGACGGGGTCCCGATCTTTTTCGTTGTTTTGGAGCATCCACGAAGCATCATGAGCGAGGGCAACGCGACAACCATACTCGACTTCCATACTCCGGATCTTGGCGATGGTGTCTTTGGCGGCACAAACATCCTCGTGTAGTGACCACTTGGACCCGTCTGGTCTAGTCATTTCGGCAATGTCATACTTTCCATCCAGTAATGGTCTGTGGTGGCGGTGGACATTGTCAGCATACGTGTGATTTCTTTCTCCACCTCGTGTCGTTTTCCGTCCTTCTTCCTTTCTTTTTCGAGTCGTCGTCAAAGGGTCAAGTAAAGGGAGAGAAAACGGAAACACTGACTTTGTATGAGCACAATCCGAACCCAGGACCACCCATTCCCCGTCTGCCAGCCTGGCCGCCGCGCAAAGGTTCCCTTGCATGTGTCCGGGGGCCTGGATGACCCAGAGACTCCCATTCCCGAAAAAGTCCATGGCCTTTTCGAAAGGACCAAACGGCACCCATGGCCCCTTCAGTTCCGACCATTTTTCGGTCGAGACCTTCCGGTCGAAGAATCTAGGGTCGAACTTGTGTCCAACGCTGGGGTCCGTACAACCCGGTTCTAATTTTTGCTCGCAATCTTCTTCGGTACCTGGTCCAAAGTATCCGTGGGCGTTTGGGAATTCATGTTCGATAGGTCGACAATGATCGAAATGAGCGTGACTTGGTGAAATTAATTTCCCTTTCTTTGGGGGACACAAACCATCTGTGATGAGAAGAGGGGGGAAAAAACAAAGAAGTAAGGTGTACTGCATCTGTAGACAGTTTGTCCGGTACATACCTAAACAATACAGTATCTATACTTTTGGAAGCAATACCACCCGCAATCAATTGTTGTTCGATAGATTTGTCGGGTCCCACGCAAGACATGATTTTCATGACATTTTGTATCGAAGGAATATACAAGTCATGGTCCTAAGCATGACAAAAGTAAGAAATGTCTCTCGAGTCTTGGTTCTTTCTTCTGCGTTTTAAAACGCTGAAAGGACTTTTGTGTTGCTTGAAACCCACATTAGACATACCAACGTCCCACAAGACATGACGATTCAGGTCGGGCTGGTAAATGTAAAAACACCAATCGTAGAGACGAAAGATTTGGTCTCGGTCGATTTCATGGTGGATCGTCTTCGCGTTGGCCACCATGCTCCCTCCGTTGAGCAATCGAAGGTCGACGTGGGCGTCGGTGGCGGGGAGGGTAGAACCGGTCATGATGGTCACCGTATTGCCCGGTACGGTGATCGTGGTTAAAAGCGAGAAGAAGTTGGAAAGTGCTGGCAAGGTATTTACCCTAAGCTAAATCTGTCTTTTATTGTACCAGATTGATTCCATCTTGTACACACTGCAGGTCATGTCCAAAAGTTGGTCGATCTGGCAAAGTAAATACTTGCCATGTCCGAATGGCTCTGTGTACTCAACTTCTCCCTCATGTTTGATTATTTCCCCAACTTTTATTTTAACCCCCATACGACGTATCTAGTAGTCAAACCCCAGATCTCGTCCCCTTTCTCTCCACTCTAGCTGCTTTGAGATCCTCGTCTCTTCCACGTTTACTTACTATGTAGGTACCTCCAGAGTACCCAGGTAGGGACTATCGAAAGAAATCCCTCATAATTATTCTACTAGCATTACATTTGTGACAAATGAATTTCAATATTCATTGCACACTGTAATATACCAATACGTGAAACAAAGAACATTTCAAATCATCAAGAAAGAATGTTTGGAACATGAGCCGGCGGTGTTTCGGGATTATGATTAAATAATATTTGTAGGAGTCTGTCCTTAAAAGTGTCCCTATACCCTTCCCTTTCCAATATCCACAAGGGGCCAAGGTATGCATGAAGTCGTCGAAAACCCGTGATGTCCTGTTCCAATTTTAAAAGAAAAAAAGAACGCCTGGTGTCATGCCGCTAGTCTAAGTAAGGTCGTGAATTACAAGAAATATTCAAGGGCCACAAAGGCCAAGATGGTGGAGATAAATGTCCAAGGCTGGACTGAGAAGCCACCATCGCTACCGTTGGTGGTTGACGCACTGGCCGCGGTGCTGGTGGTGCTAGAGCTCGAGGCGGCTGACTTGTCCGACCCTGTCTTGCTAGGCTTTGTTGAGTTTGTGCTGTTGTGCGATTTGGAAATCAAGTCGATGTTGTAGTAATTCCGAATAAGGGTGCTTGCCTGCTCGGCGATGCCGTATGTCGAACTCATGAGATGAGCAGAAAAGGCGATGGGCGGGACGCTTGCATCGGCCACACGGACGTTGGCTAGACCGTAGACGCGGAGGTTGGCATCAACCACACCACCTTGTTCCAAAGGCATCATGGCACAAGTAGACGATGGGTGGTATTCTGTGAAGCTCACTTCACGAAGCCAATCATCCCATTCGTCATCAGATTCAACATCTGAACCTGGCCATACCTCCTTGGTCATGCTGTCGGCTAGAGGCGGGGCTTCACCCAATCGGCGAGCGGTCTTGATACCTTCTCGGAGGATCTGGATGTCTATTCAACATTGTTAGGAGGGAGGCGTGTAATCAGCCAGGGGAACACTTTACCAGCAGGGTGAGTTAGGTAGTTAGGGTTGATGACAGGGTAGTCCATAGGATTGGATGAGTTGATGGAGACCTGGCCATGGCTGAAAGGATGCTGAAGGGAGGCACCGATATTGATGGTTCCGTTGAGATTGTTTCCAATGAGCAGTTCAATTTGTCCAATCGGGCTACTGAAGATCTTGTTGACCGTGGTCTCGTAAATGGCTTTGTATCCAGCTACGACGGTCTCGTCCGTACCGGCAGCAGCTGCGGCTGAATCAAGTTGGCTGAGGATGGTGTTTTTCAAATCCTCGGCACCTGCTCCGAAGATATTGGTGGCGTTGATGTACGCGACAGCAGAGTTGACATAGGAGAGGAATGCAGCATTGGTCTGGAAAGAGTTAGCTTGGAAAATAGAAAGCACAGACATCTGAACCCACGCTCTCGGAACCGTTGTCAGCATAAAGAGAACCGGCCGTAGCTTGATCTGTGCTCCATTGTACTGTGGCACTCTGTTTCAAATTAGACGTTTAGAGCCTCGCATTGGCGACTACAACTTACCAAATGATCTTGCAGATGGTGACCAACACCTGGCAATTCCGATACGACGTCGACACCGGCAGCGTCAAGGACGTCCTTGGGACCGACACCGCTGTATAGCAGAATTGCAGGGCTGCCAACTGAACCACCGGCAAGAATAACCTCTTTCTTGACTTTGACTGTCAATTTGCTAGCGCCGCCATCAGGGGAGTACTCGACCGCGTTCGCGCTGAGGTTGCCAGCTTTGGACGAAGAGTTGAAGAGAATGCGCGTGACATACGCATCGGCAAGAACATCGTAGTTGGTACGTGGTGGCAGAGGGTCGAGATAGCCAGAACGGCTGTAAGACCGTGTCCAGTTGGTAGGATTGATGGCAGATGTCGAAACATAGGCTCCCCAATTCTCTCCGCCGTAGGTATCATGGGAGATGGGGATGCCGACACTCTGCATAGCGTTGGACCAGGCGCCTACGATGGGAAACGTGCTGTGGCCAATGTTAGTGGTTGAAGACTCGATAGGAATTGGTGCACATACTAGCCGGGGTACGACATGTGAATAGGCCCCTTGCTGCCGTGGCTTGAGGTATCATAGGTGATGGCGGCTTCCTGAGCGATCTCCTGGGTGGGTGGAGAAAAGGTCTCACTCTTCTTCATGGCAGCGAAGAGGGAATCCCAGGACCAGTTGTCGGCACCGTCCATGTCACCGAGCATGTTTTTCCAGGCGTCCACTTCGATCTCGCCTGGTCGGTTCATGTACATTCCATTGATGGCTGAGCTGCCTGTGTGCCGGTGTCAGTCTTGGTCTGATCTTTCCCCTGCCAACAATCATACCTCCAAGTGTCTTGCCACGGGGCCAGTTCATCTGTGAATTGTTCATGCCAACCTGAGGCGTGGTGTTGTATGCCCAGTTGAGAGGAGTTGGCCATAAGGACTCAAAGTAGGCATCTGCTGGGGTATCTAGGTCGAGGTCAGAAGATTGACGCGGATTGATTGGAATAGCCACCTACTTATCCGATCTCGAAACTCATCTCCGTTACTACCTGCTTCTAGAACGAGTACGGTATGATTCGAGTCTTCTGATAGCCGTCCACCAAGCACGAGACCTGCGAGGCCACCTCCAACGATGACAAAGTCGTATTCGTCTTGAATCTCGGTGACAATGTTACGGGCACGAAGCAGCTTGGGCTCTGAGGCTTCGTCAATGACAGGGACTGCAAGGACAGCACTTGCGCCCAGAGCAAGCACTGCGGATAAGAGAGGTCGCATCTTGGGAATACACGTATAATGTGATGCGACGGTAATGGTACAGAGTAAAGCTGGGATGAAAAGATAGAAAAGTGCTCACATGCCTCGAGGGAGTCGGCTGTGTTAGTATGTCCTCTGTACTGTGTGTCTGTGCCCGTCCCGGGGTACGAAGCGAGCTTTCGGGGAGATCAATGAGAATCTTGACGCGTCCCGCCTGCCATCGGTTTGCCATTTCCATTTCGACTCTGTTTGTGTGGATTGAGGTCGGCAGATCAGGGCAGTGACAGGCTGAGGGTGAAGGCTAAAGAAATTGTCGAACCCACCGTTGACGATAAGCGCAGGAGCGGTTCCTGGCTAGTCTAAGTTTTCCCTAGCCACCCCGAAGACAAGCCTACAGGGCCTATGAGAGCCCATTTGGACCACCCATTGAGAGCCTGTTGAGGCTCCCATTATTTAAATCTGCGGACCCTAGCGTTGTAGCGAGCTTGGTTTAAAGTTGGGCATGCGAAACCAGCGCAATCAGGGATGGACACAGATGGACTCGAGGGACTCGTACTCCTCCTGTACTCTGTACTACGACGAGCATCTATACTATTGTATGTTATCAGAATGATGATAATATTATCCACATATGGAGCAGGGGTACTCGTCCTCCATCTACTCATGCCTACTCATACGGAGCATGAGTGCGTGTACTGCGGAAGTAGGTCGGGTACGAGTACTCCGTACATCTACTAGCTACCCACTCTGGTAAAGCCTTGTCAAACCCTGCCCCTGCCGAGAAGACAAACACCCCTGCAATCGTCCGTTGTGCGCCAACCTAATTTCCTATCTCAGCTCATCAGACCACAAGAGAGGAAGCGAGGTTAGAGATGGGCGCGCCATGCTGAGTTACGGATGGCCGGACTATTCTGTACCATACATGGAGATGGCTGATAACAACGGTACTCGGTGGTGGGAGACACCAAAACATAATGGTAGGGAAGAGTAAAACAGTTCCTGAGGTGTTTCTGTATCCGTAGTTTTATTTTTATTGTTGTTGATGACTGTAGTCCCAGTCTCAAGCCTCTCCCGCCACCTACTGTACAGTATGCAAGGGACAGGCTGGGAGATCTTCATGCAGGGCTCATGAGGCGCGAAAGGCAAGCCATCGTAAGGGCGGCAATGCCTAAATTCCCAGGTTAAGACTCCCGAGGCTACCACGTATTTGGAACACACAACGATTATACCGTCACGTGACCCCGGCGCACCTGCTTCTTTCTGATTCTCTACCGCTCACTCCCCTCCGCAGTTTGATATCAAAATTTTGGAGCAGGCTGTCCAAATCACCCCTGCCTGCACCACGCCTACAAGCCTCCGTCTTTTCACTGCCGACAATTGCATACAATGGCGAATCCAACACAGATCTTCGCCGAAGACGTGCAAGAAGAGAAGGGTGAAAATGCCCGTCTCTCTGCCTTTGTCGGCGCCGTTGCTGTGGGTGACCTGGTCAAATCCACACTAGGCCCCAAAGGCATGGACAAGATTCTTCAGAGCGCCTCGACAGGCGAAATCATGGTGACAAACGACGGAGCCACTATCCTCAAATCTATCGCACTTGACAATGCTGCCGCAAAGGTTCTGGTCAACATTTCCAAAGTCCAAGACGACGAGGTAGGCGACGGTACCACCTCTGTCACTGTCCTTGCCGCCGAACTTCTCCGAGAAGCAGAACAACTTGTAGCACACCATATTCACCCACAGACAATTATCGACGGCTACCGTCTTGCATCCCAAGCTGCCCTCTCGGCCCTCGAAAAGGCTGCCGTGGACAATTCAAAGAACCCAGACGCTTTCCGCCGAGACCTCCAATCCATCGCCCGCACAACACTGTCTTCCAAAGTCCTTTCTCAAGATCGTGATAAGTTTGCTAGCCTAGCATGCGACGCCGTACTTCGGCTCAAAGGCTCGACAGATCTGAACCATATTCAGATTATTAAAAAGGCCGGAGGCAAGCTCTCAGACAGCTACCTCGACGAGGGTTTCATTCTGGACAAGAAAATGGGGGTGAACCAACCTAAACGTCTGGAGAATGCCAAAATCCTCGTCGCAAACACGGCCATGGACACAGACAAGGTCAAGATCTGGGCCTCGCGGATGAAGGTCGGATCCCCCAAGGAACTGGCGGAGCTAGAGAAGGCCGAACGTGACAAGATGAAGGCCAAGGTCGAACGGATCAAGGCCCACGGAATCAACTGCTTCATCAATCGGCAGCTCATCTACAACTGGCCCGAGCAACTCTTCACCGAGGCCGGCATCATGTCGATTGAGCACGCAGACTTTGACGGCGTTGAACGCCTAGCTCTAGTCACAGGAGGCGAGATCGCAAGCACATTCGATCACCCCGATCAGGTTAAATTGGGTCACTGCGATCTGATCGAGGAAGTCATCATTGGCGAAGATACACTGATCAAATTCTCTGGCGTTGCAGCAGGCCAAGCATGCACGATTGTACTACGGGGCGCAACTGAGCAACTTCTAGACGAGGCCGAGCGAAGTCTCCACGACGCTCTGGCCGTTTTGTCTCAGACCGTCAGAGAACCCCGCGTTACTCTCGGCGGCGGCTGTGCGGAAATGGTCATGGCTAAAGCAGTCGATGCACTTGCGCAAAAGGTTGGCGGCAAGAAACGTATTGCCATTGACTCTTTTGCCACGGCTTTAAGACAACTCCCCACCATCCTGGCCGACAATGCCGGTCTGGATTCATCTGCACTTGTGTCGGAACTGCGCAGCGAAGTCTACCGCGGCATGACCAGCAGTGGTCTCGACCTCTTGACGCCGGGTGGAGGCATTGCAGACATGCGTGACCTAGGTGTCATTGAAAGCTACAAATTGAAGAAAGCTGTCGTGAGCTCGGCGAGTGAAGCCGCCGAGCTGCTACTGAGAGTGGACAACATCATTCGAGCGGCGCCAAGGAGGAGAGAGCGCATGTGAGAAATTACATCGTGCGCAAATTATCAATGGTCTTGCTCTCCGCCGACATACAAACTCCCATGGCCGCCAATGTGCAATCGCCTCACAGTGGTGCCAGCGAATGTTTGTTTTGCCAAGGCCAATCAAATGTGCAGCAGAATTATTGCACACATGGAGCATGAGGATGCATTGGAAACCACTCTTGGCCTTTGCGCTGTGCTCGTACAGGGCATAGTGGGCGGAACGGCAAGAGCACACACGTGCGGCATGGTCTGTGTTCTCCTTTCCAACCTGCAATACGATGGGGTACCCAGTGATTTGAGGTGGGTGGAGATGGTCTCGCTTGATGGTCGGAGATCGACAAAGACTTCTGTGCTCGGTACGTGCACTCCAAATAAAGACGAAAGGAAAAGCACGGCCTCAACAACATGTCTTGCTGGGTCGGATTTTATTTTTGGCAAGGCCAGTCTCGCAATCTGAGATTCGACGATGCGGGCGGGAGATGACGCCAAGGGACGTAGAAGAAGAAAGTGACACATGGAGAACAAAACAGCAAATGGATGAAAAAGGAACGAGTGGTCTTTGACGACTTTGACGATGACAACATAAAAAGTAAGCATTTTGATAGATGTTGGAACGGCATGAAATGACCACATGAAGTCTGTTTGATCTGTATGTAGATTGCATTGCCTGACACTCCACCACTCTGTGCTCTGTACACCACAAATCCTCTCTTGACGAGTTCTCCTCAAAGTCAATGCTAATCAACTCTACTCGACTCGGCCCTACCGTGGTGTATTACATGTCCTCGTAGTACCTCTCCATTTTGAATCTGGCGACGAGGTCGCGGTCCAACAGCAGGCAGTGACAATTGATCAGCAGGCTGGGGAACCTCTTGGCCCAAAACTCGTAGTAGCCCCTCGCACTGCCGCCGAGCATCTGCTCCTTGACGTCCTCGGGGAGGTCGTGGAAGTGGTTCTTCTTGTTCCGGATCACCCTCAACAGGTCAATCATCTTGGAGCCCGAGTACTTGCGTTGCTTGCCCATTTCGCTGATGAAGCTCTTGGGCAAGGCGCGCAGAAAGTCCCGCGAGGGTCCGATCACGTTCGGGGCCAGCGCCTCGAGGCCCGCGAGCTCGGCGAGCGCCTCGTTCTCCTCGGGCGAGCGGACGGCATTCTCGTCGTGGATGTTGCCGATCGAGTTCTTTTCACGCTCGAAGCAGTCGGACACGTCACACAGAAACTCCAACTTGTCCGCGACGTCCCAAAAGTAGGGATGACGCAAAATCTCGTGCGTGTCGGGACGCTGTTTGGGGTCGTGCTTGAGCATTTGCATGATCAGGTCGTCGGCTTCGAATTGGTACTCGTGCAGACGCAGGTCGTCGGTGCTGAACTTGTTCTCCTTGATGTTCAGATCCCGACCGAGACTGGTCCCGCCAACATCGAACGGATGGTGACCTTGGGTCATGACATAGTAGAAGACGCAGCCCAGTGAGAAAATGTCAATCGCTTTGGTGGCACGACGACCGGTGGGGAGATCGACGACGGTGCCATCACTACTAGAGTGTATCGTCGATTTCGAAGTCGTCGAGTTGGCGTTCGGTGCAGCGACAGAAGCCCGAGAATGGACGAGTAGCTCTGGCGCCCTCCAGCCCGTGGTTCCGGCAGCCGTGTGGTTTGCTGTCGGGGCAAACGTCGATTCTGGTCCTTCCTCCAGTGGCTTACATAGTCCAAAGTCAGATATGACGAATTGTAGCTTGGGCAGACCAGTCGTGGGACGTTGGCTCTTGACAGCCTTGACAAGAACATTTTGAGGCTTGATGTCTCTGTGAACAAGCTTGAGTGAGTGAAGGTGTTGAACGCCGTCGGTAATTTGACGCAGGCAATCCTTCACATCAAACCCTTCAGGCAATTTCACCAAATTGGGGTACTGTAACGGTCGCTCGATGAATTGATCCAGAGAAGTCGTGAACAGCTCCAGTGCGATATAGGTAAAGTGTGGGGACTCTTCCTTGCCAAAGTATCGAATGACATGGGAGTTTTCGTCACTTGAGAGCAGATGTTTGATCTCTTTGGCAGCAAGACTGTTTGACGTGCGGATGAGACGCTTGACAGCAACTTCTCGGCCATCGAGGGAGCCTGGGAAGACTGCTGTTCCATTGCTTCCACGGCCCAAGCAACGCTCTTCCTTCGTGTCGATCTTTAGCTTGCCGACTTGTATCAAACCGTCCTTGGTGGGAATCTCTGTGGCCAACTCAACCTTCTCGTCCATCGCTTCTGGGTCCATGGTTTTCTTTGGGGTCTTCTTGTTCTTCTTTCCACCACGCTTCCCACGCTTGGCGTGTCTGCGACGAGGTTGCGCACCAGCTTCAGCAGGGTCATTCGAGTTCGAGTCTAGTTTGTTCTTCTCCTCATCTGATTCACCCTCAGAGCTCTCGTCGTTGTTGGTATCGGCAAGTCTCACAGTTTTGGCAGGACTTGCAAAAGTTACCGCGACGCTTTGGGCTCTGCTTCTTGCTGGTGTCGTGATACCTTCTTCCATCAGTTCTGACATCTCGTCAGTGGCAGTATTCTTTTGAGAAACATCTGCAACTGGCAATTCTTCGGTGATGGGTGCGTCACCAGTAGAGCTCGAGACATTTGTCTGGGGTTTCTCGAGCGCAACTTCAACGCCAGCCTTTCGAAGAAAACCTTGCACCTTGATCATCATTGGATGCTTGATCTGCAGTCCGACAATGAAGAGGATTACACTGGCAACGACAATGTTGAACAGAGAGAGCCAGGGGCTACCGATCACAGGCAGCAGAGCAGGAGGAAGCTTTGCATCCATCGATGCTACGGCTCTTTCTCCATCCTCCACTAGATCGGATGACGATGGTGGGCCGGATATGGTCAGGCGCAAGGGAGCCACGTTCTCCTGTACCGATAGAACATGCACGCCGACGATCTCTTCCATATCACCAGAAAAATCCAGAGGACGACTGTCATAGTTCCAGTGTGCGTTCGCAGGCGCTGCACCATTGGTCACACCAGGGTATGACAGCTCCGACATGGCATACCAAATTCCTGCCTCTGTACGATTGACAAAAACTCTTTCGGCTCTTTGCAGCTCATTTCGCCAAACCTCAGGCGAGTCGAGAAGTGGCGAGTCAGTGGGTCGAGCCAGGAGAACTAGATTCGGTGTGCCTTGCTTGTTGTCTTGCGGACGCACGACGTCGAATACTCGAGCCACAGGTGTGTCCAGTCGTTGAGAGAAAGTGGTGTACTTGCGAGAGTCTTTGTCTCCATCCAGACCAATAACACGACCGTTGTACAGACTCTGAATATGATTATTGTCGAGAGGTGCAACATATTGATCTTGGAGATCACTATCGCCTTTGTTGGGTATCCATTCGGCAAACTTGATGGTGCAAAGAGCCTGGTTCGTGACCTTGTGGGAAATCTGGATGGTGTATTCGACACGACCGAGATTTAGAGTGCCAAGTGGCTCGCACGCAGGGTCGTCCAGGTCAAACAAGCCGGTCAATCGTCGACAACTCCGCCCCTGATCTTCACTCGAGAAGCCTCGGTAACGATCAAACTGTTGTAGAATGTTGCCTGTGGCAGCGTCCACCACGTATGCCGTAGTCTCTTGAGACGAGATCGTCACGAGGGGAGGGTCCTCGACGAATTGAGGTGTAGACTCGGCCAGGGATCGAACCGTGACGCTCAATCGCTGTAGACCTATTCTTGGATCTCGATGTTGAATGTACAAATTCCCGTCCTTGCTCGGTTCCACGATGAACATGTAGTCGTCTTCGATGGAAGGGTCGCTGTCCAGATCATCACTCCGATTCAACTTGTGGTGAATGGTCTCGATCATGGGGCTGTCGGGGATCCCCAGCGACCATCTTTCGGCGCCAGTTTTCCTGTCGAGGGCGTGGATGGTACCGTCGATGGTGGCTAGAAGAACAAGATTCTCCACCTCCCAATCTTGCAGGAGCCGCGCTGAGGGGAGCGCTGAGAGTCCGGACGACTCGGCAGACTGAACAAGAGGTGCTCGAACAGCACTACTGCTATCGTAGGCTGGAGCCAAGGCACGGAGTTTTGGCGGTTGGGGGTTTTCATCGGTGCTTCTGAACTTCACCGTGGTGATGTCGTTCTTCAGAAGGGGAATTTCGGCTGGGCTGCGGCCAGCTTGAGGACGTCGACTCGGCTCGGTACGGACGCTCTGGGTGGACGCCACCAGACGCTGAACGGATTCCGGCTGGTGAATCGACTGAGGGTGAGCGGCAGCTATGAGCAGGAGGAAAAGGGCCCAGGTGAGCATCGTGTTGGGTCCTCCGCGTCGGCCTCCTGGGGGCCGAGGCGGAGGTTTAGCCATGATGAGGGAGACAGAATTTCGTAGACAAATATTTAGGGGGTTGTGATCATGGCGAGATAGACACGAAGATGAGGATTAGGAGAGAAGAGTTAAAAATTGCGATTAAATGTCGATTTGAGTAGAAGAGATGAAAGAGTTGTGATGAGGGAGGGTCGGTCAGCTTACAAGGGGACGAAGGGAGAGAAGGAATTATTGTGATCTTCTCGGTAAAGAGGTCAATGGGCCAAGCCAGGCACGGGGGGTTTCGGTGGCACCGAGAAGATGCGCCTAGAGAGGGACAGGATTGTACCCTAAGGTAAGGGTGATGGCGTGGACTGAGTGGGCTACCCGCATGTGTGTGCATACGAGTACTGATGCTTATTAGGGCCGACCCTCGGAGGGATTCCCCATCCTTCCCTTGCCTAAAAGACCGCCTTATCATCCCTGCAGTTCTAGGTACTCCGTAGTTCTCTGGCTTTCCACCCCGAAAAGAACAAGCCATGTTCCAGCCCCAAGTTTTTGTCTGACAGTAAATGTTTTCATCCTGATCAGGCCTCTACGGAATGCATTGAAATACTCTCAACAACTCAACCGAGACACTCGATCAATCGCCAGAAGGCTCTCGTTGCTAATACTGTACCGTACATTTGGATATCTCATCCGATCCAAACGCGTCCCAGAGTTTGTCAGGTTCATAGGTCGTGTCTTCTCCATCCCTTGCTCTAACTAGTGTCCTCGTCCGTCGCCCATCATGACGTGCTATTGTGTCAGACCAGCACCACAATTCCTGCCATTGGACCAAGATCAGTCAGTCCACGGCCGGTTGAATTGATCTGTTTCAGCTTTGGCGTCTCCCCGAAGTTCCTTGCACGCAATATTCCATGCGACCACCAAAACCGTAATAAACGAGCTCGTGGCTGTTTCAACGGAATACAGATTCGATACTTGCTCTTACAGGCCGTTCCTCGGTTTACTCCTTATCCCAGGGCACGGCTGAGGCTGTTCGGAGGTACCTCACGAGTACATTTAACCCGAAGGCCTCCTGAATGATGCATATTGACATCTTTCAAAAGTCCAGTTGACACCTCAATAGGCGATCTTGTCGCGTCTACCGCCAAACTGAGAAAATTGTTAGCGTAGCCGACACACGAACCATCTCGGCCCTCTATGAGTACTCCATACTTCGTGATCTACTCCCGTACAGTATGTACTTATTCTAGTCAGAGTCGGTACCCTGTTCCAAGGCTACACCGAAATACACACTTCGTTGAGATGGGACACTATCCCACAAGAGGATGAGCCTTACAGTCCGTTCTATCTCGCCGTAGCAAAATTGCCGTAGAAAATGCTGCATGTCCCGGTCGTAATGTCAAGTCCGTGACAATCACGCTCATGCGTTCTTCCCTCCCATGTCTATGGTATACATGTATTAGTCCACTAACATGCCTGCTGTGTGCCATAGAAGACCCAATGTTCAAAGCATCCAGCGTAGTGTAGAACGCTCCATGGTATCAATTGTTAAAACAAAAGCCGAAAATGAAAACCTCCCTCGCATGGGAGCCATTTGTATGAATAGCAAGCACATCAGAATACGAGGACATACTCGCCCCTTTCATTCCTCTTGATGCGCAACGCCCTCCACAACTCACTCTCCTCGTCTGCTTTGGACGACGTGCTCCTCACATCGTTCTGTTTGTGCCAGCGTTTGAGCATCTTATGAATCGAGTAGCCTTTGTCCGACTCCAAGCCCGGGGCATTGGCAAGGAAATTCTGGCATGAATGCCTCATTCTCTGCTCTTCACCAAAGACGACCATGGCTTTGTCGACGCCTCGCCGCTTGCCGCCGTCATCCGAGTCTGAAGCCGAGTCATCGTGTTTGCGGTATTCAATGGCTTTGAATTTCCTTGACGTGCCTTCATTCTGTGAAGAATCATCACTATTTCCGCGACGCCGAGATCGGTGCTCGTGACGAATGTTCGCCGATGCTGTGCCGTTGTGTCGATGAACCTTGTGTTTCTTCCTCTCGCGCTTCTCTCCCTCGCGGACGCGAGAAAGGCTTTGACCGTGGTCCGAGGAGCTCGCTCTTCGCCGTACACGGGTGTTGGCTTGTTGAGCCTCGAATTGGCTCCCTGGAAGCAGAGCGCCGCCGACCATGGAGAGCGCCTTAACGGCTCGACCTTTGATGGAGATGCCTAGGCCGTTGGGGTCGTCTTTGGTATGTCGAGTGCGCTTCAAGGGCGAAGTTGGGTCTTCAGGTTTGTGGGTGCGTCGACTGTGGCGGTCCTTCTCAACCACTAACCTCCTGTCAACCGTGTCTGGCTCGCGATGGAATGGGTATTCGTCCTCTGTGATCATGCGACTCAAGCCTCCCGTGAGTCCAGAGTGCACGATGCCCGGAGTGTCTGGCCTGGAGGTATCCACGACCAACATATCTCGATCTGAGTCGTGGTGTTGATCGTCTGTCGCCCGTTTGCGTTTCTTCTCGCTACTCTCGGTCCGGCTGTGTGCACGAGGTCGGGTCTTCTCCAGTCTCGACTTAGTCTGTTTGGCCGCGGGAGTCATAAACTCGAGCGACAGCGCGCTACCATTCATGTCCAACGCTCCGCGCGGCTTGACTGGCTCTACTCCCCATGTGTATCCTTGCTCCTCGTACTCTTGATTGTGAAGACCCTCCTCGTCTCTATGGCCATTCTGGCTCGAAGGCCGACTGTTGGTGAAAATCGAGGGCGCACTGCTCTTCATGGACATTTCGCCCTTGTCCTTCGCAAAGCTGATCTGTGGTGTTCCTGCCGTACTGTCATCCACCATGTAGTCGAAGACACTGTCGCGATTCGAGTCCGGCACAGCGGGTGGAGGGGTAGGAACATGAGGAGGGGTCTCGACATCGGGCGCGTCTTCAACGTATGCCGCGCGCGGGACCAACGCCTTGCTGTTGTCGGGCTCGACAATCGACACGGATTTTCTTTTGGCGGCTTTCGAAGGCTTTTCGCGGTACAATGCGCCCTGGTACTTCTGGTCTTCGGAAATGCAAGACTATGGCCGCAGTCAGTCTTTGGAACAAGAGTTCATGGTCAGGATTCGTCGCATACCGTATGCGCCCTGTAACTTGTGCCTTGAAAAGTCGTCATGCAGTCAATGCACGTAAACGGCGCTCCTCGACATTGGTTGCGATGGCCATCGAGCTTCTTCTTGGTCAAGGTGTCTCCGCATCCCTCACACTGGAAGGAGACCATCTCTGTTTCGTGGCTGTTTATTACTGGCGATTTGTTGTGAGCCGGACCGTGTGTTTGAATTCGCGGGGAGTGGGTGAAAAATGAGCGGAGCGGGTTGGGCAGCAACGAGTCCAGGTAGGACAAGACACCAGATCGGCCACGTTCAACAAAAGTGAGGCGTGAGTTGAAGTCAGGAGGCCTTTATGTCTCCGAGGGGTATATTGCAAGGGCAGAAGAGGGTGTGAAGCGAACGAGGGCTTGTGTAGGAATGCATGCTAGTCGCTCTCAGGCGCTTGGACTCCAGTTTTCAAGTTTACGGTATATTTTTTTTGTTTCCCGTACACACTGTACTGTGTATTTACAGTCCACACTTTTCCCGGATTCGCCTAGTCAGTCGCCGTCGCGAACGCCTATCATGGGCGGAATCAACCATCCCTGCCAGGATTCAGGGGCCACAAACGAATCACCTGCACCCCTCTGAACAACGCGACGTGATCACCCATGGCGCGTTGAGAGGGTGTTCATGCACAAGGTCAGAAGCCCTCTTCTGCCCGCATGCAAGAATGTGAACGGCGGCGCCAACATTATTGTCAACAAGGACAACGTCAACGTACATGAATGTGCCACACCCTTTGAAGCAACTTGCCAACCAACCATGTGTCTTGAATCCGCTAGAGCCGGTGCTGGTGAAACCGGATCATCCTCAAACATTGTTGATGCAGCTGTTCGAGCTGCGTTGCGAGTCAATGTTCCCCAGGGATCCGCATTGTGTGCTGATGCATTCGATCTCATGATGGCCGCTCTGCCGTTGCCTATCATCCACCACAGCCTGAGGGTCTATCTATTGGCCAATTGGTTGGCCGGAAAAGAGCAGAGTAGGTGGGCGGACAGTGTGTCTTTGTTTGTTGCATGCATCTGCCACGATTTTGGTGCATCCCGTCTACATGACGGTCCACAGCGTTTCGAGGTAGAGGGTGCAGATGTCGCGGCGGACCTCCTTCGGAAGCATCACGAGTCCGAGCAAGACGCCCATGAGGTCTGGACAGCGATAGCGCTGCACACCTCTCCGGGCATAGCTGAGCGCATCACTCCATTAGCGAGGCTTGTCAGACTCGGCGTCCTAATAGATTTCCGGCCTCCAACACGACAAGAGTTGGACGCCGTATCATTTGCAGAAGGAATCGAGTCCAAGTTACCACGACTTGATATTGAGATGATACTTGGAGATGCCGTTGTTGAACAGGCTGTGCGCAATCCGAAGAAAGCGCCTGCAGCCTCGTGGCCAGGCATTCTCTACAAGGCATATCTAGAAAATCCTGAGAGGCGAGGAGTCAATCCTGCCTTTTAGGCCCCTCGAGATCATCCATCCGTACGGGATAGTGGACCCCAACCTCGCTACGGCGTCTGCCCGTCTTCACAGTTGCAACCTTCTGCCGATCGCTCCAAAGCAGATACTTGTACAAAACAAGATGCTCGCCAACCAAGTATATACGCCGAACTGTTCAGACACCATCTGCTGATGAATCGCCGGGACGGGGACAAAGTTTGGATCAACCAGCAACAGAATCAAAGTGCCAGCAATGCTAACTATCGCGGAAAAGGCAAAGCCAGGCAATGATCGGTCGATCAAGTACCATAGGGCAGGGTTGGCCAGAGCCAAAGTCAATGCTACTTGCAAGGTCGATTGCCATGGGAGTCGTCTCTGTGTTATAGTCAGTCGGTGATCAGTCAATTTTGGTGGACATGTGCAGGCTTACCACTGCGAAGGCAATGCCTACGAAGACTCCGATGCTTCTCACAGCAGAATACCATATCGGACCAAGACCACCGTCCGAGGCATCTGTTTCATCCGACCCCCCAGCAGCTGATTTTGTGTTCGAAATGGCCTGCTTTTTGTTTGTACCTTGAGATGTAGAGCCTTCCCAAAATGCGTCGACCAACGGCAACGCGTTACCCAGCAGTATGCCAAAGATACCCCATGACATGAGATACCACACCGAATGTTGCTCGATGTCCGGTACAGGTACCGGTGTGATACGTTGCGTCTTGTGTAGATGTGTAACGACAGAGCCATAACCAAGCCCGAAAGTGAATAGCAACGCCGTCTGAAAGACCAGGGCCGGAACGCCTCTTCGTTTTGGTTTGTGTTTTAGACGAGGACCCGTACCATCTCGTTGCCAAGTCACATCGGGTTGTTGATGTAGACTGTCGTCGATACTCTGTCTCTTGCTCGGTGTTTGGGCTCCTGTGCCCCACGGTGTCGACAGCTCCTCTCTGTTCCCATCTGATATAGGTGAATAAATGCCTAGCAGCGTCGACGAGGTGAGGTTGAGGATCGATCGGGTCCGGCTTGGTGTGGAATCAGACTTTGACCCGAGAGGAAGTTCGCCATTCACATCCTCACTCGCTGGAGAGGGAGGCAGTGACGAGTCCGTCGAGGCTGAAGGAATGTCAAATGCCCTTCGAGGTATAGGACGGTGGACTTGTGGTATCTCCATGGTGGTTAGAGGTCGATCTTTGCCGAGGACGAGGGCGCAGGACGCAATTCCGTGCTCGTAGTTGTAGGACCCGTGCAGCGAACGGTCAGTAGGCTGACTATACTCCGTCCGAGAGAGACTGGCGCTTATTCTGCTATAGATAGAACGTGCTAAGCCAAGCAGACAAACAGCTCACTCAAGTCAGGTATCAAAGAGGCACGCAGAGAATGAGGTCGACTGTCTCGATCATGACTGAAAGGTTGGGGAAAGAGAGATGAGGATTCGAAAATGGCAAGGCAGCTTTTGGTGGTGGAGACGGTGGGAGCGACGTGTAAGAGCACAATACGGAGGACGGAGGTTTCTAAGCCCAGACACGACACTGTCTCTCTCTGTCTCTTTTTTTCACATGTGCTGTATGCAGGTTGTGTCGCACAAAAGGCATGTGAGGATTTATTCACGGGTGTTGAGGCTGCGAATCGGGTGCAACATGATTCGTCTTGAGCCGGAGTCCGCAACCCGTCGCCATCTCCTCTTTACGAACTCTCCACACGAGGCATCCATCTCTACCCTTCAGCTATCATTTATATTCATTATCGAGACTATCAATATAATTCAGCCAGATAAGAAGCTCGCCTTCATCACGCTGATTTCAATGAAGATCTGGAGTAGACTATGTTGAAAGGTCTACTTCATATCGAACAACACAGCATCGTGGATCTGTTGCACACCAATTCGTTCCGTGATGCGAAAACATTGTGACCCTGAGGACGGGGAAATATCGATGCTCATTGTCATAAGCTCTCGGCCATCCTGTTGAGTTAATCATTTGGGATCACAATAGACTGTATTGACTGTTCTCACCATGGCAATCTTGGGAGACCGGAGCGGAAAATACGTCTCTGGATTCTGCAGCTCGGTGAGCAGTTTTAGTTCGGGAAGACGCAAGTTGGCCCCTTCGCGTTGACCAGCCAAATCGTCTTTGATCAAGGCGCGGAAATGTTGTTGCAACCTGTCTAGGGTTGCAGGTGGAATATGATGAAGTATGGCTGGTGAGAGTGCCCTATACAGATGCCTAGACCCCAGGAACTGCGGCATTTCCAGTGAAGTCATGTTAAGGTAAGGGAGCTCTCCCTGCGAAGTCCACGGAGTTTGCAAAATCCTTGAGGCACCATGATCGATGAGCATACTAACAACAGATTCGGGGACCCCAAGGAATGAGGCCTGGTGCAGAGGAGTCCAGCCAGATGGGCCTCGCGAACCCCCGAGTCGGTGATAATTTGGCCAGGAGTTGAATCCAGCGCCACGGGCTTCTCGCACATATGCCTGGACGACATCCCGGTCTCCATGATGAGCAGCATCCGCAAGCTTGTCTCGGCGTTTGAGATAGACATCGTCATATAGGTGGCGTGTCAACTTGCCAAACCAAATGGGTGTCTCAACCTGCGAACCCGAGCGAGAGGTGCCTCCAGCATGCATTTCCGGCAGCAATTGTAACGTAGTAGGCTGCCCCAGGTTTAGGTTGTGCTTCGCTGAAGGTGACCGGACGCTCTCATCGGATTTAGTGGCTATCGTTTCTGAAAGATCGGATGTCGATGGGACATAGTAAGTTTTCGCGATGATCATGACATCCTCGCCCTCTAGCATCTGTATGTCATCCTCTGATGAAGGTGTCGTAACAACTACTTGAGATGGAGGTGGCTCTGTTAGCTCGAGGAATGGTGTGGTGTGTCATCTGTTGTGAGTACGGATATATGGGCAATGGGACTAATCGAGATGGCTTGGACTTTAGCTCCGACGGTCAATGTTCGCACGAACTCCCAGGTAAAGATTGCTCATTCTCTGCCTAGAAGTAAGAAATGAACTGTAGCCTCAAAGACAAATTGTCGCCGATATAGCAATAGAAAGAAGCACGGTCCGAATGCCATCTTCTTGCGTCCGCAGGCCGGCAAGAAGCAGCTCAATCTTGTTTTTGCGCAAAAAAGTAAAAATCAACGAATTTGGCCGCCTGAGAACGCTTGTCGACTAGGCGTTGGGCATCCTTGAAGACATCTTCACGTCCTGACTGATTGAACGACAGCAGGATTTTGTTGGTTTTACTACCCAATTGATGCGTGAGACCTCGGCATTGGTCCATAAGGAAAGGCATTCAATTCGTTTCACTGAGTATATTGAGCAATATTCGGTGTAATTCTTACTTTGCTGTCGTGATTGCTTCTATGGTCTTCTTGATGATCTTCACGGTCTCGACGCAGACAGTGATCAGAGTTATAGCACTTACGCTTATTGATAGAGGTTCCATCGCTCGGCCAGGAAGTCCTCTACCTTATACGGAGTATCGTCGGTCTGTCGAACTGACCGAAGAAAGGTTGACATTATCACTTGAAACGTCCTTGCTGCTGTTGATCCATCAGAGCTGCGTAGCCCTGATGAACCTCTGGAGAGCACATTGTGCCCCGCAGCTGAAGTCGCACATCTTCTAGTACGTGGCGATTGCTATTTCGTTCAGCTTACGGACTTGTACATGCATCATTGGAAATTTGAGCGGACGAACAGCAGATACCGAGACGAGTGCGCAAGTTTGGGCGAGATTCAGAAAAAGAGAACTTCGGGAGGTCTTTGTCAGATGACACAATATTGCTGTGCCATTTCGAGAAACGAAAGCAACACCTGGAACTTCTAAAAGTGAGTGCCTAGCCAGGATAGGCTTGTTCATCCAAGTGCTGTTCGGCAATAGCTAGACTTGAAGTGTAGAGGACTGAGTTCTTGTAATAAGAAAAGTGTACGAGTTTCGGTCAGAGATGAATTGTCGTCGATTTTAGTCCACGTGACGCGGCCAAGCCACTTCCGGAATCCAATGAATTTTCCCGAAACTCGTCGTCACTTCGAATATCAAACAAAAAATCTCCAACGAGGCGAATCTCATCACATAATTTGTTTTCTCAAATTCACCCAAGAGACACAGTTTTTATTACATTGTGGAAATCTGTTCATCATTCGGTAATAATACTAGCCAGCGATCAAGATCACAATATCTCACCAAGATGGCTCTCAATAATTATATTGATGCCGAAAACGCCCCCAATTACGAGGATATGGAGAAACAATTCGCTGTCAAGGCTGTTCAACAAATGACGGTGTACTGGAGCTTACTGGAGAAAATCCCTGGTTCAAAGCTCCGACTTACGCGGCTTGATGACCAGATCCTGGATCATTTTAAAAGTGAATTCCCCGAGTTTGATCCAGCCGAGGAGATCGATGAGGATAAGATGAAGAGCAAAGAGGGTAAAGAGCGGTGGCGCAAGTTTGCTATGGCCTATGAGAAAGGCGATGACAAGATTGACGACTTCAACTTCGGCACTATGCTAAGAAAAAGCCCCAAGACAGAGTACGGAGAAAAGGAGACTATCTTTGCCGTCCGAATGCAATTCTACGCAGTCGAAATCGCAAGAAACCGAGCCGGACTTAACGACTGGATATATGAGAATGCCCAGAAGGATGCAGGCAAGAAATCGTGAAGGATACCGTCAAAGCTCCGAAACACATGCACCAGAAATGGCCATGAAATAAGGTGGTCAATCATGACGTGCATTCACGTCGCTGAGATGGCCGGTGCCTCACAATCTTCCGCGAACAAGACACTTCAATAGGACCACACAGATACCAACCCCTTGAAAAGAAGTCGACACATTCGAGCAGAGAGAATTTCGGGACCAGGTGGAAGTCCTTGGTGGTGCGACAACATTCCTGAAGAACAATATCAAGCAGCCCCGTCGGCCTTGGCGTGCAAATACTGCCATTCGCAATGGCAACCGAGAGACTACACAACTCAAATGCAATGCAGATTCAGAAGACCTCGGTTTGTTTCTTTCCTGCTGTTGTAGAGTTCTTGCAATTTCATTGAATCCCAAGTGAGTGTACGACGCCTCGTTCGCACGATATGAGCAGTGATGGACGTAGCCACGAGCAGCAGCCTCTCAGGCAACGCCATGGGACAGAGAAGGCGGCGGCTGGCATCTTTTCCTTCTTAAGAGCTACTCATTTGCCAGTCTTTATTTGCGGAATTCTTCTTTCGGCGGCCGCTGGCCTATTGCAACCCACGATGGCCATCTTCTTCGGCAGGTTCTTTCGCGCCTTTTCAGACTTCGCTTCCAATATCATTGATGAGCCTACGTTCAATAGAGAGACTTCAAGCAGTATCTATGCCTTGCTCGGAATTGGACTTTGTACTTTTCTATTGAAAGGTGGCGTTTTCGGGTGTTGGGTTTGTTTCGGCGAGCTCCAGGCCAAGTCTGCACGCCGAGTGGTTTTTCAGTCTTTGTTAAATCGGGATATCGAATGGTTCGACGCGCAAAGCATCGGTATGGCAGCGCTACTGGGAAGGACACACGCGTATGGGTCTTTCTCCTATGTGGATAACTCACTCTGACAACAATAGGCAAATTCAAGACATACAACTTGCGACTTCACAGCCTTTAGGTCTTTCGATCCTGGCGCTTGTTCAGACTTTGTCATCTCTCGGTCTCGCACTGCGTACGAACTGGAAGTTGACCTTGGTGGTGCTTTCCACCTTACCAATTATTCTGGTGGGGGTCTCCCTGACTTCTCGCCGAGGGCAGAGGTATGTCGATCGCCAGAACAGCAGCCTGGATCAGGCGATGAAGTCTGCATATCATTTCGTCTCAAACATTGTGATGGTCAAGTGTTTCAACACCCAAATCCATGAAAGGCACAAATACGCCACGGCAATTGAACAAGCTGCTAAGAACTCCCACAAATCATGCATCTTCAAAGGGTTTCAAAGTGGTTTCGTCCGATTTGCAACGACAGTCATTTTTGTTCAAGGCTAGTATGATCGAAGCAATATTGGTGTTCGCTTAAGACGTCTGACAAGTGTATTAGGCTTCTGGTACGGCGGCACGCAGGTTCATGCTGGAAAAATCAGCTCTGGTGAAGTAGTTATAACATTTTGGTCATGTCTGCTAGCTGCCAAAGCGCTCGAAGACATTCTGCCCCAAAGTTTTCTTCTCCTGGAAGGCAGGGCTTCAGCACAGTCTCTCGCGGCAAAGTTGAATTACGCAAACGATAGGACGACTCAGAAGGAGAAAAGTGCAGGCCTTTCACCGAAATTCTGCGATGGTGATATTGCTATGCGAGGAGTAGGTCAACTCCCTCACAGAGGAAAGGAATGCTGATCTTTCAAAGGTGTCCTTCGCATACACTTCCAGATCAACGGACTTGGTCCTTCAGGGATGCGACATCTCTTTTCCTGCCGGGCAGACCACGTTCCTCGTTGGCAAAAGTGGCTGTGGTAAAAGTACTGTAGGAAATTTGCTAATGCGCTTCTATCTTGCTCGAACTGGCACCATTACTATCGACGGTAGTGATATTCTAGACCTGGACAGCACATGGCTCAGAAACAACATTACATTGGTTCAGCAGCAGAGCATACTCTTCAATGAGACAATATTCACCAATGTTGCGCTTGGTAGCCAAGAGCCTGGCCGAGTCACCGTCTCACAAGTTGATATATGCTTACATCTGGCATCTCTTGATGGTATGATAGCAAGCCTTCCCAACGGCCTTGGAACGATGGTCGGATCTAGAGGTTCCGAGCTCTCTGGCGGGCAAAGGCAGCGTGTTGCTATCGCGCGTGCCAGACTTAGAGACACTCCAGTCTTGATCCTCGATGAAGCGACAAGCGCTCTTGATGCCCCTAACAGAAATGCTGTGATGGAATCAATTCGTCGCTGGCGAAAGGGAAGGACAACAATCATCATCACTCATGACTTGGCCCAGATTCGTGAAAAAGACCTAGTATACATGATGGATGCAGGCCGAATTGTCTGTCGCGGGAGTCTTAGCACGATTAGACATGCCCAACATACACTACATGCGGACGGACCTGGCCTGCACACACAACCATATCCACACAGAGGCAAGGTGGCCAAAGTGACGGCAAGTATTCTTCCCAGAGGTTTGGGTCCTTCAAATTTATCATCGCGTGCACCAGCTTCAGCAGAGGCGGATTCACGACACGCAGTCCGTCAATCAGGCCGCAGTGGAGGCAGAATTTCTATGGTGTTATCACTACGTAGTGATCCAGCATTTCAAAGACTGAAACGGCAGTCCCTAAGTCGTGCTCGAGCTATGTACTCCGCAGAAAGAGCACGAGAACTAGTCGACAAAGCACCTGGTCTTCCCAGCCCGGTTGCAGGCGACCACAAAGTCACAGACTTATCGAGCCCTTATGGATCTAATGGGTCTTGCAATGGCACGTTGCGGGTTGTTGGCTCTGCGATTGAGCTCCAAAATGTGGCTCGGAAAGAGGATGGTGGAACTGTCTCAGAAACTATTCACGATGACAAGTCTGTCCAAGACTCAACGCAAACGATTCTGCAAATGGTATGGCCAATCTTGGACACAACTCACCAGGTTAAAATTGTTATCGGCCTCGCAGCAGCGCTTATCCATGCAGGATGCACACCTGCATTCTCGTACGCCATCATTCAACTGTTTGGGACGTTCGGCATTTATTCTGGTTACCACACAAAAGTGCTGACTTACTCACTCGCCATTGTTGGTGTGGCAGTAATTGACGGCATTGCCTGTGCCTCTATGCAGTATCTCTTAGGCTCGGTAAGTCAGGCATGGGTCGATACACTTCGAGAGATGGCAGTGAAGCGCATTTTGCAACAGCCAAAGGGCTGGTTCGACGAAGAAACCAATAAATCTTCCATTATAGTGTCGTCGCTTGACCGTCATGCTGAAGGAGCAAGGGTTCTTGTGGACCATTTCGCTCCCCAAGTCCTTGTTGTCAGTGTCATGATGGCAGTAACGCTTGCCTGGTCTTTGAATACATGTTGGAAATTGGCTCTTGTGAGTCTCGCAGGCATACCATTCATCTATGCCGTTGTGAAGCTTCTCGATGTGATCTCGTCACGGTGGTCCTCTCGAACAAACTCAGCAGTAGAAAAACTCTTGGACGTCTTCATCGAGAGTTTCTCAGACATCAGGACGGTTAGGGCATTGACACTTGAGTCGTTCTTTCATCAGAAGTATTCTCAGACCCTTCAGGTGGCATTTGAGATTGGCACTCGTCGCGCGATCTTCACCGGCTTTTGTTATGGTCTATCAGAATCAGTCATTACTCTCTTCACACCAATGATCTTTTGGTATGGAGTGCATCTGGCCAAAACCAGAGAATGGTCCGCGATGGATATTCTTACAGTGTTTTCTCTCCTCTTGTTCACTACTGCCAGCGCCAGCGCCATCATGGCATATGTTCCACGCGCCAGCTCAGCTACGGAATATGCCACTCAACTGCTCGAACTCAGCAGAATGCCAGTCCATTCCCACGAGAATGCTGGGCAGTTAAGGCTGGACAGGAGCAAGTTGAATAGATCTGGTGTGGCCATACAGTTTACAAATCAGACCTTCTTCTATCCTACCCACTCGGAGACCTCTGCCCTCCGGCATTTGAATCTTATAATCCCTCGGGGGAAATGTACCGTAATAGTTGGATCGTCCGGATCTGGCAAATCGACAATCACGTCCTTGATTCTGGGCTTGTATCCTCCGGCAGCAAAAGAAGCAGCCACAACACTCGCAGGGGACACGCATGATTCAGTCTCATTGAGGCTGTTTGGGTGTGATATCCGAACGCTGGAAATATCAACGCTTCGATCCCTGGTGGCCATGGTTCCACAGACACCATTCCTTCTCCCAACCACAGTTCGTGAAAATATCATCTATGGTCTGGGTCCGGGCTCTAGCCTCGCATCAGCAACTTGTATTGAGTCTGCGGCAAGATCGGCTGGGATCCATGAGTTCATTCAATCTCTACCACAAGGCTACGCCACTATTATCGGCGAAGCGGGACTGGGTGTCTCGGGAGGCCAGGCTCAGCGAATAGTGATTGCTAGAGCGTTGGTCCGCGATCCCAAGATACTCATTTTGGACGAAGCGACAAGTGCCTTAGATCGTGAAAGCGCCGACACTGTTAGAACGAGCATTATGGGTCTAGTCCGAAGGAAGCAAAGCACAATGACTGTAATAGTTATAACCCATGCGAGGGAAATGATGACCTTTGCGGACCAGGTAGTGGTCATGGAGAACGGAACGGCGGTCGAAGAAGGTCCCTACAGAGACTTGATCCGCAAGAAGGGAAAGCTCTGGGACATGCTTCAAGTCGATCAGCTTCAAGTCGATCAGCAGCTGGAGAGAGCGTTACGGCATTCGTAATAATCTCAATCCCGATCCTTTCTCGATGCTATGAAAATTTTTGAGCTTGCTCCGAGGGATCCTTGTCCATGCAAGGCACCATGTGCGTTGCATCGACAACCTCAGGTACCATTGCAGCTCCAAAGAACCATCACATGTCAGTTGTTATGTATCCGACCGAGGCAGATTCGGTAGCATTTGAAGCCAGAAGATGTGATTGGATCCAGTCACTGGCTCTACGGATCCTCCGAACAACCATCTCAAAATGTTATGCTGTTCGCTATCCACAATCTTTCCTCCTTTGGGAGCTTCGTCCGATGTCGATGTTTCGACCTCGGCTTCAAGCTCGACATGCCAGACTTGAGTGGCTTTCCCCGGATTTGGGTCTATGCAACCCTGTAGCTCTCAGCATCTCCACGAATAGCAAAGCATTCCCGGGGATGGGCTGATGGGTCCTATGCCTGGTCACCCGCTACTTTACTCAATTAGGCACAGTGACAGGCTTATGGTCACAAATACTACCCATGGATGCGAAGCTCGAAAATGTGAACCATGTCGAACAAGCTCCAAATCTTCCACCCATGAACACACACCGTCCTCACCAGCTTCTCCGCATTGAGGCTGATCTGCCATTTCATCGCTTGAGCTATTGCTTTCCTGCAGAGCCGAGGACCACCAGCATGACGCATTATGCGGGACGGACAAAGAGAGAGCGAGGTAGGCAAGCGATAGAGAGGGAAGCCTACAAAAAAAAGACCATGTCCCAAAATCGACCCCGCCATTGTCGCCAGTCGCCAGTCTGTCGTTCGTTTGGATTCCTGCTTTCTCAACACGATGTATGCGTTGCTGCACGTCTTGGTAGCAGCCTTCGCCTTCTGCATCGTGGGCGACGCTGCTCCAGCAAGTGTAGCAAGTGTGGCAAGTGTAGCAAGCTCGACCGCTCCAACTGTCACGATCGATTCGGGAGCGGTGGTTGGTACGACGACCCTGCTTGCTGGCGCCACAGTCACGGTCGACAAGTACCTAGGAATTCCGTTTGCAGCATCTCCGACACGATTTGCACCAGCGGTCAAGCCAACACCATGGAAGTCGCCTTACCGCGCAACGAAGTATGGTCCAGCATGCATACAACAGTTCAATTACCCCGAAGCGTCGCGCAATCTGACAATGTCATGGTTCAACACCCCGCCTCCGCCGGCGGGTGAAAGCGAGGATTGCCTAAACTTGAATGTCTATGTTCCTGCAACTCCTGGGAAAAACAAAACAGTCATGGCATGGATCTATGTGCGTGCTATGGGCTTGATCTTTGTACGTGACGAATGTATCTGACTCTATCCTAGGGAGGTAGTCTACAATTCGGGTCCAACTCAGCTTTGTACTACGACGGGACATCATTCGCAGCGAACCAGGATGTCATTATTGTGACACTGAATTATCGGACAAATGGTAAGTTCCTCGGTCGCAGCACGAGAAAAGAAACTGACTAGTTGCTTACAGTGTTTGGCTTTCCCAACTCTCCCGAGCTGCCCTTGGCCAGGCGCAATCTGGGATTCTGGGACCAACGTAAGTATCCCTGGGCAAGAGTCCGTAAACTGCGAATCTCCAACTCACACTCATATTCAGGTCTTGCTCTTGACTGGATCCAAAGAAACATTGCGGCTTTTGGTGGCAACCCTAAGAAGGTGACGATTTTCGGAGAGAGTGCCGGTGCAGCGAGGTATGCCGTTATCAAACGAGAGATTTGCTTTGTCCATCTCGCTAACCATATTCTTCTGCAGTGTGGACGCCCTTGTAACGAGCCTGCCAAAGAATCCTCCTTTTCGAGCAGCGATCATGGAATCTGGGCAGACATCATTCTACATCAACCCGACCAATGCGCCGACCTCGTGGCTCGCACTGGCTGCTGCCTTGAACTGCACCCAGACTCATCCCCACTCGAACCTGACTTGTCTCCGAGACGCAAACGCGACCGTAATCAAGTCCACGATCGAGCACATGGCTTTACCGTTTCGCCCTGTATCGGACAATGTCACTCTGCTCCGCTACCCGGAAGAAGCAAGGGTGAACAGGAGCATCGCGCCGGTTCCGATCCTGACGGGCACCAATGGCAACGAAGGCACAATCTTCACCATCGGCCAAAGCGACTCTGCTGCATATCTCGCCTCCGTGCTGGGCAACCAGACCTCACTGATCCAGAACATCCTCGCGGCGTACCCTCTCCCACCTGCAGAGCAACTCGCGGCGATCGCGACCGACTTCATCTTCACCTGCCCGGCTGGCAACTTGGCCAACGACTCTCGCGCCGCCGGCTTCCCGACGTGGCGCTACTACTTCAACACCACGTTCCCCAACACCCAATTCTTCCCGGGGTCCGGGGCCTATCATTCCTCGGAGATTTCGCTCGTCTGGGGAACGTACCCGCGGGCCAACGCGACCGACGACGAGAAGGCACTCAGCCAGTACACGCAGAGTGCATGGGCGACCTTCGCGCGCAACCCTCCCGCCGGCCCTGGCTGGGAGGGAGTACCCAGGGTGGCCGATTTAGGAGTCGGGGGAATTTTGAACAAACCCATCAATGCGGGTGTGATTGACAAGAACTGCCACTTCTACCGACAATACTATAATACACTTGGAAGTGCAGTGGCAGGAGTTGGAGGTGGTTGACGGCCGTCAGTGTCGGGGGCTGAGAGAAAGGTGCGAATGGATGTGGATGTATGTGTGTGGAAATGGTAATCAATGACGAGCATGAACCCGAGAAAGAGAGAGAGAGAGAGAGATGGATACATATAGACCGGGACACAGTAGGTAATAGTGCCCCTGACTTTGACTTACAGATTTACACAAAGTAACGTAATGTATTGACGACAAGTCCTGTCTGGACAATATCAGAAAATGAAAATTGGCAATGACCATGATTTGTTTTAAACACCGTGTGAATCTCACATCACGTATCAGATCTCATTGAGGACATATGTGTACCATACTAATAAGTGTTGAGACCATGCGACGGATTAGAGCCTCAATGGCGACAAACGTATATGGTTGTAGACATTATACATTGATATTTTTATGATTATGATGTAAATAAGTGGTTGTGATGACAATTGACAACCTCGTCACAATTCAATGCAATACTTGTATCAGACAAGCGGTAGTTGGTGGTGGTAACATGGTGACTTGAGATTCTACTTTGTTTTGTTCCCCCCCCCCCACTTTTTTCCATCAAAGAATTGTCTTGTCACGGTTGAAGAATACCAGCAGCAACTTGCACAGCCTTGGCCGACTTTTCCACCCACGTCTGAGCCAGGGTGTAATTGCCCGCCTCGAAGGCCTCGGTGATGCCGGGCCACTCGGTGGGCGCGTACCCGGTGTCCAAGCCGGGGGCGAAGACGACGTGCTTGTAGAACTCGCGCGTGGGCAAACCGCCCTGGGACACGAAACCCCGGCTAAAGTCTCGGAGTTTGGCATTGATGACCCGAACCTCGTCGTTGGTCGTGGCGGAGGCGATGGCGCTCGTCAAGGCGGCCGCCGAGGCGTTGAACGTCGCGATGGCGGATTCGAGGGCTGACAAGTCGACGGTGGTGGTGATGTTGTTTGTAGTCGTCGAGGTGGAGGAGGCAATCTCGTCGTGAAGGTCATCAAGGTACAGAGTCATTTGCACCCCGTAGTTTTCGACGTCGAACGGAATGACGGCGTCGTCGGCGAGGTGGTAAGCCATGATGGCCAGGTACTGGCCCACGGCTTTGTGGGTGACGAAACCCGGGTCGCCAAACGTCGTCATCCAGTGGTAGGTGTCGTAGTTGGAGTGGTAGTGGTACACGGGGTCCGTGGGCCCGTTGCCGGCACCAAAGTCGAGAGAAGGGATGCCGTTGTGGAGGAAGGCCGTGTAGTCGCTCCCACTGCCGAGCACGCCGACCTCTCCTCCGGTCTGGTTGTACCAGACGTCGTAGAGGGTTAGGTCCGTATGGCCCTTGTAAGGGTAGACGACTTTTTTCATGGTCTCGGTGGCGAGGGCGTGCAGGTCCGGCGTGGCGGAGAGGTCCGGTTCGGGGCCCGACGTGGCCACGTCGACGTTGAGGTACGCGACGGCCGACGACTTGAGCCAGGGGATGTACTCCTCGACCCATTCCGTGGAACCCAGCAACCCGTACTCTTCGGCGTCCCAGGAGCACAACACTATGGTACGTCTGGGTTTCCATCCCGTCCGGAGCAAGGCGCCAAACGCCTTCGCGAGCTCCACGATGACGGCCGTTCCCGAGTTGGGGTCCGCGGCGCCGCCGATGATCCAGGCGTCGCGATGGTTGCCAATGACAATAACCTCGTCCTGGCTGGTGCCGTTGATGATGCCGACCGCGTCCCAGATCCAGGTGATGGTGTCGCGCATCACGTTGGACATGGACAGTGTGGTGCCCGGTGCCGGACCCGTCGAGTACGTCGCGTTGAGCTTGCCGACCCACTTTGTACGGTTGACCGTTTCGCCGTCGGTTCCATAACCGTCTAGAGCTTGAAGCAAAGGTTGGGCGTCTTTCCAGGAGATGGGGAGGGAAGGAATCTGTGGCGTCACCGCCGATATGCCAGTTCGAGGAGAGTCGAACCGAGAGGGGTATCCCGGAGTCGTCGGGTCGCCAGGATACGTGGACAAGAACTGGACGCTTCCACGTTGGACCGAGGTCGGGTTTCGTGCTGGGCCGTCGGGATACGCAGCGTAGCCGTTCGCCTCTGTGATTTCACCGTCGTCGTCCGTGTCCGTAAAGATGATACACCCAATCATGCCGTTTTCCTGTGCATTCTTGACCTTGAGGCCACGGAATGGGCCTCCGTAGCGTGCAAGGGCGATCTTGCCCTCGAGCTCCACACCGAGAGCCTTGAGACGGTTGAAGTCGACTTGCTGGCCTCTACCGACATAGACATACTCAGCTTGAGCATCTCCTGTGGCGGAGTATCCGTTGAAAGTCGGTACACTGTTCGGGTAAGTAGTGACATCGTCCTGAGCTAGACCCTCTTCCCGCAGCGAAGCAGTAAATGTCGACCCGTTGGAATATGTCAATGACAATGAGTGTGAGACAGGATAATTCAAATAAGTATCTGATCTGCTGCATCAGCAACGGCCGAGTATTTGAGGAGTAGAGTCAGAGTCACACACAGTACGAGGCCAAACCTGATGACCACCCAAATTCGCTGAAGCGATCAGCGGTCCACTGGGCCATGGACTCATTTGTCCCCGCGATATGGAGACCGTGGGTATAGTAGTACGACCATGTTTCCATCGACGCATTGTCAAAGGACCCGGCCAGAAGTGCTTCGTTTTGGTCCAGTGTGGGAGGAAACTGGGTTGCCTGTCTTTTGACATGTCCAGCATGACGATGCTGTGCTCGAGGCTCGAGTCTCTCGTGTTGACACGCAAAAACAAAAGATGCCTGGGCTCCAAGCAATGATACTAAAGTAGTTGTCTTCATCGTGACGGAAGATATCAGATCAGTAGACAAAGAGACGCACTTACCACTCTCCCACAGGGTTCGAACGAAGCCTCTTCATATATCCCTCGGCCGTCCATACCGTCCGAAGATTATCAGCCCGAGGAATTTGTTGATCGTCATAGAGCAAGACGCTCGATGATGCCTACCTGCCTCATGAAGCATGGTACCCATGGCGAAGGGCATGATGCCAAGGGAACCGGCTGTTGCGGTCGCCAATGATGATAGAACAATGTCGGATAGCATCAAATGACAGTGCAACCCAAGGTGAAGAACTCCGGCTTCATACATGGATATGCATTCTTGGCGTTTGAAGAGGCGTTGTTTATAGCGGCGCGGAGAGGGATTTGGAAGGACTAACTGAAAGGGAACCAGGGACTGGCTGCTATATGTACGGAAGACCGTGTAGATCACAGTAGCAATCGGAATCAAGTATTTCCGGGCGTCACCTGAAGACCACCGTTCTCTCTCCCTCTTTCTAGATATGACTAGGTAGGTCTATTGCCACTACAAGTCAATAAACGGAAGTACTACGTAGCTTCCTTGGGAACCTCCAGTATGTACATTGTGTTTGCCCGTATTTCGCGCCTTGAACTCTCCTCGCAACGTCGGGAACTCGGCAAGATACATTGGGTGGCCTGATATCTTCAGGACAATAGACTCTCCGGCATCAAAAACGATCCCACCAGGCCATATACTTGTCTCTATACGAGCAACTGTTCCAGGCGGGATTCTTTCCTCGACAAGATGCTTGTGTCGGATGAAGTGTGGCGTCGAGAGCTTCTCATCGATTGCGCGATGACTGGCTCGGATCTGACCATGTGGACCGAGATACACGAGAGTGTTTACCATTGGCAAATTGTCGTCTGAAAGTCCTTGGGCTTCTATATCTTCTTTCGGAATATTGTGATACTGCAACATCTTGCCCGATGCATCTTCTTTGCGAATCTGCAAAAAGATATCCATATCATCGGCATCATCGCAAGACATCCATAGGACCGTCTTTGGCGCACCAAGGAGATACGTCCGTCTGGTGAAGGTATATCTGAAACGCACTTCTCCCGGGTCGTTGTCCATTTGGAAGGCCGGCAGGTCGGATTGGTACTGCACAACAGCTTTTTCTGAAGGCGAATTCTCCAACAGCCGTTCTCCAGGAGCTAGGAACATGGTCTTGTATGTAGTCCCCGAGACTGGCCAGCTGGGAACTGGTAGGTTTACAATGTTCGGCTTTCAGCGTCAGTCTGGTGCGGTTTGCAAAGGAAGCAGTGCTTACTAGATTATAACCCAGGAGTGAAATTCGGACTTTGGGAAGCTTTTCCAACTCATTGTCGATGCCCTTTGCGTAACGGTCGAAAAAGAGTTGAAGCTCATCATTGTTGCTTGGCTGATAGAGATCGTGCCATTCTTGTGTCGTGTGGATTCGAAGCCTGTCAACAAACCGTCTGGTCAGCAATCAAGCCTCCTGGCTCTCAGGGATACTGCGATCACGGAATGACGAACCACTTGTTCTGGTTTGGGAGTTCCTCAAAGCCACGCAGGCTACCAGGCAAGTGTAGCATTGTTGAATAACTGGCTAACACATATGCAGGTACCTCGATTTGGTGGATCTTTGCTCTCTTGTCAAGCCAATAGTCGTTAATAACGGGGTATTTTCTCAGCATGGCGACAGGGTCCTCCAGTCTTTCTCTCCCTATTTAGTGTCTCAGCGCCATGGCTCTGGAGAGTTGATGGTGTCGAAAGGAGTACAAGCTTCTAGCCAGATGGGTCACTTACCGTGGAAGCCGTTCATCATCCATTCCAGGAAAGGCTCACATGAAATTCCACCCCTGACGTGGATTTCTCGATAAAGATCAGTGGAAGCCTCCAGAGGGGCAATACACTTGAGAGATGGAGGTCTTTGAGCAGCAATGTACCACTGCGAGCGACCCAACCAAGAATTCCCTATCAAGCAGACACTACCGTTGCACCAGGGTTGACTCGCGATCCACTCGATAGCATCATACCCGTCACGACCTTCCTGGTCTCCGGCCCAGCTGGTGTGGGTGTTAGCATGGTCGTGCGACATAGATGGCTTTACAAACCATAGGTAACCCTCAGAATCCCATGAGCCTCTCGAGTCAATGTTGACCACTGCATAACCTCGTTTTGTCCACTCAGCAGGGTCTGGACCTTCGAATTTCTCAAACCCAGAGAGATTTGACTTTGGGATACCCATACTGCCCGGCATGTCTGTCAAATTCATTCCTGTCACGAGTCAGCCATATGTAACACAACTTGTCATCAAACAGATTCTTGGGTTATATACCTCGACCCGACTTCCCATAAGGACTCCAAGGCAACAACACCGGCACAGTCTCCTTTGCGTCGGGCCTGAATATGTCGCATTTGAGGATGGTGCCATCTCGCACTCTAATGTCGACGTTCTTCTCAAAGATTGTCTGCGTTGAGAAAGCGCGATTCTCAGGCGTCTTCTTGAACCCCACTGGTAGCACTTTTACTGAGTGTTCGTCGCCATCATATCGTGGGTGTGACGCAGGATCTTTGAGACTTCTAAACAACAGCTCGATTTCGCCCGTCTTGACTGGGCCAAGCTTGCCATTTCCGGGTGCCATGGCTCGAAGATTCACTGAAATACTTCGATCACTACCACGTATGCTTGATGCCCACAGGGAAAGAAGTCGTTGCTTTGGCTGTCCCTAGGTCTCCAATCCAAGTGTCAATTCAAAAGTGGACATTGAACAACCGAAGAGTCTCCGAAACTCCTGGAGACAGCCTCAACCAGAAGCGTAGCGGCCGTGCCTTCTCTAAGGTTCGCTGGACGGCGAATTCACAATTGGCTGGGGTGCTTTCCCACCGGGGACAGAAAAACAGCCTCGTTGCAAAGAGACCTCTCGCAGTGTCTGGATACCCCGACCCTCCCCCACTTCAGCTCCGTCTGGGGGATTCAGGACGACAAGGCACGAGGAAGAGTGGGACATTTCGCCTCAATCGGAACACCGAAGGGCCGAAGCAATTCCGCAATCATAGATTTCGGGGTAGGAAGCTTGATCGAAATTCCACGTCTAGCCGCGAGCCTGGAGTCCGAGTACGGGTTGAAAAAGAAAGATACGTACCGAAGTCGAGAAATTCTACATCACCCCATTCTTTGGTTCAAGGATATCTTTCAGAGTCCTTCAAGAGAATCATCATGATTACTCTACGTCCACTCAAACGCTTCGTAACCGAAAATAACGCACAAGGCAAGGCGGTCTTCTCCAAGCAAATCGACGAGGATTTAGCTATGAACGAACTCAAACAACTTCCTCTGCAGGGCAGCTCCCTGCCAGCGAAAATGGGTCTCGGATATGCTACGAATGAATTTCCTGCCAAGCTAGCGGGCGCAAAAGATGTCAAAACATACGAGGGATACCTCAAGAAAGGTCCTGGTATATCCATCGATAATGGAACAGTGTTCCGATTCCTCGACTTTCCACCTGGTTCGATCTCAGAGATGCATAGAACCAAGAGTCTCGACTATGGCGTTGTCATCGAAGGATCGGTAGTAGCAGGGCTGGATTCTGGAGAGACAAGGGTGCTTCATCGTGGCGACAGCTGCGTCCAAAGGGCCACAAATCATGACTGGAAAAACGCGAGCGATACTGAATGGGCGCGTGTGATGTTTGTCCTGCTAGACACAGAGCCAGATTGGGATTCTTCTGAGGGGAACTTCAGGAACGAATAGACTCAGTCGAGAGGGTCAAATAATACTAGATTATGACCTCGATAACTCGTTTTATTATTGGTAGTCAACACAGGTTGCATGTTCAGCCGTGCTTCAGAGTGACTTCTACTCTCTGATCAGTTTATGGTTAATGAAACGATCTTCTGCACAAGATACGACACGCTGGAGGCTCTCCAAGCAGACTCAAATGTTACATTCACTACTCTTAGGGAATCTGTCCTAGAGTTCTATGATTCTTTCCTCTTTAATCACCATTCCCCTCCAATCTTCCACCTTGTTAGTCCAGGCCACCATCGAGCCCCTGTGGCCTCCCAGAGCACAGTAGACGTCTATCGAGCGTCAGTTGATCGTATGCTCGCCAGGTTAATGTGCGATGCGGCATATCCCATTTGCTCACCGATTGCATTCGGACCCCGCGCATCATGACAGAAATGAATGCATACTCGATTGCGTTGGATCCATAGGGTCTTTCACTGGCGTCGAGATGTCGATTTCCCGGACGATATCGTGGCACGCGTCTGTACTCTGTAGGCCAGCCCGCAGGGTTTGGTGTGATGTTGTCCTGGTCGGCCGTTTCATGATCTAGTGAGTATATCTGCCTCGGGCGTTGCTGGCTTGGAGAGTTCAAAGTCACGGTGGCAGAAGGTGACGTTGCTTGAGACAATCTGGTTGTCGCCGTACTCGTGGGAGCCATTTTGGCGACAGCGAATTCGATTCAATATGGGGACTTTGGGTAGGATAGAGTGTATAACTGAATATCGTGACAAGGGATGGATTGTCGTTGTACCAAAATTCACATTGCTGTCGATTTCGATTCTTCATTCCCATCACGACTTGTCGTTTGGGGTCCACCCTCCCACCTCCGGCCCCGCATCTTCCCATTCGTCCAAATCATTCATGGGGAAGATGGAACACAAGGCTCCGGACCGCGACTAACTGCTTCAGGTCCTCTCGTGGATTCTGTTCGCCGGGGCGAGGATGGAGATTGACTGAAACCTGAACAAAGCACTCAGAACGACGATTCCATCACTCGGCCGAAGCGTTCAGCATATCGTCTTTCCTGCCAGAAGACTTTGGCTGGGAAGCTCTTCCGCTTTAGAAGAAGAACACGGACTCGTCCAAAAGTCGACTGTATATCCATCCCACTGGGCAGGACAGTATATAAACATCATGGCTAAAATGGTGGTTCAGCCTGCTTCAGAAAGGCTTTATAACGAACTGCTCGACACTGCTTCCGACGGAAGAGGTCGTAATGCTCGATATCGTCAAAATCAGATCCTTTTTCTTCACAATCAATTGAGGGTCGACCTTGAGAAGATCCAGACAGCCATCAAAAAGGATACATCCTCGACTGAAGCCGACATTGATATAGAACTTGGCCTTTCATTGAATGCTGTCCGCCGCATGTACGAGGGTGTCGATTTCAATAAGAGTCTTGAAGATGAATTCCGAATCGCAAAAAAATCAGACAATATCGACAGACGGATTCCCTACGGCGTCGTCCTCATCAGACCCACTCTACATACGAGGTTCTTTTCAATCATATCAGCATTGGCAGCAGCATTCGCGGCGGGAAATGTGGTGCTATTGGAAGTGAGAGCCCTACATTTTTTGTTATACCGGAGCTTCATTTCTTGCTCGTATGTTGTAACTGACATGACACAACAAAATCCAGTTGGAATCAAGCTTGCGAGCTGTAGACCAATATTTCCGGAGGGAATTCAAAGTCTTGGACAATGCCTCTTGTATCATTGTCACCACGAGAGTCGACAATGCCGCCTTTCTAGCGAGATGTCGACTCATCGACCAGACTACACCGGTGCTCGACTACCCTGATTCTCTGCAACACCGATCTCATCAGATCACCGTCGCCGTGATTGACAGAACGGCCGACATTTCCAAAGCAGCTCGAGCGATCCTTGCGTCCAAGTGTCGTTTCCGAGGAACTTCACCCTATGGTGTCGACGTCGTCCTTGTCAACGAATGGATCAAAGAAAAGTTCCTGGCACAGTGCAGAGAAGTGATCGACACAGAACGCACGACCTTAGGCGCCATCGACAAGGATCGATCTGAGAAACATAGAACCAAATCTTTGAAATTGCAGGGCGAACACCTGCTTGATCTTCATGGAATAAACATATCTGAATATGATGGCAGGTAAGTCAAGGATGAGCGTCGGTAAATTTTGAAGCAACCTTATGCCGATTGATTCTTGCCTTGTAGCGCGCCTGAACTTCGAGAAAAGTCTTCGGCGTATGCTCTGCGACTTGTGACCGTGACTGGACTGGTGGAAGCTACGACGATCGCCTCAGCAATGTATGCGTGTCCCAGCAGACCCCCTTTTCTACATCGGAATTAACTCTCATCAACTAATGCGATTGATCATTAGGGGCCCGCTATCGGCCTTGTACCCATTCTCCAACCCAGGGGAGGCCAAGTACCTCTCGCAGCATATCGACAGCGACATATGTATGGTCAACCAGATTCCGTCGTCGCTACTGGGTAAGTTTGTGTATTCTCGTTGGGTCCAACAATGCTCATCATTCATATACAGTTGGCCCATGCATACCAGTGGGCAGTCTGTCTGCCGATATCGATATACGGTACGATACAAACCTCATGTCCAAGCCAGCACCTCAGTGGGTCCACGACCTTTCACCAAGGACCGACCCTCGGCAGTTTTACCAGCAAGCATCAGCCCCCGTAAAACCAGTGAAGCAACATTCTGGCTTCGATATCGGTTTTTTTGATAGAGGTGCCATTACAGGTGCCGTGATAATAATTCTACCGCCTCTTTGTGCGTTGGCCTATGGAGGATACCGTGCTGCCGCCCACGTTTATCACTGCTGTATTTGATAGTTGTAACTTCTGGGGGCAAAAAATGTATCTTCTGCAGTTTGGGCAACGATCTGAATAGCATTCTGGATATCCTAGTAAAGTATGATAATACTTAATAAGTTCAAGACTTACCTGTTCTTTTGGTAGCATGGTCGAATGTCAAGAGTTTCATTACGTTGGGTATTGACCATGGTTGCCAAAATATCGATCGATTATTCATCAAACTTATTTAACAGGCTACTGGAAAGGCTTCCCAAGAACCAAAAGTGTATTGATCGTTACACATGTTTCCCAATTCCCAAGTCTCTGCGCCGAACTCCACAGGAGCTCCGACATCGTCCTCGTGGCCGACCAAGCCGGCACAGAAGCAGGCGGCGATGAAGTGGTCGTCGGTGCCGTGGGCGTCCCTGAAATCGGGTAGCTTCATCAGACTGACCACGGCACGTCGAAGTGCGGGACCCGAATTCTTCATGACGGCGTCCTCGAATTCTTGTCGGAAGTTGAGAGCCCAGTTCGCAGGGGGGACCTCTTGCGCGAAATTGTCGTTGTATTTCACGATCGGACCCCACACGTTGCGGTAGAGGTTGTGAACGGCACCTCCGGTACCCATGAGCAGGACGTCGGGTCTGGATCGCAAAGATCGCAACGCCATGCCCATCCTCATGTGGAAGTGTGGGTCGTACCTCGCGTTGGTACTGAGGACCGTGGTCGGCGGCATGTTGCCGCCAGGGAACATTCTGATGATAAGAGTGTAGATGTCGTGTATCCAGACACAAGACTTGTTGGGTTTGGCGTTGAAACCGGAGTCACGAAGGAGTTGGATGACATGTTCGCCCATGGGCAAGTCGGGGATCAGTTTGTAGTCCTTGTACCATCGAGGGTGCACTCCTCCGATGGGGTCTTTGCCCGGGTTGGGATTCATCGAGACTTGAATCTCATCGTTCAGTGCGGACCAGTGGGCGCCCTGGTTTTGGCGAAGTCCAGAGAGGTCAGATCTTTTGGTTTTTACCATCCAGCATCGTGTGCCGTAGGAAGTTACAACTAACCATGATGATAATGTGTTTGACTCCGTGACGGAGGGCCGCTTGACCACACTTCTCCCAGTAATCTGCCGAAGTAGACTCTTCGCCCAACATACTGGGGGTTCCATGAGAGAAAAAGTGCACCGGGGTCAATAGTTTTGGGGAGGACGGTGTCTTGTTGGTGGCCATACTTCAATCTTGGTTGTTGATATGTGTTTAGTGTTCGTTCAATGATCTGAGCCAGAAACAATGTATGAATATCCAGACAATCAGTGCAGAAGTGCTGATGAGGAAGCAGTCCGTATTCAGCTCGAGTCGTTGTTGGATATCAAAGTGAAAGGTCAGTGTTTTTGGACGACCCGAACCCCATCATCAACCACCCGCCACCGAAGAGGTATAGGATGGGCTCTCGAAAAATCACATGTCGCACCATGACACCAGTAGTGTACATCCCGCAACCTGGGACTTTGTCGAACTGTTGTTCACAACTCGCCCGAGAACTCGGCACACGGACGTTGTAAGTCCCGAGCATACCGTAGAGCCAGAAGAAGAAAAGGCGGGGGCCCCACAATGCAAACCTCGTCTCCGTTTGTGGGTCCGGGGGCTTCCATGACCCATTCAAGTATGAGTACTTGGTACAAAAGGGAAGCAACGGCCCCTCATTTAGTTTTCCATCAATAGTTCTACAGCTGCCCTCCGATACCATGCAATCAACTTTCAGTGTGCTTCTCAATTCGGCCCCGTCTCGCAGCGATCACGACTTGCTCCCAGGTTCTCCCGTTCCGACCGACGAAGCCACCGTGTCGCAAGCCTGTCCCGATCGCTTCTTCGCCGGCGTGTCGAGGTTGGGACCTGAATCCGGTGACTCTGTAGAGACACCGTACAGATGCCCGCGCTGTGACAAGCGTTTCGCGCGTCTCGACCACGTCAAAAGACATCTTCAATCGCGTGAGTGGATCTGCTTTTGGTTTTGGTTTTGGCTTTGGCGGGGGGGGGGTGGTAATTGTTGGCGTTTTTGGCGTCAACATACACAATTTCCGAAGAAGAGCCACCTGGCTGACCATGAAACAGATGAGAATTCTCGTTCTCATCAATGTCATCTCTGTATGAAGAAGTTCAATAGAAAGTGAGTCCGTCTGACAAGGCTGTTTGGTGCTAAGCACGCAGTGTCTAACCTTCCCACGTAACATTACCAGAGATCTTCTTGATCGTCATATTACAATCCATGAACCTCGTAGTGGTCTCTCTGAAAAGAGTCGCAAGAGGAAAGACCGTGCTGCAAAGGCCTGTCACTGGTGTATTGTGGCAAAGACAAAATGCTCCGATGAACGACCGTGTGAAAGGTGTCAGCAGCGGGCACTCCCTTGCGACATTCATGGTGAACCAACAACGCCCCCGAGCCTTTCATCCTTTACAGTGACATCTGTCGGCAATGAGCTGCTAAGCAACAACGACCCGTCTCTACCAACCATGAACCATGTTTTGGATCAAAGTGAGAGTATTGGTCCTTCGATACAACCCACACGTTACGAAGATGACCTTCACATGAACGGCGGCGGCTCTCTGTCCACTCAAACGGGGGACAGAGATGGCGAATCTTCTTCCTCTGCACTCCAACCACAACTACCTGATACAACGCAAAACAGGCAAGACTGGAACATGTCGGGTGATTTGAACGAGGTTCCTTATCTCCTGGAATACGATTTTTCCTTCGACTACGATGTTAGCAACTTGTTCGCCATGGACTTGGATTGGAACGCACTGGTCGAACCTAGCTTTGCTCCTCCAAGCGAGTTTACTTCCGTCTCGGGTGACAACCAGAATCAAGACGTTTCTCATGCCCCGCCAACCTCACGAGCAGTCTTGGGTCATGAGGCTTTCAAGCGTTCGCCGTGGGTGTGGCAAGCCGACTCTCATGACTCGGCAGACGTAGAGGAGGCTCCTCACCTTTCCAAAGCTCAGGAGAAGCTACTATTGCCTCGATTTCTCCTAGACAGAAACTCGGTGACTTCAATGGCAATTCCACCTACGATGGGAGACAGTGCTAGAGATGCCATACTCTTGCTGGTGCAGCGGAACTCGGGGCCCACCACAACCGTTCAATCGTTCCCCTCTGTACAAACATTAAACTTTCTGTTGATGAATTTTTTGTTCCGGGAGAAAGATGAGGGTTGTCCCTTTATCCACATGCCATCCTTGGTCCCAGACAAGTGCCGGCCAGAGTTACTGACGGCCATGATCGCAGCTGGGGCTGTGACTGTCGGCATCGACCAGATCTGGAGGTTGGGGTTGGCCTTCCAGGAGAGGACCAGGATGGCTCTCTTTCACGCCATGGACACGGATAGCTCACTCCCTCGAAATCTGGACGTCGTCCGGGCTTCCCTTCTCTGGATCGAGACTGGCTTGTGGTGTGGCTCGGGTAGGAAGATGGAAGTGGCTGATTCAGCTGCGAATAACGTCCCAACTGAACGTTTTTGCTGTTATGCGCTCGTGTCACAGATAGCTAACGTGTCTATTAGATGCTCCGTCGAGCTGGTGTTTTGTACGCCGGCTTTTATGAAACCGAAACTGCCCCCCTTACAAGCGACAACGGTGACGTGCTCAAGACGAAATGGTTGAAATGGGTGAAATTGGAATCCTTCAAACGGTACAATGCAGACCTCGTTACAGTCTTGTCACAACACCAACTAATACTTCATATCACAGGTTGGCACTTCGCGCCTTGATGAGCGACGTACAGAGTGCCATGGCCAGCATGCGAAGTACAACTTTCTCCAGCACCGACATCAATTTTGCCCTACCTGCTTCCCGAGATTTGTGGGACGCTTCGAGTGCCAGAAAGTGGAAAACGCTTGTGCTCGCGAAAAAGGATTCATTAGAAACCACTCCCACCCTCACCTTGATGGACATAATCCAAGATCCCTGGAAGTTGAGGACTTGTGGGGACAATTATGACCGCGTTCTCTCCATCACCGCGGCGTTGTATTGCCTTTGGCCTCAGGTGGCATCTTTCTTGGACAGCCGAGCTCTGCAAAGATCATTGACGACCGCCGACAAGCCGCCGGCTTCCTCGAGTCCAATGTGGCTCGAAGCCCAACGGCAAGATCTGTATCAAAGGTTGTCCAGCCTACGAGAGCTGGCGAGATCCATCGACTCGTTGACCGCCGACGTCCACATGGCGTGTGAGTTGTTTTCCATGTCCCTGTTTGTGTCACCGATCGACACTCAAAAGTTTGTGGGTCGTTGTGGTGCGGAAGAATCTCAAGTCGTCGCACCGAGTCTTCAGTACTGGGCCGAGAGTGATGAACGTCGTTACGCCATGTGGCACGCAGGTCAGGTCCTACGAGCGGCAAGAAACATGATCCCTGCGCACATTCAAGGGTTCCGTGCGATTTCCGTGTATCAAGCTTGCCTAACACTCGCATTGCCACATTTATTGTCTGGGTCCGGTCGACAACCGCTGGTTAGGTCTGGTGAAATGATGATGGAGCGTGACATGACCGGTGGGAATCAACAAACAACAGCATCAGCGTTACCGTGTTCAACGGATGTCATGACCACGGGTAAACTTGTCATATTGAACGACGAAGAAGGTATACAATCCAAATCTTACTTGTCGTCTAGAGGAGGTCATCAAACCCCGGCATTACTCGTCAGCGGTGGTCGAGTTCAACCGATCTCGAACGTGGAGATGATTGCCAATACCATGGCGGGAATCTTTCGTGACAATCACCGACGCGGCTCATCATCCACCACCAACAATTCTACTCTTCCGCCTCTCCTGGAAAGATTGATTGCTCTGTTGACGGAGTTGAGTAAAGCTACATAGATAACAGTGTGGTGTTGTCGAAGTGAAAAGAATAATCAGTCCGCAATGATGAGTCGAAGGAGTTAGTTCCCTTGTTTTCAAAACCAGAGTCTTTTACATGCGCAAAACAATGTGTAGACACTAGATGGATGTGTTTGTCATTGTTCCATCTCCAAAACATTTCCGATCCTGTCGTGCTCTCCTTCGTACCATGGTATCCCTATCCTTACGTCTGACTTGTCTCACATTCCAGTCAACGGAGGTATGACCGGCAAGACCACATAATTGAGCAACCCATCACCGAAATGGATATGATTCAACCCGGCCAGTTTCGAGGCAGGTCTGTCCACAGGGTTGTCGTGGGAAAACAATCCCGAACCTTGACTGTCCCCGGACGAGACTTCAAACACCAAAGAACCTCCCTTTTCGACCACCACGTTTGTTGGCCAAACCTCGACGTCGACCTCATAGACTTTACCGGGTGCGACCGATTGTATGTCTGTAGAGAGATAATTTCGATGTGGGACGTACTCTCGGTGTCTCGGGTGACTGGTGTCCACTTTCCTCAGACTCAACCGTAACCATCCCTTGGACAAGGGGACAGGATCTCCAGCCGCACCTGTATAGAAGATTTCTTCACCGTCTTCACCGACGTGACGTAAAGTGACAAAGACGTCGAGTTCCGATTCTTCTTGATATTCAGCTGCATCTTTCTCATCCTCGTCCCTGTGCTCGTCCTGACGACTCCTTGACAAATTCAAATGTGCTGTAACATGACCAGTAATTTCTGTCTCTTTTTCAAAGGCAGCACTCTGGAAGCTCACAATCTGAGGATCTTTCATACTCCCCAAAGCCTTGTAATCTATTACTTTGGTGGTGGAAGATGACGAAGGCGGATCGACCCCCAGAGACAAATCAGGACCCAAATACCATCTTTGATAATCTGTTCGAGCAATCGGCCATTCATTTTCTGGTCGGGTGGAAAAGTCCTTTTCTGCCGCGGCGTCATTGACACCCTTGTCCCCCTTCCGGAGACGGATCGAAACTTTCGGGACTTTTCCAGTCTTCCAACCTGCCCAGTCGTCATCTTTCAAGAAACAATCGAGAAATCCACGTTGTACCTCGACTTCCTCGGGATAATAGAATGGTAGGTCGTGACGTCCAGTAATGAACCTCAACCACTTGTGTTGAGATCCCGCCCAGGTATATCCTTCGACATTTCCCCTCAAGTGAAGAGTGATACCTCCCCAGTTGGCAACGGAAAGTAAAGGTACTTGGATGTCTTCCAGACGATAATCTCTTTTGGAATAATATTCGTCGTCTAGGAATCGATTTTCTACAACATATCACAATTGAAGAATCAGCATCGCAATTCACGCCAGAGTATTTCCAACATGGATTGTGCATCTTCAAGGAATGTGTGTGTGAGTGACTCCGCGCGAAACACGCGGACGGTGGATATTTGGTGGGCACTTACTTTCATTGTCTACGTTTTGATCTCTCCGATTGAATTCCAAATCTTCGGGACTCAAATCACCTTCGATGGTATCTTCACCCCATTCGGAAGAGGCCCGACCGGGTCTCCCGTACTGGTTCGTGATCACCTGTCGATTCCACCAGAACCTGATGAAACCGTTGGACAAGATCCCTCCGGGTCGACAACGATCGCGGTAATAATCCGACATGCCTTCCCAAGGGATGATGGCCGCGAGTCCCTTGGGTCTCCGGGCGGCCACTCTCCATTGACTACCGGCATAGTAACTGATCCCCAGCAAACCTACTCTACCAGAACACCACGGTTGTTCGGCCGCCCATTCCACAACGTCGAAAAATGCCTCGCTCGTACCTCTAGACATTGTATCCATGATTCCAGGGGATTGACCCAGGCCCACCTCGTCGGCTCTGACTATGGCGTAACCGTGTCGACACCAAAAGACCGGTTCGGGAGTTTCCCAAGCTGCGTATCGTGACTTGTGTTCTGCAGGGACTTGACTGTACGAAGCTCGATGGAAACTAGAGACAGATCCCCGCCAATGAATATTAGTTTGATGGGCAAGGTATGAAAATAAGGGACAAAGAAAAAACGTACTCTCCATAAAAAATGTCTTTTCCGTATGGACCATAAGTGACCAAGACTGGATATCTGCGTGAGGTATCCACAGGACGATAGATGTTTGCTCGGACTGGCAAATTCGACCCCTTGAGAGGTACAGAGACATTCTTCTCGAAAATCAATCCATTTTCTTGGTCAGCCTTGACTTCTTTCAAGTCTCGAATTTCATGTCTCACCACCGCTGTGGCGGCGGATTGAGACTGTGCTGATGAGGATGATGCCATCATGATGTGACGGCATCGATTTCTGTTGGAACAAGGAAACAAATACCTAGGTACTATTCAACAACAGACCAAACTCGAGGCTCGGCTTGAAGGTATGTAAGTTGTGCATCAACATGGTCCTTTTCATCCATGACCGTAGACCGGACCAAGCTACCACTACACAGTCTGTGTTGTTCGGAGGTAGACTGTTCCGTAGCCGGCGCTCTGCGGTTGAGTGAGTACCTACCGGCCCCAGAGAGGGGGGACGTCCCTGATGTGAACACGTCCGGAGTATGGAGTACGGAAAGTATTAGTATCGCGACAATTCTGGTCGAAGAATGATTCACGTGGGGTCCGTGGATCCTCGCCGACGTTGACCCCCGGAATTGCCCTAAACCCCTTTTCGTTCCCCCGTCCGGCCCCTCTTTGTGTATTTTCAGCCTCGCTCACACAAAATATGAAACTTCCGGGGAAAGGGGGAAAACTGTTCCTTCACCCTTGACGTCCCACAATGGACGCTGCTGGGACACTATCTTTCTTTCTGGCTGCAAGTAATGACCTCTTCTCTCATGCCCGGACTCGGTCTCGAGTTGTCACCGATCAAAACTGAGACTTCCGGTATTTGAAAATCCAACCCTGTGAGGCCTGCACCGCTAGCATGAACACTTTCCGGTGTGGTTTACGGCCTCTGGTGAGAGACCGTAATGGATCTCATGTTGCTCGAATCCTGCATTTGATTTCTAGTCTTATGATGGCTCTTGTCGAACGTTCTGGTACATAGAGAATGCTAGTGCCTTGTATTTTTCTACAAAACACGGTCCCTTAAAGAATCTCTTCATTTCCTTGTCTCTGGTCAATTGAACAAGTCGATCCCCTAAATGATGTCCCACTCAAGTATTCCTGCAACAACTAACGGGGAGTCGTGTGCACCGCCACGACCTCTGGAAGTCATCGTCATCGGTGCTGGCATTGCCGGGCTGACTGTAGGTATTGCTCTGCGCAAGAACGGTCATCATGTAAAGGTACGAACTTTTAGTATTACAAACCCGAATTTTGACAGGTTTAGCTGACAGCTAGACAAAAGATTTATGAGCAGAGTCGCTTCGCTCAAGAGTTGGGTGCGGCGGTCCACGTGGCTCCGAACGCGCATGGCTTGTTGAAAAAACTCGGTGTCGATCCCCAGGTCGGAGCGAACAAGGTGGAATGGGTAAGTCTCCATGAATATATAACCTCCATTGGGGGGTTCTTTTCCTCAAGTGAAACTAATCCATGGCAGATTCGCGAATTCACAGCATCTGGTGAATTGAATCGAGAAATTGATCTAAGCCAATCAGCAAAGTTATGGCAACATGTGAGTTCGTAGAGATTTGAGATGAACCATCCTCAAAGATCCTCTGACAGGTGTTGTAGGATTGGTTGTCGGCGCATCGTGTACGTCTCCATGAGGCGTTGAAAGAGGAAGCCTTGTCAGAGGATGGCCCTGGACGCCCGTGCGAGCTGCATCTGTCCAGCTCTGTCGTCAACGTCGATCCTCACAATGCATCGATAACGCTGAAGGGTGGGACCAAAATCTCTGCCGACGTCGTCATTGGTGCCGACGGTGTCCATTCCAAATCCCGTCGCAATGTGCCTGGCGGGGAGAATGCAAAGACAGTTGGTTCGGGAAAAAATGGCTTCAGGTTCATGATACCTCGTGAGGATGTGTTGAATGATCCCATCACCAGACCTCTCTTCGACAAGCCTGGCCAATTTTCCGTCATTCTCGGCACGGATCGACGAATCATCACCTATCCGACGTCGGATAATACACTCCTGAACTTCCTCTGTATACACCCGGAAGAGATGTCTGATCCGGGCGACGATAGCTGGAGCACCGAGACGAGCAGAGCCGCCGTCCTGGATGTCTACCGAGATTTTGCTCCAGAGTTCCTGGCCCTCCTCGAAAAGGCGAATGCCGAGTCTTTGAAGGTGTGGAAGCTGTTGGATATGGAAACCCTCCCCGGGTTCGTGAACGGTCGATTTGCCTTGATAGGAGATGCGGCCCATCCATTCCTGCCGCATCAGGGCCAAGGGGCCGCCATGGCCATGGAAGACGCCGTGGCTCTCAGCGTGGTCTTGGAACCCGGGTTGGCATGTCAGGAGATTCCAGAGCGATTGAAACTCTACAACTCGATTCGATATGAGCGAGCGTGTAAGGTCCAGGAAGTAACACGTATCGCTGGGCAGGACATCCCGGACAAGAAACTCGACAGTAAGTTCATGTCTGTCGCCATTCCGCTGCCCTGTTGTTGCAGACATTAATCGTGTTTCGTTAGCAATCGAACACCGGAAATACAATTTCGGACATGACGAGTTTCACAACTCTGCGCAAAGGTTGAGAGAATGGAAGTGGGCGAGAATGAATAAATCTGCGCTCACGATGCCTGTCGCTTTCGCCCCGATCCTCACCACGCTTTCATCTTCGACCTCGTCGCCATCATTCGTCACTGCTTCAATCCAGTTCAGAACTTCGAAGACGCTGCTGCGAAGCTTTTTACCTTCAGGAGTGCCAGCTTTGTCTTTTGAGGCTCCGGGTACCGTCGTGACTTGCTCATTCGCGCACACTTCGTTGGACGGGCTGGGCTGGCTCGACGGTGGTCGCTGCGAATCGTCTGGGCTGTACATTCACGATGTTAGTTACGACACATCGTACGGCAAGAAGTTCCGTGGAACCTACGTTCCTGTCATCTTCAACAACCAGACGGATTGTATCGTTCGTGACCGCGAGCATTACGGGCTCAATGCAGTGTACAGCTCGATGAATGTCGAGCATGACGGGAACCGCTACCACGCCAGTGCCTTTTCAAACGGACACGCCTGGGCGGAGTTAGCGCTAGAAGATTTGCAGCCAGTTCCTTCAGATGCACTCGCCGCTTTGGGCACACCCACATTGGCAGGAACAATGCAAGATGAAGGCCTTTTGACTTGGAGATGCTCGCCCACATTTGACACCAAGACTTCCGACTTTGGTCTCTGGATTCCGTTCAAGCAGGGCGATGAAGATGTTCGTGTCACCCAGGCGTGGAAAACCGAAAAAGCGTCTATTCGATTCGAGTCCAACACATCACTGAAGAGACCGATACTTGCCGAAGTTGCCAGCAGACTATCAGAGATACCAGTGTTTGATGTTTTGAGTGCTCACGTGGTCACAGGCACGGGTATCCCATCTTTTGGTCAACCACAGCGTATATGATAAGTGACATGTGGATGTGGAATAAGGGAGGCTTTGATTCCCGAGTAATCGCTGTGGTGTTGGGCCTCACCGTTATATTGTTGACATAGACATGATGGACTTCGTAGACAATCAGCTTCCCTTCAGCTTTCCAGGTGGATAATCTTTAGCCATAATGGTATCTGCCACTGATGATGTGGTGCCATTCTCTACCTTTGCTCCTCACTATGCATAATTTGAAAAATCCAGTGACCAATGTACAGTGTGCAACATTGTTCAGAGCACGTTTAACAGATCCAGGCTGCCTCGATCCAGCATGGTGGGACCTTTACGGAGAGGGGCCGGGAATCCGGGGTCGTCAATAGACTTTGTTTTCGAAAGCCGGGGCCAAGTTGTTTCTTCGCTGACTCGCGGGGAGAGACCGGAACGTCGACCCTTGGTTGCTCAAGTCCCTCGGTGAACTCAATTCTTGCTGTCCGCTCCAGTAAAGAGTCACGGGAGAAAATATAGTGCCGTAAGAAGGAGGCCAAAGGGTTTTGTGGTGGTGGGAAGAAGTTCCAGGCCCATCAATCACAAGCGAATGGCTTATTGCTTCCCCAGATTTTGAACTTGGCGCATCTCTTTTCCTGATCACATATGGGTCTTTGTACCGGCCAGCGGTTTGTGAGAAATCGATAGATACCCGCGGGCCCCCACACAAGCTTGATACTAGATAAATATGTCTCTATCGTGCACGCCCTTGCTCATCCCTGAGAACCTAGACCGAATGCTCTCAAGTTGTCTTAAGCACCATCAGTGAAAAATTTGACTCCCAAGAATGACAATGGAAGACAAGGATTCAGTTGCTCTTTCGCAAATCTCGCATGTCGAGGATCACTCGTCTCGTCAGCAGCCTCTAGGCGCGCAGGGGAGCATGTCCCAAAATCTTGAGGATGACGAGCCTTCGCAGCATTTATCGCTCAGGGGATTCATCGTCTTGACGGTAAGGAGAGAACAATGGTTTCAGGATTCACAAGAACGACAGTTCAAGCTGACGATGACTCCACAGGGGATTGTAGGAACATATTTCGCTACGATGATTCACCTTGCCGGGTCCGGCCTCCTCGCACAAACCATTGCAGCGTACTTGGGGGCACCAAGTCAGTCTACCTGGCTCACTCTTTCTTTGATCATCATGCCCATCACTCTCGGTCCTTCAATCGCCCAGGCGGCCGACTTTTGGGGTCGCAAGGTCTTTGTCGTCGCGGGGATGGTCTTTGGCTTCACGGGGTGTCTCATCGTGTCGCGATCGAACAGCATTGGAATGGCCATAGCAGGCCAGGCAATCGGAGGCCTCGGTCAGCCGACCCAGGCGTTGACGCATGCCATCATGTCTGAAATCATGCCACGCAAGTACCGCTCGTACGCTCAAGCCGCTCTTCAAATCTCGGTCGCCCTGTCTGCGGTGACGGCCCTGTACGTCGGAGGCGCCATGTCGAGAACAAACCCTGAAGGGTTCCGGAATTACTTCTACTTCGCTGCCGCCTGCTTCTTCTTCAACGCCGTGGTATTTGCATTCCTCTACCGGCCCCCTCCTCGTGCTCTGCAGCAACTGGGTATCTGGATCAAGATTCGCAGCTTCGATATCGGTGGAATGTGTTTGACAATAACTTCCTTCTTGGGTATCTGCATAGGTTTAGGATGGTCTCAAAACCCCTATCCATGGTCCAACGTCCACGTTTGGCTCCCCTTCGGCCTCGGCGCCGTCTCGACCGTTGGGTTGGTCATCTATGCCACCCGGTTCAAGCGCGATGGCATCTATCATTGCGACCTGTTCGGCTCCCGCAACTTTGTCATCGCCGAAATCTGCTTCTTCGCAGAAGGCTTTATGTTTCTGGCATTCAACAACTATGTCCCCTACCAGATTTCATTCTTGTATGGCAAGGACTTGTTCCACACGGCTCTCGAATACAGCATCGCTTGGTGGGTGGTCACTGTGGGTGCCTATCTTGGAGGCATTTACACTGCTCGTACCAGAACCATTCGCCCACCGCTGGTGTTCTCCTTCATTATGATGGCGGCCTTCTTTGGGGCGATGGCGGGCAGCAATCTGTCTTCCAATGTCCATATATATGGTCTTGTCGCCTTGTTTGGGCTAGCTTTGGGCATGGCCATGTGTAGTCTGGTGGTCCTGGGTCAAATATCGGTCCGTGCTGATTTGATCTCAACCGCGTCGGGCCTGTTGCTGGCGACTCGCGCCGGTGGAGGGACTGTCGGACTCGCCGTTTACAATGCTCTGTTCAATGCCGCAGTCGCTGACAAGCTGGCATCAAAAGTCGGCGCCGCTGCCATATCTCATGGGCTTCCGCCATCCTCACTTGGTCAGTTATTGGGTGCTCTTACCCACAACGATCAGCAAGCACTTGGCCACGTCCCAGGAATCAATCCACAGATAATCCAGGCCTCCGTGCTAGCCATGAAGGAAAGTTTCAACATTGCGTTCCGAAATGTATACATCATGTCAACTGCGATGGCAGGTGTTGTGCTCATAAGTATGTTCGACCCTGATCACAGGAACATTTCTCGTTATATACTGACATGGGTCATAGTCTCCTGTCTCATGAAAGAACCAAAGGATCAATTCACAAAAGCAATCGATGCTCCGCTTTTCAACAACGAGAAGCCCAAAGAAGTCATGGTTGATGATTGATAAGTAAACTCACCGTCTTTGAGGAGACGAAGGCTCGGGTCGCGTCGTGAGTAATGCGCGTGCAGTCGGACTAAAACAGTTTGAGCCTCGGGTGAACATCGCCGACAGAACGTGGAATAGATGAGACGAGTAGGAATGTGATCCTGCTGTTTTAGGAGGTCAAAAAATGAATTTCGTCGTTTTTCTTTGTCCTTTATAAAGCATTTGCTGAGCTCTCCATATTTTTCTCTTGGTTGTATCAGCCGGTCTGGCACTTTCTGTGCAGTCTTGTAATCCCTTCGCTCAAAATCTTCGTAATCTGTGAATACATACTCTGAGCTACTTTTTTCCTAGCCCTGAGTCCACAAGTGTCCAGAAATTTCCTTGATGTGACGATGAGAAAGTGTGGAGGAGAGGTGTGTTTATCCCGGTGCATTTGATTAGCTGTCCTTTATGATGCCCTTCGGCGTATTGTATCTCGCGTCTACGTTTGCTTCGACTTGACCGATTTCCTTTCCGCAGCAATCGAGCCGGCAACAGTAAGAATGCCCAAAGCAAGTGGAATATACAACGTTTGTGATACCGCCTCATTGTAGCCAGCCAGGACGACCCTCAGCTTCTCACTACCGATGTAACGTCTGAGATCGGATAAGCCAGCATCTGCAATTGCTGTGACGTTGGCGCCGGGTTCGTGCTGTTGGATTTCACGGACTAGGCGATTCTGAAACAAGGCTGCCGATGCACATGTCCACAATGCAGAGCCCATGCCTCCGCCGAATCCCACGATTGCCGCGCCGATCGAGATGTCCTTTGGGGAGAGGGTTGCTTGCACGATGAGTGAGGGTGTCGAGAGGCTAAGGCCGATAGCGATGCCCAAGAACGCTAGCAAAGCGGCCACTTTGACATGACTTTCATCCGGGTCCAGCGTGGTGAGCAGGCCGGAGGCGACAGGCGCGAAGATACTCGTCGCAAACATGAAAGCTGGGATGCGATGTTAGCCAGACAGAGACGCTCCTTATGTCCTCAAAACCAAGATGATACGTACGGTAATAATACCCTATGGCTGAAGTTCCCAAGCCGGACATCACAGTCGCCACACCGAGGCCTACGATCATAGGCAGACCCAGCAAGCCTGATGTGGTTGCCGAGAGTCCCTGCACACCTTGGAAATAGATGGCAATGTAATACTCGGTGACTGCCAGAACTCCGTTGCAACAGGACGAAAACCACATGGCAGCGAGGATGCTCCGCTTTTTGACGATTCTCGGTGGGAGGATGGCGACATCACCCTGGCGGTATTGTAGATATGCAAAGCCCGAGGAAAGCACTCCAAAAAGAACGAAAACAAGGATGATGCGCCAATCCTTCCATCCATATTTGATACCTCCCCATTGCAAGCCCATAAGCAGACACGTCACGGATGGGATGACCAGCAAAGTGCCTACAGGATCGAGGCATCGAATTTTGGCTCTCCACGGCATTGACTCATCCGGGTTCAAGATGAAATCGTGAAAGCCGTAAAGGATGAAAACGATGCAGAGTACGCCCAAAGGAATGTTGATGGCGAAACAAGCTCTCCAGCTGAACGCATCGATCAGGGCACCCCCGATCATGGGAGCGGTTACCAGGCCGATGACGAGCAAGCACTCACAAGGCTCATGGCCATGGGCAGCTTCGAGACGGGGAAACAGTGTCTCATGAGCTTCAGACCACCGCCTTGGATGGCGCTCGTCCCAACTCCGGCAATCGATCTCCCCAAGATGAACATGTGGGAACTTTGGGAGAAGGTGCAAAGTAAAGACCCGAGCTCGAAGACGGCGATTCCAAACACAAACAGAGGTTTGATGGAGTACAAGGTATACATCTTCCCAAAGCTATCGAATCATGTCAGCAAGTAGCAGAGTGGGCCGTGCTAGACAAACGCACAAGAAGATGAGAGCGCTGCTGGTCATCATGCTGGAGACACAGTTCGGTTAGTCTACTTTGTGAGACATCGGGTTGTCTTGACCAAACCTACTATGATGCCGAGTACCAGCCAATATCATTCACTGTCTTGAACTGGTCAGTCAAACTCGGTACCGCCACGGCAACAATGGTCAGGTCCTGGAGATGGTCAGCGTAAGGCGTTACTCAGGTCCAGCGTGGAACATGATACCAATCCATGTAAGAAGGAGGCGAGGCAGAACGACGATACAGCGAGCCATAGTTTAGTGCCGGTAGGATACTCGATGTCGTCGTCGTCTCCATTGTTCCCAACTTCTTCCACTTCAAACAGTTCTCGAGCATGGGTGGATTCTTGAGCAGTGGACGCTTCAGTCTGTGGATCCTCTAACACTCTGCTGCTTGATGCTCGTTGAATGGTAGAGATTTCCATTATCTACAATGTCGCGACTATTATCTCAAAAAGAGAGCAATTCAAAGCATCGTCTTTGAATCTCTTCAACCATTTTTGAGCTTGAATTACTGTTGCCTAGTCCGTATTGACATGGGACCCCCCCCGCAATGTTTAATTGTAGTCATAGTTGCCGTGGCTTGCTTTTGACGGTACTTTTGGACTTCCCCTCGGCCGTCCCAGGGATGAGTACGGAGTACAAGGCGGCATCGACCTCATCTCGATTGGGATCGAGGAAGGAGCCGTTTTAAGGCCAAAGGAATAGTACTCGAACGGTAACCGACCGTCATAGTGTTGTTCAGGGTCCGCGGGATGAGGTCAACCAAGGGTCACGGCGGCATAACCAAACATTGGCTGGAATTTGATTATCCTTTCTCGGCACAAAGATGTAGTGTACTTGTAATTTTGTCATAAATCAATGGTTGGTACGGAGTACAAGGAACATGTCGGGCTTGTCCGGGGGCGTCCAAGTTCAAACCTGGGGATGCGAACAAACACGAGAAACAAAGGCGTAGAAGTAGTATGTGCTTGTCAGTATCTTATCACCACGTGACTCAATCTTCAGGAGACGCAACGTTGCCTCTTTCTTTCATCACCTTCTCGTATTCGTACACCAGTGAGTTTAGAAAAGGGGCCCGTCACTCGGTCAATTTCAACAACATCTGTCAACATCTCTTGTCACTTTTTGCTTCGGAGGGCCTTCGAGACGCGCGCGTGGTGTCTGACTCTTTTGATTCCTTTTTCTAAGAAGGAAACACGATCAAAGAACGCGGTTCAGCAAGCCATACATCACACGCACGGATATATCTGTCCTTTTTCCCCCCTCCGCGTATCTGACACCAACAACAACACCAACACCAACAACATTTTCCAACCATCTTTCTTGAGAACAATACCACCTTCTTGCGCCGATCCATCACAACCCATAAACCAATTCACATTTGAAAACTTCAAGTCACGAGAGTATACAAGAGTCTATACGGACAAATCACCAACTTGAGCTCATCAACATCAATATCAATATCGAATATTGTTTTAACACAATGGTATGTTTTTGGAATTATCATCAATCACCAAGCCACACCACTCTCTTCTTGCAAAGCGGAGGGGGTAAAGGCCCCCGGTCATTTCTTTTCGCGATCGCCTCTTGGAGAAGGATTTTGCTTTTTCCACGGAAAACATCAATCAAGGAATTATTCATTCGAGACTCATCAAATCATTAACACAATTTTCTCTCCATCGTTGTTAGGCCCAAACACCGACTCAACGCCGGGCGAATGAAAAGCACGCCAAATCCGTCGAGAAGCGTATGGGCAAGCCCGAAACCGCGTACAAGAAGAAAGAGGTCAAAAGGTCACCTGTCGGTGTAGCTGCTGTCGGTATGGGGTTTTGGTTTCTTTTTGTCAATCTAAACACACCCCCTAAACTGACAACAAAACTACAGTTCTACTGATCTTCGTCGTCATCGCCCCGTTGCTCATCGAACAATTGAGACTCCTCCCCCAAGTCTGGAACTTCATTCTGGGCCTGTTGGCCAAGGTCGGCTTGGTGTCGAAATGATTTGATCTTTCCCCCAATCACTACCAGCAGAACGGACTACTTGCAACTGCAACACAAAGGTCTTTTGCCGGCTTCCACGCTACATCTCCCGATCTCGACAAGTCAAGCAGCAGCAACCACTCGGAAAAAACAGAAATCTCGGACTCTTGAAGAATGAATTGCATCGGCGCCACCATCACGCAAATGTTACACCGCCATTTGTTCGAAACGTTCGGTTCTTGAATCAGCCATGCCGTGCCTGTTTGTGCGTGGCTTAGCTAAGGATACGGAAACGGATAGTGTACACATCAGAGAGACTAAATGGATCCAAAAAAAACTGCCCATTACAAGCTCATCTAATTTCTTGTCCCTGATTTCACCCTATTAATAAGTAGCCTAGCCCTGTCACTACTCTCTCTTAGTAGGGAATTCCATTCGTGAGAAGCTGGAACTCGTCGTAGACCTTGGTAGACACATTCCCCGCGCTCTTCTTAATACACCCAAGCATGAACTCGGCCGCCTCTCTGTCCGACTTATCAAGGACGAACCGGTTTCTAAAGTTGCGCATCGTCTCGGGCTTGAAGCAAGGCAAACCACTGTCCAACATCAAGCTGACGAGATGACTCAGCTTTTCGCAGTACTGCCGGCTACACAAGAATGCTTTGATCGTAAGCTCTTCGAACCATCTGTACGACTGTGAAATGTTGGGATCATCTCCGCCCATCACCGCAATCATCTCGGGAGTCAGCTTGAATGGAGCTCGTTCGAACTTGACCCCACCTGGTGCAATGTCGAAACAGAACCCAAAGTCGATGTGAAGGATATGGCCCTTGTCATCGATCATAATGTTCCCGTTGTGTCGGTCCTTGAACTGGAGAAGGTAGCTGATCACCGAGTATGCAGCCATACTTTTCACAAATTCATGTCTGGCCTCCTGGTATCGGATCGAGTGCTCGCCGCCATACTTCGTGATAAAGTAATCGTGAAGGCCGTTGACCGCCTCTCTGCCCAGCATGTCACGACTGATGGAGTTAGGAAGGACGTCAATTACTCCACAACCAGGGGCTGTTGCCGTAACTCGGTACGGAAACACATACACGTCCAAGCCAACCGAATTGAAGATGCCACGGAATGCCGCAATCATTTGCAGTGCAAGGACGTCCTGTCGGCAATCATCTCCGACCTTGAAGATGGCACTCTGCCAGACCTCGTACGTTCGTGGATTGTCGTCAAGTCCAAGATCCGATATCTCATTTGTGTTCTGCCGGCTGTGGCCTCTGCGTGGCACATGAATGGCCTTGAAAGCTGTCTCGGCATTGGATCTGGGGTCGTTCTCGGGTGTTTCTCTGGTCTTGCGGATTCTGAAGGTTGCCATGTAAGGTGCTTTAGCATGAGACTGTAACGGTTTTCCCGACTTGCGGTCGATGCCGACAACAACACCATCAGGGTTACTTGGAAGGTAGACGCCCACTTCAACTTTGATCTTGCGCAACTCTTCTTCAATCTTGGCTTTCTTTTCAGGCTTGGGCTTTTTGATGAATGGCTTGAGTTTGCCCGAGATATCCGTAACCTCGCCGAAGAAAGCAAACTCTCTCTGGTAAAAGTCTCGGTCTGCGCCAGAGAAACTGGAGACCAAACTGTCCATGACCTTGTCAAGCGTTGGTTTGACAGAATCTGGCTCTTGGGAATCTTCGTCTTTGTACGCATTAGCCTTCATGTTCCAGATGATTTGATGGGCAAAAAGCTGCGAAAACTTTCCGGTTTCAATGATGTACCGCTCGACATAGCCCAAGGCATCATATCGAAGGCTCTGTACGATCTGAGGAACGTAGAAGAACGTAACATCCACAGAGTGGCTCTCGAGTGCACCCATAGCGTACTGAAGCACGAAAGGATGGTTTCCGAATGCGGGCAAGAAGTACGTGACAGCTTGCATCGGGTTAACTGGCGCCCAATAAAGGAGATATTTCAATTGACCGGACACATCTGACGGTAGTTTGTCCCCAATCAAAAGGTCGATCGCGTCCGGTTCGTTCAAAGCTTTGTCGGTAAAATTGAGAAGCAAGAATCGTACATCCCGGCGGAGTTGTTCACTCGGAAATCGAGACACAAGCTGCACCGCTAGAGCGGGGTTCTCGAGCCATGCAGTGCGAGAGTACACTGCAATCTGAGCCTCCGAATGGGTTTGATGACCTGCATGACCTAGAGGTGCAAGCCAAACATTGAGACGGGTAATCTCGTTTTGGAGGAGAGCTTCGAGTAGGTCCTGTTTCTGTTGGGGGTCTTTCCGTGAGACAGCAGTCGCTAAGACCGGCTGTTTGGCACTCTGTAAGGATACAAGCACATCCTGCATGATCTGAACTTCAGCCTTGAGTTGCAAGCGGTTGCCCCCAAAAGACCATGACAGCGGATGAGAGAACCACTGAAGGCCAACAGAGAGAATCAAGTCCCTCAGCTTCCACATGTAAAGCTTACTGATACAAGTGCTAGTTTTCAGAACTCGCAACGCGAAGTGCACAAGTGAGAACTGCATCTCACGTAGAAGCGGGTGCCCTTTGATGTGAATGAAGCCCAACAAAGTCCGCTCAAGCATGCGCACGAAATTGCGTTGTGTATTTCCACTTCCAAGCCTGATCGAATTGAAATGGCTTTGGAAGAATTGTAATAATCGAAAATGCGGCGAAATAGTATTGTGGGCGTTCTGAGCTTGCCTTTGAATTGCGGCCTTGTCAGTGGGTGCAAACTCTTCCTTGACATAGAACGGGTCGTGGTGCCGGAAACTTGGGTTGAAAATCCCTTCCTTGCGGTCAATCGTCTTCTCCCAAGCCTGGGCGGCCTCCATCAAGATTCTAGGCTCCATTCTGGGATTCTCATGAATGACACCTAGCCAAAGAGATATTCCCAATTTAATGGACTCCTTCGTAAAGATTTGGAAAGGTATGTGGACGAGGTGGTGGACTATCGTCGTTTGAGACTTCTTACTCTGACACAAGAGTGCCGCAGCACGGCGTAGAACATCCTTCACCTCGGAAGCCTGTACATGCGTCTTGTGTTCTGTACGCTTGTGCAAATCGAGTAGTACATTACTCAGTACATAGGTATTGTCAGTGGCCTGCCGTCCTACTGAGGCTCTTCGTCCGGTAATATTATCGATATGGACGTTGCCTAGCTGATAGTCGGGTATACCGGTGAACCGATACTCTTGACGTGTAGTATACTGCGCCATAAAGTCTGAAGCCATGTTGATATGAGTGAAATCGCCTTTCTGGTCGAGTGCACTAAGCCTATGATCGAGTGGAGGTATCATGGAGCCCATCTCCAGCGCAAAAGACCTCCCCAAGCTGACATGACCATAAGCACCCGTGTCATCGAATTCTGAAAGGTAAGTCTGGAGGAGGCCTTTAACATCCAGTGGTGCCACTCCCATAACAGTTGCGACCCATTTCTTTGCATCACTGTACAGGGTGTTCAATGTGCGTTTCCTGAAGGCGTAATCGTCTGACAACTCGATTGTAATTTTGCCCCTGGTGGATGTGAGGAATGGTCTCCATTCATATTCGTCCACATCTGCGTCTAGACAGCTTGACCACATGAGAGACAAGAGTTCCAGCAAGGCGAATAAAGCAGCCTTCTGACAGAGTGCCGAGGGGGCAAAGGAGATGATATGATTCGTGGCTGTTCTGGCAACCTCCTGCATTTTGCCACTCCTGTGACAACAGCCACTCAGGATATCGGCTAGTTGTCGAGACACATAAGGTGCACTGAATTCCATCTCACCCCCAACAATCACCTTTGAGGTGTACCTCTTGACTACCTCGTTGGCGATCGAGGTGAGGCACAAACCCATGTGGCTGGTCTGGGTTGTCGGATCGGTGAAGTAGTCAAGGATTTCGGCACAGCTCCCAGAGGTAGCTCGAAGGCTTTCCACGAGGAAAACGGCATTGAGGAACACTACTTTTTGGTAGCTCAATTGTCGGACGTCGGAATCTCTCTCGGGGATTGCAGCAATGAGATTCTTCCTTTGTTCTGCGGTGTGTTGTGGGCTCATTCCTCGGCGAAGTACAGTGTTCAGTTCAACATCCGACTCCAGCAGCTCGGCGCGGTCGTCATCGACTAATGGTCTGGAATTCATAGCCAGCAGGCGAAGTTCGTGGTAATACTGCTGACCAATGCGAGATTGGAGCGTGATGCCATGAACTGCAATATTGTACCAAACTTCACGACTCATGGCCAAAATATCAGGATCTTCAATGAAACCGCCTTCCTGAGATGATACAGGTCGTCGCGAGGCAATAATCGAAAGTGGTTTCAGAAGAGGTGCTATCTCTTTGGCTGCTTGTTCGACCTCTGCTGACTGTTTGAACTCGCCTTCTACGACATCGCCCTTGCTAAGGATCCGCTCGAGCAAGTGTGTCGCGAAGATCTTGAACAGCGGCGACCGACTGCCAATGTTGTAGGCCAAGTACTCCTCGGCATTCCGAACAGCATCGAAGATAAGGTTGTTGTCCTGGAGCAAAGCTTCGCGATGAAGTCTTGAGTAGAGCCTAAGGAGAGTTTTGAACTCATTCTCTTTGCCCTGAATCGAGAGTCTCGCAGATTGCTCTATGATTCGAGCATCGACTGGCAAGCTGATTCTTCCAACTTTCTGTATCATCATTGTCTGCACAAGTGCTGTTATTCGAGGATCCTTGCACTCCCTTGCTATTACCACAATAGCGTGCGCGACATTTCCGCACACTAGAGAAGTCTCCTCGTCGCCGCTCAACGAAAGAGAGAAAACACTTCCCGTCCGCAATTTAGACGCGGATGAAAGAGATCCGTGATGACCGTTGATTTCTCCACCCGCCCAGGGGTGATGCGTTTTTTCCGCTCCAGTCTGTGAGCTGAGAACATTGCCCAGCGAGTAAACTGTGGTGATTACAGCGTCTTGAGATAACATCTTCAATATGTGTGACAGGCTCTGTGCTGCAATGGCGACAGCTTCGGAAGTTGACGTTCCACGAACTATGAACCGCAGCAGAACACGTGCAAAATTCGAGGCCTCTTCCGGTACGTGCTTGGCCACAATAGCGAGGCTCTTCAATGCAATGTCGGCCAAGTTGATGTCGGCCATCTGTGCTTGGTTTCCAATGGAGTCCTCTAGCCAGTTGAAGAGATCGTCAGGATCTGCCAGATCCTCGTCTAGAATCATACAATGGAGAAAAGCCTCCAGGGCATATGCTTTGACTGAAAATGCGAGACGCTGTTGCCAAGCTGAACTTAACTGCAAGTAATCGGAGCCGTCTTCAAGGACACGTATCTGATCAGAAATGATGCTGACCAGATATTCGATCATGTCCTCGGTAACATCCTCGTCCCTAGAGCGTCCGAGATGGGTTCCAGCAATGTACTGATCCAGGACATCCCCACATTCAACAGTATGCTCATCACAAAGCATTCTGGACGTACAAGCCAACACAAGTTTCATAAACCCTTTCTGCAGCATCATGGCCCCCACGGGTAGACCCTGAGCAGCGAATCTTTTCAAATATTTCTTCCAGTCTCTCGAACTCATGTGAGCAGATATGGACGTCCGTATGGCAGAGGAAGCTGTTTCAACCCTTATGAGAAACTTGTCCGACAAGGATTCTTCTAGGGTACGAATGAGTTCGACCCTTTCGTAGGACGACCAAAAGTTCTCGTGCAGAGCCGCCGCATCTAAAAAGCCGACCAAGGACACCGTGATAGCAGCGACCTCTTGCGCTTCTCCTTCATTGTCTTCGTCGTGCTCTTCTGCGCCTAAAGATACTAGTGCTCCGGCGGACTGTGACCAGTTGGAGAGATAGGTCTTAAGACACTCTGACACTCTGACTTTGAGAGTGGGAAACCGTAGGCCAAGTATAAGAAGAGCTTGGGTCAGCTGGAAAGTGAGCGCTGTCCATGGCGCGGGTTTGATCTCGTGGAGAAATGGCGAGGGAGCAAACAGTTGTGCATGCGCTTCAGGAAGGTAAGTAGATAGTTGGTTGACGAGACGTTCGGCATGGGAAGGATCGTGGATATTGTGAGCACTACCACACAACGCGAGGAGGATGTCGAGTTCTCGAAGTGTGATTAATGTTCGCGAGGTTGGCGTAAGTGCTCGGAGGACGCCATCGAGGACGCCATTCGGCTGGTTTTTCGCAGGGAGAATCGAAGAGGTCAAGCGACGAAAATCTGCTTCTCTGTGATGAGATCGCTGAGCCGTAAGTATGGCAAGCTTGTGGAAGGCCTGCCGTCGCAGGCCGCCATAACCTCTGCAAGTGAATTAGCAGGTTGAATTTGTTGGAAGGAAGTTCGCGTACAGGTCCATCTGGCACCTGGCAAGCGTGAAGTTCACGCAAGCCTGCCTTGCAATCTGACCTGAGTCGTTATTGGCAATGCTGTGTTGCTGCTCATTGTCAAGGACAGCGTCTACAGGCCAAAAACGTGGTGGCTGTTGGCTCGCTTGGCTGGCGCTTGTGGTACGGGCTTTGTGTACATATTAATATGAGTAAGGATACGGGTTAAGCTCTACTCCGTACCTAGGTGGCTACTCGATAGTATTAGAGGTGTATTGTTTACTTGAAGCTTAGGGGCCTTTACCGGGCGTCCTCGGTCGTTTCCGGGCTCACGTGGCCTGGAGATCCCAGCTACTGGCTACCTTTAGTTAGGTGCATACAGTATGTTGGTTAGGTAGCCTCCTCATAGCCTTAGCATCCTTCATTAGTAAATTCACTTAGTGAATGTTATGCTTCTTCCATCTTTCTCGTCTACGCAGAATAATATCGTCATATCCTAGCACAAAGCAATGCAAATATCTTCCAGTGCCATACCATATTATAGCAATCTTTCATAGATACTCCGTACCTTTGACTACCTTAATAAGATGAATCAAGAAATTCAACATTCTCACTCGTCTCGTCCAGCTCTACTGCTGCAACGCTGCCAGATAATTTGCTAACGAATTTTTGAGTGGCTCTTACAAATTCCTAACATCAAGCGATACGGGTATACTCCGTATCTAAGACACTGTTGAGCGTTAGTATGAATGGCTATCCTGAGTAATGAGATGTTCAATAGGTACGGAGTGCATTGGACGAAGTTGAAGTTCTGGTCATTTGAAACAATTGAAGTCAGTATTCGCAAATATAAATTTCAGACATCCGTTCACTCTTCAAGCTCAACATTAACAATTCTAGGAGATCCTTGTCACTCTTCTTATACCCACTCACGAACTCTGTAGATATGCGCTATTCGGGCCTACAAAGAGAGGTTATGAAATTATACAGACAATGTCTACGAGCCGCTGGGAAGAAGCCTGAGGTTTGTACGAGGTTTTGTCTCTCTTTGCCACTGACTAATTGACTCCAAGTCAAGCAAGGCACACTTTCGAGATGCAGCCAGGTAAGCATGAATTGCCACTGGGTCTCTTGGTTGATGTCTGACCTGACCGATCAGGCGCGAATTTCGCAAGCATCAGAAGGTTGACAAGAAGGATTTCGCCGCAATCGAAGCTCTATTGCGCATGGGCTCGCGAAAGCTCGAACTGTACTCTTCCCCGGGCGTCAGGGACATCCACTGATCGACCTATGCAATCATTCAGCAAAAGTCTCGAGCCGTGCAGGCTCCTGTATCCTAGCTGACAAAACGAAGCCCCTCGAGTCTCAGCGTCCTGCAAAATGCAACCACCATGCAATGTCACGTGATCATGGAATATCGGAGAAACATTTCGCCACTTCCACAAGGCACCAGAATTAGGCCGATGCTGCTTGCGTGGTTGAGAAGCATCCAGCAACATATGGATTATGCTTGCTCAGCGACCTTGAACCTCCCAGGGCTTTCTATCATGGACAACACTGGGGTATATATTCTTGATCGACACGGCCATGGCTTGTATCAGACAATCATCCAGATCAAGTCTTATGCACTCTTCGAGAACCATTAGATCTCAAGCCTCAAGGAACATCCTTAAATCAGCACCATCCAGAAACATGTCGTTCTTCTTCCCCAGAATCTCCTACGCCCCAGCGCGATGCAGCCCTGTCAGTCGACACGAGTTTGCCCCTCTCTTCAGTCTCTTCGATGACACTTTGAACGAAATTCAGAGAGCCAGCCGACAATCGAGAAAACAATTCAACCCTCGCTTTGACGTGAAAGAGACTCAGGATGCCTACTCACTCGAGGGTGAACTCCCTGGCGTCGACCAGAAGGATCTCAATATCGAATTCACCGACGAGCATACCTTGACCATCAAGGGTCGCACCCAGCGTTACGTCGAATCCGGTCGACCGACTTCAGCCAGCATTGAAGGTGAAAAGAAGGCGGCCCTGGAGGAAGCCCCTGCATCGGAAACCAGCAGCGTTAAGTCACATCAACCCACCGTCGAAGATGAAGAACCAGCCGATTCATCTGCTGCTCCGGCCACCACAAATGAGAAGAGCGAAGTCGCGGCGCCGACCGCAGCCCCAGTAGCAGAACCAGAACAGCCACAACAGCAGTTCTGGATCTCTGAGCGCTCCGTCGGCGAGTTCACACGCAGCTTCAGCTTCCCAGCACGTGTAAACCAGGAGGCAGTGCGTGCTTCGCTTAAGAATGGCGTTCTCAGCATTGTTGTCCCCAAGGCATCAGCTCCCGAGAGCAGACGCATCAACATCGAATAAGCGCATTGGCTGGGAACAAGTGTGGCTTTGTACTAACGACAACCTGACTGCATGACGACCCTTCATAGCATGACGATTGGCATAGCTTGGCGTTGGCGACGGATTCCAGGGTCATCTTTTTACCTGCACAGGCGTGGAAGTGCTACATTGGCGCCGGCATGGCTAGGATGTATGTACACTAGATACGGAGTATGAGTGCTAGGATCGAAGAACTCAGCTCTCTCGCTCCACAAGGATAATCAAGATACTTGATAGACACAAATGACTGATGCTTAAGACAAATAACAATTTTTCCCCTAGTATGAATTTCCGTTGCTCTCGTGGAGTATTTTTGCTCGTCCATCACGTACTGATAGACCTGTGCATATTCAATCTTTCCTGGTGGGGCGTGTCTTTTCCGCGAAACTCGTAGCCTGGTACCCTGTATAACATGAATACTGCCTACTTTTGATGCATACGTAATTGAGGCGCGGGACGTGCAGAGTCGTGAATAACCAACAAAGTCCACTGGGCTGCCGAGTTACGACGACTCGTAAGGAAGGTGTGCGTACGGATATGCAAGACTGCAGTCTACACTCCACGCGAGTATGGAGTACCGTGCCCTGTCATTCGGCGTCCCAGCTTCTGAAACTCTGGGATATTGGTTGCTGTACAGGTGTCAGGTCCGGCATGTGGTTGTGAGTGTGACCGCTTTTCCAGCCATCTGACCCAAAAGAGATCGAGGATCTTCGGATCATCGTGCTCTAGATGTTCTTTTCTGCAGCATCTGAACGATCGACTTGTGAACAGACGATGGGCAAGCCACAAAGCAGCAATCTCGATCCCCTCGTCTCGCAGTGATTGGATTCACCCAGAAACCAGATTAGGTCACGCTCCTCTGGCAACTGGATGGTGTGGCGTTGAGCAGGGGTATACGAGTCGCTTCATCATGATCCGGCGTTAGCGGTGGCTGAAGGATGCATTAGGCTGGGGATAAACCTGGTTTTCTGGGCTGGAGTTGGCTGTGGGAAGCCTAAACTGCGCCTGTTGCCCTGCCCGCAAAATTGTTTATCGTCCTGGGGCCAGAGCCAATTAGAAGGGCAGTTTCCACCGACGAGGGGCCCTTTGGCTGCATCTGCTGCTGCACCTTCCGCATGGACCATACGTACTGCTGTATCCATCACCCATTCACCACCCTTCACCTCATTCCTGATGTCTTGAAACCTTCACCCACAACCTGACGGCCAGTCAGCACCTCTCACCGTCATTGAAAGTCGTTCGTTTTCGCCTCTTTTGCTTTATACGGAGTATCACCCAGCCATTCGCTTTCGACACTCCCGATTGCCCTCGCTCTTCGCTTCCTGCTCTTCGACGTCTGTCACGCCTAAAGCACTGACCTGTTGCATGTTTCACGTAAATGTCACAGCGATAATAGCGATAACCTACAAGCTGGGGCCCTTGCTGCCTCCCAGCGAGACATCCTGCTAACCAGACCCTCGTTTCATATGTCACTGATCGGAGATCGGATGCTACTAATGCCATGGCTGTAAGGTTCTCATGCAGCCTTCCATTAGTCTAACAAAAGCTGTCTGCGACGATCTTTTGCTCTCCTCCTTCCATCTCAGGAGTGAGTCTTTCAGCAGCTCAGGATGCGGTTCGCTCGCCAGAGATCGGACAAGGCAATCGAAGTTGTTGGCCGGGAACCTGAAGCCCGCCGCAGGAATCGTCTCTCGAAGCCTTTAACCAACAAGCTTGCCACGAGCATCTCTACCACTACTCTCCCAGAACCTGCCCCCAAACCGTGGAATATCAGTACTGCTGAGGTCCGATCGGGTGGCCCCTTGTCGAGCCACCCGAGCACCGCTGCTCTTCGCCAGCAGATCCGAACGGATGTCTTCGGCTCACCTTCAGAATCTCCTAGCAAGCACTCGAAAAATGACTCAGCATGGAGCGTTGCATATATGGTGAAGGAGGCAGAACATGCCCCAGTAGAAGAGCCTGGCACCCTGCAGCAGGAAGAGCAGCCGCCATCGCCTGTGAAGCCCAAAAAGAGGAAGTCGTTGATATTACGTCGGTTATCTACACAGCGCTCGACCAGCATAAGAAGCTCCACAAGTAGTGGAAGGCTCAACTCTCTGAATGACGAGGCTGCCGCTGTGTCCACTCCAGCATCTTCTCTTGATCGGATTGTCGACGGGCCTTCAATTCCACCAACTCGACGAGCCTCATTCACACCCGGTGCGGCTACGAGGAAGGCTTCCAGAGCACTGAAAGAGGAACAAATTGATGAAGTGGCGACACCCGAGGAGACGGAAGTGTGTCATGTTGGGACAGACTATTTTGAGTGGCAGCCACCCGCCTGCCCGGCAATCTTGGGAAGAGTAGGTACACCAGCCGATCTGAACTACTCTCACCTTGCGGGCTTCCGACATGGGTCTTTGCAGGTTGTGAATGGTCGAGCCTCCCCAGCAATTAGTGAGATGTCAAAGGTTTCTCGTCACCTCTTGTCGGCACCAAAGGCCAATAGGGATGTCTCGAGTGATTATGGTGATGCTGACGACGAGCTTCCGACAATCGTCGGCATTGACAGTCATTTACCATTGCACAGTGCATCAAGAACGAAGTCTGAACGTCATTATTTGAGCCGGGAAAGTCACAAGCCGGAAGAGCACCAGACCACCATTCGAATCGTTACGGAAGCTGAGCCAGTTCCGACAAAAGATGCGGATCAGACTTCTTTAATGGCACGCGAGTACATGGCCGAACTCCCAGACAGCCCATTTTCAGAGTTGAATTCCGATTCTTCACCTGGATCCCTACGAAAAACCAAGTCTGAAGGCCTGCTGCGAACTTTTTCGTCATCTTCATCCCTCGTTGCATCGCCGCCTATTGACAAGCCACCTTCGGCGAGGTCACCTTCCCCTACTGGTTCTGTCATTTACAAGCCGCGCCATGGAGAAGATGGCGAACGAGACCTCAACAACGTGACGCCTTGGTATCCATCAACACAATTTGTTGATGAGGGAATCCAGTCGGTGGCCGGATCGGAAGCGCAGACGTCCCGCGCGCGATTGCAGCCCCCTCCAGCCCCGGAAAAGTCTGATAGTGGCTACAGCTCAAGCACTTCGTTGAAGTCCCTTCAAAGAGAACGAAAGTCTGTACCAGGTGCGGATGGTCAGGCATTGCAAGTGGAGCCAACTTGCACAGCGAACACGCAGGATGAACGACGGGAAGCGAACCCTCTCCGATTCAGCCACAGGCCATCGATCTTGAAGTCACGCAAAACTGCACCTCAGCTCCCTACTTTAGCTGATGTGCGCCCTGCTGAGGTGGCATTGACTCCGTTGCCTGCAGCGCCTGAATTAGGCGCTATCAAGGCCAAACCCGTCAAAACGCGCAAGAAGCTCCAGAAGAAACGCACATTGAGCCAACCTCCTCCCCAGGTCTCCATCGGTCGAGTCCATTCTTTCGAAGGTCAAAGCATCCCTTCGGTCCCACGCGAGGCAAGCGAAGCGCTTCGGCTTCGTTCAGAAATAGTACCCGAGCTTGACAACACGTACCTTCGAGAGACTAGCATCGCAAGCTTTGGCCAGCAGGAATCAGAAATAAGGTTCCCCTCGCCTGCACCCGAGCCACCTGTGGAGATTAAGCGATCCCGCAGTCTCAGTCGCCCAAGATCCTGGATCGGCCGTTCGAAGGAAGACAAAACACCTTCTAGACGCCATTCACTTCTCAGTCAGCATGAGGACAACACGGCAATTCTCTACGATCTTGGGACGGTGGCGTCCTCCTTGGGAGGTAGTCCCTATGACTTGGCCCATGAGAATATAGTGTCTGAACAGACCATGAATCCTTACAATATCTCCACAGTTGCACCGCGACCAAGGTATATGATGGATGATAGGACAGCAGCAGAGCTCTCGAGGTCTAGAAGTCGTCCGGTCCATGAACGCGATGGGAGGTTGACAAGTCGAAAGCCATCGTTCAATGACAGAGGGGGTGTTCCGGGCAGGAACATCAGGCCCGCAAGTTTTGCCAGTGATGCCCCTCCAATTACTGCCGAGATGCTGCAGAACCAGAGACTAGCATCCTTGAGCAGCGTTTCCGCAGTGCCGCCTCCGCCTCCTCCACATGCGCGACGGCCTTCCTATGTTGACTACGAGGAGGACTTGTCCGATAGAGCGTTTGCTCTTCCACCACCATCGCATTCGCCGCGACCTATTGATACTTGCCAGTATCAATGGCCACTTCATGCTACAGCTGGGGAGACCAGGGGTCAGTCCGTTGGTGATGCTTTGCGAGAGCAGTCTTGGAAATCTCGTCCTTCGCAAGATTACTACGAAGACTATCAAGACCCTGGTTACGACGAGACTCTTTATCATGTGTTATCTCCTCCAGACAACCAAGGACAGGGATGGGGCCAATATATGGATTCGACAGAGTTGGACATTTCGAATCAGGACCGACACCGTGACGGTTATACAACGTACAAACAAACCAATTACAATTACTCCGCCTATGCTCATGAGGTACCATATGTGTACAAGTCTCGGCACTATTCGATGATGCAAGACTGCCCTTATTCATATGATGGCGCGGATGACTTCTCCGATTCGATGTACCAAAAGCCCCACCGCTATATCAATCCTCGAGGGTTAGGTTCTAGGAGTCGCTCGTATGGAGCCTATTCTCTTGGGATTCCAGACCAGGATAACTCATACTCGACGTATGGGCAGCACTTTCAGGAAACGGCGTACGACTACCAACGAGGTAATAGTTATAGAAGTCTGCGGGTCCGTGAAGTATAATCTCAACAGGAGCCAACTTTGCATTACAATTCCAGCATCAATGTTTCAGTCATGACTGGAGTGAGAGTCCAGTTCCTTGACTTTAAAGGTGGGAAAAACACCCCGAGAACCAGTCTCTCTTTCTAGCCCTCGTTATTTTGGTGTTTGCCAATGGACGCCCTACAGAACAGTCTTTGGACATTTTGTACATTTTAGTCGGTTATATGTGGTGTTTTGGAGGGTTTGACTTGCACGATTACTATGCATAGTTCGTTGTTTGAAGCGGGAGGATTTAATGAATGGAAGAAATCGTTTCAGCGAGGATCACGACCCTTTTTGTGTATACCTAGGTAATGAGAAGTCAGTATATTTTTCATCCATAGTTTTGGATGTTTGGACCTTGGGGGGCTCTGGGGCTTTGAGATTGGAATGGGACATGCTTTTTTTAATATTGAACAGTGTCAACAGTGGACTCGACAGTTGAAACAGGCAGTAAGCTACAGATTAGGTAGTCGCAGGATACATATCAAGTGTTCTGTACAGTACGAGCAATCATCTTGCTAATGAAGTCGACGGTGCGATTTTATCACGAATGCTCTAGTCCGTGCATCTGATGTACACGAGACGAATCCCGTGGCCTGTTTTCCCCCCATGACACCATCAACCGTGCTGATGTGGAATTTGTACTAGGGACTCGAGAAGTCAGGGTTGTCATCAAGTGAGTAAGTGAGCGAGTGATGACATTCTCTACTTTGTACGCCAAACTGCATTCAAGAAAAGAACCCCTCTCTTTCGTATTCGACATGACCCCAGCACACGGGTGAGCGAGTGCTCGCTTTCTCTTACTCGACAATGTAAAGTATCTTTTTCCAACCCTTGCGGACGACCGGGGGGTGCTCCGCGTCGATGACCTCCTGGAGGCCGGTGTGCATGTCGATCTCCTCGGGGTCCCAGGCCCACTTGTCCTTCCAAAAGACGATCCGGTGGCCAAAGTACATGACGAAAAAGATGGGGATGCCGATGTAGGCGGTCAAAAAGGAAGAGGCGGACCACTTGGAGGGGAAAAAGACGGTGAAGCCGTTGATCAGGCACAACAGGGTGAACATGACCATGGCCACGTAGGCGCCGTAGGGCTGGATCCAATTCCGGTAGACGGGCTGTATGCCCTGGACCTGGCAAGCCTTGCGGAACCTCAAGTAGATGACCATGCAGCAAACCCACGAGGTCATCCCCCACGTGTTGGTGAGGTTGACGAACCAGTTGAACACGGTGGACCCGTTGGACGCGACGTTGAGGTAGGCGAGGCCACAAAAGAGTGAAGAACACCCGACGGCCATGTAGGGGACGCCCCAACGGTTGCATGCCTTGAAGATGCGAGGGGCGGACCCTTGGACGGCGAGACTGTACAGAGCTCGGGACGAGATGTACAGGAAGGAGTTGCCCGAAGACCAGGCCGAGATCAAGATGACGGCGTTGACGATCGACGGGAGGACGTTGATGCCGGCGTTGGCGATGGCGACGACGTAAGGGGAAGATTTGGCACCGGCTCCCCCGGCGGTGAGGCGAGGGTCGTTGCTCGGGCAAGTGACGCCGATGGCCAAGACACCCAGGACGTAAAAGACGACGAGACGGTAAAAGTAACGTCGAGAGGCGATGGGGAGGTTGCGACGGGGGGACTCCATCTCTCCACCGGTGACGACCAGGAGTTCGGGAGCGAAGGTGAATGGGAACACGGATGAGACGACCGTCTGCCAGAATCCCACGAAGCGACCCGTGTTGCCACTGACGATGTAAGCGTTTGCCGCGCCGGGATCCTTCCAGTATCTGAATCCAAGTCGGTCATGAGATGGGCCACCTGAAAGTCGGGAAGTGTTAGTGAACGGAGAAGCCAAAGGAAAACAAGCACACGGTAGACGTACCTCCCCAAAACAAGATAAAACTCAACAGCAGCAAACCGATCATCAGAATGACTTTTGTGCCGGCAAACCAGAATTCAGTCTCTCCATAGAATCGGACCGGCAAGAAATTAAGGGCGATGATGACCACGAGCATGATGGTCATCCACACGGCAATGTTGACGTCGTTGGGCCAGTAGTCGATGACCAAACCAGCCGCGGTGATTTCGTAGGGGACCAGGATTCCAAGGGCGTACCAGTACAGGTAGCCGAGCGCAAAACCCATGGATCGAGAAACGTATCTGTAACCGTAGTAGGACATGGTACCACCGTGGACCGGGAGGTACGCGGCGACCTCAGTGATGGCGGTGACCACGCAGTACACCAGGCACGTCACGAGGATGTAGGAAGCCAGGATGAAAGCAGGACCACCCAGGGCGAGGGTTGCACCAGAACCGACGAACAGACTGGAGAAGAGAAATATTGATTAGTCTTCGGGTCACCTTTTCTGATCTCTTACACGAGAGTTGCAAGTGGGTGTCCGTGGAGAGAGAGAAAGAGGGGGAGAGAACTTACCCAGTACCAATCGTACCACCAAGAGCAATCATCTGAGCATGTCTGCTCTTCAGACCTCGCTGGGTGGTGCGGTATCGTTCATCGAGAAGGTCGGCGGCGACAATGGACTCGGCCACCGAACTCTTTCGCTCGTTCATGGAGCGTTTGCGGTCGACTGCGTCGTATGTGTCGTGTTTTTTGATCTCCTCCCCGTGGACGCCCTTTTCAGGGTCCATGCTTTCACTGGAAGACATTTTGTCGGTGTGGTGTGTGTGTCTGCAATTGTAGATATGCACAGAGGAGGAAGTGGTCGAGGCAAAACACCGGAAGTTGTGTTGCACAAGCTGGTGTATCAGCAGGAGCTACGGTAAGCAGCTCGAGTACGTAGAGGCAGCTTCACTCCTTCAAGTGCTGGCCCGTTTGGCGATACTGTTGCCCGGCCGCTGTGGGCAAACAATACAAAAGGGAAGAAGCAATGAAAGGATGGCTCGGAGAGGGTGTGAGCAGGGGGGGGAAGCATTTGGATCAGAAGGTATGGGAGTGAGCATCATATTTAAACCCATCGCCCTCTTGTACGGAGTATGAGACCCGTTTTCCTGGAGATCTGGATCAGATTGACAGTGATGAGAGCTGACTATCATCTGGCCCTTCCTTCGCTAGGAACTTACCAAGGTAGCATGGCTTGTCCGATTTCTACTCAGCCTGGCGCTGCGTATGGTTGCTGATAAGAAAACAGAACCAGACCCAGGTCAGATCGTGTTGGTGGCTCTTGGCCCGGTCGGTGGAGGATCCGCTTTCTTTCGACGTTATCTATTGCCCGCCACTGGCTTTCAACTCACCCCCCTAATATACGGAGTACACCTCTTGGTCATTGGACCGTGAGACTTTGTTGGTCCCAGTCCCCAGGGACGGATTTCCCGTATTGAGGCGTTGGCCAAGATCGAGAAAGGCTGGCGATAAGCATGGCGAAGGAGTCTTATTATTGACTAAACGTAGTGAAATAAATCCGCATCTGTAGGCCAGGGTTCAGCCTTGAAAGATGTCCAGGTCAGACCATTACCTCCCCCAAAAGCAACTTTCCATGTGGCACCAAGAGATGGCCGGTGTGATGATAACAAGCGTTCCAGAAGGACGCATGGAAAGGCCAGAAGAAAGTCGGGATGACCATGCTGACATGGTTCGTCCACACACACACACACACATAGAGAGAGACTTCATGGAGATGACCTACTCGTATCGTAGGCTAAGCCACGTGCGGAATCAATTTCACCTGTAGCTCATCTCCGTTTGTACCAAGAATCATATTACAGGTACGGATAACAAAGAGATCGTAGTAGAAAATGGAAGTTGACTCCGTGCGGATCGAAAGGTCAAGCCGCTTCTAATCTTGATAGTTTGAGTGCCAGGTAAGACCCTCCAAGAGTCAAGCTCGCCTTGTTATGTTGTACCTTGTAACCACTTTCATAATGGACGCGGCTCAGAAGAAATCATCTTCATCATCATCATCATCGTCAATGGAAGACTCATTATTCACTCCTGAATCTGGTGCCAAGATCCTCCCATTCTCAACTTGACGAGTCGGGGGGCTTTTATTAGAAATCTACATCGGGAATCTATGTTCTTTTTGAGGTATGCAGGCCCAGAACAGTCCCCCCAACTGGTGGTGGTGGTGTGTGTGTGTGTGTGTGTGTGTGTGTGCGTGCGTGCGTCTAATAATCGACACAGCCTTATCAAGGTTTCAGAGAGGTCTCTCGTATGATCATGGGAAACCTCGACGGAAAAGGTTTACTCCGTAAAGTAACAAAATGCCCATATCTTGCAGCATAGCATGGTCTGGACCGCGCGCCACACATGACTTGACGGAGGGGAGGGAGGGATGGAGGGAGGGAGGCTGAAGATAGGAAAGTAAATTTAGGTACCTAAGTCTTTGGCTTTTTCTAGGGCTGGATCTGCTCCTCGGGTTTCATGGACCTTTGACAGAGTACGGAGTATTTCTGACCTATCCGTAGAGTTCCCCCATTCTTGTGTTCGACTGACACTTATCTCATGTGTGGAAATCACACGGAGAAACAATCGCGGCAATATAATAATCGTCTGGAGTAACTCGTTCGGAGAGGTAAAACAATCCCAAGACGACGATGATGATGAAATTGTCAACAGCACGGCCTTGTATTTCGTACTCTTTTCGCTCGAGGGATGTGACGATTCTGTTTGAATGCCCTTATATACATACCAAACGGATAATTTCCAAAAAGGAACTGCGACTGAATTCCACAGCTAGTCTGGCCCATCTTTGCGGAGTAAAAGGCGCCAAAACGGCATAATCTGTGACACACGGGCGATCATAGATGATTTACAGACAAGACCCCATGCAAGCAACGATAAGCGGATAAGCGATGAGGAAACGAGTGTGAAACGATTGGGGATACAACAATCCATGTCTGTGCAGTGCTGCATCTCGACATTACTGCCGGGGGGAGGTGGAAGGGGGATCGCTTTTGAAAATTCCAGACTCGGATCGACATGTCGCAAAGACCATAACAGTAGTGAACCAGGAATACCTTCTTCGTCTACATCGTAACTCTCCTGGGCGCGGACACAAAAGACTCTCTCTTTCGCCCAAAACCGATACGGACATGACCGCCCTGTGAACAGTGACGCACCGTGAGAAGCGGCTCCAGAATTAGCCGTTTGATGTCCTTTATGGCGGAGAAGGACGTGTGCTTCGATCTTCTGTGAGTACAATTGAGGGGGACGGGTTCTATCTACTACTAGGGAGGCGGTCTCATTCATACGGAAACTTACCAGCAATCCTGGGGATCAAAAGCAAGCCGGCGAGAGAAGTAGAGCCAGGCTCGACTTACCCAACCATGCTTGTACAAGGTAAGAGCAATTCTTCCAGCGAGAAGTTTCGGGAGGGGAGCAATGGTTGATGATACTCTGGGTGTAGATTTGTTGGTCCTCCTAGGAGGACTCCCGGTGAGTGTGTGGATTGCGTTGGCCTTGGTCGTGTTTGCGGTCGCATCACCTTCCACCACAAAGGCCAGGAAGTTGAGAAGGATCCCCGGTCCTTGGGTGTACGCCGCGACACGCTTCCGGTTGAGCTGGGATGCGTGGCGGGCTCGTTCCATTCACGCGGTCCTCGAACTGCACAGACAGTATGGGCCTGTCGTTCGCATTGGACCAAACGAGGTCTCCTTCAACAGTCTGTCGGCCCTCCGGACCATTTACGGGGCCGGCAGTGGCTTTGAGAGGACCTCCTTCTATCGCATGTTTGACGTGTACGGCCACAGGAACCTCTTCACTTTCGAGTCGGGGACACTCCATCGTGACCGGAAGAAGTTGATCAGCCACATGTACGCAAATGCGGTGGTCCTGGGGCCTGAGTTCTCCCCCATGATACAGAAAAAGGTGGCAGAATTCTTGTCTCTCATCCGCAGAGAGCCGGACCACGCGAGTGAGATTTTCCGAAGTTTGCACTACTTCTCCTTCGATGCCATCTCGGAATTCGTCTATGGACCGGACCATGGTGGAACTTCGGCTTTGTTGGGGTGTAAGGAATCTCAAGGGTTGATTGCGGACATCCTAAACCCAGCGCGGAGGAGGCTGGCGTGGTTTGCGATTCATTTTCCAGTCTATACCAAATGGATCACCACGCGAACGGGACTACTAGAACGAGTTCTGACCTCGCTTGGCTTGATGCCGATGAGGAAGCCATTCACCTACTCTGGAATTCGCCAGCATGCCTTGGAAGCGTTTTACAGCTTCAAGAGTGCCCCGGCCGAAGTGCAGGTCAAGGCCGCCGAGAACACGGTCATCGGCCGCCTGTTCAAGGTGCGGAAGGAGGCCAACCTTTCAGACATGGACATTGCTTCCGAGTGTGCTGATCACCTCCTCGCCGGAATCGACACGACGGCGGACACGTTGATGTTTTTGATTTGGGCGATTTCGTTGCCTCAGCACCAGCACTACCAAGACAAGCTCAGGGACGAGGTGTCGAGGATCTGTGTGGATGATGAAAACAACAGCGTGCCGGTGCCGAGAGAATTGACTCAACTGCCTTACTTAAACGCGGTGGTGAGGGAGACTCTGCGCCTGTACTCACCGCTACCCGCGTTCGAACCACGACGGTCCCCGATTGACACCGTCATCGACGGGTATGCGATCCCGACAGGCACCGTGGTTGGCATGTCGCCATTCTGCCTGCATAGAGATGAGACTGTGTTCCCGTCACCGCTCCAGTTCAAACCGGAGAGGTGGTTGACGGATTCCGGGGCGCTTCTCCCCGAAGCAGATCTCAGGAACCGCTATTTCTGGGCCTTTTCGAGTGGTGCTCGCATGTGTATCGGCATGCACCTAGCCAATGCCGAAATGTTGACACTGGTCGCGGCGTTGTACCGGGAGTTCAGATCGTCAACGAAACTCCCGGACACGTCGCCAGGTATCACGAGCAGGTTCGAGGTGTTTTTCGATGAAACCATGCCCAAGATGGTGGAGCATGAGTGTTGGATTGATTTCTCGAGTCCGAAAGACAACAATCACAACAACATAGCATAGCATAGTATGGTATGGCATAGGGAGGCATGGCTTGGGTTTGACTAAAAGCTTGGGTGTGTGCGGGTGTTTGGCACTTTATAGATTCTTCAGCACCACGACAACACCTGAAGATCATCAACAAAACTCCGCTGAAAGGGCTGTTGACGAGTGATCGTCGGGATACACATCTCGCGAACGTAAGATGGAACAACAAGAGCCAGCCGAGATGGTATTTGTCCTCTCGTGTAGACGATGCGCATACCACCAGTACACAAGTACCAGGCAAGACTCGAATAATGCATGCAAGTCGCCGCCAACACCACTCACATCTGTGCCACACACAACACACGCGCGCGCGCCAAGTGACACAGGCACGATAATATAGATGGAAGCAGCGTGTCGCACGGTGTCTGTTGATGATGTGCAGATTGCAGAGGCTCGAGAGCGACACACAGACACTATTTCAAAAAGCGAGCGCTGTCGCCTCTCCGCGGTCCATGCTTTTGGCAGCTCAATCTCCAAACATTCCCACCACAAAGGTCCTACATAATACTTGTTGTGGAGTACTCGCTGTCTATTTCATATTCTCAATCTCTTCGTCGTCTTCGGATTTGCCCTGTCTACAGGCAAGGATGTGTAAAACTGAAATCTGGACATATCGCGACTGTGGGTGTCGCTACAGCCATAACGTTATCTGCCGTTCATATCGGCGAGGAGGAACACCATGTTTCGCACCCAACATTCAATTTACGCGGGACAAATGGCTCGAGGGCGCCGGGTTCGACCCTGAGTTGGCATTCAGACAGTTCAAGGGGCGTACGAAGCCGACTGAACCACGGGCTTGCCCTCAACACAAGACCGTTTACGAATCGTTTCTGAACCCCATCTGCGAGGACTGTCTCCTTGCAGAAATCAACTCGCTATCTGCTGATGGAATAGGGCCTGCTCCTCCAGCATATCCCGAGTCAGAAGCGGCCAGTGGAGAGGGACTCGTCTGGGACAGCGAAGTCAAGGTCGAGATTGAGAGCCAGGCAGCACAGGATCAGCCTGTCTCAACCACGCCAGTCAGCGAGATATCTTCCCGCGACAGCCAGGACATCGACAGGACAATACTCGACAGCCACGTCGAAGTCACAATCGAAAGCGATGGTTCCAGCGTTTCCACGGGCGAACCAATGTCACCGCTCTTGAGCGCATTCCATACCGAGCACAGTTCGCCTCCTTCGACCGCCGCCACGTCTCCAAAGAGCACAGGCAGTTGCGAGAAACGACATTCCGGATTTCATAATACTCCTGATGAGAAGCACTATGATAGCTCTGGCGATGACATCTCTTCAGATCTTGGAGACAGCGACGATGAAGGGGCAGATTCGTGCGACGACCAAGTTTGCCAGCCTTTGCCATCTCGTGGACGATCTCTTGTTCGTGGAAACGGTAGTGTCATGACAAGAAGTGTGACAGACCCGGTGCCCCTTGTCATGCCCGTTGAGAAATCGAAAAGTAAGAGAGGACTTTCAACCTTGAAAACCATCCGATCAATATCATTGAACTTTCGACCCGGCTCGAAACCGAAGACTCCTGCACCGATGATTGAGCACGAAACCTCTCTTAACGAGGAAAGCAAACTTGCAAGGTCACGATCAAAGAATCCCTTCCGAGCTTTCCGACATCGAAAAATGTCCCAGAACCACGTGGACACGATGAGAATAACACCTGTGCTGACGACTCTCGAGGTCCAAAGCAGCATTGAGGTCGACCAACTGTCCTTTGAAAAGCCTCGCCTCAGACCTCTCCCGCCCCGCAAGTCAAGCATGGGAAACCTGAGGTCCTTCACCGATCCGGCAGAAGCTGGATTGGGCATTCGCCGGTTTCCTGGTATGACCCGGACGCCTGTCCCCAGTCCCACTGGCTCTTGGCCACAACACCATCTGGATCAGAGCAAGGCATGCGACACATCCCTGTTCCACTTACCTGTTCACAAGGACCTACCGTTTGATGCCCAATCTGTGTTCAGTGATATCGAAGCTGAGGAGACTGCTCAATCAAGCACTGAAAAATCGCCACCATCCAGTTTCACTCTATCATCTACTTCTGAGTCCGCAAAGAGACATGGGCTTGAGACTTTTGAACTCGGCCTGGAAGCCTCGATCCCTTCTCTAATAAACCAAGAAGCACAACAGTCAGCAGTGGAACAGGAGATGGATATGGTCCAGAAGGCTGTCCCTGTGGCAGAATCAGCGCTACTCACAGAGTCGACACCTCGAGAACAGACTGATATTGATGACCTTGATATCGAGCAGCAACCTTTGGCGAGTGGAGCTCTTGATCACGAAACCTTCCCACACGACCAAAATGACGTCCCGGAAGAAGTTGACGCATACGATGAGGACACCGAGGAGCAATCCATGCTAGACCCAAGTGAAGGCTTCGAGTTGATCCCACTCAAAGAAAGCCACGTCAGGGAGGAAGTTGACTTAGACAATGTTGAAACGAATGAGCAGTCACTGGTAGCACCGGAGCCGAATCTTGCAGCGCCGTGCGTCGATCATGCCATCCTTTTACAAGAAATTGAGGCTCACGATGTTGGGACGCTGGATTCCGAAGACGTGATGCCCGAGCCGACCAATGGCTGCGAAGAAGTTGACAGCCATGATGCTGAGACGAAGCAGCATCCCGTGGAAGATCATGAACCAGACCAGGAACAGTCTGTACCAACCATCAGGATACTGGATACTGACCAGATCATTTCACTGTACAGCTATGCCCGGAAACCGAAGGGGAAGCAACCGGAAACGAATGAAGAAGTGGTCTTGGACGATGTCTCGGAAATCACTGCAGTCTCTGAGGATGACGAGGACTCGAAGATCTCAGATTCGACCACGCCTCCGAGTTCTCCCCCATCAATCGAGAGAGAGATGTCCCCGACAGAGTCTTCTCATCCACCACGCAAAAGCTCATTGAGGAGACTCACCGGGTTCAACTATTCCACCCCCTTGGTAGATCCCGATTTTCCCCTACCTTCATTACCTTCCACCGCGAACATTGGTTGAAAGCAAGCGACGTTTCTTTACTTTGTACATCTAATGTATAATAATTTCATGACCCAGTGAATATTTTAATACTGTCTCAGCCTTCACGTCCGCTTCAGCGAGTCGGTTTCAGCCATATTCGAAAGCATTGTAGGCGTGTGAGATTGTACTGTGAGGGGGCGTTGAAGTGGAATGAGTCATCTTCCTCGTTAGAGGTCTGGGATTGATGGCCACCGGAGAAGGAGAAGGAGAAAATAGATGAAACAGATGCAAGGGTAATGAAAACTCGTAGAGCGCAAAGAAATACGTGGACAAATCAAGAGAAGGCAAGACGAGGCACTCTGAGATACACATCACGTGTTGTTTGATTGACAGCATGGATTAAACAGGCCCCTCTAGCTGCTGTTGTTAGTGCACATTTGGGTGGTGGCCAGGGTTCTTAGGGGCCCGTATAGGCGGGCAAGGCGCCTACAACAAGTAGCCTGAGGTATTCTCTTTCGGTTGTGGGCTTCTTGAAGTCTGGGCTTTCAGGGCTTGTACAATACCAAGCTTAGTTAGCGCTCACCAACGCCCACAGTTTCTCTTTGGTGGAGATCGTTCGTCGAGTGTGTTGCTGGTGCCGCCAAAATTATTGTTCCTCAATCTGCGTCTACGTCGACCGCCAGGTCCGACTTTATCTGTTTGTCTCGCTCTACATCTCTCCACCACCGTCCAGGCCATATTTCAATCCCGTGGGAGATTAATGTGTCTGATCGACTTCTATACTAATTTTCTTTGAAGCCACTCGTTCGAGGGTTTCACGCTTTTTGGGGGTCCGGAATTTCCTTACATTAGGTATCAACAAATCCTATTTTTATTCCCGAGCGCACAACTCACAATCATTCCCTACCACTTCGCGAATAAATAGCCTCAGCTCGCCTGGGGGCACATGCGAAAAAGTCCCCATCGTCAACATGTCTGTTCTCCCTGCCGAGGTGCAGGGAGCATTGTCCCAACTCCTCCAGGCCCTCGCTTCCCCGGACAACTCCCTGCGCTCACAGGCAGAGGAACAACTGAACAATGACTGGACACTCAACCGGCCGGATATGCTCTTGATGGGCCTGGTAGAACAGCTGCAGGCTTCGGAAGATGCGTCGGTACGCGCGACGCCAATGCGGCCTACAACGTTGAGAGTGGCTTCTAACCAGTGACAGACCCGATCCTTTGCCGCCGTTTTGTTTCGAAAACAGGCCTCGAAGAATAAGAAACTTCCTGGTACAAACGAAAACAAAGAGCTCTTCCTTACGCTCGGCCCCGAGGCCAGGGGTGCTATACGATCGAAGTTGCTCGAGGGTCTTGCAAGGGAGCAAGTCCACGCTGTCAGGAACAAAATCGGAGACGCAATTGCAGAGATCGCAAGACAATATGTCGATGCCAGTATGTTACAACGTTCATATGAAACGATCTGCTCAGATGGCTGACATCCCAATGCAGACGAAATGTGGGTGGAACTGCTGGCCGCCCTTTTCCAGGCAAGTCAGTCCAACGATGCGGGCATGCGAGAGTGCGCATTTCGAATCTTCACAACAACTCCCGGAATTATTGAGAAGCAACACGAGAGTGCAGTGCTAGAAGTCTTCGGGAAAGGTTTCAAGGATGACAGTGTCGATGTGAGAGAAGGCAAACCCTGGCCCCAAAATCTGGTCCATTGACAGTATCTAGGTCCGACTCGCTGCAATTGAAGCATTTGCTTCATTTTTCCACTCCGTCACCAAAAAGGCCCAATCGAAATACTACTCCTTGATCCCCGATATTCTCAATATCCTGCCACCTCTAAAGCAAGCAGGAGACACCGACAACCTCTCCAAAGCATTTGTGTCCCTCATCGAGCTCGCTGAGGTTGCCCCCAAGATGTTCAAGGCACTCTTTTCCAGCCTGGTCAGCTTCAGCATATCCTGTATCCAAGAGAAGGATTTGGGCGACCAGACTCGTCAAAATGCGCTGGAACTAATGGCTACTTTTGCGGAATGGGCACCTGCCATGTGCAAGAAAGAACCCTCATACACGACCGACATGGTCACACAATGCCTGAGTTTGATGACAGACATCGGTATTGACGACGATGATGCCGCAGAGTGGAATGCGCAGGAAGATCTAGACATGGAAGAGAGCGACCTGAACCACGTTGCGGGCGAGCAGTGCATGGACCGTCTGGCTAACAAACTGGGCGGTGAAGTTATGCTCCCAGCAACTTTCACCTGGCTGCCTAGAATGATGCATTCGGCTTCTTGGAAAGACCGACACGCGGCTTTGATGGCCATCTCTGCGATTTCGGAAGGCTGCAGAAGCCTTATGATCGGTGAGCTCGACAAAGTCCTCGAATTAGTGGTTCCGTCGCTCAGGGATCCGCATCCGCGAGTACGATTCGCAGGATGCAATGCTTTGGGCCAGATGAGTACCGACTTCGCTGGACCCATGCAGGAGAAGTACCACCAAGTTGTGCTCACTAACATCATACCTGTGTTGGAGGCCCCAGAACCCCGTGTTCAAGCCCATGCGGCAGCTGCTTTGGTCAACTTCTGCGAGGAGGCAGAGAAGGCAATTTTGGAACCATATCTGGATCAATTACTCGGTCACCTGCTCCAGTTGCTCCAATCACCGAAACGATATGTGCAGGAACAAGCCTTGTCAACCATTGCTACGATTGCTGATTCGGCCGAAAGTGCGTTCGTACGATACTATGACACCCTGATGCCACTGCTATTCCGAGTCTTGCAAACCGAGCAGTCGAAGGAGTACAGACTTCTCCGTGCTAAGGCCATGGAATGCGCGACGCTTATTGCCCTAGCTGTCGGCAAAGAGAAGATGGGACAAGACGCCATCACCCTGGTGCAGACGCTGGGTAATATCCAGCAGAGCATCACCGAACAGGATGACCCACAGTCGCAATATCTCCTCCACTGCTGGGGTCGGATGTGCCGCGTTCTTGGAAGAGACTTTGTGCCTTACCTCCCTGGTGTCATGCCACCGCTGCTTGAATTGGCGTCCGCCAAAGCCGACATTCAGCTCATCGACAACGAAGACGACGTTTTGGATCAAGAAGATGGCTGGGAACTGGTGCCATTGAAGGGCAAGATCATCGGCATCAAGACGTCGACTCTCGAGGAAAAGAACACGGCCATTGAATTGATCACCATCTATGCGCAGATCCTGGAAGCTGACTTTGAGCCGTACGTTGCTGATATCACCGAGAGAATAGCACTTCCGGGTCTGGCCTTCTTCTTCCACGATCCCGTCCGGATTGCTTCGGCGAAACTTATTCCTCAGCTGCTCAATTCGTACAAAAAGCGCTTTGGTGACCATGCACCACAACTTATGGAACTCTGGGCCAAATGCTGTGACAAGGAAATCGAGATTCTCAGCGCTGAACCTGCCATCGACACTCTCGCCGAGATGTACCAGTGTTTCTACGAAAGTATTGAAGTGGTGGGCAAGAATTGTTTGACACAGCAACACATGGAACAGTTTATCCAATCCGTCAAGTCAGCACTTGAGGACTACCAGAAGCGAGTCAAGGAGCGTGCGGACGATCGAGCTGATGCGGCACAAGCCGGCGCGGATGATGACGACGACTCACTCTCGGTTCAATATGCCATCGAGGATGACCAGACACTGCTCTCAGACATGAATAAGGCCTTCCATACCATTTTCAAGCAAATGGGTACCGATTTCTTGAGGCCCTGGGAGAGACTCATGCCATTCTATCAGTCCTTCGCCTCCAGTAACGACGCAACGCAACGTCAATGGGCGCTTTGCATCTACGATGATGTCCTGGAGTTCTGTGGCCAGCAGTCATGGCAATTGAGCGGCGAGATCACCAAGACCCTGGTGCGTGGGATGACGGATGAGAACCCAGCGAACCGTCAGGCTGCTGCTTATGGCGTTGGAAGTGCTGCACAAAAGGGAGGCGAGCCGTGGTCAGAGTTTGTAGCCGCCAGCCTCGAGACGCTTTTCCAGATCACGAGGGTGCCCAATGCCAGAGGAGAAGATGAAGTGTTTGCGACGGAGAATGCATGCGCCGCCATCGCAAAGATCTTGCACTTCAATCCTTCGAAAGTGCAGAATGCTCAACAAGTTGTCGAACAATGGCTTGATACACTACCTGTGGTGAACGACGAGGAAGCCGCGCCGTACGCTTATTCCTTTGTCGCGCAGCTCATTGACCAGTGAGTTTCCCCATGAGTTCTTCATTTCCGTGATGGTGAAGACTGACTTTGAATTACAGACAAAATCCCGCCGTGTTCGCCAAGGCACAACAAGTCTTCCACCACATTGCACTTGCACTAGAGGCCGAGATGATCCAGGGTCAGACGGCGAAGAAGATTGCTGAGAGCGCTAAAGCCATGGTGACCCAGAGTGGAATCAATGCCGACCAGATATTGCAGTCGCTGTCGCCAGATGGCCAGGCTACGGTGCGAAGTTACTTTTCATGATGTCTGGCGATATTGTTGGAAGATGATGGGTAGTATACGCAATGTTTCGAACGCATAGCATGAGGGTAGATAGAGATGGGTGACGAGACTCGATAGTTGATGCAATCTCAATTTCATGACGCATATCCTGTCATGCTTCTCGCTTCCTTGTCGACCTGTACTGTATACGAGTATCTAGGTAGATATCTACTGTGATGCCTTATAGGTACTGCCTCCTCAATGCTTATTAATGCCTGAGTCACTCGGCGTCGGAAAATTTAGGAACCGAGGAGGAAACCGGGGAATTCTTTCTCTCCTCTCTTCGTCTTCCTCCTCCACCACCACATGCTCCGTTACTCGTATTGGCGAACCATGATGGTGGCTTGTCAAACTCCTTAGGCATGAACTCTGGGGCCTTGAGGGAGCTGGAGACTCAATCGCCTTAACTAACCATATTCATACTTGTCCCGTGCACATCCTTCGCCCTTCCTTACCAAACCCCTCGGCATCTTCTTTCCATTTTGGTAAACATCTAAAAAGTCATCTCAGCTCATTCGAAAAACCACCACCGTTGACAACGATCGAGGAGACTTGTCAGGTGAGGTGGAAACATGACTGAAATGACCACACGACGCCATGGTGCCCAAAGATAGCAATGGTCCTGCCACATCATCCTCCAACAACGATCGCGTCGTCAAGAAGAGAGCATCGCAAGCATGTCACCACTGCAGAACGAGAAAGGTCAAGTGCGACCTGATGAAATCGGGTGTGCCATGCCACAATTGCGAGTCTGATGGCATTGAATGCGTCGTCGTCGAGTCTAGGCGAAGCAGGAAATATCGACTTCAAAAACGACAATTGACAAACCTGGTCACTATACCTCCGTTGATTCAAGCTCAATCCACCGTGTCCGAGGACTCTCACTCGAACGAGGACACCGTAGAAGAACCTTTCAAAGATGTCGCCGCCCCAGATCCTAGTGAGTCCATGCCTCGAGTTCTCATAGTGCTGTATCGGGTCGTGCTAATATTTACTCCATAAGGTACAACGGCACTTCCTTCCACTGTCACGGGCATCAACCTTCAGAGTCCACCTGGAATAGATCCAAGCCACAATATAAATACCTTAGGCTACCGGCCTACAAGCCGGAATGTTCGTGCTGCCTCATCGTCACAGTCAGCATCATCGGTCGTCAACCTTCCGTCGTACATTCGTCCCATTCGACCAAGTATCAAAAGGCAAGACATTGATTTTCTATCAAGTCGCGGCGCCTTGGCTATTCCCAACGATGATCTTCGCGACCAACTGCTCCGATGCTTTGTGCTCTACGTCTACCCATATATGCCGGTGGTCGACCTCGAAGAGCTACTCGGCGCCATCGACGGCACCAACAATAGCCCAAAGATTAGTCTGACCCTTTTCCAAGCTGTCATGTTTGCCGGAAGCGCTTTTGTCGACCTTGAGCAACTTCAAAATGCGGGCTACGAAAATCGAAGAGCAGCCAGGGCTGCTTATTATCAGAAAGTCAAGGTGGGTAAGCCCTGTTTACGCTCCCGTCAGTTATGCTGATGTTGTTTTGCTAAAGATGCTATACGACTTCGACTGGGATGTCGATCGTATCGCTCTCATTCAATCTCTCCTCCTCATCAACTACTGGTACGTTTCCGAAAACGACCAGAAAGACCCGTGGCACTGGTGCGGTGTCTGCATATCGATTTCGATAAGCCTGGGATTGAACCAGAGGATCACCTATTACCAGAGAGACCTCAAAACTTGCCGCTTGTGGAGACGAATTTGGTGGACCTGCGTTATGCGCGACCGCATCACGGCAGTAAGCATGAGACGTCCAATGAGAATCAAAGACGAAGAGATCAATCTGATACCACTCTGGTATGATGATTTTGACATACGACCCATCAACACTTCTATACCATTACTGAAGGGGACGCCATTCTTGACAGACACGATGCTTAAGAAGAGCCTGGCTGAAATGTGTATCGCCCAAATCAATCTCCTGCTGACGATGGGTCACATCATCCGGGATCTGTACCACCTGCGAGTCTTCGGTGGGTCGACCGCCGAAGCTACGATGCTATACAAACCCAAAGCTACGCACGTTGATTCGGCACAGTTGAGCAAGCTCGGGGAGGAAGTAGCTCAATGGTACAGAGATCTGCCGAGCAGCTGTTGGGTTTTGCTTCCGCCTTCCGAAAACATGCGTCGTTACGATTCTCTCACGGAAGACGCCCTCTTCCTGCAGCGGGCCCTACTTCGGATGATGTATCTGATGGCCACGGAGAACCTGAACAGGCCCCAAATGCTCTCGAAAGGAATGTCGACTGACTCCACAAACAAGGTGAAAGAAGCAGCGGACGACATAGCCGAGATGGTGCAAAGACTACAGCAGCGTGATCTGGTCAGGTTCCTCCCGCCGTTGGCCGTCAGCTTCATGCTGTTCGCCCTGGCCGCATTCCTGGTGGAGATCAAGACAAAGGGTCAGAACTTGCCAGGCCAACAATTCCACCACTGCATCCGAGCATTGTGGCAATTGCGAGACATCTGGCCCATTGCGGATTCTGCCTGTTTCCTGATCGGCCAGATGATCGCCAAAAGCCAGGTGGGTGGCATCTCGACCCCTGGCATCCAACCGACCGGAATCTCCTACAACAGTCCTCCTGCCCAGCCGAGTGAAAGTAACGACGTGCAAAAGAAAGCGCAATCGATACCTCAAGCCACTTCGATCCAGTTCATCCAGGACGGACCACATACCACTACGAGTATGGCGGGGGTAGTCATGAACGCCACGCCAATGACGGCTCTGGACAATAGGCCCCCACGAGTCCACCACCCAACGACGACCACCAGCACCTCGATCGACCTGGACCACCTCCCGACGGATTTGGCCATGGACTCGATCACGTTCCCCGACATGAACGACCCCACGCTGTACGCCTGGACGGGCTCCGAATTCGACACGAACTACGCAGGGGTCATCACGAACGGGCACGCCCTGCACATGGACTTTGCCTTTGACGGGCTGGGGAGTGATTTCCAAAACAACCTGCTCGGGTTCGGCCAGTCGCCCAACGACCTCGACCAACTGGGTCTCGACATGCCGTACACCCCGGCGGGCCAGCCGCGCGCAGTCTTGACGGACGACTGGAACCCAAACGTGCAGAATCCCTTTTACGGATGAGTCCCTTGGGAATCTTCACGTACCCCGTACCACCGCACCGGACGGAGGAGAACGCCGTTTTCAGATCCGGCGATCTTGATTCGACTCGTGTCATACGTCCGATGTTGAACGAACATACACACATCCCGGATGATCCGGGCGTACGAGTCCACAAACGGTCGCACGATGACTCGAAAACGATACCCTTATCCTGTGACTACATACACGAGTAATACCTTCGCGATATGGTCATTTCATGTCATGATTCCAAATGCCACGGTCCAGCATCATTCCAACGGTATCAAAAAAAAGTGTTTCAATGACCAGGCAGTAGTACATCAATATGAATTCTATTTTTGAACAACTCAGGCGTTCCAAGGTCGAATCCGACGGTGGGCTTGAACGTGATTGTAGCGAAAGGGGAGGGGAACAAGGGACAGGGCGAGGGACAAAAAAAAAGCCTCGATAGTCGCAAATGCATGTGTTCATAAAATCATTCTCTCTTTTGGCTTTCTTTTCTTCTTCTACTTGGGACGAAAAAGTATACATCTCGTTCTCACAAGGTGGAAAGTCTCCCAGATGGAGCTGGTAGAGCTAAAAGGCATGACGGGCAGCATCTCACCACCACCAAGGCCATCATCCCTTTTGGACTTGACCTCTTCGAAGAACGTCCACAGGCCTTTGCATGGTGAGCCATACCACACCACAGCACGCTAATTCTAGGCTCCTTGGTCTGCTTGCTTTCCATCCGACGCCATGCCAAATCAAGCCAATCCAAAGCACGATCCATCTGCGAATCCTTGCAGGAGAGGTTTTCTTTGTTTTTTTTTGGAACTGCGGGTTGTCTCGATGCCGGCCATTTTGAAAGAAAAAGGGTCCCCCAAAATCATCATCTGGGACCCAACTTGTCCAACGCCCTGGCACCTTGTTCTTCCCATTCCTGCTTGGAGATCCACATGTTCTCCTTGTCGGCCATGATGTTCGCCAGCACCGCCCCGCCCAAGAAGACCATGTGCCTCCGCCGCGGGGGGTCCTCTATCCGGACCTTGAACTTGTTCAGTCTCTCGGGGTTCCCGCCCAGCACGCGCGTCAGCCACAACTGTTTCAGCTCCTTCTCCAGCCGCGACGGCAGGCCCGGGTACATGCTGCTCCCGCCGGACAGGACGATGGCCTTGTACAGACTGCTCCGCACGTCGACGTCGGCGGCTTGGATGGTGTTGAACAGGAACTCGGCAATACCCGGCTGTTCGACGTCGACCAGGTGCGGCTGGAACAGGCACTCGGGGGCCTCGAAGCGTTCACTCCCCACCCGGATCACACGCCCGTCGGGCAGCGTGTACGACTCCACGAGGACGGTGGTGTCCTCGGACAGGCGCTGGTCCAGCCCCAGGTCGTACGAGACGTAGCACAGCTTCTCCTTGATCTGGCGCACCGTCTCGAAGTCGGCCGTCCGGTTGAGCGCGTAGCCCCTCCGGAGGAGCAGGGCGATCAGGTTGCGCGTCACGTCGCGGCCCGCCACGTCGAGCCGGCGGGTGAGGTGGTTGAGGACGGTAGATTCGTAGACGGGCACGATGTGGGTGACGCCGTCGCCCGAATCGACGACCACGCCGGACGACAGGCCCTGCGCGTACAGCGCGAGCACGGCCTGGATGGCCACGTACACGCCGCCAAAGTTGTAGCGTTCGAACATGACCTGGGCCATCTGTTCACGGTTCTTGAGAGGGTTCATGGGCGGTTCGGTGAGGAGGATCTTGCGTCCCGCGGGGTCGATGCGGAGTTTCTCGTAAAAGGTAAAGTCCCACAGGTGTTGCATGTCGTCCCATTTCTTGACGATTCCGTTTTCCATCTTTTTGGGGGGAGGGGGGAGGAGGGGTGCGTCAGCAGTGGTCGAACCTAGCGCGTGACGGCCAAAGGGGACCGAAGGGGCAGCTCATACAGGATAACTTATTTGTAGCATCGACCTCGCCGCGGCCGCTTCATCACCGCACATTATATCCTTGACCACAATGTCTCCAGCTCGTTCCTCCGAACGAAGGATCGGTCGACCGACTATGGAGGGGAATTGATGTTCGGGGAAGTTCTGGCCACGACATCAGCTCTTCATCCTGCAAAGATCACGCATGCGTATGTTGGGTCCTGGGTCGGACGTACTTGGGCGGCGTAGCCGACTTTGAGGAAACCGGTACCCCCATCGAGGACTGTAAAAACAACCATGGTCAGCATTGCGGGTTCGAATGTGGTGGCCTGCGGGTTTAGGTTACCAATGGGTGGTTCAGCCATTTTCTGTATATTTCTTGGGGTGTCAAAAGAGGACCGATATCATGCAGAGAAGAAGACGAGTCGTCAGGAAAGGACAAGAGCAACGAGAAGTGAACGAAATGGTGGGTTGAGAAGGTAAATGCTAGGAAGCTCAATCGACGACTCCAGCGGAATCGACGTATGTTGGAACGACTTACGACTACGGTCATCCATCACTCGGCTTCAACGGTGTCGCAGCCCACCAAATGCCAAGCTGGGCCCTCGCCGCTATAAACTGTCATCCCCCTCTCCCCTGGAAAGTGCACACACCACTGTATTGCTGCTTTTACCCAACTATGTATTCGTTTTGTGAGGCTCTCAGGAACAGTGTCACCAGTATCTATCTACCTTTACAGTATGAAGTAGAACCAAAGACATTGACTTCAGTCGACCACAACACAGTTCTATATCGTTTCATTCATCATATCATATCTCATGGCTACATAAATGTAAAACCCAATAATCGCTTTCTTCACTCTATTTCATCAACTTCATCATGATGCTTGCTATGCCAATTCAAAGCAGGATCAGTAGAGTGAACCAACAAGAACTCATGCAAATGCAAATGTTTCCCTCGCCAACACTCTAGATCTAGTCCATCACATCGCCCAAAGCATCAAGGCCAAAATTCCCGACCGTCGTTCGAGTCTTTTCCAACTTTCTATTTCGAGGGGGACTCGAAGTCTGTCCGATACAAAGAAACCCGTTAGCTGAGGAGACCCAACTAGGCTTCGCAGTCGTGACCACAAATGGCCAGGTTTCAGTAATCGTCACTGCGACGACTGCGGGCGCGACTTACCCCACGAGATCGTGATCGGTAATCTTCGCTATTGGCAACATCATCCCTGATCATCTTCCGTCGACGGTCAGACTGTCTGATGAGGTTGGAATCGTCGTAATATCCTGCTGCACCACTACCGCTACCACCTCGGTGACTGTCACTGCTCTGGGGAACAGGCCCATCGTAGTACCACTGGCCGTCTCTACCTTTGTAGTATCCACCTCTCTCTTTGGCTCGATGACGGCGTTCCCGCTCCAGCCGCTTTTTGTGGTGCTCTTCTCTCTCCGATAGCATCTTCTGGTGTTCACTGTGCTCTGCAGTGACCTCGTTCCACTCGCTGACGGCACCTTTGATACCCAGTGCAGCAATGCCGATGGCAGCAGCGTCCTGCCACCGAGCGGCGCGTTGTTGTTTGTGGGCGTCTTCGGGGGACAACTGGCCTTCTCGAACCTGGGCAATCCGTTTGTCGTGTGCTTCAATTGATGAGTACACCTTCGAAGCTGCGTGGATCGTTGCCACGCTAGCGAGCGCTGCGGTGATCCATTTCTTCCGCTGCAATTTGCGACAATTCTTTTCCTCTTCGGTGGACGACAGTAGGCTTTCGGAGGACGAAGAACTCGATGAGCCACGTCGTTTGCGGGACCGTCCTGAGGTTGACTTGGGCCGGACGCGAGATCGAGGAGGGACAGAGCCCTCTGAGTCGTAGTAATCATCTCGTGAATCACGACGACCATTTCGACGGTCCTTATGAGACGACATCGCTGCAGCTCCAGCACCGGCTGCGGCACCTGCACCTGCAGCTCTGGCATTGTCCATGGAGCTGGCTCTCCGCCTTGGTCGACCGGGGCGTCTCGAGAGAACATCACCCTTGTGTCTGACCACCTCGACAATCTCTTCGTCCGAACCTACGTCCCGCCGGCGGCGCAGAGCCAATCCTTTCTCTTCCGGGGTGCGCATCTCCCAAACGTTGGGGTCATCTCTGGGCACCTTCCCGCGGGCCTTCTTGTAGCGATGATGGATGGGGTCCCAGACTTTATCATAGTGCTGAGTTGCGAACGGGATCGCTTGCAGGGTTAAGGGTAAGGCTTGATCCATTTTGAGTGAATTTTGTAGTGACACGACGCTGGTCAACGGGGTTTGTCCGGGAAGCCTTGCAGCACAGGTAGAAATCGGGCGCAATAAGGGTTTCGCAGAGGATGGCTTATTGGCTGGTTGATAAGCAACTTCTAATTTCCAACTGGCGGGCGATCAGACAGTGACGTTTGAGACAGGCATTGTGCTGCAAGGGAGAAGGTTGACCCTGAAGGAGAAGAAACAGCGTGCATCAATAAAGCGAGAATCCCTGCACGGTGTGTGTTTGTATCCGTGGAAAGGAGGGGGAAGAACAAGTCCGAAGAATAAGAATGTGGACAAGCATTGAGTAGATATTTAAAATAATGACAGAAGTTTGAGCCGAATGAGACAGGAACAAAACGTCATCGGGTGGCAGCTTCACCGCTCTTCTATATGGCCATTGGGTGCTGCGACATGAAAGGATCAAAAGAAGAAGAAAAAAGGGAGAGAAACAGACAAAAGCCACCGAATGGACGGAGCAAAGTTTCGACCCAAAGAGCAGGGAGAGAAACGAGGAGGCGGGCACTTCAACGGGCTACGAGCGAGCGAAGAGATCATGTGGGCGGATTCCAGGCATCGAATTCAAGCATTTCGGGTCGCGGCGCGCAGGGAAGATCCTGTTTGCCGACATGGAAGGAGGATTGCGAGAGGTTTGGATGTCTCCTGAGGAGCTTACGAAGCCTGGAACAATTCACGTAGTATGTAGGTGGCACAAGAGGAGTCTTTGTTGAGATGAAACCTCACTCGATGCATCCTCCTCGTCCTCCGACCGGCCAAAGAAATACCGATTGTCGCGAAAGGTTAGGAGAGGAAGAGGAAGAGCGATCGAGCAGAGTGGCACCGGAGACCATTGGATTCTTTTTTTGACTGGCCACCGATGTCAGTGGCTGTTGTGTTTTGGATGGCGGGAATCGACGGCGAGTGGACAACGAGAATCGAGATGCTGGGAACCACCAAGTTGCACGAGTCAAAGATGGGAAAGTCGCAGATATCGAGCATTGCAACTTGTACGAGTACTGTACTGTATTGTACTGTACGGGACTTGCTTCACTGAGATTGGTCAAGGCAGACGGAGCCATAGTGGCCAATTAGGGGGATTTGGTAGAATCTCTTGATTGAATTTATGTTCCTCTTTGTACAAGTGTATGACCGGCCATTAAAAGAAAGGTCGAGCAGGGAGCGATTGTCTATCTTAAGGTAGACATGGCAAGCCCACCAGAGTCCACTCGGACCCCTTGCTGTGCTTCTTTGATCTCGAGTACATAGAAGCTGGCATGATTGACGAAATCACCTAGTGCGTACCATGCAATCTTGCCCGATGTCGTCTCGCCCAGGTTTTCAACGATGAACAATAGATTCAGGACTTTGCAGCAGCACAAGCTACACAACTGGCGCAGACTGATCACAAAATCATGGGTCCAGAGAATGTCGGCATTGGCAATGCTTACACCGCATCTTCCTGACCTCGTCCTTTTTAATGTATGAGCCAAACTCGTTCCCGCAGTTGCGACATTCGTCATATTTCTGGAGCAATTTGCACATGTCGTCCCAGTGTTTCTCAATGTCTTCAACCTTCTGGTTCAGGGTCTCGATGGTGTTTTGCAACGTTTGCACATTCTTCTCATGGATTCGCTGAGTTTCAAATTTTTGCGAAAGCATCTCGATGGATTTTTGCTGGGTTTGCGTATGCTGCTTTTCAAGGGCTCGCTGCCCTTCCATAATCTCATCTACCAGAGAGGTGTGTTTGCGAGCCTGCAGTAATAGCATCTTCCAGGTGATGGGCTCGTGATGCAAGAGCAACTTGGCCAACTCTGTGTCTTGTGCAATATGTTGAGAGTTCTCCAAGCAAAGGAGGAGAATTTGAGCTCTTAGTCCACTGTCACCATCTGCGCCATGCTCAAAAACTCGGGAAAATGGTTCGACAAAGGCATCGGCTCGGAAGTTTTCTTTGACCGTGGCTATGAATTTGTTTGTGGCAAGCTGTATAAGCTCGCTGATATCTAGGTACTTGGCCAACAGGTACACCTCTGTATGAACCATGAGCTGCTCCGACTGTCGGCGGAGGGTTTCTATCTTGTTCTTTGCGGGTTCTGTAGTATCGACTTCTGGCATTCCCTCATAATCGACAAGCACCTCATTGTCTTGGTCAACGATGGGTTCAAGGTTCTCTGTCGAAAGGTCGTATTCTCCCGTGTACAAGTATTCGAGGACTTTCTCGAAGATGTCGGCATTCTCTTCGGCGAGTGTTCCGCGACCTCCATGTTCTTCCTATACGTCCGTTAATTTATTCCCTTGTTCTAGAAATGTGTCACGAATTGCCCACCTCAGAACTGCCGTTACACAGATGGTGCAACATAGGTGACTGAGAGCAGACGATGTTACGATGAATTTTGAGCTCTCTTCCCTCGACAGTCAGGATGAAGTCAGAATAGTCACCCGTCTGTAGAAGACGCTTTTGCCGCTCTGTCAATGACATTTTGGAAAACGACGACCTTGGCGATCAACTCGATGTTGGAGACCAGCAGAATATAGATGAACGAAAAGTCCATTCCAGGTCGTCGCCGTAAGTAGATGATGAAGTAACAGAGGAACGGAGAGACTTTTCATTACTCTGAAGAAATAAGAAGACAATGAAGCAGCAATGAAAGTAAATCGACCCATATGCGTTGAGGCAGTGAATGCTGCAAGAAAAGGACGCCAAGCCTTGCTTTGTTCTGGCTTACCACTCTTCGCCAAACAACAAGTTCATGAATATGCATACATACTCAGTAAACACTGCCCAGCTACTCGTGAAGAATGAACGGCCTACAATGGAGTTCTTAGATCGTTGTCGAGGAACTGAACTCGTGGCAGGCAGCGATGAAAGCGATATTGGTCTTGCGGCGGTCTTCAAAGCCATCCCTACTGGCGGATGCGAGCTTCATGGTGCATGAAGTCGCAGGACGCGTCGAGACGATACGAGTACAAAAGGCAAAGAAACAGCTCGTGTATATTCGCAGCAGATCCGTCGCGTCGATCATCATAGCTCCTTGACTGGATTTCCTCCGCTTCTACTGTTCGAGTAGAGATAGATTGTTGCATTGGCTTCCATCGAGTGTGTTGGCAGTCGCCCTACGAAGGTTGTTGTCGTGAGGAAACGTTGAGAGCAGCCCCTGGAAAGGCCAAATCGACTTGATGAAGATTTTTCAAAATGATACGATCCTTTTCCCAACTACGACACAAGACAATTGGACGTCCGAGATGCCGCACGCTTGACTTGGATCAGTAAAGCTTCGATTACGGTTATTACAGTACCTGTACAATGACGTCGCGTAACGGATTTTTCATGCATCAAAATTGTACTCCATACTCGTACTCCCTTACCGGTGGCTGGTACAAGTACACCCGACGCGTGTTTTTTCAAGTCCCAGAGGTGCAGATGGCGAGGGCGAGTCGCCGCCATTCTCTGCATGATCCTTGTCCATTTTCGAACTGATGACGAATTCGCTCCAGCGAACAACAGTACGTTAGGAACAGTAGAGTGGGTTGAGAGCAAAGCATTATTCTTAAGACAATGATACGGCAAATGTGATAATCGGCATCTACCGTTGTTGTTGGTGTCGCAATCCTTGTGCTCACCAGGTGAGTCTCGTGCCCCGAGTTATGCGTTGGTCCCTGACGACTACGACTACCCACACAGTCCTGGTCATGATCGTCCAAGAGCGTGTCGAAAAAGAATAAAATCTTGATCATCTACGCCCTGTGCAATCAGCCATTGGATGATTTCCCGCGAATGAAACGTTCAATCTGCGGATAATTCACCGTCCCAAGGTAAAAAAACTTGATGCCCACGCGGAAAGGGGAGCAGGGATATGGGACGGCAGGGGGATGAATGTATGCTCGAAGGTAACAAGACACCTCAGAGAAACTATCTCGGGCCTGTCAATTGTCAGTTTCGAGCAAGGAATGCGTCAATTTCAGCACATCTTCGGCACAACAACAGTCAATGAGAGAGGCTGAGTTGCAATTTGACATCCGTGCTTTTCATCAGAGGGAATGAGGCCCTTTTGCAGGGACTTGGGTCCGGAAACGTGTCAGAGTGTAAGACCAAGAATCCCCATGGAAGAACCAGGATCATAATTCGATTAGAATCTAATGTACAGCTCGAATTCGTCCGGATCACAATTCACCGTGACCATTCTCGGTGCCAGTCGTGATACTCTGACCGGAAAATTGCGCACTGAGCTCTCCGAGCGCCTTTTTGAATTCAACGTATGCGGTATCGAATCGAGCGCCCAGCATCCAGGCAACAAAAAGCTACAACTGATGTCAGCATAGAGATCTCGAACGGAGCCAGGTGCTTACCATGGAAACAGCGATAACCACCAACATTGTTGCCACGGCGCCAAACAGAATCATCGTGTCACCTTTGTCGCCAGGCTGAGCTTTGGTTTCCTCTGCCTTGTTTTTGGCAAGAACATCCTCAATCTTCTGAGATGGGAAGATTGACTCGATGAACTGCTCGATTTTTCCACAAGCAATGCTGATCTTCAGGAAGTTGGGATCTTGTGGTCGATTCTTCTTGCGGATCGAGTGAACGTGCTTCTTGAACACATCGCACACAACCTGAAGATTCTGGGTAGATTCGATCATGAGCTGACAGGCCTCGCCCTTGGTGATCTTGATGTTGCGTTGGAACATGGCATAGTTCCGGAAACAAAGATCCATCGTTGCAATGGCCATGGACTGGGGAATGGCACAGAAGTTGAAAACACTCTGCTCCCTCAGCCCAGCGAGATAGTACAGGCATTCGTCGGCATGCTCAAGCGCATTCAAGACCATGTCAGAGCTGCAGTTGAGCGCCTTCTCCTTGTTTTCAGGTTTGAACAGATCCTCAAACTTGTCCACATGTCTGGACCAGATCTCCCTCGGCCAGAATTTCCGGTTGTCGTCAAAGTCCTCTCGGACATCTCGAGTTATGTTGACTTTTTGCAAGAAGAGGCCCATAGACCTGTGCAGATTTGGTCTTTCAAGAAGTGCCGGATTGCCAAACCCGCTCTCGACGAACATTCTTGTCAATCCTTCCCCGACCAATCCAGCGACGTAGTAGCAGTACAGATCATAATCATCGACCGTCTGGACCCCAACCTCGTTAAATTCAGCATTCAAGCAGTAGTCTGCCATACCATTGCCCATCTTTTCCGTGATGTCTCTGATGATGTCCTTGTACGCAGGTTTCATCTTCTTGTACTCTTCAATAATATATCTGAAATTCACCAACAGCTCTCGGTCCTTCTCTTCGGGTCTGTTGCCATCAAAATGCCACCCATCCACCTCGAGATTTTCATGAAATTTCCGGAGAAGAGGTTCTTTCGTCTTTGCGGGTATCGACGTATCATCTTCGATGGTGTCCAAACCACGCAGGACTAAGTAGAAAATACAAACGGGGAGTAGGAGCTCGGGGTGTAGTTCTTTTATGACTGCGCTGAAACTGCGACTGGTCAAGTCGAGGTATTTGAAGCAGGCCTTGACCGATTCGGTCTCTTTGCTTTCGTCGCGTTCGTGAACTGGATTATGCCAAACTTTCCTTTACATCTCGTTAATACTTCAAACGCTTTTTGAAATGATCAGTACCTACCATTGTATTATGGATCGCAGTTGCTGGAAGTGAACCAAGTAATATAAGACTTCCGTAGCTTTCGGCATGTTGGCCAACACAAGCTGGAATTACTTTCAACAACTTCGACGGGCAGGTACCCAGGTAAAAAGTGAGGGAGCGACAAGGTTTGAAAAAGAGAAAAACGAAGAATACAAATGAAGAGAGTGCACCTCGTGTTATGCGACTCTGTTAGAACATGGTGTGCACGGTAGGAGATGAGAAGAAACCGAATGGTACGACCCTTTTGGTTACTCTCAGGAGCCCGCGAAGGATTCCATGTTTAGCTAGCTTCGGTTAAGAATTTAGTTAAACCAACCACCTGCCGAGTACCTGGAATAGTGGCAGAACTTAGTGCGTTGAGCGCAATGCATGCTGCAATAGGCATAGGTCCGACAGTGACGGCCAACCTCAGTCCTTACCTAAGGCACCCAAGAGGCGGTGCTGTGGCTGTAGCCCATTAGCCTCAACCTCATGCCTAGGAGCACCTATACCGACACTCTGCTTACTGTACTTGTATGGATCACTATAGGTACACGCACCTATAGCCTGGTGCGCCCAGCAACCGTCCCTTGTCCTATGACTTCACCTCACGCCTTGACTTTCACTTGGACTCCGACATACGCGGCTCTCCAAGGCTACACTTAAATATTTCTTATCACTTTTTGCTATTGTCAGCCATCTATTCCCTCACATCGCAGCCTTCGCCAGGTCTATTCCTTTTCCCTCGTCCCTTCGTCGTCTCCGTCTCTTCCGTCCACAGACAATTTTCTCAGCATAGACCAAGTGCGCAAACACTACACGTTACCCTCTACCGTTAGTATTTCTAGGACTGGGTGTGAGGCACCGGTTTTCCAGCTGAAGGAAGAAGACATCTCTACCGTCCACAGAGTCGCAACTCTAGAAGTCAAGGGAAATATCAAATCCCGTTAGCGCATCCCCGGTCGCAGCTATGGTTGTCGACACGACTTATTACGACGCCTTAGGCGTCAAACCCGATGCCACCGAACTAGAAATTAAAAAGGCATACAGAAAACTCGCCATTACAACTCACCCCGACAAGAACCCCGGAGACGAGACCGCTCACGCCCGTTTCCAAGCTGTCGGCGAAGCCTATCAAGTCCTGTCTAACAAGGACACCCGTGCCGCATACGATAAATTTGGAAAAGAACAAGCCATGCCCCGAGAGGGCTTCGAAGATCCCGCCGAATTCTTCTCCATGATATTCGGCGGCGATGCCTTTGTCGATCTGATCGGCGAGCTGACGCTGCTCAAAGACCTCACCCACACGATGGATATCACCATGGAGCAGATGGAGGAAGAAGAGCTCGCAAAGACGGCCGAGGAAAAGTTGAATGTCCATGACGCAAAGGAGCAAGAGGCAACGGCCGCGACAGCAGCGGGCATGAGCGCGAAAGAGGCCGAAGCCACAGCACATTCTACGAGCGATACCACATCACCTCCCCCTCCCCCTCCCTACGTCGGCGAGGAGCCATCAACGTCCTCCGCAGCCTCCGCAGCCCATGACTCCGGCACATCCACACCCCGACGATACCTCGGCCAGCAAGCCATCATGGACAAATCTGAAGAGGACGCACGAATGGATGCGGCCGGTCTGTCACAAGAAGAAAAGGACCTCCAGAAAAAGAAAAAGAAGGGTGGTCTGACGAAAGAACAGCGCGAGAAGCTCGAAGCCTACGAGCGTGAACGGCGCAAGGCTCGTGAGGAACGTGTCGACACCCTGGCCAAGAAACTCATCGACCGCATCTCGGTGTGGACGGAGACCGACAAGGGACCCGATGTCACCAAGGCCTTTCAAGAAAAGACGCGACTCGAGGTGGAAAACCTTAAGATGGAATCCTTTGGCATCGAAATCCTCCACGCGGTCGGCCAGACATACCTCCAAAAGGCCACGAGTTTTCTCAAGTCACAGAAATTCCTCGGCATATCGGGCTTCTTCAGCCGCTTAAAAGACAAGGGCACGCTGGCCAAGGAGACATGGAACACGATTTCCACGGCCATCGATGCACAATTGACAATGGAGGAAATGGCCAAACTCGAGGAGAAGGGTGGTGCAGACTGGACCGACGAGAAAAAGGCCGAGTACGAACGTAAAGTCACAGGGAAAATTCTCGCCGCGGCCTGGAGGGGGAGCAAGTTTGAGATTCAGGGAGTCTTACGCGACGTTTGTGACAAGATTCTGAACGATAAGACCGTCAGGCTGGAGAAACGAGTCGAGCGAGCCCACGCTTTGGTGTTGTGTGGTACGATTTATCAAAAGGTACGGAAACATCATCATTTGCGTGCTATTGTCGTATTGTCGTATCGTATCGCAAAACCTAACATTCTCTGTGATCCCCTTAGGCTGAACGTGATCCCGACGAAGAAGGTGACTTTATGGCCTTTGAACAACTCATGGCCGAGAGTATGAAGAAGCAAGAAAAGAAAAAGGAGAAGGAGAAGGAAAAGGAGGGCAAGGATAAGGACAAGGAGTCTTCATCGAAACGACATTTTGGACATAACCACCACTCGAGTACACCACCAGGTACGAGTACGCCGTCGTAAACAAGGACGAAAGTCGTCCCGTCCTTGTTGTTGTCTTTTCTCCTCTCACCTCACACCGACACACACACGCGCGCCCGAATTCTCTTGAGCGGCATTCGACAACCCCGTACCATGGAAGAAAGCAGGATAGAATAGTTCTCCATCTCGGGTTCCCTTGAAGGATTTTGTTTAAATGCTGTTCGAACGTCAATTTTTTTTAATGTTTTTTTGGAGAGATCATGACAGTCGACCCGAGTCAAGAACTCCTCGCATGAGCTGAGGATGAGTATCAAAGACGGAAGTACTACTATATAATCCATACGCACCTGATCATTCATTCCCCGCCCTTTTCGACACAACAACTCACGTGTGTCCAAAAATAGTAACAACTTCCTCGATGGCAAGGTTCTCTACTTTTTCCCAGGCGGGAACAAATATAGATTCCCTGTGCATGCGTACGAGTACTTGTATACGTGATTGTATTTAAAACAGTCTGGATACTTCCGAGGGTGTTGGCGTTGATGATCATTGTGTCTTGTTTTGTTCATAAAAGTGGCGATGAGTGGAATTTGTATTCCGTATATGTACCTAAAGTACTCTCCAATCCTTCTTGTGACTCTTGCGTCTCTCTTTACTCTTTTGGTAGACACGGTAATGCTTGTATTGACTTGTCTTTCTTCTTCTTCTCTGTCTGCTTCATCTTGCCCTCCAATCCCTGTATACCTCGAATAGGTTTCCGTTTCCGTACTTTGTAAAAGATTGCGCGTCTTTGGCGCCGCCCCCCCTTTTTAGGGGAAGGGAGGAAATTAAAAAGAAGCACCAAAAACAAAAGAAAAATTTCAATAGTCTCCCTCGCTATGCTGGGTATCACCTATCCAGAATGTCGAAAACGCTCCCTCCTCATATAACTCCCCGTATCAACACCGTCTTTGAATGCGTATGATTTCTAAAATCAAAACCAAACGCCAAAAAAGGACACAATTCTGCAAAAAGGCTCCAACAACCGATCACCAACGCCATCGGTTTCAATTTCGTCACGTTTCGTCAAGAGCAAAAAAGATATCGAATGTCCAAAGTTCAAATCTCAAAGTCTCCAAGGTCTTCTTTACTCGCCTCTCAAGACGGGAGAGAAGGACTCCAGGAGCGCAGTGACCTCCTCAAGTGATGCAATGCCCGACTGTGTGGTGGTGGGAAACAAAGGAGGAGGATCGTCGGTCCGAAATGGTGACTCTTCCAATTTCGCTTTTGCAAGGCCGGGGCTCAACAGCCCTTGTCTGGCCTCTGGTTCTTCCGAGCCATCGGCGAACCCTCTCTCGTCAAGTTCTTCGTCGTTCAAGACTCGGCCTCCAAGCTTGACATCACCTATTCCAACTCGATAGTCCAAGGCCTTGTTACCTGCTCGAATTAGCTCGTCGGTCATGGTCGTGCACCGTCTGATGGTGGAGCTCAGTTGTTGCGATTCGGCCAGAAGTTGTTGATGTCGGCTGAGATCTTGCATCAGCCGCTTTTCGTCTCTTGCTCGTTGCCGTGATCTTGCCGATGCATTCGTCAGGGATCCCGAGCCATCCGAGATCAGCGAATCGTCTTCATCATCCATGTCGTCAAAGTCGCTCTCGTCTTCAAGATCGGACATTTGGTCGGCATCAACGTCATCTTCTGCGACGGTACCTAAACTGAAGGCAGATTGACCGGATGCTTTCCTCACGGTAGCAAGGGATAATCGGCCAGAGCGAGAGAGACGTCTATACCTCCTCAATTCACCATTTTGTTTTCGTAACTCCCGTTCCAGCGTCTTGTTAATTGCGAGGAGTGACGAATTGGATATTTCAAGATCCAGGACTTTTCGTTCGCGTCGTGCATTGGATGCATCGTCATGCTGAGGCTGCACAGGTGATGTAACCTGGTCACCTGCGATGTCCCCAGTGCTGACAGGTCTGGATGGTGGTTTGACCATCTCGGAGATGTCGGTATCGCTTGTGACGGATGTTGGTATCGTGTTAGAAGAGGCCAGGCTAAACGAGCGCGGACTCAACGCTTCCGGCGAAAGTGTATTGTTGCCTGATATACGCGGAGAAAGGCCCGGCGTGATTCCCAAGTCCAGGGGTTGGGGAGGTTGGGTCCGGATTCCACCAGGTCTGTTCTCACTTGACATAGTTGCTGAACTTGCACTGATAGACTTGCGATGGATCAACGGCGAATCCAACGTGCTAGCAACTGCACCGCCAGCAGTACTCTTTGGCCTTTCAATCGTCGTACGAACGGGCCCCGGTGGTGAAGGTGTTGTTCCCATCTGCATCTTTCGCGGTGAAGAGGGTTGTGATATTTTATACGCTCGTTTTGGAGATTGCGGTGGACTTGTGGAATTTACAGACCGTTTACTGTCCAATCCTTGTATTGTAGATGTAGATGTAAGCACCGGAGTAGGCGGTTTATTTGTGGGTATTTGGTGGATGTCGTTGGCTCTGAAGAACTTATCGTCTGGGTCGTTCTTAGCACTCTCTTGCGGCACCTGTGTGGGCATATTGCTTGCGACAAAAGGGCCTCGTGGAGGCGGAAAGCGTGAGCCTTCATCAATCCTTGACGATCCTACAACAGACCTTGCTTCGTCTGCATGAAAGAACTTGGAAGAATTGTCTTTGTTGTTGTTGTTGTTGTTGTCGACCATACTCTTAGCCCCAGACGCTCTTCTATGGACCGTAACGACAGGGGCCCCAACTTTCGGTAGAGAGGGTGTGCTTGCTGTCAATCTAGGGCTGCTGATTCCCAGCCCTTGCGCTTGATTTCGGAGTGGCCTAGGAGCCTCGGATCTTTGGGATGGTGTTCCTTGAAAGCCATTGTTATTTTCTCTGACTGGAACAGGAGTCGACGGTGACTCTGTGCCGAATCTTGACTTCCTTACTCCTGACCTGGGGGTGACGTTGTTATTCAAGGGTGTCGTGGTCTGATCGACCTTCCCGGGAGACCTTGCTCTCACAAACGGTTCTTTTCGGGAGGACAAAGCAGGTGATGAAGCGGTCGACCCAGGGAGTCTCGGTGTAAGAGGAGTCTTGACATTTCGAAAGTTGGAGCTGAGGGCGGGAGTCAATGGTTTAGACGAGTTCGCTTTGGTTTGTTTATCCGGTGGCATCGTGAGGAGGGGCGAGACTCGAGACGTAGTCGTGGATTATTGTTGTGATTGATCTCCTGCATGCCCGCAAGAGATGTGATTTTGCAGCCAACTGATTCTCATGGTCGAGAAGGAGGGGGACTGCTGCTTGTGGAGGGCCAGGAGCCGTCAAGACGAGATTGTGCACGATCGACTTGTCAATGCGAGTCGAGAGTGTCAACACAATGTTTGAGAAGCCGTGGTTGGTTTAGTGCAGAATCTGGTGATGTTATTACTCGCATAGAGAGCAGAGACTCGGCCGCCAGGATCCATCACGCGTTCCACCCCCCGATCCCTGCGCCCACTGAGAGAGTCCACAACTACTGAGCAGCCTGCGCCTAGCTTTTACCTAGGTACAGTACAGTAGATGTCATCCCTCGACGCGTTTTCTTCATGGGGAGTGACTGTCGATTTTACTTGGATCATTTCAGGACCTCGAACACAACGATGCAAACCACGGTGTGCTACCTGCGATGACCCTTTCGGAAGATGTAGTCGACCATCCTATTCCTGTCGACAATGCCTCAGTCGAGGAAGGGCGGCCTTTACCCGCGCAGACACTAGACGGCGAGACCGCGCCGGACGCCTCTCAGCATCACTCTCTCAAGCACCATCTACTTGGGCCCTCTTTGACAAAGTCGGGACAAGATGGGGTGGACCAGAAAAAAGTGTCGGAAATAATATACGAGGCCTCGAAAGGATCGAAATTCTTCAACAACGAGGAAATCAAGGATAAGAACTTGACCATCAAGATCGAACGGATCCTGAAACGAAAGGCTCAATTGGAGAAGCTCGATTTGAAATCAGATATCAGACGAGCGGACGATTACATTGCCTCGTTAGAACTCTCAAGAGATTTGTCACAATATGTCGTGCACATCGACTGTGATGCCTTCTACGCGGCCGTTGAAGAGATTGACAGGCCTGAGTTGAAACATGTGCCCATGGCAGTCGGGGTCGGTGTTCTCACAACTTGCAACTATGAAGCTCGAAAGTTTGGATGTCGAAGTGCAATGGCGGGTTTTGTGGCGAAGAAACTGTGCCCTCAACTGGTTTGCTTGCCATTGAACTTTGAGAAATACACTGCCAAAGCGAAAGAAGTAAGAGCAATCCTGTCAGAATATGACCCGCGATTCGAAAGCGCGAGTATCGATGAAGCGTACATGAACATTACCGAGTACTGCGAAACGCACAACATGGAGCCAGAAGCCGCAGTCGAACAGCTCCGAAAAGAAGTGCAAGAGAACTGCAGGATCACCATCTCAGCTGGCATTGCACCCAATGCTAAGCTAGCAAAGATCTGCTCCAACAAGAATAAACCCAATGGGCAGTTCAGAATTCCCAATGATCGAGGTGCAGTCATGTCTTTTATCTCTACACTGCCAGTTCGCAAAGTCAACGGCATCGGTCGTGTTTTTGAGCGCGAACTTGATGCCATTGGAATCAAGAATTGTGGCGATATCTACCCTCAACGCGGCTATCTGTACAAGCTGTTTGGAGAGAAAGCATTCCAGTTCCTCATGCAAACATCTCTCGGTTTAGGAAGGACGAATGTTCAGCCAGCTGAGGAGTATGAACGGAAAAGCGTCGGTACTGAAAGCACTTTCCGCGACATCAGCAGCAAGGAAGAAGTACGAGAAAAACTTCGCCATACGGCTGAAGAACTCGAAAAGGACATGGCTAGGGTCGAAGTCAAAGGTCGTACTCTTGTACTCAAGATCAAATTACACACCTATGAGGTCTTCACTCGCCAAGTCGCTCCACCCAAGGCTGTCCATCTCGCAGAAGACCTGTACAACTATAGTCTTCCCATGTTGGTCAAACTTGAAAAGGAGATGCCCGATTTCAGAATACGTCTCTTAGGCCTTCGTTGTACTCATCTTGTCAGCACCAAAAAGGACAAGCCGGATTTCTTCCGGCCTCGCGCAGCGAAAGGGTCGTCAAATGATCAAGCTACTGATAACGGCGGATGGGAAGTCTGGCCGGACTCTGAGTTTGAAGACGCTGTCCGACAAGAACGACAGGAAGAGATGGAAGAACTTGAACGTCTGAGCCAAGAGCAGCAGCAAGCCGACGAGGGCGATCTGCAACATTCGACTGCTGATTGGCATGAACCTTTCGGGCGATACAAATATGGTAGTGAACCCAACTCTCCGGCCAAACATGGACGTGTGAGAAACGAGGCCCCAGAAATACCAAGCAACCAACAACAAGAGCAGCTTTGGAATTGTCCTATATGCCAGCTTCCACAACCAGCCAATGATCGAGATTTCAATTCTCACATCGACCTATGTCTTTCACGCCAGACAATCAAGGACGCCGTCGCAGAGGCACAGACGTCTACGAATGTATCTCGTGCTTCGCCCGAAGTGTCCATCATGCCTGGTCGCCCCAAGTCTGCACTTGGAGTTTCTGCTGGAACAAGAACGGCCTCGAAGCGGAAATCGGCTACTAGTGTCTCGAATGGTATGGGGTCCGACGAAGTCAATGGGAGAAAGCAGAAGAAATTGTTCTTTACCTGAACAAAGGCACTTGGATTACATGTATGATTGATGAATTGATGAAGTATAGAGAAATAATGATCTGTTCAAGAGACGCCAGAGTAGGTACTGTAAAAGATGACATGTTAATGCTTCCTTTCGCTTGACTTCTTTTGATACCTGCCCGTACTGGTAAGTCAATTGAACTGGCCTGGCTGGATCTTCGATCACGGCAACGTCTTGACACGAGTGTTGATGGATCGACATTTCAACATCCGATGATTGACCGATGTTCTTCCGTCCTCAAATACTTCAACTCCCTCACGTCCCATCCGCAGTTCGATCCACACCATGATAACTATCGCTCCCTCTGAGATTCAGTCTTGGCGAGGAGATTGGATGATTTGCCGAATAGTATGGAACTACAGACGACGCGATCGAGCAGCCACCACGACCACCATGTCGACACCACCGGCGACGTCGTCACCGAGTCGAACGACACCACTCACAGCCGCACAGGGCGGTCGTCGACGTCTCGACACGTGTTGAAACTCGTCTGCGCCGGATTCTCTTTCTTCTACGCCGGGACAAACGATGGCACCGTCGGTCCTCTCATTCCGTACATGTTGCGCAGATACCACGTCAGCACTGGTCTGATCACGGTCATGTAATTCATGATGCCCTACCTACCCGCCAGCCAATGGAACCCCCTCCCCCCAAGCCCAAACCAATAACCACACCGTCGCTAACACCACCGTCGTCGATAGATACGTGGGTGCGTTCGCCGGTTGGTTCACGTCCGCCCTCACCAACACGTCCCTGACGACGACACTGCGCCTGTCCCTGGGCGCAACACTCCTCCTCGGCGCCGGGTTGCAGCTCCTCGCCCAGCTGCTCCGGTTCTGGGACCCCCCGTTCCCCCTGTTCGTCGCCACCTTTTTCCTCACGGCCCTCGGCCAGGCGTACCAGGACTCGTACTCCAATGCCTTTGTCGCCAAGGTGCCCCGGGCCCATCGGTGGCTCGGCTTCATCCACGCCATGTACATGCTCGGCTGCCTCACCGGGCCCTTTGTGGCGACGCTGGTCTCCAGCCACACCCACTGGTATCGTACCTACGCCGTCGAAGCGGGCCTCGGCGGTTTGAATCTCGGTTTCGTGTTCGTCGCCTTCGGGGACGACATCTTGGGACGTTGGAAGAAGAGGGCCGTGGAGGGGAGAGAGTCCGGAGCGGTGGAAAACGAGGACGGCGCTTCGTCCGGTGACCGGCATGGTCACGACAACACCCGAGCCCGAAACAAACGAGCCATCAAGGAGATGCGACAGACTCTACGTCTCCCCTCGGTCTGGCTCGTCAGTATGTTCTTTTTCTTCTTCCTCGGGGCCGCCATCACAGCTGGAGGTAATTGTTCTTCTCTCTTCTCACCCTCCTCCTTTATTGTTTTCGTGTCCTCACAACTCACACACACACTCTCTCTCTTTTACCAGGCTGGGTCGTCGAATATCTCGTTCGTGTTCGCCACGGCGACCTGTCTTCCGTGGGATACGTCCCGACGGGGTACTATGGCGGAGGTTTCCTCGGTCGGTTACTGCTCGCCGAACCCACCCATCGATTCGGTGAAAGACGAATGATTCTTCTCTACATTGTCATTTGCGTTGCTCTACAGGTCATGTTTTGGACCATACCAAACATCGTCGCCGGCGCCGTCTTGTACTCTGCTCTGGGGTTCTTCTCGGGTCCTTTTTTCGTCAGTGTGAGTATGGGAGGTTACTACCACCATTGCCCTTCCTTTTCGATTTCATGTGTCCTATACGTGCACACGTTTCTTGAGATTGATTCGGTTTTTTTGGTTTGCAATAGGGAATCTCGGTGGCTTCACAACTCTTTCCAAAAGCCATACAAACGACCGCACTAGGTTAGTAGACCCATGTTCCAGCTTTTGATCAGCTTGAGCTCTTCCTCATGTTGATAAATCTCTCGTCATCAAAGGTTTCGTCTTCGTCATCGCTCAAATGGGAGGAAGTCTCTTCCCTACCGTCACCGGAGTCATCGCCGCCAACGCGGGCGTCAAGGTCCTTCAACCGATGCTGGTTGGGCTGTTTGTCCTGGTCGGAGCCAGTTGGTGGTTGGTACCACAGGTTGAAAAGGAGAGAGAAAGACATGATTGAATATGGTGTAAATGGATCAGACCATTGTCATCGTCATGTGAATATTGCCCTAATGTCTTCTTGTTGGGCTCTGATGGCTGACCATAACCCCTTACAGTACAGTATATACACCAGCCCTCCCAAACTTAGGTAGGTAGACAGGTTACCCACTGTCCGTGCGTACATGTGTATGCCCATTCTGAACCAACCCTGTTCAAAAAGTGTCGGGAACGCACGGTACATACTTACCTAGGTGGTTACTAGCATAACGCACATACGAATAAAAAGAAGAGGAGAAAAGAAACCTCTTTCCCTTTACCTCCACCTCCTAGGATCCTTACCCTGTCTTGCATTGACAATCGTAGTACCGAGCTCGTATCGACCAGGCAAGTACCAGACTAAGAGTACTTACTCTCCCTATAGTGTATGTAGGTTTTGTTTCTCTCCTCCGTGTTATTGCTCAACAGTGCACGGCCGACTCGAAGAAAAGCGAAAAACCTCTTGTTGTACTCCGTACAGTTACAGTAAGTAAATCGACATCCTCGAACCTCCTCCCCCCAGCCACCTACGCACGAACAGACACCCTTCTATACCTACCTGGGTAGCCTAAACCCCGTTTACCTTGGGGGATCCTCCGTGGGTACTGTACCTGCGTTTGGTAGCTCGTGCATATACTCCCGTCCTCCCTTTCCCCCCTATTTTCCGGTAAAACTTCCATTTCCCACAACCGTTCCCACCGTGACCCGGAATGTTTCCCGTCTAGGTACCAACTCCTACCTGATTCGGCCTCAACCCCCAAATTTTCCTCGACCGACACGTACCGTGCACATGGACGGTGCTCGAAGCGACCGGCGTGCACATACACTCATACCTCCACATCGACTCCGGTTCCTTTACTGAACAAGGTACCTGGATACCCGACAGGGGCACCAGGACACCGGTTCAATCATGATCTGTGCTCACAGTACCCAACCAAGTGGTTCTCAAGATGCCGATCACTTTATCCTGATCCTGATCCTAGCGTACGCAAGAGAACAGTGAAGAAAGAAATTGTAGAGCGCACTATTGCTTGCATTCTTTCCAACTACCCGTGCCTATACAATCAAGACAAAATACAACATGATTGTGCCCATTCTCTGTCATGGACAAACCCTCATCAGCAAGCACTTCTGGCTTGTCCAACCGGGAAGCACAGCCCAGGTATTCGTAGTTCACCAACAACCCCCCAGTCCGAAGCAAACCATCGCAAGCCATGCAGTAATGATGAGTCCCGATGCATGCAACTTACGCTTGATAGACCGCATTTACCATGGTAAACCCCCTCGGTGACACAGCCACCCTTGCTTTGGTTCACTGTACTTCATGCTCCTTGACATCGTTTTGCTCTTGCTTCATCTGTCCCTCCCTGATCTTTTCCGGAGCAACAGCTGCATAAGGATCTTCTGCTTCAGCTTCGGCTTCTGCGTCGGCTTCCTTCCTCTCCTTCTCCAGAATCTCAGTCTCTGCGTCTGATGTTCCTCCACCCTCTGACACAGTGTCCTCTACACTCTTGACCTTACCAACTCTGGTGCCCTCGAACATCCCACCGAATGGCGATTTCTTACGCGCCACTTTCGGGCTGGGTTCTTGGGCTTCGGACACGACCGGTCCGGTTTCCTTTGCCCCATACTTTTCGATGAAGGCGTCCTTCAGCACTTCATAGAGGAAGCTGTATTGCACTTCATTCATGACCATCATCATTCGTTGCTCGCGCAAAGTGTTGACTGTCTCCCAGATTAGATCTGCTTCCTCCACGAAATCGGGGGTCGTGGGTTTAGGCGGTCCACTTCTACCCCATGTGCCATTTGATTTCGGAGCGGGTTTGGCTGTGATATAGTCTGAGGGTGCCTCGAGAAGTCGGCCAGAGTCTAGTTCATGGAGGAGAAAGTCCAGAGCTATCCAAGTGCCGGTCCGACCAACCCCAGCTGAACAGTGAACGACCCGTGGAGAATCTCCTGCTACCCTCTTGGAAATCTTGGTCAATTCAAGTAGTGCCCGGCGGTCTTCGGCTTCTGGTTTTCCGAAATCTGGCCAGCCATTGAACAAATAATGATAAATGACTTTCGATTCGTCTCCGATGGTCAACTGCAACTGTCGAACTTCACACCCGATCTTTGCATCATAATTGATGGACAACAATGTCACGGTGCCACATTGACCTTCCACTCCATCGGCGTCATCCTTCTGAGGATTTGAGTCTGCAGACCCGGAATCTGTTCCCAAACTATCAGTATCGGCGCTCACTTTAGGGGAATCGAAGAAAGGGTCACCATCGCTTGCGCTATCTCCAGCAGCGTCTTCTTTGCTTTCTTCGCTTTCTTCGTGTGCGGGGAGTTTGAGTGTGGGATTTTGCATATCCCAGGGGAAATATTGTGCGCATTTCTCCTTTGCACCTTCGTATAGTTGAGTGAGCATCACAATCGCCCCGACATCCCCCGTGGTTTCTTGCAGTACCATGTGCCAAAAATGGGAAAACTGGCCTTCTTTCGGACCTTGTGTGGCGATATACCAATACACAGCGTCGGAGGAACCGTCAGGTGAATTATTCTCATGGCCCCGCGAAGGACTGTGTCCCTTGCGAATCTTGTCCTGGATTAGGCGGTCGGAGAGTCTGATGGGTGAAGCATTGACATAGTCCGATCCCCCGATGGGCTTCCTCAGCCTGATTCTTGACGAATCCCAAGGCTGGACGTTTCCGTAACGATTGCGACTTATGACAGCGACCGACCGATCGAGGCGAAACGGAGAGGACTCGTTCGTAAGGGCATCTTGCAAGCGAAATCGCTCTTTCCATCCTATATCCGCAAAAGCAGCCGTGATCTCTGTGTGCACCGTTAGCCACTGACGTGTGTCGAAGCATTCACGTCCGGCCTAAATTGAGCCTTTTGGAAGACGACAGTAACACTCACTTGCTCGATCCTTGTCCAGGTACGCCGGTACCTTGATGAGATTCTGTCGACTGGAGTTGGCGCTCTCACCGGCCGATTCGTTCGAAGACCTTGAAGCAGATAGCGATGACGACCCAGCCGCAGCATTGTTGGCCAATTCCTGCGACGACCTCTGCCGCTTCACGGGCCCCGACGGTGGGTTGCTGATGCTCAAAGATTGTGGCATGGTTTGAGTTATCTCGGCGATTGTGGCGGCATTGGAATGAGATGAGCCGGGCCCAGCTCGGGTGACGACGTCGGTGGAGAGAGGCGGCAGGGATGAGGAAGTCGTAGGTCGAATGGTAAGATTCGGGGTTGTCTTGGATCTTCTCCCAGGATGTAAATGGAGTCGTTGGAAGATTGACGGACGCTTGGGTGTGGACGTGGTGGAAGATTCCCCAGAAGAGGCAGACGAGTCCTGGGGAGCGGCGCCGGTTTTATCGGTAAAAAGACTTGAGACAGTCGTTGTGGTCTAGAGTGATGGGGGGTTGGAAAATGAGTGACCAAGTTGAAGTTTTGTTTGATGGACTTGCAACGGAATAAGTAGGGGTGACTGTTGACTGCGAGTGAGGTTGTGATGTTGTCGTTAAATGTGAAGCGAAAGGTCGTGTGAATACCGTCGCTTTCAAGGGATGGATGTTCCTGCCTTGGCTATTTTCGTATTATCAGATTGTACGGCAAGAAAGATCGATCGAGTTTGAAATGTTTGGGTTTTCTTGGTCTGGGCAAAGAATGACGTTGAAATCCCGCGTTCGTTGATTTGATGTTGACAACTTCAACAAACTGCCGAGTACGTGGACGAGTTCCTTTATGTTGCAGGGTCAGATCGAGATTCCCCTGTTTCAGGTGAGCTCTAAGAATATTCGTCGTGCTTTGCCGGGCGAATAAAGCAATTGCAGAGGCAGCCTCGTGCAACTTTGGATGCGAATGGTCGGATGTGAGTATGATGAATTGCTAAATAAGCGAATGATGCCTTGCTTCCAATCATCCAGAATTGGCGTGAGGCTGAGAATCGATTTGCATCATACAGGATTGACCTCATTTTGCAGCAAAACTCGGAATCGGGAGAGTTATTTATCCGTAGAGGTGGGGGGGAGCAAGCCACTCAGGTACTTTATGTAAGTACAAGACTGCGCTTTTTGCTTTGGGGGAGATGTTCGATATTCGATATTCGCAGTTACACATCATCTGTCCACATTCGTACCTATGTACATTACAGTCTCATCTGGCCAGCAATAACCTTTGTGTCTCCTTCTCAATGCTTTCTAGGTGGTACTGAGCGACCATCTCTCTCTCTCCATTTCGATCCTCGGTTGTCATTTATTCCTATCTCGGTCTATATACCCTTTGATTGTTGTGAACTACGAACTCCCGCCGCAATGACATGGTGGTGGATGTTAGAAGTATGCCTGCTCCTCCTCAACTCCCCAGTTCTTCCTTCTACGGGCTTCTAATAATCCCTACCAGAAACGAATGATAGAGATGGTGCGCTATTGACCTTCTAGTTGGCCGCTTCAACCTTTCCCCGTTTCTAATCGTCCCCAGCTCCTCCGGAGTCCGTCCTTTCATCGAGGCGTTCAGAAGGTTCACAAAAAGGTCCATGAGTTACAACACGGCAAACCCCCGGAGTACTATGGGGGAACACACATTGACTGTACGTGGGCGCACACTGCTATCCTACCTCGACTGTCCCCTTCCCAAGAGCTGTCCAACTGGTCAATTCAACCATGATTGCGAGACTTTCAAGATCAGAGACTCACAATTTTTGTCTGTAGCTGAACAAGAAGCCGGCCGCGGCGTAAAAAATCTATTCAAGTTGTTTTGGGAAGAACTCAAAACAGGCCACAAACCACCAGAACCACCGACGAAGAGATGACACCAGCCGCCTCCGTCCGGTGTGAGTGAATGAAGTAATGTTTACAACGAAACAAGGTCTCGATTAGCAAGGTGTTTCGGGCGTTTTAGTGAAGACCTATTTGCCCAGGGGGGTCTTGTCCAAAATGGCTGTATGCATATTGTTTGCAACGCGTGTGGAGACATCTGATTTGGAAAGTCACGGCAATCTTGGGAAGAATTTCAAGTTTTTTTACAAGTTGAATGCTCAACTCCTTTGTCATTCCGTGATGGTAGGCAGGATCACCATTGGGACCATGGGGCCTCCCCCCCTCCCCGATCTGATGGCAACCGTCGACACGAAGAGAACGAGCCGAGACAGGAATGGAAGATGTAGGTCTAATCAATATGGTCTCAGCATCGTGCAGAGAGATCGTCTTCCGTGCCCCGGCGTCTTACGCCGCGGTATATTGTACGCACCCCCTTTTGATCGCCGACCTCTGATTGATTAGGGATCCTGTTTGTCCGGGTAAGTATCTGTTGTACATCTGGGCTTCCTTTCCCTGGACAGATTGCTGGTCGAACAGAAGAAAATTGCTCACGCCAATTCCTTTGATTCCTGTAGCAAGTCGTTCAGGCTATGGAGTACCGAGACGGGTCGGCCCTTTGTTGCTATCTATTGCCACGTCATACACATTTGAGGAGGCGGGAAATGAATTTACCAACCGGATACAGATTGGGTCAACTCATCGTCATTCCTCCATGCGAGTCTGACCCTCATTCCATCCGAAGAGAAACCAAACACTTCGCCTTGATCGAACTCATGATCTTGTCATACTTCAAGATCAGCGGAAAATCCCTTTGCAAAGCCGAGGAAATGGCGAACATTGACACACGCCCCTTTCTCATGTTTGGATACACAACGATCTCTACTCTTGCCACGTGCCCTCTGAAAGCAAGCCACAATGGCACAGACAGGGCAGCTCGTAACAATGCCGAGAGCTACGAGGCAATATCGATCTGCCCATGTTCTGTCCGCAACATATCTTCGTCCTTCCAAGGGGGCTTGACAAGCGGGGTTCCCCGGCCTGTTCGTCCCCCGAGGCGCCCTGACAATTGCCTTGTCAGGCTCGGAAAGGCAAGAATTCGGTCGGTCCCTGCAGGTGTTGCACTGTCAACTGTGACTCGATGTTTTAGCTAGGACGAGCATTTGTCAGTAACTGCTCAATGAAAATGTTGAATCCGGCTGTGCACGTTTCACGTTGTACCATGTAATGTCTGGAAGTTGTTCCCTTTTCTTGCCGAAGGTTATCTCCCAGAAGAGTGAAGCAAACGCCCTTTCCCGTCAAGATGCGGGCGATCGTCTTCTGCGTTGATGCCCAAACACCAATATTGCTGCACGTTGGACGATCTCTTCTGGGTCCGTCCAGGTATCTTGCCGATCAAGTAGAAACCTACCTTTCTCACCTTTAAGATACCACAAAAGTCATTGTCGAACTCCACACCTGAGCCACGCGAGTGCATCTACAAGGCTGCAGGCCTTTTTCGCGGGAGGGTTGGAGCTAACCGCGGCGGGCTCCCGCTGTCATATCTGCAGGTTCACGAAGGCGCTGCCGACGACGGGATCATTCCAGCAAAGACAAACAGAACTTACTGGGCGAAAAGCCAGCTCCGCAGCAAAGGCGCGGGCATGCAACAAGCCACGATGCAGCGATGACGGGTGTATATTGACCGCATTACAAAGTGGCCTGCATGTGCCTCGCTCCGGGAGGGGGGGAAAATGCACCCCCCCTGCACGAGGTCGATAGGGAACGAACTGTTCAGCTGCCACTCGTCTTCGGCCGCAGCGACAAACGTCGTGTCCCGACAGTTGACCCGGTTTGTGTCTGGTCGCATCGTTGATCGGTCAGTCCCTCGCGCTGCGTGCTGGACGGTCACCCAGCCTGTCTCTCAGCGTTGGGGCAAAAGCTTGTCACATCGGCCAACTTTGGTCGTCCGAACGGGGATGACCATAGGTTTTGTCAACCTCTGGTTGGTTGACCCACTCGTTGTTTGTGCGTGACGGTGCAACCAACAAGTGACAGGACAAAGGAATGGTCAACCAATCCGGGACCCCAGCCACCGCAATGAATTTCAGAGCTGACCGACTCCAGAAGCGCCGCTGATTTCCCTTGCACCATCTGAGATTTTGACAGCTGCGGGCCGTATATCAACAGTTTGATGCAGATCGTGCGACTGCCCATGCTTCTTGTAACCGCAGACGTGCCAAAGTGGTCTCTCTGCGGTGTTTCAGCCCATTTAAGCTGTGCGGTTCATCCCTCTCCTTTTCTGCGGGGACCGTCTTCACTAGTCGACGTGCTTGACTTCAGATCGGATTAGTCGTGTCCATGACAAAAACTGTGGGAGTTGATGTGGTCCGCGACACGTAAGAACCATGTCAAAGGCATTACTGTGCGGGAATGGAGCGACAAGTGTCAAGTCTGCCCAGTCGAATTATGCTGCCGCACAACCCTTTTGCCTGTTGCATGTGCCTGTCCGTGTATCTGGGGAGACTTGCTCACCTCCAGTGGGAGAGAGTGGGAGAGAGCGAGGAACTCTGCGGGGCCAATGGTACCGTTACACATTGTCCTCGAATCTCAATGGGCCGGCGTGACAAAAGGTTTGGATTGAGTACGGGAGCAACCTCCTGTCTCGTTGATAGTGTAACGTGATGATGATGATGATGATTGCTGAGGCACCAGGGCTCGAACCACGTTCCCAAGGTCACAAGCCTGTGCAACTGGGGGAGGGGGGGGTCCCTGAATACGAGCTTCGGGAGCTATTGCTCGAATCTCGCCGGCGAATATGATAGTTCGAGCAATTGCTAAAAGATTGGCAGCTCAAGACGACACCCAATGGCGACGGTCCGGAGATCTGTAGGTGAAGGACTTCGAAAAGCAACTAGGTTAAACCTTCGATTCTTCGTCACTGCATTTTAATGTTTCGAACGCTTTTTTGAGTTGGGCGATTTGTGCTAGGGAAGAGCCGATCGTAGGCCGTCCATACCTAGATTACCACCTTTCCGCCACCCTGGGCATCACGAGAGGGCGGATCAGGAGGGAAAGTCCGTCCACGGCGAGAGAGTTTGCTCATGCAGTACTCCGTAGGTGTGAGAGTTTGTTCACCGAGAGAAAAAACTCCTCCGGCTTGTGTATCGAGAGTTGTCGCCTTTGTGCAACATCGGTTGCAGGCTCTGTGCATTGCACGAGGAGCTTGTACGAGTTGTCCCCCCTGTCACACCTACAGTAAGTCAACCTAGGACAGTTCGTCAGGGATGTCAGTAACGAGTTATCGGGGGAAGATGGCCCAAGGATAGATAGAGTAGGCACTTGGGGACAGTGCGTGCACAGGCAATTCTCTGAACCTGGCCATCCATACAACAATACAGTAATGACTTCTCCCCCAGCTTGCTCCTTCCTACTGAAGCTTCTGCCATTCTCCGGGCTCTTGATTATCGACGGGAAGTGACTTGGATTGGACATGACCAAGGTCCAACCTCGGTGCTCCGAGAGACACCGAGCTTTCCCGAACACGACCATTCCTCTTTCTGACGACCATTGGAGCCTAGTGCGAGTCTCTTGGCCTTGGCCATCGCGATCTGAACGGGTTGTTAACATCTCTTGAAGGCTTGCCACGTGCTGGTGGCGCTCCGGTTGCTTACCACATCGCAGATAGGCAGCTTTGTGTGATTACAGTGAGTATTGTTACCCACTTCGTCTCCATCGCACCATCCATCAACTGGCATCCCCCGAAAGCAATAGTACTACTCCGTAATAATAAAAATTCCAATCTTGATCGCCCCAATGTGATCGCCACTCGCGCCGTGTGTAGCGAGGGTTCAGAAACGATCATTTCGGCAGACTGATTTAATCCTGACCTTACGGTAGGCACGCGACCGAGTCAACCGAGGAGTGGCAACTTGGGACCGAGTAGATCACAGGGGTTCTGTGCAGTTCCAATCTGTCGGTGAGACATTATCGTTGAGTGCACTGGAGCACCAGGGAAATTGTCGGTGCCATATGCGCGCCCATGACTTGTAGCAGGGGGAGTGATACACGCCTGCAAGAGAGTTGTTGCGCACGGTGATTCCTGCGTTGGTAGGTAAGCGGTTCTCGACTGCTTCGTGTTACCGATAAACAAATATCACGCTCTCATTCAACGTGGCTTGTCATACGAGGCGCCATCCCATCTGCATCACCATCTACTTGTCATTCTGAGTCCCTTGTTGAGCTGGAGATAAGTCACTGCGCACAGATGGGCCATTCCAATGACAGTGGGCCACGTACAATAGCATAGTCCAGGGTACAGCCTGAGCTTGTGTGTCTTGGTTTCACAACTCCAACCGAAAAAGTGTGGGCAGCTGGGAGCATCGATTGCGCGATCCGACCATGGGCATGGGAGATTTCTGGCAGCTGTCAAATATGCAAGTTTCCAGCTTCGGGTGCCATATGTACGTGAACCCTGAAAAAGATGACGCGGTGACCGACATTCGACAAAGGGAGCCCTTCAATCCACGTGAAGGGACTTGCAAGAGGGGATACGAGTCGTAGAGTCTTACGAACAGTCTCACCCATCTGTTACTTGTTCCTCTGCCCTTCGGATACGGTGTCTCTGCGTCATGACATACAAGGGTTGTCGTGTCGGAATGTTGCCACAAGTCACGAGTCAACTTCCTTGTGCTGCGGTGAGCACCCCGTCTCCGTTCAACATCCAAGAATGTTCTCGTTGAACCGCGTGCTCTTAAGCCGGAAGGGGATGCGACAACGAATAACAGATCATTCGAACATCAAGGTACAACCTTCAAACGCCAAAAGCATCAATAATACTACTGCAGAGGCCTGGAATTAATCGGTCGATCAGCTACAGCCACATCGGTAAGCGAGATTCCGGTGTACAAGTAGCTAAAGATAGCCGAATCTCGATTCAATAGTAGCGGATCTGGCATTGTAAAATAGCGAACAGCACGAATCGTAGATCCAATCTCAGAATGTTCACACTCTGACAGACATGAGCACAAGTGGTCGTGGCAACAATGTGAAGCGACGGACTCGCTTCAGTCTGTGGTGATGATAAATAATTGTCGGAAAGTCAATGATGAAACGACCAATCGATCTACCGACAAAATGCTCTACCAGAACCGGGATGCAAAGATCTGGCTGAATGGGCCACACGACCGACGCCTTTTCAGATCCTCCAGGCAAATTTGGCTTTTGGCAGGTGTCCTCGTACTCGCACAGTCCTCGAGGTCAAACTCCACGTGAGGAGACGATTTCCGGATGGCCTGTTCATCATTGGCTCCATGATTCCGAGTGACAAGGGGCGGCTTCTTAGGCATTTTGTCAAGACACCCGTCAACAGATCCGAACTCGACACACGCTGCATTTGTGAAGGCGAGGTAAATCCTGTGTACATATCCAAGGGGAGCATGATGTAACGGGTGCTGCGGCAGGAGGAAGAAAGTACCAGGGAGGATCTAAACGATCTGACCAAGGGAACGTTTCGGATTCTCTTGATTCGTGTTCCGTGTGGATCGACTGGAATCGCCCTGCGATACGTTGGATTCTGTCCAGGAAGCTGGCGGAAACGGGTCAGAGACAACGAGAGTAGGAAGGAAGATGATCACGACCGCTAGACCTCAAAGAGCCTGGCTACCCAGGTTAGCCATGGGCCATGGTTTCGAAAATGCCGAATGAGGCGCCTCGCTTAACTGGGGGTTGTCTGAAGGAGTAAGCCACACTAGCCAGATGAGCCTCCTAGCGACTATGGATACAAGTACCTGGGCGGTGGGAGTTGTTTTCCCGCAGCTGATGGGCCTGTGCTCGTCGTGCTCGGGCTAGGAGGCACTGTAGCTGTCGTACTCCGTAGTCAGATCCAAGTTTGTAGGCTAACCGGCATCTCCCTTTTTTGCCTCTCGAGTCTCATGAGGCATGCCACCCACTTCTGTTTCGAAGTGGCATGGTGTCGTACGTAATGCGGTGGATGTCTTCGCTGAGGGAGAGGAGGAGCTTCGTTCCAACTGTGACAAAGACGTGACGAACCATGGTGGCGGCGTACACCGGAGCGCTGTCACGTTGTTCGAAACGTTTGTGGATTTCTTTTGGAAAAGTGTGGGCTGACGGGAAGACTGCGACAAGAGTGATTGCTGGGTGATAATAGTCCGAGGGAGAAGATGAGTTGTGTAGCCACTCGAGAACGAGCAGGCAGCACACTAGCCAGGTGAGGCGAAGCGAGTAGATTGCTGCGGCCGGGGAAGGTGTAATTGTCTACCTTACTCCGTAGTAACGAGATACAATAACGGTTGTATAGCACTCGGTACGGATCTGCCACGGTTACTCCGTACATATGTGACTACGAATACAATCGGCAGGGGGTAAGCCTGTGAATACTTTCTTACTGCTTTCCGCAAAGCCTACAGGATTCGCTCGTATACGGACACCAGGGTCTATTTACCTGTTCGGACGACGCCATGGCCATCTGGCATAACTGGTAGCGCCCTCTGTTAGCCACCTATAGTACTTGGACATGCTCCGTACTGACTCCGTATAGTACTAAGGAACTAGGGAACAACTGACAGTACCGGTTGTCACAAATACACAAGTGTGTCCGCAGCAACTCGTCCCTAATGCACCAGCTGGGTTAGTGGAACAGGCATTACAGTACGAAGCTCCGTACAGTACGGAGTACATACCTCATTGTTGTGCCCATCTCCAGGCAAAGCCCCCAGCCCAAGCCTAGCTCCCTGACTTCCTCGCTCCCTGGCTCCCTGGCTCCCGGCCCCAATCCCTAACGGCACAGGCTCACTAGGCGGGCCCATCACACTACTCTAGGCCCAAAGTCTGAGCACACATGCCTGGTCCCTGGCATCCTGGCCGATGCAGCCACCCTGAATTGCGACTGGCTGGCTCTGTCCCATCGCCATCGCCCATCATGATCGTCCATCTGGCTGCTGCTCGCCCCTGTCACTTATTAGTTGTCCTTACACCAGTGTGAACCCACCCGCTTGCCCCCTCCGAGTAGCAGGCCCTCGAGTCCTTTCACGCTCCTCCGGATGCCCAAAACGCTATCTGTCTCTCCCCCCCAAAGCCCTCCCGATCCACCTACCAGACTCTCACAGGCCGCGCTGGTGGTTCTGGGACACACACTCACTGGCAGTGCCCGCGTCAGACCTTTCCATCATTCCCACGGCCCATGCTAGTGCGATCTCTCGATCTGTTCTCCGCCCATCTCGCTCTCTAAGACTTGCTCATTCTTTCATCCTCTCTGCCTTGCAACCGTCACCATTCTCTCAACTCCGGATCCCGTCTAAACCTGCGTCTCTGCATATCATTGTCGACATTCTATTCTGCGACTCTTCCTGTTGTCGATCTCAAGGATCTCCCGGTCTTGTTGTCCTCTCCTCCTCATATTCTCTCATCTACAATCCTCCAGGCAACTTGTTGGGTCCGAGTGGTGCGGCAAGAGAAGGTCTATTGACGGCGCTCGGGATTCCATATCCGCTGCACGTACACACCATCATCGACATCAACACATCAGCACTGGAGAAGAAGACGTGGACTGTCCGCCTTCAGCATTCACGCAAACAACTCCTTCTGACCCAGAGGCACTTCTGGTGTTGTTCATTGGTGCGACTGTTCAAACGTCACGAGTCCTGCGTAACCTGGTGACGGAAGACATTAAAATCTGCACGGAAACCTACATTGGCAATACAGGAGTTCTCTTCCGCTGATCCGCCCATATGGTTGATTAGGCCTGCTCTTGAACATACTGACGACACTTGTCGAAGAGGGAACAACCGACACTGACAAGTTGACCCAATGGCGACTTTGGACTTGGGCCCTAGGCAAAGGTTTGTTGACTGTCTATGACATGTGCATCCGGTGTGAGGACTCTGCTGACGGACTCGATAGGGACACGTTGCCCCCCATCAGTCATCTAGACCTGGATGTCATCAAAAGTGATGGCAATGGTCATTCTCGGTTCGGTATGCTGAATGGACTCAGTATCTCGACTGCCCCCGTGAGCAGCCCAACCACTACAATGTATACCGGACCTCCTCCCCCGTATTCTTGTGCTCCCTCGACAGCAGGATCTGCGTCAGGATTGTCGGGCTACATCTCTCCTCCGGAGTCCACGACTCGACGCTCTACGCGGGATGAGAGGGAATCTCCAGGCCTGCGCAAATCACTCCCGTCTATACACGAAGCGCTCGGGGACAGATCAATGTCACTACCTGGTCCTCTGTCCGCCACCTCGCAACAACAGCCACTTTCGACTCCTACCGCAACCGTAGGCCAAAGTTTCCCTGACGGCCCAAAGGGGCCTGCCAATCCGTTTTCACAGCCGCCAGGTCCAGCACCTGTTCTCAGAGATGTCTTCTCAGGCTCTCAAAAGAGCGCCCCTGTTGACAAGCCTCCCATAGCTTCTTCTACTGATCCACGTCAACCGGTGTCCCAGCATTTTGGCTACCCTGGGTCTCCACCGTCTCAGCCACCACCACCTGCGTTCCGTTCTTCATCACTAGCCAACACATCATTTAGCAACCACAACGATCATCTACCAGCCACCTCGCCTCGATCATACGATGCTCCAAAACCACCGTACTCATTGCCTCAATTTGGTCCTTCACCTTCTTCGAATGGACCACTACCTCACGAAGCCGGACAAATTGGCGCCAAATCTGCCCCATTTCCCAGAGCCGAAGATGTTCAATTCAGTGACAATGTAAAGCGACACTTAGATGTATTTGATGCCGAACTTGGATTCAATGAAGTGGGCCTCATTCCCATATCTCTCATGTTATACCCTGTATTGACTGTGTGCAGATTAGTGAAGCCTCGGCCGGGACGCTTGATTTCGCCAGAGTCTGGGCTCCGCGCTTCCACCACGGGTCCCGTTCAGGCTATTTTCATGAAGCGCTTCCAAGTTTGAACGAGATGGACGAAGCCCTTCGACAGTCCCATCGAATTTTTGAGAATTTGACTCATCTGCGTGAGTTGGTCTTTGCACAACAGACTGCACTATCAGAACATCGGGCCCGGCAAGCTGAAGAGTACCGTGGCTTGCCTGAGGGATATCGACATCCACATGTAGCAGACAGAGCAGAGAGAGATGCCAAAAGACATCGACGTGGAGTAAGTATCGTCCATAGCTGTCAGGAACCTTATCACTGACTTCTCACCAGCAAAAGGCTGCTCCACCAGGACGCTGCCATAGTTGCAATCGTGCCGAAACGCCAGAGTGGCGAAGAGGTCCCGATGGAGCGCGTACACTTTGCAACGCCTGTGGTCTACACTACGCCAAACTCACACGAAAAATGGGTGTCAACAAGGCAGCGGCTTTGACTGGCTCGAGCTTACGACCAAAACATTTAGACCAAACGCGACCTTGATTCAGGTCATTCATTTGCAACGACGAATATATTTGACGGTACAGACGTGATCTCTTTAAGGAGACGACGATGATGATTACACAGCTACGAGATGCTCCTCGAGCCACCACTTTATTTCCTTTTCTGATTTTGGCGTCCCGGGGAGGCAAACTCATTTCGAAATGTGCACTATAAGCAGTGATGCGACGGTTGGGACTGTGATTGTACAGAAGGGGCTCTTGCAAGAAAGCCCCAAAAGCGATGGGTTTAGGAACGGCGTATATTTGCACAGTGTAATGCCTTGTTAGAGGTATTCGGGAGCACGAGCGATGATTTTACGCCGCCTGAAGATGGATTGTTTCTGATACCCCAAACCGCTGCCTTATTAGAGGCTACTTTTGGAGCATTCTGGTTCCATCATATATCTCTTTGGTATTATTGTTATTATCTAGTGTTGGACGGGGGAAGGAGGAGGGCGTGAACATGACCGTCGGTCGGCGGGGACGCGGCGGGTACGATTTGAGTCAAACGAGGATCTATGTCTGGGGTTGCTTTTTTGTGATGGCTGTCAGACCTGGTGACGGCGACACCAAAGTTGCACCTATTCCCACAGCCCACACTTGTCGATTCCCATCAACAACGCGTTATAGCGTGGTGGTGAAAAGCACAGGGATATCTCGCATACAAAAAGTCACAGCAGGCGAGGCCATGATCTTCCATGGTCTCTCGCCCACAGGCAACGAAGAAATCGAATCTTTCTCAGAATCTATCATCATCTTGTCTCCTTGTTACAACACAGTGTCCGTGCTCGTACATTTCCATATTTACTTCGTAAAGAGAGCTGCATGCACAGTGCGCTTCTATCTACAGCACCTGTGCAGCAGTACTCCGTAACAACGCGCTAGTCGCCAGGATATGCAGGACCTTGTCACAAGAGCTTGCCACTCAATGGCTTTACGCGGGAGGCTGATTGTCCTGATGCGAAGTAGCAAGGTTGTTTGGCTCAGTGATTTGGTGTGCTCGGACGAGGAGGATGGATAGTACAGAATACGGAGCACTGAGGGGCCGTCAACGCCTCGCAGAGAGCCCACCTTCACAGATCCCTGCTTTCCGATGTGCAGCGATTTGCAACTGTCTCAGGATCAGGGAGTGGTCTTGTCGGAGGCGCAGCGAGAAAGGTGACAGGAAAGAGTCAGCAACAACTACAAGGAGTATCCGTACGGAAGCCCGGTGCATCGACTACTCGTGTGCCAGGCTCACTAATTTCGTCAGGCCACTCATCAAGCACCTGTTACCATCAATACCAGCGTCGTTACAAGATGGCTGCCGTAACTGGAACGGGTCAAGCTGCAAACCATCCATTTCTCGCCTGGATCGCGACTCCATCTGTCTCGCTCAACGGCTCCTCGGCCTAGGCCATGGCTCAGTTCGAGCCTGAAAACACTGGAGGCTGGAGCATCGCAGGATCGGCCATGATCAGCGAAGCCGTCAAGCTCCCTCTGCCCATGGTGATCGGCAAATTTTGACCTTGTGCCACACCGAAACCACTCGATCCGACGTTTTCATACGGAGTATTCCCCAGACCACTTCTCGCCTTACAGCCCCTCGGAGTCAATATTTCGAGTGAAGTATGGCATATCTAGGTGAGGCAATTTCCTCAGGTGTCGACCACCCACATACATGGAAGGGCGAGACATGTGACGAGGAGGAGAATGCAATACACACTACAAGCACGGAGTACTACTCGTATGGATTTCTATCAGATGTCTGAGCTCTTCTGTCCAACGGATGGCATGAAATCGACCAGCTTGGCCGCCCGGGCTTAGCCGGGGAAATACTACTTCTTCTATCGCGAAGTGTCGGAAAAGAGCGTTGGACTGTGGAGGAGACAAATCCGCCGTTCGGCTCTCGAACCAGTCAGCAGGGAGCACAATGATTACTGACACCAGACATGGCCCTGAAGCAGTTCGAATTACTCGACCTATCCGTACAGACTACCAAACTGCTAGTTCCTGCCTTGCTGGACATTCTTTTCGAAACCCCAAACCAGATAAAAGTGAATGGAGCATCTCGAACAGAACCAGCCCGGACGATCTCCGGATGTGCCCGCATCTAATCTACTCGCTCGGAAGGACGTGTCCATATTGCCACTGCTTGAATGCCTTGGACAGGGTCAAGTCGTTCAGTACTTCCCTAAGCATATCGTACGGACTGAACAAAGGGTGCAGACCTTGTTCCCAACTCGCCCGACCACAGAGCTACTTCAGGCCCTTTGAGCCAGGGAACACCTTCAAGATTGTGACAAGAGAGCACTCCATCCAGGGAAAAGCAAGTGTGCAGTTACGTCAGAAGCGTCCTTAAATGCAGGGTACAGGGTTTGTTGGTTTAGGGGCCGACAAACAAGCGCAGCCACTGTCAGGAACAATCTTCCCTCCACATCGCTCTGCGGTAGTGCCCTGGGCTGCATCCGGCCGAGCTCTCCTCGGCTTCGAAGTCTAGACCAAAAATCTGACCAAAACAAGATACGATCAGACGTCGTGTTCGTTGATGGGGTATAACGAAAACCTGTGTCAACTTTTCCAGGAGGGCGTAGTGCAATCTGCCAGTGTGTGCTCAACAGCCTTAGGTGCTCGAACCCAGGCGAATTCGTGATCGTACACTATACCCACGCACGATGGAGGAGCGCTTGCCTATCGACAGCAGTCTCCGGAAGGCTAGACTGTTCTATACTACGCCTGCATGGGGAGGCGTCGCACCAGATCAAAGCCACCAAGTTGATAGACGCAGGGTTCATCAAAGACGGGCTGACGGCCTCCTCTCGACCCGAGCAGTCACCAGCACACAGGCGGGTGATCACAACAAGAACCCCTGTCTCTGACCCTAGAATCACTTGTGAATTTCTACCTTGCAGCTGTCTAACGGAGTCCTAGAGGACGGAGACGTCCCTTGACACTGCCGCTGTCTCTTGAGCGGAAAGACCACCACCGTCCCAGAAAGGCGTATCAAAAAGTCGGTCCGTACTCTGTCGAGCCTGCTATTCCGTCGATTCCAAACAACAAGACAGCTTCCACGCCTTCGTATGTTTTCGTCGATATTCTCTTCGGTCGGCTAAAAACAGCCATCTTTTTTCGCCTATAACCCCAGACAATATTGCAGACTTAGCTGCTCTCGACGACGCAGAGGTCGCGTGTCGAGGGTCACGTCCAAACGGCCTCGCTCCAAATTGAAGTTTTGCACACTCCCTCTCTTGCCACCACAAGCAAGCTCTTGACGCGGGACACGTAGCGTGAATCCTTTACTACTCATAGTAAGGCTGTTACCAATTAAAGCAAGCAACAAGAACAGAATCTCAACTGTGTTGAACTCTCAACGACCTAGTTTCAATCAACGCTGTAAGCGAACCTCCACAAAGGTGGGTGAGAGATGCCCAGGCGCCGCGAGCGGCCCCTGTTCCCGGTCACACTTTCTTCTACTAGGCTAGAGTGGACCACTTCTTTTGCCTTACGACTGCTTAGAGTCAGGCGTGATCGAGGATCGCCCTCTTCGACTTGCCTCTTCGCCTCAACCTGTCATAAAATCCTTTACTCTCTCTGTGGCGCTCCAACCGAAATGAGGTCAATAGGAAGCGAGATACTAGGCGTCTCAAAAGGGAGCTTCGACCGTGCAAGCTTTGTGAGAATGAGGCTGCCTTTTCTTACACCATTCTAGTGAGGGACTGGACAGATCATCGCAAATCATGCACCAGATCGCCCTTAGCATTTTCAAACAACTTGTGGCGACCCGCCATCGCGCTAGTGGCCAGGGGTGTTTTTGATGCTGCCAGAGGTCATGATGGTCCTACTCCGTAACGGCCAAATTTGTCGCACATTTGCGCGACCATCGGAAATGGCCTGTGACAGTACGAGACTCCCGGACTCGACATGGGCGGGCGGTTGAATCCTCGGCGGCGAAGCATGTTGGATGGCGAGCCCTACAGCCGAAGCCTTCAAGCGTCGACTTCCACTGTGGTTCACCCGAACGTCACCAAGTGTTTCAGGCTTCGGAGAGCAGTGAAACAGTACGTCGCACTTCGCTTGGTTCATGAAATACATTCTCTAACCTCGTTAAGAGCATGGCGAGTCGCGTTTGAGACAATTTTCCCGCTTATTACCACTCTTGTCGTTATCTCCAGGCGACGCGTGCAACGAAAACATGTCTGACATGTGCTCAATCTCGTGAGTAAACGGTGACAGTCTCAGTGTCGATCCTGTGGACGGCAGTGTATTGTTTGAGACTTGGCCGGTCATTGTATGATGCTGGTGGCATGGCCGCACTATCCCTCACTTAGCGGTAGGGAATTGTACAGTATGCCCCAGTTCTTTCGTATTCATACTCGAAGCGAGCTCAATTCGGCGGCTGTCCGGATAGTCAGGGCAAAACACGTTGGCTGTCCAAGTACGGAGTATCTACATCCATACTACTCATGGGAGCCTATTGCCATCTGATACGCCTAGGTCCTACACAGCAGCGCCTCAGTTGCGTTGAAGGGGCTCTTGTGACCTAGCTTCTGTCTCGGTGGCACCGGCGATGCCTCTGTCCCAAGCATTCAAGATCTCGAATGTTGGCTTGCTAGGTGAATCGCCCCTGCTTTTCGCTACTTTCTGTGTGTCGCCTATCTACACAGTGTGAGACGCGCGTATCTGTACAGATCCCACCGCACAAGTTACAGTAGTATGTTAACTGTCAGACTGCCAAAGCCAACACCCAGGTCCGAAACAATGGCCGTGGCCAGATTTTGCCAAGGAGATTTCTCTTGTCTGGCGTGGCTTACAACCCGAGAGCTGAGAGAATCACATTGTGCTTTCGGTCATTCCAAACGAGTACAACCGCATTGTACGTGTAGGTATTGTACACTAGGTCCAGGTATCCATTCGGTCCGATGTGTATCACCCTGCCTCCTGAGTCTTACACCAGTCAGAGGATTCGCATCGCTTATTACAGATGACGGCAGGGGGGAAGGGGGGGATGGATACTCATTGCAGTACGTGCCTGATCAAGGTAGCTGCAGTTGAGGCCAAAGAGTGAGGTTCAATCCCCTTGCAAGCTTGAATCATGGTTGTCCCACATCCGGTCTTTCGACGAGGGTCCGTCACGGTACTGTAGGCGGTGATTATGCAGTCCAAGAAGGCGTTGACAAATCGTCGTCGCCGCAAGGTGAGGTGTATGGGGAACGCTTTCTCAAGGCAGGCGAATGAGGACCTTGGTCAGCGAGAGGAGAAGATGAGGATTTCTGCCCTTCCTAGCACAGTGGAGTGCTGCGAACTTGAACAAATAGACCGACCATATCAGCCCCGTCTTTATGATCCTTGCAGGCAGACCAGGGCTCGGAATCTACCATGGCGTTGGCTGATCTTCTTTGGGCCTTGCTCACTTTCACAACCCCCTGGCCCATTGGTTTGTATACCGCAGCACCCGAACGGTCATGCATTAGCCAACATTGTGAATACGTATCCACCGGAGCTGCATGGAGTAGCCCAGATGACTTCCTGTTCAATCTTGTGACGAGTTCGTGTCAAGTTTGGAATGGAGCAGATGCAGCCGTGTGTTCTTCCCTCCACCATTGCTCATGTCAAGACTTTCACTTCACATCGCAACCACGAAAAGATTGATCAGCTTGGGTGAGTTTTGTCTGTATTGATGCTCGGAATGTACCCCTGTTCACCCAGAGCACCCTGGTCCGCTAGCCAGCCCCCCCCTCCGCACCTCATCAAGTATGCAGCTGGTCTCTTTTATTGCTGACACTAGTAGACCAGGGCCGTGTTCGGTGAGCTCCCCTTGGTGTCCTGACGGGTGTATCCTCCATCTAACATGTACGTACTTTACGGGGCACTGTAGAGAATACCTCGTATGTATGCCCTTTGACAAAACGAGTGACGACGTTGATTGAGCTGTCATACTGTTTTAGCGAGAAAATCCTCCATCCTTCGGCTGTTCTTTCCCTCCATCTCTCGTACCGACATGCTTTCACCGGAATGCTCTCTAAGCAGCACTATACAAGCAAAGTTGACAAGATGTGCTTGATCCAGGAAAACCATACGACATGGCCTGTTTTAGCGTCTCATCGTTGCTGTGACATTTCCAGGCGATCATGTCTTCTGTGCGAGACTGGATTATCATCTGGACTATGGAGGACGGGAGGTGAGATCCTTGGACATTATCATGGCTGTTAGGATCCAGCATCCTCGCGGTGAGACAAATGGCCTATATACAAAAGCTACACGTATATGTCGCTGGAAAAACAGTGCCTCGCACGCAGCAAGCAGTGCCTCGATGTGTATGGAGTCCCTTCATGAATCATCCAGCCTGTTTGCTATCCCAAATACAGCAGTATACTAGCAAAGCCATCTTGCGATCGATATTACCATGTATCCTGGCCACTCCTCGGCGACGATGATCATGAATTTTAGAATCCCCGCCCTCATACATTTTCAAACACAGAAGGGGAAAGAAAAGGATATTGACCTGTGGAAGTACAGAACTTGACAGATGCGGCGTCAATACGTGGGTGCATACGGAGTACAACTTTTGTGTTGCAGGATACCAGCTGAAGCGATTGGCTTGAAATATCACATCACGGAGGCAGTCGAGGCCTTTTCTTCGGATTCGACCATCTGAAGTCTTACATGGTGTTACTTCCAAGAAAGAGACGAACCTGTTTATATCTACATGTGCTACTAGAATCATAAACCGACCGGTCTTGTGGCCAATACAATAAGCCCGGGCTTAGGCAGAAAAAAAGGACAAGCCCTCAGTCATACTATCCAGGACTATTGACTTCTACGATCAGAATCGCGCTGGAAGAGAATACTGCGACTCGAAGGCGAAGACCAAAGGAAAAGCAACTCGTATCAGGGATGCGAGCCGAACCGGCATTGGGGCCTCTAATCAGTAGACAACACTCAAATTTTCCATCCCGTGCTTTCCCCCTCGTCTGCCTCCTACCATATATAATCGTATGCATTTCGGTATCTTAAAGGATCTGATATTCCACTACACTTGTACCATTAACAGAGACACACACATCATCACTCCTGGAATCGAATGGCTTCTCATACCGTTGGACTTTTCACGAGGATTCCGCCATCTGTTCTTGACGTGACAGGTCCCAAACTTTTCTCGCCGTGGTCGGGCCATATCCAATTCGAACCGTTGCCATCACCTCCCTTTTTTGAAATCAAAACTACATACGCACTCCTTGGGGGTCGTGGAAAGTGGTGGCGGTACTCCAGCACTAGGTACGGGGTTGACGGTCTTCCGCCAGTGACAAGGCTGGACTTCTTCAGCCTCGTCCGTCTTGGCATCATGCTTGGTCTCGTACGAGACAAGTCATGACAATCCAAGATCGGATCGACAGTTACAGTACCTCTACGGAGTACCGAGTACCGGAGACCCTTACGAGTACTTCCAGGTATAATAGTAAGTACCCGGTTGGAGATGAGTCATTTCACTTTTACCGTAACGCCCGTACAAAGCACCTCACAGCAACAAGGCCCCCGAGATCAAAGCAGACAGAGTATTTCTTGGAGGGTCGAAGAAGTTGCCGTATGAATTCCCTTCTCTCACTTTTCAACTTTGGGGGGGGGTTACGGTTCTAGGATGCCCGAGTCCTGCACAAGCCTACCTTGACGAGTACCGACAAGGATACGTCGTTGTATGAAGATTCTATGATGAATTGCCTACGTGTACGGAGGACCTAGGTACCTTCCTAAATCAACCAAGGGCGGAAGGGCGCGAACAGGTATGAGTCAAAAAAGAAAAAAACACCTACCAACCAACTTTCCTTGGGTATAATTGAACACACAGCATCCCCCTACATTACACTTACACTGACACTATCCTTTTCTTTCCTTTCGTTCAACACAAGGGTAAACTCTTCAACCCTGATGATTCGCAGCTACTCGGGGAATTTCAAGGTCAAGAAATCAACTTCCTGCATCGAACTCAAAGCATTACACTCGTCGACTCCATAGGGAGGATTTGAAAAGTACAACCAGGGAGGAATAGTACAGTACCTACATTTTTCCATACATGTCACACCTCTGTCAACTTCGGAATTCCGAATACCACAAAAGACCCCAGGTATCGAAAAGTACTCAAAGTAGTTGAAGTTTGCAATGGCCACAGTCACAGACACAGACACAGACACACTCGACGTCGCCCTACCCACGGGTGCCAATCTCTCTACCGGGTCGCTGCTCACACCCCAACCTCGGGAAGCCAACGGTGGCTTTTCCGGTTCAAAATCGCCCACACCGGTACCAACGACACCACCACCACCAATGACGACATCACGATCGGAATACTACCAGGACAGGTTGGCCGACATATCTTCTCGCGCCACCGTCACGGATCCGATGAACGTGATTTTCGCTCAGGACAAGTCGGGACCTTCGACGGTCGTCACGGCGGAGCTGTTGTACCCCGCGGCGAGGGCGAGGGTCGCCGCCAAAGTCGGGGCGGGTTCGTTCGTCGCCGAGGCCGCCGATTTCGCCGCCGTCGTGTGCTGGGAACCCCCCGAGGCCGTGGCGCCCCTGGTGTCCGAGACCGAACTCCAGGAGATGGCCAAGGCCCGACCCGTCTTCTCCCGTTTCGTGCGTGACATGCAGGACTTCAAGGTCGCGACGTTTGGGACCAGCCAAGCCTACTGGAACATGAGTCTGATGGCGAGGGACCCCGACCGCAACGACAAGGGCGCGGTGAGGGCGGTGATCGAGCCCTTCGTGGCCCGAGCCAAAAGGGACGGGCGGCCGATTTGGTTGTGCGCCGCCAACGAGAGGGCGAGGGACGTTTACGCCCATTTCGGATTCCGGGTCGTCGGGGTCATCTATTCGGCCCTCGATCCGAAAGATGATGACGCCAACCGCAACGGTGAGGGTCAAGAGAACAAAAAAGGTGTGAAGACCTGGTGTATGTGTTGCAATTGGCCTGTACAGTCTGTGACTGAGCGGGAGAGTCAGAGTGCATACGAGTACGAGGCCATGTACAGGAGTAGGAATGGGGACGGGAACAGGAGTGGAAGTGGCAGTGGCAATGAGAGCGGGGTGTGACGGGACTTATCGTGAAGGATTGGAAATTTCGGACTTTCGATTTTGAGTTTGAGATTGGGATGATTGTTGAACAGACGTAGATTCCCAGAGACGTCAAGTTTTTGTGGTTTCATCTTTCCAGGGAGTTTAGAGAGCACAAGACATGAGCGGATCAATTCAATTTGCAGCGGGGACCGAGGAAAATGGAGGTGGTCTTTTTCAGTTCTTGAATTATATGTTGAGCAAGAGGCTCGTTGGTGTCCTAACCACTTGTACAGCGACAGTAAAGAGGTAGACAGAAGGTAACAGGTTAAGGTCGAACACAAGGTATGTAATCCGTATATAGTATTTGCGAGTCGTCAGGATGTATAGACTTCGATATCGACGCCTGCTTTTTTGAGTCTCTCAACGAAAGGCATACCAAGACAACTAGGTGTCAGGACACCGTAGCCCACATCATCGGTCCATTGCTCGTCGACATCCCATATGCTGAGAAGAACCATTGCCGCCTCTGCCGCCAACATGGCGGAATGAAAGTACATTGACCCGTTGAAAGAGTACCTCGCCATCAATTTGTGGTCGTTGCCCGTCACCGCTTTAACCTCGATCTTTTCGTTTTGGGAGTCTTCCTTTGAAGGACCCGTGCCGTTGACCGGTTTCAGAAGTGAGATCAAGGCACACACTGGCCGGAAAAAGAGTAAGAAAACCAAAATCTTGGTAACCACATGGATCATGATTGCACTCCCCGTGCTTGACGCAGGCATGAATTCGCGATACGACCATGGTATCGTCTTGCCTTCTTCTCCGTCTCCTCCGTAGATGGAAGGTTGAAGTTTTTGACTCCTGTATACCACGGCCTCATTTCCTGGGCTAGCAAGGGATGTCGTCAAATGGCCTAGAAGCTCATCTCTGTGGTGACCCAGAAACAACCCCTTTTTAGGTTCGGGCCTGCTCGGATTCTCCCTCGAGGAGCACAACCGATACGGGTTCGGAAACAGTAATGGACCGACACCGTAACGTTCCACAACCTTGAGAACACTTGACAACGATCCAGCGCTCATTCCATTTATTTTTAAACTGTACGAGCAAGTAATGTTCTCAACTGCCTTTTTATGCGTCTCGTGATAACGCTTGGCCAAGAGGTATGCGACGAGTGAGGAAGGGGAGCTGGAATTGCCAATCGCCGGGACGATGCGTGCAGACCGTCTTTTGGCAATTTTGGAGTACTTTGTTATCATTTCCTCCAACCATGGCGTCTCGGTGCAAAAGTCCACATAACTTGTACCATTCTCGGCACATGCCGAGAGAACAGGTTCGCCATGACACGTGTACGGTCCGATGGCGTTGATGAGGACTTTAGTGCGGGATACAAGCGTAGAAAGGTCGTCGTCAAGGTTGATATTAACCAGTTCAATAGCTTGGTAGATTGTTAGTACTCCATGCTATCTTGCCTTTTGCATAATGAATGTCTCAAAAGGTGGATTGAGTAGGTAGCGGTTGAGTTGCCATACCGGGTTTCGAGCCACTCGAATCAAGCTCTGCTAATTTTCCTCTGAGCCTTTCGAGTTTGTTCGCGTCTCTACCCGCGATAGCCCAATGAAGATTGCTGAGCGAAGCGGTCATAATGTACTCTGCGACATAACCAGCCGTGTAGCCTGTCGCTCCAAGGAGAACGATATCGTACTGGCGACTGGTTGTCATTTTCTCGGGATGTCGTTCTTTGCTCATTTTGCTACCATGAGACGAGGCAATCTGACCGTTGATGGTTTTATATATGCTTGGTGGATGGCGATTGGCCGTGCCAGTTTGAAAACCCCGGAACTCCGAGTATCAATATTAGCCCATGCCACAACTCGACACACGAGCACAGAAATTAATGTCTCTCAGTCGATAGCGTTCACTAGGCAGAAGTCAGCCAGTATTCCCGAATCATCCGGAGCGGCCAAATACTCATTCATACCTTGGGACATTAAGAGTAAGCCAAATTCGTCCGCCTCTCCGAGCCACCTTTGAGTTCTCTCATCAATTTCGATTCCAGGTTTGATAAGCATCAGCTCTTCCAGGCGATGTGGCCCACCATTACGCCAGTATTCGAGCCACCTGCTATAATGACCCTTCCATTCCTCGTCATCTCTTGCTTGCCACAGAGATTTGGGTGAAGGGGTTGGCATAAAGGCAACTTCCCGGCAACCGAACGGAGGATATTTATGATGCAGTGACCAGGCCCACATTAGCGTGTGTGAAGCCTGGATGGCACGACGTTTGGATGCAACAGCTATCCATGCTTCCCAGGATGGTACGATGGACTGTGTTTCGGCATTGAGTAAAAGACCGCTCTTCATGAGTGCCAAAGACATATCTTGTAGACCCATCATTATATTCTGATCTTGACGGTGAGTGTGGGTTTGCCGTTCTTTCGTCGGGAATAGAAGAAAGATGCTGTATAGTATGTACGTTTGGAAGGCCGCTAGAAGCTCGACTTCATTGTATGTTTCGTACTAGAAGGTGATATAAGCTTGATGAGACCATGCAGGGCGATTGGGGGAGGGGAGCAACGATACCTTTGCAAGCAACGCATACGCCTCATACTTGGCGGAGGTTTCAAGTATTGAAGCCAATTCTGGATTGTCTAAGCCCGACAATATCGCCATGCTGTGACTCAGGCTTTCGGGGACTTCACCCTTCAGTTGGGTATGATGGATGAACGGAGGGGGTTGGCCGCGCGCGAACATTCTAGGATAACTCATGAACACCCTGATTATGAATCTCATGACGTGTCTGACCATGGGGTGAGTGTCAACCGTTACATGGCCCGTCGACCCAGGAGTCCCAGTGAGGGAGTAATCCAGGAATGGTGCAAAGTCTACTGGCGGAGTCATCAGAGAATTCGCGCCGACGAGATCTGGTACAGGAGAGCCGTCACTGTCGCCAGAAGCGCGAGCAGGAACAACGTAGTGACAGTGTATTCCCTTGAGCTTGCATCGTCCACAAGCGGGCCGGCGCTCATCACATCTCGATTTCGAGGTACAGCACTCTTCACACGCCTTTCGTCTTGTAGGCCTTGGTGCATCAATCAGGCACCTCTTGCAGTGGCGAGAGAGCGAAGAACCTATTGGCAAATGCTATCAGTAACAGGATCGCGCCTACCAGGCTTCTAGGGAGCATACTTGAGGAAAAGTGCTTCGAACATTTTTCACACTGCCATTTCCTGAGCATTGTGCCCGCTTCACTCGTAGGATATTGTGTCCATGAAGGATTTTGTAATCAGGATACAACGCACAAGCCTCCCCAACAAGGTATGCCCAGCCGCCCCCAAATTGACCATCAAATTTGTGGAGGTACCAAGTCGGCTGACATTGGAATTCCAAAGTGTCTTAATATTGGCTTACCGTGTGATTTAAGCCAGTGGGACCTTCAGACAAGGTCAAAATCTGGTGGAATATGTGCAGACGAGATGTTGCAGTGTGGCGGAGAATACAAGCAAAGCAAAAACTGAACTAGTACGGAGTAGAGAGAAGGAACTTCACTTCTGGTCTCGTGTTCTGGTGTTGGGCGACGAGGCTGATGAGGCTGAGTCACATGCAAGGCTGAGCACAGGTGGCAGGCCTTGTTTAGGGCAGAGTGCAGCCCCCAGCGAGTCCGGGGTTGTCGCATTTTTGCCGCAGGCGAGATGGGGTGGTAAATGAGAATTGAACCCTGAAATCTCACACTAAGTAAAAAACACAGCCGTAGCCGTAGAGAGACCGTGTCACCGTGTTCATTGCCCGACCTACTTTTTTTGTTTATCTGGTTTCAACGAGAATATCCGAATTGAATTGCCCTCATTGCCTTTATCTTTCTCCCCCCAATTGCGCGAGTGCGGATTCGTTATACTGGACCACGCCTGCCAATTGACCAACGTGTCCCCCCCACGCCTCTCCGCCCTTAGCATCCCTCCCTTGGGTACCCTAAGCCCAGTGGTGCCGGTGACCACGCCTGGTGACAAGAAAGTCGCTATACTGTACAAAGATCACAAAAACCCACAAATACCGCATGGATGACCCGATCAGATAGCACCGACTCAACCGCCGACGACCTCACCTTCACACCTTCCGGCACAGAGTCTCCTCTTCCTCCTCCTGTCCATCGACTGTCTCCCCTTCCTCCTTCGTCCATTTCCAAAGCCCGCCCTCCCAGTCCTCTTCGACTCAACTCACTCCCCCCAGAAGTAAAAGAAGACTTTCGACCGACTCGACAACAGGTACAATTTGATGCATCGGACCCTCTCTCCGACGACGAAATGTCTGACCGCCCGTCCATGCACCGACCGACGGGGCTGCAGTCTCACGTGCCTCTTCTCGCCGAAGACAAACGAGAGAACGCGGGTCGCAATCGTGGTCGTCCTGAAGGGCTAGCGAGTCGACAACACTCGTTTGCCTCGCACCGAAGCACGTTTCGATCGCGATCCCCCACGTACGCACAGCCCGAGGATGTCGTCCGTCGAAAATACATCTACGCTTCTTTTTTCCTGGTCCTCTCCTTGATCTCCTTCGTCGTCCAGACCGAGACCGCCGTGTACATTCAGCACGAACTACATTGGAACAAGGCATACTGTATGATGTACCTGACACACGGATCGTGGGTGTTCCTCTGGCCGGTCCAGCTGGCCATTATACGAGTCCAAAAGCGAAAACTCTCATGGCCTGCGTTCTGGCGACGACATGTGACATTGCTACGAAGTACGGCCCAGATGGTTCAATCACAAGACCTCCATGCGCCTTCGTCTCCGGTGCTGAACAAGGTCTCTCCATGGCCTTACATGATCAAGATGACGGCCTTCATCACAACCTTCTTGACCATGGCCGGCGGGTCGTGGTACGTCGCGGTTGATTTGACCAGCCCTTCGGACCTGACGGCGATTTACAACTGTTCGGCATTTTTCGCATACGTCTTCTCGATCATGCTACTCAACGACAAACTCCGCCTCGACAAGGCCGTCAGTGTCGGTCTGGCGATCATCGGCGTGTTTGTGGTTGCATATGGTGACAAAGACGACTCAGGATCGGGTTCTGGAGATGAGGAAAAGAAAGGGTTCGGGACAAAGTTGCTAGGCAATATTGTTATCGGTATTGGGTCGGTGGCGTACGGGTTTTACGAGGTTCTTTACAAGCGCTACGCGTGCCCTCCTGAGGGGTGCAGTCCGGGCCGTGGGATGATATTTGCCAACACGTTTGGAAGCATGGTTGGTCTTTTCACGTTGACGGTGCTGTGGATTCCTTTGCCCATTTTGCACATTACTGGGTTGGAAATCTTTGAGTTGCCGAGCCGACGAGCCGCAGGCCTCCTCGCAATCTCAACCTTGTCCAACGCTGTGTTCAGCGGCTCTTTTCTGGTCTTGATGAGTTTGACAAGTCCGGTGTTGAGTAGCGTGGCGGCTCTGTTGACGATTTTCTTGGTCGGCATCACGGACTGGTTGGTTACGGGAAAGCCGCTCAGTGCCGCGGCGTTGAGCGGATGCGCTCTGATCGTCGTGGCGTTTTGCATGCTCAGTTGGGCCACGTACAAGGAGATGAAGGAGGAGGAACGAAAGAGGGAAGAGGAGGAAGACAAAGTCCTCGAGATGAGTGATGAGGGTGAAGAACTCGAGGAAGAAGAGGAGGATGAGTTGGGTCGCAGGAGGGCGAGCTTGAGTAGTGATGGATGACAAATGACCTTTTGAGTTCGTGTTGAAATTCATTTTGTGGTATACATATATATATACACCTGGGCTAGAAAAGAAGGTTTCACCAACCCCAGCCACTGGAGGTATATGTGTGTCTCCACACATTCATGTCGAGCGAGTCTGGGCATTGTTGTGTTATTGCATTTTGCATCAATCTCGGGGGCGTTTGGGAGAATTAGAACAATTTGAATTGTATAGGGAATTGGTACAGGATGGGAATTGGTGGCCGGCTCAGAGCCAAATGCGTCTGTTGTATCCGTACTGTATGGTTGATTAGAAATACGAGAAAGATAACTCGGGTACCTTTGGCACTCAGATACCTTGAAGTGCTGAAGGGTGCCTTGCAAAGCTCTATCATTTCTAAATTTTAGTAGAATCAGATTCTATGGAATAGTTCTACCGAAACCAAGAAAGAAAAAAGACCAAAGCCAGCCCAGCCCTATTCTTTGATCCCGACATCACTTCTTGTTTACTTTTTGGGGCTTGGAAAAAGGAATGTAGTGGTCTAAGAGGCACAAAACTAGCCCGCCCACCTCGTTCTTGTGTGTTCAGCATACACATGCAACCTCCACGGGTGTGTGTGTGTGTGAGGGAGGATTAGACATTCTCGATACGGTCCTCTTGAGAGCCACCCTCGCTGCTCTTGACGGGGCTCGTGACGGACGTGACCGCCTCGCCGCCCCCCTTGGCCACCTCGCGGTCCAGGGCCAGCTTCTCGTCGGCGCTGAGCTGGTTGATGTCCAGGGCGACCTCGTCCCCGAACAGCCTCGAGATTTCCTCGAGGGTGAGGAGCTTGGTCTCGGGGAAGAACTTCCACATCAAGCCGGCCCCGATCAGGGGCAACAGGATGAACAGGATGTAGAAGCGCCAGCCGACCTCGACGAACGCGACGGGAGCGGTCTGCGTGTAGATGAGCGTGGCGGTGAACAGGCCCGCCACCGAGAACCCCGTGCCTTGGGCGCGCAGGGGCGTCGGGAAGATCTCGGAGCAGTAGACGTAGCTCGTGGCGTCCATGGTGCCCCCGTAGAAGAAGACGAAGAGGAACAGGAAGAAGACGCCGAACCCGTTGCCGACACGGTTCGTGGTGCCTCCGAACGTGGCGACCATGGCGGTGAAGCAGATGAGAGAGCACGCACAGCCGGTCTGGGAGAAGTGTCAGGACGGTAGTATCTGAGGGCGGCGGGGGATGATACTTACGAGACCTATCAGCATGATGCGGATGCGGCCTAAGCGATCAAGGAACAATGAGTTGACAAAGTTCATGAACGCCGCGAGACCATTGTAGAGTGCATTCAAAAGCAAAGGCAATGAGCCTGTGATGCCGAGGGATTTGTACAGTAAGATCTGGTAGTTGTTGACAACCAACACACCTTTTTGGCAAGTGAGCAATTGTATCCGATCTATAAGGAGGGGCTGGGGTGTTGTATTGACTTACCAGTACTTTGAGCGATAAATTGTGTTCCAAATCCAAGAATCAGCCTCTTTCGCATGCTGGGTTTGCGGAACATGGTGCCCCAGCTCTTGTTCAGATTGTCGGAGCGTTCAAGTTCAATCTGTCGTCGAATCTGGAGGAATTCCTCTCGCGCAACAATCTCTTCAGGGTCGTCAGGACGTGTGTGTAACTTGCGAAGGACCTGGTATCCCGCGTCGTGGCGGCCCTTGTCAATGAGCCATCGCGGACTCTCGGGAACCCTGATTGATCATGTCAGCATCACAAGAGCTCAACAGACAAGGTCTTGAAAGGAGTGGCGTACCATGGAGAGCCAATGAACAAGAGAAGTGGTGCGACAATCTGAAGACTGAGACACAGCCTCCAACTGACAGTAGGGGCTGCGAAGTATGTGCCAAACCCGGCGAAGCCAGCTGCAGAGTAGCCGATGACGATCAGAACACCATGGGCACCAACCATGCGGCCTCTTTGATGTGCTGGGGAAATTTCGGATTGGAAGACGGGAATAGAAGTGTCAAGCATTCCAACAGCAAAACCGTTGAGAAAACGTGCGATCAGAAACATAGCCTAGCCAAAGATTGTTAGTCGAGAGGGAACCCAAGGTGTTTTGGAAAGACACGAACAATGTGTACACTGCCGCCCTGCAATGCCGCAGATATAATAGCCACTGCTGCTGCAATCTGGATGGTCCGACGTCGACCCAGGCGGTCTAGAAGCCAGGGCACAAAGAGACAGCCCAAGATGCCTCCTCCTGAATACAGCCCATTGGTGGCTATTCAGTGTCAGCAATAATGTGCCTGCATCATTGAAACTTGAATACGCACCTCCAGTAATTTGGTTGCCCTCTGTATTTTCTAGGTTGATATTGAAATACGCAAAGAAGGCGGGAAGACCGATGACGAGGCCCATAATACTGGTCCAAGGTCAACCTACTACACACTAAAACATACATCTCACTTACGCAGAGTTGAAGCCATAGGTAAAACTCCCGAGGGCGACAAAGAAGACGATCAGGAAGTTGTATTTGGTTCCTCCGGCCATGGCAGGCAATGAAGCCCAAATGCTTCGATGCGAATGTTGTAAAAAGGCGTAGGTCGAGATGTACAAAAGGAGTCTATGTCGATGAAGATCTTGGAAGCCTGATACCAGCTTTTTGGCTTGCCGAGGGGACTATATCATTGCTTTCAGCATTTGGGGGATGTCCCTGTTTCGTATGGATTTTCGGCTCTGGAGATCAATTTCCGTCTACGGGGCCCCAGACCCCAATTTCCCCAATGGTCCACGAGCATTCTCATCTTATGCATACTTAAGATAAAGCGCGCAGTGGCGAGATAATGTGGTTCAATCCGGGGATGATTGCCTTGTGTAAAAGCGTGGACGTAAGGAGTCGGCGATACTCCGTGTGTGATGCGTGGTAGAAACACGTTTTGTCCCCAACTTTTGCTAGCCTTATTTGGATATTGTCATGTACTTCGTGGTATTCCGTGGTATTGTGCGTGCATCTGGGACTTCTCCGCATGATAGCCGCAACCATGTGAGAACGAGTACCTCGGGCAACAACGCCAAGTGTAACTTTGTACCCCTCAGTCTCCTTTCAAAGGCTTTGCAGGTCAGAATAGGGTCTTTGATTTCAGGTACATTGTTGTAGTTTCGGCAGTCGTTGACCGATCGGAACCCCCCAGAGAAAGTTGGGGAAGCTGAGTTGGAGATAGTGATGTAGTTGTCATTTCGTGAAAGTATCAAATCTAGGCTTCTTCACAAGGCTCGAGCTGGAAGATAAACCCTTGTCCTTGGTAGGAGCACACTAAAACAAACAGTAAGCGAGATGTCTGCAAAGCTAAAGAACAAAGTATGCATTGTGACCGGAGGAGGTCACGGCTTTGGCGAGGCCATGGCCAAGCGATTCGCTGAGGAGGGGGCCAAGGTTGTGATTGCAGACATCAATCGCACCACAGGGGCAAAAGTCGAGGGCGAAATCAATGCCTCTTATGGTGCCAAAACAGCATTCTTCCAGGAGACAAATGTCACCAGTCAGGCTTCGTGGGAGAAGCTGCTCGAAGCCTCTTTGAAACAATTCGGCAAGGTGGACGTCGTGGTGAACAATGCTGGCACCACATATCCAAAGAAGGCTTCGCACACAGTAACGGAGGAAGAGTACGACAAGGTCATAAACGTCAACATGAAATCCATCTTCCTGAGCGTGGCTGTCGTGGTGCCATATTTCATGGAGCAAAAGGCTGGTATGATTCTTAACATAAGTTCGGTCGGAGGCATCCGAGTCAAGAACGGACTGGTAATAGACATCAACTTCATTGACGCACAAATGCTGACCCAACACTGTAGGTATGGTACGGCGGCACTAAGGCATTTGTCAATAAGGTATAGAGGCTCTCACGTAGGAAGATCATTAAGCTCAAGTCATCTCAGATCACCGAAGGCCTCGCGTCCGAATATGGTCATGCAGGAATCCGGGTGAACGCCATCTGTCCCATTCTCGCTTACACTGACCTGTATGAGATTTCCAGCATCCTGCCCCAGACTGCATCACCAATGCTGACTTTTTCCAGGGCACAAGCTTTCATGGGCGTCGACGATACGCCGGAGAACCGAAGCAAGTTCGAGGCGTCATTCCCTCGAGGAGAGGCCCTCAAACAGAACAGTTCTTTGGGATATGTGGCCAACGCTGCTGTTTACCTCTGTTCTGAGGATGCAGCATTTGTCAGTGGTATATGCATGCCGGTGGATGGAGCGGCAACAGTGTACGCTGCTGGAGGTAAGCTCTTTTTCATTCGATATCAAGAGTCGTCGGAGGGCTGACAATGGTGACAGTTGGGAAATAATCAAAGACCTACGATGGACTTCCGCATGGAAACTCCGTCGTTTCCTGATTGTTGAGATATGTGGCCAACACATTGCTTCAATGACTGGTAAAAAGTCAAGGTTCATGATGCTGTGAGGAAGGAGAATGGGAAGGAAGGGAGATGACATAATCTAGTCACGTGTGGTCGCTGACTAAGGGCAGCAAAGGAGAATCTCCAACTCTCCTTGCGCTGTTCGGTGAAATTGGCACTAGCCGTATCTGGATGCATGGAACATCTGTCGCTTCATCAACCTGCTTCATCTTTCGCATTGACTCAACCTGAAAATGATATTCACCAGGATCGTTCCAGGCGCGATGACGTTCCCAGTCCCAGCTCAATACGTATTCTCAGCCAGACTTGTTCGTTTATGTCTATCTCTAACGCAGTACTACCCCCGATTTACGTGCGATCGATGCGTCGAGATTTGTACTTACGAGTACTGTCCCGCCAGCACCCGGCTCAACAGACAAACCAAATTCATTGTGTACACCTAGTACCCTCAAAATGACGCTTCTGACCATGTAAATACCTGCTTCGGAGGATGTTTATGATATTGCAGCAACATATCGGGGTTATACGTACAAGCATGCGCTACTGACCCATACCACAAAATTTGCTGTTGTTTTACCATCAACACCACATTTTGATGGACTAAAGTTTTGCATGTCCTTCAAACACTGGCTGGCAGCAGTAGATGGCACTAAGCTACGGATAACAACAAGCGAGATCTCGATACTCGTGGGCATGTTTGAAGGCCCCCGGACAGTAAACTCTGATTGTCTTGTCTTTGGGGGAAACCCCTGACTGCCCCCGGTTGAAACCAGAGATCCGACATCCCACGCTTCACCTTCGAAACAAGTCTCTCGGCACATCCACCATCCGCCCAATCTTTCTATATCATATAATAAAAGAGTACCAAGACCTACTAACGTGTGGGAATTGTTTTTTTGTATCCCGTCATTCCTATCACCTCTTCAACAACGTTCCTTTTGTTTTTCTGTGATTTTTTTCAATCTTCCATACCGCTGGTCGGCTCTTGACAACTTCACACCTGCAAGACAGTCCTTTCACTTCTATATCCTTCCAGCATCACATTCATTTTTTTGACCATCACCAAGATTTCTTAGCAGCAATCATGAAGGTCGAAACTGCAGCGGTCGCTCTTCTCTTCGCGACGACCTCGCTCGCCGCACCGAGGGCAAGATTGTCTGAGAAAACAATCAAAGAAGACCCAGACTTTGGTCTTTGCATTCCGACCATGAAATTTGAAGGTGGTCTTGGTGGACGATCTGCTGGCGACTTTACTTTCCTGCCCACTGACCCGTTGTGTGCTCGTGGCCAACAAGAGGCGTTGAACCCAAGTATGTCTCTTTTCCGTTGCTTGTGAGAAACCGTGCTAACGACCGAAAAAGACATCATCACCAACAGAATCTGTGATCAGCTCAGCACAGCTTGCAACGCCAACGAGGCCGCCAAGGAGCTCTGCCGTGATGCTCAGGCCAAGGTCCGAACCTTGGGAACACGCAACAAGTCGACCGCCGATACCTGGAACACCCTCCTTGGCTTCGGCGGTGCTCTCACCAACCCTGATGGAGGACTCTCCGAGCCCGGTTTCAGAACCAAAGATCTCAAGATCAAGCGGGAGGAAGTGACCAAGATTGAACGACGTTTTGTCGAATGCCGTACCGATGTCTGGCTCGATGACTGCAACGGCTGGTCTTCCCCAGAACCTGTTGTGAAGAGAGACGTCATTGATGCCGCCGCTGAGCCAGTTGTCAAGCGTGAAGCTGCACCTGAGCCTGAGCCTGAGCCAGAACCACAACCAGAACCAGAAGCTGCGCCCGCTCCCGCTCCCGAGCCAGCAGTGGTCAAGAGAGACGTTGAAGCTGCACCTGTCGAAGCTGCCCCGGTCGAGAACAAGGCCAAGCGTGCCATCACAAACTTTGTTGCATGCAGCACCGAAGTCTGGCTCGACAACTGCAACGGCTGGGACTAAAGTACTGTAAAAAGTGAAAGAACTTGGGTTGCAGCGGGAGTAGGAGTCCATTCTCGGTCGGATCGTTCAATAAGAAGGGATTTTCTGAGTGTCTAGTACAGAGACAGTGTTTGTATGTATGGCACCGTCGTGTGTCGCATATTCGTATAACTTCTTGGCTTGCGCACTGGGGGTTGGAAGGATATAGAACGTCTGTGAAAAAGCCATTGTCAAGTGGTGGTGGTGATCATGATGGTTTCGATCGATCTCGTACAACTCTTTGTGCTGTTTCCAAAGCCCGTGGGTGCACGTCGTTCAAGGCCGCAACGATGCCATGATTGGATTGTAATTTCCTCCCCGCTCCAAAGTCGATCGGATTCCCGTCGAGATCCTCGACCTTGCCGCCCGCCTCTTGCAGGACCAGCACCCCACCGGCGTGGTCCCAGGCCATCTCGCGATGCGTGTCGTCGCTGGGAATCCGGACCATGACGTCGCAGTGTCCCGCGGCCACGGCGATGTACCGCATCTGGATCGCAAACACCTCGGTGCCGGGCCACTTGGAGCCTAGGATTGTCGCGACGTCTCGGTGGGCGTCGAGGTCGCTCGACCGACTCTGTGTCGACTCGACGAATTGAACAGGCTGTCCAGACCTCCGCGGTGGTTTACTGATTCTGCGTAGCACCTCGGAGTCCGACTGGGGAGAGAGTACGGAAGACAGAGGTCTCATGTAGGCCCCCTGGCCACGCACCGCCGACACCACGACGCCATCACCTCCCGGGTCCGCGGTCTCATCACTGACTCGTTCACCGAACCGTTCGAGGCTCAGGTTCGGACAACCCAGAACAGCGACGCGCTGTTCCCCGTCTTCAACCAGGGCGAGAGCGACGACGTACTGTCCTCCCGTCATGAATGCTTTGGTCCCGTCGATCGGGTCGAGCATCCAGATCCTACCCGAGTTCCCGCCGCGACCACCACCCCCGCGGTCGATGGCTTCCAGCATGTCTTCTCTCGAGGCGACCGTGCAGAGAATATGCTGGAAGTCATGACACTCTTGACCCGTCGTCCGAACCAGGTCCCATACTCGATCGCAAAGACCTTGGTCTTTTCTGAGCGTTTCGGATGACTCTTCACCCACAAACTGGTCGTCGGGAAAATTGTGGTGTATGGCGCTTATGAGAAGTGCTTGTGCACCTAGATCGGCTATCGTGACGGGACTGTTGTCGTCCTTGGTCTGCGCTCCCTTGTCCACTGACGAGAGGACGGTCTTGGTGAGGAGAGCGGCGCGTCGGACGGCCGAGAGTCCGACCTCGAGTTCTTTTTGGTAAGGGTACGGAGTCGTCATTTTTATTTTGGTTTGTTTGTCTCTCTTTTCCCCCCCAATGGTACTCGTACTCCCGGAATCTACCTAACTCGGGACTTTGAATTGATCTGGTTGTACTCCGTAAACTAGAGCCAGAGCCAGAACCCACAGGTGATAACAGGAATTTCTAGATTTTGTCCTTGGCGGGCACAAGCAATGGTCGAACTGACTCACCGAGACGGTGCCGCTTTTAGGACCCTGGATGAACCTACTCGACGACTACACCCCCTTCTCAGTCTTCTTCTCATACTTTTACGCATTCTCATAGAGACAGTCTAATTTCTACTGCAGTCCCCTTTAGTACGCTCTGTTCTAAGACGAGTTCCATGATTGACGACAGTTAAGGGGAACTTCACTTTTACTAGTCTCTATGGTAAGAGGGTCTCAACGGCAAAGGGGTGGGACATTCATATATCTCTCATGCCCCAAAAAACAAAAGTCTGTACAAGGCCAATGAAAAGAAATCTTTTGATCATCTCCCGCTCACATACAATGTTTCCCAAGAGCTGCTTCACACGTCTCGCTTCACATGGACCACCGGTGGAACGTAAGAAGTTCTGCCCCAAATCAGAAAATAAATAGTCGCAATGATCAACGAGCCGCCCAACATGGTACTCGACCAGTTCATGTTGATAGCCTTGACTGGGGTTGTAAGCGGCCAACTCAGGAAGAAGATCAACGGGATCAGAAACAGGAGAGCGGCGACGTTGATAATGAGGCCCCATCGTCCGAGTGACCAACGTCTCGGAGGGAGTTCGGGGCCAGTGATGCGGCGGTAGAGGACGCATGCGATGGTTAGGAAGTATGAGATCAAAGTGGCGATGGCGCCTAGCGAGGTAATGGCGTTTAGGGCGACAGTGGAGCCTATATTGATCAACGAAATGAGTGCAGAGACCAAGAGCGTGACCGTGACAGCAGGCAGAGGGATATTCCAGTCAGGAGAGATCCTGGAGAGCCAAACCGAGCCTGGTAGGCCCCCATCTCGAGCAAATGCCCAGACCTGGCGCGATGCAGCAGCGACTTCCGAGACGGCGCACGCGGCCATCATGACGATAATGATGGCTGTTAGGACGCTGGTGCCAGCCAAGGAGCCAGTCGCGTTATAAAAGACCTGAATAAATGGGTAACCCGTCGCCGAGGCCGCAGCCGAAGCTTGGTCACCGATGGTAAAACAAAGAGTCGTCACGATGACAAAGACCAGAGTGATGTTGACTATCACGGAGCCCATGATAGCACGAGGAAGGGTGACGGAGGCGTCTTTTATTTCTTCGGCTGTGGCCAAAACTTTAGCATTTCTGGGAGGCATTGGGTTTCGAACAGCAGCATGACTTACACATGTGAACGGAACAGTCATATCCAATCAGCACCGCCATGGGGGCCAGCAGACCGATCATGGCTGACAGACCGTCGCTCGACCAACCCCCGTTGTTGGTGAATTCGAGCAGAGCGGTGTGTGCATCCGCACGAGGTGCCATGACCCAAAGTGTGATGACAATGGCGAACCAACCCACAACGTGGAGGATCAGAATCATACCCTCTGCAGAAACAGTTAGCTGGGAAACTTGGTTAACTCTCTGCACGATCGTTCCATACCGATGATGGGTAATCTCGACGCAAAAACGGTGTTGAAAGAGATGCAGAATACGGTGGTGGACATGGACAGCAAGGTTCCATGCCACCGCTTGTAGATGTATGTCGGGTCGTTCAAGACAATCAATCCCTGGACCATGGTGCCGACCAAGAAACACACGCTGGCATTGTACACCTGCCACCCGATGGCGGTAAGCCAACCTGAGGAAGGAATGTCAGTACGGTAAGTCCAGACCGGAAACGGGATCATGGTACCAGAGTAGTAGCTAAGGACCTTGCGCATTCGTTTAGGAGCAAATTCTGACACCCAGTGGTATTGACCTCCAGCTGTAGGTGACCTGTTGGCAAGATTGATTAGCTTCGATCGAAAAGGCGACGGGGTCTCGCATCTTCCACGTGGTGGTGGCCTTACATGGAAGCCATTTCGGCTATACTGGCATATACTAATGTCTGGCCAATAGCGCATGCGATGAAACCCCAGAACAGCAGAGGAGTACCGCCGTCAGTCAAGACGAAAGCGAGATAACTGTGTTTCGAGCAAAAGTCAGACTACGAGAAGCGCACGCAAAGATGCAATACGTACGTGAGAATACCCTCCCAGCTAGCGATGCACGTCGAGGCAAATCCGAGCATGGTGATGAAGTTGAAGTTTCGCTGTCACAAGACGATCAGCAGCAACATCTCGAGGCAGTTCAATAGAGGGATTCACCTACCCGCAGAACCTGCTTCTTGCCCATGACCATCATGTCTCGCTTGTCAGCCGACGTGCCACGAAACTTCTCGGCGACATGGCTAACGCCCTCGTCGAAGATGTCAATGTCTTCTGGCGGCGAGCCGGGAGTGCCTGAGGACTCGGCCGCTTTCATCTGCTTGCTATCGAGGTGAAGGGAATCTGCCATGTTGTATGGTGTTTCGCAACTTATAACAGCAAGGGAGACTAAGGAATAATGCGAACATATATTGTAAACAGCTACCTTGGAGAGTAAAATGCAAAGAAACTTGAAGGGGAGCAGGATGCAGGGAGTGTTTAAAGACCGGTACCGGCATTTGGGAGAACGAGTGGCCATGTGGCATGCTGGGTCTACCTGGAATCGAGGGGTTCATGGCCCTTAGGCGAGTGGCCACCACCTCCTTACCCTACCTTAGCCAAGACCTGCTGTATGATTAGCACCGACTCCAGACGACTGCCCAAATACTAACTACTGTAAGTACCTACTAGCCATGACTGCCTTAGCAAACACAGTAGTACTCTGAACCTATGCGTCTACTCCGTACATACTTCCGGCCGCCCCTTTTTGCGTGCTTGACCAACCAGCCTCCATCAAATCGGAGTGTCAGAGACTGGTAATTGAAAGTGCAAATTCCTTGCCTACCTAGGTACGGAGTACTGTACCGCGCTTTACGTTACAATAGAGGAGTTCCTAGCTGGCGGGTCCACCATACAGTGGACCCGCAACGGGATCGACCCTTTCCGATCGAGGTCCGCGAACATGCGGATACTGTACTGACTTGGTGCACATCCTCCGGAATAATGGGTGGCTACCGTACGGAGTACTTATGGTGGGAGGTGCTACATCGTCCTTGCGGGGAGGGTCTCCGTCGGTTGTTGTCCTCACCACCTCACCGAACAGGTCTTGCATTGGGACAAAAACAAAAGCAGAACGTTCTCTGTTTGCCTATCTTCGGATCAAACCGCAAAAAACCAGAGGAGCTGGGAGACCCTACCATGGGTACGGGGTGTGATACAGGCTAGGATGGGCAAAAGCCCCCGCTCATTTGCAGATCATGGGCACGACAGCTGTCCTCCTCGTCTTAGTCCTCAGTGGCAGCTCTTATTGTCCAACAAACTTTTTGCTATCGCCGGGGCCACGCCAAAAAAGCAAAAAAGAGGAATCCAAGTCGAGGACACAACGCCACTGTATGGAATACGTATACCCTTGTCGCCGTCGGTTTTCAATGTGATGCAACTCAGCCTGGGGGGTTCCCCCCCCTTCAATCTCAGCTCCGTCCTCGAAGCAGAGAGAAACCATATTTCTACTCGTTGCTTCAGAGGGTTTCGCGTCAACTGTCTTCGCCGTACCATCGGCCATACAGATCCTTGCAGTTCCAAAGACTAGCGGAAAGGTTGGTATCCAGCACGGAGGACTTCGGAAACGAGAGGAACTCCCTACTCTCGACTCTTGACAGAACGAGGCGTGAGTATGTTGCAAGCACTAACGTGATGATCTCAATTTGCGGCCCCTCTTTCCTAGACATCCGGCATGCATGTCACTTATGTCCATTTTACCTTTCTCGTTCCAGACCACGGAGGATGAGACGAGACAAACGACACCATAATGTACTATACTGTACTATACTGTACTGTACTCGCTGCTTGAGGTTTGAGATAAGGTGACACCTCTACTCACTCACTAACTGCTCACTACTGCGTTACACCAACCACCTCCTGCTGAACCATGTCCCTGTTGGCGATGCTGGGGGTACAAGCTGGGGGTACAACAAGCTTGTGGATCTTCATGGATTTCCTGTCAACTTCCTCCTGAGATAAGAACTGTCGTCTTTACTGCCGCATATATACACAGGATAGCACCCGAACTTCCCAAAGGTCTACCAAGTCAGAGCTTTTGTTCGGGCACCGTGCTCACGATGAGCTCTCCAGCTCGAGCCGCCATTCCCCCAGGGCAGTCGGCACCCTTCGCAAGCGTGACACCCGACGACCACGCAGCCTACGTCTTGATCTCAACAGCATTCGGCCTTGCTTGTTTCCTCTTCTTCGGCGGCATTCGAACCGTTGTCCGTGTCACACTTGGCAATGGAATCGGCTTCGACGACCATTTGTTCTACGCCGCCACAGGCTTTGCCATTATTCAGTCGAGCCTCGTCCTCGGGGCATGTTCCAAGGGCCTGGGAAAATCACTGTCCCTAGTGTCTCCGGAGGCGGTTCCTGGGGTCCAAAAGATGTACTATGCCAGCAACCTCTTCTTCATTCTTGTTATTGGTCTGTGCAAGATCTCGGTCGTGTCTTTTCTTCATCGCATCTCGCGCATGAAGCAGCACAGATTCATCTTCGACATAGCAATGGTCATACTTGCGATTTGGACATTCGGAGCCTTCCTGACCATCGCCCTTCAATGCAATCTGTCACATCCGTGGTTGACTGTGAATGAAAAGTGTCCTGGAGTGGTAAATCCATCCCCCCCTACTCAGTCTATGAAGAATATGGATCATATACTCACGAGTTCTCAAGCTTGAACGGTGGCAAGTCATCGGTGCACTAGATATCGTGACCGAGGTTGCCATTGTCGCCCTGGTCGGCTACTTGGTTCATGACCTTCAGACAAGGCTCTCGAGTAAAGCCACTGTCATGTCAATCTTTAGTGTCCGCTTGTTGTAAGTGGCTTTTTCATTTTAGTCGCGGTGTTTGCAGACCTAGCTAACAGCCCTCAACACAGTCTCATCGTCTTCATTGCGTTCCGGTTGCACACTTTTGACCAAGACGCATATACAACGAACCCCTTTCTCCGAGAAGCCACCTTTATTGCCTGGACACAGAGTCAGATGACTTTTGCACTGATTTCGGCCGCCGTCCCTACCTTTCAGAATTTTTTGAAGAGCTTGAGTACGGGGTTCGGAGGCATGGGTGGTGGCGGTGCCAGCCATGGATACGGGTACGGCAGCAGCACGAGTCGCAGCCGCCACCGCCTACAGGACCACCACAGCCACAGCAAGAGCTTCCAATTATCGACGCTGAGGTCCAAAAGCAAAAGTGTCGTGCTCGCGTCGTCGATGGACGATGACGGCCAAGAGGAGTGTTCTTCGGACCGCCACCACGCCAAAGTGTTGTTGGCGGAACAGCTCAGGGGTGGTGCTCCTGCTGCTGCTGCTGCTACTACTACTACGTCTACTACAACAGCGCAGTGGTCTGTGAGTCGAGGGCCAATAAATGGTGAAACTACAAGCATCAATAGCGATGAAAGTCAACGTTATATGATCAGAAAGGATGTCCAGTGGGAGGTTAGAACAGAACCAAGGGACTGAAGTTTGAAGGAGGATGTTTTGTATATATCACCACAACAGAGAATCTGTAATTTTGCCAGGCCGATTGGAAAGGCTCCTTCCTACTCCGCTTGCCCGAAAGTCATGGGATCGTCGACATTGACAAAACGTTCGAGAAGAAGGGATTGCTTGCATTGTATCTGAAATGATATGCCTTTCTCTCATGCCCATGATAAAAGCCGAACTACCTCAGTCAAGTCAAAAAAAATAAGGAGTAGCAGCCGCCCAAACGTTGGGCGCATGCGCACCTCTCTGCCAACTCTCGACCGAAAAGAGCGATGAAATTTGCCCGAGATCTCGATTCACTCTGCACAATGGACGACTTGAGTTTTCAACCCTGGTGAGTGACGGGCCCTCATTCACTCAACTGGAGTGATTCACCAAGGATTAATATTCCATGTATATTAATTGAAAAGGTGAAATTTCCCTCCAACAAAGAAAACGCCTTGATGGCCCACCACCAAAAAGACTCACCACGTCGAATAGCGACTTTGTCCCAATGGTTTGGAGGTCGGGCTTATCCTTGGAAACTTGGCCTGGTGGGATTAAAATTGGGAGTCTGGCAAGTTTCCATGGCCACTGTAGTATCTCTGCTAAGTAGGAGAGGTACGAAGGGGGGTCATAGTCGGGATAAGTAGCAGCAGAGCCGGGGGTTCGAACCTTTCAAGCTTTTTGTTTTCTGGCATAATTTCTTTTTTTTTCGGTTTGTCCTTTTGGTGGAGGGAGGTTGGGCCGGTGAAATGATGTTCCCTTTCCAACTGCAAGTTGTACAAAACGCCCCTCAAAGGGGGTGCCGTTTGCTCCTCGATCCCAAACGACCACCACAGATTTACCCAGTAGGTGAGGCCAGCGAGTTTAGGAGGGTGAGCAAGGGGCCGATTAGAGGAACAGTATGTACACTCCGTCCCTCGGAACTCACTCCATTTTCTCCCTCAGCTAAACAACCTACTTAAGTGATCCTCTGTAAATGTTTGGTACTACCACAACGGATGAGGCGAAGAAGACGCGTTACTCAGGTAAGTATTTCGATCCCTCAAAACCACGGTTCATTCCTTTTTACAAATTCTTCCCAAGTCGTCAACTTTTCTTGGATTTGTGCCAGGGTCCAATCGATCCCTTCATCTCCCTCGGGACCATAATAACCTTGAGACCGATCTCTGTTTTTCAGACTCTCCTTGACCGCCTCACCCATGTCGCTTTCGGCGATCGCGTCCACTTGTTCATCGTAGACGATTTTTGTGCCTGTGGCCGTCGTCCAGGTTTGACAAATCTCCCTGATGGTGTAATTTCCGGTGCAAGCGAAGAATTGTTTTCCTGCGTATTTCTCAGGGTCCGACAGGAACGGAGCGATAAACTTGCCGGTATCTTCGATGTCGATGAGTGGCAAGGCGGTGTCGAGTGTCGCTCCCGGAAACGGCTGCGCGAGGACGTACTCTGTTTCGCCGTCCACACCGACACGCTTCTTTGGTTTCATGATTCGGACAAAATTTTGCATGAACCAACCAGGCATGAAAAAGAATGACCGCGTCGTCGTCGTCATGGCGGGAAAGGTGCGACGAATGTACTCCTCGACTTCGGCTTTACTGTCAAAGTGGGCCATGCCGGTGCGTGGCAACGAAGACCAAATGTAAAGTTTGACGCCACCGGCTTTGACGGCGGCGTCGGCCAGCGCTTTACCTTGAACGACTTCGACAGCAGGATCCATCGATTCGACCCCTTGAACAAAAGATGAAATGTGGTTTCGTCAGTCACCACCAATTTCTCGTCTCTCTTGCAACTTGACCTCTTGAACCCACGGGGAACGGAGAGTTAAAGGGGGGTAATGGGTGAGACGGGGGGACGTACAATTGGTCAGAGCAAAGACGGTATGAGTACCTGTCATGGCCTCGACGAGAGTTTCGGGTTTGTTCATATCTGCCTTTGTGTACCTAGTCAGCCCCATTGATCTCCCGGCATAGCCTTGTCTTTTCAGTCGGTGTGGTATAGGTTTCGGGAATTGAATTGATCAATAATCACCTCGACAATCTCGACCCCCTTTTTTCGCAGGGCAACCGCTGCAGGTTTGGTCGCATCTCGAGTGACGGCCCTGAAAGTGTATTCCTTTGAAAAGACGGGATGATCCAATAGATACTTGATGAGAGCTCCTCCTTGTTGGCCCGTTACACCAAAGACTGTGAATATCTTGCTCATGTTTTGATGCTTTTTGTTTCGTATTCTAAGAACGATCAGGTTGCAATAAAGGGTGTGTGGTCAGAGAGGAATGCCAGCACCGGCCTTCCCATCTTCCTCGTCAAGAAGGAGACATTCTTGTGTTCTTGTAGCCCGTACTAAGCAGCCATAATCCGTGCTACAAAGGACATGGACGGACTAAAAACGGACGTATCTTCGCTCCAATGGTGTCGAAAGCAGGGCGCGATTCGTTCATGTCTCAAGATGCTTAGTAAGTGGCTGGCCGCGGTTCAACTGTCTGTCCGTAATGCAAGACATAAATCCGCGATGCGCGGGAATAAATTGTTTCCCCATTAGTCTTGAGCATCTCTCGTTCGTATCACTCACTCCTGGCACTGGCGACAAAACAACTACAACCAGATTAGACATCGTTGACCTTTGGAAACAAAACAATACACAGAGATGCATAATATGTCCATTTCTATTTTGAACAATCCTTCTCGACTCGCTGGAGTCTCCTTGTTTTCATGTCCTGACGTACATATATCAAAGCACGTCAACCCTTCATATTTTTCGAAGGTATTTCGCCAATTCATAGTCCATAAGATAAGTCCCCCATCATAAATGAAACGCCTTCCCAAATGCTGTACATTGCCCTGGTTTGCCCTACCTAGGGCAGATATGGTAAGATATAGCTCTCTCTCTCTCTCTCTCTCTCTCTCTCTCTCTCTCTCTCTCTCTGTCTCTCTCTCTCTCACGGCTGTGGCCTGCACAGATCAGATACCGGACTCGACAAACCAAAAGACTGAGCTAGATGCTGTCGATGACATACATATAAGCTTCTCTCGACACTGCTCAGCCAGAAATACTCCAGCTCTACGTCCAAATTTTCGTCTGCTGTATAGTAGATGGGTCGTTGGCGGCTTGCCATTTCGAGAGAGTTTGACTGCGTCATTTCGAGCTTCCGATGTGCTTGTTATAAGCTACTACAATACCTATACCCCAAAGCAAGAACGCCGGCAACCAAAACCCCCCAGTGATCCGGTGCGTAAACATTTCCTTGTAGGTGTATCGTAAATTCTTGCAAACCAAAAACAGTGAGAGCACCTCATTGGTGGCGGGATAGTGTCTTAGTATACCAACCAAGCACTACCTCCGACGACAATGACAACCATCAAAATCGTAAGGATGCCGGCTCCGGCTCTGTCGGCGGTCGTGATGGGTTTCCGGTTGGCGGTTGGGTTGCTAGGGGCATCTGAGCCGGCATTGGGGTTGCTCTTGGAGGTCGCTCCCGTTCTCAAGGTAAGAGGCCGCATGCTCTCTGTCATCAAATTGGATCCCATGACTGATAATGCAGCCATCTGTGCAAGAACAAGAATGTTAGTATCCGTTTCGAAATCATATCTTTCATTTTGTCACAAAGACTATGAGAGAGGAAAAAGGAGACTAGAGCTTACCTGTTGACCCACTCCAGTGGTGCCGTCCCATGTCTGCGTAAACCATTGCAAACCGCACGATCGACCATTGTCTCCTCCGTCGCATTGGCCTGCAGCACCGGCGGCACTGGCGGCCAATTTGGGTTTGATGCCGGCTGCCGTGTTAGGAACGAGGATACTGGTGACGGCCATCCATCTGGCAAGGTATGCCTTGAAACTCTTTTGATCTTCGTCGCAGTTTAGAGATTTCTCGCATTCCAATTCGTACATGATATTGCCGCCGTATTGCTGCGGGAAAAAGAGAGAATATGTGCTGTTCAAAATGGTCTCGACACGGTTCATCCAGAGATCGCTTCCGTTGGTGTAGTTATACATGTAGGCGGCGCCGGAGAGCATGGTACCGTAATTATAACTCCAGACAAAGTTTTGGACGCTGGTGCAGTTGTCGTTACTGTCGGTATTGTCCCAAATATAGAACGTCCCCGTGTTGGCGTCGGTTTGTAGCAGCGGGCTCGCTTCCATCCAGTCCCAAACTTTGTTCGCCCAGTCCGCATAACTCGAGTTGCCTGTGATATAGGCGAGGCGCGCAGCCAGTTGAAAATTGCCTCCGTTGGAGATTGAGTTCTTCAAGTTATATCCGGCGTTGAAGGAGAAAACTTGCCATCTAAAACCACCTCCGCAGGTCAAGGGGTCCCACAGGTCATATTGAAAGTTGAAAACGGCCTGAGCAAGAGACAACCAAGATGGATTGTCGCCTCCTGCTTCGGGAAAGTTTGCCTCGACGGCGTCCAGAGCAGAAAAGGCCCAAAATACCTGGTCATCGACACCCATACTTCTTGACTGGTTAGGAGGGTTGTAGTTGTTGTCGGGCCCTCGTTGGAACTGCAGTGCATCAATGGTCACATTGTTATAGGTCGTATCATTTGTGTATTGCCAGTAGTTTATCAACGCCCCCCACATGGCCCCGGCTTCCCACCAGCAGTATGTCCCAAGAACGTTGGGATTGCAGTTCAAGGATCCAGGAAGCAGTCCCGGTACTTGACCAGTCTGATTACCAGTATAAAATGTCATCATATCGTAGGCGACGCCCGAGGTGGCTGATTCGATGGAGGACACCGAACTGGTATCGAGGGTAATGGCCGCGGCGAGAGGCGCCAGGCATAGAAGAGGTGAAAGACGCATGGTGAAGAGATGTCGTAGGCGATGAAGAGGTGGAGGGTAGTACGCGCCAAAGCGGCGCAAGTAATTGGTGTATTGTATACAACGGCGAAGATAGATTTATCGAACGAAAGGATGTACTCGTGGTTGTCGACGAGGTTGAAGTGACCAGGAAGTGTACGAAGGTGAATATTAAGAGCCCGAAAGAGTGCGAGGAGTGACTCGGGTGGTCGATAGTACTGAGAAACACGAGTGACGAAAGGTACAATGTCAAAGAGAATGAGGACAATGACGACGGATACGAAGACTGAAGCGAAAGAGGAGAGAAACAAGCAACTGTAAGGTGAGGAAGAAGAGTTGACCAGCAAATACGGAGTACAACAGATTGAAAAGGTGATACACTTCCCGTTGGAATATGGAGTATGAGATTTTAGGTCGGATCAATCTCGAGGCACAATTCATCAGCCGCAGGAAGCGAATCCCCGCAAGAGAGTCGCGAAACACCAAGGGAACGGAAGAAAAGGCAAGGAAAAGGGATCGGCAGGGCATTGGGCGAGGGTGGCAAGGATCCTGCAGGATGCGCCAATAAAGAGTTTTGATGGTGTTGCAAAATTAAACACGATGGAGCAAAACACCCAGTACAAGTTCAATATGGAGTAGGAGGAGCCACGACTATCTATACCGTAACCCGAATGAGCGACTAACAAACCAGTTTGTGTGTGTGTCCGTGTGTCTTTTTTTCCCTTCATCTACTACTCCGTGTTACCGAGACAAATATGTAATGCCGGTGTGTGTGCTGTAGGAGGAACGCGAGTCGGAGGCCATCAAGAAATCCTCTCGTTGTCTTTGCCTTTCCGTCTCTCGCATCGATCATCATCACAAAATAGAACAACTCAGGATTTTGATCAATTCTCGCTTCCTATTTCATCTTCCGTACCTGTTTCAGGCTCAGCCCAACATACCTAGGTATGCAACATCTTCTCGCCTACAACGACTCTTTGACGGAGTTCTCATTCATGCCCAACAGTTGTGTTGTCGCCCCCAGCCAAGCCGAAACAAGCTCAAACAAGCCCCGAGGTCGATGCTTTGGGCCGCTTGATTCAACGCCCGCGTCCCCTATTTTTCTTGGTCGGAGGCGACAATAATAGCGGGTCAAAAAGCGTGGCTCTCGCTTGAGGGCGTTGCTAATTTCAGCACTGCCACCATATTTGGAATCATTCCCACATCCATCTCGCTGTTGCTCACACTGTAGAGAGGATCCCTCAACCGATAACGGATGAATTGATAAACCAGAGGCAGACACTGTGACTTCTGATTGATACTTGTACGGATAGCAGCAGCCCGTAACTCTGCATTCTGTACTCGCACATGCCAAGGATAATCAGCCCCTTACAAAACATGCCAAGATTTGTGATAAGCGCCTCACACTGCGTATCTACTTGACATACACGTACCGTCCACCGTGTACAGCAGCCTCGATTGTCACTGGAAACATATGCTCGTTATAGAACAACCAGACGGGCAATTTGATTCCTCCAGACACTCCAGATTTCAACAGTACTAATAATCTCTACCCGTATTCAAGATTCGACCACAACGACGATGCAGACTGACCAACAACCGATCATCTGATGAAACAGCCTTGAAACCACTGACATCGATTTGTTGACTGGATAGATGCACGCGTGAGTGCAGACCATGCAGATTCAAAACTTGTGCATATCGGAAACACGACATTCAACACGGATTTCTCTTATGGGATTATTGACGTGATGACAAACAGAAGATCGCCCAGAACCGACGCCATCGTATGATTGTATTGTACATATCGCTTCCAACCCTCCTCAGCTATCGAGGGCTGAATATGACAGGTGAAGACCGTCAATGTTCCAGGCTTTGACAGTGTGAACGACACAAGTCATAAATGGCAATTCCGATGCCGATAATTTCAGCATATCCGGAATATGGACTTCTCTCACCTCCACCTGCTCAACTCTCATTGTCGAGAATCAAAGGTATCTTGATGACTCGCGACTGAAATGCACCACCTCTCCGGTTTGAGAGATACCACTACTTTGTACCCATGACAGACAGCTCTTTCTCTGCGCCGGTGCTGCGTGGTGTCCGGCGATTGCGGCGACGCCATTGTGGGCGCTAACGGAGTCTAGATCCTCGTCTACATCTTAGCGACTCATTGGTGGATCTTCTCGTATCGATCGCTGTTCGTCAGTCCCATCATTGCGCCATACCAAAGCGCAAGCCCAAAAATGCCATGTCTTTCCTTTAAGCCAGCCAAAGCTCTTCACCTCCGTTAGCTTGCGCTTGAATGGAGGACTTTTGACGACAAAAAATCCTAACATGCCTATGTACTCTTTCTGGGCTTCCATCGCCGGAGGAGGCGCACGCCAGGAGAGCCTTTCCGGCGCACGTCTTTCCCAGTCGAGCAGACATGGTTTCAATCTGCTGCATTACAGGGCGCTAGAACTTGCCTCGGGGACTCTGGTCACTCAGATGATCATATGTGCAATGTCTCGCCACCCATGGATCCTCAGAGTCCAGCCCGGTAAACAGTATATATCTCCGGTAGGCCTGCTCCCAGCTAGACTGACACACAGGTTGAAATTTGGCGACGGATTGATGCATCACCTCGAACAAGATGGGTGTAGAGGAGAGAGTCCAGGGTCCTGTGACCACAACAGAAGAGGTGCAACCCGACAATGAATTCATCCAGATCAATCACGAACATGCTGAACGTATGGATGGTGCTTTCCTTTCCATCGTCTTCAGTGCCGCGATCCCATGTGGTCTCGTGGTCATTGTTACAGCAATCCTCCTAGGCGTCATCTATTCCAAAGAGGTCGACTACAACAGGGGCTGGCCTCAACTCCAACTCAAACACAACATCACCTCGGCGTCGGGTTTATGGACGATTTTGAACGACTGGAAGAATCTTGGTGGTGACCCGGCCGTGTTTGTTGATTTCAACCCGACCTCCTTGACGGCCATCGCAACCTTGACCGGTAAAGTTATACCATACCTCTCGAGTTCCATCATGGCACTAGTTGCCTTCTTTGTCGCCCGCCGAATCATTCTCATCTCCAAAGAAGACCAAGCCCGCGACCTCCTCACACCACACCAGATGTCGCTCCTGATCCAGCTCCTAGGAGGAAGTAGCTTCACTCCGTTGAAAGACTGCGTACACTACCATGTCAAGCACAAAAAAAGATGGATTTCACCTATCCCTCATGCATTCTCAGCTCTCGCTGCAGTCACAGCTTTGGGGTATACTACAGTGGCTAATTTTGTATCGTACCCAGTGCTGACATGGTACCTAGAATAATCATCCCAGCGGCAGATACATGGTTCGCCACGACTGTAACGCCACACAAGGTGGTCATGCTCGAGAAGATCACCAACTCCTCCATTTCCACGTTCGGCCGAGGTATATACGATCCCAACAGCACCTGCTACGATGTCTGGTATTATGACGAGACCACGGATGGCGACCCTTGGCGGGTACCCTGCAACATGGAGTATCTAACCTACAACCAGGACGAGCACAACCCCCGGAAGTGGAGCTACAACGTGCGCAACGCCAACGAAGCAGTCTTGACCATGACAGGCCTGCACGAAAATAACACCGTCAAGATCTACAAGGACCCCTCGACCCCGAACGTCCAATACAGCTATCTGGCCGACAAGATGATGAACAACACGCGAGACTTTCGCGCGTACACGTTCGCCATGAAAACCCAGTGTACCCCCATGACGGCAAAATGCTTCCCGTGGATCACCCTCGACGAGGACGCAACGGACCGGAAGAGTCTCGGCGCCAACTACACGTTCCAGTGCAGCCCGGGCTACGTAGGCGACTTGACGTCCAACGGCGCCTCGCTCGCGACCGGCCTGCGCACCACGTCCAACACCTCCGCGGGCATCGGCTTCGCCCCGGACGCGTCCTTGAGCAGCATGGTGGGCAACGACGCCTCGGTGGTCGAGTTTGCCTCGTTCACCAACCCCCTCCACTTCGGCGCGTGGTCGCTCGGGTGGAAGAGCGTCCCCGAGAACGACTACGAGTGGCCGTGGCTGGACGACTGGGACTACGACGACAACATCTTTTACGACGACAACTCCTTTTACGCCTGGATGCTGAACTGCAGCACGGGCTTCTACGACGTCAACTACGACTGGGTCAACGGCAGCGTCCAGGCCTTCAACACCTCGCTCAAGTTGGACGCGGCCGGAGGCGTGGTCTCGTACCCGTTCGCCGCGGGCCTCCCCGCCGCCGATCTGTGCCTGGACTACGCCTCCGCGCGGGTGCAGCAGGCCGACAACGCGACCCAGCTGGCCGACTGGTGGGGGAATTTCTTCTCCAGTTGCGCCATGTACATGGTGGCCGCGACCATGAACCCGCACGGCGCCGACTTCGAGCAGACCCGCAACAACGAGTACATCGCGACCCGCGTGCCCATCGTGCCCCTGTTCGTCCTGTTGGGGTTCAAGTTCTTGTACTGCTTCGCCGTGCTCGTCCTCGCCGTCGCCGCCTACCACTACACCAACCCCTCGGAGTCGCAGTCGGTCAAGGAACGGTTGAGCGTCAAGGGCCTCGCGGCCACGTGTTTCGGCGACGGCCCCTCGCACCAGCAGGTCGCCGTCAAGAACGTCGAGCAACTCTTCCAACAACCGCCCGGCCCCGACAGGGACGTCGACGCCACCCAGAACGGACCGGCCGAAGTCGAAGCGAATCCCCCGCCCGAACAAAAGGTGGCCATGGTCCAGACCGAAATGGGCGGGTGGCAGTTTGTCAAGATGGCCGCCGGGAAGGTCTACGACACCGTCGCCCCGATCGTCGAGAGACAGGTCATGTCCGAGGCCACGGGAGGCACTTTTGGCGCCGGAGGACAGGACGCTGCCAAGTGGGTCTCCCTGGTCAGGAAATGATGATATCGTTCTACAAAGTCTGTACTTTTTGGGTTTTTATTCGAGCGACTTTAGATCCATATAGATACCTCGGGTAGGAAGATAATAAATACTCTTGGAAGAAATTCAATGATGATGATGATGATTGATGATATTGATAATAGTCTTGATATTCTTCGATATTCATCTCTTTTAAAACTTGCCTAACCAAAAACAACCGTCCATCGTGCAATTGAACGGATGGTATATGCATTGTCTATCCAAGCTTGTACCCGTGCCCAGTGTACGTCCGTCATGTTAATGTTTTAATGTTTTAACGTTTTGTTGTTTCAATTAAGAGTCTCTTTTTTTCCTGATCTCGTTAACCACCGTCATATCATAAGGTAGGCGTACGAAGTAATAAAAAAATGTCATTCATCGATTGTTGATTGTCGATTGCTCCTTGTTAGCTATGCAGCTGGTGTTGGTTCTCCGCCGTTGTTAGGTGCCAGGCTTCCTTCAATCCTACGTTTCGCATCTGCTCTCTCTTCAGCCGTAATTTTACTTTCGTCCTTTTTCATATCCGGCGTATGTGACTCAACGTGTGGCGAGTGCCCAATCGACATACCGACCCGTACCTGTTTTAATATAGTTAGTATAAATCGCTTGCTAAGTTTTGGTGGGTTATGACTGACCAATGTTTCCAGGGCTCCATTGCTGTTGTCGATCAGGTCATCATCGTACACCATCTTCCCCGGTTCAAAAAAGAGTAGCACGGTGCTTCCGCCAAACTTGAAATATCCTAGCTCTTCAGCTCGTTTAACCTTTTCACCAGGTTTTCGTGTAATCGCGGTCGACCCGACCATCATGGCACCAATACAAACATACATGACTCGGCCATGGGCGACAGAATCAATAGGTACCAAGACTCGCACGTTTTCGCCATACACGTCCAGGGCGGATCTGATGGCCATCGGGTTGACTGTATAATATTCACCTTCAATGGTCTTGGGCGTTCCAATCGTACCATCAACCGGGACATGGAAACGGTGGTAGTCCTGTGGCGCCAGTCGGAATATGCCCATGCTTCCGCCCTTGTATCGTTTCGCTTCCAGAGGATAAGCATCACCGAAAAGTTTCTCCAGTGAATAGTCTCGCCCTTTGACCCAAATTTTGGTGGCATCGTCAATTGTGTTGAAAACCACGGAACGACAGTCAGCCGGAGATACAATCACTTCGGGTCGGTCTGGGGCACTGCAAGGTCTAGCGCCTGGTTTCAAGGCTCTGTAAAAGAACTCGTTGAAGTTCTTGAACTGGTCTGTAGACAAAAGCACTTCAGACATGTTCAGGCGATGGAAGTCGATAAAGCCCTCAATCTGGGATGCTGATGCCGGATCGTCGTATTTCTTGCCCTGTTTGATAGACAGTGACTTGAGCATCTTCTTGATTCGTCTCTTCTCCATTTCTCGGGCTCCTAAAGCCTTGTACAACAGTCGAATTCCTATACGCACGTACACAGACATTCGTTCTTCATTGATTTGGCCTGTGATTCGATCTTGAACCAGTATGTTGGCGCTGTTGGCTCCCAACTTATAGCCACCATAGCTGATCTTGGTGATTACTTTCGAGTACCACTTGCGTTGAGCTTGACTTTGAGTAACGAAACCACCCATTACTAAGTTGTTCACCTGCCTCCAGTCGGAACTAGCGCAGGTCGCGATATGTGTGATTATGTCAGCTTCAGTCCGCCTGTTAAGCTTGGGCTGATGGCAGATAGGGCATTCTCGAATTTCAATAACGTGTTCTTCACTATCGCCCATATCTTCTAGATCATCGTCGAGTAACTGTCCTTCCTCTCCAGCTGTGCCGATTTCCTTTTGCTCGATCGCAGGAACTTCCCCAGAGAGAACATGACTTTGGACAATATTGGGATCATCTTGTGGCTTTGAAGTCGTTGGTATGGCGGCCTTGATTTTTTCACTTGTCGTCTTCTTGTCGCTTCCTTTCTGCAACTGCTCTTCAAGACACATGACAGCCTGGTCGAAACTCAAATCGACCTCTCCAGTTTCTTCGTTCTCTGTAGCAAATCTGGTATAGAAGCCATCGATGGTAGATTCTTTTAGTGTGGAGCCCAGAGTATCAAGCATAGTAGTGAACTCAATCTTGCTAATACGTTTGCTGTCATCGGCGTCGTACTGTTTGAACATTGCTCTCCAGAACTGCTGTCTCAGTGCCTTATAAGGCAGGTATCGACCGCGAATGTACAGCTCTGGACGATGCTTGGCTTCCCATTGTTCTTTATTTTTTAATTCGAGTGGCAGGACATAAGACTTCATGGTGGGATCTTCTGGTGGTTGGGGGCTGGCGACGTCGGCCGTGCCTGGTACCTTGAGAGTACTCGCACTGCTATCAACAGGCGCACTCGTGGGCGCAGGCGGTCGGGATTCGTTACTAATAGATGTTGACAAAGAGGATGACACCGAAACTGAAGAATCATCTCTCTTAAAGTTCGGGCGAGCGAGTTTTGAGAGACTGCTTTGCGAAGAAGACCGGGACAAGGGTAGCCGGAATCTAGACTTGCCATTCTGATTTGTGGCCATTGCCGCTGAAAATTCTGGAGGCTCAGGAAGGTCGTAGAGACCCGTTTCTGGATCCTCCTCCGGTGCTGCCTCGATCATTTTCTGAATGGGAAAAGAGGTGGAAGCCACAAAGTCATTTCCTGACAACTTGTCTCGGTCAATGACGGTAAATGTCAACGAGTATCCGGTCTCGTGCTTCATGATCTGAAAGACCATTTTCTCGTTGTACACGGGATTGAGATTGTGCCGGACCACCTTAGTTCTCAAGATCTTGCGGCCCAGAGCTGTTACGACGAAGGGATCCATATCGAACGACGTTCGTGTCATGTTGCGTTCGGGTGGTAAATCAGTGATCTTGACAATTTCCGTGAACAAAACGCCGTTGACGTCGTTGTCGGCGCCGAGGAAATTGTAGGCTCTTGCAGCAATGGATTTACGACGAAGGCGAGCTAGGCGTCTCTTTTTCTCCTTTTTGTCTGCAATTGCACCTTTGGGGCCAGCTTCAGTCTCGGTCACAGACTCCTCCACGTCCTCGTCGATATCGTCAACATCCTCATCGCCGGCATCAACATTGGTGGAAACTCTGGACAGTTCATCGTCTTCCTCTTCAGATCCGATGTATGCTAAGAATTTCTTGCGAATCTCATCGGGACTGGCAGACGGATTTGCCGAGTCGATAATGGAAAACTGCATCAAGACCTCGCCAGACACTGTGCTTTCTTTCTTGCTTCCCACTCTTCTCGACTTGAGCTTGTACCATTTGGGCTCTTGCTGAACCTTGCCATTGGCAAAGATATCCTCAATTGCAATGTCAAACTCGCCCATGTAGTCCTTGCCAAATCGGTCCTTGTCCCAGCACATACACTCCAAGAGGGGAACGCCGGTCAAGGGCATGTCAAAACAGATCTTCCATTCCGGGTTGAGATTCTTGCTTATAGAAGGTGTTGACTGTTTGGAATTACCGAGGGTGACAACAAGGTAGGGGTCAGAGGTGCCAGATCTATCTTTGGCTGCCAGGTTTCTTGCCTGTACATATGGTTAACTAACGAGATCGAAGGATGCCCAATTGCTTCATTCACCTTTACAACATAGACCTTAAGGATGAGTGGTTTCGAATCGGAAGAAGTGAGAGAATAGTTGCTGCTGCCGTTTCTTGGGGGCTCTGGGCGTTGACCTCCATTATTGTTGTTGTTGTTATTGTTGGTGGAAGAAGATGATGCCTGATCTTTGCTCTTGCCCAGATTGTGGAGGCTCCGAGGGAGGGAGATATGGACCATGATTACAATGAGAGAAGGTGATCGTAGGAAACTCGTTAATATAGATGGGTCGAAGCAGGTTATAGCCTGTATTTCCCAGAGTGATTGTGAGGATGTCCCAGGCCTGATGGCTTCGTATGCCCTAGGCGCAGGCGTCAAATCGACGAAAGTGTGGTGTGGGGGACAACGAAGGAAGGGTCAGGACAAGTTGGTAAGATAGAGATAATCGAGGTCAAAGAAAAAAGAGTTGACTTGGGGCCGAAACAGGTTGATAGGATGTCGACCTGGACGAAGTACTCGTACTTGTCCAGTGGTGGTGGTTGTGGTGGTGGCTTGAAACCAGTGAAGAGGGCAACGAAACCCCGATTGACGAGAATGGAGTTATGATGCCATATCGAGATAGTCCCTCGTACTGTACTCCGTAGAAGCCCCTCGTTTACCTTTTCGTCGTGCCGCGTATGCATTCAACAAGGTATTAACATTTATTTTTACTTTATTTTAATTGCTCGTATGGAGCAGCTACTCGGTAGTTGAGCAGCCTGCCCGCACTACACAAGAAGACCATTTACCCGATCATCTTCTAGAGCTTGTGCAGCACTCATACGTAGGTATTTCATTATTTGTTGGTGATATCGTCCTACTCCAACAAATGTCCTGCTCGTCAAAGCACGTCGGTCTTGGCCTAGGAAACTGCCAACGAACAACATCGTCCTTCTTCAGCCGCACTACCCGACAGACAATCCTTTCAGGTGATCGAAAGATCGAGAGATCGAGAGATCTTGATGTATGAATTTCCTCTATATGACTGCTCGAATTCGCTTGACTAGGAAGAAGGTTACATTCAGCGGTGGCCGGCACTCCACGGCGTCCTCTACAAGAACACGACATGATTACCACCTAGCTTCACGTAGACTGAAGCATTTCGTCGATCCGCCAAATAGAAATTTAGTTGTAGCTTCCTGGTAGTCCATACCTCGGGGTTGCAATAGTCTGCCCAAGCTTGAACCACTGACAACATGGGGGTGCAAATGGTATGATGCCTAATCCGGTTTAGCGTTGGCAAAGCGCAGTCAATGTAAACACTGGGCCAGAGCCGCGAAGAGAGCACGCAAGCCCTCTGTAACAACTTTCTTGCAACGACTAACTGCACAACGTCGTCCGCCCTGCGCAGACCACTGTCGCTCATTCACCTGACATCTTTACCATGATTCACGAGCGCACATGAAACCACAAGCCGTGCATGTAACCCCGAAGAAAGTTGACGCGCATTTGACCCGAATCGCGGCACACCAGTCCCAATGACTGCGCTCGTTGCGCGCCAACCGCTACAGCCCCTACCAATGTCAGCAACACAGAGGCCAAGCCGAAGATTGAGTGCGCGAGTCCAAGACAAAGATGACGCCGTCACCGCCGCTTCAGCGCAAATCAATGGTAACGCAAGGATGGTTGGCAGCACATCTCGCACATCACGAACGCAAGGGGCAAGAGGTGGAAACGAAAAGAAGCGGAAAATCGGTGAGTCAAGTAAACGAACCCGGGATGAGCATCATGCATCTAATGCGTTGTCAGATTACGACGAAGAGGATGATGGTTTTATGTTTAGACGCGTCAAATCGAAACCCGAGCCGAAGGTGACCACCGAAAAAAGGAATGAACATGCTTCTGAAGAAGTCGAACCCCAGAGAAAGTTGACAGAGGAGGAACCAATCCAAAAAAGCGAGGAACAACCCATACACCACCAACAGCCCACAAAAAGGGCGAACAGATTATCATTCTCAACACCTGGCCCGAAGGAACAAACCGCAGTTCGCCGGTCGAAACGTCTCTCAGGAGATAAGGCGAGGCATGGCGGTAGCCCTTCGATGTCAGCGCATCCGAAGGCTAGGCGAAAATCGAAAGAGACGCGAGCAGAAAGACCGCGCGAGGAGCCACCAAAAGAACTTCCAGCACAGAGGGAGCCGCAGCATTCTCGACAATCACCTAAGAGAGCCCAAGCAACGGCATCCGCAGAAACCCAGCCTTCCGCTCAGAACAAGGAAATGGGTACAGGTCCTTCAGACATCCCTAGTCAGATACCCAGTGAGCACGAGGATACGATTAGGTCGGCACCCCACGAGGATCATTCAGCAACTAAGATATCTTTACCATTCGCCGATACACCAGTCATAAAGCGCAATAAAGCCATGCGCGAAGGAAAATCAGGAAAGGGTGAACGAAGAAGTAGCTTGGGTCTTCGGGGCCGGAGGGCTAGTTCACTCATCGAGAGTGGGAATTCCAATGGTAGTGATGCCTTCTATTAACAAATGAGATTAAATTGACTCTTTCACAGCTCTTCCACACAAGGAAGTGGAAATCCCAGATTTCTATAAACATATCGAAAGCGAAGGACTCCCCGAACCACGGCGAATGAGACAGCTTCTGACCTGGTGCGCAACCCGTGCACTAGACGAGAAGCCCATGGGAACGGACTTTGAGGACTCTAGTGCGCGATCAGCAGGTAAGTTCGTGCACCGTAGAATGTTGACGGTTGCTGACGTTTACCAGCGCGAGTGATCCAAGAAGAGTTGCTGAAAGATCTTTCGAACGAATCCAAATTATCAGACTGGTTTACGAGGGAAGATGAGCCAGTTCAAAGGAAGCCTTTACCACAACGGCCCAATCCGAAGAATATCCAAAATATGGAGAAAATCGCCGAGCTGGAGGAGCAGATCAAGCGGTGAGTTTTGGGCCTGGTTTGATTTGTTGTAGTACTAACTCAAGTTGCTAGGCTTCGATCAGAAAAGGAAGCCCTGGAAAATCTCCTTCGACGTCCACCTATATCTAACTCAGATCAGATCCAGGAGTCGATCAAATCAAATGACAATAATTTGGACCAAAGATTGTTATCGGAGACGGATATTACAGCTCTTGATAGCCTCCCTGCCACTTCAACATCCTCTGATCAAGTATCGAAATGCCTTAACAGGCTGTACGATTCACTAGGTCCCACGATCGACCAATTCGCCGACGGGATCCATACAATAGGTCAATACCGACAGGCAGCAGATAATGTCGCAAGCAGAGCATTGGCTATATGTGCAGAAAGACTCTCACGACAAGAGAATGAAGGCAGGAAGAAGGCTCTGCCGGATGCACAAGGTACACCACCCAAGGATCTGGGTGGTGTGCTGCGAAGTTTGAGCAGAGCGGAAAGATGACGACTTTTTTTTCTTGAAGCATTGAATACTCCCTCTTTGTGGATAGTTGTATATGAATGAATGCTTGATGAAATTGTGGGGAAACGTGTCGAATCAGTGGATTTACTTGACCACACATGAAGACCAGACTGATCCTCGTGACATTTATCGTTGTGTGATGGGACAATTGACAATTAGCCTACTGTACTCGGTACATATATTCGACTATCGCCGTATAAAGTGAGCGCCACAGATCTGCAAAAAACTGCCCAGACAATACACAGCCACAAAGCCACGATGCGTTTTACGGTACGTCATCGACGAAGTTTACGGTATCCCAGCTTTCTCGAGAAATCCAAGGCACCAGAGCACCGCCTCCAAGGCACGGGTAGGTACACAAGTGTTCCCTCCACTTCGAGTCTCTTTTTTGAGTAGTTACGAGCGATGATGAAAGATAAAAAAGCCTAGTTTTGCCCACAGTTTCATCGGATAGACCCTTGGTAGGACACTTGGCAACTCATCGCATGGTCATAGAGATGTCGTTGTCACTGTTTTACCTCTTGGGAGTTATGAGTTTAATTGCTTTGCAGTGTCGTATGTGGCTGTGAGATAAGTACATAGGTAGTCTCTACAGTACAAGTTTACCTCACTTAATCCTGTCTATCCCCTACCTTTTCCCAAGTGACTTTCCTACTTGACATCTTGACCCTTTTTCCCCCGTATTATCAGATATATCGACAGACACACTTGGTCACCCTCCACTAAAAAAAAACTACGTCGAAGTGACCGTGATATCACCTGCCGTTTTACTACACTCAACAGCGGCAACGACAAACGAAACAAAAAACATGCCTTTACTCTATACGAAAAACGTCGGCAACAAGCACGTCGGCGGTGGCTTCAACGTCTCCCGCCACGGTGTGAGGCGGAATCCTTTCAGAATCTCATTTGGCCGGTTCAACTGTTTCAGGTAGAATGGGACGGACTGACACCTGATACGAAAGGAAATGGAGCGCGGAGAAATGGGTTCATCATCAGGTATACAACGGGAAATCATGGTTGGACGGGTCTGGCATCAATTCGGAGACCAACACTTTGCCTTCAACGCGATGTCATGGGATGGGTGCGGGCAACTCGATGGCTTCCATGGATGACCAGGAATGATGGGAATGGCGTTCTTTATGACTACACAGTGTGATGGAGGAAGACGGCGCGGTCAGCTCGATACATGAAATTCATAGCATTCTTACACGAAGGAAACTGCTCTCTTGTGGTTCTTCCAAACGAAATCGTACTCCAAGTATTCAGAGATCAAATGTCTTTGCATATTTGGCCCGCTAAACTAATAGTGGTGGTACAATCTTGGATATCTTGGAGGGTGTGGTTCTCCTTTTGCCATCATAGTTCATATCGTCAATCACAGTGTGTCGCTCATTCCACAGCCATCTTCTTTGGTGGTTCTTCACTGCCCACGGAGCTCGTCGAGGGCGTAGCCTTTGTGTGTTGGCTGGTCGTCACATCGTCATCCTCATCCCACGGTTCATCAGGAACGTTTTCGTCCCAGTTGTCCAACTCGTCCTCGACGCTCCGAGCCACAACGCCCGTCTCCTGACCATCATCTGCAGGTCTTGAAGGTCGGCCGAGTTCATCGCCACCACCACTGCCCTCAGCTAGCTCGAGATCTTCACCTTCCAAGCCATCACTGGCCAAAGCCGAGTATTTGGCCTTGCGGCGTCTTTCGGCCGACCGGCGGTGGTATGCACTGCAAAGACCCAGTGCCGCCAGGCTGCCTATGACGTTGGCGAGAACATCCCAACCATCGAACTCGCGATCGTTTGGCAACAGCCCTTGGGCCACTTCACTGCCCACGCCGAGCACCAAAGTGCACACAAGTAACGTCAAGTGTATGACGCGCCGCCGGTTGGTGTCGAGGATGAAGTAAAAGGTTGCCGTGAGAGCAAAGAAGACCAGGAAATGTACTGCCTTGTCCGACTGGGATGGGATGTATGGTTGGGCCGCCGCGGGGGTGGAAGGAAGGGATGAGTGTGGGAGCAAGCCGAGGGAAGATGCGAAGAGAAGGAGGATGACAAAGGCAACTGTTGGAAAATGTTAGCAGTCGGAAGAAGAGTGTGTTTGGATGTGTAGACTTGCTTGCAAAAGCGAAGCGAATCCGCATCATATCGTCGTCTGGCGCAAATGGACACGATGGTTTTGATGATTCAGTGGTGACTTGGTACGCAGTGGCCGGCAAGTTGCCAGCATCAAAACAACAAGGGCATTCTTCCAGCGAAACAAATCCTGAGTGAGTTCGAAGAGAGTTGTCTGCCTGGTGTGCGTCTCTCTTCAAGAGTGTACCGTACGTTGCGGAAAGCCACAAGTGCAGAGAGTGGAAGATTATTAGGTTGCCCTCGGGGCTGTTCTCGTACCTAACTTAAGTAAGATCGGGGTTGGGCTCGGCTCACGCAGTTCGAACGCCCAGTTGAATGGCTTCTAACCGACCTACGCAGTTTCTTTCGACTTCACGTCTCAACTGCGCGCATCCACCACGTCAGATTGCGAGAACTTCTTCATCACACAGCACCTCCCATTCATCGTTCCGCGTCTTATTTTCATCGGATCTGAGTTCTACGAGGTCGCATGTCCATCTGCACACGCTTTTAGCCGTCGCCCACCCCTTTCCTCGCCGTCGCAGGGCATCCTTCAAACTGGAGTATCTACGAGACCCCTCGCTCACAGTCCGGGGGTTGGCACTGCCATGTCCGTAACATGGCCGCCCCCAAACAACCAGAAACCACCAGACGATGAGCCTCTGATTCACTCCCTACACAGAGACACTCTCAATGGCTTGCTGCGCGCTCCCTCCCGACCTCACACTCCCAATTCCTTGAAATTGCGCGGTCTGGGTACCGGTTCCCAATCTGGACAGCCTGCCGATCCAGAGCCGAATCTCGACGAGGATCCGCAAATCGTTCGATTCCGCGCCCTGTTCGAAGAGACCGAGTCCAAGCTCGCGACTCTCTTTGACGATGTCGGCCAAGTTGTAGCACCAAAAAGACACGCGATCGACGATGCGACGCTCCTCGAGCCTGCTGCCGAGCCTGCGGACTCGGCCGCGGCCCCTGCTCCTATATCAAAAAAGCGCAAATTGGTCGATGACGATGACTACGACGATTACGATGACGACGATGAAGAGGAAGACTCGACACTGGATGCTGCAAGGGCATCCCCTCTGAAAGATAAGCCTAACAAAGTACATGTCGTCGCCGATGCCACGTCGTCGCCCAAGGCCCGCCCCGTCCTCCCCCCCAGCATCACTCCCGATTCCATAAAAGCTCCGGCCAAGAGCAACGCCGCAAAGTTAAAAGAGGATGCCGAAGATGCTCGCAAGAAATTGGAAGAGGCCAAGCGCAAAGAGGCCGAAACTGTCAAGACGTTGTCCCGCACCATGTTCTTCACACTAGAAAACGATCGAGATGCCATGCTGGACCAGCAAAGACTCGACGAGGCAGAGCGACGTGCCGAGGCTGAAGCTGAAGGCCATGCCAATCGCCAGAATGCCTCTATGCAGCAGGGAAGCCTAAGCAAAGCTAACCTCGGCGCGTCCAGTCTGACGCTGAAGAACCTGATTGCCCTCCTCGACGAACACCGTTCCATGGTACATGCGACTGAATCGGAACTGCGCGCACTTATGAGTGAAGTTAGGAAGAATCGCAGCAAGTGGGCGAGCGAAGATAAGATTGGTCAAGAAGAACTCTACGAGTCAGCGGAAAAGGTCCTGACCGAGCTTAAGGCTCATACGGAGCATTCATTTCCCTTCCTGAACCCCGTCAAGAAGAAGGACGCTCCCGACTATTACCTTGTCATCAAGCAACCTATGGACCTGGGTACCATGACCAAGAAACTCAAGCAACTTGCGTACAAATCCAAGAAAGAATTTGTGGATGACCTCAGCCAGATCTGGAAGAATTGCTTGAAGTTCAACAGCAATCCTGACCATCTCTTTCGGAAACACGCGCTTTTCATGCAAAAAGAAACAGACAAACTGGTTCCCTTGATCCCTGATATCGTCATTCGAGACCGGGCCGAAGTCGAGGCCGAGGAGAGAAGACAGCAGATCGCCAACGGAGAACTGGACGATGCAGAGGAGAGCGACGATGAACCGATCATGTCGTCGCGCGGTCGTAAGGCCCCCGCCAAGAGCGCAAAGAAAGGCGGCTCAACGTCTCGTAAAGCCCCGCCAGAGACGACTCCCATACCAGAGACCAAGCCAGTCTTGCAGTCGATCAGCTCTGTCCAAAGAGCTGAATCCGAAGTCGAAGGTAGCCAAGGCCAATCTACCCCCCCGCCGGGGATCCTGACCCCAGTCGGAGCTCACGGTTCGGGGAGTATAGCAGGGGCTGGCAGCGAGGCCATGGATATGGATCTTCCGGGACTACCGTCCCAAACCCCGGTCCCAGAGTACGAGGACGAAGAGTACAAGCTCTGGAAGCAGAAGACCAAGAAAGACCGTGCAATGCTTGCTGCCACTCGGCATAAGCTCTTCCGTGGAGACAAGCTGAATGCGGAAGAGACTGCTTTGCTCCGAAGCAAGGCAGGTATGAGGCGGTGGCAGCGTATTCAACAAGAAGCAGCTGGGAAAGATGTTGCAGAACTTGGCGTTGACGTCTCGGAACGAGATCGAACTCTCGCTGAGGGCATGGAGGTGGAAGAAGAGAGCTTGTTACCAGACTATTATGATTCACTGGCTGCCATACCTGACCTCAATCCACACTTGAGGTGGGAGCAAGACACCGAAGGTCAAGTCATTGAGCATAGCGAGGAGTACTTGAGACTTCTCCCACCGAAACAATTCGTGGCCCCTGACAGTCGACTGGTCAAGACGATAGACGCCAACATGCGACAGATGCAGGAAACTCGAAAAGTCGTTTCCAAGATTGGCGTCGTGAAACAAATGCAGCTGCAGGCCCAGACATATCAAAATCAGTTTCCGAAATTTCACCTAGACCCTTTTGTCGAAGCCGACATTCCCAACCATGTCATGTCGGACGCTGGACCAGTAATGGCACCTTATGTCTGCAAAGCTGCTTTTCAACGATCCATTGGTAAGATCTTCTTTCATGCTGGCTTCGAAGAGTTTCAACCTTCGGCACTGGATGCGGTGACAGACCTTGCTGCGGAGTTCTTCCAAAATTTGTGCTCGTCGCTGGCAAACTACAGGGAAGATTACAGAATCCCTGTTGCAGAACCACATCCTGCTGGTCAAACGCAAAAGCTTGACGCCGAATCGAAATGCCCGAACACCTTGGAAGAGGCCGTCTTGCACTCGCTGCACTCGAGTGGAATGTCTCTCGATGACCTTGACTTGTATGCTCGTGAAGACGTTGATCGGACTGCTACTCGCCTGACCATGATGCACGATCGAATGAAAGGACATCTTACTGATCTTCTTCGACCTGCTCTCACGGATGATACAGCTCGTGGTTCAGGAACATTTGAGGACGGTGGTGAGCAGTACGTTGGTGGCGACTTTGCCGGCGACCTTGATGAAGATTTCTTCGGGTTCCGGGAACTTGGTCTCGACAAAGAGTTTGGCATGGCCAGTCTTACGGTGCCATTCCATATCTTGCAGAATCGTCTTGGTATGAGCAACCAACAAGCCAGCACTACAGATCCGGCGGAGAAGATGTTTACAGAACCTCCTCGCTGGCCAAAGATCACCATCGAGAACATAGACGAACAAATTGGACTGGCTAGAGAGTGGTTTAGAAAGCGACTGCACGAGAACGGTGATCGCCCATTGGTGGAAGATCTTGAACTCCCTCTAAAGCAAAGGCCAGGCTACGGTCGGGCAAGGATACCCGCTAGCGGCAAGATCGGAGACGGTGCCGCCAAAAATGCCAGTCCGATGAAGAAGGCGGCTGCGAAAGCTGGTCCTGCCCCTAAAGCTGTAGCAGGAGCAACTCCTGGTGATAAGGGAAAGAGGAAATCCATCGTCGCTAACGGAACAGAGGATGATGCTTCCATGGTAAACGGCGTCAATCCTTCCACACCTGGTCCTGGTGGTGATGGTAGCCCAGAGAAGAAGAGACCCGTCTTGAAAGCGAAGATGTCTACTTCAGATCTCAAAGACTCTGAAAAGGGCAATACGCCAGCGACAGATACCATTGATGGCACACCAGAGGTGAATGGGCTCCCTAAAATGGATGGGGCTGTTGATGGCGACGCAAGCATGATGAGTCCGGAGAGCCTATAGCTCCATTAGCGGGTTCCTGAGCGCAGTACATATGGGAAGTCGCTGAGATGATAACAAAGGCACCTTGTAACGACGATGGCTTTTTTCATTCGATCAATGATGGGTGGGATTTGGTTGGTTTCGTTGATACCCCGGGGTTTTCAAGGGCGGGTTTAAAATGGTTATTCTCCTGGCATTGTCACTATATTGCTGCCAGGAAGGGGTTGATGACGACTCATTGCGCATCCTGCTAGCCCAAACATCTCATCGCGCAAAAGTGAATGCATTGCATGCTTTATGCATGATCTGGGGCTTGATTGCAAAGTTGATTTTGCACTTTTTATCGTGGTGGAGGTTGTACATACTTCGTCGTAACTATTTTTTGTAAGTTGCAGAAGACTTTGTTGCTCAGCTAGCAGTCGGCAATAAAGCCATTCTCTTGTAAGTAGAACGTGTGATTCAACAAGATGAAGTTCTGTATCTATGGCTTTACTGAATACTACTTTACCCTTGCATAGTTGTCACAAGTATGTTTCGAGTCCTTCTGGTCCTGCACATTTCGGGGTATCTCAGTGTTACTACCAGATATTTCTTGATGTTTTTTTTCCAGAAGTGAAAGCTGGACCACCTATTGCGATGCCGTTCATCGCCAAGCATGAAACACTGCTCGCCCCCAACTGGGACAAGGCTGAAATCCACGTGACTCGGTCTATGACTCGCCCAATTGAAGCTGGCGCATCTTGCACGGCATTCATCTCAACTCCATTGGGAATATCCTCAAGTCTCCTCCCAAACCATCTGCTCATTGTTCTCTTGAGGGAACTAGCCGATACTTCTTATACTGTTTCCCGACTTGTATTCAGATTAGAACCGGTTGACTTTCTAGCCGAACCTCAAGTTCTCGACCCTCCCCTTCGGTTTCGGCTATCTCATACTGAGCCGTGACATACCCCGTGGGAGAGCGTCCCCGAACCATACCACGTAGAACAAACGCCAAGCGAAGTTTTGGTGGTACAGCTAGGTAGCGGTGGTAGTCGGTGGTCTTAATGGGCCCTAGGCAGGAAAAGAGTAGCCTGAAGCGCAACAGGGTAAACCCAAAAAACACCTGCGCCGTGTTGCACAGAACGTCAAATCTGACTTTGCGAATCATAGCATAGCACTGGGGACGACCAGGAAATAAAGAAGCCTCGCAGGTCCCAGAGAATATCCTCCCAGACACAAAAAGAGAAAGATGTTACAAAGACACCCATCAAGAACCAATACCTCCCTTCCCCTCTTACGAACCATGAGTCGACCGTGACCGAGCCGGCGAAAGAGCAGACGGCTACACCTCCCGAAGGTCGTCCCAGTCAGATTCGCCATGTCACTCCCTTATCTTCGTCCCAATTGCAGCCCTTGTCGTCACCGCCCCAAGACACGCAGCCCCTGTCGCAGTTTGTCTATCCGCCGCGGGACGTTGAGCCCGATTTAGACGACGATGACGGTACTTGGGGGTACCTGTTCCCTTTGACCAATGCCGGCCATCGTATCACTTTGAAGAGAAGGGCGTTCTGTCCTGCACCCACGGCGCCTCTGGAAATAAGCCGGGCAACGGTCAAATCCGGCACTCGTGGAAAGGACGATTTGAAAGAAGACGAGGAAGATTACGAAGCCGACAAGCGAATGGTGGGATTCCCGGCCGGCGGGTATCTTGTCGGGAGGCACCCTGAATGTGACATGATCATTGACATTCCGACTGTATCGAATCGGCACTTCTTGATCTTCAACGAGACTCGAAACGGCGACACGATCGCCGTACTCGAAGACTTGTCGAGCAATGGAACCTTTGTGAATGAGGCACTGCTCGGACGCAACAAGAGGCGGGAACTCGAGGATGGAGACGAGATCACTATTCTCGACGAAGCAAGGTTTGTCTTTCGATATCCCAGAAACCGGGATTCGAGTGCTTTCAATTCGCGGTATCGTATTTTACAGCAGCTCGGCAAGGGTCACTTCGCGACGGTCTACATGTGCGTGGAACGGTCGTCTGGCTTCAAGTATGCAGTCAAAAAGTTCGAGAGGCGACTGGGCGAGTCGCAAAAGTCCCAACAAGAAGGTTTGCAGCAAGAAATTGCACTTTTGATGAGCGTCAGCCATCCCAACGTGCTATGCCTGAAGGAGACCTTTGACGAGCCAGACGGAGTGTACCTCATTCTCGAGCTTGCTGCCGAAGGCGAACTATTCAATTTGATCGTGACCAAGCAGAAATTGTCAGAGGCCGAGACGCGCAAGATCTTTATTCAGCTTTTCCAAGGCACGAAATACCTGCACGAGCGGAACATTGTTCACCGTGACATCAAGCCGGAGAACATCTTGCTGACAGACAAGAACCTGTCCGTCAAGCTTGCTGACTTTGGTCTCGCGAAGATTATCGGCGAGGAATCGTTCACGACTACTCTGTGCGGAACACCGAGTTGTAAGTTTCCGTCTGGCTCCGCAGAGTTCTGTTCGCTGCTGACCACCGCATGACTAGACGTGGCTCCAGAAATCCTGGAAAATACACGTCATCGCAAGTACACCAGAGCCGTCGACATTTGGTCTCTCGGAGTGGTGCTCTATATTTGTCTGTGTGGCTTCCCGCCCTTTTCCGACGAACTCTACTCCAGCGACAATCCTTACACTCTTGCCCAGCAGATCAAAATGGGCCGATTCGACTATCCTTCACCCTACTGGGACTCGATCGGCGACCCGGCTTTGGATCTTATCGACCGCATGCTGACCGTGGATGTTGCCAAGCGCATCACGGTCGACGAGTGTCTCGAGCACCCCTGGACGAGAAACGCGGGCAACATCAACCCAGCGGACTCGACCGACGGGCTCACGGGCGCCATGCACGCGCTGGACTTTTCGAAGCGCAAGATCCAGCGAGAGCGCACGTTGTTGGCAGACATCAACGACGTCAAGGTCAGCAAGGTCGTCCCCGTCGACGGTCAACACATCCCCGGGGCTTCGCAGGGGGACACCGCAAAGGTCAAAGTCTGGCAGAAGAACCCGAACGGCAAGATTGTCCGGTCGACGCCCAAGAAGAACAACAAAAGGAATGAACCTGCTGCAAAGGAGGAGGATCCTGCCGCCAACAGACAGCAAGAGGAATTCATGGGCATGGGCGGTAAAGGTGACATGCAGTTATTCGGCGATGACATATCGAGTCGATACCTTCCTGCCGAGGTTCCCGACGATAAAAATTCGACAAAGTGAGACAATTCAAAGGATCATTGAATTTGGGAAAATGAGCAAGTAGGAAGGACCGTTGGGCGATCAAACGAGCAAGCCACCCTATATTCCACTCCGTCCGGGCGACTTGGGCCGCGTGATTTGTCCAATGGCCCCGGAAGGTGGTGGGTATACCTTCGGTACCGAGCATTTGTTTTTTCGTTGTTTGTATCTTTTGGGGCTGGGCAAACGGAGGGGTGGGTGTGAAGTTTTCTCCAGCCGAAATCCTTGTATTATTTTTTGGTCGTGGTCGCGTCCCAACAAACATGTTTTCAGTTTCAGGACATGGATATGGATATTGAAGGTATATAGGCATGGAAGGGTATGGAAGTTGAGGGTTGGGAATAACAGTACGGAGTACGAAGAGAAAAAAAGAGGCACACGTCTACCTTTTGTGTACTTGTCCGATAGTAGGTACCTCCTCGCTGTATATACGCTTTACTCACGCTTACCGATCCGGAGTACATGGTTGCATTGTTCGTCATTGATGGAAGGATCAAGTTGCAAAATCGACGCTCAAAAGGGGAGAGAAGAAATATTCCCTGGAAATATGGTACACAGACACAGGAAAATGAATATCGAATATTGAACATGAATAATACGAATACGAATACGACTTGGGAGTGTCACTTCTTTAAGAGAAAGAATGGTGGTGATAAAGTTTCGTTTTGAGCTCTCAATTGGTATTGGAGATTTTGGTATCATTTTATCCCAGATCTATGCTTCTTCCATCTGGCTTTGTCGTCTAGTTGATGCGGTTTATGGATCTTCAATCATGGCTTCGTTGGGGAAACCCGTCAAGTCTTCCCTTGAAGAGACAGAAAGTCCTTCTCGCACAGGTAAATCAGTGGCCACCAACCCAAATAGTATCGGTACGGCCTCGCTCCTCTTTCACAAAAGAGAACCCAAGTCGTGGTTCCTCGTCCAGTCGTCTCCTGTAAAGGCGGAAAATAATTGTCACTCGACATTTGACTTTTTCGTGGTGGCTCGTACCCATCCATGTGTCGCGGTCAAGACCGTAGCAACACGCCGTGTAAAACGATGCCAACAAACTCTCGAGACGTTACGAGCACTTTCTGCGTCGTCAAATGTTGGTGGTGGTGACATTCCATCCTGGGTAGTCTCTGTAGCTCCTGGTTCGAATGTCCCATTTTGACGGGTCATCTGAGGGTGGTGGGTTGGTGTGGCTGGCATCTCACGCGTCCGCAGCAATGTTACCCTGTATGATATATCTCATTTCGATTTCAAGGCTGCTCGGAAAGCTGGGCTCTCTCCCTCTCTCGCGCGCTGCGGTGTGGGAAGTTGAGAAGCCGCATATGTCGATCGTGACACTCAGGTCTCAGACCCAAGAGGTAGTTGACGTGGTCGCCGCCCGACCTTGTCCAAGGCACGACTTGGTTCGAGAAAAGTCTTTAGTAAAGGTCTGAGACAATGTCGTCGAAACTCGGAAAGAAAATCGCTCATTGTGACAAGGAATATTCAGCCTGGCCTCATAAAGATTTCGTCCAACCCCTTCATATCCGAGAATGCCATCCTCTTTGCTTGAATATTTCGTCCTCGAAGAATGTGTCTGCCGCTCTTTATTCCAACATTGTGTGATTTCGGAGTAACGAGCTCTTCGCGAGGTGTGCTTGATCTTCCCCGTTTCGAATTCTTGCTCGACGTTGTCACATCGATTTCATTCTCGGAAGATGACGAGGACACAGGTTCATCAGGTGGTTGACTCAAGGGCGATTTATGCAGGGGCAAAGAGGTCGTCGCTGCCTCTTTCGTTTTGGCCTTCTTGTCGGCTTGTCGTGAAGCCTTTTCCTCCCTTCGCTTCCTCCTCTCCTCTTTTCTTTGTTTCCTTTCTTCTCTCCTCCTGCGCTTTTCATCGCCTCCGTCTTGGTCGGACACCGGTTCCGATTGTGTTTGGTCGGGCTGGTCGTCAGACTCGTCCTGCTTGTCGGCTTTTGTGGTGGTCTTGTCTTTGATGCTTCCCTCGAGGATTCCTCCTTTTACGAACACCAAGCCGCCCCACCGTCCTCGAGCGTACATTTCCAGCTTTCTATCCTCGATCTTCTTCTCTTGTTTCTTCAACTCCGCATCGCTCTTTCCGTTGAGTCTGCCGAGAAGACCTTGAAAGGCGTCAAGTCCAGTCCGCTGTCCTTCGACATCTTGGCTCTTTGTCTTCGCACCCAGTCCCAGATTATTGTTCTTGAACAGGACCCCCACACGAGCAGCAGCGAGTCGATCGGCATCATTGACACCGACGTGTATGCTTTCTCGGTTTCCGAGCGATTGACCTTCTTGCCATCCCTGCTGGGTCATAATCCGCTGGCCGAAGGAGGTCGAGGACTGGGACCATGATAGATTGCGCGGATCGTGCGAGATCTTACTGCGTCTGGTTTGAAAGTCAGCATTTCGTCTGGTAGACAACTTGGACCTGCTGAAGGGACAAGGATCCAACTGTATCCTGGAAGCAGAAAAGGCCTACCTCTTCGGCTCTGCCAGTCCCATTCTGGAAGATCTATGAAACAACGGTCGCTTGAACACAGAAAGGGAGCAAACGATAAAGACGTCTAGAAAGGAAAGGGGTTGTCGCCGCCTACGACCAACAACTTCTCAAACTGCGGGTGCGGTGTGATAAGAAATTGTGAGGCACGGCAAAAAATTTTGGCCGATAAGAAAGGCCTATACGAGTACGATCACGAGCGTACCGTAGGTATAGATTACAGTAAGTTACGGTACAGGCACCTAATGACGGTGGTTCTTCGGCTAGACCGAAGTAGGCGTTAGGCATTATGACGACTAAGCGCTGACCAAGCTTTTGCGGGCCGTACGGTACAATACGGTATTGTGATCTGCTCATTTCGGGTACATCGTCGCCGTCCTCTGGGGATAACATTTTATGTCAAGTTATGTAAAGACCATGTCGATGAGTTATCATGTAAAGACCAGTAGGTGTGTCATTACCGCGAAATCATACAGTACACTTTTCCCCGGTGGCCCTTTGAACTCAGTCATAGATCTGCCAATGCCATTACATTTTGACAAGACTTCGAAAACAGCCGAGCCTAACCACGTTGTTGCTCTGGTATCAACTTGTCCACGTAAGGACTGATATGATTTGGCGCGTACCACTGCTTCAGGTGTTCCAGTACGGCTTTCGCGTCCCCCATCCAACACGACAGCCCAACATACAAATCAGGCCTAACCAGCACCAGTCCGCCGTCCTCCTTGTCGTCATTCAAGTCGATGCCGTACCTTTCGAGGAATCCACTACAACTACCATCTTCGATCTTGGACTGATGATCGAAATCGAACTCGGGCTCGCGGGTTTTGGAGTCAAATACCTTTCGGGCTCGAACTTGTCCGGATCTGGGAACTCGCGAGAATGACGGTGGATGGTCCAAAGGTTCGCAGTTATGTTTGTACCAGCCGGAATACGATAACCGTTGTAGATGTCGTCCTGAATAGGAGCGTGTGGGATTCCACCAGGAATTGTCACCGATCGCCATCGTAGTGTCTCCTTGATGATGGGGTCGATATAAGGCAGGCAAGCTTCATCTGACCAGTCTGGGCTTCTATCGTGACCAATAACCTCGTCCAATTCATCATACGCCTTTTTCTGAGCTTCAGGGAAGACACACATGGCCAGGATACAAGACAGGATGGTGCTACTGGTGGTGTTCACGCGCGCCGATCAAGTTGGAGGTCAAGCTTGCAACCTCCGCGTCCGAAAGCCCATTTTCATTCTGTTCTTCGATAAGTCGTTTGGAAAAGCTGTCCTGTTTGCTTTGAGATCCTTCCAGGGACAAGTTATAGAGATACCGTGCTAGGAGATTGGCCTGATCTTGTATGGCTCGTGGTAAAGGATAGAGCCACTTTGGTAGCTTCGTCAGGAAAGGTAGAGACTCCATCCAAAATAGTCCGGGAATAACGACGTCTACCGCATTGGCCATGACCTCGAGAGCTTGCTTTGCCACATAGTCGTTTTTCCTGGTGATTCGACGCCCCAGCCAATGATGGAAACTACCGAGCAAGCGTACCATCTTTCAAGATGCTCCAGGTCATCACTTTGAACTCGGCAGCTTGGATATCACGGTAGGTGCGGATCGCTTGAGAGCCAACAACTGAGTGCTACAACACAGTGTTAACAGCCTGAAAGGGTGAAAGGGGCCGGGGGAAATAAGATGCTCTTTACCGTAAGTTTTCGATGGCTCCTCGACCTGTCACCGTAGACCTGGCAGACTTGGTTGTTGACTGTCCAGTTGAACACATCGCCCATGACAATGATGTGAGGCCGGGAAGAATAGATGTGTGCCCTCTTCTCCATGAGTCCAGAAGCAGACCAAGCATCGTTGGCTACGATGATCGGTCGACGTCCAAGCCAAACCGTCACAAGAGGGTCTTTGTAGTAGTTCCTCCATTCCTCGAACGCGATCCAGGGCTTGACCTTTGGTATGACCAAATGATTCCCGACGATGGGCAAAGGAAATGGGCCCGAAGAAGGGGGGCGCCTTGGGAGATTTGAGTGGGCAGTGATATCTCGAAGCTGACAGCAACACAATCAAGAGATGTAGCCCACCGTCACTCCAAGACTTGCAGCGAGAAAGGAGCGGGGTTTCTGTCAACGCAAGGAGTGCGAGGCCGAAAGAAAAAAGCTTGCAGTCAATGTGCAACAGCTAAAGTACCATGCGACCAGAGAGTGCCATGTACTCGGTGTCTCCAGAAGATTGCACAATGCATCTACCACGAAGACTGCCAGAAGGAGATCGTGAGCGGCGAGGCGATCATGGAGCTTCACGAACCCCCAGTGAGAGATGCTAGACATATGCTACGATTCTGTGATGGCCGTCCTTCATCTCCATTCCGGAACATCGAAGGCAGGAGGACATCAATGCCATTTCTTTTAAATTATACCGACCCTGCGACCAACTGTATTTCAGCATACTACAGGAAAGCACAGGATTTGGAAGGTTCACTTGTTCTTTAGGACGTCGGTTCATTAGAGATTGTATGCTTCGATGGGTGGACTCAAGCCTTTGAGAATACGTTCCTGTTTGGGAACCCCGACGAGCAATGGTTGGACGACATCATTGATGCTCAACCATGCTCAACCAGCGACTGATGGTGGCCTCCTTTTGGACAAGAACGCGAACCATATCTAATCCGTTACGCAGCAGGTTACTCGCGATCTCGCGGCCTTGTGTCGTGTACCAGACGGCCAGACTAGAGAGTGCCGCATGTACGACCAGGAGGCGTTCAGAAATTCCTTCACCCCAAAGAATGTGGTAGATTCCTGCGAACTCTACTTTGTTTGCTGGAGTCCACATTGCCCGATTCTACATCTCTCTACCTTTGATGTTGCTAAGGTTCACCCACCTCTGTTGCTTGCAGTCTTTCTGATCGGTCTGGCTTACTCCTCGGAGCTTGAGGCTTCCCTGGCTCGAGCTTACTATGATCTCGCCGAGGACTATGCTTTCAATCATCCAGATTTCAGGACGCTGTTGCAAAACGACTTGCCCTCCTGGCGGCCACCTTTTACATCACTGGAGCCTCTTCAGGCCGCGTATTTAATGGTGCTTGTACAGATGTGCACCAACAACACCGTCTCTCGACGGCGAGTTAGGAGCTCGAGATACAACGATGTAATTCGGGCAGCTCGGGGCTTGAAGCTCTTCGACAGTAAGAATGAATATTTGGATTTGGAACCAAGAGAGTGGGTTGAGTTTGACTGGCACGGATTTGTGGCAAAAGAGTCAAGGATAAGGTGAGATAACTGACGACCACCAAGGCTTACTGTTGACTTTTCTAACGTGAAGGTCTAGAGTCGCATACCTCATCTTTGGTATCGAAAGCAACTTTGCCATGTTCCACGCGCATTACCCTCGACTGGCTATCTCGGAAATGACCGGCGATCCCATGTGCAGAGAAAGCTGTTTTTCTGCCACCACTAGTGCTGCATGCGAGCAACACACAAAGCAGGAAATGAGAGCCAACGCTCTGTCACTCTCTGCGTGTGTGTCTGAACTCCTAGAGAGTCAATCAAACCTTAGAGCAAAGTCAAGGCTGGCTGAGTTGTCTCCGATGAATTTTCTTTTTTGTTCTTTGTGGTAAGCCGGTCCGATGTGACCTCTGTCTCTTCATTTCAGTGGGCTAATATGTCAGCTAGGCTTGCATTGTACTATCCATGCCTCGCGTGCAAGTGGAACAGGGAGAATACTCTATCCCGCCATGACGAGAGCTCTTGACCGTTGGATAAGAATATGGAAATCGCAGATCAGCATTTTTCCTCTCGAAGAGTGGAAGAAGATTGGGTTCATGCAGGACGCCGGGCCTGAATTTTGGCAGCTAGCATATATGTTTGTGGAAGCTGAGATTCGCGGTCTGCTCAACACAGAGCTACTGCGCAGTATGGACGAGGATAAGATGGAGAACGTCTGCCATTTACTGGAGACGTTCTGTCGAGCTTCCTGGGATGAGGCGAGGAGACCTGGGCATCGTGGTTACCGAGATCCTACCACAAGACACCTACTGGATAGCAATGAGTTCTAGCCGAGGGGCGTATGTCTCACCGATCAAAGTTGCATCGAACCCCTTGTTAACTCCTTCAGCGTCCTTGTACACGTGTGACATCGAAACTGAACGCGCCAAGAGATGTAAAGACCGCGCCAAGACGTATCGAAGCGTATCGAGACGTTGTACTCAAACCACGTGATTGTATTGTGTTGAAATACTCTGTATGCGCCGATACGCGATCTGGAATGTTGCCCTTGTTAATCTGGACCCCTGTGCAAAAAATAACAAATCCTCGGAGGATCTCAGGCAGGTATCTCAAGGTAATTTAATTACCTATGTATCTTTATCGACGGTCACACAACAGAAGCACAACCCCTCCAAAAGGCAAATATGCCCTTGCTAATTTGAATCATCGGGGAGTTTTTGGCCGGTGACAGTCGCTAGAGTCACCTCGTTCACTTGCAGATTCCTTTCTCTTTTCCTTTCTTGTCATTCATTGATTCTTAAAAGGTCGAGGGGGCTCTTGATGAACCCATTCAAACATGGATTCAAGGTCCACGCCCACCCAAGACACAGATGATGAGAAACGACCCAGTGGGGGTCTAAGGCGCGTATCGACATACGATGCCACCACGGGAACTCTTGATCATGAGCAAAATGGCCTGAGCACGCAGACAGTCGTACGAGGTGAGTGAGGTTCTCTACTCTCCCCCACCACGATGACGACATCTAGATTCACATTGTGCCTACCTTTACATAGACGATGGACGCGTCGACATCAACATCACCGAGAACTCGAAACTCACGGAACAGCTCAACCAGATCAATTTGAACCTGAACCAAATCCATGAAGAGGAACTAGGCCAACCGCCGCCGCCGTTCGTGGACCAAGAGGGCGTGCCGTTCAACCCACCACCGCCGCTCAACGTGGTGATCCAAGTCGTCGGCTCTCGAGGCGATGTCCAACCCTTTGTCGCACTCGGACAGGTGCTGAAGAACCAATACGGTCATCGTGTACGATTGGCCACCCACGGAACCTTCAAGGGGTTCGTCGAAGAACATGGCCTGGAATTCTTCGACATCGGCGGTGACCCCGCTGAGCTCATGGCCTTCATGGTCAAGAATCCGGGTCTCATACCAGGTGTGAAGTCACTCCGAGAAGGCGACGTGGGCAAACGTAGAAAGGGCATGGCCGAGATTCTCGAGGGGTGTTGGAAGTCGTGTGCCGATAGCGACGAGGTCAACGATTCCCATCACGCCAACAGCAGTGGTGGTGGCCCACGAAAAAAACCGTTTATCGCCAACGCCATCATCGCCAACCCGCCTAGCTTCGCCCATATCCATTGTGCACAGAAGCTGGGAGTACCTCTGCATCTGATGTTTACGTAAGTTTGGCATTGATCCTCCCTTTCGCGGTCCAGGCTACAAGCAAATTAGGTCGTTATGACGAGTACTGACGCGCGCGTTCTCCGACGCAGCATGCCATGGTCGCCAACTCGCGAGTTTCCACAACCCATAGCAAATATCCACACGTCCAACAACGCAAGCGGATGGGCGGCCAACGAAATGAGCTACACTCTCGTCGACATGATGACGTGGGAAGGTCTAGGCGACATCACCAACAATTTCAGAACAGAGACTCTTGGACTAGGCGCGCTGTCCCAAGCCGCGGCGGTAGACATGTTGTATAAACTGCGAATACCATACACATATTGCTGGTAAGCATGGAACCTCGAGACGGCCTTTTTGAAATCATGTATTGATTTGAACCAACTAGGTCTCCAGCACTTATCCCAAAGCCCAAAGACTGGGGTCCGCACATCACAATTTCAGGCTTCTTCTTCCTCAACATGGCATCCAACTACCGTCCGGACCCAGACCTCGCAGAGTTCCTCGCCGCGGGTCCGCCACCGGTGTACATTGGCTTCGGCTCCATCGTGGTCGACGACCCCAACGCAATGACCAAACTCATCTTTGACGCGGTGAAAAAGACTGGACAACGTGCGCTTGTCTCCAAAGGCTGGGGTGGCCTCGGTGGTGATGCCCTCGGCAAGCCCGAAGGAGTGTTCATGCTAGGTAATTGTCCCCATGACTGGCTGTTCCAGCGTGTGTCTTGTGTGGTTCATCACGGCGGCGCTGGCACCACTGCTGCCGGGATAGCCCTGGGTCGGCCGACTGTCATTGTTCCCTTTTTCGGTGACCAGCCATTCTGGGGTTCGATGGTCGCCCGCGCCGGTGCAGGTCCAACACCCATTCCGGCCAAAGAGCTCACGGCAGACCGTCTTGCCGATGCCATCTTGGAAGCGCTCAAGCCCGCGACGCTCGAACGGGCTCGGGAACTTGGCGACCGGATCAAGGAGGAGAAAGGGTGCGAAGTGGGAGCAGCAAGCTTTCATCAGCAAATGAACGTCGACGGTCTCCGATGTGCTCTGGCACCGAACCGGCCCGCCGTGTGGTTCATCAAGTCCAAAAGCCCAGTGGGCCGTGGCATCAGACTGAGCGCCTTCGCTGCCACCGTGCTCAGCAACGAGGGTCTCCTGGACATCAACCAGCTTCGTCTGTACCGGCCGTACGAGTACCCCGTGGAAGCTGGCCAATTTACGTGGGATCGCGGACCGAACCCTGTTTTGAGTCACTTTGGATCCGTGGCTTACACCGCGCTGCACCTACCGATCAACATCGCCAAGAAGTGGAGTGGCGTCGTGTACCAGCCCTACAAAGGTGCCAGGGCAGGAGGATGGAAAGGCTTCGGCAAGGGCATAGGTAAAGGCATAGGCGGTCTCCTCATGCCGGCCAGAGCCATCACCGTGAACGGCAGGAAGTTTGGCATTCGAGCCGCGTATGACGCGTTGAGGAAGCAATACGGCGACGACACTTTGAGTTTCATCCTCGCGGCGCACTTTACGCAGGGTTACGAGGACGCCAAAGCCTCGACGGAGGAAGAGCGGAGCGAGGTGGTGGCCCGATGGCATGGTATGCAGTTGCACGTGCAGCTGACACCGACTCAATCACAGAGAGCAGCTGCACCGGACGTCACACTGCTGACGAAAGCCGTACCTGAGTCGAAAGGGTAGTAGAGCTGACACCGAGTTTCTGCGTCTCGCTATTATACAGTGCCAGGAGATCCCACCCACAACCCCAAGGTGACGACTAAAACTGCCCGACTATAGTCACTTGCTGGTTGCCACGCCCCCGAAAGTCGCCTCACAAGCGCACGTCAAGGTCTACGGTGACGGCGCGAAGGTATCATCTGGCCCTGGATACCCTTCAACCTTTGGATGCGCCATATACTTCTCATGCCCTTGACGGAGAACAACGAGCTGATGACGACACACGCGACGGTCATGACGGGGAAGCCGTACGGTGCTTCCTCCAGATAATTGATCAGGTTCATTCCGAACAAGCCGGCCACCAGAGTCCCCGCTCCGACGCCGAGAGTGTGGATGGCGACCTTGGCCTCGAGAAACATGATTTGGTTCCGTTGCACGTCGAGGCTCGACCTGAATGTGTTTTCCTTCTTGCGCATGACGTCCATGGCGCCACCGGCCGACTCGACCAGGGCGTCCGCGGCGGTATGGTAGGCCTCGAGCATGTACTCGGCCTCTTGGTGGTCGTCGATCTCGTGGGAATTTCCCGCCTTTCTGTCGGAGAGGTACATGCCGGCCAGATCCTCGTCGGTGTCGAGGACCTCACGGATCGTGTCCCGCACCAGCCGGGCCTTTTGTTCGATCTTGCCCAGTTGTCGAGAATGTTCAAACAGCAGGTCGAGACCGACGGCGGCGAAACCGGACTCGAGGTTCAGTTTTTCCGCGCTCTCTTCTGCGTCTTGTTTCGCCCGGACGAGGTCCTCGCGCATGGTGGAGAGGACGGCGATCAGGGCCGCTTCCACCGCACGTAGCTCGTACGGTAATTCGGGAAGGTCGGCGGTTTCTTTGGCCGACATTCGCCTCTCAAAGTCGCCGTACATGGTACTGCTGGCGCTGTCATTTTCGGTTTCGTTTTCGTTTCCCTCTTCATCCTGAGAACCATTAGAACGAGAATCGCGTAGATTGATGAGGAGAGCCTCATCGGCCTGGATGATCATGCACAGGTCGAAGAATTGTAAAAGAATCGTGGCCGGTCGGATGAGGATGCGCGTGACCGATTCAGAGCGAAGGTCAATGTCCCGCAGATCTCGATGTCGGAGTTCGAATTGCTCTGCTATCTTGGACTTTGTGAGTTGTCTGTGCTCGGACAGCAACGAACCGTCCTTGTCGAAGTATGCACACGTCAATTCGGTGTCCCTCGCGGAGGTCAAATTAGGTTTGGACCCGTCATCACGGACGGTGGAAGATTTCCCAAGAGAATCATCATCTTTTTGTCGTAAGAATGCGGATGAATGGTGGTACGCGGAGACGACACGTTTTCTGTCTCGTGACACGATACGGTCGGGACACGTCTTGTGACGAGGTGTTTTTGGTGTCGTAAGAGATGAAGACGAAAATGTCTTGGTAGAGATGGCAGTCCAAGGATCAACATATTGAAAGCCCGACTTGATCGAGTTTGAGGCTGATGAGGAGGACCATAAGCTCGGACGTAGACGTAATGGACGAGCGGTAAATGCCGCCAGTCGCATAGCCGTGGTCACCCTCATCGGGGGTCAGGATTTGGTTTCTTTTTTTTTTTGGAAGGTTTTCCTATCCCGACATTGAACCATCTAAAAAGCTGGGGATACGATTGTGAGGTGTGTTGACATCGAACAGTTTCGATCTTTTGGAAACGATTTGGGGCAATTAATCGGTTTACATAATCAGTCCAAAGAATCAAGGCCAAGTATGGGGGCGACGTCATTGGGTTTTTTTCTCGTCTGGGCTCTTTGGAGAGGTTTCAATCGTTGACCTTTTTTTTAACCCTTTGGAGTTCAGAAAGATACCTAGGTTATCGAGATGATGAGAGTACTCCTGTACATACATACCAAGCGTGCTCTCCTTGCGTTATCGTATCATATCCAAGGTTGTACTCCGTAATCCATAGGTATGCACCTACTACGTACGGAGTATTAATGTACATATCTGGGGTCACGTACTCGTACAGTAATATATGGCTTTCGTTCGAGACACTTTGGTCATTGCCAACAGCCTTGAACATTTTCGTTTATGACTGACCGGGGTTTTTTTCCTAAAATGCGGCTCGAAATGTGAATTGCGTAGAGTTCCTTACCTAATCTTGGGGTTGTTTGTACTCTTGTCCTCGACGTACTTTCTGGTGTACGGGGCATCACTTCTACCTTTAGAGTACGAGTACGAGTACAGTACCTACACAAGTACGCACCCAAACTCCTAGGTAAAGGTTAGTGACCAGGTACGAGTTTACTCCGTATGTATCAGTTCGGCTCAACTACGGGGTGGTTACGGTGTACTTACATGCAACTCGTACTCGTACTCGTACTCGTATGTACTATACTGTACAACCTGGCTAAGCTTTTCCCACAACATCCCCAAAGGCTTAACAACGAACAAGCCTTTTTTCTTAGCTGTCTTGGGTACGACCTATGTAGGTGCCTATTGCCATTTTGTCAATAGATGATGAACGGAACCAACCACTTCCCTTCGATTTCAACAAAACCCACCACCATCATCATCATAAACCACAAACCAACCACCAGGGAACGTTTTCTTCCTAGTAGCGGAGTTACTGGCGTCTTGTTTTGACGGAGGATTCGGTTTTTCCCGTACCTTTTTTTACTCCCGTACGGAGTACATACACATCCAGCAACAAAAGCTCCCCCCCCCCCCAAGCCACTTTTGACTCCTTCTTCCCGAGCAAGGGCCACGTCAGCATGCATCCCCCATCCCAAATCGACTAGAACTTTTTGTGTGTCGCATCATCTTGTATGTACTCTCTCCGTGTCGTACTCCGTACTGTAATCTTGAACAACCTTCGATCCTCTTGAACACTATTAAAAAAACCCGAGTGTACGTACATATTAGCACAGAAGTAACGGCGCCGTTGTAGTCATGTGAACCGTACTCTGTACTACTCGTACAGTCTGTCGACGTAAAAGTGCCTATTGTACTCCGTAGTAGGTAAACGATCAGATCGTCAAGGGTTTCAAAACAGGGTTCATCTCGATTAAAAAAAGACGATGACCAGGTTTTCTAACTCGTAAGGATGGGAACAGAACAGGAAGAGGAATCAAGATCGTCAGCCCCCCTCGGGTGCTTCAGCCCTTGCCAGCCCTTCCAGCCCTACTAGCCCCCCTTCTGGTAAATGTAAGAGTAGTACGGAGTACGGAGTACTCGTGTCTGCATCCTCTTATTACTCCTACACCGTACTTCTTTCTCCTTTCTTCGTTTCTCACCTCATCACAATACTCCAAAAAATCATACCATCAATCAATCGTTCGCTTCAAATCGTCCTGTTGCGATCCGACTCTCTGTCTCTCTCATCACATTCCACCACACCACCACACCACCACAACCACCACAACCACCACCGGAACGACGATACTACACACAATGGACTCTCAAACCGAAAACAACCAATCCACCAGACCGGTCGAAATGACCACCGACAATGTCGTGTCTGAGCAGCCTGTGAGTTGTTTTGACTGTCCTTTTGGAGGAATTTTCAAACCGACCCCCTTCATTGCTCTCGTCCTTCTCGTCTGCCCCCACTGTCCTTTCCTCGACCATCACTTTTGCGTGGTCTGTACTTACTGACCCCTCCTTCTCCACTAGACCGCCGCTCCTTCAATGAACCCGACTCAGCCACCTACCAAGCTCGGTCTCCGAGGTGGTGGTGAAGGTGAAGATGTCTGCTGTGGCCTGTGAGTTTTGAAAATTCTTGTCCCACCTTTCACCACGCTCTCTTTCCGAGACGACGACGAAGAAAACTAACCTCTGTGTGCCATTTCCAGGTGTGCCGGCCTCTTGTGCTTTGAATGCTGCAAGGACTGCTGCTAAATTGACCGATACCCACATCAAGTCCAAGGAACCACGAGTGTTGCAAAGAGGAGGGGGGTGGTTGTGTGTGGTTAGCAGTATTCGGACAAAGGTGCTCGCAAGGGAGAACGAGATATACCCAGACATGGACAAGTCAAATGGTGGCAAATACCCCAAAGATACAGTAGCATTCCATGTACCGAGTCAGATCAAGTTGTAGGGCAATCAATCTTCACACGTACGGAGTAACGAGTGACAATAGCACGACAACTCGAGAAACATTAGTTGTATTCCATGTCTCTGATACCCCGGAGAGAAAGCGTGTTTCAAGTGATTGAACCTGTCCATGTTCTTGTCCATCTCAAGCCTACGCAGGCCTTGAAGTGCTTATTGTCTGTCTGTCATCGATGCTGTATTGGGGTATTCACAAAAATCACAATCCACCCTCGAAATCTCCATGCCGAATATTAATATCATAGTACTCCGTAGTCCAGGTTCCCATTTCGTCTCGACACCACCAAAGCCAGATCAACCGAGCGATGTAGTAGAATTGTTATTCTTGTACACTCCACCGTGAACCGCGGCAGTAATTCCCACTGCGATACCCACCATGGCACCAATAATGACCATGGCAATCAGGACCTTGACCAGCAACCGTTGACGTTTAGGCATCTGTTTCAACCATCCACAACCACGTTGTTTCGGCCTTGTCAGGCATTGTTTCTTTGGTGTTTGCCAGAACTTGAGTCTTCCGCCCGCCACGTCATTCTGTGCATCTCGTTTCTCTTGCGTGACCGTGGGGGTTAGGTTGGGAGTGCCGGTGCCGGTGCCAGTGCCAGCTTCGAGGTCTCGGAGAGTGACTTGAGGAAAGGACTTGCGGTTAACGTCAAAGGACGGTCGAGGCGAGTCGTGGTTGTACAAGTAGAAAGGGGACGTGATTTTGGCATTGACACAAGGATCGTAATCGCTTGATGCTTCTTTCGGTTCGGTCGACGGAGGAGATGCTGACTTGCGTTCGTCGAGTTCGGTGCCCTCATCCATCTTCTTGTCTCCCAGGGGATTCATGGTGTGTATGCCTTTGGCTGTGCGTTGAGGATACTCTGTAGGAGGGTGATAGAGATACTTTTGTCTGCGCCAGACGAGATGTGCACTAGAAAGACTCTTTTTGGCCAGGAAAGGACTGATGCTTTTTGGGATTTGGAGGGCTTAAAAGTTCATTTTGATGGGTGGTGGTGGGTTTGTTGATGAAATGAACCGAGCAACAAATGTTTTCTGAAAGTGAGTGAAGTCGTCAAGGACCCGAAGATGTTGACTGAAGAGTTCGTAGCGAGTATCGAGTCAGAAGTGGTGAATTTATTCACATGGAGGAGAGAGTATGAGGAAGGCTGGCTGATGATTCACTTGGTCGTGACTGCGATTTGGTAGTGTTTGGTAGTGTGTGTTACTCCGTACCACAAATACTCTTTGGAAAGAAGGAGGGGGGAGTCGTTGTGTCAGTATGTTGTTTGATGAGGTTGCAGAACAAGAAACAGGTTCAAATCAAGTGGTAGGTATGCAGAACAGAACTCAAGGTCAACGGGAGCACAGAGTACGAGTTCCTGGGATGTCATGATGGGAGAGGTATGGAGGACGAATCCGGGTCCGCAGTACTGAAAGATCCATGTCCTTACAGTACGGAGTACGAGTCAGGTAACGGTAACTGTAATATTGTCTCGTAGTGTCTCAATAGCCAAAGAGTCAAATGTTCGGTTGACTGTGATGGTGATGGGAAAAGTAATCAAACATGGCCCAGGGCTTTTTTGATGAAGCTCGACCGGGGTGCATGTGGAACAAGGGGCGAACGAGATCATCACATCCACTCATCCACATATGTACATACTGTGCTGCACCAACCTGGTTTTTTGTTGGCGTGGCCTACCGAACACTAGCCACCCCTGGAGGTTGGCGGAGTACAAGGCTGGGGTATTCGTTGGAAGGGGCTTCTAGGGGGCCCATTAGGCTAATGCGCGCCTATGGAGAGCTTGACGCAAACCCCTACAGTACGAGTATGTAATTACAGATAGACTGCGCTTCTCGAATCACCTGTACGGATACAGAGTTACAGAGTACGGACAGATGTGAACTTTTTCTTCAAACATCTCCTTCGTAGAGAATTCCTGCTTCACCTGCACGGAGAATCTTGTTTCTTGTGGTCTCACTTCGGTCAGGAATAGTGAACTGTCAGAACCCACTGGGTGCGGATGGTAAAGTGCCCGGGTGGTGTGTCACTCTCTTCGGCACTCGTATGTGGTTCGCCTCTGTGGATCTGGTGTCGACATCTTGTTCCTGGCTAATTCCACTTTTGGGAGAAGGTAGCAAGACCGGTGGGAATGGTGGCCCTGACCTCAGCTGCTCACTCATCCACTCAATTTCTACTCAGTACCAGTACCCTACTGTAGGGTTTTATTTCATCGTGCGACCCATTTCACGAGCACCACCCAGAAGATTACTCTGGCCGATGTGTACCATACGAGAACGAGATCCAAGATATTAGAGTATTTTCCATTCCAAGTCATTCATCCCAGTCAATACTTCTGCATACGGAGTATCCGTATATCTTATTAAACTGAAAAAAGCCAATACAGATCTTCAACCTCTGACAGTACCACCTGCAAGGTTCTTTCTATGACTCTCTGAAGAAGTCCTCCCGAACGATACGGCTCTTGTCGCACATGCTCCGGAAAATGCCATTCGCTTCAAACAGGTTGATCGGGGAATCAAGTTCGGCAATTCGTCCTTGGTCCATCACACAGATTCGATCGTAATTGATAATAGTCTTCAGACGATGGGCAATACAGAGAAGAGTCTTGCCCGCAAACCCCGTTCTCATGGTCCGTTGAATCTTCTCATCTGTTTCAAAATCGACCGAGGATGTAGCTTCGTCACAAACAATGATCTGAGAGTTTCGCACCAGAGCCCGCGCAAGAGCCATCAACTGTCTTTGACCGAGAGAGAAGTTCAATCCTTCTTCTTCCACCGTACTGTCGAGGTGGATGCGGTTTGATCCTGATGTCTGCTCGTTGACATTGGAGGTCGAAGTCACAGCTGTCTCGGCTGTATGAGGACGATCCTCTTTTTCGTTGGTCGTTTCCTCGCCAACAAGGTCAGCTTTGCGTAAAGCAGCCCACAGATCAAGATCTGTATGTTCATTGAAAGGGTCCAGGTTAGATCTGACCGTGCCGCGGAACAGGGTCGGATCTTGAGGAATGATGGACAGTCGTGATCGTAAATCGTACAGGCCCACAGTCGAAATATCAATATCGTCGATTTTGATTTGACCGCTCGTAAGTTCTGTCAGCCGGAAAAGGGCAGACATGATGGATGATTTTCCGGCGCCAGTTCTACCGACGATGCCAATTCTTTCTCCTCCTCGAACCTGGAAATCCAACCCCTTGAGCACAAGCGGAAGTTCCGGTCGATATCGCATTTCTACCTTGTTGAAGCTGATAGCTCCTGCCGGTGGCCACGAATCCGGAACATCTCGAAGTTTGAGAGGCGCTTCCTGACCAAGCTCAGACCCGTAATAGTGCAGCCGCTCCGTTGCGTTCATATTGTTCTCGACCTCTGCTAGCTGTCGTACTGTGAACTGGATCATTTGCACAATGGCCAAAATGTAGGACAAAACCAAACCCGCTATGCTCGGATTGACGTTGAAGCGATCGGTCACGACCAAAATACCGGTGACAAAGACAAGAACATTTCCAATGGCGTCCAATCGCGTAGATAACCAACGTTGATTCGCAAAGGTCAGGTAGTATGCAGAGTCCATATCATCAATAGCTTCCCGAATGCGTGATGTAAAATAGTTTTGCAGGCCGTATGCTCGAATAGATGCCGACCCGGAAATAGACTCTGAAAATCGTGCAAACACAGTAGATCTCAGGACCGCCTCGTGCCTCTTGATTTCTCGTGCCGATGCTCGGTAATAGCTGGAAGCAAACAAGAAGAGTAAAAATAGTGGCCCCAAGGCCACCGCAAAATAGTGGAAATAAGCAATGATCAGAGCGAAAACCGAAGTGATCATGGCCAATGTCAAGAAGTACATCCTCATAGCATCTGTGAGATTGTTGTCCATCGAATCAACATCCTTGGAGAATCGGTTGGTTATGCGCCCTAGAGGTGTGGTATCGAAGAAGGACATGGGAGCCCGCAAGACTCGGGTCATGGCTTTTTGCAGCAATGCTTTGCTGGCGTTTGTTCCACTGGTGGACAGAATCGTGGCGAAAATGAACATGAGAATGGCTTGAGAAAAGCCTAGACCGGCATAGACACCAATGTATGCTCCTTCAGAGAATCCGAACTTGTCACTAGTCCACCAACTAAGCCACAGACTAGTGACAATGTTGGAACCCTGGGACATGATCAATGAGATCGCGATCAGCGGCCACAATATTGGTGAGCCGGATGCTTTGATATACGCTTTCCATACACCCCAACTGACCGAACTCACTGACCGCTCCTCTTGCTGCATGAGAGCCTTTCCTTTCTTAAGCTTCTTTTCTGGCTTCTTCTCGCCCTCTTCTTCATCTTCAGCTTTCGCGACCTGGGTTTCTTCCTGGGCAGTCGTGGCCATCAATTTCTGAAAGTCAACGCTGTGGGCCATCAAGTTGTCGAAGGTGTCGATAGCCTGGATATGGCCGTCTTCCATCCAAATGATTCTGTCGCACCGAGACAAGACATGCAGCTGATGGGTGGCAAGAATACGACACTTATTTTTCATCAAGCCGCAGATTGCTTCGTCCATGATGTGGCGTCCGACGTGCGCGTCGACAGCAGACAAAGGATCATCCATGAGAACGATGTCAGCGTCAAAGTAGATTGCTCGAGCAATGTTCAGTCGCTGCTTTTGACCACCCGATAAAGTGATACCACGTTCTCCGATCTCAGTCTGATCACCAGCAGGGAGAATATCCAGATCAGGACGCAGAGCGCAGGCGTCAATAACATCTCTGTACCATCTGGACTTGTACGGTTTACCGAACAAAATATTGTCTTTCAACGTTGCATTCTGGATCCAGGCATATTGCGGGCAGAAGGCTCGCGTTGAGGCCATTTTGACTTTGCCACCCGTCTTCCTCATGTCACCTGCTAATGCGGCAAGCAGTGATGTCTTACCAGAACCCACGGTGCCAATAACAGCCAGTAGTTCGTTTCTGCCAACCGTAAAGTCCATATTTTGCAACTTGAACGGCTCGACTTCCGTCGTCTCGCTTGCAATGTCCTCGTTGGATGCAAGAGGTGATTTCTTGCTCCTTTTCGCGGCCTTTGCAGCCTTCTTTTCGGCCTTCTTCCTTTCCTTGGCGGCCTTTTTCGCAGCCACAAGTTGGCCTTTTGTTTGGAAAGTACCAGGGCCTTCTTTGTCTTGAGACGCCGTGCGTTCCCATGTAAATGAGGCATGATCGACTTCCACCGCATGGTCCAGGTTTTCATCCCATATGACCTGGTCCTTTTGTTCTTCGGAGAGGAGGAATTCCTGAATACGCTGCAGAGAATTCTGTGCGTCGGTGACTTGACCTAATACCAACGGCAGCAGATTGAGGGGCATCCGCAATGAGTTGAAGAGAGCCAGGGAGGAAAACACTCGGGCCGGGGCCAAGCTGTGGTTAGATAGTGAGTATGTGATGAAAGACAGCATCGATGCAAAGACGGGCATGGACATGGCAACGGCGTTGATAGCGTTTCTGATGGATAACAATATCTGTATAGCCCTGATTTCTCTTTTGCGAAGTTCTTTGAGACGATCAAGGAAGCTTGTTTCCCAACCGAAGAACTTTACGAACCGCACTGAGCCCAGAATTTCTTGTGTGAGTGTCACACGCTGGTCAGTCACTTTGTTGATTTTCTTTCGGCGCATCAGCAACGACTTTATTGCCTTGGTCAATAACGGGAGCATGATGATCAGCAAAGCATAACCTGCAAGGGCACTGTATCCAATGTTCACGCAGAGAACCACGAGGACAATGATGACTTGGATTGGGGAGGTCCACATGATATGGAACAAACCGGAAGCCTGGTCAACACGATAGGTATCAACACTCATCAAGTTGACGATCTTCCCGTTGTTCCAACCTGTGCCATCCCCGGCGACTCCAGTCATTTTGTCAGGAGTTACCTTCGGACCTCCCTTTGGATGCAGCTTCTTCGAGAGCACACGAGAAAGCAGCGGGCGGTCCCTGATCTTCTCGCTCTGAGCTTCGTCATTCTCATCGGGGATTTCTTCGTCTGTCAGAGCTTTGCCACCGGCTTTTGCGCGGCCAGAGATGACCAGAGATTTCTCGAAGATAGCGTTGATGAGGACAGCCCTGCACTCTCCTCCAACCATCATACCACGGTAGATGAAATGATTGGTTGATACCGATTGACAAATCTGCATAAAAGTGATACCGAGCACAAGACCTACACCTCGGCCTATGCTTGGAGCAGGTTGGCCTGTCTTTTGTGCGACCCAAGCGTCCGAAGCAAACTGAATGAGATATCTGGTTGTGAAGGGAGAGAAGACTTGGAACAAGGCCGAGAACAGGGCACATGTTCCGCCCAAAATGAATTCGCCACGGAAAGTATCGAAGAGCGCCCAGAGCAGGGGATTTCTCTCCCCTCGTGCGGTCCGCCTCTTGAAGGACGTCATGAGGAGATCAATCATAGTCGCAGAGCTTCGGTCGGGATTGACAAGCCAGATATCGTTAACTTCGATTGGCCGCTTGTACCCGGTAGTCATGAGAGGGTTCATCCATTGGAAAGTCAACAGGCTGAGAAAGCTGGCGTTGTATTCCCGGCAAACTGTCCGCTCTTCAGGCACTGGTGGAGGCGTACCACGGAGCGGATTTATTCTGTGGTACCATCGTCGTTTTTCCGGTTCCCTCGACTTGACAGGAACAGCGGTACTAGCTTCGGTCGCAGTGGTGGCCACAGACTCAATCTTTTCCAGACGTGTGCTGTCCTCGCTCTTACCACGACCAACTCTTTTTAAGTCTCGAGGAACCTCCAGAAACTGTGAGGGCTCGTCTCTCTTCTCCAGGTCTTGCTCCTCAACGTTCTCTTGCGACAGGGCGCGACCGAGGTCATCGCCCTCATCGCGGCGCGCCATTGCGACGGTTGACTTCTGTTTCTATTGTAGAGAGAGTATGGGAGGAGGAGGGGAAGGGTGAGTGTCGGTTGAAGAGTCCATCACAATGATGGGAATAGCCTTGAACGGGAAAAGACCCCATATGTAGGTTATGACTCTCTGAGGCAAAACACAGTCGGAATGGAATGCAACCGGCAGTGGACGAGCCCAGGATTAGGCGCATACATCTCGGATACTGTCGTAATAGAAAATATCCTGGACATTTTGATGTTTACGGCAAAGCGGCACAGCAAAGCGAGGTGACAGAGTCAACGAGGACCCCCGCAAGTGGATGAGAGAAAACAATTGCCGGTGTCTGGATTGGCTGGAAAGGGCTTTTCTTGTAGCCTAGCGAACCGCCATCGAGCCTCCCTGCGGAATCTTCATCTGCACAATTCATGCGAGACAGAAGCTTGGTGCGCAACACTTGCCCCTAAGAGGCTTAACTGGAGCCGAGCTTAGCAATCATCCCAAGCCATTCAACACATACCGGGGGATCATAGGTAGGTACTCTGGACCCCCTAATAGGCACTCGTACGAGTGCTCGTAGGCTCAACAGGCATCAGCCCGGCCGACGTTGTTTGCCCGTGGTCCTAAACTACGGGTCAACGCCTGGAACTACGATCTTTTTGTCCATGGACTTTTTTTGACAATAGAACCACCACTCCCCACATTCACTCCCACCGATACGAGAATTCTTCAGCGTTAATTCAGATCTACTTCAACATGAAAACCCAGGCCTGCTGTATGAATAAGAGTACAGATAATCAACGCCTGGTTCAGCATTGACCTCAACTACCGCCATCATCACATATCCCTGTCCTGGTCAGTGATGCAGCCATCAGTTTCTGGCCAACACATGACAGTCACCTGGTAGGCCTCCAAAAACCGCCATCTTGTTCGTACTACGGAGATAAATGCTCTACTGACCGGCTGATGTACAACCCGGCCACCATTGACCCCACCACTATTGTTGTCTCTTTTATTTTGTTAGTCTTCTGCTCCTCCCCGGCACATGATGAACAGGTTTTCGAGGCTCAAAGGCTCCAACAAGTATAGCTGAGGGCGGTGAATCCATTCATCATTTTAGGAAATCCGTCTTACCCCAAGCAATTCCCCGTGCACGATTGCACTATCACGAATATCCACACGCTTGTAGAACTACAGTTCAAGGGTATCTATTGGTGGACTGAGCCCTAGATTTCGGCGCCGAAAGCGAGCTGAGGAGCCAGTTCAACCAGACACTTGGGCACCAGGATGTCGCTAATATCAAATGCATATGCAATGTTGAACCGTGAACTCATTTGAGTTCTCACTCAGGACTTTGTGGCAAGATGATATTGGTCTTTTGACTAATCACGGCTTTAAGCTATGTCCTTGCCGGGTACGAATGCTGAGACAGGTATGCAGTGCGAGATGAAAGGTATGACTTTTACTATTACCTGATGGCGGTGTAAGGCTGGGCCGTTCACAAATTTGTCGAGGCGGCGACCTCTTGGATCAGGTCGGCACTCCTTCTCAGCTCCTTGATTTTCATGTCAATTGCCTTCCAGCTGTCCGGTCCAAGAATGACCCTGAGTATTTTCTCCTTCTCAATGAGCTCCCCTGCAGCCCCTTTCCCAGTCGCAGCCTCGAACATGACCATGGCAGCCTTTTCGGGGGAGCCCATGGCTGTTCCGATATATTTGTTCACCTGAATCAGCCTCTGATTAACCACATGCTCTCCTGCGTATGCTTCCGAAGGCTCGATGTATTTGGCAGCGCTGGGGTTGGCGAAACCGGTCCTGAATGCGCCAGGTTCGATAATAAGGACTCGAATACCGAATGCCGCAACCTCTGCTCTGCAAGCCTCGGACATGGCTTCCAAGGCGAATTTGCTTGCTGCATAGACGCCACAAGCATGACTTGCAACAAAGCCTTGTGTACTCGACACATTCATGATCATGCCAGATCTGCGCTTTCTCATTCCAGGCAAGACAGCCTGCATAATCCTTACAGGACCCAGGAAGTTTGTCCGCATCTGCAATACGATATCTGCATCAGGCAGATCTTCGACTGCGCCCAATACACAAAATGCAGCATTGTTGACCAGCACATCGATCCGACCGAAGAATGATTCTGCTTGTCGAACGATCTCCTTGATCTGTTGGTCTGTTTGAGTTGTATCGAGAGCTAGCCATTTACCACCTTGGCTCTCTACTTCTTGGACGAGATCTGGGGTCTTCGGTGGACTGCGCGATGTGGCTATGACCCTGTGGCCTTGCGAGAGGGCATATCGTGTCAGAGCCAGCCCTAAGCCGGCACTAGATCCCGTGATGAGCCAGACAGGCTGTCCAGCGTTCTCCGACATGTTGGAGGTTCGACAGTTTCTTGCTTGTTTGAAGACAAATCTGGTGCTGAAGCGAGAACAAGGTGGTTCATGATCTTTTTAGATCGTTTCAAGAGGCTGAGGACATGTAGTTTCTTATGTTCGCATACCAGTGTCTCCTTTCTTCGAGAATGATTCTAAGCTCCCACGGAACCCCGGATATAGCGACTATTTCCGGATGATCCCTTATGATACTATGGAAGTATCTTTGTCTTGGAACAATGGCCTACAATGTTTGGTATCATTTTGGTGGCCCCCTGCGACCTGCTGACTTAGTACGAGTCGGGCGATATGGATATAACATGTTGGCTTCACGTGCGGGGAATTCGCTGCCTCAGTGATATGATGAAGCGGCCTTTGAACTCTAGCCTTGTCCGTAGGTCCAACATCTTCTGAAAATATTCACAGACACAAAGATTCAGGCACCTTACCGATGCTAACCCTGCGATGCTAGACAACGCTGGCGGATGTCCTACGATGGTCTGTGGAGATAGTGGACTTCTGGAAGTGGCGATCCTCATAACTGGGAGTCTAGATCACGCATAACAGGACTGAATGGCACATCTAAAGTCCTGTTATTGAATTGATGGTCTCATCTTTGCTTCACACAAAATGGACAACGCGTACGGAGTAGTGCAGCAAAGAATCCCTTTGCCAGCGAAAATCAGTCGGGATTCGGAAGTAGATCGGAAGAAGACCTGTAGGCTTGGCGCTATCTACGATTATTTGCGACTGACTTGATTGGTCCCGAGGTTGAGTAGAGGTCATTGACTGTTTGCCGCTTCCTGTTGCTCTCACTCGTCTTCACTCCTCAATTCCTGTGCTCGCCATCATTTCTACTCTCCACTCCCGTTTGCTGAGGCCTCTATTCTCAGCAGCTTGACAAGAAGTTCGTAATGGCAGCTCTTAGGACAGCTTCGCGCCTGGTCGCGCCCTCTCGATCCATCTTCCGATCCTCCCTGGCTGCGAGATCCTATGCGACCGTTACCGAGAGCTCAACTTACGATACCTCTGCAAGCCGACCTCCTACCCCTGCCTCTCAGACTACGACTGCCGAGGAACCTGCCCCGAGCAAGAGTGCGAAGATCAAGACTTTCCACATCTACCGATGGAACCCAGACGAGCCAACCTCCAAACCTCGGATGCAGTCCTACACGTTAGATCTGAACAAGACCGGCCCTATGATGTTGGATGCTTTGATCAGAATCAAAAATGAAGTTGATCCTACCCTGACTTTTCGCCGAAGCTGCCGAGAGGGTATATGCGGCAGCTGCGCCATGAACATCGATGGAGTCAACACACTGGCCTGCCTCTGTAAGATTTTGAGTAACTTTGGTAATGAATGAGCCGTTGAGCTGACGCACTTGCCAGGCCGAATCCCTACAGACACTGCAAAGGAGTCACGGATCTATCCCCTGCCCCACACCTATGTGGTAAAGGATCTTGTGCCAGATTTGACCCAATTCTACAAGCAATACAAGTCCATCAAGCCGTATCTCCAGAGAGATACCAAGTCTCCAGACGTAGGTTTATCAAAGCCATTGTTAGACACTAAGCTGACACGGTGTAGGGCAAGGAGAACAGGCAGTCTAGGGAGGAGAGAAAGAAATTGGATGGTCTATACGAGTGCATCCTGTGCGCATGCTGCTCGACCTCTTGCCCTTCGTACTGGTGGAACAGCGATCAATATCTCGGACCTGCTATTCTGCTGCAATCATACAGATGGCTCGCCGATTCGCGTGACCAAAGAAAGGCGGAACGAAAGGAAGCTCTAGACAACAGCATGAGCTTGTACAGATGCCACACCATCTTGAACTGTTCGAGGACATGCCCCAAGGGATTGAATCCTGCGAAGGCGATTGCAGAGATCAAAAAGATGATGGCCACATAGTGGTGACCATTTAGGCCGGGGGGGATTTCATAGGATGATATGGATTGAGAGTGCTTGATTGACATTTTTACTTGCGCCTTCTAGTGCCACGAGCGAACTCGCTTTGTATACAATACATATGGTCATGATTCATTTCTATACGTTTTCAGAGTCTGATATATCAATTATATGGATACCATTCAATTGGCTGCTCCGGCAATCCGATAGTATTGTGAAAATACACTAGAACGCCTCGGCCCAAATTTGGTCCGGATGTTGTGCCCAATCTGATTAAAAATACAAACAATCGCAATGGTACTCAAGTATCACGCCTTCATACCTCCCTGCAATCTATCTACATGTTAATCACCTAGACATATAAAATGGAAGCTCCCGGCGAAGCATGTGGTGCACCTCTCCCGTGTTTGCGACAATGGTACGACTCGATCAACATCTTTCCTCGTCGACGTGCCCATTATGCGGAGCAAGTACCAGTCACTTCGCTCGAGAGACAACGCCAGTCTCTTAACGACCAACCCCTCGAGACTCCTCTATCTGCGGCCCAGGCATTGAAGAAGCCCAATGTATCCTCTGTCCTGTATCTGGGCTATGGCTCCAACCTTTGCGCGGAGACATTTCAGGGCAAACGAAACATCAAGCCTTTGTCGCAGGTCAACGTAGTTGTACCTAGCCTGTCGTTGTCCTTTGACTTGCCTGGGGTCCCGTACTCTGAACCCTGCTTTGGCAATGTCCGCCTACGAGATGCCTCTGCAGCTGAATTAGCTCATCAATATTGGAGGAGTCAAGATTACCACAAGGATCACTGGAAGAAAGGTCTCGTTGGGGTCGTATATGAAGTGACAACGGAGGACTTCGCGAACATCATTGCGACTGAGGGCGGTGGCTCGGGCTATAAAGATGTCTTGGTCGACTGCTACGCGTTGAATGGTGAACCCACGGAGGATGTGCCTTGGAAGCCTGAAGGCCAGTCCTTCAAAGCGCACACCCTCTTTGCTCCTGCAGATGTAGCCAGGCCAGATCATTCATATGCCCAACCCAGTCCCAGATATCTCAAGCTCATCACCGACGGCGCTTCTGAACATGCTTTACCGTTGGAATACCAGGCTTTTCTCCATCAGATTCGAACTTATCATTTGACCACCGCAAAACAGCAGCTGGGTTCCTACATTTTCCTCACCATCTGGTCTCCATTCTTCCTATTCATGTTCGGTGGTGCTTCAATATTTCTCCGGCCAGATGGCACATATCCCAAATGGCTAGCAACATTTCTTAGAGCGATGTTCACGGCAGTCTGGGCAAGCTATGATAACTTTTTCAAACCGACTTTTGGAGACGGTGAAAGAACGATAGAGGATGACAACGACGATGATGATGACCTGGATGATGTTAGAGATGAAAAGGCGCCGTTGATTGAACCTGTAAATCAACCCAAGTATGGTTCGGTTGAAGTAGTCGAGCGGTTAGTTTGATTGTGGATGGCAAAAACAAGACATGCAAGAACATTCCCTGCATTGCCTCCCAACTTCCTTACCATTGAACCATGTCTCTCGCACCACCATCAGCGATCCGACATTCCCATCTAATTGCCCATACCAGATTGCATTTCGCGTGGCACTGACAACTCACCCGGTGACATTCATTGTGTGATGGGATCCTCGCTTCCTCTACAACAAGCCACCACTTGTAAAACGGTGGTACCTTATCATTCTGCTTCACCTCTTCCAGCACCTTTCAAAAGGAGGAGAAAATGTCGTCCCTGAAGGAGAATGAGGATCAGCAATCCTCACCTAACACAGTCTTTACAACGCTCGTTCAATATCTCGAACAGAGCTTTCGGCAGCATGGTGTGGTGAAGTGAGTGCTGCCTTTGCGTGGTACAACGACGGTCATTGATGTTTGTCACAGGATTCCAATTGAGATTGTTCTGCCTTTCCGGAAGACGTCCCTCACAGACGCAAACTTCCCTCTCCGTGACCTACACAAGGTCCTCGAAAATGGTCGCCCCAAGAACATTCTTCGTCTTGCCCCGGTCTCCCTTTGCACTATTGCTTCGATTGTCCTCCAGGTCCCTTACTCCCTTGTGCAATTAAAGCTCATCCACCTTCTCATGGTATGGTTATACCTTCTCCACAACCGCAAGACAATGTTAATTCCATATGCAGGATCTTCTACGGCAACACAGGAATGAGGCTGCGTTCTCTGCGGTCCTGACACGAGCGCGTGCAACGTCCGTCACACCGGACGATGTCAAAACCCAGAAAGATCTCATTTGCAAGAACATGGCAACCTGTGTTCTTCGCCTCCTCACAAGTACCGACAAGAATCAGCTGCTGCGTTATACGGTAGGGACGTCCTGGTTCCAATCGCAATAGTTCGTTAAGTAATTGCTCTAGATGGCCCAACTCCTTGCTGTCGTACTGTACACAAGTCCGACTGCTAGGGAGAGCAATGCTTCAGCCCCTGAATGGTAGGGTACCTTTAGCCACAAATTCATCTTCCGCTAACACAAGTAGGCGTGCATTGGCATCTTTGATCGAAACAGATGAGAACTGCTTGCTGCGCGTACTGACCGCGAATGTTGTACGGCAAATGTCATGTACAAAAATGGAAAGCGCACTTTTCAAGAAATCTTTGGGATCATTAAGGGATATTGACGCATTCCCCGTATCCGAACAAGCAGATTCCGACTGGCTGAACCGCATAATGGAATACGTGAACATCTCCAAGGAAAGATATTCGCTGTCTAGAGAGTAAGGCGCCATCGTCCTGGTGTCAGTGACATCTGCTAACCAAAACAGAAGAGAGCGTCTTTACAGAGTAAAGCGCTTTGAGTGCCAACAAGATGGACCTCAAGCAGCGGCTGACCGCCCTGTCCTTATTGCCGGTGTCTCGAGCGATATCACCCTCATCATGCCCGAAAACCCTGATGCACCAACGATGTTCTCAATACCGATCATGGACTGTCTTTCGGTGAACAGAATATTCTCAGAATCGGAGCCTTACGCCATCGAACTCAAGTTCCCAGACAATGTTGGCTACAGAATCAAGAATGGAACCAAGAATGCTATGGACAACATCACAATTGTTCTTCAAGATGACGAAGCTGCAGACTTTCTACTACGAGAGATTCAGGACCGACAAGTCTTTGCTGACACATCTATTCATGAGGCTGAATCCACGAGTAGGAAGAATGAGAACCGAGTATCGATCTCGGCCACATTCGTGGACTTGCATGTGGACACTTCTGAGGCTTCGGCAGACGAGCATGACAAACTTGAAACCTTTTGTACTGAGGCACAGTCATCGGAATTTGAAATCTCATCGCCTCTTGAAACCCTATCTCAACGGAGCCTACAGCAGAAGGCGAGACCAGCGTCACGACCTGAACGGAAGGGGATAGATGCTTCAGCAGAAACGGGCGCCGAAAACATTGGCAGTAAAGCAGCTCGCAGGCAAGTTGCAGGTTCCAACTCTGTCCACCAACCTTCTGAACACGATTCACAATCGAGAATGCTTGAACCGGATACGAAAGGTGCCATAAGGCAGTCCGGGAAGCCATCGCGACGAAAGAAGGGCTCATCAAGCAATAAGGAGGTAACATCTCAGCGGGCACCAAGTTCCAAATTGCCTGAGCACGGGCAAGCACCCTCAGATCAATCTCCGCTAAACTTAGATACGACTGAAGCTAATGAGCAAGCCAATGTCAAGAAAACACGTAGCATGCCCTCTGTAGCGCCTATTCCCAGCGACAAACCACTCGTGGTGACTCAGAAGTTGAAGTCCAAGACACGGAATCTGCACAACAAAGTTCCTCACAAGTTCACACAAACTCCAGCTATAATGGGCTTCCAGGACGGCAATATATCTCAGGTTTCTCCTCCCGCAGCTCCAACGAAGCCAGCACTCAAAAAGAGGTCGTTAAAACAATCAATCACGGGTTGCAAACTTTCTCAGGCTCCAGTTCTATCAGGAGCTCTTCCCAATGAGTTCGATCTCCCGTCTGTCGATCAGGAGTCAGAACACTCCAAGAAAAGAGTCAAAATCAAGAGCTCAAAACAACCTACTAGTTTCTCAGAGGCTGCAGGTACCGCAGGAAAAAGGACTGGAACTCCCAAGGTTTCTAACTCTCGGAACTTGGCGGAGGGGGTCAAAGGGCGGAAGAAGGTAGGAAAATCAACCAACAAGAAGGAGCCTAAGACCGCAGCTTCCAAGCGGACCAGGCGCGCGATCAAAAGTCAAGCATATGTCGAATCTAGTGACAGCCAGAGTGAAGATGCTCAGGCGGATCATGGTGACGCTCGGACAGAGAAGAAAAATGAGCGCAAAGAGGACAGTGCAGAATATGCTGAAGACTCATACCCGATAAGCAAAGAGCAGGCAGAGGTCGCTCTGCAAGACTCTGTGCTCAATCTTGACTCAAAGCTGCAGAAGATGGTTTCTTCCTCAGGCCGAAAAGATCCCATCAGTCTCACAAGACAGATTGTTGGAGCGAACGAGCCTGGCCCCGGCCAGAAGGCAACTCCTGTGCGAATAATACAACCTATCAGCGAGAGCTCTATTCCTCCAGTAAGCGAGAGCAAAGTGCGAAGAACTTCCATCATTAAATTCGGGCCCGATGGACCAAGAAATCAAACCACCCCCATCACACCTGCAGCGAGAGTAACAACTCAACCTACCCAAGGCCTTCTGGAACAAGGTCAAGTCACGCCCATTGAGTTCCAAAAGCGTGTATCTACCGAAAAAGGTAACAGAGATGAGAACCCAAAAGGTGAAGGGAGCAGAAGGAGAACGAGTCCAGCTCCCGCGAACCGGACTACAGATCTTGGAAACACCACGTCGGACAATGAACAGCGGCTCGCCAGCCCCGCTGCGATGGACATGTGTGTAGATCTTGTCACGCACAGCCCTGAGCGAAGTACTGTCATGGATGATGACAAGGGGGCTCACATATCTCCTAAGAAGGACACTGGTAAATTTTGTTTTGTTGACGCAGATGTTCTCGACGTCCAGGACGTCCAGGACCACGTTATTGCTGACAATACTGTCGCGGAAAGTGGCCACAACGCGAACAAAACCCGGAATGACGCTCTTGGTATTTCTCGACATATTGAAGAGCGGTGTATACGAAAAGTTGTTACTCGAGGGCTACGCCAGGATCGTGTTGAAGCTGATCGTGGTATTACTACCTATGAAGCATCGTCTGAATGCAGCTCGGTCGCTACAAGTCCTCAGAACCTTTCCAAGATCAAACCCACCAACTCGAAGAACGACAGAAAGCAGACCAAAATGACGACACACCCTGGTCAATCTTCACATGCAGCTACGCCTAAAATGAGCACCATCCTTAACACATCTGCAGTCGACAACGAGATAGATGAGGAAGCACACGATCTCGAATCCTACGCGGAGGAAGACATCTCACCTTTAGTGTCATCCAACGATGATACCAGCAGGCATGATCCTGCCGAGTATATCGCCTCAGACTCTTCTGATGGCGTCATGGAACTTTCCACTACCATGCATGACGCCGGATGCCAGACTCTGCAAAGCTCTCTAGAAGCTGCATCACATCCACCAACTCCACTTCCAGAGGATAGTATCTATGCAAAGGTTCACACCAAACCGCAAGACCCAGTTTTTTCTCCGTTGCATGATCGACGGCGCATTGGAGTCGCCTCCATCGTTGACAAAAATAATTCGCTGAATGGGAAAACCATGAACATGGATGATAGGAGCTCGAATTTACGTCCAGGAGGTGAGGCTGAGAGCATCCGTGATGACACAGTGCTCCCGACACAGGAGGCGCTCGACAGGACTGAGGCATCTGTTCAACCTAATTACTGGAACGGCAGAGCTGTACCTTCGACCAGCAACGTCGGAAGAGGTGCACGAACATCTCTGGGCGACCCAATGAGAAGAGTAAATGGTTCGAGGAAGGCTCTCCCAAGCATGGCACCTCCACCTCCACCTACTCGTACCAAGCCTGAGGTTGAAGTCATGCCACATCGCGCACCTGCCTCAGATCCCGCAGTTGCACCTGCCCCGCCGCAGGCTCCATTCTCAAAAAGCGGCCAACTTCACCCTCTTCGTGCAAGCATGTCCACAGTAAGTGTAGCGAAAGATACTACAGAATCCAGGGCAAATGTACCCGTCCGCATCAAGAGGATCATAACATCAACGAACGAAAGCAAAGCAGCTACCATAGCTGACTTGAATACGCTTCCTGGTACACCCATATCTTTTTGCACCCGCCTCGACATGGATGCACCGACGTTTGACATTTGTCTTAATGGGCCAGATTTGACAACGGAAGGTCGACCTTCAGCGGACCAATCAGGTGATGGGAACACCACACTGGTCAACGAGGATCATTCTTTCTTGTATCGCTCTCCAAGGCCATGTCGTTCACGGATCCTCGCGAGATCGGTGTCAACAGAAGCCATGTCTCCTTCTGACAAGAATCGAATTAGCCCTATGCACAGACGACATGGGCCTGGGGCTGTGGAAGTGAGGAGCAGTCAACGTGGGTTGTTGGACAGCATCATGAAGATCACTTCTGTAAGGTTTTGCAATCCTGCCTCCAGAGATAAGCTGACCAGGAGATAGGATGTGCTGTGTCGTTTAGGCCAAGAGGAAGACGCCGTCAAGTCCAAAACCCACGAGTTTTTCCGGGGAGGCGACACGGTCATTCAGACACTGACTGACAGCTGGAATGAGCGCTTGGGTCACGAACACCGGAACCTTTTGACGAAGTTGGAGGAAGAGAAGGATGTTTTGAGAAAGGCTTCGAAGCTGATGAAAGAACAAGACGTGAACTCATGGAAAGAAACAATCTGCAACCCCATCCGGAAGGAAGAGAGGGGCAAGGGAAATGACAGCTTGACGGCAAGAATCGAAGCATTGAGGAACGGGCATTGACGCAGGGTACAAATGGAACGGAATTAGAATCACAACCAGATTGAGGCTTTAGATTGTGGTTTGAAGGATGGGCGCATGGAGTATGGGGGAAGGGGGACAGCTATTTGTGCGGGCTCGCCTCATTGGTATGTTCGAAGTGGTAGACGAGGAGGATCATGGCGTCTTTCCACGGGATCACGAGTGTAGTAGCAATTCAGCCCAAAAGTGGAGTTTAGTGTCAATTGAAGAAGATTCGACGGTATTCAAAGCAGATTCTTTTTGTCCTTTTTTGTCCTTTTTTGTCACTGTCTCGAGCTATGTAATAAAACTCCACGGTGTTCATTTAGAAATGCTTGCCCGTGGCGGCCAGTGCCATCAACTCCTGAGGCAGCTCGACCGCTTCGAGGGTCACGTTCCCCTGCGCGTCGACGAGGAGGGCGTGATTCTTCTCGATCAGGGCCCACTCGCCGGCCTTGTAGGTGGTGGGTTCACTGGCGACGATGACGTGTTTTCCGTGCTCGGCAGCCTTTCTACTCGCGTTGGGGTTTTGTTCCCCGGCGGCCGAGTCCGGGTACTTTCGGTTGAGGGTGATGCCGGCCCTGGTGGAGTAGTAGAGGCTCGGGGGCTGCTCGGTGGCGTGGTTGCGCAGGCGGACGGCGAGGAGCCGACGGCCGTCGGTGCAGCAGACGTTGAGGGAGCAGGCCTTGACGTTCTCGGGGCCCAGGGTGGCCTGTTGGAGGGCGATGATGGATTTGAAGGCCGAGACTAGGGCCGCGAGCATTTCGGAGGGGGGGTAGGTCTCTTCCCATGCAGATGACGACAACGAGGACTGAGAGGGTGTGGGCTTGGAATGGGATCTGGTCAGGTTCGTCATGTACAAAGCAGCCAAGTGTTCCGAGTCCGTGGTACCGAGGACGTTTTCGTATTCTGGTTTCGCCAGCAAGGGCAGCATGGCTCGACGAATGTCGGCAAAGTCGGAGATGAGACCGTTGTGCATGACGGTGTGCCTACCGAAGGTGAACGGGTGGTTGTTGATGGTCGCTACCCCGGTGCCGGTGGCGGCGCGGATGTGGGCAAACAGAGCCGTCGTCGCCGTGTTGGCGCAGATGCTGTGGAAGTTGGCGTCGTTGGTGGGGGGCTGCGAGTGCTTGTACACGGCGGGACGCATCCCTTCGGTCGTCGCGACAAAGTCGGAGCGGGTGTGGGTGTACCAAGCCATGCCGAAGCCGTCGACGTTGAACAGTCGGTTGCGCAGAGTGATCTCTTCACCGGTGGTCTCTTCCCCGGGAGTGTGGGAGAAGAGCTTCGGCAGGTAGTGGTCGTGGACTTGTTTGGCGAGGCCGTGAGGAGGACTGATCAGGACGTCTTCCAGGAGACATTCCTCCGAAGGTGAGAGGTAGGCGAACCATCTACACATTGTGAAGACGAGGCTGTCTCAGAAAACCTGGGCGAGGTGGGTTTATGGGTGTAGTGTACCAGTAGGTTTGGAGAACGGTTTGAAGATGAGGCCGAGTTGAGACCTGAGGGGTTGAATAAAAAATAGCAGGAGAAGGAAAAAAGAGACTTCTGTTTCAGATCAATAGATGCGTACGGCGTACGTGGACAACTGAATCTCAAGGACGACGAGAATTAGGAAAATAGGCTGTTTGACTGTGTAGGTAGCAGTACAATTGTTACAAGTTCGATGATGTGTGAATATGCAAGGGACAAGTTGGGCACGTGTTTTTTTCGTTTAGCCACGTCAGCAGATGTGATCATCGCAGTGCCTGAAGCTTTGGAAAGCGGGTAAAAGAAATACACAGAGTACTCCGTACAAAGTAACAAGTTGCTTGTTTCCTCCTCGTATTCGTAACACTTTGAACCTCGACGTCATCACGCAGAGCTTACCTAATTATTGCCGCCAAGATTTGGCCAAGCTTTGAACTAACCGTAACCGTATCCAAAACTTTAATCACGTATGATACGAGGATTGGAATTCTGAACATTCTATGAGAGGGGAATTTGTTCCAACGGACATATGAAGGAAGTGACAAGATACCATCCAAGGCGACACAAAATACAACGCATGTCTGGCTGTTCATATCTCCTTGGCCCCCACAACGTCAACTGGTTTTTCCGTGGCCGGAACCTGTCTGATCGACTCTTCGTCCTTCGCTTCAATAACAACATCAGATCCATCATCGACGACGGTCTTGACGGGGAAAGCCAGACACAGTAAGTAATAGGTGATTCTGAATCATCAAGACATGTTAGTCAACGCCTCGCCTCGCTTCGTCGGTGAGGTGTGGTCAAGGTATGCTTTGACTTACGCTGTAACCACCAATCCATCCAGCCATCCCATGGTGAAAAACTCGACAATACCTCTACCCATCTTGATGTTCGGGTTGATGTTGTGAATCAGTCCTGGCAGCAGAGGAATCACACCGACGAGCCACGCCGAGAGTGCTCGAAGGTTACAACCCTTCCAGTACCAGTATAGTCCTTCTGTTCGATACAGGTGGAACATGTTGTACGGCTTGGACCTTCTTACGAGAAAGTAATCACAAAGGATTACTGGAACAGGTGATTAGCATTTTGATCTCACACTTTGCAGGACCAAGAGTCACGACTCACTTCCAACCAAGGGTCCGAGAAATATCGAGTATCCACCGACAAAGTTGAAGAAACGAGAAGCCCGGGCTTGTATGACCCATGGGTTCATGGCGAATCCTAGAATGGCGCAGAGGACTTGACCTCGTCTATTTGGGAAGCATTAGCACTCATTTTCATCGGCGGCAGCCGCCCATGACACCTACCGGACGTTCATATAACGTGGAAAGATACCCATGATGTCGTGTGCGAATGGAATACTGTTTCCCGTGACGTCTGTTTTTCTGGCATTAGCAGCAATAAAACCAGTCTTGGAGAAGAAGGGTGTCCTGACTTGTTGCAATGGTCGCAAAGGCAAAAAGAAATCCTGCAAAGAACTTGGCAGCTCTATTGTTCCAGAGAAGGATGATCGTCAGAGGATTCCATAGAACCTCGCCATAGACGACTTGAGCAGTTGCCGCCATGATTGCTTTATGACTGATGTCAGCAAAAACACATCAATCAGCAGCACCCCGGGATGACAAGCATCTCACCTCCCAGCAACTCAACTATTCAAAGGTTAGTTCTGACATGTGTGTGTTTGTGCATGAACCATATTCATGACTTACTCATCGTGATACAGATTGGCAACGCAAATGCTTGTGCGATGGCAGCGCTTCGTGGGTTCTTTGCATATCTGGTAATGTCTGCCATATTGACAGCAAATGCTGTGGATTCCCATTTTGTCAGATCAACCTTGAAGAACTTGATCAGGGGCCGGCCCGAACTGCGTGCACACTCACTTGCATTTCCCCCTATGGTGGCCAAGATGGTCGAACAAAAGACGTACCCGACCGACCAACCACTCGTGATCTTGGTGGGGATGGAAAACAATGGTCCCACGCCGTGACCCGCCGTCAAAGCCCAGGTGAAGAGGGCGACGTAGAAGAAGGGCATGATGGCGATCTTGACCGCAAACACCCAACGTAGTGAAGACATGGGCACGAAGAGGAGCGGGAAAGAAGCCAACCAGAACAAGGCGAAGCAGAGTAGGTCCGGAGCCGAAATGTCGGCACTGGCCGGGAGACTGTTGAGGTGCCAATGGGCGAAAGACGGCCAGATGGCTTCAAGCATACATCGGACAGCGTTACCGCCGAGGGTCGCTTGAACTCCATAAAGGATGACACAGAATATGCCACGGATTATCTAGAAAGAAGTCAGATTCGTGAGAGAAAAAAAAAACAAAACAAGCCAGAAATGGCAGAACCATATGAGGTGAGTGGCCTGCTTACCATTGCCCAATATGCACCGATCATACCATAGGATCTGTCGTCATATATTTTCAGCAATCGTCCACCGTCGATGAACACTCCCTGGGAACTTACGCTCGAGCGATGACGGGGAATGGGATCGAGTACTATTTTTGGGGGGGGCAGGGGTCAGTGGAAAGTTGGTGGATGGCAAGTTGTCGAGGACAAGGACGGAGTAAAAATGTTACCTTGCTTCCCAGCCAGCCGACGAGGCACACGGGGCCAGTGACGAGAAGGTTTCCAACCAGGCAGGCCACCATGGCCAACCCGGGATTCAACCCCATGACCACCGCGCTGGAAGGGACCTGCATCTGAGCAGGGTTGAACCCTTCGGCAATCCAAAAACCTCCGACACTGCACGATCACGCTTTGGGTCAGCCGTCGTCGTCGACAAGGGCATTCGGTCACCGTCAAGGGCCGGGCAAAGGTCTTACTGCCACCATTCCCACGTCTTCTTTTCTTGTGGTACGGGGTCCAAGTCCTCGTTACTCCATCGGGCCGAATCCCCTTCTGCGGTGAATGATCCAGGTCGAGGATGCAACACGAGGTGTTTGGTGTGAAACTCGCGGAGTTTATCCATGTCGTTCGGTTTGGCTTGAGATGGGGGTTGTCGGTTGGAAAACGTCGCAGAGACGAGGAGGGATTTGTTTGCTCCTTTGATACGACAATCTGTAATTGCCCTGCTCAGGCTCGTGCGTCAAAGTCTTGTTCTTGATTCACCTCGATTCTGGGCCTCGTCAATTTCTAGTCAGTGACACACAGAGAGCCACTCGCCACGTGTGCAAGGCAGGAAGATCCATTCATATATACGTGCACGGTGGTCTTTGGATAAGAATATCATGAGCTTCCACGTCGACATCGATATGCATCACGAGAGATTTTTGGTACCAGCCCAAATGTCTAGAAAAGTGTATGGAATCCGATATGATTGTGATATGCCCGGGCCCAGCGACCCCTCAAAAAGCGGCCTTATCATCTTGGAGCCCGCGGGCCCGGGTTCCCTGATAAGACGTTATTTGTAGGTAGAGAGAGATATGGAGTACGAGTACCGTTAGGGTAATCGAAATCTGGGCCCGCATCCACAATTGGGGGGCCAAAACGAACTTTTGGGTCGGAGTCCCATTTGTTGATTTCATTTTTCTGTTTGAATAATAATGATAATCTATTCATCGTTGTTGATTCGTCACAACCACAAGTATATTTACACGTACGAAGAGGGAAAACAAGTGAGTAACCAACCAAAATCTCTACAATAATTTTCATCCTTTTAATAGGCATCTCCTCATTCGGCCATCGATACTCCATGGCATCGACTTGATTCCTCAGAAAAGTCATGACAGAGAGTATGTTGTTGTTGTTGTTGTTGTTTTTTAGCCAACAACAAGAAACATGTCGATCAAGAAACTTCTTGTTGTCAATCCGAATGCATCACCCGACATGACTGAATTGGTGAAATCAGGTGTCGACCGACACTTGGGACCGAATGTATGTGTCTTTACTTGCCGTTTACCGAGTTGTTGACAGGCAACCCAGTAGTGGTACTAATCGGACCAAACATCAAAAAGATTGTCGCCACATACTGGACGTGCCCCGAAGGTCCGACGGTCCTAAAGAGTCAAGAAGACATCGAACTGTCGACGAGGTTGTGTCTTGAAAACCTAAAACAGTCAACTCCAAAATACGACTCTTTCTTGTTGGCTTGCTACGCCGATCATCCACTGACGGCCGCTCTGAAGGTCGAGGTCGGCCCCGACAAACCAGTGGTGGGAATCTTTGAAGCAAGTATCAACGCGGCTTTGGACGTCATAAACTGGCAGCCTCTTCCTGTACTCGGGAGGTTTGCCATCATGACCACGGGAAAAGCATTCGAAAAGCAATTGAGTGATGGGGTGACAAGGATCTTGGGAGACTCAAAAACAGCTCACCAAGAGTCCTGTTTCGCCGGAGTCATCTCGACCGGTATCGTCCCGGGTGATACCATGCCAGAAATCACAAAAACAGCAAAACAAAAAGTTCAAAAAGCCGTACAGAAACTGATGATGAGCGACGACGACGATGATGAAATTGTGGTTGTCTGTATGGGAGGAGTGATTTTGTACGGGTTGGAAGATTTTGTTTTGAAATCATGTCAAACAGACGACACCACTCAGAAAAGGATGATAATCATTGATCAATTGGAAGCCGGTGTCGACATGATCAAAAGGGAATTGGAAAAATCTTCAACAACACAAAACATTTAAAAAGGGTTCCCTGCTTGAACAACCCGTTTAAAATTTCTCTACTTTTTCTTCTTCTAAATTCTTGCTGAAAAAATGGTTTCTGTGTTTTGGTGTTGCTCCTCACTATCCTGCTCGACACCTTCCGTGCCTTTCGTGTATGGAAAATTCGTGTGCCAATGTGAAGCAATCTCTTTACGAGTGGTGATCCATACATGAGCATGTTGTTGGACGTATTTGACAAAGGATTCGACGGCAGCAAAACGACCTGGTTTGCCGCTGATTCTGCAGTGAAGACCTATGGTCATCATCTTCGGTCGACCCTCGAGACCTTCGGCGTACAATACGTCAAAGGAACTCTTGAGGTAATCCAGAAAGGCGGTCGAAGAACCCCACGTTCCGGGGGCGATTTGATACTTGAGGTCATTGTTGTCATATGTGTACGGGAGCATGAGCATCCCCTTTCTCGGTGGTCGAGGGACATGTTCCTCGGCGGGCACGTCGACCCAGTAGGGCAGGTCGTCGGAAAAGCAGTCCGACTCATAAAGTAGAGGAACCCCAAACTCTTCGTGGACTTCGTGTATCAGGGTCTTGGTGTGCGAAGAGCAACGCCCGATGAACCAGCCAACAGGGTAGACCCCGGTGGTCGATTTCAAGGATCGCATCTGACGGTGCATGTAAGCCTTTTCTTCCTCGGGGCTCATGTTGTGGTAAGGAATCCAACGGTAGCCGTGGCTGGCAATCTCATGGCCGCCTTCCACAAATGCCCTGGCGAGTGGAAGATTCTTCTCGAGTGCCTGGCCCACGGCGTAGATCGTGGTCTGGATGTTGTGCTTTTCGAACATGTTCAACAGGCGCCACACACCGACTCGAGAGCCATAGTCGTAGTCGCTTTCAATTTTGGGATCTCTGGAGCCAATACGCTCTGCAACATGAGTCTGTTCCCAGAGAACGCTCTCGGTTTGACCGTCACCGTTCAGTAGAGACCTTTCAGCACCTTCCTCGTAGTTGATGACGAACGAAACGGCAATCTTCGCACCGTTTGGCCAATGAGGGTCAATCGACGATCTCCCATATCCCACAAGATCCCGCTTGAAGTCGTACTTGGTTCCTTGCAAGGGGTCGGTGTTTGGAGCATCAAGGCTTACAGCCACATGGTCGACACGTTGTAGAGCCATATTTTAGAGGTTCGGTTAGGCTCAATAAGAAGAAACGGTCAAGAGCCCCAAACAATCTGTAGTCACGAGATGGAAGTCTGTTCTGGCTATTTGCAAGATGAAGGAGGGGGAGAGAGTTGGCCCGACTAGTTCACACGTGACCGGGCTCAATGAGGGCGGGCCGGGCACGCCCAAAGTGCCCGCGGGCATTCTCCGTCCTTCGGAGAGATAAGAATCGTGAAACGATTGTACCTCTTTACTGCGGGGATTGAACCTTCTCATATCTGGGCAATACGGAGTGCAGCCAAATCGATCGAATCTATCGGAGTCGTTCAAGAATGCAATTCGAAGTCCTCGAAATTGTAAAACCAGTTTTGATCTGGACTCACATCGAGCCCTTGTGGCGAGAACTCGCCGATGTCCCCTTGCCTCTCTCTAGCTTCGTTGGGTTGTAGAACTCCTTTTGCTTGTTCCGGTTCATGCGATCGACTCGCGTGACGGTCGGCATGAAGGTTGCTCACTCCGGCGCTTCGCTGATGACGGTATTGGGCCAAAAACCCTGCGTTTGTCCTCAAAAGATCAAATGTTGTTCTCGTAAAGTTCGCACTGGGATTAATATTGAGAAGCCAGCGAAACTCGGCAATTTGAGAGAAAATGTCTTTAGACTCGAGCGTCTCCGTACTGGTGGCCAGTAATACCATTGAAAACGTGCATATGATGGCCAGAGAAGGCTCTGACGCAAAGTGCCAGAAACCTTGCATATGTTCGGGCTTAAGGCGTTTTAGAAAGTCGATGACAGACCGGAATCTCATAACTGCTGCACCACGGGTGATCTGGCGAAGTTCAGCGTCGAGAGGGTGCCTCATTTCTGACTCGATGATAGCCCTGTGCAAAGTCACCTCTGCAGCAAGGTAGGCTAGATACAGCTGTCCTGTAGCAGATAATTTCCGTGGTTGAGTGGCACCTAGATCTAAAGCCGAAGGTAGACTTGTATACCAGGATTTCAGTCGTAACTGGAGCGGCTTGACTGCTTGCAACAAGTCTACAGTTGTTGGATAGTTCATGGCAGCCTGCACCGTGAACAATGCGTCAATGATGTCGGAAACAATCTGCGTCAGGGACGACATGTGCATAAAAATGAGGATGCCCCGTTCGACTTCGGAACTGCCTTGCTCTGCATGGTCTTCGTCGACGTTCTCTGGGAAGTCGGCCAGCTCAAGTGGCGAAACTTCCCAGTTGTCCGCTTTGATGTGCGACGGGCGTCCATGAACGAGCGCTCCCCATTTGTCCTGCATAAACAAAGCCCACGCCAGACGTTTACGGACTCCTTTCTCCCATTCCGGAATTTGCCAATCGGAACAGTCACGATGCAGTCCAACCTCTTCGGCAGTAGCAACAAGCTGAGTGGTTAACCTCCACGAATCATGACGGGGTCGTTGGAGAAACAAGAGACCGGCCTGGATGTCGGAGACTTTGGCAGCCCTGTCGAAGGCCATAAGAGATGAAACAAGCTTCTCAAGCTCAGTAATAACTGGCTTGCTCAAATGAGCCAGGTCGATACTGTAAGACCACCAGTTCAAGGCAAGCATGTAGACCGCGGCTAAGCATGCAGGTGTCAGTTCTCGATAGGAGCGGCTGTGCTTTTCCAGGAAGACATCTTTGTGAAGGATCGGGAAGCTAGGATGGACAATCCGGAAATACAAGTCCACCAGAGCAGCGCCGTGAGGCGAGATGGTGGCTTCAATTTTGTCCAGAAGCTGGAGCTGTTCTTCTATGACATCGTCCTTGTCAGGAAGGATGAGAAAATAGCCATTCTCACCCACACGTCGTATATCGGAACCGGGTTGAGAGGCCCGGTAGTTACCATGTTGTTGATCATCTCTCGCAAGATCAAGTAGAACACGGCTCGGGAAGGAAGTAGCTCCGACGTAGCAATTCGTTCGGAAATGCTGATGACCGAGGGTGTGTTTCAATAACGATGCCCCTGGTAAGCTCGAGTAGTCCTGTGGTGATTCTCTCTGATTTGCCTCTGGAGACAGCGGAGAAACGGTATTAGCTCCGCTGGTGACTGGTTTCGATGGCTTCTTTCTCTTCTTGGGGGGTGCTTCAACGTAAGAACAGACCCGTCCCTGGCACAAGGTGCAAGAATCCCCTGGGATAGGTGTACATCTTTGCCTCACTCTGCGGCAATGGTCACAAGGCCTCTCAGGCCGAGACAAGGAACTCATGTGTCCGCATTGTCGCTGGGCAGGCGTTTCAATTCCTGACTGAAGTCTTTGTCGGGTTAAAATACGAAAGTGATGATGTTCAGCCTCAAGCGAATTGCGGAGGTGACTAAGCTCTTTCTTCGGAGGAACCATTCTTGGCATCACGTGTGCTCCTCGAAACCCCTGACTACGAAGTACTATGAATCTATTATCGCTCTCTCCTCAAGTCTCTTTTTGTGAGCATACTGACTTGACGGTGGTTGAGAGATTCCTAGGGTACGGCAAGACCCCAATGGTTACCACATGTCTCTCGCAAGAAGCCAAAAAAAAGAACAAATCCCCACTTCAGAAGTATTTGTTATTGTTTTTCCTCGGTGTAGAAGGAAATGGTTTAGTAGTTTTGTTTTTGTCTTTTCAAGGATAGAGAAAATGAGGTGAGATGATTTTGTCTTCCTGGGCAAGGGGGGCCAGAAGAATGGAGAGAGGTTACTCCGTGTATTCCATCTCCTTTTGCTTAGTTGGCCATCCATCACCTAGCCATGTGATGTCAACTTGATTCATCACTGAAGGGTCTCGGTGATTGTTGAAGGAAAGATTCGCTTTTCATATTGATAACATGTCCCTTGTTCCCTGTGCTCTACGGACATCATTACAACAACAGCCACTGTTTTAGCTTGATCGTACCAGATACATTGCAATCCACGTTCGCTCACTGAGAGCATTGCTACTAGAACAATAGCCTTTATGGCCGTCAAACAGCTGAATTCAACCCTTTTCAAGTTCTTATGTCTCTTACCCTTGTTCAAAGATTCCTGAACCCGACCTTATGCAATGGTCCTTACTAACCCAGGCTTAGTTGCCCGTTGACTTGTGGAGACTGGAGGAACTTCCTCCCCGACGCACTATGCCATTTTAGTCGTGATTTCCCTATGCAGTAGGTCTGGTTCTCCACCACCAGGAGCTCCGGCCTCAAAGTTCCAAGACTGGACCATGTCGAGTCGGCGCAACGTTCGACCTTGTCTGTCGAAATTCAGAACGGGAAAACTAGACAAACATGGTTTTTCCAATCTAGGCACCATCCTTTCTATTTGAGACGACTGGAATGACTTCTGATCACTATGGAGTTGTTGTGCATCAGGAAACTTGCTCACCTCGACAACGACACACAGCCATGGGACGTCAACAAGCCGAGTATTGTGAACCCATGCAGGGATGATTCCCAATCTTGGGAAATATGCTCGTCTAGAATCCTGATCTCCATTCAAAGGTTTCATGAAATAGGAGTCGGGTTGAAAGACATATAAAAAGGCTCGAGGACGCCGCGCATCGAATATACCAACAAGCTCAGCATAAACATTCTCAACTCAAGACAACTAAACCCAACCGAAATAAGACTCTCATCTGACGACACCACAAGCCCAAAAGATTCTCCATCATCACCATGTCTGCACCGTTCGACCTCTCGAAACCCAATCGCCCAATCCACATCGGGGTCATCCTCGTAGACTCGTTGAGTTCTTCCCTTGCCTTTCACAAGGTCACATCCGCGAGAGTAACTAACGTCCCACCTGCAGGATCACTGAACTCCTCGATATCGCAGTCGTCGACCTCATCGCCGGCATGGACAAGGCCCTTGCCGCCACGTTCCCGGACGAGCTCATGCCTCCACGCATCAAGGCCCAAGCTCTAGATATTGAAACCCATTGGGTCAATCAATCAGGCAAGACGGCCAGATTGTCGGGAGGGATATTCTTGCAACCTACCGTACGTTGACGCTCTCCGCATATTCCTCAGTACGTGCAAGATTTAACGCCGACTTCGTTACTGACAGAACGACTTCACCAACTGTCCCCCGCTGGACATCGTGATCATGGGAGCCAGCACCCTCGACTACAAGGCCAGCGAGGCCGAACTTGAGTTCATCCGGAAGAGTTACAAGGATTGTTCCGCCTTCATCACCATCTGCGGTGGCTTCGAAGTCCCATTCGCAGCAGGATTGTTCGAGGGCAAGACCGTTACGGGCCCACGACCGTTCCTGGCACAAATGCGCAAGGTGGCGCCGCAGACCACATGGCTCGAAAAGCGCTGGCACCGGGATGGCAAGTTGTGGACGAGCGGCGCCGTCACCAATGGCTTGGACTTGATCAGGGCTTTTGCCGAGGAGTACTGGGGCGGCGAGGGGTCGTTGGTGGAGTTCTACGTTGGCCTGGGCCATTTTTCCAAGAGGGATATTAACTATGCTGACGCTGAATATCCTTTGTGATGGATGGTTTGAGACTTACGTGAACGGCGGCACCATGGCCACGAGAAAGATAGATAGAAGGTACTGCAGCGTGGGAAAGATATGATCCCGGGTATGTGAATTGCACCAAGAGTGAAAGTATGGGTGACCTGATTTTGTTTTATTTTCTGTACATGAATGACAGCTAGAGCAAATATTGTGTTGACAAATCCATTGGCGCTTTTCCGTTCTTTTCATACTAACCTATAATTCATCGCCAATACGAAGGTCCCTTGTAAGCAAACATTTCCCAAGCCTCGTCTATAGCCTTGACCACTTCCTCTGGCAGTGGGCCTTTTTCTAGGTCGGCCAGATTGGTCTCGAGTTGACTTTGGCTGCTGACGCCAATAATGATGCCGTCGTTGCCCTTGTCTCCGAGCTGCAGTTTCGAGTGGTGCACGCACCATCTTAGGGCTGTTTCAAGAAGGGTGAGACCTGCCTTTTTGACGACGGGCTCGATATGCGAGAGCGCATCGAACGTCGTGTCGTGGAAGTAACGTTGTCGGTACATCTGTGGAAAAAGGGGGTGTATGTCAGTGCAAAGGTCCTGCCAGGGTGCGGCAGCATGAACATTGCTATGGCAGGAAAGTTGCTGATTGGGCATGGAGACGAGTGATTTTAGGTAAAGCAGTCATACCTTGCCAGCGTTTGAAACATTGGCGAATCGCCCCTCAGTCGGGACTTCTTCTTTCGACTTGTACTTGCCGCTGAAGACACCTCCAGCTAGCTGTTCCCAAGTGTTAGTATACACTGGCACATTCCTCGTTCCTTTGCGATGCTCGATAACTTACCGGATTATAAACAACCAGGTCGATTCCATACCTTGTTGCATAGTCAGCCATATACTCTGAAGAGGGCCCTCCCGGCCAACTCACTTTCGACAACAAGGTATCAACTCCTTTTCAATATCCCTTGTGATGGCATTGTACATGGCTTGGTAAATGCTGGGCTTGACCCAGCCCCTCTCATTCGCAATGTTCCAACACTCACTGACCTCCCAAGCGGCAAAGTTACTCAATCCCAACTTGACAAACTTGCCTTCCTTGAATAGCTCGTTGCACGCCTCCATCGTCTTTTCAAACGGCACACTCCGGTCCGGCGCGTGCAGGTAGAAGATATCCACGCATTTGGTACCCAACTCTTGCAGACTCTTCTCCAGACTGGCGCGCAGCTTCTCCGGCGAGTGGTCTCCAGGATTGACGGGGTAGCATTTCGTGGCGAGGGTGAGGCCACGGTCCTGCCATTTCGCCTGTGCCGTGAAGCCCTCTTGCTGGCCGCCGATGTAGGCCCGCGCCGTGTCGACCTCGTTGTACCCTTGTTGCTGGAGGTAGTCGAGGCACTTGTTGTAGTCGTCTAGTTTGGTGATTCGGCCGCCTTTAGACTCGGTGCCCGGAGGGCCAAAGGTCATCAGACCTAGAATCACTCGAGGTTTGTTGCTCGACATCGTGGAAGGTATGAGAGGCATCTTGGGCGCAGCGGAGGAAGAGAGTGGGGAGATGTGGTGTTGGAGGGACGCAAGTCGGGAGGTGGTGGAGGCGTGGGATGACAGTGTTGATAGTGGCCTGAGAGTTTTGTGCATTGACTGTACAGGTGTGTGATTTGACAATGAGCTTTCAACTTGTAGTTTTATCTATCAATGTCTCGAGGGGCGCAACTCTTTTTGTACTGTATCATGCTTCATCATTTTACCCCACCGGCGTTTACACCGAGTAACTCCGATATCCACGACGTCAACTCGCCGCTGTGGCCCTTGTACTCGTAAGGCACACAATAGGCTAAAGGACGGCACGAACAGATAGGAGGAAGATATGATGATCATAGGGAATCATTCTGGAGTTCTTCGGAAGCATCACTACGGGTTTAGTGTTTTGCTCTAGGGGAAAACCACCGCTGTGGCGTGTTATGCTCCAAGCCTCCAAGCCAAAAGTACAAAATCCCGCCTCGCCAATAAGACACCCGCAACACCATGGCACAGAAACAATTACCCGTACCTACACATACCTAGGCCTCCAGTAGTGGCTTTGCTTAATCGGAGACGAGGCTGAAGAATATGAATCCCAGCATACGGAGGGGTGATTATCCATCGCTGACATAATGACTATATTGTATGAAATCCCGGCTAATTCCCTCTTTGAGTATTTGACCGATAAACACCAACACTTTGCAGTCTCCATCTCTGTCTCTCTTAATCATCCTTCTCCGCAAAGCTTACACAACCCGGGGCGCCCAATGCTACCAAAGTCGATCACTGGCCCGCTGATAGTTCCTGCGGAAAAGGCGTATTCGTTCCACCGTCAATCAGTCTCATGCCAACAGTGAGTGATCATTGTCCAAGTGGGCAACCGACACAAGTACATTTGAAATCGCTCGGATTGATTGCAAAGCCTACGAAATAGTTATCTACCCATCTTTCCATTCTCCGTCTGCACAAAGCATTTCAAGGTCTCCCTACATTCAACTATAAATTGACTTGTGTTCTTTTCTACTACTGATCATTCTTGGGGCTGGAAACATATCAAACCCATCATCATCTTCTTGTAAGACACAACCATCAAAGATTCTCCAACATCAACCACCACAACCACCGCCACCACAATATGTCTTCTTCCAAACCATCTATCCTTCTAGTCCCGGGTTCGTTTTCCTTTGCGGGAATGTACTATCCTATCCAAGACGCGATCAAGGCCCAAGGCTACGAATGCTTCGTTAACAATCTCCCCTCCGCAAGTCGCAACCCACCCGAGGAACCGGCAACACTAGAAGATGATGCCGTCTTCATCAGAGGCGTCATCGAAAAGATCGCCGACCAAGGCAAAGACATTGTCGTCATCGCCCATTCTTACGGAGGTGTCGTGGCAACCGAAGCCGCCAAAGGAGTCGTCAAGGCCGACCGTCAAGCCAACGGTAAAAGAGGGGGCATCGTCAAGATTGCGTACCTGAGTGCCATCGTCCTCCCGGTCGGTGGTTCAAACTTCAAGAACCAAGGTGACCCTCCGGCTGCACTGGTCGAAGTTGGAAAGGTGAGCGTGCAAAATCTCTCACTCGACAGATTGAAGTCACCATTGCCTCCTCTCTTTCATCCCCCCATCTCCCTTTTGTTTCGTATGTGTATGTACGAACACGAGAAATGACCGCCATTCTTGTTCTAACGTGTCTTGAAAACAAACAAAAGGACGGTTTCATGAAAATCACCGGCCTCGAGATCTGCGCCGGAGCGACCTTCAACGACTGGGATTTCGAAAAGGCCCTCCTCATGACCAAGTCCATGTCCAGGCACTCTTTCCCCAGCTTCGACAGTCCGCTGACCTACCCCGCCTACGAGCACGTCCCGACCGCGTACATATTCTGTGAAAAGGACATGATCATTCCGCCCGAGAAGCAGCGCGAGTACATCGACCAGATCAAGCAGGGGACCGGTGGCAAGGAGGTAGAGGTCCACACGCTCAACACCGGTCATTGTCCTACCATCACCGCCATCGAGGAGACGGTCAAGGTGATTATCAATATCGCAAGGTCGGCATAGATGACAGATGGACGATACGACTGCGCTGGGGGCGGAATAGAGAGCTTACGTGGAGCACGAAGTAGTGATGAGAATGACTGAGAGAAAGGAATGAAAGCATCGGTATTTGTGTCTAAAGTCAAGATTCAATCTAGACAATCTTCGAAACAACCGTGGCCATTCAAGCAGTCATAACCTCAAAATCATCTCCGCTCATCTAACCACCGACCAGTCAATGCTCTCACATGCCGCAATGTCCAATCTTCCAGAGGAGAGGAGTTGAGCAGCGTGTCCCGTGTCGAGCAGCTCTGGAGAAGCATGCGTATGACAACCCTCATGATTCCCAGCTTGAAGCCTACTCTCAGTGAAAAAACTTGATCTTGTGCAAACCGATTCGATCACTCTGACTGCCGACCCTGCCGAACCGTATACGTCCTGAAGATCGACTAGCAGCATCTTGGTCTGGTCAAGATACGAGCGTCCACCACTGTTGATCGCCGTATCACCTGGCAGAGCATCTTTGACATGTTCCATGGCGGCATTGAGCAATGCCGTCGCGCCGACCGGCGGGAGAAAACGGAGCAAGTCGCCTTCCTGAAGAGGAGTGGCTATGTCTGTGACTCTCCGCGCGGCTTGTTTTGTGACAGTCTCGGAAAAGTCCCGGAGAGACCTTGCTGCAGAGTTGTCTGGGTGTTTGACAGCATCGTGAGGGCGATGAACCAGTATCAGCGCTGTGTTGTACAGCATTTCGACAATGGCAGAATGCACACCGACCACTCGTCCGTTACGGCGATGGTCCCGGCCAACATTGCTCCCTTCGGTATTGGACAGTTCCGCGTACCATTCGCGTAATTCTCGGTCGAGAGTCACGCAGTCTGGAGCAAAGGTGTCTGAGGTCTTTGGAACGAGGACTGTCTTGGTGTCAACTGCGAGGTTGCCTGAGTGAATAGTAGTAGGTGTGTAGAGGATATTCAGAATGCGGTCAATCAAGACGTATAGTTTGATATTCATAATGCTCAATTTTCGTAAGATCCTTGCATCTGTTTCACGATCTCTCATGTAGTACCAGTCAAGCACTTCAGACAGATCTTCGTTGTTGAGATCGCCTAGTTGCAGCGCAGGAGCAGTCAAGTCTCTAGGTCGAATGCACGCGGCTCGGCGGTCACTCATAGACACAGATGCGTCAATCATTAGACCGCATGACCATAGCCTGCGACGGAACTTCCGATATGTAAGAGGCAAGGTCTCCAGTTCGAAGGATCCGTCGAGCCCGAGATTGGCTGCAAAAGATAAGGCGGAGCTTAGGAAGTAACGTCTTCCTTTCATACCACCCGGCTCATCGTGATAGAATGCGATAAGCAGCAAGACCTGAATCAACGTGATGGGATCCGATTCAATATCGGCATTGTATAATAACTAAGGATTCTATGCTCAGCAGAATATTTCAGAGATTACTTGCTGGGTATCGTAGCATACCTTGACTCTATCGAAGAATGCCGTGCGAGCTTGGTTGTGACTTTGGAAACCGGCTCTTTTCAGGCACTCCTTATTGACAAATGTGACGCCAGCGAACATGACCGCTTGAAACAGCAAAATACTAACCTTGGTATTCACCCCTTCGCTGTCGATGGCTCGGAAGAAAGGCCCCATATCCAGCAGAGGCATGAATGGGTGTACATAACAGACATACGCGCGGATAAGCTCGTCCGTCATCATCAACGAGGGAGGCACCAAGGCCCCTTTATGTTGTAAGAACCGAAGGACATCTGGGTCGAGACCTGACGGCAGTGCTGCTATGTAGCTTGGGAGGTCTGGTTGTAAACTTGGACCTTCTTGATGTTGTGATGTGTCTTCTGATTGGAAAAGAGCTTCCATCGAGACGGCATGTTCCGGACCCAAGTCGGATTGGGGACTGTGTATGCCTTTCGAGGCGTTCGCATCGTTATCTGTCTCATTAGCATTGCCTAAATCTGTGAGGGAGGAATTTACCAGATCGCGGCCAAGCTAATGAAGACACCATGTGATATCCATGGTTGCTCGCCTCTAGATTCAACGCGTTGTTCACAGGACCACTGTGAAAAAGGCTATCTTCGTGTGGCAGGTCGACCTCGAAAGTGTGGGTGTTTGACTCTGGAATAGCGCCTGTCTTCGCACCTTTTCCTCTCCGTCGCTTTCTAGCAAGGACCACTGAACATTGGGTCTGGGTGCGGCTGCAGTTGCTGCAAGGATTCCCTGCTTGTAAGACATCGCACTTAATTTTCTGGTTTCGACATGATAAGCAAGCTCTAGGGGCTCTTCTCCTGAGCATTGCCTGGCATATATTCTTTGGAAGAGGCCTGGACAGAAGATGCGTAATCTCGGAAATCGTAACAACCAGATTATCGTCGATGCGCTAGTGAATCGGTACTCTTCCGCCAGTCAGCCATCAACATGATAGTCATACAAGGTGGCCCATGAGCATCTAGTATACCGAGCCGGAATGCAGTCCACGAATATTACAAATACTCTAGGTCCTGTATTATGAAGAATGGAAAGGGAACGATTGGAGATATTTTACGGGTCAGTCCCAGAATTAAAGCGGCTTGAATATTCACTGCAAAGTTGTCTCGCCGGATTGGGAAGATGGCGATGCCGCCCTGTCGAGTCAAGGTCTAGACCCCAGCTAAACATCTCTTCTACCGACTTCACTTCGAATCAGTAAATTTAGGTGATTCTAATTCAACCTGCCTCCTAGTTGTCTGCAGCTGGGTCTCAAAATGCCACATGGACCTGACACGGTATCCTGCGGTTACAACGTGGCGATCCAGTCGCTCGAAAACAGGGTGTACCACATGCCGCAGTCGAAGAGTAAAGTGTGACGAGCGTAGACCTGTGTGTCACAACTGCTCTCGTCTCCGCAAGAAGTGCGGCTACTTGGAAGGACACGAGCATGACTCGAGGCTGACATACAGCTCGGCCCCTGTGCTGCCGACATCCACAGGCATAAACCAGGGTCTTGGGCAAGAGGCTTTGTCACCTTCTATGGCTCTGCTCAATTCCGACTTCGATCTTGGCGAATGGGGAGACATCCTGGAGGATAGTGACTGGCTAGGAAGCAGTTCAATACTACCTAGCGCAGAAGATTTATCATCTCATACGACTCGTCAAGATAGTCTTGAAAGGGGTTCCAACATGTTCCCCTATTTCACGAGCAGCGTCAACCCACCATTCATCACGCCGTTCGACTCGGCCAATTGGGACCTTGCAAGACAGTACATTGCGGGATTGGCACCCTCGAACACCTTCATCGCGGCCGCGATCCAGTGTGTGCAAGTCCTCTACAGATCTTTGGACCAGGGGAATGACATCTCGGATGCCATGCAGTCTTACTTCTCGGCAAAGAGCATCTACTTGACCATGCTCAGCAGCGATGATCAAGGCCTGGAGCCTGTCCTCATTGTGACGTTCTTGCTTTGCATCTTTGAGATTGTGGCCCAACAAGAAATGATTCCGCACACTCTCAAGCAAAAAGATCCCTTGATCTCCAAAATCGACACGTGGGCAAAACTACAGCCCTGGCCACCGATTGCACGACGCATCACTGTCTGGCTACGGTGGCTTCACACAAAGTCCATGCATTTGGGTGGGCGTGGCATCCTCAGCCCGCAAATATTCGCTCTTCTACCGGTCGATCGGCACCCCGTCCCTCCCTTATTCTTCCTCCACGAAGATCCGCCTGAACCTGGCCTCGAACTTTTGGAGCCTACGATGTCGGCCTTGTTCCACTTCTACGACGAACTGCAGGACATCTCAGTCCAGGCCTCGGCTCTGAACAGGCATCATCGCTCGAGAGGGACTGTGGCAGACGAAACTGGCGTTCACTGGATCTCGATAAACATTGCCAACCACCTCAATTCCCTGTGGCAAACCAGGCCGTGGCTCTTGCGCCATCCTACCACAGGCCTCTTCAGCAGTCATCCTCAGCACAACCAACTCTGCGATATGTTGGTTGTACTATGCAGGGTATGCTATTTCGCAGAGACCATCTATCTCGACAGAGCACAAAGTAAAGATCGTACAGCAAGTCCCGATGCACAGAGGGCAAGGCAGGAGATTCGTCTCTCCGTGGACGAATTCTCCAGTCGTGCGACAACCCAGAAGCACCTGGATGCGGCTTTTCTCTGGCCCCTGTTTCTGTACGCCGTCGAAAGCCGTACCGGTGCAGACGTTGATTGGGCGCTATCCAAACTACGCTTGATCCAAGGCCCCCTGTGGCAAAGCGAGACCGTTACTACCTTTATCCAAGACTTGACCAGTGAACAACTCAGCCGAGGGGAGCGAGTGGATTCGCGTCTCTTTTGCCTCCAAAGATATGGAGGGCCTCCTCCGTATATTTGAAATCTTCCGACTACATACCTACGTATCAAGCTTTGTCCCCTTGTTCAGAAAGCGTGCACCGGCGATGCTGTGTTCTCATTCTGCACCACTCACGTATATCCGTGCCTCGAATGGTTCTAGTTTGGACTCGACATCCCCGACTGTGCGCATGATCAATTTGAATGTGTCCAACTCTATTTCCGCGGGGACTGTAAACTCCTTCGTCTCTGCCGACAGATTGGCCACAGTGAGAGATGTACAGCCTGAGTCAACGTCGTGTTTCGTGAATACAAAGATGTCAGCAGGAGACTCTACCATTGTGAACCGCCCATAGACAAAAAGACCGAGATACATTTTCCGGAGCGACAACATTTCTCGCCAGAAGCGAAGAACGCTGTCCCGTCGGTCCAGCTGATCTGCGACGCTGATCTCTCTGCACGAGGCTAATACCGGCATCCAAGGGTGAATCTCGAAGCCTGTAAAGCCAGCGTTCGCCGAAGAGTCCCACTGCATGGGCACTCTGGCATGATCCCGAGCGACTCGCTGTAGCGCCTTTCGAGCTTCCGCGATAGCCTCGGGGTCGTTTTGGGTCTTCGCGCAGACGTCGGCAAAATAGTTTCTCGACCGGACACACTGATAGTTTTCCACAGGCCAATCGACTGGCGCGTTGATCATTCCGATTTCCTGCCCTTGGTACAGGAACAAGGTGCCGCTCAGGGAACAAAGCACAGTCGACAGCATCTTTGCCGAAGCCTCTCGCAGGTGCGGGTCGTCCGACGCGAAGCGGGACACCGACCTTGGCTGGTCGTGGTTTTCGAGGAACACCGTAGTCCAGGCCGTGCCATCGTCAATGACATTCTGCCACTTGGTGAGCTCCCGCTTAAAATCTGAATTGTCGAATGCCACCGGGATGAATCGGTTTCCTGGTTTGGTTCCAAGGTACACCGTGTCAAAGTTGAAGACCATGTTGAGTTCCTTGTTCTTATTGGATATGTACTCGAGCACTTTGTTCGGGTCTGGTGTATTGGGTAGCTCTCCGACAGTCATGATCTCGCCAAACTCGGCGAAGACGCTGTTGATCTCGCGGAGGTATTCGTGGATTCGAGGTCCGTTCGTGTACATGTCAAAGGCTACCTGTGTGTCTTCTCCCGGGTCGGAGATCTTCGCATCCGGCAGTCCAGGGACTTTGGAGTATTTGTTGACCGTGTCAATCCGGAAGCCATCCACACCGCGTCTGAGCCAGAACCTGATGGCACTCTCGTAGATGGCCCGACGGCACTCTTCATTTTCCCAGTTCAGATCTGGTTGTTGATCGGCATAGACGTGAAGGTAATATTCTTGTGTCTTCTCATCCCACGTCCATGCCGGAACTGTGAATTGGCTTCGCCAATTATTCGGAGGCAGCCTTTTTCCATTTGGATCATATCGTGGTGGCCTCCACATATACCAATCTCTTTTGGGGTTTCCTTTTGAAGACCTGGACTCTTGAAACCAAGGGTGTTGGTCGGATGTGTGGTTGATGACTAGGTCGAATAGTATCCGCATGCCGCGTTTATGTACCTCGTCTATCAGGCATTGACAGTCCTCCAGTGTGCCATAGGGTTCGTGAATATCTTCAAAGTCACTAATGTCGTAGCCCATGTCCACCTGCGGACTCTTGTAGTGCGGTGCAACCCATATGGCGTCGACTCCGAGATGATGAAGGTAATCCAACTTGGAGATTATACCCTGTATGTCTCCTATGCCGTCGTTGTTTGAGTCTTTGAAACTGGCCGGGTAGACTTCGTAGACGACTGCTTCTTTCCACCATAGCCGGTTCTGTCTGGTGGTAGCGTAGATCATCTTTCCACTATATTTCGGTTGCAATGTCAATCTGTCGGTCAAGAGGTGTTTCTTTCTTTTCTTTTTGCGAACACAGCATCTACTCTGGTGATTTTGACCCTGCGGCGTCTAGGGTTAAATGAGTCGCATTTTGCTCCCTCCCTAAGGCAATTCCGAGCCGAGGGAGAGAGTCTTTGCCGACCGCTGATGGATGCATCTGGCGAAGATCTTCTTGACTTATCCAATCGCAAGATCTTTTGTCAAATCCCTCTCGCCATTGACACATGGAATTCAGCGTCTTTAATCGCCAGTGGCCTGAGAGCCTCGAACATGATGGGGGTTGTTGGTGGCGATACATCGTACCGGTCGAGACGATCGCTTCGGTCGCTACGACAATCGTCCCGATCGCTTGGACCCCAGAAATCTTTTCCGGCTGTTCGATGATTGGTTTCATCTAACCACCATCCAAAAAGCACCCAATCGCAGTATGTTTCGAGACAGAAATGAAAATATTTGAGTATGTCTTGGCTACCGATCTCCTCGTCTGCTCCGTATCTGGAGAAGAGGCGGAGGAAAAGATGTATAAATGTCGTTGATCCTATCCGGGGATTCTGAGAATGGAGCTTCGCATCGACAGGACACTCTTTTTAACTCTGGTCACCAAAAATACCCTTGCAAGGCCCACGACTATTTACGCATCTCTCGCAGCAAGACTGACAAGTCAAGATGGATGTCCTCGAAAAGCACACCGAACAAACCACCCACTCCGAGGGTCAAAATGATACGACTCGGGGCGACCTTTCTGCTGCGCAGGCAGCAAACACCCAGGAACACCAGCTCACGTTTTGGAAATCGGTAAAGGCCTATCCAAAAGCCATCGGCTGGTCGGTCCTCCTGTCCACGGCGATCGTCATGGAAGGCTACGACACGAAACTGATCGGGTCGTTGCAGGCGCAGCCGGCCTTTCGCAGGAACTACGGTGTCGAGGTGAAGCCGGACAGTTACCAGGTTACCGCCCCATGGCAGGCCGGGTTGGGCAATGGCGCGACGGTCGGACAGTGTTTCGGTCTCGCCCTCGTCGGTGTCGTCACGGACAGGTTCGGGTTCAAGCGTACGAACATGGTGGCTCTCCTCATGATGGTGGCCTTCATCTTCATCCCTTTCTTCGCACCCAACATCAAGGTCCTCCTGGTCGGTCAGATTCTTTGCGGTATTCCGTGGGGTGTTTTCCAAACACTGAGCACCGCATACGCCGTCGAGGTGTGCCCGTTGCACCTGAGGGGTTACTTGACTACCTACGTGAACCTTTGCTGGGTACGTTTCCCTTTTGATTCCTCTCTCTTGCGTCCACTCCCCCTTCTGTTAATGCTGATTGGCTTATTTCTCTCCAGGTATTCGGACAATTCATTGCCGCAGGAGTTCTTCGAGGTGTGGCGACAAGAACGGACCAGTGGGCATACAGGATCCCTTTTGCCGTCCAATGGGTATGGCCCATCCCACTCGCGATCGGATCCTTCTTCGCACCCGAGTCGCCGTGGTGGTGTGTTCGCAAGAACAAGATCACCGAAGCCAAACACAATCTAGCCCGCCTCCTGTCTTCCTCTTCTCGTGACTCTCCTTCGGTCGGGTCGTCGCAAGTAGTCGATGTCGACGAGGTCGTGGAGTTGATGAAGGTCACAGTGGGACAAGAAAAGGAAGCCGGCACGGGTACTCACTACACGGACTGTTTCAAAAAGACCGATTTACGGCGGACGCTCACCGCCTGTGCCGTCTGGGGCATGCAGATCTTGTCGGGGACCGGCCTGAGAGTCTACTCGACCTACTTTTACGAGCAGGCCGGGCTGGCCACCACCCAAGCCTTCAACATGTCTCTGATCCAGTACGCTCTCGCCGTGGTCGGGGTCTGGATTGCCTGGGCGGTCCTCCCGCACTTTGGCCGTCGCACTTTGTACATTTGCGGCCTGAGCGGGTTGGCCGCCACCTTGCTCGTCATCGGCGGGCTGGGCTGCGTCAAACACCCCAGTTCGAGCGTCAGCTGGGCTATCGGTTCCTTACTCCTCGTCTACACCGTCATCTACGACATCACCATCGGCCCCATATGTTATTCTCTCGTGGCGGAAATCCCTTCGAGCAGGTTGAGGAGCAAGTCGATTGCCCTCGCCAGAATCACTTACCAACTCCTAAACATCGCGTTTGGGACCTTGACGCCCTACATGCTCAACCCTAGCCAGTGGGACCTGGGTGCCAAAACTGGATTCGTCTTTGCCGGAACGTGTCTGCTCAGTTTGGCCGTCACGATCCTTTTTGTGCCAGAGACCAAGGACAGATCTTACGCTGAGTTGAACATTTTGTTCCATGAAAAGGTGCCGGCTTGGAGGTTCAAGGATACAGAGGTTGATATTGCGGATGGTTCAGCGAGAACTTTCAATGAGGAAGACAGGTAGACGTGATAGGTAAGACAGGTCCATAGGGTGCATTCACCAACTCGCCCAACAATCAACGAGTGAAGTTGTTTGTCCCAAAAAAAAACCTGGATAAACCAAAATTCTACCAGAAAAACAAAAATTTGAAGGTGTCTCGAAGCCCCGACCCGTCTTTCGACCCGGTCGGCGCTCCTAATACTTATCCCGACTATGACCATTCACAAATCTCTACTCCATAGAGGAACGTATTAATCCGTAATACTTGTAAGAGATGCTACAGTAGTCATGGAAACCTGCCAGACTCCCAGTTTAATCCCACTAAGCTAGTTTCCAAGGATAAGCCCAACCTCCAAACCACTTTGTAACAAAGTCACATTGCGACGTGGTGAGTCTTTTACTAGTTGGGCCATCAAGGCGATCAATGTTGAAGGAAAGTTCACTGGAATAAACATATGAAGGGCACAAATTAAACGAGGCATTCACTTGAGGTCTGGTTGGGTTCACTTACTGCATTCACACACCGCATTCACCAGGTCCTGCGATCCAAGTAGGAAGGGTCTCAATCAATGGATAAACGGTGAAGTCCATTTACTTCGCCAGGTGTCGAGATGTCGAACTCAATCTGTTCCAAAGTACGAGTAGTGATAGTAAATCAGACGGAGTCGACTAGGTATTCTGACTGGTACGAGTATTCTATAGGTACACAAGACGCTCTGGTCATCGAGTCCCAAGGACTGGCGAGATACCAGTCTATGACGTGTCGACTCCGAGGGGTCATCAATCTCCCTCAGCCTCGTTCATAACTAGAACCGTCCATGCAACAGAATAAAATCAAGTAATCCAAACTTGGGGGCTTTTATCAGACCGAGGCTTTTCTCAGACCGAGATTTACCTCCATAAAGCACCCAGCATGTCTTTTACCCGTAGCCCCGCGTTCCCTTTACTCAGTCTTCTCACCAATCTGACAGCCGTCGGCAGTGCGACATTCTACTTGCATTCATGGAACAAGTTTATCTATGAAGAGAACGAAGCACGTATGGATGAGATTGAAGGGACACTGAGGGGCCACACAGGGTATGATCCGTTCTCATTCATCCAGACAAGACTTTTCGAAGGCTAACATGTACGACTCGCACGAAGGCTCATCGAAGAATCTCTCGACAGACTTGAGGGGAAGGCTGGAGAAAAGGATACCGGGGAGAAGATGTGAGTGCTGCCCGTCAAGCCACTCAAGAGGTTATCGCCACAGACTTTGAGGGCAATGTACTTTCAAGTGGCAGTCGACCATTAGTTTACGCTGATACTAGGGATGGCCAGGAATGATTATTATGGAAAGCGGACCCGCGATGAGAAGGAGAAGCGGAAATAGGTTTTGGGCAAAAGGCAGACTGAGTGCTCTTCATGTTGCCCTCCTATCCTCCTACAGTGGTGAATGGGGCCGGAGTGGATATGGTCGACAACCATTCCACATGTTGTCGTCTTTCAGCGTCCAGGACGTTTTGATATAATGTGTCAGTCATTCAATGACTGTATGCAGCTGGAGGAAGATTCAAAAGCTCAGAGCATATAGCATCTCCTTGATCATCCTCCCTGGCTCAACTACCTTCAGTGCACATGGTAGAAAGACTCGGCAGTGACGAGAACCTCTAGTTGAGTATGAAGCTCGTTACAAGATTGGAACATGGGGCCTCATGAATTCAATGTGCATTTGTCGAGTAGATCGTCTTCGCAAAGTGGCCATTGCCTCAATTGCCAACAGATGCGATAGTTAGTCGGAAATGGACCACGGTCCAGCGAGTGGCACCGGAAGCCGAAAGACTCGAGATATCCAAACAGGGACGGTGCTTTCAGTGGTTGACTTCTGTCTGTGACTGCATACCTAGGTATGACACTTAAAATACCGCCAGTGGATGAATATCGGAAGGATGAGTACTGGTTGCGATCATAGACTTCGTGGCAGCAACCTGGTTTTCGGAAGGTGAGTTTCTCAGAGGGAGTATTTTGGTTCAGGTGACTTGTTGTTGCTGCTGCTCTTGTTGTTGCGCTGTTTCGTGGCCTTGCTTCCATTCAAATTCTCCCATTGTTAGCAGATGCAAGTGTAGATCAGCAGGGAGGGACTTACTCTGCCGACACATAGGACACAATCCTTTCGAGGACTCTTGCTGGATCCATGTCAAGAGACAGTGCTGCATATTGTAAGTCTCCAAGAGGCAGATTGTTTGTAAAGTGATGTACACACCATGTGGAATGAGTGGCCACATTTCCCCATTAACAATGTACAGTCGTCTCCTGGAAACTTGCATGTAGGACAAGTTCCATCGAATTGCACGCGACAAATGCCACAGACTTCATCTTCTGGCATATCCCAGCGCCATGTTGCAACGGCATGCCATTTTTTGATTTTGACCTTCATGACTGGATAGTCGCAAGTGAACAAGAAGGTTGTGGTCTAACAAAAAACAGAATATGATATCTCGGTTGGTGTTTGTGTATGGATTGTTGACGCGCGATAGCACGGGCCAAAGGCAACAAAAGTGACTAAGTGACTTAAGTGGCTTGAAGAACGAAAAAAGAAATATAGCCGAGTCGTGGATAGCGGAGGAGGAGGATTGAGACAAGAGTCAAAAGGTGGAGTAGTTAACTATGAGCACATCCTAAATTACTTGTTACTTCTGATAGCAGCTGCTTGCTTCTCTGCTCACTCATTCACCCCACAGACTTGCGGACAAGTCCCTGCGATCTGCAGCATCCTACCGATCTCTTTTCGTGGTAGCAGTGTCAGTTCCCGCGCAGCATGAGGTGATAAGCTATCACATCTTCATCATGATCACAAGCATTCTTGCTCGGCCTTTATTACGCCAGCAAGCTCCTCTCTCCCGCATCGACACTCATCTTCGGAAGTCCATCATGTCTCAGCGGCAAGCCTTCTCCTCCTACTTTGTGACGCCCAAAGAAGTCAACGACGCAATGAGGCAGAATGCTCCCACGACTATATCCACGTCTCCGAAAGTCATCCCCATCTGTGCAGCATGGTTCATGCCGAACGACCCTGAGAAGAGAACTGGCCTTGAGATCTTCAAGAAGAGCAGAATACCGACTGCGAGGTTCTTTGATATTGACGAGATAAAGGACAAGGAATCGGAATATCCGCACATGCTCCCCACATGTGACGAGTTTGCCAACGCCATGTCCAAGCTCGGTGTCAGGAAGGAGGATGAGCTGGTTATCTACGACACTGAAGAACTTGGATTATTCTCGGCGCCTCGAGTTGCATGGACGATGCGCGTATTTGGTCACCCAAAGGTCCATGTGCTGAACAATTTCCGCCTCTGGGTCAAGGAGGGCTGTCCTGTTGAGACCGGACCGCCTCAGATTCCGAACATCACTAAATACCCAGTGCCTAGTTACAACACGGACATGGTGGTGAAGTTTGCCGAAATGAAGACCATTGGCTATGATCATGGAAAAGAAGGCGCCGAGGATATACAGATCTTGGACGCTCGGCCAAAGGGTCGATGGGAAGGGAAAGACCCAGAGCCTCGACCTGGTCTTAAGTCTGGACACATGCCAGGCTCAACAAGCCTCCCATTTACTGAGCTGCTTGACCCGGAAACAAAGACGTTACTGCCCAAGGAAGAGTTGATCAAAGTCTTTGAAGCTAAGAACATCGATTCTAAAAAGCCGATCATCACCAGCTGTGGCACCGGGGTGACAGCAGCCATCATTGAAGCTGCTCTCAAGGAGGCGGACTTTGGAACAGAGAATGATCGAAGACTATATGATGGTAGCTGGACGTGAGCAACCCCTTCCCCGACTCGTGGCTCGTTTAGAAGACTAATGTTGCATAGGGAGTGGGCCTTGCGAGTATCGCCTACCAGTGGCCTGATCCAGTCCAGCAAGGTTTCACAATAAGCCGGTGGCAGCTGCTCGCATCTTTTCGAACAAGTATTGAGGCGCATGGTGCAATGAATTCGTTGCCGCGTATGAATTGACGGTGGCTTGGGACGTATGCCGTTAGCGACGGCGTAAAGGCGTTTTATTGATTTTCATTTTCATTTTCATTTTCATTTCATAGGCTGATATGGTTTTCCAAATCCAATCCCCTCCGTCATCTGTGCTGTGCTACTTTTCCAGCAGCTTGTAACTCGTGTTCGAAAGTGTTCATTTGCCCACTCGTATAGATAGTTGTGGCAGAAATCCGATTGGCGGAGCGAACTCATTCCTCCGCACGGAATGGTCAAGCTGCAGATTCGAGCCCGAAAGAATTAATTATCCATGTTCATTCTTGACCCAAGCCTCGTGTGCAAAGCAATTCTGCTACCTGTGTCGGTCCGTGTATCCGAGGCTCTTGCAGCTTGTCAATTCTATTTCTAGCGCTTCGGTCGATGTCTCGGTGACATGACCCAAGTAGCTAAAGATGCGGCCAAGTTTCTGAAGAGCACTCTACGTCTGCCTTCTTCGACGTTTCCACCTCGACCACATCCTACGGATGTCGCAAAATACCTCCCAAAATGTACCGATGAGCTCTATGCATGGCAGCGACGCGAGAGGCCTGCCTCGAACACCTTTATCCTCCATGACGGACCTCCCTATGCGAACGGCGATCTGCACGTCGGACACGCGCTCAACAAGATTATCAAGGATATAATATGTCGATCTCGGCTTGCGGAGGGCAAAAGGATAGACTATGTTCCTGGATGGGATTGCCATGGGCTGCCTATCGAGCTCAAAGCGTTGGAACACCATGGCTGGGCTCGTGGACAAGGGGTCGACCCTGTGGCCATACGAAAAGCGGCGCGCAAGTTTGCCTATAAGACGGTCGACAAGCAGATGGCAGGATTCCGGTCTTGGGGTGTAATGGGTGACTGGGAAAATCATTGGCTGACCATGCAGAAGGACTTTGAGTTGAGGCAGTTGTCCGTGTTCCAAGCCATGGCAGAGCATGGCTTGATTTATCGCAAGAACAAACCTGTGTACTGGTCACCGTCTTCCGGGACGGCTCTCGCGGAAGCAGAGCTCGAATACCAGGAGGACCATGTGTCTAATGCGGCTCTGGTCAAGTTCCAGCTTAATGGCAGGATCACTTCTGTCGATGAGCCAGTTTATGCACTGATCTGGACCACCACGCCCTGGACTCTGCCTGCCAATCAGGCCATCGCGATCCATTCAGGACTTCAGTACTCCCTAGTGCGGCTGGGTAGCCATGGACTGATCATCGTAGCGCGGTCGAGAATACAATACCTCGAAGAAACAACTGGGCATCAGGCAGAAATTGTAATGGAAAACATACCCACCGATCAAGTTTTACAGAGCACCTACTCTGGTATTGCACAGCTAGCGTCAGGTCCAGAAAGAAGACCCGTCATACACGCGGACTTTGTCTCTGCTGATAGTGGTACCGGCCTTGTTCATTGCGCACCAGGCCACGGCATGGAAGATTACGAGGCTCTGCAACCTCTGATCAAGAGTGGCAGCGTGTCGGTGAAAGCACCGGTCGACAACCTCGGCCGCTTCGACGACACTGCATCTCCAAGTGACCCTAGTATGCTTGCTGGGAAGTATGTTTTCAAGGAAGGGAATCAAGCCGTGCTGAATTTGTTACAAATGGAGGATCTCCTGGTGCACCAGCACAGCTACAAGCACAAGTACCCGATCGACTGGAGGACCAAGGAGCCTGTCATCATTCGTGCGACCGCACAATGGTTTGCTGAAATTTCAAAGATCCGAGCCGACACATTAAGCGCTCTCGATAGTGTGCAATTCTTCCCTGAATCGGGGAGAAGTCGACTCCGGAGTTTCGTCGAGAACAGAAGCGAGTGGTGCATATCTCGTCAGCGCGCTTGGGGTGTGCCTATTCCTGCAATCTACCACAAATCCACGGGCGAGGCGGTTCTGACACCTGAAAGCGTCACACATATCACCAATGTCATCAAAGAACGTGGTATCGATGCTTGGTGGTCGGACGCACCAGACGACCCAGCATGGATCAGTCCTGGACTTTCATCCGACACAACTGGCTTTGTCCGCGGCACAGATACGATGGACGTCTGGTTCGATAGTGGTACCAGTTGGATGTATATGCTCAAAGATCAGGACAACTTTAAGCCTCGGTCAGGTCCCCTGGCAGACGTCTACATGGAAGGTACAGATCAGCATCGAGGCTGGTTCCAGTCAAGTTTGCTCACGAACATTGCCTATCAGAAGTCCACGCACCCGGACGCTTCTTCGTCTCACGCTCCATTTCGTATCCTCGTCACACATGGTTTCACACTCGATGCGCACGGCAAAAAGATGAGCAAGTCTCTCGGTAATGTCATTGCACCAGATCAAATCATTGCCGGCATTGAGCCAGCTGTCAAGCCTACTGCGAAGAAACAGAAACGAGAAAACCACCCCCTGGGACCAGACGCGCTGCGGTTGTGGGTGGCCAGTAGTGAGTGGACGAAGGATGTGGTGATCAGCGAGAAGGTGGTTTCTGCGGTGCATAACGCTCTGGACAAATACCGGCTTACCTTCAAGATGTTGTTGGGCATGCTTGCAGACTTCGACCCGGCCATGGCAGTTCCGTACAATCAGATGTCGCGACTGGATCAGATCGCCATGCACCATTTATACTCTGCAGGCACAGCTGTTCGAAAGGCATACAGTGACTTGGAATTCCACAAGGCGGAAAGTAGTCTCTATCGCTGGGTTGCGATGGACTTGTCGAGTTTTTACTTTGAGGCGATCAAGGATACAATTTATTGTGACAAGCCTGCCAGCGAGAGAAGATTGAGTGCCCAGACAGCTCTACACCATATTTTCTGTCAGCTGCAGGAGATGTTAGGTCCAATCACTCCCTTGCTCGTCGAAGAGACTTGGGCATATGCACCAGAAGCATACAAGACAGGTATGGAACATCCGCTGAAAAGGGTATGGGGAAATCTACCTCAGAGGTGGCATGACACACGACTTCAGAAGACACTCCCAGCACTCATGGCTATTAAATCGAGCGTGAACGGTGCACAAGAAGGTGCGAGAACGAGCAAATTAATGGGACAGTCATTGGCGTCGGATGTGACTCTCTATCTCTCGAGTGCTGTGGACGTGTCGAGTATTCCGGAAGAGACATGGAAAGAAATTCTAGTTGTGTCGGGGTTTCAGATACTACATGGAGATGGTGAGCAACCTGGAAATACTGGGGATCTAAATATGCAGGATGGGGGTAAATGGGCCAGAGCAAATGAGATTGTGTCGACCACCGGAGAGAAGATCGGACTTGCTCTAGTCCAGAATCCTCAAAAGGACAAATGCTCAAGGTGTTGGAAATACGTGGTGGGATCTGAGGAGTCAGAGACTTCGACGCAATCATCTGAGACGAGCGCGTCAGGTGAACCTCCTCTTTGTGACCGATGTACAGATGCTGTTGCAGAGTTTCGCCAGTGAAGCGACTGAACGGATCAAACGAAGATATCCCTGTACCAACATATTACTCGTTACTACTGTGTATAGTTAGCTTGTTGCATCTTTACTCCAATGTGAAAGGAAACAGTGTCCCACTACCGAGTATTTCCGTGTGTCATGGTTCAGGGAAGATTGGCGTGGAGTATGGCGCTTCTGGAATGGTTTGCACGACAATTTCTGCTGGTCATGGGGTTTTGACGTGCGGTGAGAAATACCTGGTGTATGGCCGCTTATTCAAGGGATGAGGTTGGTGTGTGGGGGGGGGAACGTGGCTGTGGCTGACTAAATGATTGACATGTTCAATCAACCAACTTCTTTCTTGGTTTGGCTGGTGTATCGTTCGATGGGCGATCAAGTCTTGATGTGAAGATCTGAGGATTACTAGAGCCATCGAATGCTAATACTCGTAAGTCAGTAATGTCGTACCCGGTGGCGGTGTATCAACCATGGAATCTGATGCTGGACTGCTTGGTTTTTCCGACGTCATGAAAGCATGCATTGCGGATAGCTCGACGGTCTAGCCTCCCGCCTCCAACCAGGGGTGGTACGAGCGATCTGCTTTTGGGGGGGAGTAACATGCAGCTAACCGCGGCGTCGGCTTGCGGTCTGATACAAGTACTGCACACGGTACATCTGTCAATGACTGTACGATTGAGCGATTCGATTCCTGTGACGTTGCCGAAGTCGCTGGAGGAGACAATTGTAGCAAGTAATTCACCATCAATTAAGGGTAATAAGGGGAGGTATTCCCTCCCTACGGAGTACATGCTCGGTACTTACTGGGCACGCTGAGGGCGCCGAGGGCGCTGTAACGAGTACAACGAGGTGGACACTCCAGGCCTCTAGGCGTGGCTGGTGCAACAATCACAGCCTCTGAATGGTCACCTCTGACGCTCGCCCCCTGGTCGATATAGCGCTGCCCCGCATCATGCACAACTTTGACCTCATCGCAGCTTTGGGGCCTTTGAAACACAATCACCAGTCAGAAGTCAATCGGCGGATTCGATGGGTGATCAGTGAACAAGACTGACGATGTAAAGTAATGCAGTGATGGTCCATGCCTGGCACGCTCACCAGCCAACAAGCTGTCAGCAATCAGACACTCCTCCTTCCTCTTCGTCATCGTTACTCGCCATCGTCTCTTTCTTCTCCTCAAATAGACTGGGCTCCTTCCCAAAGCACTGACTCGTACCCAGTCACCTCATCCTCGTACCTCTTTGACTGCTGCCTTCTGACTTCTTTTCCCTCTCTCGTCTTTCTTCTCAACCACTCTCACGTCCCTCGACAGCATCTACTCTTCCTACTTGACACTGCACACCTCTTGAACTTGGTCTCTGCATCACCTCTCTACTCATCGTCAGCATGATTGTGCATCCAGACATGCTCAAGTCGGTGACTCCCACCTCCTCGGTGGCTCCAATTCCCACCATCATCCCAAACCCTGTCATCACGGTCGAGGCTGGTGACATGGGCAGGAGAACTCTCTGGTATTTCTTCTCCCAATACTACAGACAAGTCTAGCCACTGACAAGACGCTCTTCAGGGTTGTTGTCGTCCTTATGGGCCTCTCTTCTCTTGCCTTCTATGGCATGGCTTTCCGTGTGCCTGTGGTATGTCCAGTCCTGCCTTCACTGACCGAGGAACCACGTGCTGACAATCCCTAGCAAAAACGTCTCTTCCACATCCTCACTGCCTTCATTACCACCTTTGCATTCATCTCCTACTTTGCCATGGCTACTGGTGACGGCGTGAGCTACAATACCTACACTGAGACCATCCACCACAAGAAGGTTCCAAACACATACCAGGACTACAGGAGAGAGATCTATTATGCACGCTACATTGACTGGGCTATCACCACCCCACTTCTCTTGCTCGACTTGTGTCTTCTTGCCGGTCTGAGTGGTGCCAACATCTTGGTTGCAGTTGTTGCCGATGTCATCATGATCTTGACAGGATTGTTTGCTTCTTTCGGCAGCAAGAGCAGCCAAACCTGGGGATGGTATGCTTGGGCTTGCATTGCCTACCTGGTGGTCGTCTACCAATTGGCTTTCAATGGCCGCACAGCCGTTGCCAACAAGGACAGCAAGACCAAGGCCTTCTACGCTTCTATTGCTGGTTTCACCCTTATCTTGTGGACCATCTATCCAATGTGAGTGCTTTCTGGTATGCTGACTGTACATTTACTGATAATTATGTAGAGTTTGGGGTCTGTCCGAGGGCGGCCATGTCATCAACGTCAACCAGGAGATCATCGCCTATGCTGTGCTAGATATCCTCGCCAAACCAGTATGGGTCAATTTACAGTTCTCTTGAATTTTACTGACTTGTCTTAGGTCTTTGGTTTCTGGCTCTTGTTCACTCATGATAGCATGTCGAGCACCTCTCCATCTCTTGAAGGTTTCTGGTCTCAAGGCTTTGGCAGTCAGGGAACTCTCCGAGTGGGTGATGATGACGAAGCATAAATGCATCTACTGATCTTGTTCAGGTTGGTGATGACGACTAAATTGTTCATACCACTCGTGGTTTCAATGACTGTGGACCAGAAGATCGATGGGGTTGAAATGTCAGCAAATGGAGAAGAGCGAGGGAGAGTGGAGATGACAGGTGTGAACTGTGTGGTAGTAATGAGGAACAACTCATGACAGCGACGATATGCTCATGGTACAGGCACAATGGCTTTTTACTTCCATCATGATTAGGAGACTTGTGAGGAGAAGGTCCAGCATTCTGGAGTCTGTGGGCTTTCTGAAGGCTCGCAAGGCTCAGCCAACTAATTGTACATTAGCATCCTTTCCTTAAGGCATATCCAGAATCGGCGTCAAGGTTGTTTGACCCAAATATTATGATTAGCGAACTGGAAGCATGCACCATGTTAACTGTGCAGACCAAACCTTTTCTATTTAATATTCTGCTGACTCTAGGTCGTACGTGGTACTGTTATATTCTGGGTTTACAATGTAAGTGTGGACGAAATCGCGAAGCATATCTGGAGCGACACAGTCTCAAGCATGGCTCAAGCAGTGTAACCAGGTTTTTTACGAGTGTAAGGGTTATTAATGACTTTCCTTCCCTTTCAAGATTCTTGCAATGCTGGGAAATCATTGGTGGTTGCCTGGCTGAAATACTCGTGACTTGTTTCTCACGTCACCTTTTTTGAGCCTCTGTTGATTTTTGTTCTCATGTACACAACACTTTCTTCCTAATTGTGTTTGATACCACGAAGAAAACAATTCTACCGATCCAGAATCTTGATTCACCTTGTTGCCTCGTCTCTTGAGAAAAGGTTCTCAACCTCAATAACCTCTCGGATTTCTTCCATTCTCTTTCCTGTTCCTCATCATCATGGCTTCCGCCTACGAACACCCGTGGTTCTGGTCCACCTTCATGGTCATGGCGATGCTTGTTCTTCATCTACCTGTCGTTGTGGCAGCTCGAGTTGACATTCGGTTGAGTTTTCCTTTCTCTCGTTTACAGGATTGGCTTCTAGTTGGCACCACCACCACCACCACCATCACCAACAGTACTACTCGTAATGTGACATACTGACAATGTCGAAATGGAACAGTGCGATTTCTACCGACACTCCTCCTGCTCCAATCGTTACCAAATCATCATCTGCCACTCGTACCGACGGTTGTACTTTTACTGCATTCACCGAACCGGTCATCGCCATAGGCCCTACCAAGACCGAATACACCTTGACCACTTACACTTCGGCCTTGTATGATTGTGATGGATGTGAAGATATTGATGTGGTTGTCTTGGGTCACATTTTTGTGGTACGTACACTCTTTTTTTCTTTAACTTACTGTTCAGTACACTATCTATCCTATTCCGTCACCACCTCACTACATCTATTTGAACGTGGCCGTGGCGTATATGTGTGTGTGTGTGTGTGTGTGTGTGTGTGACACTGTCACCATCCTCCTCCTCCTCCTCCATTTTTTTCTTGTATGTCAGTGTTTTCTGCTTGACTTACATCGCTGACCTTTTTTTTGGCTATGTGTGTAAATAGAAAGCAAGTTTCACCACAACTGTGACCGCAACAAACGCTACAACCGTCACCAATGCTCGTTGCAGCCCGACTCCTCTACCTACTTCTTCTGCTTCTCTCGTGTCTATTTATGGACGTAATGATTGAACCCGTCGCTTGTTCATCACACACGACCACCTTTTGTAGGATGGGAGACATTTTGCCAGATGGGACATACTCAAGTCTGATATGATTGAGTTTCCAAGAGAAAACATTCGAATGAACACAAGACACAGACTCAGAGATGGTGTACATCTTTTAAGCCTAAATGAAGGAATACAGGTAACATGTGATACTACTCGGTATCAGTATCAGTATGGGTTATCACTATCACAAATCACCGTGGCCCAACAACGACAGACTTTGCATCACTAGTCTGGTGTGGCGGCAAGGGTTGATACCAAGTCATTCCTTTTTAACAGACATTAATCAATATGCTGGTGGGAAACATGGTGATGGAGATGGAGATGGAGACTCGAGAGTCGAGAGACAAGGTCTTTGCAAAAAAAACAATGGAAGACACTGAGAGAAGTGCTGCAACAATCAAATGGGTCATGGTGGTATCTCATGTGTTTTGATCAAAAACTATTGAGTGATTACCAGACAGTTGCTGTGTTTTTTAGAAAATGAAACAAGAAAAATACTATGGAATACCATACTATCATTGCATGTTTTCTGTTCATCGTACATGTGGTATCGATGATGCTCGTTCGCATACGGGTATGGTAGGCCAAAAGATTCAATGCTCACTTCCCGGTGGTTTTCCCATCAACTACTTGACTGCAGCAACTGACTTGGTAGGTATTTCCCCCTTGATTTTATTCTCGACACTTTGACAAGAGTCCTCAACTTCTCCCTTTGATTTCTCTTTTCTCATTCGAACAAAAAGTTAACCTGGTTGATCCTGGACTGACTGGATACCACTGCCCTTTTGTTTTTGGTTCTTGCCCTTTTTCCCCTTTTGATCGTCCATCCCCATACGAAAGTATCTACCTAGGTAGTCAAACACGAATATCGTGAATCCTCCGAATGACATGTTGTATGAATCCCACCCCTAGCGCGACATCTTCTCCTTCTTCTTTTTCCTTTTCTCCGTTTCCACCTCCCACATGGTCTTCCCCAACCACACCGTCGGGATCAGCGTCGTCGTCGACATCGTCAACATCGCCACACGCCAGACACGACACCGTCAGGTCGGCATACTCTTGGCCCATGGTGGTGGGGAGACGAGTATCGGCCAAGATCGTCAGGACCGCCTTGACGTTGTTTGCTTTCTTGACCGCGTCCTTTTCCGTCCAGATTTTCCGTTCTTGTCCTTCGTGGTCGTCGTCGAATGGTGACATGACCGCGGCTCTGAGACGGTCCGAGACCTCGGGTCGAACGACACCTCTCGAGTCTTCGACGTAATCCACAAACGAAAACCAAAGCCCAATCTCCAAAAGGCACACCCCGAGACTGTAAATGTCGTGTCGCATGGTGTGTTTGAGGTACGGATGTGAACCTTGACGATCGGGGTGACGGTCTTTGGAGGAAGAGAATGTCATTATTAGTATTGTCATTCTTAACAAGGCATTCGGATTTTGTTTCTCTCTCTGTGTCTGTGTCTGTCTCTCTGCCTTTTTCCGCGGGCCTGTGTGTACTCACATATATTACGTGCCATTATATCATCACCTCGAAGGTAAGATTGTCCTTCGGCCAAACGAAACTCGGAGAATCCTACCAAAAAAGCATGACCCAGGTATGGTGATGTACCATTGACGTTGTTGGAATCTTTGCGGTCGGAAAACAAGAGTAGAGTCTCTGGTCTCACATTCTTATGTACGAATCCCGAAGTGTGGACGAAACTCACCGCGTTGCAAAGCCGTTTTGCCAGGTCGATGCGTTCGTTCAGAGGGCACGGTGTCTGATTGATCAAGACGCGACGGAAACTTCTAGGCGTATCCAAACCTTCTGGGACCGAGAAGAGAATGGACATTTGAATATCATCGGTCCTCTGAACTTTTGTCGTCGTCGTCGTAGTAGTAGTAGTGACGAGACGATGGGAACTAATGACTCCGCGACATCGTAACAGCCCAAATACCATTGGGTCAATGCTTGATAGTACCCGTGCCAATCTTCGAATGTTGCTCGTCGTCTGATTGATGTCGATGTACGGACCGTATCTGACGGTCTCGACGACGATCAAGTTTTGCTCGTCTTCCTCGTCTTCGTTTTCCTCCCAAGCTTCTTCTTCTCTAGCTTCGGCTTCGGCTCCTTCTGGGATCGGCATTTTCTTCTTCTCCTCGGTCACGGAAAAGGGAGAGTACAATAGGAGTCTTTTTTCAGAGGCCAAAATGTCCGGGTGGACGAATATGTCGACCTCTGGAACAGCGGTATTTGCCGGTAATACTTGAGCGGCAGCGGCGGCAAGTTGACCATTTGCCGGAGGATGCCCGTGAAAAACACCCACGCGAGCTTCTCGAAAAGCTCTCGCTCCCCTTACGACGCCCAGCCGATCTTCCTGCGGAGCGTCGAGGGTTTTTTTCAGTGTCACAATGGTAAAGTACCAAGAAGGATCGAATTCGGCCTGCCAATCCTTGATACTGTCGACGATGCCGTTCATAGTCTTGAAACGAAGCGCATATTCGGCCTTTGCTTTGCTGGTCATTTTCTTTTGCTGGTTCATGTGCGAAAAGGGCAGGATAATGGCACCCATAATTCCTCCTCCTCCTTCTGTGGTTTGGTTTTGTGGTAGGAAATGCTGCACACTAATGTCCGCTTGGTAGAGCTTGCTTTCCAAGACGTGAAGAGTCCTGGATTGAATCAACAAGAATGATTTTTCGAGTTCATTCGCTCGTTCTTTCAAGACCGAAACTTGGGCTTTGACTTTATACCACCGATTTTGAAGGCGGATGGTCAACTCGACCAGAGCCGTTTCGGCGTGGGCGTATGCTTTGCATCTTTCGATGAGCTTCTCGCCGTACCTGTTGTGTTGTACGCTCAAGTGTTAGTATAGCTCTGGTTGTGAAGGTACTTTCATTACGACGAATGGCTCTTGTTCCTCCCTCATACTCAAAGAGTGTAGATCCCCCTACTACTCAACGAGTGTAGAGGCGCCAACAAACATGACTCAACGCCAGGGACAAGTAGGTTCTGTTTCCTATTCCGATAAGGAGGAAAATGTTAAGTGAATGAGAAGAAATGCGAAGATACAAACTTGATGATCAGATCGACTAGTCCTGCAAGAGCCGCAGCCGTTGCAAGAGCTTCCATGCTACAGAGTATCCTGTTTCGCTTGAACTGGAAGAAGTTGCGAAATCAAAAAGATGTAAATGTGGGAAGTGACAAGGCTCAGTCTAAACCTCTTTTTTCCTTCTTGAGAAAATTCCTGAAGCTGTCTTGTAATCTGTACCCTCCTGTAAAGAGTGGCTTAGTCGGATATTTGTATGGTAATGCTAAACAGGCGAATGCATGTAGGAGTGGAACACATCCCACCCATGAGACCCGAGGAAGTAGGGGGCAGAAGTGCCTGCAGGTCGAGAGACCTTGGCGAATTGGCTCCTTGTACCCCCATCTCTCGGAAGGAGTCCTAAACCATTGTACAACCTATCTACAGAGTAGTTTGGTCAGTCAAAGCCATTCCACGAGACTGGCCGGGGTTGGAATTGAAAGGAACCACAAAGGAGGGGGAAGCCTGAAAGCCAACACACACAAATCCAACCTGTGGGCACAGGGTCGCCAGTAAACAAATGGTCTGAAGATTCAGCGCGCTACATGAGCGAATTGTGTAGAGAGGCGGCGCTCATCTTTGCACCAAGGAGTAACGCCAACGCAAAGACATGCAAGCCACGTCCTCTTCTTGGAATCACCAGTACAGCTGGTTGCTGCCACGTAGTGCCTTGTTCCTTTTTCCTTTCTGCTGTTTGGCATGGTTCATCTTCCAAGCTTCAGCGAAATGAGGCACCACTGTACGAGACAGGATAGCGCAGTAACACAAGAGACAGCTGGGAGAGGAAGTCTTTGGCCCGATTTGCAGTACAGCTGAAATTGTGGATACATCCGTATTCCAATGAAGGGGACTGTCCCGTCGACCCCTGACCAAGTCCCCCTCAGCTGGTGACTTGAGATCTTCCAATCCTCCAGCCCCTCCAATTTAGCAGTTTACTGTGCTGAGCAAGCTGGACCAACCCAAGCGATGTCTGGCCACACTGACACACAATACTCCGTATGAAGACACTCACCTACAGCGACCCAAGGGTTTGACCTACCTCTTCACACTTCGGACATTCGACCTCTACGGGTATGGAGTAAATAATCCGTTGACTAAGCGTAGTGGAAGGCTATGTATGCCCCATGATTAGGTAGTCATACTCCGTATTGCTTAATGTCGATATGTCCAGGGTTCAATGATTGGCAAAGCAGATATCGACCTGCTGAAATTAGAAATCAAAGGTAGCTATCGTGAGGGCTTCGTCGAAAGGGTTCACGCTCCTGATCGGGACCTCGGCTTGCCGGATAGCTACACCACAACAACATGGGATCGAGAAGAGGAGTATTTCGCCCGTGGAACCTATGGAACTCTGCATCTCGAGAAGGAAAGGGACGCCCGTGGACGCCCTGCGCGCGTCCGTGTCGTCAAGTTGTTGAAGATCGACGACTTGAACGCGGAATGGCACAGAGAGCTCGATGCTTTAGTCGAGTTTTCCCATCTCAGAGTACGCTGTCCCTTTCACTTTCCCTTGGTCCTGTCCAGATGTTGATTATCTCACCAAGTACTATGACTCTGGCTCGTTCGTCGACTTTGATGGATGGTTCGCAAACCGTAATTTTGTGTATTTGTTCATGGAATATCTTGAGCTCAAAAGCCTGCATGATGTCGTGGGAGCGAATTCACTCGCAGAGAACGAGATCCTTACTATTGCTATTCAGATACTGCAAGGAGTTAGCACCATGCATGCATCAGGATACGTTCATCGCGATCTCAAACCCCAGGTAGGCGACTTGAACTCTTTCTGGGCATACATCAACGGTTGACTGATTGGACAGAATATTCTTGTAGCAGTACAAAGCCCAGACTGGTGGGTGAAAATTGCAGACTTTGGACTCACAAAGGCAATCTCGAATGAGACGCTGGCACGGACAGCGGGGAGAGGTTCCGAGGGCTATGCAGCACCTGAAGTCTTCCGGGAGACCAGACCGAGGGACGACCGCGACACGTCGCATTATGACTACCTGGTGGACGTTTGGTCTATCGGCTGTATTCTTTTCAGATTGTTAACAGGGGCGGTGCCTTTCGAGGGTGACGATGTGAAAGATCACTATTCGAATTTGTCGTCGTTTCTCATTACGATGAAAATTGGACCGCGAATGATCACCGCCGACTTCACTTTCGCATTGCAAGAAATGCTGCAACCGAATCCGCGCCGGCGTATCAGTGCCGAGAACGCACTCGTATCATCCTGGATAATGGGCGCTCCTGCAGGTACGATTTGAACATTTCTCGATACTCTCCAGGCGCAAGAATTTCTGATTGTTGGCTTAGCCGCGCGAAGGGACCGCCGTCGACCCCGAACATCCAGGTGCTTGACCCGCAACATTACTTTCGAAGAGAGGCGCTCAATACTCATGGACGTGCAGCCGGAGATTCGGCGCCAGGGTTTAACCAACACTACCGAAGCTCTGCATCGGTTGGCAATGCAGGGAGATGTCCGCATGGTGCGTTCCCTCCTCGAATTGGGCGTAGACGCCAACTCTCCATGGATCTTCGAAGCTGCTTTATCCGAATCGTCCTTGAAGGGCAAGGTATCCCGTACGCCAATCGCTTCGGCTGCCAGTATCAGCTTTGAACAAGATACATGTATGGAGACCATGGAAATGTTACGCCTGGGAGGATGCGACATGAATGACTCACCTAGCCTCCCAGGCGCAACAGCAATTACAGCCTTACACGCCGCCACCTCAGCAGGCTTCGCAGACAGGGTAGACTGGTTACTCAACAATGGTTGCAGGAAGTCGATTGAGAAGGTGTGTGGTGAACTTCGACCATTGCATGTGGCAGCACAGGGCCGCGCCTACCAACACACGGATATTGTCGCATGCCTGCTGAAGCATAAAGCTGTCGTGAATGCAAGGGCAGGAGGACCTCTCGGCGCGACTGCAATTCACTATGCTGCCCAGTTGGGTCTCGATCGCACTGTTGATGAGCTCCTCAGCCGTGGTGCAGACATAAATATGTCTACCACTCTGACAGAGAGAACACCGTTACACATAACCATCGTCGGTATGGGTAGATATTCTTCGCGCCTAGTCATTCCAATCCCCACGTCTTCGCGACATGCCACTCAGCAGATGGGTCTTTCAGAAAATCGGTTGGCGGTTGCAAAAGTCTTGCTTAAACATCATCAACTCAACCTTCGAGCAATTGACGCAGATAGGATGACAGCATTGCACTACGCTGCTCGATACCAAGAGACAATGTTTGCACGCGAGCTCATCGAGGCTGCACAAGGTCAAAGGTCACTCCTGAACATGGAATGTATGGGTGCCACTGCTTATCAAATGGCCTGGGAAGCCACCGAACGAGCCAAAGAGAGCGTCATTGCCAACATGCTGGAGGCATATGCCACGCCTGAAAATGTGGCGCTTAGAAAAAAGAGAACCAACCCTAACATCTGGAGGAGATTGATTGGCCGTAACCGCAACGTGACGCCCGCTCGAGGTCACCTGGCACTGCGTGTGTTTGACGATGAAAGTGTGGTTGACAACGAATGGTCCTGAAGAGAATATCGAGGATACTGAGAAATGAAAAGAAATTCAGTCTTGACATGCCGAAGGTGGAAAGGTGGCAGGGAATAGGATAAACCTTTTGACGTTCCACCAAATAGCTAGATCATAATAGCATCGAACATTGCTCGAGCAACTCAAATTGAAAGAATCCCGAAAGTCAGCTTCAGGGTTCACCGGCCCCCGCAGGGATTGACGCGGATGGAAGTGTTACACGCCCGCCGACCTCATGTGGTCGCTGCCTTGACTTCTCCGAGTCATGGACTTCTGCCTTTTCACGCAGCTCATCCCACCTCCGATTCTCTTCTGGTCGTAACTTCCCTGGGAAAAAGACGTCGAGCATACTTCTCCCTACTTGTGTATACTTCTCTTCAACATCGAAAAGTGTGTCCATGACTTTGCGTCGCGCGATGACCTCGACAAAGTTCAGATGTATCCCATATGCACTTGGATGACGGTGCCAGCTCGCCACCAAGACGTTCTGCATCGTACCTAGGGCACACACAGCCATCAGATACCAAACGTCGTGCGTTTTTCCTGCCACGGTGATCAAGAGGGCGGACCAAAGAAATGCAAACGCCACTAAGGCGATGGAGGTTGCATCGAAGCTTCCTCGTGGGAAATCGTTCGGTGCGGCAAGATCTTCTAGATCTAGACCATGGCCGTTGCCAAATACAACAATCGCGTGCTGCGCTCCATTGCCTTTGGTGAGAATGACTGTCTTCCGGGAGTGGCGCCTGCATGCCCATTTCTCATCCTTCCACTGTGGGAGAGAGCCTGTAGCATATGACAACACAGTACCAATTGCAGTAATCAAAATGATTGACCAGTCTCCGTAGATGCCGACTGGTATGGCAGCAATTCCGAGTTGTACGAAAGTCGTGCAGAATCCTGAGTAGAACAGAAAGTCTAGAGCAGGTCTACCAGCCTCGGGGTTAAATCCTGCTTCGTAAATCGATACACACAGTCCAACACGAGGACGGAAATCTGCAGATGGGCCGGGAACAGCTTGAGGTTCTCGCTTCCAGAGCTTATGTTGTTCATGAATCTTGAGTTCCTCTTGGACCTGCGACATCTGAATAAGCACCCTTGGATCCATCCAGTGTACATAATCGTCCAATATCCTGTTGAGAATCCATCTATTGCACACACGCGAATATCCAGTCTTCGCATTGATCACCAAGCAGTTTGAGTCGGAGGGCATGAGATTCCCACGGCCAACGGAAAGGAGAGCAGAGAATGCATAAGCGACCCAACCTGTATGAGAACTAGTCAGTAAGACTCACTGGATTGAGTCTCAATGAACAACAGACCTGGCGGAAGGCAGCTTACCAAACGAAAAGGCAACAGGAGACATGAGGCCACCAGCTAGCTGCGCAAGAGCCTTCTGAACGATACCGGAGCCAGCCAGGAGGAGGATCGGAAAGACGACAGTAGGGTGAGCCCAACCATTACGGAGGTCATCCACGGCCGCTTGAGGGTCGAACATCTTGTTTCTGCGACTGTAACGGGGAGACTGTGTGATTAAAGGCTTTCGCTTGAATGTTGACCGCGCGGGCTTGGGATAAGCATCAAGTCATGTCGTATGTAGATCACATATTCGTTGATGTTGATATTCACAGGGTTTGCTTCTGCAGCACTCGTTGTAGAAGCATTGAGTGACTACGTCGATGGAAGCAGACACATACGCATCGAGCAGCGTGGTCACCTAGACCTCTAGGCAGTTGACGGAGACTTGTAAACGCAGCTGAGGACGAGAACTCTGGACCATGTGATTGGAGGGGAAATGACAGCGAATGGATGCATATCCGGGGCGAGGCTGCAGGGCCTTTACTCGTCTCGACAAGGCTGAGGGTCGGTCGAGAATGCGATTGGCGTTGCCATTGCTCAGTCTAAACATGACATGCGCTGAGATCCATCGCAACCGCCGACAAATCCACTCTTTGACAATCAAACATTCGACACTGAACGGAGTATGAGATCAACCCCTTTGCTTCCCTACGTTTCACATCATAAACAACATTGAATTGTCTAAGCTACGAGGCAATAACAACAAACACAACAGCCACGCTTCCTGGGAACTGCCGCCGACGACCCTGTTCACCGCGCAATTTTGCTCGAGTCTTTTCAGCTGTTTCGGCCCCAGAAGTTTCTCCGTAACCCAACTAACGAACCAAAGATCGAGAAACATAGACCCAAAAACAGAGAGACAAGGCTGAGCGACGGCTGAGGCCCTGCGGAGCGTTGAGCTCACGCACGACAAAAAGCCGAAATGCCAAAATCTGTTGGGTGTGCTCCAACTCACTCTTCAGTCAACATGTTGGTGCAGGAGATGGTGCTAGACAACGACTCAAATCAGTCACGCGACATCTATGAGCGGCATTTTGTACCCATGTCAAAGAATCCCCGATCAGACGTCTCATTCCCTCTCGCTGCGCCTCGAAAACGTGCCCCTTCGATGGCATCGATTGTAGACTTGGGAGAGAAAGACGGACAGTCCATGGGGGTGTTGACAATCAGAGCAACAGACTCGCCAGTACCAGAACGTATGGACACCAGGCAAGAACGGGACGATAATATCCAGGACAAGAATGAAGGGTCACACCCGTCACTGCACAACCTTCCCTTGGAAGTTCAGGGCAAGATCCTCGACTTCATATTCGGGGATATGCATTCGGTCCATGCTGGGTCAACATCCCTACGAGGCAAGAATGTGTCTTCTCTGATGCGCCATCCAAGGAGAAAAGCAGTCTCAGACTTCGCCCTGGTGTCTCCAACATGGCGGGAATTGGTGCAGGAACGAATATACCGGCATATCAAAATCAAGGGGACAAGAGCGGGACTAGATGAATCGCAGGAGTTCTTCTTGGAACATATGCACCTGACCAAGTATGTTCGACATATCGAGTTCTGGGTGCCCGTCTGGGGCGACAAGGCTTCACTTGACCACCGCATATACAACCCTCTGAATCCTCTCGGCACAGATCGCAATACCAATTTACATCTCGCAAATCATGCGCATGAGAACCTCCTTCCCGTGAACGACTTTATCGGTTACAGTTTTAAACTGTGTGCGGCCTCGGCAACCCTGTCCCAAATGTTCAGCCTCGTCAATTGTTTCTTCTCTAATGCTCGAGTCTTCACACTCGAAGGAGGTCACTGCAAGAAGTCTAACATGATTCGTCATTTTCCCCAAACGCTGTTCCCCGATCCCAATCAACGTCTGGAAGAGCTGCCGAATATTCGAACATTCGCAATGCGCGGAGCCTGGAATATCATGCGCAGTTATCCACATTGGAAGACAATCGAAGCTGCATTACCGAATGTCGAGGAGTGGCACTGTAGCTATGCTAAACCCCGGACTGAAGCAGACTCGACTATCGATGCTATTCTACTTAATCTTCCTCGCCAGTATAGACACCTCAACATCTCCCTTGACGGCATGTATAGCAAAGACCCAACAACGCTCGGCTCGAGTCATAATCATGGCCAGTCACATCTATGCGAGCGCCTGGGGAATGTTCTGCCCCAACTTGAGTCATTGTCATACACGGGCAAGGTCTGCGAATGTCTGTGGAGCAGTGCGTTCTCAGCACTCTCAGAGAACAAGGCAGAAGCCCGACTCAAGGCGTTAGAGATCGTGGTCAAGTCTTGTTGTCGGCAACGCTTTCCAGACATGGACCCGGAGACCGGCGAAACCATCTATCATGAAGCAGGCGGCGCAGGAATCACGAATCTCGTCTTTATCCGCTCGTTTGAACGTTTGGTCATGAACACTGTTGAGGCACTGCCTTTGTTCCCGCACCTCGAATACGTGCGTATACGTTTTATCGACCTCGACTCGCCATGTACCTTGCTGAATCCCTACTGGCAACTTGAGGATGGGAAAGTATCTGGCATCTGGAACGAGCAGATTGTAGAGAGACTGGCTGAACTGCGTCCAGACATTGGGTATATCGAGTTGAGCGATGGAATTGAGCCGGCTGGTTGGCATAAGAGACCGAGCTTGCCTACAGTAACGGGTACTGGGGGTCGGCACTTCCACGACGCACCGACCAGCCCAGTAAGTGTCACTGACACCATCGTTGGGTCCGTCTGCAGTTTGTATCCAAAGACCAAGCCAAAAAGTATCAAAACTAGTAGTTACAAACTCGTCGCTGAGTCGAGGGGAAGCTGACTTGAAGATTGGAGAGAAGTGCCGTTAGGTGTCTGGGATGGTGACGAAGAAAGAGCATTCACGGACATTGACTTTGAGGAGTTCTGGGAGGAATAAGCTGTTTTGATGAAAGCCCATGACGAGCGGTATGTTGTGATTGATCTCGGGTATGGCATTGTGCGTGGCGTTTTTGGGCATCATATGGGAATTGATTGCGAGAACTCGTGTACGTCACACGACACCTTCTTTGCACTGGTTGAATGAAATTTTCTGTGTCATATTGGATGGCAGACATGGCGCTTTATGTGTAGGACTTTTACTTGACGGATGTAATAGGCATCTCACCGAGCTTGGATTCTGGAGCCCAGGCGCTCATGGTGGCTCAGGTAATCACACTGTACGTATTTGGACAACTGGTGACGACTTGTCCCAAAGGGCTGCGAAACATTGGACCTGGACCCAACTGTGGCTCTCGGGCCGTATTGGTAGCATTCAATATCTGTTGACTCAGAAGCAAAGACCAGATGGGGATGACGGCTTTTCAATCCATGCGGGTCGAATACATTATACAAAGAGAGTGGACTGTTTTAGCTTATAGCAATTATGGAGCAGGTTGTGACACCGGATCAGGAGAAACATCGCGAAATACCCTTCCAACGCAGGATAGAGATTTAAATCCATACAATCCCTTACAATATACACCAACACCATCCGTTAAGTCCGTCTCTAGTCGTGCTTCTCTATTGTCAACGGCACCGCGGACTTCATGATTGCAAATCCTACCCGGCTTGAAGCAAATATATAAAGGTCTGCTGGTCCAGGATGAAGGCAGAATTGTCGCTACCAGGCCTCACTTCTACCACGTCCATCTACATCATACTCTCGCGAAGACGTTCTCAAAATGCAATTCCCTTCTCCTACAAAGGTATACCATACCAAGGCGTATCCTGACGTCGACCCGACCCAGCCCCATCTCTCGACCAAAGGAAAGAATGTCGTGATCACGGGCGGAGGCACTGGAATCGGAGCGGCAACAGTGGAAGCGTTTGCTGCCTCAGGAGCCTCTAGCATCTCCATCCTAGGCCGCACGGAGAAGACGCTCGCAAACACCAAGGAACGTATCGAGAAGAAGTACCCAGACACCAAAGTCTCGACGTATGTAGCCGACCTCGTCGACAAAAGCTCCGTGGACACAGCGTTGGAGGCCGTCCACTCGACCCATGGACAAATCAACATTCTGGTGGCCAGCGCGGGATCCTTTCCTAGCCCCGTTCCTCTCGAAGGGACGAAGGACACTCAAGCCTGGTATGAAGGGTTCGAAGTCAACGTCAGGGGCAATTTGAATCTCATCTTGGCCTTCCTGCCTCATCGCGCATCTGACGCAGCGGTGATCCACATCAGCACCGCCCTCGTCCACACACCTTACTTCGCCAACATGTCCGCCTACCACACTTCGAAGCTCGCGGCGGCAAAGTTGTTCGATTACCTGCACTACGAGCACCCCAGCTTGTTCGTCTTGAATGTTCACCCTGGAGTCATTGAGAGTGAAATGAGCAAGCGTGTAAACCAGGCTGGGCCCGCGATGGATTTTGATGATAGTAAGTCTGCGCGTCCACGCCTAATGCCACTGATTCATCGTGTGTTCTTGAGGGGAATCAATGAGCGGTGCTGACAAAAACGTTTGATTAGCAAATCTCCCTGCCTGGTTTCTCGTTTGGGCCGTAAGTCCCGAGGCCCAGTTCCTGAACGGAAAATTCGTCTGGGCACACTGGGACGTGGGTGAGTTGAAGGAAATGGCAAAGGAGATTGAAGGGTCTCCCAAGTTCACATTGGGCCTTCTCGGGTGGCCATAAGTCCGTATGTAGACGTAATAGTCGGAGTTGACAGACGATTGAAAAGCGGGTGGGACTTGGACGTCAAAGCCATATACAATATATGTGGGTAGATGAAGCTATTCCAGGTTTGGTGATACTTCACGAAAGATGAGGACGGCCTACCTACCAACGAGCGTATATTTGTCAAGACAAAACAAGTGCCGAAATGAAACAATTTCAGCTGATGAATAAATCGGTCCTGTTATTGATCTCTTAACGTCTTTACCAAGTACGAGTGATGAGCTTAAAGCTGGTTCTGGTATTCCGTGGTCGAGGGGGATCATCGAGTATTCAAATAGTTATGTAAGCAAGGCTAGATCAACGAGGCTGTTGTTCACACATCTTACAACACGATGCGCGCCCATCTCCAGAGAAGCGAAAAAGATACGTACTCCTCAAGACAGTATTCCTGCTTCCACCACCAACACCGCGAGGTGCAAAAGTCCGATATACAATACAACTGCTGCTGTGCACCTTATCCCCCCCGCGCTGCCACTCCTGATCAACAGGAGCTGCGCGGCATGCAAACCACACAATGACCTTGAACGACCGTTCCCTCTTCTCCTCTCCGAGTCTGATATTTCTGTTGGCATTTCTCCTCCGAGCCATCCTCCTCGTTTATGGAATCTACCAAGACTCCGTGTCGGCGCTGAAGTATACAGACATTGACTACTATGTCTTCACAGACGCAGCCCGAGCTGTTTCAAAGGGTTCATCTCCCTACGACCGCGCTACATATCGTTATACCCCTCTCCTTGCCTGGATCCTCCTTCCCACAAGCTGGGGTGGCTTGTGGTTCCATTTCGGCAAGGCACTCTTTGCCCTGTCAGACCTGATCGCTGGCTGGCTCATAGTGCTGTTGTTGAAGAGGAGGGGTCTCGAAGAAGGCCGGGCGCTCAAATATGCCAGCGTATGGCTTCTCAACCCCATGGTCGCAAATATCAGTACCCGTGGAAGCAGTGAGGGTTTACTGTGCGTCATGGTCATGGCTTTACTGTGGGCTTTTGAAACTGGAAAGACACTTCTGGCTGGCCTGTTGCTCGGGTTGAGTGTGCATTTCAAGATCTACCCTTTCATCTATGGTGCGAGCATGCTATGGACACTGCAGACAACCGCCTCAGCATCTAGCGCGCCCAGTGTCCTCCAAAAATCCATTCAATTCTTCAATGCTAAGCGCTTATTACTCATTTTCACGTCGATTTCTACCTTTACCGCACTCAATGTTCTCATGTACAATATCCACGGCTCTCCCTTCCTCCAGCATACATTCCTCCACCATCTTACTCGGATCGACCATCGACATAATTTCTCACCTTACAATACTCTTTTGTACATGTCATCAGCACAGTCCGCCAGTTCAAATCCAACAAACTCATCATTTTCTTTCGAGTCCTTCGCCTTTGTTCCACAACTTCTCCTGTCAACTGTTCTGATCCCAATTGCCCTCGCGAAAAGAGATCTCTCCAGGACATTGTTGGCTCAGACTCTGGCGTTTGTCACATTCAACAAAGTGTGTACATCTCAATATTTCCTCTGGTATTTGGTCTTCCTTCCACTGTACCTACCGGACTCGGCCCTCATTCGGTCTCCGAGACTGGGTCTGACGGCACTGGCGCTCTGGGTTGCAGGTCAGGCTGCGTGGCTACAACAAGGCTATCAGCTAGAGTTTCTGGGGAAGAGCACCTTTGTGCCCGGTCTCTTTGCAGCCAGTCTTGCATTCTTCATCATCAACTGCTGGATCTTGGGAGTCATCGTCTCCGATGAGCGCGGAGCAGTGAGGAAGCATGTGAGGATCGACAAGTCGGAGCGTGTGTTGGTCATGCCACCTGTATCGGAGCCAGCTACTGCTAGCTCCGTGGCCAAGGAGAAGACCCCAGTGCGAAGAACGCGTGGAAGCAGTAGTATCGACACAAGCGATATTGCAAAAGTTCACTTGGGTCCGAGGAACCAGGTGCTGAAAAGTAATTAGACTATGTATAACTCTTTACCTATCCAAAGCCGATTACAATGTTAGTCGTCCCTTGTATGAACTACCTGTGACATATCGAGCGGCACTCCTGTTGCTCGATATGTCTCCCGTTATTGGGCAATTGTATGAATCAAGTATTTATCTTTTCCGTTACGAGTCCGATCACAAGTCATTTTGGAGTACAGATACTCCGTCGTCCATACCTAGTGTACTAGCAGGGAATACGACAAGGCTGACGTCCAACAATAATCTGGACCGAACTTGGCAAGAATAGCCGAGACGAGGCTGCAAGAACTTACCGTAGGTCTACTTTCAAGACGAAGCCATTTTCTACATTGTTTGCATTCAACGTACACATCGCGCGTCTGCTTTTTGACTGCTGAAAATTTACAGTCCACAGATGGCCGGACAGAAGAGACGACACGACGGCATGGAAATCGACACACAACAGACCTCGTCGCCATACATCCCGATATTCGAAACTTTTCGGACCGAGTTGGACGAACACCATGATCGGAGGGAGAGGATCATCAAGGTATCGAGAGACGTCACGGCTCAGAGTAAGAAAATGTGAGTGGTGATTGTATGAGTCGTTTACTGGCTACCTCGTTTTGGCGATGCTTTGTGTGCGTTCATGCTAACGCAGAAACAGAATATTCGCATTACAAAGGTAAGCAAATAATCACAGCGAAACACGGTCGATTTATGGCATATGGTCTCCCGTTTGGAGTATTGAGAATGACGATTTCGGAGTTCATTGACCTTATATGGAGTACGATGAGTTATCTAGCAAAGTTTGAGTATCTGACATGGTCATTCTCTTCTTGTAGAGCCCGCGAAATCAACCGCCCAATACACGCCAGCATATCAAAAACCACCACACCAATGTACACCACCATCCGCGACCTGTTGCAGTCCATTGTACCCGACTTACAAGGTCTGAATGCGCAGCGGTACAGAGGAAACATCTCGGGTGGGATCCAAGAATACATGGAAGCCGTCTTGTTTCACCATTACCTCGAACGTCGGACCTTGTTGGGATTTGAAGACGCCCAGGGACGCCTGCCCGAAGGTGTGTTGCTCACGTACGAGGACTACGCGCTCGGGGTTTTCGATATGACCGGTGAGCTGATGAGGTTCGCCATCACGTACCTCGCGACCAACGGACAATTACCTGGTGTGAGCGGTGGCGGCGGCGGCGACGGTGACGGTGACGGTGGTGACGGGGGTGACGGGTCGATCCTGGCCGATCTGCAACTCCTGAGGAGTGAGTTGGAGCAACTCGACGCGAGTGGTAGTTATTCGCTCAACAAGGAGTTTGCGATGAAGATGAAGACCACGAGGGCGAGTGTGGAGAAGGTCGAGAATGGAGTGTATAGTATGATTGTTAGGGGGAAAGAGAGGCCAAAGGGATGGAGGCCGGATCTGGGTGAGGATCGGGAGAGGCAGGAGGTCGAGAGTTATTGATTTGTGTTCCTCGTCTTGCTGACAAGAACTAAGATACCTCGACTGTGAGGCCGTCACTTTTGTTATGATCAAGACCAGCAAGGTTGATGATTTCAGATCACATCGTCCAAGAGGCTTGAGAGGTGTCCCAATTGCAAACCATCCTCTGGGATCTAAGCATGGCTCTTGGGTTGATATAAAACCCAAGAAACAAAATGTATACGAGTGATCGTCGCAAGTGTCAAAATGCTGGGCTATGTTATGAGCTACTGAAGCATTTACCTGACTAGCTGATTGTTACCAACTTTGCTGATAATACCATGGCACCACCTACACCGGTATCTTGGAACAAAGGAAACACCTCATGTCACTATTTGTTTTCCGCGTTTTTTTTGGATTCGTTTTTCCTTTTTGCGTAGTGTTTTTTACTCCCTGAGCGGATCCTCATCTGCTTCCAAAATGCCCTCCTTGACCAGTTGGTCTGGCTTGGGCCTCTGCTGGATCTTCTGCTCCAAGCTGTCTGCTCGCATATGCTTTTCGAGACTGCGTTGGTTGGCCTGCAAGGCCGGTGCGGCAGTCGACTCGGGAAGAATGTTTCCTAAGGGACACAATGTCAGCGCTTTGCTCACCTGATGCCCAACGACGGCGGCCGATGTGGATCTTACGCTCCACCAATTCCTCCCGTTCCGGTCTCTTCTCGAGGTTCTTCCTCAGGTTGTCCGACTGTTGCTGTCGTTCGAGTTCGTGTTGCTTGGCCTGCAAGGAACTGCGGGAGGGCGGTCAGCCGGGTGGGGGCGAAACAGGGACAATACTCACGGAGCAGCATGGGTGTCAAGGAGGATGTGTCTGTTCTTCAAGTCCTGGGCGTCAGGGCGCAACTGGAGGTGTTTCTCGAGGGAGTTGCGGCGCTCAATGGGAGAGATGGGACTCTCGTCGACCTTGAGATCAGGTGTGGTTCCTTGGTTGAGATCGTTGGACATTGTTGTTGGCTTGTTTGTTCCTCGTCAGGTTCGGATCGGGAGATGGTTTGTCTTCGTCTGGAAGGGTCAAGGTCTGAGGTTCGAAGTAAGTTGTAAGAAGCTGAGGGAACAAAAGACCAGGCTTGGATTGGGTTGGATCTGAGTCTGACGTCGCAGTCTTGATGACTTTGCAACGGACTTGACGGTTGCCAATGACGATACGGGGGGAGTCTGGACAAAAACAATGAAAGTGCCCCGCATTAGCCGCCTACATCATAGTGCGGGATGTTCCTTTGTAGGCACCAGGCCCGCTAGTAACCAACCTGGACCCCCTAAACCATCAAGTCAGCCCCCTAGGATTCCAGGGACAATTCTAGCCCGGAAACCCTGCGGCGATGGAGTAATATTTGCTGGCGCAGCTTAATTGCTACCTGGAAGCACTGCGCGTCGCGCGTCTTACAATTTTAAAATACAGTACAACCGAAGTCTCGACAGGTGTCGAAGGTGTTGTTTGCCTGCGATTAACAGACTACATATACTCGACAACTCGGACCTGAGTACGACTCACCGCATCATGATCTCCTTTCCAAAGCAATGACCCCTCTGCGCACGACTCTTCCGATGCCCTCATCATGTGGATCCTCGAGTCGAATGGCGACTTTCTTCAAGGCAAACGCATGTGGTTGAAGCCTGGCCAGAAATATTTGTTCGGCCGAGTACGCAAAGATGGGGTGCTATTTGCCATCGATCACAAGACGGTCTCGAGGAGACACTTTGTCATAGAGGTGGACGATGTCGCGGATGGAGACGCCGGTAATCTTCATGCAAGAACAAAGATCAGGATCATTGACCAGGGCTCGAAAAGTGGCACGTCAGTGAACGGCGATCAACCCATAAAAGGCACGTCCAAGGAGTTGAAGCAGGAGGAGAATTCGGTCCGACCAGGCACTTTCCCGCAGGAGATCATCATCAAATGGCAACCGTGTGTCCTCACTTTCAGTTTACTCAAGAAAGAGATCAAATCTGGAGTCCTCAAGACCAAGCAGGCCAAAGTCCAAAACCTCGATATCAAAGCCACTAGCGATTTCCTTCCCGGGCATACGACGTACGTGATAGCGAGCAAGCGGAACACTGCCAAAGGATTGCAGGCTTTGGTCACAGGAAAACATGTGGTTACAGAGTCATACATCGATGCGCTGGAGTACGCTGCAACACCTCAAAATATCAGTCAAGAAGAAAATTTGTCTCCGTTAGAAAGCGACTTTGATACAGCGTGGCCAGATCCGAAGGACTATCTCCCGCCACCAGGAAAGGAGCCCACCATCAGGCCAGCGGAAGCATATCAACCAGACCACTCGCGAGCAACAATCTTCGCAGGTTACACCTTTGTCTTCCTAGATCAAACACAGTTCGACACTTTGTTGCCGGTCATCACGAGTGGCCATGGCAAAGCGATTCTGTTAAAAGCAGTCATTGACCAGACCACCTCGGACGATCTTATCGAGTTTGTTCACAATGCTGCTGGACGGAAAGCGAACGCACAGAGCGACCATCCCTCTGAAGCTAAGGTTATATTGGTCCGGTGGTCTGGGAAAGAGGACATCCAAGATTTTATGAATGACTTAGTACGCGAGACAGCCATGAAGATGGACCAGCGAGCTGTTGAACAGTCCGAATTCCTAGACGCCATTCTTGCAAATGATGCTGGACTGCTCCAACAAAGCATTCCCTTCGAAAGTACAGATGATGGAAGATTGGCGCCTCCGAACTCCGTGGTGACAAGACAGTCTAGTGGAGCACAGGAAGATTTCGCTCTCCAGAGATCTGCCTCCAGAAGGTCACGACCTGCCACGGCCTCGAGCAACGCTGCCCTAGGGAAGGAGGGAGAGCTGGTATCTGGCGAGTCCGCTCAAAATGCCGAAACAGCCCCGGCAGTTGTCCCGTCTGAAGAGAGCAGTAAGGCTGAAAGCGCTCCCAAGCCATTTTCAGGCCCTCGATTCACACAAAAGAGTGGTTTCAAGTATTTTGATGATGCTTTTGATCCTGATGAAATCATTAATTATGAGGGTGATGAGGCAGAGGCAGATGCAGCGATGCCGAGCCCTGCCACCCACGTCGAGACATCTGATATCAAGGAAGAGCCTCGATCGGAGAGGAAAAGGCGTCATCGTTCTCCGACTCCCGATGACGATGATGCATTTGACGAAGAGATGGATGACCTTCTCCCTGCGGCTGCTGCTTTCAAAAGACAGAAATTAGCACACGGCCTTGGACGAGTCGGGACAAGATATTCAGGGACAAGCCAAGAGGCTGCTAAGAAGCTCAAGAAAGAACGTGACATTGATGTTCTAGAGGTGGTCAAAGCCCAACGAGACGAACGGGAGAAAGCCGCACAACAAGAGCAAGAACATCTCGAAGCCATGGGTGACGTCGAAGACAAAGCCGCCCCCGCCAATCTCGTTACTGTGGTTATCATGAACATGCCTTTGAGAGAGCGATCCAAGAATATTGGCAAGGTCAATGGTGTTCAATCAGAAAGTTGGGATCCGAAATGGAATGGTCGGAAGAATTTCAAAGGGTTTCGTCGAAAGGGCGAAGCTGTGCAACGAAGAGGCCATGCTGCGAGGGTCATCGTACCAGTTGTTCCAGTTCAGATGGGTACTCAGGGCTTGGGTGAGGAGTACTGGTCCAAGACCACCGAAGAGAGAGAACGGGAGAGAGAGCAGAGGAGAAGAGAAAAGTCCAAGAGTCAGACACAACAATCGAGTGGCACTCTCAGTGGCAGGTCTCGGACCAGAATAGTTTTGGACGAGGACGACGACGAGGATGAAGATGACGCGGGCGGAGTTCGGCATGATCGGAACGAACCGACAAGTCCTGCCACACTTCGTTTGCAGCAAGAAGCTGCTGAGATTGTCGACCACGAAATCAATCCTGACGCTCCCAGACGGACTCGTGCTTCCGACAGGAGCCAAGCCACAAGTCGGGTTGATACCACGCAAGCGAGTGTCTCTTTGTCATCGTCGCTTGCCAAGGGAAAGAGACCTGCGTCTTCTGCCCCCGCCGCGAACAGGCCGAAACGACAAAAGACACTCCCTGTCAATGTCGTACGCGACAGTGAGGACGATGACAGCGACGATATGAAGTTTCGGTTCGGTTCGAGGGCTCGCAAGGGCAGGACAACTGCAAAAGATTGATCGATGTTGATGCGAAAGATGATTTCGCCTGTTGATCAATTGATTCTCTTACAACATTCTTATACCTTCAGTTTTGATCAAAACCAAAACATGGATAGTACTTACCCATGAAACCTTTTTTCTTGTCTTACTCCCTTGAGCACTCGTCGTTATCGTAGATTTGCCCCAAACTAGATGTGATTTCGTGGTGGTCCGAGCGTTGAGTTCCCCCTCCGAATGGCGAGGCTGTCACTCCTGAAATGTATTAATTGTCAAAGCGAATTCAGTGGCAACCCCCAATCAGAAGAAGTGTCACGTACGCAATGTTGCGGCTGTAGATACGAGGTATGTAAGACAAGAAAATCATATTCAACTGGTTACCTTGGTAGAACTGAAACTTCCCATTCAATTATCCGTAATCAGGGATCAAAAATATCACGCATGTCTAAACGCCCCATGACCCTTGATTTTTCCGCAGATGATCATCCTTCGCCAGGACAACCAAAATCCCAGAACATCGCTTGCCGGAATATGTATCTACACACATTTATTCTTTACTCCATTTCAATACCCCAACGAAACCAAACCCTGAAAACGCCGTCTGTTCATCACTCAGGCATACCCATTGTTAGGTCTGCTGTAGTCGAAACCATGGTAGGGTCGAGGGGGCTGAAGGGGCATGGTGGTCTCGGATGGACCGTAGTCGTCCTCTTGAGACAGGATCATGTCACCGTCCCTGTAGGAACCCAGAATAAAGTACCAACTGTAGCAGAGGACCAAGACCAGGGCCATGAGGAGGGCGTCAAAGGTGAACAAGGTCCACTCGTGGGTGAAGAAGTACCCCTTGGCACCTTCGGCGAACTCGATGACACGGACGATGTTCCGGACAGAAATGATGACGCTCACGACGTACAAGATCCACAGGCCCAACTCCCACCTCGTGCTCGAGAGTGCTTTGGCATGTTTGGAACTGACGCGCCGGTGCATGCGGAAATGCCACTTGACGGCGATGAACATGAAGAAGAAAAAGATGACGACCTGGAGGATCAGACCGCCTAGAGCGACGTCCTTGCCAAGATTCTGCTTGTCTTTGTCGTCGGACTTGGCGTTGCTGAGGATGCTGGCGCCAATGGCCTGGACGAAGAAGCAGAGGACGTCGCCGATGACAAAGATCTTGGTGAGCCAGGTGACCCGGACGGGAGACAGGTGAGTGCATCCGGTGGCTCGGATCAGGCGGCCAAGAGTCATGTAGACGGCGGCCGCGAACAGAGCGGGCGCGATGAGAATGAAGATTTGCTGGGCCGCGTAGAGCCAGAGCTTGTCTTGATGCCGAGCTGATAAGTCTCGAAAGACATAACCCGCAACCTCGACTACGGAGGAACGTAATGTCAGCAGAGGTAGAAAGTAGATGTTAAGGGGGGGTGCTATAGGTCAGGTAACATACGGAGTGCTCCAAGTGCATAGGGCAAACAGAACCAGTATCTTCGTATGATCAAAAGGATCAAATGAGCAATGCCGAGGACGGCAAAGACGACGGCTGCCACATCAGCTAGCTTTCGAGAGGGATCGTATAGCCAATATTGATCATCGTCGTCGTTTGACGAGTCTCTGGCCACATTATTGACCATTGAAAGGGTCACACCGAGTCGAGTTCCGAGAGGCATGTCGTATATCGATTGAATCTATTGGTCCTATTTCTTGGGTTAAAGGAAAGACTGGACGGTTGTCGAGGAAGAGCTCGATGGAAGATATACTTGTTGATATCAACTGAAGCATTGCAGGGCTGAGCTACTGCGTACACGCCCCGGTCTCTAGTTCCACACCATGGGCCCATAGTTAAGGAGGCCTCTGCCACGCTTCTCGCCGATCAAAGACGAGTTTAGTAACAAACAAAACGTCACCAGGGGATTCAAAGTGGACATGAAGAGGCTGAAGGCCTCATTTAGGTTGAAACGATACCAGGAGACTGGTTGTTCCTTGCAAACTAGTTGCTGCGTCTAGAGGAGCCTTGTCCTTTAGCTGTTGGGGGCCTTGTATAGATACAACGCACCATGACGAAGGGTTTCGAAATAAGGGTTAGCAAGAAGCTCTGACAGCGCCGTCCGGAGCGTATGCCATAGTACGAGAGTATCGAATGCATGGAAGGCCTAACAACGCTCGAATTACGGAGTACGCCGTATCTGACTGTGTGATTGGAAGACAAAGGGCGCCGCATGTGGCAGGATTCGGAAAATGATCAGTACTGTAGATTGGCGGGAATAAATCAGTGGGCCATGTGTGAATAAGCACTCCGTAGGGAGGGATCTTGACACGGGGAATACGAGTCGAAGGAGAGTGAGAAGGATCAATGAGTGGATGAAGTTCTTTTGTTAGCTTCGCATTTCTAACGGCAACAGGCAAAAAGACGGAATCCTGCTTGACGCCATAACGAGGCTGGTGGCCGACCAGGCTGCGCTTGCCTTCTTTGGGATATTCCAAGACTTAAGGCCTCCAACTCCCCGTTTCTTTCGCTCCATCGACAGAGCCACCCACTTTGCTCCTGGGCCACCTCTGTGCTGTACCGAGCATGAATGGTTCACATGCATTCTCTGGATACAGGATCAACAATGATCAGCATCTTGTCACTCACAGCCAGCTTTTCGTGGCTTGACGAGGGTAGCACCGCCCGCCCCCATGGTGCATCAGGTTGTTGTGTGACCGCAATCCCACTTGCTGGCTATTGTCTCGGCTACACGATCAACCACGCTACCATCACTTGGTGATCTCGTTGCTTCCTGAGAAACTCCCCAGCTTCTCCTGATTTCGGTCTCTTCGGGCCTTTTGATGCTCTTGTGGACCCTCGACACGACCCAAGCGAACGGCCGACGTATCACGCCGAACTGCGGTCAGCGTAGCAGTACCCAAGAACTCCAACAACAGATCCTTGACTGATGCGGTGACCTCAGTGGACTTCGTGCAGATTAGCGCATCGGAAACCACCAATCATGATGTTGATCCATCCCGTTCAAGGGGACTGGGGATCTCAATTGCCATATCCAGGGTAGATGTGCGAGCTGTGCCTCGATGCCCTGGCAGATCACAGAGACGGACATGGCCCGCATCGCAGCCCTATTCCGTACGAGACTCTGTACAGTATTGACCTTCGCGCTTGTCTCTTGATCCAGGAAAATCTGCAGGCGTCCTGCTTCCTCGCACGCCCAACTGTCAATGCTTTCCATTCCGTTCCACCACAGTTCTTTTCCCACACAGATTTCCCACACAGGCAACCTTGATCGCAAACCTTCCCGTCCGCAAACCCGCCCTCTATCTCTCAGGCACAATTGCCTAGGGCTGCGTGTGCTTGAGGGCACGCTTGGACCTGCGCCGTCATGACCTGCGCCCACGGCGTGGCTCCCATCCTGCTCCCTCTCACGAATGTCTCAATCTCGAGCAATGGCTACACACAAACCAGAGGCATTCAGACCGGTATTGGGTCCCCGAGTCAGGTTTTCGCCCTGTGGCCCGATACCATTCTCAACAACATGCTCGTCTCGAACTCGGTAGGTTGCAGCTCTGCGACGAATTACACCTGCTATGGTATGAATGGCGGCTCTTTCAACACGGACAAGTCCAGCACCTACAATATGATGACGCTTGCACAGTGGAATGGGAGTCACGATGAGCTTGAGGAAGCAAGGCTGGATTCTTCGTTTATTTATTTCCAGGACAGCGTACGGCTGTCCGACAATAGTCTACTGCCGGGCTTTCCAATAGCGATGACACCTCCAAATTATCGTAAGAGCCCGACCTTTAGGTATTTGCTGTCTGATCTAACCATGGCGTAGCTACCCAGGGCGTGATTGGTCTTGCCCCAGACTCGCCATTCCTTGCGACTCTATCCGATCAGAATATTGCACCATCGCGAGCATGGGGCTACTGGGCCGGCAGTGTGTCATTGCTGGAACCACGAGACGGTCTTCTAGTCATCGGGGGTTACGATCACGCCCGCATAGCTAAAGGCGCGAAGTTCACAAATTTCACCTCGGATCCAGGCTATTTGGGCGACATGACTGTGCAAGTCACAAACATGACATATGACGCCGGCAACGGACCCGTCAGTCTTTTCAAGTCGTCGTCACAGGCATTCACCGCTATCCTCAACAGTGCATCTGGATCAAACTCTTTGCCGGAGGAGGTCTTTTATAAGTTTGGCAACATCACCGACGCAAATATCAACGAGGGTACCGATGTGCTCTCCTGGCCCTCATCTGACCCTCCGAACGGCAATCTCACAATAACACTGGACGATGGCGGAGATGGATATAAATACGAAGTCCCGTTCTACGAACTCTTCCTCCAACAAAGAAAGTACAACGATCAAGGCTCGATGGTGGTCAAAAACGAAAGCTTCACCTTCACAAGCACGGCCAACGCCAAAGTCTTGAGTTCTGGCGTGCCCTGGCTCGGCTTCAGCGTCTTCCAGTCCAATTACATGGTCAATCGAGGCGACGGCACGTTCCAGCTCGCCCCGGTAAATAGATCCGACGCATACCAGATCAGTTACCCGAACGGCGTCGACATCCGACCGATCTGCAACGAGACCGCACTTGCCAATGCAGGTGGCGGTTCCTCGGGCAGTGGTGGTGGTGGCGGCGGGGGCGGCAGTTCGCTGAGCGGAGGAGCCATTGCCGGTATTGTCATTGGGTGCATCGCTGGTGTCGCGCTCGTGGCCGGAGCGGTCGCCTTCTGGTTCTTGCGGCGCAGGAGACAACAAAGACAAGCACAGCAGGCTACATCTGCCGCGGGTGGGGGTGCGTCAGGCGTAGACCCGTCGGGCAAGGCTGAGCTGGATCCTCAGTCGAGCGTCGCGCCTGCAACTGCATCTGCAACCGGACCTGCCGCTCCTCCGGTGGAGTTGGCCCACGAAGACGCCATGAAGGTCGAGTTGCCCGCCGGGTCGACGACGTTGAAGCCCAAGGAAATGGTACAGAACCCGAGTGATACCGCCACCGTGAGCACGCTTCCCGAGTATTCAAGACAGGAGATGGAGCCGGTCGAGATGCCGGCGAATAACCCTTGAGTTTTGCACGACGAGGTGGGTTTATCTGTCACCGCGTACCACGGCCCTTTTCTTTTTCTTTTTGGGGATCACCCATTTATGTCTCGTATCAGCATCGAAGGGGGGGAGGGGGAGTGGGGCAATCCTGCCTGCAGCAGTTGAACACTGAGGCCGAATCGGCATTCCCTTGTATCTAATTGATTTTGTCCTATATCACTACGTAGTGCTTTGATGTCACGTTATAGGTAGATCTTGTAGCATGGAGTTGGTGGGTTTCGGGACAGGATTGAAAAAGAGAAAAATAATATACACGAACTTACATGTATGGATGTCTCTGCAAAGTATCAAAAATGTTTACTGTCAATTGAGTCGCATCAAATCCCAGGTCACAAGTGGCAATATGGTCAGATTTTCTGGAAGTTATAAATGAAGATCGATTTTGATGTCACGCCTTACATGTGCTTCAAGTGCAAGTGCTGCTGAAGAGGTATAGTTCGGTTCCCAAGGTATATCTACTCGCCCTCTATCCGTCAAGATGAGATCATTCCAGCCGACTGATTTATTCCGGGAGAACCACGGCATCATGCTATTTTTTTTTGTATCAAGCGACTCCATTCGTGTGCGTGGCGGTGGTCCCGTTCGCAGAAGAAGCAGGCACGGGTATGGCGCCGCCCGGGGAAGTCGGTAACCGCGCCGTCAGGACCTCGACGCCGTCGTCGGTGACCAGCATCGTGTGCTCGAACTGCGCCGAGCGGCTGCCGTCCGAGGTGACGGCGGTCCAGTCGTCCGGCCACGTCTTGTCCTTGTGCTGGCCCAGGCAGATCATGGGCTCGATGGTGAAGGTCATGCCGGCCTTGCACTTGCCGACGGCCTTGTTCTTGCCGTAGTGCGGCACGTTGGGCGCGCAGTGGAACAGCGAGTTGATGCCGTGGCCGCAGTACGTCTTGACCACGCTGAGCTGCCGGGATCTGGCGTGCTTCTCGATGATGTCGCCAAAGTCGGCGATCTTGACCCCCGGCTTGACGTGCTCGATGGCCCTCTCCAGGCACTCCCGCGTCGTCTCCACGAGCCGCACGTTGTCCGGGTCCGCCCTGGCCTTGTCTCCGATGTAGTACGTCTCGTTCAGGTCCCCGTGGTACCCTTCGTGGTAGAGCGTGACGTCGATGTTCAGAATGTCCCCGTCCTGCAAGACCCGCTGGTCGGGTATGCCGTGGCAGATGACTTCGTTGGGCGAGGTGCAGACCGACTTTGGGAAATGGTTGTAGTTCAGAGGAGAAGGATATGACTATTCACCAGGTCAGATTTAGCAAGTGTATACACAACGCACACACACCGACGCAGTGTGCCATTGCCCGTTGGTTGCTTGCTCACCTTTCGTTCTATGCACGCATTGTGAACAATCTCGTCGATCTGGTCGGTTGTGACGCCAGGTTTGGCTGCGGCGGCAGCAATATCCAACACTTCTCTGGCCAGTCTGCACACCTTGCGCATCCCCGCGATGCCCTTTTCATCCAAGACTTGAATGTTGTTCTTGCGCACGTAGGGATATCTCGGGATGCCATCCTGTGACCACTCCGGGTGCGGTATCGACCTTGGGATCTCTCGCTTCGGCGACAGAGGATAAACGGGTCTCAGGGAGCCGGTAAAGGGATATGTGGGAAATGGATTAAAGTGGCCGCTTTCTGGATCAACTTTAGAAACGACACTCGGGACAAAGAAATTGCGCAGAGGATTCGTACTCTTGTGTAGCGTTTTGTGCTCGGCCTGGTTTTTTTTCGTCGTTTTGGTTAGCATCACTCGTTCTCCATGGCATTCATGTTTCTAGTCTTTCTTCTGGTTTTGTTGAAACAACCAAAGAAGGACCGAGGGGGATATGTTCAGCCTACCCAACTCCGCTTAAAACATTCTTGTGAACAGAAGAAACTGTCAACTCCCATTTCCTTGCACTTGGGGCACTGTAACGTCGACGCATCGTTGTCGCAATCCAGTCCCGGACATTTTCGAGGTTGCGCCGCTGCTTGATCCATCTTGGATTTTGTTTCAAGACTGATTCTCGGACGGGTACTACTTATTTGCAGTGTTGGAATACTCGAGATTCTAGTTGTGACTTGACCAAGAAAAGGGCCGTTAGATACGTCTCGGAGGGTTTTGGGGGTAGATTCACGGGTCCGCTGTCCAAATGGTGAGAAATACACTTGTCGAAAATATGTCAACAACAGTAAGAATCTAGAGGTACTCCGTACTTCATTGATAGTGCACTTGAACTTTTGGATCTGCGCTGCACCCGCCTCAAGAATCTTAAAGCAGCAGTCAAATAGCCTTCATAAGAAAGCCCCGCCGTCCTATGGAGAAACCTAACACACAGTTAGCGTTGCGCTAGGGAGTGATTTGTGGGTCGATCACGTGAAATAAATCCCATCCTTATATTTTTAAGAGGTGCAAATTGTGCCGTCCTTCGGGACATTTGGTCAATTTGAAACGATACAGAGAAGGTTCGTGTCTCGCGCGAGAATTGTGTTTCTGGCATATAACTAACTTCCAACAGATTAGCATGGCCCCTGCACTAAGGATGACACGCTTTTCAAAGAGTGCTACAAGTTTTTTTTTGGTTTTTCTGAGACCGATCTTGGTTCGAGTCGCAGAGAGATTAAGGATTTTTATTATTTTCTTCTCGATTCCCAATTGGGAAATAATCAGCTATGGCACAAGACCACCAGCAAGCCGCCCGAGAGTCTCCCATGCTGTCTGTCCGCCAGCTTACAAGTTTCAGTTGCTCTCCTTTTACCGTACGAGCGCATCGACTAGCGATGGTGACTGGCCTCTCGGTAAGTTGTCCTAGAGGTTTCTTCTCGTTAAGAAGGGGCCTTATCCTACTCGTCCCTTCCACTGCCCTTCTTTCCCAGACAACGCTCCTCTTCCCGAAGTTCACCATTAGCAGAACAAGCCCAGCTCAGACGAGTGAACCGCACTCCCTCTTTGCCTTCTGATTCACCATTGTAATGGTAACCGAATCAATTCGCCCTTTCTCAACGACAAGGCGTCATCCTCGAACATGTAATGACGTGCAGTGATCTTGCCACCATATCAGTGACCATCTTTCAGGCATTGGTGCTAGGCAATGTAGTGCACTCATTAAGACGTTGTAGCGTTTATGCGTTCCGTACGAACCAAATGTGGGCTCTTGTGACCAGAAGTAGCGTCCATCCTGAGAGATTCGCGGATGCGTCGCCAGTATCCAAAGCCTCGAATGCCGAATGGCCTGAATGCCTCGTGATGAAAATCCAACAGGAATGAAGACTGTATGTCCGGCAAGTAGATTGCCACTTATACGCGGCCTTGCCACGGGATGGCGCCTTTATATCTTTGCTATCAATTGTCTCTCCTGTAGTTTTGCCCGGCTGCTATCTACCTGCGCAGAGAGTTGTTGATTCGTGATATCTGTTGCCTCCGGATGTGAAGCTTGCTTGTCGAGCCAGCCTCTCACACAAGCAACAAAGTTGTCGATCTGCTCCTTGGTGTTTCCCGAGTGAAGACAAACTCTGACTCGCTCAGTCCCTTGCGGCACCGTTGGCGCAACCACAGGACGGACAATAAATCCTGCGGCCTGGCAATGTGCCGCTAGAGATCGAGGATGCGTGCTCAGAATGGCGAAGATGGGTGATTCTGGACAAGTGTCTGGAAGGGTGACCACGGCTCTAGAATGATTGATGCTCGTTTGCGGTATTGCGGGACTTAGTGTCTGAAGTTGAGTGAACAGCTGGCTGATCAGATGATACATGTTTGCCGCAAGCTAGCATTGTCAGCATCGCAAATGGTAATCGAAGCATGATCTTACAATATTCGCCTTGCCCCTTTGAAGCCAGGAATATGCTGTTTTAATCGCAACTAAGTTCGGGTAGGACATAAAAGTGGTATATATCAGGGGTCGAGCATAGTTGATCAAATAAAGCCGAATCACTGGAGAGCTCAAAATGATGGCTACACATGATTAGCACGTTTCAGTGTAGACCATAATTTACTCACCTCCATTGCATGCGAGAGCCTTGCCAAATGTATGGAGGCGGATGGAAACACGATTCTCGAGGCCGAGCTCACAGACTCTTCCAGATCCATTAGGGCCGTATAAGCCGGTGGCATGGGCCTCATCGACTATGAGATGAGCGTTCTTGCTTGGGAACATTGCTTCCATGAGATCAACAATCTCCGTTAGAGGAGCCAAGTCCCCATCCATACTGTACACAGTTTCAACAGCAACGAAAATCGTTCGGCTCAAGTCCGTGGTAGCAATTGATTTCAGAACACGCTTGAGATCTGCCACGTCGTTATGCTTGAAAGGCAATTGTTGTTCCGCCCTACATTGTCTCATGCCGTCGTGGACACTGGCGTGGATGAGTTCGTCGTAGACGATGATATCCTTCTGAGAGGGAAGAAAGGCGAAGATGCTAACATTTGCATCGAAGCCTGAGTTCGTCAACAGGCCAGCTTTGGCACCGTGGAAAGCCGCAATCTCCTTTTCGAGCCTTTCAGCAACTTGTGAATTCCCGTCCAGGAGCCTTGATCCAGTAGAGCCCAACGGTGTCCGTATCTCGTTTAAGGCGCCCAGGTAGTCATCATGAAAGTCTCTGTTGGTCGACAAAGACAAAAAGTCATTTGACGAGAAGTCCACAGACCCAGGTGGGCTTGACTTCAAGGTTCGAAGCTTCGACTGAGCTCGACGTTTCTCTAAGAGTGTTGAAAGTCGTTGTTCCAGTGGGGACGGAGACATATCGAGAGTAATCCGCCAGGTTTCGGCCGCGAGGTCGAGTGGGTCACGCTGTTCTCTCGACTTCTCACATATAAGTATGGGATCGTTCAGAGGACTGTTCAGCAGATATCGCAAGCTTCTTCAAAATTCCAAAAGGCCGGCAACCTGTACATGGAGATGATCAGAGAAAATGTTGGGCCAGCAAACGGCCGTTGATGTCTACTGTAGAGGAGAAGCCGACAAAGGAAGAAGGTCAGGCGAGCTAGCCTCGGTTAATCGCCAATCGGAGGATCGGGCTGTTCCGGAGATCTGAGTCTAGAGGCTTGGCAGGGACAAAACTTCTTTAAGGTGCATCGATATCGGACAGTAAGGCCCGCGACTCTTCTCACCGTTTGACTCATTTAGAGAAGACTCAACGTGCTCAGTTGGTCATTCGGGATGCTTTGGCGAGACCTGAAGGCGTGGCAGGTCTACGGTGCCAACACCGACGTCGGCAAGACCATCATCTCGACAGTCTTGTGTCGAGCTTTACAACGCCGAGCATCGCCGAATGGTTTGCTCTATCTCAAGCCCGTCTCCACTGGCCCTCAGGCCGAGGCTGATGACAGGTAAGCGAGGAAATTCATATTCACCGAGTTACGTACGGCTCACCCACGCGGGTTACAGACATATCAGACATTTTGTACCTGGAATAGTGTCGAAATGTATTTCTCAATTCTCCAAGCCTCTGAGTCCGCATATCGCCGCTCAATTGGATGGGGGTAGCTCGGTATGAGTCCCAATCATCGACTGTGGGTGACATGATCCTGTACTGACGAGAACGTCTCCAGATACCAACGTCTGACCGGCAGATTGTCAAGCAAGTGAAGAGCCTGCTGTCCCAACACAGTCAAGCTGGAGGACGATATGTCGTTGTCGAAACAGCTGGAGGGGTCCTCTCCCCTGGTCCCTCGGGCTCAGTGCAAGCAGACCTGTATCGACCACTTCGGCTACCGACGCTTCTAATCGGAGACAGCAAGCTGGGAGGGATAGGCACCACCATTTCCGCCTTCGAGTCCCTGCACGTTCGAGGCTATGATCTCGACTCGCTGATTCTGTTCGACGACCCGACGTGGGGCAACTATGGCTACCTTGAGAGGCACTTTTCGAAACATGGCATTCCCACCGTCGCCCTTCCATTGCCACCAGCTCGACGACCCGATCCCAAGGACGACGAGGCGGTCCTGTCAGACTACTACCAAGAGTGCTCCGAGTCATCGACCGTCAACAACCTGATCAACGACCTCCACCAGAAGCACTTTTCTCGCATCTCCAAGCTGACGTCCATGCCCGCCCAAGCCGAGGCGGTCATCTGGCACCCCTTCCGCCAGCACAGCATCCCTCACAACATCATCGCCATCGACTCCGCATACGGCGACCACTTCCAAGCCTACAACGCGGAATCAGACTCGGCACTGACGACCACCCCAGCCGGTCCGACCAAAGGGCTGACACCCCTGGCCACTCAGGCACCGGCCGATCCCCTCTTGACTCCTCTGTTCGACGCCTCGGCATCGTGGTGGACACAGGGCCTCGGCCACGGCAACCCGGACATCTCCCTGGCGGCCGCCCACGCAGCGGGACGGTACGGACACGTCATGTTCGCGCACGCCGTCCACGAGCCGGGTCTCGACATATCCTACAACCTCCTCTCGACGTTGCAGAACCCGCGCCTCTCGCGCGTCTTCTTCACCGACAACGGCAGCACCGGCATGGAAGTTGCCGTCAAGATGGCCCTGCGTGCCTCGAGTCAACGCTACGGCTGGTCCAAAGATGACGGCACCGGCGGCGAATCCCCCGTCGCCATCCTCGGTCTGCAGGGGAGCTACCACGGCGACACGATCGGGGTCATGAACTGCTCCGAGCCAAATGTGTACAACGAGAAGGTCGACTGGCACCAGCCCTGGGGACACTGGTTCGAGCCCCCGTCGCTTCTCATGCGCAAGGGCAGATGGGAACTCACGATCCCCGAAGAGATGGCACCTGGCCAGACGGTCCAAGACTTTGACAGCCTCACGTCCATTTTTGATTTCGAGTCTCGCGGGGCCGACGCGACCCGGTACGAACAGCACATCAAGTCCGTCTTGACGAAACTGGTCAAGGAGCAAGGCAAACGCTTCGGCGCGCTCATCATGGAACCACTCCTGATGGGCGCGGGGGGCATGATCTTCGTCGACCCCTTGTTCCAACGTACCCTTATCACCACGATCCGATCGAACCCTGACCTCATTGGCACCCCTGTATCTTCGTCGTCATCGTCGTCGTCGTCAGACGACCGTACAGACTGGTCCGGTCTACCCTTGATCGCCGATGAGGTCTTCACGGGTCTTTATCGTCTCGGTCGACCCAGTTCCTCAACCTTCTTGTCCTCCCCGTCTGCGTCTGCCCCTGTGTCTGCGTCCACATCGTACACGACCCTCGCCCCCGACATCTCGGTCCACGCCAAACTCCTGACCGCCGGACTCCTTCCCCTCGCGCTGACGACGGCCAGCGAATCCATCTTCCGCACGTTCTTATCCGACTCCAAGACCGATGCCCTCCTGCACGGCCACTCTTACACCGCGCACCCGATAGGCTGCATGGTCGCGAACAAGGCCCTCGCCGAGTACAACAGACTGGACACCGACGGCTCGTGGGACGAGTTCAAACGGCCATGGTCGAGCTCCTCGCCATCACAGTCGTCCAGCAGTAGCCCCCAACCTGCCGCCGCCTCAGCCTCAACCTCGGCCCCTTCGAATCCTCTGCCTGGATACCCTGTTTATTCATTCTTTCCTCCCACCCTCCTGGACACGCTGTCCCATCACCCCAAATTGGCAGGCTGTTTCGCACTCGGGACTGTTCTCGTGCTTAAACTGGCATCTGAAGGGTCTGGTTATAATTCAACCGCCACAGCGTCATTGCAATCCCGATTACTTACCACCCTGGACGAAGATGGATGTGGTATACACTCTCGTGTCCTGGGAAATGTCATATATTTTATGACGAGTTTGACCACAACGTCTGACCAGGTCGAGAGACTGGGTCGAACTATCTTGCAGGCTTTGGAACATGAATAGACAACTGGGCTTCTCCATTCAGATCCTGTTCTTTGCACTAAATGATTGAAAATCAAAGGCTTCGTCATTGTGATACACGTCTGGTCTGTCACTCAACCTGAAACAGGACCATCATCTCAACGAGGGAGCACCTTTGCGGCTGGAGAAATCTTGCTCTATCGACACTATTAATCCATCCTGTGATTGGTCGGATAGTACATAAAAATATCTCTTTGCAGAAGGCTCAGCCAGGCATCCTTTACGGATAGTTCATCGCTCTATTGACGCCTTTGATCTACAGGCCCCTTAAATGAAGGTGCCATCAGAAACTGCCCAAGTCATATGCCCCAGTTGCGTCTTATCAACCGTTCCGTGTCCTTGCCCTTGCCCTTCCCATGCTCACAAGACTCCTTTTAGTTCAATCCATCGTCTTGTTGAACATTATAAACAAGACCATTCTCGCTAACATACATCATTTTCTTTCGGCAATTCAGAGGCGTATAAATGCTGTGCAACACCGCTCGCCCACTCTTGTAGAAAATCCAGACCGAAAGTCCCTCACCTTCAGTCTGAACAGCAAGGTCGTCAACCAAGTCGTTCTCAACCTTGGCAATTACGGCGCCGTTGATATGTAAAGGAAGGCCTCCCGAAGAGAAAGAATCAGGCAGCGCTTCCTTTCCGTTACGAGTTTCAACTGACCTGTTTGGCCGGCTGCTCATGTGAGTGTCCATCAAGAGGTCACTTTGCCCGAAGGCTCCGGCGGTCTCGCTCGACATGTCTGTTACACTAGACGCCTCCTTCATACCACTGAAGACATCAGATGGAATGTTATACAGTACAATTTGACCATCATTATAGACTGCGACAAGACGCAAGCCCCAATCAAGCGCTTTCCCAGCCGCGTACCGTAATGGTGAGCAATATCTGCCATCTGGGTGGGGTGGAGGAGCGAATATGACTTTCCTGACGAGCTTTGTCGATCCCCCAGGAGGTGCGTCACTTCCCAAACACAACATTCCACTGTCCGGATCTGTGAAGAGTGTATGGGAGCCATCGCTGACTGGCACACCGCGATAGTGGTCACAGTCAACCGCACGCAAGACACCTTGCATTTCTTCCCTACGCTGGCGTGATTGCGAGGCTGGCCGATCTGAGTGTGGACTTGCATCAGTTGGAAATGGTAGACCGCCAAAGAAGAAACGAGTCAAGCTTTGCCGACGTCCACGAGTTACCGGAGTGGACCAATATTTCCATTTAGCAGGTGTGCTCTCGCGTCGGATTAACTGCGTGGCAACTGAATCTGGACCTGCAGGGCTTGAGATCAAACGGAGTCTCTTTCTCGAATCAACGCCTGTCCGTGGTGGCTGAAAATATAGGCAGTCGCTGGGAACTGCGAGTGGGAACCATCGATTCAGACTACCACCAGTAATTGCATCAACCCAATACAACTCGATGCCCATCTGACAACCGTACGCAACGCAGCTTCGGTTTGGGCATATAGCCACGCTTCGCGGAAGATCATCTGGGCTGCCTATATTGGCGTGCACAGCTGTTGGTCGAGTCCTGATGGAGATTCCAAAGTGGACTGCGTGTCGGCCATCAGGTCCTAAATCGCCAGAGTCTCCAAGTTCATCCAAGCCAGAGATCTCTTGCTACGACGATGGCGGGCTTGGAATAAATGAGGTCCCAGTATTCGTGGCGAGCATTGACAGTACTCTCGCGGGATATGGTCCGCCTTCCGAGACGACCGACTCCTCGGAGAGATTTCGCAGGTCTCGAGGAGTCGGCTGTGCATAAAAGCTTGTCGCTGCATCTTGTACAACTGTCTTCATCCCGAGGTCAATTGAATCGCCTGGAGGATTGCAGTAATCCATTTTTGAGAGCGTTCCAAGAAGGTCCCACAACATGCCTACACGACCTGAGAGCAAGGCAGCCACTGAACACCTCCCACAGGTGGTGTCCATGCTAACTTTCAGCACTTCGCTCCCAGCAACCATTCGGGTGACTGGAAAGACCGATCCGCCCGGTACAAATATATCGTACAATGTGATTTCCTCACCAGAGACAACCAAGAGAAACTTGCCACAAGTTGAGACAGTAAATCGAGATCGTCCAGAACATGCATTCTGAAGAATTCTTGAAAAGTCAATCTCCCCAGTGACCGACAATCTTGAATGTAATTCATTTTTGTTGGTCAATGGAGGTCCGCCTCTCCAATTGGGAGAAATTCTGCTCTCTGTGGCCAACCTTTTGGAATATATCCATTCCTGATTGATGCTGTGACCGTTATCTTCTGACCTGGAAAGACTGCCGCTACTGGATCTTAAAGGCATCAGATCTCGTCGTAGTTGCAGATCAGCGTCCAGAGCAAGTTGACAAAAACTAGCCTTGGCGATTGGATCTTGAACACTGCGATCCAAACTGGCCAAGTACCACTCTCTGCATGTATGACGCGCAGCGTCAAAACCAGAGGGAAGTAAGTATGAATAGATATGTTGCACTACTTCTCGCGGTAAACGAAAGACAACCGGGACCTTGGGAAAAGGCAGTGCTGTATTCCATAGTCGACAGACCAAACGAAGAGCTTTGTATTCTTCAGAGGACAGGAAACGTAATATGTCGGAGACGATTGAGGGTGGAAGAAGACCATTTCTGGGAACGTCTCGATCGAAGGTGAAGCTGGGAGAAGACAACGATGGCAGAAGTACTGCATGAGATAAGTCTTCAAGCGGTAGAACGTTCTCTTGGTTATAATGAACAAAAGTAAGACCAGGCAATCGAGCGAGCGTGTCTCGATGTCCTGGGAAGGCATTCTGGCGGAGATAAACAGAAGTATCTGATGAGGCGGATGTCCGTCTTGATGAAACAATGCCTTCACCAAAGGGGTCGAGGAAAGCAGGATCTTGGTCTGCGGAGACCTGTTGAGACCTCAAGTCTTCACCTGATGAAGACTGCAACCGTGACTGATGGGTAAGATGTGGCCATTGCATCGAGGAAGCGGGCTGGTTTCTCGAAGTCAAGAAGAGCATATCGTCTGTATCATCGGAGGCACCATCCAATGTTTTTATCATCATGGAATTCTTCTGGATGCTTGGTATCTGCTCCTGCTCATGGACCCGTAGGCTGCTCCGTGTGGACTTTTGAGGCTTGGAAAGACCGCAGGCTTCCGGCTGAAAGTTGTCCTGCGTACATTTTCGAGCGGACACTAAAGCAGGGTGCTTGAAGTCCCAAGTCGACATAATGTAGTAGGGCCATCTGACAGGATATGACGTGGCAATTGAAAGAGTGAGAGATTGTGCATGCACCCATCGCTGAGCAGGGTCTTGAACGCTGAGAAACATGCTGAAGTTGTGGATTGGGGCTATCCCTCGAGACACAAGGATCTCGAAAGCCAGGTTGACGACTGACAGACTGTTTAGTAATAAATATAGGGAAAAGTGACTGAAGGTAAAGGATGTCGATTGTGTTTAGGTGGAGGAATTGTCAGATGTTAGAAGAGGCTGCACATATGACCTCGATACGATCTCGTCGCACTTGCATTCGTATCAAGGAAATTCGCCACAGGCAAGTGCTTCTGGAAATGGACGGAAGGCTCGATGAAATCCCTCGACAATGTTATTCGTGCTGTAGACGCTTGTCATCGATAATTTATTGGGCACATATTAGTGCTGATAGCAAATCTATGGGTATCTGTGCATGGAAAACTATATCGAGAAGTTTGGGGAACGAAGCTGAACAATGACAGAAGTGTACAGGGTATCTCAATGATCGAAAAATCAGTCAGCTCGCTCGCTATGCTCGTATTGTTGGAAACAAGGCCTGCGTAGAAGTATCAGACTTGATCCGATTGGGGACGACCATGGCCAGGCTTGCGGATCCACAGAGTCTCCAGGGGTTGGACCAAGTGTGGATTAATATAACGGAGGCCAGTATTAGGATCTGTGTCGACAGTCCGGCCATAGTCGGTGTCTCTATCCCATGGAGTTTCTGAAGGCGTTGGAAGATCAAGGAAACTTTGTCGGTCAATGCTTCGGAGTGCAATGAACTTCATCAATGGGACATAGGTGCGCTGGAAATACACCGTAAACCAGATAGTGATGACTAGTATAGGTGCTAAAACCAACGAGGCAGTCAGTGCGCCTCGGAGCGCCAAAGTTGCAGTCATTGCAAGTTGAAAGAGTACCAGGCCGGTAATGATGCGATTGCATATCATTGGCCACGCCTGGCCGGTCGAATGTTGCCGATGTTCCATTGCGTACAGCAGCTGGTACTTGTGAATGAAGCCACCGATGCAAAAATAAACCAGCCCGAACAAGGTTATCAACCAGGAAGAAGGTAAAACGCTATAGACAATGCAAATGATGAATATCAACATCGTTTGTGGCAAGTAGAAACCATAACTGAAGATGGGCGGTCTGGCTAGTTCGGCGTAGTCGCGGGGGGTCTTTGCGCCGATAAGATAGAATGGATACAAGGCGACCGAGCCGACTTCTAGGAGCCTGAAAGGAAAAAGTCCTAGGCCTTGAAGGATGATCAGGTTGACATAGAATGGTGACAATTGTTCAAGGGCTTTGGCAACGGCGTATGCTATTCCCGCCGTGTCGCGCAAAATGTCTCGCAGACCCTGCCAAAACTCGTAAAAGTTGGTGGCCGAACCCCAGATTGTGAAGACAATGAACAGGTTGAAGAAGGTGAAGAAGAAGTTCTTGGAGATGACTGATAACTCAACATCCCCTTGTGAGGTCATGCCTTGCTGATTGGATAGCCAATCGTACAGATATGGCACGGCCAAGGCAAGGAGAGAGAAAAGCAACGTCGGCAGACCAGTTTGGACCAGTGATCGTATAATCTCGTGCTCTTCCAAAGCCGCTGCAAGTCCAGGCAGTACTTTATCAATGACTTCAATACTGAGCAAACCAGCTAAGGGCGCAACAGCAGCGGCCCAGAAAATTGTGAGTAGTCCAATGAAGATCATGATAGCCCAGGACCGAATCATGCGGTGATTGCGGGAGAGATATGTGTTCTTCCAGACGACGTCTGCTGGGGGCGGAGCCGGGCTTGCAAGAAGCTGTCCAGGTTTTGGGTCCAGAATTGCCTGAATAGCCATCTGGCAAGCCGCGGTTGATTCCATAGTGACAAAAGCAAGCGGCGTTGGCTTGAAATCTGCCGTCCTCAACGCATGTATCCTTTCATCTAGCATGCGTAGCTTCTCCTCATAATGGTCGATTGAGTCGATCTTCTTCCTATACATGTTCAGTGGCCCATATCTCAGACTGACAGTCGGACGTGGTCGATCAGCGGGCATGACATGGGCATGCTCCATTTCGGACCTAGACAGCAGAGCACCATATTCTTCGGCATCACCTGAACGATCACGCTGTTGATGTCGAACCCGCGAATGCCGTAAAGAGTGGTGATGTCCAAGATATACTGTCCATGACTCCTCGAGTTTACGCAAACATCTCATTCTCCGAGACATAAGGTCATCCAAAGTCTGCCAGTTGCGACACAGCATGACACTGTCCACTTTGCCAATGCCTAAATCCTCAACGAAATACTTGATAGCGTCTTCTGAACGCATCTCCGATGGGATGCCTGACAAGCGGAGCGTTCTGTCGGTGATCGTAGCTTGTGTGCCTAGGTATGCTTGCCGGATGCGAATGATATTCTTCGTCTCTTGGATCAAAAGGTATATGGCGACAGAGCTGAAAAAGTAGACGAATACAGTATACATCCAGAGATAACTATTGTCCTTTTCAATGACACCCTTCTTGGGTTTCTTAGGGTCTATTTCAAACACCGAATCGATCCCATTGTCCGGTTCGGTCCCATTAATCGGATTGGGGAAGAGTGGTTGACCCGTGAATTGGTAATTGACTGGGAGGATGACACTGAGGGAGAAAAAGAGCGTGACAGACAGGTATTTGATAGCATAGCGGAAGAAAGACAGAAAGGCGTAGGCATCAAGACCAGCCGAAGCGAGAACCTCTTCTTGAGAGATCTTGTACAGGACAGGAATCCATCCAAACAGCGTCTTCGGCAAGTCCGGTAGACGAGAGGCAGCATCGGACTGCTTTTTGCGGGCATGATACAGACTGGTCCATTTCGGACGGAGCACCTAAACATATTAGCATAAGAGAGCATTCAAAGAGGCCAATGGCATACACAGAAGGAGAGAAATGCGCTCAAGCCCAGGCCTACGGAAATGAAGATCTGAACCTTGATGTTGCGCTGGTTGACGTCCTTGAATTGGTCATTCCAGGAAGCATCCTTCAGAGCATGCAGCGACATCACCGGGATCGACGAAGATGAGACGGGTAGTCTGCATTCAGGTAACGAAAGTGCGAAGGTAGACTGCGCTACACTGCGCAGATTGTCGAGTCGTATTAAGTAATCGAGGAAGACTCCGGGTGTCTCCCAATCGAGGTTAGGGTATTTTTGTCAAGCAACCAATCATATGGCCGGCGAATAATGCGCAGGAAAGAGCTTCAAAGCTTCTCAATTCCAACCCTCCAACACCACGCACATCGTCGTTTCTCACACTCTTTTGCCGCTTCACCACCGGGCATCACAACCCACTCCGCTCAATTGTACGACAAGTCCATCATCTGTTGAGGGCCGGCGCCTGACCAACAGACACGATGCTGGCCACGTCGGCAATCCGCACTGCTCCATTGAGGACAGCTGCACGAACCGTCGTCCGCAGGACAACCACTGTTAGTTGGCTACAATCTCCTTCAGAACACGAAGAAAGCGATTTCTCGAGATCAAATACTGACGGCAGATTTTAGCGTGCTGCGTCCTCGAGCTCTTCCGAAGCGTCTTCTTCGCCCTTCTACATCACAGCGGGTGCCTCGGCCGCAACAGCAGCTACAATCGGCTCCATCGCATGGTACTACCATCTTTTCGGTCAAGATGCCTATGCAATGACACCCGCCGAGGAAGGGTGAGCTCGAAATTTCGATTTTAATGGCTGTGGTGGCTAACAAGCTGGTTCAGACTACATCCGACACAATATCCATGGGAGCACGCAAAATGGAATAAAACCTTCGACCATGCAGCGTAAGTATTGGAATAGGGTTTCTGGGGAACATAGTCCCATATGTTGACTCTTTACAGTTTGCGAAGAGGATTCCAAGTCTATCAAGAAGTTTGCGCTGCTTGCCACTCGCTCAAGCGTATTCCCTATCGATCTCTGGTCGGCACGTTTATGACCGTCGATGAAGCCAAGGCACTAGCTGAGGAGAATGAATACGACACGGAGCCCAATGATGAGGGTGAAATCGAGAAGCGACCGGGAAAACTGTCAGACTATCTTCCATCACCTTACAAGAACGACGAAGCCGCACGTGCTGCCAACAATGGTGCTCTGCCTCCTGATCTATCTCTGATGGTCAAGGCCCGACATGGTGGCTGCAACTACATCTTCAGCTTGTTGACCGGTTATCCTGAGGAGCCGCCTGCCGGTGCCACCGTGCAGTCTGGATTGAACTTCAACCCATATTTCCCAGGTACTGGTATTGCCATGGCTCGTGTCTTGTATGATGGCCTTGTTGAATACCCAGACGGTACACCAGCCACTACCTCGCAGATGGCCAAAGATGTGGTTGAATTCTTGAACTGGACTGCCGAACCCGAGATGGATGACCGCAAGAAGATGGGTGTCAAGGTTATGATCATCGGAGTTGCTCTGTTGGCACTGAGTGGATGGGTCAAACGATACAAGTGGTCACCAATCAAGACCCGAAAACTGGTCTACAACCCACCCATTCAAGGCCGCGTTAGACGGTAAAAGAACGTAGAAGGAGAAAAAAAAGGCACGGAGATTTTTGTTTTGCAATGTGGTGATCACAGCCCGAGAGGAGGGCAGGATGGGTCGCTGTTTGTACCAATGAAGATATACAAATCCTGTTACAAAATCAAACGTACATATCGACGATTCTGGCCAGCAGCTTCTATCATCTCGTCAGTCATTAATGATCTCATCCTTTTAGATCCCAAGCCGTGTTATTAGGGGTATCTTGAAACTCGTATGGAGGATGCAAGAACGAAACATCATCCCATCATCCCATCATCGTCCAATAAAAATATTGCTGATTGCGGGAAAAGCATCAGTGCTTCCACAACTTCACCACCTTGTCCTTTCCACCACTGGCCACGCACTTGCCATCCTGACTCCAGTCGAGGGCAAACACCTCGTCCTTGTGGCCTGGCAGGTCCTCTTTCAACTTGCCGGCTCGCACATCCCACACCTTGGCCGTAGTATCCTTGGACGCACTGGCGAGTAGTCTAGAATCGCTCGACCAAGCAACCATGTACACGGCGCCAACATGGCCGCGTAGGGTGGTTATGAATTTCCCGTCTCTCGCATTCCACAACTTGACGCTGTTGTCAAAGGACGCCGATGCTATGTACAACCCGTCCGGAGAGAATGATACATGCAGGACTTGTTTCTGATGCCCCAGTAGTCTGGCAATCGGCTTGACCGAGGCGTTGGAGTCACCCGGAATAGCAGAGGGGTCCCAGAGGAAGATGGTGTTATCGTCGGACGGGGAGAGAAGTTTCTCGACGAGTTTCCCTTCCTGGCGGGCGGCGTCTTCAAATCGGGTCTTGGCTTTCTTGATCTTCTCCTCCACGGTCTCGGGCACTTTGCCGGTGTGGTCGTGGTACGCCGTTTTCAGAACAAAGTCGGTGGACAGTGCCAGATGGTTGACCCAGTGTGTATGCGTGGAGAGTGTGTGCAAACAATTCCAGGTCTTGGAGTTCCAGATCTTGATAGTCTTGTCCTGCGACGACGTGAAGACGCGATTGAACCCACCCCAGCGTACGCACGTCACAGAGCCTTTGTGTCCGGAGAGTGTTTGTTCGACACGTCGAAGCGGCACATCCCAGATCCGAACAGTGCCGTCTTTCGAAGCAGACGCCAGACGAGGCTTGCCTGGGGTTTGGTTGTGGTATGGTTCCCAGGTCAGACTTGTGATCCATTTTGTATGCCCTTTCAGTGGGCCACCGAGGGCCTCTCCAGACTTTGGATCCCACAACCGCACGGTATTGTCCATGCTTCCTGTTGCGAGTATCTTGCCATCCGGCGACCACGACACTGCAAGAACCCAACTCGTATGTCCTTTTAGGGTATGCAAGGGCGTACCTGTGTCACAATCCCATATTCGAGCCGTATTGTCGCCGCTCCCTGTGGCCATTCTTGAAGATGTCTCGGGTGAGAACGCAGTTGCGAGGATCGCCTCTCCATGCCCTGATATTGAGGCCGAACATCGCGTCACTGCTCGTACTCGGAATACTGCCTGGGGGATGAATTGGAGGATAATATTGTCTTCGGTGGTCTTATAGCCTGGTTTGAGGACTGAGTGATATACATCATCCTGAACGTCAAGGAGGTTCGATTCGTTGTCCGTAGGGGCTCGGTCGTTGCGGAAGAAAAACCGGTATGGTAGCCGTTCACTGGGATCCTACGAATAACATGTCAGAACCACACTGTCCGCAGTATATATTGTGTGAGACTCTTACATTCCCCTGGAGAGTGTTGAGTAACGTCTCCAGATTCTTCACGGTGGCATCTTTGACTGGCACTGCGACTACAGGCCCCGTTGACTTGCCTGTGCTCTGGTCGACGAAGTGTACTCTCACGCTGCCAAGGTGTTTTGGGATTGCAGCATCTTCAGCTGCCTTTTCTGCCTTCTCCACGGCTGCAAGCTTTTGGCGCTTGCTTGGAGGGGGCACAACGGTCGCCATAATAGTGGAACTGTTATATGTTGTTGTTGAATAACCAATGCTGCAGACCTGAACAACCGACTACAAAAAAATATGGACTTATGCCTCGCAGCCTGACAGCCTTGTGCGGGGAAGAAGGAGGTCGGCAGACCTTCCCAAAACACAATCACCGCAAGTACTTGTGCGCTTCAGCTTCATGCAATCTTCTAGAACTGCCTTGTTCCTTGCCATGCTATACTCGGTTCATCTATTCAAGATGAGGGCGTCTCGAGCATTGTCAACGACTTCTCGCCTCACTCGCAAAACCCAAGGTGGGTCAACTGGCGGCTCAAACACTAGACCACGATCCCGGCGTGCATCGACGTCAATGGGCCATGCAAACTCTGAAATTGTATGTGCAGTCGCAGAATGTCGTGGTATTTCTCCCGTCGTTGGTCTTTCTTTTGTCGATATCTCTACCTGTGAAGCTGTTCTCTGTCAATTTTCCGATACACAGACATATGCACGCACATGTCACAAAATCTCAGTCTACGGTCCTTCTGAAATTCTTTACATGCCAAATGCCGCGGACTCGAAACTTGTCTCTATCATATCTGAAAACCTTGACGTTGAAGAAAACGACATTTCTATGCACAATGTAGACAGAAAGCATTGGTCTGAAAGTGCTGGTCATGATTATATTGAATTTCTGGCTTGTCCAAATGATCTTGACGCCTTGAAAATCGCGCTTACAGGCAACAACTGTGCAACATGCTGTTTCTCGGCAGTATGTAATGACAACAACAGAATTCCTACAGCTAAACTGACGTTACAGGCAATGAGATACACTGAGCACGCACTGCAGAAGATATTTGCTCGCAAGTCGTTACGCGTCAGGTTCGAAACTGCCGAGGGTTCTATGATGATTGATCCATCTACCATTGCCTCGCTCGAGCTCGTCCAGAACGCACAAAATGCAAAATCTCGGGAGTGCCTCCTTGGATTATTAAACAATACATTGACTCCCATGGGCGCTCGTTTTCTGAGAGCCAACATTCTTCAACCTTCGACGGACGTCGAGAAAATCAACAAACGGCAAGACGCTATTGAGCAGTTGTCGAAACAAGAGCACACCCTATCTGCTCTTCGTGACGGTATTGACATCTTTGCACGCCCATGGACCTTACTAATACCCAATAGCCATGAGGTCTTTCGTGGATAGTGATCGTATCCTTGCGGCCGTGAGAGTCAGGGCCCTCCGGCTATCGGATCTATGCTAATTTTGCCAGCTTGTGGTGATGCCCACGAAACCCGATTCCACCTATACGGAACAATCCGTGAACAATGTGCTCATGCTGAAAACCTTTGTTGACTCAATTGCGCCAATATGGCGAGCACTAGGCAACAGCAATTGCGAAGAACTATCGAATATCTACCAGGTTCGGGTTTCATGCCAGAAATTAAAAGCAATTACCTAAGACTATGTGAAGCTTTGCAGTTCGGAAAACTACGCAAAAGTTGAGAACATAATTTTGGAAACTATCAATGAGGATGTCCATTATTCAACAAAGCCAACAGACCTACGTAATCAACGAGTCTATGCCATACGCGTGAGCACACTGGTCTTTTTCTACGTTATGCTGCTGATCGAGGCTAGGCTGGTGTCGATTCCGTGCTAGACGTGGCTCGCCAAACGTTCAAAGAAATCAATGAAGATGTCTACAGGATGGTCGAGGAGCTGAAAGGTAAGCTTGCATCTCCTATCCATCAGATAAAGTCAATCAACCATCACAGTCGCACACGAACTCCCTTCCTGTGATCTCAAATTCGACACAGCCCGCCAGTATTTCCTACGCATCAACTGCGACGACTCCTTCAGTCAAAACCTTCCCGAAATCTTGATCAACATATTTCGCCGACCCAAGTATATAGAATGCCAGACTCTTGACCTTGTCAAAATGAACCAAAAGATGCGCAACGCTCACGCTGATATCATACACCTTGGCGATGGCGCTGTCCAACAACTCATCGGGACCGTCCGCTGTGAGATTCACCCGCTCTTTAAAATATCCGAAGCCATTGCACTTCTCGACATGCTCTCGTCTCTTGCTCAACTCAGCATCATAAACAACTACACTCGTCCGGAGATAACGGACACTCTCGGCCTCGAAGCCTGCCGTCATCCTTTGAGGGAGAAGATCCAGCTTGAACGTTTCGTCCCCAACCACGTGTACGCCACGCAGCAGACTCGCTTCCAGATCATCACAGGCTGCAACATGAGTGGAAAGAGCACATATATCCGCAGTATTGCACTGGCGGTCATCATGGCCCAGATGGGAAGCTTCGTCCCTGCAAGCTCCGCGAGTCTCCCCATCATACGGAACCTGTTCGCCCGTGCCTCGACGGACGATAGCATAGAAGCCAACATTTCTTCCTTTTCGGGTGAAATGCGCGAAATGGCCTTCATCCTACGTACGATTTCCGAACAAAGCCTCGTCATCATCGACGAGCTGGGCCGTGGCACGAGCACGACGGATGGATTGGCCATTGCGATCGCGATCGCCGAGGCCCTCGTCGAGTCCAAGGCGCTGGTGTGGTTTGTCACGCATTTCCGTGATCTGCCTAGGATCCTGGCCGAGCGGGCAGGCGTGGTCAACCATCATCTCGCCGTGGACATTGGCGACGACCTGTCCAAGATGACGATGAGGTACCAGATCTCCGATGGCTACGAGGAGAAAAGATTCTACGGCCTGGCCTTGGCCAAGGTGGTCGGTCTGCCCGAGCCGGTCCTCGACGTGGCCGAGAGCGTGTCGCGGTCGTTGAACGATCGGAACGACGCACAGAAACGGAACCCCAAGGCCGCGGCCGAGGCGAAACGGAGAAAGTTGCTGCTCAATCTGCGCGAACACCTGGTGCAGGCGAGAGACAGTTGCGCGACCGGTCAGACGGAGACGGCCGATCGCCGGGCGTGGTTGATGAGACTACAGGACGATTTCGCATTGGGAATGAGGGGCATAGACATTGAGGCTGGAGAAGTAGTAGAAGGGGACGGAGACGGCGATACCGAAGCGACGCCGAGTGACGAACACACCGACACCGTCACCGACACCGACACCCCGGGTCGCCGCGGCCGACACAAAGACGCAGGCATCATCATGCCCGGCGCATCGATGATGGAGGAGGGCGGAATGCAAAGCAACGGCAAACATCATGCGGAGACTCTCTCCGACACTCGTTCCTCCTCTTCTTCCTCTGTCGTCGAGGTCGTCGACAGGTCCGCCACCGTCCAAGGAATCAAGAGGGAAGATTTTGAGGAGCGGCACGAAGAAGAAGGAGTAGCAGTAGCAGCAGAAGAACATGACTCTGACACGACGACCCACGTCGATACTACGACGCACGGTAGTGATGACCACTACGCGGACGAGTACGATGACGACGACGACGACGACGAAGAAATGATGATGCTCGATCATGAGCCTTGGTGAAGTCACCGAGGGCCTAGGTGTTTACCCAGGTAATAATAACAGATGAATGTAGGGAGCCATGCATCGATGCAAATTTCAAGCACGAAGCCTATAAAAGATTCACAAAAAAAAAGCCGCAACCATGTTTGTCGAGTTACGGCAATTGTTTTGCTTTTATGGTCTCAATAGAAAAAGAAGGAGTTCCAAACTCACATGGATGGTGATTTTCTGGGATTACAAAAAAGATAATAGTACAGTAATCCGTAGTACGAATGAAATACGTGCACTAGAACATGTTTATATCATGACAATTCAATTTTCATGGTTGCCATTTTTAATCATCATTCTGTCTCTTCGGGTTTCAATTTCCATGTCTGTTGTGCCCGCGAGGCTCTCTCGCTTCAGAATCAATGATCATCATCGTCATCTCCTCCCGGGGCCGTCCTCACACGACAAAGCATCGCCGAGAGAGGCCGAGAGAGTCTCACTCAGAGGGTCCAGATGACAAGTCTGCCGTCGACACCACTGGTGCTGAACTTCTTCACCCCGTCCGCCGAACCTTCAAACACCCTGACGGTGTTGATGGTGTTTTGGTGTGTCGTGTTGAGTCGAGTGTCGTCCTTGACCTTGCCCCTGAGGTCCATCTGCTTGAACATGTGGAGGGCCGACTCTTCCCTCGCGCCGGCCCCCAGACTCGGACGGGTCTTTGCCTCGACGCCGCCGACCATCTCCCAACCGGCCTCGCTCCCCCGGAACCGGAAGGCCTCGCAGTCGTAACCGGCAGCGATGATCTCGGCCTCGCCGTTCCAGATGAGGCTCGTGAACGGCAGGGTCTGGGTCGGGATGCTCAGCATGGCGCGCGGCGGCGCGTCCGGCCCGCCGGGGTACACGACCGTGATGCTGCTGTCGTGGCCGGCGAAGGCGAGGGCGTCGCCGCCGGGCGAGAAGGACACGGCGTGGACCCAGCCGGCCGAGTCGTTGAGGTACTCGCCGCAGACGGTGTTGAAGGGGAGCCTCTCCCCCCAGGCGCTGGCCTCGGGGCGTTCGTCGACGCCCTTGACGAACCCGGAGAAGACGCGGGCGTGGGAGTCGGTCGAGCCCGCGGCGAGCAGGACGCTGTTCGGGTGCCACGCCAGGGTCGTCACCGTGCTCCGGATCGGCTTCTTCAGGTGCTTCGAGACCCACCAGTCGTTCTCCTCCTCAAAGTAGCACACGGCGATCAGGCGCGCCCCGGACCCGACGGCGAACTTCCTCTCCGAGGGGGACCAGCGCACGAACGTGGCCGCGCGGTTGATCCGGAGGAGGACGAGGGTCGGTTTCCACCCGGTGGGGGAAGGTTCCCACACGTAGGCATTTCGATCTGTTTTTGGTCCAGGTTTTCGCGTCAGCCAGACCTTTTCCTTCTCCTAGAACAAACCCTCCCAGAAATGAAGATCAAAACACCACACAAAAAAAAGGTGTGGCAACCATGACAAGATCCCGCAAGTTCAATCTTGTTCAAAAGCTCTCGTGCTCAAACTCACCTTGAGAACAAGTCACAATCATGCCACTGTTGGGTGCGATGTCGACGCCCGTGACGGTCTTGTCGTGACCCTTGAGTTCGTCCTTCAACGTGAACCTCGACCCCGACTTTTGATAGAGTTCGACATTGTTTTCCTTGGCTATCGCGAGCGTCTGACGGTCCGAGGAGAAGGAGTGGTCGGCAATCGGGGCGTGGAAAAGGTGGTGAACTTCTGGTCCGGACATTGCGAAACTTTGTTGAGAAGAGAAGAGAAGACAAGAGAAAAGTGGAAGCGCGATAGGAGTATAGCTCTCTACTATCGCAACTTGGGGTGGTGGAAAAACACAGGGAGAGGGTGGAGGAGGATTCTGATATCGGTGGTTCCGCAGCTGCGTATTTAAACGTTCGTGGTTGATGGTGGGAGGAGGACGAGGAGGATGACGCGGAACCGGCTGATCCTCGGTGGGGGCCGCAGTTTCACGAGGCTGCGGTTCAGCCTTGTGTGAGTGTGTGTGTGAGGGGGGCCTTGTATTCGTCCAGGTAGAAGGTAAAAGACAAGCAAGGTGCATTGCATTAAAGGCAAAAGGGTCATAATGCATTCATAAAGTCGTTGATCGGTATCTTGATCTATCTGCTGCAAAACACAGTCCTCTGCATGTCAAAAAACAAAACCAAAGCGAGTCTAAAGTCCAGGTGGTCACCAAAGCATAATGCAATTCCTACCATGTCCAACCATGTTATCGAGTGTCACGAGTTCTCAGGGCTTTAGTAACTCATCTCTGCGGCCAGTCGAGCCTTGAAGGCCTCCGCGTGCCGTGTAAGTGTGCTCCGCCGGATCAAGGTCGTCTTGACGACAAAGGAATACCTATACCTAGACCACCGCCATTCGGTAACGGAACCTCCATGTTTGGCACTCATCTCGTCCAAGACCGTCTCGGCGTACCACCAACACATTTCTCGTCGAAACCTATAATGAGGCCGCCGTCGTGTCGTGGCGGCGAGGACACCGGCCAACTCGAACATGCTCGGCCTCGTCCGACGGTCGTCGAACTCCAGGCTCAACAGAGGTAAAGGGAGCTTGTAGTGGTCCGACGGTGTCTCTCCCGAAGCCCAATCCCACCCGACGAGGACCCAATCTCCGTCCTCTTCGCGCCCTGCGGCGAGTCGGGTACGTCGACCGCTTCGGACGTCCTGCACGACGAACTGTAAAAACTCGTGCGAGAAGGGTGACGCGAGGGCCTTGATCCAGGTGATCGAGCAGACCTTCCAGTCGGCGAGATTTTCGGGGAGGTTCGACAAACGTCGGAGCCATTCTTGCGTGGACAACTTTCGATACGAGTTGAGAAGTTCGGGCACCCCCCCGCGATGAACGATCGGTGTCTTTTCAGACTCTGTCGTGTCGGAGACTTCCATTACCGACGAGGTGCTGGACAGTTTCGGCACCTCGAACGTGGTCGCCGCCGCCGGTGCCATCTCGAACGACCCTGCGTGGTAAAACAATCGCAGAAAGAGTAATACGATGGTGTTGAACCGACTTGACCCGAATCGATGTCGTGGCAAGACCAAACACAGAGACATCTGCCTGGGGTGATGTTTGCCACAGGTGCAGATACCCACGACCGCACGGTGACCATGGTTGACGCTGGTCGACCATCCCTTGCGCTTCACAGGGCGAGGATGGCGGAATGGGAGGAATTTGTGGGTGAGCGAGGCCATTGTGTGAGAACCCCACGAGGTCCAAAAGGCGTGTGATGTTGTAGAATATATACAATAACATACCTGGGTAAAAGGTCACCAGGATTTGAAGGGTCACGTATAGCTCCTCTGGCATAGCAAAGAGAAGGAGGCTCGGGCTCGGTTTTCGAGCAATCATCCACCTCGGGCCAGTCACATCTCGCGACCACGTCCGGTGGGATTGCACATGTTCGCTCACGCGCGCCTTCCGAATATTGTCATGGTCGACGTGCACTCACCATCACTCCCCGAACATGACGAGACCGCGAAATGAGATTGGTCTGGTCTCGCGCGGTCGTATAAAAATTGAGGGTTGAAGTTCGACGTAACCATTTGAAATATACAGTCGTAGACCGGGGGGCATCTTCGGTGGGAAATTGAACTACTGCGTACCACCTCACCAAATACATTAGCCAGACTTACCTCCAATGACGGAGCATGGATCATCGGCCGAGATGGGATGAAAGAAATACTACGATGAAGATCGAAGAGAAGGGTCGACTTCTAAATGACAGTTGCCGAAGTCGTCAACCTCTCTCTATGAACCCTTCGGCTCACTTGCCCTTTTCCAGTCTCAACACTCGGTGATAATAGAAAGCATGAGATGAGAAGGTGGTGGCATTGTAGCTCACCACAAAGGCAATATTGCCCTTATGGCAGAGGCAGAATCTACAAAGAACGAGATAACAATGACAGTTTTCGGAGATGGATCTGCCTATCGCATTAATGGAAGCAACCAGCTTCCAGTAGTGATACAACACCATATTCCACCCATTGCCCCCCAAGCTGATATACATAATGATGAATCAATATTCCCTTGCCGTCGCCTGATGCAACATCGCATTCTTGCCAAGGGTATCGCTTTTATTGTCATGACCTCGTAAATTGATACAGTAACATGCTTGTACTTCTCGACCCACGCCGACCCGAAGGCAGTGCCTGTACCGAACCCCCGGGTTTCAAACGAGCCCCATTACTTGCATTGGCGCGGCAGGGCCTTCCCAAAGCCAACCTTCATCCGCCTCCACAATTTGCGGCAATGGCTTCGCCTAGAAGCTCGCCATTTCCAACCATGTGCCGATGAATGCCAACTTTCCAAGATCAGCACTACTTTCCCATCCTTCTGGCTCATCGTCATCTATGGTCTTGCCTTTGATGCCCAGTGCCTTGCTAATCGCATCTTCAGGAACCATTCTCCGTCGCAGTTCTTCAAAGCTGAGTTTTGCTGGGCCGCCTCGCTCTTCTGCTTCGGCATCAATCTCGTCATGATGGCACCAGAGGTCGTACAGTGCCCTTGCTCGGACAGGATCGCCAGCGAAAGGATTGGGTTCTGACTCTGGGACGGGAGACGACTGCGGGAATTCGGAACTCGGGCGAAATTGTGGGAGAGTCGGGTCATGATAGGACAGTTCCGAGCGCGACTCCTGATCCGATCCATTTGGCACGTTGTTTTGTTTCGGTAAACGATTCCCAAACATCAACTCTATATGATCGTCGGGATCGTGGACAGCAGTGGTGCGGATTTCGGGGATCACACTCGAGGCAGGTCTTGCTGTGTCATTTGTGATCTCATCAGCTTTCGTCGCAGATGCGTCTTTGAACAGCTCTTCAGTTCGGAGTCGATCAGCCTCTTGCAGTGCTTCATCCAGTCGTTCATCTGCAGCGGCTTCGAGGGTCTTCTTGTACTCGTACCTCTCCTTCGCGAACGCATGGCGATTCAGTCTTGTATGGCAAGCTTCCAACCATTGGTCTTCTTTCTCCTTGAAGAGGGGATCTAGTAGCTCATTGAACCCCTGTTGTACAGCTTGATAAAGGATATCTTTACCAATATCAGCTTCCGCTTGCCCAAGCTCATAACTGCCCCATCGCTCATTGACGGGGATGCTCCTGGAGGAGGCGTTCGATCGTGTTTCGTAATCTGTATCGATGGCACTATCATCGAAGCGCACCTTGGAAGACGACCGAGATCGTACAGACTGCCTTCTGGGACTTGTCGAGCCTTCACCGCTGCTTTTCTTCAGGGCCGACGGCAGACCTTCATCATCAGAGCTGTCTGGTTCGGTGTATCCATGAGGCTTTGTCATTCCTTCTTCCTCATCTAGGTAAAACTGCCTGCGTCGCCATCGATCCTGAATCGCTTTTGTGCGTATAGATTGTTCCGCACGGTCGGCTTGGTTATCGAGACGTTCAGATTGAGCATAGAGCACTCTTGTCCTGTCCAGAGAATCGGTGATCTCCTCCAGGGCTACTTCGCGTCCCAATGCTACGGCGACATCTTCTGCGGTTGGCGTCAAGGGAGGTGGCCAACCGTAAGTCTGTAAAGGCGGGTCCGGGCCACTGAATTCTGCTTCCGAGTTCTCGTCCACATCCTCCATTCCAGAGCGTATGAAGTTTTCGTCACCTGGCAGAAGCATAACAGGCTCGTCTTCTGGTTGGCTAGACCTGAATGACCTAAAGGGGTGACCTCGTGTCCTATTGCCGATGGCCAGGTTTCCGATGGCACGGAGACGATCCCCTTGCATCCCAGTCTCAAGCTGAAGAACACCACTGGGCCCGTTGGACAACTCAAGATCTCCAGTAGGTCTTTGCTCCTTGTCCTGCCCCGCTCTCGAAGCGTGACCATTGAGCGTACTACCACCGAAAGCAGCACTGATTGGGCGGCTACCGTGAACGACCTCGTGCTCTTCCTCTTCGTTGAGACCATAGTCCTTTTGTGCGTTAAACATTTCGCGACTCAGCTCTTTACTCAGGGCGTAATATGCACGAAACATGCGGAGAAAATCTTTTCTGTCCACGTAGCCGTCTGCATCAAGGTCGTAACCCTCGAAGATACGTTCCAATCTGGCGTAGCGTGACTTCTTCTGGAGACGAGCCAGGCCTTGTATGTATTCCTCGAACCCGATGAGTTCATTGTGGTCAGTATCGTAGAATGCAAAGATGCGATCGTAGATGAGATTCGCGGCGGACGGTCTATCAGCAGAAGAAGGAATGAAATACGAATCAAAGCCTTTCCGGTCGATTGCATATCCCAGACCAGTTGGGTCGGCAGGCCAGAAGCGTCCCGCGAGGCATTTGAACTGCTCGTAGAGTGCATCCATCTCCGTACGATCCATCTTCGTCTGCTCCAAAAGGGGCTTGGAGACGTTCTTGGGAAGAGAAGTGGGAAACGCATTGGGATCTCCTGGATACCAAGATGGCATCACCTGCTTGATGTCTCCCCTCGATGGCGCGGGGATACGTATCTTGAAGAAGACATGGCTGCTGGTATGGGCAGAGCCAGCCTCGCAGCTTTCGCACAGGTCGAAGTCGAAGCAGTTCGCACAATGGTAACGGATGCCTTGTATGGGGTGCGTGCCGCAGTTGTTGCACTCGACACCGCGGTGGATGTAGCCCTCTCTCCGTGCCTGCTCTCCGGCAATATGATATAGCAGGTCCAGCATATTTTGACTGCCCTCGGCATCGTCATCGTTGTTGCCAAACGAAACTTCACTATCCATATCGTCGTCTCCCGCTGGATTCCGTAGCGCCTGCAGAGCATCGCGTGGGGCCATGTCCTCGGTTGGCTCCTCAGATTGCACCGTGTCATAGTTTGGGCCGTTTGGTGGTGCCTCCAGTGGATTCCAATCCTCCGCCAGCTGAAATTTCCCCGCGTCGAAAGCCTTGACGACCTCATGAACGATTTCTTCATTCACTCCCAGGAGCTCGAGGCTCTGTGCGACAATGTAGGCATCTTCTCCTATGATGTATCCTTCTGGAAATTCTTCGCGGAGAAAGTTTTGGGTGAAGATGCCGTGGACATGCAGTCTCAGGCAGCCTTGTTGGTATGATGATAGAGGCTCGGGGGAATGTTGCACCAGATACTCTTGGATAGTTTGTAGATTGCATGGCAGCAAAACCAAATTGATCCCTTCATTCTCCGAGGTTTCTGAGAAGAACCAGCTATTGCGATACTCTCCATAGCCTTCACCGAGTTGATTGCGGCGTCCTAGGTCATCAACAGCCCGTTGGGCGGGATCGTGGTGGAGGGGTCTGGGTGCAAAACCGGCACGCCAGCGACGTCGGTGTCGGGGTCGACGGACGGCGTTGCTGCGATGTAGGGTCTGCGACTGGGTCGGTTCGAGGCGTGGGTTGGAGTTGTAGGTATATGCATAAAAAGCTACCGACAGAACTGTAGCGCCGGCCAATGCGAGGAGCAATGGCTTCCTGTAAGTGTAATCAGCCATGATCTGGACATGATCGTGGTTCAACCAGCGATGTCCTGCCACGGGTTCGAGTCGTCAAGGTTGTTCAGTACTTGTAACTCAAGATGCGCAACGCAGGCCCATGAGCGAGCAGGGAATAACTTGGCGTATAAAGTCGTATGCTCCACCGTCCATTTGTGTAGGGTGGAGTTAAAGATTTTCACAAGTAGCAATTTGCTTATTGCGGAGCTGTACTCCGTATTGAACTACCGTAGTACTCCGTACTAGGTAGGAATTCGTAGAAAGACGGTCAGATTACGGTTGTTCATGATTTGTATTATTCAAACCTATATCCACTGCACCACAGCATAATCTCCATGTGTTGTCAAGGTATTTACATGTTCTTGGGGATACATCCGTATGTAGAGCGGGAGTAGTCATCTGGGATCCACATTGAGCCTCCTTCTGCACAAAATGAATCCACCGACCCCCAATACCCCAGCCTCGCGCCCAAACATGGCAGCGAAGCACTTACATGGATCACCTGTGAAGAGTTCTTATCGAAACCAAGGGGGTAATTCAAAGCCCTTGTAACTCATGTTGTCAAGAAGGCCGCCGAAGCCACCCGCTACACTTGTTAGGTAGTACCTAGGTACCGGTCGCTGTGGGAAGACTGACTAGTAGAAAGTCATACCCTACCGGCACAGGCTTTTGTTCCAGAGACCCAACGTGTCTTGAGAGTTGCGAAAAGTGCTTCCCACAAGGATGTCGGAACACTCTTTGATAGAGACAGGAAAACTCGACCAAAAGGTTGTACTTTGTAGGGAAGGGGTTTGAGGGACGTGTTACTTTGAGAGTAATTGGAGGTCAACAACCAATTACGGAGTGGTTTCTCAGAGTCTGTAGAAGACTAGACTGAAAGATTTACTCCGTAAGAAGTGAAGGATTAGAGTGTAGAACATCAAGACGTCCATATAGGGAATATAATTCCACGATATGTGCATTGTGCGTGACTTACTACTCATTTGTTACACAATAAACCAAAAGAACAAGTCGAGAGTTCAGCCACTCGCGCTAGAAAAAAAAGTTAAAAGTTAAAGTGGTACGATGGGTGCATGTACTAGATACCTACAAGTAGGTAGTTACAGTACCACTGAGTCAGGTATCGGAGTATGGACTTAAGTCCATACGGCAAAGTCGAATAATATGAGATCATTGCTAGTCACTCTTCGATACTTATCACTACCAAGGGAGGTGGTATTTTTTGGGTTGAGCAGGGAAGATTCCTTTGGTTGGTATGTACGAGCAGAACCCCTTTAGTCTGGGGAGAGTGTTTTTTGATAGAGCAGTTCGGGCCATTGCATTGTGTGTGTGTGGCGCAGCGAGCGGGAGAGGCGTGTCGATCTCTCTCCTTTTTTTTCTCGCTCATACAAATATTTAGTCCGTGCTTTGAAATATTAATACTTTCCGTATTCCGAACTCCGCCCATCTCACGAGTAGCTCGTAAAATTTGAAAAAAATGTCAGATCCCCTTTTTACTCCATATCCGTACCCAGATGTTTGTCCGATACGAGGAGCACACAGAGCCCCCCAATGATTGTTCGTGCTCCGTAGATACATACAATACCTACTCCATTTATTCCGTTCAAATAAGATTCGACTTGAAATCGGCAACCCCGAAACGTGGCTCTGTCTCTTCCCCCACTTACCCAGTCCACACAAGTTCTAACCTACCTACAGTACCTACAATAGCATACCTGCCTACAGACAGTACCTTAATATGTACCCGTACTGTACATTTCCGTATGTGGATAGTGACCCACTTGACGAAGAAAGCGAGACGAAATCCCACGCTGGCGAGGTACTCCCGGTTACTGACACGAGCCTACCTACGACCCAACAGTTTAGATATTGGATCATGTTATCATCATCATCATCATCAAGCCCTTTTTTTTTCTAGTTGCTCCATAAGGACATTCCTGACGAGTCTCGAATGGGCTACAGGGTACGTACTGTACTCTCACAAAACAGTATCGTGCAAGATACTCAACAGATCGACAGACTAACAAACACCACGAAAAGAAAACTGATCCGATCAAGGACGACCACGTCAGTTAGTCACTAACCAATTTGCAATAACCAATACTCATCGGCTATACGGAATCTTTTCTTTGTGCCCAACAAAGTTGAAAAAAGGAAAAAAAAGACCTTCAGTCAGTCATGGACCAGAGTAAGTGCCGCAAGATTTATCCGGTCAAGGGGATAGATTAGGTACCGATACCAGGCAACCCTAGTCCAGCTGAACAAAAACAACCCCCCTCCCCGCCTCCCCCCCCGGTAGCTAGGTATTTATTAGGAGTAGTGGCAGGGGCAACTGTCGCAATTGATTGCTATTGACTACAGCTGCGTCAGGTTCCTGAGGTAACCTACCTAGGAATTAGGAATCGAATGATTTCCGAGTTCCGAACTCAACAAACACACAAGATTCCCAAAACCTTTCTCTATCGAGGACTTCGAGAGAAAGTTTCCTTTTTTTTGTTGGTCTCTCGGATACTGTCCTCCGTAGCAAAACCCCGAAAATCAAGACCCTGATTATTGCCTCGTGGCATTTTCGTCGGGCTTCGCCTTTTGTATTTCGACACATGCTTCAGGCACACGCTCAAAAGTGTCTTCAATGGTAAAACGTGAAGAACCCAAAATCAGATCTTCAAAGTCCTATAGAGATCAATACACTTGCTTAATTTGTAAAATATTCTCCTTATTCACCAGCTTCTTCATTGTTCCTCTCACTCATATACTTAGGCACTGGTAGGCTATCTCTCTCCCCTCTCCAATCAACAGCACATCCTCATATCCAAACCCAAATCCATAATTCTTTGTACGCTGTGCCCAATTTTAGGTGACCCTTTGCTGCACCCTTGGTATATCCTCCTCCGGGCCGGGGGAATCATGAATCGAAGAGAAAACAAAATGAAAAGATTATAGACAGGTTAAACAGCCGTATATCACATCACATATATCGTAGCCACACACTGTGACACACACAGCGAATTCATAGACCAAAATTAATGACAAAAAGGTCCCTCTCGGCCATGACTTGCATCCAGTCGATATCAAGACTTTGTCCCGTATTCATAAAGCGTTCGTTTTGTTTCTCGTACACTGCAGCTAGTGCCCTTCGTGTCATGGTAGTGTTGCGCCCGATACTGTGCTTTTCCATCCCACGGATCAAATCTAGTGCTTGCATGCGTTGAGCTCCGTCGGTGCTACAGAACCCTGCCATGAAGACAGGAAACACCAGGTATCGACAATGATATCGGTTCTCAGCATGTGCTTTCATGGTCATCTGTAGGATTTGATTGGACGCCACTGCAATTTCCGTGTCATAGTCCGGCGATGTGTCGAGTCTTTGGCCAGGCCACATTGAAGTGTGTGAAAAGAGAATACATGCACGATACAGTGCCGCGGCGTGTTCGTAAAGTTGGCGCGATCGTTCTGGAAGGCTATGACTCATTTGTCCAATCATTGAAACCGCTGGGTTGAGCCATAATTGCCGCAAAGACTCCTGGAGTTCAAAGGTTCGACCTTGACGAATTTGGACCGCTTGCGCCCGGTGTAGGTAATTGGCCGTCGCAAATGTAGTGTCATTGCGGAATTCGCTCGCGAGCAGGGCCAGCCGAACAGCCAATATAGTGACTTCATAATCGAGTTGCAAGATACTCGGTAAAGACTCCAGTTCTCCGCTGTAAACAACGCTTGATCCATCCACGCCCAGGGGGTGTAGATGAAAGCTGGGTCCCGGAATATTGTCGTGTTGAAGCATGTATCCAACAAATTCGCCTCTTCCAGCTCCACTGAAAAGTGCATCCAGGTCAATGTTACATATCCACCAAATAACAAAAGGGTATCTTTCGCCGCCAAAAACATCGCGACGAAGTAGGGCAATCCGTAGGAGGGTCGATAAGTGCTGAGACCATAAATTGGATCCGCCGGCTTCTGCGGCGGCGATCTATCTTGGGCGTCAGTACGGTGCTCAAGGCCGAAACCAATCGCACTCACCTCGTAGACCAACAACAAAAAATGGGTCAAGAAGGCACCATCCGAGGATAGATCATCCGGACCCTTCAATACACTTTGGAGCGCGGGTAGAGCCTGTTGATAGTGCTGTAGTGCATCCAGCCTAGAGGTGCTGTCTGTCGCAGCTAGACTCAGCGCAGCAACGGCCATCATAGCATGTTGTAGCTGCAGACCAATATTAGCGAAGTTGCCACCCAGCGATTGCGGATGAAAAAATACCGGTGGAAATACGCGCGCAGCCGTCTCCAAAAGTCCAACACTCGATCGCATCATTCCATCCGCCTGATCAAGTTCTGCAGGCACAAGTTGTTTCCAGACCACATGCCGAAATTGTTGAGAGTATTGCTCTTCCTGAGAGTCGAATCCATCTTCCAACATCGACATCGGTTCGTCCACGATGGCAATCTCGTCGGAGTCCTCCTTTTTGATGAATTGATGCCTTGCAAAAGGAGAAAGCGGCGAGCGCAAGTCCTTGGACGAACTGAACGTGTTGCGTCGGGCCATGTCCTCGAATCTCGGTAATACGACGATGTTGGGGTCTCCTGCTAGTGGGATACCTTCAACTACTACGTCTCTCCCAGAATTGTTCACATGGGTTGCTGCAATTGATGCTCGGCGCAAAGGCACAACTGATTCTCTCTTGATGCTGGGTTCATCGCTGTACTCGGGTAGGTGCTGGAAACTATCCTGATTGACAACCACGTTGTATGTGCCCGGGCTGGAGCGTTCCGCCTTTTTCTCTCGGTCTTCGTCCGTCGTTAATGTCGCAAAAGGTGGTAGATCATCTATCTGAACAGACCCGGCGCTGGTGTCCGTCCTTGCGGGCGAGTTGGCTGCATAGAAGTCAGCAAGCGCTTTTTGTGCCGCGATATAGAAGACTTACAGTCCCATATTGTGTTTGTAACCACGGTGATATCCTGCATCCGCTCTCGCACTCGAGCAGTGTCATCTCGAAATGCCAGGCGCGGACTATAGTCGCAAGTATGACCTAATCGACTACATTGGCCACACTCTGGACGTCGTTCGTCACATTTGACCTTGCGCGTGCGGCATGTCCAGCATCCAGTTCGGGATCGGGGTGGTAATCGTGCACGCGGAGGGACGGTCGGACCTAATTGACCACTGCGACTCGAGCTAGCCGAGGATGAGCGATCATCCTTGGGTGCAATGACCGGCAGTCGCGGTGGCTGTCGCTTTGAGGATTCCCCTCGTTTGTCGTCTTGCATTACCACTGCGATTGGCAGGACTGCAAAGAGAAATCCTGGATATTTCCAACGTCCTGATGCGAAGAGTCGGTCAAGGGTTCATGTCGGCCTGCATGAGTTAGCCGCGACGGATGAATAGGCCGCGACAGGAGCCCATTCCACAGCGGCAAGAAAAAGCGAGACTGGTGCGCAGGCCCGAGGGTGGATATGGATCGGATGTCAGAGCAAGTTGCAGCGGGAACGACTTTGGGTCGGGCAGGGAGGTGGCGGCAGGACGAAAGGAGGTCAGTAGTAGCTTTGTATAAGCCGACGAAATGCTTGCACCTGGGGCTTGGATAGGCAACGAGGCAAAGAGATGTCGAAGAAAACGAGAAGAAAACTGGAGTGGGAGACAGATTGAAAGATGGTGAAGAGCAAATAGCGCGTTCGAAACTGCAAGATGGTGTGCCATTAGCCTGGGGGACATCATGCTATGTCATTCTGAACGCCAACGGCCATGTCCACCAACCAACCCAGATGGGAGAGCCACATCTCATGGATCCCGGCAGAGCAGTTCATTCAGACTAGGGACCCGATGTCTGGGTTCGGCTATAGCGAAAAGACCAGGCCTCGAAAGATTTTTTTGGAAGCAAGTGAGATGGTGGATATTGGGTAGGAAGAGAAGAACAATGAACAGGGCCCCGCCGAAGAGGCTGGCCTCGAGTGCCCTTCCCCTGTTCCGGAACGGAAAATCTGTTTGGCCGAGGAATCAACCGAACCCCCACTAATTGGCCACTTCAGAACCCGAGAGCGTCTTTTTGTCTCTGTTCGGTGCCCTCCTCTTCCCCCCATGCATGCTCCCACTCACCCTTCCCCTACCCGATCCTTGCTCGTTGGTGTGCCCCCAAACCTCGTCAAAGAGCACATGGTTTGCTAGTGCCTCTTCTTCTCGTATCGTTCCAAGACAATACATTGTTAGCTTTACACCGGAATACTCCTGGGATGCCAAAGTCTGTCACGCATCCCGCCATGTCTAGTCTGTATACGATCATCACCACAATCTCGATAGACGTCGCTCTCTGTGCACCAATGTTTATCGAGCCAGCCACCACTCTCATCTGTGCCCCTAATCATAATATTCATTTTTCCATCGACTTTCCGATTGAAGTCTGCAAGACTTCAATCTCTCCGGCACCCGGGTACGAGTACCACCCTGGTCCGGCTGAGCACCCACTCGTCTGGAGATCCGAGTTGGGCTTTGTGGAGAGTATGGATACGAGACTTGTAAAAAGTATAAGTGCCAGACCTGACGTCGTGTGGGCATGCCTTTGTGCCTGAGGAATAAGACGTGGATCACTTGCTGGAGTTTCCTCGGATAGGTGTACACATCCATCCGAACCAGTGTGTTGGATACCACAAGAGGAAAGTGATGAAAGAGGCTTTTCCCACCACCACCAGAAGGGGCACCAACAGGATGTTCACCCGGCGATTCATGCTAGCGTCAAAATTTGTCTGCAGGGTTAAGCCCGTGACGGTCCGATGCATCCCTGTCTGCAGCCCTACGAGTACAGTAGTAGTCGGACAAAGCGCTTGATCTGGTTTGCAAGATGAACGAATGCTGTGGGCATTCTCCTTCACTGCCGACGTTGACCGAGCCCTGACTCGATGCCATGACACAAGCGAGACGTTAGTGGCTCCCCTAAAGGAGGAGTTGGGCACGTTGGATGTCTTCACGTAAAAGTCTAGACCGTTCGGTGCGCGCCCAGGTGGTGAGGATCGCCGCTAACGGTGCAGATACCCGGGTGCCTCTTTCAGCTAGAGCCACAGCCAAAGCGACTCGCTCCCTGCGCACGTTTTCCGGCTCGGAGCCTTGGCGACCATCATTGTTCTCGGCGGCGAGCACCGCCAAAACAAGTGGCTCAAATCGCTCATAGGCACTTTCCTCGGCACCCTTTCGCGGCGACGCTAATGCACCATTTGAGGCTGAGGCATTTTCCTTTTCTGCACCGTTCATCTCAACATCAACACCAGCATCCAACTTCCGCTTGATCGGCCATTTTTTGACGAAAACATTCGCGTTTTCGTACACCGCCAGATCGACAACATAGCTTTTCATGGCTTGAGCTTTTTTCACAATTTCGGCACTTTGCTTCAGAACCTCGGCATTGGGGGACGAGGCGAGGATTCTGAATAGACACGAAACGATGGAGCCTACACTGGCCTCAACGACCGTTCTGATCGCCAGTTAGATGGGGGTCCTATGGGCAAACATGGGGGCAACTTACTTGTTTTCGAAGGTCTTGCCGCTAGTTTCATCAATGTCCATCGCATCCTTGTCTGTTAGCTCGTCCAGGGTGTCCGCTAGGAATGGCACCACGTCCTGAGATAAATCCAGGTCGTTCCGGACGAACACGAATTCTCCTAGTGACTCAATAGCATGGGGTCGATACGCAACATTAGTACGTTTGGCCTCTCGGATAGCAATCTTCCGCATCTGTTGACTGACACCATTGTCACTCCATATGGATCGTGCCTGCTCCACGAACTTCGGATATGCCTTGATGATCTCTTCTTTTCCGGCCCAGGTCTTACCATCGAGGGCCTCTTGGACCACTTTCCAGATCAGTCTCGCTGTACTCTCGGAGTACTTTTCACTAGAGTCCATTGATGACACCATATCGGCCACAGCGAAACAACAGGCATGTTTTATGGGCCATAGGGTGGACTTGATGTGTGAGGATACAAGCCTCACAATCTCAGTCAGATAGAGATTGATCGAGCGGGACCCGCCGACATTGTCCTTCCACGGAACATCGAATCGTTCCTTCACTTCTTTATCGGTGTCCTGTCGTCCAATGAATGCAAAGGGGAGAAAGCGGGATGCCGATTTCATGAAGACATCATTAGACGCTTTCGAGATGGCCTGAACAATCTCACCGGCCACAGAGCGATGGACCAATTCTTGAGACTCGAAGTATAGCTTCTGTGCGTATTCACTGGTGGCTTGGATCTCTTTGTCCGAGGCTAGTCGCATCAAATATCCCAAGGAAGTGCTAAACGCCACGCTGATGGTGGCATTGCGGTCGAGAACGTGCTTTCTTGTAACCTGAACAAATCTGTCGACGTAGGGTCGAAAGGCGGTTGGATGACGGACAACAAGAGTGATCATGACCCTGCTCAAGCCAACCTTCGATGGTAATCCAATGGCTGCTCGGTAGGTGCCGAGCAGTCTCTGCATAGCATCATCAATTGATGACTGGTTCGCATTTGGCTTCGATGTTGACACGACTCCTTCCATGGCTTCTGCACCACCGTCAGGGCTCTCTGTTTGCATTGTGATGCTCTCCAAGCACTGCTCTATGGCTTCAGTCACTGGTGACGCGTTGATGCTCGAGACACGCATCTTGTCCAATTTCTCTGTGGTCAAACCATATTTATCGGCATTGAGATGTAGGTAATTGATGCTCTCATGCTCGAGGGAACTCAGCGACACGATCAAGGTCTCCAAGATTTGTGGAGCGTATGACCGAAGCGCCTTGGGAGGACTCTTTTTGACAATCTCCAACAGGGTAGCAATAGCATACTGTTGGACGTCTTGCCCAGCGCCGCCTTCCATCTGCTGTATCAAGAACGGCATTGCATGGCTGAGCATGGTAGCTGAGCGTTTCGTATTGCCATCGCCAGTCTCGAGATTTCTGATCAGCATGCTCGTCAGAGTCCTGCACAGTTTGATAGCCGCCACGCGAACCGTTTCCTTCACATCATCCAGGACTTTGAATGCTACTTTCCAAATCTCGTCGAGATGTTTCTCAAAAATATCGACATCCCGACCTTGTACGAGATCCGAGATGGCGGCACAACTTGCTTCGCGTGCTCGCCATTCTTTGCCTGATACGATAGACTTCAACAAATCTTCCATGATTAGGTCGAAGTTGTTGTTGATGACAGCGCTTGGGTCTTTGACCAGCGCCCTCCAGATTTCATTCATGGATCGTTGCACATTGGGGTTGGGATCAAATCTGTACCGGAATAGCTTGGGATAGAACTTCTTGTTCTCAGCCAGGTACGTCGAGTCCGCCAGGATATTACCCAGCCCAAATCTTCCGAACGCTGCGCGACTGGACCAGATGGCATTGCTCGACGCCAAGTTCATGAATTTGTACACCAGGCTGGGATCTCCCATTTCCGTGGCAAGGCGCACGATGTCCTTGTATGTTGTCACCGATTCGCCTTTCTCGGTAGGAAGTGCGCCTGCTTCGAATAGTTGCGTGTCTTCGTTCACAGTGCCAGACATCTTTGCATTGCTGCCGGTAAAGCTCTGCACCAGGTCTCGGACCAGATCCTCCCGAAGTGCTTTATCCCCACGCTCATACACGAGACTCAGACCTCGAGAGCCCGTCTCTTGTACGATTTCGTCGCGATCATTGAGTAGTCTGGTGAACGTGGCTTGGCACTCTCTCAGTTTGGAGAGAACAGCGGATGAATCGCCGCAGTACTGAATGAGACATAACAACCATATGGCCGATGCTTTTTTCAAGGCGGGTTTGGTGGTCTTGCAATTTTCAAGCACCTTTTCGAGGACTGTGAGCATCAAGTCTTCGCTGTATCCCCAGCTTGGCAATTCCGCATCAACGTCGAATTCTGTCATGGTTGACGATGACCGCCATCCGGCGCAGGCAACAGCAAGAGCCTCACCTAGTGCGAAGTGGAACTCTGCTCGTTTGATCTCGTGAAGCGCAAGGACTCGTGAGAAGAGACTTTCAAATTCTGAGGATGGACCACGTGCATGGATGACACCGAGAAGCGGCCCGAGAGCAGAGACGGCGATTTCACTCTCCTTTTTTGCATCGGCTACGATTGGGTTCAGGAAGTCCTCGCTCGTCGGCGGTCCCATTGATGGCTGTGCTGTGCACAGAATAACCTGGCGTAGACTCCTATAGGCGGTATCTTTCATAGACTTGTCCGAAGAGGATTTGATGATGTCGCAAACGAGTTGCGTCAAGGCTTGTAAAGTCGAGTTTTCGCCGTCCATTCGTCCCCTCAGTAGACTCCGCGTAAGACAGAAAGAGGCTCGCAAGATTTGTCCTTGACATTTAATGGCCTGCTCTCCGACAGCTACATTCCAGCCTCGAGCCTGCTCTAGTTCCGATTTGGTAACACTCGTGGTGTCATCCTCGGTAGACGAAACTATGCCAAAGATCCGAGCGGCTCGAAGCTGCAGCCCTGGTTTCGCAATGACACTCGACGAAGCAGCCAAGGCCGCGTCGTGCACAAGACTCAGCGTGCCGTTTGGTGAAAGTGAAAGCACCTCGAGAGACACCTCGAGACACTCTCCAGAGTCTCGAGAGGCGCCGCGAAGGGCCATTTTGAGGAATGTCAATAGCGCACCCGTGTCGACTTCTCGCAGACGCCGTCTGATCCTTTCTCGTACCTCTTTGTCGTTGTTGACAAGTGCGTCGATGCCTTGTTGCCAATCGGTCGACTCTTCGGGCCGATGCGTCGTGCCTTCGAGTGCATTGCACACGAGCACGTTGCGGCAAAAGCCGACCGCGGATGCGAGTCTCGTGGTGCTTTCGTAAAGTTCCTTCTCATCCCGAGAGCCAGTGAAGAACCGCTCGACGACGGTCTCGAAACGAGGCAGCGTCAACTTTTTACCGTCTTCCGACAGATCACCACCAGATAGCCGTGAGCTCGTGGCGTGCCAGTAAGGATCGAGACCCCGCAGGCCTTCTTCGGCGACTTCGCGCCTGTCCGTGGTGTCAAGAGCCATGATGTTGATGAATCGTGCGTCGATATCGCTGAAAGGTAAGCACTTGTTTGCGAATCGTACGGCAGGGTATTTGGTGCTGTTGACGATGGGGAATGAGTACGTGGTGTCTTCCTGTCCAGGTTGCGCCATCATGTTCCAGAGAAGTAATGTCTTGAATCGAGATAGACTTGACTCGTCAAGATCGACAACTGTGTTCATGATGCGCCCGATCGCCTCCTCGATGCTGCTTCTGATGCCCGCAGTCGTGTCACATCCCAAACTGGCAAAAAGCCACACGATCAGGTCCAGCATTCGCTTATTCGCGTCCTCGTCCCGCTGTTGATCCTTTTTCACGGCCAGTAAGCCAATGCTCTCGTATGCTTTCCCTCGGAGCTCAATTTCGATCGCCGATGTCCGATCCTGCATTACAGGCCAGCCTTGAGAATCGATATAATCTTTCATCAGGCCCTGTATTTCGTCGCTGACGTTTCCGAGGCTCGGACCGACTCGTACCACCCACATGAGGTACGAAAACAAAGCAGCATGTAGCTTGGACTTTTCGAGCGCGCTCGGGGTCGGTCCATGGTTGAGACTTCCTAAGTCAAGCTCTTGTCGAACAAGGTCCACGAATCTCTCCGGATGAGAGGTAGCTTTCTGGCTCCGCGAAAGTAAAGTCAAGATGCGAGTACGCAGCTTCGTCGGAGCGCCATTGTGAAGCGTAAAGAGTGCGGCAACGTTCTCATCGTCTTCAAGATCAAAATGGCATTGTTTGAACATGACGTCGCTCACGCTGGCGGCGGACGCATTGGCATCGACAGACATAATGACGGCAGGGATGAAGCGCTGACGATCTTCGAAAATTGAAGTGAAGAGGAACTTGCCGAGAGGAGGGATAGTCTCAGCCCGTCGCTTGTAGTTCTTGTCATAGACCGAATGAAAATCAACACTACCAGGGTTGGATGGATTTTTAGGATCATGCAAGACCCAATCGCCTAGTCTCCAAGCAAGATGGTCTGTCTGCCCCGGCGTGAGTGCAAACTTCTCCTTCAATGCCTGTTCTTCCTTGCTACCTCGTTCCGGAACTTTCCATCTGCGGAGGACATCCAACAAAAAGTCAAAGACGAGAGCCCATGGTTTGAGCTGAGCAGGATCAACAGCCTCCTGTTTCGGCACGACCGACTGCAGGACTGATGACAGTGCCTCCACGGCTTGCTCGTCTTTCAACCGTGGTAAGCCCAGCGTGAGGAAGAGGAGACTGAACTGCACCACACCGGCGATCTTGGCCTCTGAGTAGGTCTTGACCACCGCGGCGACGGGTACCTGAATGTCGGAACTGATCTTGACACGCTGGTAGACATAGGTGCAGACTTTCGTAGCCAATTCTCGATTCTTGGGTGCAGACGTCGCGAGCTTGAGCAGAAGTGCTGGAAGAAACTTTTGTATTATCGACTCGAACTTCTCGTCTGTCGGGGCTGAAGCGATCCGGAGTTCGAGTTGAGAAATCAAGTTGTATTCCCTCTCGGGATCAGGTGGAGTGATCCAGTCCGCCATCGTTCCAGTTAACGCAGTCTTTCAATTCAGACGCAGCATGTTTCAGTTGAAAATTTATTTCCTAGGCAATCTGCTAGGCTTCTTTGATCGATGAGATGCGCCAGTTATGGAACAAGGCAAGCAGAACTAGGACCAGCTTACAAACACCGATTGAAGGGAGACGGTTTTGGTTTCCTAGACGTAAAGTGTATGAAGAACGAAGAACGCCTACTCAAAGAATCCGAATGAAAGTGTTATTATAACTGTCGTCACACAAGAGGCAACAGAGTGTTCGTAATGTGAAAGTAACGGCGTTTCTAGCATTATCTAAGGATCATTGCCACGTCCTCGAATGAAGCCTTGATCTTGGGGCGAACACGCCAAGGCTTGATATTATTGGTGGCACAGTGGTGACGAGGCTGAGAGTATCGTTTTAGATGGTGGCTATGTATATTTTGCCAAACCTTCTACGAGAACTACGACGTGTGGCTTGAGGGGGTTCCCAGACACTTGTATGAGATGAATCAAAAGGCGAAGAAATTACCCGCGAGAATCCAAATGTTATTCTCTCCTCAAGACCTGCAAGCAGAAGGGAGGGCAGTCGAAATTCTCACCATATTTGCTTAGGAAAACAGACATAAGAGGGTTTGTGTTGGAAAGACGTTTCCAGGAAGGCTTCAGAGATACTTCTTTGGTGTATAGTTTTCTTAATGGTATTGATCGGAAACCGCGAAAACGTTCGCTTTCGGGCAGATAATTCTGTGTTCGCCCGGAGAACCATCACCAATGCGAACCCCTATGACAACCTGCCGTGACCATCCTGCTCCCAACATCAAGAGACCGTTTCTTTCCACACCTTCGATCTCTGTTATGATGTGTCGCTCGTGCTGAAATGTATCATCATTGAGCCAACTTTTGAAAAAAAAATGACCTCGCATTCAACTTCAACAACGATCCCTTGTTTATCTCAATCTTCTGGCTTCTCTCTCGGATTCGAGTAGGCACAGGATGTCGTCGACTTTGACTGTTAGAACGAGAAAATCCTCCGTCAGTACATGATCTCCTCGCTTGATTCGAGTTGCATTTCGTGGATGGAGCAATTCATACCTGGGCCCTTGACGTTACGAATGATGCTTCGGCTCGTGTCGTCCATGAATTCGACTCTGACTTGTGTAACACCACCTCGGGAGCCTACAAAGACGGTACCATTAGCCCATACTGATCAGATCCAACTCTTTTGGCACTCAATTTGCGCATACCGGTTCGGCCGAGGACTCTGGTGACCTTGACGAGCTTGACGGGAACCTTGCCAGCATCCATCTTGACTTATTTCGAGTGGTAGATGATTTCTCGAGGGAGGAGGTTATGGAGAGCGACGGGTGCGAGAGTGTGCAAGAGGGAGGAAACTTTTCTGGTTGTTGCTGCAGATCGTGAATCGCTGACAGACTGCGATGAATTTGGAGTTGTGGGCTGCAGACTTGCCTGCCAAGAATGACAATGCCAAGACCGAAACCCGGCAGAGGGCTAGCCAGAGCCTGGTTGGCAGGTTTTGGGAACATTTTTTCGACGAGGCTCTCCGCATTGCTGGTGCCCGTGAGTCAATAATTGGTTGACGCTCGTTTCGTTCGTAATAAAAGCTAGAGAGGTAGGCCGTTGCACAATTATCTACATTTGTTGTCTCATACGCGGACCTCAGTCTATCAAACAGCTCAGGACAACAAAGCACATTTACTGTTTTTCGTCGAGGAGGGTCTTTTCGCGAGTTGGACTTCGTGGTTGCTCACGGCCAATAGAGTGAAGAGTCTTGCATAGTTCGACATCAACATCTAAGAAGGAACCTTTTTGCGAGAAATGGATTTGGTCAACCACCTCTCAGATAGGCTTCTCTTTGCCGTTCCCAAAAAGGGCCGGCTTCAAGCCGCAACCCTCGATCTTCTGTCTGGGTCCGACATTCAATTCCGCCGGGAGACAAGATTAGACATTGCCCTCGTCAAAAATCTACCATTGGCTTTGATATTCCTGCCGGCGGCGGACATCCCAACTTTCGTCGGCGAGGGCAAGGTCGACTTGGGTATCACAGGTCGGGACCAAGTTGCCGAGCACGATGCCCATCTCCCACTAGGGGAAGCGTCCGGGGTTGAAGAGGTCATGGACCTGGGGTTCGGCAAGTGCAAACTGCAAGTACAAGTCCCGAACAAAGGCGTTCTCCAGACGGTGCAGGATCTGGTCGGCAAGAACATCGTTACAAGTTTTACCGGCCTGGCCGAGGACTACTTCGCTCGGTTAGAGGGCATGGGCAGTCGAAAAGAAAGCATCAACGGAACGGCAAGCCCTGTGCCAAAGTTGAAGACGAAGATAAAGTTTGTTGGTGGAAGTGTGGAAGCGGCGTGCGCATTGGGCGTTGCCGACGGGATCATCGATCTCGTAGAGTCCGGAGAAACGATGCGCGCCGCAGGGCTGAAGGCGATCGATACGGTTGTCGAGAGCACGGCAGTGCTCATCAAGAGCAAGTCGGTCTCGAACGAGAAATTGGTCAACTTGATCGCCGCCCGGATACGCGGCGTCATTACGGCACAGAGATATGTGCTTTGCACGTACAACGTTCCCAGGTCGAAACTGGCCGAAGCTACGAAAATCACGCCAGGCAAGAGGGCGCCGACAATCACTGCTTTGGAGGAGTCGGATTGGGTCGCAGTCCAGTCGATGGTTGAGAAGAAGGATATTGCGACCGTCATGGATGATTTGACGGCGGCAGAAGCCACGGATATTCTCGTGTTGGATATAGCCAATTCACGGACGGGCTGAGATTGAGATGCTCAGTTTTGAACGAGTACTACGAGGGCGGCGTGGGAATGTAATGATGATCGTTTGGTATAGAGAAATCCAAAATGGAATGGGACTATTCAAATTGTTTGCCCACGGTGGCTACAAAAGTCGTCATGTGGTTAATCATCGCCAGATGCCACAGCAATTCTCGTCCTTAGTAAACACAGTCATATGTGCGCAGCCCTATCCGGCAACACCTTTTAGTGATGATCCGAAATTGGCGAGCCAGGCAGATATAATACAATAATACCAAATTTGGACGGGAGCACGGATTCAACGCCCCAGTGGGTCAAGTCCAAGCCAATCGCTAAAGCATCCGACCAGGTGCAACATGAGCCCCATGCCCAAGATACTGATATATAACCTGACGTATCTGGCTTTCGAGACTTTCAAAATGGGAGAGATACTCTTTGTCTGTGCTACAGGCATAAAGCCGCATCATTCCGCAGTAACACCGGCAAACGTGCGTAGATGTGTCGCAAAAGCACTTTTGGCGAGTCTGACGACTGACATCACACTCTTAGTGACTAAGCAAACGACTCTTCTCCTCGGTAGACAACGTCAATTCAACCAAGTATAACCACAAATTCTTGCCTCAACATCACTTCAGCAGTCCAGAAACCCTATCGCTCAAGGCGGAAGGATCATATTCGTCCTTGTACGCCTGTCTCGAACCCTATGAGGTGGCCAACATTTCTGCCGACGATACCGACCGATCCAGAGTGATGTCTGTAAAGACAGCCACAACAGTTTCGGAGGAATTCATCCGCGAATCGATCTACACTCGACTCATAGTCGCGCCGGTACTGTTTGTGTCATTCCTGATCTCGTTATTCTTCATCGACCGCCAAACCGCAGGTGGTATATTTGGGCAGTCCAACAGCAAGGATGCCTACTACCATTCCCATCAACGCAAATTAGCCAAGAAGGAGATGGACGAGGCATTCCAATTGCGACGTAAAGTAATCTTGGCACTATGCATTCTAAGTGCGGTGCTGCTAGCATTTGTTGCCTGGGGGATCGAATGGACCGTGTGGAAGGTCAGAGCTTGACGACCGTGGAATGCCATGTTGGACATGTATTGTACTTTGGGGATCCGCAGAATGGATGCGACTGCAAAATTCTTGAATAGTGTCGTAATGTGACGATGTTTTGTTTCCATCACTTTTCCGGTGCGTCTAAAGGGAAATGTCAGCATTGCACAATGCCATGAAAACGAGATACATAGGGACTGTATCGACATAACCACAATGTACATTGCGAATAAGATGACCTCGATGGGCCGAACTGCAAATCAGAAGATCTTAGCTTACCTGGTAATCTCTCAATAACATATTTTCCTCTTGCGACACTCATAATGGGGACACCCGGCACTTTGCGTACTCTTCTTTTGAGGTCTCTGTCGTTTGTAGCAACGATATAGATCTTGTCTCTTTGCACTCTGTCGACGATGCAGTCATCAGCATACGTGCCTTTATGTCCACACTTTAATCTTTCCCATCGTTCGTCTCGAGCAATACGGAGGGCAATGCGATATTTGGGTCCCAACTTCTCGAGTTCGGCCATCTGCGGTAACCAAGATTAGTTGAGTGTTATGACTGATATCTCGTTCCAAGCACCTACCACACAGTCGGTGATGATTGGTGTGCATTTTGCATAAAGTGCATCCATCATAGTCGGTAGCAGCTCGAGCTTTTTCTGTACGGTGTGGGAGAGAAAGTTCGTGTCGACAAGCACGCTGTACGGGGGAACCAGGGCGGTGTTATACTGGAAGAAGAGTGCCGATGAGACTTGGGGTCTTGCTATTGTCAGTGGAAATATGCAACAGTTGGAGAGGAGCGCCTACACTTCTCGTATGACATCGTCGTCCTTTTTCTTCTTGTCTGCAGTTTTGTTGGTGTCTTGATTCTTTTTGAGGCGAGCGTCTCGTTGTGAAATGATTCTTTTGACCTGGGCGAATTTGCGAGTCTTCTTCTGGACACCCATCTTGGGTCAGGTGAATGGATATATTGACGGAGATTCAAAAGATCGACTGCCTCAGCGGGATCTGGTCGTGTTGAGGTGGTCTGGAGTGTCTCTTGTCGAAAAATAATTCTGGAAGATCACGGGTTTAACCAGATGCCCGCGAAGGCTATTACCGGGCCTAACTAAACCCAGCCTAGTGAGCGTACTGCGTCGTCGACACAATAATCGGGGGCTTCTCGGGGGCTTACCAGGGCTGCTTAGCCCGAGTACGATAGGCGCTCTACAGGCCTTGGTTCTGGAAATTTTGACGGCTGTTAGCACCTGGTCTCAGCCACAATCGCTCACGTTAGAGGCTGCGTTTACCCTGGTTCACTGGGAGCTTGCCCCGCCCAGGTGCTCCTTGCCCAGAATAACCGCGTCCCAGGCGCAGGGGCCACTAACAAACTCTCGCGCCTCTGAGACCTCATCATCCCTCCCATACGTACTCTCGTCTGATCTTTCTCTCATCCTTTCCATAACCCAGCCGGCCTGCATATTCTGCATCCTTATCTCGTCCATACACCTATTTCAGTTGCACACAATGGTAGCGGCTACTAACAGCAAGCTGCCCACCCTCCCGGGCGGCTTCAATTACCCTCCGCCGACAGTCCCCCCGAAAGCGGGCGCCCCTTACCTAGAGTCGTCCAATCTTCCAGACAACTTTGTTTTTATTGTGGTAGGAGCAGTATTGGGCTTTGTCCTCTTCCTTATCATCGCCTGGAGAGTCGTCATGTCATGGTCGATCAACCGAGCATTCAGACGGGATGCCAAAAACGGTGCCGCAGGCGGCAATATATCCTACACACCTCTTCCAGATCTCAAAAAGAATCCTGCCATGCAATCTGGTCACGACATGCAAGATCTGAGTAAACTACCACGGTCCTTTTCCAACGTTCCGAGTTTATTTTTTTCACCTACTGCCGAAGTCGCAAAACAGTCCCAACGACCTCCTTCTCAACATTTACCTGCCGGCCATTATCGAGATGCTTCCGACTCTCTTCGCCGATAGAACCGGCATCAGAGTCTTTACGAAACTCTTCGAGATGAAAGAATAGACTGATCTTTGGGTGTTGAGGATCGCCCTGTAGATGTGGAGCATAACGGGTTCGAAGCTGTATGCGCAGGCTCAAATTGTCTTACATCAACCCAGACTCCTGAACGTTTCGTGCGGAAAACGGAACTTGGAGAGTCGACTGCAATCAAATTCTGTTGAACATGCGGCAGACGAAGAAAAGCCTGTTCGTGCAAACACAAGCACCTGGGCTATCTAAATTCAATCTGGCCATTTGACGCATTGTATTCGACTTCCAAAGCACGAATCCAACCAGATGAAACTCTGGTGGCAATGTTCTGCTTCAAACGACTTCCTCTCTTCTGTTAGTCCACTCCAATGGAGCAAGCGTCGAAAGTTCGGGCGTCAGAAATGTAATGAACGCGACGTGTATCCCTCCAGCGGTTTTGGCATACCAGATCGATATCCGGCTCTTCCTTGGAAGACAGCGTTCCTCGGAAGATAGTGGGGGTGATGGTTTGTCCCAAGCTGTATCCGAAGAATACATGGTGTTTTGGTGTCCCAGTCCTGGACCTCAACGTCGATCCCAAATTAGGTCGCACTGAGGCAAGCCGATATCTCAATTTGAGAGTTTGGGCACATCTACCTCGTCAGTACGATTATTGGATCTGAAGGCCAGCTTCGTCTTGATCATCCGGCTTTTAACTTTTGTTTCAAAGCATAGCGGGGCGTTTGGGGTTAGAATGAACTTATGGGTTGGCTATTGCACTTGTTGTACTGTGATGTAAGGCAAAGCCTTATTATCGGCATCGATATTCTCTCCTCGTGAAGTTCTGGCATTTTTGCTCTGAATATCACTCTTAATTACTATCAAACTTTGATGGCTATCGATTCTGTACTCTTCCATCAGTTCAATTTACTGTCCTTATTTCTTTCAACGATGTCCATTCTACGAGAATCCGGCCAAAGCATACCAAAGCACTTCCAGAACTCCACATTTTGCACTCGGCCAATCGGAGTCGACTTTTTTTTTATGCCATCTTCTATAGTACTCGTATGAACGCAAGCTTCGATTCTATCCTTTCTATCCCTAACCGTTTTCTTTGCAGCCACTTCTGCTACTCGTGTGGTGCTCTCGGGTTTAGACCCATCCTTTGAGCGTGCGCTTTTACTTTTCTGCTTTCGTGAAGGTCCTCCAAGATGGCAGCACCATACTCGGTCGCCTTGCGCAGGACGATCCACAACTCCGCGGGAATCCTCCTGCGGTCGCAGTCGCAACGCCGGTACGCCCGAGTCCACGATGTGCGCTTCGTCACGACGCACCGCGACTCGAGTCGGATCCTGGACAGGTACAAGGACAAGCTGGATCAGAAGGCCAAACAGTATGTAACCTTGCCCACGCGCCCATCAATCCTGAAATTCTCCTACGAAGTGTTTGCAGACGATGTCAAACAATAGATTGGACACTAACAATACTGTTGAATCACAGGGAAGGTCACGAATCCATTTCGTCTCTGAAGGAAGCCTACGCCGAAAAGATCAATGAGTATAAACGTTCGGCATCGAAGCCTCCTATGGAGCAATCTACGCCAACGCCTGCTCAGCCAGTGTTCCAGCAACAACCGCCGCCTGCCCCGACGCCGCAGCCGTCTGCTTCCTCTGCACAGAGTCAGAACCAAGCTTTGCCCGGGGCCCCCAAGTCCGCTGCTCCAGGCATCAAGCCATTATCGTCATACCTTGACCTGGAAAAGGTCTCGGCTCTAGCCAACAAAGAGGTGGAATATGTCTGGCGACTCCGCCACGCGAACGACCCTCTGTCCCTGTGTGCGGTTATCCCTCTTGAGACGTACAACCGTATCTACCGTACAGCCCGAACACACCCACAATTTGTTCTTCCTCTTCCCCGACCGATGGCCGAAGATGGCAGTGGTGATGTGAAACAGTCACCTCAAGGATTCGAGGGCGGTGAACGATCTGCGGCAGATATTCATTTCCTACAATGGGGATTTCATCCTCCGGCTGGTGCTTCTGCGAGCCCAGAAGTTGACACGTCGAACACTCATACAAGTACGGTTCTCTTCACACATTTGGCTGCTTTCAAAGTCCATGGGGCATACGCGCAGCCGCACACTACCGTCACGCACCACCTTGACCTAGCTGATTCCCATGGTCTTGTCTTGCTCACTGGTTCGGTGGTCGAGAATCGAGGCGTCAGTGTCGAAGAGGGGAGATGGCTGCTGATGTGTCTGCAAAGATTTTATGACTACGAAGGTCATGGCGGTGGTATCGGCCGCGAGAAACGCCAGGGATTACTGCAAAAGTTCAGCAACGGTGATCAGGGTTTCAACCTAGAAGAATTGGTGGATGAAGCTGAAAGAATATCGTGAGAGCTGCCTCTTCAGCTCCAAAGCTCCTCTCGATGAACATCAGTGTCTCCTCTTGAGGGTTTGGTGTTTCGGCGGGATGCTCTCATGACTTCTTGGACAAGGAACTCCCAGATGGCGTCGAAGTAGCCAGGTTCTGCCACGGTGGAATTGTGGTCTCCATTCGGGAATTCTTTCCAGACCTTCTTCGTGGGACACGCCGCGTGCAACGACTTCATCATTGTAGGTGGTACGATCTCGTCTTTCAGGCCTGAAAGAAACAGCACCGGGATGTCTTTGTCCGTCACCTTGGTCATGCTCTCCTCCGAGTTCCACCGCTGATGGCACAGGGCTGCAATGTATTTTGCTGGTGGCATGATTGAGGGGATGAGTTTGCGAATGGATAGGAACGTATTCTCGAGAATCACTGCAGCAATATCTCCGGCCTGCTCGTTTGATTGCAACAGCTTGATGGCTAATGCACCACCCAAGCTTTGGCCATACAATACGATACTCGTCTTCCTCAACTCTTCATGGTTGCGGACAAAGTTCAAGGCTGTTTGACCGTCGATGGTCAAGCCGTCTTCATCTGGAGAGCCAGTCGATAGACCATAGCCTCGATACTCGACCATGAACACATGGCATCCCAGGCTCTCGGACAGTACCTTGCCTATCGGTAAACGATGGCCAACGTTTCCCGCATTTCCATGGAATGTAACCAGCGTGACATTGTTTTGAACAGGGGACTTGGGAGGTCGAAGGAGATAGGCATGGAGGGTCTCCCCATCAGGAGTAGGGAACTTGATCGACTCGGCCGATGTGATGTTGAATTGGTCGGGTGTTGGGACGTTGGTTCTTGCACCCGCGGGGAGATTTGCAGGATAGATTATGTCGTTCTGTTTGAAATAGAGTAGACTGCTACCTAGGGCTGCAAGGCTAGATGAGACAAACAGAGGAATTCGCAAGTAAGAGAAGACTGAATTCATAGTGTCTGAATTGAGGAAGCGCAGGCAGTAAGTTCGACGGCAGTAAGTGGTATAGAGGAGATGGAGACCACTAGACTAAGGAGGCATGCGTGTTGAGATTAGGATGATGGGAGGAGACTTTCGTAGGTGTCGAGCACGTAGGAGGAGCCGCCGTAGAGTTATGGATACTTGGAGGTATTCTTTAAAGAAGAGGTGTCGGCGATGTTTGCATGTCCAGATTTACGGGTTACAGATGGAGGTGGCTTCGATGAGGCAACTGAGGGGAACTGCAGGAGGCGTTTTAGGCAGGGAGTGCCGCCGACTACAAGATGCTTGGGGGCGTAAACAAGGCTGCGGCGCAAAGGACCAGGTGAGCCTCCCCAAGGCTGGCGAGGCTAATTTGGGTCATTGCTGCTGCAGCTTTTCCGCCAATTGAGCTTCAACTCGAATTGGAGACGCGTTCTTGGGAGCCTTTCCTGCACTTTTCGTCAAGTCAGTTCTACCATTTGTTTTCCACCACTCCTCATCTCATCTCGTCGAACAGAATCTGCTTTCCGATAGGCATAGATTCGAATTACAATCTCCCTCGAGCTGATTCTCATCACTACAGCGACCTCGCAACAACCTCTACCGCCCGGCTTCATTTCGTCCACTCTCCGCAATCATGATCGGCCCTGGCACGGGCATGTTGGGTGAAGATGGTATTCATGTTGACATGAACCATCTAAAAGCAGGAGAAGTCAATCTGGGAACCTCCATCATGGCTATCAACTTCAAAGACGGTGTTATACTCGGAGCGGATAGTCGAACGACCACAGGAGCATACATCGCAAACAGAGTGACAGACAAACTCACCCAAGTACATGATACAATTTGGTGCTGTCGGTCAGGATCTGCAGCCGATACTCAGGCCGTATCTGATATTGTGCAATATCATCTGGGCATGTATGGGATCATGAACAACGAACCTCCTACGACGCAGACCGCTGCTGCGCTGTTTCAAGAGCTGTGTTACGAGAACAAGGACCAACTCAGGTAAGGTTGACGTCTTTGGAGGTGCCAAAATAATGCTGACTCTATCCAGTGCTGGTATGATCATTGCCGGATACGACAAACGGAACGGTGGACAAGTCTACTCAATACCTCTTGGAGGTTCACTACACAAGGGGTCTTATGCTATTGGAGGTTCCGGATCAACATACATCTATGGTTACTGCGATGTACACTGGAAAGAAGGCATGACTGAAGAGGAGGGAGTCAACTTTGTCAAGGAAGCTCTAAGTGAAGCCATCAAGTGGGACGGCAGTTCAGGCGGTGTGATTCGAATGGTGGTATTGACAGCAAAGGGGGCTCAGCGGCACTTGTACCTGCCAGACCAGGGTTATCGAGGACCAGGAAAGGATTGAGAGGGGAAAATACGGATTATGGCTGGCGTACTGGATGGAGTTAGCATTGCTTTCAGACTGTCATGTCGCTAGAAGGTCGACTTAATTCAGCTGGGTGTGTCAGTCTGTAGATGTGCCTTATGCGCAGATCCAGTCTATGCATGAAGTCGGCAGAAGCCTTGAAGGGCAGATAGCTTTGTGACATGGAGGCGAATGGATGAATTGCTGCAACGATGCTGTGCTGTACTGTACTGTACGTATGAGCACATGTACTTAAAAATAAAGCCACCTGCTGCAAAATGACGCCAACAGAAGAAAAGGCGTGGTGAGGCCCCGAAGAGATACGTGATCCATTGCACAAGCCACCCACTCCCGTTGTCGGCGATTATTCGCCCTTGCGACTTTCCTATCCCGTGTTTCTTTCTGTACATTTGTTCTCACATCACTTTTACGCTCCTCTCACTTATTTTAACCCCTCGTCCCCGGAATCATCGCGGCTCGTTCGTCGTCGTCGGCCTCATCGTTTTATTCTCGAGCATTGTTTGCGCAAGGGGACTTCATCAATACTATCGCAAACCCCTCCGCCATGTCTTTGGTAAGTCCTCTTTATTTCATCCCCCACCGCTCATATCAGCACATGCTAGCTCCTGATGCGCCTCCCGACCATGCCTGCGACACTACCCAAACATCCACCTCCTTCTATCTCATCGATATCGGTGCAAGAATCGAGCGCTTTCATCACCCTCATGCATGCGAAATTGCCCAAACCCCTCCCATGTGGGTCGGATCGTCCTACGCGCGGGCTGCACTGCCTCTGCAGGTCTCGGTCAGGCTGGGGACAATTGGGCTGAAAAATAATCCTGCTTTGCACGCTGTTTGGGCATCTAGACGTTGGGTATTGCTAACACCTTTGCTGGCAGACATTTGTCACAACCGGTTGAGATGGGCTCGTTGGTGTTAAGCCAAGTGGCGCCGGGACTGGGTCATCATCCCTATCACCACATGATGGTAGACAGCAACTCTGAGCCAGATGAGGCTTCAGGCGCAACAGCACAAGCCTCAAGAGCTAGGAGCGCGTCTACCTCTACCACAAACAGACCGCGAGGCGACACCGATGCCACAGTCCGTTCCAGCACACCTACCGCTCGCGAACCTTTCCCAGAATCTTCCACGCCAACCTCTCATCCCGTAGACAACGATCCTTCCTCCGCTACTAGACAAGCATCTTACCACCCTCACAATGTCAACCAACACAGCCGAGGCTTTGACCAGTCCGGTTTTCCCTTATCGAGCGACCCTCGACTGGTTGTCGCAGCTTCACCTCCCTCTCCGCGACTACAGCCCACGTACCGATCCACGAGATCTTTAGGAGGCTCCGAAGCGACCTCTCCGAGTCGAATCAAAGTCAGAGACTTGTCGCATATTCGCAGCTTTGCGAGTGAAGAATATCTAGCACGTCCAAGACTAGGGCCGCGATCGTCCAGTGTTTTTTCGGACTCTGGAAGACAATATGAAATCAGTTCCATGCCGGTCACAGATATCATCGAGATGGTGGCCGGGCTACTCACAAAGATCACGACCACCAATGACAGACAACATGAACATCATAGACCTATCCCGTTGACCGAAGAACAAAGCCATTTGAACCCTCATGCGTCTTGCGTGTTGGCTTTTCACGGCAAGAATGTCCCAGGAATAACTATCTTGAGTTATTTGAGCCGGATACATAAGTACTGTCCGACCACTTACGAAGTCTTCCTGAGTCTCCTCGTCTATTTCGATCGAATGACGGATATGGTTAATCGAGGACTACTGGGACAAGCTCAGCAGGGACCTAACGATTCACCTGCAACAGCACCAGAAACCTCCATTCCAACAGGACCTTCGCCCATGCCCCTGAGTGTGGACAGTCCTCAGGAGCATCACGATATCAGTGACCCTGCCGCCGGTTCCGCTGCGCCACCAGGGCCTGGCTCACCGAATGCACAGGACATGTCTAGTGACTTGTCACAATTTTTTGTTGTAGACAGCTACAATATCCACCGTCTTGTCATTGCCGGAGTTACCTGCGCCAGCAAATTCTTCTCGGACGTGTTTTACACGAATTCGAGATACGCTAAGGTAAGACTTTTTGAAAGATTGTATCGACCCAATTAATCGTGATTCTTAGGTCGGAGGTTTGCCATTAGCGGAACTCAACAATCTCGAATTACAATTCTTGCTCCTCAACGACTTCAGATTATCTGTTCCGGTGGAGGAACTTGAAGCCTATGGCACGATGCTGGTGGAATTTTACGCAAGGGAATTGGTCGCTCAGCAACAAGCCGCACAGTCGATAGCTTCTTCACCTCATTCGACTGACGGTATGTATATGCGGACGCAAGCCGGGGCCAGGGCACCTGCAACCCCAATTTCATAAGAGACAACAGTCAGTCCAGGCGCACAAAAGGTTATTCGTTTGATGATATCGAATGACTCGAGAGGATCATTGTCGGAGCATGAGGCATCAACAATAGAGCTTAGGGGCTTGAGGTGTGCGTTTGTTGGTCGTTCAGTAGAAGGTTATTTCTTGGTGAGACAGGACGATTTTCTTGCGGGGTTTTGTGTGTGTATGCGTGGGCATTCTCTTTTTTTGCTATCAGGGGGGCGCTCTACGAGGCTCACGAGACTCTTTTTTTCAAATTGCTGCGGCAGCAGGAGTAGCAGCAAGTCATGATCGGTACGACACGAATTGGTACGTCGGTTCGAAATGATCATCAAATCAAGATTATTCAACATTGCTTCATGCTTGATGCTTCACCATGATCCTACTTAGCCTCCTCTGCATAAATCGGTCTCTCTCGTCTCGAATTTTTTTCTGGTTGTACGAGTAATTTCGACCTTGTCGATGTCGGTCTTTCGATCTGTATGGCCGCTTCCCTCGTACTACTCCGTTCCTCCAAGGGTTAGACGAAGAAAGATTCGTGAAAGGCCGTGCGTCAACAACACACCAACACGCACGCACGCGCACACAAGAGACGGTTGCCACAGTTTTGACAAGAATGATCCAGTCGGTTTTAATTTCTGTTTCTGTTCGGGGGTCGGGGTCTTTTGTTCGAGGTTGGTCTTTGATACGCTTTTGCCTACCTAGGTACAAAATCTTTGTTCTAACTTTTATGACATTCTGGCCATGTATGTGATTTGGTTGCTTTAGGTATGTTGTCTGCGTTCTTTGAGAGGGAGGAGGGGTCGTTATTGTTGTACCAAAGTGTGTCAAAGTGTGTGTGAGTGAGTGAGTACGTGAGAGAGAGAGACAGAGAGAGAGAGAGTGTGTGTGTGTGTGATTGAGAGGGAGATGGGGGTGAACGAGTATAATATACAATTCGTAGTACAAGACCTTTTTGGTGATGACAGCTATCTTTACAATACATATCTAACCTTGCCCTTTTTTTTTGTGTTTTTGACATTCATTGTTTCTTCTTATATTCTCGAATGGTGGATGCTCGACTGTCAAAGACTCTTTGCAAAGACTCTTGCCATCATTGACAACACGGGCACGAAGCATGGAACTTGGATCAATATATCAACCAAAAAAAAACAATCCGAAACCATGGTGTGTACATACGACAGAGTATTTATACCTAGGTATCCGTATACAGATTGTATATAGAAAGATTAAATAATAATCGGAACTCGTTTTGTTCTTCCCTTACAGAGTACCTCTCATCTTTACCTGTCAAAGTGTCTATTTTTCTAGACACAATCACATTCACACACTCTCTACAATTACCTGCACAACTTCTCGTGTCTCTTTCTTTCTCATTTCATTCAATGTACCTACCTATTCTTGAGAACTAAAAGGACGTGGACTACTGGTACCCTGAATATTGGACCCTTCAACTCCCGTCCGGTCTCCGGACAACATTGCTCCCTCCCTCTCTTCCTCTCACCCCCTCTCTCTCGCGTGATTATGTGACTGAAATGATATATCCTCCCCCAACATGGTCGACCTCATAAGAAAGACTTCAACGAACGATGAACTAGGAGAGAGTTGCAAGTGTTCTTTATCCATTCCGTGGTTGACATGTCATTCGATGTAGTAGGTACGCAACCAATCAACTTTGACACAATAAAATCAACTCGGAAATAACATAATACTTTTGCTCTGTCTTATCTAGCTCTACACATCTAATTCAACTGCTGGGCTGCCCGCTCTAATTGCCGTCTTGAGTCTTGCTTCATGAGAAAAATAAACCGTATTTCCGCTCCAGCTTTGGACTTGCAATATCATGCGGCCTGTCTTCTCCCTCATCAGAGAGTGGTGCCCTTTCGCCATCTTCGCCATATCATACACTCTTCGTCGGGATCATTATACATCACCATAATTCGTCGTATTTCATGCAGAGCAAGCCAGCTCAATGCATTTCTTCATCGTCTGGTCCAGCCTTTCCAGACTTCATTGTTGACAAGCCGATCAACTTCCGCGGAACAAGAATTGCATGTCTTCTGGTGTCAATTTGTCCAAAGCAACTTGATCGTTGTTGACAGTTCCATTGATCATGTTTGCCTTCTTTTCTTGAAGCAAGACCATTCTTGACTCGACTGAATCTTCAATGACGAGCCGTGTGATAACACAAGGCCGACGTTGGCCAATACGATGGCAACGATCTGCTGACTGCCACTCCGCAGCTGGGTTCCACCATCTGTCAAACATTAGCAAGAACATTGCAAACTCTAGAGAACGAAGGAGACTTACGGATCGATAATGTAAACTCGACTTGCTTCGGTGAGGTTGAGAGCAACACCGCCAGCTTTGAGTGAGACCAAGAATACCTCACAATCAACGTTGTTCATGAAGTGGTCAATCGACTTTTGTCTCTGAGCAGGGCTCATGCTGCCATCAAGTAGAACGGTGGAGAAGCCAGACTTCTGGAGACGCCACTGAACCAACTGCAGCATTGACGTGAACTGTGAGAATACAATACTCTTGTGGGTCTGCTTCTTGCTTCGGAGTTTATAAAGGTCATAGACCAGCATCTCAATCTTGGTTGATGAAGTCCAGTCGTCCATCTTGATGCGATTGATGATGGATGACTTTTTTACCGTCTCCTCATCTTGCTCAATTTCTGGCTGTTCCCAGTCAATCTGGAGAGGGATGTGACATCGGGGACAGTCAGCATCGCCTCCACTGCCATCACAAGATAGCACGTATGCCTTGGCACATTGGCGACAGAATTCGTGGTGACATTTGGAGCGAATGGCATCTTCTGCAGGTTCGTCGCAGATGCAGCACACCAAGATGTTCTGGCCCTCCTCCGCATTACGGCGCAGGATCAGATCTGGGTGATTCGCAACTTGTCTCATTTGCATGATGAGACCAAAAATGTTGGCATAGTTGTTCAACATGACACCTTGAGCCACATAGGTGTCAAATTTGCGCGTGGAATTGGACATGATGCTCTGTGAGAAGTCACGTTCCATCTCACCAAAAAAGTCGTTGTGGATGATGACGTCCTTTGGCGGAAGTTCCATAGAAGATGTGTGGTCACGCTTCATTCGACGCAACATGATACGATCAGTGATGAAGCGCAGCTTCTCCAAACCCTTTTTTCTCAGTGTGGTGTCTTCGTTCTGGGTGATTGGATTCAAGATTTCTTGGTTGAAAACAGACACGTGGCTGAAACCGCTGTGCTTGCAAGAAGTACACATCTTCAGACTGTCTTGACTCCAATGGAGCTGTCGACACTTGCATTGCTTGCAAAAGTAGCAAGCGAAAGGCATCACCTCAAGGAACCGAAGGAGAGAGAAGAATTCTCCGATGCGGTTCTGAACTGGAGTGCCGGATAAACACCACTTGTACTCAGACTTCAGCGCAAAACAGGCTTTGGCGACACCCGTGGTGCGAGACTTGATGCTGTGAGCTTCGTCAAGGATGAGCCGATGAAACTTGATCGCATGTAGCACGCTGTCCTCTTTGACAATCCCATCATTGCGATTCCAGCCCGTGTGCTGTTTGCGATACATTGACTCGAGCCCGGAATAGGAAACCATAATCACATCATACTTCTTTAGGTCTTTCACTGTCATGAGTTTGCACTTGGGATTGGCAGAAGTGTGATACACAAGCACCTTGAGCTTTCCGCTGGTGTAGTCGGTGATCTCAGATTGCCACTGCATGAGAGCGACGGGTGGGACAACGACAAGACTTGGATTTTTGGCAGGCCAGTCGGACATGATTAAGCTGACAGCTTGAATTGTCTTTCCCATACCCATCTCATCGCCGAGCAGACCTCCCTTCCAAGTAGACTTTTCTTGCTTGATCATCCAGTCCAAGCCTTCCAACTGAAAGGGTTTCAACTTGCGATTGATGCCGGCTGGTTGATCAGCAGGAACGGGTTTGATCGGTTGAATACCTTGAAGGTCATCCCACATAGTCTTGATCTCAGGATGTGCCTTTTCGAGCTTATCGCGTTCTCGCTTGGCTCGTCGTTTCTGAGGATCCATGAGGAGAGAAGGAGACCAGCCGCGTCTTCTCCGATGCAGTCTTGCGTAGAGACTTCGAGAATTTGTCGGTGGTGCTGTAACTTCATTACCGTCAAGGTCGACGCTCGCATCAGTGGAATCCTCAAGAGAAAAATCATCAGAGTCGAATTCATCTATATCACTGAAAGAACCAAGTGACGATAGTTCTGAGTCGACAAGAGACACGCCTGCCTGGGCAGATGGTCCAGCATTTAGCTGATCAGGGAGTCTTTTGCGTGGCAGGATGGAACGAGGGACATCGATGTCACTATCATCGCTGTCCGGAATTACATGTGCCTCAGTGCGACGACGCTTTGACAATGGCTGAGCATCAGAGTCGTCACTAACGGCCGCTGCTTCGTATTCTTCTGCTTGTAAGGCACGAGCAAGTTCCTCATCTGCATCTTCTTCTGGATGTTGAACCTCTTTACCAGATCGTTTTCGTGACGAGCCCGGCTTCAGAGAATATTCCGAGGAGCGCAGTTCTAGTGCTCGAGTAGTCGCAGAAATAGTTGCCTTGGGTTGATACTCCGCAGCGTTTGGTGTGGGGACAGTGCTTGTAGCAGGAGTTTCATAATTGGACTCTAGGGAATCAGCGATCGAGGAAGGGCCGGTAGATGCGTTGGGTTCACCCCGATTCTTAATTGAGGTAGGAATGAAGACTCCCTGAAAGTTGGTCTTGGGCTTGAGATCAGAGGGCAAGATCTCTTCTACCTCATCAGAGTCAGGAATCTCGGTAACATTCGACGTTCTGGCACTGCGTCTGGGAGGTGGTTTTGGAGCGGGCAGGGAGGGTTCTGCAGTGGCAATTTTCGAGGCTGTCGTAATCGTCAGTTTAGTTAAGAGATACTTGAATCTCAGCAGAGGTGCATACAGGACGTTCTCTTTGAGGTTGCAGACCTCGTCGACCGTTTTCTCGCCACCATGTTGGCTGTTGAGCGAGAGAAGCGGGAGATGGCGAGGATAAGGCGAAAAGGGAGGATGGGAAAAAGGACGGGTGGTGATCTCGAGATTTCCCAATGAAATGGCGATTGAATGCAGGGTCCATCAAGGCACAAGGCAGCAACTGCCTAGCGCCAGGACGCGTAGTCACGTGAAACGGAAGTGTAAAGTGGTTGCATAGAATACTCCATGTATCGACCGGAACAGGGATTTCATTGTTGCGGTCCAGTGCCGCTTTACGCCCAATTCTCCAGCCTTTCGCTGAACATCACAGCGTTATCCAAGGAGCTTCAGACGTGTGGATCAAATCAAGGCTATCACAACATAAGTCTACTGTGCAGGTTAATTAATACGCTGTATTGGGCAACAATTCCATTTCTGGCATATTCATTACCTATCTTCAGTCCCGTTGTTTAGCAGGCTCAACACCTCGGACAAGCCTAACCAGCGCCCACCAGCAGATCCATTCTATGTCACATAAAAGAAATGCGACTGCTGCTTATCGGTCATATCCAAGAACTCTTCGTTTTGGATGTGAACGTTTGCCTCGCCACTTTGTTCCAAGAACTTGGCCTTTTGCCTGTTCTGATACCTCGCATAGGTAAGATAGCCAAGCGGGGCCAATGATGAAACGGCAAACAGGATGATCATGGTTTTGAACCCGGTGGAATATTTTGGAGCTTCCGAGCTAAGGAAGAACTGAGGTCCAATGATGAACCCGACGCAGTAGCCAACGAACATGAGCGATGTGGCCACGGATCTCTTGGTGTGGCCTGCGATGTTGGTTGTCGTGAGCGCCATCATCATAGGTAGCGACCCGTTTGTGAATTGTGTGATGTAAAAAGACACCAGTCTGCCGGCCTTGTTGGACGTGGGCAGCGTGTACACAAGCACCGAACCCACCACAGCAGGTATGTTACAAAAGAACTGCATAAGGCACCGCATATTGGGATAACTGAAAGCGATGTATCCGGTTATTAGAAGAGCAATGTCTTCAACAACCCCTAAAGGGCACGAGAGAAGCGACGTCTGAAATGTTCCGAAGCCAAGACCTAGGCTCTAGTCAGTTTTGCCTCCAGAGCATACTCCTGATGGATCTCATACCTTTGATGATGAGCCCGCCGAAGTTTGCAACTGACGTGGAGGGCACGATACAAGCAATAGCGTAGAAGAACCCGTACCAGACCTTGACATCCAGTAACGCTTCCTTCAGCTGCTCCTTCTTGAACTCTGTATTTCGGATACCAGTACGATTGTCACGAAGGCGTTCGATAGCAATGGTTCGTTCACGCTCGTTGAGGAATTTGGCGGTAATGGGGCTGTCGGGAAAGTAGAGCCACACCACGCAGGCCCAGATGAGACCGATGAGGCCGAAGATGATGAAAAACCACCTCCACACGGCGATTCCGGTGTTGGTGATGTGGCCGCATCCGTATGCAATGAAAGCTTGCAGTATGTTGGCCACGCCATTGCCGCAGTACCAGATGGTGATGCGTAGGGGAATCTCGTTCTTCTTGTACCATGCGCCGGTGATCAAAACGAATGCTGGCGAAATACCGCCTTCGGCAACGCCGAGGAAGAATCTCACAATCATCATGCCGGTGAAATTGTAGGCTCCGGCCGTGCAAAACAAGAGACACGCCCAGGCCAGCGAAGTGTACGCAACGAATCGTCCCAGAGGCACATAGTTGAGCAGACGTGCAAGGACGGGTTGGAAAGATAGATAGCCGAAATAGAATATCGCACTGCCATAATAGTTATTATTGTTGTTTCTCTTTTTTGATAATAGTTGCCGCCGCGGCTGCTTGTCTAGACCACTTACGAGCACCAAGAGTACTGTTGGCCAACAAGTCCCAGGCTCGTGAACAGATCATAGATGGCAGTCTGCGACATGACACTCTTATCCATGTACTGGATGATATACGATCCCATCATCTGCAGTCATCCCCCGTCAGTCGGTTTTCCGAAGTACTAGCATAGAAACACCATCTTGGGCTCTTGAAGTACTCACCAGTGGGACCAAAACCTTGTCGATTTTCCACAGAACCGCCTTCTCATCTTCTTCGGTGTATGTGAAGTTCTCGTGAGTCTCGAGAAAGCCCAGGGCCGCATCAGCATGGGTACGAAGCCCGTCCATCTTGCCATCGAGGACGACCATCTCTGTGTCTTGCCCCGTCGAGGCGATATTGTCCTGGTTGTGGCTCATGTTGTATGTGTTGTAATTCTCTAGCAGTGGAAGATGAACAACTTTGACCTGAACTTTGTCACACGACAGTACTGGCCTTGCTAGAGAGCATAGCCGAACTTGAGCCTCTTGTGCCGAGTTATTAAATACCGTCGTGATAGAGGGCCTGTTGTTGTCGACCTGGGGTCGGTTTGATGCGAGGATTCCACCTATTCTCTCGCAGAAACCCGGCGGCCCATCTGATATTGTACCGCGTTCATCGCTTAACCACAATCCGTCGAAGACTAGCGAAGCCAAGTCTTTGGCACATCTGAGTACGGCTACACTTTGACGATGATCTAGTCGGAGTACTTACCGTCATTCAAGGATAGACACTTAATCAAAAAGCCCCGTCTGGGTGGATGCGGGAAGAAGACATCGGGATTGTGGTCGATCCCTTCTGCCGTATTGGCCCGCTTTGGGCTAGTTGGCGAGATAGTCTATTCAATATAGGCTATATGGGGTATCCTGAATGGAGTAGTGATATGAAGAGAAGAGGGCCAGATGAGATATTTCGGCAACAGTCGCGCCAACACTCCATTCTTTACAGGCTTTTCGTACGAGTACCCTCTTTTCGCTGATAGGACATCATACCACTGTAACTCCTTCTAGTAACAAAGTCGTGCTGAATAGGAGATACCAACACTATCTCCATCTAATCTCGAAAACCAAGGTTTCCTGAGAGTATGCCTAACCAGCTGACGAAGAATGGAGTTTTTGATAGAGAGTAGAGCCTTGAAACTCAAACCACTCTCACCGTATTGATCAAGCAATCTAGCCCGAAAGATGGGCTTTGTCGTTAAGGACTCCATCAACTATTGCTGACTTTTTTTGTTGTGGATGGTCAGAGATATGTTTATATGGTCCCTCATCTCTTTGGTTTGAGTGGCATGATAGGTGGGAGTCTGGGTTCGCGGTCAGTAATGCTCATGACGAGTATCTGCTCAGTGAAGGAATGACTGCTTGCGGCAATTTTCCAGACCGTTCCCGCAGTACAATGTCGGTGGGCAGCAGTTTCGATTGCCTTGCGTGAGAATGGGTGGACGCAGCATGACAATGGTATCAGCCACCACAACTATACAAGGTCTTGAATCGATGGCGACATGAGTACGATGACTGCTCGAATGGAGATAGCTCATAGGGCTCTCGGGCTCAGCCCATCTTCCCTGAGTCGTCGGGAAGGTGATTTGACGCTATAAACCTTGTTGAATGCAGAGGGCACTCGAATAGGACTTCTCGGACCAGTTTCTCAGTCCTCGGTTAGTCCCTCAAATCAATTCGACAAGTGGTTGTGGTCCAAATTTGTTCATTCGAAGACGTTGCTCAGTGTCTTTGAAATTTGAGAAATATTTCCACTCGCTGTTTCTGTGGGCGGCATGAGTGTCTTGACAAACAATAGAATGTCGTAGAACGAAAACCCTTCCATAAGGGACTTCCCTCGACCTCAGCGTCAACCACCCAGCGTGTGGTTGGTCTTGAGGTTAGAGTTTTGCTTCTTGGAAAATGGCCCTCCTTTTTCTATTCTTTTTTTGTCGGTGACAGCAGCCCGACTCGCATTGGTGACCGACTTCTGTAAGAGAACCATACGCGGACGAGTTCCAGCTGCCTTGAGACCGCTGACAATCAAAATATCCTCTCCTGGATGGTTCACCGCCAGAGAGTAGTTACGCACCCCTGCTCAGCAACATTCATGTGATCCTCAACACAATGGGCAAACCATGCGACGGTCCAGTGAGCTTACCTGTTCTTTCCAGGTCAACACCAAATACTTTGGCTTGACCAATGACTTCTTCAAAGCGGACCTCCGTGAGGCTTTTTTTCTGAACAGCCTTACTATCAGGCCTTCCCAAATAATCAGCAATTCGCTCATGGGAATGCTCCCGCCCGCTGATGTACAACTGCTGCACTTTTGCTGCTTGTAGAATGCCACTATCCCTTTTCAGTGGTCAATTGTCTGCTATGCACTTTCTCCGGGATGAGATTGCCATCAACGCTCCTGGGTGCTGTCAAGCTCCCTCCGATGTGAAAATATGATATGTCTTCGGAACCCTGGAGGCGTCCGTCTGGCCCGAGTGAAACCAGCTCTCGAGCCGGAACCTGTCAAGGACTTTCTTGATTGAGTTCTCTTGAGCAGTTTGTCGGGTTGCGAAACCGGATATTGAATCAACGATTGTCATGTTTGCAATGTTGTACACTTAGCGATCGATCTCCAATCTCTTCCGGTACTCGAACCCACTCTGCTCTGGAGCTCTTTCTCGACTCACAAGACATCAAGCCAATGTCAATGATATAGAGCTCTCCAAGTGTGGGGTTATATGGATCTGGGGTATTGAAGGCGGCAATACGCGCGAAATTCGTGTGTCTTCTCGCTGATAACCGTACCAACCCTATAGGATAAGCCGGCAAACACTGAACCAGACTTCCCCAACCAATATCGAGTGGACCTGTTATTGAGTGGTCCTTGATAGCTGGACTTGCTGTAGTTGACCCTAATGGAGACCCAGTGCCTTGCAATGTCAGCGTGGGATGGTTTATCATGAATCCTACTGCAAGAAAACAAACACTTTAGGCTTAGTTTAATTGGAAACTGCATCTAATAGGAAAGGCTGAAGCCCCTTTCCACTTCAGTATCCGAAATCCTTCCACTAGAAAATCAGAGTAGAACACAGCTAAACAACTACTTCGCCTGGGATCTCGCCCATGTCTTCGATGTCTCTGAAAGCCGTGGCTAGAATATCCGCGCCCCTCAGGAGATCCTCTTCGCTGATGGTCAAAAGGTGGACAGAACCTGATCCGGTTGCCAATAACATTTGCGCTCACCAGAGCACCTCTCTGCGCGAGTAAAACAGCAATCCTACGTCCCGTGACCATGGGCGGCTTCTGTTCAACCACCACGGCAGTGAACAGACCACTGCCCGAGTAATCGATCACATGAGGTAGATGAAAAGACCGTAGCTTGTCTAGTAAAAGCCCGCCCAGGTAATTCGCACGGCCGGACAGTTTCTCTTCAACCAGGACGTCCAGTGCGGCCAGTGCAGAAGCGCACCCTGGAGGCGTGTTTGCCATTGTCGTGCCGATTCTGTTTTAGTTTACCATTAGACACGAGCTTGTTAGATGCAAACATCACCACGACGGAGACTTACTCGTAGGGCGACATGACGTCCATGATCTTTGAAGATCCCATGACGCCAGACATGGCGTAGAGGCCGCCGGACAAGGCCTTGCCCAGCACCACCAGGTCTGCCTTGACGCCGTCTCGTTGGTGGCAGAGGTTGGACCCGGCCCTGCCAAAGCCGGTTTGGATCTCGTCGGCGATGAATAGCACGTTGTATTCTTTGCATAGGGCCGAGACCTGTTCCAGGTAGCCCTTTGGAGGGACTATGATACTGTTTAGGGAGCGTCAGCCTCTTGCACGAAACTGTACTCGTGTGTGGATTACGGGAGAAACGACTCACCCTGCCGAGCCTTGGATGGGCTCGATCATGAATGCACCGATATTCGCGCCATCTTCCGACACGGCTTTCCGGAGATCGTCGATCTCTCCGTAGCGAACCAACGTTCCACTCGGGGCGGTTGATCCGACATTCGGGAGGTACTGGCTGAAGTCTGAGCAAACATTAGCAAGCCAGGAGCTCCCAGGTTGTGGGAAAACCACATTGTGTCCCTTACGGATAGGCCTCTTGTTGGCCAGAGACGTCGTCGACAATGACACGCCATGATAGCACGCCGTCGCCGTGAGGATGTGGCAGCTACCATCTCGGATGCCTTTGACGACATAGGCCCGTTTTCTGGCGATCTTCACCGCGGCGTCTACAGCTTCCGAGCCGCTGGTCATGCCCACGAATTTTTCATAGCCGAATACCTACCGACAGTTTGTCAATCAGCATGAGGGAAGGTCAGAGGAGGTGAAGTGGTTCTCTAGACCTCGTAAAGGCGTCTGGCCAATCGACCATATAGGGGGTTGTGGAATGCGATGTTAACGCATGCCGCTTCCTTCATTGCGTCCATGGCAGCTGAGATGATGCGTCCCAAGTGTCGTTGGGTTTGCGTTATTTGCCGGCGGCTTTTCCATTATGCTGTACTACATCGGACTGTCTCTGGCGTGGCTGGATTATTTCCTCGGCGTGGTGACATGTCCAGGAATCGTTCCCACCGTCCTCACAGTCCTTTGGAAGGGTCAGACTAAGACAGCTGCCATTGTCTCCCAAATTCTCGGCATGATGACCGGCTTTGCTGTCTGGCTCGGGGCTACCAAGGCACTCTACGGCGTCGTCAATGTGACCACCAGTGGGTCGCAGCTTTCCTGCATGTACGGGGTCATCGCATCCTTTGTCTCACCTGCCATATACACCGTGGCCATCTCACTGATCAAGGTAAGAAAGAAATCCAACTTTTCTCTGTTGCGAGATCTAGTCTCAGTTCGTTCTTCAAAAGCATTAAGTTTTGCTGACATTCGCCGCTTTATTACACACACAGCCTGCATCGTTCGACTGGAACAAGTTGTTTGAAGTCGAGCTGATCACTGATGATCTCAACGCCGAGGAGATCGAAGCCAACAAGCGGGCCCAAATGCTCAGCCCCGCCATGATCAAGAAGATGAAAAAGATGAGCAAGTTTGCCTCCTTCGCCGGTGTTGCTATGTTTGTTGGTGTCTGGATCATCTGGCCGTATGCTATGTACGGTTCACGATACGTCTTTTCGAAGAAGATAAGCTCGTTATCTCCTGTACAAGTTTTGTAGGCAATTAGTGAAGAAAGCATTTTCTGACTTTGTTCGGGCCACTTGACAGTTCTTCACCGGCTGGATCGTCGTTTGCATCATTTACGCTTTTTTCACTTTCTTTCTCGTCACCTTCTATCCACTCTGGGACGGCAGACACCAGCTCAAGATCATTGTCCTTGGCCTTCTGGGAAAGAAGAGCCCAACACGAGGCATCCCACAGGAACATGTACACGCGGGTCAGGAGCCCATGTTTCTGGAGCCGCTGGACACGGAAACAAAGGGCATAACGGCTACCGGGAAGGACAAGTAGGCCAGCAGGAAGGTTGGACCGCAGGGTACCAGTTTTCCCGAGGGGGATGGCTGTAATCTGATAGCAGTATACAGGGGTAACGCAAAGTGTTTATTGTTCGAGTTTTAGAGATGACTTGGGATCAGTTGGGATCAGTAGACCATTTGATGCCGGTGGACTGTCGCCAAAGCAACGATAGGGAGAGTGTATCGTACAGAAAGTATTTCCGTCACTGGAGAAGAGGCGGTTGACGACAGCCGCAAGTAGTGCTAGGACGCGCAGTCACGTGAACGACGTGTAAAGTGGCTGCATTAATGAAGTGCATTGCGCCTGGACCGCGTAGTGAGTGGCGCTTTTTTCGCCGACTGCGATCCTCTGTACGGATAGATCGACTGCCTAGCATCATTTGTTCAACCTTTGGCTTCTTCCTACCTTGCTACCAAGAATTTTTATCCCGGTCCACATCGCACATCGGTGGTTACCATCGGTCTGATTGCCAACGATGTAAGTCTTCTCATCTACAATGCGCTCGACTCCGCAATTGACTCTTAGATCCAGGGCCAACCGACGTATCAACAACAACAACAATGCCGCCGCAAACCGCATTCGTGGACCACAGTCAGCCCTCACAGACTTCCTTGCTTCCCATAACATCTCCGCACAGCAGATTCACCAAGACTATCAGCGTCGAGTGCAAGAAGCAGAGCGCCAGGCTCAACATAATGCGCAGAACAACAATGACGACAAGGAGAATGACGACAAGGAGAATGACGACAAGGAGAATGACGACAAGGAGAATGAGGATGAAGAAGACGAGGATGACATCGTAGAGCGCCAAAAGAGAAAGAGAAAAGAAGAAAAGGCCCTCTTGAAGATCAAGCAGAGCAAAGAGTTCAAGCGTCGCAAGCACGAACAGGACGACGATTTTGAACAAGACGATGACGAGCTCGCTAAAAGCATGCTGGCCAAGTCAAAACCCCTCCCAGGTCAACTCGATAATTGCGAGGTCTGTGGAAAGAGATTCACCGTCACTCCATATAGTGGTACGGGTCCAGACGGCGGCCTCTTGTGCACAAAATGTTCAAAAGAATTAAAGGACGAGAAGAAGAAGGAAGCCAAGGCTGCAAAGAAGAAGGTCGCTGCTCCTCGGGGTCGCCGCCGACAGACCGAGAGCGATCGCATGATGGGAGATGTCAAGCCTGGCGCCAAAAGCCTGCTCGAGATCTGTGTCCGCCATGTGGCCAACGTTGCCCACGACATTGACGAGTTCGGCGACATGCCGCAATACCTGCTCGATCGGTTGAGCCAGATCTTCTCCAAACAGAGGGTCTTCACTCCTCGTGTCCTCGAGCTATTCCTACGTCCAGACGTGGATAGAATCAACGTTTACGACTGCGGCAAACTGGAGAAAGAGGATTTCCAGAAGATCTTTGCGTTCATGCCAAATCTCGAAAGCGTCAACCTGCGATTTGCTGGCCAACTCAAAGACGACGTCATCATGTACATGGCCGACAAGTGCAAGAAGATTCGACATCTACAACTTGGTGCAACTAATCTGGTGTCGGACAATGCGTGGATTGAACTCTTTCGTTCTCTTGGACCTCAACTCGAGAGTCTCAAGCTGTCCGAACTCAACGACTCCCTGAGAGACGACACTATCAAGGAACTCGTCAAGAATTGTCCCAACCTGAAACGACTCAAACTGAGATCGTGCTCCTACGTGACCGAAGAATCCCTGGAATCTTTCTGCGCCCTCACCCAACTGGAGCACCTGACTCTAGCCATTGCTCAAGACACATCAGCAGACACCCTTTCCAAACTCGTCTCTACCGTTGGCCACAATCTCCGCACACTATGTCTTGAAGAGTTCAGCGAACTTGATGACACTGTCCTCGACGCAATCAAATCCAGCTGCACCAGATTAAGCAAGCTCCGTATTCGAGGAAGCAGTCTCTGTACCGACGGCGCCTTTGCGGGCCTCTTCGACAACAACTGCCCCTTCCCACCCCTTGTCTATGCGGACTTTGCAGATAACCGAGACATTGACAGCATGAATCCAGATGGTCCAGAAGACGACCCTGTCGGCTTCGGCTCGCTGGCCCTGACGGCGTTGATGAACCACTCTGGTCCGCGACTCAAGACCCTCGATCTGAAGTCTTGTCGACACATCACGCACGCGGCACTCCTCGAAGCATTCGACGGTCTCAAGAGATACCCTGCATTGACAGACATTGACCTCTCGTTCGTGACGCAAGTCGACGAGGTGGTCCTGGTCGGTATCTTCAAGAGCTGTCCTTCACTTGCAAAGCTGGCCGTCTTTGCGTGTTTCAACGCCAGACAAGCCGTCATCCCTGCCGGTATCGCCGTCATTGGTCTTCCCAATCCGCAGGACAACATCGTACGCGAGGGCGATGTACAAATGGTAATGTCATAGGCAACATAAAGCGTCTTTGATGGTCACGATGGTCTAGAGATCAGAGGTGATTAATCCCGGCGCATTGCGGCTCTTGTGTATGAGTATTATTACGAGGGGAGATGAGAGCGAGCGCGGACACAAGTAGTGGTGATTTGCCCGTTCGAAAATGGATCGGGCACTTACGACGACATTGATTAATTGAAGGCTTTCAACGAAAAGCACGAATTGAATGCCTATGAGACGCCTGATGACCTCCTGACGGGAATGAGAAAAGGCCGAGGCTTTTAGTTTTCTACTCCAGACTGGAGGAAATACATAAGGCGAATTGAAACTATTGTATTACAAAGGACGAAGTGCTCTTTCTTCCACTGGGGATGTCCAGCATATTTTCTGTAGAACGATCAAGCCGCGCGTCGGCCAGAGAGGTTCAACCGTCTCGCCCAACACGCATTGTTGTCCAGACCCATCCGTCGGCGCCGTGATCACAGCATCTCGATACCCTCGACGAGCCAATCCAGCCTGTCCCCAGCCATCCTGTCCATCTGCCGATCACTGGCGTCTTCGAGCAACCACCTGGCCATGCTCCCGACCTGCCTCGCCCGCGTCTTGTCCTCCAACTCCCTGCTCTTGCACCTGGCGGTCTCGATGACGCCGCCCCCCAGGTTCGCCAGCCTCGCCACGTTCAAGCCATAGCTCCTGTGCGCCACGCCCTCGCCGACCTCGTACAAGAACGTCACCGTGTCCTTCTCCCCGCCCTCGGTGAAGCGCATGTGGACGTTTCGCAACTCGCCGGCCTCGAACCCGGCCTCCATGCGCGCGAGGACCTGGTAGTGCGTGATGAAGAGGGTCAGGCACTTTTTCTCTCGGAACAGGTAATCGAGCACGGCACTCGCAATCGCCACGCCGTCGTGCGTGCTCGTCCCGCGACCCAGCTCGTCGAGAACGACCAGACTCCTCTCCGTGGCCAGTTTCAGAATGTCGCTCGTCTCGCTCAACTCGACCATGAACGTACTCTCCCCACTCAGCATGTTGTCAAAGGCACCCATCCGCGTGAACACGGCGTCGAGGATGCCCAGGGTCGCAGACTCACACGGCACCAACGATCCGATCTGCGCCATGATGCATACCAAAGCGACCGACCTCACGTACGAGCTCTTGCCGCCCATGTTCGGGCCGGTGACGAGCAGGGCACGAGTCGCGTCGCTCGACAGAGAAATGTCGTTGGGCACATAGCTGTCCAGAAGGAGCTGTTCGACCATCGGATGTCGTGCCCCGACAACATCGATCTTGATGTCCTTTGTAAAACTTGGCCTCGCGTATCCCGACTGGCTGCCGAGCTTGGCCAGAGACAATAGACAATCCAAGGTCGCAAGGCTTTGGATGGTGTCCCTGAACAGCTGATATTTTGTACTTATGTCGGCAAGGAGAGCCATGAACGCCGTGTCACATTCCGCCGCAAGAGACTCTTTATGCTGATCACGCTCGCGTATTAGCTTCACAACTTCAGGAGCGTGGAAACGTGAGACTTTCTTCGTGCCGGAGATCTTCACCCATGAGGCAGGGACTTTTTTGATGGTCGCAGAAGAGTTCTCAACTTCGATGAGATAGTCTATACCCGCGACGGTATTGTAGTCAACTGGGCGCTTTTTGCCCAACCTCTCGGCAGCAGTGGTGCGAAACGTCTCCAGGTCGTGCTGAATCCCAGCAATGCCAAGTTTGTGTTCCGTGATCTCCTCAGTTTCGGCAGACTCGGCGAAGAAATCGTACTTGTCGTCAGACTTTGCGGCAGAGAGATTGATCTTGTCCAGATAACCAATCACTTCTGTCAGTATACAGGGAAGAGAAATGAGGGCAGACGAGATAAGGTGGGAGGTGAAACCTGTAGATGCTGCATCGGTGACATGGCCGAATTCGGTGGCGAGGAATTGTAGAGATTGAAGGACGTTCAATAGTTCAGGGCGAGTGCATTTGCCGTAGTAGATTCTAATAAGACTCTTTTCGAGGTCGGTCCTCATCTTCGAGAGGACATGGCGTAATTTCTCGACGTTGACCGCTCTTGCAGAATCAAGAAGCTCCTCGACGGCATCAAGTCGTTCTTCGATAAGACGTTGGTCCAACAACGGGCGACCAACCCATTTTCGAAGTAATCTACCACCAAATTTTGTCTGCGTCCGGTCCATCATCCAGTACAAACTGCCTTTGGTAGACTGGTCAGTTTGGTTCTGATAGATCTCGAGACTCGTCAGGGTGTTCCCATTCAGCAGCATATGAGATCGAGCGGAGAAAGGTTGGAAATATTTCTCGAGCTGAAATACATTCTCGAGGCCGTACTCAGACAGGTGCTTGATCATAGCTGACAAGCAGATCAGCACATGTTCCGGCAGGCCCAGGATTTTGTCGAATATATTTATGGCTTTATTCTGTCCGGATTGAGTATCCCTCAATCTTTCAGCATAAAAGGTTGACACATGGCTGTGGGCTTGTGCTGCCATGGTCTTCTGCTTATCGACTCGCTCGACACGGATTTTGTCTCCGAAGACATTCGTCTTGTTTCCCGATAGGTGAGTAATTAGTTTTTCTGTCGCTCTTGATACCTCACCGACGACCAGGAACTCGCACGGTGCAATGTGGAGTAATCTTGTTTCGACTTCACTTCGCATGAATCCATCCTCAAAGTCGTCATACACGATATCACCAGTGGCAGGTTGGACAGCAACAAGACCAATATGGACCTTCTCGTCATTTCCATAGCCCTTAACGTTGACTTCAGTCATGCACAAGAGGAAGCCCGTCGATGGTGACTGAAGAGCAGGATTTGCTCGGTTATCTTCCTCGATTCCCTCGATATCGTCGATGTAGGTGCCTTTTGTGTACAAATTGGTGAGCTTTCGCACAAAAGGAGCGTTCCTGTTGTCACCAACAGCCTTGAGAGCAGCAGTCTCAAGCTGACGAACCACACCAACTTTGTGACCAGCCGAAACCAACCTCTTGACGTGGACATGGAGTCGATGCACAGGGATACTAGCGGACGCAAAGCGATCCAGATGCGCTTCGGAGTGGTGCTCGTCATAACGATACTTCCCAGGTATGCAAACGATACCCAGCTCTTTGGCGGCAATTCTGGCATCTTCACCAAAGAAGCGAAACTTGTAACCAACCTCCACAACGAGCAGGGTGTCCATGTTTGCCTGTTTAATCTCTATCACCTGTTTCTCCATTGGTGTGAGTTTGCTACCACCTTTTTTGGCACCCTTCGCCCGAGCCGTGAGTTTCGGTGCTTCTTCTGTTGGCTCTCCATCGGCTTCATCATTTTCCTCCGCGTCTTCTTCTAGTGCCCGATTGCGTCTCTTGATCTCAGCTATGCTATCCGGCTTTCCAAGTTTCTTCACGAATCTACGATGCAATTCTTCCTTTCGACGTTTGTCTTCGCCGTTCTGATTTTCTTGTAGAGGAGGAGAGGAGAATAGGTATTTCGAGGTTCGATCTGTCGAGCAGAGGTCATTTGAGGCTGTGACCATGTTTTGTTCGTTTGCAGAGACGGGTCTCAGAGTCCTCTCATCTTGTTCGGTATGTTGAATTTCTTCGTCAGCACCATCGAGGAGGTCGCTTTCAATGGGAGTTATTCGCCTCCTCTTTGCGGATGGTAGTTGGACATCGTCGTCGTCGGTATCCTCCTCGACTCGAGTCACAGGATTAGGGGCAGGTTTTCTGAAAAAAGACGACAAGGTCTGTTGCTTCTTTTGCACAGACTTCATGTTGCCATTTAATTGACTTGAATTGAAACGAAGGTCTTGTGGTGAGGATTGGTGTAGACAATATCATTACTCCTTTGGTGTGATACATTTCATGAGCGAATGAAAACGCGCGAATTGCGGCGGAGACGCGTCGCGTAAAGCATTTGGGGGGCGAATACTCCGTAGTATCCGCCAGACACAAGTACGAGACGAGTATTAGTGACTGACTACCTGAGGGAGTGCTTTATACCTATCAGGTATTATACTCAGAGGGCGATCAACGACCATGGAGGACTCAACTGAGGAGCATGGTGCTTTCACCACCAACAGTAAAGGCCGTAGAATCAGCGTCACATGTATTTTGTATCTACCTCATACATCAAACTTTTGCTACCTTTCTGTCGCTATCTATGTTCATTCTCGGGCAATAGGTAAACCATGCTGCGAATGACATGTCCTCAATCCCTGGTAATATTCTCATGTTCCTTTTCACCATCTTCCCATGTTTGAAGAACATGCAGTGAGCAATCGATACATCAAGATTTGCATATCTTCAGAGAGAGCGTGGGACAGTTTTACATATTCATGCCTTGATAAGCCACATGCGAGATATCTGCTAAAGCTGCAGTCAATCTTCCTGCATATTTCAGCTTGGGTTTTGTCTCGACTCAATGGGTGCTAGCTGCAAGTGCGTCGATTTGCGGCTTGGAGTCCTCATCATCTATTGTGTTCTGCAAAAGAGATTGCGCCATTTTGGTATCTGGGCTTAGCATTCCCTGGTCGAAAGGCTCCAATGGCTCGACTAAAGGATTCTTAGTGGACACAAATGGGTCTTCATGAAGTGCTCCCATTGGCAAAACACCAAAAAAGTTGCTGAAGGGAGATTCCGATGGATTCGTCAAGCTTATACCATCTCGGACTGGTGATATCCATGACAAAGGATTCGCGGCCATGGTCCGGTAGTCTGGCTGAATACTGGTAAACGGAAGATCATTTTCTTTGCTGTTACCTGTATCGTAGAAAGCTTGGGCATCACGAGACATCGGCCTATAAACATTGCAGAGACTTGCATACTGCACGCCGGCTTGGTGTTGTGGTTGTAGCCAAGGGGTCGAGATAGTTGGTAGCTGTGGACGACCGCTGTTCAAGTATGACGGCGGTGCAGCCTGCAATGGGTTACGACGTTGATCCGTTGGAGTTGCAGGGCCATAGCCGGGACTGCCGTCATCGAAGATTGTGAATTGAGAAGAACGTTTCTTGCGTAAGCCGTTGCCAACCATGGGTTTCCAGTCTTCCTCGTCATCTTCCATCTGGAAGAGCCTTGAACCAAGGACATAGGACTCGCCAGTCGATGAACTCGGAAGATAAGGCAGTGGAGGTATGCTTTGGTCCAATTCTTGACGAGCTCGCTTCTTCGAGGGGCTCTTTCTCGGTTTGCGTTTGACAAGTCGTGGAGCATTAGTATCTCTCTCTGCAAGTGGCTGTCTCTTACGAGGCCGACCCTGCTTCGTCTTCGGGACTGGAGATTCCCCATCGATCAGGCTGCTTGCGTCTTCGAGATCATCAATGTGTCTTGCTTTCATCATATTGCCACTTGGAGAATAGACCACCTCGGTAGGCTCAACCAGAGCAGCTAGACGTTGCATATGTCTGACCACCGAGCCGTCTTTCTTCTGGTTCCTCTTCCTTTTCATTTCGTCGGTAGCTGCGTCGAATAAATCCATACCTGGCCATATTGTCCCCTTCAACTTGCTGTGCTCTGGGGTAGCAAGAGGCTGGGGGCCTTGGAGGACCGCAGCATCATCGTTGACGTAAGGGTTGCCAATGGCAGGAGAAGCTGCCTGAGATCGTCGAGGTTTCGGTCGACTAATATTTGGTCAGTTCATACACACAGAGCCCTTGTGTCAGCCAGACCTTGAACGTTTGATCGGACTGTAGTCAAAGTCGCTATCGTCATTCACGACAGCCTTGCTTCGACGGGGTCGTGGTGCTCTCTTTTGTCTCTGGCCACGGCTTTCGGCACCTCGGCGTGACTGTATTACCTGATCTTGTAGAGGTTGAACTGAAGTCCTACTCTCTGCCACATAAGCACCCTGCTCGGTAGCCATCTTCTTTCTTCCTGCCTTTTTGACCTGTTTCAAAACCATTCTCTCTGAGAGCAACCTGGCTAGGTCATGCTGATCGTACCAAGTGTTGTAGTTGGCGAGCAGCAAACCGGCCTCAAGCTCTTGGTGGCTTCGAACCTGAAGTTTGTGGAGGTGAGACAAGTGGCCTTTGGAGCTGACATGCGTAAGCAAATGGGAGACATCGCTGAAAGAGGGTTCCTTGGGGCAGATACTGCATTTCAGCAGATCCAGAACAGCTTCCATGATGAACCAGTGCGGTGGTACAGGGATTGTAAGGAAAAAGGAAAGTAAGTACTGAAATAGAAACCACAGAGAAAGAACAAAAGCTCGAAACAAACAAGGAACAGCACCGGACAACCTTTTTCTGCTTCCTGCAGCATGAGACACAACGAGGAGACAACAGAAAGTGAACAGGGTAAGGAGCAAGGTGACAGCAAGTGAAAGGGTGGCTGCTAGAGCGCCTCAGGAAGACACGCAACAGGTCAACAGGATGAAAAGAAGGGAAGAATAATGATGAAGCGTGCAGATGATGCAAGAGGCAAGGACAATCAAATGACGCCCGCGGCCTAGCAAGAAGGAGCCTTTCACTGGCTATAGCGACTAGACTATTGTCTTAGCACGTCGTGCACCGCGCGGACCTTGGAAAAAGAGTCAAACATGAGAATTTTTCACATTGTCAAGCTTGAATAATGTACCATCATGACTATAATTCCTCAGATGTGAAGACTGTGGCGTGATGAAGCGGAAATAGTTCATGATGGACTTCTCTTTTCTCTTGCATTGTATCCCAGCTCTCAAGGGTGTCTTCAAGTGGGTTATTAGATTGCAAGAGGTGAGCAGACGCGGTCAAGGCTGATTATATGGCAACGCCTGCACCACATCTCTAGGCATACAACTGTACAGACAAGCAATTAGCACAAGTCCAATAACGCAACATGTTCAACATACTACGTTGGATCGACCTCGACCAGCCCAGGGTATTTCAATAAACTCAAACCTGCAATACCAAACACCGTATGGAAGACATCCACCATGTCACCAGGCCGATCAGAGATGCCGCCATTTTGGGAATCCTGGCATCTCAGGATGAATTTCGTCAGTACAGAAGAATCGATCCAATGCAGCTTTCCCAACATGGAGAGGCTACTGAGGACCCACCAACTGTAGCAAACGTCTTCCAGCTTCTCTGGGCGGCCATTGAGACCACCATGGGGCAGCTGTCTTTCGCTCAACCATGCAGCGAGTCTGTCAACGTCGACCAAATCCAGGCGTCGGGCAATGGTCAGAGCTCCCACACAGGTATATATCTGGCCGGCATGAGATTCGGCCCCAGGTGACACACCAAAGCCACCATCAAAATTGGCACAAGCTTGTATATGGGACACAGCCTTATCCATATCCACAAGATGCATCATGTTGAGAATGGAGAGTCCGAGGAATGCTGTGAACAAGAAACGGGTATCTGTTTCTCCCCATTCGTCACCAGCAAATGTACCACGACTTGAATCCTGGAGCTTTGCAATGTCTGAGGACCATTAGACGTGGTTGGTTTCCTGGACATGGATAATCAGGAACTCACAACTTGCCACACGGATCTTTCCCCCTCTTTCTCCCTGATCCAGTTCTGATAACGCATCAATGGTAGCAAGGATCTGAATGGCGCTCACAGTATACAGCATGTGGGAATCATGACCGGGAGCAGCGCCAAACCCTCCATCGTCGTTGTAACACGCAAAAATGAAATCGATGGTCTTGTCACGAGGGAGGGCTTCAGGATGGCCAAGGAGATGAAGAGCCGTCAGCCCCCAATAGACCCCGTTCAGTCTCAGATGTTCGGTCAACCAATAATCGAGCTCATCCTTTCGCTGGGAGAGAGATCAGATACTAAATGGCATGTGGAACTCACATAAACGCACAGTGTCTAGGCTTTGAATATATTTGACATGCTTCTCAATGACCAAGCCAAGCTCGGGCGGTAAGTCATGGCCGCTCGCTTGATTGCCCCCTACTCCGGGTCCGGCCACGAGCGACATGGGGATCAGGGTATCGAGCGGTAGAGTGTCGGTATTGTAGAGAGGCTATCTGAAGAATTTTATGGCCTGGTTGGTGGCTTTTGAAGGTTGATGGAATGAGTTTGTCGTCCGGCGTGTCGTCTTCTCAATTCTAGCTGTATGTGAGCGGTTCAGATCTTGGCGTTATCCGAGTGCTGTTTTGTTACCATGCTCGCAGGCTCCAATTATTCCTGACTAACCCCAGGTCTGATGGGTCTCCATCCTGGCAGATCCCCGGCGTTTCAGGTTGGTCGAGGGACGTGGCTTGCCATGCCAGGGACCAACTGTGCCACACTGGCGCAATCACTTTGTCGATGCCAGGGAGGATTACTGGCAGTAGTGCCTATCGAGATTCCGCACAATCATGGATTGTAACCTTGTCTGTGTGATAGGCCGTATCTTAAATATACAGGACTTCAAGTAGGCATGTAGGAGGGCAGTGGTATGTTCCATCATGGTCATCTATCTACTGAGCGATCTAGTCATCCCTACCTAGAATTTTGATCTACCACAACACTGATATGCGCACTACTGAAGCAGATTCTGAATGACCACTCCGTACTCCGTAGCGCTGCATAACAGTATTGTTCACTCCCCGCGTCCATCGGGATTGGGGACCATGGTGCCCCTGGCTTCTCCCCTGAAGACCGACCTGACGTTAGCTTCGCCGTGGCCCTCTTGTTAGTGCCATCCACTGAGATCCTTGCACCAGTCCAACCAGGCCTCTCCCATGGCCCAAACATGCTAAACTTGGTATTGCTTCACCACATGGACTACTGAAGGCGCAATAGTCTCAAGATTTCTCGCATAGTCGACCATCAAACAGGACGTGAAGGGCACGCCCATCGCTCGGGTCATCTTGCTCTCCCAAATGAGACCCGATAGATTTGATTCACTCTAGATACTGCATACGGGGTACGGAGCACTCTGACCACCTTCATTCGCCCTGGTATGGAGTAAGAAGTGCTGTTTAGGAGCCTCTACAAACCCCCCACCAAACTAAGGTACTCGTTCTTCAGGGATATCTGCACTGCAGGTCACTCCTCCCGCTCCCAAAGTTGAACCGAAACCGGCAAAGTAGATGCAAGCCATAAGAATTTCCCTCCCTGCAGCATAGCATCGCACGAGCCCCAAAGTGCACTGTCTGTTCTTTATTGCACTTATTTTATCCTCATTCTCCTGGGTGCTGTTCATTTGCATATCCAGGCATCGGCCTGGAGGGTTGTCGCACCTAAAAAAGAAACAAGACACATGCAGCAGTAGCGCTTTTGGCGCCAAACGACCTCCTCATTCCCATCCTCACCGCCTGCCCTGATACGCCCGCCGTTCACACACCTCATATTTTGGCCTGCGTCCCCGGAGCATTCTACCAACACCATCGCCAGCACACACCTACACTCACTCTTTCAACCGACAATTTGGTCGTCCACGCCTTTTTCTATATCACTATACCCACTGAATTCTTCAATGCGCTTGCGTTCATCTCCAAGCCGTCCCTGATATTGTTGTGAGGAGCTTTGGCCGCCGACCTAGTCAACGCCCTTCCTTTCTGTCATTCCTTCAATCTATCTTAATTCCTCCTTTGTTTAGCCGCTTTCCTTGCAAAAGCCACATCACGGCCTTTGACAGCCGCGCCCGTCACACACACGTCGACGCCCTCCGACGAGACTTGGCTGAACACCATTCGCCCACGAGCCCTCACTTCGCTTTCGGTTCTTCATCATCCCAGCGAGCCTCAGTCAGCCTTATTTGGGCACAGGTGAAGATTAAAACGCCATTGGTCCATGCTAGGCCAATAGCTATCCTTGCGCTGATTGTGCAAAAGCGCCGTTGGTCTCGCTGCATCCAATTTCGAAGTTGGCTACGCGGCCAGACTGCGCTTGGGGCCTTCGTTGAGACCTTTTCGCCATTCTTCCTACATAACCTATTTTGGAAACATTCTACGCCAGTCAGAAAGAGGTGGTACCGTCAAGAACTACATCCGTCGGAACATCCAGGTTCCCTTCATCTGGGGCACTCGGGTGACTGTCCGACAGAAAGGGCGGCCGGCTACTTGCAGTCGGCCCTGTGAATGACATCTCGGGGGACACAAATATGCCTCGAGCCTCGGGCTTGCCGTTCCTCAACCTGTCGCCGAAAAATGAAGAGTTCAATGGCTTAACGCCTGCAACATTGAGCCCTCGCTCAACGGGATCCCCTCAAACTCCTAGTTCTGTGCCCGGTTCGCCATATCTTCAAGAACCACCAACACCGTCGCTCATGAATCCTCTTTCAGCATCCTCTCACGATGGAGATGGAAACTATCGAACGAATTCAAACTCCCCTCGCATTACAGCCATGCCAGAACTCCCTCCTTCGCCCGGTCAAGTACCTCAGTCACCGAAGCATGGTCGCGAGATGTCCAAGGGATTCTTTTCCAACTTGAAAGCTTCAAAATCTTCACACAAACTTCAATCGTCGGAGGCAAGCATCCCAGAAGCAACCGAAAAACCAACTGGAAGAAGTCGCACGAGTTCTAAGGACAGGTCACTACATTCCGTGAAGAAACAAGGTTCGACCCCAGATTTGCCCAAATTGGCCCAGACTACTGCTCCAGCCACCGAACATAGTACAACCCCGCCGGAATCATCTAGTCAACAGACATCAACAGATCCTACAACTCAAGGGCACAAGAAGGGAAAGTCGAAATTTGGTGGCATTCTGAACAGGACAAAAACCACGAAGCCCGAAGAAGTCAGATCAAAAACGAGAGGCATGGCCCCAAGTCAGATGCATGTTGATACGGTAAACAGCAATGGTGATAGGTTTGAAGGTTCGCCCAAAACAGCTCCCCTCAAAACCGACCATCGGGATAGAGCTTTTGGACAACAAAGAGGCCCTGCTACGAGAACTCATTCGGCAGATCGGCATGTTCGGGATGAAGCGACCATGGCGAGGAAAGAACGCCAGGTGGGAAATCCGCCTCTCTCTTCGTCTTTGAGAGAGGGTTCTACCCTTCAGCTATTGTCGAACATTCACCAAACCAGCAAAGGTATGGGTGATCGCCTTGGTAAAGCCGGCAAAGGCTTCTTTGGTAAGATCGCACGAAGCGGGAGCAGCAACGAGCGTGAAATTATCACGGATGACAATTATGTCTGTACTACCATCAATTTACCACTGGTCAAGCAAACTCGCAAAACCAGGATCGCGCGACGCCTTGAGCTTTCCAAGGACAAGACAGAGTTTTGGATGCCGGCTTTGCCATGGCGATGTATTGAGTATGTTGACCGACCCTTGATTTTGGAAGTGACTAACAGAGATGTAGCTATTTGAATATGAATGGGTCAGAAGAGGAGGGTCTCTACCGTATTCCAGGAAGCGGCAAGGAGGTCAAACATTGGCAACGACGTTTCGATACCGAACTGGATATCAATCTATTCGATGAACCAGACCTGTACGACATCAACACCATCGGGTCCATGTTCAAATCATGGTTACGAGAGCTCCCTGACGAGATTCTACCTAAAACGGTCCAGAACAAGGTGGCTACTGAATGCGCTGGCGCTACCTCAGCGCCCCAAGTCCTGAAAGACGAACTTTCCAAACTGCCTCCTTTCAACTACTACCTCCTCTTTGCCATTACTTGCCATCTTAGTCTGCTCCACAGCTATGCCGATAAGAACAAAATGGACTATCGAAATCTGTGCATCTGTTTCCAGCCATGTCTCAAAATCGATGCATTCTGTTTCCAGTTTCTGGTGATGGACTGGAAAAATTGTTGGCAGGGATGCTGGACCGAGAAAGAGTACCTCGAGGAAGAATATCGCTATGAGAGGGAAGGATCGGCTGGCGAAAGCGAAGATCTGGCGGTTGATGATAGGGCTCTTTCATCGAGCGGTAGCAGCCAGCCGCAGACTGCTCCGGCTCCACCTCGAAGCGCGGACGCTGCTACCCAACGCAAGTCAATGGCGCCAAAGGCCAAGCAAAGGAGTCTATCTTCGGACGCAAGGTCGAGAGACAGATCAAACAGTGGACATGCAGCGACACAGAGCGTCCCTGCTGTCCCCAGAATGGTGACTCCAGAACCTCCCAAAGTTTCACTAGACCAGAAACTACCCGAATTGACGGGACTCTCACCGATCAGGATGTAGAGCGATTCAATTCGGTGTTTACCAGATACCCCTTTTTTTACGAAGCATCATTGGTGCGAGCTGGATGGATCCCACAATTGAATTTAGTGTTGCATCTTGCTGAGCGATTGCTGCTTGGAGCTGACGAAGCTCCTGAAAGATTTGGCTGTATTATCTAGCTGGCTGCGAATCAGCATTGACGTCTTTTACGCTTGCATTGGCTGTTTCATACTGGTCTTTTGACTATGATGCGTTTGGAGGACGAGATTAACGACGAAGAGCTAGAAACAGAACAGAGGCCATGGAACCTCAAAAATGTATGAATAGGTGAAGGATGTGAAGACCCACGAGCCTTGCGAGATTTGAATAGAAGAAGCCGAAGGCCGTGCAAGATTGGATACGCTATTCTCGTTTCCACCTGTTTAACGAGCGACGGCCTCGAAGTCTTGATTCCGTGCCTGACTGTACGGGTATGCAAAGCAGCCCATCTGCATCTGACTTGATGAAATCTGAGCTGGTCCATTGTCAACCCTTGACATACGGAGTATCTTCGTGTGTACAGCATACTGCAGTCCACAAGAGAGATACGCCGTCATGTCGTATGAGGGTATTGAAAAACTTCGTCTAGGTCATATGAGAGGATCTTCCTCCGTCAAGTTGCAGTGTAGGCATCAGCACCGCCATGATCCTCTTGATCTCAAAACTCAACCGACTTTGCTCTTTTTATTCCTTCGCTCGTTGTTCCTCTGTCGTCGGTCCTGGCGCCTCATCCGTTCGACGCGTTCCCTTCGCCCTTCCGTCCTCACGTTCTTGCCCTCGCTCTCCCTTGCGGCCTTGTCGTCGTCGAGTTCGACGAGCCACTCGTTCTCGGCGGCCTTGTTCCTACCCTTGTAACCCCACTTCTTCACCCACTCGCCGGTCTCCTCGTCGTAGACCAGATTCTTCTTCCGGTCCTCCAGGGCCGCGCCGCCGTGGAGGTTGCCCGCGTACTTGCCGATGCCCTTTTTCCGGGCGAACAGTTCCCACTTGGTGGGGGCCTTCGGCTTCGGCAGCGGTTTCCACCGCGGCAGTTGCGTGACGGGAGGTGGCAGGGTCATCAAGAGACCGTCGGGGGTCGAGGTTATCGAACAGGTCGTCAGCAAGGTGTTGAGGAGGGTCTGGGCTCCGTCGCGGGCGACGCTCTGTAAGCTGGTGTTGCGGGCGGTGTAGGATTGTGAGAGAAGAGCGCTCGTGGACGGGAGAGGGTTCGGGTCTGTGGCGGTGAGATATGCGAGGTCGTATGTGTACGGTGTGGGCTTTTCGACCGTCGTGGGACTTTATGTGGGATGTTTTGTCAGTACGGGAAAGGGTATTATCATACATTGTCAGTTGGAAGCGTGGGAAGTGTTGAAGCCACAGAAAGGACAAGCGGAGAGAAATCTCGAGGGCCAGGAATTTTGGAAAACCTACAGTCTGTCAGAATTGGAGGAGGAAATGTCGACCGAAGGTACCGATGCATCGGCCATTGTAGTGTCTGTCGTGGATGTGGTCATCTTCGTGTCGATATCGTTGTGGTCGTGAGGTATTGTTGGCTTATGTTACCTGACGAGAAAAAAGTCATGGGCAACGAAGGACAGGCGCTCTCTCCGCAATCCGAAAAAAAGATCGAGTGGCTGCTTTTAGATAAGCGATAAGGAAGAATACTCAGCCTCGTCAGAATTCATAGCCTTACGCTCCTAGCGGACGTTTAGTAGATTATTTGGCAGCAATGTGTCAATTTCGAGAGATTTCTTCCCGAAAAAAAGCTAGAATGAGTCTTCTGATAGAGAGATCTATTGTCTGATTCTCCCATAAAAGACTCGTGTAGAGAAGATAGGGAAGAGGAATAGCAAGACTGAATCGAAATCGAGTTGTGGAAAGAAGCAGCATGAGCTTACTTCCTCTCCGGGTACTCATCTCTTGCCGCGTTTTCAAGATTTTCCGTGCTCCCAACTTTCGCGTTAGGATCGGGAACATTGACAGAACTGCGCTCATTTTGCATCCTGGAACAATTTCGCAGCTGCGCTTCCGTCGGACAAGACGCAGAGACGGGGGCGCGATGTCGCTGGCTATATGTACCGATTGTCTGTCACGGTTCCGCATTTCGACGAATACCCTCAGTCGATCAGTAAAGGCCGCAAGCTTGCTACCTCAAACGGCCTCCTTCCACACATCCCCAATTCAAAATGCCAACGTCGTCAAAGCCAAGTCGGCGGCCTCGAAGCAGCACACCCTCAAATTTCGAGGATCTCAATCTGCGAGATTGAAGAAGAAAGTCAGGGAACGCCCGAAGGTGCCTCCAGTCGGTGAACGCAGAGCCCAGCGTCGTCGGATCGTCTTGAGCAACACCAATGCCCTGGAGGTCGGGGATATGGAGACTTGGGGCAAGGAGAAGATGACGCACCCTCAACTGGTCGGTCAGGTCGTGGCTTTGGACGGAGAGCTGCTCGATCAGCTCAGAGACGCCAAAGCCTTCAAGCGGACGCAGAACTGGAGCTTGTTCCGAAGACCTGCCACTCTGATTCGAAACGAGACAATCGCCATTGGCAAAGAGATCGAGGCCTTGAGCAGCAGCCAAGACCAGAAGATGATCAAACATCTCGTCGCTGGAGAGACACATTCGGGAAAGAGCATTCTTATGCTTCAAACAATGTGTATGGCATTCATGAATGACTGGCTCGTTCTGAGTGTACCTGAGGGTAAGTTTTGACTATTCGCCTGTTTATCAGGCACAAAGATTGGCTAATGCATCGCAGCCCAGGATCTCATGAACAATACATCCTCCTATGGACCTCTGCGCCAGAAGGAAGGTGCTCCACCTCCTGATGAGCAACACTTTATCCAGCCACATCTAGCTCAAGCATTACTTGAACGGGCTTTGTACTCAAACGAATCCGTCCTCAGTGCTTTGAAGATCAATCACGAATTACCCAAAAACATCCAATTGAAACAGGGATCCACCCTCAAAGATCTACTTAAGGTCGGTGTCGATGATCACACAAAAGCATGGCGAGCATGGCAGGCTTTCTGGCGCGAACTCACTGAGCCGGGTGTGAATCCTAGACCGCGAGTTCTTCTTGCGGCGGACAGTGTAGATCACTGGATGGGCCCATCGAAGTATTTCGATGCCGAACACAAGGTCATTCACTCGCAGCAGTTTGTGCTCATCCGGACCTTCACCGATCTCATATTCGGCAAGCAAAACCCGTCCTTCACCAACGGTGGCATGGTCATGTTCTGCAGTACTGGGTCCAACTCGCCAGCGTGCCCTACCTTCAAGCTGTTGATCAGCCAGATGCGTGCCAAGGCCCGAGGTATTGAGGCGACATCCCCCAAGTTTCCACTCCCCGTACCTTTCAGCAAACCCGACCTGCGTATTCTTGATCTCATTCCCGGGTCTGACAATGTTGGCTTGGTTGACTTGAATGGGTTGAGTATACCCGAATCAAAGGGCTATCTAGAATACTTTGCGAAGAGTGGTCTGCTACAGGCCAGACTCGATGATGCAAAGATTGCAGAGCTGAGAAGTTTCAGCGCTGGGGGCATTGTGGGAGAATTGGCGAAGTATGGAAGCCGTGTCAGGGCTTGAGAGCCACACTCAATCATGGCGCCGAAACCGTAGATGGCAAAACGTGTTATCTTGCCTATCGTGCGGGAGCTACATTCGCAGCAATGAAAACTGTCTTGTGTAAGAGATGATGGTGGTGACAAGGTGACCACTTGTTGACAGTTTTAGTCGACTGAGGAAGCCCGATGTGGGCATTTGTTCAATTTGCTGTGTCAGGCTTCATCGGGCTGTCTTACGGCGTGAGGAATGTACAAAAGGAAAAATACTCTTCTGTATATATGTAGATGGTTCGACTAGAAGAAACGTGAATCCTTGTACCTAGTCATTGACGGGAACTTTCCGAACATGCATACATCCCGCCTCCGCGTACCTGCATACCCGAGGAGCAACTCGCTTCTCATGATGCAAGGAGCCGTTCCCAAAAAAGGGCACTTTCGCGCATCATAACCCCCTTTCACTTCGCTTTGACCTTTCTGGACAGCACTCAGCTGGGATTTCTACAGTCAATATACGGGCGAAGTTGCTATGCTGACCCTTTTGAAAGCTCAAATCTTTACTACGACTACACACTCTGCACAGGTCTCTATCTCTCTCAACGAAAAGCTACCTTCCGACCTCAAGAGGGGGCCACGTCCAAGACTCCCGCTCCACGTACACACGGTGGCCCTCCTCATTGTTCGAGGTAGGATCGAAACAGCCATTTACTAATTCTCTAGAAGATTGCGAGAGCATTCGGGGGACTTCCAACGGATCCGGGAACGTTCAGCGGACAACTGGTGAGCAAGAACTCGTACCGTCCGACCTTCTTGCAATGCTCGCCCAGGGCTTTCAGGTCCCACAGCTCGCCGATATTCAGACCGAATCCGGACAAGAAGTATTGATGAAGCACTAGAGAGAGGAAAAGAAACGAGTGTTAGAAAAGAGGAATCTTCGTGAAGCCCTTTCCGCCAGGCACATCTCACAGACGGGTGAGAGGGGGTTTGGGAGGGGAAGTAGGTTAGGTTAGGTAGATCAGTGTGGTACTCACCTAATTCCGCGAGGGTCCCAACACGGTTATTGTCCTCCTCGATGGTGGGAGGAATGACCTCGTAGGCGATGGCATCCCCCGCGACGCTGGAAAAGTGGTGGTTCCACGTCCACCTCGCCATCTCCTTGTTGCCCTTGACGCCGACGCACTTGTGGCTGGAGAGACGCTTGGCCTGCTCCTCGGCCGAGATGCCGCTCAGGTCGTCGGTGAACCCGGAGCGGACGAGGAGGATGTCGCCGTGCTTGAAGGTGGTGCCCTGGTGCTTGGCGACGGCCTCGAGGTCGGCGACCGAGATGGCGTGGGCCTCGAAGCTGGAGTACTTGATGCCCTTGGCCCGGGCGTACTCCTTGTAGTCGAGCAGGACGCCGCGGCCGACCATGCCGCCCCGCTCGTGCCAGTGGTTCAGGGTCGGCAGGGCTCGCTCCGTGTCGAAGGTGCCAAAGTTCTGGACCAGGTCGTCCACGCTGGGCTTGGTGCCGTTGTAGTTGGTCGCCGAGGCCTGGTGGGCGAAGTGGACCAGGCTGTCCCACTGCGAGGAGCACTGCGTGTTGAACTCGACCTCGTCGTCGAAGCAGTGGACCGAGACGTTGGGGTCCTTGAACGCGAGGGGCTTGTGGACGAGGCCCTTGCGGTTGAACCCGGGCGTCGCGATGGCCCCGATGGGCCAGTTCAGGGAGACGGAGACGCCGTCGCGGGCTTCCTTGTACGCCTCCTTGACCACGTCGGGTGTCAAGAGGTTGACGCAACCCAGGTGGTCCTTTTTGCCGTTCTTGTCGAACAGGCCCCAGGCGCGGTGCGGCACGCCGTCGATCGTGGGCAGGCTGTCGAAGTCGGGGAGGTTCTTGTAGTCTGCCATGCCGTGTACGCTACGTGGGTTTCGTTGCTTTGCTGTATTTGATGTGTCAAAGCGTCCTTACAAACCGGGAATGTGGTGAGAGTCGATTACGGAGCGAGGGAAAAGAGAAGACACAGCAAGTTTTTAGTACGGTACGGCGGTCCGACCGGACCTTGTGATATCAGAGGTCTCGGTTATAATCCGTTTGTGTACGTTACCCACGAAACCTGGGGAACCTCGAACAACGATGGGTCTTCAACCGAGGTGGGGTATTCATCACTCTGTGTTCCCGGGTGTGGGAATGGTTGTCGATGGCTTGGGTTGGAGAAGAGATGGATATGAAATTGAAAACCCCCTCAGGAATGGAGTCCTTTGACCCAAACAGCCTCGGGTGAACTTGAACTAAAAAAACACAAAGGTTATGAATATCGTTGTGGCTTACTCGTCACTGTACAAGACTGCCCCAGGGAAAGTGGGATTTGCTTGGGGGGGCTATACCGAAGACGGTGTTTGGAGAATGCAAATGAACCATTGAACCGTAACCGAACCCGGGCCCGTGGATATATCTCTCTTGGGATAGAAAACCTCAAGAAGAAAAGGGCATACTGTATTTACAGTACGATGTTGGGTGGGTGAGTGACAATGAAGTACCGTGTGCTGATTCATTTCAATGTCACTTGGAACAATACATCAAGAGGGCTTCTATATACCCTTCTATCCCTACTCCGTCGGTCAATCTTGGGTCAATTCTCATGAGGAGATGGTTCAAGTGAGGTCGACGAAGCCATGTCGAATCAGTAAAGGGTTTCCGGTGATTTTGAGGTGTAGTTGTTATTTTGGGGGAAATGTGAAGATTCAGTCAAAGTACGAGTAGGCGAAGACGAGAGGGAACCCGACAATGTGGCATCGCAGGTATTTATTTATCTTGTTGTCTGCTCCCTCCACGCTGACCAACGGGTGATATCTACTCCGTACAGGACCTCTAATACTGTAGGCAGGTACCGAAGCAAGGGTACCTAAGGTACGGAGTAAGGAGACGCCTAACTGGTCAGGTTCGGCATACCTAGCATTTAGGGGTTGCCATGTACTACTCTGTACTCCGTACTCGTATAATGCCCTACAGGAGGCAAAGTAGCCGCAGCAGTGACGTGGCCTGGTGAGCCACATTATTGCAAGACTTTACTCGTAGTTACAGTACGACTTCAATAAGACACTCCCTAATAACGCCTCCTCATCATCATCATTCGACCACCAAGTTAAGTATATTATGCGAATTCTGTGACCAACAAATTGGCTACAAAGTTGTCAAGTTGTCAAATACCATGTTAAAAGAGTACTCAGGGCCAAGAGATCCAAAATCCCCCCTGGTCTCCTTTTGCTTGTACGATATCTACCGAGGACGGATACCAGATACATGTACTCCATATGCACCGCCTCGTCGAACTACTTACAGGATAGGACTCAACAAGCGAGCAAGAGAGATCTAGAAAGATTGGGCCGGACGATCCTGTCCTGCGTCTTGCATTGTTTCAGAAGCCAAATATCCAATCGCCGCAGTCGGTCACAAAAAACCACAATTCTCTCGGCACGTCTCACTGATTTCTTGGACAAAGCGACACAAAAGTCGGCGGTCTAGGCATCTTACATGGTCGTGCTTAGATTTTCCCTCTTCGACCTGGTCGACTACATACTGTACATCAAGTTTAATTAACCCGCCAAAGCTACATCTTCATATTCGTCACTACCTGCTCAATCCCGTCAAATGTTTTCGTACTGTCTCTTTGTTTCCAGCCAAACAACAAACATCTTCTTCCCGTTCAAGGTTGTGAAAGTCACACTCTCTACCCGACCATGGAGCGGTTGAAGAGACAACTCAATGGGCCCTCGAGCCGTCGAATCCCCCTGCGGGCCTTTATATCTTATGCGATCGATTATTTGATCATAATGTGAGTTTTTCTCTCTGGTATCCTCGTACGGGTCTATTTGGACCTCGTCAGACATTCACAATGACGCCTCAATCTGACATCGGATCTCAGCGTGCTCGCCATAATCTACGCCGTGTTGGACAAGCTGGTCACTCCTTTCGCACAACACTTTTCCCTCAACAACATCTCCATACAGTACCCCTACGCGGTCAAGGAGAGAGTGCCCATAGCCTGGGCCCTGGTCATTTCGGGTCTCTTCCCTGCCGTCGTCATTGGCGTCTACACCCTCTTCATCGACGGCTGGTTCTCTCATCACCGACGCACCACCCACGCGCGGTCCAGATATAGCTTCGCAGACCGGCTCTGGGAGCTCAACTGTGGTTGGTTGGGCCTTCTCCTCGCTCAGGGTGCCGCCTTTGTCATCACTGGCAGTCTGAAGAACCTCTGCGGGAAGCCTCGTCCGGATCTCGTGGATCGATGCCAACCCCGAGCCGGCTCCGCCGATGCAGTGCCGTACGGTCTCGTCACAAAGGTGATCTGTACGCAGACCAACTCTGCCATCATGCAAGACGGTAAGCAAGCTTTCACGTTTTGAGGACCCTCGTTGCCACTTTTACTTCTTCACCTCTCTCTAACCTGTGGTTTTCCCTGTTCCTCCAGGCTTTCGGTCGTTCCCGTCGGGCCACTCGTCTTCGTCCTTCGGTGGTCTCTTTTACCTCTCCCTCTACCTCGCCGCCAAATTACACGTCCTCGACCAAAAGGGCGAAGTGTGGCGGACGGTGATCGTCCTGATCCCCACGTTGGCCGCCTCGTGTGTGGCCATGTCCCGCATCATGGACGCCCGTCACCACCCGTTCGACGTCCTCTTTGGCTCGGCCCTCGGTATCCTGTGCGCCTGGGGTTCGTACCGTCAGTATTTCCCCCCGGTGAGCCACACGTGGGAAAAGGGTCGAGCGTACCCGATGAGGACCTGGGGCACACCCGTCAGACGACCGGTCCTAGGCAAGGTCCTGGTCGACGCCGACACGCTCGAGGTCCTCGACGACAGGGTCCCTCCGGGTAACGACGACTACGGCGACAACGGCGTCGAGACTTCGGCTCACGAACTCAAACCTCAGACCTTGGGATCCCGTTTGGCAACGACGAGCTACCAGTCTGACGGCTACGGACCCTCGGACGTCGAGACGGGTTACACTGCCGGGCCTCGACCCGCCGCGTCGCCACACCCGCTCCCCCTCGGGTCCCCGAGCAGTAGTGCCAACGCTTTCCGCGATCAGATTGCTCAGAACCAGCGCGCGAGGGCGGGATACTACGGAGACCCTAGTCCGGAGCGCGATGTAGGAGGAGGAGTGGCAGGAGGTTCGGACGACGAAGACGACCTCGCGTCGAGGAGATTTTTACAGGGCCCTCCTTTACGGTCATGATATTTCCTTGTTCAAGAGCTACCCCTACCTGGAGCTGGATATTTTTTTCTCTCTCTTCTCGATTGTTTTGCATACGCACGGGATAGCACGCGGTACAATTGCATTCTCTGGTTCTTAAAATTACAGGCAGGCAGGCAGGCAGGCAGGCATGGAGTCTGGGGGATGCATTTCGAACAGGCTAGAAAAAGAGCAATGACTGGAGATCATTTGTCCCATACCGAGGAAGAATATGATGATCGTCTTACAAATCTCTCTCCCCTTCCGCCCTTCAAAGCTGTTGGTCGAAACATTCATTGCGCAGCACATGAAACCCCGAAATGGAGACACGGATCCTACTTGATGACATCCGTGGGTGTTTTGACCATCTGTATCAAAATTGTGCAACTGCTAGTACGCCCTGTATATGATTCGTGATGCCCATGATACGAAAAGTAAAGTAGAAAAAGGAAGCCCGCCACCGCAATCCACCCCCCGTATCTCATACCTTCTCTTTCTCGTACCAAACATGATTTTTTTCCTGAAATGTCATTCGATTTTTTTCCCGGCAAGGGCCAATGCTCACACTACAAGACACGAGCCCGTCCGAAACGTGCCTTATCACAGCCCAAGGAACCGAAAGTGATATTGCAGCAAACTCCAGCATACATCTAGAGCATCCGCATAGAAAGCAAGCAGGACATTGAGAACACAGCAGTCCTCAAGTCAAACACAACTCTCTAACTCCGTGGAACCATTCATCATTCTCTAGTCCGATTGATCGCCATCGGCCATATCCTCATCATCCTCGTCACTGTCGCCAGCTTCAATCCAGACAAGTCTCGCTCCGTTGTTGGCAAGTTGCCAGACCTATCAATCATCAGTAAGAGTCCTCAATTGCCGCACGTAGAGCACGGGAAAGGGGCGGGGCAAAGGATAAGGTTCAGGGCAAAACTCACATCTAGAAGTTCATACTCCTCCACCGTTCTGGTAAGCTGATCTTGCGTGAAGCCCTTGGCGAGAATCAACTCCGTCACACGTCTCATGTTCAGTTCTCCTCTGGCACCCTTGCCGACACTTGCGGCGCCGGACTCTCTCATGCCACGGATGAGATCGTAGATTCGCGAGCTAACCGTCTGATCACCCTGGGCTCGCTGGTCATGGTACAAGCTTGCCTTGGAGATTTCGATCAGTCGCAACGCCTCGTCAACATCTTCATTGACCACTTCCTCGCTGAAACGCAGTCGAGCCAGGGCTTGCGACAAACGCAGCACACCCAGCAACGTACGTGGCGAGGTGTGAGTGAATTGCTTCTTCGAGCCTTCTTCACGCTTTTGTTGCTGACGCATACGTACGTACGCACCCACCATGTAGTCGGAAACGGACTTGGGAACGTTGGGTCGGAATGTGCGTGCCTGGGCGATGTACTGCCGCACTTCGTGGGGTGCGAAAACGACACCTTCACCCTCACGCTCGGGATGTGCGTTGTGCATATGCACATGGCAGACGTGATTGGCGAGCTCTTCGTCCGCCTCACGAGAGGGTGTGTCAAGAATCAAGAAGAGCACATCAAATCGAGAAAGAAGCGCCGCTGGCAAATTGATGTTGTCCACGGGAGAAATACGAGGGTTGTAGCGACCATACAGCGGGTTAGCGGCTGCGAGAATAGATGTTCGCGCGTTCAAGGTCGTGGTGATTCCTGCTTTGCTGATTGAGATTGTCTGCTGCTCCATGACTTCATGAATGGCAGTTCGATCACCGTCGTCCATCTTATCAAATTCATCGATACAGCAGATACCATTGTCTGCAAGGACGAGAGCTCCACCTTCCAGCACCATTTCGTCGGTGACTGGATCTCGCATGACAGCTGCGGTAAGACCAACACCACTGGATCCACGACCAGTCGTGTAAACACCTCGAGGAGCAACTTTGGTGATATATTTCAAAAGTTGTGATTTGGCCACACCAGGGTCGCCCATCAGACATATATTGATGTCGCCACGAATTCGCATACCGTCGCCCATTGTCTTGGTCACACCACCAATCAAGAGCAAGAGGAGAGCCTTCTTAACATCCAGGTGGCCGTAGATTTCGGGAGCAATCGATCGAGCTAGGTACTCGTACATGTGGCCGGTGGCCTTGAACGACTCGATCCGTCGAATGATACGTGGATCCATCTTTAGGTCCTGGTACGCCTTCTTGTGTTGCGTAATATTTTGCGCCTCGAGGTATGTGTCGGTGAGAAGACCAGCTCTGATCGCTCTAAAGCCTGTGTACGGCGTGGGCAAGAATATACCATCAATATCTACAACATCGCCAGGATTTAGCTGTCGAGCTAGACTGCCGTTGCAATGCACAGTCAATGTCCGCGGAATATGGCCGACTGGGACCTGATCTGCCATTTCCTGGATTTTGACTTCCTGGAACGGCAGGAACTTTGAGGCTCTCGTGGACGGGAATAACTGGCCCTTGGTATCATTGGCTTTGCATTCGTCGGATGGGCACAGTTGTAGAGGCGTGAAATTTTTGGAGGTGATGGGTTGGAAGATTTCACAGCCACATCGGTCGCAGGTGTATGCCTGTATTCGTATGCTAGGCTTGACATCTGACACTCTTGTGGTAATACCGCGCACTGTGATGAGGTGTCCCAAATGCTCTCCTCGGACCTGTCGAACAGCAAGAGTCTTCTTGGCTCTGTCTGAAACTGACGATGTCAATGGCTTGAAGTTCAGAGTATATCTTCTGGTGAGTTCCGGGGGGAATGTCGAGACCGGAAGGGCTGCATCGGTGTCTGCTTCATTGGCAGCTGCAACTGTCTCGTTTCGCTTTGCTCGCTGCGCCATTATGATATCAAGGACGTCGTCTTTGAATCTGTGAAAGGATTAGTCTCGGCTGGCTGGCGTTGCGCTCTTTTCACTCACGAGATATCCTTGCTGGCCTTTGGAATGACCTTGTCTACCGCTTCGGAGAACAAGTCGACGTAGTGTTTCGTGTTGTTAGTCACTGACTCTACGAGCCTCAAGCTAAGGTCGCCCGGGAGCGAGTCTTCGAACTGCAGCAAGGGTCAATGTAAGCTAGTGTGAAAAGACTGTCGTGCGCACCTCTTGTAGGTCATCTAGATCTACCAGGATATTCTGTCGCTCGCGGTCTGCCACCTCCTGAAGCATTTCCATGTATTTTCTCTTTGGCCGCCTTCTCGTGTTGGCATTGTCGGTAACGTCGTCCATAAAGTCATATTCATCGCTGGTGTGGTCGCCATCGAGGTGCAGGCTATCGATGGCCTCAGCGGCTGCGTCTGAAGATGTTTTTGAGGTCTCGAACTTCTTCAAGAAGGATTCAAAGGCATCTAGCTGTTTCGCATAGTCAGCGAGCGCTTTGTGTTGTAGGAGCGCCATGTTGCTCGTGATGTGAGGGAGGAGAGGATTGTCGCAGCTGGAGTGCTGGAAGATGGGCGTTGACTAGTATGCTATCTCAACCAGGGGGCTAGCTGGAGAATGCGCATTGACTCTTCCAGCGCGTCGCGTAGTAATTTTCGACGCGTCTTAAGTGCTACTGTTCGGGTCCAACGATCTGCAGTAGTCTATACGGTGAGTTAGGCTGCTTGGGCAGTGCAGCTTTTGGCCCTCGATTGTGCCGAGGTCCCAAAAATCGGCGGGCACACGGCAAGCTGGTCAATGTCCTCGACATCAACCTCCCATGCCAATCAATGTGCTGCTATCATCAGGATGAAAAGGTGACACGTCTGTTCAAAACACAAGTCTTTGATCTTGCCTCGAATCTTTCTATCTTGGTCGCACGCGGATATACGAGGAGCGACGAATCCATGGTTCACTCATAAGCTATCCTATTCCCTGCTGTTGTCAACCATCAGGACATCATGGCGCCAGCTGTTCGAGCAGAAGTCGTCCTCGTATCTTTGAAGAACTGCCTAATCAACTTGCCGCCAGGTCTAATTGCTTTGATCAGCAATACGAATACTGTAAGAATCTTCCCAGCACAACGGATTCTGTGCTTACTCCCTTCCAGCCGGCACAAAATGTGGTGGTCGAACTACAATATCGGTCGCAGACTCTGTCCACAGGGGCGATATCTAGCAACAACAGTACAGGCTTCCAGCGATCTGCCTATGTTGGGTGGACAGGAATGCCTAGTCGAACACGACCAGCCTCAGTCATCAACACTGATCGAGCACGTCCTGGCCGAGAACAAGAAACCCAAACAGTCGAAATAGATGCTACCTTTGCTAAAGTCTTGGGACTTTCTGAGGCACAGAAAATTGGGATACTGATTCATCTAGACCCTCCGATTGCTCACAGTGTCAATATTGAACCTGTTACGCCTGCTGATTGGGAGGTCATCGAGTTACATGCCACTTTCTTGGAATTGAATCTGCTATCTCAGATTCGAGCGTTGCCCAACCCCTCCTTCAGTATCAAAGGCGCTGTGCAAGGCGAACACACCCATCCACTAACTTTACACTTGTCGCCAACATCGACTGCAAACATCATTGTCACATCACTGTCGCCGCCAATTCCCAGTACCTCGCCATTTGCAAAGATCGCGCCCGACGCCGAAGTCATTGTTGCACCAAAGGTTCGAGCTAAATCCAGTCGAAACACAAGAGGCGATTCAAGAAGCGTTGCGAGCAGAAGAAGTGGCAGGAGTGGTGTCAGCACTGCTCGCACCACGGGTTCTAAGAGGACGCTTGCCAAGCCTACACTATTCTTGCGTGCAATCGATCGAGGTTGTGCGGACATTTATTTTGACGACGTTGCAAACAAAATTCCCAACGACAAGCTTTGTGTCTGGATCAGTCAGAATGTACTCAATTCAGGGGCTCTCAAGGCGGCGACCTGGGCGAACGTTACAATCGTTAAACCTGCCGGCTTACGTGCACAGCTAGACTCGACACAGGTCAATAAATTAAAGGAGGAAGAAAGCAGCGAAGTCGGACGACCAGCGGCTAAAATCGTGGCCCAGGTTCTGCCGTGGACGACTCCTGTCGACGATCAACATGTGATATTGTCCGGACCACTCTGCAAAATGCTCGGCGCAGATGGTCTAGTCGGTGTAATAGTCCGTATCGAAGCTGCTGGACTACCCCTTCCTCGCTATTCCATCTCAAAATTTCAATTTTACCCCTTTACAACGTCAGCTTCCAAGAAGAAAGACGGGCTCAAATTCGGTGGGGATACTCGAACGGCAAAGCAAGCTGTGGCGGAGAAGCTTCGATTGACATTCAGTGGTGGCGACGGTCTGCTGACTGGTCCTATCACAGACGGCATGCTCCTTCCGACTGCTGGGGATCCGTCATCCGCCCTTCATTTCGATGGTGGCATCCTGAGGTTTCGTGTACCGTCAAATCTTGCAGAGGATCACGGCCCAGACTGCTTATGGGTGCTTGGTCAAGAACAGGACTTGGAGTTTGATGTCAAGGATGAAATTCCGCGGCCAATGGAGCTGACCACCATGTTTCCAAGTTTCGCGCACGGGATTCCGGCTGAAATACCGAATCTGGTTGGTGCCGACGACATCATAAAACAGTGTATGTCCAACCTGACGCTGTGCTCATCGGTACTTTTGACGGGTGGAGTCGGCTCTGGCAAGACCTCTCTCGCTCAGTATATCGGCCAGAGACTGCGTGAAGATTATGTTTTCAACGTGACATACTTTGCTTGCCAAAAACTTGTCACGGACGAAACCAGGGTGTCCACCATCAAGGAGACCTTGACTAGGCTGTTCATGTCTGCTTCATGGTGCGCCCGACTGGGCGGGCAGTCTGTGGTCATTCTCGACGACTTGGATAAGATCTGCCCGGTTGAGACAGAGCTGCAGGTTGGCAACGACAACGGTCGAAGTCGTCAAATTACAGAGATTCTTTGCGCCGTCGTTCGTCAGTACTGCAGCATCCATTCTGGTGTCACTTTGCTCACGACCGCTCAATCCAAGGAGGCGCTCCACAACATTATCATCAGCGGCCATATCGTAGGTGATATCATCTCCATCAAAGCTCCCACGAAGGAGATTCGCCGCGATATTCTACACTCTCTGATCGGGGATGCACAACCCCCAAAGACTGGTCATGGCCGAAATCAGAGCGACACCAGCATGTCCGAAAGCTCATGGATGGACCCATCAGTGCCTTCATCTCGACCCGGCTCATCTTCGTCATCATCCCGACCCGATGGATTCCATGTCTCGCCCAGCCTCGATCTCCTGGATATTGCTGGCAAGACTGACGGCTACATGCCCGCGGATCTGGACCTCCTAGTAGCCCGAGCACGCAACGAAACGCTTACACGCATTATAACGCAGAATGACAACTCTGACGGCCCGCCAATATTGACGAAAGAAGACTTCGACGCCGCCTTGCGAAACTTTACTCCATCATCCCTGCGAAACGTCACCCTCACGCACTCAAGTACGACCTTCTCCTCAATCGGCGGTCTGCACGCAACCCGCAGCACCCTCCTCGAGACACTTCTCTACCCGACGAAATACGCTCCTATATTCGCCAACTCGCCCCTTCGTCTGCGATCCGGCCTGCTTCTCTACGGCTACCCGGGTTGCGGCAAGACGCTCCTCGCTTCCGCAGTGGCCGGGGAATGCAATCTAAATTTTATATCCGTCAAGGGTCCCGAGATCCTGAACAAGTACATCGGCGCCTCTGAAAAGTCCGTCCGCGACTTGTTCGAGCGCGCCCAAGCCGCCAAACCATGCGTTCTCTTCTTCGACGAGTTCGACAGTATCGCTCCCAAGCGAGGCCACGACAGCACCGGCGTGACGGACCGTGTCGTGAATCAGATGCTGACCCAGATGGACGGTGCCGAGGGCCTTGACGGCGTCTACGTCCTCGCCGCCACGTCCCGACCGGATCTGATCGATCCCGCGCTCCTGCGTCCAGGTCGTCTGGACAAGTCTCTTCTGTGCGACATGCCCGACATGAACGACCGTCTCGACATCCTCAAGGCCGTGAGCACCAAGCTGAACCTCACGCCGGAGGTGGAGAACCGGCTGCTCGGGGTCGCACAGCGGACCGAAGGGTTCAGCGGCGCCGACCTGCAGGCGCTCATGTACAATGCCCACCTGGAGGCCATCCACGACTTGCTGGGCGACACGAAGAACGCCGCCGACAAGGACAAGGACAACAAGGGCAAAGGTTTGGCCAACGGCGTCAACAACAAGGAAGGCAGCGGACGCCGCCGCGGCAGACGCCAAGGCGCCGACAAGCACGACTTCATCCAGTTCCTGTTCGACCCCGAGGAGGACGCGCGTGCGAAAAAGGCCCTCACGTCTTCGGCCATGGACTCCAAGGCGACCATCACCGCGAAACTGGACGAGCTCAAGCTGGCGAGGAGGCGAGAAAAGGCCGCTTTGAGGAACAGCTACGCGAGAAGCGCGTCGGGGTCCGCGCACCACCACGACAACAACGCAGCAGACAACGGTGCAGGTGAGGGCAAGGACGAGGAAAACGGCAAGGAAGAAGTCGTGATCGAGTGGAAGCACATGGAAAGGTCGCTGAGTACGACGCGAAGCTCCATCTCACCCGACGAACAAAGGCGGCTGGCTGCGATTTATCGCGAATTCGTCGTGGGTAGGAATGGGGAGATGCCGAATGGCCAGGGTGGAAACGAGATTGGTGGACGGACAAGTTTGATGTAGTGTTGTACATCGCCTGTATGCATATAAATGAGATCGACTGAAGCCCATGAACTTGCCACAGCCTGCGTCCATCTCGAGTCGACTGGAATAGTATAGTATATTCTTGAATATGAACAAAAAACAAATGCACACTAAGCGCCTGACTGCGAGAATGCGAGTCTCTAGTGGAGGATTGAAGAGCAATTGGGTATGAACATTGTTTGATAGAGTTAAGATTCGTTGAGCTCTACTCATCCCTGAGTGGTCTGTCCGTGCCTCCCTTGAACTGAAACTGAATAGCAGAATCCTGTACAGGATCAATCATCAATCTGTACTTGCCTATCGGATTAAAGTGTGAAAAAGGGCAGTCGAAAAAGTCAAATCGTAACAATAGAAAGAATGCAAGCCGTAAGTATCGTCATTTCGAGGTAGCGCGACTGATGGTAAAGACTCCAACGATGACAACTGCAAGAGTCACGATCGCTCCAGGTAATAGCAAGTCGTTAGGCACACCAGCAATATACTGCGGTTCCTCTGACTGATACATTGACGCAGCCGGTGCTCGTTTCGATCGTATCGTCCTGGCTGGGACGCCATCTTCTTCGTCACTGTCTGCATTATCCATTATCGCAGCCTCCTTCATGACGGACTCTGGTGGCGTCGGAGGCTTTGATAGTTGTGGTCGAGGATCTACGGTTGTGACAATCGGTGGTTGCGCAGGATCGTGGACGAACAGATCAACTTTGTCTCTCTTACTTTGTCGAGCAAGAAGAATTGCGTCGAGAAGATCCTGGTCGGTTGTGATTGACACAGTGTCGCCTTCATTGTCCATATAACTCAAAGCATAACCAGATTTCCCCAATTTGCCATCCTCAACTGTTGCTTCGCCTCCGACAGCTTCGAGTTCAGCGCCAAGTTTTGCGGTGACAGAGCTAACAAGTTCTTCAATCCCGTTCTTTGCCACAACCTGGACGCGATGAACTCGGCCGCTTGGGGCTTTGAACTTGAAAGGGAAAGGCGTTTCTTCAGGTGCTTCAACAGAGGGAATAATTTCTGAAAGCATATCTCCTCCGTGGTGGGAAGCGGAATCGTGAGGCATAACACTATCACCTCTCTCGTACGGTGGGCGAGGATGTTCAGAGTCAAGGACCGAGCGATGGCCAGGGGTTGTCGGGCGATGACTGCCCTCTCCAGACATGACAGACTCTGTGTCATTGTCCATGGACAGCCAAAACTTATTCCAAGCAGGTCCTTCGGATTCTCCTGTGTTCATAGTGTTGATTTGTTCAAGCGTGGCGTATGTTAATTTCAAGACATCAACCATGCCGACAATCTCGCCAGTCTCGTTCATGACTGGCAGATTCAAATAGTGACCATCTACCGTGCTTAGCATTCATCATATGACAGGGTCTTTGAGACTTACCATGCATCTTTCTCAAAGCTGCTTGTATGCTCATATCCGAAGGTGCAAAATCGGGATGGGGGGTCATAACTCTGACCACACTGCAGTTGGCTGGATCCAAGCCGGGCGCAATGACTCGCAGCACTACATCCTTGCTGGTAAAAATACCGGTGATTGAGCCTTGATCCTGCACCAGGACGGCAGTTGTATGGTTCTCCTTCATTAATTGGGCAGCCTCTTTGACCGATGTTCTGACCGAAACAGTAGTTGGCGGGAGACCGTTCAACACCGATTCTAGTGTAGGTCCAGACATTTTCATGCGAAGGGCTTCCACATATTGGATGATCTGTTGAGGCTGACTTGAGCCGAGCTCGGACTGAACACCCTCCAAGGCATCATACAACTTCCGTGAGGAACTGTAAGCCCGCTCCAGCTTTTCCATGGCCTCATAGAAGCATTTGGTAATATCCAGAATACCCGAAATGTCTTGATTCTCATCCATGACAGGCAGGTGTCGGAATCCCTTCCTCACCATCAGATCCAAAGCATCCGTCGCGCTCGTGTCGGTCCTTGCACACAAAGGGTTCTTGGTCATGATCTGTTCAATGGTGATCTGACTGGCCTTGACGCCAGCCCCGACAACACGAAAGGCAAGATCTTTTGCCGTGAAGATACCGGCGATCCTCTCATCGTCATCCGTCACAAGCACACAATCCTCTCTCTTAGCAGCCATGAGCTGAGCAGCTTCCGCAACGGTCGTGCTAGGCTTGATCTGTAGGGCCTGACTCGGCTTCAGGGCAAGCACGGTCCCGGGAGGAGCTTTGCGAGTGTTTCGAGCGCGAGCAGGGACCTGCCTCTTCTTGCTGAGGTCTGCCTCCATTTTGCGTCGGATGGCCTGATAGAGAGTTGCGTTAGGCTGGTTACTCATCGAAGTGCGGCTGATGGAATCTCTCCAAAACCTACCTCATCTCTCTTGCTCTGCTTCTGCCGACTGGCAGACAGTGTCGAAGTGCCCGACATCTCGCTCGGGGCCGCAGCAGGAGTGGAATCCAACTTTGGTCGGGGGATATTGGAAGGACTGTCCGTGAAAGGGAGTTGGCCGCGCCTGTTTGGCGTTCCTCGAAATGTGCCGTTGACCCCAGACATGTCTTGAGGAGGGGTTGAAGGACTGCAGATGACCAGAATGGTCTGTGTGAAGGGAGTAAACCGCAAAGAGGCAGTTTGTTTGGGAGGTGATTGGATTGAAAGTCCAGGTCCCGATGAAGATTGGGCAACGGGTGGCCATCCGGTTGCCAGGGCTTGAGGTAGGAGTGATTCGCGCCGCGGGAGAATAAAATAAAGCTAACGTCTGACGAGGATGCTCTACAGTGGTAATATTGCACCTTTCCCAAGCGATAGTCCGTTGTAGTAATGGATGTACGTCGACAACAGGTCTTATCTGGATATTATCGGGATAGAGCTAGGCTAGTCAACAGAAGAGACTTGTATTGTTACCTGATGCTCTTGGTAGCCAATCTATAGGGCTATCAAGACTTGCATCGGAACATCACAAGCCCTCTTGTCAGACAAGGCCAATTTCCCGGCCATAATCAGGAGGGTAAATACAGCGCACTGGCCTCTACACGCCGCCGCAGAACTCTCGCGGCTCGCCAAGCACAATGTCCCACTTTATTATTCAGCATCTCATTCGGCGCACTTGCCATTTTTGAATATTCCGCACACAACGAATTTGTGAACTTTCGAGGTTGAAAGAGGCGACGACGTACTCCATTCATCAAGCCAACTATTCGACAACCACCGCCAACGGAAGATTACAGAAATCTGTGTCGCATACCACAGATTTCACCAGTCTCCCAACAACCGCAGTCATGGTCAAGAAGCGAGCGTCCAAGTAAGTCCAGATGCGCGACGGCTCTACACGTTCAGCTTATTGTAGAGGCCCGCCGAATCTCTCTCTCTTCATGTGCTGACTTCTTCATAACAGCGGACGTAACAAGAGTGGTCGGGTTAGTCAAATTTCTCAAGCAAGGGACAAATGTTATTCTCGAAGATGGTTTTAACAGTTTCGATTACAGGGCCACGTCAAGCCGATCCGATGCTCCAACTGCTCCCGATGCACTCCCAAGGACAAGGCCATCAAGAGATTCACCATTCGCAACATGGTCGAGTCCGCTGCCATCCGTACGTCAGAGCGAGCATCTCCATGAAACCTTCCCTCCTATCCTAAGAAAGATCCTGCGCCGCAACCGGGACTTCTACAGAACACATATCTGACAAACTTGCTATTTTACAGGTGATATCTCCGATGCCTCAGTCTTCACCGACTACGCCGTCCCAAAGATGTATTTGAAGCTGCAATATTGCGTCTCCTGCGCCATCCACGGAAAGATCGTGCGTGTGCGATCGAGAGAAGGTCGACGAAACCGTGCTCCCCCTCCAAGAATCCGATACAACAAGGATGGTAAGAAGGTCAACCCACAACAAGCCGCAAAGACTCCTCAGGCATAAGACCCTTCCGAACACGAATGGATGACGAAGTTTGTGGGTTGTCCGGTGGGGAGGTCACAGCTGGGAGTTTCGCATGCTAAGCTGAACTGGGATTATCGTGGAGATTTTTCAACCATGGAAAAGCCGAAAGGGCATGGCGAGCGCGACCGGCTCACTTCTATGCCGGCAAAAGAGATATTGTCAAGATGATCAAAATCATTGAGACGGTACACAATCCAAAATAGCTAGAAAGAGTCAAAGCCAAGTTCATTTGACAACCAAGCACTGAAGAGTGTTTCGATGTTCCACCATCTCTCGAACCGCTCTTAGCCTCGACCTCTCCTTTCAGGTTTTGAACACTAGCTCCCGGTTCTGATCATTGCCAGTTTTGCAAATTCCTCTGCTTGATCCTGCTGTGTAACAACTAGGTGAAGCTGGTGGAAATTTGATACTGAAACCCATCTCGTTGCACTCGTGGAGCTTGCTCCATCCTATCTCCAAATCTTATCATGATAATGCCCAGGGAATTGGGACAAAATCTAGAACACGATCACATCATTCCAGGGACGATCCTCGCACATTCCGGCATTGCAGAGCGATTTTGATAGAACTGATCTCCAAATCCAGTAGGTGGGAAAATACTGCTTGAGAGGAGGATCATATCCCTCGGTCAAATTTTCGCAAGGATCTCAACATAAGAGTCTATCAGAGAATCCTTAGACAGACAAATATCCTCTGTCTCCCAGGTTATAGACGTCTTCAGGCGTTTCCAATATAAGTGCGAGTTGTCCATCAATAAGAGGGCCATCTATTCTGCGAGAGGGAGACCAGAGTTCATAAACCTCTGGTACTCGAATGGCGGCGATGAATCTTCTCGTCGCGATGCCTCACTGCAGGACGGCCTTCTCAGGATCTCGGCAATGACCACCTTGATAGCGGAAGAAGCAGCTTACCCCTAATATAGGCGGCCTCCGCGTGCATGAGAACTACCCTGACTCGCTGCTCTCGCGGCGGAAGCAGTAGGACCTCTCAAGTATCTCGAGTCATCCCATACCGTGTATGTCATGTCCATCAGATTCAAATGACTCGGTGGCATCGGGAAAAACGGTTGCTCTTCTGCTCTGGGGTAATACTATCTCCTCTTCGCGGCAGGCAAGAGTGTGTCGTCTGGTAAGCCTCCTCTCTTCGTTCCAGGCAGACTCGACGTGTTTATGTCGTTCGATTCTGTGCTCACCCGTCGATGGGGGTATACTTCATTAAGTCCTTCAAAACAGTTATTGCTGACCCAAATCTTGCCTTTGTTTGGTCCCTCATCGGTGTTTCTGAAATACTCGTGGTGTAGAGCCTGCTCCGCAGTTAAGCGCTTGTCTGGGTCATACTCGAAAAGCTCGGATAGGAGCTGAAACCCTTTCTGGCCCGGAGACTTGTCTGAAGGATAACTAGCGTGCCGCAAGCAATTTGTATACCAATTTTCCAGACCGCTGCCGTTGTTCCCTTGGCGATTCAGGCTGCCTGAAGTTGATTGATACAAGCTGCCTTGCATTCCTCCTCTGGAAACAACAAGCGACTGCAACTGTGGATATTCCGGCATGTCGGCAAGTCCTTTCCAGTGCTCACGGCGAGGCATCCCCAGGATTTCAACAATCTTGCCCATCTGGTTCCTCTGAAACGGGACAGTCTTTTTGCTATCCATCTTGGTTTCTTCGCCTTTGAAAATTGGCCTCAAGCTCAGGAGTTCTGCAAAGATGCAGCCAACAGCCCACATGTCAATCGCTGGGGTGTAATGTCGTGCTCCTAAGAGCAGGTCGGGGCTCCGATACCATATAGTCACAACCACCTTATCTCCTGAGTAAAGTGATGACAGTGGCTTGTGGAACAGGCGAGCTAGCCCCAGATCACCAATCCTGACATGACCCGAGCTGGTTACCATGATATTTGCAGGTTTCAAGTCACGGTGAATGACCCAATTTTGATGAAGATAGTAGAGGCCGTTGAGCAACTGAAACAATATGGATTTGATCATGGTCGCGGGAATCGGCCGTCGGGTTGGCTGAGTGTGGTGATGAATTATTTGCAGCAAGTCATGTTCGCAATATTCGAAAACCATATAAACACATTTGTCTTCCAGAATTATCTCAGCCAGATGTATCAGGTTCGGGTGCGACAATTCGGTGCATAATGACATTTCACGAATTGCTGATTGTGACAACCCCGTATACTGAACATTGTCGCCTTCTTTCTCTGGTTTAAATCTACCAAGTATTAGCGATGGACGAATCTGACGTTCTTGATTGACTTACTTCTTGATGGCGAACAGCTCCTTGGGGGGGGCTGCTCCATCAGGACTCGAAGTACCGCTCCTGGGATTTCTCTCCATAGCCTTGTAAACGCGTCCATATGTGCCAGAACTAATGAATCCAATTATGCTGTATTTTTGGCTGACCTTGACTTTGGAAGTATAGTTGTTACCTGACTGCTTCTTGTCTAGGCCTCGAGAGCCCTCTGATACATCCCGTTAGCGAAATTCCCAGCTATGACGCAAAGCTCAGAGCGGTCCGGATATGTTTGGTTGAGGCAGGGCAGGAACAAATCAATCATTGAATCCCTGTTTGCAACTGAAAACCTACCATCAATTCCAATTTGTGTCGATTTTCGTAATTGCTGCGCGATACTTAGACCTGAACCAGGTCTAGACATGTGGAACATGGCTTCGCAAACAGGCTGCCACAGGCGTTTTGCCAGTTACTAATATCCACGCTTTGCAACAACACCACCTAGGTCGGATCAATAGTCCAGACCAACGATCTTCCCGAGCCAATTCCAGCTTGTTCGTTAGGTACGATGACCTATAATGCTATGCGATCTGCATCGGTAAGATGAGCCTGAAATCCACGCGATGAGACTGGCCTAAGAGTGGTGGCGAAGGCAGATCGCAGAGATCGTTGATGGTGGTAAGATAGGTCGATGAATCGTGAGATATGAGCACAAATCCTCGTCGATGAAGGTACGAGTCTGTGAACGAATACAGGGATCGATGCCCTGTGTCTGTACGAATATGTAGTCGACGTTGTACGATGAATGATGTGAAGTGAGGCAACGACGAATTACAGAGTGTCAATGAGGCTCTCGGCTCGGCTACGCAATCTCTCCAAGGCTGCGCTTTCCTTATTTTGGACTCCTTTCCTCGTCCACCACATCGGAGGCCGCCGCTTCCTCCTACACCAGCCAGCGACATTACAGATAATCGTGTTGCCTGTTCACTCTTCATCTGCACCATGACGCATTGACTACACTACAGCATTACCCAGTACTTATCGTGTCCCGTCCATAAGCCGCATCTTTCACTTCATATAAGGTATGTTGGCGTCCTGAGGCTGCTACTCCTGTTCTTCCCTCAACTCCAGCCTCTCTGTAGCCACCATGGATCGAGTTTTGCTAAACAGAACCAGCAGTGGTTACAAGTCCCTCAGGCAAGCTCCAGCAAAGGACTACGGTCTCCAAGGCGCCGACAGCCATATGGCTCCCTCGAGGCGCATAACTCTCTTCCTCATATACCTCGTCTTCGTCGTCACTCTTGGCCCTTTTCAGTTCGGCTTCCATCTGGTGAGTTCTTCGATGGACTAAGATCCCGAGCATGACGATTGACTTATATCAGGGAGAACTCAACGCACCTCAGGGGGTCATTACTTGCAAGTCTGACAAGCTACCTACCTATGGCACTTATGGCCTATCTCGATGCATACCAATGACTGCTGGACAATGGGACTTGGTTCAGTCTATTTTCACCATTGGCGGACTGTTCGGTGCTTGCTTCAGCGGTTTCGTTGCAACCAAATTTGGCCGCCTGTTCGCTCTAAAATGGCTTACCTTCTTTCTCGGCATGGGGCCAATTGCAGAAGCACTCGCAAACAAGATGTGGGTTTTGGCCATGGGTCGAGCATTGTCAGGGCTCGGTGCTGGTGCAGCCACAGTTGTCTGTCCGATTTACATCTCAGAAGTCGCCCCTCCAGACAGACGTGGGCTCTTTGGAGCCTTCACCCAGGTTCAGATCAACTCCGGTATCCTGCTTGCACAACTCCTCGGATACTTTCTCTCAAAGAACACTAAATGGCGTTGGATCCTTGCAACTGCTGGGTTCATTGCCGCCGCCACCTTTATTGGCCTGATGCTAGCACCCGAAACTCCAAAGTGGCTTGCAGCGAACCATCGGCCTCGCATGGCAAGAGGCATCCTGCAACGCATCAGAGGCAAGAACGTCGAGATTCGGGAAGAGATGGAGCAATGGGAGATATCCGGAGAAGCTGAAGAAGAAAGTCTTCTTGGACCACCTCGTGGGCCTCGACTGCCAAAGAAAGAAGGGAAATCCATCCTTCATGTTCTTCGAGTATCCACATATCGCCGGGCAGTGATTGCTGTGACAGGGACCATGATAGCTCAACAACTCTGCGGAATCAATGCTGTGGTGATGTACAGTGTTGCAATCCTTGGACAGATCATGCCGACCCGTGCAGCCTTGATCACAGTCATTGTATCGGCGATAAACGTCTTGGTCTGCTTGCTGTCCTCGCCCTTACCAGACAAGATTGGTCGCAAGACATGTCTCCTGATGTCTATCTTGGGCATGGGCTCTGCTTCAATCATGCTAGCCATTGGGCTAGAGCAAGAGATTCTATATCTCACCATCATTGGCACTGGCATCTTTGTATGCAGTTTCGGCATCGGCTTGGGTCCAGTTCCGTTCCTCCTGCCTAGTGAGTTGGTCGGGCCTGAAGCGGTTGGTGCAGTGTCTAGTGTGGCACTTGCAGCCAACTGGGTCTCTACGTTCATGGTTGCACAGTTCTTTCCGATGTTGAATGCAGCCATGCCTGAAGGGAGAGTGTGGTGGGTGTTTGTAGGAACCGCCGGTTTCTTTGGCATGTTCGTTACAATCTTTGTCCCTGAAAGCAAGGGAAAGGCGAATCCAGATGAGGTCTGGGGTAAGAGACATCCCTGAGTGAATATTGGCCAATCATCAATATCTCGGGAGATTACACGCCTGATTGCTGCTTTGAAGAATCAGGTATGGAGTATGGATCAGACACGTTATCCTAGGTCAGGGGTTAGCAAATCGGAAAGACTGAAGTAGGAAGCTGTATCATTAGCGTATTGTTAGCGACATGGAACGAGATCGCGGATGCATGCAGTCGAGTCATTGTACTGCACATCACCCTTCGTCAGTGGGTTTTGCTGCGAGTAGTTGTAGTTCAGGGTGTTGACATCCGGATATCGCTCGTATTGTACTCGTACTCATGAAAGGCCCATTCGTCGCCAAGATTGACCTGGTCGGCCAAAGGATGATCCGCATTCCGTACGCGAGCATTATGATACGGAGTAAAGCTCTCCACATTCCTTCATTTCCACCATTTTATGTTCCCCACGGGTCAAATCCTGAATACCGTAACATCATCGCTCAGCGAACTTCTACTTCAGGCCCTCTTAGTGCGCTTTCTTTCGATTGACCCACTGATCTGTCGGTAGACCTCGGATTGCGACCACAAAATCATGCTGAAAAGGGCCATCTCGGCCTTCCAGCCCGGATTCTGTCCGCTCACGATGCCAACATCGGTCGTGTCTCTATTGGGCCGATACCTGTCACCATAACAATATTTGCTGTGACCAAGTCGTGACTTATATCATCCGTGCCGCAAAAGGGAGACGACAATACCCTTGTCTCACTTCGGTTCTCGCCTCTCGACGAATGCATGCAAGAGGCTACAAAGATCCATACACCAGTCTTCGCTGAATCGCAATCACCTCCACCTCGTACTGATGCCGAGGCAGCAGTTCCTTTTACCTGCCAAAATGAGCAGGAATATTGTTGTGCATGACTATATGTGGAGTAATTTGTCAATTTCGTCGATTTTGACTTCACCGTTTTGATGAAAGCGTCTGTGTTGAGGGTGAGTGAAAGAGCATCGCACAGATTTCGGTTGCTGTCCTATATAATGGTGGCCATTCCTGAAGCCAAACAAGTGGTCGGTCCGCCGTTCTCAGACTTTTTGGCTTGATACGTGGATGGAATAGGTTGCCACTATGGGGTCCTTCCGATTGTCCTCAGTCTTTGGCTTTACCTTGGTCTCTGCTATTCTCACGTCTGCTCAGAACTTCACCGCCACCAAGACACTGCCGAAGGTCGACCTGGGTTATGAGATCCACCAGGCCATTAGTTTCAACGTACTTCCAACACGATCCTATACTAGAGACATTGCTTGCTGACTGCATATCTAGGAAACGGGCCAATTATATAACTTCACAAACATAAGATATGCTCAACCTCCGGTTGGCTCGCTTCGGTTTGCAGCACCGTTGCCTCCTACTGGAAGAAACCCGGTTGTCCAGGATGGCAGTGTCGGGCGAGTTTGCCCTTCTGCCATTCCAAATTGGTCGCCTATCGCCAATGTTCTTGAGGCAGACATCATAGGAGGAAATCTGTCAACCTTCGACTATGATGCTCTCAACGAGCAAGTGCAGGAATATTGGTCGCAACATCCTCCTCCAGCTCAGACTGATGGGCGGGCGACTGAAGACTGCCTTTTCCTGGATGTCATTGTTCCAAAAGCAGTATTCGATAGGGGTCAAGGTCATCCAAGAAGACGTTGGCAAACTGGAGGCGGTGCTCCAGTAGTCATATGGTATGTTGCAACCTCTACTTGATTCTAAACATGGCTGATAAGAGCAGGGTATACGGCGGAGGCTATACCCTCGGCTCGAAAGGGCAATGGGGTAATCCTTCTGGCTTGATCAAAGCCAGTCAGCAAGGTGGTCAGCCAGGTATCATATATGTCACGTTCAATTACCGCCTTGGGGCTCTAGGCTGGCTTGCTGTAAGTCATTGTCGGCTTCAAGAATCATAGCCTTGAAGCACGAGCTTTTGTCTGTATCCCGTTCCTAACTGTACCCAGGGTCCAACCTTTCAAGCTTCTGGAGGAGTATCCAACGCTGGTCTATACGATCAACGACTCGCGATCGAATGGGTCAAACAAAACATTCATCTTTTTGGCGGCGATCCCAACAAAATCACCCTCCTCGGCGAGTCTGCGGGTGGTGGCTCGATAGTCCATCAAATTACAGCATATGGTGGACAACAGGGTGTTTCTTTCCAAAAAGCGGTAGCCCAATCTCCGGGATACGACCCAGTCCGATCGTCGTTCTACATGGAAAACATAACCAACAACTACTTATCTATACTAGGTGTCAACACCCTCGAAGAAGCTCGTCAGAAGTCATCGGATGAAGTAATCTTGGCTAATACCATTCAAATTGGCGGTTCCTATTATGGTACTTTCACCTATGGACCCATGGTTGACGGGATCTTCGTTCCCGATGTACCGGGTGTCTTGCTGAGTACCGGCCGGTTCGCCAAGGACGTTTCCGTCATGGTCGGTCACAACAGTTTCGAATCGGCAGGATTTACACCGCCCTGGCTGACCACCGAGGAAGACTTCCAGGTCTGGCTACAAACTATGTTTCCTGGTATAACTCAAGAGGCTGTGGACCATATACTGAACGACCTCTATCCTGCCGCTTATGATGGAAGTCAGTCATACACTTCTCCCTTGGGGCGTATCTTCCTCATGGTCAACGAAGTCATTTTTGTGTGCAATACTTTCTACGTCAACAACGGCTTCCAGAACCAAACCTATGCTTACGAATTCGAGATCCCACCAGCTTTCCATGGACAGGACATTGCATATACCTATTACAACGGTGGAGGCTCGACCGCCAGCGTCATTGCCCCTATCGCGGAGATGCTACAGAGTTATCTAACCAATTTCGCCATGACTGGAAATCCAAATGGTCCAGGCCTACCATATTTCCCAGTTCATGGAGCAAACGCTATTCTCAACGCAATCAAGGCGAACTCCACTGTACCAGAGCCAGATGAGACGGCTAATGAGAGGTGTGCCTGGTGGGGTAAGGGGCTGTATGCTTGAGAAGACCATGGTCCTTGATGGACCACGAGAGGAGACAGTCCAAGACTACTATACTTATATATGAAGGTGTTGTAATTAACCCATCTCCAGTATTGATTCTGCCTTGATGGCTGCGCGGTAATTTTTCTTCGCGAACATGTCAAGCCCACACATCACCACAACGCAAGATGTTTCCAGTTCATAAATTACAAACACGCAAAGAGTAGGGCTTTCATTGATCTGAACACACATAAAGGATGTCGATATCGCATGAGCGACGAGGGTTAATGTTCACTGCAATCTTCATGTCAAGATTTGTCCCGTTTTTCTTCTCACCAGCCTTGCCCGGTCTATTCACTATGTTGACCATGCCGGTGGAATTCAATAAATCAACAATGCTGTACTTCACTGACTCTTCACTTGCAAAAGGCCTGCCTGAAAACAGAAGTAAAATCTTTTCGCCTTCGTGGTATCCCTTCTCCTTGTACCGAAGCTCTTCATCTCAACATTTCTCATAACGCTACAGACAGACACGACACGTTCAAAATGAAGTTGCCACTCCTCCTTTTCCTGACCTTCATGTTGTCCTCGCTCACTGTGCTTGGTCAACCTGGAAATTGGTCCAATCTACCATCCTGCGCGGTACGTTCTCGCGACATATAATCTGTCTCCTTTGTCCGTAACCTAACGCGTGATCAGCGAGCATGTTTCACAAACACCGTCACTGCCATGGAAGAGTATTGGCCCAATGGTTGTCTGCCAGTCGTCTGCGGCTTCAACTCCACGGAACATCAAGCATTCAAGCTTGCCCTGCTCGATTGCTTGGATGAGTCGAAGGTTGGAGGATGCAATGGTACCAGTGTTGAATCGTCACTCGTCGACAAAACCATCAATGTCGTTTGTGATATATCAAGTAAAGACAGTGCTCCATTCGACAATGTCAACAGCACGAATACAACGACACCGATGGTCTTGGCCACAGCTCCTGGTTCAAGTGTCTTGAGCGCACAAGTAAGTTCACATGATACCTGCTTTCAAAAATCGTCTGCTGACAATACTCCTCTTGCAGTGGACTTCGATATCGACTTCCGATAATGATGGTAGTGGTCAAGACAGCATTGGTCCTCTGAGCACACGCCCTGGTCTCTCTCCTACCACCGCGGCGGGTACCGGCATACCAGGTTCAAACCTGTCCAGCATCGTGGTTTCGATCCCGATCCGGAATTCGAGCTTTCCCACATCAATCTACATGGGTAATCCTCCCCTGCCAACATTGCCGGGAACGGGTCTGAACAATTCGACCGAGACCGTAGCAGCATCGACCATCTACTCAACTCACGTTATCACTCTCAGCACCAATGACACTCCGTTACCCTCGACAACAGCACCCAACTCGGAGACCAGCCTTTCGACAACGAGTGTGGTGACGGCTTCCTCGGCACCGGTCTCGTCGTCTGGTAATGCTGCTTCTTCAGTGAAGATGGTAATGCGGAGCGACTTGTGGTATCTATTCGAGAGCATTGTCGGACTGGGGATCTACGTAGCCGTGAGAGGAGAATGGGATCTATTCTAGGATTCCAAAAAAAGGTCTGAATCTAGGATACCCACCAATTCGTGGAACACCCTGATAAAGGGCTCACCTCAGTTTGGATATCCGGTTGTCATGATCGACAGCATGCGAATAACGGCGTGGATCGGCTGACTGAACAGCTGACGACGCGTATCATGATGTTCCCAGAAGGCGGACGGGTCGAGCATCTAGCTTGTGGTAGTGATAGAGTATTCAAAGAAGCAGTCAAGTTCACTGCCGTAATCGACAGGGCGAGTCTTCTCAATAGCATGGCCGAAAAGGGCAAAGCGTGGTATGCAGAATTGTGTCATTCTAATCTTTGCTTGTCAACACTGATTGACAATTGTTAATGAGGTACGGAGGAGAACGACTCGCTGCTGCGTCGAAGTATTATGTATTTGCCTTATTCTGTGTCACGCTTGTCTCACCATACCTTGTGCTCCTGACGGCGATTCAACCTCAACTTCACTACCTGGTTCAAAGATGATCTATCTTCCGCATCACTAAAAGCGCGATTTGTTCACGGATCGTCACAGTCTCAGGCACCATGGCGCCGTCAACCTTGCCGGAGGGCGTTCATTCGTTCCTAGATACTGACCTGTACAAGCTGACAATGCAGTGCGCAATTCTCCATTACTTCCCTACTGTCGATGTCGAATACAAATTCACGAACCGAACTCGTCACATGCGACTCAACAAACGCGCATTTACATGGCTAGAAGAGCAGATCGCAAGCTTAGCTACCATCCGACTGTCACAGCAAGAGTTGGAGTTTCTAAGAAAACACTGTCCTTACTTGAGTTCAGAGTACCTGGAATTTTTACAAACCTTCCAGCTGCGACCCTCGGAACATGTTTCTGTAAAGTTCGACCTGGTGGACGACACTCATGGAGACGTCGATATCACCATTTCGGGGCTCTGGGTTGAGACAATTCTCTACGAGATCCCTTTACTTGCCCTCACCAGCGAAGCCTACTTCAAATTCGTGGACACTGACTGGAGCCACGAGGGACAAGAGGCGAAAGCGTACGAGAAGGGCATACAGTTATTGGAGTCCGGCTGTCTCTTCTCGGAGTTTGGTACTCGAAGACGAAGGGACTTTCATACCCAAGACCTCGTAGTCAAAGGTTTGGTGCGGGCGTCCAAGGAAAAGTCTTGGCCGGGTAAATTGACAGGCACAAGCAATGTCTACTTTGCCATGAAACACAGTATTGCCCCAGTTGGAACTGTAGCACATGAATGGTACATGGGAATAGCTGCGCTCACGAACGACTATGAAAATGCCAATGAGCAAGGACTTCGCTACTGGCTCGACTGCTTCGGAAAGGGTGTGCTTGGGATTGCCTTGACAGATACATTTGGTACAGCCGATTTCTTCGAAGCATTCAAAAAGCGCATACCTGAAAAAACATCCGCTTCAAGAGGTGCCGGCCTCGATCAATCAATTGGGGGCACTGCGTCCTCGGGACAACCCACCTACGCAGACGTTTTCACCGGCATTAGACAGGATTCTGGAGATCCAAGAGAATACGTCAAGCTCGCCAGTGACTTTTACAAGTCTATGGGAATCAGCGGCAAGAATGTCGTCTTCTCGGATGCATTGGATGTGGAGAAATGCCTGGTGTACAAGAAAGTGGCGGAAGAATATGGCCTGAAGCCTTCGTTTGGCGTAGGCACGTTCTTCACGAATGACTTCGGCCTGCTCTCAGACCCACAAACCAAGTCGAAACCACTCAACATCGTCATCAAGCTGTCCAAAGCAGGCGGCAGACCGGCAGTTAAGATCTCCGACAATATTGGGAAGAACACTGGGGACAGTGCGACAGTGCAAGACGTGAAGCGCCGACTAGGCTATACGGAACGCGAATGGGCACAGGGTGATGAATCACAGAGGTGGTGAATAGGTGATACAGGTTTCGACGTGTCGGACCATCGGCGAGCTCTGGACAGAAACGTCGCAGCCTTGCCAACCCTGACGACTTTGTGGGTCTGAGATCGAGGCTCTGTCAGGGGTGTGGGGAGCAACCGAGGGTGAAAGTGTCATGTTATTGGGGCAGTCAAACGATATCTGCTCGAAAAGGCGTTGAACGTTGGAGCCATCAGTAGTGGCATTGAAATGTCGCTGCCTGTGCACGAAGTGCGCGTAGACCCAGAGTATTGCGCGACGCGCCACGATGATTACGACAATTACACATGCTATGCAGAGCACGAATAGTACGGAGTACGAACCAGATCGTTGCCAGAAAACTACTTGTACAAGCATTGCGGAGTAGATTGTGGCGAGCGAGTCACGGAGCATGTGCACTGTACAGCTCAGCATAGAGAGGCGTTGATGACAAGGTATTTTTTTAATACTCCGTGGGCGGAGACTTCTATATGGAGCAGTCGCTGGATCATTGAAACGCAGATCAATGTGACCACGAGCAATGGATCATTCGCCTAAGGCCAGACCCTCGTACTCCCCGGCATGGAGCGAAGACAGGTAAAGCCAGACAGACGCCTTCGCCCGGCTAAAGGAGATTACAAATGGGTGATTGGCGGTGGATGGTCTCTTCTGGCTTCGCACCCGGGGAACTAGTCGGTTAGTCAGTTCGTCTGAATGGATTATAATCTCGGAGAAGAAATCGCAAAGCAGGATCGAAAGTAGTAAGCGCTGACTGAGTGCATGAGCGAAGAGAATCGACAGAGGTTGTGTAGTATGCAGACACAGTTCAGGAGGCTGTTGAAGCTTACTATTGTACTGAACAGTACTGTACGGAATACATTCTTTGGGCCGCACAAGCCATGCTTCTAGGGTACGTTCCAGGGTGCGTTGTAGGCGCATGGGTCCTGTGGCGGGGGGGCCTCAACGAACAAACGAAAGGCTGGACGGGGGTGGTGAAGGGGGGCCTCACCAAGTGTAGTACCTACGGCACAACCTACGAGCTAAGACCTATAAGCTAAGAACTAAGAACTAAGATCCTTAGCTACCATCAGCACAGCCTCCCCTAAAGCTGCCCATTGACACGGGGGGCCCTTGACACTGGCATCTGGCACTAAGTTTATCGGTGACCTGCATCTCCAAACACCATCCCTACCCTCTCTACTCGTTACCCTTTTTCCCTGGCGCCCAGACTCGTTGAACTCGACTTTCCCTTTTTCTGTGGCGCTACGGATACCGTCCTCTACCACTCCGTATCGCAGCTGCGACTTCCTCTTCTTCTCCGGAGCCGAGCTGAGCAGACTTGTCATCAACTACTGAAGGACATACTCATCATCTCCTCGATTTGTCGCTGCCTTGATCTATCCCTATAGATCAGTCTCGTCCTCTACCGCATCTCTTGTCGTTAGCAGCATCTTCCTCCCAGCATCACCTATCAACCAACCCCTTACGCGGCGAATACTTTGGCTCTACATTTACGCCCAACATCCCAACCACTGTATCTAAATTGCGCTCTGCTGCAAAAAAACATTCAGCTGGGGTTTTTTGAGCCTTTCCCTTCTCCGCCGTCATCATGAGTGTATGTCCTTTCCATGTCTATAGGTGGCAGGCTGCCCTGAAACACGTCGATTGAAACGCTGCGAGACACCATCATGTTGCCCAACCAGCTTCTAACATACTTGCCAGTACAATCAAGGTCAAGGCTACGGCCAACAGGGAGGCCAAGGCTATGGCAACTACAACCCCTACGGACAATCAGGCAACCCCTATGCCCAACAAGATAGTTATAACGATGGTCCGGGATACAATGGTCAACAGGGGTATGATAGACCACAAGCCCAGCCACAAGGAAGCAGTTACTACGCCGATGAAGAGCAGCGGGCCGGCGGATATGGTAAGAATTTCTCTAACGCTCTCTTACACTGAACCCGGCTCACCCGATACTACAGAGATGAGAAATATGAACGGAAACGATCCCAATCGAATCCTCAATGAGTGTCGAGCAGTCGACCAAGCCATCGATGAGATTGAGGCTGATCTGCAACGCCTCAAAGGCCTTCAATCACGCTATCTTGCTGACACGAACACTTCCGCTCAATCGCCCCTGCGCATCGAAGTGGATAGAACTGGTGAAAATATCATGACAAAGTACAGAGGCCTTGTCAGCCGGGTCAAGAACATCAAGCAACAGCCTGAATCTGGGAATCCCCGCAACGCGCCACAAGTTGGAAAGGTGGATCGTCGATTGAAGACTGCCATCAACCAGTACCAACAAGTCGAACGAGAATTCAGGAAATCGTCGCAAGAGCAGATGGCTAGACAATACCGCATCGTCCGACCGGATGCCTCCGATGCCGAAGTGCGCGAAGCTGTCGAGGATCCAAACAACCAACAAATCTTCAGCTCTGCTTTGATTCAAAGCGACCGTCGTGGTGAGGCCCAAACAGTGGCACGAAATGTCTCTCAACGTCATGAAGATATTCAGAAGATTGAACGACAGATGATTGAGCTTGCTCAGCTCTTCCAAGATCTCGAAGCATTGGTCGTGCAACAAGAACCTGCCGTTACTCAGATTGAACAACGCGGTGAAGAAGTCACAGAACATGTGTCCAAGGCCAACAACGAACTTGATGGCGCAGTCAAGAAGGCTCGCGCTGCCCGGAGAAAGAAGTGGATGTGCTTGGGTATTGTTGGTGAGTACATTTTGGTTGCTGTGATGTCAACTATACTAATTTATCAACAGTCCTTATCATTATCATCATCATCGTTGTGGTGGTTGTTGCTGTGGAAGTTACCAAGCACTAGAATACTTGGAATAAACCCAAAAATGATCAACCTGAAACCCAGAACTCCGATCCAGTTCCGTCATTTTCTAGATCCGAAATCCAGAGATCACCTTGTATCCTGCCTAAAGATTATGCCTTTCGTCCAAGAATCAACGCGGGTTTTGTCCTCCGACGTAGTTTGTGGGCAAGAAGGCAGCATTGTGGTATGGGCAAAGGAGATCAAGATGATGATCTATTTCGGATGTTCTTTCCGGGAGAGCCTTGATGGCGTTAGGGAATAGGTGCATCTTGATATCAAGTGTGCACAAAACGGGGAGTGAGAACATCTTGAGAATTGAGGCTGTTTTTCCAGAAGAAAGTTCCATATGTTCAGAAAAGCCGGCGCAAAAGCGTATTTTTGTACTCTTTCTTTTTTTTCGTCTGTCTCGTGGGGAGTTTTCCCTCTCTTGTCTTGTTGGATTTGTTATTGGGAAAGTTGTATAGCAAAGCACAGCTTAGACAAATTAACTTAATTACTGCCTGAACCCCTGCAGGGAAACACCTACGTACTCCAGTACTCCGTCCTAAGCAATGTAGTTTCCCATGGTCAAGGGGCAGATGTTGAGTGATGACGGTTATTTTTCATTTCGAGTATCCTTGACCGAGGGGGGTTGTCTCGATAAAATGACAAAGCAAGTCCGGGAGTATAAGAGAATAGCGATACATGGTGGTAGGATATATGGGCCTGTTTCCAACAGCAACAAGAAGAAGAATCTCCGTCGATTGAGTCATCCCGTTTCAAGCAGAAGAAGTCTTGTTGTTGAGTCTCTCTTCCTCTTCGGGAGTTTTTGTCTTCAACTGTAGGGCGTGGATTCCACCTTGAACCTCCATTTCTTCCTTTAGTAGAGAATAAACCATGCGATGTCTGGCCGGCTGAGGTTTGGACGTGAAATTTGGTGAAGTGATTTCGACGCTGGATGTCCCCCGGGGGGAACAAAGAAGAAACATGAGTTAGTGGTTCAGTGATGATTCAGATCCAAGGGGGAGTCATGTTGAAGGTGTCGAGGGTTGATATAGGGAGAGAGAGAGAGATGGAACTTACTAAAAATGAGTTTCTTTGGAGGTACTACCCACCATGGCCTTGTGGTGAGAATGTAGGTGAGAGTCGTTTCTTATCTTGAGGTGTGTGGGATTGAGTGATTCCGTGACCTGTTTTGAAAGAAGAAGAAGAAAAACAATCGAGGTTTGTAAGTTGTAGTAAGAGTAGAAATATGAGTGTTTCAACCGCAAAAAGACAGAGGGAGAGGAGAGAGATGGATGACGGTTTCGTGTTATTAAATAGACCATGATACTCTCCATACCAAAGAACCAATCTCCAAAACGAGACAAAACTCGACATGAACAAAACTCTTGTACAAGACAGATTTGGTCGTTGGACCATTAAAAAAGGAACTCACCTTTTTTCGAATCGTATCCTCCATTGGTGTACTGGATGATGTTGATGATGTCGAAGAAGCCATTCGGTATCCGTATGCGTAGGCGTATGTGTAACGTAACGGGGATGACGTCGACGATGTCGATGATGAGGATGACAATGACAATGACAAAGGCCCAATGGAGCTACGAAAAGTCGACAAGAATCTCATTTGGGAAAATTGTAGAACCTTGGGTTACTGACAAAAAGTCCAAAAATACAGAGGGAAAAAAAAAGAGGGACGAGGTTGATTGTCAGGGGGAGCAACGGGATGAGATAGACTTGGGGAGACAACGTGCTTACATAAGTCACCTTCTCTGGTGTACAGTACGAGTAATGGGTGACTGACTACGGAGTACACTTGATTGACTGATTGTTTGACCGACTCCTCACAAGTACGTGGTACCTACCTAGGTCCCTAGAGACTCGAGGATTTGATACAGATACACAGGCCTCCTTTTTTCTCCCGTGTCACGATTGAAACAGAGTCTTGATTGAGCCTTGACCTTTCCCAAGACAAGCGAACGGTCCTCGTCATGACTTCCGTACAACTTCCCCCCCCCCTCTGCGTGTAAACATACCTATTACCTACCTACCAGGTAGGTACGAAGTGTAGAACAGCGGCATCAGGGCGTCTTGTTCAAAAGGTTATGAAGACTGTGGGCCATGGAAATTTACAAAACAAAAAATCTGGAGACTGCCCGAGAAGCCTTGGGCCGCTTACAAAGTATCAGAAAGCATCATAAAGTCACTCACCAGAAACCCAGCTTGGGTATCTTTTGTGCAATGATTCTGTTGAAAAGGAGAATATCTGAGGAGGTCTGATACGTGATTTTAATGACATCGTGGATACAGGTCCAACTTGGCACAATTCACCAAGTACAAAACTTCTAGTCTCGGGCAACGGTAGCACAAGTCATGATCATCATCATCATCATCGCTATCACCATCGACCAGTCCATCATGATCCGATTGCCCTCACCAAACCATTGCTCTCAACTTCTTCAAAACTGCATTGCAGCGACTGCAGGGGTATGCTCTTTCTCTTTCGCTTCGTGACAGCTGAAGAAAGAAAGACTTGCGGTCGGTAGGGGATTCGACGCCACATCCCGCTCTTTGGTTTACTCTGCTCTGCTCAAGCTTTCAGATCATGTCGATACACCAAAAAACTGGGGTCTCATAAATTTCCTTGTCCATTTTTTGGATGGTATCGTCAACAAGTTGTGTTCCATTCTCCTTCAGTATGCGTCATGTGTTGATCCTTTGGTCAGGTCCCACACAGAACAGCTGTTCATATTTCCAGGAATTCCAAGTGTTCTTGTGATTGATTGGATCGATCAAGAATAGCTTCCGTAATCCATTACACGAGAGCTTCGTTCGCCCAGTCAATTGCTTTCGTCCCTGATGAGTGCAACGATCATGCTGTAGAGGTAGAAGAAGAACATGACGAGATGGAAACCGAGCTTGATGAATGATTCCTGGGAAGGGGAAAGGTGTCAGCTTTGAGGTGAATACCCTTTTGTCTAGGGGGAAGTATACCTTTTTGTGGACATTCAATTTTCGGAAAATCTCAGTGGCATCGAGCAGATGTTGATTGTCAAGAATTCTAGGTTGAAAAAAGAAACACATCTTGTCAGTCCAGGTCGCACTTCGGAAACTTTGGAAAAGCTGGACCTACTTCTTTGCGTTGAAAGCCAAGAGGGGCAGGTTCAACAACAGCGCCAACCAGTATCCATTGATCAAAAAGAGGAACGTCAGGAATGCGTGAACGGCAGCTTCGGGGATGATGTAGGTGTTGAGTCGGTTGCAGAGATCGATAGGGTTGATATAGTCACTGTTTTGTACCTTTGTTAGCACTTGACATCATCCACAAAATGCATCACGCATTCATCGACTAACCATTCCAGATCGCTATACATAATAGTGAAGAAGACTTGGAGGAAGAGGTTGACGGCATTTATCAGCACGGCGAGCAGGTATAACCACGCCTCGCCCGACATTGTGAAGGTATTTTTTCTTGTTTTTTCCCCTTGTGCTGGCGCAGACAATGAGGTGAGAGGCGAAAAGGTAAATCGGTTCCGAGAGGGCTCAGAGGTGGAGAGAGTTGAACGTCGCGGGAAACTGAGATTGTGTTGTGTGCAAAGGGAGAGAGAATCGCCAGAGTGCGCAAAGAAGGCTGGGAGGTGCCTAAGCAGGGAGGGGAAGGTATCCGTAAAATGGGTCGAAGAGCGAGACGGGGAATTTTGTCGTTTGGGTTCAAAAGTCTTATCGCCGGGATACGAGCCTCAACCGAGCAAATGTTGCAACTTGTCCTTTTGGCAAGTCAATTGGGGCTACAGGCAAGGTGCGGCGAGGTCAATGTCTCGTACAAAGGTCGTAGCAAGAGTCTAAGCAGCAAAGTCAGGCGATGAAAGGTACGATTACGAGGTGAGAGGAATGAGATCAGAGTCCGTGGGGGGAAATCGAAATGTTGGCAGGAAGCTTGGGTTTCTTTTCTATAACTGCGCCGTACCCGAAAGTGCCTACAGCATGTACTCCGTACCTCTAGGGATTCATTTCAGTGCTACGTACTCCGTAACTATTGCGTATGTGGTTGGTACCTGAGGTACCTACCGTAGACTAAGCGATTACTCTGTGTGTGTCTAGGTACATACCTTTAGGGAATCTTTGAGCGCCAACACGTTATTGAGCCCCAGCGCCATTTAATGCCCGCCTTAAAGTTTCGACGTCACATGCTTTCTTGTGAATTATTAGCTAAGCCACTCCGGGCACAGCCATTGTGGTCACGGTATGAAGTATCTGTATGTTCCGTATCTCGTATTTCGCACATTTCATCAAAGTACCTTCGGGTCCGTTTAAACCCCGGTAAATTGCAGGTGATCAAGTCCATGTTTGTATTATGATACACATGCAACCCGGATTCTGAGGGACCTGTTGTGACAATACGCGCACTCATCCTTTGTCAACACCTTGAACAGAGGTATCATGTCATCCCAGAATTCCAAATCTTTCCAGGCCTTCAAACCAACCCAAGCAGAAACAGAGAGCCACTTCCTCAATGTCCACATCGAGGGGACTTGTCTATAGGAAAAAACGATGCCCGCATAATAATACAGTATAGTTCAAAAACATTTTGACCCGTCCCCATAGTTGTTGCCACCAGTGGCTCGACAAATTTCGGAAGAAGGTCCCTACCCTAGAGAGCCGTAACGTGTAAATGAAGAAGTGGTTGCGGCTCGTCAATTCATAGGTAAATCCGTGTAAAGGGCCGATTGAAGGCCATCAGGAAATCTCAATGCGCTCGGGCAAGACGGTTCGCAGTCAAGAGTGAGATGGAGACGTCTTGACTGCCGGATTATTCGTAGTTGGTGCTGTAGTGTCGGATTGTGGCCCATGGCCTCAACGCCTCCTCTTTGCTCGATCATTGTCTGCAAGGCCCTTGCGTGAAGATGCACTTCATTCTCCTGGCCAAAGTCGGCAGTGTATGCCAACAAAAGAAGGACAGCTTGGATGTTGGAGTCGGAACTTGCGTGATCTGCTGCGCGGAGTCGATTCCAGAGTAGATTTGTTCCTCGACCGAAGTGTGTCTGCGCATCGACTTGATCTTGGACCGTTTCCGGACTCGAGTGTAATTTCCACCGCGCAGCATAAGCATAGGCCAGAAGTAGATTTCGAGACACTTCGTGCTCGCGCATGTATGCGATGGCAGTGTCTAGCACTCCTCGGTCGCGACAATGGGGGCAGAAGTTTGCAGAAACTAGAATTACTGTCAGCTTTGGGTTCTTCTTGTTTTTTCTCTTGATCAGACGCCGCAGCGAGAGCAACGCACAGAATTGTAAAATTGAGTCGTCCAGAGTAGCCTGCTCCTGGGTTGAAAAGAAATCGTTTCTTGAGGTTGCCATTGACTGGTTGAGATCTGATTCTAGGTTGTTGGAGGAAACGCTTGACAGGTCCAGCCGGTCAGGTAGCGATGGAACGGGAGATATTGAATGAGAGCTCGTTGCGCTGCTCGTTGACGTCTCCGTGTCCAGCCGAGGTGGGCGCCTTCCCCATTCAAAGATTCGAGTCTGGCTGGCCCGTTGAAGTAATCTCGACCTTGTCTCTCGTCGTTGTGCTGCTGAATGATATGCCGTGTGTCTTTGAATGGTGCTCCGCACGTTTGGGTCTTGACTGTCGACGAATTCGACGACATTCTGACGACGTCTCGAAGAACTTCTTCTCTCGCCCCTCGTAGAGCTCTCGTCTTGAGGAGTGTTATCCCTTGAAGACATGTGTCTGTTGACGTATGGTATAGCTGTGGTTAATTGAAATTCTCAAGGAGTCAACCTCCGATGTGGCCTTTGGTCGACTCGCTTGGACCAAGGGTAGGATAAATGTAGAAGAAAGAAACGATCACGAGATCGTCTGGGAGAAAGAAATAATTGTCCGTGAACAAATCCATGAGGGATTCATGGACGACCGAGGCCCATGGGGAATGGTTAATAACGGGTGATGTGACCGAGACAGAAAAGAGTCCAGACTCAGGGGATGGACGAGGCTCAGCACGCATCCAGGATGTCTATGGTCCTTGATATAGAGCTTCTGGAATACCCAGGAAGGTAACAGACTCATCTAGAGGAAAACCGGCACCTAGGTACGTGCTTTTGTCGGACAGAGCCGATGCAATGGTGCTGAGGATGCTGTGCATTGTGGATGCACCCATTCGAGATGGCTCTTTTTTAGATGGACTTTGGGGTCCAATCATCCCAAACCTTTCATTTTTCCGTCGCGGGAACTCGGGGAAGCAGGAAAAGTTGACAGCATGATGGCTTGAGCATGTGGCGACATGCTTGCCAACTCTAGATTGTTGTTGTGCTGTCCATGTGGAAATGGTGAACCTACGACTGTGGTAAGTGAGGTAAATATCGTCAGATCCCTACATACAACGGGTTCCACCGATCGGGCTGCACTAAACTATTCTGGGCCACGTATGGGAATTTCCCTCGCGGCGCCATTATATAATTAAGTTCACGGCCTTCAATCATCCGCAGGCTCTCAGTATCCGGGATCTCGGGCATGAAGAACCCCTAGTGCCAGAGTCCTTTTGACCGATCTGTGTTTGCTTTTCTCGTACTGTACATAGATGCACAGTCAGACACATATTCCGACCTGCGATGATTGCGACAAACTATCTCCATCAAAGGTTCAGTATGTCCTGCTTAGAAGACACCTCAACAACCAACGGCACAGGCCACGCGAGTCGACTTTCAAAGCTCGTGGAGTTCGAGCGCTGATGGCAAAAGGTCGGGTAATGTCGGCCGAAGTTCCATTTACATGTGCAACTTAAGCAGTACCCGTCTCGTTTCTTCCCCAGATTTAGCTGGTCTTCACTGCGAGGATAACCGAAGAGACGGAGAGGAACGTGAAAACAAGGTCCAACGATGAGTCCAAGGCCATTCCACTTTCTGTAGTGCCTCGTGATCGCCTACGTATATTAACAAATATCCAGCTCGGACATACTGTACAGCCGCCAGGACCAGCAGACAACGATAGAGATTTCGTCGCCCACGAATACTTTCAACGGGACCGACATGCATAAACTTTGTTTTCGGAGAGTAGGCCGCGTCAAGGTCACTGCGAAGCCGATTGTCATGTCTTCTGAAATATATACATACAGTAGCATAGCGGAGTTGTGGATCCCAAGGGTGACCATTGCTCAGGATCAGTGCCAGGCCAAGGGAAATTTCTGAAGAATCTTTAATCTTTGATGGTGCGGAAACCGCCACCCGGCATTGCATTACGCGAAACTTTGCAAAGACGACGGGGCAATGGCAGCAGGGTTAAGCAGAAAAAGAAGAAAACGGCAGAAGAGGAGCATTAATACGAGTACATGATAGTCAGGTGAGGGAGTCATGTGCAATTGCGGGAACGGAACCACCTTCCTAGCGAGGCTGAAGACCCTGAAGACGATCGCCATACGAATACCCCATAGACACCGAAGCCTTGACCTGAGTCTTTTCCCGGTCGTTCACGGGTTTTTTTTTTGCTTGTTGATTCTCCGTTTCGTGCTGATGCATTGGTTGTCCAAGTCTCACAACGAGAAAGACGATAGAAAAATGTGCTCCGTAGGCATGTGGCAACACTACTCATGATTGCGAAGGTGGCGAAATCTCGGGAATATTCTGTACATGCTAGTACAGTAGGTATCCTTTTCGCCTTGTCGGACGTACAAACACCGTCCCACTACGGAGTATGGTCTCCAAAAACACAGTGGCTGACCGCTGGGAAGCCATCAACGAGGTTCCCTTTCTGAGACCTGCTTTCACTAGGGGCCGACCAAGGGAACAACAACTAGACAACACATTCACTATAAATAGGCCCCAGAATACGAGTCACTGTGACTCGGGTCGACTTCAGGCGTGGGTGATGCTTCCACCGCAAGATATTGAGGGTCGATATAATGGGGAACTTCGGGTAGGACAATACTTTGAGGCGCATTATAACTAACTCCCAAGGCCACATGGGCTCATGCTTTGGGATATGGAAATCTATTACTAACACAAAGAAGAGAGCACTATTCATGAGCTCAATCAAACGCGACAGACCTTATCGCCCCTTTTTGGTTCTCCCTGCAACGCCCTTCCCACTAGTCCCAGGTTTTCGAGGAGTTGCTGCAGCTGCAGCTGCGCTTCTCGTCTGGATCGCGTAACCCCCACCCGGCGTTTCATTGACGTTGACTCGAACGCCTTCGCCATAATCACTATCTTCGTCGTCATCCTCGGATTCGGAGTCGGACGCCGGAGCCAGATACCTCATTACCTCAGGTTCTTCCTCCGGGGGAAGGAAGAGTTCGTCTTGCGGTCGACGGTACCTGGCGGCATGGTTTTGCATCGTACTGGGTGGACCTGAGGCTACCCGTCTCTGAGGCGAAGCAAATCTGGGGTCGTTAGGATCGAAACGTGGTATCATGCCGGGATTGGTCGGATATGGCAACTGGTCCAGTGGAAGATTGACAATATTAGAGGCTGACCGTGGTCTTGGCTCCCAGTCTGGCTCGGATGGATCAGGTCGAGGGGCACGCGACCCCGAGGCGTACACGGCTTCGGGATTCGAAGCATAGCGACCAGAGTAATAGGGCGCGATCTGCTGCAAATACTGTTGTTGCCTCAGTGATTGATTGGAATTAGTCCGAGAGCCTTGACGCTGAGCCTCCGGTTGCCGTGGTCCAACGACAGATAACCCCTGCGAATACGAGAGTCGTCGGCCATAGTCCGACTCTGCTAGAGCGTAAGAAGCTGAATCTTCTCGCCCGCCACGTGACGAACTGTTTGACGCAACACTCCTACCGCGATTTCGTCCGTCCGCTGTTTTGCCTTTGGGAGAATTGCTCGCTGATTTATCACCTCGGCTGGGTTTTTTGCGGACTTCCACAGGCCGACGTCTGACTTGTGCTTCTTTCTTGCTCTTAGGGGCTGCTTTGGGTACTGCAGAGGGACGTGGAGGGGTCTGGGTCCGCTCTAAACGTTCCAAGGCATCAATTTCTGCTCGGGTCAATTTGACATTGGGCTTACCCAGCGCCCGAGCACGCGCGATCCTGTCAAGAGCGCCCTGCACCAACATGTCCTCTTTGTCTCTGTAGACCATCTGCATATCTTGTCGCCGGGCAATTCCTGTTGGGTAGTCGTATTCTTCTTCATCATCAGAAGGAGTAAAATCATCTTCGTGTGCAATACCTGAACGCCTGCGGCGGACATCGTCCCCGCCCAAATCTATACCAGTGAAACGAAGTTCATCGGAATGAAATCTCTCTTGACTCAGCCCGACACCCTGCGAGTAATCGTCGTCGGTATCGAGCTCTTCGACACGGGCATCGTAATCCCATTGTCGGTGCTGCAGTCCCCACAGCCTGTCGTTCTTCCTCCTCGCTCGTCCCCCTGGTGGTGGTCTTCCCCAAGGGGGCATATCGTATGGAGTTCGCGGCCGACCACCTAGACCGCCTCCTCGGAAAAAGCATTCTCGATAGGTCTATCCATGAGCGAAGCATGGCCGAGAATCGTCACGCCAGTCGCGCCAATCAGCCACAAGAAAGTGCCGATGGGTGAGGCGATGAATGCAATTGGAACAGCCACGCAGGCCAGACCAGTGTAGAGTTGTGAAGTAGTAGCACGGAAGGTGCCCAGTTCGAGATCTCCGCCTTGTAACTTGCCAATTGTCCACATGCCACCAACTACGAGGATGATGTCGAACAGGAGCCATAGATTGGTGAGGAGGCTGTAGACGCTGAGCATGACAAAGACGACCGCATAGTTACTGGAAAAGTAGCTCAAGTTGTAGTTGACTCGGCTCTGGACTTCACCGAAGTTGTTGGGCTTTGACAGTCTCTTCAGATCCAAGAACTCGGAGATGGGCTTGATGTTGGCAAAGCGCGACGCCAGAGGCTGAGATCGGACGCTGCTGAAGCGATCGGAAAGGTTGAGGCGGGACGTCAAGGCGTCGAGGGGAATGCTGATGCGGGCCATTTTATGAATGAGTGGAAGCAAATTGGATGCTGTAAAGGATGAGGATGCTCTTTGGGGTGTACTGAAGATTGACTCGATGTCTGTTAGCAACAGGAGGGACAGAGGAGGGCTATGGTTACACACAGAATTTGTTTTCGGAAGACGCGTTTGTTGGGCAAAGACAAAGCCGAAATGACGAGTTTGTGCTGAAAGCTGTATCGAGAGGTGTATGAGTTGGAAGTGAAAGACGTGAAAACAGGGGCAGAGTCAAGTACACTGTGTTTTTTTCTTCTTCTTATCAAGTAGAGAACAAAAAAGTCGGAATGGCGTTGAATAACCCCTGTCGAGAGAAGTTCGGCTGAGGGAGGGATAAATTTCGTGGGATTCGCGGCGCAGGCGACAAGGGGGATCTGTCAGCGGGCAAATCTGATTTCCTCGCTTGGGCGCAGCCACAAACTGACACCCCCTAAAATTGGATATTGGTATGGGGTACTCGGGAGAACTCGATCGTGTTGAACAGATTTCAGACGTTGTGGCGGGCTAGGCTGCCTCAACACCTCAACCCTCGACCTGCCAACTGCAGGATCAAGGCACAGTGACTACCATTGCTTGGTCTGAGATGTAGGGAACTGAGAGGAAGAAGAGAAGAACAAGCTGTCAAACCGCGGGGGAGGACCAGCCTGCGATAAATACACTTCACTCATCGCTCGCCTCTTCCTCCATCACTTCGTAAGCTACTGCACGTCCCGCCGTTGGCTGGCTGCATCCACGTTCTCAAGCCCTGTTAATTGGACCACGTTTTGGGCACCAGGCTTCTCCCACAATCCCAACCCCTGATGCGTATTGCAGTCCTGCACCCTTCAACTCTTTTTTGGGCCTACATAATCACCATTCTCCAATTGTCCTGCGCTGGCCGTACCTTGCCCGGGGGGCTAGTTGGTGAAGATGAGGCCACGAATCTTTCAATTCTTCGTCCTCCTCACCTTTGTCTTTCTAGTCGCCGCCTGGACGAAGGAGGATTATGAATTCTTCCGGCTGAAAGACGAGGTTGAAGCCGCCGAGGGCCCCGATATTTCCTTCTACGATTTTCTGGGGGTCAAGCCTTCCGCGACCGTTGATGAAATCGGTAAAGCTTTTCGGAAGAAATCGCGTGCTCTGCATCCTGACAAGGCCAAACATTCCTTCATCGCGTCGAGATCTACCCCAAAACCCAAGAAACCAGGCGAGAAGAAAAAATCTGGAGTACACGTGTCCAAAGGGCCATCCGAGAGAGAAATCCAGCGATTTGTGAAACAAGCCGGAGAAAGATACAGTCGATTGGGCGTTGTTGCAAACATCCTGAAGGGACCTGAGCGAGAAAGATATGACTTTTTCATGAAACATGGCTTCCCATCATGGAGGGGGACCGGATACTACTATTCACGATATCGGCCAGGCCTTGGGACCGTGTTGGTCGGCCTATTCCTTGTCTGTGGTGGAGGGGCTCATTATTTTGCCTTAGTCACAGGCTACAAGAGACAACGAGAGTTCATGGAACGATACATCAGACATGCTAGAAAGACTGCCTGGGGCGACGAAACTGGCATACGTGGTCTAGCAGCCATCGGCCAGCCTGTCGAAGTACCTGTGCCTACGGAAGAACCCGATCCGACCGCCAACCTGAACAGACGACAGAAGAGAGAAATGGAGCGTCAAACCAAGAAGGACAAATCAAGCAAGAAAAAGTCAGTGCCCAAGGCAACCCCTGCTCAGCCAGCTCCTTCCGAAAACAGACGACGGGTCACTGCTGAGAACGGGAAAATCTTGATTGTCGACTCTGTCGGAAACGTGTACCTTGAGGAAGAAGATGAGGATGGCGAAGTTCAAGAATACCTGCTTGACCTGGACGAAATTCCGAAGCCGACCATGTGGGATACAGCCGTCATACGTCTACCCGTGTGGATGTACAGAAAAGCATTTAGTCCGTTCCTCCAAAAAGGTGAACCTGTTTCGCCAGAAAAGACCGTCTCTCCAGAGCCCGAAACACTATCTGGCAGCATACACAGTGCGGTTACAGAAAAGCTACCAACACCAGATATGAGTTCTAGTCAGATGTCTGACTCGGGATTCGAGATTGTCGATTCGTCAGGAATAGAGAAAGAAATCGAAAAGGCTTCTGCGGCGACTGGCGTCAAAAAGCGAGGCAAAAAAGGAAAGAAATAGACAACACGCCGAACATGGCTAGATAGAGCATTCGAGATAGGGCATTACGATTCAGCGTGGAAAGAAAATAATGTCATGAATAGAATACCCTCAATGACTGACTTGACCCTTGTGTGTTTTGATCTGTATGCATTTGTGATCGTGATTCGTTACTGAAGATAATGCTGATGATTTCAAGGCTCGCTCAAGCTTTTGATGAATATGACATGAACAATCCCTCCACGATATATATACCCCGGTGGCCCTTCCTGCTCCCTGCTCAGATGAACATCTTCGCGATACCCATCAAACTCGAAATGCTCTCACCCATGCCACCGCTCATACCGGGCAAGGCCGTCCCCCCGTCGAAATCCCTCGCGCCGCCTCTGGCGTAGTACCGTTCGGACGTTTGCCTCGTGGTGGCGCCACCCATCATCCTGTGTATGCCGGGCGGAAGTCTGATGCCGACCTGCGCCAGCAACTTGGCCAACGCCCCGCCCGTGATCAACGGCATGATGACGAGGAGGAAGACCTTGAGCGGGTGCCGGCGCATGTACGAGTAGATCTCGCGCAGGAAGCGGCGTATGCGGTTGATGAACCCCGATCGGGGCCGGGCGCGAGAAGAATGGTGGCCGCGGGACGAGCCACCGCCGGTGAAGGAGGAGAAGAAGGAGGATGCGGAGCGAGAGTACGTCGGGCGCGAGGCGTAGTATACTTTTCGGGAGGGACTGCGACTGCGGTCCCGTATGCCGTCGTTCCAGAAGCCCATTGTGGCGGCGGGGGGGTGTGTGTGCGTTATGCTTTATGGCCGAATGTCGGATCTTGAAGAAAGAACACTGTCCTCCGACGTTGGGTCGTATGGTGATCCAACCGTGCGTAGGTGACGGCTGTTGGACTTAGCAATATGTTCGATCCAGTTAAGAGAGGTGGCGGGCGAAGCAGTTACTCGTATCGACGGTGCTTGCGCTTTGGTAAAGGAGCAGACCAGACCAATGCGAGATTTCTAGCCAGCGAACCTGGACCGTGAGGGCTGTGGAAAGACGTGTCTGTATGATAGCAACGGGCAGCCAGTGGCCTATGCTCAAGAACGATCAAAAGCTACCAGAACGACAGGAAGTCTCAGCTTCCACTTGACCCTTTACCTCAAGGTACGTCTAGGGTCAGACAATTGGAGAGGCTGGAGAATTAGATGCGCTAAGTCGAGGCTACAACGATACTGGGGGCCCCTTTTAGTCGCTCTCTAGCATGGCTTCGTTCGATTGGTCAGTTGTCTCTGGCCGTTCAAGCCACTGTGGCTTGTAAAGTGGTAATTGTACCCAAACGTCATCGGTTTTGTTTCAATTCCCACGCACCATGCACACCTCTCACACAGCAGCGACATACTGACGACTACCTACCTGTCTCTCCCCTCGGGTTTTCCCACATCCTTACAACACTTTGATAGACGTATCCATATCCCGATTCTTCCAGTCTCCTCAACTCTCCAGACGAGAGTCGGGAGGATAAACATTGTGTCGCCAGTCAGGGCGCAAGGCTTCCACCATGTCCGGCCTTCCAGACTACTGTAAGTCGTGATCCCCTTTTGGCTCCTCCACCTACCTCTCGAGGTCGTTCCATGATGCTTCCGTAGAAATGTGTCAACTTACTTTTTCCGTACAGATGCCATTCTCGAAATCCCATCCAGCGCCACAGCCGACGACGTCAAGCGAGCGTACAAGAAGGCGGCGCTCAAGTGGCACCCAGACCGAGTCCCGGTCGACTCGCCCGAACGTCCCAAACGTACGAAACGATTTCAGGCCATCAACGATGCATACTATACACTCTCGGACGTGACGAGGCGACGAGACTATGACGACGCACGCCGCTTCCACACCACTTACACAGAAGAGGAGTATGAAGAGGAAGTTGACGAGGACATCCCCCGCACCCGCCGCGCCCAAGCAGGCTCAAACACATGGAGCAACTTCTTCTCCAACTTTGGCCGGTCGGGCAACCAGGAAGAAAAGTTCTCGAACGAACAGTTCGAGAGCGCGTTTGCAGAAATGATGGGCGAGGCCGCCATGGCCGACGGCGAGCAGCAGGACTCGGGGACCGGCCAACCGAAGCCAGGATCGTTCTGGGCCGTCCTGGGTGGTTTGAGTGGGGCGACGTTGGGCTTCATCTTTGCCAACTTTGCGGGCGCCATCCCCGGTGCGGCGGCGGGTTGGAAGTTTGGAAGGATCAGAGACGAGAAGAAGCAGCCCGTCTATACGACGTTTCAGCAGCTGCCGCAGGCCGACAAGGCTAAATTGCTAAGCGAGCTTGCGACGAGGCTGTTTGCCAGCGCCCTTGGTAGTTGAACGAGAAGCAATAACTTGGGTATGGGACGAAGAAGAAGCTATAGGCTTATCATAATATACGACTAGGATTTGGGAAGGGTTCTAAGCATTGGCGCTTTGTGGTATAAAGTTACATGTACTTTGATGTTATGATGACGTGTAACTTCAGACGGCCGAAGATGTCGATTCTATTGCGAAGTAGATGTACCTTTGACCAATATCAAGGGTCGCGTCTTTTCCCAAGTAAAGTAAATTCTATGTAGACAAGAATTTAGGTTTTGTTAATTTCACAATTAACAACCCCGTGAGTCCGAAGAATTCTTTGGTGGTTTCTTTCTATTACATTAATACGTATGTGTGCATGAATGTATGTATATATGCGCATACCCAGTGCGACGTCAATTCCAGAGGTCTCACAGCCACACTCTGGATGCGTGAAAACATCGTGTATTGTATCGTAGCATGCCAAAATCCAGACACCCCAACACCATGCAATGCGCTCAACTGTAAACCTGCAATGCGCCCAAAGTGTTCATTGTCACAAAGTCACATCCCAACACGACGCCGTCATTAAAACCTTTTTTCAACTTTTGTAACATCCGCATCATGCACTCCAACCCAAGTTCCAAAGTGATGGAAACACAGAACTTGAGAATCGGAACAATAACGAATGAGGAGTATAGAAAAGAGAGAGAAGACGGGGGCGATCGACATTTTAGATCCTGAACCGTCCGACGCCCCACCTCTTCTGTCTCCCTAGGTCGTCGTGTCCGTTTTGGTAGGTGCCGTTCGTCATGGTCGTCCCCCTGTACGCGCCGGCCTCGAGATCGTCGGCGGGAGACACGCGGGCGTTCTGGTTCGGGCCGGCGCTGTCGGCGGTCAAGGGTGCACCGGCCTGCTGATGAGAATGGGGGTGGGTCATCTTTTCCATTTCCGCCTTGAGAGCCCACCCCTGCGGCGTGTGGTGCGTGCTACGGACGCTGGGCAGCAGGTCGAGCAGGAAGGAGAGGATGTAGAAGGTGAAGACGAGGGCGACGATCCACTCGAACACGGCGGCGACGTTCCGGTTGCCGGTCCAGCTCGTGCTCGCGAAGCAGATGGCCAGGATGACCTCGACGATGATGAAGGTCAGCTTGACCCAGAAGCTGATGCGGAGGATGCGGTGGGAGCGGTAGTGGATGCCGAGGCGCTGGTACTCGGCGCACAGGAACACGGCGGACAGGACGTAGCCGGCGATGAACAACAACAGGAACCCGTCGTGCAGGTGGGGGTGGTGGTACGTGTCGAAGATCGACAGGAGGATCAGGCCCGCCGCCCCGGCGACGGCGCAGACGATGGCGAGGACGGAGAGGATCTTTTGGGCCGTCGACGTGTTGGGCGCGAGGCGCCCGGCGTGTCGGAGCCACCGCTCGGCCATGAACCCCAGGTCGAGGAAGACGGTGGTGATGACGGAGCCCGTGATGAAGAGAGGCTTCAGGCCGTAGGCCCCCGTGTCGGATATGTAGGCTATCGTCTGGCCCTTCTCCATGGACGGGTAGATGGGGTGGCCTATCGCCTCCCAGTTGATGAAGAGGGCGAGGAGCATGCCCAACCACCTGGAGGATTTTTTTGTCAGTGAAAGTCCCCCGAAAAGTGGAGGAAGCACAGGTAGAGAACATCAGAACCTACATGCACGCTGAGACGATGGGAAACAACCAACTTCCGAGATACCACATGGTGTTGAGAGAACTGCGAGTGAGGGTTGTAGTTCCGTCCGGAGTGGTGGGAAGTTTGACGTCGTCTCTATCAGGGTCGAGAAAGCGTTGGTTTTGGGGTGAAAAAGAGAGGGAGACGTGCTTCCTCCTCGTGGCGAATGGAGAGAACAAATATCCAAAAATCAACAATGGGAAAGGGGAGTGGATTATGTTAATGTATGTTTAGATACTGTACAGCCAAACCCCTTGCTATGCAGGTCGGCGTTAGGTTGGCAAAATCACAAAAATGTCAATCGGTAATGTAAGCGGAAAAGGGAACGTTGCGAGCGAGGACGAGGGATGATGATGATGATTTTCTCCGTACCACTTTACATCATATGTACGGGGGAGGTATAGGGATCTATGGAGCGGCGATATCTCTCAAACACACCTTGACGAGTATTAGTGCGATATGGAGTCAACTACTGGATCATGACAAAGCCGGTGCGTTGCAACATGGTGATCCCGCTCCGGAATGAAGCTGCCTCATTGTATCATGGTTTGATGGTCCTGCTTTTATTCCCGCGTTATGCTCAACAGTGCATCAAGGTACGAGCTGTATAAGATGCGATATTTTCTCGTTTCGTACGAAGAAGCCAAGAAGATTGACTTGTTCACAGCCTCAATGATTGAATGACAAGATGAACAAATATCGGAACATGCTGAGTTGATATCGACGTCACCGGCAGCGCAAGGTTTTATTGACGCAAAACGAAGAACCCGACAGAGCCGACAACCAATCATCATTGGCCAGGCTCAGAACAGCCTCGAATGACGTCGCTTCATTCGGCCCGGTTTATTTCCTCGGGGGCTTTTGCAAAAACCGACATCGACTTAGTCACCCATTATTGATCAATGTAGTATGTACTCGTAACCAGGCGTTTGCTATATGTAGCCAAGTCTGAAATACCACAGGATGCTACTTCAACAAGGTCAACTTCTTCTCAGTCCAGTGAACCTTGTGTTTCTTCGCCGGCCGTTCACCGCTATGCAAAGTGCATGGTTCTATCGGTACGTCGCTTAGAAGGATGGATTTATCGTAGGATTCGAATCAATGGCCCAATAAGAGTGGTCTTGTAAGCAAACCGATGCTGACCAAAGCAAAGAGGTCCTACTCCGTTTTGAGACAGTGGCTTTTCGTAATCCGGGGTCGGTCCCAGGGGCTAGAAATTCATGTTCTACCCTACTGAGAGGGATGGTTGCTCTCGTGCTGGGAATTCATGCTTGTGGAGCCAATCACTCTTTCATGAGGCTTGATGTCGACCTCAATGTCGCCAATTCGCGATTGCGATTGCTCTGGTGAGTTGACCTTTATCATCGAGGATGCCATGTGTCTTTCATGGGTGGACTCTCAATATTCCCCTGATACAGTCTTTTTGATCCGGGGTAACTCCAATCTTATCAAGGTAATTGTCAAGGCCGCCGTATATAGAGTCAAGATGCTGGGCGACCTTTTCACAGAAGTCCGGGGGACAGGCAGCGAATGATTCATCCAGTCCAATGCTCGATATCTCCTTCATTCTCGCCGCCTTTTCAGGCTCCAGTTCTGGTTCGGATCTGACGTAGTCCTTCGATATGGCATCCGCCCTGACATCGCAGAGGAGGAGGACCAACAGCACTACCATGCCTGTCCTATCTTTGCCTTGTGTGCAGTTCACCATGATAGGCCACGCATTCTCGTCGGCAAGGACATCGAAAACTTCTTTGACTTCAGGGCCGCTATGATCGAGAGTATCTAGACCCAGGCCAATGAGTCCACGAGGCTGCATCAATTCTCGTCCCAGCACTGAGATACCCTCAGTGCGGTAGCCTAGAGCCATCAGAAACACTAGCTTGACCAAGCTGGTATATTTCAACTGCCATATGAGATGTCGTTCAAACCCTTTGCCATTGAGATTGACGTTGGCATAATGCACGCCTGGAAATCGATGTAATTGATCGACATTTTCACCGGACGAAGGCACACCGGTCGATCTCGCATTGAAGCCAACTTCTGACCGCTTTTTGGCAGCATTGATATGTTCAGTTTTAGAGCGAAGGTCAATGATGGTCTTTATCTTTATGGCGTCCGTAAGATATTCACGATCGGATGCACTGCATTCATCTGGACGAGCGCTTCTGAAGAAAAGGCCGGTGTTCAAAACGTCCGACCCAATGATGGAATTGATATGAGCGCCAACATCGCGAAAGTTGAGAAGGCTATCAAACTTGTGTTCCGCAACGACTCCCATAACGATAGAAGTGTGGTCGAGTTCTGTGTACCTAGGCAGGTAATACTGTAGGAAACTAGCCGTCAGTGACGTGACGCATGTGGTTGCACCAACACTGGTCCGAGTCCCATACCAAAGCCAAGATAAATGATCTTCTCGATCTAATTTAATCAAGGTTGTGGAGTTTAGAGCTCGAAAAGAATGGAGCTGTTGATGTATTGCCAGCTGGTGTGTGTCCCTGCTTGCTGTTCTTCAAGACTTACCAACAACGGCAACTTTCGCAGGTGTGTGCAAATTGTGGTGAAGACATTGATTTGACTGCATAATAATGAACATGTGCGACCAAGAAGAAGAGGATACGGACCATAGGTAGGCGAGCTTCCATTTCAGAATGGGGGAATGGGTGTGCCCAGTTCTTGCCTGGGCGAGGACGGGAGCTTACCAAGGTTCGAGCACAGTATCGTAGGCACCTAGGGGGCTTGGATCAGGTCTATTGGGGTGATCTTTCACCTACTGTAGGCGCTCCGAATAGTGCAACTCGCCCCGAGCTTAAGCTTGTGCTCCAGCATCACCACCCAGCATTGGGACCAAAATACATGACGTAGGTGGTGTGGATGACAGACCCAAGCGCATGCTCTTGGTCATGGATGGCACCACTGCAAACTCACCCAACACGGCGGCAAGTGTAGAAGCTCTTGTTCTTCTGGTTTGCACGTCGTCAGTCCTTGCTAGACGCTTCACAATCCTTCTATACACTCGTCCTTTGATGTTGTGGTAGTGTCGCAGCGCGCGTGCAGAAGATCTTGCTGTTGCTCAAAGCACTCTGCGCACCCAGCCACCGTCCTCTTTATCTCCGTCATTGGGCCAAGCACCATGTCGGCAATCAGCACTACTCCGCGATCCAGCTTCACTCCCCCCTCCAACAAACTGGAAGATCAAGGTCGGTCAACTGACAATCCCAGCCTTGCGCGCATCTATCGCAAAAAGACTGACATTCATTACAGCTGCTTCCGCTGCCGTACGTGAGTCTCGAGACTCGACGCGGAAACGAAGTTCTTCCTCAGTTCTCGATGAGGACGGTCGGCTCTCTTCCGCTAGTGAGTGCAAACCCCGCCGTCGTCATACTGTGACCATTCTAATTGTCATCTCAGGTGCCGCGCTTTCTCTGAAGTACGCACGAGCTCAAGATCTACCATCCTATCCTTCTACTGGAGGAGTGAAGCTTGCCTCTGCCGGTGCGGCTGCAAGTCTCGCCGAATCCAATAAAAGGGCCTTCGAACACTGGACACCAGGAAACATTCCAGCAGCCAACACTGCAGCCTCAAAGGCGAAAGATTATGAGATGGACCCCTTATGGAAACCTGAGTTAAGCCAGGCTGGGTCAAAAGCAGCAATAGCAGCTCACAGAGATACTGCGCCGGTGGACATATGGCGCGCCCCCGAAACGGAACATGGCAACTCTGCTGCGACTTCTGCGTTGCAAAATCAGACGTCACCACCCGCCATCACGGAAAGACAGGTGTCGTCTGATGGCCGGCAAAAGGCACTCTTGGCCGCTACGAAGTCGATGTCAAGTGGTAGGCGGCGCGCAGAATCTGCTCCTATGCCACCCCAGCCAAAACAGGGCAACTCGGCCTGGGCTCTGAAGGCTGCAGGATCGGTCCATGGCCGGAAGCCATCCGAGAGGTCTCAAACATCCTCGCCACAGTCTAGCGACTTACTAGGCGCAGACGCAGCAAGAGTTCAGAACATTGCGCGGAACAATGTCTCCAGGCAAATGTACACCTCGAACCCACCAGTTGCAATCGAAGTGGAGGAGAAGAATAGACAGGATATGTTGCGTGCTTCTGCAGTTGCTATGGCGAGAAAAATGTATGCCATCCAGCAAGCACAAATTGATGAAGCGAAAGGAATACATCGGTCGGACAGTCATTTCGCTGCATATAACGCCCGTAGGCGAGCCCAATCTGATGCAGCAAATCAACCTGCGACTGAAGAGTTGCCCCGGTATGAGAATCTAGAAGAGGCTGCTCGCAGGCTAGCACAGGAACGACTTGCGAGGATACATGACGAACACGCCGAATATCGCCAATACTACGGTGCCCAGTCGCCACCTAAACAGTCTCGGCTATCACTACGACGTGGACGGCGAACCTCCAACCTGCAACGAGATGATAGTGACTCCGATGAAGAACAGTCTCGAAAGATCAGATCCCAGATGTCGATCTTCCAGAGCAAGTTAGCTGAAGTCGACAACAAGAAGCGACAAGCCGATCGAGATGCTTTACTTGCCATTGCGCACAAAAATGTGACCGCACGTATGAATGCCATTGATGAGAAAGTGTTTGGCGAGACAGGCAAGACTACTCCTCAACAGCGAGAATTATGGGAGAGGCAAGCTCGCGAAAGAGCTCAGAGGGAGAGCGATGATAGGTTGCTTCATGTCGGCAAGGTCCATATCGGTGGTGGGAAGTATCTCGAACAGTCAGAGATTGATGCCATTGCCAAGGCTCGTTTGCAACCAACGCTGGATGAAATCACAGAAAAGGCTGAACAACAACGAGCGAGAGATGAGGAGCTGCGACAAGAGCAAGAAAGGATCAAGGCTGAGCAAGAAGCCGAGAAGACTAGGCTAGCTCAGGAAAAGGCTGAACAGAGAGCTGCAGCTGGTAAGTACATTCGCCTGACCCAAGATCTAGACTGACCCAATATTAGATCGAGAGAAAGCTGAGGCCAAAGCACAAAGAGCTGAAGAAAAACGAGTCCAGCAAGAGCAGAAGCACGAGGAGCGGCGTGTCAGAACAGAGCAAAAAGCTGCGGAGAAGAAAGCACGCGATGAGGCGAAGGCTGCAACAGACGAGAAAAGACAGTCTGGAACGACAAAGGGCCGTTTGCTGCCTAGTTTCTTGTCTAGAGGCGGAGCGGCTGGGGCCGCCGCAGGAGCTGGAACCGCAGCTGCTGTTGAAGGTACTGTGCACGCGGCAGAGGGTGTGGCTGGTACCACGTTCGGCCCTACGGTCGAGCGAGGAGAGATCACAGGTGACACTGTTCATGAACAAGTCACCCTCGATCCAGCCGAAGCTGCCCATGCTATGGCAAGTACCGAAAATGAAGAGGACGCAACGCCCAGACCAACAGAAGAATCCGGTATCATTGGTGAATCAGCATCTAAGGAGGAAGTTCACGGTCATCCCTATACGGAAACGCAAGAGCCAACATCACCAGCTGTACCTTCAAGCCCGACGTCACCATCGAAACGGGATTCGAAGGTCAAATCATGGTTTAAACGGTTTAGGAGTGGTAGCAAGTCAGAGAACGAGACCGACAAGCAGCCTGAAGACGAAGACGCGGATCCCATGGCAACTGGTCGGACGGCAGAGCCTATCAGCAGTGTCGAGGAGGAAGAAAATCCTGAATCTGATTCTGTTCGTGATGTTGCCCTGGCTGGTCGAAAGAGCGAGGCTGAGACTGACGATATGTACGGCGGCTCGGCTCGACCAGCTGGACGAGTCTCACCGTTGCAAGATGATCCTGCTAGCCATCAAGTTGTCACAAGAGGCGGAGATGGCGAGAGATCAATCAGTCCAATCTCAGGATCGTCAGAACTCAGTGAAGACCCATTTGTGATTGCTGCAGATGTAGCATCGTCGAGATATTCTGAGCATGGAGGATCAAAACGAGACTCTGGCATGGATCAAGCCGGGACAATTTCCGATAGTGACGATGAACCCCGTGGGAGAAAGGGCTTCCGCGAGCGCTTTTTGAAGAAGGTCATCCCCGGCAGACACAAGGACGAGGACAAGCACAAATCTGTTGGAGAATCCGGCATGGTGGATGTGGGGTCTCCCATCGCAGAAGAGACAAGCCATGACCAGACGACACATGATGCAGAAGATGCGCCGGCAGATGAGACCCATGCCAACCCGGATCCTCAAGTTCTTTCCGAGACCGAACCTTTGCGAGAAAAGATTCAGGAGCCATCAACGACGTCGACGGAAGCTGGAAACACTGCCACCACGGGCGCAACAACACCGGCCTTGACGCATACTCAGACCAATGGTGAAGATGACGACGACTTTGAAGAGGCTCGCGATACATTCGATGAGCAGAGACTAGGGCCACCACCGAAACTGGTCGAGGTGTCAAAAATGGAAGCTCCTCGGTTGGTTGATGTCTCTAGTCCAACACAGAAGAAGGGCGGTGAATCTCCAGCCGGCAGGAACAGTATCGGTAGCGGGAGTCGATTTACCGAAGAACTGTAACCGCGTGACTGTTTTTTGGGGAGTTGAAGACCAGTCAGATTGTACGGGATGTATACGAAAAACAAGGCAAGACATGGGGTGCGAACATATGAAGAGGTAGGTGGGAAAATATTGGAGAGAGAAGGATAATCTGCAAGTCCTGGACACAGCTGCTTGATGAATTTCTTTGTTTATGGGACGTTTTCATGTTTTATCGTGGACTGTTTGTAAGGTTGTTGTTGTAACGGAGTCATCATGTCCGATGTACCATGCTGTTCCATGGGAGGAAATATGTACACGCGCAGAAGGTAAGCGAACAATTTAGTTTGCAGTGTGCTTTTGGATACCAATTGAACACCAGTTTGAAAATGGAAATGTGTTTTAGTCTTTGAAAAAAAGGAAATAAAAAATGATACGCATGTTCGAGCTTTGATGGACACTGTGTGTCCTTGTTCGTTTTTCCTGTCCTTTGAACAAGTATGACGAAAGTGAAGAAAGTGTAAGACGATGGTTCGGAGGACGGGATCAAACTTATCCATTGTGGTTTCGAGGTTGACCTAATGTGTGAAAAAGTAAAGAGGTAGGTGTCCTTGGAAAATGCTACGACAGCCCCCTGCGTCAGCAAAGAATTCGCCAATTGAAGCACCCTTCCCAATTCGTAACCGACCGAAAACTCCTAGTTTCTTTGCTTGAAATGCCCATTTCTGATCCAATTATTCCAAGGGTATGCATCGACATAAAAGGGGGACGTAACGCTGGCTAGGTCATAAGTTTATCTCGTGTGCAAAGAACAGAGGCCAAGAGAGAAATTCCATCAGAACCACAACAGGGCACCGATGCTGGCCAAGGTGATCATTGCGAGTTTGACGTCGACGACCGTACGCTCGACGGCGGAGTTGGTCCCGGCGGTTCCACAGCACGAATCACGGTTGTAGGTGACGTTGTTGGCGTCGGCCGCGACCTGGAACACGCTGCCGTTGAAACTGCCAATGTTGTAGTAGTCAACCAACAAGAAATTGGGTGGGCGATTCCACATGGCGGTGCAGTTGTGGACGGCCCGGCCGGCCGACCCGAAACCGGCGACGGCGTTGGTCTCGTTGAGGAGGGGGAAGAAGGGGACGAGCAGGCTCACGCCCGCAAAGTCGACGTCGAGGTTCAGGTTGTGGTTGGCCATGTACATCCTTTCCTGGCGGGTCTCGCGGGCTTGGTCCGGGGGCCGCTGGGCGGTGCAGGGGAAGTCGCGGTCCGTGGGGGAAAAGGGCGTCTCCCACATCTGGCTGAACTCGTCCAGGAGCCAGGGGATGGCGGTCTGGTTGGCCTGGTAGTCGAGCATGACGACGGCCCGCTGCTGGCGGAGGATCATCTCCCCCAGGGTCGGCCACGAGTCCAGGGGCATGGGCAGGGTGGGAGGAGTGTAGACGTACCTGATCAGGCCAGAGTCGACGACGGGGGCGGTGAAGTTGCCCGGGTCGACGAGGTCGTAGTTGCCGATCAGGATGGTGACGACGTCGGTGGTGTGCGTCCGAAGCCACTTGGTCACCTTGGTCAGGTAGTCTTGCAGCGTGCCGACGTTGAGCAGGTCGCACGACGTGTGACAGAGGTACATGGTCCCGTTGACGTTGTGGGCTTGGAATTGTACTGCGACACAGGATCGTCACCGTCAGTATTTACCATCACAGAGAGAGAGAGGGTATGTGGGGGTAGACGGGTAAAACAAGAAAAAAAAACGTACACATGCGAATACCGTCGTTGAGTTGGGTCGTCACGTCCAATTCCTGGTTTGACGCGAGGTTCCCGGCTCGCACAAAGGGACTGTTGTGGGCAGCGACTTGAGTGATGTTGCTGTATTTACGTTGACAGAATGAAGGATGACCGTTGCAAGGTGCCGTGTTGGTGGGGAGGATCGACGTCGAGGTCGAAGTAGCGTTGCGTGAGGCAGTGCTGTTGCTGGCGGAAGTTGTTTTGGGAGATCCCGACAACACGGTGGCCGTCGGACTGGACGACGACGATGATGATGTGCCGTTTGTGGAATTTCTCGAGCCCGACGACGATAACGAGGCGGTGGCGTTGGCCGTGGCCATGGCGCTGGAAAAGTCCGACATGGTGGCATAGTCGGTCGTGCCGGTGAAGGTGATGGTGTTGCTGTGGTCTGCATATGTGCCACTTGCATAGTCGGCGCCGGTCGACGTGGCCGGACTTGACTCTGTCGTCTCTGAGCCGGTGTGGCTGGTGCGACTGTCGTCGGATTGAGATGAGACCAACAGCGCAAGGCTGGCACAGATGGCCAGCAGGGCCAACTGCATGGCGGGGTGGACTTTTCTCAGAGGAAGAAGTCAAAAGCGATAATGTGTAGTAGTAGTAGACCAAGAGACCAAAAAAAGGGTCAGTCGATATACCCCCAAAAATATATATAGAGGTGCGAAGACTCTCTCGAACTCATACGAAGTACTGTAGAGTGACGATAACGGGGTAGAATGGATCTGACGAAAAACTTGATGGTGACGGGGATATGATGCGCGGCGTCAGTTGGGTACGAGCCTTTTGGTGGATACCAAGTAGGTATTGTACCTACTTGTGTAGGCAGGTAAGGCAGAGACAAGTGAGATATACGGAAGTACGAGTACGGAGTATTTAGTCAGGTCACTAGTGACAAACTGACCACCCTTTTCAACCTTGTCGTCTCCTTTTGCGCACCAATCTAGGTACAAGTAATACATGGAGTTCCTACTCGTACAGTATGGAGTACTAAATTGCCACAAGAGCGCAATGACGTGTGTTGTCTTGGATACTGTGACAAGAGACTTTGACAATTTTCAGGCACAGACGCCTTTTGCAGAGTATCTTGAGATTGATCTAGGTCTAGATCTGCTAAACTTTTGTGGAAGTTGGGATTCATTATTTACTCTCCACAGTCCATTTCAGCCTGCAAAACACTGATCTCGCTGCCTTCTGGACCACAAAATGAAGATTCGTCTAGTCGAAAGATCAAATAATTTCCTCCGTCTGACAAGCAAAGATTATACCAGTCACGTGATCAACATCCTCGCTTGAAAAGATATCAAGGTTCCGGGACGTCGGCATATCCACCTAGTCTAGTCCTGATCAGGCATGGGATGTTCAATTCAGTGCGTGAAATATGTCATTTCGAATCCACTCTCCCTCAGCCACATCAATGACCCAACAACGAGCAACAGAGCGACAAACAGTGACAAGAACAATAACCCCAAGGCTGAAGCCCAAACTGATGAGATACGGAACCTGCGCTCAACAGATCTTCCCTCCCCTCTATATGTAGACACCACACAATTCACCTCCTTTCCGTCCTTAGTCAACTTTTTTGCACATGTCGTACTTGACCCAAGGACCATGACGCACCAAAAACGTCCTCGAAGCACCTTAATCCGACCTTGACGAGTCCCTCGAGGGAGTCTTTAATTTTTTTCCCTACGAGCATTTGTTTCAAACGCCTCTTCTTCACCATCTCCCTGCAATAATACATCACACACCAACATCCTTCCGCCATCCGGGGTGTCTTCTCTTTCCCCTTCAGGCGCCATCCCGTCACAATGGGCCTCTTCTCACGGTCCAAGCAGACGACGTCACCCTCGAGCGAACCCAAAAACGATCCTCTTTCCAACTATCAGAAACCCCGACCAACGGGCCTCCGCATCTACACCGGCCTCGCCTACCTCTTGTCGACGATTTTCCTCATCCTCGTCGAGATCGGCAACATCAACGACAAGGCCGTCATCCGCTCGACGTACTTTCTCCGGATCAGCCTCGCGGACATCATCCCGTCGTCGTTCCCGAACGCCGCCTTCATCAACAGCATCGCCCAGACCATCGGCCTCCACGATTTCTATCAGGTGGGACTGTGGAATTTCTGCGAGGGCTACGACGACCAAGGCATCACCTACTGCAGCCCGGCCAAGACGCTCTACTGGTTCAACCCGGTCGACATCATCCTGAACGAACTCTTGGCCGGGGCGAGCATCACCTTGCCCACCGAGGTCGTCGACGTCCTGAACCTGGTCAAGCTGGCCAGCCGGTGGATGTTTGTGTGCTTCCTGATCGGCACCATCCTCAGCTTCTTGTGCGTGTTTCTCGCCCCCCTGGGCTTCAGCAAGAGGCCGAGGTGGCAGCACAAGGCGCGGAGGATCTTCTTCCGCCAGTTGCCCATCACCGTCCTGACCTTTGCCGCGTTGTTGTTCACGGCCGCGGCGTCGGTGATCGCCACCGTCATGTTTGTCATCTTCCAGGACAAGTTCTCGGGCGCCGAGGACCTCAACATCCGCGCCTACCTGGGCAAGCCGATGCTGGCCTTCATGTGGGTGGCCACGGGGTTCAACCTGATGGGGTTCCTGATGCAGATCGGGACGTGCTGTGGCGTGTGCTGCTGTACGGGCCGACGCAAGGCCGAGAGGAGGAGCCGCGCGAACGCCGCGGGGACGACCGTGAGAGAAAAGGACGGCCAAGGCTCCGGCCGGGAACCAGGTAAATTCGGGTTCAGGAGGAGAGCGAGATAGAATGGCGGTGCAGGGTGGTGCCGTTCTGCGTGCGCGTTGTCTCAATTCGGGCTTCTACCCCAGTTGAATGCTGAGATGAGAGCATTCTCGGCCAAATCGCAGCTGTCCATTGACCATACGCTCCGCGGTTGATAGATTCGAGTTCTTTCTCTTCTACTTGTCGGGCGATTGGCGTCATAGCAAGCGGGACCAGGAGGAGTTCACGGTGTATACACCGATAAGCACATACTATTGTAATGACCCGGGGTACCGACCACGTACAAAGCCAACAATGATCGATACCAGATCTTTGGGGTATGAAGTTTTTCTTTTCTCAATTCTAGCTCGTCAATGCTATTTGATACATACAGTGAACCCTCGTCCCTCTTCATGTTCCTGTTCCTGTTCCTGTTCCTGTTCCGGTCCCCCTTTTCCTGTTCATTGCTGTTCCATATATTTGCTGATAATTACACAGGTAAGTAGCTCAAAAAGAAATCCACTCCTGAGTCCAGACCAAGGCTCCACTCCCGCTCCCCGTGAACCGATCCGTGACCAAGCCGGTGCCTCTGAACTTCCCGCCCTGCCCTTCTCTGTCGGGGGTGCAATACCTCAGCAAGGCGCGCCTCTCGTCCAGAAAGAAGGTCATGTCGACCCACTTGGGCTCGAGTTCGGCGGCGACGGCGCCGCAGCCGACGACGGCGTGTTCCTCGATGCTGCTCATCTTCTCGGCGATGGTGTAGACGCCCAGGGTGTCCCAGACGCGGCGCTGGATCTCGCTCTCCTCCAGCAGGCTCGTGACCTGGTGGCGGACTTTTGTCGAGCGGCAGCGCGTGCTGCCGAGGTAGAGCGGCGGGCCGATGCCCGAGTCGACGCTGATGCTGTGCTCCTCATAGGCGAAGAAGGAGGAGCGGTTGAAGATGCTCTCGCACAGGACGAGGATGCGGGCAAAGTGCGCGCTGAGCGCCTCCTTGCGTTCGGCGTACGTCCGGCAGGACTTGTGGCAGTCGCACGTCTCGGGAGGGTCGCAGAGCGGCACAATCACCTCGCCGGTCTCGGGGGAGTGGAAGGCCATCTGGGTGAGGAGCAAAAGGTACGACGCCTCGCGGTACGCCTTCAGGAGGTGGCCGCAGTGCTTCTCCTGCGAGCTGGATTCCCGGCGGTCGCGTTCCGTCTTGGAGAATTCCGCGTACGCCATGGACCACTGGAGCAGGCGCGAGATGTGCGCGTGGTGGCGGGAGAATCCGGACCCGATCAGGTCCCCCTGTTCGAGGAGCATCCAGGTGTGCCAGATCCATTTCGTCTCGGTGAAGAGCACGTCGCGCGCCTGGGAGAGGGAGGTGAACGCCCGGGGGATCGTATAGGGGTTCGGGTCCGGCAGGTACGAGACTGATTCCGCGTCAAACGGGTTGAGGGATGGCGCGGGTATGGCGTCTTCAGGTTCGCTGAGGATCGTCGCGAGGCCGCCGAACAGCCGGACGGACTCTAGTTCGAGTTTGAGAAAGAGTCGCCGCAGGCTCTCGTAGTTCAGGTCGACTGTGCGGTACTGCGTGTCTTTGTACGTCGTGCGCATGTTCCGTCTCAAAAGTCCCTTGAGGCCATTGGTCATGTGTAGCTGCGCCGCGTCGTAGTTCCCTTGGAACGTCTCGAAGAGGCTGAATAGTTTCATTGCCACCATGTTGATCTCGGCCGCATTCGGCACCTCGGAGGCCATGTCGTTGGACAACATCCGTAGTGCCTTTTGGTATAGTTTGTCCGATAAGTCGCAGTACTCGAAGGCTTCTTTGGAAATTCCTAATTCGAACCTACGATGGACAGCACCGACCGCTGCGGCAGCTGCTAGGACGGTCGGATGTTGGAGGGCGGCTTTGGTGACATATGTTCGCCATATCGAGCTGTCGAAATAAGCGGCGAATTCGGGGCCTGTTCTCGATCGGAAAAAATCAAAACAGTAGAAGTCATTGTCCTTTTCGAACAAGACGTTCGAAGGAGGCCGATATAATAGAGACAGTCCTTCGTCCACTACAACCAGTTGTTTCCTGGGTTTGGACAGAGATGGAATGGCTACTTTAGTATTCGTGCTCGTCCTCTGGCGCTTCGGACCCGGTTCGCATATACTCGTGGGAGAGTCTTCGTGGGAGGTGGGCGGAGATGGCTCTTGGGCATAACCGTCGCATTTACGACCTGTTGAGGTACATCTACGGCAAAAGGGCTTTTCCTCGTCGCACTTCTTCCGGCGGATCCTGTAGGATCATAATGTTAACTCCCACTTCATGCAATCAAGAGAAGCTGTACTTGCGCAAACGTACTTGCATGTTAAGCATCCTGTCCGGACCTTGTTGTGGGTTTTGCGTGTTCGTTTCGGCTTGTCACTTTCGGGTACTTCCTCGACTAACGTGGTGGTAGCCATTGCGGGCGGCAAGTTTGTATTTTCCAGCGAGAATTCGAAACGTCGACCTCGGGTTTCCGCAAGGGGGATTGGTCGCGAGTGTATATATTTCTGCGACAAGTCAATATTGGGCCCTTTCGGTGCCTGGAGCGTCTGCAAAGCCATGACTCGAATGGTCAATTCAAGAGCAATAAGCCATGTCTTCATGTGCATATTACCAAAGATGCGGGGCCTGCATAACCGACTGCGATTGGTCGGAGCGTACTTTTTTGACGCCACTTACCACCATTGCTGACAACGACGGATATCGACGGTCCACATGAGGTCGCATTGTCCCAGGCAGCAATGGGCCATTTGACGAATAGAGTGATCGTGGTCTGCAAGCTCAGGGCTGAAGTTATATAAGTGACGGACTTGATCTCCAGGCCAGCTATTACTTGCATACCAAAAGTCTGATTACGAGCATGGCATTTGATGAAATCCTGTTGCACGGGGGAGTAGATACGGAATAGATGGGAAGATTTATCAAAGAGACGCCAGGGAGAATGAACATCTTATTCTCCCTCATCGCTTTGCCCTCACTTGCGACGAGTGTTACATTTTGCCATCACTACTCAGTCGACATATCACCGCTAAATCCTAGACTCCTCAAAGTGATGATCAACAAGACCTTTGATACCGGTTACGAGAGCATCACAGAGTTATCTTTGGAGTGTCAAAAGTCCCTCGTATTTAACAATTCACGTATTCATCTTCGCGGAGTTGGCCCTTCTAGGCATAGTTTCGACTGGTATTCAAAATGTCTACACAGTGCGGAGACTATCGCTGGTTCAGGCTCAACCACCGCCAATCGCCATCGCATAACGGGCCATCCTGCACCTGCGGCTGACCGTTGACCACTATCCATGCTGCCTGAGGCTAATGAACGATGTATCAGAACATGGTTCAAAGGTCGATCCTTCTACATTACGCGTTCGACAACTGCGAGGGGTAAACAGTAATACAGGGTATATAGATACTGTTCGGTCCCTTTGAAAGGAAAAGTACCTCTTTCTCCCCGCACATGCTGTACTTCCATCACCTGTAGACAGATTTCAGGGTACGAACCCTGCAAAATCAAGGCCTTATCGCTGCCCGTCTTTCTTCCTTGACCCTAACCGTCTCACCTTTGTCCCACCATGAACCGCAATAACAACAATTACTACGATGGTCCTCCTCAAGGAGGCTATGACCAACCTATGAATCCACAAGTCAACGTATACGTCGATGGCAACAACGGCCGGGGTTACAATCCTGGATACGGGCCTGGATATGGGCCAGGTTATGGTCCCACCATGGGCATGAGAGGTATGAGAGGCGTGGTATGCAACATGTGTGGTCATCGTCGGTGTCGGTGCAACAGCTTTGGTGGAGGTCTTGGTGGAGGTCTTGGTGGAGGCTTCGGTAGGGGCTTCGGTGGTCCCGGAATGTATGGTGGCAGGCGACAGGGCCTTTTGGGCACCCTTGTTGGCGGCGCCATGGGCATGTATAGTGACCGAGCCGATCGAAAGCATGAAGAACGTCAGATGGCAGCGCAGAGACGGATGGAGGAAGATATGCGGCATGACTCTCGTGAGCGGGGATTGGACCCTGGCAATATGCAATACCAGAATCAGGGACAAAATCGGTCAAGGAGTGCAATGCGTGACGAGGAACGAAATAGGGAAAGGCAAAGCCCATTCAGGCGCCAAAGCATGGATGCTGCGAGAGGGCATAGTGAGGATGAATCTGAAGGGGAGGCTCGTGAACACCCACGGGATCAAAAGCGTGGGAGAAGCAGGGACGATGGCAGGGATAGCAGGAGAGCTGAGCAATGGGATGAAGAGTTGCCAAGTTATCAGAGTGCAACGAGAAGGTAGACCAATTGTGGGAGTATCAGGTATACCCTATTGAGTCTTCTGAGAATGGTTTGATTTTTTCTTTTGCGAGTCTTTTTGTCATGGCAGACATAGACGTACATCTGGTAGCTCGTCTGTTCTCGTCCTGCACTGGTAATGCCACTTTTGTATAACAAAGCAATGCTCGCTCATGACAGGGTATGCTCTTCGAGGCCATACGAATCACTGACCACCTCCCACTGCGCCAACGCTTCAGTATTGTGCGCTCGTCGAGCCTTCATTCTTCTCGACTAGATCACCCACACCTAGTTGACGACCAATCTTGACCTTGACCATTTTCTCCTTCTTCCCCCCCTCACCGTTCACAGCCTCTCCATCCTCGCCTTTCTTCCCTAAGGAGCCGACGCCGTCGCCCTCATCTTCATCCTCTTCAGGGACGTCCTTGATCTGCATACTCCGCAGATCCATCCTCATTGCATATGCATCCTCTCCGTCGGCGTAGTATTTGCTCTCGATCTTGTCCACTTGGAAACCCAGTGTATCTCTGTACAAATGTAGAGCGGCCGAATTCGACATTCTCACATGCAGACTGACATAGTTGGCGTTGAAAACCTCTGCCATGGCTCTTTGACTCATTCTCATCAATCTTTCTGCGATGCCGAGCCGTCTATGTGTCCGCATCACCGACAAACTCGTAATATGGCCATGCTGAACGCCGTCGGGCGGGTCTTCCTCCATCTTTGCTAACACATAGCCCACAACTTTTGGATATGCCGATGGTTTACCGCCCGGCCCGCGAACGACGGCGACGAAGGAGAGTTGAGGCCATGTCAAGGCGTGGTAGAGGTAGTATTTAAGGAAGTAGTTCTCTGGAAGGTTGCTTAGGTTGCATTGCTGTATTGACGGAAGCAGTGAGATGTGTGAAGGATATGAGGAGACTGGGACGATGTCGACCATCTTGTCGGTCTTCTTTCCACTTGAGGCGCAGAATATACTGTTGTTTCGTCGTGGTAAGAATGGTAGATGGGCATGAGGAAGAAGTTTGATCGAAGATACTGCTCGGCAAAACTGCGGCTTAGTGACCGCCAACTCACCCCGATGTTGATATTAAATTCGTATTCTGCGTGTGCACTTCTAGATTCAATATATTGTCTGGTACTATATTTTCCAGCAAAGTCTTCCTGGGACAGAGGTCTATGCTATCGACATCTTCATGCCACCGTTTGCACAAATAACACTACCAGTTGTCCAACCACTTTCCTGGGAACAAAGCATGCCAATCACGCCTGCGATTTCGTCGGTGAATCCAGGTCTCTTCCCACCCATTCCCTTCATAACAATATTGTCATACTCCTCGGGATTTCCACCTGCTCGGCTCTGAACGGCAGCATCGCCACCCTTGTAGTTCATCAAAGGAGCTTGGTCCACATATTGCTGATTGATCTTCCAGAATTTCTCCCCTGCTTGACTATACATGTCTCCCCAGACCGGACCCGGGTTGATGGCGTTGACAGTACAGTTCTCAGCCAACTCGCGAGCCCATACTCTTGTCATTGCTTCAAGCGCCGCCTTTGTTCCTGCGTATATCGATTGTGACTCGCATCCAAGAGGCGCCGACACGCTCGAGACGTTCACAATGCGACCCGTGCGATCCTTGGGCAGATATGGCTGACAGGCCTGGACGAGCAGCAAAGGAGCAAGGACGTTCACATTGTACTGCTTGTGGAATTGGGTCTCTTCGATCGGCCCCAGTTCGGGGTCGTTCAACAGCTTATTCCCGGCGATTCCTGCGTTGTTGATAACGATGTCGATCTGGAAAGCTCCACTACGAGGATGAGAGAAATGGTTTTTGGCCGTTGATACAATATGAGGAGCTGCTCGGCTAGGTTCTGACAGGTCTGCCTGGACCGAAGTGCAGATGATACCATACTCGTTGCTGAGCTCCTCACATAGGGCTTTGGTAGGTTCGGTGGATGAGTCGGAGGTGTAGACAAGTAGCAGCGAGCAACCTTTTGCGGCCAAGTTGCGAGCTACAGCGGCTCCAATACCTATATAACGTCAGGAATCGATTCTCGTTCTTCAGCTTCGGGCGCAGTCACCTCTCGATCCTCCTGTGACAATACCAAACTTGCCCTCGTGTGGTCTGTAGACCACATCTTTTGGCATATTTGTAGACGAGAACGTTCGCCTGGTAGGAGTTCGAGTGGCCATTTTTATAAATGTTTGATTTGAACAGGTAAGTAGCCGAGACTTTATATGTTCGTCGTTGCGGACTTTGTAGTACAGACGACTTGGTGGGATGTTCAGTGGAGAGCGAGCGACGCGGGGAGGAATTTGGTCGCGGTGTCCATCGAAAACGGACGCAGATGGCCCGAAGTCCACGTCTTCGAGTAGAACAAACTGAACTATTCAGCAGTCCATCCTCCTGACCAGCTAATTACTGCCGATTGTACTCCGTACTGCCGTCCTCGATCCGCTTTGCTCATCACCAGCGCATGGCCGTTCATGGACTTTCTCAAATCCGCAGTCGCCTCTGCCATCGCAAAGTCCAGTTCCTTCCCAGTCACCATCGGAGACAGAATTGACGCGGGAGAATCGATATGGAGCGTACATAACGCTGTCAAGAAGGTATCAAAGGCCCAACGCAAGATGGACAGTTGCTAAATATCATCTAGGATGACAACACTCCCTGCTCCCTTTTCACCTTTGATATCAACAAAGACAAAGCACGATTACCCTTAGCGAAGAATGCAGCCCGGAAATTGCGAACACTGCGACACCCCGGGGTCATAAGAGTCATAGATGTGGTCGAGAATGAAACGAACATCTACATAATCACAGAAAAGGTTACACCGCTGAGCTGGCACATAAAGCGCAAGAGTCTGAGCGAGGAGACCATAAAATGGGGGCTGTACAGCATTTCTTCTACCCTGAAGTTTATCAACAGTGACGCTTCATCCGTTCACGGCGCCGTTCGTGTCTCTTCGGTATACACCAGCGAAAGCGGAGAGTGGAAACTTGGCGGCTTTGAGTTATTGAGTTCCATGAACGAGGACGATGCCATCATCTATACATATGGCAGTCTGCTACCAGATTCTAATCGATATGCACCTCCTGAAGTGGCCAACGGCGGCTGGTCCACCATCAAAAAGAACCCTCTTGGAGCGCCGGACGCCTATGGCTTGGGTATCTTGGTATTTGAAGCTTTCAATGGCAGTTTCATGGGCAATGATCAACTCGGCCAACCCAGAAGCATTCCTGCCAACATGGTTCAAAGTTATCGAAGGCTTGTCAATGCAAATCCCAAGCTAAGGCTCGTTGCAAGCCATTTCGTCGACCAGGGAAAGAAAACTGGAGGCTTTTTCGAGACCCCTCTCATCCACATCACGGAAGGGGCTGACAGCCTAGGGTTGAAGAGCGAAGAAGAAAGGGACCAATTCCTGGCGTGAGTATTGACAGTACCTTGACCTTTCAATTTGACTGACTGTCGCAGCGAACTTGACGAGCTTACAGATGACTTCCCGGAAGACTTTTTCAAGATGAAGATTCTGCCCGAGCTGCTGAAATCGGTCGAATTCGGTGGTGGAGGACCAGGAGTATTTGGTGCAATCATGAAAATTGGACTGAAAATGTCGGATGACGAGTTCGAATCCAGACTCGGGCCTGTCATTATTCGCCTCTTCAACAGTCCCGATCGTGCCATGAGGGTGTGTCTACTGGATAACCTACCTCTGATGATCGACAGAATATCACAGAAAGATATCAATGGCAAGATTTGGCCTGCCATAACAACTGGATTCACCGACACTGCACCTATTGTCAGGGAGCAAACAGTCAAAGGCGTTCTGTCAGTCATATCGAAATTGTCTGACCGCATCATCAATGGGGAGCTCTTGCGATTTTTAGCCAAAACTGCAAATGATGAACAGCCTGGTATCCGTACAAACACCACAATCTGTCTCGGCAAGATCGCGAGGAATCTTGGGGGAAGTTCCAGGTCCAAAGTGCTCATTGCTGCCTTTACACGAGCTCTGAGAGACCCTTTTGTACATGCGAGAAATGCTGCCCTGATGGCGCTGAATGCAACAATCGATGTTTTCACCGACGATGATTGTGCTACAAAGATCCTTCCGGTCATCTGTACGATGCTTGTGGACAAGGAGAAACTGGTTCGGGATCAAGCGAACAAGGCACTCGACATTTACCTCCATCGGGTACGAAAATTTGCTTCTACAATGCCAGACAGCGTCCTGCCGCCCGGAGGAGCTGCTGCCACAGCAGCGCCCTCGGCCCCTGCGAGGATGGGAAACCAAAATGATACTGGTTGGGCAGGATGGGCGATATCTTCATTCACGAACAAGCTAGCTGGTGCGCGAGGAGAAATGGCTCCCACAGGCACGACAAATGGATCAGCCTTGACACAGACACAGTCGCTACCTGCCTCCGGCCGGGCCACTCCAAGTATAAACGTTGCGCCTGGTAAACCGATCTCTTCACCCAAGCCCCTACAGCCTCACACGGCTAGAAGCTCCACGTCGCAACCACCCGACATGTTTGAGGAAGATGTTATGGATGCTTGGGGCACTATGGACGATGAGGGGGATAGCTTCTTCGATGCGTCCTCTAATCGCGCAGCGAAGCCGTCCAGCCCTGGACCTGCAGCGGCTTTTGATGATGGAGGGGAACCAGATTTCGCAGGATGGCTGGCTGCACAGTCGAAAGCTAAATCTCAAAAGCAATTGCCCAGAGGCCTGAACAAGACGACAGCCAGCGGTGGCACTCTGGGTGTTCGACCATCAGGGCCTCCAAGAAGTGTATCGGCAGGAGTCGCCGCCACCTCCAAACGGCCAGCAGCCGCCGCTGTTGTGAAAAAGGAGGTAATCAAGGAGGTCCCTAAACCGAAGGAACCGGATGTGAACGATGAGGACTGGGGTGCTGATTGGGAATGACCATAGTCCTTTTCAAAGACAACGACAAGAAAACGTCTGCTGCATATTAGCGTTGGGTGTCCAATCAGAAGGGAGCGCATATGAGCATGTTAGACACGAGCAAGGCGTTGGGAGTAGTTCTGATTGTATGTACAACGTTCGATTGTTCTTTATATACGGTCACAACATCATGGCAACATCATGCGTTCGTTGGATGTCTGAATTTCTCTTATATCCAAAAGTTTCAGTTTATCATGCCTTTCTCGCCCCATTCTTCTACCATCTCCGGTAGTCTACACTTACACACCTTGCAGTCAGTCCTCACGCATTTGTTGTCGACAAATAACATGGCACGTCCTGAATCTCCGGACGACGGCAGTTTCAGCAAGGTGCTTTCACAATTGGAACGATTTCATGTCACCCCGGAAGATCGACAGAGAGTTCTCAACCAAGTATTGACGGTCCCCCTCGTCGCCCTCTCTCGCCCTCCTCCCCTTTCGGGAGTAGTAAAGGAGGAGCATCGGGAACCACGATCGGTCCAGGCGGGTAGGGGTCAGTCTGACAGAGTAGTGTTGCCTACACAACTCTCGACCTACGTTAACCCACCCGGACATCAACGACGCTCCCACAACGCCCTGGGAGAACCGAACCCTTTCCGGGCAGATCAAGAATGGGAATGTTGGGCCCTCAGGAGGATCATCCAGGAAGAATTGGGTTTGAGTAATGAGAGGATAGAGTTCATCTTGGAAAAACACAAAGAGGACGCAATGGAAAGATGGGGGAGGTGAATGAACCTCTCAGGGATCATATGACGAGAGTCGGTTGGAGTTCGTAGTCTACCTGGCTAGGTAGGGAGTACAAAGAAAAAGGGACTGACATGTCGGGGGGAAAAAAGGAGCCAATGTTGGTCGGTTGCCCCCTTTTGCGATATTATGTCATGGGTACTCTATCGGTGGACAGACAGTGTCAAGGTTTTGTTGTGCTGCAACGAGAGCAGATGTACTGAAATGATACCTGACATTGACATATCGAAAATCATACGTTTACCTACGGCCGACACCAGTGGTGGGTGTTTGGTTTTGAGAATGCAGTAGCCACAGAAGCTAGAGCAGCGGTATCGGTGGCACCATTCTCGAAAAACCAAACCGACCTTGGTTTTTGTTTTGGCCTTTTTGAGCTCATGAATTCCGTTATTGTCATTCAACTCTCACTCGATCCTTCCGTCCTGAACCATCTCCCTCATGACCTCTATCGTCTTCTCCACGGCCGTCTGGGCCATCTTCCACTCTTTGTTCCGGGCGGCCTCGAGGCCCGCGTCGTCGCCCTCGAGCTCGCGGTGGAGCCACTCGAACGTGTAGGTCATGAACAGGTTCCCCGTGGCGTCCTGGTTGATGACGTTCTGCACCTTGCTGCCGTCGGGCTGGTGGAACTCGACCTTCATCGGTTCGAAGGCGATCACCTTCTCCTGCACGCGCCGGTTGCCGTCGCGGAACACGACCTCGCGGACCGTCACCGGCAGGCCGTGTTCGTTTGTGGTCTCGGAGATGACGTCGGTCGAGATGATGGCCGCGCCGACAAAGGCCTCGGCCGCCCGGATCTTCTTCAAGAGCCCCTGCCAGATCTGGGCGTACGTGAGCACCGGGCTGGCCCCGGCAGGGTTGATGGGCGCAGTAAAAGCGACGTAGTTTGCCGGAGCCGGTTTGGAGGGGTTTCCGCTCATGATGACGATGCACTTGTTACTTGGTAGATACAACGGGCTCTTCTCGAAAGAGAAAGTCTGTATCTAGAAGTCTGGAGAGTCTGTTTGTGTTCCGAACTTGTAAGCTCGTAGAACTTGTGGGCGGTCAAAGTCTTCTTGGAAAGTCGTGCGAGTAGAAGTAGAGAAAGCTGGTGCAAGGGTCGCTGTTGTACCCGTTAGGTCAACATAAATACTCCGTGATGTGGTGGCATGAGCTGGAGGGTTGTCTACGGACTATTTTGGTAGTTAATAAGCGTCGGCGTCGGATTGCACGAGGCCGACAAGTCTTTATCGATAAGATACCGAGTACGAGCACGATTACCAATGTCAGCCTCGTCAAAAAAAATCACGTGAGAAGGCAAAGGCACTCTTGCGAACAACTTTTCGGAGGGACGATAGAAACAAAACCACAATTCTAGCTAGGAGTATACACACGAAGAAACAATAGGATACAGTTAGGTGAAGCCCCTCCTGGTAGAAGGGTAATTATTGGTGAATAAACACCACCCCTCGACAAGCTAGGCAAATAGGTTTACTCACACCCACTAAAGTTATCCAACTAGCGAAGCATTAGTGAGCCGTATCTTGATATACCAGACAGGTCAAATTATGCCACCAAATCAAGCACACAGATTTCATCTTCTTCGATGGTGTAGTGGGTTCGTAGAATTCGTTCTTCTGTCGTTTGTGTCAGATCCTAACCGTGCATGTAGTAACATCTCGGCTTGTCACGCCGAAGCCCGGGGTGTAGGTTTTCTCCTCCTGCTTTCAACTCCAGACATTGGACTAATCAGTACTCCAGTCAATTCCCCGTCGAAGAGACTCGATTCTTTTTTTGGTTGTTTCTTTCTTCACAGAATCCGGTCTCCCTCTTTTTGTGCAGTGTGCGTGTAAAATACACTGTGGGCCTAGCTTTTAAGGCGGGGCTTCAATTAGTTTTTTTAACATAGTTGGATGGATCCATCCAAAGATGAAGGTGCATCAGGAAGATCGATGCATTTCATAATCAGGATACGTTGGACTGCCGATGCCGATGCATTATTCCAGTACCGAGTAGAGAAAGTCTTCACCACCCACTCACCTCGTCCTCGCCCTCCGGGGTGGTTTTCTGAAGCCTTTTCGCAACCCCGTTGGCAGTCTGCCAGACACGCAGGAGATTACCGCCAGCCACTTTACCAGCATCCTTATCACTGACACCCATCTTCAACAGTTCGGCAATTAGGTTGGGGTACTTGTCCACTCCATCCAGGCCTTCTGGAGTGAGCTCTCCCATACCATCAAAATCACTGCCGAGTCCGACATAGTCATAACCGATCTTGTCACCAACGTAGACAATGTGTCTAGCGACCTGGTGCAATGTGTTGTTCTTTTCGTAAAATTCCGGAATTACACTCGAATTTGGTGGGGGTAGGCATGAGATGAAACCGGGTGAGAAATTGATCATCACCAGGCTCTCAGTCTCTTTCACCAGATCCAGGATATCATCGTGGACGTTTCGCGGATGAGGGCACAAGGCAAATGCTGACGAATGAGAGAAAATAACGGGAGCTGCGGAGGTCTTGTTGCTCAGCACGGCTTTCTGAGTCCAATATGACGTGTGGGAAATGTCTACCAGCATGCCGAGACGGTTCATTTCGTGAACAACCTGTCTACCAGCAGGTGTCAATCCGCCGCGGTGGTATGGAGCAACCTTCGTCTCCCGCTTTGAAGTGATGAGCGCAGCGTCTGCGAATGCGTTATGACAATTCCATGTAAGTGTTGCTGCACGGACACCCAAGGCATAGTACAGCCGGAGTGTCGACAGAGGAGCAGACTGGGGGACTTGATGTAGTCCTTCAATACTTATTGGCGAAATCAGGGATTTTGTGGCATGGAAGTTGTTCAGAGCCACTGAGAGAGGGAGTGTCGCAGACGTGAAGTTGTCGGGGTACTCATCCTGGATTCGTCGGACGAGGTCGATTTGCGACAGAGTATGTGCAACAGCCGTGGCATATGTCTCGTCCGAGAAATCAACACTGGCATCGTCTGGACAACCAACAAAGGCGCTCCAAAACGAACCTCCTACTTGACCTGCTTGCAGTCTCGGTAAATCAACATTCATCTCCATTCCCCCGTTCTCGAATTTGTCTTTGAATTCTTTGGTATGTAATTTATTTTGATATGCAAATCGGATAAAGATGGCCAGGTCATTGTGGCCATCTATGAGAGGAGTATGACTGAGGATATTAGACACTCTGTCCGCGATCGTCTGAGGAGGCTTCGTGGGTAGTGGTAACGGTTTCTTCTCGTCCCCGAATTTCGGTCTGAGCACGGCGAGTACTACCATGAAGAAGACAATCATCATGAAGAGGAGTCCAATTCCCTCCGAGGCAGAGCGGGCAGCTCTCGTCGTGACCGACCGTGCGTCATCTTGTTCATCACCATCATCTGGCCATCTCTTCACTTCTGGTTCGTGCTCTTGAGCTTGTATTCCGGCGTAGCCATGATACCTCGAAAAGCCATGTCCTTGGATTTCTGGGGCAGGCTCATTATGAGGAAGAAGAGGATCGATTTCAGTGGTGGAAGCCATTGTGCCTTAGATTTGAGGATAAATATACAGATACGAGTAGTGCAAAGGATAGTTGCGTAACACATATGACGGGTTCCCGGTGATATTACCGGTCCTCCTGTGATGCCAACTACCTTATCGAAGGCGATACCGCAGGTAGATGGTCAACTGCGCACTCAAGATGGAGGTTGGAAAGCGGCTTATCGATAGCACGGGAACAGAGCAATTGGGTGGATCCGACAACTTACACCACGGTACGGATATGCGGTCCGGGAAGTGCCAGGGAACACGAAGGGAAGACGTTGAAGTCGGCGATCTTTTCTTGGGGAAGACCAGTGTCGGATTCTGTCTGGATATTTCGTCTTTGTGGTCATCTTAATAAACTCATCAATAAACCCCCCAAAGCGAGCAATTGTACTCCGTAGGTGCGGAAATGTTGTAGCGATTTGGGTTGGAGCCCCTGAATCTTCCAGAACGGAGAGTCGTAAACACAACATTGACCAGCCAACAAATCAATGGTTTTCACAGCGAGCCGAAGCGACCATGAAGTCTGATTGAAGCTGGCAGATTTTGCAAGTCTTCATTGGCGACTGGACGGTAAATTTGCGTGTGAAAAAGCCCACCAATCCAACCGTCGTTACCAAGGCCACAAGCAGAAGCGAAGTAAAACGCGTCTCGGACGCACGACATGCCCCTTGTTTGTTCGACCCCGGATCCACCACGTTGGATTTACAGACTATCAATTTCCATCGTTACCTGGTGGTCTTGTCATTTGCTTTCTCCAGTTGCCTTTTCTTCTCCATCGCACTTGCCTGCCCGACGTTCAGTTGCTGATTTGCGCCTTCATTTCGCCGTCATGTCTGCCAATTCTGGAAATGGCGGCGTGAGAAACCTTCGAGCTATGTTTGAGAACAAAACGACCGACCAAGCCTCATCTCCCCCAAGCCGAGGTCGATCCCCAAATCCTTCTGAATTCTCGAACGGCAGTAGACCGGTGAGCAAAGTCAGGGCGAGCTTCGTTGCAGTCGAGAGGCCTGGCGAAAACGGTGCCGCACCTATTCTAGGCCTACGAAGGACAAGCGACCTAAGCAGCAGAGACGAGAACAGAGAAAATTCTTCAATAGCAACCTTCTCTCCCGAACGACGACCGTTCGCAAGGGAAATGTCCTCATTTGATGGTTCTAGGAAGGATGGACAACATCAGAATGACTCAACGCAGGGAGGGTTGGGAGATATTTTGAAAGGATCGGCATTTGCCGACAATGGGCTTTCGAAAGATAAATCAGATACGAAGGACATAAGCAAAACGCCCTCAAAAGCCCAAGTACAAGAGAAGAAGCATACTGAAGTATCTTCTAAACCCAAGGAAGCAGCGAAGGCTACTGGAGGGGGTGAAAAGGTAACAAGCAATGTTAAAAACTCCGGACCGGCTCCAAAGAGCGCCCAGCCTACCAAGAGTATATCATCTGCCAAAGTACCACCAGTGAAGCATATTGTTACCAAACCTGCGCCAAGCACGAAGTCGAATCCTGCTCCTAAATCACCTCTGACTTCCAAGTCGTCGCCCAAAACACCAACCTCTCCACTAGCGCACATAAGAGGAGGACCTGCAAAAATCAAAGGCGTCATGGACTCAGCCAAGCGAGCCCAAGAAGCGAGAGAGGCTGCAGCGCAAAAGTCAATGAAGACAACCAAGCCGCAGTCTACGGCCCCAGCTCCAGCCCCGAGAGCAAGTCTACAAGCAAAGCAGAGCAGTCAATCCATAAAGAAGGACCCGACATCAACGTCTCCAAAAATTCCGAAGTCACCCAGAACATTACGGCCTAAATCCCCGACAAGACCTGCGAGACTTCCAGCAGCAGCAACGGCTCCAACTGCAGCATCTGCGGCCAAGCATGACGCACAGCGTTCACCAACAGAAACCGCCCCTCGCAAATCGATCGCGAAAAGACCTTCTACTGCCTCCATGAAACCACCTCGAGCTAGTATGTCGTCTTCAACGGGCTCGGGGATACTTGCAAAGAAGGCATCACGTGCATCCCTTGCCAATGGTCATGGCAATGGCCATGAACGACCCACGTCCCGAGTGAGCACAAGCAGGGCAGATGAAGGATTCCTCGCGAGGATGATGAGACCCACGGCAAGCAGTGCCCAGAAGGTTCACGACAAGGTTCAAGTCAATAGTCCACCTAGGTCGAAACCAACGGCTTCGCACAAGCACAAGGAACCGCCGAAACATAAGATCCCACCGCCAGAGATGCAGCTAGAGGTACCTGAACACGGGACAGGTGAAGTCAAAGATGGCACGCTAGGTGAGGAGGATCATACACATGAAGTTGCTGGTCATCCTTCTCTACAAGTCGTTGAAGAGGACACACAGCCGTCGAATGCCGAGGTTGAGGCACCTGGTTCTGCTGTTGAGCACGCGGAAACAGAAGCCATGCAGTCAACTCCTGTGGAGGCGAAATCAGATCTACCTATGTCTGTCGAGCCACCAACGTCAGATGGCCCCGCTTCTAGTTCTGAAGGAACTCATGCAACTCCTTCTCATATCAACGAGAAGGACCTGGAGAGTTCTACTCCTGGTGATGCGACCGAGGTCGAGGCAACGAAAATTTCCGAAGATGCAGAGCCAAAGTCATCTACCCCTGCTATTGAAACTGAGCCAAAGACTGCTGTCCCTGCCGAGTCAGCAGAACCAACAACTTCAGTATCCGCTGATGCAACGGAATCAGTCACTGGTCCCCTCTCTACTGAAAATGAGCCCGCCAACAAAGACAACGGTGATGTTTAACAGGAAGTTTTTTTTAAGATTGCGACTCAGAAGGCCCAGATATTTCAATGATTCTACTTTTTAGCGTTCAGCGAGTTCAAGTTTATTCTGGCAGTACCTTCTTTAGCGACATTCGAAATGTGAATTACATATTTTGTCCTGGCTGACATGTTTTCGTTGTGTGTTGACCTTTTTGACTTGAACAAGGCTGTTTCCCAACATGGTAAGGCGTCATTGTTTCGAGTTTATTGATATGCACTTCCGGCATCAACATTCCCTATTGATACCAATTTTGGGTATAGCGCCCCTTATTCAAGTCGATTTCAGGCATAACGCTGTTCCGAACTCTCATTGTGGCCTGGATGTTTTATCGGTAGGTCATTATGTCTGTTATTCGAGACCTTTTGCGGCATTGATGATTTGGTTGTTCTTGTTCTCCGCCATTTGCGCATGATCTTCGAACGGATGGCTGCTACTCGTACAGTGATAACTACGGGCAACATTCGTGTTGCCTTTTCTTTATGCCTTCTGAGTGTCAAAGGATCTTGGGTGGTCCATCATGGCAATTCATAAAAGGGTAAAAGTGTCGCCCGGGGGATAGGCTGTGATACATCACGATCTATAGCATACTTATCTCACAAAAACAGCTACTCACAAGTCTATCTCATATTCATACTTCAAGAAAAAAGAAGCAAACAACATGCATCTATCGGCGGCAAAAGTCGCACTCATCCTGGCCTTCGTCTCGGCTCAGGTCGGTGCCATTCCAGCCCCATCTCCTCAAGAACGAGGAGTCGGATCGGGATCACATGGTGGAGGAGAGGGCCAGCAATATGGTGGTAACTGGCAAGGCGGATCCAGTGGTATGGGGGGTGGTCATCCAGGTGGTAATGATGGACAGCAGCACGGTGGTGCTCCAGGAGGAAGAATGGGCGGAAGTGGAAACCAAGCCGGCAGTCATGGTGGGAATCCCAACGGTGGTGGTGGCTTTCGAGGCAAACATGGCCCTAGCCCAGACGACGTCGAGGGTCTAGCTCGTCGTGACATGGGAGGTGCTGGCGACAAGTTCCACCACGGTTCAGGGAACTTTGGCAACAACGGCGGCGGCGCCCATCGTGGTGGCATGGAATACATTCGCAAGCCTGGTGGTGGTAACAGTCACGGCCACGGACCCATGCCCGAGGAAGAATTCGACGACAGTGCCACTTCCTCTGGTGCTCCTCTGGAGCGTCGACACGATTTCATCCAGGACGGCCTCGCCGGGTGGAAATGGTGGCAGAAACAGCCCGCGTACGGCAACGTGCAGACGGGAAACCCAAACGCCGGCGTCATTGACATGAAGGACGATCCCATCTTTGACAGGCTCCCACAGAAGATGAAGAACAAGAGAGATCACGACGGCGACGATAACAACGACAACGAGAAGCGTTGGGGGTTCTTTGGTAGCGGCGGAGGAGACAAGGGTCAACAGCCACCACAGGAACAGCAACCTCATCGTGATGGTACTCAGCCTCCCGTGCCACTTGACCATACTTTTTATCGAGACATTCCCGACGACAAACCCGGCAAGGTCCCCAAGGGACAATAAGCCAACACATCCGAGTTGGACACTCGGTCTTTGGGTACCTTCCCAGAGAGTCACAGTACCGAGTCTTTGATATTTTCGTTCCATTTCATTTCGTCTTCATCTTTATCCGGGGCAACGCAGGCCTTGCCCTTGACTTTACCTAGGTACACTTGTCTCAAACCAATGCAACCTCGACGGTCGATAAGTTGGTCTTGGGCACTTGTATGACCAAACGGGAAAAACACGAATGGGGGATTCATGTTGTTTCACTTCTTTCACGCCGCTTGACCAACCGACCACCCTACTTTTTCAACCTGAGAGAGGTCGGTGTGTTCTAGTCCATCTTTTCTTCTTCTGACCGTACTTGAGCAAATAGACTCTCGGTCCATTGCCCATTGGCTCGGGAGGTGGCATTGATCAGAGTCACTTCGAGTGACTTTACTTAGCATTGTGGTCAAAGGAAAACCCAACAAACACAAGAACCCACAGAACGCACCAGTACTCATTTCATTCATTTCGAACGGCTACAGACGACATTGATTGTCGATTCTTCCTCGTTCTCTCCCTCCCCCCTTGAGAACACACAAACACATCGAATCAACTTTCTCTTGTCACTTGCAGTATTTATACGGATTGGCGCCGTCGTTGCAAAGAAACACTGATTTTTCTTTAAAAAAGCAAAAAGGCGCGCGAGGATTGCCTGTTTGTCTCTATTCTTTTTTTACTTATTTCAGTTCTTCTCCCAATTGGATTGGAAAGAATGTTGAAGAAAGAATCACTGAGGCAGGCTTTTCTTTGCTTTGTTATCAAAAGACCTCACGAACCCCCCTGTTGAAACCCATTTAGTTACTCCACCGTACGAAGTTTCTCTTAATCAACATATCTCTATATCATACCTCATCACTCGGACAAGTACGAGGCATTAAGGCAACCGAAGTGGTTGTGTACTTTTGGATACCTTGTAAAGCCATTCATTTCATTTCATCTCATCGAGATGAATATCAAGTATTTTCCTGTCCATAAACCATTACGCGCGCCTAGCGAGGTATCTAACAAATGCCATTTTTCCATAACGATACTTTGTTTGTTTGAGAGCCCCGATACCAGACCCTTTCCGACTGGTTTTGCTCTTCTTTTTTTTTGTTCTTTTCTCCTTTGGTGCGGTCGCCCCGAAGGGGGGTCTTTTTCTATACATCTAACACGAACGTCCTTGTTGTCTTTGCGTGGCTTGCCATAGTCATGCTCATCAATTCATACTCTCTGTGCTCCGGTCGGTACTTTAGGAAGATACAGTCCCATTGACGGCCTTGATGGGACCGAGTTTCTCTCTCCGTTTCCGAACGGCAGTCGCGAGCACTTCGAGGACGGACTCGGTGTCTTCCCAACCTATACAGGCGTCGGTGATGGACTGACCGTACTTCAGGCCCGCCTTTCCTTCTGGTGGGACCTTTTGACTTCCTGTAGACGCCACAAAGCAAAGATCGTCAGCCGTGCAACAAAATATCAAGGGACGAGACGCGAGGGGAGGGGGGAGCGGGGAGGGGGGGAGGGGGACACAGAGTAGCGATGCTACCACCAAAAAGACTCACCTTCGTTGATGTGACTTTCGATCATGACACCCATGATGCCTTCCTCTCCGCCCTCGATCTGTTCCGCCAGCACCTGGGCGACCTTTGGTTGGTTCTTGTGCTGTTTCTCGCTGTTGCCGTGGGAGCAGTCGACCATCAGCCTCGGGCTGAGGCCCTTGGAGACCAACTTCTCCTTGGCCTTCCGGATGCTCTCCGCGTCGAAGTTCGTGCCCGTGGTGCCGCCCCTGAGGATGACGAAGCAGTCCTCGTTGCCCACGGTGCCGACGATGGCCACGACGCCCGGCTTCGTCACCGACAGGAAATGGTGGGGGTGCCGGACGGCCCCGATGGCGTCAATGGCCACGCCCAGGGTGCCGTCGGTGCCGTTCTTGAAGCCCACGGGGAACGAGAGGCCGGACGCCAGCTCGCGGTGCAGCTGGCTCTCGGTGGTGCGGGCCCCGACGGCGCCGATGCTCAGCAGGTCAGCCAGGAACTGCGGGCTGATGGTGTCGAGCATCTCGCTGGCGATGGGCATGCCCCGCGCCGTCAGGTCCACGAACAGCTGCCGGCTCAGCCTCAGGCCCTTGTTGATCAGGAAGCTGCCGTCGATCTCCGGGTCGTTGATCAGGCCCTTCCAGCCGACCGTGGTGCGCGGCTTCTCGAGGTACGACCGCATCACGATCACCAACTCGCCCCTGTACTTTTCCTTCATCTTGAGCAGCCGGTCGCAGTACTCGAGCGCCGACGCCGGGTCGTGGATCGAGCAGGGGCCGATGATGACCAGGAGTCTCCGGCCCGGGTCCTTGTCGTTGACGACGGCGACGCAGTCGTTGCGCCCCTGCAGCACCGTCGCCTTGGACTCCTTCGTCTGGGCGATCTCATGTTGGAGCAGGTCCGGGGGTGTGAGAGGATTGTAACCACGAACTGGACGGAGACACACACACACACAAAGGTCAGCATCATGGCAATACGGACCATACAAAACAGCACACGCATGGGAGAACGGGGCAACACATACTCCGCCAGTCTTCCGAGCTCTCTTTGTCGCCGACATGCGGGTTGGTGATGTGGTACGACTATATTTCGTGTCCGTGAGTCAGTCAAAGAATTCCATTGTACACCAAAGAAATGCGGGGGGCATGTGAAAACCAAAGGTCCCAGGCAAAAGAGACTCACGGCCATGATTCAATTCAATGCTACTACCGCCAAAAACAAATGGATACCGTAGAGGATTTTATGTAGATTGACAAATAGTGGCAAAGGAGAGTGAGTGACTCAGTCGACAGCGGCGGTGACCATCTTTTTTGTTCTTCTTGTTCCTTGCATGACGCCGCCAAAAATAAAAATTCTCGACTCGCCGATTGGACAATAAACATCCAGCACCAAGACAAGTCATCACAGCAGCAACAACAGTATTTTAATTACTAGGTATATACCTACATATAGTAGAGAATATATGTACGTGTATGAATGTATTATAATATAGTAATATATAATGTCATCATGCCTTTACTGTCTTCGTCTTTGATCTGTGATCTTGTAGGTAATGATCACCTCGAATTCCCTCTATAAACCCACCATCATCCATTTTCTAGTATTTGTATTATTTCTCTTCTGTTATTTTGCGTCATGTCATGGGCATTGCGTTATTTACTCCGTCGACTCTTTTTAGTACCACTCCATCTTGTCATGCCCACCGTCTTCATGAGCCATTCACCTCGGGTGCCAACACTGATGCATCTTGGAACAAGTCACACAGGCATCCAGCAGACCATGCTTGGGTAGGCGACTAGGGGAGAATGTCAGTCAAGTACATCGCATGTTCAGAACGTTCGAACTTACCGAATCGCCGCAAAAAGACCCGTCTTTGTTGGTCAATTCAGTTAATCCCTTCCACGGGCTGTCCTTGATGGCCTGTTTGCACCCAGCCATCCGTTGGGTCACCTGCTGGAACGACTCCATTCGCTCCTCTGCTGTATGCCTACGTTTCAGGTCGAACGTCAACAATGCTCGCAAGAAAAATCCTGTCGGCCACAACCATTCTGGTCCTTGATGATAGTTCCGGCCTTTTGATGTCGCGAAATCGGCAGAATCCTCCGAATTGTTGTAGTAAGGCCGGTAATCCAGATCCGAGGGATCAAGTGTTCGCATGCCCGTCGGACCCCGAAGGACATCATCACACATCTTCAATGCCCGTAAAGCCTTCTCCTGGGTGAACAGGTCTGGAGCCACAACCATTGCAATGGTGAAGTTGGGTCGGAATTGATAGTCTTCATACTCCTTGCCCGATCGGTACAAATCTTTGTAGATACCTCGACGATTGATAATCTTGGGATCAAGGTCCTCTTCAACGTCGTCCTTGGGATCGACTGGAACCCAATAACACTTTTCGAAGTTGGCTTTGATGCGATCCGCCCAATCTTGAAAACTAATTCTCTCGCCTGAGTCGGTCTCGACACCAGAGTATTGGTATTTCCCGGCTTTGTGAAGCTCGGCTACCCATTTCAGCGCACTGTACGAAAGACCTGTGATCTCGACAGCAGCACCATCACGTGGAGTGCCAGGAACTCCCTTGCTGCCCGCTCGTTCGCTCTCACCCATCTTATCCATCCAAGTACCGCAATTGAATTGGCTGCCTCCAAAAATGATGCCTGTTTTCCAGTCGACGTGCACGTCAATCTGGAAACCCTCCGGCTTCATCTGCATATCCAAATTCGGTCCTGCGTTGTGTTCGCGGAAAGATAATCCAAAAGCGTGACGTTGGAAGATTTCCTGAATGATATCTTCCACCGTTGATTCTTTCGAAAACGCTCGGGGATCGTCGTGGGCAAACCACGTATCATCATATGGAAGAAATCGTCGAGGAATCTTCTCGTGAAGGATCGAAAGTCCGTCAGGAGCAAGCTTGGTATAGTCTTGAATGTTCTGAAGGAAAAACCACGGCGAGTCCCGTGAGTTATATCTGGGTGCAGCTCCGCTGCTCAACAGATTCGGTATGAGACCGTGCTTCAAAACACTTCCGAAGGCTTTGATGTGCTCTTTGGCCTCTTCAAACCGGCCAGTACACAGGTACAAGCCTCGTAGAGAGATGAAAACATCCCGACCCCAACATCTTGCCCATGAGACTGAAAAGTGAGGTAGGCCCGCGGCAAGAGAAGGAACACTTGTAGTTGGCCAAAGTGATGCAGACTTGACATAGCCTGTTTGTTGAACGCTGACCATGGCTAGACTTTGAAGAAAGTCTTGACCTCGCCGGATATTAGGGCTCATCAACTCAACACCTCTCTTGAATGCGGCGTCGTAGGCGATTTGGATGAGCATTGCGAAATAACGCGGCAACAGGTAACTCGGAATCTCTCGGCATGCATCGAATCGCTCTCTCAACCATTTTGCAGGCTTGTGCAGTCGAGAATAGCCTTCCTGTTTGGATATCCTTTCCATTCTGCCAACGATGAAATCTAATGCCCACTGACCTTGACGCAAATGATTGCATAGAGGATGGCCAAGGTCGTTCTTCCTGACGATAGGCTCGACTACACTCCACCAGCCTTGCAGGCCGGCATACACAAGTGGTCCATAACCGGGAATGTTGTAAACTCCGTCTTGTCCATTACTGGAGTCACGCTCTTCTGCATCGCATCGATACAAAACGAAATTGAGATCAATCAAGTCAAGCTCTCCAAAAGCCTCCTCAGTTCCGCTGGCGAAAAACCTGTTCAGACCAAGCGAGTGCTCTGCAGATGGGACCCATGTCTCAAAAAGGCAGATGGATCCAGGGGGGAAGAAATCATCTATCCGAATCATGGTATCGCCGTTTTCATGCTCGGTGGTGGCACCTTTGATCTTTCTGACTCTGGACGGAAGTCCTACAAGCTCACGTTCGTCTTCCAATGCAGCTTTCTTTGCAGCCTCGCCCTGATCAACCTCTAGTACCCAAGAACCAAGTTGTCGTGCTTTGGTGCCGGCGAGGTGGACAGGGCTCAAGCCCCCGTTTCCATTTCCAGAGCCAGGAAACGCGGTATGGGCAATGAGGAAGTACCCCTTGCGAGAGTCTGGATGAACACGATGGAGGGTGATTATCTCACCCTCATGATGCAAGAAGGTCTCATCGTAGCCATCTTTGCCCATCATGGTGTGGATTTGATTTAGTAGCTTTTTGACACCTGCGATGCCCCCCTCACCAGGGCCAACCTGGACCTCGCCTTCAGAGCTGATAGAGGTGTACGTTCGCTTCTCATGGACAATCTCGACAAGCTTCGGATAGATTTCGTCGAAACCCATGACACTGCCGGTGGCACAAGCACACATGTTTACAAGAGCAGCCGTAGGCAGAGTATCTCTGGCATCTCTCTTCTGTGCAGGCATTTCGTTGTCGTGGGTGCAATCCATGAACAAAGCATGCACTGGGCTCTCGCGAATGTGCATAACAACCTCTTGAGTTTTGGGTTCACTGCCATTGGCACCATTGACCAGGTTATTAACTGGTTTTCTGGAACGCTGAGGAACGTTCAACTCGAAACTGCCAATTGGCCGACCACAATGACGGTGGACAATCCTGCTCAATTCCTGTGTGCTCCATGCCTGCATGGCTTCACGGATCAAAGCACTCAAACCAAGGCGTTTGACAAACAGATAGTCCATTTGTTCGTTGCCAGTGAACAGTTCTGCAAATACTGCCAGGTTAGGCTGGATTTCTCGAGCCCGATCAAGCAAATATTCAGCCACGTGGATTGGAGTTGAGTGACAATTGTCAATCCTGAAGGCAGTGAAGTATTTTGCCATCAACTGTACGTATTTGGTCATGTGCTCCCACAAGAAAGGATTGTCTTCAGGGCCTTTGCCGTACCTCAACTTGACACAATCACTCCAAGGAATGAGTTCTCTGCGAAGGTAAGGCCTCCAGTCAGGACCGGCATTGTCTTTCATAGCATCTGCAGCCCATATCCATCCATTGACAGCCAGTGACAATACTTCAGGCTTATGTTTCTTGGTTGTTTCATTCAGCGGCAGGCGAGCAAAATATGTCTCAATCAAAGGGGTTTCCTTGGTGACCGGGCCCAACCTGGGACCATTGGGATCGAGTCGGGTATATTGAAGTCGGCCTTTGACCTGATCCTTGATGACAGCGACATCGGCATCATATTCGCGATAGAAAGGGAGATTAAGCTCGTTAAGAATAGCTTTCATTTCTTCTTCAGCAGATGCGATGTCCGATCCTTCGCTGTAGCGGCCGTGCAAAGCCGTCAGCATAGCTGAGCCAATGGCAGGATCAACCTTGCGGGAATATCTGCCGTCGATACGCAGACCGTTTAGCAAACCATGGTCTTTGAGAAAGGCTGCCTTCTGGTAAAGCGACCATGACTTGAGGGAGTCGAGCCCACCACCAATACCGTCGGCGAAGCCTCCGCGAGGTATTCTGGTTTTGCCATTTTTCCAAGCTTCGAGTATAGCCTGTGTGTCCGATTTGACATCGCATGCAAAGTATTCCCACAGACGTATCTTGTCGATAACATGGGGTTGGATGCCGGCAACGACGTGGTCCAGGTCTTCGACGCTGCTAAAATTGGTCGGCATGCCAAGATCTGCAAGCTCATCACTATACTCGAGCAGAGCATCGTCTAGACAAAGGGCCGACTCGAGCCATGGCGCCGTTTCGACATTGTAGCCTGCCTCCGGGTGCTCTTCCAGCCATTTGCTATTATTGGCAGTATGATTGAAGACCACATCAGTAAGTCCAAGCAATTCGTGTTCTTCTTCCATTGACTTTATCATGCGAGCTGCATCTGGCTCTCCGCCAGGGAAGACCTCTTTGTCGAACGCCAACTGATCATAAATGCTGTAAGGAGAGTTTGATTCGCCTCTTTCTTGCAAAGGTGTGAAATGCACCATATTGTAGCCTCTGCCACTGATGCCTTTCAGGTGTTTGTTCCAATCCCCAGGGTAGTTGCCCATGAATTTGGACACTACGGAGAATATTCCCAGAGCATCCAAGGGCAGCCGTGAGCCAGCCAGCCTCAGATCCGGCTCGATGTCGATCCAGTAGGTTTCGGTCCGCGTAGGTTGGGGCGGTTTCGTAGGCTCGAGTGAAAACTCCGGGAGAGGAGTATAGGTGGTATAGAAGCTGAACGCACCGGCGCAGGTGATCGGTATGTCAATCTCGAGTGTTCGATTGAAGTCAGGGTGCAACTTGTATTCTTGGAAACGATTCCGGTCGAATCGCTCCCCAGGCTTGGGGATGTTGACCCAGAGACTTCCCTGACGGCATATTGAGCTTGTACCCTCGATAGAAAATCTCAGGCGGTACCCCGGCTCGGTGGGTGCAGGCAGGTAAACATATTGGTTCGGAACATCTGGAGCTCCTGAATCATCCAGAGGTAGCAGGTAGACCTGGCGGGAGCTCTGATGAGTCTTTGGAGGCATTTGAAAGGGATCAGAAGATACAAATATCGAGATAAGTGTGGTAACGGAATCCGAACGCTCGCTCTCGTAGGAGCGCTGTCGAGCGCAGCGCGAAACAGTAGCAACGCTCTAGGGGAAGAATGCAAATAACAGAAGCACGACGAAGGTAATGCAAGAAATACACAAGTGGCGGCCTGCCTAGTGAGGTGCAGGTGTTCTTGGGAATTATGAGATGACTGTAGATGAACCGACTCGAGAAGGTCAATTAGTGAACATCAATACCAGAAAAAGCAACGCCGCGGCCGGTAACAAGCGCAGGAGGGCCACAGGGAGTCTGGGAGATGCAAAACCCGGGCAAGTGGCATCAGTGGCGGTTCCTGCATTCCACTCACCAAGATATCCATGATGATAACACATGTTCCATCATCGTGCAGTTGATTCTCCCAGAGGCTGGAGGGGTTGATAACGCCTAGCGAGCCTAGAAGTGATGGCTAATGGGCCTAGTTTGCGGGTGGTGTTCGGTAGTGAGCGGTGTGAATTTTTAGTTGAGGACTTTGAGCCAGCTCCGGCCTAGCCGGCCCCGATATGCCCCAGTTGGCTACCCATACACCGCCTAAGCAGAGACAAAAACGGGCCCGGCAAACAATTCCTTGCAACACTGGTCGCGTCAGTGGCTGTTCAACATTTGATTTTTTCCTGCAATAGTGGTTGCAGTCGCCATCGTTTTGGATTGATGTTTCTTCACGCTCGTAACAAGCAACAGCCTAGAGTCGTTGAGAGGTGGAAGGTCATTGATTGAAAACCTACATTATCCTTAGGTACCTACTTAAGGTACGCTCGAGAACGGAGTACATCTGGAAAAAACTTGACCTGTCCACCATCCTGGTCTAGTCGTATTTGCTGGCGCTGCAGCGTGTCGTCATTGGGCTCATTGATAGTAGAGTCTCGTAGTCGTACTCGTAGACCTTACTGTACCTTCCACACAAAGCCACTACAGTTGAGGTTCAGTGATGATGAAAGCTTGCCAGAATAAGAACATGACTTCAATCTTGAAATCTTGAGGAAGATCTCTTCGCAATTTGTCTCGTATATCACTAGCCGATTTCTTGAGGACTTGTCGATCTGTTCGTTCGAGGCTTTGACACCGGTGCGACAGGTCTACATTTAGCAGTAATCGCGTGACAAACGTCAAAGTAACGACATTATTAGCTGTTGAACAAGATCAACCTCAGGTGGCCATCCATTCAGGACCAGTTCAGACCAAGTACTTGTATATACTGTACAGCAAATCTTTGAGTCGCACCATTTACAAGCGCGGAGATGAACGCCGGCATGTCTTAAGTTGATGCAAATCTGGGGTAGAGGCACAAGTCGGCGTTCAGCCAATGGTGATATTCATGGCCATAAGCGACTGATCTAGCTGTTCGCACATCTCCCGGCAGCAGATCGTGGTGGGATGCCTCATCACGTCCAGCGTTGCATGCTTGGGCCCAAGGCGGTGCACGAGGACGCCACAAGGTGCTCGCGGTGAGGCCCAGACAGTGGCTGGAATCGAACAACTCATCGGGCCATGGAGGTTGCCGACGAGGGAAATTTTCCCCCAGGTCTCGACGGTCATGAGCCTCGTTAGCAAAGGCTGGGCACTGGTGCTAATTGTGTTGAAGAACGTATGAGACCCATTTCTGTTACGTCTAGTTTTTCTTGACTCACGCTTCTACCATCAAATCTCCTTGAACCTGCTGAGAAGACTGATTTTTTTCTCTCCGCACGTGTGACCGTCAAAGCTTTTCGGCTGATCAGGGCAGAATGATGCAATCCTTTCCAATAGTCGAAACAATATTTACAATAGAACCATCTTCCCTGTGAGAACCCAACGTTAAGACCCTCCAAAATCACTTGAACACATCGAAGAGACTCGTGCGACTTACCTGCCTGTGCTCTGCATTCTCCACATACTCCGTTCATCTGTCATTCTTTTTCTCCTCACTCACTGTTGTGCTCCTTACCCGTGACGCGAGAGATTTCTTTGTTCTGGCAGACACGAGACAGGCCTTCAAGAGCTTTCCAACGTCACTTCTCCTGGTGGAACGGATACATACTTTTCGACTTGGCTGGTTGCTGCGATTATCTCGTCATACACACCGAAATACTCGACCCCACATACACAACATGCCTGAAGGAAGACCCATTACCTACGGTCGCGGCGGTGCCGGTGAGTAGGATCCGCGCAACGGTTGAAACGGGCGTAGGCCGTCGTGCTAACATTGCATTGCCAGGAAATGTCACCAGCAAACCCCGCTCACCTGCGCTGGAACCTCAGACAACCCCTACCTTGAAATCACACATGTACACCACTGGCCGCGGAGGCACCGGCAACATGGCGAAGAACGACAACGCGGAAGAGGCGCGACGAGCCCAGGATGTTGACGTTCCGGGGATCATTATGCCCGAGGGCACCCATCACACAGGCAGAGGTAATGCACGCTCTCCCGAACAAAGGGAAGAACCAACACATGACTGACTGTTGCTCCTGCAGGCGGCGAAGGAAACTTGTACAAGCCCACAGAAGAGGAGCAGCGACAGGCTCGGGTCCACAATGAGAAAGTACGAACGGAGTCCTTCAATCGCGATGGGTCCAAAGACCGCAACAACATTCGTGCCCTGGCGGACAAGGCCAAGGACAAGGCAAAGGAGGCCCTGCCCGGTAAGCATCAACAATGAGAAATAGGCTCTCATGCATGGACTGGGGTCTGGAGGACCTGGAGCATGCGGGAATTTTTTGATGGGGAGGCCATTATTGTGTACCTGCTTGGAGTTACTTGGATTTTGTCTGTGTTGTGGGTTGTGTCAGAGTTGCAAGCGAAATAGTGAATTAGCCAGAAACGAATTAATGCATCGATGTCGTGTGGAGAGGGCATTCTTTTACTGGTCTTGTACAGGTAATGTGAAGTCTCTTTTCACTCAGCAACCCCGGGCGCAATTTTGGTACGGACGTCAAGCCTCCGGCCTATTTATAGCGATTACAATCGACGAGTGGTACAGTACAGAGTCAGTTGGTACAGTACAGAGTCAGTTGACAACGAATGATCAAATCCAGTTCTCAAGTACAAAGCACCAGCAGGAAAGGCATACTGTTTGGGGTCTTTTTGACATGTGCAAAAAAATGGCATGACCGGCACCGATGCTCCTCGTGGTTGGCGCAGGGTTATTTATTCCGCTCATCAAAGAATTTGACACGTACGGAGTAGTGTGTCACATCATCCACCAACCTCCGTCCGGATGATGAACCCTGCATGTTACATACATGAACTTTGTTGTACCTGTGCAGGGAGGAATTGATCGTCTTTCAACGAGGAAAAATTGCCAACCGTGTGGGCTCGGTTAGGGGGTCAGCGGATTCACCGGCAGAAGGGCCGCTCAGATTGATTCTCGACGCGAGAAGGACAGACCAAGAAGAGTAACAGCCCAACGGAGACACCACTACGATTGGATAGAGCGGTGGTGAAAACATAGGTGTACAGGCACAAAGATGGCAGGTCTAGGAGAGGTCTGTTGAGAGCCTTGATGCACTAATGGGCAAAGGCGGGGTTGGTGGCGGACCGCCAGGGTCGAACTGAGTCGATCAATTGACCAGGGAGGAGGGGGGGTGTTGATGCAGACTATTTACTGTACCTACTGAAGCAGCCAACCTTGGACCAGAAAGCATTCGATGGTGTCCAGCGATAACGTCTTTGAGAAACTCTTAGCGCATTGTCAAAGCACGCGCAATACAATAGGTTGGTAGAGATGGGGTCACTGCCCACCGCCGCCCGCCGCCCACTATCCACCTCACGGGTGGTATTTTGTTTCCAGTCAAGGTGACCTTCGGCTAATTGTGCGGATGTACGAGTACGAGTAGTAGGAGACAGGAGGAAGACTGTGGTCGGTAAGTCGGCATGGGAGTCGGTGATACTGTGAGATGCCTGGCGACATATCGCTGGGCATGTAATTACCTTGGGTAGGTATCTACTAGAGGTACTCCGTATTGTACTCCGTACCTGGTAAACGGTTGCAACACGATGGCCTGACAATGACTTGTTACAGGTTTAAAGTTACCAGATACAGGACTCCATGCTCCGTACCTGCTCAGTCCGTACAGCAGGTGGCGCAGGTGGCATCGGACGGCGGAGAGACGGACCCTTATCCGCGATCGCACTCGGTACGGCATTTGCAATCGATAACGCGAACACCATCTCGTCGTCCCATCATTCTCTGCTGGTCGACGGAGGAGAAAGAAGGCAGAGAGTGACTCCGTTTCCAGCGGTTTGGGGCCTCCACTAGATTGTTGTTTGCAGTAGTGGCTCCAGGCACTAAGCTGGGCATGGACTAGGCCTGGACAGACTGGCTACTAGGATTTGTTAGGCTCCTCCCATCCTATAAGCGCCTACGGGGACTTTCTTTTAGTGCCCGTCTGCCCGCCGATAAAGACTTGACTTTCCGCTACCACTTCGGCATCGTCAAGCTTGGACATGCAGAGTCCCGTCCAATAATCCAGCGCATCTTCTCCTGTCAGAACTTCGACCATCCGACGGTGCATCGTCGAGTCTTTCTCTTTATCAATATCGTGGCCAGCAGCCTTTAAATCTCGCTTTCATCTCACCTTTGCCCATCGACCAAATCCTTGCGCGAACATCTCATACTCAACTGACCGCCGTTTTCCATCTGTATCGAATTCTTCGTCGCTAGCACCGCTCCCACAAGGATCCGGTCCAGCCAGCAACCACATATCGTTCGACTTTCGGTTGACAACACTTTTTCTTTGTCCTACATCCACTCTTCAAGCGCACAGGTCCTGGAAGCGTCGTTCCCGCCATGTCATCACTGGCTGTACCGGAATCTTGTTGAAGTTCAACAACCCCAGCCTTGTACCGGCCTTGATCTAGCCTTTCCATCCGTCCACCCCGCCCACGATCCCGCTTATTCGCCCGTACAAGCGTATGAGAAAGCCTATGGGACCAGCGTCTGTTCAAGATTCAGGCGACGACCCCAGGCTTGATGATATTCAGCCTTGCAAGAGTGGTCCTTGTCAAACTTGTCAACCATCCCGTCTGTCACTTCCGATTCCCAAGCCACCACCAACGGACTCACGTTGAGGAACCCCATTCATAAGTTTCGGTGCCACCTTGCGTAACCTTGAGCCACCATTTGTGTATCTCTCCTCAAGGCATTTTCTCCGGCGGCTTCTGTGCGACATCAGCTTTATTTTGATTTTGTTTGTCGACGCTTTGTCCCTCGGCTCCTCAGACGACGACCAATATACTTTGTGCGCGATAATCGACAGATCGAGTGCGGAACATCTTGTGGACCGTCGAATCCAAGTAGCCTCAGTATCCCAGCAATTTGAGACTCTGTTGAGTCTCAAAAACCTTGTCCGGTGGAAGATTCTGCTCTCGCGCCTACTGTTGAGACACCAGCTTCCCTGGAAACTTGGGACGGAGGAAGATAACTGGGCACTATTGAGCCACGGCGTCTGTGTTGAGAAGTTCTTTCCCAGAACTTAAGTTTGCACCCTCTTGCATTTGGCTTCTCGACTCCTTCTTGCTCATACATATATTTCCACCATGTACCACGCATCATCTTCCTCATCGCACAACTACCAACATTCTCGACCTTCGATGCAATTACCCCTACCAGCACCTCTTTCTCTGTCTATTCAATCACCACGTTCTCAGAATTATCCGCCCTACATGTCTCAGACGAATCCAGCCTCTCCACCGGTGCAAACACCTGGACAGGCGAGTAACCCCCCGCCAGATGAAAGTCCGACAGCGGTTGTGGAAGTGAACGACGATGCGAACTACAATATACCAACACCGCCACCTATTTGTAAACGATGGCAGGGAATGCTGTGGAAGATCGAGGTTATTCAGAACCCTTTGCGTGCACGCATGTGCGGCTTCGGTGACAAGGTATTTAAATTCGCCTGGATAGTCGACTCTGAGTTGTATACAAGTCTTACTAGTTGCAGGATCGTCGCCCGATCTCACCTCCGCCAGCTGTACTGCTCACAATATGGGACCCAAACACTGGTGCGGAAATAGACTACAAGTATGGCACCCGACCAATTCTCTTTTTCCCATTACCTCGCTGACCAGATATAGGAAAATTTCAGATCTTTCGAAACTGATCCTTATCGTCGATCTTTGGAACCTCCACGGCACACGGGAAGACAACTGTGTCAGACACACAACAACTTCGCCTTCGATATCTACCACAACTGCCCATCCCTTTCCATACACATACACCGGCAAGGTTATCAGCAATCCTTCCGTGGATTACGATGGGAGCCGGATCCCATCCTATATGAACAGCTATGCCGACCAGGTCATCCCAATTGCAGCGAACTCTGGCGGTCCAGTCCAGCCCGCCAATAGCTCGCAGCCGAACTATGCGAACGACAACCATGCTCACGAGGCGAGAACTAATTCTTTACCCAACAACCATCAATCACCCTCGAATGCCCAGTTTCCGGGCGGCTATGACCACCATTCTCCGTCTGCTTTAGTCTCACCTCACTCGATGACATCTTCTTCTCGTTCATCCCAAGACGCCGGTATCATAGTAAACGGCGGCCATCGTGATTCTCGAGAGCTTCGAGACATCCGGGATCACAGAGAGACAACTATTGCCAGGAATCTTATTGGGAATACCACCGCCAGTGCCAATTTGTTGTATGACGAGAATGGGAAACATGGTATCTGGTTTGTCCTTCAAGATCTCAGCGTCAGAACCGAAGGCTGGTTCCGTTTGAAGGTCAACCTCTTCAACCTCGCACAACCGCCATTTATGGAAGAGGAGAGCAGCAACACCAACAATGGTAATACCAACGGCAGCAATAACAAGGATGAGCAGACACCAGCCAACAACGAATTGCTGAAAGAAGCCCCACTTTTGGCATCGGCTTTCAGCAAGCCTTTCAAGGTGTTTAGTGCCAAGAAATTTCCTGGAGTGATCGAGTCGACGAACCTGAGCAGGACATTTGCCAAGCAGGGCATAAAGATTCCCATCCGTAAAGACCATGGCGGCAAGAAGAGAAAGGCCGGTCCCGACAGTGACGAAGAAGAGTACGATGAGTGAGACCTTGTCGACGTCGAACGTTGTCCTATTACTGGTAAACGGCGTTTATTCCCATGCATGTGGTCACGACACGTTTGAACTTGGGGCAATTAACGGTTTATGAACTCCTGGTTTTTTTCGAGGTTTGCATGTTGTCAACGGTTGCATGACTACGGAGTATGTTTAGAGTAATCATGAGAATTCCAGTCTATGCCCTTTTGTGAAAAAGAGAAAGAGAAAGAGAAAATGTAGAGGGCTAAGACCGGTCGTTTGGAGAAGATTCGGATCCGTGGCTCTTGTTTAACGGAGCTACTAAGGTATTCACTATGGGACTGCACAATACTACGACTGATCGAACATATTCTACGGAGTATGAAGTACTGAATTACCTTTTAATGCCTTTTTTTGGTTTCTTTTGGCTCAGTTTTGGCCCAGTGTCGACAATACAGAGTAGACTTTCAGAACATTCCACTGGATTGTGGTCACATTAATTTAGACCAAGTTCGATTTGAATTGACCCATGTACCTGGGTGTATGTAAGTTCGCTCAGAGTGCCAATTATTGCTTTAGGATGATAATACGTCCCCTTGTTGCACGAGAGGTCAAGAAGATTTAGAGGCAGAAATGAAAACTGCCCGCACAGAGCTCTCTCTTCCGACTCAGGGGCCCCCTTTACATGTCTCTTGGAGGTCTATCCTGTTCTGACAGTGTTTCCCCCTTGTTGTCTAGCCAGTCCAGGTCTTTTTGAGGCACCTAGGGGGAGAGACTTTCTCTTCCTCATGCGGGATTCCTGTCGCTAGTGCCATGAAGACAAACAGACAAAGAAAGAAACCGAATCACCACGCATCGCAGTCAGTCGCGGTGTGTCGAAAGCTCGTCCGGATCGGTCGGAGGTGGTGGTGCTGGTGGTGGTGGTGGGATGACGTCTCGGGCAGGTGAGGGCGTCGTCGCGCCGGCCGCCGCCCGGGAGGGGGGTTTCGACGAATCATCCCAGCCGTCGACGACAAGTTTGCTTCGCATGCGCAGTCGCGGGCCGAAGGCCCGCAGGATGACGACGACGCCGAGGTGGACGGACGCGGCGGACAAGGCGAGCACGGTGCTCGACCAGCCGTAGCCACAGCGCCGGACGAGGGCGGGTGCGAACAGGGGGAAGCCGAACCCGGCCAGGTCCATGGCGACGTTCATGGTGGAAAAGATGTGCGCTATCTTGGTGTTGGTCCTGTACACGTCCACGGTGTACCTGGCCACAAAGTCCGGCGTCGTGCTGAGCCCGACGGAGAAGACGAGCGACCCGAGGATGGGGAGCGCGACGGCGGTGTGCCTCTCGGCGGACCAGCCGTAGAGGACGAGCCCCGCCAGGACCAACAGGGAGCCGGGGGCGCTCGCCATGAGCCAGCGCTCCGGGGGAGCTTCGTGGTACTTGCTTCCGGCGCGGTCGAACTTCCACACGCGACTCACATTGGCCAGGACACGGCCCAGCACGAGTCCTCCCGCCATGGGCACGTACAACCCCCCGGAGACGGCGTGCGATAGGCCATACTTGTCGTGTAAGAGTCGTGCGAAACTCGCAAAAACGAAGTACAACGTTCCGAAATAGATGGTCCTCCAAATGGTCAATAGGGCGACGATCGGATCTCCCAGTATTCGTAGTTTCGTGGTGAAGCTACCGGTGATGTGCCCGAAGAGTGACGACTGCCGTTTCCCTGGGCCATCGTCGACACTTTTACTAGGGTCATCGGTGTGGTCAGAATCTCTTCCACAAAGCAGGACCAACAGCAGTGCTCCCGCTGACATCTCTGTCAACAGCTGGAACGACCACCGCCAGGACGGATGTGCAGCTGAAGCTCCAAACCAAGGGCCTAAGCCAAGAGCAAGCGGAGGTGATGTTGCGTAGAGCCACAGCAGTCGCTTTCTCTGACGGATTGTCCCCACGGTGGTCGAAGCGTTCAACAAGGCTACTGACCCGCTGGCTCCGATCCCGGAGAGCAGTCTGGACCAGATCAGCTTGGTCGACGTTTTTGACACACTGGATGCCAGATGGGACCCAGTAGAAATGAAGGCGAATATCAGTGAAGAGCGCCATCGGCCGCAGACATTGATTAGGGGCGTTGCGAAAAGCACCCCAAATACTTGGCCAAGAAGATAAATAGAGAGAATCAGTTGAGATCTGACTTCAGATTGGTCAGCCAGGCTCGTGGAGATCTCGTCGAGCATAGCAGCAGGCATTATAGCAGCAAAGAAAGCCAGGAGTGCTGGCGGACATGTCGTGGCAATGTACTTCAATAACTTCCATGATGACTGGTAAGTATTGTCAAGGCTTTCAGCGCTAGGGCCGGGCTGCAACGTGATATGAGCTTGCTGCATGACTTTCAGAACGCAGAAGGAGGATAAAACATACCTGGGGTGATTCCCATCGACCGGCACGTTCTGCCGTCGTCGACAACAACCGAGTGTGCTCATCGACACCGGTTTCCAACTCCTTGGGTACGGTAGGTGTTCGCCTATTTTGACTCCGACTGTGTGCTGACAGCAGCCGAGATATAAAGCCGCTATCAGCGTCCCTATCTAGCCTGAACTTGAGTGTCGGCTCCGTCTCATTCGAGGTGCGCAGATCAACACTTTGTTCGAAAGACGCTTCTCGAGAGTCTCGAGGTACCTCAGTACTACCACGGTCGGGGTCCGGCCTTGCAGAAGATTGCGTATTCTCAATTGAAACACAAGGTTTCGAGTCAATACCTTGCTCTTGTGTAGGTTGCGAAGGTCCAGGCTCCGTATCTGTGATAGCGTTTGATATGTCCAGTCCCACATCAGTCGAGTTAAGAGATTTACCAATCTCCCGAATGATCGATGAGGCAGATACCATGTATGCGATTGGCAAGAAGCTCCTCACAGCGACGAGGGAACCAAGAAGCAAGTTATCCTTGATTACCCAAGACCCGGAGTACCCAGGAGCTGCCCATCAATGTCAGTCGGCTTTGATCATGTAAATGCTGAGCACTTGGGGATATATACGTACCAAGCGGTCTTTGCAATATGATCTGAGTAACAGTAAGATTTAATCCCTCTACTGATATCTTGACATTGCTTTGACCAAGCACACCGTGCAGGTGATACCCCGGACCGGCCACTATCGTCACCTCTGCTTGTGGTTGGAGGGCGTTCGTGTTGATATCGTCTATCGGTATCATGTTTGCATCCCGACTTGTATTGTATAGGTTAGGCAGCACAGTCACATCGTCATTCAATTCTATCAATACCCAATCACCGGCAATGTCAGACTGATTCTGACTTGACCAATTGCTCTGTGCGAAGACCAGGCCCAAAGAAGTGGTAGACATATTGCTGGACGAGGAGTGTGCCAAGGTCACAGCAGGCTTCCTCCCCGGCTGAATAGACATGACGGCAGTTGGATTGGCTTCGTCCTGGAACGGCTGATCTCCATCTTGTTGATTCAAAGTCACCTCACCGGCGAATGTTGGGTGTTGTGAGTCAAATAGCTGGTCGTCCTCATCGTCGCTGTCTGTCGAATCAGAGTAGTAGAGATCGTGAGTGACCTGACATATTGACTCTGGCCCTGAACGTTGCATTTGTTGGCGGATGAATGGATGCGCAACGGTAAGGCCATATATTTTTGAGTCAACCCGAATTAAGCCACCAAGTCTGAAAGAAGCACCATTTCCAGGACCAGTACTGAGCTCTAGGCCTACCAGGCTATGCTTCTCTTCCAAGGAGACGTCAACATATGCCACATGATACTGGCCAGAGTTGGAGCTGCGGGCGGCCAGAGAGATTTTGTCTGCTATGACTTTGATAGGAAAGGGGCATTGTTGCATGGTCTGTAACTTTCTGACGATCTTGTTAGCATTTTTGATTGTCTTCTTCCTGCCATCTTCGGTGTTGCACAAGGACTCGTCCCACACGGATAGAACGATACACGGGCCGACCTTCGACGAGGAGTCCGAAACCATTAAAATTTCAGGTTGACATATTTGACTTCGAAAATGCAGCTGGAGTTCGTCTACAAGACGCTCCCTTATGAGGTTCTCCCAGGTCTGAATGTGCTCATCTGGCACTAACATGGATGGTAATGCATAGATAGCTTTGCCTAAAGGAAGTGCGAGATGGCCGTTGATAAGGAGTGGCTGTGGTGCTTTTTGCTGTGTATTTGTTGTTGCTGTTGTCGAGTGGTTTTGTGGTTGTGCGACGGGCTCATTGTTCGGAACTTTGACCCCTCTGAAAAGTTCAATCACCTTGACGAACCCGATCGTGAACTTTTCGGAAGTAAGACCACGATCAACAGTAGAGGCCGTTCTTGGCCGGAGTGCTTCCATAATGCTCAGAGGATGGCAAGCATTATGGGCGCGCCGACCAATGCGAGATAAAGCTCATATGACACAAGACAGGGCAGACAAGTTGTAGATTGTCGAAGGCACTGTGAAGAAGACGAGAGAGGAGTTCTTGAATTGGACATGGTCAGGCTGAGTCTCGCTTAGCGAAGCGATCGGTGGGCGGTGCTGGAGACGAATCTTTGTAAACGGCTTGTCTTCAAGTGTAGCCAATAACATGTGCGCAGTCAACGTAGCGCATGCATCGTGGGACCTATTGGTGAAAATAGGCGGATCGGGGCGAATCTGGCCGGGCCTCAGCCACCGCCTCGTGCTGCACCTGCATCGGACTCGGAACGCATATGTAGATGGTGGCAGGAAGCTTGAGGCTCTCCCCGTTTTCTACCATGTACCAAAAGACACCTTTGCCGACTGGGACAACTGCTCGACCGTCTCTGTTGTTTGATGGCTGTACTTCCCGAGAACCTCGATCACAAGCCCAGCCATGATACAAGACAAAAGATTTTCCAGGCCTTCTTTGGCACCAGTCTTGCAAGAGTAAACCACAATCACTCACAGCAATATTTCAGTTATTATGAGCGAGAATTGGCAATGCTGAAGTTTGGTTCCTTGACTTCAACAGCAACGTCAAGGAACGAATTGCTTGTGACCACACACACGGACTTGATCGAAATAGTAGACGTTGTGCGTTCGGCAGCAGACAACAAACTGAACCTCATCCAAGCACTTCAAAAAAGGCATCCAGGGACAGATGCTACCGCATCACGAACATTAAATCTTTTTGTGAGACTGTGGTTGATGTTGAACGTCCGCGAGGCAGAAGCCTTGTTGCACGCTCCACAAACATATCTCTTGCATTGGAGTGACAAGCAGACGTTGCCAGAGTTCGTGGCGGAAGCATTCCCGACCTCAAGGTGGAAGATTGAAGCCAAAGACAGTCGGCTGCATCCCTCATTCACTGCAGTCTTCATGGTGGACATCTGTGGCTTGAAGCTGGAATGGACAGACTGTCTCGCGGATCATCTGAGACTTGATCGACGACATAACGCTCTGAGGGTTTATTCGTACAAGGGGTTGCTTCAGGCTCACCTCAATACCTACCAGAGTACTGGTGCAAATAATGAAAGGTCAGTCATGCAAGAGAGCTGGAGTATATCAGCGAGCCTCTAATGTTTTCGACAGTCCCCTTCCCGAAAGGCTCCTCATGGAGACGATATGGAGTCTGAACCTCCTCTTTCCGCAGTGGGATCAAAATACCAACGCCTTGCTCAAGAAGCACCAACAGACCTTTCAGCAAGCAGGGCCCTACAACGGACCGCCGACGCTGAACCTTGCCGAATTTCAATATTGGCGAGATCGATTGATGGAACTTCATGATGTAGTTTTTCTGGCTCCTCCGGCAAGTTGGGCCCAGCTGTGGCGGGACCGTCGAAATCCTCAACAATTCTGGACGTTCTGGTTGGCACTGGTCATTTTGTGGTTGACGTTGATCTCGACGGTAGCGGGCATCGTGCAGGCGTGGGCTTCGATAAAGAGTCTAGATAGTTGATCTAATGGAGCAATGCCAAACACCGTACTCGTAGAACCCCGCTGCTACCGCTGTGATTGCTGTGAATTGAGCCGTAGTGACGATATTGATGCAGTCAGGATAGACCAAGGCCAAAAAGAGTATCATTGATTGATCCTTCCAAGAGACAGCCACATTGTGACGCATCGAAGTGAGGTGTGTACAGCGAGATGCGTACTCGTACTCGTACACGTTTGCAGCGTGTTTCTTACCTCATCTATTCCTTTCTTGATGGGAAGTTTTGATTTTCTCCCAGGACTGCACAGTACTTTGAGGAATGCAATTACCATAGGTTGAGTACCTTGTAGAGAATGAGCCGGTGGGAATATGCTTTACACTGCAGCTCCAAGCGTGGTTCGTGGCCGATAAGGCCACCGGGAACGAACAACCCCCCCCCCTTCATGGAGAGCGTAAAACTCCGGGCTCCAGCAGAAGCCTATGGCACCTGTAAAAAGCCTATCAAATGGTCGACGTTTAGGCCTGGTGAACCTTAAATTCCCCCCTAGTTGAACCCCCTAGGCCAAGGCCCCCGAGCCCCGGAAACGACGCCAATTGCCCATATTGTCCGGAGAAATGATATCAAATGGGGATAATCCATGAGGCCTACCCTAGGTGCGTGCAGAAACCCCCCTTACAAGGCCTTTCTACCTTGGGACGTAACACTTGGAAAAACTCCATACGTTCTTCCAGAAGTTAACCAAAAAGGAATTCCATCTGCAACAATCCTTGTCATTACCGAGTTTCTTCAGGTAGGGCTGATGGAACGGCTCTATACGCCATTCCCGTAAGGAGTATTCGTACCCTGTCTCTGTGAACCCATCGCTGGGCACCCGTCATGCATCATCCGAAAGGTGGAGGACATACTCGGTGAGGATAGGCTGAAAAACCTGTCTTTTGTTGCAACGAAATCTCACACATCCCTTACTCGCGACTCGTGGTTCGCACTCGCACTCCCGCCCTCCGAATGGAAATGTCCTACGAGCTATAACGACTCCTCGTCCCCATCTTCCGACCTAGGTATTGTATCCGTCTCAACTGGACTACAGTATTCCGAATCGCGGCCCGCTAGTCGTACAATATACGCCCCGAGCCGTCTTTTTCCTCCTCCATCCTTCGAAGCTCGTTGGTACTCTGTCAACCAAGTCTACGGGAGCTATATCAGTGTCGTCCACCCAAGACACCTCGTCATGGTCGCCGGTGAATTTCCTTTGCAAAAACCGGACAATTTGCAAAAACAATCAGAACCACCAACCCTGGATTCTGTCTCCATTGTGCTTACCAACATGTAGGTACAAAAACAACCAGGTAGACCGCTCTCCCCTCCATTGTTCCGCTGTGCGCGGAAATTTTTTTTTTCTTTTTTCCTTTTCTCCTCTCTCAATGAAACATTGCAGGCCTCGCTAATCTCCATTGCATTGGCGCCATCTGTCTGTCGTCCATCCCCAAACAAGAAGGCATATAAGTATCCGAACCGCTTCTTCGGGCTCCATTACTCTCGAAGGCTCAAAGCACATTTTCGGTCGCGAAGTTCTCAGTAGGCGAGTGGGAACAAGGATCACTTTGACAGTGCTCCATTTCCCCTACAAGATCCAAGGATACATATTTCAAACCTCCGTACTCGACAGAGTATATTTTTCGGAGAGATGGCATCGACAGAGCCTCCTATCGTCGAGCGGACTACCATCCGAGGCACACTGGAGATCGCTCGGATGGTTAACGGTCTCTGGCAATTGGCAGGAGGTCATGACAAGAGTGTGGATATACCAACAGCTGCGAATGTCATGGAGGATACGTAAGTTTGTCTTCTGTTTCTCATGGTTGCTGCACCAAAAAGTCTTCAGGGGGAGCATTGCTCACCTGTGACGACAGAATCACCTGTGGTCTAGACACGTTTGACATGGCGGATCACTACGGCGATGCAGGTACGTCTAGACCATACTACAAGCAGTGTATGCAATTTCAGACAAGACATCTAACTGTAGCTCCAGAACTGGTCGTCGGCCACCATAACAGGACATCAAAGACCAGCAAAGTGGCCTTCACAAAGTGGTGTCCAAAGGAAAATGGTATCAAGACCTTCGCAAACGCCGAGGCGGCAGTCGACCTGGCCTTGAGCAGAATGGGCCAGCAAAAGATCGATTTGTTGCAATGTTCGTGGACCTTCTGCTCATCTACAAAGAGTCTGAGTTGACGTCGAGTACCAGATCATGCTTGGGATTTTTCAGACGACACATATCTTCACAATTTAACCCACTTGCACGATCTGCAGAAACAAGGCAAGATCGGATTGATAGGCCTCACCAACACAGATGCAGCACATCTGCAAATGCTTCTTGATTCCAAATTTCCTATCGCTACCAACCAGCTCCCGACCTCAGTCATCGACCGCCGATTGACTTCCGGACGGCTGAACGAAGTGTGTCTGAAGTATGACGTTGGCGTGCTGGCTTATGGAACTCTTCTCGGCGGCTTCCTCAGTGAGACGTGGCTTGGAAAGCCCGAACCCGCTGATATCAGCCGACTAAACTGGAGTTTGAAAAAGTATCTGCGGTTCATATGGGAGGCCGGAGGTTGGGAACCGTTCCAAAGAGTTCTTGAAGCTTTGAACGTCGTGGCGCAAAGGCATGGGGTTTCCATTCCAGCCGTCGCCACCCGGTTTGTCTTGGATATTCCTTCAGTCAAGGCTGTTATCGTCGGAACACGCCTGTCAGCAGATTCTCGGTTGCACATTGCCCGGAACCTGGAAGCCTTCTCTTTCCAATTAGCTCAAGATGATTTGGACCTCATTCATGAGGCTCAAACCGGCCTGCGCGATATACCCGGTGATTGTGGAGACGAATACAGACGACCTCCTTTTCTGACCGCGGCTGGAGACTTGAGCGATCACTTTTCGCAGGATAGAAGGCAGTACAAGCAGTTGGACGAGGCATTGTCTGAAGGAAAAAGAATAGAGTATAGCTCTGGAAGCAAATGGGAGCCAATTGCGGTACGTCGTGATTGGAATCCTCCAGTGAGATGGCCACCCTGAAGATGAGTGCTGACGTTCTGTTGCAGGGTTATTGTCGAGCGGTCAGAACAGGAGGTCATATCCGTGTGTCCGGAACGACGTCGAACTCGCCACTCCCCTCTGTCCCAGTTGTTGGTGGAAGCAATGCTCACAGCCAGACGATCCGTATATTAGACATTATTGAAGGGGCTTTGAAGGCCCTGGGGTCATCCCTTTCTGATATAGTCAGGACCCGCATCCTGGTCCGGGATGTTGGAATGTGTGAAGAAGTTAGTCGAGCTCATGGCTCGATCTTCTCGAACGCTGGCATCTTGCCTGCCAATACCCTCGTAACTGCTGGTCTGGTCGGAGACCAAATGTTAGTCGAAATCGAAGCGGACGCTGAAGTTGGTTGCTCCCATAGAGGCGTTTTAAAATTGGCAGAAGCATAGCCAACCATAATGACGCGAATCAGTGCGACGATGAGCTCGATGAAGTGACGCAATCACCTCGTTCTCACTCGAGGCTCTTCCAGCAGAATTATCCAGGTATGAAAACGCCACCGGTGATATTGAACCCGGCATTTGCGAAAATGGTACTCCAATCTTCATCGTTGTAGAAGACCAAATTATTTGCGGAGCTATCTGCGTCTTCGATGAAGGTATCGCTAATATCTACAGCTGAATGCATTGCAAGATTGGCTGATGGTGCATGTCGTAATGGTCCTTCACTAACAACTCGGCCGCTGCTAATGGCAGGTGGTGCCGGCCGGATAGGCTCATTCCAAGTCAAGAAAGTCGATTGCTGTTGTTCTGCCTGAGTTAGGTGTCGGTACGTGTCTGGTATGCCGCCAGAAATTTGACTCTCAACTCTACTTGCCTCTTCTGCTACCTTATGTGTTTGCGAACGTCGTTGGCAAGCCTTTTTATACTCCTGGAGGACGTTTGTGAGAAAGTTGGCTTGCAGGGCGCAGCCAAAAGTGGGCGGTGCCGACTGTTGTGCAAAAATGGCGGCTGCTTCATCAATCGTTTTCATAACCTGATCCTCAAACTGCTTTCGAATCGTGACATTGACAGATAGAAGCAACCTAGGACAATGTTACATTCTGACCAGGGAGCCTCATCATTCTGAGCAACGGAATCTCAGCAACTCACTTTATGAGAAATGCCGCTGCATAGGCCGTCATCGTATGGATCGAGTCATGCGCAAAGCTCAGGAGTGCCGTAAGAGATGGTTGTGACACTAGCTGAAGCATATTCAAGGCACTCGTGTAGGTGATCCAAAAAGCTTCGGTATCTACCAAGGATGCCGATGCCCCAAGAGGCGATGCTACTGAACCCTGAAGCTTGAATGAGTACAGCAGCAAAGATAGATGTGTACCAAAGAAAGAGACGAGGAATGGGTGGCAGCGTTCTGTTGCCATTGTTAGCTACATCTCGATCGACAATTCCTGGTGGTGAGGAGCAATTACCCCTCTCAGAAGTTATTTCTACCCAGTGTTTCTTCCAAGCATCGATCTGGATGCTGTGGGTTTTCAACAGAGAATCGAAACGGTATGCTTGTATCATGGAGGGCGCAGGTCGCTGAGGGTTGAAGGCCTCTAGTATATCCGCAGCAGCAATTCGCAGGGTCACTAGAGCTGCCATCATAGCATCATTGGAAATCGCCATTGGATTTCGATACCAGGTGTTCACGGATTCAATGAATTCACTCCGTTCGATCATCCATGGTTTTCCAGTTTGGAGGCTCATACTAATGATAAATATCAATGATCTCCAGCTCATGAAGTGGCAATTGCAAAATGACTTCTTGAATGATCTTACCTTCGGTCGTAGACAAACAGCAGAAGCCATATACGCTCAATGTTCCTCCTTTGCCTTACCTCAAATTCCGGAGTCTTCGGATCGGCGTACTTGGGGTCAGTGGTCAGCTTGTGAAATCCGAGCTCCATGCAAAGTCTGATAGCGTAGCCTATGACCGACCACGAGCGAGTATCTTCTGGTTGTTTCCAATAAGTGCTGATAATGAAAGCCTGGATGATCTCAGGGGATTTTTCACCCCTGCAAAAAGCGTTGCCGTACAGAGTTTCTGCGTATTTCTGCAGTTTGAGATACAGCGGCGGATTGAAGGCTTTGGCTGATGCGGCAAGAATGACTGCCAACAAAAATGACGATCGTGCCCGTACATACTGAAAGGTGTATAGTTCTGGGTCCAGAGCACAAATGAAGGGATTAAGATTCTTCATGAACCTGTACCCATGGTCAATGCACTGTCACGTATCTGTGGCTCGAAGTGGAGGACACACCCTTCAAACAGAGAAGTTGCGACATGGTAGGATACGATATCTTTCAATACCGGGTCATCCTCTGGGATGGCAACAGCATCTTGGGATGCTTGGGGCTGGATGTTGGGGCTTGTGCTTAGGATGTTTTTGAGTGAAAAGGCGCCTGTTGTTGCTTGCTTGTTCAAGAGACCAGATGGTTGGAATCCTTCCGAGTCAGCCAAAAAGTCTCGATCTTCATCCTCGGGAGGATGGCCACATGAGGTTTGATCCAAGGACACTGAATCATATGTGCGCACACGATCCACTTCATTCATGTCCCCAAAGGAGCCTGGTTGAAGAGCTGGTCGAGAAGCAATTTGTCGTGTATTATGTTGATCAAGCTTGTCATGGCTTCCAACATTGTGAGTGCAAGCAGCGTTGAAGAGAGAAGTACTGTCTTACTTTGCGGGCTTTCGGCCTCGTTTCTTCTGGTAGAAGACACAATCCATTGACTTCAGCCTACACCGCTCGCATATTGTGCTGCCAGCAACCGGACGGCACTTCATCTTCAGCCTGCGGCATTCCAAGCAAGCCTTCGCCCTATCCGATGTTAGCTGAAAGCCACCAGATCTTCTTGGAGGCTTGCGGCCCGGCCCATACCTGGCTTGCTTGGGACTATTCGGTGATTCTCGATGGATCTCCATGTTAAGAATATCCGTCGAAACAGTCCTTGAACTCCCCGTTGGTCATTTAACTTTGCATGCACGGAGTAATGGCCGTGCCAGAGTCTGAAGGACTGTCCAAGAGTCACATACCGGACGCAGATGAGCAGCCGGTAGACCGCCTTGAACCTTCAGATGGCAAGAGAACGAGGAATTGTGGCTCAAGTAAGGTCAGCATAAACTCCGGAAAATCGGTCTTTTGCAGCCAATTGGCATCAAGCGTTATGCTTATCGAGGCACATGTTGACCGGAGCACTAACTCACCTTAATCCATGCAAGTCCCCCAAACTGGAGAGGAAGACCCCTCTTTTGAGGAGGAAGCCATCCACGCGAGATCAGGCCATGTTACTCCGTGCGAAGCGAGCATCCACAATGTACAAGTACAACATTGGAATCTCTCCTCGTCTCAAAGACAACAACATCCCATCTCATCGACCTTTCAGCTTTCTGGGCGTCCAGCAGCTGTGCAAAGATGGCTGACGCATACTCCGGCAGCAAGACCGCTGAGGTCGGCGAGTCTTACCGCTCAGATGACACTCAGTTCGACATAGTGGCAAGCACAGATGGACAAGCCACGTTGAAGAGAGATCTGTCAAGGCGTCATATCAACATGATAGGTCTCGCGGGAATGATAGTATGTTCTTGACTACTCGAAACTGGGCTCAATTGCTCACACAGTCTGCAAGGGGACTGGCTTGTTCTTAGCATCTGGTCAGGCTCTGGCGGTTGCTGGTCCAGTGGGAGCTCTCTTCGGCTACCTCCTAATGAGCGCTTTGACGGCGTCGGTAGCGCTGACCATCGGCGAGCTCTGCGCATTCATGCCAGTGACAGGCGGATTCATCAGACATGCTTCAAGATTCATACAACCTGCGATGGGTGCTGCAACGGGTTGGAACTATTGTAAGAAGCTCGCAAAACTGCATGAAACGGTCCAAGAACTTACCAATAATTCCTCTCCCAGTCTATTTGATGGCCATCACTGGTCCAGCTGAACTCTCTGCTGCTGCGACACTTATAAATTTCTGGCATCCAGGCGTCAGCCCTGCACTATGGTATTCGATCTTCATTGTTCTCATCCTATTCATGAGCCTTTGTGGAGTACGAGTATATGGCGAGGTAAAAATTCCCTTGCCAATAGGCTCATCTTTTTTGCTGACCCAGTGAAGTCGGAGGTTTTCTTCTCAATGATCAAAATTCTGCTTATCGTCGGCCTTATCCTTGCTGGGCTCATTGTCGACCTTGGAGGTTCGCCTTCAGGTGACAGGATCGGTTTTCGGTACTGGAAAGATCCAGGGCCATTCAACGCCTATCTTGTTGATGGAAATACCGGCAAATTTTTGGGCTTCTTCAGTACTCTTATCTCCGCAGCGTACGCCTTTTGCAATATTCAGGTCGTAGCATTGACGGGCGCGGAGACCAAAAACCCAAGAAAACTCATTCCTGAGGCCATGAAGATGACGTTCTGGCGAGTTATTGTCTTCTATTGTATCAGTATGTTCGTTGTTGGACTTCTGGTGTAAGATACAGTCCCATGCGATTCATCCGTGCGTGAAAGCTGATGATGGCCAGGCCCTACAACGACCCTAACCTCGGCAATGCGACTGGTACAGCACAGCAAAGTCCGTTCGTCATTGCGTTTCAGAAAGCCGGGATCAAAGTGCTTCCTTCGATTATCAACGCTGCTTTGATTACTTCTGCCTTCAGTTGCGGAATGGCTGTCGTTTTTCTGGCCTCTCGCGTCCTGTGTGGCCTGGCAGAAGAGGGTCAAGCACCTCGCCTCTTTCTCAAAACCAACCGTTTTGGCGCTCCATATCCCGCAGTTCTTGTGGCGTCTTTGTTTATGCCCTTGGTCTACCTCAGTCTGGGCAGTAACTCTTCCGTAGCGTTCGGATGGTTTGTCAATATCGCAACAGTGGCGGCATTGATTGCCTGGCTCATCATTGAGATAACCTTTCTGCGATTTTTCTATGCCCTCAAAGTCCAGGGAATTTCTCGAGAACGTAAGTTTTAAACGTACCTGTCAGGACTGGCACTGATGAATGGAAGGTCTCCCATACAAGTCTCCTCTGCAACCATACATGGCCTGGATCACCACACTTGTGCTCGCTCTGATCATTCTGTTCTCGGGGTACAGTGTATTTTTGCGCGGACACTGGAACACCGACAGTTTTCTTGTTTCTTATATCGGTATTCCAATATTTCTCTGTAAGGTTTTCCGCATCCCAGTCCCTGGCCAAAGGCGAGCTAATAATGTCAACAGTCCTCTGGGCCTGTGCTTTCTTGTTCTTTCGGACAGGTATCATTCCTCTGAGGGAGATAGATCTGTCTGAAATTGAGATTATCGAACGCGAGAAGGAACTTCGTCCGGCAGAGAAGATCCTGCCCTGGTACAGAGTTCTTGTTTGATTTGTTCGAACGGTCCGTCGGCTTCAGTACAGGAACCGTCATTCATGTGTGGAAGTCATGGAAAAATGAAATAGCGCGTACCATCATTGATTAGGTACTGACTTACCACTTGGAAGGTGACACATTTCTTGGTCATCTGTGAGGCCATTTGAATGCACTGTGTATTTCTCCGAAATCGCGATCACTGAGCACATCGGCCAAATATGATCAAATAGAAGAAAGGAGCGTAATTGAAAGCCTGACACGGTGTCATTGTAGAGGCGGAAGTTGCTGCTGTTATGCATTGACCCTCCATCATGTAAACATTTTGCCGAGTTTTAAGCGGGACATTCTGTGTTCCTTGGGGCACCGAGAAATACAACCCTGAACAGCGGCCCAGTGTCTGGCTGGACTCAATCTACACCGAAGGGCCTGATTTCTCATGAAGTCACCCCTGGGCTACCATACCTGCACGTGTGTTCGCCGGAGACGTGCATGCAGAATGAAAAGGCGAGAACAACGTTAGACATCACCTGAAGTATCGTCAACGCCAACAACATCCTCGCCAGTCATGTCCAAAGCAAAAAGGGCGGCCGCGCCAACCAAGGCCCCGCGTAGGGATCCTCTGGCTTCCCTGAAGCTGGCCGACATGCTTATATCCAAGCCGTTTCTCCCAGCAGGTAAGGGTTTTTGGTTGTGGTCTTGCAGTTGCTAAAGTATTCTAGAGGTTCTGACCGTGGTGGTCGACTACCTCGATGTCCCCGATCTGTTGCGCTTCGCACGAACGTCACGACGTATGCATGAGATGGTCTACGAGGATGCAAGATGGATTCGAAGGCTGAAGGCTATGGGTTGCTGGAATGAGGCGGAAGCAAGGAAAAGAGCAGAGACTGCAAAAACGCCCACCACCCCCGGTCGGAGACAGAGTACGATAGACCGAAACGTGGTCAATGGCAAAGGCAAACCGGAGGTGTTGTTCGACATGGACTCATCTCCTATTGCACAACGCAGACAGACAAATCTTCTAACCCCATTAAGACCGCGCCCAGTAACTGACGGTTTCGACAAGGCCGAGATGGGGAGTTTACAAGCCGCTTCTCCCAGGCTTCATGGTGGTCTCGAGGCAGCTCTGTCCGTCTTCGAGCAGGTAAGATCCTTTAGAGGACATGCTAGGCAAGAGTATGGCAAGATATATAAACTGCTTTCACCGTTCTATCGGGACTTGTCCACTGCGTCGGATCCTCTACAAAGCACTGTTTTCACGGATTTTTCTCTACCAGAGCAACAAGCACGACTGCTAGCCAATGTCAGGATGTTTGCTGCGAGCGACTTCTCTCCAGAATCAAGTAAGCGAGAACGACAAATAAAGCAGGCTGTGGATATGTTCGATACGGCAGCGTTACTCGAATTCCGTAAAGGTTACGAATACAAGGACATTCAGGGAAGAATGCGGCAATTTGCAAGTGTCATGCATATCTTGAATGGTGGAAACAGTGCTGTCGACTTATTCATACACGACAACCAACTCATCAACCAAAAGGGGACGCTTGGGAGCGTTTCCGATTGTATCGACTACTCTCTAGGACACGGGGAGCTCTCATTGGAAAGGGTTCACGGCTATTTCGAAAGGCTTAGTACGGCCTTCAGTCAGCAAAGCGCCATAGTGCAAGCTGTCTTCCCAAATGCCAAAGAAGTATGTATGCTACTGCTTGAAGAGGTAGCCAAGGACATCCTGTCGCCCTTCCTCTCATCCTTGTTCGAGGATGCCAGGGCGAGAAGTACTTCATTATATCTCCGGATTATGTCTGGCACTTTCGCTGCCACAAGGCAGTTCATTGACGAGGTCGCCTTGATAGGAGACGCCGACGAGGCCACGATATCACGCTGCAACTCAATCCTCGCTCGGATATATGGCCCTCTTCTTGATCAGTATTTGGCAGAAGAACTGGCATTCTTCCGGCAAAAAGCTGATACGGAAGTGGAACGCTGGGATCGAGCATTGTCGGATCAAGACGCGTCTACCGAAAGCTTCCTCATGTCCAACGTCAATCGACAGGCCGACAAGAAGGATTTCATGTCTTCATTCAAGAAAGTGGTCATGATGCCGGTGAACATTCTCCCCAGCTTCTCGGCACCGGCAAACCCAAAAACTGCCGTCAAAACCATCGCCAATGGAGAAAGCGCTGCATCATCTCGACCATCCACTCCTAGCCTTTCCATGTCCACGACTGCAACGTCATCCTTACCGCCCGAAGCACCGTCGTCCGAGCTAGCAGCCAAAGCAGCCCTGATGAACAGCAAGTTGGAGAACATCAAATCCCTTTTCTCCATCGAAGTAGCCCTCAACCTGGTCCACGCCGCCAAATCCTCCCTGGAGCGCGCCGCCCAATTCACGAGCTTAATCGGCGAACCCGGAGAGTCTGCACGGAAACAGTGTTCTGCAATCTTCGTCCTGCTCCTCCAATCAGTCGGTGCGCGTCATGTCAAAGCAGGTTTCGACAAGGCCATTGAACATTTGTCAACCTATAACCCACGCGAAACCAGTACAAACCCAGACAGTGATATGGTCCAAGTCGCTCCTCTGGGCACGTTTCTGGAACTCGTCAATGTCGGCGATCTTATCCAACAGATGCTCGACGTTTTTTACGAATCGGAGCTGGTCCGCCTCGGCATCTCCAAGCGCGATGACTTTCTCGACACTAATGTCAAAGAGAAACGCAAGTTCGAAGCCATGCTGGACGAACGTGTGGCAGCGGGACTAGGTAAAGGTATTGACGCCCTCATTAACGAGGTAGAATATATCTGCGCAACCACACAACAGCCTACAGATTTTTTCCCGGAACTGGCCAATGCCGATGGATCGTCGGGAACGAAAGCCAATATGATGGTGATGGATTTTTCCGGCCAGCCCACAACCACAGCGACGCGGGTGATCGCACTCGTCTCCCACCATACGCGGATGCTGACCGGTGCGACCGAGAAGAGTCTCTTGGATGTCTTTACGGCAGAAGTGGGCCTACGCCTGTTCACCGCGTTGGCAAAACATATCAAGAGACAACGTATCTCGACACTGGGAGCGCTGGCGTTGCTGTCTGATCTGACAGCCTACGCGAATTTTGTAGCACAATTCCGCAACAACGACCTGACAAGTTATTACACGGCGTTACGAGAAGTGGCGCAGATCTATCTTATCGGCGGAGAGAGTGAGCGCGATGTGGCGGAGATGGCGACCATCATCTCGGACGGCGAGCGATATAAAGGTGTGTTCACGGTCGAGGAGGTGGTTGAATTCGCCGAGCGTCGAAGCGATTGGTTACTGGTCAAGGGCAGGGTGGAAGGGAAGGTCAAAGGTGATAACTGTGTTGTGATGTAGGTGAGCCGAGTCGAACAGTGGATGTGTTGTGAGAAAGAGGAATGGTGCCTACCTGTTTTCCAGGTACAGGGTGGTGTTGGCTTTGCAGTGTCCCTTGTCTTCTCCGTGTGGTGGTGGTTGTTTTAGAACCACGTCACGCACGGCGGCAATGGAACTTCCTTACCTATCTGAGGTATAATGTGACGACGAGTGTAACGACATGATGATATATATATATATATACAAATGTACAATATCGACATGATCTTGATTTGCCTCTAGATCAATCTAGATATAAAATTACAATTACGAGAAGAGAGGTCACTGGTAATACCAACTCAAGTAACCTGAAAGTAAGCACCTTGGGTGGACATTCTTGATACAGGCCTGGGTGGTCGTCAGCATCTTTTATAGTAGAACGACCTGTCACGGTATTCGTGCCAACAGAACCAGAGCTTCTAAGTTACTCTTCAAAAGAATACCTATGAGACGGTCTGTTGAAGCACGAGGGTGATTCTTGAGACTACTTTATGACTGTACCTTCCATACGTGTCCTGTCCCATGGTATCTACCAGGTAGATACCTAGCCACTTCGATTTCAGCGTACACCCATCTCCCCAAGACAGGTACCTGGCCTGGGTTGGTGGCGGCCATCTCTCTCTCTCTCTCTCTCCCTCACACACACACACACACACACACTCTCTCTCTCTCTCTCTCTCTCTCTCTCTCTCTCTCTCTCTCTCTCTCTCTCTCCATCCACCAGTCCGGTTGTGTGCTCCGAGCATCTCTCCCGAAAACCCGGCTGTTGCAAAAGTTTCTCCTGCTCGTCAAATTTTCCAACCTTTGGACAAGCTTGAAGTGATTACAAACTGACAAACTGAAAGCGAAAGGGCAGTAAAGGACAAGTTAAACATTTGTGTTCATTTTCTAAAAACTGTAAGCAAAAAAACAAAAAAAAAGGACCAATTCTCTCTCAAGTTGCTTTCTGGCCATGCACAGCCCAAATTCGTCAACAGAGTACAGCCCTTACTTCTTGGCCGCACGACGGTCGACCCACTCGATCCAGGACGGAGCATTCTCAGCCTCGTCGTTGAGCTCATGGACGATGTGCTCCTCTGCGAAGATCTTTCCCTGAAGGAATATCCTCTTGCTGTTCATCTCGATGAGGGCCTCGAGGACGTCCCCGCCCGGTGTCTCGCCACACTCCATTGCGGTCCAGAACGTCTCAAAGTACGGCACGGCCTGTACGTACTCGTTCTCCAACATTTCCAGCCACTTGACGTACTTCATGACTCGATCGACGAGGCCAGGGTAGCGAACGACGAACCTAACCCACGCGAAGTGGTTGATGAGGAGGAGCAGCGACCTGCCTCTGAGACGACCCTGGCGTTCTTTTATCTTGGGGAAGGCAAAGTTGCGCAGGCAGGCCAGGTGGCAGAGACGGACGAGGACGAGTTTGCGCTTGAGCATCGAGCAAGCGAGAGACTGGTGGTGGGTTTGAACCCAGAAAGGGCGGTCGCCAAATTCGCGGATCAGGGCGTTGTAGATGAACATGGGGAGAGGGTAGAGCAAGGCTGCATCAGGTTGCTCGTCGTCGAGCTGATCAGTGGTAGGAACGGCATCAGGGTCGCTGGCGTCGCTACTACTGCTGACGGTGGTCGTGGGGACTCGAGAAGTGGCGGGTGTGTACACGGGGTTGTTTGTGTCGGTGCTCGAAACATGATCTTCAAGTACACCACATGCATGAAGTCCGACGCCGAGTTGTCCATTCCCAATCGCGATGGTGACATGAGTGATGTTGTTATCATCTTCTGCATTGTTGGCAGAACTGTCATCTGCATGGATGTTGACAATGAGTTGTCCATTCTCGACAGCCGTGGTGACAGGAGTGACATTGGTACCGTCTTCTGCATTACATGCTGAAGTCTCGTCTTCACGGACACCATTGGTTTGAACGGGGATCGTTGCATTGCCATCTAGAGTAGTATTGCCATTGGCATCACCGTTTGCATCGCTGGCGGAAGCATCGCCTTGATGGACAACGTTGGTTTGGACGTGGACGGTGGCATTTCCATCTTCAGTAATATTACCATTGGCATTATCGTTTGCTTCGCTTGGATTTTTAGCCTGATCTTCAGCCTCTTTGACAGCTTTTTTTCCTCGCCGTTCCTTTTTCCACGCTTCCTTTTGGGCTTCGTATCTCGCTTCTAGATATGGCCACATCTCGACTGGAGAGCAGGAAGAAGAACATCAGCACCACTCATCAATTTGCCCAAAGAAATTGTGCGGCGACTCACGTCTTCCATTATAGGGATTTCGCACCAAGGCGTTTCCTTTGGGAGAGTAATCAACCTCGTTTTCAAGATCAGAGTCGACTCCGGGATCACTTTCTGTCTCACTGCCTAGAGCCAGAATCACGACACGCTCTGCTGCCTCCATTGGGACGGTAGGAGATCGATTCTGTCTCAAAGTGCGTGGTCCTCCTGCTTGTCAAGGGTGAGTGTGATGTGATTCTGAAGGAGGAAGCAAGACAGACCGTCATTTGTGAAGGCATACCATGCATATTGTGGCTGGCGATAGGGCAATGTTGGCCGAGATGCGAGAGAGGTGCCGAGACGATCCAGCCACGCAAGAGTGACTCTGTTGTCCATGATGGGTATGATTGATGGTTTTTACCCTGGTGAGTTGTGTTGACAAACACGCAAACCTGTTCAGAGACAAAGGAGGCGAGGTGTCTGCGTAATACCCGCGCGCCCATTCACTATTCACCACTCGCGTCGCCTTCCCCGGCAGGGACAGGCGGTGAGGAAGTGTGGGTGTCGGCATGAGGCTGGAAGGCATTTATTTCGTTGATACAATGCTTCCATCGTCATTCTGCCTGACTTTTGACCTACATATGCACATAAAGGGTCAAAAAGTGGTGTGCTGCAGCATGTCCCTCCGACAGCCAGAGAGTCATCGTATGTTCATGCATGATTGCTGTCAGGCTTGACCTGCAGCACGTTTCTCGGAATGCTTCCATGACCCCAAGACATGAGGAGGAAGGCGGGTGATGAAAGAACGGTAAAGACGTCGTTGTGTTACCCTGTCATCTCTGCATGGGACAGTATATTCTTTGGCGCCGGCAACTCGGTACTTTTACTGGAGCTTTGGTCTATTGTGCCTCGCGCGGCCAAGCCTGGTGGCGCCCAATTTATTTAGGGCTGGCACCTACAGGGATCCAACTGCAGGGCCTGGAGAGCCACTAACCTACGGAGTACTCTGTACCAAAGGTATTTGTAGGCTTCATGGGGGCGAATCGGCTTGTTCCGGCAAGCATCATCTGGGGGTCTTTAGTGGGCTTGAAACAGCACTGGGAACAAACATGACGTCGCATTTGGCAAGGGACAAGAACTGGTTCCTCGCAAGTCCCCGCAGGTCACAGGTCGCCTTGAACGGTGCCTCAGTAGTTTGGAAAGCCTGGGACGGTGTGTTAAAAAGCGCTCTCTTGCTTATGGCTCAGCCTCGATCTTTACTCAACTGACTCTCGTACCTCTCCAGGTTTCCAACAACTCTCCATCGGCTCTGCGTGTCTTTTGCTGCAAGATACCCTCATTGCGTCCTTCGTTCCGACCACAAGCCAACATTCTTTTCGCCGACAATATTTGGTTTCAGCCGAAACACACATAAAGCGCAAGAACGTTGACACATACCCATTTTACATAACATCGGCGGCATTGAAAGTGTAAACATAACATGCGCTCATCACTCTGAACAGAACACAACAGTCCAAGAACCAACTACAGCAAGTAAAAGAAAAAGGAAACCAGAAAAGACTCGCCACGATGCGACCACACCTCCCACTCTTCCTCAGCGCGCTTACGGTTCATGTCTTCCCCGCTCTCTCTCAGGCGCCGACATCGACCGTCGAGGTTGTTGCGACGACGATAACAAATTACTATACCTTGGCCGCACCGACGCGGCCTCTTTCGGCGCAGTACACGAGCAGTCTCGACTTTCGCACTTCAATTCTCAACTCGACAAACTTCTACCGCTACGAACACTCAGCATCATACATATATTGGAACGAGACCCTGGCGGAGTATGCGCAAGATTATTCCAAGAAGTGCATCTGGGAACATTCGCATGGCGCGTACGGCGAGAACCTCGCCCGTGGATATACCAACGTCACCCAGGCCGTACAGGCATGGGGTGACGAGCGTGCCGACTACGATTTCAGCAGTACCGACCCTACCGGCTTCACCGAGGAGACTGGGCATTTCACCCAGCTTGTGTGGAAGAGCACACAGTCGACCGGGTGCGGGTGGACGAATTGCAACGGCACCAACGGTCTAGACGGCGTCTTCCTGGTCTGCGAGTATTGGCCGGCCGGTAACATTGTGGGAGACAACAATTTGTACTTCAAGCAGAACGTCGCCGCCGAGAGAAGTGGAGGAGACGACGGGTACAATGAAGAAGCGGCCACGCAAGGGGCGACGGGCGGCACACCAAGTTCGACGGGCGCAAGTCCGACCTCGAGTGCGACGAGTGCCGGTGGACCTTCGAATGTCGAGGTCGGGGTAAGTAGAATGTTTGTCACGGTATGCGTGACGATTGCCGCTGTTTTGTTTGGTTGGGCCATGTCATGAGCGTTGCGTGAACACTGGTTGATGAATCTATGATCGATGGAGTATGAGCAACCTACTTTTGCATAATACTTACTAAATATACGCGTCGTTGTTTGGTTTGACATTTTCTTTTGAGCGTTGCATATGCCTGTCGTATGGAGTATATGTTGCGATTTACGGACGGGATGATGAGTGGAGAACAAGAACAAATACCCTGCGAGCAACCTACCTATATAGAAGTTGGAAAGGGAAGCCATCACGGAATGTACAGGACGATGGTTACCCAAAGAGACAAGCGATTGTACATACAGAAAGATACAAAGAGGAGGAGTGAAGAGTATGGACTCTTCAGACCGATTTAGCATTTACAGCGTCTATAATACAACATACCCTCATATATCCAACATTGCTAAACTACCTAGGTATGATTTATGACTCGGGTATAACAGTGATAACTTGACAGAATATGGGGTATAGAAAAACAGATACGGAGTCACCGACGAGTTTGTCAACCTCTCCCTTCTTCCCCGGTCTCTCTCACTCACCAGCTCAATCTTCCTCTTCAGCCTCGTCACAAACCTACAACTTGTACATCAATCGTACATACCTAATTTCACACTTCAACTCTCAGGGATTCTTCCTTCCCACATTGTGACTTGTTCTGTTCTTCCACCTCTTGTTACAAAACTCATCACTCTCGTCGTCCCTCTCTCCCCAGTCGTCTCAAAACGACGTTTCCCAAGATCCTCCCGTCTTCCCCGGACACCCCTTCCCCTCGGTACCCGTCGTCCTTTTCACTCAGGGCCATCTCCACCAATACCCTCCCCAACTCTTCCGTGGGACTCAACCAACTTTCCTTTCCCAGAACTCGAATCGGGGGGAGGAGACTCTTGAGCATGACGCTCTGAAAGGGAGACCGTTGGTCCCTCATGATCTTTTTCCATATCCAAGGTTGGTTGGTACCGTCCACCCCGGCAGGTCGGACGGAATAAACGCCCAACCTCCCCCTCAGACTCGGTGCCTTGGCCAGGTTTATCAATGCGGTCTCGGTCTCTCCCTTGACGCGACCGAACAGGGGAGTGAATCGTCCCGGTGTTTGTGTCGCACCTTCACCTGACACGTAGATGAATTTGAATTTTTGGGAGGAGAGGTCATTCCCTGCCTGGCCGCCGTCACCACCATCGTCAGTGCTGGCGTTGATTCCTCCTCTGAGTCCAGCAAAAGCTTTTGCGGCGGCAATGGTATAGTCCTTTGTGACTTCCACATATTTTCCCTTGGGCACGTCATTCTGACTCACCCCTAGAGCCCATATACAAGCGTCGGCGCCACCGAGGCGATCCAGCAACTCGGAAGGGTAATTCCCAAAATCCTTGTGCTCGATGACCTCGATGGTCGTGTGTCTGTTGGCGCGGGGCGGCATCCCGGTCGGCGGAGGGTCCGACAACAACGAAATGTCCGGGTTTCGTGAAAGGATGCTGAGTCGAGTGATGCTCGGGGTCGCGCTGGCCGGTAAGGACAAGATGTGCGAGAGGACGGCCGAACCGACAAGGCCAGTTGCCCCTGTCAAGATGAGATGGACCATTTCTCTCTCTCTCTCTCTCTCTCTCTCCCTTTTGGCTTCGGATTCTTCCTTTCGATGCCCTCCGTAGGCAAGAACGCGCGTGTGAGATCTTCTTTTTGTTGTGCAAGGGACTACAAGAGCGACCAAATCGGGAGAAAAGCACGACAATCTTTGGCGCCCCCAATCTTTCAAAGCTCAGAAATAAAACACGGAAGTCAAGGAGAAGAAAAGAGAAGAGAAGAAAAGAAGAACAAAATTTCTCACCAAGCCAACCTACAATCATATATACATATTCTCCGTCCGTATCCTTTTGTTGGCCTCGTCTTTCCTCGGCCCGTCAAAACGGATATTATGCTCGCTGCTGACCTTTAGAAAGGGACCAAGCTTGGTGCCACCGTCTTGTTCAAAAGCCCAAAAGAATACGGAGAACTCGTAGGGATTTGGCCCTAGCTCTAGGTAGGTACGGAGTACGGAGTCCTCCCTGACTGACTATGCACGTTGCTGACACACTTTCCGGAATACGGACAAGGTAAACTCCAGGAGACCCATGCTGCTGGTGGCCCCAAATCTAGGCTCCCATTCTACACACCAGACATCAACATTCAACATGCGAGATGGGACGGTTATTACGCGCAAACACCTTCGTCTGAAAAAGGGATAAAGGAGCGAAGGAGAAGAAAAAGTAAATAAAAAGAGGCACAACAACATAGAGCCGTGAATTAAATATTTTCCCGTCTTCGCCCTCATCATATCTTGGATCTCGTAAAAGAAAGACTGGATCAAAATACAGGGATGGCCAGACTAGGTACAATCATGTCCCATGTTCACAACCAAAATTAAAATATATACAAGTTGCAAGTTTCGGGCTTCGAATAAAAAGAATGTGCTCTGTCCTGCTGTCTCTCCATTCAGCTGTTGCAACAGGACCGAACAAAATCGCCCTGTGACTTGACTGGTTCCCATAATCGCTTTTTCGTTGATCAAATAGCAAGTGGAGGAGGCAAATACCTTCCCTGTGCATTCATTCAGGACGCCTTCTTTGTACAGAGTCTGTACACGTCGTCAAACATCATCACTTGCCAGTATAATCAAGGGTACCGGCAAGGCGTATCTCTTCGACAAACTTTTCTTCATCTCCTAAAGTGTGCAAGTTCCAATGTCCGGACTTGGGCTCTCGGTTGAAGGGCCCCCATCCAAGCATCTCTTGAATGTTACGCCTTTTCAAGTCGATGTTGCCCCGAATATCAAACAATTGGGACTGGAGGCTTCCCAAAACCGCGACGGCAGCTCGAACAAGGGCGCGATCACCTTCGAAGACCCAAATATCCCAAATGCGACAAAGTCTGTCAACGTCCAGCCCATTGGAAAATATGGTGCGAAACATGGGCTCAAAAATCTCTTCCCCACGGAAGCCCAAACCACCTTGCTCCATTGAACCAAAAAGATATTCGTGAAGACGAGGGAATTTGATCCCCAATGTCGAAATTGCGTGATTATAAGTTCGTCCAGTCGTGGTAATGTCGTTGGTTTGAAATCCCAGTGGTATCGGTCTGTTCAAACAATTCGCCAACAGAATAAAAGCATCTGCAGGAGTTGACAATTGTAGCAAAAGCAGCGCAGCAATTAGTTGAATCCCATAGATGTATCCCACATCGCTTCGATAGCATGCGTATGCTTCACAAACATCAACCAGATCTTGCCAGAGTGGAGCGTTCTTTTGGAAAAGTTTGAGCTCAGGGAATGCCGTCTCCGCGTCTCTTGCGATGTCAACGAACCAGCGTTCCATGCTCCGAGAAGCGCGGTCAAGTTGTTCGCTCGGCAGGTTCTTGATCTCTTTAGCTCGCTGCAAAGCCTTTTCGTAACTCTTCAACGTGAGCCCAAGAGGATTTCCTATCTTCCTCTGCCACACCTTACCACGGATGTTGGGACTAATGCCGCGCCAAGAGAGATCATTAACTCGCTTGTCGATTGTCGCAAGATCCGTGCTTTCTTCGATATAATACTGCCAAATCCGATTGAGCGATTCCCTCGTGTTATCCTTCGTGCACTGCTGAACCTGCAGCTTGGTGCGACGTTTCTTCTCGGCTTCAACTGATGCTGCCATCATTCGTTGATATTCTCTCAAATGCCGTCGTTCTTCTTTTGGGTCCTTGGGTGGCAGCCACGAGGGCCTTGTTCGAGACAAAATGGACTCCTTCTCCTTGGACATTGGCATAAAATCCAAGGTACTTTTTTGAATTGGTGGCAACTGAATGCTAGAGCTTCGGGTCGATTTGTTATCTGCAAGACTTTCCAAGCTTTCCCGTGAAGAATTATTGCGAAGGTTTTCAAGCCGTGCTTGCTGTTTCGTTTCGGCGTGATATTCGAGGGCTTCGGAGATGACTCGAGCCTCCTCGCTGAGACCTGCCATGGCAAGATTCCAGGACTTTGTCCTTCCGTTGTTGCGGAGGTTGTTAGCCCTGCGTGGTGATGAAGGAGTGGAGGCCGGGGGATTCAAAGAACTTGAGCGTGAGACTGATTGTCTGTTCTTTGGAACAACCTGGGAATGCATAGTCGTACGAGGAGGTGATTCTGGAGCAGTTTTTGCATGATCCAAAGGAATAGGACGTGGACTCGAAGCTCGGAGGTCCCTTTCCGGACTTCCACGGAAGCTCGAGCGGTGTGATCTTTGGCCTGAGACATGCGGTGACACCGGGACATTCCAGAGACTCGCGTCGTCAGGCAACTCATCGTCCGAATCATTGCATTCTGCCTCCAGCTCCTTGACGGTCTTTCTCTGTGGTTGCCAAGAGGCACGTCTTGATGGCAGTCCTAGACTTGATGCTGATGAACGGGGAAGGGGTCGCAGGCCACCGGCACTGAGAGCGGTGTTGGAGATATTGGCGAGCGCCCTCCTCTGTGGTGGTGAAGAGGATCTTGTCCGGTTGGAGGGTGGGAAGAAGTTCTCTGTGCTGGTGAAAGCGCGCTTCGTTGTCAACATCCTTGGCCCAATCGCCCTTGGAGTCGTAGACTCCTGCCTCCTATGAGATGTCAATTGCGTTTGCAGATGCGGAAGCGCATGTCGCTTGTCTCCCGACCCCGATTCTCTGGACTTCATCAATTCATGGTTCGATGCAAATGATTGTACGGAAATGTCTCTTGAATGGTAGCCTAGCGGAGAAGGACGCTTGTCATCTTCCAATCCAATCTCTTCAAAGTTAATTATCGAGTCAGATTCCAATTCGTCCGGATTCGACAATGTGGAAGAGTATGACGAGGATTTGGAGGAGCGGGAACCGGATAGGTCTGGTGGTGAACCTGGAATACTTGAGGTGATTGTGGTCATATTCAGACCGTGAACATCGGACGAGAACGTTAACGAGCGGATTCCTTGTTGAGGGATCTCATTGAGAAAGTAGTTGCAGGATTGCCTTTGGAAGTGGTCGAGTGTTTCCGCCTGCGAATCTGGTAATTTAATTTCCGAACGAGTGTTGTTGCGTATGGAGCTATTATGGACGGTGGTCGTGCACGATGACAATATTACATCTGCGTAGTTGTTGCTGGGAGTTTTCGAGGAAACGAACGTCGGTATGCGCCAAAGAACATGATCAATGTCGAGGACACCTTGTTGACCCAGGCCTGCCAACTCTGAGGAGGAAGCTTGAGGATCGTAGCCAAGATGCAAAGTTTCCAATGGTTCGACCCCTGGCGAAGGACTCGGGACGATTGGTGGAGTGGAGAACGATGGTGCTGACGCTTGACAGGACGCTAGCATTGAACCATGTCTGCAGCCATGCCGAGGGGAGGGCAGAGCTTCCGAGTCTAGGGGCTCCTCCATGACCATTGACTGGCTGACATGTGCTGAGCCCAGTTCAAACTCTGGGAAACTTGGTGGCAGAGAGGGGGCTGGCAGGCTTCCCTTCCAGACCGTCGCCGGCATCGATTGGGGAGGTTTCAAGGATCGGACAACGCTTTCGGCTGGCGACCCACAGTATGTTCGTCAACGATTCTGCCAGCAGGTCGTCGTTGATGTAAGAACGTGTGGTTCGATCTCTTTTTTATTTTCAGAAAAGACACTCGTGGAGACTCGACGTGATGTTATAGCGAGGAGGCCATGGGAGAGGCGTCAATGTCGGTTGGTGGTTGGTGCCGGTCACAGATTAGTTTCAGTTGATCGAAAGATATCGTCGGAGAGTCAACAGGGGTCCGGCCAGTAGATTCGTGATTTCGAAAAAGGGTAAGGGCGGCGCCCGTCAAGTCGGTCACGATGATTTTCTGACGCAGTGTGGGTGTTTCATGATAACAAAAACGAAAGAAGCTGTCCCAACGCAGAAATACTACTCCGTATATGCCAGCAAAGGAGCGGTCAGGTTGTCTTTTTGTTTGGATTGTTTGGTATGTGTAGGAGAGAGAAGACGGAGTGCTGTCTATCGCAAGGAGGAGGCAGGGAATATCCTTGGTTTTAAACAAGGCAGGTGCACTCTGATCTTGGTCCGGAGTCCGTATTTGATGGCGCAATATGCACCATGATAAGAAAAAGCTGGGGATGGGGATGGCGATTGATGGGTTGGTGATGGTGTTTTGGTGGCTGGTGGTGGCATCTGCACAGACGGGTATGCAAGGCGAAGCGGCACTCACCTTGTTTTTTTTTAAATGAAGCCAGTCAAGATGCAAAGCCCGCGCTTCTAGGCGAATTCGATGGGCCAACGCACGAGATGCTGATGCTAAATGGATACAGCTGTCAACATTCCAAACTCGTGTGTTGTCATGGCCACTCTGGTGGCTCTAGATTTATATGGTCGTCATCACCACTATAGTAGTACTTTCGTACTATTGGCAAGTTGTTTGTTGTTTGTGATGTATACAATTTTAACGTGCTTGTCTACACACGGCCGGCAATTTACCCTTGATACGGAATACGCACATCCCAACTATTCCCGACTTCAGTACGCGTAGCCATGGAATGTGCGTTTGTTTTCTTCAAGCAGTGTGCTCAGAACCTTCCTCTCGACCTTCATCTGGTCTTCTGTGCTTTCCCTTAATGATCGAAGCCATATCAAAACATCCTTGTATCGACTTTGTTTGCGCGAGAGCACACCCTCACATGCTGCAGCTGCAATCCAGCACATCTGTGCTCTGGTGATGTCTCGTTGGCAGTTATTCTTCACCCAGCAGATCTTCGTGCTGACGGTCACCAGTTCTTCGATCAGCGTTCTGACGAACATCTGGGAAGAGTGAACCCCTCGTCCCATCCGGACTATATACTGATGCATTTTCATAGCCGTTTCAGTAAAATTTCCGAGGAGCGTCAATATGACCTGCTTTCGGCTGTTCAACGACATGTCTAGTAGCATCGCGTGCATTTGCAGTTTCAATGAAGCCAGCACCTTCCTTCTCAATGTCGTACCAGGCCTGGAGCTGGTCTCAACGGTTAGTGTGTTGTTTACGTATGCATCTGTTTTTTCTCGATGTTTTTGGAGCTCCAATGTCTTCGTGTCAATGCCCATTCCACAGTATGGGAAAAACCTCTCGCCAGAAAGGCGCGGGATCTTGTGTCCATTGATGGATACATCAAAGTTGACAAGCGATTTCTCTGCGTTGACCACGATGCCATATTTCTTGTTTCCGCCGGACATGACTTCAAGGAAGTGTTTTGCTATCTGCGCGTCGCTTGTTATCAAGAGAAAGTCATCGATCAGCCGGAGCAGCATGGAAGAATCTGCCTTCAAGAAGCCCAACTCGTCTCGCTCAAATGCGCCGAAGAAGTAGCTACAGAGGAGGCTGCTCAACACTGAACCCTGAGGAATTCCTTTTATTTGTCTCATGTGTTTTTTGCCCATTTTCACAATGTTATCTCCGACATGCTCATGGAGAAGTTTCAGCATTGCCGACTTTGAAACCAGTCGCTGGTTGCCAGTGTCTGCAAAAACCACTTTGCGCTTCCTGTCTGCAACGGCGTTCGCAGCCAACTCTGAAAACACCGCTGTGTCATCTGCCGATCGAGCTGATCCAATATATCGTCGTCGTAAGGAGTTGCAGTCATTCTTCCCTATTCCATCCAAGCACTTTATCTCCGTATGCCGAGTTGTTCGATATAAGGGATTGGACAAGACTCGTCTAGCAATAACCAGCAGCTGGTCTTGTGGAATGCTATCAAAGCAAGACTGGATGTCAACCTTGACAAAGAACAATGGCGATCCTTGCGAGTTGGCATTTTGGAACTTGGATATCCTGCTGTGCAAGTCCGCGACAGAAAACATCGCTGACCCTAGTGGTGCTGGATCTTGACCACGTTCGTAATTGAGCACACTGAACAATGGACTGAGCTGGGTGTTGATGCTAGTTCCCAATATCCTTCGGCCAGACACTATCTTCCACTGCCGGCGTCGGAGGTTGGTGATTGGTCTCGCTCCATGGTCTTTGGGCAGTAAGCGTATATGACTATATCCCAAAGTTCGACCTTGTAATTTCTGACGAGCTTGGTGAGGTTTGATATTCGAATACATGCTCACCTTGAGCCCAGTGAGGCTGGGCTCCGAAAGCTTACGCCACGCGTCTTGTCGGAAGTAGAACAATCGATTACGATGTGCAGAGCTTTCGGTGACGTAGAAGTTTGCTCGAATGAGTGGGATTAGCAGAGAGTCAAAGACGTAGTAGATGAATTCGTAAAGCAGCTCAAGTCGTTTCGAATGATCAGACTTGGACAATCTCGATCCTTCTTTACCAGGTGGACAAAGCCATGGGATGGACTTGACACGGAGCCCTTGGACGACTTTGTGCAGGGTCATGCTCTCAAAGCGGCGCATCTGCACGAATTCATCTACGCGCATCATGATATTTTGGTGATTCCGACGGCCATCGGCGCCGATTCCGAAGGCATCCCTGGGAAGGAGATGTGTTATGGTCGTCCGGCAAAATGCGGAGACTCTCGAAGGGTGTGTTGAATACGGTAGGAACGAGTTTCCACTGTCATTAGTGACAGTGGTTGGGAGCGAGGATCCCGTTATCGAGGAAAAAGCATGAACCTGCGTCACGAACGGCTCTGAGCTAGAAATATGCTGTTCGAGACCATACCCCGTCGATGCTTGGTCCGACGAACCACCAAGAGAACAATAATGCCGCAATAGCTGAGTGTATGAACATCTGTGGTGATTATGCTGGATCTTCTTCACCAGCTCCAGAGTCTTGCCGCGGAGTCGACGCGGTAATCTTGTAGGAGCCCGGCTGCATAGGCCTCTGATTTCTTGCTCTCGGATAGTATAGTCTTTAAATTGCTGAGCAGTCTCTGTAAGATCTGTGGTAGAGGTGAAAACATTGTGTAGTCCGAATTGTCTCGGAAAAATGTATTTGGCAACATGGGCACCGTGACTGTATTGTGTAGAGTGAGAGCATCGTTCCAACACATGCGTGTGATGCAAGCCAAATTTTATTTTCCCGGCCTTGTTTACTGAGGATTTTGCATACAGGATTCGGTTTCTGACAAATCGGATATCAGCAGTACCACGGCTAACATTCTCATCTTGTATGGCTGAAGGCTTTGGGCTTCTCGATGGTGCCCGTATTTGTTTCAATTCAGATAAGGGAGTTCCACTGAGTTGGTAATAGTTGCCATTGCCTCCCGAAAGCTTTGTGAAGATGCCACAATCAAGTAATAAAGTCGAAATGATGGCTTCGGCATCGTTTCCCAGCAATGTTAGGATATTCGTCCATGGGCTTGATGTCAAAACACTGATGCTGTCGTTGGGATGATGCCGAACTATGCCCGGCAGAACGCCTCTGTTCTCTGGTTCGACGGATCCTGCTAGGGCTGAAGCTCTTTGAAGACCATGGCATAGGATGTGGCGTGGGCGAAGTCCTCTGAAGGTTCCCCGAAACAAGGACCAAACCACAAAGTCGACAATCTAGGTGGTCTCATTAGTCTTCATGCTAGGGATAACGCACGATTTGAACGGCAATCTACCTCGTTCATGCAACATCGTTGTGTATGGATGTTGGTCCCACTGGTGGCCCGCTGTTGACTCTGCGTAAATGTGATAAAGTCGACTTTGCGCGACTCTTTAATCGAGATGGATGGTTCTTTCAGAATGCCAACAAGGCATGTATCAAGAATGGAACCAGCATTGTCCTCGGCAAATGCAGAGAGAGTCCGCCGTCTGACGCGAGAAGTTGGTGGTAGCTGTGCTAATAAAAACACTCGTAAGGTACAAACCCTGGAATAAAAAGAAGAGAGTACACCATGATGGATTACTGGCGAAGACCGGGATCGAGCCAATGCTTCATTACCGAAGGTCGGTCTTTCATTCGCTGTTTTCGGAATTTTGAGAGGGCGGCTGGATGCATTGTCAGCCCATCTGCGCTTTCTCGCCATGGCTGCTGTGGTGCATTGCTCAAGCGAGGGAGTGTCTGGCGCAATCAGGGATTGACGCGTTGTGGTCTTGCAGGACTTCGCTCCGGATCCTCATACGCGTGCAGACTCTCTGAGGCTGCGACGCACCATCGAGTCGAACGCCAAGACAGAGAGGCCTCATCGCAGCATGCAGAAGCCGACATGTAAATTTCGTTGATTACTGTTGCTTAAAAGCATGTTGAAGATGAGACACAGCAACAGGGGAGATCCCAGCCATTATTTACAAAAGTCAGCAGGGCACGCGTCGCTAGTGTTTAGAGGCGAAAAAGGGATGCGTTCTGACTGGTCAGGACCAGGGGTAGGCAAACACGAACAATCACCAAGTACGGAGGTTACGCTATGTCTGTCAATGTGCGTGTGAATGACTTAGGGTTGGAGGATCGCGTCTTATTAGGTATGGAGTCAATGTTGTATCAGGCATCTCAAGATTCAACAAGGGTTCTGATGTTTAGTTTGGCCCTTGGTGTTTGGGCAATCGTTTAACGAGGTTGTTATAATTGGGGCTTCGTCTCTGCTATCAATAGTGGCGCCAACCAAGCCTGGTGCATCCTCTTCAGAGAACTCTCTGATGATATGGTGTATGGGCCACAATGAAGGTCAGCCTAAGTAGTGACCATGTTCTGGTCTACGCCCATGCGGCGAGGTGTTGTGATTGTTGTCCTGAATCATTTGAGACGAGGACGGAGACGGCGACTGTTGAGGGTGACATTGGGCACCAGTCAGAACCTGAAGGTCAGATCCTGCGGGACCATTGGTATCGGTAGCGAGCACGATGAACCCCTGCAGGACGATTGACACTTGTACAATGACCAGAGCCAGGCGATGAACGGGGTACGGAGTACGTTTGTTTCCCACTTCGATCTTCCTTGTACGGAGTATGGTGTTGAACAATGGACTGGGATATTGATAAAGAAAATTGTCAATCATCAGTAGAGTTATTTGTCGAGTCCCAAAGCAGACGAGTAGATTGGGCTCTCCCCATCCAATCCTTTGTGCTGCTGAGATTCCCTGAACACGGTGAGCCTATGGTGAAGTCATTTAAATAAATAGCTGCGGAGTTGATGCCTACTGAGAGCCTGGTTGACAGCCTACTAGGGACTAAAGAGCCTAATGTTGAGCCCCCGGTCGATGTGCCGTCCATCCCTCCATGTTGCGCACTAGATTTAGCCGGGACACACAGGGCTTCCTCCTCGCTTGCTGGCATCTCATCCGAACATCCAGTACTCATCACTTGTACGGTACATTCACCTTCGCCTCACCCAGGGCAGCCTCACTCTAAGTAGCCCCCTGCCTCCTCTACATCACTCCACGAAACTACTGTAATGTAAAGGTGTCGTCCTCGAACGGTCCCTGTCGATATCCTTCTCAGCACACCATCTGCGTGTCGCGGCGATACCTCCCGATTGGTCTCTGTGACTACCCAACCTTCGTACACCACAAACCGCAGTTTAGGCGGAAACACGCGACGGTGAACTTTGAGTTGGAGGATACAAGGCTTTCCTTTGTTCTCAGATTTTCTCGCTCTCTGTCGTTCATTACACCATCACTTGTTGGTCGTCATCTGGGCAGTATCGCCATTGAACCTACACCAGACGCTAAGGTGACGTCTGTCAGAGGGCGATCGGTGCGTCTCTGCGCAGGACAAGAGCCACGAGGGAAGACAATTTGACAGGCAAATGCGTGGGAATATACTACTGTCGCAGTGACCAAGTCATGCTGGGCCTGGGCCATGCATCTGTACGATAGACATCATCGTCCAAGAAGGAAGGCCCCGGCGTGAAGCTGCGCCAGAGTCGACGACAATGCCTTCTGCGGTACCAGACCAGAATAACTACTATACCACGCACCACCGCCGACAGTCGTCGCATTCTCAGACCAACCTGCCGACCCAGATCAGGGCTTCTCCTACGCAAGCTCCGTCTCCCGATCCATCACTTGCCTTCTTACCATCTACCACATACGCCCAGCAGCAGCCCTCACCTCATGTTGCTAGGACTCCTTCCGGTCCAACACCCTCCAAGTCAAATATTAGGCTGGAGTCTGTGCCTTCCGACGAAGTAGCAATTGATCCGCACGCCTTCTATAGGCAATACCAAGACCCTTTCACGAATGCCTCTCCACAAGCCCTTCATCAAGAAGCGATACGAACGACGGTGTTTGAGGATGAAGATGAGAAAAATGCTGCAACAAGGAAGTCGAGCTTTGCCTCAGCCCAGTCGAACGAGGATCGGTTTCAAAGACCCTCCCGAAATTCAACAGCGGGACGACGCCCGACCGTGAACACTCAGAACCTGCCAGGTGGCAGTTGGGAGAACAGTCCTGCCAGAACATTGTTGAAATCAAGAAAGGCTTCATTCAAGGATCTTGTCGCACGCTTTGATGCCTCGCCGGAGGAGGTCCCGCCATTACCGACACAGTTCATCACGCGGCCAGCTTCAAGAACTGCAAGTCCGATGCCGTATTCGACAATTGATCCCTCAAATTCCTATGGAAGCACTGTCCCCCAGTCAAAGCGCTCAGAGCCTAGGCTATCGGAGTCTATGAGAAGGATGTCACCCAGTTACGGAATTCGCCCTCCGACAGCTATTCCCCGTGGCCGGAATAGAGGAGCGTCATTGGCGTCTGCCTCAACTCCCGCTGCTGACCCGGTTCAATCTGCGGGTCCTGGGCGTAAGCTTTTGTTCGGAGAAGTCATCCCATCAACATCAAAACTTCCAGCGGCAGGTTATGGCATCCACAATGCTCGTAGAAGAAGAGGCTCAGAGGGATCACCAATGCATAGTCCGAACCCGATGTTTCCATCGAGCACCGCCGACCCCCAGCGGTCACTCCATTCGGCCACTGGTCAAGATCCTGCGCAGGCATATTCGGTGGTAGACAGGACTATTCCATCTGCTAATGCCGCTGGCACGGGCTCAAACCACCGGCGAGCACAGAGTGATCTCCCTGGACCATCATCGAAATCCGGCCGCGACGCAAACTCGCCCGTCATGAGACGAGAGCGCATGGATTCTTCACCTCAGGGTAATGCACAATCGCGCATTCCTATCAGTGTGCGGCACAATCGTAATTTATCAGAGCCGACAAGCATCTCTCCAACGACTGGATCAAGTTCACAGCTGCCACTACGAATGAATGGGCACCGCCAGTCGCCGGCAAGCCTTACTCCGTACACGGACAGGAAACCTCCAAGCCCTCGCCGAGGGCCTCGATCTCAGATTCAGATAAAGAGCCCCGGGCCAAAGTCGGGAGGAGGCACCAGTGAGAAGAGCCCTTCATTGAGGGCGAACATCATTGCCCCTCCACCAAAGATTTCACCCCCGCTTCGAAGTTCAAGACCACGTTTGCCTGTATCAAGTGCAACGACTGCTGCGTCTCGAGCAAAGATGGCCGAGAAGTTTCAGACAATGGCTAAGCAACAAAGCGATAGCAAAGCATATAGGCGACAGAGACCTCCCGAACTTACTGATATTGACCTTAAGGCTCGGCGACTGAAAATCACACAAGCCTTGACTAGGTCAAAGGAGGGCCAGGATCTGAACGGCGGGTTAGTTTCTTTGCGGACAACCTCGACGTCGACCAGTCGGAACAATAGTATTGCTCTTTCAGACGACAGTGATAAGCCCGAGGCTTCCACTCCAGCGAATATCGAGATACCTGCTGTCGTCGTTGATGAACCGGCCCCTATCCAAGACGCTCCCGAAGAACATGCCTTCTACACTCAGGATCGGCGAGTTGTAGACGATCGGCGAGCCTTTACCCAAAATGCGCTTCAAATTGTAGATGGAGGCACACCCCAAACATTGGATGAGGTTGACTCTCCAACACTTGGTCATACTGGCTCGGCATTCACCAGCATACCATACAGCCTCGATACCCATCTGCAATCTGGAAACGATGATCAAGACCCGCGCTCTGCTGTCACCCAAGGGACTGCCAATACGGAAGCCACAATGATAGATGCCGAACCACAGGCTGACGAGCCTGAACTTCAGCCAACGCAGTCTCTCCTAGACCAGATAAGTATCCTTAGGAGTTATGGTTCCAGATCGCCATTGTCTCCTGATTCACATGCATCAGGCGATAATTCTGATCATGCTGATGGGGTTTCTGTTAATCTTATGTTGCGAGAAACGACATACTTGGATGATGATGAAGCGGCCGAAAAGGGTTACCGACCATTACTACCTCCATCAGAGCCATTACCAATGCCACCTACGTTCCACAGAAGCTCCTGGACGTCATCTTTGACCACCGACCACCGCAATTCAGATACTGATGAAGTTGGCATTGATAAAAATGCAACTCACCATTCAGACAAAGGGGCCGTAGAAGCAGGATCCGACAGCTTTTCCGATGTTGACCAGTCCAGTGTTGAAGGCTCGACTGGAGAAGCGTATGCCACAGATGCATACACAATTGTTAATATCGTGTTGCAGCAGCGAACACCATCTGGAGTTGTCGATCAACAGCTTGTGGATGATATTTACCATCGCATAATTCAAGCTTCCCCAGATTTAGTCGATGCTGAAAGCGTCGATGAAGCAAAAGTGAGAGCTTTGTGTCTTCAAGAACTAGATGACCACAGTCTGCACTGGGACCAACAGGTAACCCCACCGCCGCCAGCCGAAGAGGCCCAGCATGAAGCTTCGTTAAGCGCGGAACCAGATCTAAACAACGGTAAATCTGGAACACAGACCATCACTGCAAGCCCACCCACGACTGGCGTTGCCGCACCTAACCCACCTCAGAGTTACCGATCTCACCACCGGTATAAGTCTAGTCTGGACAGCGCTGAGGATTGGGCGGACACCTCACCTTCGGTCACAGATTGGATTCAGTTCGCACTTAAATCTCCAAAGGACGGCCAACATCGGCAACAACAACAGTCACTACTGGCAAACGAAACATTTCGTACTGATGGAGCAAAGACTCAAGAGGGCTTGGATCAGAGACAGGCTCCCAATGAACCAAGCAGAAGCGAATTCATGGAGATAGTGACTGGCCGGGACATACCGCGGCCACCATCGCACTCGCCTCCCCCACCCCCGGCTGCCTTCATGCCATCGATTGCTCAGACGTCTTGGTCCGCGCCTGTCGGAGTGGCGGCTCCAAGCATGCCAGCTGCTCCACCTTCAAGACCACTCACAGCTGTCTCGCAGATGTCGGCGAGGTCAAGCATTGATCAACAAGGAATGTCGACTGAGTCCCCTGCGACCAGACCTTCTACGGATGATCAAACACCGGAGCAACGTCGTCTCAATAAACGGCGGTATGTTCTCAAAGAGCTCGTAGATACGGAGTACACTTACGAACGGGACATGCGAGTGTTATGTGACATCTATAAGCAGACAGCTGTGGCGGCAATATCCGAGGAAGACATCAAGATCATCTTCGGGAATGTCGATATTGTACAGCAATTTTCGAAGGATTTCCTCGGCCTCCTGAAGCAGGTGGTCAAACCAGCCTATGTGATGGAAAAAGTGGACCGACGCAAAGATGGAAATCGTTCCTCGACAGTACAAAGCTCGGCCGCTTCAATGGATGGTGTTATCGACATGAGCGATGGAGACAAAGACGAACTTACCAGAGTTGGTCAAGCCTTCGAGGCCTCCATGGGTGATATGGAGAAGGTCTACACCGAGTATATTCGGACCCGACATGCTGCAAACAAGAGACTAGAGGTTTTACAATCTGACTCAGCAGCACGAGAATGGCTGAAGGAGTGCAAGGAGAACTCGACTGATATCACAAACGCTTGGAGTCTAGATGCCCTTCTTGTCAAGCCAATCCAGCGAATTACCAAGTACCCTCTTCTATTGATGCAGCTTGTGGATACCACACCAGATAACCACCCTGACGCAAGCTTCTTGCGACGAGCTCTGGTTGAAGTGACCGAGATCAATATACGCATCAATGAAGTCAAGAAGCACACGGAGTTGGTTGATCAGGTTCTAAACAGGAAGCGTAAGGACTCTGATGTTCGCAATGGATTGACAAAAGCATTCGGACGCCGTGCGGAAAAATTGAGGCAGAATATGGGTATCAATGAGATGTTTGAGGACGAAGAATACGCCAAATTGAAGATCAAATATGACAACAACATTGCACATCTGTTTCTCGTCTCCAAGGACTGCCAGGGGTATATTGAAGCCATAACCAAATGGGTTACGCGCATGTGCGAGCTGGCAGCGGCAGCTGAGGCGTGGGTCGACGTTGGGCATACCCATTATCCGGAAGCTGAGAGCAAACTTCGACAATTCGCGATTGTGGTTCGAGGCATCAACTCAATAGCCTTGCCAGATCATATTGACCAGGTGAATCGTCGCGTCATTAGTCCGATGGAAAAGACCGCGACCATGCTGGAGAGATTCCAGACCGACCCGAAAGGACTCGTGGCCAAGCGAGACAAACGACTGCTGGACTACAACCAATTTAAGAACAAGAAGGATAGGGGCGAAAAAATCGACAAGAAGATGACTGAACGCATGGAGCAGTGGGAAGCACTCAACCTTGAGGCAAAAGAAAGAAAGAAACGGCTGCTCAAGTCCACTGCCGACTTGGTCCTCTCGTGTCAACAAAACCTTCTTGGACTTCACCTAAATTGGCTGGCAATGTGCAAGCAGAAGTTCTCTGCAGCGATGGAAATTTCTCTCGACAAAGTCAAGCCGGAGGAAATCGTCAAAGACTGGCAAGAGGATTTTGAGTACCATGAAGAACAGATACTCATGTTGAGTATTTGCAACGGCTCTTTGTTGGCTGAAGCAGGCAATCTGCTCTCTTTCTTGACACCTGGGACGACATTGCTCGGCGACGATTCCCCTCGACAGCCTTCGTGGAACAGTGGGCATAAAGGGCGATCGATATCTATCAACGATGACACGTTAACGTTCAGTTCAAGCCAACGACAAAGCGAAGGTCTGATGAGTTCACATAGTAATGACCAGAGTGAGCCGAGCTCGTTCAGTTTTGTCAATGGCCGGATACGAGCCACCTCGGCAGCGTCTGGAAGACTCCCCAAAACCCCAGAGACTGGTTCTCGCGGAGCACCTTCTGTCCATACTGTTCACAGCACTAGTGCGTCTCGACCAGGCACTAGCCCAGGGCTGCCTGAAGTACCTGCTCCTCGATTAAGCCTGGACGTGGCATCACCTTCCATCGGACCCTTGTTGTCAGATTCACCTCAGGCCAATAGACACATGTCTTCATCGACATTTTATTCTGCGGCGCCGGAACCCAATCAATCACAGACTCAGCTGGCACCCAGTGGTGGTAACATCTTTTCCTCGGCCATGCCTATGGACGATAACAACAGACCACAGGAAGAGGACGGAACGACGGGCCCTACGCGTGAGCCAGGAGTTCTGTTCACGGCGGCAAGTGTGTATGAATTCAACATTGATCGGTCACGTCAACAGGGTGGATTTCGCTATCTCACATACATGCCTGGTGAGATCTTCGATGTGATTGCTGAAAATGGAGAACTTTGGTTAGCCATCAATCAAGACGATGAGAGCAGAGAGATTGGCTGGATCTGGAACAAGCACTTTGCCAAACTGGCAGAGTAGCGACGTGGAGATGTATGCGGAAACTTATAAATGAGTGAGATGGTATACTCACTCATGCGACCACTCTTGGATAATCTGTCTGCATGACGGATGGGAATCATCACTTTCTAAGAATACCAACGCGCCTGATGGTATTACTTTTTTCTCTCTTTTTATTTTCATCAGCACGCTGTCATCAGCTCGGGGTTCAACAGCAAGCATGACCAAAAGTGCATGTACAGTGGGACCTCGCTAGGAGATGGATGGTGGGTGGGCTCACTGGACAATTTTCAAAGGTACTTTTTGTTTTCTATCGAGCGTTCGAGCGGGCTTTAAAACTAGGCGTCGGATGGAAAGGGATCTTGAGAACAACAGAGATGTACATTACTAAGCGATGATGATGACCTGAGAGTTGAAGATGTAAATTGGATGAGACAGCGAGAGAGCGAGCAAGGACTTATTAGTGCTTTGCGAGGACATGGTAGAAGAAGACAGCGCTCATGCAAAATGCCATTATCTCTTGTTTCCTCCCCATACGAGTATGGCCCATCGTGGGCCTAATCCATACTCGTACTCGTACTGTAGGTACAGACAATACTGCGTACTCCGTAAGTGACCACAGAAATGCGGGATCAACGGCCCCAAGATGAATGACGTTCGTTGCCAATTGGCTGAGAACGCGGCTGGAAAAGGCTGCGTAACCCGAGCATGAGCTGCATGTTTCTCGATTGCAGGGGGTGTTTTTCGACGAGGGCAATGAATCCTTTTTCTGTGTTATGCTTGTTCCCGCTGGATGAGCATGTTAATGACCCCTTGCGATGACCCTAGATGCTAGGTCGTTGTCTTGACTTCGGGTCATTACAGAAGTGCAGTCTACTACAACCTCCCACCTGCGGTTGAAGGCGTATACACACACTTGGCGACTGGCATCACCACGGACGTCACACGAGTCCCCTCTGGCTTGCGAGTAGGGGTCTTTTTGGCTACGAAACACCCTGCACAATCTCGACAATTGACCCTCTATAATGCCAGACCTGCATCCTTTTGGTGGTCGAATGAGTCGGCATTTTGGGAGATCGGTATGTTGTATTGATGTTCTTGCGTCACCGTTTTCTTGCAGTGCGCATCGCCGACGCCCACTGCCCCGACACCCTCGTTCTTTTTTTGTTCTTCCCTCTTGCGGCTCCCCGAATCTTTTGCGCAATGCTCGCAAACATTTTTAACCTAAAAGCTGACCAACATGGCTCCCAAGCTGGCTCCAGAAGATGCGTACTTGAGCTGTAAGAGACTTTCCCACGTACCCAGAATCCGCTGCAGGTGTGTGTCATGTGCTAACCTCGGAAACTCGCAGACTATGATATACGACGTCGGTGACCCGTTCGCACCTCCGTGACCCTACCTGCACGATTTACTGAGAAATGAGATATAGTGACGAGGGAAGACATATCTGTGCTAAAGAATGACTGGTTGACAGACAATGTTGGTGGCCGAATCCCCCGTTGGCAGATTTGGCGGTTGAGATGCTGACTTGACGATACACAGGTCATTGCGTTTTGGGAAGAGTAGGGGACACACACGAGACCGCATGTGGTCGAGACCGAAATCTGACGTGATAGATATCTGGAGCGCGAATACCTCGTCAACTTCAAACACTCTCACATCGTCCTCCTTCGCCCTACCATGTCGTTTATGCTCATGCAAACACCCGATCCACGGACGATCAAGGTACGGTTGCGGCGACGGCGACGGCGACGACGAGTACGCGCTGACATACGCACGCAGGACGCCCTCCCCGATCTCACAAACATATCCCATATTTTCCTCCCCATCAACGACAATCACGCCGTTAACGTCGCAGAGGGCGGGACTCATTGGTCGCTACTACTCGTCTCGATTGTCGACGGGGTCGCCTTTCACTACGATTCGATGCCTCCTGGCAATCAAATCGAAGCACACCACGTCACTCAGAAGCTGTCGAGATTGATCAACAGACCTCTCAAGTTTATCCATCTACACGACAGTCCTTTGCAGGATAATTCCTCGGACTGCGGCGTGTTTGTCTGTCTCAACATGAGACATTTGTTGCTGAAGAGACTTCTCATGGTGAGGACCGATTCCAAGGTCAGCATGAGTCTGGGTGGGAGAAAAGTGGATGCGACCGCGGGTCGGAAAGAGATGTTACGGATCATCGACGAGTTTAGAAGAGAGGGTGAGAGAAGAAGATCGTAAGTGGGAACGTCTTTTGACACGGACCGAGAACTGACGTGTATGATTCAGAACGAGTAATTCACCACATCCCGGTAGGAAGTCGAAGAGTCCTCCAAGAATAGATTCACCTCGAAGTCGGGAATGTTGATGAAAGACGTATTCCAAAAAGGCAATTGATGATGAGAGAGAGAAACATTAATGTCTTTTTCTTTTGATGACATGACGTGGCATGATTGATTCTTATATGTCAAAACATGAAATACTTTCCTTGTTCTCGGAGTCAAAGCACCTACTGTTCTTGATGCATTCGGATTGTTTGATTTTGGCTTCAGAGCAAAGGGATGCTGGCCCCCCATAGAAGGGAGTCCACTATTGCTTTTTACGGAGTAACCCAAGACGAAAACCAATTTGTAGGCACCGCAATGCTGTCCCGACTCGGGATACATCAGACAGGAGGCTGCGGACAGAGTATGGAGAGCGAATAAAAGGCGGACGAGGTGTTTCAATATTTCCTTCCCTCTATCATGATGGTCTGATCCTTTCCATGGCCATGAATCCACCTTGTACATCACCTATCCAACCCCATTTCGGTTTTGATTGTTTCTTCTGCGTGGCCGTATCTCGTTCATTCTCAAGTTGAACGGCCTCAATCATCTTTTGTGCCGCAATTTGACTATCGTTGCCTCTTTGACACACAAAGTATATCGATGTTGCGTTGTCTTCGACTTCGTTTTCAGTTCCCCCAGTATTGTCATTCCCACGCTCTTCCAACAACCTCGTCGCCGGTGACGTAGGAAAATCACCTTCTTCATCTCTCTGAACAGGAATGTGAGATTCTTGATTCACCATGCCACCTTGTTGTGGGAAGGTCGTACTCGAGACACTGGGAGCAGCCACGGGGACATGAGATTCGGGGTTCAGCATTCCTCCGTCATCACCCATTATTCTGTCTCCGGACGACAATCGAGTTTGACGACGATCGGGGACCTGTGGTCGTCGTGATCGTGGTCTTGATCGTAAATGTAATCCATCAAAAGCATTCGTACCCTGAGAAGTCAAAATCTTGGAGATTGGAATATTTATACTCCCTTTGACTTTTGTTCCGAGTTCGAATTCATGTTCTTCACGTACATCGACGATGACAGTACTCCTCTTGTTGTTGTTGTTGTTGTTGTTGTAGTCCTCGTCGTCATCCTCCTCCTCCTCCTCCAACAAAACAGTCTCATCGAGAAACTTTTTCGCATCGACTCTTTTGGTTTGGTCCAAAATCTTGAAATCTTCAAACACACCACAAAACCCTTGATAGTCCAACCTTCCTTGGGACATGGTTTCGGCGGTGATTTTGGTCAGGTTTTTCGTGGTCAAAACTTCCTCATCACCACACGCCAAACAATCTTTTCGGCGTCCACGCAAGGTGATTGTTCGAAACATGTTTTTCGGATCCATTGCATAAGTGTTGTACAAGAGCATGGTATGTTGTTGTCTTTTCTTCTCGTGGGTCATAATGTCTCGTTCAACACCAACACCACCACCACCACCGCCGCCGCCGCCCTCACGACCAAGGTCATTCCTCCTCCAACTCAAAATTTTGACGGCTTCACCGGCCATCAATGTACCGATCAAACCGACCACCGGTCCCAGGATGCCAATCTCACTACAACCTCTCACCATCTCCGGCGGTGGGGGTCTAGGAAAGACACACCTATAGCACGGACCCTTTTCTTCTTGTTCGTCTTCTTCTCTCCCCCCCGCCGCCGTCCGACCAGGAGGGCGATTCAGAACCACCAAACTCCCCTCGCCGCGTTGGGCCGCCCCACTCACGAGGACCTTCCCCGACACCACGCAGGCGTCGCTGATCAGGTACCTCGTGGCCGGGTTGTCGGTACAGTCCAGGACGACGTCGTAACCCGACACGACGTCGAGGATGGTCTCCGCCGCGGCGCGCGTCTCGTACGTGACGTATTCGATCTCCGAGTTGACGGCCCTGCACCGGTCCAGGGCGCTGAGGACCTTGGGGGTCGAGTCGCGCGCGGCCGCCTCGGTGTGGGCGATCTGACGGTGCAGATTGCCCACCTCCACGGTGTCGGCGTCCATCAACCCCAGAGTGCCCACGCCGGCCCCGGCCAGGTACAGGGCGGCCGGACAACCGAGGCCGCCCAGGCCGACGATCAGGACGCGGGACGACATCAACCGGGCTTGGCCGGAGAGGCGGAACTGAGGGACCAACAGTTGACGGTTGTACCTCGACGACGCCAACTCCGGGGCGGGGATGAGCGACGGGTGGTGTGTCACAAAAGAAGAAAGCCGAGGTGAAGGTCGAGGTTGAGACTGAGATTGTGGCGTGGTGGTTTGGTCGACGTCGGACATTTTCGTAATGTTATTTCTGTCCGTTTGCTGTACCTTGGAACGTTGTGTAAATTGATCAAAAGTAGATGATGAAGTCGTGGTCGATGGTAGATGTGCCGCTGTTGTACTACTCGTAAATTCATTCGAAGGAACAGGCTTTGAAAACCTCTCAATGTCGATGATTGTATTATTTGGAGACCTATTATGCCTGTCTAAGTCTCAGTCAATGAACATGATACGTTATACAATAACATCAAATATAAACAAGAACAAAAAAGCTCGTGCAGGAACAAGTTCGCCGTCGTAATTGCTCTCATGATCATTTCGTATCGCCTCGTCTAGCAATATTTCTAGCTCTGACGGTTGGCCTGCGTCCCCATCGTATTCGTCACCCTGTGTAGGTAATTCCCAACCATCCACGAACCGGGGTATCAATCATGCTGACAAAGGCCCACGTTCTACCAGAATGTACCCGAGTCTTGTCCGAACCACCCGGGAGAACGAAATGCCCAAGCAAAAAACCGAAAACACACACACAACTCAACGGTCTCACTTACTCATCCTCCGGTTCAATGAGATCAGGAATGTTTTCGGCCTTCTCCGTACCCATCAAAATGTTGTGTACAGCCGTCATGAGTGGAAAGTCTTTTTCGGCATTTTGACTCTTGAGGAAAGTATGCACTTCGTGAGCCGTCATGGCACCTTGAAGCTTTTGACCATTGAGTTCTCTGGCTTCAATCTCCTCAATCGACTTGCCCTCCATAATACTCAATTTCGCACATCGATGATTTCGTCCACCGGAACAAGTCGTGATCAGGTCTGCAACCCCAGCAGATTCAACGGTGAATGTGTCTGGATGTACCGTATGAGGGAAGAATCTGTTACCGAACTCTCTCATTTCCAGTAGTCCAACCCGCATCACTGCAGCTTTGGCGTTGTCACCCCAGCCAAGACCGTCCACCCAACCTGCGGCCACGGCAACGACGTTCTTCAAGGCACCACCAAGTGATACACCAGCGACGTCTGAAACGACTCGGACGTGGAAGTATCGACGGTGAAATAGCTTCTTGATTGTGTCCTGATCGATTGGATGGTACTCTGCAGGAAGGGGCTTGAGAATGACTTTGGATGGCTTGCCAGAAGCATCCTTATGGGCGAGCTTCGTCAAATCCACGTGGCTCGATGCGGGACTTGGACCCTGAGATGTAGCAGGAGTCGGTGCTTGAGAATCTACCAACGGAGGATCGTAGGCGATGGTTGTCTCGGAGAACTTTTCTGCCGCGATTTCCTTTGCGATATTTGCACCTGATAGAGCACCACAGTATATTCCTAGCTCTTCTCCAATGGTCTCCGAGAAGAGGCTGATGGATGACTCTTTCACATTGACACCTTTTATACACGAAATGCCTCGAGCAAAGGGGAGAATATGACCACGCATTTGTTTGCAAAGATTGATGATGAACTGATGAGGAAGGTTGAAGATGAGAATGGAGGAGTTTTTGACGGCGTCTGTGAGGGAAGGATTGGCAACGAGGTTGTGTGGTAGAGCGATATCTGGGAGGTATTTGACATTTTCGTGGAAGGTGTTGATGACGGCGGTGAGCTTCTGTGACCCTTTGCATAACTCGTGGGATTCATCGTAGATTTTTGACTTCTTGTCCACCTCGACCTGTTCTTCATACACCCACATCTGGACGTCTCGCTCGAAAAGCTCAGGATGTTCGGCGGTGTTTTCAGCAACCATTTTTCCAATGGTGGAGCCCCTTGGTGATGATTAGCTACAAGTTGCGAGCAAGGAATCTTCAAGACAGATGGCCTACCAGTTGCCTGAACCTATAACGGTGACCTTGTGCTTCTTTGCGAAAGGCGTGAGAGCCGACATTTTGGCTCGCAGCCCGTCCATAATGGCGGGGTTGTGAAGATTGGTGGAACGAGCACAGGAACTAAAGGAGAGAGACAATCTAGCGAATCGAGAAAAGGATTTCAAAGGAGCTCGAGGAGGTAGAAGCATGAATGGGAGAGAAGCTGGGGGAGAAATGGTGGAGGGTTCGGAGGGTTGAACAAGGTAAAAGTGTTGAACGTGTCCGCGTGACGTCTAATGCAGGTACAGCCGTTTCTCATTCATTGGGGATTCGAGGGACGAGCGATTGGGGCATTTCGATTCGTCTCTATTCGTTGATTGATCGATTCCTTGTGAAAGATTCCTTGAGGCCGAGGTCGACACTGGAATTACACGAAGACACGAACAAATCTCAACCTCCTCTGATCCGATGCGCAGCGCCAGCAACGTCATATTGCCAGGGATGAGTACTCGGTACAATAAATGTTTCACGTGCTTTAATTTTATCCATAGAGTCCCTCTTTCTTACCGAGGATTCTATCTCAGACTCTTTCCAACAGCATCAAACTTTTCATCGCTTGTACATTATCACTCATGTTCATGATAACCGAGGAAGTTCTCTCACTTAACCAAGAGAAAGCCAAGTATGCACATGTGTCCTGATTGAGAGCCGCGGTTGAGAGAAATGATGGACGAGACCTCGCCAGTATTTTCCCCAACAACAAACAATCCGACCCTGGAGAGCTCGAGTGGTACTTTTGATTGTCAGCATGTCAAAGAATTACCCGACATATTCGATATCTGAGCGCTATATGACTTTGCAGCATACAGAATTCCAACGTCCTTCTATCTAAATTACAATGCCGTAGAGGCCGCGACAACATCTAGGCTTGCTTCTCCAAAGTATCTACCTGTGCAACCTCCTCCACCGACTTGTCTGATCCAGCGTCTTCCAAGCCCAAAGCCATCTTTGCAGCCTGGATTGAAATATCGTGAGGGAGTCGTTTCTCGTTCTTCACTGGATCGCCTGGCGTTGCGAAGATGACGTCCAATTCCTCCAGCGAACGGCCTTTCGTTTCGACAAGGAAGAAATAGATGATTGGGACGAACACGGCGTTGAAGACGGCGTAGTAAATGTATGTTTTCCAGGCGAGGTTTGCGAACGAAGTTGGAATGGTCATGACGACCAGGAAGCAGAACGTCCAGTTGCTGACAGAGCCGAGTGCGGCAGAGGGGGCTCGGGCACGAAGAGGAGCGATTTCAGCGGCGTAGAGAAAGGGACCACCAACCCAGGCAAGACCTGTTGCAATCCAAGTTAGTTCAAGAGGAATTTGAAGGGCAGTGTTGTTAGGAATGCGGCTATCACTTACCGAAAAAGGTGTTGAAGAGGAAAAGTAGGCCGGCACCAGCGAGTTGATTCGATCGAGAGCTGGTAGACAGGAGAATGGGGATAACGACGAAACAAGCCGCCATGCCGGTCGCAGTCCACATGAAAGCTCTACGGCGTCCTAGGCCTTCAATCAGGAGCACGGCGAGGAGAGAGCAAATTGCGTATTCTGTGCCACCACAAGCAGCAATGAGGTGAGACATGCCTGGACTCAAGTCGAAACTTGTGGAGAGAATTTGGTTGGCGTAGGTCGAGACCATGTTGATTCCGGAAAGCTGCTGAGCCGCATTGACGAATACCCCCAACAGCATGCGGCGGAAGGTCTGTGTTTTGCCATTTTGCAAGAGTTCCTTGTAAGCGAATGGAGCTTCGGCCTTTTGAGCTTCATGGCTGGCCATAATACCGGCGAATTCTGCAATAAAGCTGGGGTGAGACTCGTCCAAGTTGCGGAGTTTGGAGAGGACTTCTCTAGCTTCATCAAATCGACCGTGGGAGACGAGCCAACGAGGACTGCAGCTGGATTAGCAGTGGTTGTAGTGGGATGGAGGTGGTCTTACCTTTCGGGAAGGAACATGATGAAGAAGAAAACGATGGCAGCTGGAACCAGCTGAAGGGCGACAGGTGCACGCCACTGTACCTGACCACTAGTGTAGAAAAACCCAAGACCAACCCACTGGCCACAAGCGACACCAGAGGTCTGGAGACCACCTTCGATCATGACCCATCGACCTCGAGACTTTGGTTTAGCGCATTCAGACTGCCATGCGGGTATGGTAGCAACTTGGAGACCCAAGCCGATGCCAGACATCAAGCGTCCGACAATCATTTGCGCGATATGCCATGCTGATGCCTGTAATATGCCACCGACCAACATGAACAACATCCCCATGAATACGGTCCCTCTCCTTCCCCATTTGTCACCACAAAACATACAGAGGACCGAGCCGAAAAGAGCGCCAAGTTCGAGAGTGGCTATGACAATGCCCTGAATAGTTGCGTTCTTGGTCTCTGGAAAGACGGAGAGGAAAGGCTCTTCTGTGATGAGCCCGCCCATGATGGACATGTCGTAACCAAAGAGCCAGAAGGCGCAAGTTGCAATTGTGGCGATGGCAAACTGTAGACGCAGGCCCCTCAAACCCATGGTCGAGGTGTAAGGGGTGAATTTCATGTTGGTGAGCCCCATTTCGAAGACTGTAGGTTGATCCAAGGTGGAGGGGGATGGGAGGAAAGGAACTCCTCAGCAAGGAAGTGGGATAAACGTTGGTCGACTGTGAGAAGACAGCTGATGAGGAAGATGAATTTTCTCATGCTGGAGGTGTTCGTGATTTATGTAGACGCATTGCTGTCGTCAAATCCACGAGGAAAAGACTCTATGTAGGCTCTGAAGCCGTGGGGACCCCGTGGTGTGCGTGTCTAGATTGTCGATAAGATCCACATATTACTCAGGAAGGAATTGCTTCGCGGCCGCCACGTTTTGGAGTGTAGGAAGCGTTCATACGGGCAGAATGAGATCAACAGGCTAGAGGTGGCTGTTTTGAACAGTGCGTGGACTCTGTCCCAGTAGGAGAATAGAAGAATTGCTGACTCCGCAAATTAGATCTGTCGAGCAGAAACAGCTTCCACCTGCACGGCAAGAATTTCCGACAATAAAGTTCGCAATGATCGAACATATTCTGCATTCTACATCAACCCGGGAATAAAATACACAATGAATTTCTACAGTATCTTCTCCGGGGAAGATGGAGGCGAGTTCGATTCGAATTCGAACTCTCCGCGAATGGACGCCAGAAGATGCGACTCCATCGAAAGCATGTTGTCGGAGTCTCCTTCCTTCCTAGACAATTGCCGTTTCGGTGGTTTAACCTGAACAGTGGCAAACCTCAGGTTCAGGGGCGTCTAGACTGCGTACCCTCATTCTCGCACATGCCCAAGGTCCCCATTAGACACAACAACGGAACCATGCTCAGAGCATTTGCCATGGAAGGTAACTCTGCGGGTCCGGTATTTGGTGTAGATTCCGAATGGATCATTAGTAAATTCGCATATAAGGTGAGAGGGAGCTCTTACTAGCTTATGTCCTGCTACTTCTCCCTGGAGCCAGGTCTCTGCGTTGTTGAAGTCTTTACGCTGGTTCTGTATCTTTCCTCGATTCATTCAATCATAATGGCCATCTCCAAATGGACAGGCAAGCCATTGAGCCTGAAGGTGATCGGCACCAATGCCGGAACCTCCATGGACGGACTTGATATTGCATATATGCACTTCACACAAGACAGTCCCGCTAGTCCCCTAAGAATGCAGCTGCTCCATGCAGGAGAGGTGGCCTTCGACGGCGACCTCAAGAAGAGAGTGATGAGACTAATCAAGGAAAACAAAACATCACCTGAAGAGATTTCGATTGTGAACATCCAATTGGGAGACTTCGCCGCCACCGCCATCATTCAATTTGCTGAAGAGCAAGGCTTCAGTTTGGAGAATGATGTGAACATCATTGCTGGACAGGGTCAGACGATATGGCATCTGCCTCTCCCCGAAATGTTCGAGGGAAACCCACAACGAGCTCACCTTGATATGGCGGAAATTTCGATCATCGCTGCAAAGACCGGTATCACCAGTCTTTCGAACTTCCGTGTCAGTGACATGGCACTTGGAAGACAAGGCTGCCCCCTATTCGTGGCTTGGGATGGACTATGTGCAACACACCCAACCAAGAATCGAGCTGTCCAGAATATTGGTGGCATCGCCAACATCACGATGCTACCAAAAGGCGACATCCAACAAGGCTACGATTTCGACACTGGGCCGGGAAATGTTTTCATCGATGCCGCCGTTCGCTACTTCACAAAAGGAAAGCAGCAATATGACAAGGATGGCAAGATGGGTGCTGCTGGTAAAGTGGATCAATCAATTGTCGATGAGGTGTTGGCCGGTCCTTATTTCGTGCATGACATCCCCAAGACAACGGGTCGGGAGACCTTTGGTGACACAATGGGCGAAGACATCTGTGAGCGAATGCTGGCAAAGGGCGCTAGCCCAGAAGACTGTGTGGCCACGATTACTCGAATCACTGCGAAGGCCCTAGCTGATGCCTACGAGAGATGGGGCCCGAAAGGAGGCATTGACGAGATCTATCTTGGTGGTGGAGGATCTTACAACCCGAACATCATCAACTATCTACGAGAACGGATGCCCAACACCAAGATAGCCTTCCTCGATGAGATAGGTGTTCCGACAGGGTCGCGGGAGGCAATGAGCTTCGGCCTCAAAGGTCTCGAGTGCATTCTGGGACGATCTTTGGTTGTTCCCCAGAGAGTCGAGTCTCCCCGAGCAGGTATCATCGGTCATATCCAGCCTGGCTCAGGTTTAGCATATCATCGACTGATGCAGCATGTACAAGAATTCTGGGGTAACTATCCTTTAGAGAAGAGGATGGATCCTGTGCTGTCAATGGAGATCGTGCGACCGACCACGAATGGAACAAATGGAGTCAATGGCCACCATTAGATAGTATTGTAACTTGTAGCAACTTTCGGGACCAAGTCATAAATCAATAAGACAGAGCCAGTCTAATAGTTACTGTCAGTGGCGAGTGCAGGTATATTGTAAGGGCACGGAAAGGTACATACAATAAAAAGATGACGTGACAGACTCGGATGCTGCCAAGTCGAATTCCATGTCAATGCTCAGATTCTCATTAACCCCCCTCCATACCTTTCCACGCTCTGTCGACCTTCCACGTCGCAATACCCAGACATTCATGAGTCGCTCCAAGAGGGGAATAGCATCACGGACGAAACTATCCTGTGCCAACTGCCGGCGACGACACTTTAGATGCGGCGGGGAGCAGCCATGTCAGCGTTGCTGGCAAGATGACCTGGAATGTGAATACCCCACAAGACCTTTCAGCCTCAAGGAATGGTCACCACAGGAGGTAGGCCTGCCTCCATTACCAGTAGCACTGGAGGAAAATAGGAGCAATGTGAGCAATGTTAGAACTGGTGGCATCTTCGTCTCAGAAAATCGACGGGTTGAATTACATTACGAAGTTTTGGATCCGGAAAGAACAAAACCGCCTTCGACTGTGGACCCAAAGCAAACTTGGCTGTCCCGTGGTGGTGTTACGCAGACTGAAGCAACCATCAAGAAGCCCACGTTAAATGATGATCCAACTGTTGGTTCTGTCATTCCGTCGTGTCCTCCTCCTCCTCGTCCTCCTCCCATCACCGATCCAACCGAGGCCTTCTTCATGGAGAGATATTGCACAATTCTAGGCCCATGGTTCGACATGTTTGACACTCGCAGCAGGCACTGGTCACACTCGGTGCCACATCTGTCCTTGTCCAACCAATCCTTGTTCCGATCCATAATCGCAAGCTGTGCGAAGCAATATTCCTTGGTATCAGGGGGGGAGGAGAACTCGTCGATCTACGCCCTCGACCAGTACAACCGAGGCTTGCAAGAATTGACTCGAGCCTTGGGTGATGACGCCGAGTCTACAGTGACATTGCCCGCGGTCTTTGCGTCCTGTTTGCTCATAGGGTATTGCGAAATGATCGACGCCAAAGGTCTCGACTGGCATACGCACTTGAGAGGAACATTCTCTCTATGCTTGAGTCAGGGATGGCACGGACGATCCGGAGGCGTCGCTCAGTCTTGCTTCTGGGTATATTGTCGAATGGATCTGCTGGCCTCCATAGCCAGAGCTCGACATACCATGCTCGACCCGTCACGATGGCTTCCGGACGGAGCTTCTTCGTTGGCTCCGTCGTCGTCGTCGTCGTCATCCTCCCATAATCATGATGGTGCTGCTACTGCTGCTGCTGCTGCTCAAGACTGGAACCTCGATTCGTGGTGCAATCAAGTGGTGGTTCTCCTCGCCCAGACTCATAATTTACTCTGTGACGTCCGACAGCAGCAGCAGCAGCAATCAGAGCTGCTTGAAGACAGATGGAACAGAGTCTCCACATCTCTGGATATACACGAGGGTAACCGTCCGGTCGCTTTTCGACCAATCATTGACCTGCCGCCCAAGCATCCGCAGGTGGTACCATTCAGACAGATCGTGTACGTGTCAGCTGCGGCATGTGCGGCGACACAAATGATGGATCTGGCTCGTCTGTTCCTCATCCTCGCATTTCCGGACCGCTCACCCGCCGAAAGAAGTGTCCGGCTCACGTCCCAATCCGTATCCAGACAGGCTCTCGATCTGAGTCGCAAGATCGTGTCGAACAGCGTCACGAATCGGCACCCCATCGCCTGGGCCAACGCCGTTCAGTTGTTGTCCAGCGCCGGGACGATGCTCGTCGGTCGAGCTGAAAGGGCCGCACTTTTACAGGTGTTGAACGACATCAAGCTCGAAACTGGCTGGAACACGCTCGGCAATCGTCAAGCCCTGCTTGCATGGTGGGAATCTTTCTGGCCGCCAGATGCTACCGAAGATCTCGAAGAAGATACTACGGGCGATGACGATGACGATGACGAGACGATACGGCGTGTTGGCAGATGCTTGATCAGGCTTTCTTCCACCTAGCCAAGAACCAAAAAAGTGCTATAAGGACACGACTCCTACTACAAAATTTTCACATGCTGCAAATCCAACAAAACATTCAGCAGCGTCAGAGAAGCCTACATGAAAGGCAAGGATAATTGATTTATAGTGTCTCTAAGTATTTGTCTTGGACTTCTTTAGCCCAAACTTCGACAACTTCTTGGTCCCTCTCGAAAATAGACTCTCGCTCTTTGTTCTATCTATCGTGACCGTGGATGTCGGGCTGGAAGGCGATGGCAACGACGGGCTCGCACTTCCCGTCGCCTCTTGACCTCGTGAAGCCTCGCTCGTCGTCGACTGGGACATGTTCGTCTTCTCGTCGTTGCTCAACAACTCATCTATCGTCGTCATGGTCGCACTGGCGCTGCTGGCGGTAGGCGCATTTGACCTTGTCCTGGCAACCTCACTCTCGGGACTCACCGGCGACAGACCCGTCAGGTGTGTGCTCGTGCTCGTGGCGGTGCTCGAGCGGAGTCTGCTCACGTCGCTCTCCGGGCTGACGGGCGAGAAACTCCTCTGGCTCTCGTCCACCGGCACTTCTGCGGGGAGTTCGACAATCTGCGGCGGTGCTCCTTTTTCGTGGGCGGGCAACTCGGTCGCCGCTGGTGTCGGGCCTGCCTCGAGCTCCAGGATCTCGTGGCCTGCTATCTCCGTCGGAAGGGAGGCAGACACAGCACTCCCCTGCCTGTCCGTCTCTTTCTTCTCGAATCGGTTGTTGTAGATGATCTCCTCGAGCCCGGGACGGAGTTTCCCAAACCGGATACCTGCTCCGATCTTGTGCAACGGAATCAACTTGTCAATAGAATCGTGGACGTGTTTCTGCAACAACACCTCTTTGCCAGCGAACGTCTTGGTTGTGGCCGTGGTGTAATACACGGCAGCGTCCTCGATCTGTTTGACCGACACGTATTTCCCACGATATCGAAATGACCGCTCGAGGATGAGGATCATGTCGCATGCGCACTTGAACAGCATCCTCGCCGTCGGCGGTGCCGAGAGGATACAGCCTGCCAATCCAAGGACGGCGCCCGCGCCCATGGTCCCAACAACGAGACCTGCCGTGGCGAGACCGACGGTCAAAAACTCGGCCACGGTCACTGCCATAAAAGCCTTCAAGTGGCCCAGCACGACGCGGTTCATGATTTCCTCGACGGCCTCGGGCATGGCTTTGGGGAAGCCGAAACACTGCAGGACATGCTCGCAAAGGATGCGCGCCACGGTGGGCGTGCCTATCGCCGACGTGAACGGGAGTGGAACAAGAGCCGTGCGGATGGCGTGTGTGCCCAGGCGCATGCATTCTGTAATGGCTGAGTCAATCTTTTGCTCGACATCCACGACCTGCGCCGCCACGGCAAAGAGACGAACCCTATCATCGGCGATTAGCTCGAGGGTGGAGTTCAAGAGTTTGCGGACGCCCGGGGTATCATCTGTGTCGCAGTGGCCACGGTCAGCTTCATTGCTTTCCCCATGATTCGAGGAATGTGATACTAAAAAGGCTGGAGGCAAACTCAGAACGTACCTTTGGATAGACAGCAGTACCCGTCGGCCTTGTAGTGTTTGATGCGTGAGAGTTCGTCACGGAGGGACATAAACTGCTCCTCGGCCAACTTATCGGCTTCTTCCTCGGCCAGACGCTTGGACTCGAGATAGTCATTCGTCTTCTCCATGTAGCTTTCGAGAAGTTTGATCTTGTGGAATGCCACCAGTTTATCCTTTTTCGTGCCGATGACGAAGACGGGCACATTGTGTGAGAACTGAGCGATGGTGTCAAACGTGCGCTTGTCCGCTTCTTCGATACGGCTGACGTCCGAGTCTACACAGAACCTGTGGGTGAATAGTCAGAGAGCGGTGCGCGTTGACGGATAAGGTTTTGACTGACCATATTACGTGCAATGCTTGTGCTGGATCGCGTTGAAAGGCTCGATGACGCAGAAATTTGGCAATGAGGTCAAGTTCGTGGTCACTTCCTGCTTGCCAACCGCGTGAATCGTGGATCAAAAGGCCCGGATGGTTGGGGGACTCGAATGCTTGATTGATGTCGTGGTTGCCTTGTTTATAGCTTTCGGATTCTTCAGTCTGGGAAGAGCGTTAGTAGAGAGCACGAACGAAACGTCTTCTTTTCGCTCAGGAGGATGTGACTACATACCATTTCCACGCCAAAGACTTTGTTGATCAAGGTAGATTTGCCAACGCCCGTCTTTCCACACACTAGGATCCTGAATGCCTTGACTCCACTTGCTTGTAATTGCATCCCTTCCAACCACGGTGGAAGGTTGTTCGAGTCTTCTGTACTTCGATCTCGGTAATCGGAAATGTCCTTTTTGAGAGCCTTGAATTGTGACTGTTCATTGAATCTCGGATATCTATCCAGTATGCAAAACACTGAAGGGTGTATGATGGTCCCGTAAGGTTCTAACGGGTGTATGAATAGGTTGTTAGAAAGCAACTTTTTGGGTCATGTTCGCAGACAGGGAAATCTTTGATTGCAGCACTCACCGTTGGGGTTATAATCTATTAATCCACCTTTGCCAAAAATCTTGCGCTGGCTGTTGTAGAGTGTATTCGCCGTGTTGATACGGATGCTGTGGCCTTGCTGGTCATCTGCGGGACCACCGATACTCATCTGAAGGTCAAAAAGGCTGGTTTCTATGCCGTTGGTCTGCTTGACAATCCACTCAATCTTCTCGCCGCTTCCGAGTTTCGGCAGGTCCCCAGTATATTGAGGAAACGCCAGTGTCAACGGACCATTTTTATCCCTTTTGTCTTCTTCCTCGGGCTGTATCACCAGGCCGGCTCGTATACTTTCGATGATCATCCACTGCAGTGGGTACAGCGACAAGCCGTCGTGGGCGGCACCTCCTCCAAGATCCTGGTTCGACCCCATAAACCATGCCTGGACATAGCTTCTGTCTTGTAATTCCGAAACGCTGCTCGGACTGTTGAGGACTTCGGGGTTCAGCTGAGATCGCGTCTCATTCATTGCCAAAGCATGGCGCATGTGTCGTATCGAAGGGACCAGGGAAACGTCGTGCATGTTACCTTCAGAGCTGTACCTGATCGTGTCGAAAACTCCGACAAAGTGAATCTGGACCGGAAGTGTAGAATGTGATCTCAGGAACTCGACAATCTTAGGGCCATTGGAGCTGTCATCCTCGGCTTTGGCTTTGAACACGTCTAGACTGCTCTGGTAGAGTCTATCGAAATGTTTCATGGACGTCCGTTTCGGCAGATGCAATACGTCGAGGAGTCCTGCCACGGCACGCACGATGAAGGCGCCATGGCCGAAACCGTACAAAAATAGCTCGTCTCTGGTTTCTTCGAGAGTTTCGCATACCTCTTTGACAATGTCCTTGATTTGTTGCTCGTAGTAGGGGGCCGAATTGCGACTTTTCAGTCGGTCCAGTAATTTCGGGCCATCCTCGACGGCGCGATAATACCGCACAATCTGTTCAACTGCACGGCCTTGAGCGTCGTAGCACAAGGCATTTGGTATGATGCTTTTCAGCCTGAAGACGTTGCTCGGATTGGAGCTAGCTTTTCATCGGTCAATGCACGTCTCTACATGGGTCACTGGAGCGTCGTTCCCACCTTGTGTCCCATCCGCACTTAATTCCTGGCCATCTATACACACAATGAGTCGTTTGACGTGCGTCCTCTCGGACATTGTTATTGAGCTGGATCGCCCAGCATGGAGAATTCCTTCCAGGAAGAGAGCTTTGTCAGGATGTCAATCAGGCACTCATTAACAGCCAAGTGGTTTCTAGGCAATTTTATCTCAGAAGTGCTTAAGTTTCATTTTCGTTTTCAGGCCCCCAGAAGTACGGAGATGACGATGTCCGTTTTGACTGGGGGTTGGCATGTCAATTTCCTTGCCCAGCCCAGCCCGGCGAACTGCGAGCCTGCGAGCTGCGGCAGACTATCCGTATCGCGGACAAGAGTTGTCGACAAGCGCGAAGCCTGTAGGGGGCCAGGCGCCTATCACAAACTGACTTGGGTGCTGAGGGACCACAATCCCTGCGTGATTCCTCACCAGGTCGTGGGGATCGGCATGGGTGGTCGTGTCGCCTTGATCAAGCTCGATTGGACGCGTTTAGGCGTGCAGTGGGTACCAAAGCTCAGCCTTGAGGCATCGTCGCATTAGGCCCTCTCTTGCGAATACGCTTTTCGGATCTTCAAGCTTTGGGCACCGTTGATGACAAGTACAAGCATGGAGTCAAGACAAATATAATGCCGGCTGCCCATCTTATTCGCCAGAGGATAATCAAAAGGACATCCGGACGTGGTTTGTATGGCCCTGAAGTCCACTGCTCGATGACTGACTGCGAGGTTCACGCTCTCCGAGAACATGTTAACGCTCATGTTTGACCTGCAGCATCAAGTATGCCGGTATTCGCAAGGAGTCGTCCTTGGGAAGAAGCGACGATGCCTGAAAAGACGAATGCTCGACATCGAAGGACCTGCGTATTCGAGAATGTATTTGAGGCAACTCAGTATTGCTTTTGGAACCGCAATTATTCAGTGGTGTGTACGGATAATAGGGACAGAATCATGCTTCAGGTGTTCTTTCACACCGACTCACTTTGCAATGAATGAGAAGGCGAAAGCGAATGACGATGGAGGAAGGGCCAATCTGACATGAAAAACCAAAAGGATGTAATCATTGATAGAATGAGGTTGTATTTGAGCAGAAAGATAAGTGGTCTTCAATCTTAGTACCTTCACATTGTTTCATCTGTACCTTTTAGTCCGCAAGTCGACGTCTCTTCAACAGCATCGTCTTGCATCTCTCACAGTCATATCCTGAGCTTCACAATTCTCCATATCGATACGACCCCATCTCCGAGGATAACTTCATTCCAGAAAAGCAGCGCCTATGTCAATCGCTGTCGTGTATGAAAGAAATTGGAATGTGACAATTGCCAACATCAATCTACCTTATTCGCTTGAACGTCTACTCCAGATGTCACAATGTGTAATCCCCGAATTCAGTAAGTACCTGGAGGCTCAGTGTCACTGATAGAGAGAATCGCTCCCAGCTATTCAAAGAGCTTCAGATTCAAATTGGCGGCAAAGGATTTTTCCGCCGGCCGTGTTTCCCCGATCAGCATGGACCGGCTTACTGCTTTTCCACCGTGGACATCCGTTGTCTTGTTGACCTTCTAGGTACGTGTAGGCAATCTACCTCTTACGACTGTCGGCATTTGACACATTCGTCGTTCGATGAAGACATTAGAGGTGAGAAATAGAGGGTAGAGTAATTTACCCTGGATGCTATCCACTGCAGGACTATGAAAATGCCTGTAGGATAGAGTCGAGGTAAGTTGGGTCAAGCGATAGGCCGTGCAAAAAACCCTAGGTCTCCCTCACATACAGTTTCACATTTGATATCCTCCCCCTACAAGATCATCCTGGTTCGCAAGTTTGCTGTTCGGTGGATTGGCCTTCATTCTCTCACAATACTACTTTTTGTCCTTGTCAACGCTCACCATGAAATCCGAATTTGTTCCTGCCATTGCTTCACAATCCTTGGGGAGAGCCTGGCACCACAGCCTTGATCTTAAGATCAGTCTATGCCATCAGTATGGCTTCGGAACTGTAGAACTGTTCTTTGAGGATCTCGAAGGTGTTGCCAACAATCTCCCACGCTCCCACCCACCTTTGCCCGCTGGCACATCCTTTACACGGTCGACCGAACAACAAGAAAAGCAGCTCGCCGCTGCCCGGTACATTCAAGAACTATGCGTTCAATATCAAGTGGAAATACTTTGCCTTCAACCTTTTATGCATTACGATGGCTTGATCGACACGACTGCGCATACGGCGGCGATCGAAAAGCTACACTTCTGGATCAGACTTGCTCATATCCTCGAAACAGACCTCATTCAGATACCTTCGAATTTCCTCCCTGAACTCCAATGTTCTGGGTCTCGGGAAAGGATTGTCGCGGATCTGAGAGAAGTAGCTGATGTTGGCCTACGAAGTAAGCCTCCGGTGCGGTTTGCATACGAGGCTCTTTGTTGGGGTACGCATGTCGATACTTGGGATGCTGCGTGGTCGATTGTGAGGGAGGTTGACAGGCCAAACTTTGGCACTTGTCTAGATACTTTTAATATTGCCGGCCGTGTCTTTGCAGATCCGGCCTCCGTCACAGGCATGACATCCAATTCATACGAGGACACGCGGGAGACAATTGCAAAGCTTCGTTCGGAACTCTCAAGCGCCGTCGAGAAGGTCTTTTATGTCGAGGTCTGCGACGGCGAACGACTTGATCAACCATTGGTACCTGGCCACAAGTGGTACCATCCTGAGCAAAAGGCCCGTCTGTCGTGGTCGAGAAATGCCAGACTCTTTCCGTTCGAAGAACCTGGTTATCTGCCAGTCCTAGAGATCCTCGAGGCGATCTGTGAGGCGGGTTACAGAGGACCCATATCATTCGAGTTCTTCTCGGAATCTGCAAATCAGCCTGGCAAGGGAGTCCCGGAAGAGCATGCCAGACGTGCGGCGATTTCTTGGTCTAAATTGGAAGAGCATATGCATTGGAATGGCTCGACAAATGTCTCACGCAATGCTAGTCTGTAAGTGCAGGGTCTCGCCGTTATCACAAGGTGCAAAGCTGACCGGTATGCCGAAAAGTTCGAGCTCTACTCCTCCCAGTGCCACATCGCTATCGTCGTCCCCTCGAGAGTCAAAGAGATGAGAACATATCTGGGCGTTGTGGTCCATCCTAGAATTGAAGAGAGGGACAATGATGATACTCTTAGTGCATAGCGCCTCCTGCATGGTTCGGACCTGGATTTGTCTCGACAAAGGTTTATGATCTACGTATATACACATTTACTTTTCAATCGAATTCTTTTTCTTCCATTCATGCTCCTGGTCTCGAATAGTCTAAACGCCGTACTCTCCGCCAAACCTCTCTCACCAATCTTTCCTGCCCTTGCCGTCCCGTCTCTCCTCCGACGGTGTCCGCGGCAGGTCGAATGGCGAGATACAAACGTCCCCCCAATCTGGCATCTTCGATGGTTGCCGTGTCGATGTCGTCTGGTGGAGGGTTGGCCGTCGTGACCAGCCCACCGGCCTCTTCCAACAGACAGATACCCGCGGCGACGTCCCACTCCCAACAACCACCTTCCCACCAGACGTCAAAGGCGCCCATGGCCGTGTAGGCCAGGTCCATCGTGGCACTCCCCAGACTCCTCACGCCGTGCACCATCCCACCCTTTCCGCCCCGACCGCCAACCTCCGCCGCCATGTTGATGAAACTGTCGACTTTCCGGTGTAGGTTACCGTCCGGTGTGTCCCTTCTGTCTTTGCCCCACTCGCAAGAGAATATACATTTTGAAGGAGCGTTTTTCGGGATGGGTCCCACCCCCCTCGACCCGAGCAACGGCAACCTGGTCGTCTCGTTCAACCAAGCCCCTTTCCCTTTACAAGCCGAAAACGTTTGGTTCAGCAAAGGCGCGTAAATGACACCCACGACGGGTTTTTGGTTCAGCACCAAAGCTATGCTGACGCAAAACATGGGGAACCCGTGCGTGAAATTGACCGTCCCGTCCAATGGGTCGACGATCCATGTCGGTTGTTCGTCGGTGACGAGGTACTCTTTCGAAGAACCTCTGGAATACGTTTCTTCGCCTACAAAGGCGTGCAAAGGGTACTTTTGGCGTATACTCGAATGGATAAATTCTTCAACTTCTACCAGCAAAGACAGTCAGTTTCTTTCTGTTCTCACGTCTTGCAAAACACTAAAAAAAAAGACGTGTACATACCGTTGTCGGTTTTTGTTACAATGTCGACAGAGTTTAACTTTTCTTCCATGATCAATTCCTCGGGAACGTTTGTACTATTGGTACTATCCTGGGTTTCGTTCTTGTCGTTGTCGTTGTCATCAAATTCATCTTGTCGTCGTTGTTGAAGACTATCGAGTAAGATGGTTCCAGCATTTTTGGCCAATTGAATGGCGAATGAATAGATTTCACTCAATTCGACGTCTGATATGTCGTATTGATTTGATCCGGTCATCTTTGGTACCGTGGCGTCTATATTTTAAAGTCACATGCGAAATTGTGTATTGCTGCCGTTATGGGTTGAATGTGTCTTGGAAGCTTTACGGGAGGTGCTGCAGGCTAGAGATGGCCTGCGGTACCCATAACTCGTACGCCTAACTTAGGCACAGTGAGGTACCTACAAGGTGGTATCCTATGGGCTTTCTCGATGATGCAATTATGGCGCTTATCGCCGGCCCCCCGGTCAATGATGTACCGAGAAAATTCGGTTCTTGGTTTATTGAGACACGCGCGGGCATCTTCCTACACTAAGGGGGGAACCCTGCCTCATTCATCGGACGAGTCTTCTGCCGGCTGCTGCTCACTCTCCCACACCTTTGTTTTTGACTCCCCCATTGGACGCGGACGATTTCGTTTGGACCGTATACCTGTATCAACAAGATCCGAACCGATCACTCGTCTCGGCAATAAGTAGGTAAGTACGGGTGATGAAGAATAACACATACTGCTGTGAGAAAGTACCGACCTAGGTAGGTATATGGTTTGGATCCGTCATCGCCACTACGACACTCGCCTTACGGATACCTACCCAAGGATTACAGATCTGATACTACTCCGTACACGGATTACAAGATCATCAAAATGACTTCGATTCAAAAAGACAATACTCCTTCGTCGCCGTCACCACGAAAAGTCCTACTCATCAATGGTCCGAACCTCAACCTGTTGGGTACCCGGGAACCAGGGATTTATGGCTCGACCACCCTATCTGACATTGTGGAAAATGTAAAGTCCAGAGCTCAATCCATGGGAATCACAATCGTCCCTTTTCAGTCGAACCACGAAGGTGCCATTGTCGATTTTTTACATTCACACTTCTCGCCACGGCAAAAGACGGCCTTCACTGGAGTCATCATCAACCCTGCGGCGTTCACCCACACCAGCGTCGCCATAAGGGACGCTTTGCTGGCCACTTCTTTACCGTTCGTCGAGGTACACATTTCGAACGTCCACGCCAGGGAACCATTTCGGGCCCACAGTTATTTCAGTGACAAGGCTCAGGGGGTGATTATGGGGCTGGGTGCCTACGGGTATATTGCAGCCTTGGAGTTTTGGGCTCAAAAGTGGGACGTGGAAGAGAAGGAGAGAGAGAAAGAAGGCGCCCAGGACGGTAGTGCAAAGAGCTGAGTAAAAGCTACAAGCAAAGGCTACAAGCAAAGGCCGCGTGTGGGATATCGTGAGAAAAGTCGAAAAAGCAGCCGAGGTTTTTCGATTTGATATGGATACTTCCAAGATGTATATGTGTCTAACAGGACGGGTCTACCTTGCTGATGTTCCGACGAAGATTGTATACGAGAGAAATTATACACGAGGATAAACCTTCCAGTATATCACTAAGAAAGTTTCTGTTGTCCTGCAGGGCGATGGGTACGTACTATAGGAAAGGTATTCTTTGTTAATCTTGAAAAGAGACAAGTATTCCAGGGGCGGAATTGTTCTTCTTGAAACGCTATCTTGTTTTCCAAGTACTCAAAACATGCATGACATGACATGCTTGTTTGACCAAGTAAACCCCTTTTCGAGGATCCGTCGCCCATGACTGTCAAAACTGTGAACACTGCACAATGTACACCAAATGAACTCTGTCGACTCGCTGAAGCCTACACCTTTTCAACACCAGAGTCCTCGCGCTGCTCAACCGCTGATTTTTCCTCGTGTATACTCAGTCTCCGGAAATCTTGATCCTGAATGCGCAATTCCTCCAAGACTGCCTTGTGTGCCTTTCTGGCAGGCCACTCTCGACTGAAGAGGCGGTCCATGGCCTCAAGAGGGACACCTTTGGTCTCGGGTACGAGGAAAAAGACATAGACCGAGGCGATGAGCATGAGGGATGCAAAGAAAAAGTAAACGCCGTATGACATGCTGGCGAACATTTGCGGGGTGAATCGAGCGACGATGAAATTCTGTAACGACCCATTCATTAGTATTTGATCTCTGCGATTCCACATCTTTTGCCGGAAATGGTCGAATCTTGACAAAAGCGGGAGAGAGAGCAAAACTTACCCAGAACCAATTGTTCGCAGCGGCAAAGGCTTGTGCAAGTGTACGTACACCCTGATCGAACATCTCCGAGTTGAGAACCCAAGGTGTGCCGTTCCAAGATGGTGAATAGATGGCCGTCCAGAGATAAAAGAAGAACATCGCCGAGATGCCTCCTCCTGACATGCCACTGTTCTGATCGACCTTGGAAGAAGGATCCGCCACGGCGATATACCCACCGATATACCACATGCACAAACCTCCTAGGAAAGCTCCCCAGATCAGCAAGGTCCGGCGGCCCAATTTGTCGATCAAGAAAAAGAGCCAGACCAAGGTGAGAACGGTCTTGATGACGCCAAAGATTCCGGTCGTCAAAAGAGACGTGTTGGTGCCACGGACGCCGATGGATTTGAACACCGTGGGAGAGTAATAGTTGATGGCGTTAATTCCACAGGCATTCTGCCACATGAAGAGCGACCCACCCAGGAGGAAGCGGTACGTGGTCCGGCGGTTGGTGAAGACGGCTCGGAATGGGTGCCAAAAGCCGAGACCGACCGTGCTGCGCTGGTGTTCAATCGCATTGTCCACCGCCATGATTTCCTCTTGCATGTAGACATGGTCGGCGGGAAGTTGACGGAGCCAGCACAATGTCTTGATCCCTTCTTCACGCCGGCTACGGGTGAAGAGCCAACGTGGAGATTCTTTGATGACCAGCGCTCCTGCGAGTAGTAGTCCAGCAGGTACGAGTTGAATGCCGAATGGGATAAGCCATTGCTTGTGGGAGGGAGGGAGATTCTCGCTGACGCCGTAGTTGATCCAGAATCCGACAAGACCGCCAATTTGCCAGCTAAGCCATAGAGTGTCAGTCGCCTTGGTGAGAGAAAAAGCAGGATATTGAGACTCACCTTAATTCATACAATCCCACCAGACGCCCTCGAATCGCGGGAGGAGCAATCTCAGAGCAGTAAATGGGAGACAGGTTAGATGCAGCACCTATTCCAAGACCAGCGAGAACTCGACCAGCGTAGATCAGTCCAAGGCCGCGTTGACTGTTGGCACCCAACATGAGCCCGGCACCGAGAATAAAGACAGTAGCGGAAATGAGGAGACCAATCTTGCGACCTAGGAAATGACCAGCTGGATAGGCGAAGAACGCTCCGAAGAATGCACCCGCCTGGTAGCAGGACACAACGTTGGCACTGACCAGGTTGACATGAGAATCAGACATCTTATCGAAACTGAATTCCTCTCTGAAAGACGACAAGGCGATAGTGCCTCCGATGAAGGCGCTGTCGTAGCCGATCATCATGGCGGCAGAACCAGCAACGGCAGCAGAGAAGTACACTCGCCAGTTGTAGACACTTTTCGGCGTCGGGCGGTCCTCGACCAAGGTAAGGAGACCCATTGTGACTCGCTGAATACCACCTACGGCTTGTGGCGAAAAATGCGTTATAGCAATTGGGATCTGAGGAAGACAATAGCCCCGGGGTGTCAGGACTGGCCGGGGGAACACCTTAATATATGTGGTCAGGAACGAAGTATAAACTTCATCATTCAAAGTCTTTGAATCGCGGAGCTAATTGCGAGGAGACGGAGCAGCAGCTCACTTGAGAAGTTTTTTCCCCAGCTCACCCTCCTCCACAACACCAGATTCGCAGAGGTCGACAGGGATTAGCAGTTCAACGGCAAGGTGCTTGAAGATCTGGAGACTCGGCCAATCAACTTGCAAGCAATTCTCGTCCTGAGTCGGCTATTGATGGCGGAAGAAAACTTATCCACACACCGGAGTTTCTCCAGTGCTGACGACCTCGAGGGGCTGAGTTTGAGCGAGACCTTGACAATCCTGCATCGGATGATCTCCCGTCGGCTATGAGCGCTTCCATTCTGATTTCACTGTTCACCAAGTAAAGCTGTTGGCTGGACCGTGGTGATATCGGAACAGCACCGTCGTACACTTGTTCGCTACTATTTGACTGTGCATATTGAAGCTGCACTCTCATCCTGGGAGTCGTATTTTGTTCAGAAGCGTCCTTTTCAAAACCCGAAAGGACTTTAGGATTGAAGGAAGACACAGTCAAATCAAAGAGTGTCATTATGGCCAAGTTGCTTCCACTGCCAGACACCTCGTCGTATGATCGGGTTGCATATCTGGTGGGAAATCCGATTGCACATTCCCGTTCACCTGAGTTGCACCGGACTATATATTCGACATGGGGAAAGAATTGGGCTCAGTGCCTATACGAGACAACTGACCTTGATGGGTTTATTAAGTATCTCAAGAAAGATGCAAAATGCATGGGCAGTGGTGTCACTATGCCATTTAAAGTCGCTGTCATCCCATACCTCGATGAGTTGACCGAGGAAGGCAAAGCTATCGGCGCCATTAATACCATTTTCTTCAAAACAGCAGCCGATGGTTCTCGAATATACTGCGGTACCAATACTGACTGCGTGGGTATTCGTGACGCCTTCACCACAAATGTGAAAAATCCTCAGTATCGTGGAAAACCTGGCCTTGTTGTGGGTGGCGGTGGTACATGCAGGGCAGCCATTTATGCACTGCAAAGATTCTTGGGCTGCTCACCGATCTATATCATCAATCGAGACACGAGCGAGGTCGAATCTGTGCTTGAAGAGTGCCGCAGAAACGGAACAGCAAATGATCTGATCCACATATCAACAACCGCACAAGCGAGGAGTGTGCGCGCCCCAGGAGCCGTTGTGAGCGCGGTTCCCGACTTCCCACCTGTTACGGAGAATGAAAAGACGATTCGAGAGATTTTGAAGATTTTCCTCAATGGCGGCGAGAAGGGTGCTTTGCTAGAAATGTGTTATCACCCGTCACCGGACACTGGCATCTCCCGACTTGCATTGGAGTCAGGCTGGCAATTGATCGGAGGAATTGAAGCAATGCTCGGACAGGGCTTTGCGCAAGCCGTTATGTGGACAGGCCTCGAAATCGACGGCACACTGAGAAGCGTCGCAAGACGGATGGTCCAGGACAGGATGAAGATACCACACTGACGTAGAAGATCTCCGGTGAACTTCCAAGAGCTTGTGTTACTGGACAAGCATCGCGCCAGGACATAGAAGAATCGGCCTAGGCTTTTCGCTTTAGCCTGCACCACGGTCACTGAAATACTCTTCGCCATCGACAAGGTATGAAGTGTTCTTCTGGATTGCATCCCATGCTGCCTTGGCCATACAACGTTTTGGAGCCTTTCTGCCAGTCAAAGTTTCGAATTGGACCGTTGCTTGTTCAATTAATGCCTCGATGCCGCCGACAATGACCCACGGCCGGCCAGTGGACTCGCGGAAGGACCTCATCTGTTTGACTAGGGGCGTTTCTTTGGTCATGTAAGCCATTTCAAGGATAACACCTCCGCTAGGCGACTGCATCCACGACTCTGGCAACTCAAAATCTGCGCCGGGTTTCCCGTCGAGCAGCTCGTGCGTTACGCATGACACCACGATTGTGGGAGGAGAGAAACCCCCAGGCCAGTCCTCGCTTGTCGACTTAAGCACCTTGACAGGATCTGATGGCGTAAACTCAGCTCCATTCACCTTCGCTTGAGACCTGGCCCAGCCGTTAAAATGATCAGCCACAGCTTTCGTATTCGGAAGGGTTCTGTTGTAAATAAATATGTTCTTGCATCCCAGTTGTAGCATAGCATAGACAGCAGCTCGAGCCATTCCTCCTGCACCGACCACAAGAGCTGTGGATTTTGGTTGGATAGAATTGCGAGGCGACAGGCTTCGATTAATACAGGTCATGATGCCTCTGAAGTCGGTGTTTTCTCCGTACCAATCTTTGATTGGTCCGGCACGATTCCTCTCCTGTGCCTGAATCTGGACAGAAGGGACTTTTCCTGAGGTATCGGCCCGTAGTGGCACTATAGTATTGACGGCACCAATAGCTCTTGCGTGACCGCTGCATGATGATAAATGGGGGAAAATTCTGACTTTGTATGGCTGGACTATGCTCAAACCGCACAAGCTGTCGTCCTTGGCTAACTCTTCCGCATCTTGCCATGATGTGATATTCATTGTTATGCAAGTGTGACGAAGACCGTGAAACTCGTATGCTGCATTATGCATTGATGGTGACAGTGACCCTGATACGTTCGCTCCCAAGACGTAAAACTTGAGGCTGTCAAAGACATGAATATCAAAAAGAGCACCGATGATTTCCTTCGAGGATAGCAAAGGCTGAAACTGAAGCATTAGTGGTCGTGGCAGGGAAGCATGTGTCACAGAGGTCAGTATCGGATTCAATATTTGTGATGTGCGTCCTAATGCACCGACATTGAATGCCGAGATGACGAGTTTGGATTGAAGGTCTTTCATTTCTTCAGAGAACCAGATTATGGAATCGTTATCCAATCGAGACTGTGGGACATTGAGAAATCGGATCATGTTGAAGCCTTCAGCGACTGCACGGTTGAGCATTGTCCTCCAGATAGGGTCTTTCCACCCCTGCTTTGTAGAAGATCTAGGGGCATAAGTAGCGACAAGCTTAGTGTAGCCTTTCATTGCTTTGATGTGCGCAAGTGTATGATCATCAAGTTCCAAATTGACTGACAAATATTCCACTCCCAGACGAAATCCATGTTTGATGATATTCAGGTAGGTATTGCTGCTTGCGTCCGCAAGTGTGGCAGTGACAGAGAGTAGAATAGGTAGATCAAGTGTTCTTCTAGCCATCCCAACTAGCTTGCTGAGGGCCCTTGTCGCAGTAGAATTCCAGACATCAACATAGATTTCTGTGACATCACCGGCAGATTCCAGGGCTGCAAAGTCGATCTGCCCATCCATGTAATTTGAGAGTTTGACCTCGATTGCGTATGTATATGTGCGTTGTTCGACTGGGACAGCTAGAGAGAAGGGCGAATCATTGCTCGACTGCTGTGCTCTCGTTCCCGTAATCAAACGTACGAACGAAGAAAAATCTGCCTGTGCATGGCGAAGCCTGAACGAATAGTTAGGCGAAGCACGATCTGCGTCGTCGGATTCGGTAGATCTGGCCATGGACTCGTCTTCTAGGTTGAAATATTCGTAGTTTGAGCATTTCCTGTGTGTAGAATTCCCATTCTCGAGCAGTTTTGCTGAGCGTTCATCGAGTTTAAGCAACCCTTGTATTCGGTCCATGTCTCTGAGAATGAATATAACAGGATTTGTCTGGCTGAGTTGTCTCAGATAGTCCTGGAGGCTGCTGGTCAGACTTCCCAAGCCACAGTCGATGACACATCCATATTTGTTCTCCTCTAGCATTTGCTTTGAGGTTGCAATATCCTGTCTGTGAAATTGCTCGCTTCCATGGACTCGGAGGTATTCTTGACGAGAAAGACCGTTGAAGCTCTGGAAGTAGTGATCTTCAGTTATAAACCTTCTACCGAGAGCAGTTGCCGCGATAAACCCCAATGACCTTTTGCCAGAGGCTCGAATTCCAATAAGGATGATGGATGCATCAGGATGGAAGACTCGGCCTTCCAGTACTTGCTCAGATGTCGCTGTCATCAAAGGACGGCTTGGTGTCGATTGTCGGCCATGCTCAACTTGTAACGTCGAGGATGGTTCTTTGGGAGACATGGCATTCATCAAAGTTGGCGTGGCCGTCCCTGAGGGCCCCGGGTTCTCACACAGCCGTTCTGCATGGCCTGCATGCTCATTGATGCTGCTTTGATCTTCCATAGCAATGGGTTGGATTTGCTGGTCAGTGCCATTCGCACGCGCATGGAGTAGAAGTATTGCCTATCATGCTCAAAGCAAGCAAACTATTGCATTGGACGTGATGATAAAGAGGTACTCGGGCCGGGCAAATAATAAGGGAAGAATTGGTTTTATAACCAATAAATCAACTTAGGCATGAGATTTACCCGAAGCCGGCCACCTATAGGCGTTGTCATTAGAAGGTTGGGGAGGCTTGTGGGGACGAGTATCGTCTCGTAAGCCACTGCGTTGGTAATCACCGCCCTAAGATAAGCGCAACTCCCCCCGCCAGTGCTTCTTCCGATGCTTTCCATTTGAATAATCATCTACGCGCGATCTACTCCGTATGTCAAACTCCATTAGAAAACACTTGACCGGCCTCTACAGCCATCCTTGAACCTCTTTCTGTTTGCTAGAGTCCCTGACCATGGCTGGCGTACAGCGGCCATGCTGTGATGGACGCGAACAACGTTGAACCACGAAGCAGAACGACTCGCTCTGACGATCATGACGAAGCTGCCGGCGGACGTACAAGAGTTTCTCGAGCCTGTACGCGGTGTCGCACAAGAGTTAGTAGCCGAAACAAGGTGCCTGGAGTACTATATCGAAGCTGACTCGCGCATAGAAAGATCGATGCGATGGACTCCGACCTCGATGCTCAAGCTGTGCGAACGCCGGACAGCTGTGTCTCTACGTTGCTGGAAATAAAAAGAGAGGACTGCCTGAAGGCTATGTGCGCGGCATTGAGAAACTATGGGCATTGATGCTACAGAAGATCTCAGGCTTGGATGACAGCGTACGACAAGTAATGCTTGAGAACGAGGATGAACTTCTTCGAATATGGAACCATCCAAAGTATGGTGACAATCTTCATACTGTTTGGAAAGAGTCCGGCATACTTTCGAATCTGGAGAGGCTGCTGTCCCAAGTTGAGCAGCGTGCGCCAGTTTTGAAGAGGAAACGAAACGAGGAAGACGACGGGTCAGGCACAGAGACCTATGAGCAGGACAGCCGAGTATTAACGCCAGCTTTCTGTGTCAAGAATATTTCAGAGCTTTCTCGAGACACTGTCTCTCGAGCCCCAAGGTCCTCTGATAACCCGAACGTTGACAGGATCAACCAAATTGTATCACCCAACCTGGCAAATGCTCCATTACAACTACCAAAGTCTGCTTCCACCTTGTTGCACCACTACTTTAGCTATACGCATTGCTGGTTTCCCATCTTGCATAGGTCTCTTACTCTCAGAAGGTTTTACGAGCATACGAGGGTATACAATCGCAGACCTTTGGAGAACTCCGAACTTGCATGTTTATGGGCTATTTGCGCCTATTCGAAACAACAAAGAGCACAGCTATCCTCAAACAACGACGATAGCCCGTCCGTTGAAGAGATGCGGTCTGCGGCACGGACTTTTATCCCCTCCGAAGAGGGCCCATTTACTATTGAGCATGTACAGGCTCTCCTAGTCATTGTACTGCTGGATGTCGGCCGGGGCAAATGGACTTCCGCATGGATATTGTTAGGTTTCGCAGTGAGAGCCTACCTCGATCTTACCGGCACGCGTGGGAATGTCGTCAACGATACCGCAAGGGCCGGCCAGCAAAACCAATGGACGGGCACTTTACAAGGCTGTTTTGTTCTGGATAGCATCCTTTCCATGCAACTCATGCGAACACCGCATTTGCGGACAGAATACCTAACAGGCGTGAAGTTTCTTGATGAGGATGGAATAGAGGAATGGGAACCATGGAATGCGGTGGGACCTGAGAATGTTCCGTCTCCAGAACCTGCGTTTGCCAGAAGCTGCTTCAACCAGTTGACTCGACTTTTTATGGTTACACCAGGTCTCATGAATCTCGAAGGCCATCAATCTATGGCAATCAACAGCAGCCGCGGATTGCACGACCTCGCAGAGACATTCCCATTCCCCGTATTCGAGATTGAACCGCGGGCACCTCACCAGATGCTTCTGCAAATATGCTACCTGGCACTGACAGCCAGGTTTTCGGATCCGCGCACACGGCCTGAACGCCTGCTTCTGTTCTCACAGGCCCTGAAAGTCTTTGATCAGGCTTGGAATTCTGTCAAATGTGGGCTCCCGTCCATATTGGTATCCATCTCCAAATTGCCATATCTCCCTTCCGACTTATCTAGTCCGTTTGGGTCGATCTCGCTGTCTGAAGATCACCGGCAAGTCTTGACCCGACTCTCGACCGTCTGGCCGGGATTTTTTCCGAACGACAAAGAGCTTGAGGTGGGATCTAATCTACTCTCGCGGCCGACTACCGCATCAATCCAGTCATTGAGATCACAGCCCGGTGCCTCTGTTGACTCTCCATTTCACAGGGCTGATTTCTGGCCCAACGATGTACCAGCATTGCAGATTGATATGAGTGATGCTCCCGCAGCCAATGCCGATCTGGGGCCAACTACCGTGCTGGGACTTCACGAAATTCCTTCTCTTCCTCACACAACAAACCCAGCCCCACGACTTGGGTCCGAAATATTAGACTACGGATTGATAAACGTCGACATGACTGAGCCACTTCCCTCGACAAATGTTGGCCGAGCCTCTGCTTCTCAACAAGCCCCCACTATGGGAGCCATGACTTCTCCTAGCTTCGACGGGGACGAGATTGACGCATTGTTTCATGAGATGGCGCAACTTGACGCGAATGAATGGTCCATGGACAGGACGCAGAATTTCAAGGACTTTGGGTTTTCTGACGCGTCTACATTTGAAGCGTTTTGTAATGATCCTGACAGACTTATGCTTTCGAATGAATATATGGGGCCAGGATTGAGTCAGAGCAGCAATCCCATGTCGTATGGGGCACGCGGTACATTTGGCCCCGACCCTGAAGAGGGCTATGGTCCTTCTGATGCAACCCTAGGTGGTCGATGATCAGAAGCGACATGAGGGATCCAACATAGCTATTGCAGTGTAAATTCATTACTGGTTCGTTGCCGATGGCTTACTTGTATTCAGAAGTCACGAACACAAAGAAAGGTCAAGGATTCGGAAACTTGATAGTTTCATAATGGCTTCAAACATTCAATACATGAACAATGAGAAGAAAGAAAAAGCAAATTCGCCAACCACCACACACACACACACACACACAACATTTGACATGCAGATATGTGTCCTAGGTCGAAGATCTTCATCCTTGCACCCGGGTCATGGCGGCCGACTTTGTGGCGGCGTGGTTGACGACCCACTTGTCGGTGTCCTCCTCGACGGGGTTCAGGCCCCAGGCGGTGCTGCTGTCGTCGTGGACGGTGGTCCTCCTCAGGTCCCGGCGGTACCTGCCCTCGAAGGCGCCCCCGTTGGCCTTGTGCAGGGTGGCCCGGTTGTCCCAGATGATCATGTCCGAGGGTTGCTTCCACTCGACGCTGACGGTGTTGTGCTTTTGCGTGACGTGGTCGAGGAGTTTCTTGATCAGGGCGTCGGACTCCGGTTTGGGGATCCCCTCGACGTGGTGGGAGTGGGCGGCGATGTAGATGTTGCGCCGGCCGCTGGGCTCGTGGACCTGGATGAGCCGGTGGCGGGACATGCGGCCCGCGTTGGTCGGGTCGAGGTCCTTGAAGAACTCGGGCGACCCCAGTTTGCGGGACTGCGCGATCGAGTGGTGCACCACGTGGTCCTTTTCGAGGAGTTCCCTCTGGAGGGCGGGGTCCAGCGTGTCCCAGGCCGTGCGAGAGTCGGCGAAGTCGGTGTTGCCGCCGTTGCCGGGGGGAGGGATCTCGACGGCCCTGAGGAGCGAGAAGCTCGCCCGGCGAGGGTTGAACGACGAGTCGACGTGGAAGAGGGCGTTTCCCTGGTCACAGTGACGCACATCAATGTCAGTTCGAGTCAAGAAATGCCGAGTGTCGGGTGACATGTTTCCGAGGTAAGAGAGGTTGGGCGAGATGGGTACGAAGGTGTATTGACAATGTCTTACCTTGCCATAATGTGCCCGTGGAGCGTCCGGGTCCAAAACGCCACCTTGGTCGTCAATGTTGCCGGCGTCAAAGAGTTCGTAGAATCCATAACGCGGTTTACGCCCGTCGGTCATGTACCGTCTCATCGTGTCCAGGTCGCCGATGCGTTTGGAGAATTCAATGTGGCTCGCATCGTCGAGGCCGGTGTTGCGGAACACACACACGCCGTACTATCGAGAAAGCGTTCAGGAGTCAGTTGAGCCTGGAATCTTGGAGCGTTTGCCCTTTGACTTTTTGTAGAGGTGGGAGAGATTCTGTTTTTCAGGGGAGGGGGTTTGAACTTGTATCTTGATGGCCAGGGGTAGGTACATCGCGAGACGACTTCTCTCCCTTACCTTTGCCATGGCGAGTAATATCTCTTGGAATTGTTCATCGCTGAGGTTTTGGAAATTGACACCTTCGACCTCGGCGCCGAATGTGGGATGAAGTGGTTTGATGGTCAGAGTCTTGAACTCTGGTTCTTCACTGTAACTTCCCATTGTTGTGCTTGATGGTTCGTGGGGGTGACTTGACTCGGTTGTGCGTCGGGTGTCGGAGTATCTATGTGTGGATGTCCGGGGTGTTGAGTAGTAATATCGTTCTCGTCCTATTTTTTCAGTCTCGAGTATTCTCAGAGGTGTATATACGAAGTAAGGACAAGATGATGGGATAGATTTTAGGAGGTGAGTACAGTGACAAGGCGAGAAAGGGAAGATTCAACGACGAAGGGGGATGGGATATATCAAAAGACAACTCGATGCAGAAATAGCAGGAGCGCGTTACTGTATTATCTGTGTACCTTAGGGACTACATCTACCGGAGGGTCCACGATTTTGAACGCTTTTCGGCACTCGGCTCATAGTACTCGTATATTAGGTAGCGATTTTGGTGGCTCCCTTGCCAACTCGTACAAGAGCAAAGGGAAGAGGATCGTGTAAAGAGTAAGCGGTTCTTTGAGAAAATCGTGGGGCACCCACATGTGGTGGTGGCGGAGGAGGAGGAGGGGGTCACAAACTTGGGGCGAGTTGGTAAGACTACTACTGTCCTGTACTGCAATCTCGTAGTTCGGCAGAGAGATGTTTGTAACCGAGTGACAAGTCCATCGGTGGGTTTTTTGTATTGTATCGAACATCTTCTGCGTATCGGGTATAGTGAGTATAGAACATGGACCACCCAACACCAACTGGGATCGGTACTTTGGGTACTCGTTCTTGGACAGCACTTGGCGCGGGTTGCTTTTCGTAGCTTGATCCGTGGCCAAGGAAAACATTTGGACCATAACGGAGTAGTTGATATTTTACTTGCAATGACACGGAGGATGTTGCGGGGCTGAAAAAAGGCTAGCGAGCAAAAAGCGTTCGGGGAGCCTCAATGGAGGACAAGAAGAGAAACCGAGGATGGGAGTACGGAGTTTGACACAGCTTGATGTAGTTGTATCGCCCTATCAACAAACTGGAGGTATTATTGATCAAAGATGATGGAAAATAGATTGTGGAGGAAAGAGAATCTGGGGGAGAATCAGGAAGGGTGGGATGGGAACAAACGAATCGAACACACAAAACTGGGGCTTTATCCAAAAAGTCCTTGAAGAGTTTGATTGATGCCTGCTTAGGTACGGAGTAATAGTAATGTGCTTTAAAGCAAACAAGCAGGTTTCTGGTACCAGACTCTACGACATTCCATACTGGGGGATGTTCTTGTCCAAACCACGGTGGCGTGGGCAATAATGATTACAAGGTCGATACGTACCCAAGGCAGTGTAAAGGTACAGTAAAAGAAGGTATCCGAAAGGTTGGTATGAATCGTAGACTGGGGAAATTGGGGGACGGTTTGGGGAAAATATGTCAAAACGGTATTTCTTCAACTCCCGATACCGATCAATTTTAGATACTCTTCGATGGTATTATACTATTGATAAGGGTTCAGCGTCCTCGCCAAGGGAACTGCCAAGTGAAGATTCGGGTATTCGATGCCGGTGTCGAGATGACAGATGCGCGGGTTTTCAAACGAGGATGGCCATCTGATAAGATGAACATTATTATGGGTAAGAGAGAGAGACCGAATATCTGTGTCGAGTCTGATCCATAGACTTTTTGGAAAACAATACTCACGATACAAGAGGCATAGCAAAATGCGTCGAGGGTGGTCTCAGTGTACAGGTGGAAATGGAAGCATTCACTACCCTGATTGATAAGAGCCTTGCCTTACGGATGTGAACTGACCACGTATCTTTGTCCTTTCTCAAGCCTTCTCAACTTGATCGACAACACCCGCACCTCCTTTCTCTCCCAATGTCCCAAGTCCAATCACTTCCACTTTGGCCTTGTCACCTTCCATGACCACAGCCACCTCTTCCAAACTCAATCCTTTCGTCTCGGGATATACGAACAAGATGGTCGTCGTTTCGATGGCCAGCCAGACCACATAGACGATGTAATAGTGCCATTGGATATTCTGCAAGCCGATCGGGTTGACGAACTGGTTGAAGGCACTACCTCCCCGAGAGAAGAATTGGGTGATGGCGACACCTTTGCTGCGGTGGATGAATGGAAACACTTCGGTGATGAAGATGTAGGTGAGTGGCATCATGAGGTTGTAAAAGCCGTAGTAGATGAAGATGAGAGCGACGACCGCTTTGGCGGCGGACTGGTTGGTGTGGTCTTCCGCGTACACCGCCGAAGCGCCGGTCCAGCACGCGAACAGTACCGTCATGCCGATGTAAGAGGTCAAGTACTGGCGTCGGCGAGGGAGTCTGTGGGCGAGAAAGGCACCGGTCACTCCCGTGACGAGGTTCCAACACGAAAGACCCAGGTTGATCTCATTTTGGGTCCGTCTGGATGTGATGCCGACCGACGCCAGCACTTTGGAGAGATAGTACGAGACCAATCCGTTGCCGGACCACTGCGAGAACAAGCCCACACACGCTGCGATAAAGACACGTCGGCGGTTGACGCTGCCGGTGACGAGCTCCTTCCATGGCGTCTTGGTGCTCTCCAGTTCCATGCGGATGGTTTCACGGATCTGTTGGAATTCAGCGGCTACGAATGAACTCGTACGGTCTCCTTCGGCGTGGTACTTGATCAAGATCTCCAAAGCCTCCTCGTGTCGGTCTCTGCTTATCAAGAAACGAGGTGACTCGGGTATGAACCTGGTGGCGGTGTGTCAATACAGCTGTTCGTTGAGTTTCGCCGGGTCTTTTTACGCCTGCTTACCAAATGAAGATGAGCTGCAAGGTGGATGGCAGAATCTGCAGCAGAGAAGGCAGCCTCCAACTCCAGTTGCTTTCCCACGAATATGTGCCGAGAGTGACACCTGCAGCAATGATTGCGCCAGCGTACCAGCTTTCGTTGAAGAGGCCAGTAATCACCGATCGTTCTTTCGGGTATGCCAACTCGGCGATGAGTTGTGAAGCTCCACTGATGGCAAATACAATACCCATGCCGAGTATGATCCTCGCAACAAGAAACATGGCAACTTGGGATGATGTCAGTTAGATGGCATCAAGGAGCTTCAATGTCAAAGCAAGATACATACAGTCCACGGCGGCAGTTTGCAATATAACCCCGACAGTGATGATTGCAGAACCGGTTGTCACACAAGCTTTTCGACCGAAGCGATCGTTCACATATGGCACGAAGGGAACAGCGACCGCTGCACCGATGGAAAACGCTGCCGTCATGACACCCAGAAGGGCACCATTGGGACTATTGAAGTCTTTTTTGAGGGATTGTATCAGCACTGTCCGCGACCGATGTTCATAAAGGAGGTAAGATATATAGACTCACAGTCTTCCCAAGGTTGCACGGCCTGAAGACCATTGAGAACACTTCCATCGTAACCCGAAGTCATCTCGACACCAAGGGCGGCGGGTACAAGGCACAGATAAAGCCGTCGTAGGTTCTTCTTCTGGTACCATGGCGTCTTATCCTGCGCAAGTAAATGTTCGATCCCGGAGACCTTTGCGACCTCATTGGCCGAGACATCGTGGCCTGCTATCGCTCTAGACATTGTCGATGGAGGTCGTGAATGAGAAGTATACCATGTAAGGTTGCGATGAGGAAGTTCACACTTCGCATAATGGCGACAGGGTATCGCCTTTAACTATCTGGATGCGTTACTCCGTACGGAGTAGTCATGATGAACGTGAGCATTGATCGACACATCTGCCGAGGCCCCTAGACAGTGATCGAATGGTCTTGTTAGGACAAAATGCTTCATTTTAGGCAGGTCAGAGGCTGTTAGGTGAATTTTCATAGCCTAATTCCACAAATGGCATTTTGCCTTTGCGAAACAAGACAAGTATAGTGGTAGAGAGAAAGGAGAGGAAACGGACAAACACCCGACTCCGACATAGCAATTGCCAATGCCAATGCCAATACGGCGGGTTTGGCTGGTCTTGCAGATGAAGCGAGCGGCCATTCCCCGCGTCAACCCCGTGGCAGCCAAGGCGGTGGAATGCTTTTGGGGCCTTGGTAGTTGGGTATAATTGGTGGTGAGATCGATCTTACTGTATTCTGTACGTACTTTGTATATCGAGAAACTGAATTTAGCCGGATATGCATGGTACCATACCGAGTATTGAAAAGAAACAAAGTCGAAAGGGCTAGTACGAGTAAGGGTTGACTGTGGTTCTTTGGCATGCCTGCCGTGTACCTCCTATTGATGATCCAGATCCGTATATTCGGGACGGTGTTCGGAATGGGGCACAGTGATCGTCTTGTATTGTTTTGACCATGGGTCACTCCACGAGATGGATGGTCCGATGATGATTACAGAGTATGTCCTCCGTATTGCGCCAATATGATACACACAGTACCTCACTCTACTACGACTTTGAGGCTATCGAAGCATAATCGGACATGATCTTGTTCAATCCCTGTCGTTGGACACAATTTTCAAAGCTGAAACTCTTGGCCAACTCCTCCAGCTCGGCTTCATTTTTGCCCCGGAACAACTCTGCGAATTCCTCACAGAAGGTTTCGGCGAGGAAGGTCTGCAGAACCGCGCGTTCGATGTGTCGCGCCGTGTTCCACGTCGAAGGGTACACGTTCTTGGCCGTCGGAGAGACCTCGTCGACCCACTTGATCAGAGGGTTCATGACATCCTCGACCTCCTTGGAAGGGTACTTGCCCCAGGCGTCGAGTTGGAGACGTTTCTTCTTCTCGAGGATGGGCTCGACGAGCTTATTCCACGCCGAGTCGGGCGAGGTGTACACCATGCCCTGTAGGCCGACGTCCTTGAACAGCCAGATCGACCAAGGGATCTGAAAGCGGTCGTAGATGCGCAACTGCTCGCCCAGCAACTCGTACCGGTCCTGGTTAATGGCTTCGGCGTTCTCGTCCCACTTTGGATTCGCATACACGGGGCCGAACTCGCCGTTCCAGATGGCGGTTTTGTTCGCCCGTTGGAATTCGGATTTCCGGAGGAATTGCGCTTCAAGTTTCTCTTTCTGCTCGGCTGTGCCCTTGTACGGGCGACCCGTCGGGAAACCCATCATGCTATAGTCGTGCAGGGAGTAGACGGTGTTGGGAAGCACGGTGTCGAAACCTTTCCATTCGGCGGCGAAGGTATTGCCATCTAGCCAGAGGATGTGGTCTGGGTCGACTGCGCGAATTGCTTTCTCTAGACGGTTGTAGAACGCGGGCAGTCGGACGTGTTGAGGGTCGCATGGTTCGTTGATGGGGTTGTATCCGGCGATCCAGGGATTGCCTTTATACCGCTGAGCGAATTTCTCCCAGAGCCACACCGTCCGGTCTTGGTGGTCTTTGTAGTCCCAGAAGGCGGCGTAGGCGGTCGTGTTGTCGGCGTGCCAGCCGGGACTTTGGCCGCCGGGGACAGTGTGCATGTCGAGGATGGTGTAGATTCCCTCTTTGGCGCAGAGGTTTATCACGCGGTCTAGGTGCTTGAACCCGCTTTCCTTGAGCACCCGGGGGTTCATGTCGTCTTCGAAATGTCGATAGTTGAAAGGAATTCGGATGCAGTTCAGACCCAGTGACTTGAAGAACTTCGCGTCGGCCTCGGTGAAGAAGTAGTATAGCCATCGATCAAAGAAATAGTCGTAGTTCTTCTGGCCCATGACCTTAAGCATAGCAGCACGGATGCTGGACTCGTGGCCCGGGTAGCCTGTGATGAAGTTCTCCATACTGCAATGGTGAGTCAGTGCGTTGAAGAGCATAAGGGATGGTCAGAATGTACTTGAGCCATCCTCCTATTGCGGCGCCCCGTAGTATGACCGGTGTGCCATTACTATCGACCACCTGTGTCTCTTTAACCTTTAGAATACCGGACGACATTATGCTTGGTTGAGTGAGATCGATTTCAGCCTGGTGTCTGGTGCACAGCGGGTTGGGTACAAGCACAAGTATGAGGACTACTTATTCATCGTCACAATATCCACGACACTGTCGATATAGCCATAGAAAGCTAAGTCTATTGGACTGGCGAATTTAGCCTGAAAAGCCCAAGCTATGTCGATTGAACGCGGGGAGAAAACACATCGGGCTCAAGGCCGGTTCAGCCGGGACACTGGATGGAGATGGCTTCTTCCTGTTAGTTTTGGTGCATTTTGGCATGCTGCCGGCAACAACGTCAGGATGTCTCAGTAGACAGATAGAAGTCATACCATGGCCATACGAAAGCCTATGTCGAGAAAAACATGTCAATCTGTGGTTGCTGAACAAAATCTTGGACCGACCATGAAAGTTGCAGTCTGACTCCATCTGGTCCGCCGTTCTAAAATACGGCGAAATATCAATGGTTCATTTCGCATTTTGGCATCCTACCTCTTCCACCCAAAGGTCGCTCTGCTTCTGACCATCTTTTTCATCTACATGCCCTCCTACAAATGATATTTGAAGTCAAGCTCTCTGTCTCCTGTCTTGTATCTGCGAGTATCCTCGATTTCGCCCCTCGAAATCTTCTCCTTCCTAGTGTTCCACCATTTAATGTACAACATTTTGACCACGATCAAAAGTTGTGACACGCACAGTGCTCCCAGGGAGAAACTGTGGCCTAGCTTGTATGGAGACTTCCTGTATATTTGACCAGCCACCTGTTTCAGCATGCGTCAGCACGAGTACAGAAAGGCAGTACCATACATTGAAAACAGCTTGATGTCTCTTGCGATAGATATTCGACTCCCTATTGTGAGATGATATTACTTACAATTCCTGCTGTATTGGCAATGGTTTGTTGGAATCCAATCGTAGTGGCTCTTCTATAATGCGGCGCCACATTGACATTGATCCAGGTTACGTTTAACCCTGGACCATTGTAAACAGCGACGGCACAGAGGAAGGTTGCGAAATATCGAACGCCATCTGTTGACACGGTAAGGAGGATGATGTACCCGACAATCCCGAAAACATTCGCGAAAAGAATAAACTAGCGGCAACTGATCAGTATATGTTAGCAGCTGTAGCGTTGTCCACTCACGGGAGACCGCAGGCTGAGCCTGTCTGAGATGATCGCGGCGGCAATGAAAGCAGCAGCACCGAACAAATATACCGGGACTGTCAGGTAGTTACTCTGCAAAGTATCATACCCGGCTCCCTTCAGAATGGCGGGTAGGAATGTGGAGAATCCGTACAACAGGATATCCTGGCAGAACTGAATGGCTCCGCTGAGATACAATTTGGGATCTTTGAAGGCGATGCGAACCTCCTGCCAGTCAAGCTCTTCACTACCCATGTATTGAGCCCGCTGTTGATTACGGATTCTCATCATCTCTTTCTGTTCAGCATTCAAGAACCAGGCCTCAGCCGGATTGCTTGGCAAGCCAAACCAGACAACGACTGCGATTACCATGCTGAAGACGCCTTCGATAATGTATACCCAGCTATGAAGGGTTAGCATGAACAGGATTTCAATCGAGCTTGAACTTACCGCCATCCCGCATAATTGGCAACCCCGTCCATTTGCAAAAGACCATATGCAGCTAAACCACCAAAAGCTCCAGCTAGTGCGGTGCAACTGAAGAGATATGCGACTCTCTTAGCTTGCTCCTCTCTTCGGTACACCATTGTAAGATACAAGGTAAGACTGGGAAAGAGGCCGGCTTCACAAGCACCGAGAATTAAGCGACTGGTATATAAACCACCAACGTTGTGAATGAAGCCTGAGAATATAGTTGTCAAGGACCAAACGACGCAGAGGCTTGTCAATAGGAGACGTGGGGTCAACTTTTTGAGGAGGATCGCAAATGGCGTTTCGAATGTCACATAAGTTGCTACGGCAAGGTCAGCCTTGAAGATACGTGGGTTTCTTTCTTGACTTTTACTCACCGTAAAAGATGGAGACAGCAGTGGAAAATTGTTGGTCTGTCGCACCAATATCCTCTGGCATTCCAGCAACTTTCACGTTTCCCTGTGCCGAGATTAGCATGCAGATAGATGTGCCTGCTGCCGATGATGACGTACGATGTTTGATCGGTCAAGGAAGCAAGACAGATACACCAGCATGATGACAGGCGTGAAGAAGAGGTCCAACTTCGCCAGCAGGATCTTCTCCTTGTGCGGATCGATCTCTGGTTCCATGCTGGCAACTTCATGAAGGCCATCCTTCTCAGCATTACCTGCATTGATGGTGTTGACATCCTTCTCGTCCATTGATTGCTGATTTGCAACCTCTGCCATAATGTGCTATGATGTTGTTGAACGATATATTGAATGGATGACTTCCAGTGCGTACAGTCGATCTTTGTGGGGTGGTGAGAGGCATCTCGCCCATTATGTCCATCTTTATATCTACGGTGGATAGCCGTATCACCATATGGTCTGATTGTGCCACTATTTGGGCTGTTCCATAAACACGATAGTCGTCGGCTGCTGGAGCCCGAGATAGACAAGGGTCTTTTGATAAGAACGTTCCAATATGCAGTAATGATTGTGGTGCTGCCCAATCGGGGGCGTCAGCGTCACGTGCTGATCTGCTCCCGGCGCAGATCAGCGTGACGCACATTGTTGCCGAGGCCAAAAACTATCCATGTAGTCGACTCTACATCAGCCAACAACAGCGGACTAGTCTCGACAAAGGGTTCCCTCTCCGAACACTAGGCTGGTTCTACAAGAAACTGTTTCGCGTTGAGCAGATCTCGCGATACTACCCCGAGACACACCACGGTGCGTGCCACGTTACCGGCTCGAGGGACCCGGGGTCGAATTCTCGGGCAACACTCCAGCTCTTCGCTGCCAGCGTGCGTCGGCGCATTGTTAGCGGAGGGTCAATCCCATTATACCAATAGGTGCTTTTCTCATTGCCTAGATCCGGCATCTTGATCCAGGCGGTCGAGCAGGTACTTCAGCTTTGACAAGGTCCTCATCTTATCAGGCTAATCCCGGCACCCTGTTCCAGCGCTACTGCATAGCCTCGTATCTTGAAAGCAACATGCCGAAAATCTGCCTTGGTCAGATGCACACAAAGACTCCAAACCTGTCCACTAATATAGGGGTCTGGTAATCTCTGACAAGTCTCAGTACTGCTATCTCCACATCTTCACTGATCCACGCACCAGAGGATCCTGATGAACCTTTGCAAAGATGCAGTCAACCCGCGCCTCAGGAAGTAGAGATAGGCGACCGTCCTATGATACCCCCAAACGGTCGGCATTGGCTTGTAACCGTTGTCGTGGTCGAAAGACCAAGTGTAAAGGAACTCCGCCTCTGCAATGCCCGGCTTGCGAAGAAGCAGGAGTTGAGTGTATTTATACCGAGACAGAAAGACGAGTCCCCGTACTAGAAAGGTAATACAGATGTATCCTTGTTGTTGGATCTACAGTCTGACAAGTATAGCGTTCTTCTCGACCTTCAAGCCCGCGCAAGAGCTGCAGATCACAGTAAGTTCTTCCAGGAAAATTTCTATCCTCTTTCGAGAGCCCTCATGACGGAGATTCACAAGTCCAATCACTGAATTCATCAGTCCTAGGAGCAAGACAAAGCAACGACACCTCACCTCTGAGCACCGAAGAGCCTATGCACAAAGAGGACGATGATTGGTGGTACAAAGGGATGGATACCTTGCTCCTCAGTCGCTCTGGCGAGCATCACTATGTCGGAACCGCATCGTCGACCTATCTTGCGCAAAAGCTGAACCCAACCGCGGACACAAATTTGGCATGGGATGTGCATCCAATGTACAAAGATCCATCATCGCTGCAGAGGCCCTCTGCTCCCATCATGCCACAATTGCCTCCTTATGAGTTTGCAAGAAGACTGTATGGCGCACAATATATCTACATTGGGACAATCTTTTCTTTCCTGCAGCCAGACACTTTTGAAAAGCGATTGCAACAAGCCTATGGGCATCCTCCAAATCTGGGCAACAGGGAAGAATGTCTTGCCTACTGTCAAATCCTGCTGATCTTTGCATATGGCCAAATGTATTCCGTCAATCAGTGGTCAGGTAATGATGGACCACCAGGCTTCACATATTTCAAGCATGCGTTATGGCTTCTTCCCGATATTCACCAGGAAGGCTCAATCTTGTTTGTGGAAGTATTAAGTCTCATTGCTCCATATATGCAGAACTTGAATCGGAAAGACGCCGCTTTTCTATACATCGGTCTGGCTTTGAGAATGGCCATATCCCTCGGACTTCATCAAGAGATAGACGACCCAACCATGGATATGGTGGAACAAGAACATCGACGAAGAGTATGGTGGTCTGTGTACAGTATGGACCGAATCATTTCGGTCAAGTCTGGCAATCCTATATCAATTCACGATGAGGACATTGATGTTGCCTGGCCAAGCCCGATACCGGGCATTGATGCAAATTTATCACCACCCAGAGTGTTGGCACACTATACGCAGCTCTCTCGGATCCTAGGCAGGATTGGTGAGGGAATATATCGCAAGAAACACAAGACCGGGACCAATCTCTTGACATCTGTGCAGAGCATCATGCATGATCTGTCTGAATGGTTGAGTCATGTTCCACAAGAGCTGAGAATCAATTTCTCGGCCTTGGACCGACCCCTTTCACGTGAAGGCATATCAACCTTTCTTCACTACTATCAATGTATCAACATGACGACCAGGCCAACGCTCCTCTATGTCTGCCAGAAAAGATTAGATGCTCTTGCTACTGGCCTGGCTCCCTTGAACTGGAAAGAAGGTCTCTCGCCCAATGTGATCACTATCATTGAGACTGCGGTCAGGGCTGCTCGTGCGAGCACGATGATCATGAGTGCAGCTGCGAGCCAAAATCTATTTGGTAAGACGCTTCGCACCTTGTCAAACACTGTACTAATCTACCACAGCAACGTATGGTTTCATGGACGGCGAACATGCCTTTTCGGCTTCGCTTACTCTCGTCATGGTCAACGTTGCATTTCCCTACAATGAGAAAGACGCCACTGCTATGGAGACTGCGCTTTCAGTTCTTCGAGGAATGGCGGCGAAAGGAAACGAGTACATCGAGGCAAGATTGACTCTTTTGATGAACCTCCGTGCAAGTATCGGACCTCGTCTGCCGACCCGCAATCCCGCCATGCCAGCGAACGTTGCCATGTCACAATTTCAGGAGTCAGTTCCTTACACCTCTGTAACCGTTCCAATGGCGATTCCGATACAACCGCAAGATAATATTTTGCAATTTGATAGTAGTTTCCAACCTTTACAGGACGTGTCTTTCGATTTCGACACAGAGGAAGACCCAAAGTTCTGGGAAGAATTGACTGGTAATTTCGATATCGATATGAACATGGATACTGGCTGGATAGAAAATGCTCTGCGAAACGAAACGTATCATCACAATCATCCTGGTTCATAGCCAGCTCATAATTGTGTGGAAGAATCATTATTCATTACAGTCTATGTCTTCATCAAGTCATTGGAAATGTTTGAAAATCCTAGTGCTGAGCATCTGGGATTATATCCCAATCTCTGATGTCTAGCACAAGCATATATCCGGGAGCATGTCCGATCACGGTACCCTCGAGACCAGCCCTTCGTACAGCTTCCTGAGGAGTCACGCCACAACCCCAGAAAACAGGCACGCACTCTTCTTCGCCAATGCCGTGGCGTTCCAGCGGTATTCCATCTTCCGCAACCGGTGGCTCTCCAAAGTCGGGCTTGCTGATGTCTGCAATCCCTAGCTTGTCCACGGCATCCCAGCCCCAGGCAATTGGCTCGCCATGCGTATCAACGTATGGACGAGTGACGTCGCGGATGGTCTCGATATCCTTCATTCGATATGGCCTCATAGATACAACATACGTAGAGTTCTGGAAAGCACCTGCGGGACACAGTGGAATGTTCGTCCGGTACATGGGCACATTTCTCCCATGCGCCATATGGGCTGGCGTGAGTCCTGCCTTATCAAGGGCAGACTCAAAACTGTAGGAGCATCCAATAAGGAATCCAACATGGTCTTCAGTCCACTCTTCCTCGACATTAAGACAATGGGACTTTGTCAAGATGCCGTCTTGGTATACCATATATCTTGGGAAATCATGGCGGAGGTCAACATCCTTGGCGATTCGCTCGCCTTCCAAACCGTTGATCCAAGATCGCAGCTCGTCCCACTTCCCGGTAGCTTTGGATTCTGCCAGCAGAGGACAAGGTACAGGATTCCTTCGACACAGGATCCTGAAATCCGTTGCGTACTTCGAGGGAAGCACAATGAGGTTTGCCTGGACGTAGCTAGGTGCAGCTCCGGACGTCTGTTTGGTGTATGTGCCTGACCTTGCGGCGAGGCGAACAATTTCTCCCGTTTCTTCGACTGCTGAGTTGGTTGTTTTCACGTTGACCACATCGACTGGCTCGTTCAATGCGATGGGTGCCATGCTGAATGGAAGACTGCAGCTTTCCTGGCAAAGTGTGTTTTCTGTACAATCCGGACTAGATGGCCCAGATTGCAAGGTCACAGGTCTATTGTCAAATCGACGAGATATATGGAGATGCTCGAACCCAAAGCAACCCATCGCTGTTCTCCGACTTGTGATGCACCAGGGAAAGTGTGGAGATGTTCCCGATAGCCGGGGGTGTGTGAAAGACGCTAGGGAACCCCATCCCGATCAGGGGACAAAGGCGTCGGGCCCCACATCCCTAGCCTCATGTCCTGTCCATTCAACGACACAAATGGGATTCTGTCGATCGGATTACAGCAGGGCGTTGACTGAATGTGCCCAAGCAGAGCAAAGGCAAACACGATCCATACAGGCCTTGAGAATGGTTCGTGATGCCGGCGTTCTCTCCACTCGATGTCCTCTGGACGAGGCCTATATGTTCTGTTACGCCTCCCATCAGGACCATGAATTCAAAACAGCAACATCCCATTCCCTCCCATGACCATGGCACAGACGTCCAAAATCAGAATATCTATCGACCGAGGCGGCACCTTTACTGATGTGCATGCCTCAGTTCCTGGGAAACCAGATATCATTTTGAAACTATTGTCAGTTGATCCTTCGAATTATCAGGATGCACCCACGGAAGGGATTCGACGAATTTTGGAGCTGGCAACGGGAGAATCATTCCCAAGAGGCAAGCCGCTTAATATGGCCCATATCGACAGACTTAGAATGGGTACGACAGTAGCAACCAATGCCTTGTTGGAGAGAAAAGGCTCAAAATCCGCTTTGGTAACAACAAAAGGCTTCAAAGATTTGCTACAGATTGGCAATCAATCAAGACCGAAGATTTTCGATCTGTCAGCCCGCAAGCCAGAAGTTCTCTATGAGAAGGTCATCGAGCTCAACGAACGAATCGTTCCGTGCCCTCAGCAGAGCGAAAGCCACAGGTATCCGGAATGTCGGTTAGTGGAGGGTACGACAGGTGAAAAGTTCCGCATACTCAAAGAGCTCGACATGGGAGAGGTCTCAAACAAGCTACAAATGCTCTGGCAAGAAGGATATAGGTCGATTGCTGTTGCATTGCTACACTCCTACGCATACCCTGACCACGAACTAAGAGTAGGCCAACTTGCGCTCGCGATGGGCTTCTCAGTCGCTTTGTCATCGGCATTACAGCCTATGATCAAAGTCGTCCCTCGAGGCATGTCGGCTTCCGCCGACGCCTATTTGACACCGGTTATCAAAAGCTACATCGACTCGATCGAGTCAAACTTCGAAGGTGGTCTTGATAGCTCTCATGGTTGCCGCTTTGAATTTATGCAATCTGATGGAGGACTGGTTGATTTCCGAAGTTTCAGTGGTCTCAAAGCCATACTTTCAGGTCCAGCGGCAGGAGTTGTGGGCTTTGCTGCCACAAGTTGGGACGAACATGAGCATGTGCCTGTCATTGGTTTTGACATGGGAGGTACCTCAACAGATGTGTGTCGATTCGACGGCAACTTTGAGCACGTATTCGGCGCAACCATTGCTGGTGTTTCTATACAATCACCACAACTCGATATAAACACCGTCGCCGCAGGCGGAGGATCCATACTCTCGTGGAGAAATGGCCTCTTCTTGGTCGGCCCAGAATCAGCCTCTGCTCATCCAGGTCCTGCTTGTTACCGCAAAGGAGGGCCTCTTACAGTCACTGACGCAAATCTGTTCCTAGGTAGACTATTGCCAGAGTATTTCCCCAAGATATTTGGACCCAATGAGGATCTCCCTCTGGACCAGGACATCACTGCGCAAAAGTTCCGAGAGCTTACGGAGTCGATCAATAAGGAGCAAATTGAGAAGGGTCGAGCTCGGTTCACTCCCGAAGAAGTTGCCCTAGGGTTTTTGAAGGTCGCAGACGAGTCCATGGCCCGACCAGTCCGCAACTTGACTGAAGCCCGTGGATTTGAGACATCATCCCATCACCTCGCCTCGTTCGGAGGGGCTGGTGGACAACATGCGTGCTCTGTCGCCGCGACCCTTGGTATCTCACGCATCATCATACACAAATACTCATCTGTTCTCTCGGCTTATGGCTTGGCGTTGGCAGATGTGGTCAAGGAAGCTCAAGAGCCAGTATCCGCCCAGTATCTCACATCTCAATCGCAACTCCGCAAGAAGTTCGAAGGCATTATCACGCGATCATCTTCGGACTTAATGTCCCAGGGCTTCCAGCTGGATCGAATTCGACATCAACTCTACCTCAACATGCGGTACGAAGGGTCTGACACGAATCTGATGATCCTCAAACCGGAAAACAGTTGGGACTTTGCGACAGAGTTCCGTGAAAGACATCGCAGAGAGTTCGGGTTTGCTTTTGAGAAACCTCTGCTTGTCGATGACGTCCGAGTTCGATCGATCGCGTCGTCCAACAATCACGCAGAGCAGAGCCCTGCCACTCAGCTAAAAGCTCAGGCCGTCAAAGACATGCAACAACCACCCCAAGAGACGACAAAGGTATACTTTGACACCATCGGACATGTTGACACTCCAGTCCACTTACTGAAGAGCATCGACAAATATACCCGCATTCAAGGGCCGGCCATCATCATCGACGAAACGCAAACAATCGTAGTCGCACCCGACGCCGTGGCAAACGTTCTCGAGACATGCATAGTCCTCGACTTGAAGGACGAAAAGACATCACGGCGAACTGCCTCCGACACTTCATCATCACCCGAACAAATCGCCATCGATCCAGTACGACTGTCAATTTTTGGCCACCGATTCATGTCCATTGCCGAACAAATGGGCCGCACGCTCCAGAAGACGTCGGTGTCGACCAACATCAAAGAACGTCTGGATTTCTCGTGTGCGCTCTTCTCGCCCGACGGCGGCCTCGTCGCCAACGCGCCGCACGTGCCCGTCCACCTGGGGTCCATGCAGTTCGCCGTGCGGTACCAGCACAACAGGTGGCTCGGCCGGCTGAAGGACGGCGACGTCCTCGTCTCCAACCACCCCAGCTGCGGCGGCACCCACCTCCCGGACATCACGGTGATCACGCCCGTCTTCGACCGGCCGGGAGGGTCCGAGATTGTGTTTTACGTCGCGTCGCGCGGCCACCACGCAGACATCGGCGGCCTCCTCCCGGGCTCGATGCCGCCCAAGTCGACGGAACTCTGGCAGGAAGGCGCGGCCATCGAGTCGGACAAGATCGTGAGGGACGGCGTCTTCGACGAGGCCAGGATGACGGAACTCCTGCTGCGCGAACCGGCCAGGTTCGAGGGTTGCTCGGGCACGCGCTGCCTCGCCGACAACCTGTCGGACCTCAAGGCCCAGATCGCCGCCAACACGCGCGGGATCCAGCTCATCCAGAACCTGATCGGGGAGTACGGCCTGTCGTGCGTCCAGGCCTACATGTACGCCATCCAGAGCACGGCCGAGGTGGCGGTGCGCAACCTCCTCCGCGACCTGCACCGTAGGTTCGGCGGTCGCCCGCTCGAGGCGGTCGACTACATGGACGACGGCACGCCGATCAGGCTCAGCATTGTGATTGACGAGACCTCCGGGTCGGCCACGTTCGACTTTGCGGGTACGGGGCCTGAGGTTTACGGCAACACAAACGCCCCCGTCGCCATCACGCACTCGGCAATCATCTATTGTCTACGGTGCATGATCGACTCAGACATCCCACTCAATCAAGGCTGTCTGGCGCCCATCAGCATCAAAATCCCGCCGAGGTCGCTACTGTCGCCGTCGCGCACCGCGGCCGTAGTGGGTGGCAACGTGCTCACGTCGCAGCGCATCACCGACGTCGTGCTCCGGGCGTTCCGAGCGTGCGCCGCGTCCCAGGGAGACACGAACAACCTGACCTTTGGCACGGGTGGCAAGTCCGAGGAGGACGGTTCGCACGTCGACGGGTTCGGGTACTACGAGACCATTGCGGGAGGCAGCGGGGCGGGACCGACCTGGACCGGCCAGAGCGGAGTGCACACGCACATGACAAACACGTGCATCACGGACCCGGAGATCCTGGAGAAGAGGTACCCTTGCGTGTTGCGCCAATTTACACTGCGTGAGGGGTCGGGCGGCGTGGGTGCACGACCCGGTGGGGACGGCGTGGTGAGGGAGATTGAGTTTCTCGACCCCGTGCAGTGCTCGATCTTGAGCGAGAGGAGGGTACACCGACCGTACGGGATGGAAGGGGGAGGCAAGGGTCAGGAAGGATTGAACCTGTGGGTCACAAAGGATGAAGAGACGGGTGAAGAGCGGAGAGTCAATCTCGGTGGGAAGAATACAGTCAAGGTGAAGAGAGGTGACAGGATCTTGGTCATGACGCCTGGTGGTGGTGCTTGGGGAGCGGAGGAAGAAATAGAATAGATACGATGACGTTGAGAGAGCCCATGATGAGATTGTGTAGTCTGTGAAATGTTCACGTTCGTTCTCTCTTCATCTATCAACATGCGGTCTTGCTTGGTCTGCTTCTTGTATTTACTTCGAGTCCACAATAGGTCCAGAAAGGATAATTGGTTGTACGTTTGAGAAGTTGGGAATATCTCCGAAGATGGCGGCCGCATCGTCACCCGAGCCCATGGCGGTTTGTACATCTTCTGGCTTGTCCCAGATCAAGGTACCCGAGGTGGAATATTTGGGTTTTGCTCCGTCGGGACCAGGCTTGTACTCAGTCACATTGTACCCCTTCAGACCGTACTTGGACCATTTCTCCACGACGAGAGGCATGTGCGTCTTGACGTAGTAGTCCAGATCGAATTTGGCGCCCTCATCGTTGGGGTAGAGTACTTGGACGTGGAAAGTCATAGTTGATTAATGAGTTTGAGTGTAATGGTTGGGTATCAGGTCAGGTAGAGATCGGGGGATTCTTCTGGTGGTTTCGTAAAGTATGGAGTGAGAGAGATTCACTGCTGTGTGTTCGAGAAGTGCTGATAGTAAAGTAAGAGTAGATCTGGAGGGGGAGAAGGGGACTGATATAGAATGTGGTCGAACCCAAGTTCTCTTAAATAACTCGTTGGCAAGTGCCTTCGTATGGTGCCAGACGGAAATGAGGGGCTCTTTGCGATTTTGTTTACCTGGGACCGAGGGATCGACCCGCGGAATATACCTTTGAAGTTTTATGCAGTTTATGAGCTCCTCTACTCGTACGTATCATTTCCGGCAGACGACTAGCTCTTTTGCTTACTGCGGGGAACGTCTCTCTGCAGTAGGTGTCGTATCAGACAGAAGCTGGGCTGCACTTATGAGGTGCTTGACGAGTCAATCCCCTTGACCCGTTGGTTTATCTGTCGGGCGCATTTGGGCTGCGCGCAATAGAGGGGCGAGTGGAGGGGTCGATGTTGTTGTTCGAACGCTTACTAAAAAGAGTGGTAAGCTTGGAACAGGGCTTTCACCTTTTGAACGAATCGGCCTTCTTTCAGAAGACTCCGCATGTCATCCGGGGCCGTATAAGGGCAAGTGTCGGAGCAATGGAGATGAAAAGGACTCCCCAGATGAAAGGAGGACAGTGAAATCCGTACAGAGGACATGATGATGCGTGCTGCAGTTGCCGACTTACCTAGGTACCTCGTAGCTAGAAGCTAGACCTGATAAGGAAAGCGTTTCGGCTGCGGAGACACACTACTCCGTAACGACCGCAGAAACATTTTTCCCTTATCGATAAGAAACAACAGAAGATGCACACGGAACTTTTGGTTGTAGATTTGGGAACTTACGCACCATTACCTTCCAGTGCCGCAACAAGCCTTCCAAGTTGGTGATAGCTAGGGCGGGCTCTTGACACACGATGGTATGACATCTAACAATTCCAGAATGACTAATACATCTAACATCTTTCAAGGCACCTCCGACACGGACAGCAAAACCTCTCAAGTCAATCCTCAAAAAGACGACTCCCTCCACGATTAGCAAACAAGAATCTTTGTTCCCTGCTTCGAAGAAGGATAAACGCAGAATAAAACACGAACAATTAATCAACAAAGTCACCAAGTCCGCTGCGAAGACGCCCCGACGGCGACGACCGAACAAGAAGTTGATCACTACACTCGACGCCTTAGCGGATGCTTTACCTACCGATGATTTCGAGACTGGGACAACGGTCTCAGCAGGGGAGAAGCTTGAGGATCAGGTCAATGTAATCAAACGGAAGAGCATGAAATCTCGTCCAGGGGCTATGAAGAGAAGAGAAAAGCTTGACAAAGGCGAGAGAGATCGCTTTGCAAAGAACATGGCGCAGCTTGCGGCTTCTCGGTCAGCAAGTGATCCAGAGAAAGAAATTGCAGATGTGAACACTGTTTCGCAAGCGAGTGTACCCTCGACGAGCGATAGGTGGGCTGCACTTCGAGGATTTATTTCTCAAACTCTGGAGACCAAGCCCGAGTTGAGTAATCTGAAGAGCTGAATGAAGTTCAGCAAATGGTTACTCGGATGGATCAGTTGTATGACACTCAGTACAGATCCGTAAGTCTCACTTATGGCAAATGGCTACTCTCGAACTTCAGTAAGCCCCTCAAACTACGTTTCGACGTTATCCACGACCTAGTTCCGGACGAATTGCAGATGAATGCAGTGCGAGCGGCCTTCTATAGCAACCGCAGGAGGATCTTTCTGCTTGAACAGCCACCGCCACCGATCAACAAAGACAATCTGTTCTCGGAGTTGCTTCATATCATCGCAATTTTCACAAATGGTCGCCTCCATCAAGTGCAATTAGGAGCTCTCACACTTGATGCATACTTGCTGCATGCGTCAGAAAGGATCAGCAACGATTAAGACCAAGACGTACAATAGCCACCCACTCTGTCTAATCCAGGGTACGAAAACCGAGGCTCAAGAGCAGAAAGTCTTGCTTGCCACGCCCAAAGACAAACCACACTGGCCCTCGATCGTCACTACTAGAAAGTACTGGCTCGCCTTCCTCACTGGCCTTGGGCTTTTGTTGAACTTCCTGTTCAATGTGTGAGTACTGACGCATGCAGATGCGATTGGCAATATCAAGCTGCGCTACTTCATTGCATCCAAATAGCGGCTTTGATAGGACAAGATCGGGTATGGAAGCAATTTTGGTGAATAATGAAGAGAGAGTACTCTCCCCAGTCAGTCCGCATTGCATCTTCGTACAGAATCTACAGTGTAACCATCCTCTGTTGGAGTTGGTACTCACGTCTTCTATATGAGGTATCATACATTCAAAATTGTTATCAAATCAATAGTAAAGAGGGAGAGAACAACGACAGCAAGAGGTTCGATGTTGGATGCTAAGAAGAATTCAGGGGGATTAATCCTTGCAAGTAGAGCAAGTCTTTGTGCTATTTTCATGGACCTTTACTGTCCAACGCTATGATCAAGAATGGTATCCATCTCTCTCTATCTCTCTGTCCAGAGACCAGTGTGATCTGCCATGACCATTCCAACAGAAGTCAGTACCGAAGTACAGACCGTAAGACCTGTATTTTCTTTCAACCTGAATATGGATCTATGCCTGTGTCTCTGCTGTTCTTTTGATGTTTGAGCAGCTCTCCGTGGTGTAATTCAACCTAATACATGGGCGGAATAGGAGGAGGCTTCCACATGAAAGGTTCAGTTGCCTTTGCACTTGTATTTGCACTTGCATTTGCATTTCGGTTGTCGTTTTTGTTGTTGTTGTTGTTTTCGTCAACAACGTTTGGGAAGTCCGGGGTGTCGATCGAAGCAAAGTCCGGGTGCTCCTCCTCCGAGAGCAGCATCTCGTCGATGGCCTTGAGCAAGGTCGGAACGTTTCTAACTTCCTGCCACAACTTCCTGGCCTCCTCCTTTGCTCGGCTGTGTAGGTAATCCCACGCGAGTTGTCTGACGTCGACACGAGAGTCGGGGAGGGCGGAGAGGCAATGGTGGAGGTTCTGTTCGTCTTGACGGATTTGATCTTGGAGTTCGGCCAAGCAGCCTTGGTCGATGATATGGCCTGCGATCTGTAATTCGTTTGTTGTCGGTGTTACTTCGTAATCTATCACACACCGGCAGAGGGGGGAAAGAATCAGGGCAGGGAGTCAAAAAATACAAACTCACTTGCTTGTTGTTGGCATAACCGACCAAAATCTTGTTGAACATATAGTTCCTCATGGGTATGGCGTGCTTTTGAAACTCGGGGAGTTGGGAGATGGCCAGCATGTTTCTTTCCGTCCTCTCCTTGGGACCCTCGTGGGCACGACGGATCTCCAGGATCTTTCGTTGATGACGGATCTCCTCTTGCTTCATCAGGGTGTGGAAGCTGGATGTCTGCTTGCCGACTCGTGATGGTGGTCGACGAGCGGTCAAGGTCGTCATCGGGGGGGCCCGAGGAGGAGCCTTGGAGGTCGAGGTCGACATCAGCTGTGGTGGAAGAGGAAGAGGAACAGGCACCGAGGACAAGGAAGAGGACTCCGGCCGCTTCAGTCCGTTGGGGACCATGTGCTCGTCGTTGGTGTTGTTGTTGTTGTACATAATGTCCATGAGGTTACGCAAAACCGGGTCGGTTTCTCCAGATGAGAGAGCCATGTGTTTTCGAGGTCGAGTTCGATGGTCTCGAGAAAGTGATTCAACAGGCAAACGTTCTCAACCGTCCTGCCACAATACCCCACTATCTTGCTATTTTTGCAAAGTGGTGAGTGTGAGCGTGAGCAACAATAGACATGTGTGTGTGTGTGTGTGTGTGTGTGTGTAGGATTAGAAACGCCGAGCCGTGAGAAGGAGTGAATATATTGATCGATTCTTGTCGTTTGAACCATTGTGATTCTTCTTGGGGAGCAGCTCACTCGTCGCCTGGACGATGAAGTTGTCAATTAAAAAGGGACGTTACTGTTCCTGTCCTGGTCTGCTGGAAACTCATGAGCTTGCCGTTGGCAAGACTTCAATTTCGGTCTTTGTCAAAACCGTCATTATATAACTATATGGTGAGTACCACATTTCTTGAGGCCTGGAGGATTCCTTGGGAAACGCTCCTTGCTGGTCTATCACAGTCATGGTGTGAGATCTGGGGATGCAAATGTCGATCTTCAAGCTTTGTTTTGTTTCTTGTTCATTTATCAACACTTACCGAATTGCCTTGATGGAAGTGGCACAGGACGATTGGTTCTCTCACACAAAAGAGTGAATCATTGTGATTGAGGTACTCCGTAGAAACAACTCGTTATCGGGAGTCATTCTTTCAACCACTTCCATCATATCTTGTTTGAATTGAGACAGCAAGACAAAATCATCAGGATTCACATAATGGAGGAGAGGGACAGGATACGCACGTAGTCCAGGAAAAGATATCAAAGTGGTCCAGAATAATCCCCCATCATTTCTACCCCTGATTTCATTGTCAGTTTGTGGAGTTTCACGGCACAGACCAAAAATACCGTCAGGCCGAGGCACATCACCGACGCCGATTTCTGGATTACTGATTGATCATACTCTGTAGGTTTACCATTCTATTGCCTGCAGTGCCGGTCACACCGAGATGCAAGATGATTAGATGAGACACTGAGATGATGTGCTGATGATAATGGTGCCAATTGCCATCTTGACTTTTGACAATACTACGAGTACAACTCCACTTCCAACGGCCGTATTTCAACTAGAAGATTGATATCTCAGGCTTCGTTCAGCCCATTCTCCAGCTGAATCGACCAAACCATCATCAATCACAATTAAACCACCTCAATACGTCTATCTTCCAGCAAGCCAGATCAAGAAACAAAAATGTCATACAACACATCCAACAAACCCGTCATGGCCGTCGTCGGCGCCGGCCCAGGCATAGGAGAAGCAGTGGCCCGCCGCTTCGTCGCAGAAGGCTACGTCGCCGCCCTCCTCGCGCGGACCGAAGACAAGCTCCAAACCATGGTCTCGGACATTGCAAAAGCCCACGGGCCCGACACGTCACGGTACTACATCACCGACCTACGGCAGGAGCAGTCGGTCCTCGCGAGCTTCTCCCGGATCCGCGCCGAACTAGGGCGCGTGGACGTGTTGGTGTACAACGCCGGGGCGAGGCGCGTCAACGGCCGCTCCGTGCTCGACACGACCAGCGAGGAGTTTGAAAACTTCACCAAGATCAACCTCTTCGGTGCGTTCTGGTCCACCAAGTGCGTCCTGCCGGACATGCTGGCCTCGGGAAGGGGGACCGTCATCTACACCGGCGCCACGGGCGGGTTGAGGGGGAACCCCGGGCTGAGCAGTTTCTCGCCCGGCAAGTTCGGCCTGCGCAGTCTCTCCCAGGTCGTCGCGAGGGAGTACCAAGAGAGAGGGATCCACGCGGCCCACATCATCGTCGACACCCCCGTCGATGGGAAGTTGATCGGTGGCGTGTCGAGAAGGAAGTGGGCGAGGGAAGGGGAGACGGAAAAGTTGGACGACGTCGATGCGCACCTGTCCAGACCGGATGATCTCGCGCAGATTTATTGGTTTCTACACACTCAGCCAAGAAGTGCGTGGACTCAGGAACTGGACGTGAGGGCTCAAAAGGTTAGTTTGTTTTCAAAAATGTAGGAGATATATATATATGTCACAATGAGATCTGGGATTACAAGAAAAAAAAAGAACGGAGAATGCTATGGATCCATATTTTCATCCCAATTGAATATTTTGGATGTTTGATATACAACGCAACCACTTGCAACTTTCACAGCTTCCAAGTACCAAGAGTCTGACTCTCTTCCTTTTTCGCCTGTTCGACCAAAAGACGCCTCAACACCTTTCCGGCTGCACTTTTCGGAATCACATCAATAAACTTGATGCCACCTCGGAGTCGCTTGTAAGGCGCCACTCGCCGATCGAGCCAGTCACTGATCTCCCTCGCTAGCTTTTCGTCGTCGCCCTTGAAGCCCTGCGCTGGGACAATGTACGCTCTGGGTAATTCCGTCGCTTTGGCAGGGCTAGAAACTCCCACGACAGCAACGTCGTTCACCGCAGGATGCGCGAGCAGGATCCCTTCGAGCTGGGCAGGTGCAACTTGGAAACCGTTGTACTTGATGAGTTCTTTGACTCGGTCGGTGATGTAGATGTTGTGGTTCTTGTCCACGTATCCGATGTCCCCCGTTCGATACCAGCCGTCGGCATCCACCGCCTCCGCTGTCGCCTGGGGGTTTTGAAAGTATCCTTTGAATATGTTGGGGCCTTTGATCCATATCTCACCTTCTTCCCCGATGGGAACTTCGGTGCCGGCGTTGTTCACAAGTTTCATTGACATTGAAGGGGCGAGGGTACCGGCTGATCCGATCGTTTTGTTCCAATCATTCCATGGCTGTTGTGGATGTGTGTCAGTGAAAGGGCCTCCACCCGCGTAATTCAAGGGACGACAATAGTACATACCTGACCTGCAATTCCCGGTGAAGCTTCCGACATTCCGTAGCCTTGTTTGATGGGAACCTTGAGCCTCTTGTGGATCATTCCGACCAAGTCGTCGGTCAATGGGGCGGCAGACGAGTGCAACATTCTCAACGAGCTCAAGTCGTACTTATCTACGACAGGATGTTTGGCGAGCAGGAGAACCACGGGTGGAACGACGTATACTATGGTGATTTTACTCTCTTGGATGACCTGGCACAGACAATCCAGATCAAACTTTTGCATGATGTGCATTGTGAGTCCGCGGTATACGGGAGCCAATACTGATACGGCGATGCCTGTAGATGATGAGCGAGGTTAGTTTGGTCATTGGGAAAGTATTTGGCAATGACAGAACTCGCCGTAGATGTGGTACATAGGTAGGAAACCCAAATATTGGTCTCGCTGCCAATTGACATTTCCAAGATCTGGTATCGTTACTTGTAGGACGTTGGCAACGATGTTTTTGTGGGAGAGCATGACTCCTTTGGGCAAACCTGTGGTTCCTGAACTGTAGACGAGGAAGGAGAGGTCGTTCTCAGGATCAATGCTGGCTTTCTTGATCGCAGTCGAATCATCGAAGAGGCTCGAGTAATGTCTACATCGTCCTTCCGGATCCTGCTCGCCGACAAGTATGATACGGCTCCATGGAAGTCCAGCAAGGCGAGCAGCCTCTCGTGCAACTTGAAGACAAGTCACATGGGTGAGAAGACCTTTGGACTGAGAAGATTTCAGTTGCGACGCGAGTTCCGTTGTGGTGTACTGATTGTTGAATGGGCAGACAACACCACCGGCCCATTGTGTCCCGAAAGTTGCTGATGCTATCTCAGCACTATTAGGACTGAAGATGGCCATCACATCTCCCTTTTGCCAATTCCAATGGGACTTCAGTCCTTTCCCAAACTTTTCTGCTGTCTCGCAGATATGCCTGTATGTATGCTGTGTGCGAGTGGTAACATCGACCAGGATGACTGTCAAAGGTTAGCGTGAGGTCTGTCGTTTCCCGTTGATCGTCAACTGGGCACTCTCTACTCACCATGATCATCTGGGAACTCCCGGTCATTGCGATCAAAGAGGAATGAAAACAGGTCAACATCAGGTATCGATAACGGCGGGTAAGCAGAATCAAAGGGCATTGTTATAGGGTGCTCAAACAACAAGAAGCACTTTCACAGAACACCAAAGCTGGTACAATACCTTGGCCGTCGAGGCTGTGATGGGCGGCGGACATACACATGTCTATGGCTTGTATAGGGGCCTCCTCGACCATGATCGCCATCCCTGCTGTCATGTCTCTTGGTGGTCTTCGGCTCTCTGGAGTATCAGAGACCTCATTCCGGAATTGAAATGTCAGAAATACGTACGCAAGAGCGATGAGCGGACTTCCTGCGAGAAGGTCAGCGATACCAATCCACTGATGTTTGGGGGATTTTTTGATTAGTCGTGGACGGTCAACCTCGGTAGCCGATGGATTGCTTAGGGAGGGAATCCTCCAAAAGGGGTTGGTGGGTGCTCTGAATTGTATGGGGAATTCACAGTGGATCAGGATCACCTCGGCTCCATCGCGGTAGACGACAGAGAAATAAATATCAACGACTTACTCCGTAATTTAATTACACCGTATTGTGTACCTTGAATATATGTCAGAAACAATAATCAAAAACCATTTCATTGTAAGATTGAAGAATCACTGCTCATCAACAGCTCATCGTTTGATGTGAAGGACAGCCAATAAAGGGCATTTATTTGATCCGCAGTTCGCAAACATGGGCAAGTCGGAGGGAGGAAAGCTCAAAATATACATTGACTGTGGTATGTCTCTGACCGCCTTCGTCAACGTGCATAAGACTCGCCGAACATATACTCATTGAATGAAGTGTCGCCTTATTCCTGGTTCGGTTTCACCAACATCATCAAATTCCGTCCTCTCCTGAACGCTCATGGAGTATCGGTAGATATCATTCCGTTCTTCTTGGGAGGTGCTCGAGACGGCATTGGTAATCCATGGACGCCCACGCCAAAAGCCAAGCAGGCTTTCCAATCCCAAGATACACAGATGACTGGGGAGATTCTCGGGCTGGACGTTGTTCCTCCCAAAGTGTTCCCCATCTTGTCGCTTTTCGTGAGTTGTCCTTACCGATAGAATACATCCCGTCTCTCAAAGTGCTAACCATTCACAGCCAGTCCGAATTGCGACTTATGTGAAGGATCATTATCCTGCTGAAAAATTTGAAGCCACCTTCCCGGCCTTCAGCTCTGGTTATTGGAGCAAAGGCATCAATATCTCAACTCCAGAAGGCGTTATGCAGGCCTTGGAGGGCATCTTTCCCCAGGATGAAATCAAGGAGATCATGAAGAAGGCATTGTCTCCTGAAAACAAAAAGAAGGTCGTCGATGTCACCATGAACTCTGGTGCTTTTGGTGCTCCGTGGATTTCAGCCACCAATTCCAAGGGTGAGCGGAAAGATTGGTTTGGCAACGATCGTTGGGACCAAGTCTTTTATCATCTTCAGGTCCCTTACTCTCCTGTCAGTATCATTCCCCCAGGAGAAGAAAAGGCGAAGTTATAGAGGAGTAAGGAATGTTCCGATGTATGATGAGATGGGTAGGTGCATCCCGGTGTGGTAGAGGGTATTCCAGACTGTTGTAAGGTCGTCAAATCTCCCTACACCATCTTGTCATGATACTATTGTGCTCTTTCTTCTCGCTTGACACCCAGGACGATCAAATGCGGCGTGAGGGAGGATTGTGTCTAGCTAACGTGGCTCGATACAATCAGAAGGTGGTCTGGCGTTCAGCGTCGAGGAGCCATCGCCAAGGGGCAGGTAGGCAGGACGACCGTGCAGTTATGTGCCAGAAGATGACTCTGGACGCCCATCAAAGACAGAGAGAAGGATTTGCAGCATAGTATCGAAAAAACATGTCCTGTGAGGTTGTGACTATGGGAAGCATCAATGTGTGGGTCGTCATACCATATATCAACCGCCCCCAGGCAGTGTCGTCAGTCAGAACTTCTTCTGTCTCTGCCCTACTAAGGAACAAGCCTCTAGTTCTCTCTCTTTGCACATACTAACTTTCTTCTTTGTCAAGCCCTTGTCTGTTGTCCATCTATTTCTATCGTTGTCAGTACTTTCTTGCTTGATAGACGAGTAGAGACCTTCCTCACTCTTGTCCGACCCCGTCAAGTTCTCAGTACTGTCCAGCCAACACACGCAAGCAAACTTGCTTCGATATGGCTGCGAACTTGCCCAATACGTCAAAGGAGCCTCAAGGAAGCTCACGCATGGAGGCCAGACAGGAGATAGCCAAGCCATCGTGGGCATATCGACGACATAATCAACGTCTCGGCGGACAGACTTCAACCCACAACCATTTCACAACTATTGCCATGTCCTCAACTCCTTCTTATCAAATTCCTCCATCTTCATCAACACCTCGAGTCCGATTTACCATCCCAGAAACCACAATGTCTTCTCCTAGACCTCTTCGAGGCCCCCCTATCATGACTGAGACCACCTTGACTGTCGAAGAGTTGCCTGCAGACCAGACTCCTCAGGTCAGCGATATGGCACTCTGGGGAGACTCAACTCCATTCTATCAAGTCACAGTCACTGCTGCGTCTAATCTTGCAAGAAACCTCGTTCGTACCAGCCCAGTGTTTGGTCCTACCACCGGATCTGCTGCCGATGGCAACGCAAACAACACCGGTACCACTGATACCAATGATGGTGAAGAAAACGTGGCTACTCAAGCTGCTGCGGAAAGTCGTCGTTGGATTTCTACCGGTATCCTAGTTGCCATGATGAACATGATTGCCATCGGTATTGACAGCATGATCGGTGTCATGATGCCTACCATCCTCTACGACCTTGATGTCCTCGGCTTCGAATGGGTCTTTTCTGCTACCGCCACTGGCGCAGCTGCATGTGTCCTCTTCGCTGGTCAAATCTACACAATCTTCCCATTCAAGGTTGTTTACATTGCATTCACCACCATTGTCCTCTTCGGCACCATATCTGCGGGCTTCACACGCTACATGGGATACATGTATTTCGCAAGACTCGTCTTGGGAATAGGAATAGGTGGACAGCAACTTGGAGCCATTCTCTTTCTCGAACGAGGCAATACATTCATGGACAAGATTCGTCGAGACTTTTACCTCACTCTCAGCACCTCATTCGGCATGATCCTCGGTCCCATCTTTGGCGCCTTGTTCGTCCACAGTCGTAGCTTGTACGACTGGGCCTTTTACACCGCATTCATCCTCGGCACTCTGCTCTTTGTGGGTCTGGCATACCTTCTACCAAACAAGATCACCATTGTCGGCTCTGCACACTGGACCTACACTCACAGCATGGCTGGAGACCGTTACTACCGTCGCATGGATCAAGCAGGCATGGCTTTCAGCTCAGGCAGCATCTTGATCTTATTCATGACCCTCAACTGGGCTGGCACGTGGCTCCCTTGGTCCGATAGCAATGTCCACGCCTTGATGGGCTTGGGTTTCGGTCTTCTATTCCTCCTGATTGTGCAGCAATACTTCAAGATTCTGACGTCGTCCGTCATTCAGCTCTTCCCGACGCACTACCTCCGCAGCTTCAAGAAGACAGGATTGTTCATGGCCGTCTTTCTCACCGCAGGAATCATCCAAACCGTCTTGCCATACACCGCATTCTACCAGCTAGTCACGCAACCAGAGCCATCGGCGATTCCCACGGCATTTTATCTCTTCTTCAGCATGACGGCAGCTTTTGTGATCCCCACACTCGTCATTCACGTCCATCTCGGAGGTGGAATGGTCGAAAAGTACTCGGTCTGGCCGAGCTACTCGATCTGGACGCTGATTTCGTCCATCTTCATCCTCGTCGGCTCTGTCATCTTGTTCATCAACACGCCACGCATCTTTCCCTCTGGTCTCCCGCCGACCGTGGCTCGTCAGTTCGCGCTTGCGTGCATCGGTTTCTGGTCTTCAGTCGTCCTTCCCATCGCCAACCAGATCATGGACGTCTACCAGCCGCTCGCGGGCCAGCACCACCCGCTCCACAACCGCGTGTTTGTCCTCTTCGGGTTCTGGCTCGGCGCCGCCGTTGCCCTCACCGCTTCCGGCTCAATCTTCATGCAACACGGCACCACCGCGCTCCTGGACCTCCTGCGGAGCCCGCGCTCCGAGTTCCGGGACCACGCGGGCTATGAGGACGCACAGGTCCTCATGCTCGGCTACACCTTTGTGCGCGCGGGCACCGAGAGCATCTTCGCGCAGAGCATCGCGGAGCTCGAAAATACCTTTGCCCTCACCTTCGCCCCTGTCCTGGTCTTTGCCGGTTTGCTGTTCGTCCTCGCCGTCGCCATGGTCGTCAAGAAGAAGTGCGACGGCGGCCTGGGCGCCGTGCCCAAGGAGTGGGCCGTCCAGCCGGACGGTCCCCAGGACCATGAGCTCGTGCTGCGTGGCGGTGGCGCTGGTGCTAGCGGTGACGGCGCCCGTCCTCAACAGGGCGAGGCTGCCGTCGAAGCAGACGACTGGCCCTTGAGGGCTTAGTCTCTCTCGTTGGTCCCTGTGCGGGCCTCCCTTTCTGTGTGTGCCCCGTGTGTGGGCGGGTGGGTGCCTTTTGTGGCCGTTTGTTGTGTTGTTGTGTTGCTGGGGGGTGGCGGTGGTTGTGGTGGTGGCCCGGGGTGGGCTTTGTTGTGTTTTTTTCTTCTTTCTGTGTTTCTCCTCTCCCCCTAAAGGGGGAGAGGAGAGAAAAGAGTTTTCTCTTCTTTTATTTTTGCTTCTTTCGTGTCTTTTTTTTATGTGTTTTAGTTAGAAGTGGGTAGATCACTGGGATCTTACCCCTGAACCGTTCCTTTCCCGCGTGACTTTCGTTTTCAACCCTGACACCCAGCCGCTGTACCTGAGGTCATTGTCGTAGTTGGCCAACGGTAACTTGCAAACATTGATATCAAAACGGACACTGTGGCCAAAGTAGTTGTGGGTGTAGAAACGTTGATAACAGTTCAACACACCCGGGATGAAATGACCCAGCTGACGTGGATGTGGTGGACGACAGCGGGCCAAAGTACGCTTTGATAAGAGATCGTATTGTGTGTATGTACCTAGTAAACGACCAAGGTTCAATATACACCTCTAGCACAAGGACAACGATATAGACATGACGGATGACAAACGTGGAACATCTCTCTAGCAAAAGAGATATAGGAATACAGTAGTGTTTCACAATGAGGTCCGTCAAGTACTACACGTAGTGACACGCAGTACTTGGGGTTACTACCTGGGTAGGTAAACATCTAGAAATTAAAAAAGAATCTCGATTCTATGCCAGTATATTCCTTGCCTGTATTTCTACACTTGCCCAGTATTGATATCACACACGCCATTGCTCAAACGCTGAATGTGTGCGCCCAAAAAATGTCCTCTGCTACGCTACCTAGGTAGGTATACACAACCCACGCCGATCGTTCATGCTTTGTTGTTGTCCAGAAACGATACATCCCCAAGACCCCCGACCAAACTCAATCGACATCGTCGTCGTCATCATCATGATTCGATGTGTTTTCGTTTGCATCTCTAAAATCGTCGTCATCATCGCCATCATCAGTATCGACATTCGCCTCGCCTTGTTCCTTCTTGACTTGTTCTAATTCCTCACCGAAAAGCAGGGTGAACATGACAGAGGCATAAATTTCGTCCGTCGATTTATTCTTGAGAGTGTATCGTAATTCGTGAGTCTTTGCGTCTACGTATTTGATCACGTTTAGACTGAACCCGGGAAGTTTGAGTGAAAAGTCGTTGAAGTCGAGGTAGGGGTTTCCGAAATCCGACTGGAAAAGGCGTCCGGCTTCAAAAACAAACTTGTCTCGATTCGCCGGTGTCAAAAAGTATTTCTTGCGGGCCGCCGAGTCGGCTGGGATTCCGGTATCCTTGCGGACCTCCTCGCCTGAACCTTCGGCTCCTTCTTCGACGACGGTCTCGTGGAAGGACGTCGCGTTGGGTATCTTCCATGCGTTTGGAGCTTGTAATTGATCTTGCTCGACGACCTTGTCTCCAATGTGTAGGACGTTCCAACTGCTCAAGGCCGGACCGAAGAGGGACGGCTTGTCGGCGTACACGTCCCCCTCGAGACCGGGGTCGATCCACCACTTGACGAATTTGAATGCTTGGTTGAACCCGGGAGGGAGTCTGTCTCGTATGGGTCGATCGAAATCGTTTCCGAATATCAGATCTCCTCCTGGGATGTCCACTTTGGGTATGAACGAAAAGGATATCGAGTACTGGTCGCTGGAGTGCAGGGAGTGGTCAAAGTAAGGTGACGTCGTCGGGGAGTCGTTCGGGTAGCCCGTGAAATGTCGTATCCTGACGGCGAGAGAAAGAATGATGTGGTCGTTCTCGAAGGTGAGCGTCTCAGAGGCGTTGACGGGGACAAGTTGGTGGGTCGATGGGTCGTGTGACGGTCCTGCGGTCACACGCAGTCGGTATTGACTGTGGTGAGAACCCCGTGCGGGTGGTTCGTCGGAGGACGAGGTGGACGAGGGAGTCGAGGACATGATACGGATAGGCGATGCGACAGACTATCTATCGAATGGAAGCAATGAATGTTACCATAGAAGAGAAAGGGGGGTGGTGGTGGTGGTAGTGGTGGCCATAATATTTGATGTTTCTCGCCGTAGCAGAAAAAGTTTCTCGCAATATTGAATTCGTCACACCCAACAAAAAAATACGATGACATCACGCCAAATATAGATTTACAGAATGTGAGCACCGAGCAACAAGTGAATGCTTACCATCATGATTTGAGTATTCATTTATCTATGACGAATCGTCCTGATTCCATTCAATTGGACTTCAGGACTCAGTATGAGAATCCAATATTGTAATGAGTGGTCTGCAACTATCAATGTCCCCAATGGAATACTCAGTACATTACGCCAGCCAAACGGACTCCGTATCTGAGGCATGAACCTCAAAGATCCACTGAATTGTTACAGGTATAGGAATGTTCTTCCCGGTCCAAGGACATTTTGGTTGGGCCTCGATATGTGAATTATGAATACTCATCACAACCAGGGACTATGGCCTCCCATCATCTCATCTTTCTGTCATGGAAACCGAATATCAATATGGCCATGGATAAGACATGAGCAGCCATGCAGATAGATGCCCAACACCGGGCAATTTACGAGCACTCGTGTTACACGTGACAGCTGGCTGGTAGAAGATGACTATGTGCAAAGCTAACTGCCTCCACTAAATCTAGAGCAGTGATATGGAGCGGACTATCGTGTTCCATACAGTCTCAAGCAAGCATCAAAGGACCCTTTGTGTCCTAATTGAAGGGACAATCAGCAACTGACTCCACAGATGAGGCGCGGTGCACTCGGGGAAGCGATTAAGACATGGCTAAGTCATCCTCCGTGTCAGGCAACAGCAGCATTGGTAGCCAGCTAGGCCAGGGTAGGGCTATCCTCGCAGCACCCTCTTTGCCTCCCGGTCGAACAAGTGACAACATGGCATTGTTTTCTCAGGCAATCAATATCCAATGAATTTGGAACTTGAGCTGCGACACGAAACGCGACTTCACGCGTTTGGCGTGGCGTGGAGTTGGTGAAGCTCCCCGGTGTTAGAGCTAAACTGCTTCGGGAAATCTGTATTGGTATCGGCCTCATTTTCGGAGGCAACATAAACATTCGAGCCCTCACTGCCTCCACCGTCTTTGTGAGCTGTACTGCGTATAAAGTCTTGGGATCTTGAATCTTTAAACCTTTCTGATTCTTCCTCCATAAGCAGGTCATTCTCCAACCCTAACAGCAAACATGGAGACTCGTGGCTCAAAGCGCAAGAGTTCGGCTATTTCTCCACCAAAGCCGACAGGTGCTCCCAGTTACCAGACCACAACACCGCTGAAGAAGGGACCTCACAAGAAGTTACGGTTCTCCGACTCGGTACTTCTTGAAGGCTCTACTGGTCTGACTCCTGCTGTTGGCAAGGCCTCCCTGAAAACTCCCAAACTCAGACGAGCATCAACTCCAGCCGTCACAAGATATCAGGACCATGACGAAGTACAGTTTCAGCCGTACACAGATTGTCTTACTCCCAGAACAGTCAGACAGGTTAGGCGGCACGGTCTTAGCGAAACCATGAATCAGTACTATGCAGACCAGAAGACCAACAAGAAACTAGAACATCAGCTGGAACTCAGAAACAACGAAATCCAGAAGCTCAAGGCAGAACTGGCCGAAGCACAACACCGCAATGACCCTGCAGAGGAACTATGTTCCAGCCAGACTAGAATAAATGAGATGCAGGCTGAAATCGAACAACTTCAACAGAGTTTCAGCAATGCTGGAGACGACGATGACGCATTCCCCATTTTCGAAGATGAGACAGCCGCAGACGACAACCCGCAGTCAGATGCACTTGATCCGCTCATGGAGTCAGATCTTGAAAATGCACGTCGAGATAAACAGTCCCTCTTCACCTCAACCCGAAGTATATCTACCAACACCATTGCCTTTGAAGATTCGCCAGTCCGTCCAAGAATTCATCCCAACCTGCCAAGTCCACCTCGGGACGATCAAATTCTGTCGAAAGAGCTTGCGGCTGCAACGAATCGAGCCGAAGATGCAGAACTGGCTCTCAAGGCTCTTGATCTGGAGATCAAGAGCTTGGGCTTCTCCCCTCGTGCTTATGATGACGATCCTTCAGATTGTGTGGCAACTATCAAACAACATTTTCTCGATATGCGCCTTGAGCTTGAGAGAATAGTCCCTGGCGAAACAGTCGCTTCCTTTGAAAACGCTCTTCTCATACCGGAAGCTCTGGCGAAGCTCAAGAAGCTGGCTGATCGGGTTCGAGAACGTGAAGCTGAGCTCAAGTCCATGAGAGACGAACGTCGATGTCTCAAGGGTAACTTTGATCACGCAATCGTTCGAGCCCAGGAGGCCAGCAGTAGAATCAAAGAGCTCGAAGAGACGGTCGACAAGAACGCTGAAGAGATGCTCGATATCAGAATGAGATCTCAGGCTCTCGAGAGAGAAGCACGGGAGCACGAGGCCAACAACCAGCGTCTGATCGTCCAGATTGAAAGCTACCGCCTCGAGGTGAAAAAGATGGAGGAACTTTTCGAAAAGACAGAGGCAGAACATGCTGCCACTCTCCAAGAGATCCACGCTGCGACAACTCAAGAGATATCGGATATGGATGCCAAAGTCTCGGCCGAGACTCGGGGTCGTCGTGCGGCCGAAGAATCTGCGGTGGAACGGCTACGGAAAATCAACGACCTAGAATCAGCACTCGCCAGCGCCCGACAACAGGCTGACGTTGCGAAACAGCACCTCTCACGACTCGAACAGGAACTCGAGTCCTCCAGGTCCGCTCACACGAATTCCACCAAGACTCACGCAGAAGAAATCGGCGGACTGAACTCGCGCATCTCAAATCTCTCCACGGCACTGGCCTCGGCCGACGCGGAGATTGAGAAGCTCAAGCACCTCAATGTCAAGCTGGAGGATCGGTACAATGCCGAGATCCAACACGCCTCTCGCGTCGTGGATCACATGAGCGTCGAGTTCACGCGTGCCGTGGCCAAGGTCGCCGAGCAGAGAAAGGGTTACATTCGAGGCGCGACGGTCCGTCACGCCAACTGGCAAATCGAGAGTGACGATCTCGTATCCGATCCCATCCTACCCATGACCCCTGCGAGCGTCGTTCGGTTCTCCAGTCCAGAGTATGAACCCCTGTACAACGACGATGACGACCACGTTCCAGGCAGTGTCGAGATCGGAAGGGGCAAGGGAAAGAAGACCGGCGGCGCTGGCAGTAGACGCGGTATAGTGCCGGGGTTGGGCATCATGAAGAAGAAACCTCGACGGCGATACGATAGTGGAATCGGCATGGGTTCATTGAGCGAGGCCGAGGACGAGGCTGTCTCGAGCGATCCCATGACGCCTGAATTGAGTTCCGAATTTGATGTGGAGACTGAGGCTGACAACCGAATGATGGTGACGGGTTGAGCAGATGACAGATTGCGACGCCTGACGGGCACTCTTTTGTCTATTTTCCTTGTGTTTTTTTGGATTGATTGAAAGTTGCTCAATTTTGCATAGCGATGCGTGGACAGGTTGTTGGATTACAGACACGATTTTTTCTCTTTTGTGGCATGGACCTGCAAGGGATTGGGTACTCTAGGCATAACATGCGATCGATGTTGTGGGATGGTTTTGCGGCAAGGGGAAGTTTGTCTTTGAGCCTCAGCTGTGCCCGAGTTCAATCACAGGGTAGACGCGTGCCTACAGTAGGACAATCAAAGATCTCTTCCACGACTTTTTCCAGGACTGAGGGTCATTTGGCAACAGGAATCTTGACTACAGTAATACTCTCGTGAGCAAAAAAAGGACGCAAAGATCAACCCACAACTTAACATGAGCATCTTCCCCCTCGGCATTATCATCCCCAACTACCTTTACCAATGGATGATGTAGGTACCATATGACGGTCAGCCATCGTATTTCACAGCTCAGAACAATTTCTTCCCCATGGTCCCGGTAACGGAAGGAAAACTGTTCCACTTCCACACCACTTGTTCCACATCGAAGTCCACTGGAGGGGCCCCGCACTTTTTCTTCCTTTTCTGGGCGGATACCTACTAGGTGGTGTTGGGGAGTTTGAGAGGGGCTCTGATAAATAAATAAAAAATAGACAGAGCTGGCCAGTCTCATGATTCTTGGTTGTACACTGTACTGTAATTTTAAAATCACAAAAGTACGAATACTTGACCGAACACACAGCACCTTCTTTTCTTTTGTGTTGTGACTGAGAGAGAGCGCTCAAGGACGACAGAACTTGATCCTTTGAGACACACGAACTGAGCTCTCACTGAAGAGGCAAAAAGGGGGAGGAAGTTACAGGATGACCATCTCAAAAGTGATATGTGTGGGAGCCGGGCCCAGCGGTCTTCTTTTGGCGTTGATGCTGGCCAAGAACGGGGTCAACGTCGAACTCTTCGACGCCGACCGATCGGTCAGCCTGCAACCAAGGGCGGCGCACTACGCGCCTCCGGCCGTGGCGGAACTGAAAAGGGCGGGTGTCTACGACGACGTCTTCGCCGCGGGTTACATGCCGCGAGATTTCACGTGGCGGAAGATGGACAGAACACCGGTCGCGTCAATGTACTTTGATGTCATCACGCCCGAGGAGGACCGGATGGTGGTGTTGCCACTCGACCGGCTCTGCAAACTACTCTACGAGCACCTCGAGCGTCAGCCCAAGGCGAACGTGCGCTGGAACCACAAGGTGGTCGACATCGGGCAGGACGAAACCAAGGCTTGGGTCATCGTCGAGACGCCCGAAGGTCAACAAAGGCACGAGGCCGATTATATCGTCGGATGTGATGGGGCGAACAGTCAGGTCCGACGGTCGCTCTTTGGGGACATGAATTATCCCGGCGAGGCCCTGGATGCACAGATCATTGCCACGAATGTGAGTCTTTGCACATATGCCTGCGGCGCCCTCCGTGTGGAAGAACACGACGACGATGACGGTGTGATAAAAGATCCCTCTCTGGGCTGACACTGCTTTTATCAATAGGTATACTACGACTTTACCAAGTTCGGGTACTCGGATACCAATTACTTTATACACCCGACCAACTGGCACATGGTTGCAAAGATTACAAACGACGGTCTGTACAGAGTCAGTTATGCAGAAGTTGCAGGTCTCTCGACGGAAGAGTACCTCGCTCGACAACCGAGGAGGTACGAGGAACTTCTCCCTGGAAGTCCGAAGCCAGGAGAGTATAAAATCACCAATATCAGCCCGTACAAGATGCAGCAACGCTGCGCTCCGTCTTTCAGAGTGGGCAGATTCATTTTGGTCGCGGATGCCGCGCATTTGTGTAACCCTTTGTAAGTTTTGAGCCTTGGGGTATATACATCACGATTCGGAATGACGAGCTGATTTATGATTTCGTTAGTGGTGGATTGGGCCTCACAGGTGGTATCGCAGATGTTGGAAGTCTGTTTGACTGTCTTAATGGCATCGACAAAGGCCTTGCAACCGATAAGATCCTGGATAAATATGCCGAAATTCGCAAGAAGATTTGGGAGGAAGTGACCAATCCATCGTCGAGGGAGAACTTCAAGCGACTTTCTGATCAAGATCCCGAAACAGCAGGAGAGAAGGACCCATTGTTTGTGTTGTGCCACAAGGCTGAGAAGGATAAAGCATTGGCTCGAGAACTGTGCCTGGTAAGTGTTTGGCTTCCCTTTGCATGTTCTTTAACTTTGACAATATCGCGTTGTTGCTAACAAGGTTCGATTGTTTGTAGGGGTTGAATATTTTGAGACACGATTTTACTCAGTATTATGACAAGGATGCTTCAAAGAGCACGTAGTTAGTACAGAGTTCTGATATGAGAAGTCGTCGATAGGAGAATGATATCGAGATGAGATTGTCCATCCTCGTGAATTGTTTAGGTGTTGACTTGCTTCCCTCAAGTGTCTCCCCCGCATCATTATTAATCCGATCCCGTGCACCGTGCATCAGTATATACTTTTTTAATCTTCACCATCACGTTACCTAGCCTGACCTTCGGCCTTCCAACCACCAAATATCAACTCTACCCTGCGTCTCGCGTCCTGCTTAATCTTGAACAAACTCTGCACGCCATGCTCACACCTACAAACCATCTCTATCGCCGATTCTCATCTAAAGATGGGCAAAGTATCACAACATCAGCGACCTACCAGCAAACACTGCCCGGAGTGTGACCGCGTCTTTTCCAAAGTTGAACATCTCGACCGCCACCTGCGAACGCGTAATGCCGCGCCCTTTAGCCGCTTGCTAGAATTCTTTTGCTGATATCCTACAGATACTGGCGAGCGACCTTACGAATGCTCGGTCTGTGGAAAGCGCTATGCAAGAAGGTGAGTGTGCTTCGTCTTACCGTCCTTTGTCAAATCGTGTCGAGGGTGCCTTCTGTTACGTCATGCCATCTACGAAGTACTCTCTCTATATACTGCAAAGTACATATGCAAAAGGTTGAAGGAATCGATATTGACCGATGATCATGCGATAGCGACGTTTTACTACGACACTCACGACGACATCAACGAAGAGATGATTTTGCGACGACTGGCAGGCGTGATCGCGGCCAAGATGCCGTTGCGGGCCACGACGATCATCGCGCACCAGATGCATACACCACATCCCAAGTTGAAGGTTTCGCGACACCGGCCATGGGCCATGATTTCGTCGACAGCGCCAATGGCCAACAGGCCTGGCTCGGCAATGATCTCACACTTCAGCAAGGAAGTTTCAATGAGATGTCCCCCACGAATGCATTCGCCGTCGACCCATCCTTGATGAATCCTCCCTCCAATGACTCCGTCGCCTACCAAAATTCCCCCTCGCAGGGCCATGGTTCCGATGGTGGCGTCCCGTTCGTATATGGCTACGACTCCGACACATTCTGGAATGCACCGCCTTATTATCAAACAAATCAGCTAGATAACGCCGAAGTCAACGCAAGCTCCGAGAGTCATGCGCTCCACAATGAGGGCGTCTACAGCGTTCACTCTCGACATCCGAGTCTGACCGAGACAAACGTTGTTCGGACAAGCTGGGACAACATTGACCCAGAATTGATGTCAGGCTGGCAAGGGGTAGGTGGAAGTGATCATGCTCCAGTGAACGACGATCCACTACGATCCCCTGGACAGTACAGTCATTGGCCAGTCAACAAGTGATCCGAGTTCGTCGTTGCTCTATGCACCTACACCGCGCACGTGGCTGTACCAACGAAGATCGAGACTGAGGCACATCTCGTTGCGAATGCAATGAACGCAGGCGACTCGGCAAAATTTCAATGCTCGAATTAGGACAGGATGGGGAAATGGGTCTTCGAGCCTGGTTCAATGGTATGAGGCTGGAGTCTCCAGATCGTCCACGTGGTTACTATCTCATGAATACATTAAGCCTTCAACAGTCGATCTTGGTCTAGACGAGACGGTAGGTTCCTTCCAATCTCCAATTCCGCAAACCAAAACTAGACTGACTCTCCTGGATAAACGCAGTCAAGGAGATGGACATCTTCGCATGTACGCCTCATATGTTGCGAAACGTCGAGAACTCTGTTCGATGGTGAACCGAGATGGTCGCTGACCAGAGTCCTGAGAGTCAGAGACCTTCTCTGCCATTCCCTGAGGGACACGGTGTTCGGCATCGCGCCATTGCCGTGTCTGAAGAGGCTCGTCCTCTACGTTTCGCAATCATTAGCGCCGGAACACGTGCAACAACGTCAAAATGTAACTCCTTCCAACCTTGGCAAAGAGGATTTTGTTCCCATTTCAGCCTCGAGCAGGTCAGATCAACAGCCAAGCGAAATGAGCAAGCTTAGGGCCCGAGTCAAGCATATTGTGAGAAGCTTTTGTTGAAAGAAAAGGAAGAGTGGAACAATTAAGGCAGCCTGGTGGCCTCAGCCATTCCGAGTTTCGCTATTCATTGCCGAGTCACTTCGCCCATTACGGATCGAGGCTTCAAAGTAGGCCTCACATTTATCTTGCAGCATCCCACGAGCAATCGCGGGTTCCGCTATAGTTGCCCCAATGAAGATTGCATTTACATTTGCCAAGGACCTCAGCCTCAATTGACGACACTGGCATGGCTAGCATCCTGGCTCAAAGTGTCATTGATGACCGGGCAGTCAGGCAGCCTCAAAAGAAACATCTCGTAATCATGGACGGAAATACTATAAAAGAGGGCACATGGACTATCCCAACAGTCTTACAACTCTGCGAAAGAGGTGCGCATTTCCCGGTTCCATATTTAAGATAGTTTCGATTCTTGCCATCATGTCGGCCCCTCAAGTCTTGCTGCTCGTTTTAACCTCGCTTTCATGGGCATTTGTTGGGTCCATGCACATTTCACGACGACGAGACAACTCTTCTGTCTCGCCATTCGACAGTTATTCGCCGGCTTTTGACAAAATCCTCGGGTCAAATCCTCAACTTTTGGTTGTTTTCAATGAAAGCAAACGACTGTTCTATGAAGGCGGCATATACCACCCTCCGACCGACTCTTATTTCGTAAACAGTGATCGCCTCAATGTATCTGGCAGCAGTGATGCTGAACAGGTTCTTGTTCGCGTTGCCAATGTGCACACAAAACCATCGTGGGAGATCCTCAATTTGACATCTATTTCCAATCCGATCTCTGGCGTGCGGTACAAAGAACAAGAGAAAGGCTCGACTGATTCGGATCGGCTTGCAATGGTGGCATGGGGCAATACAAAGAATAATCCGCCAGGAGGATTGTTTTCGATCAGTCCTTATCCGCCATACAAAGTGACACCACTCACCACTTCTCTCGGGGTGTATCACTACAACGCTCCTGACGATGTGACCGTGCTCCCCGACGGCACAATGTACTTCACAGATCCAACATACGGATCCGACGAAGGTCTGCGTCCGGATCCTCTTCTGCCGAACCAGATCTATCGGTACGACCCGGTATCCAACACAACACGCGTCGCTGCGGATGGTTTTGGTAGACCCAACGGTATCACTCACTCACCGGATGGAACGGTCCTTTATGTCGGAGATACAGGTGCTCGTGTCAGTAGTGGCGAGACAGATTACCAGGGCCCCAGGACGACTTATGGACTCAACGTCAAGAACGTGCCCTCTGGGGCCGGTGGATCTGCCGGTCCATTCGTCACGGATCGGAGAGTCTTTGCGATGCCCTATGACCTTGGCGCGAACGATGGTATCAAGACTGATATGGCGGGCAATCTGTGGGGATTGAGCCTCACGGGAGTGTATGTTTGGAACCCAAGCGGCGACTTGATCGGACACATCGCCGTCCCCACGGATGATGGCGGAAACATGGGCTTTGGTAGACCCGGCGAGCTTTTCATTCATGGTGGAAATGTGCTGTATAGGATGCTGATGGATGAGAGTGTGGTTGGGACAGGAGTTTGGTTTGATTCCGACCCTGGTGCACCCTCGGGGATTTCAAAGCGATGGACGAGTCACTACTAGTAATAACCAGAGATAGCACTTGAGGATGTTGTTATTTGCATAATGAGCCAAATCGCCCTGATCCCATCGCGACTTCCTCGGATGGCTTGGTGCATCTCCTCCTTCTCCCATTCACAAGAGACGATCAAAACGAGAAGTTCTGAAGCCGTGATGTGAACTTGTCTTGGGTAAAACTTATGAGCATTTCGGGGTAGTTAATAAGCACTGCCGCCCCTGGAGATTTCGGAGGTCCCTAAGCGGTGGTCACCTTTACCTACCTGACTACCTCAGTACCACCTACCTTACATGTACAGTATGCGGTGAATCAGCATTATCATGTCGCCCCAAGTATTTTGTCAGGCACTAAGCACTCATCGAGTACATTTCTTGTACCTAGGCAGGTATGCGAGTGTCTACTCAAGTAGACGTCTTAGCGCTGCCATCAGCACTGCTTGCGCCTGCACTTGTGCTCGTATTTCATCCTCGTGGAGCCTAGACGACCCTTGTACAGAGGCCCGCGAATTATGGTATAGGATCCTGATATATGCGCACGAAAAGACAGTCTCCATTCACGGTCGAAGGGAATCATTGTCGAAATTCGCTTTCACGGTAAATGTGAACGGAGCTCTGATTGTTAGCTAACTGACACTCTTCAAATACCGATATCAGACGACGTTGCATCTGTCTTCAAGCCACTGAACTACGAGACCCCCACGGGCCACTTTCCTTTCTCCATCAACCACGGGGCGGATGATAAAGCAGGATCACATCGTCCTTTTCCCCGAACAGGAACAGCTCTCACATGTTGCCACATGTCGCAACACCGCTTCCTTGGCTGATGATATGCCGGACGGCAATTGACCGCCGCTTCACTGGCCGATGACCCCGACCACTCTCGATCGACAAGAAGTGACAAGAATGACAAGACCACGGGGGCAGAACATCTGGTGGAGGCTTGGCTGCGTTGCTGGATCGTCTCGGTTACACCTCGACTGCCACCAGCACGACCTATACGGTCCTCGTACGGGAAAAATGCGTCCCTCTTTTCCACCCGTCCATTGTCACAATGCATTCTCCGCTCCAGAGCACACCGACCCTAAGCCTCCCTGGCTCGGGTGAGTTGATCAAGCAGGGGTGCTTTGCTACGGCAGCACCTTTGCCCCAGCCTTGAAATGGCCTGACGTCTTCCATTTCAATGCAGGTAAGCGATGATGATCACCCCTCAACTATCACTATCTGTCGCGTATGAAAAGAGCTGATGTGCCCAACTTTTTGATTTGATTGTCGATCAACCACGTTGTGCCCTACTTGAGAAAGGAGTTGCGGAACCCTTCGCACTCTTCACCTGTGTAAGGGAGCTTTGTAATAGCAGTGCCGCAGACCTGAAGTATATTTCGTGCTTTCAGAGGCTCATTGTCAAAGTGGAAAAACTGCTCTAACCCCTCTACACTACTGAGAACACCGATCAGTTGGAACGATGGCAGCCCCAGAGGGTAAGAAGTCTACTGTCGACGAGGCAGATCATCCTTCGGACCGATCTCCCTCAACAGACGAGAAGCTCTTTGAGAATGGTGCTCCGATTGCGGTCGTCGACATCCCAGATCCCGACGAGGGGTTGAGTGAGGAAGAGCGAAAGAAGATTGTATGGCTTGACTTGAATATCCCTCTTGTCTGGTAACCCAACATCACTAATCTCAACGCTCTCTATTCAGGACCGCAAGTTGTTGTGGAAATTAGATCTACAACTCCTCCCCTGGCTTACACTCCTGTACCTCATTTCATTCCTTGACAGAACGAACATTGGTAATGCGAAGATCGATGGCCTGCAAGAAGACCTGAACATGACCAACAACGAATACAACGACACCTTGACAATCTTCTTCATATCTTATTCCGTCTTTGAGCCATTGACTCAGATTATGTTGAAGCGTTTCAAGCCTTCGATCTTCCTCCCGATCATCATGTTGCTATGGGGTATTTGTATGACCTGTATGGGTCTGGTACACAACTTCTCCGGCCTCATGGCCGCCCGTTGGTTCCTTGGTCTGACGGAGGCTGGTCTATTTCCTGGTAACTATATATATATACCTATTGGTCCTGTCCTTCGGTACACTTTCTGAAAAGTAACAGGTGTCAACTATTACCTGAGCTGCTGGTATAGGCGGTTTGAGTTTGGTATTCGAGCCGCGATATTCTTCAGTGCTGCAGCTCTCGCCGGCTCATTTGGTGGTTTGTTAGCTGCGGCTATCGTTAATATGGATGGAGTGGGTGGCAAGCCAGGTTGGGCATGGATCTTCATCCTTGAAGGTCTCTTCACTGTCATCATTTCACTGCTCAGCTTCTATATGGTAAGTCATCCCACTTCAACGTCTGGGTAAGGACAACAAAAGATCTCTTGTGATCTAATACTATCAAAGGTCCATGATTTCCCTGATGACGCTAAATTCCTTTCCGAGGACGACCGCCGCCGGGTTATCCGTCGATTGAAGCTTGATAAACAGTCCAGTGCCGAGCATGAGGAGTTTAAGCTCGATTACTTGTGGGCTTCTTTAAAAGACTGGAAGACATGGACCGGAATGATAGTATACATGGGGTGCGATGGTTCTCTCTATTCCTTTAGCCTTTTCCTCCCTACAATTATCTCACAAATGGGCTATAAAAACGTCCATGCTCAACTTTTGAGTGTTCCGCCCTATGCTGTCGCAGCGGCGGCGACGATTTTCATCGGTTTTGTGGCCGACAGGACAGGGAAACGAGGTGAGTTGAGCCGCTAGGATTTTGCTGTTGCGAACAACTTTTCTTCCCAGCTGACGCACGCAGGTTATTGTAATATCGGGATCGCTGTATTCGGTATCATTGGATTTGCGATGCTCCTCGGCTCCGGGCAGCCACATGTTCAATACGCAGGCACTTTCCTGGGCGCCATGGGCATCTATCCCTGCATAGCAAACACGATCACTTGGACGGCAAACAATGTCGAAGGAGTGTACAAACGTGGCATCACTCTTGGTTTCGTGATTGGATGGGGAAACCTGAATGGTTAGTTATGCCGTTATTGTGTTGGTTCGAGTTCCCAGTGACCACAACTAACACGTTCGGACTACCAGGTATCGTCTCTTCCAACATCTACCGAGCCGAGGATAAGCCACGTTTCAAGCCCGGCCATGGAGTGGTTCTCGGATACGAAGCGGTATTCCTCTTCGGAGGAAGCATCCTCCAACACATCTTACTTCGTAGGGAGAACGCCAAACGTCGTGCAGGAAAGCGTGACCACTGGATCGAAGGCAAGACCGAGGCTGAGATTGAGAAACTCGGAGACATGAGGCCTGACTTTATGTATACTCTATGATCTACGCAGACAAGGGAACAAAACGAAGAGCCAATACTTTGCGCTGTCAATCGGGAACTGTGGTACAGCCGCTGTACGGAGGCCTTTCTGGATAACATGTCCCATTTCTGTTCTCTGGGGATGAGCTGGGGGTTCAGTGTAGCATGTATACCCACAGCTGCACGAGGATTCAATGGAGATCGATCACCCCAAGTACTATTCCCCTGTGATGTTGTGCTCGAAACTTGGAACACAGTATCTTTTTTTTGGCTATTTTGTTTCCTTCGTACGGTAAATCAGTATGACCTTGATTCTCCTCTGTGTAGGACTCTTCGCATAAAGAAACATCGACAATCCCAGCTGGTCATGTTAAGCGAGGGCATTGATTCATTGACACTCTCAGAGGTACATGTATGTGCGTATATGCCAGTGCCAGGGGGGATTAAATCACCATTGTTCCAAAGGTACCCAAAGTACTCGGAGTCAAACCTCGATTCGCAGGCCGATATTGCTTTGTTACAACCAAAAAACCGATCGACACAACACGGTCGATGACTAGAAAATAAAAAAAAGGAAAACCAAAATTCGCCAATCCTGAGAACCAAATTGACACGGTCAAGTTCGTGATTTCGTCTCGAGTGCAGCACAGCACGGCACAGCTCAGCACGGCGCATATGGAGTAAGGTATCCAACGTGTCCACTTGCCCAACCCGTCCAGATTTGTAGGAGTACTTCGACTTCCCACAAACACGCTTTCGACCGAGAGAGAAGACTCTCTTTTCCGACAAAACAAAGGGGGCCCGCGTCCTTCCTTACCCCCGATACTCGTAGAGTCTCGAGTCTCTGGTCCTAGGGAGCTTCTGTTGTACAGATGAGCCTCGGCGGTCGTTGGTTTATATCCAACCCAAGAGAAAAAAAGACACACATACACACAAAACTTCATCATCATCATCATCGTCGTCGTCATCATCGTCAAGCACCCCTTTCCAAAAATGAAGCCAAAGTCTCCAATTGTGAATTGAAACGACGAACCCGTTCCAATGTCCCACCGCGATCGGAAGCGGAACTGATTTGATTCACGACGCTGCGCAGCATGAATTCCGTGCCAGCAGTACGTCCGTCATCTGACCCGTGGGGGCTTTCCCGGCTCAATTCGAGCTCCGCTCTCCTGGCGGCCTCACTGAGGCGCCATTTTCGTCGGGCGTCGGCTTCGCTCTCCCAATTCCTTTTCCTGACGGCGTCACACCTCAACGCGATCCTTTCTCTCTGCTTGCGGATCTCGAGCCATTCGGCCTGCAACGAGGCCTTGGTTCGCTTACTCTTCCTCACCCGCGCCTCCAACGAGATCCTGTTCTCGAGCGCTTCGGACATGTCGAACAGTTCGTCGTCCAGGTCACGGCCGAACGCTTCCAGGGCGCTTCGTTTGGTCTTTGATGTGGTGCGTCGACGGTTGCGGTCATCGTTGCTGTTATTAAGGTTGGATGTGAGGCGTTCGATCATGTTTTCAACCGTTTCACGACATATCTGAGCCAAGACGTCGACGGCATTGACTTGGCTTCGATCGGGACCCATCGTCAATGCGCTTCCAACGGCGCCCTCCTTTTGGCCGGATTCGTCGTCTGTCTCTTCCTCCTCACCACCTTCCTCCTCCTCCGCGATAGTAGGTAGTTTTGAAGTATTGGTCAATCTATGCGTTAGTATGGGGAAGGTAGCTTTGGTCTTCTTTTGTTGTTGTTGCCGTGGTTGATGTCGCTCCTGAGTACGACCACTCTGCCTCTTCTCCTTTCTGGGACCACGCTTGGGGGGCGCTGGTGTTTCGGGCTCGACTGAACTTTCTGGTGCGTATGTATTGTCCTCTTCCTCTTCAGCGGCTTCTTGGTGTGCAAGATTACGGCGAGGAGAAGCTGGACTTTCATCTACTGGTGTTGGTGCCTCGCGACGGGCTGTGCTACCATTCTTGTCAGGCTGTGCAAATAGTGCCGGCGTCGATGGTGGTATCGAGACTCTAGCTTGTGGTGACGTATCGTGTGTCAAGCTTTGCTCCGTCTGATTGAGGCGGTTGTGTTTGGTGGTCGAAGACCTCCTCTTGCGGACCAGATTGACAGATTTTCGTTTCCGTCGAGATTTCTTCGCTGGAGCGTTGTCGTACCTTGATGTATTTTGTGCTGCATCTGCCGTATCTTGAGATGGTGGTATGTCATGGTCGGCATTCGAAACATCGGCATCATCAAGCTCGATATCAGAGCCTGCCAGCTGCTGATGGCTAACGTTGTCTTCTTCATCTGCTGCTGGCCCAGAGCTGTGACTTAGGCCTGTCGCAGAACCTATTGGAGATCTCGACACGCCGAGCTGTTCTGTATCTACTCCCTTTGTGTGCTCAGTTCTGGGGCCAGCTTCGAGCAGAGAGCTGTCTCTGCCAGTCTCCTCAAACACACCGGCCGAGGGGGTTCCCTTCTCTTCCAGTAATATGGACGATCTCGTCCTTCTGCGGGATGTCCTTCTCGAAGCATTTGAATCACTGATCTTTGCAGGCACTGAGTTGTCCGGTGCATCGTTCTCTTTTTCAGCATCATCTTGCGGAACAAACAATGGAGATTCCACTCGTAGTCTCGGGGTGACCACTTCACGGCGCACAGTCTCTGGAGGCTCATGCGCCTCCCTGTCTTCGGCAATCGGAAATATACTATTGCGAGCTTGTCTCCGCGTAGAAGAGCGTGTAGATCTAACATCAGGGGTTCTTGTTGATTGAGCTGGCGTTTCTGTGGCTTGTGATATTCGCCTCCGTTTGCTCGAGTATTCACTGCTTGCGCTTACAACGCCGCGCTGCCTTTGAGTCTCACTGGGCGTTTGTGTAGAAGCCGGTGCTGTTGACGGTTCACGGCTCCTCCTTGAATTCTCTGCAGGAGTGACTGAGGGCTGTCTCGAGGAGGATCGTCTCGACTGAGGAGTCTTTGTGGTTGACCGGCGCGAACGAGCTGAACTAGGAAAGGAGATTCCAAAGTCTACATTGTCGATTTTCCGAGACCTAGGCGTCGTCAGTATCTCCTCTGGACACATGCTAGCAGAGTACGTACGCAGCCCCTCTTTGTCGCATCTGTTGTCGCTCCTGTCTGTTATTACTAAACCCAAAATCAAGGCCAAATTCAGCCTTTGCGACATTCCGAGCCCTGCCCTCGGTCAGCAATAGAACAGTGTGCTGTTAAGCCGGGAAAACTAACCCGGCGCCGCGCTGGCGCATGAGCGCGCGATCCTGCCTTGTGGTGGAACTCATTTTTACGCAAAAACACCATAATTCTGCGACGTAGTGATGGCGTTTCCTGTTGTTTGGTGTTTTGTATAGTTACGGAGTACTGGGTGGGCGTGATAGTGGTTGTGGTGTTAAGGTAGACGCGTGATTTTGCGGAATGCATCCGGAGACGCGACGGGCGACCGTAGTCGGGCCGTTACTGTATTTACAGGTACTGCTTTAGGCCCAAGCTCGGGTCTGCAATACAATAGGTACTTGGCTTAGGGGACCTTAGGCAGACTCGCAATGGGGACTCGCCCCGGGGCGTTTACAGGGCGGCATCATCCTGGTACCAAAATAGGGACTCATTTCACGGCGCTTTGACTCATCTTGGCGTCCAGCTGCGGAGAAACGTCCGTACTCCGTCCGTGGGTGCAGCTAATCTGCAGAAGAAAGTCTCAAGCAGCGCGCGCGATTGATTAAAAGTCCATCTTGGGCAGCATGACCAAATCCGAACCATATTGCTAATATAGAGTCGACCGACGACTAATGGTGAGATGGGTTGGTTCTGGGGTCGATCCAACAGCCAAGATGATCCCGCGAAATCGCTGGACAAAGACCTGAAGCAATTCCTCGACGAGCAGCAGCCGAGGCCATATGCCCCTGCCGAAGTCCTAAAAGCTCCTGAGGCGCCAGCTACGAAGCCCGTGGAACAGACCCTTCCAGACACAAACAAGTCCTTTGAAGAGAGGGCCCTTCCGGCAGAATCACTGTTCCAAGATGGCCGCTACAAAGACATATGGAAGACATACGTTCCTCAAAACGAGATGGCGGTAGCAACGAGCACGCCAGTCGAACGAGTCCTCGCGGCAAGGAAAGATAGGAGACAAACAATCCATAAAGCGGCGTTGGAGAATTGTGCCTTCGAGGAAGAGATGCAACAGGAATGCTTCAAGACGGGCGACCTGTCCAAAAGGCTCAAGGGGAGGATAACCATGTGTCACCAGGAGACAAAGGCCTTCAACCGTTGCTACGCGCTTCAGGCCAAGTTTCTGCAAGCACTTGGTTATATGACCAGCGCGACTAGTTCGGATGAGGACGAAGAGAAGATTCAAATGCACGCAGACAAGCTATACCATCGCATGATGGATTACGAGGCTGAAGTGGATGATGCAAAGCGCAATAACAGGCCAATTCCACCTTTGTCGTCATTATTCAATCCGAAAAGGCCAGCTCCAACACTAGAGCAGATGGCCCTCCCAAAGCCAATGGAGGAGAAGCTCAAAAAGCCACTAAGTGACTACCCGCCACATGAACGAGAGTTGGTGGCTCGGGCGGCTCTGCAAGAAGCAAAGCTGACGGATCTCTATGCCGAAGATCTTTTCAGTTATACCGTGACTATGAATGAGGACCGGAAAGCGCGACAAGCGTGGCTATCAAGGACCTTCGGCGAGGCTATTGGAAAGTTCTTGATCCCGGACCCTCCAAAAGACCCTTCTATCAAGTCTTGGAGTATAGACCAACTGGAAAGAGACATCTGGCAAGAGGAGAAGAAGAAGAACGATGCACTACAAGCAGACAAAAAGACGTCAAGTTGATACAAAAGGACATTATGCCCTCGTTCAGCCTTTGGTTACAAGCCGCATTATCCTGCAGAGTCAACTTACTCCACGCCCCAGACCCCTTTGAGATATATCCGACACAATTCAGCTGATACTGGGGTCGGCGGTGCGAACCGACTTGTATTGGTTTTCGAAATAGAGGTCCAGCAACACAATGATGTTGTTGTTGAGACAAGATGAGCTCTGACCTCGCTCGAAAGCCGTGCGCAAAAATGGATGGCGCGCTGCGAGAACTGCCTTGCATGCCTTTGGTGGTGCTGATCGCAGCACACGCTATTTCCCTACGGGAGCCAAGTTATATTCAAACATGGCTATGACCCTACAGTACAACGAAGCTTGTCCACGCTCAGCCTTCGTATGTTCCGGGAAGTGTTTTTTGGAGGGACGGTCGCAGAAGTGACGGAAGAAAGTCAGCCAGCCAGACATTGTAGAAAAGGCACTGCTTATAGCAGTCATCTTCTCTAGGAGGTACGCAGAAGCATACCTCATGTAATGAATATTGTATTCGCTTGATTACGAGTCATCTTCTGGCCTTTGAATATTGCTTCTGGGCTCATTCTATCGACCGAAATGAGTCCCAGGTAAGTATAGATAATACCTATGAAAGTCAAGCTCAGTCGGACTCGATACCTCCGTATTTTCGCCGCATTGTTCCAAGCATAGAGCCCCCGAACTTCTAAGTATCCTTAATGACCATCCCGAATACCCCGAAGAGCCCAAGTGTTGTCACCTACCTGAACAGTGATAGCGTGCGGCGAGGTGCCGTTTTCTCTTCCGTGGCTTGCGACGCCTAGTGCGTCTATCAGTGCAAGTGACTCGGTGCAGATTCTGGGGCTTTCGGCCTGCTTTAGCCTGGAAACCCAACACGGCTTTTCCATCTTCACCTTCCACATATGTCGAGTAATTCCGTGTGAGTAATCCACATTGACTTCGGGACGAAAGGCTCCAGATCACTCATTTGCTTGCACAACATCTCGTCACTGTCATCAACCGATGCACTCTCCATATAGATACCAACATTTCTTCGCCCAGCGCGGGCAATCGCTAGATGAAAGGTGGGTATCGGTATGATAGAGCCCTTTGCATGACGCCTTTTAGCCCATCAACTTTCACCAGCCTACAGCAACACTCTAACATCAACTTTTATCTATCCCTGTCAACCTCACTTCCTGTACGGCGTTGCGCCTTGCTCCGATATCTTTGCGTCATTCCAGATCGGAACTTGAACACAGCCGTTCTTATCGATCTTCTGGTTGGCATTTTCCAGTGGCATAGTCCAACCCCGAGGTGCTCAATGAGATTGCCCAGCCATCAATAGAGCCGAAACAGATTCTCGGCGAAGATCCCGTGGTAGAGCGATGTGGCTGCAGTAACATTCATCAAGACCTAAGGCGCCTAGACACACTGGGATCGCAAAGGGCCATGGGTATATTCAGACGCCATAGCGAGAAACCTGACATTGAACATGCATCATCATCATCTTCTACAGAGCACGCTATTATGCAAATCGAACAGGAAGCGCCTCTGCTACAACTTCCGTCAGAGATACTACACATAATATGTTGTTGCCTGCCCTACCAATCTTTAGTTTCCCTCAGCCGGACCTGTCAACAATTACGTGCCGTTGCGCGTAAAGATTCACTGTGGGAAACTCTTTTACGGCCCCATATTCCACCAAAGGACTTTCCACACGACCCATACCCGTCACCGTCATATCGCGAACTCTTCATCACTCATCATCCGTACTGGTTTGTGCCTCGAAACAAGTTATGGATATCAGATGAGCCCCACACTGGTAAAGTGATGATAGCGAGGTACGACCCCAGACGAGGGTGTATCGAAGGGTATCGCTTGTTAGCGGACAGGACACCGTCAGTGGGAATGGTATGGGCATATAAGCCATCCGTGGTCATTCATAATTTTAAGCCCAAGGTGCATTTATGGCTGGACGACCCCGTCATCAAGATCCCCCATGATGTGGCCCCGATCAATGCACGGCAAGGGTGGTTGAAGGCGGAGATCAGAATGACGGTCGGTCCGCAACGGCGACACACGTCGGCCTCTTTTTCTCTTTGCCGCAATATCCCAGAACGACTACAAGACAAAAGCATGATTCTCTGGCCACCTCGCACGATTCCAAATATGCCCCGAGTACGCGCTGCCAGTGTTGACAATTTCAAGGGCTCCGGGCACAAGCCCCAAACGTCTGATGAGATTTCGCAGACCACTTTCAGGTTGCGCCACTGGTCACAATTCAGTATTGGAATGTCGCAATATGGAGTCAGGGTAGGAGAGCAAGTGAGTACATGGACGACGTTGGATCCCGCGCTGTATACTCCCACGCCGGAGAAGCCATACCAGGGTATCTTTGTGGGCGATTACGCTGGACATGGCTGCGAATTCCTGTTGGTCATGCAGACCGAAAAGGCTCCCGACCCACCACAGCAATCGCACACATCTCTGATTTCACAAACAACGCAACAAGACAGTGAAGAAGGCTCTAGCGACGAGGGTTGGGAGGATCTAGGCCAAACCGAAGCCACATCGAGCCGCAATGAGTACAAAGACGACGGCATCCATCACGGTGCTATTGAGGCAGTGAAGTTGACTGGTGATCCGAATATACCTCGTGGTGAACATACTTTCATCGCTGATGACATCGGTCCAGCGGGACTGATCAGAATCGCTAACGAGCGGCCGTTCTCGGGGGCGAGGGTCGTGAGAAGTCGTGGGCATGTCGCTGCGCGCGGATTTGTAAACGGTGAAATTGCCCTCTTGCTTATCTGATAGTCCTCTACTGCTGCTGACCCTCAACAGATGAATTCATCCCCTCGCAACTGATCATGATCAATTTCAACAGGCTGGCTCAATATTGGGAGCCATTTGGCCACATTTCGTTTTATGAAAGGGTCGATATCGACCAACTGATGGACGACACATTTAGACCTATTAGACATGATCAGACCGAAGATACAGCGATGGTCAACAAGAGCTAGTATAGCTCACACGATCCGCTGTATGGGAGCTGATCCGACCATAAGACAAAGGGCCTCTATTCACGATGCAAAAAGATTCAGTCAGGGTTTCGGAGTGACACAAAAACTGGATAATCCAAAGCCTTGTAGTATTCCCTTTCGCTTAACTTCCTTGGTCAAAGAGGTATCCAGAGGAGAGATTCAAGGGCGCAGTCTTTTAGAAAAACTCCAGTCGCGAATCCAGCCGTGTCCGTCCTAACTCCTCGTGATGCATCAAATATGTACATCCACAGACCATCACTGTAGTACAATGCTCTTATCTCCTTCTCTCAAAGAAGCCGCTGCTTCCCATAATGGCCACGGACTGATCCATGACCCATTCGCCAACGCCCAGGTATCGGTCGACCCAAGTTTGTATCTCTTTGTTCTCGCCGATAGAGGAGGCCTTGACACTGGTTGGTCTGAGGGTTAGTTAGTCTGGGACATGATGACCGAACACTTCGAGTGTGTGTATGTGTGGAATGAACGACACGAAGACGTACGTGAGACCAGTGCTTCTCTTCACTCCGGCGAGGAAGGCGGAGATGAGGACAGCGTCGAAGGCGTAGTGAGTCAGGCGACCTAGCTGTAGCGTTGATTTCGGTCACCGAGAGGTCGTACCAATGGCGCCGTGGAAACTTACAACCATGGCTAATATTACGAATAGTATGACAGTATTGATCAGCGTGGTAGGAGTGTTTTATTATACGCAGGTATATGCGAGAGAAGAAGGGTTCTGTCTCGCCTGGTCGCATGTGCTCTTTGGCGAAGTGTGGACGGCGCTTCCCGGGGAACGAAAGGGAAGCCTGGAGCGGCGCCTTGTCGGCTCAATGTTGATGCGCGCCGAAGGGCCTTGATGTGAAGGACTCGATGCTTATCTTATCGCAAGTGCTCGTTGTATTGTTTGTACGGAGCCACACGAGCCTTCACACCGCATAAAAAAAGACCCTGCGGTGCGGGGCAAGGCGATAGTGCACCTGGTGAAGCAATGATCAAATGCTGTGACAGCTCCTTTGAAGCAAACCCCCCACCAGGACGGCATGCTGGGTACCTGTGAGGTAGCATATGCTGTTGCTGTTGGTTGAGATTCTCCGTCCGGACTCGTTGCATTGTCCAATTTACTCGTGCTTAATCCACTCCCCATCGTTTCTCATCGCGGCTTCGCTGACCGACGTGCATGTCATTCGCTGCCTTTTCTACTTAGGGTCTCTAGGCCCGGCGTGAAAGCTGCTTGTGAGTCTCTTTTTGAGCCTAAAAACAAGATAAGCGTGACGTTGGTACTCCATCCAACTCGACATTTTTATTCTAGTACATCCTCAACATTGCTTTTTCCCAGCCTGGTGATAGCAGAGACCGCCGTCCACTTTCTTGTCAACCTCAGCATTACTTCTCCCAGACACATAAAAGTGGTGAGAAGTTTTCCCGTCCAGAGGGCTCTTTGTTTTTGCCCGTCGGTTACAATTGCTTACCAGGATTTATTATTAGGCTGGCCGCGGACACCATCACCGCCTCGTTGAAATATCTCCGCACCCTACCACTTCCTTCACCTACTCAACCAGAACTACAATCTAGCAGAACAAGAAACACATCCAGGCAAAATGGGTGACGCTTTGGACCATCTCGCCAACCGCACCAAGTTGGAATGGGGTTGCAACCTCAATATCAACTACCAGCCCAAGAAGAACCACCGCAGAACAAGCATCATCTGCACTATTGGTTCGTAGCAAGACGCTGGGGAGACAATGGAACACGTTGGGTTGACAAGTTGTCTCTAGGTCCCAAGACCAACTCTGCTGAGAAGATTACCATGTTGAGAAAGGGTACGTCACCGTTCACTCGCGGATCATCCGTTGTACTGAGTTTATTGCAGCTGGTCTTAATGTGGTCCGGATGAACTTCTCTCACGGTTCATATGAGGTTTGTACCTTTCTCTCCAGCCATAACCGATAGACTGACCTTGCTCAGTATCACCAATCCGTCATTGACAACGCACGACAATCTGCCAAGGACTACGATGGTCGCCCTGTTGCCATCGCCCTCGATACGGTCAGTTGTTCCGTACAATGTATCAAGGATCGGCGTTTGGCTCACAATGTACAATAGAAAGGACCAGAGATCCGAACCGGAAACACCCCTGGGGACAAGGATATCCCGATCAAGGCTGGGCTCGAGCTGAACATCACTACTGAAGACAAATATGCTACTGCCAGCGACGACAAGAATCTGTGAGTATTGAGAATCAATCAACGAATTCCGGCTGATAAGAGATTAGCTTCGTTGACTACAAGAACATCACCAAGGTTATTGACACTGGCAAATTGATCTATGTGGATGATGGCATCCAGTCATTTGAAGTTCTCAAGATTGTTGACGACAAGACCATCCGTGTGCGTGCACTCAATGACGGACAGATCTCCTCCCGCAAAGGTGTCAATCTGCCCGGCACCGACGTTGATCTGCCCGCTCTGTCTGAAAAGGATATTGCGGACCTCCAATTTGGTGTCAAGAACAAGGTCGACATGATCTTTGCTTCCTTCATCCGTAGAGGTGAGGATATCAAGCATATCCGCAGAGTTCTTGGCGATGCAGGCAAGGAGATCCAGATCATTGCCAAGATCGAGAACCAGCAAGGCATGAACAACTTCGACGAAATCCTCGAGGAGACCGACGGTGTCATGGTTGCCCGTGGCGACTTGGGCATCGAGATTCCTGCTGCAAAAGTCTTCATCGCACAGAAGATGATGATTGCCAAGTGCAACATGAAGGGCAAGCCCGTCATTTGTGCGACCCAAATGTTGGAGTCCATGACGAACAACCCTAGACCGACTCGTGCTGAGGTTTCGGATGTTGCCAACGCTGTTCTTGACGGTGCTGACTGTGTGATGTTGTCTGGTGAGACTGCCAAAGGCAACTATCCCAAAGAGGCCGTCACAATGATGCATGAGACCTGTTTGTTGGCAGAGGTTGCCATCCCCTATGCCAATGTATTCGATGAGTTGAGGACTACCTGCCCTCGCCCTATTGATACTGCCGAGTCAATTGCAATTTCTGCTGTTGGTGCCAGTATGGAATTGAATGCTGGTGCAATCCTTGTTCTCACCACCAGGTAAGCAAACCATCGTTGCCGCGTTGTGCCTCATATACTGACCGATGCAGCGGACAATCTGCCCGACTCTTGTCCAAATACCGTCCAGTGTGCCCCATTATCATGGTAACACGGAACGCCACTGCATCCCGATACGCCCACCTTTATCGAGGAGTCTACCCTTTCTTGTTCCCTGAGCCAAAGCCCGACTTCCGTGGTGTGGACTGGCAACAGGATGTCGACAGGCGTCTCAAATGGGGTATTGCTAAGGCCATCAAGCTCGGCGTCCTCGGCCAAGGCGACAGCGTTGTGTGTGTTCAAGGATGGAGAGGCGGCCAGGGCCATACCAACACCATCCGCGTCGTGCCCGCAGAAGAGGACCTGGGTCTTGTTGATTGACTAGCCGCTGGGGAGTTTTTCAACACACCAACAAGATCGAAAAAGTCTGTCGATGGTCCTTCATCACCACAATCGCCGACACCCCCGCAGTCTCCATCGAGTCGTAGATGGATTGAGCGAGACCTACATCGGCGACAAATGAGTCTAGGATAGATGTTTATGCTTGATGGCGTTGCAGGACGTGCCAAATCACGAAGTCGGGCGGGGCGAACATGATTGTTATTCCAAAATGGAGGGTGCAAGTAGTTGTTCATCACGAAATAGCGTATCGGTATTCAAAAAAGCTTGGGTTGATTTACTAGCGAAGCACACGAACGAGTTTTTGAGATCAATACGTGTATATGTAAGCCAGTGATTAATCCTTTTTTCCAGTCACCGCACCTGGCAATAGTATCTCTATCAGTAACCTCTGTCAAGACAACGATGCTCGTATCTCCTTTTGGGGTCATGTAGAGAGATTCGGCGGACTAGCACTCCCAGATCAAGGGGCTCGCCGGTAGGTGGTTAAACCCCACGGTATGAGGACTTAGTAGGTACTACGGAGTTGAGGGAATCTATTTTTGAAAGAGAGTATTCAGACATGTGCCACTCTCGTGCTGCCGAGTGGCCCCAATAGTCACCGCCAATGGGTAACCAGTAAGCGCCGCCAAACCGTGGCTAATAAGCTAAATAATACTTGGCTGGTGTTGAGATGACGCCAACTGGTGATGCTTGATTTTGGAGCCCGCTAAGTGCCCAGGGATAGGATCTTTGGGTCTGGGCGACTCTGGGACTCTGGATCTTTGGGCCCTTGGAGCGGGCACCAGGCTAGGGTGGTTCTGGGTTGTTTACGGAGTAGCTGGCCTGCTATGGAGGACTGACTGTGAGTGACGAAGGAATCCTCCTGCGTAAAACTGGGGGCGCAATCACCACCCATCGTGTCTCAGGCTAATGCCGTATTCCTGATCATCTTCAATTTCCGTTTCACAGTCTCAGCCTCACAGGATATTCTCGACTTTGCCTGTGTTTCCTTAAACGAATCCCATGCCTAGCCGAATCTGGTATTTCTGTACACCTGTCATCGCTGCTTCAGTTGGCACGCATTCTCGAACCAGATCGTAAACCTCGCTCCTTTCCTTCTCGCCTGTTCCTTTTACCCCGGCTCGTACTCCGCGCCTGCGCTGCGAATTCCTGTCTCCGACGATCACGAACTTTGAAGGGAGACACCGCCAACACTTGCCCCATTCCGCAGACGTACTTCACCCTCCATGGCGACAGACAATGCTCCTGCGCCGGGCAGGCCGAAAGTGCCTGGATTCACCGAATCGTTCTGGTCTTCAGATTACGCCGGTGGCTTGGGGGTGCTGTTTCAGAAACTGCAGCAGGGTGTCATCGAGAACAACCAGATCCTGACAATTGCAAGCATGAGAGCAGATGCGGAAGAGTTGTACAGCGATCGGTTAGGAGATATTGCGCCCTCCGTAGATCGAATGACCGGAGGCTTCGCACGGGATGATGGCGCAAGCGTTCGAAAGGTACACACGGACGCTCCTACGTCTTGAACCTTTTAGCTAACCAGTTACAGGCTTTTGAAGGGGTCCGAAGTGAGATGGTAGAAGCCACCAAGAACCACAAGAAGATCGCCGATAATATTCGCGAACTGGTAGTCAACCCTTTCTCCAGATGGTGCGATGCACACGCGACGAGAATCTCGAATTCGCAGGAGGATCTGCAGTCCAAAATCAAGGCACACGACAGGCAAGCGGACCTGGTCAAGAAGTTGCGGAGTCAGTATTTCAACAAGTGCAGATTGGTGGAAGATCTCGAGGAGGAGAACAAGTTGGCATTTCAGGATCATGCAAATGGCAGTCCCAAACCACAAAGCCCGCCGCCGCCGAAGATAGTCCTTCCCGAAGACGAATTCGATGAGCTGCCCGTGGAGATTGGAGATGAAACGTACTCGCCGGATCGGCTCAAGACGTTACTTACGGACATGCTTGAGAAGATCCCGCTTAGCGAATTCAAGGTGCCCATACTAGGGGTCTATCAAAATGTGTCTGCCGGTACGGACATTGTTGAATATATTCAAAAGCACATGAAAGCTTCAAGCGTGGGATATGCGGAAAAAATTGGTCAAGACCTGGTGGACCGCGGGCTCTTGCGGTTGATTGGTAATATGGGGAACACATTCGCCAACAGTTCGCGGATGAAGTATCAATGGAAGACGAGAGTGTTCCAGATCACTGGTGTGCCGGAGAAGAAGAAGCCTCTCGGCAGGTCGATAACGGGATCATCGCAGGACGGGGTTCTCGAATCACCCACTATCGGCAACATTACGGAAGCCATACAAGGCTGGAACCCATTAAACAATGCTCATCCGAACGAGACACCTGCCGAACGGTTAAAGCGTGAGGCAAAGGAAGCAGACGAGAAATATAAGGCGGCCGTCCGCAAACTCGATTTACTACGATGCAACCTGGAGGAGTCGATGATGGACCATCTAAAATTCCTCGAAAGATGTGAGACCGACCGATTGAGAGCGATCAAGTCGGTGATCTTGGATTTCTCAGGTGCAATTAGCAACAGCATTCCCTCCTTCCAGAGTCAAGTTGACCATATGATGCTCTACCAGGAGACGATCCAACCATTAGGAGACTTGAGATACCTGCTGGAGAACTACAGAACGGGAGCTTTTGTGCCAAAAGTGGTGCCATATGAGAACTACTATGGCAGCGTGGAGGATCAGACATTCGGTGTTGATCTAGAGGCAAGAGCAAGAGCAGACAGGAAAAGAGTGCCGATCATTGTGACTTCGATACTGACATTCCTGGATAGCCACTATCCTGATCTGGAGGGCGACGAAGCACGGAGAAATGTTTGGCTGGTGGATGTTCCACTGGCGGCGACACATCATCTGAGGAATCAGATCAACAATGGGGCTCCAGTGCCGAGAGAGATCCTTGAGAAGTATGAGGTACCTATAGTCGCCAGTGTACTCAAACTGTACCTTCTCGAATTGCCTGGTAAGGTCCATCTCGCGTGTTTGAGAAGTGCACCCTGACCATCTGCAGATTCTCTTGTCTCCTCACAGGTCTACGAAATCATCAAAACGATATATGCCACTACGTCTGATGCCGCACCAAATCCGATCTCAACCGACTCGGTAGATTCGGCACCGCGCATCAAGGTTCTGCAATCAACACTCGGCCAACTTCGCCTTAATAACATCGCCACACTTGATGCTCTTGCCACACATTTTACACGACTAATTGACCTCACTTCTGCTGACGAAGCATATGTTACAGCTCTTGCTCAATCATTAGCGCCTTGTATACTACGACCAAGAACCGAGAACTCCCTGACTCTGGAAGAACGACACGCATATCGACTAATTCGAGACTTATTCGATCATAAAGAAGCCATCTTTGGTGAGCTTAAACGTCAATCGTCCACAAGCTTATCAACCCGCCAAAGAGCCGTCAGCACAAACGATGAGCGATCAAGGAGAGCAAATATGGAAGAGCGAGCACGAGCCATTACTGAACAGCGACAACGAGACAAGAGCCCAGGCCCAGCAAATCGTCATAGACGGGACAAGAGCACCGATGGGAGCATTGGGCGCTTTCCGGTCGTTGCCAGCCCGAGGCCTGAACATGGAAGAAATGTAAGCGGCGTTGGGCTGCCCTCAAAACGGACAAGCCTGGAGGTTCCGGGCAGTAATGAAGGCTCGCCAGTTCAAGCCCGAACCCAGAATCAATCCGCGGTGGATAGAAATTCCACGACGACTGTACAGCCGGGGACCGGCATGAACGGCCAGACCCATGGACAAGGCGAGGTATCACCGGACATCATGAACTTGCCAAGCACATTCTCGGGAGGTGGCCCTGGACCGCATATCCCGCCACCTCTGGACGATGATAGCCAGGACTCGGACTCAGGCCCTCAGCCAGCACAGAAAGAATCAGATGGAGGATCAAGAGCAGGCAGCCTGAAGAGAAATGCCGCAGGCAGTGGACGAAAACCGGTGGGTGGAGGAGGCAGTCTGAGCAGGCGAAGCTACCAGGCATACGAGGGCCATCCCAGCCAGAGTCAGAATCAGGGGGTCCAGTTGACGGACAGGCCGATGGATGACTTCTCATGATCCCTGGAGAACCCAGAACCCCCTGACCAAAGCATCAGGAACTAACTATATGATACCCAAAACCAACGGGCACTTGGCAGCGCTGCCTCTGGAAGTGTGACAAATTGAAAGGCGCTCTCGGGCAGGCAAGCAGCGACACACTCCTGCACCAACGATGGAAACGTAGCCGGCAATATACTGTGGAATATGTATGAGTATCCAGATTTGATGGGCGTCTACTTCGTACAAGATTTCCTTTTGGCCACTCTCTTGACAGGATTTAGTGTAGCTGTGAGGAATGATGTGACGCTATTGGAAGAATTAGTAGGGATTGTTGTAACAACACCTGCTTCGCTATAGTCATGAAGTTTCGGTGCCAGATTCTCATGAACAATCAGAGTGGGGAGGAGCACATTGCGCAGCCTTGTCACTATCACGTGACTAATTCATAAACGTAAGGCTGAGGTGCAGGTGGCAGCTGCGGAGAGCATATGGACTTTATCTGCGGCCATGCATCATCTAAACTTCCACAGATCACCACTCTCACATTACCACAACCATGCGTCTACTCCGGCTCAGCGCTCTGGTGCTCGCCGCCGGAAGTGCTCATGCATACCTCGATACTACACCCTTCTTTATGTTCTCGACGTCAGAGTACGAACCCGCTCCCCAGGCAGTCGCGATACCTGTCCTTGAAGTTAACTAACACGGCGTTTGTGCAGGCTTTTGAACCCAGACTCGCGATTACAATCCGCCAGCAGCGTCGTTTCCAATGTCGCCATTTCTCTATCCACCTGTCCTTCAGATTACTATGTCGTCGTCTCACAATCCGGCGTGAGTAGTCATGACTACGAATCTATAAAGAACACGCCCGTCTTGGCCCAGGCCCTGTCCAGACAGTCTGCGAGAGGCGTCAGAAGTAGCATGGTCGTGCCTGATGTCACCGGTAGCATCGACTCGTCGAGCTGGATAGACCTTTTACGCTCCAAATGCGGCGTGCAAGTTACCGAGATTGACGCCTCGAAGGGTGCCATCCCTGCGACGATTTCACCTGCACCACGATTGCTCAAAATCACACTCCCTAAGCCATCGAGCCAAAGGCAGAGCGACTTGGCACAGAACGATGCCTTCTTTGCCTCTGTTCTCGACATGCTGCCTATACAGAATTATACGGTCTTGTACACGACGGCGAGATCGGGGCTTGTAGAAGAGGTGGAGCCGAAGGAATATGATATGGAGTCGCAGATCCAGGAGAGTTTGCACATCGACCTGAAGAGAGATTTGGGTCTGGATGCTCGTGCTGGAAGTGGTACGAAGAGCAATCAGACCATGATCGACGGGCCGTTGTTTGATAAGTATCAGTTCTTTACGCCTGGTAAGTTGACGTCCCGTGGGGGAGAGAGCAACGTCTTGGGAATAAAACGCTAACCCTGCACAGGTATCTTCATGGGTCTTCTTGTCTCATTCCTCCTCCTGTCCATCCTGTACGTTGGTATCTCGGCTCTGGCTTCCTTGCAGGTTACCTACGCCGCGTTCGACAAGGAAATGGGCCAGCTGGCGGCCAAGAAGCAACAATGATCAAGCTGTGGGTTGGCATATGATTTGGGATTCAAATTTGCCCTGGTATTAGAGTGTCCGGCATGCCTGCTTGTCGGGCGGGTATTGTGTATAGTAATGCTCAATGTCACGAATATTTTGAGCTTTGGACCTTCCCTCTTTTGCCGTTTCGCTATTTGTTGCACGGTGGAATAGTTAACCTCGGATCTAGTGGTGGAAGGAGACAGCCCTGATCTTATGGTGGTAAGTTCATCAGCAGATGCTTGAGTTGCTCAAGCTGACGACTCGTATCGTGTCTAGCATTGAAGAACCTGTCTGTCGTATACTTCAAAAGTTGAGCGTCACCGTGGTTTCACATGTTACGGCAACTTTCAGGGATTCTATTCACTGATATGACCTTGCTTCACTCACTATTTTCCTTTACCATTATCTCTACCTCCACCTCTCTCGTCGTCGCTGTCTCTTCCATTTTTACCTCTCTCTTCACCTCTGTATCTACCTTTACCTTCGTCTCTAACTTTACCTCCATCTCTGGAGACATTCATGACTTGTCTTTCTCTTGCTTTCACGTTGCCTGCGACTTCAATCTGATTTTCAGCTTACTGGATTTTCTAGAACTCTGAACCTTATATGCTGTCATAACTCTCCTCTGGTGTCCACATCCTCCTTCTTATTGCGCCTCTCATCTTCTGACATCAAATTGGAAGCTCGACACAATTGTTTTCAACACTTCGGTAAGTGACCCAGCCTCCACTTAGGAGATATAACATTCGCATCTGCTAATTTACTACATTCCTAGACTCGGACATTGAGGTCCCGCCTACATGATGACAGACCGTAGTCCTCCTCCTTTCATGCCGCCCCCAAAGCGATGCGATGCTCAAATCCAATACTAGTAGGATGGAAATGTCTCTTTGAAAAAAAGAAAATTCTGACTTAGTTAGTTCGCGTCAACCTACTGTTTGGATCAAAGACGAAAAATTCGGAGGCCGGAGATATCTTGTATATGTTGGACAAAAGCTCGGTGCTGACTACGAAAATAACATTCTCTGGGCCTGCTTAGTTGGACATGAGTGTCAGCTTCGTATGAGAATACACCAAGAGCCCTTGGGAAGCCCCCTTAGCTTCGACCAGTTCTTCGTTGGATTCACCGAAAACCGTACCTATCGCCTTGCGGCCTGGTTGCAACCGTTCATTGACTATTCTAACACAGGACACAAGAGTGTTCCACCATATATGACATCTAGGGAAGCGCAACCAGTGATAAAAGATGCCGTGCTCGCCACACTAGATGAGTGTGCCGGCCACAAGATTCACACCAGATCTAAGCCACCACGTTGGCTACATGATATCAACAAAGCTGAACCTCCCATGATGCGAGGCCTTGAACCCCGGTATTGGACCCCTCAACCCACAACCCAGAGCGCTGATCTTGGGCCATTCTGTTTTGATCACAAGGATAAGCCCGGTGGTGTTCCATGGAAAGATCGGACAAGCAAGAAGATTTCTGCTCAACAATCCGCTTCCTCGAAACTTTCCAATAGAGATCCAGGAGATGCAACGTCTGCAAGCGGCTTTAATGGTGAGCAAGTATGGAAGCCTCAAGTTACCAAAAAGCAAGTCATCAGTGCAAAAGAAGATGCCGACCAGCCTGATTCTGCCCCGTCAGAAGTCAAGCCAAGATCTGAATTAGACCAGCAGGATATTACCGGTCACAACACGGATTTGAGTGAAAATAACAAAAACGCTGCTATTACTTCAACAAACGACTGTCATCGTCAAGAAAACAAAAACACCTCCAGCTCGCGCGTTGGACTTTCAAAGTCCTGCACGGACTCCAGCGCAGAAGTAAACGCCTATCCAGGCACAGCTGTGCGTGACAGCATCGGAAAGAGCCATGCTGCTGAGAACTCTACAGAACGACCATCAAATAACGCTCATGCAGTATTGCAGCCGTTTGCTACCGAATTCGAGCGTCTCCTCCTGCAACCAGTAAGGGAAAAGGCTGCGAACGAAATTGCAGAGCACCTTCAAAAGTGGCGTGATGGATGGATCGATCTTTCTGGATTTGAGACCAGGATTGAGAGAAGTTTGTCAGACGTCCGAGTCAGCATCCGAATGCAAAGGGCGCTTGTTCAGTCAGATGCAAAGGCGCCCGTCAGCAACGCGGGTCAGAAGAATGATGCTGCAGAAAATCGCAAAAAGAGGAGCCGGAGTCAAAGTGATGGAACCTGCGCGGCAGTGCAGCGTACAGCCAGAAGAAGTCGTCATGTCTAACATCTCGTTCTATGAGACTCAGTATAAAGCTTGGGTGGAGAAACGTTAATGATTGATGTCGATAACCAGAGTCCTGGAAGAGGTGCTGATTTATCGTTCAGAAATGCGAGAGGTATGATGGGAATCAGGGGCTTACTCGCTAGAGTCTATCAAAGGAGCCTCGACATGATAATACAAGATTCTTGGGGCGCAATGGTGCTCAACATTGGAACTCATGCGTGGCGGCGGATATGCAATACAGATCTGGTACTCGTACATGAAGACCACCGGGGTAGTAAAAAAGCTGCTCGTGATAGTTTTCATGCATTATCTGCTAAAAGTGTAGTCTGGGTTACTTGCTTCCTCTGTTTTCGAGATCTTTCTTTGCTTTAGGATTCATAAGATTCAAAATCAGGTATCTCAGTCTTACTCCTTCATGATGTTGCTTTTGCCTGCTGAACAATTATCTGTTCAAAATCTGTCACAAGTACTAGTATCGTGCACATATGCGGACCCCCAGATTCTCAGCCTTGTGTGGGATATTTACCGAAGGGAAAGGCATTGAGGGCTTCCGATTGCGGAGTTCCAACTCCAGCCTCGAGTCGGAATATTTTCCTCGAACGCGGTACAGTGTAGTTTCGTTTCTGCGCTCGAGACTCTCTTTTTCTACAAGCTCTTGATCCATACTTACACCATGGCTGCACGAACGTTAAGAATAGGTAAGAAACTCTTCGCTGCCACTACTACTATTGTCATAGCGCTCTTGCTGAACCTCTTTCTTTAGGCCTGATTCCGGGTGACGGTATCGGTCGCGAAGTTATTCCGGTATGCAGTCCAGTCGTTCTCCTGTCCAGCGCGGCACTGGCCAGACAACTACCTGTCTGTCTACCTGATATGCTGACCAACAACTTGATTCTTTCAGGCCGGTAGACGTATCCTCGAATCACTCCCTTCCTCTCTGGGCCTCAACTTCTCCTTTGTCGACCTCGATGCTGGTTTCGATTGCTTCAAGCGCACGGGTAGCGCACTCCCAGACAAGACGGTGGAAACACTACAGAAAGAATGTGACGGAGCCCTCTTTGGGGCCGTGAGGTATGTGTTACTGCTCAGTCATACAATGTCTCCCTGTTTTGTCCCTGTTCCGGTTCGTCCCCTTCAAGGAATGCATGCTGACAAAGTTTTGCTGCTGGATATAGCTCCCCCACGACCAAAGTAGAAGGCTACACGTCTCCCATCGTGGCTCTACGGAAGAAACTTTCGTTGTACGCCAACGTGCGGCCTTGCAAGACGACGGCGTCGCCCGCGTTCTCCTCGCCGACTCCCCACCCGATCGACCTCGTCATCGTGCGCGAAAACACCGAGGACCTGTACGTCAAGGAGGAAAAGACCTACCCCGACCCGTCCGGCGAGGGTCAGATCGCCGAGGCCATCAAGAGAATCTCGACGAAAGCGTCGTGGCGCATCGCCAACATCGCAGGAGACATCGCCGTGAGGAGGCAAAAGATGCGCGCGAACGGACAAGAAAAGCCGGGCATGGTGACCATCACCCACAAGTCCAACGTCCTCTCCCAGACCGACGGATTGTTCAGGGCGACGGCCCGCGAGGCCCTGAGTCAGTCCAAGTTCAAGGGACTGCAGATCGAGGAACAGATCGTCGACAGCATGGTGTACAAGCTGTTCCTGCAGCCGCAGTACTACGACGTCATCGTCGCCCCCAACCTGTACGGCGACCTGTTGAGCGACGGCGCCGCCGCTCTCGTCGGCAGTCTGGGCCTCGTGCCCAGCGCCAACGTCGGCGAGGGCATCGTCATCGGTGAACCCTGCCACGGCAGCGCGCCCGACATCGAGGGCAAGAACATCGCCAACCCCATCGCCACCATCCGCAGCGTCGGCGTCATGCTCGAGTTCCTGGACCTGCCCGAGGCCGCCAACGTCATCTACAACGCCGTCGACAGGAACCTCGCCGAGGGCCGCTTCGTGAGTCCCGACCTGGGTGGGAAGGCGACGACGGACGAGGTGCTCGGCGATATCCTGAAAAAGTTGTAAACCATTTAGAACTTCTTGACCAGGTATGAGTATGCTGGCAAGACAAAAATTTCCAATGAGAAGAACTCAAAAGTAAAAAAAGAAATGAAAAAGGCTCGGCCTCGTACTTGTACAGATATTCAATCCACGCAGGCGATTACTCCCTACAAGACTTGTGCCCTAGCTCGCTGACTATCAGGACCTTGTTGTCCTCACATCATGAGCACCATGGTGCTAGTAGTTAAAAAGGTGTATCTACGCCATGAGCTTTCGTACTCGTAACCAACCCATTTACCGTGCTTCTTGCATGCACAAAGGCTACTCCTGCCACTATCATGACCGTGAACCTTTCTTCCGTTGTTTGGTGAGTTTGCAGAAATATATTGGACCCCAGCCCGCGTTGTCCTGCTGATCCGGTAATATCATCCACCCATGTTTGGTCGGTTCTCCGATTGACCAGCTCGTATGATCGATTTCTAGCGTCCACAGTTCTGGAAACGCTGTTTGAGGTGGTTTGCGCGGTTGACGGGCATCTTCTTCTCCATCATTTTCACTGCCCGGATCGGCGTCACGTCGACGCGATACCTCTTTGATTCGTCTTCGATTTTGCTTGTCGATCAAATTCACCACGTTCTCGATGACGTTGTCATTCTCATGTGGCGAGAGCGAGCAGGTACTGTAGACCAGGGTGCCACCGAACTTCAGAGCTCGAACGGCGGTTGTGAGCATTTTAAGTTGGAGACCCTTGGCGATCTTCTCTGAACTGGAAGGTGACCAGTTCAGCAGGTCCTTGTGTAGGTTCGATGCGGATTCTTGTTTGTGAAGCTGGTGTAGGACGTGTCTTTCACTGGAACAAGGGGCGTCGAGGAGGATCCGGTCATAGGCTCCGGGACGGAAGCTGGAAGCTTCCGTCGCGTCCTTGCCTGTGATCTGGATGACCGAGTTTGGCGATGAGGTAGATGGAAGTAGATTTGCTGGCACATGTTCGTCCAGTACGACTCGTAGGCGCTTGCGACGTTGAAAGTCGATCTCGTTGACATGCAGTTTTGTTTGAATGGTGGAGGGGGGAGAAGATGATGAAGCATTGATGCCTGCGGCTGGGACGAGGGAGTTGCCGAGATGGTTCAAGAGGGTCAATGTTTTCCCGCCGGGTGCCGCCGTCATGTCGAGAATGGTATGGCCTGGGTGAACATCGAGAGCGAGAACCGGAAAGACGGATGCAAAGTCGAGGCAGTAGTAGTTTTTGAGGTCGTGAGAATTCTTCGACGGAGGTGGTAGGAGGTAGTCTTTGCTGGAATGGGTTTCTTGTTGTGGTAGGTGATATAACTTGAGAGGGCAAGATGGGGGTAGCCATCGACCGGCATCTTCCAGTGGTTCTGGAGGAGAGACTTCCCCCGAGTCCTCCAGGTTGACGTCTCGTAGGTTTTCATCCAAAGACCCTCCTAGTTTTGGATTCGTCGATTCCGAACTTTGAGCCTGGAAGTAGGGCGCTCCATGAAAGGTGTTCAACAGAACGGCATGTCTCGTGGGTTTTAGCAATGCCGGATACAGGGTTTCCCATCGATGTAGAGTGTGGTCCACTTGCGTGGCTGTTAGTTGTGAAAGGGGACCGTCAAAGTATCCTTTGTATGTATCCAGCAGTTTCTGTCTGAGAAGCTGGTAGCGAGCCTTCTCCTTCTGCGTAGGCTTGCCCATGTCTCGAGTTGATGTTGCTTTGATGAATGCGGCGGCATCTCAAGATGCTTAAGCACCTACAAAATAACAGCCATTCCCTCGTTGGGATTCGCCCTCATTCTGGGTCTTAGAAAGATGTACGAAAGATCCGTAAGTCGCCTGATTAAACTCTCCTTATACATGCAACATCAATTGCAACTGTTTTCTGGCGTTTGTAGAGAAGATGTTTTGATACTTCCAGGATCCGCATTTGATGACAAAAAATTCGCGATCACGTGAAGCAATGTTTGACTTGAACTTCCTGCTTCTTCGGAATGCCCCTTTTTCATCTACACGCATATCTCTGGTTTAGGAGCCTCGCCTTCTCAACAACCGAGTAAAAGGCCAAGGGCTATCTAGAGAGGTTGCTGCAATGCCGGTATATCTACTTGGTGAGGCTCTCCGCAACGCACTCTGGTCCGACGTTAGATGTACGCTTCACATTCATGGAGACGCGCTCCGACGTGAATACTGTGAGGGTCCTGATCGTATAATGTGTAATGGGCTACACGGGAGTCCCTTTTCTTGAAAGATCGAACGTCGAAGACTATCTAGGGCTACCTATCGCCAGAGCCACCAATGAAAGATGACTAATGCGTCGACAGCTCCCTGTCCAGGACAGTACCGCCAACGCTGCCTGTGTACCGCATGGGCTCGTATTCGCGACACGAGGTTTGTGAATAACAAAATGGCAAGATGGGCAGATTCCTTTACCCACGGGCGGTCAGCAGTGTTGACATGAGTTGTGGCTACATGGCGCGAAGTGAGGCGAGGAGAGTCGATGATGTGCATTGCACGCCTTCTTCTTTTGTTGTTTATCGCTCTTTCCGCCACATCCTCCCTCCATCACCACCATCGTCAACTGTGTCTTCAACCATCCTCCCACCTTACTTCAAAGAGGTCTTCTTCCTCTATTCATCGTCTGTCTCTGTATTCCTTTGCCCTCATTCTCCATCTCTTCGTCTCCATCGTTTCAATGACATCCATCAAACCCTCTGAGCGTCTGCTCAAATACCCCCCAATGACAAGACAGGACTTGAACCAGTCACAGCTGGGCAGTTTCAAATTTACGCCAGTCGACAACCTCGGTGAAATTCCCGACAACCCGGAACCCTCAAAATTCCTGCAAGATCAGCTGGCTGAGAGCTTTGCTCGTGCCTTGGCCCACGATGCGGCACGTCGCTAAAAGGCCATATCCCAGGGAGGCAAGCCTTCGCTACCATCCAAGGAAGCTCCGGTACCTGATGCAAACTACTTCAATGAGCAGTTCAAACCAGATCTGTCTGACTCACGTCTGAAGTTGGGCTCTGCTGCCCTTCGCTCTGCAGTTGCAGGTGCAACCAGTCCTACCAAGACAGATCGACCATCTGTAGATCGACTTTCCTCGCACAATTCGAACCTCGCTTCCAATGTAAGTGAACGAACTAGCCGTCGTTTTCCGGTCCTCAATGCCGCAATGTGAGACTGATTTAAAACCAACCCAGACTCAAACCTCATTGTACCATCACACTTCGTTGGCGATGGATCCAATGGCTTCCACCTTCACCCCGTCCTCCTCCTTGTACAGCTCAGGTCTTGAAGTCCCAGATGCTACGATGTCGAGCTCGTACCATCCTGACCCTACAGCGATCAACCAGTCATTATGCCTAGCTTTGGCAAATGAGCAGCAAGCACATAATGCGACCAGATTGGCACTTGAAAAGGAGAGCCAACGGTGTTTGCAACTAGAAGGGCAGATCGAGGAGAACCTACAGACGATCAAGAGGCTGAACACCACTGTTAATAGCCTTGGAGCCATTATTAAACATAACCTCAGTAAAGAAAACGAAGCACATCACACTGACGGAAACAAGAAGGGCACAGCAGAAAGTAACCAAGAGGAGGCCGATCTGAAAGAATTCTATCGAGATCATTCACGCCTTCGTAAGGATCATGAAAGTGAGAAGACAGAAGTGAGAGATATGAAGGATATGGAGCGACAGTATCCAGGTGGCAAAGAGCAACATGGTTTGGCAGGTATCGTTGCTGTCGCCGAAACAGTCGTCGATGAGGTGCAGCTCTTCAACTTGGAGTTACTGAAGAGTCCCAATTTCGGTCCAGGTCCCTCTCCCGAGTCTGCTTTGCGTAACACCTTGAGAAAGCACTTTGCGATCACCGACACCTCAGTACAAACCACAACAAAGACTCCCACAAAGACACGTGTGAATGCGAACAAGCTCATCGATCTATCTCCAGAGTCTCCGGAGGATAGCAACGAGATCATGGCTCGCGACATCCCTAAGCTTCAAGAGACACCAAGTGGCAAGAAAGGCTGGAATACCCTCTTGGTGAGTTCAGGTATTGAGGTGAACGATCCCCTTGCTGAAAAGCCCAGACAGCGGAAACCCCAGTCCTTGAGTTGGTAAGAGAGTCCTAAGCTTTCTCGTATTCTTACTGACCGCCCTCGAGCCCGCCTCAATCGTTGCAAAGTACTCCAGAAAACCAGCTGTCGAAGCAGCAGTTATCTCAGATCAGGTTAGAAAGAAACAAAATGCGGTGAGATTGATTGGCTGACTGACCGGTAACAGACAAACAATCAAGGACCGGCTTGCGGACTCGAATCATCGAAGACAACTGTCGAAGTCGTCAATGGGTGCGGCGTGATTAGCGAGGGACGTGAGGGCCGTGCAGTCGCCAGAGGCACAATGGCTGATACTACTGTCAGACGTATCACTGTAAAGATTCCTGAAAATTTTGATGGCCAACCCAAATGGTTGGTCAACAAGGATAATCCGCTTTTCGAGACAGAAGATGAGATGTGGCAGGTTTGCGCCCACGCCTTATCTGGTTGGGTCGACAATAGCCCTTTTCCTGCTTTCCCCATTCGTTACCTCCCTGAACAAGCAGTTGGTTCGTCCAACGCATATCGCACTGTCATGGTCGACGACATACCCGTCGGATCCACTCTGAAAGACATTCTCACCATTGTTCGCGGTGGAACCATCGAATCCGTATTGCTCGTTGGGCCTATTGGACGAGCCAACCCGTACATGACGGCGCAAGTTATTTTTGTTCATGAGTCGGCAGCTGATGGAATGTACAAGAGACAAGAAAATTCACCCTTCATCATCAACGGTTCCGCGGTTCGTACTTGGAAGCCGATGGATCCAACATATCCTAGCAGTCGTCAGGTCACCGAAGCCATCTTTGGTGTTGAGGAAGCAACACGCATCGTGCTGATTGGCAACATAGAAGAGACTGAGTTTGCGAAGATCCAACCCAAGCTGCGACGTGTCAATCTTGACCGATACGTGATTGAGTACAGCGTCACTGAGGACGGTTTCGGCTCTATTGAATTTCCCAACGTCCAGATGGCGCTCAAGGCAACTGCGGAATTGAAGAGGGATCGCGACTTCGCTAACGCTATCTTCAACTATGACGATGATTACACTCGAGAAAGCTACTAGTTGGATAACGAAGCCATGGCGACGGGGCTTGCAGACATCAAGGGGATCTTCGAGCTTGCAAGGAAGAAAACAACTATCACTATTCCCATCCTCGATCGACAATTGACAATTTACGTGAAAGCAGAAGACGCACACCAACGATTCAAAAAGACCAAAAACAAAGAAAAGGAAAAAAACAATCGCATACAAAATAAAACGATTGAAGCCTTAATGTGTTTGATATTCAGGAATAATCACCATGGGGAAACTGCAATGGCATGAAATGGCAACCCAATCCAGAGAACTTCGCTCGCAGCAATGGCAATTAGAGAGACGTCTCGAAAGGGTAGTGGCAAAGGATGGGTACCTGAGTTTCAACACGGCACATTCACCGCAAATCGCGGAAAGAAACAAAAATAGGCATGAGAATCACATGGATAGTGCTAGCATACAAAATCACAATAACATATGGACGATCACTCACTCACCCTGGGCTGATCTTTATATTTTGGCGTTGGGATTCGTAGAGGTGATCAGGTTCTGGGAACATCTTTCCGGGACACGGGCACATTGCATGGTGCTTTGCTTCATGTATTATTGCACACGTTTCATGCCCCAAGTAGAGTAGCCAGTCAATAGCTGGATGGAAAGGGAAGTCTTATGTTCATTGAAACAACCATTGCAGGTATTGACTCTATGCTATTCCTGCCTGTTGCAACGGCTGACGCTATCATAAATCGTTCGTCAAGCCAGGTTCCATCGAACCAGGAAAGGGGTTCCGAGCAAGTTTCTCTGTACATTGCTCCCCTCGGTCCGTCTTGAAGGTATGCCATGCCATGCCATGCTATCCAAAGTGAAACAGCGTCTCTCCCTTTTTGGACTTTTTGCCCTTCTTCTTTCCGCCGGCCGCGCCCTCGAGCGCTTCCATCCCGCCGCCGTTCTCACCGTGGCCCACGGCGGCGGCGGCGGCCTGGGCGGGCGTCGGGGTCGTGCCACCTTGGGCCCACGCGTTGACCGGCGTCACGGATCCCGAGCCGGCGGGTGAGTTGCGACTCGACGAGCCCATCAGACGTCCCGAGCCGCGGGTGTTGAACCCCGCCATCATCGTGTTCGGCTTCGGCGCCGTGGGCAGAGACGGGAACATGTCTTCCGTCTGGCGCGGGGGGGCGACGTTCGATCTGCTCGAAGTCCCGACTCGCGCCGCCGTTGTAGGTGGTGGCCGAGGGGTCGGGGCCGCCGCGCCCATGGTGGTGCTGCTGACTTGCGGCGCCGACGTATTGGCCCAGACGGCTTGCGACGTGGGTGCCGCCTTGTTGTTGGGACGTCCGTTCGCCCCGGCCAGCGCGGGGAATGGGTCACGGCTTGAGCCGCCGGGGAGGGCGTTGCCCCACGACCCTTGTTTCGAGACCGCCGACCGCGACGACTGTGCCGTGCTCTTCTTCAGAGTGAGGACCCGTCGACCACCGGTCGCGCCGGCGCCCGCACTCGACACGCCCGGGAGCGTACCACTCGGGCCCGGCAGACTGGGGTAGTCTTCGTTGATGCTCCGCCAGTTGTTCCACGCTTGGAGCAGGGATTGGCGTTTGGCATCGTCTTCGTACAGGTCTGCGAGCTCTCGAATGAGTTTTCCGAGTTCGGCACTCGGGCAATCGAACAGAGAAAAGAACGAGTCGATGAGATCCGTCGCCGAGCTCGTCCCGCTCCGATACGCCGAGACGTGTGTGCGGAATTGAGACAGCTTGGTCGTGTCGTTCTTCAAGAGGGTCGTGGCACGGTCAGTGACGGCTTGGTGGCGGACCGCTCGAGCCTGTTCTTGAGGAGTCATGTTTGCTGCACTTGCTTGTGCCGAATCAATCCTGAGGTTTTCCACGGTGGGCAGCTGCTGGGGTTGTTGCGAGGAAGGTTGCGGTCGGGGTGCAGGTGCGGTCTGAGTGAGCTGTCCACCAAAAGTTCTGTTCGAGACAGACTGAGAGCTTTGGATGGCAAGCTGTCTTTGATAAGCCAGTTCGGCCCGGCTTAAAGTCTGAGCACTCGACATGGGGATAGGTTCAGAGTTTGGATCACGCCCTCTACCGCTTCCACGGCCTTCTCTTTCTCGCTCTCTCCCTCCCCGCCGTTGTGGTTGGTAAGGCGTTCGGAGTTCGAAGCCAGAAAGGTCCACGAGGCGGGCATCTCTTCTGGCGTCTTTTGAGAGGCCATTGGGATGCTGAGAGAGCTGATGTGCCTTCAAGTCCATTTCCGATTCAAAAACGTTAGTTTTGTTCGCTTGACATTCGGCATCGAGACAGACAAAGTGCTCGGCCGCGAAGTGCTTCTCCAGCTCCTGGTAGTTGAGATAGTACTGTGGATTTCTACCGCCATTTCTCCGGTCGCAAATGTGGCATCTCTCGTGCTTTTCGCGACAATGGGTGTAGAGTTCGTCGTCACCGTAGAATCTCTGTTTGCAGAAGCCACATTCGGGATGGCCCCTAAATCCGGACTGGTCAAGAGCCCCGGGGTTGTCATCTCCAAACTTTTCGTGCTTGCGAAGTTCCCCGAAGGTGAAAAGTTCGTGCTCGTGTGTGAAAACTTTCTTGTTTCTCGTGCAAAGATCGCACATGACTTTTCCATGTTTGGATTTCACATGCCGATGGAGGTCCGGCCACCCTAGACATGCAACATCACAATCTCTGTCGGGGCAGTTGTATCGGAGGAGCAGTATTGTATCTTCAAGAATGACGTCCTTCTCGTACTTTATGCCCAAGTTCTCGTCGATCTTGACAAAGTCGTTGTCTTTGAATTCGTCGTAGCGCTTCTCAGCGTTGTCGGTAAAGACCACGAACGGTGCTTCTGTCTGTGAGATGTCAGTATAGCCACGTATATGGTGAAAATGCTGGACTCACTCTGCAATGAGCACAAGCTCGAGTCTTGTAAAGAGCCCTCAACCGCAGGGAGCAAATGTGGCATGTCTGGTGGTTACAGGGTGCAATAGACACATGCTCGATAGGGCTTGCGCAGATAAAGCAAACCTCGACGTCATCTGCAGCTACCTGCTGCTCATTTCCTTTTGATTGAGGGTTCATGGAGTCGCCTTGTTGTGTCGAGGCAGCTTCGGTCAGACGTGCACCGAAGCCGCCTCCAGGTGGTCGTCCTGAGCTTCCTTCTGCTGTAGCCTCTGTAGAATGTGGGTTGGACGCGTTGTCTCTGCCACGATACTGCCCTCGACCTCTACCTCTTCCACCCTTTCCACTTCGTTGGCCTCTACCACCTCTGGGCGCAGAATCTCGTCCATTGTGTGCGTCTGCAGAAGTGGACGAGCCCCCGCGGTTGGAGCGACCGCCGCGCCCAGCGATGGGGCTTGAAGGTATTCTATCGCCGGTTACCGGGTCAGACATGTCGTGGTCGGAGAAGGAGACGATATATGCGACGTGACGCGGTTTATAAAACAAAAAGGGAAGTGTTCTCGACAATGACTTCACCTAGATCAACCCCAATCGCGGATCAAAAAAGTAGCGCAGGCTCTTGGTGGGGCAGCCTTGTACGGTCCCTGGTTAAAGTGGCTCTATTTTCAGGCACAATGACTCTGACTGTGAGGTGACTCTTAACGCAACATCTAGCCACAAGCCAGCATCTAAAAGGCGCTTTGGTATGAGTAATTGGCAAACGCCCTTCGTTTCGCTCTGCGTTTAGAATCTGGCAACGGAACCGTCTAGAAAGGAATGACTGCTGTTTTTATCCTTAGTCAGCAAGGCTGGCCCTCCTGAAGACCATTCGGTCCAGGCAGTTTGCTTTGAGTCCAGCTCCCATCATCCAGCCAAATTCGAATAGCCAGTGATCACTCAAGATATCCCCAATTCAAGCCTTCCATATCGCACTTCACCCGTCACCAGAATACACGTCATCTTTTGGATCCCATCCAGCAGTGTTGCCGAAAACGCCATCATTGCTTTAGAGTCGTGCCACAGATACAGTCATGCAACCATAAAGCCAGGACAGTGTCTGGATGCGGGTGTAAGCCCTGTTCCATGACCGACCTCAGCCTCATTATGTAGCTCATTCGTCAGGATTATACATTTGTTGAGAGACGAGTTTGGTCATGGTGAACATATGCACCTTGTCTTGTCTGAAAACTTCTCTCATTTTGGCATCGCAGATAATAAATCTCTTGTCATTCGGGTCTTGGAGATTATTTGCTTTGATATAGGCCCATAGCCGCTTGGTGGTTTCCGGGCGTGAAAGCTGGACAACGAACTTAGTATCTGTCTCGTCTGCAGTAATAGCTACAATTACCTGTATTTCGCCATCAAGAAGACTCGAAAGAGCCGAAGACAGATTTAAGGGTTTCTGAAGACGTGTCAGTTGTCGTTGTACAACGAGTGGAGGGAGGTATACATGAAATCCAGTGTTCCGCTTGGGCTTCGGATTCTCTTCGTCCTCGAGATCAGAGTCGTCAGAACCAGTCACTCTTTCCTTCTTCGCCTTCTTCTTCTTTTTCTTGACTGGCGCTGCCTTGCGGCTTGCGCCACCTCTGGTGGGACGGGCTCGCGCATCCTCCTCAGCCTGCAGACGAGCCGCATACGCTGCATCAGCATCGATGCTGGTTTTGCGCTTCTTCTTTGGAGGGGGAGAATCTAGGACGGTTGAATGGCTTTCACTTTTTGCCTCGCGTTTGGCAGGTGATGCGGAAGGAGACTCAGTGTGAACACCGTTCGTCTTGTGGGCCGGCTCCATAGTCTCGACCGAGGGCACGACAGTAGAATCGCCATTTTCCTTGGTGCTGATGACATCAAATCGCTCGTTGATTAAGACCTTGATAGGGGCCTATGCTTGTTTAGTATGCAATCCTTCGTCTTCCAAACCGTGCCACGCACCTTTTGCGGAGTAATGTCATATTCGACCTTGTCCTGAATACCCTTCAGAATGTCTTTTCGTGTAATGGTGGTGAGGTCGGCGCCATCGAGGATCGAGTCGATGATGGAGATGTACTTCTCGCGAACGTCCGGCGGCACTGTCCCGGTCAGATGAATGGCGCGTGCAAGGTGGGCTGGACTTACAAGACATGATGGCCTCTTGTGTCGATATATCGCCAAGGAAACGCTCAGAAAGGTCACAGGATATGTGGAGACTGTCGAAGAAGTGATATAATGCTATGCTTGCGTGGTCTAGGTCACCTCATAGTCAAGCGTCCTGAAGGTTGGAATTGGCGCAGCCTGACGTGGAAGAGAGGGCGCGAAGGGCAGGGAAGTAGAAGGAGGATGGATAGACCGTGTAGAAGGTCAGCTTTATCAAGAACGAGCGAGGCAGAGATCAATGAAGGTGATGCGATGAAATGTTTGAGTTGATTGTGAGGGAACAAAGCGTACACTCAAAGACGCATGCGCAGCGCTCATCGCATACTGCTGGGCTGAGGAACAAACCACAAGCTGGGGTACAATAGTGGATGCGCAGTGGTGTCGGCTACTGCCAGGCCTTGCCAGCCACCCTGTAGAGCCCTGCTGACTCATCCTCTCAGACCACGATTTACACGTGACACCCGATGCAGCCTTGGCACTTTCCACAACCTGCGCCCTAGTCTTGCTGCCGGGAATGTGATATTTTGTGCTCGGGCGACAACGACGAAGAATTCGCATATTCCACGACCATTCCGATTTCCCACGTCGTTCGCCAGATTCCGCAATCATGGCTCCGGGTTTCGATCAATTGTCTGACCATGACTTCGAGGATGACATTGACGACATCGACTTCAGCGACCTCAAGGAGCGATACGATGTGCGCATGGAAGAAGGTCTCGATACTTTTGTCGTAAGAGCACTCAGTGGAAAAAGCCTGGAATTGCTACTAAAACAATTAGGTCATTGATGGTCTTCCAGTTGTCAACGCCGAGCAAAAATCCAAACTGGTCAAATTTCTGCTCAAGAGATTGAACTCGGTGGGAAGAATAAAGGATGGCGAAGAATCCGTCTTCATGCCTATGAACGAGCAAGGCATGTCCGAGGGGTAGGCTAGCATTTGATACTGGTCCATAACTGTTGCTGAACTCTTGCAGATTTGCTTTCGTCGAATACCAAACTCCCGAACAAGCGGTTGCTGCGACCAAACAACTCCACGGTGTTGCTCTCGATAAGAGACATACACTCGCAGTGAACAAACTTACAGATATCGAAAAGTACGGACGAGAGGGAAGAATTGATGAACAATATGTCCCTCCAGAGGTCGAGCCATTCTCGGAAAAGGAACATCTCCGGTCTTGGCTTTTCGATCCTGCTGCCCGAGATCAATTCGCAATGTTCCGTGGTGATAAGGTCGGCGTGTTCTGGAACAATAAGAGAGATTCTCCTGAAATGGTGGTTGATCGAATGCACTGGACTCAACTTTTTGTATCTTGGTCACCACACGGAACGTTTCTCGCCTCAATACACCAACAGGGTGTGCAACTATGGGGTGGATCGTCATTCAAGAGAATTAGGCAATTTCCTCACCCGTTTGTCAGTCTGATCGAGTTCTCTCCTGGGGAGAAGTATCTCACAACCTGGTCACATCAACCAATCGTCGTGGAGGAAGGGAAAGGGCCTCTTACTCTTGATGAAGAAGGAAAACATATCATCATTTGGGACATCACAACTGGCAAACCTCTTCGATCCTTCACCGCCTATGATCTCACTCCTCCTCCTGGCGCCGACCCTACTGCAGTTCCTCCGAAAGCCAAGGTTCAATGGCCAGCCTTTAAGTGGTCGGCCGACGAGAAGTACGTGGCCAGAATGAAACCGCACGAGAGCATTTCAATCTATGAACTGCCGCGAATGAACCTGCTCGATAAGACTTCGGTCAAAGCTGAAGGCATTATGGATTTCGAGTGGGCACCGGCCATCACACAGCGAGAAGGTGTAAAGACGTACGAATCCCTCCTTTGCTACTGGACACCCGAGATGGGATCCAACCCCGCCAAAGTTGCTCTGATGTCTGTTCCAAGCAAGGAGATTGTTCGGACGAGGAATCTATTCAACGTCACCGATGCCAAGCTACACTGGCAATCTGAAGCTAAATTCATCTGCGTAAAGGTCGACCGACATTCTAAATCTAAGAAGTCGCTTGCCACCAACCTCGAAATCTTCCGCATAAAGGAGAAGGGTGTACCCGTTGAAGTTGTCGACAGCTTGAAAGATACAGTCATTAACTTTGCCTGGGAGCCCAAGGGTGACCGGTTTGTTCTTATCACGGCTGGCGAAGCTGTAGCTGGATCAAATGTACTACCGAAGACTGCTGTCTCGTTCTTTGCTCCCGAGAAGATCAAGGGTCCGGGTACTGGAGCCTTCAAACTAGTCAGGACAATCGACAAGAAGAACAGCAATGGTATCTACTGGTCACCCAAGGGTCGGTTCGTGGTTGTAGCGACAGTTAGCGTACAACAGCACTCCGATATTGACTTTTATGACATGGACTATGAGGGAGAGAAGCCTGAATCTGATGCCAACGTTGCGGCCAATTTGATGCTTATGAACTCCGAGGATCACTATGGCATGACGGATGTTGACTGGGATCCCACCGGCAGATATGTCACCACATGTGCTAGCGTGTGGACACATCAGGTAAGTCATCCATCTCATTTTGTTAATGAACTCGGACTAACATGCACTAGATGGAAAATGGCTACAAGATGTGGACCTTTTCTGGACAACTCCTGGCCGAAGCCCCAACAGAGAAATTCAAGCAGCTACTTTGGCGGCCGCGACCTCCAACGATCCTGTCGAAGGAAGAACAACGCACTATTCGACGTAACCTTCGCGAATACTCGAAGGAGTTCGACGAGCTCGACAAGGAATTGGAAGAAGGCGCTAACTTGGCTGTTATCGAGGCCAGGCGGAGATTGTACATGGAATGGTACAGCTGGGTGATTCAAGAGAAAGAACTTCTCAAGGAAGAACGAGAGGAATTGGGCTTGCCGGATCCAGAGTCGGAGCTGCAACTGCAACGTACCAAGAGTCTGGAAGCCGATGGGGAGAAGGTTGTCGAGGAAGTTGTCGAGGAGGTCATTGAGGAGACAGAGGAGATTGTGCAGTAGCCTGGTGCACCAAAAGTAATTGGTAGGAAATTATGCCATTGGTCATGCAGACCCGAGTTATTCAAGTGTAAAGTTGTTTCCATAGACGAGACACGCCTTCATCAGTGAATAAGCTAACAAACGATAGCACGAACAGTCTTCAAATTTGTGTATTCGCAATACTTGCTCTAGAGACAACGTGAGAAGACAGGAGTTCACATTTTATTTATAACAGATTTTCTTTATGTATAGAATTAATACCACGGTGATACTAGGCCGGTGTATCTGAAAATGATCAGGCGCCGTTGCCTCAACCCCTGCTGCCAACACAGCGAAAGTGAACAGCCACTTTCAGATCCGAACGAAACCAATGTTCCCATTCGCAGTCCGACGGTTGTCGATCTCAAGCCATGAATATTACCAAAGAGTGATCATGGCCAGATTGACTTACGATACATACTTTATCTATCCTAGGGTGTGCATTGTGACGGTACTGCGCTACACCGCTTAGTCTCACAGAGACAATGTCTTTGGCTTCATCAATCACTTCATCAATATGGCCGCCAGTCGACCCTTCCAAAGGGGAGTTTAGAATTCTTGTCCTTGACGACTACGATGACCCAGACGACCCTATCTCTGGAGACTTTCAAATAGTCTCTATACACGACGATGTGGTATACGACGCCATTTCGTACGCCTGGGCGGATGCTGGGGACCTCCGGACCATGTTTATCAACGGTCAACGATATTCCGTGGCATCGATTTTGACGACCAACATGAGGCACTGCCAAATCAAAACGGGAACCAAAGCATTCTGGTGTGATGCCATCAGTATCAACCAGCTTGACAATGACGAGAAGAGCCAACAGATCTGGATCATGCAGCACATCTTCGCCGGCGCAAGAATCGTCCGTGTCTTCCTCAATCCGGATTCCACCTCCTCACCCTACGTGGGAAGGGCTGTTGACATCCTCTTGCGGACAGTCCATACCGGGCGACCGATGGACGCTACACATGTGGAATGGCTGTCAGGACTTCGGCTTGACGCATGGTGGACGAGGGTCTGGGTGGTCCAGGAATTCGTTCTCGCCAAAAAACTCGTGTTCCAATTTCGAGACAAGTTCTTTGATGTCGAAGTGCTGAAGCTGTTCAGGCATAATCACTTTGATCTCAAATTTCAGGCTCTCCGTGGCGTGAAGCCTGGGTTGCCCACTGAACTCCTACTCAAGGGCTTCGACTCGTTGACGCTAGCCGTGACCACTCTCTTCACCCATCGCAATCTTCACCACCTAGCTTGCTTACTGGCACTCGACTCACAGGTCAACTGGGACATCTCGATATCTGTTTTGAATGATATTCTTTTCGACATCAGACTTCGCCATGTGACCGATCCCAGGGATCGTATCTTCGGCATTCTGGCTTTGGCCGACCGCATGCTCAGGACCTCCCTGATTGAGCCAGACTACACCAAAGACCTTGGTGACGTTTTCATGCTCTTTACTTTAGAGATAATCAGGAAGTCGAAGTCATTGACATTGCTTCTTCAGAGTGCACATACGACGAACAGCGTCAGTGGCTTGCCTTCATGGGTCCCTGACTATTCCAGCCGCTACAATTTCGAGGTTGAGAGGCTTCGTGCTCACTCTATTGTGTCCTTTGATGCATCATGTAGCCTGACGGCATCGGCAGAGCTACTCCAGCGCTCCAAAGCCCTACTTCTTCGTGGCGGCCATGTCGACACAATCGCACACGTAGGCCATTGTCACGATCGAAGAAGAGACGCCCGTCACCGATGGCATTTGCAGGCCTTGATGCAGTGGGAGGTCCTTTGCAGAGCCGTCTTCGCCGACATCGAACATACAGAGTATATCCGTGGGAACCAAACTGTCTGGCAAGCGTATTGCAAAGCCGTCATGTGTGGCACCAGGCACAATAGCTATGGCATTGACCCTGAGCGGTCGTACACGGTCTCCATCGCGAACTTCAGAGCCGACCCCGACAAGATAGCAGATCACGATGAAACCGCGGCTTCTCCGTTGCTCTTGGCCATAGCGAAAAGGCGCCTTGCCATAACCACCAAAGGGTACATTTGTCTCGCACCCCAGAGCACCAAAGAGGGTGATGCTGTCTACATTCTCGCAGGAGGCAGGGTACCTTTCGTCCTGCGTCCGATCAGTCCGGATGACGAAGGCCGCCTGGATGAGAGTAGTCCAACTTCTTCTGAACCACTGCTGCCGAAGGCTCATCAATACAGACTTGTCGGTGACTGCTATGTGGAAGGCATCATGCTTGGAGAGTTTATCAAGGAGGATCACGGCCGTGGTCGGGATGATGATTTCCAAGATGTGATTTTGCTTTAGCTAAAAGGTGAAGATGAGAGAGTACCTACATAGATCTCAAGAAAATACTTCTGCCACTGAGAGCGGTGTAATGTTAAAAAGAGAAGAAAAAAAATTGTCAAATTGCCAATGTTTGGTCCGTAAGCCTTGGTGACAGTTTTGTCTCGAGCTCGCGGGAGATATTCATGGTATGTGGAAACCAAGAAAATGAAAATTTGGAAGTTTTTGTCAGAAACCAAATGTCCCCGCGATGTTGTTGCATCAAGATCTTCCAAAAGGTGAGAAGTAGACCTGCCTAGGTAGATAAACAGATGAGTAGTAGGACTGGGGGCACTGCAGAGTGACGGGGCGTGAGGTGCGTTCGAGTTGCAGGAGCGCTAATCCTGATGAGGTCAAGGACGGATCGAGAGTGACATGCAGCCTCAGGAAAGGATGATGTTTGTCCGAACGAGGCAACTGACATACTCGGTCAGGAAAGTAGCTGTCACCCTGGCATGCACGCCACTGAGGGAGAAAGTGACATGCAGTCTCAGGAAAAGATGACATTTGTCCAGATGGAGCAACCAGCCTACTTGATCAGGAAAGTTGCTGTCACCCCGGTCCTGCCCGCCCGCAGGGAAGAGTGACATGCAGCCTCAGCAAAAGACGACTTTTGTCCGAATGAGGCAACTGACATACTTCCTTGGGAAAGTTTCCGCGTCACCGACGTCATCATACTTTTGACTCGCATGTCGTGTTTCACGAAACATTTTACTGTACTTCTGCGACGGAGACTCTGCGGACACTTGTACTCGTACGCGCACATGTGTACTCATGTCGAGTTTTCGTGTACACAGCAATTCCATACCTGACATGTGTGTATTGTATCTGTCTGTCGAAACACCGTGCCTTTTTTCTACCCACCTGAACTTAGAGTACCTGAAGTACGGGTACCCCGAGACACCAGGTATTTCAATGCTCTTGTGTCCACCAAAGTAATGTCCAGCGGAAAAAACGTCAAGGTATCTAGTAGGTATCCTGGTACAGTACCCGGGTATTACAACTTGGGACTTGATTTCAATGATGGTCTAGGAGTTTTCAGGCCGAATCAATTGTCAACATCAGCACATGAATTCAATGACAAAACAAGTACGTGCTTCCTTTAAGTCTCGCGAAAAGAAACGAACAGATGCATACATCATTGACTTGGAGTCTAGTCCAACAAGTCCATCAGCTCTGCCCAAAACGCTTTTTCCGTAAACGCCAATCCCCGGTAGGTCAACTATCATTCATGAAAACAATACGATCACATCTCACTTTGGCTTCCCTCGGTCCTCATGCCCTCCTCGACATCCCGCAACTGATCCAGATTCACACGGCATTGCTCCATCTTTGTCGACCAATACAACATTTCCTCGCCTGCAGCTGCGTGTCTCTTGCTGTGTAGGGGCGCCTCGATCGCATCGTACTTCTGCCATGCAGCGGCGTGTTTGCGCTTGGCTTCGAGGAATTGGTCCGTGAGAAGTTTTTTGACGTTAGCAAGGGCATGATGAGGGTTGAGCTTCGGTCGTAGAGTAGGTTCTTCGAGCATCACGTTCTTCATGAGCTGGGTAACTTGCGCCGTGAAATCCTTCTTGGAGTTTTTAAGGCCAATGCCTCCCTCCAGGTCGAGCTCGGAATCATCGTCGTCTCCAGCCTGAATGGGCTGAACCCGGGCCCTTGTTTGCGACACGACACGGTCGTTCTTTGACGGGACAGCATGGGTGACTTGTTTTGTTGTCTTCTTGGTGGTGCTGGTCAGACGTTGGCAGACCGCGCAGTGCTCAATATGTTCTGGGTCGTGGCTGTGTAACACGCTTTGGGCTTCCTTTGAGACATTGGGTCGGGCTTGTGATTTTGCCTTGATCGGTTGACTGACGGTAATGTCGGGGATTATGTATGCAGACGTCATGTTCTCGTCTAGGGAGACCCGGCGGCGACGACGAGACGTATTAGATGCTGCGGTCGGGTCTTCCATCATGCTGTTCTCGGTGTCGTTGAGGGCGGGTTTCTTGTATTTGTCCCCAAATCGCGATGCGATTCGTCTTTCGGAGACGGGTGAGGCTGGGCGGTTGACGCCGACGGGGGACAAAACTCGTGCGTCGTTCGAGTCAGTTGTTCTTGCAGCTTGGTCTTGTTGCGGCTCTGCAGCAACGCTTTTGGTAGATGCGCGTCTTGCTGGAGACCTCTTAGGAGACTCGAGAGAGCGACTGAGGTCGAAGAGTTCTTCATCTACGCGTGCAGACGCTTTGTTCTTGCTAGCTGGCATTGTGGACTTTTTGGACGTAGCTTGGAGCATCCTAAGCTCGAGGAGGGCTTCGTCACGTTCGCGGGTCAAGATGTTGATCGTATTCATAGCTTCGTTCAAGTCACGCTGGAGGGTACGCAGAGAAGCGACAATCTGTTTTTCATCGGCCGGAACCGTGTAGTGGATCTGAACGTTCGGTAGGGAGCCGTTGTCCGCGAGGATTTGAGATGTGTTGGGGATGTTGGTTGGTAGCATGATGGACTGGCTGTGTTGTGATTTCGAGGAGACTGCTCTACTAAAGCGAGTCGCTTTTTTCTGGGGTCGTTGGCTTGGTGGTGAATTGCCGGGCGTGTACATGACCTGGATTTAGTGTGAGTAGAAGAATAGCACGCACGAGGAGGACAATATACTTGGTAGTCGCCAACGAAGGCATCGGCGGAATGAATGCTGCTATAGCCGGTACCTGCTGTACCTTGATCAAAACGCGAAGGCATGTTGTCTACTATGTCGCCCGTATGATGTTGAAAGGACTAATGAATGTTGGAGATTGAGAACAAAACGTCGAATCTGGTGCTTGGTGTTTACGAGCCTCGTCCAAGGTAAACAAACCAGGAGCCGAAGATGTTCCGGGGGTGGTTTAATTAAAGCGGCAAGGCTGTTTGACGCCTACGCGCCGCCTACTCGTATTCGTACTGGCCCTGAAATTCTACGAGTTACTCGTTCACTTCCCTTCGATGCAATGGCTCGTGCAATGGAAGTTGAACTCTGTAGAAGAAGCCAGCCATTTTCGCACCTGAGGTTGGCCTGCTTGATTCGCGAGCATGCATTTGCTTTCTTTGCTAGCATAACGCACTTATAGCAGTCGTGCTGACGCTCTGTGATAAGCGTGGGGCGAAACTATTCAGAGGTCACTATGGAAGTCTGAAATTGTTCAAAACAATAGAGGAAATCACAGAACAAGTATGAGTAGATCTTTGTACTGTTCTCTGTTGATACAATAGGCAGTATTGTTGCAGTTTTGAGGGGACACACTTGCACAGCCACAGGGTTGGGATCTGGTCGAAGACACAAAATCTCAACCTCTCGATCACATCTCAACTACACCATGCAAGGTGGTTTGCTAAACCCAAAGAAACTAGATTACGCGATCGTCGAGATGAGTCGAGTCGACCAAGACCCTGTTTGACCGCAGCCGCGTGTCTCAGGTTTCTTTAGCACGAGCATTTCGGACCCATGCATTCGATGTCAACTTGGTTAGTACGAGATCGACTGGCGCTGACGTGCCTTGTGCCTCTCGCGGTTAAATAGCGACTCCAGGATTTATGAGGCAAACCACAGCCACCACCGTTCTGCAAGCTTACAACCAAGGCTCATTTGACTTCCCGTATTATTCGTGTTCATGTCAGCCATCTTCATGTCAGGCTGATATTAACATATGAGTTTCACTCTTGCACTTCATCAATCACCTTGCTTCAATACACTCTTCTCTTCGTCCACTTTGCGTCCGGCGGCTGCAGATCCATCTCAAGCGAATGGCCCGATAGCGAGATCGACAGCTTTCCGCTCCCTCAACTCTCACAATATTAAATTCCAAAATGACCGTTTTGCCCGTTCGATCGCTCCTGGAAAGACATGATGAGAGTCACTTATACTCCCGACAATCTGGACCGCCTGGAGGCGGAGACGGCGGCGGCGGCAGTGGAGGAGGAGGCGGAGGCATCAGCGGGAGTGCTATCACAATAGGAGTAGGTTCTTCTTATTTGCATGAAGCACACCATTCTTACAATATCAGATTATAGTAGCAATAGTCGGGGTCATTACGCTCTCAATATTGCTCTACTCTTTCCTGCGGAAGTGGAAGCAACAAGGCAAAAGTCCTCGTTATATACCTACCCAGTTTCTGAAGAGAAAGTGGCAGACATGGCAACCTGGAGGGAAATACTCGGCCGTTCGAAATCGAGACCTGTCCTCCACCAATACTGCATACACCGGTAACAATATCAGCGGCTCTGGCTCGGGCGCAGGCGTCGATCGCAATACCAGTGTCAGAAGCGTCATTACTCTACCTGCGTACTCCCGCACACCTAAAGATACCGAACAAGTCATCGGAAGGGAAGGCGAAAGGGCCGGTATGGACACAGTCGTCGAGTTCCCGGAAACTGCGGATGAAGAAGAGACACGTCGTGAAGATCAAATGGAATCTCTGTACCAGATCCGGGTAGCCCGACGCCGTGAACAAGCTGAGCGAGAGGAGCGCAGGCGCGAAAGAAGAGAGGCTCGGGAGCGAGGTGACACGGCCCGACTAGAAGAACTACGACTCGAATCTCGCCAGCGAGCCAACGACAGTGCAACCACTCTAAATGGAGGCGTCAGCGTCTCCGCTGCAACATTGATTGCAGAACATCAGTCACGCGGCCGTGATCGAAGAGTATCTAGTGTGGCATACGGCTCCCTGGGCGAAGTACGGCATGATGGTACTAGACTCCGTGCCAATAGCAATGAATCAGAACGAGGTGGACTATTGAACGGAGCGGCGCCGATGGGCGAGGCGGGTGGTCGACCTCGATTGTATTCGGATGCTACTTCGATGACGACCATGTCTCGACCACACACACGAGACCGCTCGATCAGCGATGTTAGCGTCACAACCGCCGGATCAGAAGTTGACGGTCAGCCTACGCCAGGGTCTACGGTTGCAGGCGATGGTGCCAGACGTCGAAGCTCCCAGAGCGATGAACGCCAGAGTGGTACCACAAATTCTTCGCCAACAGCAAACAGGTTTACACCAGACGAGAGTACCGGCTCGGATGACATTGGAGAATCGCGGATCCCGGCGACAGAGTCTGACCCAGCTCATCTCCCTCCAGATTATGAGGTGCTGGAGTGGGGTGATGCTCCTTCTTATGAGGCTGCCGTAGCAAGGGCAGCCAGTAATGCTGCCGCAAGAGCCGCAAGAGCTGGAGAGCCGACCAGAGTCCCTAGCAACGCTCCCAGGCTACCACAGCTCAACTTGCCCAGCATTAGTGTCTCAGGAGCTACAGAGCCGAATACGCCAGTGTCACCAGGCGTCACCTCGGCTGAACGGTCTCCAGAAGAGATTCGACCAACATGAGCAGAAACGAATATGCGCTCAGGACAATCTAGAAGGGAACGGCGATTGACACAAAACTGTGAAGTGACACGAGCATGACTACATGATTGGATATATTTGCATCAAGCATGGCGTTGGACGGAAAATATTGTTGAACATTTTACAACACATATGGATCGGCAAATGAGATGATAATTTTAGTGTATCAAGCAAAACGTAAAAGATCAGATTTACAGTTAACCATAACAGAAAGCATATATGAAGAGATTGTCTTGGTGCCTTTTTTTGTCATTGCGGATTTAGGATATGCATGCACATGATCTGTTGCAGGTAGAAAGCTATTCTTGATCTTCCCATTCCCAGGGCCAGACCTAATTTGGCGGGCATGTGCCTTTTTTGGGTTCGTGAAAGTCTGGACCACAACGCGGCGGCGGACCTATGCCTCCAGTTCTCTCTCCATCGACTTGAACCATCATCTTCTTTCTCCTCGGTGGGCAAGTCGATCTTGATGCTTCAAAAACGGCGGTGATCAACGGCTCATTTTTTTTCTCCATCTCCCCTCCTCGACGGTGCCCGGCGGGGATTCATCTATCGCACGATACCCTCGAATCGAGTCTTGAACCATTTGACAGTGTCGTCCTTGCCGACCTTGTGGCTTCGGCCGACCTTCGCCTTCGCACGTCGCCGTCTGGCGACTCTCGCACCGGGTCGCGACATGCAGCAGTAGAAGTCCATACCGTAGATACCGATGGCGGGGTCGTACTTGATACCCAAGTCGATGTGTTCCGAGATGCCGAAACCAAAGTTGCCGGTCTCGCTGAAGTTCTTGCGGCGGAGTTCGTATTCCTTGACCTTGAGGCCTCGCTCGAGGATCTCCTCGGCCTTGGGTCCTCGGACCGTGACGTGCACGGCGATCTTTTCGTTACGACGGATACCGAAGGATCGGACGGTGTAGCGAGCCTTGCCTGTTGGAAAAGGAAAAAAAACTTGCGTTAGCGAGAAAACCGAACCACTCGAGAAAATAACTACACCATGGGTCTGTGAGGGTGTATGTGTGTGTGTGAGAGAAAGGAAACAAGATAGAGCGTACTGTAGACAGGAGTTTGACCAGACAGTTGTTCCAACACCTTTGCTGCACGGGTGAGACGATCGCCAGACTCGCCGACTGAAATGTTCAGGACGAGCTTGTCGATGCGCAACTCCCGCATGGGGTTTGAGCTCTTGTCGTTGCCTTCCGCCATCGTGTATGTAGAGATGGTGGGTTTAACGAGTGCGACAGAGTTCTTTGGGTTTTCGATGGGTGTTTGGATATCAAAAGTCGAGGTGGTGGTCCTGCGATTGACACGAAAAATCAGCGTGCGCAATGAATCTGGCTTGGCGTGGTGCCAAGATATATGTCCGCACTAGTCTCAATTGGGGTTGGCTCCGTCGCTGCAGCTTTTTTGACCATTCGCGACATTCCTGCGATTGAACAAGGCCTCAAACCAGAAACAACCATCCAGCGCTACAAGGCAAGAATCGTCAGTTCGAGCCTGTTTCACTTCCATCTTCAGAAAGTGTTGCAGCCATCGTCTGGCAGACGTAGTCGGGCTGCGGCTCTGTACTGCGCAAGCATACATATTTTTTGATCAAAACAAAACTATCAACTCAAAGTCACGCCGCATTCGTGCGCCGCTCTTGCAATCATGGCGAACAAGCAGGGAAAAATGGTATGTCTTTTAGCTGCGTGTCATACATATTGTGTGCTAACAAACATTTCAGCAAAATCTCATCAACTATCGCATGCGCGTTACGATGAAGGATGGAAGACAGATGACTGGCCAAATGCTAGCGTTCGACAAACACATGAACCTGGTTCTCGCCGACACTGAGGAATTCCGCAAGGTCAAACGCAAGCAAAACCGATCCGGTGCCCCTCCGGCTCCTGGCTCTGCAGCGGCGGCGGCGGCGGTCGAAGCGGAAGAGAAGCGCACACTTGGATTGGTTATTCTCCGTGGAACGAATATCGTCAGCTGTAGCGTCGAAGGTCCTCCCCCGTCCGACCCATCGGCACGACTGGGCCAGTCTGCACCAGGTGGTACTGCAACAGCTCTGCAAGCAGGAGCAGGAATATCGAAGCCGGCAGGGCGAGGCCTGCCAGTAGGCTTGGGTGGTCCAGCTGCGGGTATTGGCGGTCCACCGCCGCCAGGAGGATTTGGATTCCCTCCAGGAGGTTTCCCAGGAGGAGCGCCACCGCCAGGATTTGGAGGAAGAGGAGGTCCAGGTGCTCCTGGTGGTCCCCCGCCTGGCTTTGGAGGCCCGCCACCCGGTTTTGGTGGTCCTCCTGGTGGCCCTCCAGCTGGTTTCCAGCCACCACCCGGCTTCCAAGGAGGACCTCCACCTCAAGGTAGAGGATTTCCACCGCCAGGGTTTGGAGGAAGATAAGAAACTCGGGGTTTTGATGCATGATCACCAAAATGCGTGCAAGGACAAAAGGTCGCTACTCGGAGAAATCCATCAGAGTGGCACATTACCAAAAATCCGATACCTTTCGATCTGCTTGACGGTCTTTGAAAGCTTGTGCCAATCCGAGAAGTGTTGGACCTGAGCATTTTCACGAGTCGATATCAGATTGGGTACAAACAGCAGCAATTATGTTGCAACTGCGACGGCGATACGCGATGATATGAAGGTTGCAATGGGTTCCAGGCCCGACCATGGTGGACGATGGCGTTCAGCCTTATCACCAGTTGCTGGTTAGTCTTGTTGGATAAAGCTGGCGACGGCGTACCAAACGCATCCCTCCGTCAGCAATCCGAACTAAGTCAATGAAATCCGAGAAATCTTGAGAGAAGATTCACCTCTCTGGAATTCTTCATTATGCCATGATTTTTGCCTCTGTGTGATCACTATCTATTCATGCCTCGTAATCTGCCACATCTACTTGTTTTGATGCCTTTATTCCAAGTAGAAAGACAAGGCTTCTGAGGTCCAGGTCTTGCATGCCAAGGCCTCTGCTTTGATTGGCCCGTTCGTTTGGTCGAGGCGGATTCGGAATAGTTGGTCACTAGCGGCATGCCTGAGAATGTTGATCCTCTCGTCGTCTGACGAAGTGTACGCAGCGAATTCTTTCGTGGTGGTGTCGTCAACGTTGGGCACAATGGAGATTTCACACTCGCAACAACACTGGGAGTGGCTGTCCATTCAGATATTGACCTAGCAGGTGTACTTTCCACGTGAAGCCAAGCACGCCAGTCCTTGGGGATTCCATATCTTGCACCCACAGAACGGTCGGCTCTATATGACGAGGGTGAAACAAGGTAGTCGCAAGCGCGTATATGCGCCAAAGACGAAGTCAGGATGCATAACATGCAGGCATGTTGAGATGGATGTAATTCGATGAACCAGTGGCTGACTTTCGATCCAGAAGTACGTTCCGGCTCAAGCATACCACATACACCAGCATCGGCTAACCAGGTCGCTAATTCCACAGTCCGACGGGTCAAATGTGACGAAAACAAACCCGCCTGTGACAAATGCACATCAACAGGCCGGAAGTGCGATGGCTATTCAAGCGAAGACGACCCAAAAGCCACCGGCCAGGTTCTTAGTGCCCGGCCATCACATTTCGTCAATGTGTCCGCCCACGAATTCCGAGCGTTCCAGTTTTTCCATGAGCAGACTCGGTTTCAACTCTCTGGGTTTCATGACTGTGAGCTCTGGGACATGCTAGTACTTCAAGCCGCCCAGGAGGATATCGCCGTTCGACATGCATTGGTTGCCTTTTCCACCTTGCATGAAGCCTTTGCTAGAAGGTCTCGCGAACATGATGACGACCAGACGGCCTCTGACCAGTTGGCTCTGAGACAGTATAACCTTGCGATACGACGCCATTTGGATCGACTTGGCGGCTCCGATTTCCCCTGCAATCTCGACGAACGAGCCATGGTACCTTGTTTGATATTCATTTGTATAGAGGTGAGATTGAACATCAGCCTACATCTCCATCAAAATCCCCCTTGTCCACATACCAGTGCTTTTGCAAGAGACAAACTAAAAGAAAAATGTACGGGATAGATCATTCGTGGTCACTACGCATCATGCACAGCCCTACTGAAGCGTACATTTGGAATGTTAGACCACCTGAAGAAAACCATGGCACGAGGAAGTCGACAATCAAACCTCCACGATGTGTTTGAAGGACAATTAATCAGGCTTGAATCACAGATTATTGCAGTACGTTTCGATCCCTGAAATTTGTCCCCCGTCATGGACTTGCAACATTATTATGGCAATCATTATCAGTTTTCTTCACAAGGGCTGACTTTGTTAAACCCTCACCGGGAATAGACCATCGGGTATGATGCTTGGGATGCCCAGGGAAGCCGCAGCAGTATATCCTACCGCCCTCTCCCGACCATACCAAGTGCTTTTGCCTCTGCCACCGAAGCGAGAGATGTGTGGGAGATGTATTGGCACATATACACTGCCGCCAGTGCGCGAGAGAGCCAAGTGGCTGCTCCATACGATATTGATGCGGAACCCCTGTACGACAACCACAAACAGCAGCAAGATTATACACGTCCAGACTTCTGGGTAGCCGGGTTTTTAAAGTGGTCCGAATCTCTTGAAGTGACGATACGACTTAGTACGAGTACAAGTACAAGTACCGGGGGCCAGACCTCCGCGCCACCTGTGTCCCAAAAGGAGCAATGTGCGTTAAAGATACTACAGATGTACCGTCTTTTGAACGACACACTAGTCGACATGGTCTCTCGACAGACCCTCGAAGATCTCGAGATCGATTCTCAAATGCACTGGGACCATAGCACCCCTATATTTGAACAGATGCTCGACCTTGCGGAATCGGTTTTGGCTGTCGAAGCCGACACTGGTCCACATTCCTCCAGTCCTACATCCACCTTCACCACCACTACTACCACCACCACTGATAGTCCGCTTCTTTCGTGTTCGTCACCGATGTCTACCCCACCTACACTGATGGAACCCTCAACGACCCCCAAATCCCGCCCCGTATTCACATTGGACACCAGCATCGTCTCCCCCATCTATGACATCGCCAAACGCAGTCGAGACCCCATGGTGCGCCGCCGCGCCATCTCTCTTCTCTACACCTACCCCCGGCACGAAGGCATGTACGACGGCGTCCTCTACGCCCGAGTCGCTCAACGCATCATGCAGCTCGAAGAGGGACGTCTCGACCACCAGCCCACGTCCGCCTCCGACGTCCCCGACTGGGCGAGACTGAGTGGTGTTCGACTAGTCTTTGACCTCGAGAAGAGACGACTCATCCTCCGATATGAGCGTTGTCGGGACAAACACCACCCTTTCAGAGTCCCTGTTGAGGAAATCATCGACCTGGACTAGAAATCCCAAAAGAAGGACCGGACAGATGCGTCTGAATCATGCATGGACCATCATTACTCACCCATCCTATCCAAACCAAGACAACTGGTGCGTCTGATCTGATAGATGGTTGAAGACTGCATAGTCCTCGTCCTTGTGTTTCAAAAGGAAGCAAATAGAGCGAGGTATATGACGAGGCAACATTCACTGAATGAAAAAAATAACCAAAGGATATCATTGTGAAGAGTGAATTTTACCCTCAACACACCAAGACCCCTAGGAAGGAGCTCAGGTCAAGGCCCCCATGGCGATGTTGGTCGGCGGCTTCCTTTCTAGGCGAGATGGACACGGGGTTCGAATCGCGGTTCAGTCAAACAATTAATAATTCAACAATTAATTTCACGACTTGGATTTCAACGAGGACGGATTCTCTGGGGTCAGTCAAAACAACAACCGACAATCGGTCGAGGGGGTTCAACTCGAGGGCACGACACAACAGTGGGATATTAATTCTGGGGCAAATTGGGGGCAACGACAACTAAGTGGGAGGACAACATAGGAGGAACAAGCGTCCCTGGAGAGGGTTAGAAAAAGTTGGAAGCGCTGCGACAGGGGAGATTCCAGAGCGAGTACCATAGATCGGTTTAAGACCTTCACTGGTCCCGAGTTGGGAGGCATCTGGGGGAAAAAAATCCTTACACGACTGGGATTTTCTTAACTAGGCTCCTATGGGAGATAAATCCTAGTTAAGTTTTTGCCATTTTTGCAGAATCAGAGGATTGAAAAAGCGACCTGACTTGATCCTTTTATTTAATAATCACGGTTACATACAGTTTATACACATCATGCGAGAAGAATGTTCTTCTCACTTTTTCTCTCCCTCTAACACAGCGTGGTGCAGATCATTTCAAGAACAAACACCAACTATCTCTCTTATTTTTCTGCATGCTTTTTTGTCATTGTGTGTTTTCAACCCGTTTTTTTCTCTACTCAACCCGTAAGCACTGCAATCTAGCCTCGGTCTCAATGACGTCCAAAGCCTGTCTAACCTCGAGGACCTTGCGAACGTCACCCAACCAATCCTTGCTCAACACCTTGGCCCAGCCCTGCAGAGAGTTCATCTCCCGGGCGGCGGCGTCGAGGTCTCCTTCCTCCAACAGAGTCTCGGTCCGGGTCAGGATGCTCTCGACGTCCGAACCGGTGGGCTGTCCGTGCTTCTTGAACATGACCTTGGACAGGACGAAGCTGGCCGCGTGGGACGCGACGCCCGCGTCTTCGGGGAGCAAACTCGCCTTGCGCACCTCGTTGGCCACGCGTCGGAAACGGTCAATCAGTTGTGGCTGGCTGGGGATACCCTTCTGGTACGCGGCCGGGTTGATCGAGGCGATCGCTGCGTCGACAATCGGGTCACCCTCGGCCGCGAGCTTGAGTGCGGCCATCTCGCGCACAAACGCCTTGGGGCGAGCCTCGGACGCCGCAGACCGAGAGAGAGCAGATCGCACGGCGTCCACCGCAACCTGCAGCTTCTGGGTGGCCAGGTTAGCATCAATGACGCCGTTCCAGTTGGAGGTCAGCTGAGTCAAGTCGTCGACGTTGGTGCTGAGATCCGAGAGTTTGGACAGACGGCCCTCTCGTTCAGACTCGACCAGAGACTTGATTTGGGAGACAAAGTCGCGCTTCATCTCGATGGCTTGCTCGGCAAGTTCATTTCTGAGTCGCTGTTCAGTCAACTCTGTGCTGCGCTGGACCTCATGCTTGAGCCTCTCTTCGTATAATTGTGCAATGCGTCTTCGCTCGGTCTCAAATTCCTCCCGGAAGCTAGCTTCATCCTCGGCCTGTGCGGTCTCAATACGCTTCAAGAGTTGTTGAGCACCCTCTTCGAATTCCTTGTGTGCCTGTGCAACTTGTTCTTCGGCGGCTTTTCTCTCGGCCTCACGCACTTGGTGGATCTTGGCAGCCACCATTTCCAGCGACTCCTTGGCTTTGGTCATCGGAGCTGAATATTTATTCGCGGCGTCGGGAGAATCCGAGTTGACTACTGTAATCATGTCGTTGACAATCTTGACGAGCTCTTGAACGACCGGTTCATCGGCATTGCCCACTGTGAGAGGCGATATTTGCGTGACAGGAGGGATAGCTGGGGGCCGAGGATCTGACTTGGGGCTCGGTGTAGCTGGGCTCGGGACGGTGGACTCAGTGGCCTTCTCCCCAGCGCTGTCTCGTTTGGCTGTCTCGACGGCCGCCTTCTTCTCTTTTGGGCTTGCGGATGCTGGGTCAATCTGAGCTTGAGTCGAAGCCTTGTTGGCATCCGTCGCGCTGTTATGCTTGCCCTTTTGTGTCAGATCACTGCCCTTGGGTTCGTCCTGAACAGCCCTCCACGAAAGCCCTGATCTCTGAGGGATCGTCGTAGTCTTGCCGTCAACATTTTCCCGGTCTGATCGGTTGATACGGTGCACGTTGTGCTTGGCATGGGGGAACCTCTTCTGGAACGATCGTTCCTCGAAGTAAAGGACCGCCTCCTCTCCGTAGGGGATGTACTCGGTGAAGAAGTCGTGAAAGTTGTCGTTTCGCAATGCATATACCACGGCTCCTCCGTATGTCAGACCGCTGAGCAAGAGCAGGTAGAACAGGGCCCTGATGCGTCGAAAACGTCGCGGTGCCGGCGCCGCTGGTTTCGAAGGCGGAGGCGGCGGAGTGGGTTCTGACGGGCTCACGGTGGCGGAACTTGTGGGCGGTGCCGTCTGAACCTGTGCCGGGCTGGGAGGAATCTTTGGGACGTTCTCGGGGGGGATGGTCGACGAAGAGCTAGGCGTCGCAGGGGTGATCGGAGGTGCTGGACTTCCCGGGCCGCCAGGGCCCAGAGGTACTTCCGTCTTGAGAGGAGCCGAAGCACTCTGGCTCCCTGGCATGAATGCCGGGTCCGAACTCAAGATGGAATCTTTCTTCTCGGCGAAGGCTCTCCGCTGTATTTCACTCAATGTTAGTGGCGGGGGATGGAAACGCCTTCTGGTGCGCACGAAATTTTGACGTACCTGAGAAGTAGCTCCTCGCGCGAGTAACTGCCTGCGCAGTTGTGCGCCGGCAGGCCTGGCTAGTCGCAGCATGACGGGCTGGACTGCCATCTGCAGCCTCTGAATAACGAGTGGTTTGTATGAAACTCGACACTCTAACAATACTGTTGAGGCCGAGCAAATTGAGCTTTGGATACAGAGCAAGCTCCAGTTCCGAACTCGCCGCTTTGGCCAGCAACACAATTCTTGGTCACGTGCCGCATATTCATGCAAAGCAGCGTCATTGTTCTTATTGGCATCTCTCTCGTACACCCAGGTCCGGGAGACAAGTCTACATCGTTCGTGCTGAGAAGTTATGGATCTCTTGATGTTTACGGAGCATTTGCATTCTCGTTCTCGGCTATCACATATTTCAGTACATATATCATTTTTGACCGTCCGTGACCGAATCATCCTCCCTCATAACTCCGCGCACGATTTGGGGAGGTTCACTCAAAGTTTCAAGCCCATGTTGATATGAACAGCCTTAGTCTGGCTATACGCTGCCAGGCCAGCCTCACCCAGTTCCCTTCCGATACCAGACTGCTTCACACCGCCGAATGGCACTCGGAAGTCCGAGTCATTGCTGCTGTTGACCCAGACCATGCCTGCCTCGATGCGGCTGGCAACACGGTGCGCACGCTCGATATCACGCGTGAACAGGGCACTGCCGAGTCCGTAAGTTGTGTCGTTCGCCATCCGAAGTGCATCCTCCTCAGTCTTGAAAGAAGCGATGACAACGAAAGGGCCGAAAACCTCCTCACGGTAGATCTTCATGGTGTCCTTGACATCTGTGAAGATGGTAGGCTCAATGAAGAAACCTTTGCCGCCACCGACGTTCTTATGGGGGACACCACCGCTGGCGAGCTTCGCGCCCTCACTCTTGCCGGCCTCAATGTAGCTCAGCACACGCTCGTACTGCGCCTTGGTGACCTGTGGGCCTTGGAAAGTGTCGTCCGCAAAAGGATCGCCAACCTTGGATGTGCTCTGAACGACCTTCTTGAACAAGTCAATGAATTTATCATAAACGCCTTCCTGGACAATGACGCGCGATGTAGCTGTGCAGATCTGACCCATGTTACTCATGATGCCGATGTGTGCCCACTTAGCGGCCTGCTCAAGGTCCGCATCGTCAAAGACCAATAACGGTGACTTTCCGCCAGTCTCAAGGGTGATGTTTTTCATGTTCACACTAGCAGTCTTCATGATCTGCTTGCCGGTGAGGGTGCTGCCGGTGAATGCGATCTTGTCAACGTCCAGATGCGAGGCGAGGGCGTTACCAGCTTCACGGCCGTAGCCGTTGACGATGTTGATGACACCCTTGGGGAAACCTGCTTGAGGAATGAGGGTTGCGAGATAGAGGATAGACAGGGGGGTTTGTTCGGCGGGCTTCATGACAATGGTGTTGCCACATGCTAGGGCAGGACCAAGTTTCCACGCTGCCATGGCGAGAGGGTAGTTCCAGGGGATGATCTGACCGCAAACACCAATTGGCTGCTTAAGAGTGTATGCGAACTTCTGGGTGTGCGTCGAAATGGTCTCACCCTGGATCTTGTCTGCCCAACCAGCATAGTATCTCAATGTGCCGATAACTTCACCCAAATCCTCGTTGAGTGCGACACTGTACGGTTTGCCGTTGTCCCATGTCTCCAAAGTGGCCAAGGTCTCTTTGTTTGCTTCAATCAAGTCGGCGAACTTGTACATTATGGCACCGCGGTCGGTGGGAGGAAGTTCTCGCCACGAAGGGTCGTTGAAGGCAGCTCGTGCGGCTTTGACGGCCCTGTCGACATCATCGGCGGAGGCTGCTTCCACCGAGCAGATTTCCGACTCATCTCTGCAGAACTGTCAGTTGATTGGCGGAGTACGGACGTGCTAACAGCACTTACGTAGGGTTTATGCTGGTGACCTTCTGGCCTGAGGTGGCCTTGACGAATTCATTGTTGATGAACAGGCCGGTAGGCAGAGTGATCTTTCTGCCGTTGGGCGCAGTGAGTTCGGCCTTGAGGTCAGACATGTTGGAGAATGCTCGTTGCTGGCAGGGGAACAGACGTAGTCGAGAAGAAGATGAGGCAACAACTACAAGCCGGTATGAATTCTTACTGAGAACAGGTCTTGTAAACAACGAGTTCAACATGTAAAAGAAGCCGAAGGAAACAAGAAGCCTATCTTCGCTCTCTAATCAATTGTATCACAAATACGCAACAGGGCCTAGCTTTTTACCTCGACAATAGAGGGGTCCAATCGAAGGAGGGGAAGCGAAGCAAAACACAGGCCAGGCGAGGAGCTTCACGAGCTTGAGTGGAACGAATTTCCTGTTCGGTGCAGGTTGCTGTCTCTCTACTGGTGACGGCGATGAGCGCAAGGTGGAGCGACCAGTCGGCCAGACGCTGAGATCCGTTAAAAGCAGCGGAAAAGACTTCGAGTAGTCAGAATAAGGGAAAAGAGTGTAGCAAAGTATGACTTGTCCCGAAGCTGTACCTGTCTACCAAGAACGCAGCGCTGAAAGTGACGAGGGGAGAGAAAAGAGACCTGCAGCCCATGATGGTGAGGGGCAGATAAGACCAGAGCGGTTGTAACTCCCTTTTCCGAACTAGTTCAATGTGCTCGCCGACAGCTTCCCCTCCTATCTCGCCTTTGGCCAGGACATTCAGCCTTATATTATTTCTCGTACTCGTACTTCGTTCTCGTATTTTGTTACGCAAGACCTCGGCACGCGATTGATCACTTCCTCACTCAACACCCTTGGCATATCCTTTGACGGGAGATTGAGACGAGGCGACATGTAAAGATGAGAAATCCATACTGGTGCTTCCATGCATCAGTCGTACTGGCCAACAAATCTTCGCCCGCAAAGCTATCGATCCGGCTGTTCTAGCGGTCCTTGAAATGGGTAGCTGTTGGCGACCAGCCGCCACAAGCAAAGGAGTCAAGTTATACTGTAAGTGTGTTGTAGCATGCTCCATTCAAGCTGGAGGGGAGACCTTCTTTGTTACTCCGTTCTGAATTGGATTCGAACACCACGTGTACAGCCCATTCCCAAAGCAGGTTGAAAGATCAAGATCAATAAAGAGGGCACGGGTACAACCTACACTGACTTTGTATGCATGGCATCAATTGTCCGACCTCAAGGTTCTTCAACAGGCAGGGGTTAAAATGGTCGAGAGCTTATTGTACAGGTAAAAAGTACCAAACATACCTGTAGCCGCGCTGCTTGGGGCATGCCGATTGAGCAGACGGAGGCTTTGGATAGCCTTGGAAATTCTCCGAGCTTTACGTGAAAAGGGGGTCGAAGCCGTTGGTTTGCCGTTTACCCGGGAAGCCTACTTGTAGATGGCTAAGGAAGCACCCATCAATCATCGTCCCTTCGCCTGTAAAAGAGGTACTCAAGTGCCTCGACCGTGGCCCCGGATGTCAATACACTTTATAGAGCAGCAAAAACGGGAGGATCAGATGGCACCAGCCGTATACGCGAGAGGGGGAACCTATTATTTCTGTGCCTATGTATCTAGGTACTTCAGTGTCCGCAGATGCACGGTGTGAATTCTCTCCTCTATGCGTAGGTCTTGATCCAGCTATCAATTCCTGGTCTTCATGATGAATCTTCTTCAGCTGAATGTTGTGACTTTCTGAGCAACTACAGCTTGCTGTGAATCACTTCGTTGTTTCTGCATGTTCCATCAACCCCAATCGCCATCGTTTAGATGTCCCTTAGTTTAACTCCCTTCAATGCTGATGTCTTCAGCATGCACATGGGCTTCATCGTGGTGCCAAAAACCAGCGACAATGTTGTCGAATTCAAGAATGATAATAGCGACTCTTGATTGTCAGCCATCGCACTGACATTATCCACATTCAAGGATGTTCGAAGTCAGTCTCAGATGCAGCTGCAGTGACAGCGTGCTCATGGGTGGTGCCATTCGTACCGTTGACCGGAGAAGACAGCTCGAATTTGACATCGCCTTCGAGGCTCGTGTCAACAGTTTTCTCACCAGCACCTTCAGCAGCTGTCTCCTCGCCTTCGCCATCAACGTCGGACTCGTAGCCATCCTTTGCTTCGCCCTGGATATGTCCAAGGGTCGGGTTTTCTCCAGCTAGACCAAGAATGAATCGCCACTCAGTAGGAGCAACTGACGAGACACTCAACCGACTCTGCTTGAGCATCTGCATGCTGGCCAGCACACCACCCTGCTGAGCGAAGGATTTGAGATCCTTTAAAGAAATAAACTTATCGAACTTCTTGACAAACTCCACGTGCACAAGCTCCCACTTGGGTTTAGACTCGTCAGACTTTGGATCGTAATAAGGGTGAGCCGGATCAAAGGCAGACCTGTCCGTGGTATGTTCGGCGACGATGCGCATGACACCTGCGATGCCAGGGTTGGGACAGTTGGAATGGTAGAAAAATGCCAGGTCACCCTTGCGCATGGCTCGCATGTTGTTTCTCGCCGCTGGATTGCGGACGCCTGAAGTCTTTAGTTTCAAGTCCTGTGTTCTCAAAATGCGTGGTTTGGGGGCTTACCATCCCATCCCTCAGGCTCTGTCTTTGCTGCAAGATCATCAATGGAAAATTTGACATCAACACCCTTCTCAATGCGAGATTCGGGTTCAGCCTTCATTAACCAATACTGAACATCTTGGTCCACGTCTTGAATGTCCTCCTTCTCCGCCGTGGTAGCTTTCACAGCACCTCCAACTGCAGAAGTGTCATTGAATTTAACCTCAGACTCGGAAACACTGGCAGAGACTGTCTCATGTTCATTTGTCGGCATAGAGCCTCGAGGCCGGCCAGCCTTGGCAGTTTGTTTCTGCACCCGCGATGCTTTGGGAGCTGCTACTTGAACCGTGGCTGGAATGGAGTCTGGTCATACATCAGTTTTAGTGCATCTTCGCGGCGACCACATGCTTAGTGTCAAGACACGTCAAGACTTACCACTCTGTTGCTCATGTCGAGTACCATTGGTGCCGGTGGTGGTAGATTTTTTTGCAGGGCGGCCTCTCTTTCTGGGTTCAGCTCTAGCTTGGTTCTTTGTGGTAGCAGGTTCAGGGCTAGCAATTGCTGGGCTTTTCTTTGGCGGACGTCCTCGTCTTTTTGGCGTCACTTCAGCTTCAAGTTTCTGCGCCTTCGACGGTGGTCGCTTTGTGACAGAGGACTTGCTTTTGGTAAAATTGTACTGAGGCACACCGACCGAGGTTCTTCTAGGGCGACCAACGGGCGAGATGTCAGGAATTTCTGACGTTTCTCCGATACGAACCTTCTTCACTGGAGTACTGCCTCCGGTGGCAGCTTTGCGTTTCTTGGGAGCCATGATGAGGATAGAGAATAGAGATCTTGGACGGAGAGCAAGATGGGGATCGGACGATGACTTGATTAACTCCCTGGTTTAATTGGTTGCATTTGCGACAAAAGAGAATATTGAGATTGACGTGGTCGGTGGTCAGTGAGTGAATATTGGTGTGAGAAACGCAGGGCAGAGACGCAGGTGATGTTTTAGACGCGTCGCGCCTGGGCAAAATTTTGGAGCAGCGGGAAAATCAAAAATCCGGGGAATCAGTGTCCGTGCAGGCAGCCTCGTCAGCCTCGTGCTTGTGCTCGTGTATTCATGGCTCCCTTCACTTACTTTATATGTACATACCTTTTGTTTCTCAACTTTGGCCGATAAGCACAACGATCGAAATGTCTTTAGTCAAAGAATGAGAAGATGGTCTACGCAGGTGTCGACACAGTTCACCATATCTGCGCATTGGTAGTTAACATGATAAGGAAATTTCACGTTCAACTCGATAACCAAAGCTCTTTGCGTAGGGACTGCATAGACTAACATCAGAGTATGTAGTGAAAGAATCCCCTTCATTGTTCCTAAAGTCGCTCGAAATACGCTCGTCTCCGTCTTGGTGTGGAAATGCTAGAGGAACATGCGCGGCAGAAATGATATCATCCCATCCTTAGGCGTTGGCATCGAGCCACGTCCGCTACAACAATGGATACCAGTAACACGCATGGGAGCCTCGTGGGACCGGATATATCACATTGACAGCTATGATATATTGTGTCATGTGTGGTGGTTTATGCTACTTATGGAGTATGCAAACACTGACTTGGAACACGGGCATTCTGGGCATTAGAGGCCCGTCCCCTCCAGGGCTCCTCGCCCGCAATGACCCTCAATTGACATACAATACAGTGACGAGCAAGTGTTCCGGTACAGGGTTCTTTACTCAGTACTCCAGAAGAGCATCCGGACAATAACAACAAATAAGATTGTACAATTTTCGCTAGCTGTTTACGACCATGTCACTCTGGACTGTACGACTATCCTTACCAGGTAATGCTCCGGGTCACGGAGATCCTTGCCTTCTGTGTGAGTTGTGTGCGTGCGTGCGTGCGCGGACTCCTTGACCTGATTGTGACTAAAACACCACCAAATCGCTATCCGAACAACACCACCCAAACCTTCTCTGTACAACCAACCATTCATCGTCCACAGAAATGTCCTGCAGTGGCAGGGCGCCACGTGTCGTCCCGAGGGCCCGCCAATCGACTTTTGGGTTTGGAAAGCGAGGGACAGCGAAAAAGCGTCAGCGGCCCTCCGTTTCACAAAGGCAGATGATCTGGGTTTTGCGCGATGCCCGCAACGACTTCCCTGCACCGAGTCAACCAGTCCTGCTCGCCTGAGTGGCTACTTGGCCCTTGTAGGTGCCCAAAGGCCTGGACTAGCGACTTGCATCCTGCAGGTCGGGCATGCATGCAAGTGCGTTGAAACTTGCAACCGAACCCTCATCTCCAAAACCTGTACGGCGTACAGGACCAAGGAATCGCCTCACTGCTACTGTAACCACATATGCGACCAGTCATGCACACGGTGCAAAGCCGAGAAAAAGCAATGCAAAGGATTGGGGGCCGGGTCACATGGAACCAAGCGAGTTTGCTTACCCATTGCTGCTGATGACGCGACTTGCCACTACCCGTACGAGCTGCCTGCCTTAACTTACAGAAGGACAAAAGTGATAAGTGATGCGGCCACAGACGAAGCGATCTCGCATTTTGGAGCGTGGTGTATGGAGTACAAGTCAGTCAAAGGTGGGAAAATCCTCCGTCAATCCGCATGGAAGCGAGGAAGATCCCCTTCTCGACACGAATTGCTTTCCCTTTCTTTCCAAGTCACACATGCCGTCCACCACCACACCTTTACACTAGTTCCTGACCCGTCGTCCTGTCGCTTGGGCACTGACAGCTGTCACGAGGAAGCCGTCACGGCCGGGCGGATGTGCAACATGTCATCTGTCTATTCCTTGTGCGACACTCATCCCGCGCGCCCAGAGGGGTGGGTCGTGTCAACCACGTTTCTCGTACTAGTACGGAGTATAAGCAGCTCGATCAGGTTGCGAGTCGTCGAACTCCGCCAGAAGAAATACTCTACTGCAATTACTCAAGTCGTAAGTAGTCAGTCCATCGTTGCAGACTTTACACTGAATACTCTGTACATCAGGCCAGATGGTAAGGTCTTGACTAGGGTACTCCCAAGCGTAGCAGCCCACCTGGTAAGCGATTCGGCATATTTGTCAAGTTGGCATTCCGGGATCCATTGAATGGGTTTTACCGTTGCCATGTCATGCAATGCAATGCGATGCAATGCCCACACGGATTAACCAAAGGACTTGGCCTCCTTCCGAATACTAGTACCCGTCATACGGTAGTGGGTGCAGTAGTGAGTTTGCTGTTGATGATTAGCCGGTGCTGTCGTGCATATATTGGGCAGCCATGCATGAATCGCCCATCGCTTCCCCAATGGTGGGTGAGATGCTCATCGTCGTTTAACTGGCCCATGCCGGAATAGGGTATTCGACTCTAACGACGACCATCTGACACTGTCTCCTGCATCTCAGACGTCAAAATCCTTGACCCTTGGCTACCTAGGTAGCTAAACAATTACGGAGTGGTTGGCTAGACCTTGGCTTTTCTAGACCACCTACTTCCCTTCGTAAACTATACGGTTGCCCATGCGATCGCACGAAATTTCGGACACGCCGACATCCATGTCCCATCGAGTGCCTTGCTTTCAAGCGTATCAAGGTTCGTTGCGAGACACACACACACACACAGAGAGAGAGAGAGAGACGGACAAACCCTCTCTAGGATCTTTAGTTTCTTTTGTTGTTGCCCAATTTTCAATGCGGCCAATGGTGACTTCATGTTTCTCTTTTTCGGGGCGGGTTTTTCTTACAACTGTCATGTAACTCATGACTTTCGGGGATTTTGCCCGTTTGTGATCAGGTCAGAAGTTTGGCCCTCCCAGAAGAAAGGGTGTGCCTGAGTGACTATTCTGGATGAGTTACCTAAGAATCACTCTTAACATGTAATTCATGGTCCCCCATCCCCGATATGTGGCGCACTGTACCTTACAGTACCTCGGAACCTTGGAACGGGTTGTGTTGCCGGGTGGGAATAACACCATGTACATACAGTACAACCCGTTGCACTCGTGCCCTCGTGGCACTTCTCCGTACCCGTCTTACTTATTAGTAACCCCCCCATCATGCATATGGATCCTCGGGGGGGGATGGAGGGGGGCGCTCGAGCTGCCGCCGCTACAGTACCACCACCGGGGGTCCAGCATTAGAAGGAAAGAAAGAAAGAAAACGAATGCCACGTTCACCAGGAAGAAAATACTTGGTGGCTTGAAGCTACTTAAAGAAGAGATGCGGCACAACAACAAGTGGTTACAGAATGGTGATGGATGAGCAAGTGCCAGGTGGGCAAACAGGGACAGGGTGAAGTAAAACAGTTGTCTCGCTTCCTGTGTCCTTTGGGTTTCTACTAAAAGTCATCTCCATCGTCATCCACAGTCCAAAGGCAAGGTCCATGATTTTTCTATCCGGAGCCATCTACAAGCCCCATTCGACAGGTCATCGTTGGCCCCAATTCACCTCGGAACTATAGTTTTAGGTTAGGTACTCCGTACCTAGAGGGTACTCCTTACTTATGTACAATATTATTGTATTTGTACCAGAGGTACTCCGTAGTTCGGAGTAAAATTGTCCACAAATTATCTCTTTCAGGCATTAAAAAACCGCCAACCTAGCAAATCATTTCAAAAATTACCGAGTACATAGGTATGGATTTTTTCATTTCTTGTTGGTCTTTTTGTATCGAACCTGGGTTGCCTTTTCCTTTTTCTTCTTCTTCCTTTTGGACAAGACACACGATCCACTTGGTTCTTACACTCTCCACGAGTATGTGCCCCCCCCCCCCCCCCCCCCCCCCCCGGGGCGGACACCGAGGCTACACAAGTGAGTGGATAAAGTTCTACTGGGAAAATAATTGTAAACAATAAATAAAATGTTTTCGCCCCATCAACTAGGTACCTATTGTACGGAGAGGTACCACAAAGGTACCTACCTACGATAGTTACCTCGTAGTCCGCCTCGCTTCGCCAATTTAGACCCTTTTTTTTGTCTTCTCTGTCTCTCTCTAAATAAGCATCGAAGCAGTTGTTGGCGCCAAAAGATCGTGGATCATCTCGCTTGTTCTTTCATGGAATGACCAAAGACAAGACCTCTGCAGAGGACTTACGAGACTCCGTACAGTAAAGTACTCTTACGAGTATGATGGAACCCTCCATCAAACAAGTCTTTGCCAGCAGCCGCCAACGATGACCTCGAACTCGCATACCCATCAAGATTGTACTTGTATCTAGTAGGGTATACTCCGTGGTACGGAATAGAGGGTCCAATACATTTGATGCCGCTGGGTCATCTCTCGTGGATACACATATGCCATTCTACAAAATCCCAAAACCTCCAGCCAGGTTGCCCACCCACCACCCTCAGGCGCCGCCCGACTCCGTTGTCCCTAATAATAGTGTTTTGTGTGTATCTTTTGCTACAGTGCCCTTGTGCACGCGAAATCGCATGCGCTCCTTTCCTAGTCTTTTCTTCTGTCTTGTAGCTCCCACCCACCACCACCCCAAGAACCGCACCACCTTCCACCAAAAGAATAATAACAGAAGAAGTATTAGTCGAGAAAAGAGAAAATATGGTCCGGGGGTATCTTGCACATGCAAAATGCTGAAAAAAAAACAAATAGAAAAAAAAGGTATTAGTTGGTCTCGCGGTTGTTGTCTTTCCCTCTCAAAATCATCGATATCTCGGGATGGCATTCGAGATAAGGTGTGTGTTTGAAATGCATCCCTGTGACGACAGTTGAGCATCCGTTTTTTTCTTCTGATCATCGGTTCATTCATAATCATGTCCCATCATCATACAAATGTGTATAGGATGCTGCATCTGAGGTTGCCCTCATAGTCGTCTCTCTAGGTTATAGTCATGTCGAATAGTGTTGGAAAACAAAAAAATAAAAAGAAGATCTCAGGCGGCAGTATTTATTTACACCGTTGTCGTTACCGACCTGAAGGCCATGTGCGCTCATAGTGATCTCCTCGACGGAAAGGATCATATGACTGCGATCTTGTAAGGGAAGGAGCCGGTGGTCCCGGCGGCAAGGATCGTGGAGGCGCATAGGCACCATTCGTCGTCGCGGGGAGTTGAGGTAGAGGCACGGGGGGCTGCGGTGGAAACCCAGTGTACGGCGGCTGAGACGGCGATTGAGTCTGGGCCCCGACGAAGATGGGCTGATAGTCTCCTGTCCGACGGCGCTGGCTGATAGAAGACTCCCTCTCATGATATTCGCGGTACGAATCTTCCGAGCTGAACTGCGGCTCAGAGCTGGCGCCGCTGGTCGGTGCTGGACCTGCCGCTGCCACCGCCATTCGCCGCTGTCGCGGTGACGGAGGACGCTGTAGGAGTTGCGGGTTGGCCACGTGTCTTGCAGCGATTTCGCGGAAGTGGTCTCGTTCTGAGAGGTAGAAATCTCGCTCCTCGATCAAGTCCCTGAGTTCTTCCTGCAACCCTGAAATGGTCTGGGAAGCCTCCTTCTCCTTCTCCTTCCGCCGAGCCCGGAATCGAGCCGATGCACCGGCATTGCGTTTTCTCTTCTCGTCTGCCACTCTCGATGCTTGTTGTAGGTCCAATTCCACCGGGAGAACCAACGGCCCTTGATCCGTATCCAGAGTCAGATTCATAGAGGTCTGTCCAGGCTGGTAGCCTTCGTGAGGGCCATGTAGATGATTTTCGAGAGCGTATCCGCCAGGCCCGCTCGGTTGAAACCCTCTGCGAACAGGCGAGGGCTGAGAGAGCTGCTGGCCAGGGCCATAGCGAAATATCGGCGAAGGTTGTTCGATCCTAGGGTACGTTGACTGGCCTGAGAAAGCTCGATCAGCTGTGTGCGTGATCGTAGATTCTAGACCACGCGGGGAGTTTCCAGGCGCAGGCGCAGAGCGGGCTTGGTTGCCAGATTCAAAGGGCGCTATATTTGGCAAATTCGGACCTGTTGCTATCGCCAAAGAAGGAAGTGGTGGGATTTCCGAAGTTCTGTACGGTCCTGGTTCAGCCGTGTATGTTCGGCCTGTCGACCCGGAAAACGGTTGGAGGGGCTGTATGGTGGAGTGAAACGTAGGGTTTCTCCTGGCTCCCAGACTCGCCGCACGGACTGCCGGAGATTTTGGCGTGAGCACACGCCTTCCAACACGTGTACTACCCGGCTGAGATTGGTCCTGCGGCGGTGATCGAGGATCCGTGCGTTTTCGAACACGAGGTGATACTTCAGACGGTCCTTGGAGGATGCTTAAATGCGACTGACTGCTCGTTGCGGGCACCAAAGGCGGCCCTTCAGGCTCCGTCTGAGGGTTCAAGATACTGTGCACACCAAAGGCTCGAGAAGGGGTCTGGACGCTTGAGTCGGCTGATGGCCTACGAGACTCGAATCCAGGATTGATGTCTGCTCCTTGCCTCCCGTAAACACTGCTTTCATAGCTGCCGAATGCTTCGGTCCTGGCAACACTCGCAGTGCTTGGCCTGGAGGAGTCTGCATTGGGACCTGCGGCCTGAGATGCAGCAATCTGCGTCCCTGGGAGAGCGAAAGAGGTATTCGATGCCCGGTCTGTTGGTGAAGTTTGTGACATGTACCTATGAGCCTCCTCGTGCGGCTGGTGCCCCAGTCGCGACCATGGGTGATCCTCCTGCGGCACTCCTCCGCTACCCTCCCTCCGCCAATCCTGAGGATCTAGAGTGCTGTGCGGGCTGGTCTGAGCAGACCAGGACTGCTGGTAATAGCCAGGATTTGGAGGTGACCTGGGATACTGGGAGAGAGGGGAGACTCTGACACCGACGGTAGCCAGGGTGAATGACTTGTTAATATGCTGATGTTCGTCAGAGAAGTATGACCAGGGGCTAAGTCCAGGTGGTCCGACTCACAAAGACACTTTTAGATGTCGAGGCAATCAGCGGAGGGGTAGGGTAGGGATGAAGAGTCCGGAACGCAGATTGCGCATTCCAAGACTAGAAGCATCTGCGCCAGCGTTCTAGGGCTTGCGAGGGGCCGCTGGTAATTCGCTTCTGGTGTATTGGTGGCAGCAAATGAGCTTCATCAAAGGTCAACCCTAGTCCTGAGAGGCCCGTTCGCAAAGAGCAAATTGAGGGTCAGGTAGACCGGAGGTTGTGACGGCGAAGGGAAGGGAAAGTGATAGTTTCAACAAGCTAGCCTGAGGTCAGCTCGTAATATTTCATTGTACTGTCGGAGGTAAGCAGAGGCACCGTGCAAGGACCTGATGACCCGCCGCAATTCCTGGGACGGGGAAGCGGGAAGGACTATGTACAATATTTGCCTGGAGGTGAAGGGCGAGATACTTCCAGGCTTCTAGCGTTGCCAGGCTTTGCTTCGTCACGATCATGAGCGTTGCTCCAGACAGGGCCCTTTTGACCCAACGCCGGCAAGCAGGAATCCATCGGTGGTGGGCAGGGAGTAGTTTGGGAATAGGGAAGTGGGTCGCGCCGTCACCAGCAGCAGCGGTACAAACGATCATGCACGCAACGGGTGGATGAGGAACGAGACGCCAGACGTGATCAGATTTCGAGGTTCAAGCAGAGACGGCAGGCTAAGAAAACTAGCTCATCGACCGAAGCGCACCTTGACAAGCGCGGACTAAGGGCACCATCCCAGCGGGATGATGGCAGCGACTGGGTTATCGACGTGATAGCGCGACCCAGGCCGGCATGGCGGTGATGTGGCGCCCGCGAATGCCTTTGGGGAGGTGTGGTAGCTGTCAATCGGGCGTGGGGCCAACATTGAGTTATTTCAGGGCCGGGGCTCTCGAGAGACGAGTCCTCGAGCAGCAAAGCTTCAGGGGTAGAAAGGATAGTTGCAAATGATAGCCTTGGGAAGCATGGATCGGGGTCCCTGACGGGATAAAGTCCCCATGACTTGGGAAGGGTGCGGCGCGCGTCCAGAGTGGTGGGAAGGAGAGTGAGTGGATTCTTGCAGATTATCCACCGTGGCTTGCCACATTTGGGCGTGAGGCGGCGCGGGCAGAACAATGGCATTTTGACACGACCAGGGGGTCGGAAGTTCTACCATGCAGCCATGTCAGGCATGGGAGCTAGTCATGAAGGCCGCATTAGTGTCGTCTGCGAGCTAGCCTGACCCGATTGTCGGCTTGCAGAGCGCCGTGAGGGTCAACATGCCTTGTCGAATGAAGAAATTTCGTATTTAGGGACCCCCCAGTACGGAGTAGGTAGTCTGTCCTTGGGTCGAAATGCGAGCCAGGGCTCCCGTTAGAGTATTTCGCAGCTGAGTCGCCTATTGGACCACGAGCCTGCAGCCATTTCGCCTGGGATCAGGCATCAAATGTGCTTCAAAGGCCAATGCGAGCGGGCACTGCTGTTTTTGGGATTTTCCCAACTCCTAATTTGTCGCTACCCTGGCTCCCAGGATCATTGGCAGTAGCCCCGTTGTGCAACCACTATGATGAAAGTCACATTCCCTTTTGATTGCGTATTTCGTCCAAATGCAGTATAGCAGTCGAGTTGCAAACGAAGCATCTGGGCCATACCCTTGCAGTCTGTCCAAGAAATCCCTGAGATGATGGTGTCCAATTTGCTCTCATCGCTCGATTAGGCGGACTGAGAAATGATGACGAGGGTCTCCCATCATCCTGACCACGAAGACTCCCGGGGTTCAATACTGTGCAACAGTAGAGGCTTCAGGGATTCCTCACGGTGCCTGACCCAGACAAACGGGTTTTCTCCTCGTTTGAGTGGTGAGGCAGCCCAAGATCTTGCCCCGTTGGCAGCCGAGAAGTGAACTTTTTGGTGACGTTATCTGTCACAATATGCAGGCAAGGAGACGTCGTCAGTGGCGGGCTATCCCATGCAGTAAGCCAACCCACCGGCGCGCATGAACAATACACGACATTTCTGCCGGCAGGCCCGCCTCGGAGGATCGCGGCGATCATATCCTTCTGAGGATTTGCGGCCTCAGTAGCCTCAAACTACCAAGATGGCTAATAGGCGTCGCAGGTGTCAATGTACTGGGTCCCGTCAACTGATTATCCTTCATGCGTGCGCGGATGTCAGTTCTGCTAGTCAGCGACGCCGTCGTCTATACCACCACGAAGTCATCTGCGACTGGTATATGAGTGTAGCCCCGTGCGCAACATGGCAGAACGGCCTGCTGTATGTTCCATTTTTACTGACAGTCATCATTGAAATGGTCTTGCAGGTTCACTACTGCTGGCGTTTCATCCATCTCGCTGCCAAAATATCTGTATCGTCGGTGGAAACCTGTACAAAGTATGAGTATGATTAGCAGGAGTCAGGCTATGACAAAGATGGAACTGTTAAACCAGGTTCCAGCAGCTTCAGACTTGGGTCAAACGGCATCGTGTCACTCGGTGTAGTTACACAAAGGGCAGGTGGTGATATGGCGTCCTAACAAATTTCCACGTAACAGCCCTTTTGCTTCAGACCAGAAATGTAATTGCCAGCTCTCGATAGTATGGTCCTTCCTTCTTCGCGACCATAGCGTTTGATGAAGCCTACGAGCCTCGTCACATCAATGATTCTATCCCGGACTACCCTTCCAGAAGGTATGAGTCAAACAATAATGGACCTTGATCCACAACAAATTTGGTGCAGGTTATGTTCTTGATGTGTTCGCCTTGCCAGAGCTGACAGGGATCTTCACTACATCGGTCCATCATTATGTACTCCGTACTCCGTGGCTCGCTGAGCCATGGGTAACGAGCCGAGTTGATACACGCTTCGACCCCCACCCCAGGTCCTTTGGGTCTAGAGACACGATCTAATCTTCAATTTTGACCCGGATTGTTAAAGGCAAATCGAATCGTCATTGCTTGTTACGTTGTTGATGTTTGATCAAAGCGTCCGCAAGAAGGCTATTCCAATTCTCAAAATTGGGGCTGTAGAAGCCCACCCTGAACATCACACCTTCTTCTCATGAAGGTTTAACTGCGACTTGGAAACCGTGTCATAGCCGTGATCGTCACAACCGAAAGAGAAGCTCATGAATCGATGGAGCGACGATTCTTTACTAATTCTGCCCCGGCTCTACATGTGGGACATCTTAGTGGAAGATCTGCGAGAGTGGCTCGCCATGATACATACAGTACACGGTACAATGGCTGATTTAGCACGCCATCAAAGCCTACATTCGTCCAGGGTCTCTCTCTACTTGCAGCGGGAGGTCTTGGTCGGCTGAACATACCCGCTTTGGTACGGTGATGCATCATGATAAGGTTCTACGCTCACAAGTGCGAGTATCTGTGTGCCAATTTAATGATTCATTTGCAAATTAGCAAAGTCGATGGTGGGTGACATGAGACCGATCATCGTTCGTTATTCACCCGGTGTGCTCTAGAGATTTGTTCCAAAGGGTCTCTTTTGGAGAAGTGTGGATGCTTGAATTGTTTAATGTCGTCGTTTTCGGAGTGGCTTTTCAGGGACTGTACTGTACAGAAAGCGAATGATTTCAACATTACCGGTGTGAGGGATCCGCGAGTAAATTCAGAAATTGCATGGCCAATGACACTTGCTTCGACCTTTACAGGGATATTGCTTCTAGAACCATCCCTCGCGAAATTGGAGCTTGCGAATATCTTCAGACACGATGTGTTGCAAGGAACAAGGTCAGAGCCTGAGGGAAACGAACCACGTGGGAAGCGAGCGTGCAGATTTCGTCCCTCCAGGTATCCATGCCATGGCGTCAACCGTCAGGGGCACCGGGGGGAGAGAGGCGTCGTCCATGTCCGTGTTGGTGGATGACGCAGAGACACAGCCAGGAGCCCACTGAGAGGAGGAGGGGGAGTAACACACGGGCTGCTAGGGACGGAGTAGTGCTCCCAAGCAAGGCTTTCGCCGAGGGCACCATCCCTGTAATCTGCGACTAGGGGCAGCGATGCAAGGTACAATACTCCGGACCTACAGTAGCACAGCACCAGGAATTGACGCAAATCTAATTTCCAGGCAAACATTTGGCTCCAGACGATAGACGACACACGATCAGTTCCATCTTACGAGTACAGTTCTTACAGAAAACAACCTCGCCAAATGACGAAATCAAAAGGCACAGAGAGATGAAATGATTTCGAGGCCAAGCTAGCTAGCGATACGGAGTACAAGGATTCTGAGCTACAAAGCATCTAAATTGCTGGGGTTTCGGCCACACCACACCAGACACATCGACCGAAGGAGCCCATTCTCCGGGCTCTGGGCTAATGCCAACACTATGGTACCATACGCGAGACTTCCGTCGATATGTGGGCTTCATCCAACCCTTGAATGTCGCACTTTCCTACACATGACAACTTTGCCTTGATTCTTGTGAACAGACGAGGACAATCCAACCTCGCTTGCAACCCTCCTCCGATTCAGGACTGCTTTGAGTAATTGACCGGTCCACGTCACTGACGACAGCTGAGCGATACGGACGATGTTCCGGAGAGATGAAAGTGATCAACGTCCAGCCTCTTTAACCGAGCACTGGGAAGATCATGGAAACAAAGATGATGAATGATGCACTCCGGGTACCCGTACTCCATACCCCCTGATGCAATAGCTTTACATGTACCATGGTATCACAGACACTACTTGACATGCTGGAACAGACCCCCCTGGTCTGCCATTGTTGGTCGTGGTCAATACAAACCACTGTTGAAATGACTGTGTATACCAGAGCAAAACACAGCATGACTTATATGGACTGAGTACTCCGTACGCCAGCCGTCATTACGATACAGTATGGTGCAGCTCTCATGCTACTCAGCCGAAGCTCGCCAGCGATCCTCAATTTCGCTAAAGCTCAGCCCTGCGCCGCTTGTGGCCCGCCAACACCTTCGAGAAACATCAAATGTTCCATTCTTTCCCAGAACTGGTATTCACAGCCCCTAGTCTCAAAAGCATCTGGAACGGCCTTCCGAGAGATTGGTCCTTGTGACCAACTTGATACCTCAATCATCCACCACCAGGCTTTGAAATGATTATCGGCAACCCAGAATTTGTTTCTCGCTTGTTTCGCTGTTGACGAAATAGGCCAGCCCCAGAGGCTCCGAGTCACTTCTCGCCCGAGATGCACCAGCTCGTGACCTACAATGTCCGGCATCCGATAGTCTTTTCGAGGCGCAGCCCTACACTGCCAGCATATCCTTGACGGCACCAGTGAAATTGAGGACAAGAGGCCTCCTGGCAATTCGCGCGAAATTGTTCGAATCAAATCGGGTGGCTATGACATCTTGATGTCCTAAACCGGATGGCGGCAGCAGATGGCTAGACGCCGGGACAAGGATGAATTTCAATTTCTCAATAAATGATTTCGATTCTGTCCATCGCTCGTTCTCCTTCTAGAAGCATACAAGGATTTCAAGCAAGGGTCTACCTCAAGCGAGCCGGGTACTTCGGCATACCCTTGATACCGACATCCACCTTGAACAAATTGCCCGCAAATTTGGCAGATTTTGGGAACTTTTCAGGCTCGGCCTCTTTTGCACTAGTGATGAACAGCTCTGTGTCGGCGAAGGTAGGGCAGGTAATGTTGCGTGTGGGCAGGTGAATTACTCCAGTAATTTCTCCTTTCGGTGAGATGCGAATGACTTTGGAGCCTCCGTAGCAAGCATGCCAGATGTTACCCTCAACATCCATGGCGTGACCGTCGGGATGAACTCCTTGCGCAGCTTCATCGAGGTGGAAGAACAGTCTTTTGTTGGAAATATCTCCGGTCTTGGGATCGTAGTCAAACTCGAACACGTCACCTGGTGGCGAGTCGGTAAGGAACATCTTGTTGTCGTCGGCATTCCAGGTAATACCATTGGGAATGGTCATGTGGTCGTGCATCGTTCGTAGCGTGCCGTCATGGTCAAGTCGGAACAGACAGCCTTCTTCGGTAAGTTCAGCAATCTCAGGGTCAACAAAGGCTTCGACCCAGAATCGACCTTGGGTGTCGACGGCACCGTCATTTGAACGCATTCTCAACGATCGCTCTTAGCTATGCTCCCTATGGAAGGCCGTCGACCCTTACCTTCTGGTTTTATCCTCGGCATCTGGACCACTCCAGTACTTGGCCACATATTCATGCTCCTGAGTTTTCAGGTTGAACTTGGTGACGCCGTCCTTTGCCCCTGCCAGAATGACCTCTGAAGAATCTACACCGTCGATATTCGCCGTGACGCCAATTGGCATCTTTGTGTCAAGTATCCTGACCGAATCCGGGCCCTTGTTCAAGTCGATTATGAACAGCTTCCTGTTATTGATGTCCTACGTCATGACTCAGTGCCACAGAACACATATTTGAGCGCATGTTGATGCAATTCTGAGAACGAACCATATATCGGAGCTCATGTCGCTCTGGGGTGTAATACGGACCTTCGCCCAGACTACATTTTGACGGGTAGTACGCCTGGCCAGAGGTAAGCATTGAAACTCAAGTCGTCCATGGTGAACCGACTGACCTCCTTCACGGTCCACTCTTGCATTCCCATCGCTTCAAGCTCGTGGCTAGATGTTGGATTTTTCGGTTTGAGCAAGCTTGTCCACCTGGTCTCAAGATTCTGAGTTGGTGTCTGGCGCTTCCGCCGTTGGGACGTCGATGACGGAGCAAGTCAAATTATATCATCGTGCCGGCAGCTTTGCCAAGACCGGCCACAACGGACTCACTCCGGGTCCAAGTTGCTGTAATTTATTATAGCGGGCCATGTCAACCAGCGCTCGACAAACTACTCATTGGTTTTAGATACGGAGAAAGTGGGATCACGGTTGTACCTCGTGAGAAGACTTTACATGACATCTTGGAAATCTATATAAGCCGAAGAAGAGCCGGGCGCTGGAATCGAAGAGGGGCCCAAAACTCGGCCGAGCACGAAGCCTGGTGCTGCTTACCGCTTGCTTGCTGGGGACCCTATTGCACCAAGGTGCTGTGGCGATCACAGAACATTGGACAGCGAAGTTTGAGTGAGGCCTGCGCAAGACTCGACGGCTCGATCAGCGGCTGCTTTGCTTGTCCCTGCCAAAGAGCAATATTTCCAAGTACCATGACCAGTTTCCTTGTTGGTGACATAGCCTCGACGCTGCAGCCTTTGTATTGTCTTTGATCTAGACGACTCGCAAGTTCAATTTGAACTTCCCATATACAGTCTGTCTGAGGGCAATCAAGATCTTTCAAAGCAGTCTTTCGAAGTGATGAGACATCTCGTTGAGTTACCATCGGCCGACAGACGATAGGGCGTGCCTTCCAGGATGTACAGAACTGTACACTCGTATGTCTCTCGAGCAACGTGATGGCCTCATGCCTCAGACTTTGACTGAAGGGGCGATAAAGGCCCTGACAGCCAGGGTTGCGTCGCCTTCATGAGACCGTAGCAATTCTGTAGCTTTGTTCTTTGAGAGGTCCAATTCTTCAACCTGCAATCAGAGTATCAGTATACGACTTGTAACGAGTAGTATGCAGCAACATACCAGGAAGTTGACATCTTCTGAAGCAACCTTGATCTTCTTCTTGGTTTCCACCTCTTTCTTCGCCTCGGTCTTCTTGGTATCCTCCTTCTTCTTGCTCACGCCACTTGCTATTTCTAACCTCGACATAGCCTTTCCCAGTGCCTCTTGGTCAGCCGCCGAAGGACCTTTGCTGGCACTTTCTCCATTCTCTTGCGACATGCCGGTTGCATTGAGCGCATTGAGCGCAGCTGCGGCCTTGCGATCTTCGGCGTTGGCGGGGAGATTTTGGGCGGTCTCATCGTCGCCAGCATCTGCGGCTGCAGTGGCCGACGGAATTGGTTCAGCCATTGTGATGAGGATGCTGTTCAGTGGTGGCAGAGATCAGAAGAACAAGTGGACCAAGAGTGGTTGTGGAATAAACACTTGAACACATAAAATCCGAAAGGGGAATGGTGCCAAATGTAACATCAGAGTCTCCCTTGGACACGCAGAGTCATACGTCGAATTTTCTTGATCAAAACACTCGGTTACAAACCTTCATAAACCGCTTTTGAGAAGACTAATTATAATATAATACATGTATTGAAGACATAATCGAAAGGCTCGAGTTCAGAAGCGGTTTCCCTGTCGTGACAACTCTTTCAGTTAATCGAAGGCTACCTCACATCTGGTATTTCCACGCTTCATCGAATCACGCACAGGCGCCCCGCCGTACGGAGTTGCTGGGACATGGCGCGGAATGAAGAACCAGGTGTCTGGTCACCATCAAGCTGGAAAGGGAGACCCATAGTACAGTCTGTCGCCTACAAAGACACGGCTTCCTTCGACCACGCCGTTAGCAAGCTGAACACGCTCCCACCTCTGGTGACGCCGAGAGAGATTGTGAGACTGAAGAATGAATTGCGTGAGGTCGCCCAGGGCAATGCCTTCCTGCTTCAGGGTGGTGACTGCGCAGAGCTGTTCGATTACTGCAATCAAGACATGATCGAAGCCAAGGTGAAGCTGTTACTGCAAATGTCCCTGGTCCTCATCTACGGCGCGAAAAAGAAGGTTGTACGTGTGGCGAGGATGGCTGGTCAGTACGCAAAGCCGCGGTCCTCGCCCATGGAAACCATCGACGGGGTTACGATGCCCAGCTTTCGAGGAGACATTCTCAATAGCTACGAGCCGGATCCTGTTGCCCGCGAACCCGATCCCAAAAGACTCGTCGACGCGTACTTCCACTCTGCGGCGACACAGAACTACCTGAGAGCCGCACTCTCCTCGGGCTTGGCTGATCTGCATGCCCCTCTAGACTGGAGTCTCGGGCACGTTCGGGATCCCACCGTTCGAGATCATTACCAGGCAATCGTCGAGCGAATCACGGACACTCTTGACATGATGCGCACGATAGGTCTCGACACTGGCGGAGGTCTGGAGACTGTCGACTTGTTCACGTCTCACGAGGGGCTGTTACTCGAGTACGAGCAATCTCTCACTCGATTGTTCAAGCACCCCTCCAACGCGGCGCCACCTGCCCTGCCTTCGAAACCTGTTGCATCACCAAACAAACACCGAAAAACCTCTCTACCGACACAGCTGCCACCACCTTTACCGCCGACGAAGGGCTATTACGACACTTCGGCGCACTTCATCTGGATCGGCGATCGAACCCGCCAACTGACACATTCCCATGTTGAGTTCTTCCGAGGCATCGCCAATCCAATCGGTGTCAAGGTGGGACCCAGCATGCCGGCCACTGACCTGGTGCCTCTGCTCGACATCCTCAATCCTGGACACGAAGTCGGAAAGATTGTCTTGATCACTCGTTATGGCCACGACAAGATCGCTGCTCACCTTCCGGGGCATATTCGAGCGGTGCAGGCGTCGGCGCATAGAGATACGGTGGTCTGGCAATGTGATCCCATGCACGGAAACGGCCGCAACGCCACCGTCACAGGCCCCAGCACCGACGGCACATCTACGAACGGAACGACGACTTTCAAAACTCGACGGTTCAGTGACATCTTGTCAGAGTTGAAACAAGCCTTGACAATTCATCGATCCATGTCCAGCTATCTCGGTGGAGTGCATCTGGAATTGACCGGCGAGGCCGTGACCGAGTGTGTCGGTGGTGCCGAGGAACTGACTGAAGAGGACCTGAGTTTGAACTATACGACATTCTGTGACCCCAGGTTGAACGAAAAGCAGGCGCTTGAATTGGCCTTTTTGGTTGCTGGGTTTTACAGGGAGGCTACGGAGAAGAGGCAGACGAAGTAGTAAGACATAAAAGACCTGAGGTGGTTACGAAATGAAACTTGCAAAACGAGAATGAGCACTGCATGGTGGGATTTGTAGGATACAATGGATTCATGCGAAAGATTGAAGGAGTATGCGCCTTTTTCCAATGCTTTGATGTCTCGTTGTCAAATTTCTGTACCACCAATGCGTACAGCCAACCCGGCCCTTTTGGCAATATTAAGCCCTGGCAATTGCCTGAATTCCTCTTTTCCACCTTCAATGTGTTCATCGGATAGTGTTATTGGTACTTACTCCCCGGACTCGACTCAATGCAAGTGAGAAGCACCTCGTTAACATAATTCGAATGGTTGGGTATTTGGACAACTGAGCAGACTCTTTCTGCGGCAGAAGCCCGAATACAGCATCAGTGTCGATTATAAGTGACTCTGTGTTCTTGACTGTCGCAATGTGTGAACTCAGGCGATCGAGATCTCATCTCGCGCAAAGGGAGATTAAATATTCCAGGATATGATGACGAGTTTAGTCTGGATTGTAGTATGTAGCACCGTCACTGATAGAATCATGCATCTGTAACAGTGACAACCATGGTAGCCACTCATCTATGATTGTCCAATACTCACAAAGACTATGTATTCATTATGATGTATCAAGTGAAGAACGAGTGAGTGACCTTGAACGTGAAAGAAAGGCGACGGTCACGTGGTTACAAAATCCATCTCTTCGGGCAACTATGGCGAGCGCAGGTGGCATCTGCACTCGCGCTTCAAGGGATCCAAACAACAGCTCGAAACTTCTGGCGAGCCATTTAACTTCATCTTTGGCTTGACCCTGCCATCCAATACCATCTCTCTACGCGGCGCAAGCAATCACTCACCGCAATCTTGGTTCTATCTTGGGAAGTTTCCCGTGGCAAGAAGCAGACATGGCTTCGGGTCAATCGTGGCTCAATCAAGATTTTGGTGGAGATGATGAGGAGTCTGACAACGACTTCAACCCGGGGGTCGAGGCTGGCTCCGACGCCGAAGATGATGCGGTAGACTCAAAGCCACAAATTGCGAAACGAGACGCCAGTGATTCCGAAGATGAACGGCGATCCAGAACGAATGGAAACCGGTCATCTTCGCCTGCCAGAAAACCCAAAGTCGTGGAGGAGGACGATGACGAAGACGCCGACGCCGACGCCGACGCGGATGCCGACGCAAAAGCAGATAACGACGAGGATGACGAAGGCGAGGGTGAAGACCTTAACGGGAACGACGACGAAGAGGATGAAGAAGACGAGGACGAAGATGAGGACGCAGTCGCAAGCCGACCTCGAAAGCGCAGGAGACGAGGCCTGAACCAATTCTTCGAAGAAGAGGCCGAAGTTGACGAGGACGACGATGAGATCGAAGCCGATGAGGACGACCTAGGTCCCGAATTCATCCAAGACACCCACCCGGACGATGACATCCCGCCGGAAGCTGATCAGGACGACGCCAGACACAGAGAGCTGGACCGACAACGACAACTCGAGGCCTCTATGGACGCGGAAAAGCAGGCTGCAGCTTACAAGGAAAGATACGGACGTAGAACAACCGCAGCTCTCAGCAATACTTCCTTTGTGCCACAAAATCTCTTGATGCCTGATGTCAACGATCCGAGCATCTGGGGTGTTAGGTGCAAAGCCGGGAAGGAGCGCGAGATCATCAGCAGGCTCATGAAGAAATTCTTCGAGAGTCAGAACAGTCGCAAACCGTTACGGATCTGCTCTGCGTTTGAGCGTGGCGATGGCCCTATGGCGGGATACATCTTTGTCGAAGCTCGACAGAAGGTGGATGTCGACGACGCGCTCGCAAACGTTCCTGATGTTTACCCAAGATCGAAGATGAACCTGGTCCCTGTCAAAGAAATGCCCGACCTCTTGAGAGTTACTAAGAGTAAAGAGCTTGAAGTCGGTGGCTACGTTCGCATAAAGCGCGGATTGTACCAGGGCGATCTGGGTATGATAGAAGCTGTCGAATCCAACGGTCTCGATGTGACTGTCCGACTTGTCCCTCGACTCGCGTACGGTGCGGATGAGGATCTTACGCGTCCACTCGGCCCAGACGCCAAGCGCAAGCGTCCGAATGCATTTGGTGTCGGAAGCAGTATTGCCAATCGACCGCCTCAACGATTATTCAACGAGGCCGAAGCAAGAAAAAAGCATGATAGATTTATGCAGCAGAACCGTGGTCTTTCCAATAAGAGCTGGACCTATAAGGGCGACCAGTATGAGGACGGCTTCTTGATCAAAGACTTCAAACTGCAGCACCTTACAACCGAGAATGTGAACCCGAGGTTGGACGAGATCACGAAACTGACAAAAACTGCGGCCGACGGTACCGAAACTCTGGATCTGGAGTCCCTCGCGCACAGTCTCCGCAACACAACAGCAGAAGGCAGCTTTCTTCCTGGCGATGAAGTTGAAGTTTATGAGGGTGAGCAGAGAGGTATCGTAGGCAGAACAGAGGCTGTCAAGGGTAACATCGTTTCCATCATGGTGTCCGAAGGAGAACTAGCCAGCCAGCTTGTCGAGGTGCCAGTAAAGGGCTTACGGAAACGCTTCAGAGAAGGCGACAATGTTAAGATCATTGGAGGAAGCAAGTATCGTGACGAAGTGGGAATGGTCCTTCGCATCAAAGACGACAAGGTCACTGTCCTTACCAACACTAGTAACGAGGAGATCACTGTTTTTAGCAGAGATCTTCGAGAAGCTACGGATGGCGGCAGCGGAGGTGCAGGAACAAGTAAATTTGATGTTCAGGAACTGGTACAGATCGAGTAAGTCTCCACCTGAGAAAGTCTGGTGGTCTCTGCTAACCGGTGAACAGTCCTACCACAGTTGGCTGTGTCATCAAAGCCGACCGTGAATCGGTACGACTCTTGGACCAGAACGGCTCGCTCACAACGAGGATGCCCTCACAGATTCACAAGATTGAGACTCGCAGGAATGCCGTGGCTACAGACAAGAACGGTTCCGAGATCCGAGTGGGCGATGTTGTCCGTGAATCTGGTGGCGAGGGTAAGAGTGGAACCATATTGCACATTCATCGAGGATACGTGTTTGCACACAACAAATTGGGAATTGAGAATTCTGGCATTTGGGTATCGAGATGCACAAATGTGATCACGACCGCAGCAAAAGGTGGCCGCATTACTGCACCTTCCACAGATCTCACGAAGATGAATCCTGCCTTACAGATGAAGCGACCAGACATGTCCATGGGTCCACCTCAACGACCCGGCCGTGACCCTCTTCAAGGACGACATGTCCACATCAACAAAGGTACTTATAAAGGTCACCGCGCAATAGTCAAAGACACGACAGCCGGAGAAGCACGACTTGAACTCCAGACCAAAAATAAGACCATCAACCTGAACAAATTTGACCTTTCCATCGTTGAGTACGTATCACCCAAGTAAGCCGTTCGGACCATGCTAATCTATATCCAGCACAAACACTCAGAGTAAAACGAGATACGAGGATTGGATTCGACAACGAGGTGGTCCGCCAACGATGCGCTCAGGCCCTGGTGGACCAGGATCTCGTATTCCCGATGGAGGCTTTGGTGGGCGAACTCCTGCCGGCGTCATGGATGGCGGTCGCACTCCTGCATGGGGTGCTTCGTCAAGAACACCTGCTTGGGGTGGTCCCGGCGGTTCTGGCCTAGACTCAGGGCGCACTCCAGCGTGGAAAGGAGCATCAGGATCACAGACATCCTACGGCGGTGGCGGCATGACTTCTTACGGCGGCGCAGGCAACTACGGCACCAGCGGCAGCCGCACACCGGCTTGGAATGCGAGTGCAAAGACTCCATATGGAGCTGATCATGGCTTCAGCTCTTCGGGAAATTCTGGGTTCGATGCCTTTGCGGCTGGCTCGAGAACTCCAGCTTATGGTTCTTCATCCTCTCGTACACCTGCTTGGGGTGGTCCTGGCAATGCAGCCTCGGCACCTACCCCTTCTGCACGCCCCTACGATGCTCCCACACCTGGCGTGTCTGCACCTACACCGGCTGCTTCTGGTCGTTATGATGATGACCCTTACACGCCTTACCTCAGTGCACCGACACCAGGAGCCGGTCCTCAAGATGCGCCGACACCAGCACCGAATTTTGCAAAGGGTGCGAACAGGGATCCACTCACGCACAACCGTCTCGGTTTTGATGCTCCTACGCCTGCAGCCAGTGCACCCACACCGTATGCCAGTGGTGCATTCGACGCACCCACACCAGCCGCTGGAGGGCCGCGTTATGCAGACGATGACGACGAGGATTGATTCGGTCTGGGTGTTTAGGTACTACTCGAAAAGTGTATCATTACAGCAAGTCAAGGGAAGGGCTGGCTATTGGTACTTTTGACGCGGCGCTCGGCATCAGCCCTTATTAATGTGACTTGGGCTTCGCTGGAGTCCGTATCAAAAAAAAAGTACATTTATTCCATGCAGAGGCAGTAAGCAGGAAGCCAATGTCTTCGGCCCGATTTAATTTTGATGAAAAGGAGATTCCAACTCATTGATCACGAAAATGCTGACACTGGCATTGCGGCTAAGCGTAGTTCTCCGTAGTAAGTGGGTAGTTGGCCCCCAAGATACGAAGTACTCGCTTAAGAAGACGGAAGATGAGGGTGTGAGCATTGCATACGACCTCGTGTGTCAAATCCTGGGCTTACATCTTCTGCTTGCCTGAAACAAATACAAAGTCATGATCCCCCCTTTCCTCAGCGAGTGTGTTTCTTACAATTGATTCAAATTGTGAAGGAAGGAGCATTTATCGTCTGTGTGATCACCTAACTTACGGAAACGTTTGTTCATTGTGTTATACCACCGAGATACTTTGGGACGATATGATGATGATGGCACCACCACCTTCACTTTCGTCCTCCTCCTCCTCCTCCTCCTCCTTCTCTGGGACCATTTTGTTTTTATTGTTGATTTCGGTCTCGACAATCGTCCTTCGCGCGATTTATCGATTGACGTTCCATCCACTCGCTCGGTTCCCTGGTCCCAAACTCGCGGCCGTCACGAACTTGTACGCCGTGAGTTACGACTTGTCCTCGGAGGATTGCCTCGTGAAGCATTTGAAACATCTCCACGATCGATATGGTGCGTTTGCCCTCTTGTTTCGTAAGTTTCACACATGGGAAAGATTCAAGTTTCTTTCCGTCCTACACCGCACAGGAAAGACTTCTCAAAGGTCTTTGTTGCTCGGTGGAGGAAGCACACATGTGTGCGTGTGTGTCTGTGTATCTTTGTACTGACCTATATGCACTCCCCTTTCTACAGGACCCATCGTTCGAGTACGACCTAATGAATTGCATGTTTTTGATTGGGATGCTTATCGAACGTGAGATGACCTGTATCGTCCTTTTTCCTGGTCTTTTGGACTAACCCGACTTTCTCGACCCTTCCTCAAAGTGTATTCAAACCAAATTCGGATTTCCATCGACCTCGAGAGTTCTACAATGCTCCACAATGCGAAGGTTCGTTCCTGAACGTCTCCGACGGTCGTGTCGCAAAGCCCCATCGGGATTTGTTCGTCCAGGCCTTTTCCAGACGTGCCATCAAACGTCTGGAGCCTTTGATAAACAAAAAACTTGACCGGTTTCTGGAACGACTGGACGAGTTCGCGACTCGAGGGACAGCCGTCGATCTGGACGTGGCGTTTGCTTGCTTCACCGGCGACGTGACGATGGATTACTGTTACCAGATGAACCTGGGTTTGTTGGACGCCCCCCTCCTCAGACCCAGCATGATGGTCTACCTGGACGAGTTCGCCCCCATCGTGCCGTTCTTCTGGTACTTTCCGGGCGTCGGCAACTTGCTGAACAAGCTCGTGTTCGGCGACGTCCTGCCGACCCAAAAGGTCAAGGCGTGGTTCCCCGCGGCCGCGGCCATGAAGGACATGATGAGGCGGTGTGAAGAGCTCGTGACGTCCCTGGCTCAGGCGCCGAGCGGGTCGAAGGAGGTGACGTCCTCGATGTTCGCTGACGCCCTCGACCCAAAGGGTGGTCGGTACGTCGTCAGTCGCAAGGAGTTGGCCGCCGATGCCGTCTTGATGTTTCTCGCGGGTACCGACACGACCGCCCACGCGTTGACTTTTGGGTTTTGGGAAATGATCAAGAGACCGGGGATTCTGGAGAGACTTCGTCAGGAGTTGGGAGAGGCCAAACTCCAACTGGGAGGCTCAGAAGCGGTCACGACACTTGCTGATCTGGAGAGTCTGCCGTACTTGGTGAGTTTTTTTTTCACCTCGTTCAGCTCAGGGACAGAAAGGACCTGACGACTTTCTTTGTGTGCGACTTTTAGAGAGCCGTGGTCAAAGAATCTCTACGTGTCTCGATGGGCACTTCTGCTCGACTCCCTCGACTGGTACCTCCTCAGGGAGCTGTCTTGTGTGGCGAGGTCATTGCACCTGGAGTAAGTTTGCCCTCCCCCCCGGCCGGTTCCCCTGTGCGAGTATAGTATGGTATCGTGTGTGTGTTGTTGTTGTTTGTTGGTGGCACAAGGAAAATTTGTTGACACGTACGGCATCGTACAGACTCGAGTTTCTTTCTCCCATTACGTGTACAACAACGACCCTGCAATATTCCACGATCCGTATACCTTCAAGCCCGAGAGGTGGCTGGGAGACGACGTGAACGAGTTGGAAAGCCACATGATTAGCTTTTCTCGTGGGAGCAGGAACTGTATTGGTCAAAAGTAAGTCGCTCTTGACATGTCTTTCCTTGAATTACTTTTACTTGCGAAAGATCGACTTATTGAGAAGGTATTGCACATAAGACTTGGCTAATCCTGTCTGTATCGGAGTGTACATAGTCTCGCTCTGGCGGAACTTCATCAAGCAATCGCACACCTGGTCGAACGATTTGATTTTGTCAATTCCGGAACGACCGATCACGACATGGACTGGCAGGACAAGTTCACACCGAGATGTATGGGACGGTTGAAGGTGAAATTGAAGGTGGTCGATCATTGAGTCTATTTTTTTCCCTCTATCTTTGTTTTAAGGAAAAAGAGTTGTCATGTTGTGGTGGTGGTGGTGGTAGAAACACCAGTGCGGCTTAAACGATATGAAATTGTGCTGTCGAAGTCGTCGTCCTCCCCCTTTTTTTTCCTCATTCACGCACTCAATCCGGTCATTTTCAAGCTTTCGGTCCAAAGTCTCTTTTCTCCCTCCGGGTTGAAAGCATCACTGTTGTAACCACCAGAGTAGTAAGGAGCGTCCGCGGGAGTGGGTTCGGCCTCGGCGACTTCATCGAGGTAGAGACCTCCCTTGCCCTCCAATTCTTTGGCCACCGCGGCCCAGACGGTGGTGGCGGCTCCCTGCTCGGTATTCTTCATCATCTTCATCAGGCCTTCATCGTTCATGAGGTCATGAGTGTTCGGGAGATACCTCGCGAGAGGGGTGAGGATTCCTCCCGGATGCAAGCTCAAGGCGCGCAAGTTCCGGGCCCTGTATTTCCGGTCCAACTCGTTGGCAAAGTAGATGTTTGCGAGTTTGGACTGACCGTAGGCGGCGATGGGGACGTACTCGGTGCGTTCGTAGTTGAGATCGTCAAAGTTGATCGGGGCGTGTCTGTGGGCGGCGGAGGCGACCGACACGACGCGGGAGTTGAACGACGGGGTCGCCGAGGCCAAAAGGGCGGCCTTGACTTGGTGGAAGAGATAGAAGTGGGCTGGGAAGCACGGGGATCAGGTAAAGAAAGGATCATACACACGCACACACACCAATGCCATGGAAGCCAGAGAAATGGTGGTGGTAGTAGGAGTAGTAAACGTACCTAGATGGTTGGTGCCTAATTGGAGTTCAAATCCATCGGAAGTTTTGCCTTGTGGACAGGCCATGATTCCTGGCAGAGAACAAAAAAGCGTTAATTGAAAAGTGAATCCATCTCTGAGCAGGAAAGGGTGTCCCCCATTCTTTCTCCCTGTTCCATCAAGTCAAGATCCTTACTTACCTGCGTTGTTGATTAGGATGTTGAGCTTGCCACCGCTCTGGCGGAGGAACTCTTCTGCTCCGGCACGGATGCTGGCCAATGAACCCAAGTCCATCTTGATCACAGAGACTTTGCCCGGCTTGCCGTCAGCCAGAATCTCGTCTGCAACCTGCTTTCCCTTGGCGACATCCCGGACAGTGATGTAGACGTCCGCACCGGTCAGATGAAGAGCTTTAGCAGTGTCAGCTCCGAGACCTCCTGGAGAGCATCCTGTAATGAGAATGACCCTGCCACTCCATTCGGGACTCGCAATGAGGCCTTGATCCTTGATTATTTGGGCGGCTGTTGGTCGGGAGTCACCTGGTCCTTTGAGGCTTTCGGTTTTGTGTTGTTCGAGGTAAGGAGCGAGGCGTGCCATTTTGTTTTGCTTTTCTTTTGTGTATGCAAACAAGCAAGACGAGAGAGATAGAGAGAGGATGTTGAGAGTATGAAGAAGTCTTGTGCTTGAATGAAGAAGTCTTGTGCTTGAATAGTACTACATCAATCCTTCTTGTTGTTTTAACCCCGGTATAATAAAAGCAGTGTCTTTTCTCCACCGTTCGGACCAATTGCGGAATTAGTCATCTTACAGAGCGGGATTGCGCATAACTTGTAAATATGCAAGAATGCGTGGGTTTTCGGTGATAGTTAATGACCAACTGTCTCTTCCTTTCACTCTAAGCATAACAAACCGTTCTCTCCACGGTGCTTCAACAATGACCGGGCTAGGTTCGATGTCAGCAGTATGCAGCATTTCCCTTCCCACAGTCTGAATGGTCAATATCCATGCTCGGGTCTTGCTCCTAGACCCGATCCGAGTCCCCGCCGAGGCGTGATAAGTACTCGTACACGAGGTCCCTCTCAAGCATCCGTAGAGTGAAACTAACATAGGAGTTCTCATGTATCCATCCTGGGACTAGGTGAAGGTATGGAAGAGCACTTGCTCTCTTTTCAAATCCTACCGTTCAAACACTTGGTGAAGCCAAGCACTGACGATGGCCAATACGGCTCACTTACCCAAGATTGTAAACCGACATTCTGAAATACACGTAGGTAATTGTAGGTCCTGGCACTGGCAGAGGATAGAATAAGGTCTTGTGCTCTGTACTTCCCCCAACAGAGATGTTTGGTTGTTACTCGTAAGTTTTGTACATATTCCGCTGCCAAGAAAAGTCTTGGCCCAAGGCAATGTCTGCGGGCAAGATTCTTTGCGCAAGGCTGCGGCTCGCATTCTCGAAACATACCCTACAACTCATATAATCGACCTTTTGCAGCCCCCGAGACAGACCTGTTTTATCACCATGTCTGGTCTTCTCGGTGCGGGCTACGAGTCCAGCGATGATGAAACTCCGACGGCCCAACCTACTCGGGCGCAGCCAAAGCCCGTAAACGCTGCACCAGATGTTTCCACAGAGGTTTGGTCTTCGATCTCAAGACACAGTGCTGGTCGACCTAACATCTTACAGGTTGCGAGTGAAATGCAGATAATGCTAGCGAACCCCACGAGCAATGCACTCACCTACAATGCCACATACGACAACCTCTCGAGGCCATCACAGGGCCCCGTTAACCCGTTCAAATCCACAACGGGAAACGCACTCAAGCGCAAGAATGTACCCACAGGTCACGCCGAAGAGACTGCCATGTCCGAAGCCACCTTCAAAACACAGCATCGTACCTTCCAGAGTCTTGGCTACACGAAAGATCCCAGTTTAAATGGGGCATACGTAGGGAATCAAGATGCGGTCGCAAAATACGGCGGAAAGGACGTTGTTCAGATACGACACACCAAGGATGAGAGCGCAGTTATTCGAGCCAAGAGACAACGGAAGGGTGATAGCAGCATAGTGGACGGTGAAGGCGCCTACCTCGGGCCGTGGGCGAAATACACGAGCGACGACGTGGCGTATGAGCGAGCCGAAGCAGCCGCCGACCAGGAACTCGCATCGGACGAGGAATGGGTAGAAGAAGGGCTTGACCCTCTGCCGCCGCCTCCCAAGGAAGCCACGGCATATGCCGAAGACTCGAACGCCTCCGAAACCACAGAATTTCATGGTGCTTCGGAATTCGACTACCAAGGCCGTACCTACATGCACGTTCCTCAAGATCTGGATATCGACCTGCGCAAAGAACCTGGATCTATACAGAACTACGCCCCGAAGAAACTCATCCACGTGTACAAATACCACACCAAACCCATCACATCCCTACGCTTTATTCCTCATTCTTCTCATCTCCTACTATCCTCTTCTGCCGACTCAAAAATTGCCCTTTGGGACGCACACCACGACCGAACGCTATTGCGGACATTCTCTGGCCACAACAAAGCCGTCACAGACACCGACTTCCATCCTTCGGGTCGCACTTTTCTTTCTGCGTCCTATGATCGCCAAATGAAGCTGTGGGATACCGAGACAGGAAAATGCATATCACGCTTCACGACCGGCAAGACTCCTCACACCCTACGCTTCCATCCGGACGGCAATGAATTCATCGCCGGCATGTCCGATAAAAAGATTGTCCAGTTCGATACGAGATCAGGTGACTTAACGCAAGAATACGACCACCATCTCGGACCAATTAATACGCTCACGTTCGTCGACGAAGGCCGGAGGTTCATATCCACATCAGACGATAAGTCTCTGAGGGCATGGGAATACGGCATCCCCGTACCTATCAAGTTCATCGCTGATCCCAGCATGTATGCTCTGGTGAGGGCCGCGCCACACCCCAGTGGGAAGTACGTTGCGTTCCAGAGCGCCGACAACCAGATCGTCGTGTACGCGGCGGGCGACAAGTTCCGACAGAATCGCAAAAAGGGATTCCGCGGGCACAACACCAGTGGGTATGCGATCGACGTGGCCATCTCACCCGATGGTGGGATTATTGCTTCAGGAGATACCGGCGGCTTTGTGTGCTTTTGGGATTGGAAAACGGGCAAGATGTGGCACAAGGTTCAGGCTGGAGGAGAGGGCACCGGCGCGGTTACCTGTGTCGCGTGGCATGGGCAAGAAACTAGCAAAGTCGCCACGGGTGGACTGGATGGCATTATTAGATATTGGGATTGAGAGGAGCCAAGAAGGATCAAATAAGAAACAACGACTGTTCACAGTTCCTTTCGAAGAAGACAGCACGCTGGGTCTCGCTCCGCTAAGTCGACCGGACAAGGCGTCGTTGACGTGATTAGCATCAATGTCACCGGCCGCGGCTTCCCGGCCTAGAGTACACTACAGGCAAATACGAGCCGAGACCAGCGAGACTTGCTGTCAGACGGTCAAGGCTGGTCGAGTCTGGTCACCATTCCACGGGACGAAACCAAAGGCTGAACACACCGTTTCACGAATGAGGCGAGAGTGCCACTGATATGTGTGTGATTTGGTCTACATAATCTTGACAGTATTAATACACCATCCAAAATGTTCTACAATTCATGTTCACTTTGTGGAAAAACATCCGTAGAATGGAATTCTGAACAAATCGGAGGTCGGACAGAGGTGCACATGTCGCGAGATTTTATTAGATATCGCCCATGCCTCTTCCGACAGCCTCGATGCTTGCAATGTTCTTCGTGCGTCTGCCACCATAGTAATTTTCAGTCTCGGCATGGACCAGTCGTTCTTCGACCTTTTGCCAATCAATGCTGTCCCACCACGCGGTCAGGTAAGCTCGCTTCCCAAGCATCCCGTAATCCGGAATCCACTGGTGTTGCCAGACATTGGCGCAGAGAATGGGTGTGGCGTTGAGCGCGCCGACAAATTTGTTCGACTGGTACATGCTGAAGCGGCCACTGTGGCCGGCCGTTCTCGACCCGTCGACCACGCGGGCTGCATTCTTGAGTTGATCCGCGACCTCTCGGCCGTTGAAGTTGGCCATGTCTTGCGTGTCCCTTCGTGGCGCCGCCTGAGGCCACGGGCTGCCGGCGTTGTACGTGGCGAGGATCGTCATACCACCGAACGATGTCGGCTTCATCAGCCAGACGAACCCGTTTCCGAACATGGCGTCTGCAATCTCGAGGAACTCGGAGCGCAGGTTCTCCAGAGATCCAAAGTCCGACTCTATGTTTTTGGCCGTCTGCACTCCTGGACGTCGCTCGACGGGATCCTGACTGTCTGTCAGGGCTTCCCAAAAGAAGAGGGTGTGGTCTGCCATGGCTGCATGGTTGTAGAGGGCTGCTCGATCGGCTCGGTGGGCGTTCTGCCAATGAAGGGTTCTAGTCTGAGTATGTTCATCCGGTGTTCCTTTTGAGCAAAATGTTAGATCGACTATTCGTCAAAGAACCGTCCTCGGGGAAGAAAACGTGCCTTGGGTATATTCCGTCAACTTGTCACATAGGTGTTGAGCATATTTCGTGTACGTTTCTTGAAAGGTGTTGGCTGAGAGAAAGCCCGGAACGCCGTTCTCGGCGAACCTCTCCTGCTTCTTTGCATCCGCCCATACCGGAGGAGTATGTTTGCATCGACGCTGAGTTCGGGGAAGAACAGACTAGAGAAAGCTAAGTTAGCTATGCACCTGCTTTTGCGTAGGATTTAACAAACACTTTGTTTGACGATGGCTCGCAGCAGAGACTGCGGCCTCGTCGACGGTCGTGTGATCATGAACGGAATACTGAACGGCCCAACTTCATTTGCCCGGCCAAACAACTACTCGTAAGTGTTGTAGATTGATTTTCTTCAAAGACTGGCCGCAGTTTTTGAAAGAGGAATAGTGCCGCTGCTCTTCTGCGTGACCCAATCAAATGGCGTCAAGGCCCTGGCCAATCACATAGCTTCATTTTCCTTCTCAGCACATCTCCTGAAACAATCGACTCTGCCACCTCCATCCTCTACACTTCCTAAAACTTCGGTGGCCAAGGGCCAATACTTCCAACATGATCGACTGTTTCGTTCACATGATGTGCTTACGGACCCTGTCATGAAGTCGCGCAACATTCGCGCAAGCGGCAAAGCACTGGCTATTCTCGGACCATTTTCAACAGCTGCCTGAGTGTTCATAGTCAATGGCTATCAAAGGGCCAGAAAAGTCTACCACTGCAACACAACGCATATTCCAGCTGGGTCACTTGTCGCCATCTTACAAGACCTATAATCTATGTCTCGGTCGTTTTCTTTCAGTAAGTCATGGTTCAAAGGTGAGTGTATCACCGTTTCTTTGTTCGTTTCTTGGAAGCCTTTGTTTATCACGCTTCGTTCACGCTGCTATTTTGGCCTACGCCTTTCAACGATCCAGCTGAGCTGCCCTTTATACATTACAAACGACTGGTCCGACTTTGAGCAACCTCGGCTCTGCCGTGCTATCTGGTTCTTCCCAACCACGTCTATACTACACGATGTACCTATTTTCCAGCCCAAGTGGCCTGTGGCTCTTATGGACCACCTCCGTTATACTGTCTTCGGCCTCAGCCTTTGGCATGACTTTTCAAGAGGAAAATACTCTGTTCCAACTCGGAAAACGAGATGATCTCTCCTGTGCTGCAGTTGACCCCAAACTACCAAGCGATTTCAAATGTCCTTCCGGAACGAGTTGCATATCGCTAGACAACTCATCATCAGGTCTATGCTGTCCGGACAACAATAATTGCTCCAACATCCAGATCGTTTCTTGCAACATCCAGACTCAGAACCTAACAGCAAACGCAAACGCTGCTATATTTACCACAAAGCTAAGCGACAAGCTACCAACATGCGGCGATGGGTGCTGTCCATTCGGATACGAGTGCATTCTATCCCCAGACGGCAAGAATGTTTGTAACCTCATCGCCAGTACAAGCAAGACCAACGTCACTGCATCCTCCGTAACAACATCAACTGCATCAAAGTCCTCTGCAAGCTCAACATCCACGCCAACATCTACGGGTCTCAGTTCAGCCGTGTCCCAGACATCAAATTGCAACAAATTCCCCGTCGGGGTTTTTCTGGCTGGCTTTTTCCCTGGCATGTTTGTTGGAGCTTTCCTCATGCTTGCATGGGTAATCTGCTCTGGCCGCCACCGCAAGCCAGCTCGTGCATCGCGCAGCTCGACGTCTTCTACAAGATCGACCTACAAACCCACCATCTCAGATCCAATCCCGCTAGGATCCCCCAGTGGTGGACTCCGTACAGACTTTCTTCGCCGCACCACCGGCCGAGCCAAGTCCATCTTCTCCACGAAATCTCAGGTTCTCAGTGGTAACAGCACATCGCACTGGAAGATGCCCACACCACCTGTGCCCAATAATGTTCCCAATGCCACTTGCGTGCCTGCTCCGGTAACTCCGGACCGCACTCTCAGACATGAACTTAGCTCTGAGAGCATTCATGTATTCTCACCTCAAGGAAACGAAGGGGTCCCACAACCTATCCCTGCACACATTGCTCCACTGCGAGGCATGTCAGCTCAGCGCTACAATCCCAATGCGTCCAACACGAGTATGGGTAGCCCGTTCCAGTCGCCTCCCAAAGCTGACAATATGTACAGCGACCAGATGGCCCGGTCGAACATAGACACGCAATCACGGGGTCTGAGTACATACTCTGCGGTGTCTTCGTTGCACGATCGGGACGGTGGACATGAACCGGAAACTCTCCCTCCAGCACGCTACGAGCCAACGGTTTCTCCTGGCCATTGGAGCCCAAGCGTGACAAAGCGTGTTCGGATCGACGGCGCGGCGGAACTTGAAAGCAGGCCGACCACCACCTTTACTGAGATGTTGCACGAGGCAGGGTTCCCAGATCCTTTGAATGGTCACGGTACGCCGGCCGTACCCAAGATTCCAAAGATCTATGGCAGTGGTCGCTTATGATGAGGGCCTGATCATCTTCCGAGTCCCCTGATTATGGAGATGGATTATGATGTCGAGCAGAGCTTAATGTTCTAGTTGTGAGCTCTACATGTTTGTGTACTAGTCTTTTAGCGATGATAAGTCTGTTGTTTTATTATGCACTCAGCGGTCAATTACTCTACTATCACTACTCTGGCTTTGTTGATAGATGTCAGAGGTTAATGCAAATTTTACATATTTCATTTCTGTTTCCCACCTTACAAACGCGACGTAATATTGGATAGCTACATAAGTCGACCACAAGACTCAACAAAAGAACCAAGACAGTCAACAAAGCTCATTAATTTACTCATACAAAGATCTTCCTCTTGTTGCATTTGTCTAACAATCGGACTGTCAAAAGCGGCACTTAACTCTCTTGCCTTTGCATCGACCAACTTTTAAAAGCGGCAACACAATACGATGTTGCCCACAGCCTTGCGCTTCTCCGCATCACAGGCATTTCCGCCGAATTGCCATCGATCGGTAGACAACACCCATTCCTTTGCAATCTTTGCAGGCCAAACATCTCATATCATCCTCAAAAAACTCATCGCCCACTCTGCGGTAGGCACAAGATGGCGGAAAACCGCTCTTCCTCTCCAACGCCGTCCGAACGCGCACGCAAAGACGCCGAAGATCGAGCCCGCGAGGAGGAAGAACAATCCAAACTCCCCTACCGTTGGACGCAGACGTTGGAAGAAGTGGACGTTAACGTTCCCATCCCCGGCAATTTGAAAGCGAGGGACCTGATAGTCGATTTGAAAAAGACACACATCAAAGTTTCGATAAAAGGACAAGATCCAATTATTGATGTATGTAGTAAAACCCGCCCCTCGACCAAGGAACATCACACACATGTACACATGCACATATACACACCCTCTCCTCCCTCTACTCTTCCTCTTTTCCCTTGACTGCACACACATCCCGTAACATGAGAAGATGCAGTCGATGTACATTTTCCGGTCACCTCTTGTTCTACCGGCCTATGCTCTTGAAATTCGCGTGCACAATCATGTCAAGCTCGTCGAGTCTATGGGCAAAACTAATCTTTCATGGACAGGGAGACTTCCCACACCCCATTCAAACTGACGACTCGACGTGGATCATCTCGACGAAACCCGACGGCACCAAAGAGATCGCCATCAACCTGTCCAAGGCGAGAGGTTCGTACTGGTGGGCTCACGTGGTGACTTCGGCTCCCAAGATCGACACCACAAAAATCGTCCCCGAGAACTCGAAACTGTCCGAGTTGGACGGCGAGACGAGGGGCATGGTCGAAAAGATGATGTACGACCAGGAGATGAAGAGACAAGGAAAACCGACCAGCGACGAACAAAAGAAGGAGGACATACTGAAAAAGTTCATGTCCGAGCATCCAGAAATGGATTTCAGTCAGGCAAAGATTGGTTGAACGAACAATAGAGGAGCGCAGGAAAAACAGACCCAGAAACGAAAAGAAAACAGAACTATTTCCGCAGGAACAATTACGGGATGACCCTTCCACCTTACCTGGGGTTCCTTAGTGTACAGAGAGAGGCTCTCCGGAGCATACACACGACTTCACGGAAATCGCTCGCTGTTGGGGGCTGCCTGGGTATCGTGGTGGTTTTTGTCGTGACGTTGCGAGACAGTATAGGTTTACAGAGTACGGTGTACAGGGAGCATACCCATACTCTGTGATATTCGGTACCCAACCAAAAACCAAAAACCACTAGTACCTTGATCAAAAATGTATGATACCCAACAAAATTAATCATGAAGAATTGAAATACAAAAAAAGAAAGAAAAAAAGTACATTGCAGGGATATAAAAATAAAACAATACGGACAATTCATGCATGAAATGCGTGGCTTATACGGCCTACATATTATTATCTACTACTCCGTAGATAATTTGAGATCGACAATGCATGGTACTCCGTAACGAGCAAGGGTACTTCGTATCTGGAAGGGGGCTTGTCATAAAGAACCGTGCACTAGTGAAAAGTTCTCGATACTGCGATGCCCTAGCCTGTACTTTCGTATAGACTTCCGTACCCTGCAGATGACAAGGGCTACTTTCGTATCCCGTATGGAGGTGTCGAACTAGCGGCCATCCAGCCTCACTTTTTTTGATGATGGGGACATGAAGATGCCCTGTATGGGGCGTATAGCGCTTGGCTTGGGCCCTTCTCAGCCTTGTCAAACTTCATTGGTCGGACGTCGACTGTAGGAGTATGGGGCCTCCTTTTTCGGCTGAGCCTGATGGGTTGCTCCTTTGGACTTGCAACACCGGAGGGTCGGAGTCCTTGCTCAATATGAGATGCGAGTGGAAAACAACTTATCAAACAACTCACCGATGCTATTCGATTTGATATTGATATCTGGGAGGCCCCACATCGAGCCTTGAAAGAACTGTACACAAGTAGGTTGGTCAAGTTGTACATTCTTTACGCCTTCATCCCATGATTGACCATGGAGGTGCCTCGACTTGCCTTTACGGTTCATCCCCACCGAAGTCTTCGACAAAAATCTTTCCGCGAGACAATGAATCCATGTGCCTGGAGGACGTCGATTCTCCACGGCTCAATCAGGTCGGAGGCCATGCAACATGCGCACCTGCAACATGGCTTCGCCTCGATTTTTTTTTTCTCTTCAGGGCGTGAGGCGTCGACTTGCAGTATCAGCCACTAGGAGAATAAAGTATCCTGCGTGATGCAACGGTTGCCATTTGACGAGTGGTTGTGCCATCGCCTCGTCCCGAGAAGCCCGGCGCCGAGGTTTAATTTCGTCCTCCATGGGTGGAAAGAAAAATCTCGATGCTCAGTCTCAACCTGGCCGCCAGACTATTGTGCATTGCAAATTTCAAAGAAGCAGACTTGGTGTGTACCGGCAACTTGGGCAGCTCTTTTGACGGTCCCTCCGCTTGAGATTATGTCGTTCCAGATGTACGCAAATCCCCAGCATTTGGAAACCACACGTCAGACGTACCTGGACTTCGCCGTGCAGGTGAGCTAGTTGAAAGATGGAGGGTTTCATTCTTCCCACATGGATTCTCACAACATCTCATCATCAGGATTCTTATACTTTTCCTTTTCTCCCTCGACTCTGTCATTCTCATCTCTCGCTATTGTTTGGTTCTTTTTGACTTTTGCCCATGATCGAGATGAGATGATGTCTCTAGGAAGCCGATTTGAAGGAAGGGTGGTGGGAGGTGTGCTCGGACAGAGAAAGCTCGCCTAGAGTAGGTCGTGAGTTTGAGGGTGAGGCGTGACAAGGCGAAGTTGACCTCTTGTCTGACATGGTTGTTTGGTAGGAGGGTGGTTCAGAGGGACACTGTAGAACAGAGTCACGTTCTGGTGCAATGCCAGGACAAGGATGTGTGCTCTAGAACCGGTCGATGAATCCATCCCGAAATCACAGCAAGTTTCTGCCTTTCATTGAACACGTTTAACATGGTTAGTGGCGTGCTTGACTCATGTGATCCAGCCAAAGGCAAATCCAAGGCTCGTGAATCTTCGTTTTCTTGTTCTGATCAATCGTCAATCATGTCATCGCCCACCCTTTCCCACTTCATTAAATCACCCGTCTTGCTGTACCGCAGGGATATGCAAGAGCGAGACGTTGCATGGTTGTTGCACAGTCTCGCATAGCGATATCTGTTTGTCCGCCAATGCAAAATTTTTTCAAGTCGAATGTACAGAGTATCGGGTCCTTTCTCTTCCTTTTTGCACCCTACGAGTATGTAGCAATGACGTGTCATCACGCTCACCGCCTTTCCACATTCCTTTTGGAACTTTGGGTGAGTTGTCTCGCTTAGAGCGTCGTTTACGATTGGTTTTGGAGAGAGACTGCGCTTTTCAAACTAGAGAAGAGAGAGAAAAAATACCATGGTCAAGCCTAGAAGGAAGACCGATCCGACTGCGAAACTCTGCGTCCATGGGGAATGTAGTTTGTTTTCTTTCTGTAGCACTCACTGTGGGTCATGCGAGCACTGGCGGGTTGAACAACCAGGTAGTTGTCCGGGAAGACACTATGGAATTCAAAGTCTCGTATACCATTCCCGAATGACACACTCTCTCCGATAAGTCGGAAAGGTGAAAAATCAGCATGTATTTGCAAGTACTCACTGACCAACGCGGGGACGACGTTTGTCCAGTGTCCTGATACGAAGTTGCATCTAGGTAGTGGCGGTGAAGGCGATTTTCGCTTTGTCTCTACGTAAAATTTGATCAACGGTTAATGGGATCCAATCCACAGGACTGTACCAAGTCGTCACAAGGTACACGACTCAAAGACCCTACTCCGTACAAAATCTTTCACTCAAAATACCATGATTGCATGGTACTGTGATCTCGGTGGTCCTTGGTGGTGACGGGGAAGTATTTGGGTGGTGTGTCTCCACACTCGCAAAGTACGACAGGGATTCTAATATTCAGAGATACTACGGAGCATTGAACAAAGGGCGATGGAATCTCCAGAATTTGACCAACAGCAGTACATACCAAGACAGTCACATCTCAAAGTCCAGGTTATACGGAGTTCACTACGTAAAAATACGACAAAAAAGGTCCAGATCACTACGGATGGTACGAAAGTGTAGCAGGGAATCTCCAAGTGTCTCAGAAATTTCCATCTCGTTTCAGCCTCAATTCTTTTCTTTTGGAATGTATCAGGTATGTGGAGATGGATTGGCTCGTTGCGTAATTGACTTGAAACACTCAAAGAATCAGATCTATGCTTATCTTGAGATCCAATTATGGTGTTTGACGATATGGGGGGGGATGTAAAGATGCTTTGTAACAACAAAATTGCCGGGTACTCGTGGTGGTACCAATGGACCTCGTTCGCGAGGTTGTTGTGTCTGCCATGGATCCAATACGGATACCACGGGGTAGAATTTCGTTGGGCATCAAAAATACTCTCTCCCTCTCTCGCTTGTTTTCCCCCTCTGATCTCGTCATTTTACACCGTCTCGCTCGTGGAAACGAGACGACGCACGGTACGGAGTACGTAAATGGTAGTTTCATCCATTGAAATGCGATCCTTCACTGTAGACGAGATTGGCCACGTCGGAATGGAATTGCAGTCTGTATCTGTAACGTTGATGCAGGTGACAAGCACCAGCATCAGAATCGCCCGGTTTTTCTTCTGTTCGAAGAAGCGAAACTCTCTAATAAAGAGTAGTAGTAAATCAGGCAAGGTAGATGTTTGCCACTAGGTAGATATTCGCCACCCATGGCGCCACAGTCACTTCGGTCAGGTAGCAATGCATGTGGTGTTTGATGGATCGTAGCACTCGAAAGCCACCTGTCTATGTGGTTGGGCAGGCTATTTGCTTAGTGCCTCAGCATTTGTGAGAGACCATTTCTCTGATTGCCTTGTCCCCGTGCCCAACGAGAGATCAATGGTACCATATTAGAAGACTAGCGTGAAGATAATGATGATGTTGCCGTCAAGCTGTCAAGTATAAAATTCCAATATAGTGGCCTGCCAGGCTCTCTCGGCGCCCTATCGCAGTTGTATTTCTCGATATACGGTTCAATCGTCTTGCCTAGACCTGATCGTCTGCGCCCAACAACGCAAGATGTTCTCCTAGTTGGGCGCCATGACAATCATGAAGTCAAGGTCATGCTCCTTTGAGCAGAAGAACTTGTAGAGTCCTTCTCTAGTCACTGAAATTGCAGTCCTGAGTTGAGATATTGATCGGGCGCGTGACAGACTTCCGCAATGCTGTTCATGTAGTGCCGTCGCCTAATGCATGTCTATACCATCGCAATAGAGAAGCGTGAGTTCATTGCCGCGAAAGGCGTTTGCCATCACACCATCTGTCCTAGAAGCTCGTCACGATCCTCCCGAAGGCAATGAGTGCATAGAAAACATGTCCATCTGTCAGGTTCCGCCTCTTAACCGTCGAAATATTGGATCAACCTATACCAAGTTTGACAATGAACGATTGGATAACTTGGCCTTGTACTTCGGGAAGTACATCGTTATTCGATGCTTCTGTCTCGCTTGCGGATCAATCTGTGATATAACGTCGTTGATTGACCTATGCTAGAAGGACTTGTGCGGCTGAGCGTGGGATGAGAGGTTCTTGGAGGGAGGTCTGGATGCTTGAAATGTAGCGCTGTCAGGGACTATTGCATCTATAGCCAGAAGACGGTATGCAGGTGTATCTTAAACGTACCGATGCTCTCTGTCAGAGCCGTTGTCTTGCATTGCTGAAACATGAGTCAAATACTTCCTGCACGACCAACAGAACAATCTCCCTGAATGCTTTTCAAGCGATTGTGACTGGACACAAATAGTCGCCATCCCCGTTATCAATTGACTTTTCTGGGTATTGACAGTTCTGTTTAGTCTTCGTTCTGCGTCTACCACGTCAACTGGACCTGTTCGCCCTGAAATATGGAGTCTGGCCTAAAAAGTGAATGCGACGAATTCCTAATGTTAAAGTATTGTATCGCCAGCGACAAAGATACGGTTAGGATGAGAATATCTCACGCTCGATGGTCGAAAGTGCCTGGGCTTTCTGTAAGAATAATTAGGCAATGTCTTCTCTCGCTTCATAGGGAAACGTGGTGTAAAGTGGCTGTATGTCGACAAGGATGCTCTGCTTCGTAGTTGGCGTCTAGAATGCGAATGCGAAGGACAGCTCCAAATCGTCCAATAACAACAGCAATTGCTCAAACATGAGCGGATCATTATCTCTTCGTGGTCAAGTATACTCGGCTAATCTGGCTCAGGGCGAGAATGATAAAGTGAAGCATCCCATGACTGTGTTTCCACCAGTCAACCCAGGTAATACATCTCTGGTGGTCATGGGTTGAAGGCCACATGGACGATCCGACCAAGAGACGAACCTCCATCGAGGTACCGCGACTCGTGCATCTGCTCGTACTCCCTAGTCCGCTGCTCTTCAAATAGGCTCCAAGACTGTAGCATCAAGGTCAAGAAATCAATCGTCAGGGTAAAAAGGGCCTCTATTGAAAACCAAAGCCACGGAATTGTGCTCTCCTCTCCAGGATAACACTCTCCGTCTGCCTATAGAGAGCATCAAGCTGCTCCATAGACAATGAATCCATCAAAATCTTCGCAACTTGCGTGCCCGCACTAACAAGTTGTAGCATATACCGGTCGTCTTTCGGAGTCCTTGGCTGCTGGTCTCTGGTGTTCTGCCTAACTGCAATGGAGTTTTCTAGTGTCGTAACAAACTGTTTGATTTGATTGTCGTAGAGCACTCGAGCCGGGATCCTTCTTTTAGTAGCAAGCCTCTTGAGCAAATAGGCCCACTCCGTCCATTCTCTATCGGCAGGCGTTCGCACTCGCGGCTTGTCACGTTCCAGGGGAATAGGGAACTGGTACTTGGCCACGAAGTGGAAGGCGCACCGAGACAGGATGTCATTGACCCGCAAGGTGATTTCATCCTGTTCCTCGGCGCTTAGGTGAACAGGGAGAGCAGGAAGGGCTTGAGAGCGCGCATGCTCTTGCTGAGGTACTGGCAGAGGCAGCAACTGTGAAGGGCCATCAAACTCGTCTTGATTGAAGGGTCGCCTGCGTGTGTGGTATCTAGTTGCCCTCCCCGTTTCCCCTCCACGGCGATTCTGTGTTTCCATTTCGAATTCACCGTAGCCTTGACTGGTCGGTGACCCTGTCTGGAAACTGTAGCTGTCCTGGCTTTGTCGTCGCAGGGCTATATCTTCTGGGTTCGATCTCGCCGGCGCTACAGATTGTTGGAAAGCACCGGAATCGGGGATGAAAGCAGACGTCTGTGACCCTATAGAGAGGGGTCGAAACGGTTCTCCGACGGCAGATGGGCCAGTAGCACGCGTTGCGCCGTGGATCTCAGGTGGCAATCTCTGTCGCAGTCTTTCCGCTGGGTTGGGAGACATGCGTCCGCTTGTGTCTCCCGCAAAAGGGTCGTACGTGGACGCTGACCACGGCGTGTATCTGCTGTTGAAAGGACGTTAGCATCACATTACCTCGGTGAGGAATCACGACAACACTTACTTTTGAAATGCAAATGACGAGGAGCCGTTGGCGAGTTGTCTCGATGAAGCGGTGTCTCCCGGCTTCGAATAATGAAGATCCTCGAATTCAGACATGCCTACGTTGCCGTCGGTCAGGTCACGAGCAAATCGATTCCCTGGAGCAAATCCCGAGGTATAGGTCGAAGGTATATTGTTGATCGGAGATGTCAGGGCCAACATGGTCGAAGAGGCCTTAAGTGATATGCAGTTGGAAGGAGGAGGGTGCAAGATAAATCCACGGAGGAAGATTCAAATGTCTCCAGTTCTGATAGGCGAATTCGAGCAAATCAGTCGGCTAAGGGGCTTCGCATAGGGCACCCATTGAGCTTTGGGCATTGGTGGTATTGTTGCCAGACCTGAGCATGGGAGAAAGAATGAGATGAAGTCCAATAATGACATGGCATTCAACAATAAGGCACGTGGAGAATTCGAGTCCGTGTGGCTTCGAGTCCTCCAAAGACCCATCCGAAGGCTATTCTGGAAGTTGGTTGTTCCCACCCATTCCGCTACCCCGGCCGTCCTAGTTTCTTACACCAAGGCCCACCTCTTGCAGGGGCTGAAACCAAGGTGCCTGAAGTCTGCCGGCGGGCTGTTGCCGACACCGTGGTTGAGGCACGGACGGGCGTTGTTTAGCACAGTCTATAAGCGTATATCTAGTCTCTGGCAAGTGGGCGCAACATCCTTGCGATCATGGGAGTGACCTGGAAATTGACATATGATGGTGCCGAGCCTTGTCTTCTAGAAGCTGGATTAATTTCCTGCTGTTTGCTTCCAGAGCGGGAGTCTGCGTCATCGTACTGTCGGCACGTCATGCACCCAGGTTGCCAAATGCGTGGTTATCGATTGGCATAGTTGATGCCCAAAAGACAGTGAATGGATAGCTATGTCCCCAGGAGCACGACGGAGCACAGCACTCCACGATCACGAGGTTCGTTTCCGCTCCACGAGTCGCAGCAGAATGACGTGGAGTGCTTGAATGGCGAAGCACATTTTGCAGTGTTTGAGATGCTGGTACAGGTTCGCAAGGGGACACTTTAGAACAGTCTGGAGGTCTGAAGATGCTGGACGGCCGTTGTGAATGTAGCAGCGATCATAAACGGAGTGGGGAAGGAACGGCCGTGCACACGCGAGCCGCAACTAGCGAACCTCACGGCAAGTAGCATCCATGGACCAGGCCGAAGAAAATACTGGTGCTCGTAGTGTCTCGAGGTCTACGCATCACCCAGCTTGAAGACAAGTGACAATTTCTAAGCGACCTCAAGAATAGAAGGCTCATCCCGGGGTGGCAGGGCTGATACCTTGCTTTGGAGCAGCCACAAATGTCGGCGTCGGAGGGACGGGATGAAAGGGAATCCAAGGCCGTGAACCAGGTCAATCACGCTCGACGGTGGAAAGGAACATTTGAAGTCAGCGGTCCAGGGAAATACCCTTTCACGAAAGTGTCATCAGTGCCCAACGCTCGCCCTGTTCGCCGATCATGGGTATGATCTACACAGGCCTTGGTGAGGCGATAGCGGGACCCTTTTCAAAGCGAGTATCCGTGTTGTAGGCCGGAGTACTTGAAAGAAGGCGGCAAAGGACCTAGAGAAGCATGGGAATGCCTGCTATCATAGTAAGACGGGGAGACGGAAAGGTCACCCAAGACAAGTTCGACTTCTCGAATTTTGGCCCTCGGTTGCGAGAGAGTGACTTCAACTCGGCAACAGATGGGTTTCGTGAAAGGGTGTGGGACATCGCCGGGAGGCATAGACGGGGATGAATTCTCCGTTGCTTGTACGGATCAAAGTATGAATAATGTGTAGGAGACGGGTACGAGTCATGGCTCAACAGGGTTCCGAGTGTCGTTGCTTGTGCACCAGGATCCATGGTCCCGTAGGAATGGAAAGAGCGATTGGAATCTAGTAGGGGCCGGCTGCGAGTGACGCACGCTGATTTGAGCGAGGCGAGATCGGCTTGCCGTAGGAGGATGGTCACCGAGAAGCGACGACCCTTGTATAGCGGGGCGCCAGTAGATCAAGGTGGTGAACGGGGTCGGGTTGTGGACATGAGTAGCGGCCTAGGTCTACAAGTATATTGTACAAGAGACAGGGTAGCGGAGGCGAGGAGGGAAAAGAGAAATGAGGGTGTTTAAGGGACGAGGCAAGATGAGAACAAAGGGGGATCCCGCTGTTAGACCTAAGGCTAGGCTAGCCTCGTCTAGTTGGCCGATAGCCAATCGATGATAGGCCAAGCCGGGGGCTACGTCATTTTGTAGCGCACTAACCCCTAACTTGAGACGACCATCTCTAACCATCTCTTACCATCTGTCCCTTCCATGTTGTTTCCATCTCTCTCAATCAATCATCCATACCGCATCAGCCACTGAGCCACACAATCCATGACCTGATGCTAGCATTGACACCATTCCCGAAACTTGCGCAAGCGTCGCTAGTCTCCCGTCGAGTAGATGGCACGCCCTGACCTGCACTTTGTACCGCGAAATCATGGGTCTCCATCCCGTCTCCCTGACATTTCGTCTCGGCCAGGTCACTTCCTTGGGGGAGATGGTACAGTCTGTGTTGCCTGTTTTTCGGCCAGTGTGACGGTACGTATTGAAACGAGATCAATTTGCGTTGTTTCGAGTGTGGTCATCTGAGCAGCAAAGCATACATTACAGCTAGGGTAGCTCGACAAGGCTCCCTGGCTTTGCAAGATGACCCTCGAACGGTAGTGGTCGATCTAGGTCCAATTGCCAAATACAGAACGGCCGCACAATCAAAGTTCTCGGCTATGAATTCGTCAGCTTCTAGAAGGCCGGACTATTGCTTCCATTCCAAGCTTGCACCCTGACCGTCTCAAACCCCATCACACAACACCGAATGAATGGGCAATCCCAAGCACACCAACTGACCATAATTTCCGAGCCATTACGTTTCTCTCATTCCTGGCGTCTCAGCAGCAATCATGCGTTCATCGTCGGCGTCTTTCCTCTAACCGTCGCGCATAATCCTGATTGACGTTGCATTTGTTAGCATGTACGGAGTACTCTGGGGGCCAAATCCGAGTAGCAACAGCCTCGCAAAACACTAAAGAGGTAGGAAATGCCACATTATTACTCACAAGACAACTTTTTTTGATGCCCACCTCTAACCCAGTTCGTGGATGATAGCCGAGGATTCTGCTGGCCTTGTCGCCAGAGGCATAACGAATGGCTACTGCGTCCATCACACTACCGCGGGACAGGGTCGTTGGCGTGCCGGAGATTCGCGTGAAGAGTTCCGCGAACAAACCCAGGGTCCACCCTAATCCTTCTGGAATGCGAATTTCCAGCCACGGCGGGTAGTGTCCAAACTCTTTCCACACGGCGAGACTAAAGTCTCTGAACGAGATGGGTTCATTATTCTGGATGAAGAACGTCTCTCCAGCGGCACTTCCCACTCCGTTGGTACCAGGCTCTTGGACCAGCTCATTGATGGTGGCCTGCGTTTCGTCCCGCCGAGACCCCACTCCCAGCAGATTATCGAGGGCTAGTACATGAGCATCGGCGATATTTCCAACATATGTTGCGTCCCACAGATTAAATCCATTTCCAACGATGAAGCGAGATTCCCCCTTTGCGATGCAGGCATGGAGAGAAGGTATCAGCTGATGGTCACCCTCTCCAAAGATGACCGAAGGCCGCAAGACGCAGGTGAGCATGGCGTTGGGGGACTCACCGTCCAAGATGGCGAATTTCTCGTGTGACATGCCACTGTTGTTAGCTGCTAAGACAATTCTTTCTGCTTCAACCTTGCTCTCGCCATATATCAAACTCTTTCTGGACACAGGCCAGCGCTCATCAATATTTGGGTAAGACTTGGTCATGTCATCCACGACAGCGCAACAACTACTCGTGTATACAAAGGCACGGCACCCCGCTCTTCCCGCTGCCTCGACGACATGCCTAGTGCCCATGACATTGACTTTCTTGACAACGGTCTCCAAGCGACGCGAGTATCTGGGGTGGCAACTGTCAGCAGAAGATTCAAGAGTCACGAGGGTGATACTTGGGGTTGCTCCTTGTTCTTGGACACTCCACCTTTATGGGTACAAATACGCTTGCTGACTGAAGAACAGCACAGAAAGTCAACCTACCTCTCTCTCAAGGGTGGCACGATACCTGCCGAGTGCACAACCGCAGTAGGCCTTACGCGATGAAAGACCCTCATCACGGCATCGAAGTCGGTGACATCCGCCTGAACGTACTCGTACGAACACCCCTTGAGCAAGTCTAGCTCATCCTCGCCGTCGTCCTTGCACGAGTCTCCTGGCCCATTGTCCAGATCGAGAATGCATACGATCCATTTAGGACGCTGTTCCTGTAACGCTCGAACGATGGCTGAACCAACGAAACCCAAACCACCAGTCACCAGGACTTTGATGGAGGTATCCAGTGAATCATTCGCTGCTGCCGTCGCCGTAGTTTTCGTGGCCGACCCGTTATGTAGAGCTTCGGTCTCGATTTTCGCCATAAGGGTCACATCTAGACGTATGTATTGCCGAGATTCTCAGGGAGCCTTACGAGTAGGAGCAGGCTCTGTCGCCGTACAATTTCTTACCTCGTGCAGGTGTGGTCCGTAGACGTTGGTTGGGATGGTAGATGTCTTTGCCTCCGCCACCTATTGGTTTCGTCGTTTAGGCTTGACTCAGTCGCACGCAATGTATGTACTCTGATACTCTGGTACAAAAAAAATGACAAATAACGAATGTTTCAATTTCTACTCCGTATCGCTTCGCAAGCTGCGCCTCAGTTGCGCCCGTCACAAGTCATTGGCAAGGGGGTCTGGCCTGGGCTCTCAAGTTTTTTTCGGACCAAAACACACAGCTCTTAACACAACACGGAGGAGGAGGGGGAGGAGGTGTGAGGCGCAGTCAAGAAAGAAACCTTGCAAGACAGATGAGACGACAATTGTCATACAGTTGGAAGGATCTCCGTGGTAATAACCGAGAATCTGGTAAAGTTTCGTGCTTCCCCAAAGCCACAAACGCGCGCAAGAACCTCGTTACTGTACAAAGAGGTGAATAAGAAAATGGTGTGATCCGCAAACTCCAGTTCCCGTGGCCGTTCACATCCATCCATCCATTTCCCCCCTTCGCCCTCGCCCTCTGGGGGATTTCACATACTAACAACGATGGGAAAGGTTCCCCTTCAAACTGTTTCCGAAACAAAATGTAACGTCGATCTTCCCCCCATCCCGAGCTTTCGCTCCCTTCAACACGAAGCCCAATCGAACAACGAGGAGTGGTCAGGGCAACGAGTTTATTCGACTGCACCAATTCACTACGAGTACCATTGCCGCTTGCCAGCCTTGTCGGCGTCATTGATTTCATCATTACTTATTCTGCGACTCCTTGCTTTGTTCTTGTTCCGAGGGAAGAAGATAGTTTTGCGAAGGTTACATACGGATGTGAGAGGTGACTACCTACTCGTTGCTACTACTTAAACCCCAAAATACATCGTCCCATTCGTATCGATGCCTACTAGATGTCATCAAACAGCTCGTTCATTTCGCGACACGAGAAGAGATATTCAACTTGTATGGCACTCTTTGAATATTTTTTCCTTATCGATAGAAAAACACTCTTCGATGCAAGAATTTATTACGTTTACTCCGTACATCGTGGACTTTCCCTACCACCATTGTTCTTCTTGCATATTAGGGGTCTTTCTCCCAAGACGACAAGTCTGGGATATCAACTCTTTTGGTTGGAAGAGACTGACCGTCTTGACGTGCCAAAACACATATAATACAATTGTCTAGTCCTATCAGACATATGTATCCCGCCGTCTCCTCATACTCACCCTTCCGCAGAAAAAAAACTTGATCTGACCTGGGTCATCCACGGTGATCTCTGCTTTTTCATCTCATCATAGATACCTCAGTACTCTAATCCACATTCAACGAGGACGTTAGTCCGAAGGAGAAAAGGAAACATTGAAAAACGTGCGTCACATCGTCATTCGCCCCCTCATCACATCCCATCGAGCTACTAACAAAACTTGGTTGCGTTATTTTCCGTCCTCCACAGTAGATATCAGATAAAATGACCCCTTTCGTAATCCTGCATGGGCACATCATGGGGCTGCCCGTACGCCACGCCTATAGCTTCCGGATGGTAATACTCTTGCTGTTGTTGGCCGCCGCTTGGTCCGGGCAAATTGTCAAAGTGACCTTCTGCATCCTGCTCGTCGGTCGACCCGAAATACTGCTCGTGCAGCCGCGGGTCCTGTAGCTGGCCGTTTCCGGGCCCGATGACTTCCGGTTGTTGGAAACTGGTCCTGAGCGGAGTTCCGTGGTCGGACTCTTCGCCCTGCGCTTGATGGTGGCTCCAGCGTCCCTGCGCCATGCCAGGGCTCGGGTGTTTGGCGTGGAGGAGCGTCGGGCTGATGGCGTGCATTTCGGTCGGGGGCTGTCCTTGGCTCCAGGCGTCCATGGCTTTGGCCGACATGGGACTGTACATGTGGTCAGCGTTGGCGTCGTGGACTCGACTCATGCGCCCCGTCTGGGCCATCCGTTGTCGTCGTTTTCGGGTGAATGCAAAACAGCACCAGCAGGTACCTCCGATGAGCAAAATACCGCCCACTATGGGCAGCGCGACGGCAAGGGCCAGTTTCCACCCGTGGAGACCGCCGCCGGAACCGCCACTGTTGGACGACGGGGCGGGACCTGCTATGAGTGTTTCGTTGAAGATGGCGGCCGCGTCAGGGAAGAATGCTTTGCCGGCGAGCGGCGGTTGCACACAGGCTATGTGCAGTGCTTGCAGGACTATTTTGGTAGTAGGGTCAGTCTTGATATCTTTTTTCCCAGTCGGGGAAACAAGGGGGGGGTGGCTTGGGGGTTGGGGAGGGAGGGGGGTTCCAGCCCTACAGTTGGCAAGATACAATTGTTGCGGAACAAAGCTATAGCAAAAGGCACATCGGTTGATGTCGGTGCTGTCGAATGCGCCCACGTTGCAAAATCCCAGTTCTGGAGAGGTCTTTGAAGTATCGTTCGTGATCTGGTACTCGATCGACTCGTTCAAAACAGCGCAGCTGACCTGGCAAGGACTGCTGATCGATATATGGGTCGACGGCCAAGCGAACATGCACCCTGAAAGTGTGTAGCGCAGGGCCACTGGGGGTCAATTTGTTCAGCGGACTTCTCGAACAGAAAGTAGTATGAGTTTGCAGAGAAGGACAATATGAAGATGTGAAGGTGGATGTGGATAAGAAATATTGCTAGCATACACAATGCCCATTCTACGTCTGTCTCATTCTTGCTCGTGTCCACCGATGTGCTATTCAACTGACACGCCACGCAGTTTTGATATGCTCGACCCTGCGGGAGAGACTGATAGTCGGCATCGAGGCAGACCACGTCTCCCTCGAGCGTTCCTGCGTCGGCGCACACAGATTCACAAGGCGACCCGGCGACGGTCTGCAGGGCGGACGTGAGACGGAGGAGGACGGTCAGCAGGCACAGGATGGTCAGAGAGAGGCGGGAGAGTGAAGGTGAGGGCGGAGGAGCGGTCGCAGAATGGTCATGCCAACCGGCCATAGCATGACACTGACGGTGAAGAGCAGCGCGGCGACATATGAAACGATGAACCACGGGGCAAAGGACGCAGGTTGGGATTCGAATGGCCGGTTTTAATTACAACCTATCTGGGCTCTCTCGTGCAATTTTAAGGCCAGCGGATGGCGACAGGAGAGAGGTGAAAGAGTGAGTGGGACGGTGGTGGTGGTGACGGAACAAGATGCGGCTTTTTGGGTGATGCACTGCATCAGCACGGCGGCGCGTCCCCCTCGTGCATGATGATGGAAAAGAAGTGTTTCTTCAAGAGGGCCTTGCCTGTTGTTCCGGGCGGTTAGAGAGAGCTCGCTTACCCAGTCAGCGCAGGTTCACGAGCTTCGGTCGACGAGGGGCGATTGGTGGCAGGGTGTGATAAAGGACGTTGGAGATGCTGAGTGGTGGGAGACTTTTCGTGCTACTCGAGCTACTCGACACTAGCCGGGTCGTGGTCTGCTTCTTTCACGCCGCGATCGACCACTCATCTCACATCGTATTGGTGACGATTCAACAGCTCTACGAATCGCTGGAGGTTGTCGTCGACGCTTGGGGTTGTGGACAGGACGGAGCGACATACATCGAGTTAGAACTAACCCATCACGGGCACGGACACTTTGAGTATTGCGGACTTGTGCCATTTCTCCTGCATTACTGCGACATTAATTGTTTGTTTTCGAACCGCCGACGAGACATTGGGCTTATTGAGTGATGGTCCTGTGATAATGCGGTGACGCACATATCAATACTCCCAAGGCAAATGATTTACGCCTCGCAACGCCAGATATTCGGATAATTAGACGCTGGAATCAGCTTTCTCAATTAAGCGAATTGATATTGTCCTTCGAACCGAGGAATATACAGGTTAGACGGGACCAAGATACAAGATTCGGGTTTCACTGCCCCTGTTGTGACCAGAATCATTGCTTTTGAGCAACTTCTGCTACGGAGGCCCCTGTGATGGCTTTCGAATGAAAGACTCCTGTATGACAATTCGGAACTGCCTCCGTCCGATGAGAAGTCACCTCGTTGCACTGACAATATTGCCACTGAATGTAGGTCGAGGCGTCGTGCTCATTTCGCATCTTGAAGGTCTTCTTCTACACGTACTGCATGGCAGGCTCGTGTAGATACTTTATCCAGAAGAACCTCAGTCGGTCTTCCGCTGATGGAGCTCTTCGACTCTTTTCTCGAAAGCGGAGATCATTGTGCTTGCAACCTTTCCTTCGACCTGAGAGAATAACTGATCGTAGACTGGATTGCGAAACTTGACGTTGACGTCCAATTTCACGGACGCATGATCCTCATCGCCTCCTTCGCGGTGGGAAATGTGCCACCTCGTGTTCAAGATTTCGAATAAACCGTTGCTGTTCTCGTCGCTACTGCGGGCCTCAACAAGTCCTTTCTTGGGGTCACAGAAGACTATGCTGTCCCAGTCTTCCTCAAGCCCGAGTTTTTCATAGCCGATTTTTAACCTGGCTCGAGTTGGGTATCCATCCGGGTCTCTTGACGTCACATGCGACGAGATGGTGAACGGTAAAAATGTTGGGTAGCCAGACACGTCCGAAACAGCTTTGAAAACGACCTTGGGCGAGTAGGGAAGAAGCTTTGTATGCGAAACTGTCCGCAGCGGGCAAGGACCTAAAGCTGATGACAATATAGAGTCGAAGAAAGTTCGGCTTTGGAGTATAGACTCTTGTTTGCCGTGGAACAGTGGTCGGTAGTAGAAAGTCGAAGGCTTGCTTCCACAATGCAGAATACCAGGTTGCCGTAAGATCATTATGCCCAAATCGTATCCCGAACTGCGCCAAACTATGCAAACTTTCGAATTGACACCTGCGCCTACCTCGAGAAGAATTAACAGTCGTCGCGAAAAAGTTGAAATGAAAGTTGAGGTATTAGCTGTAATAGAACCGAGAGTTTTGGGAAAAATATATCGCGAGTCAGGTGTCGATCCCAGATTCATTGCTGCCGATTTTCGACTGACTCGTTGCGATTTCTCCATCAACCACATATACCACTACCGTGTCTTCCCTGACATTTATTGAAGGGCAGACATATCTCACCATACGCGCTTGACTTCCAGGCTCGAGCGCACACGTCCTCTCCCAATCTTGAATATGACTTGGCGGTAGCAAGATATCCTGGTTCCACGGCCGCCTCAAATAGCTATGGACACATCAACCACTCCTCCGCCCAAGGCGGTCTCTGCCAAACGAGAGCCTCCACCCGAGAAACCAGAAGCATTGAGCTTACGGACGAAGATTGTCTTCTCTTTTTGGGCTGTCATAGTATTGCTTGGGGTGCCGACATGGTGGCAGACCACCTCAATCTACCGGGCCAGCTTGCCCCTGCAAGAAATGGTCGACTGGGCGGATGGACTCGTGCGTATTGAAGAATGGTCCTCCTCTGCACTTCTGACTGTGGCGTACAGAACACTCCTACTTCCATTCCTTTACATATATGGGCTGAAGCTCCTGGCCTTCCTTGTTCCGACGCGCAACGACTTGTTCAAGATACCCAGCAAGTACTCGATGACCTTAACGAGTATCCTACCTTACATCAGCGGCTACATCTTGTTAGTGGGCTATGGAATGATGGAAGTAGTGAATGGGAAAAACAGCATTCGGGTTGCGGCGAAGATCCCACGAGTCCAGCTCTGGGAGAACCGTCGCTCAAGATCCTTCTGGAGCCTGCAACAGCCTCTTTCGAGTTCAAGCTGGATCCTGTCGCTGCCACAGCTACTGTACGCGGACCAATGAATCATCTTCCCAACCAACTGGCAGATAAACTCCAAGACCTTTTCAAGGACGAGCAGATTGCGGCGGCACTTCAAGTGGTCTCGCTCGCGAGCCATACAAACTATGCGCAGTCCTTTCTTCGGTCGCAGTCTCTCGACCACATCAATGGTATCGAGAAGCGGATCAGTCGTGCTTACAAGGCATCACCAGAGTTCCATTTGACTTTCTCCCTTTTCACGGCTACTGGATCGCCCTCGAGCTGGGACGTGCAGGAGGCTCTCAAAGACAACATTTATCCTCTTGTCCACGCATTGTCGAACGTTGTCAAGATTGGCATAACTACGCAGGTGCAGCTCTACTCGGCATTTTCGCCAGCTGTCCGGCCTGTATCTATTGAGGGATACAATGGCACGCTTTTACCACAAAAAGATCTCACAGCCTTCGTGAATGCTGCAGAATGGCCACTTGCTCCATCTATCGGAGAAGGACCTACGCTCAATTTCATTCTTTACGTTCCTTCTCTCGACCAGATTCCATTGGCGATTGAGGGAAGCGAAGGGACGTCGTGGCTGATTCCCCAATGGGGTGGTATCCAAATTCTCAATCCGCAGCTGAATGCCGACGCTGTCTCCGGACACGCTGCGTTGCCTAGTCATCTGAACAGGAATACCTTGCAGCTACCATTTCAGACCTTCTCATCGCAGCTTCTGTCGTTGCTAGGTGTCTTGCACTCGGAAGAGTCAACCAAGAATCTACCTCTTCAACTCCGTCTTGATGCGTATAAGCGTTACTCTACGCTAACCCTCTACCTGAAAGCTGCGTCCAGCTTAGGCTCGTTGTCGCGATTGGCACAGCGGCTTAGCAACATTCCTATCCCAAAGCATGTCGCACAATTGGTCGACGACACCATCGGGAACCTGACTGCATGCTGCCATGCATTCCGGGACAGCAGGTGGGATGTCGCGCTTTCGCATGCTCAGATTGCATATCAAGATAGCGAGAAGGCCTTCTTTGACAAGTCCATGGTGGGACAAGTCTATTTTCCTGATGAGCACAAAGTTGCTGTTTACCTACCTCTGCTCGGCCCCATTGGCGTACCTCTCGTCGTCGGACTACTACGAGAACTCAAGAGAATGGCCTCAAAGAGAAAGTCCGTTGCAAACTAAAAGTTGATGTGCGAACAGAATTGAGTCTACCTTGCTTCATAAGCCTACCTTCACGATCAGCCTGCTTTGAAGTGCTTGAGACAATGATTCATATGCAGTGCACCAGGCCTCGAAACCCTTCTGCCGGCCCTGATATCGAGCTTCCTAATGGAGCAGCTCGATAACGGGACCTTGTCGAGCCAAGTGGGGTGTACATGGTACGGTCTCCGCATCAATGTCGATCTGGATAGCCTCATCCCTACCACCCAGTTCACTTTAACACAATCGTGTCCAATCAGCAATGAGAGACTCGACAAAAGAGCCTGCATTTTACGGCATCTCGGCCTTATCGATTGAAAGCATACGCATCGAGTGTCATGCATTCCGACTAGCATCACCCATACATGCGAGCGTATCTTTTGCACCGAGAAGCTTATATAACATTCTACACCGGCTGGTCAGAAGTAGAACGTCCTTCCCGAGTCACTTCGATCATTACTGACCTCTCTTGCTACTCGAATACGATGGGAATTTTAATCATCCGTAGCTTGTCCACCTTGCTTTTGATATGTCTATCTCTGACTAGTTTGGTAACATGTCAACCATGCTTCAACAAGACCACCTCGATCAAAGGGAAGCCCTTCCCGCCATTGATCGAGGCGACAACAGAGAACCTCATCGTCGGCCTAGAAACAGGTTTATTCACTAGTGTCGACTTAGTCAAGGTCTGTTGAGCTTGTACAAGGAAACGCTCAACCACTAACACCTTCAGGCGTACACGGCTCGTATCCTTGAAGTGAATGCGACCTTACATATGGTCATTGAGATCAACCCAGATGCTCTTACAATCGCTGGCAACCTTGATGCTCAACGAGCGAATGGCACTGTGCTTGGGCCTCTACACGGGATTCCGATTTTGATTAAGAACAACATCGCGACGGCCGACAAGATGGATAACACGGCTGGATCGTATGCACTTGCTGGAGCAAAGGTTCCCAGGGATAGTACAATTGCAGCGAAGCTCCGCAAAGCCGGTGCAGTAATCCTGGGAAAGACAAACTTATCTCAATGGGCCAATTATCGAAGCTTCAACACCAGCAACGGGTGGTCAGCAATTGGAGGACAAACCCAAGGTGCTTATTACCCAGGTCAAGACCCTTCAGGATCGTCTTCTGGGAGTGGTGTTTCCAGCTCTCTGGGGCTCGCACTTGCAGCTCTAGGCACAGAAACCGATGGTTCTATCTTGTCGCCTTCAGATGTCAACAACCTTGTGGGAATCAAACCAACTGTTGGTCTCACGGCGAGAGATTTGGTTGTTCCCATATCCGAGCATCAAGATACGGTCGGACCAATGGCTCGAACGGTGAGAGACGCAGCCTACGTTCTTGCGGCAATCGCTGGAAAGTCTTCATATGACAATTACACTGATGCAATTCCTTTCGACACGATTCCTGACTATGTGGCTGCCTGCAACTTTTCTGCCCTACGTGGGAAACGTATTGGCGTTCCCCGAAACTTGATCGACCTTACATCTGATCCGGCCGCTGCGCCTATCGTCCCAGTGTTCAATGCAGCGCTTGACATCTTGCGAGCCGCTGGAGCGATTGTCATCGACAACACAAACTTCACGGGCTATGATGCCTTGAGTGAAGGCAATTACAGCAATATCGTCCTTGAGGCAGACTTCATCAGTGACTTGCCTAAGGAGTATCTTTCCAAGTTATCGTACAACCCGAACAACATTCATTCAGTCGCGGATGTGCGAAACTTTACTCATGACTTTCCTCTCGAAGACTGGCCCGAAAGAGATACGTTGATCTGGGATGGTGCTCTAGAGCTGGGCTATGGCAATACCTCTCCGGAGTTTTGGTCGAATTATACGATGAACACGTTCTTAGCTGGCGAAATGGGAATTACTGGAGCTCTGAAGAATTATTCCTTGGACGCGCTGGTGTTGCCTACTGAATTTTCACCAAACTTTCCAGCTTTGATTGGAGCTCCTGTGGTGACTGTACCTCTGGGTGCATATCCGCCAAACACCACTGTGCTCCTGAATCAGTTTGGAAATTTGAATGCCACAGCTCCAAATATGCCCTTTGGCATTAGCTTCATGGGACCTCGCTTCAGTGAGGAGCTGTTGATTGGACTGGCTTATGCTTTCGAACAGCGCACAATGGTCCGGAATACTATCACACCATACATTCAGCCTACCACCGAGCTTGCTGATGTAGTGCATGCGCGGCAAAGGATGAAGGAGTTATAGTCACCATGCCATTCGTTAGAATGTGAGGTCTATAGATTATCGAGAACTCAATATCTCGTGTCCGATTGACATTGGCCAATAATTTATCTCATCCAATTCTGGTCATCACGAGTGGAAGTGATTTTTATGGACGAGTTCGTTTTCGCTCGAAACTCTCTCTATTGCCTTCTTTATTAACGTAAAGTCTTATTACAGATATAAGAATCTACAGGAGTTGTCTTCAAAATATCCTAATTGATTTCTTCCGCACGCTGTCTTGAGCGATAAAACTTAATTATCTCTCTCAGCTTCTTTGACGGGGTATTCAGGCAACTCTACAGTGTGTGAATTCTTCCATGAATATGTATGTGTAGATCAGCAATCCCTTGGACGTACACGTTTGTCCTGTTCTTGAATCTTGGGATGCAGATTGATTACCCTCACCTTGTGTGTGTACAGTAGTATATGAGAGATCGTACTCATCTAATCACCTTCGGCTATTGCATCAAACCAGAGTGACCGAGACATGTCCGCAAAGGGTCGTGTAGCAACCAAATCAAACAAGTTTACGGCCGTGGAAGCAACGCCGCCGACGGTCCGCAACAAGTTCAGCCAATCGACTGACAGAGGTTTTTCGCTGACCGGGTCCGAAGTAATCATGAGATGTTTGACGGGGAAATATGCAAATCGGGGGTCTTTGGGGGCCCTGACTAGTTTACTAGGTAAATAGACTGAACCTCGGTTCAATCTGATCGTGCCTCGAACCAAATCCCCTTACAACTCCGTCAAATCGGAGTTGCAATATATACTGTCCATTAAAAAGACGCGCTGTGGGAAAGTGAAGACCCTCAGGAAGAGATTTGTAGCTGTATCATTTTCCTACGTGACGCGGTCTCTTACCCTTTTGTTCTTTGTCTCCTACAGTACATTCATCCTTGGACTTGGGTTGGACGGCTTCACCTTTCTGCGTAACTACCCACTCTGTCCCTCAATCCATCTCGCCCAGAAACAACCCTCTTCTCATACAGTACCACCAGCCAGACTTGTACCGTCATTTGTTCCGAAAAATGGCACAAAAGACATCCCAGACTCCCACGAGGAAACTCACCCGGGCCGAAGTGGCCAAGAACAACACCGAGGACAGCGTCTGGTGCATCATCGACCACAAGGTGTACGACGTCACGGACTTTCTCGACGCGCACCCGGGCGGGAGTGTGGTGTTGCAGCAGGTAGCGGGCCAGGACGCGACGTCGGCCTTTTACAACCTCCACCGCCACGAAGTCCTGCAAAAGTATCAGAGTCTGTGCATCGGCACGGTCGAGGGCGAAGAACCGGAGGTGGTCGACCCCCGCCCGGGAGACCTCTCGACCGTACCCTACGGTGAACCGCTGTGGCTGACCCCGGCCTACAAGAGTCCGTATTATGGCGAGTCGCACCGCCGGCTTCAGCGAGCCGTGCGAACCTTTGTGGACGAGGACATTTACCCGGAGGCGCAGGAGAAGGAGCTGGACGGCTCGTACATCTCTCAAGGTCTCGTGGACAAGATGGCCCGGAACAACATGCTCGCCATGCGCCTGGGACCGGGCAAGCACCTGCACGGCCGGGAGTTGATGGGAGGCGCCGTCGACCCGCAAGAGTTTGACTACTTCCACGACCTGATCGTCGCGCAGGAACTGACCCGCGGGATGGCGAGAGGGTTCCAGGACGGCAACATGGCCGGCATGATGATCAGTCTGACGGCCGTGAGGCAGTGGGCCAACGACGCCGCGCTGAGGGACCGGCTGACGCACGAGTGCCTCACCGGGAAAAAGTACATGTGTCTGGCCATCACCGAGGCCTTCGCCGGCAGCGATGTCGCGGGCATCAGGACGACGGCGAAAAAGACGGCGGACGGAAAACATTATATCATCAATGGTAAGAGCAAACAAAGCGTCCCCCGTCTTTTCCTCGTTGGCGACCTAGTACCTACCTAAGCTACCTGAGATGGCCTGCCAGCCAAGGATGGTGGACGACTGGGCAAACTTGGCTGACTTGAAATTCGATAGGAACCAAGAAATGGATCACCAACGGCATGTTCGCCGACTATTTTGTCACAGCGTGCAAGACAGAAAAGGGAATCAGTGTCATCATTGTACCGCGCGACGACAACGTCGAGACCAAGCGCATCAAGACATCCTATTCGACAGCCGCGGGTACGGCGTTTATTCAATTCGAAAACGTCAAGGTTCCCGTGAACCACCTCCTGGGCAAGGAAGACAACGGCTTCATCGTCGTCATGAGCAACTTCAACCACGAACGGTGGGCCATTACGGGCCAGGTGATCCGCTGGATGCGCACCGTCGTCGAGGAATGCCTCAAGTGGACGCACCAGCGCATCGTGTTCGGCAAGCCTCTCATCACACAGCCCGTCATCCGCCAAAAACTGGCCAAGATGATCAGTATGACCGAGGCGTGTCAGAGCTGGATCGAAAGCATCACCTATCAGATGTGTAATATGAGTTATGCCCAGCAGAGTAAACTTTTGGGTGGACCGATTGGCTTCTTGAAGAGCTATTCCACCAGATGTGCGCACGAGATCGCCGACGATGCCGTGAATATCTTTGGTGGTAGGGGTATCACGCAGTCCGGCATGGGACGTGTCGTGGAGCAGTTCCACCGCATCTACAAATTCGATGCTATCCTCGGAGGTGCCGAGGAGGTCCTGGCCGATCTTGGTGTGCGGCAGGCCATGAAGCAGATGCCTAAAGCCATGTTGTAGATCAATAAAATATGCCCGCCCACAAGCCATCCCTTTGTAATTGGAGGTCCGAAAGACAAGCAGGCCATATCTGTGTCAGGTAGCTCTTGGTTTGATGTTTGCGTTGTATGATTTTGAATGGAAGGACGAGTGTTCCCCTTCAACCTAGACCTCTCCCTGTCACCATGATTTTGTGGATCTTGTCAACAGACATTTGGTTTGGAGTCGTTGAAATTGCTGTTGTGGTCTTGGATGTAGCAGCAGTCGTTTGAGACTTTGTCAGCTCGACGTCCATCTTATCCTCGTCTTCCTCCTCTGATTCTTCGTATTCCTCTTCCTCTTCTTCCTCGTCACCCTCGTCATCACCTTCGTCATCGGGTGGCTCAATCAATTCTCGTTGTAGGCCTGTAACAACCGTTGCTATGCCCCGTTGCTTCTCCTCTAGGGTGTAATCTGCTCCCCACTTTTGTCTTCGTGCTTCTCTGTTGGCAGCACCAGGCGCCCATTGCCAGAGAGCACTGCGTTCCTGAGCAGAAAGACCTGAATGCGAGTCTTTGGCTTGTCCCGCAGCGATTTTCCCTCCCTCCTCGATCCAGTCCTCTATATTCGGCTCGAGCTTCGTCCGCAGTAAAGTCTCAAGGATGAAGGCCCGTTCCTTACCAGGGAATTGAGGGAGAGGGAAAGCGACCGTAGACTTGAAAAGGTCCTGGTACTCAGAAAGTTGTGCTGCAATCTGCTGGAGATTGTTGGATATCAGATTCGCGTGGGTCTGTAAAGAAGGCCTAAAACTCATCAGCATATATGTAACATGAACCAAAGGTCTCCTTCCTATACATACCATGAGGGCAGCTGGTTTTGCGTTGTGATTTCTGAACGTAGAGCGATTAACGAGGTATGGAGTGCTAGGAGTCGCTGCCGCGCCTGGTCAAGGGACCTGACCTGATCGTTCGTAAGAGCTGCCATATGACCTTAGCGATTGCACCTAGACCGTGACGAGGCCAAGTTATAGATGAAGCATTGCCATGCGTTTCCAGGGCAGTTCAAAGAGGGATAAATTGGGAGAAGGTGAGTGGTGGAAGACGAAGAGTAGCTCACGGGGGGCAGAATGTCGATCTCCGCATCAGGTGCGCAGCCCCAAAGCTCTAACAAATCATTTGAGAATTAAATCAGGTCTTCACCTCGAAGCGCATGAGCATTCAACCCATGCTTCGACAATAGCAACATCCGCCTGGTCGGCAATCAACCATGGCTGCTCCGGCAGTCAAACGTCTCTCGAGCAATACCCTATGCTCAAATTGTCTTGCTCGGAACCTTCGCACTTCCTGGACAGCGGGCAACCTCACCAGATGGTCCTCCGGAAGAAGAAGATTTCACGTCGTGCCAGTCACTGAGACTAGAGGATCTCGACATACGACAGCGAGCTCCCAAAGCTTTGTCCGTGACTATTTTTCGGCCAACAACTCTCTCGAGCGAGGATGGGTCAAAAGTGGACTTCTAGCTTCGATGCGCACAGCCGCAGAGCCACGAGAGGGCAAAGGCAACCTCACACGTCAAGAGAAGATAACTCGCGCCGAGGAGGACTACGAAGAACTCTCGTCAGAACATAAAAGGGCGACGAATGCCATCCAAGAACCGAACCCAGCAGTTCGAGGTCAAGAACCTGTTCAAACAGTTTCCGAGGTCCAGTCGGACGAGCAGATATTACCACATCGAAGGAGAAAGAGACAGAAAGCCAATGAAAGTCCCCTGCCGGGGCAGGACTCATTGCCTTTGGATGCCTCATCGCAATTGACGACAGCCGCTGCTGCTATGCCAGCATCCGCCGCCTTTCGACGCAAGATGGCGACGTTGCTCTCTCTTTCAAAACCGCGGTTGTCCTTCCTCATCCTTCTCTCGACAACCTCAGCGTACTCTTTATATCCCTTACCTGAACTGTTGTCTTCCACAGCGTCATTTGTGGAGACTTCATTTTCGACGTCGACACTTACACTCCTCTTCTTGACGACAGGTACTTTTCTATCCTGTGCCTGCGCAAATACTCTGAACATGCTTTTCGAACCCAAGTATGATGCTCTCATGACAAGGACTCGAAACCGACCTCTGGTCAGAAAACTCATCTCAACTCGAGCTGCAACTTTATTTGCGCTGTTATGTGGCGCTTCGGGACTTCTCCTGCTGGGATTTGGCACCAATCCTACCGTAGCAGGGTTATCCGCACTGAACATCTTCCTCTACGCTGGCGTGTATACTCCCATGAAGCGAATTTCGGTTGCCAATACGTGGGTTGGAGCTATAGTTGGAGGCATTCCGCCTTTGATGGGCTGGTGTGCTGCGGCAGGCGAGGCGGCGACTTCCGAGCACCATTCATGGAAGGATATGTTGCTCACTGAAGATTCTATTGGAGGTTGGGCACTTGCTGCGCTGTTGTTCGCCTGGCAATTTCCCCATTTCATGTCTCTGTCTCACACCATCCGAGATGATTACAAGAACGCTGGGCATCAAATGCTTGCCTGGACAAATCCTGCCCGCAATGCAAGAGTGGCCCTACGATATTCGATCGCAATGTTTCCGATATGTGGAGTACTCTACTGGGGTGGGTACGTTGACTCGAGTTTTCTGGCCATCAGTACCGTGTGTAATGCCTGGATGACAAGAGAAGCCATTCGTTTCTGGAGGAAACAGGGTGCTGGTGGAAGTGCCAGAGGTCTTTTCTGGGCGAGCGTGTGGCAACTTCCTCTAGTCCTTGTCGGAGCTTTGGTGTGTAAAAAAGGGCTCTGGGATGGTTTCTTTGGAAGCAATGATGCTGCAAGCATATACGACGAGCCTGAACTCGAAGGTGACGGGGATTCTCTGGGAATGACTTCAGCAAAATCAGCAAAGACATCAGATCTTATCGACGAGGTTAATCCGGCTATGCTGGGCTTCAAGAGACCCACGTGAGCGTGATCCGTCCTTGGATCTCGCATCAAGGTGTCCGAAGAGCATGGAGGTTCATCATCTGCATCCTACCAAATCGAGGCCCTCCTATCGTCGACGGCACAAGCGTGAATTTATATTTTGGATAGAATCAATGTGAGACAACATTGGCGCTACGCAGGACACGACTTTGGAATCATGGTCCATTCTAGCCACGCATGGATCATGTAACCGTCCTTTGGATTAGGCCACCACTACGAGTGAAGAGACGGACGACACCTAATTCGGTGGGAAGAAAGAGACTACATTGAAGCCATCCTCGGCAGTTTCCTATCGCCGTATGCAATAAGATGAGTTGTCTTCGGGAAGGGTCTGAGAAGACACGTGCGAGGATTCAGTTTATCCACTCAAAGTATGAAGGTTTCACCGTTGAAAGATGTATATCATGTAATCGATCCTCATTCCAAAAGGTTGCACAGTAAATGGAGACACAAGTGAAGGGTATGTCAAGCTCATGTAAAAGCAATACTCCTTAGGTGGTGAATGTAGGCGGCGAGTGAGAGAGGAAAGTCTAGCGAAAGCCGGGGTTCGGTAGTGCCACTTTACGAGTCTTCCGCGTCGCGTCCGATTTGTTGACATTCGACCTCACAATCTTAGGCGCTCGTGGCACAACCTGACACCTCCACAATCATTGATGGGTACAGTCGCCACCTGCTAACATAACGAATCGCTTACAAGCCGGCGAGGCCAGGCGAGAGTTGCTTCGTCAGTATGACGACGCCTTCGTAAGAACACTTACAAGCCGGTTGGTTGCCATAATTGACACGCGATAGCGAGTTCTTCGACAAGTTGAAGGCCTTGAAGCCCGACCATGACTTGACTTCGGGTGTAGCGTTCATTGCCATTCTGCACCATGACAAAGTGCCAAATGAGCCTCTTCAACAGCATGATGCCCTGTGGATTAAGTGTCCGAAAGGCAAAGCATTGAGCTCATTGCTGAAGGCGTACAAGAAGAAGTATCTGTTGCCAGACGAGCTCGTGCTCAGACATAATTTCAAGGTCGTTGATGAGACGACTAAGATCTCTGCACTTCTCACCTTACCCTCGGATGACTTTGTTGCACTTGAAGCAATCCTTGCGGACGACCTCGAGACGAGAGTGAACGCCCCTACAACTTCGCGCACTGCCCTTGCTGAAGTCACAAACACTGCCAATCAGCTCAGAATTAAGGATGATCCCTCAAGTAAAGATGCAGCAGCCTTGCCTACTAATCCATTAGTCACTCAATTAACGCATCCGATCGCAGCTCTCTCTGCCAGCAATGCACAGGACCATCATGTACGCTCAATGGCTTCGCCGACTGAAGAAGAAGGACTCGGATGGGAAGACTTCCTGTTTGAACGCCTCGAGTACCAACGGCAATTTCTACAAAGAGAAATCACGGATGCGCTCAGTGAAAGAATCAGGCACGAATGGCTCTGCTTAGACGCAGGTCAGAGAAGCTATTTCTCAGATAGAGCATCCAGGATCAGTGCAACGGCCCGCTCGATGACAGTTCGGCGTGTTCACCATATTGCCTTCTGGCTCTTCTACTATGAAAAATATCTTTCTTCACAGAACGCTGGCATTGAATTGCATGTCGATTTTCCCTCGCAACGGCGCCAATTCGATGTATCGGTAGAGCTTTGGTCTAGAATATGGGGACTCCAAGAACATGCAGGATACATGAACAAGGGTATGGCACTCTGGGCTGAAATCATAGACAAGTACGCAGATATCCTCAGTTTTCCGCCATCTGAAAATAGCGGCCCGGAACCATGCTCTGAAAATGTCGCAAAACTCGAAAACAGCAGGCTAGAACGATCCCCTGAAGGTGTCGCCCAAGTCGTCAAGGAAGAACCAGTGCGATCTCCGTTCCCTGAGGATCGTCCTGATCCTCCAAAAGACAGCTTAGTCGCAGGCAATAGCTTTCACGTGGGCCTCGAGAGGGGGATGTTAGATGCTCAAGAGTGTACAGCTTCCCGTATGACAATGTCGGAGCTTTTTGATGGTCGAACACCTGAGCAGCTTGAAAAGTAAGTCCATACTACGAAGCTTCTGTCGCTTCGGATGAAAAATTAATGCTAAATCCGCGGCAGGAGTGTTCAAAAAGGTGCCGAATTACTCAACAATATCCAACACGTTCTTCGAGAACGACCCAATGAAGAAGTCAATCAATGGATCCAGGCCCTGGAGAAAGTACAATCCCAGGCAGTACGTTCTCGCACCGTGGTGGGAGTTGTGGGGGCCACCGGTGCCGGAAAGAGCTCAGTCATCAATGCCATGTTGGACGAGGAGCGTTTAGTACCCACGAATTGCATGAGAGCCTGTACAGCAGTCGTCACCGAGATCAGCTACAACTACGATGAGAGCATCCCATACCGTGCCGAGATTGAGTTCATCTCTCGGGAGGATTGGAACAAGATGCTTAAAGTGTTGTTTCAAGACCTTCTCGATGGTTCTGGTCAAGTGTCTCGCGAATGTATCAATGAAGATTCAGAAAGTGGTATTGCCTATGCTCAGGTGAAGGCTGTCTACCCAAAGCTGACGAAAGACGAGATGGCAAAAGTTCCCATCGAACGTCTGATGGCTCATGAAAACGTGAAGTGTCTAGGTACCATCCGGAAAGCGGAAGCATTCGATGCATCGGACTTCTACAAGCAACTGCAGAATTATGTGGACAGCAAAGAAAAGGGAAGTGCTAGGAAAGATAATGGGGAAAAGGGGAAGCCGAAAGCGCGAGAAATGGAGTTCTGGCCTCTGATACGAGTTGTCAGACTTCATGTCAAGGCTCCTGCCCTTGCCACAGGTGCTGTCATTGTGGATCTACCAGGTGTTCACGACAGCAATCAAGCCCGTGCTGCTGTGGCTCAAGGCTATATGAAGCAATGCACCGGTTTATGGATTGTTGCACCCATCACTAGGGCTGTCGACGACAAGTCTGCGAAGAACCTACTCGGCGATAGCTTCAAGCGGCAGCTGAAAATGGATGGAGGCTACAATTCCGTCACCTTCATCTGTAGCAAAACAGACGACATTTCCATCACCGAGGCTCAGGATTCATTGGGGCTTGCGGATGAATCTGGTCAGATGCTGGCCAAAATGGAAGATCTGAGGAGAAAGAAAATTACTCTAAAGCAACAAATCGAAGGTCTCAAAGCGACTAAATCGGACATCAATGCCGCCATCGAAGCCCAGGACGAGCAAGTTGAGATATGGGAAAAGCTTCAGGAGGATTGCCAAGCTGGACAGACGGTCTACCAGCCCAAACCGGCGACCCAGAAACGAAAACGGATGCAAGGTTCAAATTTTTCAAGGAAGAAATCAAAGTATGCTGAGCCTGGCTCCGATGACGACTTGATTATTGATGATGATGACGAAGGCGACTCCAATAGTGATGGAGGATCGGATTTTGCTTCATCTATCAACGGCGAAGATCGCGGTCCTCCTCTTACTGAAGATGAGATTTCAAGGAAACTTGGAGAACTTCGGGTGTCAAAGAGAGAAGGACGACGGCAAAAGATCCAAGTTGGTGATGAGATGAGGAGCTTACGAAAACAGATTGAGCAAATTGACAAAGACAGCGAAGCCATTGATGCTGAGCTATTCGCTAAATGTATCTCAGGCAGAAATGAGTACTCAAGAGCCGCCATTCGACAGGACTATGCATCAGGCATTCGTGAACTTGACCAAGAACTGGCTGAGGAGGCCGATGCTGCAAATTTCAATCCTGAAGTTGACGCCCGTGACTACGACGAGGTTGCACGCAACCTCCCAGTCTTCTGCGTTTCTTCTCGTGCTTATCAGAAATTGAAGGGGAGGCTTCAGCGAGACAAAACACCTCCGGGCTTCGAGGACCTCGAGGAGACCGAAATGCCTGCACTTCAAGCACATTGTGTGCAGCTGACAACAGCTGATCGCACATCGACTGCCCGAAGGTTTCTCAACAGCACGTTTCAGTTTCTTAATTCGTTAAGGCTATGGGCTTCTAACGATGGAACTGGGAACAATCTCTCGGACGATCAATTACAGCACGAAGCTCGGATCTTGAAAGACAAGCTGAAAAAGCTTGACAGTGTAAGTCGCCCAAAATCATAACCTCCCCAAGGTTTTGGCCCAATTTGTAAATGATTATTTACTAAGTCTTGTTAGGCTCTCGAGAAGGCAGCCACGAACGTCGTCCTCGGTATCGACTGCGAGCTAAAGGAGAAAATCTATGATGTGTTCCCAAGTGCCACATCGGCGGCGAAGTCATTAGCAAGCGGCACTGTGAGACAATGGGGCGCACCTATCAATCGGGATAACCGAGCGGAAGGGGGCCTTCACTGGGGAACGTATAAAGCTGTGGTACGACGCGATGGATGCTTTTCGAATAGCTGGCGCTCTATTAATTTCAATGCAGAGCTTGTGGACCCGATTCTTCGGATCCTAACCGGACCATGGGAGTCTGTCTTTGCACGCAGAATTCCCAGCATATTGGGTGCTCTCCCGCTCGATGTGAGTGGCATGCTCAGGACTTTTCACGATGAAGTCGAAAGCCATGCCATCCGCAATGGCGCTTTGATTGCAACATTTGAGACGCTCAAGCACCAACTCCCTGGGTACAAAGACATCATGAAAGATGCAATGGTCGAAGCTCGCACCAAGGTCACCGAGACTCAACGCGAGATCAATCGTGAATTCGAACCTAGCATTACCAAACATATGCAAGAAATATATGAAATCTGCGTCGAGGAATCAGGAATTGGCTCATACAGTCGTATGAGAGCCCACATGGCTGGCTTTGTTGAACGGGAAAAGGATTCGATGTTTGAGGGATCGGTCAAGCATGTAAAGGTTCTTCTTCGACATATGCTGGAGGAGCTCAAGGAAGAACTGCTTACCAAGGTTGACATGATCTTTATGGCTGTCCAGAAGGATTATACCGGTGTCTTCTCTGGAAGTGGAAGCAGTAAGACGACCGGGGTACTTCCACGTGAACAACGAGCCTTACGAAAACCGATCCTCGAGCTTGTTGACAGCGCTGAGTTGGTATTCAAGCGAGGTGTCGATGTCGAACCTGAAGCCGAGCCCGAAGCTGACGATCAGACATCTGGAAACCCTGAAACCGACGTCGCGGAGACTGGAGCATCTGACCATATCAAAAATGAAGTCAATGATGATACAAAGATGGATGGCAGTGCTGAAACAGTTGCTAAGGAGACTGTAATGGATTCAAATGTCCCTGATTTGGCAAATCAGTCTTCACCACGAGAGCCGAGCACTGTGCCCAAAGAGCCTCTTCAGTCCATACAAGATGAAACCGGGCTTGTCAAGGGTGAACAAGATTCTATCTGAGTTTGAAGATTCTATCTGAGTTTGAAGATTCTATCTGAGTTTGAAGATTCGATCATGACATAGGATGCAGTGCACGGCGTCGGATGCATTGACGAAATCACCGAGCAAGAGATACACATGTGCAGTACGACAAGGGATGGAGATGCAGGAATATGTCCCCATGTATGGTGAGTATAACATTGGAGCGAACAAACAGGTGTAGCTACCACCCTTTTGGCTAGGGGGAAGAGGGGCTCTTTCAGGTCTTGTGTTACTAGATAGACTAGACCCTTCAAAGTCTAACACTGGGCATTTCGATTGAATACAAAAACAAAATCATAAAGGACATGCTCCATATGAAGGAAAAGTTTACGGCTCATTTCGTTTTGACGGTTTTTGACTTGTTTTCTTGGGAGCCTTCCGCCTCTGCCCCTAGTGCCGCTGACATGTGAAACATAGGTACGGAGGTACATTGTGACATTTTACTCTGGATAGTAATCGTCCATGTCATCATATCCTCGACCTTTTCAGTACGGTGGTCCTCCGACCTCGTCATTGCACCACTCTTCTTCCACGTCCTTTTCAGGAGTGTCGGGAGTGCTGTTGCAAGCCAAGTTTTTGACGCCATTTCATTTTTGGATCGTACATGACTTCGTGTATGCCGAGTGATGTTGTTGTCTCCACGTTTCTTCAATGTGGTACACCTTTAGATGCCCTGTCGCTGACTGATCGAAATCACTCGGGATTAGGACCGGGACCTTTGATAAAATGGCCAAAAAAAAGAAATTAGAGCACAAGCGTCCTAGTAATACAGTTCTAACATTGATTACCGAGACATGGTCGCCCATTTCACGCTCGCTCGTACTGTGATTTCTTCGCCCTTCGGCCCCAAGAGTTCGGGGAATCGGATTTGATGGGGTTAAGCAACTCGAAAGGGCCGCATCTAATCAGATAAATAAGCAACGGAAGCCTTTCCGTGATAGCTGCAAACATTGGCCACTTGGTAACTCGTTCTACTTCTATTTCAAGACTCGCTCAAGGCTGGCTATCCCTATTCACACCGAGGAAGCACATGCTTCGTCACCTCTTCAACGCCCAGGAACAACACCAGAGTACATCTTCCCCAGTCGTATCAGCCCATATGATTGCAAACATGGTCAAAAACGTCATCGTCGTAGGAGGATCATATGTGGGAAGGGCAAGTATTCTCTGGTTGGTTTTGGCACAAGTCCAGCACTGATTTAGAAGCCAGGCTACAGCTCAGGAACTCGCCAAAGTAGTCCCTTCGTCGCATAGGGCAAGTGTTCTCTCGTCGACATCTTCATGTCGACATACTAGCATAACCTAACATGGTCTAGGTCCTCCTCATCGAGCCCCACAGCCATTTTCATCACCTATTCGTTTTCGTATGTGGGACCCCTACCTCGACTAACCATTACTACCCCTCCAACGAGGAGGGCAAGCTGACATACACCATCAGCCTCGATTCGCCATCGTACCGAGCCACGAGCACAAAGCATTCGTCCCATATACTAACCTGTTCTCGTCTGTGCCCAACTCGGCCTCGCACGCTGTTGTTCACGCCAGAGTCGTGTCGGTCCAGCCTCGTCATGTCAATCTGGACCGAGAATGGGAAGGGTCCCGGCAGATACCTTTCGACTACCTGACGGTCGCCACGGGGACTCTGCTCTCACAGCCTGCTGCAATGAGGAAGGATGACAAACAGTCTTCGGTCGAGTATTTGAAGCAGCACCAGGAAGCCATCAAGCAGGCAAAGTCGATTCTTCTCGTCGGTGGCGGCGCTGTTGGTGTACAGATGGCCACAGACCTGAAAGAGTACTATCCTGCCAAGGACGTCACACTGGTCCACTCCCGGGTGCATCTGATGCCACAGTACCACCATAAATTCCATGACCTTGTCAAGAAACGGTTCGACGAATTGCACGTCAATCTAATCACGGGTGCTCGTGTCAGAATCCCACCTCAAGGATTCCCCACGAACGGCTCTCCATTCGAGGTCCAGCTCACCAATGGCCAGAAAGTCACGACGGAATTCGTCATTCTCGCGACCGGCCAGAGCCCTAACAATTCTCTGGTCAGAGATCTGGAACCGGAAAACCCCAATGCCGTGATCAACCCGGAGAATGGATACATTCGAGTCAGATCGACTTTGCAGTTTCTCGACGACAAGTATCCGAACCTCTTCGCAGTTGGCGACATTGCGGATTCGGGTGCGCACAAAGCCGCCCGGCCGGGAGTCGCCCAAGCAGCAGTTGTGGCCAAGAATGTTCAATCCCTGATAGAAGGCCGACAAGCAGAGGAGAAGTATGTGCCGGGTCCTGCTGGTATTCACCTGTCTTTAGGCATGGTAGGTTGGGGTCCGCTGGGGGGAAATGGCGCCGCGTGGACTGACAATTTGTACAGAAGGAGAATGTCATTTTCCGGAATCCGAACAAGGCAGAAGGAGAGACGGAGCCAACGATCATGCCTAAGAGCGAGTGAGTCATACCCTGATTCCCCTTTGTGTCATGTTCCCCTTGAAGCTGATGGCATGGCAGCGGTCAAGAAGACATGGGTGTAGAAGGCTTCTGGAAGAGGCTCGGTATTGATGTCAAGAGTCCGCAGCAGTATCACTTGTGAGGAGCAAAGCGTCAGATAGAACATTAGATTTGAACAGAGTTCACAACAGCTGGCAGGATTTGCATGACAAAAGGTAGACTACGGCGTTTAGAGCCGACCATCGTCGTATGGTCTACTTGTTAGACCAGAGGATCAGCGGGCCTCTTCTACTCTACAAACCAGGACGACCGAAGGTCACCAGCGCAGAGCAACCAGGAAATACTCCGCACTGATCACAATGAGCACTACACTCATTGGACGGTGAGAGTCTATATAGTCACGCTCCTTTCCCATGGTAGATAGGACCTTCGTTGTCAAACTCAAGCCTCTAGTCGGATTCTATGGTTCTCGATACTACTATTACCATAGACACCACTATACCCCAGCTAGGGAATCTACGTGAATGTGCGGACGCCCAGGGCCGTCTGTTCGGCTCATAACACCTCACCTCGCCGGCCATCAGTATTGTCGAAGATGAAGTTGCGCACATTAGAAAGTACGGGGGTTGTTTGGAATAACTCCAAGAGTGCTATTTTTCATAGCATCCAACATGACAAGGCGTAATAATAGCCAACCTTTGCTCGGGATGTAAGACCGGTAGCCGACAACCGGCATCAAGTTCGGAATGCTGCGGTCCGCGCAACGTCCCGATTTGTAGCATTCGAACTATGCCGGATTTAATTAACGTCTATAAATGTACCATCGCCACGCTCGATAGGCACGCACAATCGCGGTCATTTGATACAACAACGAGAGAAGTTTACGTGTTTATTCAGGGAAGAAAGACGTTTCCCAAGATCCTTCCGTCGTCCCAAACTCTGGCCTGAACCATTGTGAAAGAAAGTCTTTTTTTTTCCCCGAGGATGTCATCCCCAAACGGCACGGCTGTATTCCTCCCTCCGTCGGCCGCTCAAGGTCTGGCGAACTACCCCCACGCCCGGGCCACACCGAACGACACCACATCGACCACCCTGTACGTGTCCGGCACCTCTTCGCGAAGAGGGGACGGAACATACGCAGGGTATTCGGTGGGCGGCGACGGAAGAGCGGTGTTGGACGTGGCCGAACAGACGACGGCAGTTCTGACCAACATCAAGCGTGTCATCGAGACCGCCACCGACGGCAAATGTGGGCTCGAGAGTGTCATCGAGGCGACCATATTCCTGACCGACATGAAGGATTACAAACGGATGAACGACGTATGGAACACGTTCTTCCCGGAACGGACAGCGGCCCCTGCGCGAACCTGTGTCCAGGTTGCGGCCCTCCCAAACGAAAAGTTGTGCGTCGAGATCAAGTCCATAGCTATCGTCCCCGTCGACGTACGGTCTTCTTGAATGATCGCCCAAAAAGGAAAAGTATCGAAGGAGCCTACTTGGGTTCTCACGTAGAGAGAGAGAGTCTTTCTAGTCTCAGAAGCCACAGGATTTTACTCTGTACACTACGTACGATCCACGTATCGATTACGGTTGAACTGTCTCACGATATCCTCACCAGCAATTTTCCCGTGGTGAGACCTTGTGAGAGCTCATCTTGAGCCTTTCCAACCTCGTCCATGCCGTACACCTTGCCGATGTTGACCTTGACCGCCCCCGTCGACACCAGATTCACCAGTTCTGCACTTCGGAGGTCAAACTCCCCACGGTCTTTGATGTAATTCGCCAAGGTCGGCCGGACGAGCTTCAGGTTCTTCCCACTGAGCTGCAGTGGCCGGAATGCCTCGATGGGTCCGCTCGAATTCCCGTACGTCACCAAGGTCCCTTTCCGTCGCGTGCAGTTGAGATCGGCGCCGAACGTGGCTCGTCCCACCCCCGAGAAGACGGCATGGCAACCGAGTTGGTCCGTCAGCCTCAAAACTTCGGCCTCGACGTTGGTCTCCTCGTGGTTGATGACAAAGTCGCACCCGTTGGCTTTCGCGATCGAACACTTCCCGGGAGTCGATGCCGTTCCGATGACTTGGGCACCCAGGTGTTTTGCCATTTGTGAAACGAGCCCTCCCGTACCTCCGGCCGCCGCCCGGACGAGGACCCATTCTCCCCTTTGCACCTCGTGTGCGTCACGGACGAGCGTCCACGCCGTCAGTCCCTGGAGCATCATCGCGGCTCCCAGCTTCGTCGAGATGTCCCGGCCCAGCTTCAAGACGTGGGTGGCTTCCGCGCACACGTACTGCGCGTATGCCCCTTGGGCGAAGACCGCGACTTTGTCTCCCACCTTGACGTCGGTCTCTTGAGCGGCGGTATCGCCCACCTTGCGCACGACCCCGGCTCCTTCGCGGCCAGCCACGGCCGGCAGTTCGAGGGCGTAGAGCCCGGTCCTTTGATACACGTCCACAAAGTTTATCCCAGCGTATTCAATCTCCACGCAGACCTCGTTGGCTGCGGGTTCGGGCGCAAGGCGGTCATCCTCGACCTTCAGAACGTGAGAAGCGCCTATCTCGGCCAAGACTACAGCCTTCATTCTGGAATGCTTGTTCTTTTCTTGACAGCCAGGCGCTGCCAGCGGTAAGGTGAGTGGGTGACTGTGTGCGACGAAATTGTTCCCCTAAATGCAAATGACACTTCTCAGTGAGCTTTCCGACGAGCCCGGAGCAGGTGAATGAGGATCGTGCTGCTGTGATTTTCGAGGCGGTATTGTAAGGCTGTTGGGCTCTAGTAAGAAAAGGAGCTGTGGATACCGGCCACGATCCGAAACAGTCTATCGGTTTACCAGAGTCGGTCCGCGCTTCTGAATGCCTGAATCCGCCTTAACGTTTGTATACGTCAAGCAGTCTATGACAAACAAGAAAGGAGAATGTTATTGGACGACCGAAGTTGGCCCTCTACTACTAGGTTTTGTCGTTTACGATGGCAATGTGTACTTGCTCACGCACACAACGTACTGCAGCAAAGGAAATCTTCAGCTATTGCCGCAGAATTCGGACATACACACATCCTCCCAGCACCGGAAAAGTAGGTCAAACTCGGAAGATGGAGGACTACCCGCTCTTCAACGGAGACGCGGGCACTCTTCTCTCAAGGTTTGTCAAATATGTACAAATTGGAAATACCCCTTTATCGTTGGACCTCCTAGATTTAGTATCGGACATCAACACGGACGTGTTAACACGAGATCCAGAACTGAAATCACAACTACCAGCCGCCGGTCAACTTGAGCGTCTTCACCTAGAGAGACATGAAGATCATCGAGAGCCGACCCGCCGCTGGACAGTGGGTCCCGTGAGCACACTGCTTCCCTGCGAGAATCCACTTCTTGTTACAGGTATTCAAAACGATGATGCTGCCTCCGCCGGCTGTCGTTCTCCTGATGGTCAGTCGTTTGCCCTGTTGCTACTTTCTGCTCAATTCTGGTGGACATCATCGGCGCGGGTTTCCATGTCGACTACACCAAAGGGGACGTCCATTGCTCCGACGGACAGACGCTTGGTTCCTGGTAGAAAGAACAGTGGAGGCAAAGACACTGATGCTGCCACAAATTTGTAATTTTCATAGGGATTAGTACGAGAGCATCGAATGACATATGGGAGAGAAAAAGACAGGAAAGACGCCAGTCAGCTGCACCATCCAAGTCTTCCACCCAATGTTGACAGAGAGCAATTGCTTGCACTTTGGACCGGGCCTGGAGGACAGGAACACTCATTGAACCCCAGAAGGCATTGGGCAGGAACTGTCCCATGAGAATTCCCCCAGACTTTGTACTGCAGAAATGTCTAGGAATGAGATACCGGGCCATACATGCGAAAGCTGACAAGTTTAGCATCGAGATTCATTTCCAAATTTCGTAGAGTACATCCCAGCGCTGGGGGCCGCACTCCTACTGAGGATCCTCGACCTGGCCACACTCGGGGCACCTCCGATTGTTCTCATCTGACTTCCAAGCATTTATCGGAGCCACCAGTTGCTTTCCCAGATCGGTACAGTGGAAAGAGTCTTCCCGAATCATGGTAAGCTTGTCATGGTGACCCTTTGAGCAGTACCATTGCAGACGGTCGACACTCCCCTCAGGCCGCCTCCTCTCCATCACGAGCCCATAAGTGTCCGCGTATCGGATGGGACTGTGAGGCGTGTTGCCTAATTTGCCAAGTCACTTTAGAACTCCAGTCGTTCTCACAATCGATCACGTCCATCTTCAGTCTCACCTGGCACGAGAAACATTTCGCCTTCTTTGATGGTCATGTCCCTGATCTCTCCATGATCCACGAGGCGCAGGGTCATGTCCCCTTTGATCTGATAGAACCATTCTTCCGTCTCATTCACTGCTTCATGTGAGTCTCTTGGTCAGTGCCCTCGATCAATCGACGGCCACGTACCGTGGAAGTCGTTGCGAGAATTCGGCCCTCCCACGATCATGAGTGTAAAGTCTTCCCCAGAGTATAAACAGTAGTTGCTCACTGGAGGCTGAAGTTTATCGTTGTTCGCAGCTATCCACTTCCCAAGGTCGAGGGGAATGGCCCTGGGCATTGAGGGTAATGCTGCTGCCGCCGCCATAGTAGTGACACTGTGATTGCAATTTGTGGGCTTGGAAAGATTATTCGAATTCGATACAGTTCTATTAATCTCAGGAATGCTGCCTCGAGTCCTCTATGCATAGAGTGAATTATTTGATTCACCGACTAGCACTTAAACTTCGGTGACAACGTATACGTATACCTCGTGTTTGGTTGCCCCTGACGTTGGGACGGAGCGCGGATCGCGCACCGAGCAGATGGCGGATGTGAGACCGCCGACTAGGTAGCGCGTTGCGTGACCCGCTAAATTGTTGTCGGGACAGGGGTTCGTCCAGCCTTTGGTGAGCAATCCTTTAATTCTTGTAGGACTCGCAGAGGCTGGGTGCGAGCTTGTATCTCAGATGTCCTGAGGTCTGAATTTGTGGCACCCTGCGCTGATAAGGGCCACAAGAACCCAACCCCGACCCATTCCAACATACACGTATCGGTCGGTACACCATGATCCTACAGTCACCGCCAGATGCCGAGCAAGGCTCTGACTGCTCATGGTGTACGGGCTCTCCGTCTACCAGGTCCACGGGGTCGAGTGCATCAATGCGGGACAGCAGTCGCCTTTATCGGATCGATATGCATACACATATAATGCCAAAAACACTGCCCTCCTTGCCGAACTCAAATGATGGCGCTCCTTCAGATCCGTGGATCGAGCTGAGGGCACGGGACGAGACATCGGATGCCGTGGACATATACGTGGACGGTAACTTCTTCAGAACAGTCCAATCAAATTGTTTCGACCATACGGTGAGGTTGAAGGAAATGGACGAGAACAACGTCGACGTACAAGTGTTGAGCACTATTCCCATATTGTTCTTCTACGACCGACCAGCCGCTGCCGTTTCACAACTGGCGAAAGCCCTCAACGAACACATTGCACAAGTCTGCAAAGAGCACCCGACAAGGTTCGTCGGTTTGGCAACCGTGCCTCTACAAGATGTGGACCTGTCGATTGAGGAAGTCACAAGGGCCAAGTACGAATTGGGCTTGAAGGGAGTGGAAATTGGAACGACGGTTGGCAACATGAACCTCAACGACCCAAAGTTGGAAGCATTCTGGCAAGTCTGCGAAGAACTCGACTTTCCAGTTTTCGTACACCCTCTGGGCTATTCTCTCTCCGAGGAAACGCCATGGAGATGGCAACAGTATTGGTCCTCGTGGTTGATCGGAATGTAAGCGTTACTCATGTGTTTTACAACGCGTACGTAGAATGTCTGTGGTCGATGTGCTGATCTACTACATCTTCCAGGCCTTGTGAAACTGCTCTTTCAATGCACGCCATTTCTTCCTCGGGCCTCCTATTGAGGAGTCCTCGGCTGAAGCTATGTTTCGCCCATGCTGGCGGTGCTTTCCCAACACTATTGGGAAGAGTACAGCATGGGTACGATTGTCGACCAGACTTGGTCGCCTTCCAATCCGGTGGTCGAACGCCAACGGAGAACTTGACGGTCGGCAAGAATCTTTGGGTGGACAGCCTCGTGCATGACCCTGACTTGTTACACTACCTTGGAAAGAAAATAGGTTGGGACAGGATCGTCATGGGTAGCGATTACCCTTTTCCTCTGGGCGAAGTACCGGAAGCTGGAAAGATGCTTTCTTCGGATGACCGTTTGAAGGAATTTCTCTCCTGGACTGAGAGGGCGCAGATGCTGGCTGGGAATGTCATCAACTTCTTGTCACTGGAAGAGAGATTTAAGCAGGAGTATGAGCAAAGGCTGAAGTCTTTCCTGAGTAAGATACAACATTGATGCACACCAGAATCTCTCTCACGGGCGAGACTTCTACCACTTGATCCTCCAGGGAAGACACTTCCCTGCCAAGAGTCAAACAATGCTGTCCAGTTCGCCCATAAAACTGCCAGGACTACAATTAGCATCAAACCAAAAGAGGCCCGAATCCATGGCATCAAGGGAGGGCGATTCTATGAAGAAAGGCGTGGGAGGCTTCTTGTTTGAATGACCAAATACGCCGGCCGACTCGGTCGTAGCTCTTTCTAGCATTCCAGTGGGAGGGGTTTGGGAGATCTGAGGAACTGGATTTTGGGCGCTTGAAGAAAGGGCAGTGGTGTTTATGGAAAGAAGATTTAGACTTGATCGTGTCGGAGGGGCAACACAGTGGCTGGGTCGCCTCTCAATATTCTGTTTGTGAACTGGAAACTTCTTTCTCTTCGAACAATTCTGGGAAGGCTGAGTGGTCTGCAAGCTGAAACGGTTTCCATCCAAACAATGCTTCCCTGGGTATTTGTGAATGGGACCTGGTGATTGATGAGTCTCTGGGGCGTGGGAGAAATTGCAAACCCCTTTGCGATATACTCCTTGTTGCATCAAAGGCGTGACGCCGATGTACCCTTCGATGATGGCGAGATACTTTCGGGCTTCGACAAAGGTTGACTTTGTACTCTTCAACAAGTTTCTTGCCTTTCTCACCTCGGTGAATACGGCCGCAGCGAATGTCCTATCAATGGAGCTGCGAATGCACTGCAGGAGCACTATCACGCTCACAAAGATGTTTTAAATGGGAAAGATGAGATGGTGTACAGAAAATTGTTGAATAAGGCCATCAGACACGTAAATGTATTGGATGGCATTTTTGGCACAGATGTTCTGTACTTCCTCGGTTTCGGGCGTCACGGGTCGATGTGGATGTGGCATGAATAGTCGGTATAAGAGTAATACAGACGTATAGAAGTAAGAGAGTGTGATGGATCTTGTCGCTGCGTGAGGCCGACTGGTACCACTTTACAATTAACCCAGAGCATTTCGCTTCGCCCACCCAGCAAGACTAGATGGGTGGTTGTAGACCATAGCTCTGAGATTGTTTCGCTTTATCCGCATGAAAGGTACTGTATGCTCAGACTCAGGTCTTGAAGCGTGCTAGGCATCTGTTGCTGGTGCAGTCATTTCTGTGAAGCTTGAAAACATCGAGCCTCTCGCCGGGCTTGTGAAGGATGCAGGAAACGGAAGATGAATTGCGATGGGAGACGAGCCATGTAAAAAGGTGCACTGCACAGAACTTAGCTTGTGTATATAGCGACTGGAACACACCCAGTGATTGAAACTCAAGGTAAGTTCTCAATCTCATGAAAGTGTGCACTCCTGTACTCATGCTGCCGTTTGATCTAGTGCTATCAAGAGTCTGGAAATGCGACCGGGTGAAAGGGAAAAGAATTTGTCCACATTCGAGGACGGTGTAGTTTCAAGTATCACGGCTCTATCACCCAGGCATGGGGGGGACTCTGCAAGGTCCTGGCCCCGTTGGCGTCCGTCGAAGTGGGTCGACCACTCATGGCCCACCTCTTCTCGCAGATACGATTGCAAATGTTCGTTGTACGATCATCATGAAATGCCCAGCATGTTCGTCCGTGGAATCTATTCCTAAAGTAGAGCAACTTTGCGGCCTCACAGTCGTCGGCCATCGTTCTTGGGAAATGTAACGTACAGCGGTCCGACACCCGAGGGAGGAGTGAGTGTCTTCGGATAAGAACCAGGTACGTCACGTGCTACTCGTTGACTCCTTGTGAGTTGTCCTTGACGGTAACGGAGGGTTAGAAATCGCCTGGCACAAATGGTAGACAAAATCGTCAAACATTGCTGCCTGGTCTACTGGGAGGCATGGGAGACAACTCAACCCGATTGAACCATGGAGCAAATCTGGAAATTGGATACGCTCTCCTCCGCTGAAGCATTCATCTCCAAGCAGGATGGACAGTCACTACTTACATTAGAAAACTACATCGGTGGTCAATTCTCGGAAAACACCTCAGAGAATATCTTCATCTCCGCTTTCAATCCGAAGACTGGCCGCGAGTATGCCAAAGTACCTGTCAGTGACGAGACTGCTGTACAATCTGCGGTGGACGCAGCAAAGGCAGCCTTTCCTTCCTGGGCCAAATTAAGCCGCAGAGAGCGATCTCATCACTTGCGACGGATTGCGTCCCTTCTGCAGGAGAACCGAGAGCTACTTGCCGTATGGGAAAGTATCGATCAAGGCAAGACTCTGGAAAGGGCAAGAGTTGAAATTGATCGTGCTGTTAGCAATTTCCAGTTGGTGGTGCCCATCTGTCTCCGTTTCAAGTGGATGACTAAGTATCGTTGGCTAGATATTTTTCGTCGTACATTCTGCACGACGACAATAGAGCACGTATGGTCGATGGTGTCGCCCTTACGTACGAACATCGTTCTGCAATAGGGCCCTTTGCGTTGATCAGCCCGTGGAATATGCCACTATATCTCCTCACCTGGAAGATAGCCCCTTGCATAGCATTTGGCTGCACTGCAGTGGCGAAACCCAGCGAAGTGACGAGCATGACAGCGTACTGTGAGTTGACCCAGCTGCCTAACATCTCGTCTCGAGAATCTTCGAAAGACTGACGGTTGAGTGCCGAAGTACTCGCCGAGGTTCTAAGGCGAGCGGAGCTTCCGCCAGGGGTCGTCAATATTATCTTCGGGGATGGCAGAACCACCGGGACGGCCGTTGTGACAAACCCGGACATACACGGCGTATCATTCACCGGCGGTACTGCTACAGGTATCCAGATCCGCAAGCTCACAGCCGAATATATATACAAGCATGTTTCATTGGAACTCGGTGGGAAAAATCCTACCCTGGTGTTTGAAGATGTGGAGCTCGATGAGGCTGTAAGGGTTGCATCACAGGCAGCTTTCGAAAACCAGGGCGAGGTATGGTAAATTCCTGAATGATGGACGGTGCTATTGGTGGTGATGCTGACCGTGGTGTAGATCTGCCTATGCGGCTCAAGGATCTATGTGCATTCCAGTATCTATGACGACTTCATCGCCAAGTTCAAGAGCCATGCGGCTCAAGCCTATAGATCACAAGTTACCATGGGCGCCATCGTCTCGCTGCCCCATTATCAGAAGATTCGGTCTTATCTAGAGTTGGCTAAGGATGAGGGTGCCAAATTTGAACTGGGAGATATCCCTCCCCGGGAGCCTCAAAATGGGTATTGGATGGACCCAGTAGTACTTACTGGTGTTTCGCAAAGCAGTAGGGTGGTGCAGGAAGAGATCTTTGGGCCCGTCGTTACCATCGCACAGTTCGACACCGAGGAAACGGCCGTACAGCTTGCCAACGACAATGCCAACGGCTTAGCTAGTGTGGTCTTGACTCGTGATGGTAAGCGAATGCGGAGAGTTGGGGAGCAGATACAAGCAGGCTTGGTGTGGGTGAACTGTTGGTTGGTGAGGGAGTTGGGAACCCCCTTTGGTGGAATGAAGAACTCGGGAGTTGGGAGAGAGGGAGGCGATTACAGTCGGGACGTCTTCACCAATGTGCGGACGATACACCTTGCACAGTGATAATGATATACTTGACATCTAAAAGTCCTGATGAATGTACGGAGTACTCTTTACCGAGTACATATTTTGGCAAATAGTCCAGGCTTACGTAAAAACCCATAAGTTACGTCATGGGTCAACCGCTAAGTTACAATGCATTGCGTGGCCTCCAAGAACAACATGAGCTCTCACTCGATGCTGTAGGTCAATACAATCAACTATCATACCAGTGGTTTCAAAGTCTCGAGTCTCACAGCAGCACCCATATCCGTATACCTGCATCATTTGGGCGACCATGTCAGAGTCCGGCTTGTCCTCAAGGCTCGCCAGTCTCAAACCCTTCTCCAGGTCAAAACGCAAAGTTGACGATGAAGATACGGGAGAGGAAATCGACTCTTCGACAGTAGCTGGTGGTGGGCATGCCTCGCGACAAAGTCAAATCACCAAAACCCAGCTGAAGGTCAGCCATGCTCTAAGGTCCTTTTTGGTGCATCAAAAGGTGCTTTCTAAAGACGCAGCCGGGGTGGATGATCCGGAGAGCATGCCTAGACCTCTGTACGATCTCGTTGAAAAGCCTCACATCAACGTCCCTGCATACGTCGTGGACCGATCTTATCCTCTGCCCGAGTACTTCATCAGTTCAAGCCACAACACTTACTTGCAGGCACATCAACTTTACGGTGAAAGTTCCGCCAAGGCATACGAGACGGCGTTGAATACCGGGTCTCGTTGTGTCGAGATAGATGCTTGGGACAACGAAAACTCCCCGGACGAGCCAAAGGTCACACATGGCTATACTCTGGTGTCTCACATACCATTTCGCGCAGTATGTGAGACCATACGAGACTTTGTCGACAAGGAAGCAGCACAGGCCAGTGGCGAGCAGAATTATCGACCCGCACCCGTCTTCATCAGCCTCGAAAACCACTGCGGGCCTCAGGGCCAGGAACGACTAGTATCAATCATGAAAGAGGTTTGGGGTGACCGCCTTTTAAGTAAGCATGTCAGGGAAAAGGGCACTCGAGAGCAACAAGGGCGCGGTGAACACGTGAGCCTCGAGGAGCTTGGATCTAAAATTGTTGTAATCGTCGAATACCATTATCCCAACGAGCCAGACGGTAGCGAAGAAGACTCCAGCTCCAGCTCCTCTGATGACGAGGAAGAAGATAGGCGAGCCCGAAAGACCTACGAAGAAAATAAAAAGTCCGCCCCGGCTACGGTCATCATCCCCGAACTGGCAGACTTGGGGGTATATGCTCAATCAGTAAAGCCCCAAAACACCACCTGGTTCAGCGAAGTCGGACTCCAAGAGCCCCATCATCACCTCATCAACGTCTCCGAGTCTGGACTCAAGGCTCATATGCCTACCGAGATTTCATCCATCTCCCGTCACAATGCTCAACATCTGATGCGAGTGTACCCGAAAGGCACCCGGATCTCATCCAAGAACCTGAACCCGGTTCCTTTCTGGGGCCTTGGTGCTCACATTTGTGCACTCAATTGGCAAACTTTTGCCGCCCCTCTGCAACTAAACGAGGCTCTGTTCAGTGGCACGGACGGATTTGTCCTGAAACCCGAGGCTCTTCGAAGCGGTGGCAGTGGCAAACTGAGTACGGGCAAGAAGAAAAGACTGCGGCTTCACGTGGGAGGTGCAACGGATGTACCAGTTCCTGCAGATCGCGACGCCGATGATACAAAACCCTACCTGACGTGTACGCTTGTGCATCCGGATGATGTGAAGAATGAGCCGCCTAAACGCAAGACTCGACCATACAAGCAACATAAACTCGAGTTCCTTCATTCGGGACAAAATCCTTCACCAAAAGACCCTATCTGGGACGAGACCCTAGAATGGGAGTACGAAGATAATGAGTTGGTCTTCATCCGCATGCTTATCAAATCCGACGATAGCTTCGCAAGGAATCCAAAGTTTGCGGTGGCTGCGGTGAGGTTACTGTACGTAACTCCAGGATGGAATTTTATCCGACTCCTTGATTTCAAAGGGAGGGAGACGACGTGCTCGTTGCTTGTCAAGTTTGATGTTGAAGATATATAGTGGAGTTGTCACAAGGTTGTAGATAACTCATATTGATTCATGCTTAAAGTCGAGAATGTCTCCATACTCCGTACTATGTGTGTATATATATATATATATATACGGAGTACGAGTCCGATGTTTATGAACCACCATCTCCTTAATGGTTAAAGCGGCGTCTCTCACATCATGGTCCTTACTTTGTCCCGCAGTTGTGGAGGCTCTTCGTCTCATGCCCCATTAATTGTTCTCATCAATGCCCACGCCCACCACCACTTGTCCTGTTTCACCTGTCCTCGCTTCTCGATCTTCGAGCTAGGGTCCGCTATCGATCTCATCGAGACGGTGACACTAGATCTGATTCGAAAGCTGCCATTTTCTTCTCTCAATAATAATAATGTTTCTTGCGGCATGCACATTGTCACCCTCGCCTCTCGAGCTCCCACTCTCCTCTCCCGCACCTTGGTAACCTCCATTCCCAGAGCTTCGAACCGTCGACCTCGAAGCTCGTCCTGTCTTTTCCACTTGGCCAGAGTCCGTCCAGTTGCCTTCCGTATGGCATCCACACTCCCTTCGTCGCCAATTTTCGAATCCATCGCGCGACATGATCCCAAGAGCCCGGCCATCATACATTCCGCTTCCGACCGTACCTTCTGTTACGGCAGCTTGCTCCACGATGTTGCGGCGGCGAAAGACACCTTGACCGCCCTCACCAACGGCAAGTCACTTGCCGGTGAGAGGATAGCTTTCCTCGCCGAGAACGGGTACGACTATGTAGGTGCGGGCGCGCTCACTCCCTGTGTTCTTCTCACATCTTCTGACATGATCAAGTGACGTTCCTGTCCATTCTCTCCCACGACGCCATCGCCCTTCCTCTCGCGCACACCCACCCGAACAGCGAACTCCGTTACATCCTGTCCAACAGTGAAGCGGCGCTGTTCCTTTCTACCGGGAAATTCCAAGATAAAGCACAGGAGGTGGTCAGAGAAGGGCTGGACCACCATGTTCGTCTGGAAATCTTGTCCAAGATTGAAACAGGTGCGACCTCCGCCGAGAACGTGCGCTTCAGCAGCACCGCCAGCACCGCCAACGGCGGCTTCATGCTCTACACCTCCGGCACGACGAACCGGCCAAAGGGCGTCGTCCTGTCCATACCCACCATGACCGCGCAAGCCCGTTCGTTGATCGAAGCCTGGGAATATACACCTCGAGACCGCCTGCTGCACGTGCTTCCGTTGCACCACATCCACGGCACGATCAACGCACTCTACACTCCCCTGATGGCCGGCTCTGCGGTCGAATTTGCCTATCCGTTCAACGCCGACACGGTCTGGAGACGACTCGCACTGCCGTTTCTCCCCCACTCGCCCCCCACCAAGACCCCGATCACCTTCCTGACGGTCGTCCCGACGATATACAACCGATTGCTCGCCACCCACCCGACCCTTTCACCTGAAATGCAGGAGGCCACTCGCACGGCCATCACCCCGACGCACATGAGACTGAACATTTCGGGTTCCGCGGCGCTCCCGACCCCCACGAAACAGGCGTGGACGGAACTGAGCGGTGGCAACGTCCTCCTCGAACGCTACGGCATGACGGAAGTAGGGATGGCCCTCTCCTGTGGCTTGGCCTTCGAGGACCGCGTGGACGGGAGCGTGGGCTGGCCGCTGCCCGGCGTCGAGATCCGGCTGGTGGAGTCGGAGACCGGCGAAGTGATCCGACCCGGCGAGGAGGTCGGGTCCGACGGCAAGGTACGCGAAGGAGAGATCCAACTCCGGGGGCCGACCATCTTCAAGGAATACTTCCGCAACCCAAACGCCACGGCCGAGGAATTTGTCGACGACACGGACGGCAAGGGCAAATGGTTCAAGACGGGCGACGTCGCGGCCAGGCAGGTCGTGCCCGGCGCGGGCCAGAACGACGGGCAGGGATGGGCGTCGGGACCCATGTACTTCATCCGCGGCCGGAAGAGCGTCGACATCATCAAGACGGGCGGCGAGAAGGTGTCGGCGCTCGAGATCGAACGGGAGCTGCTTTCCCTGCCACAGGTCGCCGAGGCCGCCGTCGTCGGTCTCCCCTCGGAGCAGTGGGGCCAAAAGGTCGCCGCCGTCGTCGTCCTGACCCCCGCCGGCATGACGGCCGGCAAGGGCGGCAAGGCCTGGAGCGTCATGGACATGAGGCGGGCGCTGAAGGACAAGTTGGCCAACTACAAGATCCCCCAGGAGCTCAAGGTGGTCGAGTCGATCCCTCGGAACGCCATGGGCAAGATCAACAAGAAGACCTTGGTCAAGGATGTGTTTGGGTAGGTTCTCTTTCTTCAACAAAAAGCATAGGCCACCAGAACGAGTCACGAAAAAAAGGGATTGCGTCGGAAAAGCTTGCATCTTGAATGGCTTTTAATGTATAGCTACCTAAAAGTGTGTGTATATATATATCTTCCATATGGTCCAGGCATGCTACGGGATATGCAAAGGCGCTAGATGAAAAAACAGGGAACAAAAAAGTAATCCTCGCTCATGATCACGTTTATTTGCAGGTATTATACAGAGTAATATACCTGACTGGAGGGAGCTCCTTCCGACAAAACCATGTTAGGTATGCAACCAATTATTCGATGTGTACTACTCGGTCCCATCTCTTTTTAGCCTCGTCAAAGTTATAAACAACATCCCTCGGCCATGATCTCTGCAAATACATATCAATATATCCATAGTACTTGAAAGTATTGTCCAGATCCTTCAAATTTGGCTGCTCGTTGACGTAGCGCCCCTGACGCAGCCGACAAGAAGTTGATCCGGAATCTTGTGGAGGGAAATTCGGTTCTAAATCGGCGAAGCTGCCTGGGGGTCTGAGAAAGGGAGCCACACGAGACCTTTCACTTTTGACACAAAATTTTCTCTTTCTCGGTCGTAACACCGAGAGAAGCTACCGGTGGCTAGGTCAAGGTAGACGGTCGGGTGGTGTCTCCCGACTACTCGGGAGGCTGGCGTTCTGGTCGATCTGGATTCGGGGGGGCAAGGAGTGGCATCTTGGTGAAGAGGATCCATCGAGTGGTCGGCATCGATCCGGAACGTCAACCGGGTAAGCCAAGGAAGTAGTTGAAGCTCAGCGCCTGCAAAGAAAATCTTCAATACAAATAGAATCCGCCTCGTGCGCCTGGTGAGGGAACTTCCAAAATCTTCGGCTCGTAGACATTACGTTGTACATCATCTTGCCTGCAAAAACAAAAGATTCGACGCGTTCTAGGCCTGCAAAGGACAGTAACCCGTTGGCATGTCTCGTCCGAATTTCCTAATACAAAGGGGGCGATGCGTGGCATTCAGCTCGTCGTATAATAATACCAGTACTTAGGCGACAAAGTACAGATGCTCATTTTGATTTTGTTCGACACTTTCAGCTAGCCTGGCATTTCGAAAACAACTTTTGATTCACGCTTTGAGCCAAGCTCTGCAGGGTGTCTCCTGTCTCCCGTCGCCTCGTGCAGGCCTGAGATTTCTCTGATAACGGGGGTCGAGGCTCCGGAAGTGGTCGTCTCTTTATCGGGATAGTCAGGAATGATGCCTTGCGAGTGTCGATTAGAAGTCGCCTTGACTCTTCGATATAATCTCAAGACAGCGAAGCATAGGCCGAGTATGACAACCACCAATGCCGTAACACCAATGCCAATGCCAACTTTCGCTCCGGTGCTGAGTCCTGACCCCCCTGAAGACGACGAGTCAGAAGATGGACTAGACTCTGTCAAGCCCGATGGGACGGAAGATGCGGGAGCGATTAAACTCGTGATCGAAGCAGCCGCCGTCGTCGCGGTTGTGCTTTCTGAGAATTGCGTCGCGGTCGCAACTACCGAACTCAGGCTCGCGGGAGCAAGGGTCGCTCCACGTTTTAGGATGATAAAGGCCGGGCTAGGGAACTGGTTCGGGTACAAGGGGTAGATGTCAGTGCCGGTTAGGGTGAATCGCAGCACAAAGCGATTGTCGATATCTATGAGGGTCTCGTTGACCGTGATTGTCCACGGTAGGGTGCCGGGCTCGGTGATGTTGATGTTGGACGCGATACGGACAGCGTAGGAGAGTGTCGGGTCAAAGCTGGTCAGCCATAGATCGGACATTGAGTGATTGAGCGCCTGCCATGACCAGGTGATGCTGTTGCCATTGTTGTAAACATCAGTGAAATTGGGCTTCGTTCCGTCAGGGATGCTCCACGGCACGACACTCTGGGCGAAAACAGACGTCTTGAGCAAGAGAAGGCTGAAGAGGAGTGCCCGGTACACCGTGGTCAACATCTTTGAGGTGGTGAGCGGCGTCTGCAGGAGAACAACAACGACATGAACACAGCTCGGGGGGTTGGTTACAGGGTAAGAAAACGTGAAGGAAAAGTACAAATTCAGGCTGGGGAGAGGGAAATCATCAAGTGGGGAGGGGGAATGAGCTCAAATGTGGCCCCTAGGCGGCATGTTGTTACCGTTGACACCGAATTCATCGTTGAACTCGGCCAAAATCCTTCAGTGTCGATCGCAATGGCTCTTGAGGTGTGCAGGGGGGTAGATGTCATGTCCTCACCAATTGAAACAGCTGCCATCTCCGGCTGTTCCTGGCACCCGTGCGTACACTTGAACTGTGGTGGCTAATAGACTCGCCTCCCCTGAGACAGAACTAAAATGAGACGCGATTTAGGAGACGGGAAGGGTGGATTAGTCGACGTGCTCTGGGGGAGAGATGACGCGTACGAGTCTTGGACAATCGGGCTTATAACATTTGAAGAATGTTCTTTGACGCCTCGTATCGGTCCAGTCGAGATTGATCGAAACGTACAAAGTCATCGTCGCCTTCAACACGAAGAATTGAGTCCAAAAATGTTACAGTGTCTCGCGTTGGAAGGAGCCTTGGACGTTGTCAACATACGAGTGAGGACACTCGTATTCGTACTCGTGCTTGCTTATGCTTGACTAAGCACTTCTTGGGCCTTGGCAAATACGGATCATTGTTGTTGCGAAATTGTCCCTTTTCAACTTTGGACGTTGCCGCCTCTTCTCACCATTCTACGTATATTGCGAATCGGAATCCTTCGATATTCTGCTGCTGAGAACTCGGTCCCAATGCCGTTCGCAACGTTCATACCGATCCAGTGTGCAGATTGTCCACCTGAAATACCAAGCCGGTAATAACGGAAAGGAGCCGGTATTGACCTACAAATGGGAGATGCCGTTGGTGTCTCTGGATTATCTATCCCTTCCTTCACCTCGACTAATGGTCTTTCCACATATGTTACGGAGTACGACAAAAGGACAATATTCCTCAGTTGTAGGGCCGAGGGGCCCTCATTGCATCTCTCACACTGGTGTCACCACCTGGTAACTCCTCAAGAATGTCTCTGGCCGAATCCTTTCGGAATGTCGAGCCTTTCACAGCTAACCACAAAGGGAGTCCCGTCCTCATGCTTTGACACTTGCCTCGAAGTTTTGTCTGAATGACCAAGTACTCACCAATGTCCTGGCTAGTGCCTGATGTGAAAATAATCCACATACTCCCTGAAGTCCCCCTTGATTGTCATTTGCATGGCGATACCACAGAGTTGGCGTATAATTTCGATCACAGGAGATGTTATTGACTCGATACGTCGAGGTAAAAGCCGTCTGATCACCTAGTACCCAGGAAGATACTTAGGTAAGCCTTCTTCAACCACTCTTGTACATCCAGGTACAACCATCATTCCCTTCCGACCGTCGCTCAACCGCATGGGAGTACGAGTAAGGCCAGTCCAACAACCTCAAACATATCGAGACATCCTTACACTCATCTGGCGCCTGCCACAACAACATCCGAATCCTCTCCTCGAATGTCCCCTGTAGCGCCGCTTTCCCAGCGTTCTCATCCACCACACGAACCACCTCGTCCCTCTCCAGCAGTCCCTCTGACACCGCCACATGAGCCCTCACGATCGTTCGCGCGGCTTGAACCATACCCTGCAACTGCGGGATGGGGCTCCAAGCAATGAAATCCACCAGCCACTCTCTACACTCCTCGTATGCATCGTTGAACCGTGTTTGTTTCGACCTGTGCATCATCTTTGAATTGCTCGTCCTGTCATCTTCTTCACGCCACCCCGTCAGCTTCTCGAGTACCTTGTGGAGATGGTCAACGCGGGCGTTGATCCTTTCGAGATTCCTCAGGATCAAACAAAGATAGAGATACTCATCCCACGCCCCGTCAAGGTTGGTGGTTCCTCGATCGCGGAAATATCTGGGTCGATTTCCATGGACAAAGATATTGTGGTTGTCGTATTGTGACATGTCGGACAATCCTCTGTCGTTCTCATTCTCGTTTTCGCCCTTGTCATTGTCTCCGTCAAGTTGGATCTGAGGAAGCTTCTCCACCGTTTGATCCGCACCATTTCTTTTCAGGGTACTGCCACCTCCATTCCCGGTTGACGGATCCTCAGACACATGCTCCATGGTTGAAACATGCAAGATCTGGTCATGTACTTTTTGATGTCTTGTTGCGGACTCTGATAAAAAAAGAAACGGTCACCCCAGGTATATAACAACACGAGTATGGCATGGCTCGACAAACAAGAACCGATCTGGATGACTCTGTGCGTCAACCCCTTGGTGAATCGGTACGGGGAAAACGGCTTGGGGGTGACTCGAAGCACTTTTGATCCCACCCTTGTATACAAACGGGGGCGTGGTCGTTTTCACATCGACCCGACCCCCCTTTTACCGAGTCCATCGTATCACGCCCACAGAATGATGCGCCCCCCTCCTCCCAATATCGTACAGTCTTCAAGGAAAAATATACGGCCGATGCGCGTTCAAAAGGCTGCTGGTGATCACGAGGCAGGAAATTCCAATTCAGTACAACAAACATACCATATGGTTTTGAAATCCGGAATATCTATGCATAATAATATTTGACCGGTATTTCTTATCTGGGACTGTTCCTCTGTACATGCACATCCAATCTATTATCAGGGAGGGGGTATTTCTCTTTTTTGAAACATGTTCTTTCTCTTCTCTATGACTTTCCAAAAACAAATCTCCACGAGGCACCAAGTCTAAATAAGTAATTGCACACACAAAAAAGAAACATGTTCTAGAACAAGCAATCAAACATCAACCCATGCAGCGCTGATGCTTGAACAAGACAGAAATGTGACGTATATGTCAAAAATGAGTCTGCCGCGTTTCCTCCTCGTACGAGATGTAAAGCGGGGGTAACGAGATGTAAAGCGGGGGTAATGGCCATTTCCCGTGACTCTTCTCGACGCTCTCAATGATCGAATGTGATGATGCTTTTGTAGAGGGACGTGTATTGTACGTAGTGGTAGAAGTAGTGGTAAGCCACTAGTACAAGTTTCTGAGGGGGGAAAGATACCGGCAAATTCTCGGCTCGCAAGTCAATAGAATCTGGATCAAGCATCGTCAATGGTGGGTTTGAACTTGATGCGGTCCTCCGGCTTGCTCTCGAAAGGCACGCCCAGCTCGAACAGCTTCATGACGACGTTGGAAAAGTCGTCGAAGAAGGCCTGGCCGTCCTTGGCGTACTTTTCGACGTACTTCTTGAAGGACTTGTCCTGGACCAGGGCCATGTCGGTGGGCAGCATCATCAGGCTGTGGGTGGTCTTGTCCTGGTACTGCTTGGGTCCGTTCCAGCTCCGCCAGCCCCACTTCTCCTCCATCAGCAACCGGTAGTAGTCGTTGGTCAGGACGGTGGGGGCGAAGGTCCAGGGACCGTCGTAGCCGGAGCGGTCGGTGTGGCACCGACCTAGAGCGTGGGCGCCGGAGAGGGCGACCATTTCTTGGTCATTGAAGCCCATCCGGCCGAAGATGGCGCGGACGTGGTTCTGGTCCTTGGAGGCGTCGGGGAGACGGCCGTCGGGGGTGCAGAAGGAGACGTCGCGGTCCTGTCGACCCGGCCGCCAGGGGATGATGGGGCCCTGCATCTCCTGGACGGCGCAGACGCCGGCCAGCGTCCACAGGTCCGAGTAGGAGATCCAGGGGAACTGCTGCTTGATGGGCTCGAGGAAGTCCCGTGCGTTCTTGAGGCCGGCGTTGGCCCCGTGGTCCGACTCGGGCGCGAACCGCATGGTCGCGCCGTTGCTGCCCCCCGTGCCCGTGGCGGCGTCGTAGGTGCCCGAGGCGTGCCACGCCAGGCGCAGCAGCACCGGACCATAGGAACCGTCGTCGTACTCGTCCTTCTCCCACAGCTCCTTGGCGACGGCGTTGTACACCTTTTGGTAGTCTTCCGTCGTCGGCTTGAACACGCCTGCCGACTGCCCCGCGCTGCCCTTGGTCAGGTGGAATTCACCGGTTTGTGTGTTGTAGACGTAGAATCCGCCAGCGAGCGCCGCGGCCGCCACGGCCCCAATGATGAGGCCGCTACCCAACGAGGATTTTGCAGGTTCGGGGCCGGATGAGGAGTAATGTCGTCGAGAGGACTTTTGGAAGAATTGCCTCGCGGCGTTGGAGCTGTTGCTGTTGTTGCTTCGAGACGAACGGGCGGCGAGGCGCAGGGACGACGCAGCACTGGCGGCTGCCGTGCTCCGGGGAACAGCCCTGGCGAGGGTACGAGCTGCCACTGCGGTTGCCATGCTAGATGATGTGTAAACTGAACAAGGATGGAATAGGCGACACAAAGCACAAGGTGGGTGGATGGAGATGGGGGAGTTTAGGAGAGAACGAGAAAAGGTGAAGAGGAAATGAAGTAGTATTATATCTTGATAACTGTCGGGAACGACAACGACGCAGCGAGCAGGGGGGGCTTCGCCGAAAGGTGCTGAAGAATCTGGAAACAATCAAGAATACGTGAACAGCGACTGGTCGGAGAGAAGGGGGGATCCACGAAAGAGAAATAGCTGCAGGCCGATGGTCAAGGCTCGCGTCGCATTACCAATGTACGGAACCATTTGGACGTGGACCTCTTCATCTAGTAGAGCGGTCTTCGTACGGAAATGGCGCCTTGTGGACTACAACTTGTGCAATCTTGATGGCAAGGCTCCCGCGTCGGCGTCTGGAAATTTTTTCAAAAGCATCAGACCATCATATGTCTTTGACGTTATCAGAGCGCAGCCTCTTAGTGGCTCCGCTTACCGATGCTTAGATCGCTACCGAGCCAATCCCATGCCACTCTATCTTTATCAGCTCGGCTTCTAGCAGCGAGTGATGTCTTGGCAGGAACAATGTGTATGTAGAATCCCGCTGTTCTCCGACCTCGCGACGAATGCCGGAGACACCCGAAGAGCATCGAGCTCGCTCTCAGATGCCGCATAAAGAAATCATGACCGAGGGGTACTTTCTGCGCTACGGCGGATGTTATCTACCTCGGACACAATTGCCAGTTTCAGCACACCTGTCATCTCTCACCTCACGGGCTCTTCTTATGATAGCGCTGTATGCTGTAGAGCCCGAGACGAGACTCACTCCGAGTGCGCCCCGTGGAACAACCCGGGGTATAAAAGACTCGCCATGACTATCAAATTAAACGTCTCGTGCACTCCGCATCGATGCCTGAAATCCCTTCACAATCCGATGCATATCCGCCGTTGCTCCGTATCGCCGTCCGAAACGCCACGCCAGGTCATCTCTCAGTTCTTAGTCATTAGTATCATGCCACCGTAGTACCGGTCATGGCGCCATGTCGATATGTGTTTTTATGAATTGCCATCAAGGTTTGCTAAACGCTCAAGCTTTTGGTCCAATTTCTGTCCCCTCAGAACTGAACAAGCCTGTTTGTGGAAAGAGTTCGTCGAATACGTCTCTGGCCAGTCGAGAATTGATGACGACGTTATTTTTCAACTTGGGTCGTTTGCGAATGTCATCCTCCATCTTCGATAATCTCTGGCGAGCAGCATCTTTCTCCTGTTGCAATTTCGCATCCGCCTTGTCCAGGATCCTTTCCACTTCGTTGTCGGACGGCAAGTTGATGGCCTCTGTCCAATCGAGCTGATCTTGATGCTTGGTCTGCCAGTGTGCTAGCAGATCATCAACCGCAATGCGGTATTTGACCTGTCGAGCATTTTGATTGACGATGCCTTCTTTGACGCAGATACCGCAGCGGAATTGAAGGTTGATGGTCGGGTTGACTTCTTGAACGCTTGCCATGCTCGAGGTGAACATATCCAGCGGCGGTTTGGCCCAGGAAACGAGTTTCCAACGCTCCATGGCATATGTCAAAGCAATCTTCATCTGACACTCGTCATTGAGCCACGTACCGTTGAGCACCCGTGCAGCGAATCGAATGTTTGAGACGAAATCGGTATCCGCCAGTGAATTCGGCGCCGGTCCGCGTCCTTGGAATGCCGAGATCGTGGGCGGTTTTTCAAGCTCAACATATGTCTCGGATATTGATGGCTGCCACTTGCCAAGCGCCCAAGACTCTCGGTGGCCTGGGACAAGAGGGAGGCATCGGGGCCAAGGTTGCGAATACCAGGGGAATCGGTCGATAGACTTGGTTGCATTGACTTCGCTTGGCGCCGGCCTCCAATCTGCTTCTTCCTGCATAAAGGGCACCGCAAATCTCCAGAATTCGATGCCTTCGCCAACTAGGATCGCGTGCGTGGCGAGGATATGCTCAAACGCATCAGTAAACGACCATGTCTTGGTGAAGTCTCGCCGGCGACATCCTCTGCAACGGAGGTGGCAGAATACCACCGAGCCTCGTTGTGATGTAGGCTCAATTCTGGCCTCGATGACATCTTCAACAATCATGCGAGCGTCATCCAGGCTGAGCTTGTAAGGCCCTCTGGTTTCGTCATAATTGAGTCCAATGGGACGATTTTCGATCTGCTGGTAGGCGATGTAAACATTATGCAGAGTGAGAAGCAAGAGGTCTTCATCGGCGACTCCAGAGTCCAGACACCGTTGCAGTTCCTTCTGAGCCACACCAAGAACAAAGGTCTGTTCAGGTTGATAATGACATGGAATTTTCTTCCGTCCTTGACGGTGGCGTTTCAAGTTCAGCCACGATGTCAATGTCTCCTGAGAGATATCATCCATGTCGTCGTCACCCAATGATACGGCGTTCATCACCTCTTTGTACTCGCATACCTGCTCGGCCTGCTGTCTGTATGGAAGAATCTGTGCCCGTAGCCTCGCCCACGACCTCTCTGTCGGAGGTGACTGGATCTTGAGAAAATTACGAAACGCAGCCATATTCCATAGAACATCTTGCTCAATGGGGGGGTCCAGCGCAGCGGCGCGTTCTTCGAAGAAGTCGGCTCGAGTTTGGTAGTAATCTGTTTTCTCCTTAGATGGGTTGGCATTCCAATTCTCCAGCTCGATGGCTTCTTTCATAAATGCCATGACCTTTTCATAAGTACTCTCTAACCACTCTTTGACCACGGTGTTTGAAGGGGTCGCTCGTCGGAGGGCGAGGTATTCAGTTTCGAGGGTCGTATAGGCCGATTCAAGGAAAACATATTGGCGCCAGACATCTTGAGTCCACATATTTCTGGACGGATCGATCACGCGAGGGCCGCCATAGCGCCGACTGTAAACCGAATTAGCAAAGCAACACACATTGGTGGATGTATTTATTACCCGTCAGTTCGGGCTTGTGGGAGCAGGTCTGAGAGCAGGCTTCCCCAGAGCGGCGAGGGATCTGCAGGCTGGTTTGGATCAGGGTTGATAAAGTGCCTCCGTTGTTCGAGAAGATCTTCGGCCTACCAACGTTAGTGAAACGGTCTCTCCAGTGTATGTTGCGTACTCTTATGGTTTTTTGCTTGAAACAATCGGCGCAGAGGCGCAGTTGAAAAACCCACGCCACCCTCACGGTCTGATCTCGAGGGCAATTGGGGTTCTGACATCCACGACCAACTAGGAGATAGACATATTTCTGCTCTGTCAAACCAGTTGGGCATTCGGGAATGTCTTTTCCAAGATGGTCGAGTCTGCTTTTCCTCCAAATCGTATTATGTTCGTTCAGGCGATTGTTGAAGTCCTTGCTGATCAACTTGGCCTCGAGAAGTTGTCTAGGCTCGCAGTAGCCAAGAATAAGATGCCACACATCACCATTCACCTGGTCCGATATCTTCAGGGGCCGACTTGGTCTTAGAACGGTTGCCGTTCTTTTCTTGGGGGAGCGAGCAACTGCTCGCTTCTGGTCACATTTCCGTTTCTTGCTTGTTGGAGATACTGCAGGATTCAAGATATCTGCTAGAGTTTGGTGGACAAAAACTGGGGGTTCTGACGATTGGGATGATGGTTCAGTTGGAGTAATGTTCGGAGCCGCGGCACTCGCCATTTTGGTGGAAGGAATCGCGGTGTGGATGATGCGTCTTCCACTAAAGTTGATGGTTTTCTCAAAAGCGGCTCGTGGCTGTGTAACATGAGAAGTTGAAGCCTGTCCGTCTCCACGCGAGTAACCGCCGATCTTGAAGGAAGGCCTAGGGTTACTTCGAGGTTTGGCTGGACTGGTCTTGACATCGCTCCGCGATGGAGCCCGTGGTTCAGTCATGAAGCGCTAACTTGTGAGATGATGTGGAAATGTCACCAGGTATCAGGAACGCAAACGAAGGTAGAACTCGGTTGGAAATTGGATAGAAGTTGGAATATAAAGCCTCGTAAATGGTCGGGCGGAGGAAATTGGTTGAATACAGGAACGACGTTTCAACCGTCAGCCAAAGGCGAATGGATGGTTATGTGAGAAAAAGATGTGAAAAGATAGACTGAAAGATAAGGTATCGTTGAACCCATAGAGACAGTAAACGAGTTGGATGATGAGAATCAAGTAGAGTCCATCAACGAAGGAAGTAGTCTGAAAGAGTGACTTGGCGGGATCTGTGAGAGTCGGTCAGGTGCAGCCTCCATGCTCCGTTCAAGTGCAGTTGAATCTGAAACCTGGACGAGACGATGTGGTCCATGAGATTGTGCGATAATACCCGGATTGTAGTGTAGTACTAGGCAAGTACCTTGGGTGAAGGAAGAAGTGAGGTTGCGTTGATGGACGTCGACGACATAATCATGATGTTGGCGACGTCTAACAACTAACAACGCACGGACGCGGGCTGGTGACAAGTCGATTATTATTATTATTGAACTCCGTATTCCGTAGTAGGTCCAATGGATCTGACGCAGGTTCTCAGCCTGAGACCGCCAAGGGTACTCGGGTACTACTCGTAGTGTATGGGATACTTTATTTAATTGTTGCGACTCGGGGACTTTAAGCATACCCAACCTTCCCCCGGGTAATGTAAATTCTGGTTGAAAGGCACCTCGTAAACGACGTACTGTAGGGAGGGAAAAACACCATAGAAAATATTAGAAGTCCGTACTTGGAAACAACTTTCAGGGCATCGATGAAATTCTGTTATTCTCTTCTCTTCTCTACGAATACTCGTTAGCACCTGCCCAAGCACATTTCCCATACAATACGGAGTATTTGCACAAAGATGCTTCAGCAATGTGCGCGATCCATCTCAACATTGCACAGGGCGTCATACCCTTTGGGACTTCACACATACCTCCCATCATCAATATCCCATCCGGACGGACCACTTCAGATTCCCGTACCTTCGTCCATCGTACATCATCAATAGCCGATTTGTGCGATTTCTCCGCTCCTTTGGCCTTTGACCGTGAAATAACCGACGCTTGATTGGCAGCTTGGCAGCTTGACGGGCCCGGTGCGCCTTTTACTGGCTTGGTGGCGGCTCCTTCTGGCTTCCCACCGGCTCTAGGTGCCTTTTACAAGCCTTGCAATGACACCTGGCGGCACTCGACAAGCTTGAGTAAGCAGTCTCGGGGGGGGTTTGCGGGGACCAGCCGCCGCCGAACCAGGCTGATTCTGGTATAAGCATCACAGCATCTGGAAGGGCATTGAAGGGATCGTGTGTCCACCTCTATCGGCTTGTTTTCTCCATCCACCCTGGTCCAGATTGCCTTGTGCGGCCAGTGAAATGCACGCCAACTTCACCTGATGTTGCATTCTCCCAGCATGGCTTCGCCTACTGACTGCCATCTTCTCCATCTGGGGAACCACCAACGGCTCTGCCTTCGCCATTGCTGGCTCTCTGGATCAGGTGTTGCCACTTCTTTCGGCCAAAAGTCCTGTGCAAAGTCCGGGCCTGTGCGCCGACTTCGCTGCACGCCAAAACGTCGTGATCAAAATTAAAAAGAAGTCTGGTTTCCCACTTTTCAAGTTCCACCACGACAATAACACAACTACTGCACTTCCTGTGCCTTGAGCTTCACCGGCATTGCATTGGCGTCGCGATCGACACACAAACGCCCCCTTACAAGGCTGGCACATTGCTTCCCACGTGGTAAGGTGAACAACTGACTGTCAACATGCGGTTTTCCATCGACGGCTCAAGTAAGCTTTTTAGTCTTCACATGTTGTTTTGTTATGGTGATGGATTACTCACGTAGCCTAGATGAGAAGAGCCACGCCTACAATGATTCCAATGGTCTAGGGACCACTCAAGCACATTACGATCCCGACTTGGCTCATCCCGCCGCAGCGTACATTGACAACCAAGTCGCTACTCTTCCAGATGGCGTTTCAGAGAGGAAACTTCTCACCAAGATCGACCTGCGAGTCATCCCCGTGCTCTCGGTTCTCTATCTTCTCGCTTTCCTCGATCGCACCAATGTCGCCAACGCCGCCGTCTTCGGTCTCCAGAAGGATCTCGGTCTATCGGCCACTCAGTACTCGACGGCCTTGACAGTCTTCTTTCCTCCCTATGTGCTTTTCGAGGTGCCTTCCAACATCCTTTTGAAGCGATTCAAAGCACATGTGTGGCTTTCGGGGTGTATGTTCATGTTTGGGTTGGTGACCGTGTGTCAGGGGTTGGTCCAGGGATATGGAGGCTTCATCACCACTCGATTTTTCTTGGGACTGTTTGAAGCCGGAATGTTTCCAGGTAGGTCGCCCTCGTTATTTGGAACGAGAGCAGAGGTGTTGATGGTGGCTGATTATAGGATCTTTCTATTTGATCGGCATGTGGTATAAACGCCACGAAGCGCAGAAGAGATACACTTTCTTCTTCGCCAGTACCACTCTCGCAGGCGCATTTGGAGGTCTCCTCGCATCGGCCATCGGAAAAATGAATGGCATGAGAGGCTATCTTGGCTGGAGATGGGTTTTTATTCTTGAAGGTGTTCTTACATGCGTGGTGGCATTTGCCTGCTTCTTCCTCATTCCGGATTTCCCCGAAGACGCGAAATGGTTGACCGAACAAGAGCGAATGTACGTCAAGGCACGACTTCAAGACGACCAAGGAAAATCGGCCATTGAACGACGTATCACCTTCAAGGACGTCGTCAACTGCTTCAAGGACTACAAGTTCATCTTGGGTTGGCTGATGTATTTTGGCCTCATTGTTCCAGGTGAGTTTTTCCTACAACCATCGTATATGCGCTGTGGAAGGGACACATCGTTGACCAACGTTCTTCTGTGCTTTTCTTAGCATACGGTTATGCCTACTTTGCGCCTACAATCATCAAGAGCTACGGATACAGCCCGATCCAGACCCAATTGCACTCTGTCCCACCATGGGCCGCGGCGTTCGGGTTCAGCATGCTGGTCGCCGCCTTTTCCGATCGCCTTCGTCATCGCTTCCTCTTTGCGCTTGTCCCCATCTTCATTGCCATAGCGGGCTTCGCCATCTTGATGAACGTCCACCACGACACGCACACCGAATACGCCGGGTTGTTCTTGATCACTTCGGGCACGTATTCGGCCATGCCCATCATAGTGTGTTGGTTTACCATGAATCTGGGTGGTCACCATCGTAGGAGTGTTGGATCTGCTTGGCAAATCGGTGCTGGAAATGTAAGTCGGCCCCCCCCGTCCCTCTTCGAAGAAGGACAGTCAGGTTTTACTAATTGCGCAAAACTTTTTCTCACAGATCGGTGGTATCATTGCGAGTTACAGCTTTGCAGCCTCGGACGCCAAGACCTTTTTCCACAAGGGTTACAGCATCTGTATCTCCTTCATCTGCCTGAGCGCCGTTTCCTGTATCCTGTACTTCATCGCTTGCGTCTCGCAGAATCGAAGCCGCGCAAAGAGCCACGACGTCGGACTGACCGAGTACGAAAAGACCGAGATGGGCGACATGTCTCCGGAGTATCGATATATGCTTTGAGCTGCTGAAAATCAATCGTGGGAATGGTGTAGAGTTGATGTGGAAAGAGAGAGAACTCCAGGCTTCGGCTCCTCAATGAGGAAGTTTCCCCTTCCGTCCACCCGAGGACCTTCTCTGGTCTGTGAAGATTGTCAACAATGGGTCAGGTTTTGGACACCTAGTAAATTGGGTGAAGGGCCGATAGGACGCAAGGAGGAGGAGAGACAGAGTAAGGAATATCCCCCCATGGTACTCGGTCCGGCCGAGTTGCAAGGACGTCGGTTGTACGTACGTGTGTCGTGACTACTTGACCGCGGGGGACCGGTCTACTGTACCTACAGTATCTCAGGGTAGTTATCTATCCCATCTGTCTTGTCCTACAGATATATATATCCCAGAGTCTACAATGAGACGATCATATCTCGTTACAGAAGCTACTTCGAGATGTATATAAATGACAAGAAATGCTTTCTCTCTCTCTCTATCTCCCCGCGATGTATATACTGGTGGTCGTCGCATGTCTTTTTTTTTATTTTCCAAAAACAGAGGAACATCAATACTCTCGGTACTGGGCAACTTTTTGAAACTGTCCTGTACAAGTGCCAACGCAGAAATGTCCTCGTTCAAGTTACCCAAGGTATTCCCTTTCTGGTCTTGCGGTGACATGCATTCATAGTCGTAGTCGATGTTTTTTTTTGTTTCGGTACTCAATGCTAAATGCTTTCGAAACGCTCAACGCCCCAGTTGTAAGCAAATGCAGAGGCAAAAAAAGGCGTCACTCCTATTCCGTACATAAAGTACTCCCCTCCGTACAATGACTGTGTCTGAATGGGTCTGGGATCAACAATACTCGCCCCGTACCTAGGTACACATCTAAAGTAGGGTGACCGATCATCGATCACCTCTTCCTAGGACTACCGGTACCTTCACTACCGACACCATCAAAATCTTCATCTTCCTCCTCGATCAATGCCGGCGTCCGTCTCTCATTTCTCCGTTTGGGTCTTCGTCGCCTCGCGCTGGAAATGTTACTCGCACTATCGTCCGGCGCAATCTCACTGAACCCATCCCATTCACCCAACCCGTCGTCGGTCTCGGCGTCCCATCGACCCGTTCCACCACCGCCGCCACCACCACCACCACTATCGCTAAGATTACCCGGAGTGTCCATGCGGACTTCGATCCCTGAACCACCCACACCACCGCGTCGCCTTTGTTGTGCCGCCGCGAGTCCGGCCGAACGCTCACGCAACGCACGTCGAACAACCTCTGCTTTATTGTGCAATGCCTCAAACGCGTCCTCGAGCGCCTCCATGCCTGCATAGATGTCACGCTCGATCTCGGCCAACGTCGCGAGTTCAGTCTCTTCGTCAAACGCGATCGGAGCCCCGTATTGAGCTGTGCCCGTGGTGTATGGCTGTGTGTAACTTCCTTGTCGGGAACGTTGGCCATTTGTCCCGCCAGAACCATTCGCCGTTCCTGCGTAACCTGGGGTGGCACCTCTCATTGGTTGATGATGCGGTGTAGGACCTCGTGAGGGAGGCAAGTCATGCCATGAAGGTGGGGCATCTTCAGCACCACTACGAAGGAAGCCATCAAAACGTCCAGATACCAGAATCTCCCATTCGTCATTCGAGATGGCTGCGAGCGTGGCCAAGGCGTTGTGTAGAGTTGGATTATTCAACATGAACAAGGCCGTCTCCGAGTCTCTTGGTACAGCGTGTATCCGGTACAGACGCTGTATGGCTTCAGACGCTATGGCGATATGTGCAGGTCTGATCTTTGGCACCGGCGCGGGAGTAGGTGTTGGCTGTGGAGGCCTCATTGCACCGTTCGGCGTCTGAAGTTCTGGTGTTGGTATTCTCCTGGGTGGTTCGATGGGTCGATCCACAATACCGAGAAGGTCTTTAAAAACGGGTCTCTGGTCAGCAGGCAGATGCGTTAGAATTGCAAAAGTGAGCGTCTCTTCATCGACTTCTTCTGGTGGCGAGCTTGGATTGTCGGTCTGCCGAGTCAACCATTTGTCCACACTTTGCTTCGTTTTGCGTGATTGCCGGATATAGTGCTCGCGATATTCTTCGGGAACATCGATATCTAGCTTTTGCATCGGTACGTGAAATTCAAGCGAGATGCCCAAACCGATAGGAGACTGCGTAAAAGCGAATGGAGGCCATGCGGGCAAATCTCTCCGACCAGACACTAGTTCGAGTACTTCACCCCAGCTGACTCCTCTGACATCTTCGGAGTGATCGTACTCGCACATTGGACACTGGCAAGCCTCTGATGAGATATCACGCGAAAATACGGCTTCCAACCTGTCGAGTAGACGTCGTGCAACTGATCGATACCCAGTCGCGACAGCTAATGATCCGTTCTTGGACATGACTTTGTCAAAATCATCAAGCAGGGCAGTATAGGGCTCGAACAGGTTTGCAATCACAATAGGAGTCTGTGCAGGAGACTGTGCCTGCTGGATTGCCATCGGTTTTCCTGCCAGCAAGAGGTTTTTAGGTACTGCACGATGCAGTCCGCCATGTTGGAGAAGGTAGTCAACTTTTGGAATTGCAACAGGAGCTGGAGGAGGCGGCGGAGGCGGAGGGCCAGGCGTTGCAGATACTCCTCCTGGGGTCTCTGACAGTAACGACGGCTCCCTCTCCATAAACACTTCCAACGGTGTGACTCCTTGTGACTGTGGATGTATGGAGCCGGGTGTGTGTGCATGTGAATAAACGGTAGCTGAGGGTACTTTGGATCCAGGTCGCTGGATGGTAGGTTGTTCCGGTGCGATGGACGTCGCATCGGAGCTGGTATTCGCTACTGACTCGGTCGCTGTGGTGGTTGGTGTAGATGGAGACTCTGTTCTCGTCGGCTGACTGACAGATCGTTGGGGAATGTTGTTGCGGAGCGGCGTGGATGGTTTGTGAGATTTGTCGATTACATCCCGATGCTTCCTCGTAGGCGAACTATCGGTCCCCAATTCTGATGTGCTTCGTAGATGACCATTCGATCTTGACGACTGTGGTCGGAGGCGGACTTTGATCTTTGCATCCTTCCCGCCATTCGACGATCTCTCCTCCTCGGCAATCGTCTGCACAGAGACAGGCTTGCCGGCGCTCGATTTCCATCTCCCTGAGCCAGCATTTTTATCGGTCAATGGTGGGCTGGGAGGTGCATTGGGGCTACTGTGTTTCGTCGTTGACAGTTTGTCTTTGGAAGCATTCAGGTCCGTGGCTGGAGGGGTGAGTATGTTCAGGACTGGTCGGGCTGCGCTTCCTACAGCCTCACGACTGTGCTCTTTCGAAAAGGATGGGTAGGGCAGGCTGGATTTTGATTCGGACTTGAGAGGTGTCTCTTCCACTTTGCCAGGCATGGAGGGCCGCCGTTTGTCGTCAACCGGAGAGAGGGATGTTCTTGAAGAGGTCTTTTCCTTGGTTGAGATTTTGCGATGAGATCTGTGCTTGTCCTTGTCTCTGTCTCTGTCCCGATCTTTGTCTCTCCGATCTCGATCTTTTTCATGTTTTGAAGATTCCTTCTTTTCTCGCCGCCTCTCGGCACTGTTATCTCGAATCCTGGAAGGCATGATGGACGGGAAGTTGCATGATGCGACCCGCGCCGGCCGTGATCAAGGCGCTTATACCGTAGGTATCATTTGTATCTGGGAAGTGGTTGTGGAGAGATTGCGATTGTCCTACGGCGCTTAGGCGGGTAGGACTTGAAGGTTGTCACAGCGTCCGATCGTGGACAACGGTACCTGGTATCGGCTCTGACGGGAGGCACAAATGGCGGTTTGGGAAAAGTCAAGGCGATTCGACCGAGTGACTAAAGACAGTCTCGTGCCACGTTCTGGTTCATATGATGATGTAGTTGTTGGCAAGTATGTACAGTCAAGGCGCAGGCGGTGGGCAAAGTTGGGTGGCAGGGGAATGAGGCTGGCAGGGATCTGGGGAACTATGTCATTGGCTCCGTTTGTTGGCGTTTGCTACCCAGCGATGGGGTGCCTGCTATCAATGGCTCGACATGCAAGCGAGACTTTAGCAAGGAGACGAAGGACCTGTATGTGAATACGGAGTGTTGTTAACGTTACTCTGTGTAAAAGAATGGTGTTGGTGATTTTCGTATACAGCAAATCGCAAGTCTATCCCAGGTGCCCGTGTGTCGCATGCTGGGGGGGCATCCAGGCCCATGCCAGTGCCCGTGCCTTGTCCTCTTCTCCCCCGCTCCAATTAAATATGGCAACTTTTGTATTGTATGGAGTACCTAGTACTTAACAGTAAATACCTAGATACGGAGTACTTGTTGGGGGACTTCTAGACTTCTCCTTACACCATGGCCCGGGCCTCCCATGGGCCATCGCCATACGGTACGGATACCGCCTACACTAAACTAACCTCATCTCTCATGGTGCCACGTCAATCCCGCATCCTTCGTTAATCTCTCCACCATCTCCTGAACATTACATATTCATGACCAATGCCGCACCGCCAAATAAAGCTGCAGCGCCAACGGCTCCAGTCTTCATTGGCATGGCCGCAACACCACTGCTGCTACTGGAAGAGGCAGCTGTGGCCCCTGGAGCTGACTCGGTAGCAACAGTGCTGGTGGGAGTTCGAACTCCAGAAGTGTACGGCACATCACTGGCAGAGCTGGCGCCGCTGAATGCAGGCGAGCCCGACTCGCGGTCGTCTGGCTCTGACGTGGACGTTGCATTCTCTGGGTTGAGAACGTTGTCAATGACATGAACCACACCATTGGCAACCAGAACATCTGGTATGACAACCTTGGCACTGTTGACAAAGACGTCACCATCGTCGACCGTGACAGTCACGTTGTTGCCTTGGGCGGTCTTCAACGACGTTCCGTTTTGAAGATCAGTGCTGTATCCGACCACACCCTCGACGACATGATATTGGAGAATTGATGTCAATTGTTCCATGGTCAAATTCGGCAGAGCAGAACCAATCGCTCGGAAAGCTGCGTTATTAGGAATAAAGCAGGTGACATCAGTCATGTGATCAACCGTTTCGGCGAGACTCGTGTTGGTGAGGGCACCGACAGCAGCGGTGAGGTTGAGTTCCACAGCAGTCTCGGAGATGTTTTGTGGGATGATGAGGACGCTGTCGATGACATGGACCACTCCACCAGTAAAGTTCAGGGATGTGCCAGTGAGGTTGGCTCTGGACAGCAGGCCCGAAGCGATGAACTCCTCGTCATCCTCGTCGTACAAGCCCACCGCTTGGCCGCCTGTGACGTTGGCATATTGAGTAGGTTGCAGCATTGTTCGGACGAAGCTGACGTTGTCGAAGTTGTTGTACGTGCCATTCAACACATGGTAGCTGAAGACAGCTTGGATCATCGAGGTGTCATTCTGCGCAAGTGCAGCCCCAGCCGATGAGTTGAGGAACTTTGCAAATGCCTGGTTGTTGGGGGCGAGGAGAGTGATATTCTGCAAGCCTGAGAGGGTCTGAGTGAAATCAGGGAACAGTCCCAGATAGGTAGTGAGGTTCGACAGCTCGGTCGCATTCTGGAGGACCGAAGTCAACTGCTGCGAGACAGCAGTGCCAGCCAGAGCAGCAAGAGCCACTGATGTGAACAACATTGTTGCAAGGAGAGATGTTCAAGTGAGTATTGACAGATGGCCAGGCAGGAGCAGATGATTAGTTTTTGCAAGAACGAGCGAAAAAGAGGAAGAGAAAGCTTTCCTGGTTTCACGGCATATTTGAAGGGGTCTTACTGCTCCTCCAGGGTCATCGGTCACCCCTCGCAACAAGACTTTGCCGTCAGAACATTGGGCGATTTCATGGAATCGAAGGGTAGGGAAAGCTAACACGTAAGGCTGGGCAAGGCGGCAGCTTGGCCTGAGGCGATTCAAGGCAACGCTTACTGTTTTGAAGATGATCATTGGTCTCTTGCCACGCCTTGCCAGGAGTTTGACAGCCATGTTGCTGATCGATGACGACCGAGACGTCGAGGAGGAGAGTCTCGACTGGACGATGTGGAAAGAACCAAGACTGACATTCGGGACGGGGAAGTCTTCTTCCTCGGTTCGAATGCCGTCTATCCAGATGCATTGGCTGTTTTGGAAACACCAGGCCAAGGGGGATGTGCTCATCAATATCTCGTAATCGAATCAAAAGGGACGGGAAGACGGCAACGCCATGTCAATCGCCGCGTCCATTACAAGCATTCCCCGCAATATCAACACTTGAATAGGGCAATGATGCACACTACCGCATGGATGAGTGTGAGGTTAAATGGTTGTCTGGACCTGTTTCGTAGTTCTCGGTAGACTAAAGGCGTAAGAGACATTATGTCGAGATAATTCCGCAGAATTCTATTGTACATGGAACTTGAACGAAGGGCTCAGTAAATGTAGCAGGAGCACACAGAACATTGACTCCCTTTTCTCAAGTCTTCTCAATCCTCGAGATCCGAGCGTGGCATATGCCAAGTGTCGCGATGATGATGTGATGATATCATGGATTCGGAGATCTGTACGGGTTGCTTATATTCTAAGAAACTTCTACATACGTCGACGCGTCGCCAAAACTTGGCAATCCCTTGATTGTATTTGCTGCATCCATCTGTGTTCGCCACTACGAGGGTTGCAAGCTTCGCGAACAACAAGAATGCCCGAGCTGTCCACCACACCCTGTCAGACAACCTCGCGTAGAACACGCCCCACGGAATACACCATACATCCCGTAGCAATGTTTGGACCCGTCTGCTTTTTCAATGACCATCCAGGCCTGGCCACGTACCTAATCCGCCGCCACCAAGTTCAAAGGCTTTCGCGGCCTTCAATACACCAAGATCGTCCCATCGCCTGCCAACTACCTGCATTCCGACAGGAAGCCAACCCTTTCCACTCCGTGCCTTGGCCCACCCACAAGGAACGTTCAGTGCAGGATGGCCCGAGGTATTGAAAGGCGCTGTGTTGTTGGTCGCGCCGACTGCGAGCTTGATCTTATCCATTACAGAGCTCCCACCCAGACTTTCAGGACGCAGATCTGGATGTGGCGGTGCAACGGAAGGCGTCGTAGGCGTGATCAGAACGTCGTAGTCTTCCAGTGCCCTGTCGTATGCTGCTCGAAGCTCAAACACGTGTCGATGAGCTTTGGCTTGTGCACTAGGCCCAAATTTGTCCTTCAGGAACGTCTCACAAAACAGTATATTGACCACTGCAGGATTAGAAGCCGTCAAAAGCTCAAACATTTCCTGGTCTGGGGGCCACCTGAGTGACAGATGCGGCATATTGTGGTTGAGGACGTCTGGTGTACGACCACCTACGGCTAAGCTTGCCATGTACGTTCTTGTGGCAGCCGTCCAGATCGCTGGGCCCAGCAGATGCATTGGAATCGACACTTCCTCAACTGTACCTCCACTTGCGCCAAAATGTTTCACTGCCGCATCTTTGACGATCTGCGCCACTTCAGGTTGAGTGCCCAGCGAAGTAAGTGATTCTGTAATGATGCCGACCTTGAGACCTTTGCCAGGATTCTCGGCGGCTCTCAGCTGACCAGCATAATCGACCACGTTCTGCCGCAGCGGAGACTCAGGAGACATTCGAGGATCAAGCCCGTCATACCCAGCGACGACCGTCAGTAAGGTTGCGATGTCTTCAAGTTTCCGAGCCAGAGGTCCCGTATAGTCAATCATCGGATGCAACCCTGCAATGCCAGTATACGGCACAAGTCCATGCGTAGGCTTCAGACCATATACACCACAATACGCAGATGGAAGTCGTATGCTCCCAGCCTGGTCTCCGCCCATGCACAAGTCGACATCATCACCTGCATCGTCAAGGCCAGGAACACCGGCAGCTCGAGCGTTTCCGAGGGCTACGAGACAAGCGCCTCCGCTTGTACTTCCTCCGGTGTTATGGTCGCGTAGCCACGGATTATGAACCGGCCCATTTGCTGACGTGTATGACATGGGCGTCAGAGAATAGTTCTCACATGTCGAGGTACCAACAATGGTCGCTCCAGCTTCCAACAAACGTCTTGCGACGGTTGCATCGATGCTTGCTAGAGGGTATTTGCCATCTTTCGAGACAAGTTGAGGAAACGTTCCACACGTGTGGGGTAATCCTCCTATTGACATGTTATCCTTCATCACGATTTTTCGGCCTTTTAATATATCGGAGACGGGTTTCTCTGCAACTAGCTGCGCCTGGTGACTCCATGCACTGTGGCTGTTCTTTTCAGATTTCCAGAAGTTCCTTCCGCCATTTGTAGGCACAGGAGCTAGCCGTGGGTCGACATAATCGGGGAGATTGTTCACGCTATCAGCGGTCATGTCTGCAGACTGTAGAACGAGGAGGTAGGCTTCTTCATCGGTCTTCGACTTGATTTGAATATTGTTTCGCGCGGCGACATCGTGGAGTACGTCGAGTGTGACGCTCGACCTGTAGGAGTCAGTCACGCAATCCGATCATAGCCTGGTTGTACATACTGGAAGCCATCTGCCAAAGCGACGATAGACATCTTGAGGCCTTTTCCTGGACTTACATTCCTTGGGGAGGAGATGCTGTTCAAGCCCAAGAGTCCATCAGATATGGGCGATCTGCGAGCGCAGAAGTCCGTGTCAATAACGTTCGTGTTTCTCCACAATCATGTCCTCGGTCAAAGGAGGCCGGAGGGATGCAGAAGATCGGAGAATGTGCTTTCGGAAAAATATTCGAGCCAGGCGATGGCTTCATGTCTTTCCTTTCGGCTTTTGCTTAGTAGATTCAGCATCAGAGGAATGCTCGCATAGCTGCGCCCTAGTCACGGTCAAGTTTGAGCCTGAACGGGTACATTCTCCAGCCAATTCCATTCAACATTCACTCTCCCCAAGTCCACATCAGCTAGGATGGCGAAGGTGTCGATAGTCACATCGAGATCTGTAGGCTTGCAACCGACGCACCGATCAACCACGGTTAGGTCGACGCTCTTGTTGTCTCTCCTCGCTCTTATCTTTTTCCCGCACAGAGGGTTCTGATTCGGATCGCTTCCTGTGCTCACTGCGTCGAAGACGGTATGTGATATGGCGACGATCTTGTCGCTGTCCTTGGATGTGACGCCGCATGCGCCTAGACCTGGTCCGTAATAAGTCAAGTCACCGGTGTATGGACCACCATTTCCGGAAGGGAGAGGGAGGTTCTTGGAGTGCTTGCGGGTCGAAAGGCCTGCTGCAAGACCAATGATCAGGACGAGGACGGCGACGGTAGTAGCAATGACGATGATTTTGGCTCGTCGACTTAGAGTCTTCCATCGCTGAAGGAGGGCATTTCTACCAGCCCCGAACCGAGTTTGCCGGGTCGCAGGCGCCGGCGCAGGCACAGGTTTACGGGTAATGGTCGCTGACCTGGCTGCCTTGATTGCTTCTCCATTCTCTTCCTCCATTGTATCGTATCTCGCGTGAGGCTTCGCGTAGTCGACGGAGGTGGTCTTTGAGGAGCTGGGTCAAGGTCGCGATACGAGGTCAGTGTAGAGTCCAGCTGACAGGCTTGTAGTTTTTATAATGGTCGCAGGTCGCGCTATATGCCCTCTTGAGAGCCATTCTCTACCAGAATGCGGCCATCTAGAGATTGCCTCCGTGAAAGAGGAGGGTTTGATCTCGCTTCGAGGAGATTGATGTGATTGGTTATGTTCCTGGACTTACCCCGGACTCTTGGAAAAGGAGGTGAGATCCCGGTTCTCAATCAAGAGTCAATTTGTTGTCAGCGTCCATTTCGGAAGGCCGAAGAATGTCCTAGGACACATGATGTGGCTGGTTGGCGTTACTCGCAAGCAAATGAGCAAAGACACAACGGAGTGAGATTGTTAGATAGAGCGAATATCATAATAACCCGTAATGAAGATCAAGATCTGCACGCGGCCCAAGCCGAGTCGGTACGTGGCCCAGGCCATCACGTTCAGTACCTCGCATTACGAGTATGTACAGTCAGGTACTATGTGAAACCTCGTAAAGAGTGAAGCGACATAATACTCCAGCCTTTGGTATGTCACTAGATGCCAGAAATGTTATTGACTTGATCATTCTGCTGCTATGTGAATTCGGCCGCCATTGTCGATTTCGCTGCCTAGAAACAACGGATTTGATGACCTCATCAACATCAACATCAACATCACCCGTACTGTTTAGGCCCGGATGTTCGGGCTTGTGAAACTGACATTTGGATATCTAACCTCCTCGTCCGCCGCCGCCCTCCCCTTTCTCTCCTCGAGAATTACCATTCGTGCCTTTCAATCACCTGGGTATGATCGCCAGCGACCAGAGAGTTGAAAAGAAGAAACGACGGAGTCAACGTCGAAAAGTCACCTATGTCTCGCGCCATTTTACAGAGGACTCCTCCGAATCCAGCGGAGCATCATCACAGACAGGGCGAGAACTCGACCATGCACTCAAGAACGTCAGCACCGCCGTCGACGACATTCGCAAGATTGTAAGAGCCGAGTTATCCACCTTGGGGTCACCTCAACAAGCCTCACGTCCTCCTCCTAACCATGGACCCCGAGTGTACCATGGCATCAACATCGACGATTTATCCTCTGACTCGGATCTCACCGACGTACCCGACGACATAGGACCAGATCCATTCCTCTCGGCCCACGAGTCGTCCCTCTCCAAGGTACAAGCGATAAAGGTGAAGTCGAAGAAACCAGCCCGTCGACCCACGAAATCACCATACTTTCCTCACCCCCACAAACACCGCCCTACGTTCTTGTCGACCTTACCCTTCCCTCCTCTTTCGCACGAGACATTCGGTCTCATGCAGGAGAGACTCGCGCATGACCCTTTCCGCCTCCTCATCGCCACCATCTTCCTCAACAAGACGCCCGGGGAGCGCGCCATGCCCGTGTTTTACCAACTGATGTCCCGGTACCCGACGCCGTTGGCCCTCTCCAAGGCACAGGTGGGCGACATCACTTCCATCATTTACGTGCTTGGCTTCCAGAACCAACGGGCACGGAAATGCGTGGCCATGGCTCGAGCCTGGGTCGAACGGCCCCCGGAGCGAGGGAAACGGTACAGGAAGCTTCACTACCCGACAAAGGGGGACGGGAAGGATGTAGGGGTCGATGAGGTGATTGATGACGACGAGACCGACGCCCGGGTCGCTTGGGAGATCTCCCACCTTCCAGGCTTGGGTCCGTATTCCCATGACAGTTGGAGAATGTTTTGCCGAGACGAACTTCGAGGACTGAGTACAGGTTGGAACGGCGAGGGCCGCAACAGCAGCAGCAGCCATAATGATCAGGATTATCATGAATACGAAAAACCCGAAAACAAAACCAAAACCAAAAATTTTGAACCGGAATGGAAACGAGTCGTGCCGTTGGATAAAGAATTACGGGCGTGGCTTACATGGATGTGGATGAAGGAAGGGTGGGTGTGGAACAAGGAGACGGGCCAACGTCTGAAGGCAAGTGACGAATTGATGGCGACCGCGAATGGAGGTGGTGTCGTGGTCGAAGAAAAAGATTCGGACCATCTCATCATCGTCAAAAGCACGGATATAGAAGAGAAGAAGGCGACCGGTCTCTCGGGCATCAAAAAGGTCGAGCACCCTGCTGGAGACTTTTTGCCCTCTGCGTCGTCGAATGAAATATAAAAATTTTCTTTCCTTCTTAGATACAAGCCTTATTTCCTCCTCAACGGTACAGTAGTCATCCCGAGAACTCCCAAGTCCTAATTCCTCATTCGCAGAGACCGAGAAAAAAAAAGACCAACATACTATGAGTACCGCCAAAGGATACACACCCCCTCCACCAAACCCTGACTTTGCTGTGTGGTCTCGTATATCCGAGTGGACGACATTGCTGCATGCCCAGCCAAGGCATTTGGTCCAACTTTGGTCCATCACAACTTTGGCTTTCCCGAGGTCTTGTTCGCCCTCATCTTCTTTTCCTCTTCCTCCTTGAACTCCTTCTTGGCCTGTTCCTTCAGCACCCTCCTGAGGATCTTGCCCGAGACGCTCTTGGGGACCGCGTCGACGAACTTGATGCCGCCGCGCAGCTTTTTGTGGTTGGCGACCTTGTTGTTCATCCACTTGATGATGTCCTCGGCGTCGTTTGGCTGCACGGCGCCCGCACCGCCCTTCCGCACGATGTACGCCCGGGGCACCTCGGTGCCGAGCTCGACGCTGTCGACGCCCACCACGGCCACGTCGTCGACCTTGTCGTGGGCCGCCAGGTAGCCCTCCAGCTCGGCCGGCGGGACCTGGAACCCTTTGTACTTGATGAGTTCCTTGACGCGGTCCGTGATGGTCAGGTTGCCGCCCTCGTCGAGGAAGCCGACGTCGCCGGTCCTGAACCAGCCGTCCTCCAGGCACTCGGCCGTCGCGGAGGGGTTGTTGTGGTACCCCAGGAACACGTTGGGCCCCCTGACGTACAGCTCGCCGATCTCGCCCCGCGGCAGTTCCTTGGTGCCGTCGGACTCCTCGCCCGGGGCGGGCACGGCGCAGAACTTGGCCTCCAGGTTCGGCACCATCACGCCCGTCGTGCCCACGGCGCTCATCCACGACTCCCAGGGTTGCATGAAGATGGTCGGGCTGGTCTCGCTGAGGCCGTACCCTTGCTTGACGCGCACGCCCTTCCGTTCCCAGAGTGACTCGACCAGGTCGCGCGTGAGCGGGGCGGCGCCCGAGTTCGTCATCCGCAGCGAGCGGAGGTCGTACTTTTCCACCGCGGGGTGCTTGCACAGCAGCAGCACGATCGGAGGCACGATGTAGCTGAACGTCACCTGGTGGTCCTGCACGAGGCGGCACCACTTCTCCAGGTCGAACCGGGACATCACCAGCGTGTGGACCCCCTGGAAGACCGGCAGGTGGACGAGACAGTTGAGCCCGTAGATGTGGAAAAACGGTAGCACGGCGAGGATCTTGTCACCCTGACCCTTGGGCGCGTCGGGAATGCCGCGGACCTTTTTCGATCCGTCATGCGACAAGTGCGGCTCGGCCGAGCTGACTTGTTCAATGTTCGCCGTCATGTTGTGATGCGTGAGTCTGACGCCCTTGGGTCGACCTGTCGTGCCCGAGGAGTACACGAGAAACGCCAGATCCGTCTTGGGTGAGATCTTTGGCGTCCGCCAGCGTGACGTCCCTTCTAGATTGCGGACCATGCTCCAGTGCTTGAATTTGCGGCTCGGGTCGCCATCCTTGCCCAGCAGTAGGATGTTCGACTCGGGGATGCCTGCTTCCTCGCACGCCTTTTTCGCATTCTCGAGAGCGCTGATGTGGGTGACGAGTAGTTTCGCGCCCGAATCCTTGAGTTGGTAGACGAGTTCGGCGACGGTGTAGCCGGGGTTGGCTGGTGAAACGACACCTCCTGCCCACAGAGTTCCCCAAACCACGGGGCCAACGTCAATGTCGTTGGGAACATACAGGGCGAGCACGTCGCTCTTTCGAAATCCGTAATTTGATTTCAACCCCTTGCCAAAATCAGTGCTTAATTGCTTGAGCTGGGCATAGGTATATTTCCTTTCCAGATGCTCGCCATCCTGGAAGATGACTGTCGAGTAGAAGTGTTAGTGGAGTCATAGGTGATGATAATGAACATCACCCGGCAAGTTATCTGGCCATGATGAACATTGAGCGTACCTTGATTGTCAGGAAACGGCTTCTCTTTTCGATTGAACAACAGCGAGAAAATATCAGTCACGCTGAGGTTGACATCAGGGAAATTGGACTTGATAGGCATGATGATGATGGTGATGAAGATCCCCGCGAGAGCAAGACAGGTCCTTTGAAGGGGTGTTGGGTTTGCGTCGCTCCGGAAAGCGTCCTCAAGAGCTTTACGCTTAGCACCTGTAATTCGTCCCAGATGCACTCGATATGCGTAGCGGAGATGGTTTCAGCTAAACAGAGATCCAGGCGACGCTACGGACTTGTACTGTTTGTAGAGTGCTAAAATCCCGGCCCGCCGACGAGGGATCCCGTAGTCAATTTTAAACAACTTGACCAAGTCCGTCGATATCCGTAAATGGTTGAGACCAGTGGCCACGCTTGTTTCAATTGCTTTTCGTCGATAAGGGACGAGAAAGGCGGGATGCTTGAGGTTGCAATTCCTCTCTCTCGAAAAGCAGGAAAGATGCCGAGGTTCGGAGCAGACGGCATTCGCATCCAATCATACGCCGTCTAGCGCCGATGCGGTAATCGTCTGGTAAACGCCCTTGGATGGCCACCGGGATCAACTCGCATCTCTATCGCGCGAAATATGCAGGGCTATTCCGATTTTTCGGCTTCGTACGTAGCACGATATGTACGACTTACGAGTCAAGGCTAACGCATACTCTGTACAACCACTTATAAGAGGTTGAAGTTGCCGGTCGGGGGGCGGGAGTGGAGGAGGAGGGCGGAAGGTTAATCTGAAGCCAGACCCCGTATGCTGGAGAGGCCCAACAGATGGTTTAGGATACTTCACAAACTCGAGTATGGTCCACAACTGCTCTCGGCCGTATTGACTGTATGTACGCCACAGTGACTGGCCGCGGTACGTTCAACAGAACGAATTGTAATAGGAGAGTATAATGCGTATATCATTATGGTATTCTGTACTCCGTTTTCATAACGGTCGTTCCCATGGACGCCGTCGCTATGCACAAATATCCTAGCTGTTGTCAAATGCTGTTCACACCGTATCTCCTCCATATCCAAGGACTTCCACAACCACATTGCCAACCGTTGACAAGGCCCATACAGTGATGAGTCCAATTCCAATTCTGCGGTCCATCCTCCAACCATTCAATGGCACAACAATGAGTAATCCGATCAGGGTGATGAGTAGAGTAACACCCGAGATCATGAGTGTTGTGCTCACGTCCAATTCATATGGCTTGTATTTGATCGGTTTGTGAGGATGTTGAGCATGTTTGTGGGCGGCATTCTTGATGGTCATGTACATGCCTCCAATGCCGATGCCGAGCAAGATATTCAACATAGGTCCACCGAAGCAAGCTGACAGGGCCATGACAGGATATCCCAGTTTAGCTACAGTGATATCTGCAACCAGATCACCCAGAGAATTGCCGACTGCAAAGATTGTCAAACCAAGGATGGCGTCAGACATGCCTAGAATGACTCCAAAAGCCTTCAATACTCCAACCACTTCGTTCGCAATCGTGGAAATCCAGGCTATGGCCACGGCAAAGCCCAAAAAGCACAAAAGTGGCCGATATCTGGGTTCTCGAAGGGGAGATGTTAGAGACAACAAGACCAGGAGTGCCACCAGTGAGAATACCAGTGACCCCAGAACCATGCGGACGTAGAGTTTCAGGCTATGGTCATCGTCCATGTTGGCCCAAACGATAGTGACGGTAAAGAATGGAGCAGTGAAGACCTGCACAAACACTAACCATCGATTCCAATCTTTCGGTTCCGCAGAGTCGGTAGGCATCGGCATGGAGCTCCTTCGTGGGTTGGATAGTTGCTGGGAAAACCTGGCGCCATACATGTGGGGTGGTTCGTCTGTATCGTTCGATTTCGGTGCTAAGGCAGGGGTATCTGGGGCAAGTTCAACCCTGCTTGGACTTCGTCCGGAATCCCCGCCATTCGAACGTCGTGGACCATCATTAGGCACGTTCGAGTCATCTTCTTTAGGTTCCACGACTGGAAGGGTGACAGTGAGCAGGAAGACACTCGGAACGGTAATCACGCCCAAGATACGATCAATGATGGATTTTTGTCTCCAACCATAGACCGTTGGGAAAAGCTTCGCCACCATAACCTGAGGGGGCGGAAGGTGCTTGTAGGGCCACCAAGCATATCTCTCCAGAGATTCCTCGTCATCATCTCCCAGCAGGCCGAGATGGTTTGAGGATTCGGGTGACATACTGGGCTCAGGAAGATGAATACTCGGGGGCCGTGAACCAACTGGAGTAAGCAGTGACGGTGAGTCTGTGTACGGGGGAAAATCCTCCTGTCGCAATACTGATCGAGTGTGGTCAGGATGCGGTGTGTGCAACAGGGGCACCTGTAGTGTGGGTTGAGATGTGGGTGAAATAGGGGTACGTTCAGCTGTATGATGTTCACTGCTGTAATCAGGACGGTGGAATGTGGGATTCGGCGGTGCAAGGAAGTGCGGAGATTTGGGCAGCTCTTCTCGGTCAGATGGTGTCTGTGACGGATTTCGTGAAGCCGGAGATAACGTCAATTTTGGGGACTCGGATCGTTGAGCAGAAGGCTCATTAAGCGTTTGCAGGATACGGCCACTTGGACGAGTTGGCGATCTATTCGAAGGCGCGTGTGAGGCCGAGTCAATGCTGACAGCAGTCTCGGCAGCGTGGTCGGCTAGGAAGTGTGTGTCGATCTTGAGTCTGGCCGCATCGTTGGCAGACACAGCTCTACCGCGACCGCTGGGCGATTGATGTTGAATGTCTAAATGCTCCGAGGTTGTAAGATGTGGTTGAGAGGAACTTGGAGCGGGCCCCGCGCTCATCAGGGCCGTGGAGTCGTCCGAGTATCTTCGCAGCCCGATAGGTTGAGTGCTTCCGCCTGTACTCTTTCTCTCCAGCGAAGTCATCAGCGACCTGAATTCCAAAGCACCAATCAACGATGGTCGGATGGGAGTCAAAGTGTTTCTTCGTTCACCTCGACCTGGTCGACTAATTCTCATCTTGCTTTGCACTTCTGCAAGATACCGATCCCGAGTTTCGTCATCGTCATCGAGGTCCTCAATCTTCCACGCCGGAGTTCCTGGCGTCCTCAAGGTCGGGATGCTTTCGCCTGAGGTTGATCGTAGGAGATTGGTCCGTTCGCTTGCCGGGCGAGCCTCTTCATCTTCCTCGAGTTCCGGCACCTCGAGCTCTTGGGTATCAGGGATGTGGTGATTTAGCCTTGCAGTGGTTTCGGCCAATTTTGCCCTCCTGCGTCTGGTAAGCCACCAGTGCCATATCACGACAAAGATGACGTAGAAGACGTAGAAGCCGATCATGGTAGCACACTCCCAGAGCTTCAGGCTACCGTCGGCCAGAAAAACCAGACTGAAACTTGCTGCCACGGCAAAGAAACCAACATCCCGGATGAAGCTTTTCCTGGCGACTTGGAACGGCGCAACGAGCGCCATGCTTCCTGCAACCACTGCAGATATGAAGCCAGCTGCGCCCATCAATTCCCCGACTGCCAAGCTCCCGCTATTGCTGCTCATCGCCGCGAATGTGGAAAACACATCTGGGCTTCCATTGCCGAAAGCCAGGAATGTCACTCCCGTCAAGCTTTCACTCATGCCAAGTATACTCGCAATTGTACTCAGGTTGATGCATAGAAAGTCAGAAGCGGCGATACCAATAGTACTGAAAAGTAGACTGATCCATAGCACCAAGATGGTGAAGGCGACGGGCTTCGCATCGGCAAGGGAGCAATAGTAGAGTCGGAGGTAGGAAATGAGACCGGCTTCTTCGTCCGGACAGTTTGCTTTTATAAAGGCGCATTTATCTTTGGCCTTGTGAACGAGTCGACACTGGAACAGCAGTTAGATAAGGTGCGGTCGCAACCGAGAGACGAAGACAGACCTCGAGATCGCGTGCTTCGAGTGAACGAGCGACGAGGGACCCAGGAGAGCCATCATTTCCAAAGCCTCTCAGGTAGCTGTAACATGCAAATAGAGTAAGAATCAACGCTGTGATATAGAATGGGCGACCTTGTTGTCGCACCGTCCGTCTGCGGATTGGAGGGTTCGGGAAGGCCATCTAGGGTGACGACAATGCATGCTGGATAAGGATGCAAAAGGCTACAGATAGCTGAGGAAGGATTACATCGAGAAGACAACGTAACAAACAAGGATAAGACTATGATGCTGTAGAGAACTATGAAACGAATGTCGCCTGGAACTTGTTCTCGACTCACTCCACACGAACATGATACGGATATTGGTAGGAGAATTCCTTGGCTGCGGGCGGAGCAAATGTAGGAGTCCTTCCAGGGCCTAAAGTCCCCCTCCGCAGCTCCCTGTCATTACATCATGGCTTGTGCAATGCGCAATTCATCACGCCATCCATTGATTCCCAGGCTGCTTAATTAGCTACAAGGGTACTCCGTACCTAAAGGCATGCCGCCTCAGCAGTCCATACAGGACTGTACAGGGTAAGGTACTAATGTATCTCTTTTACCTGGTTTTTGGTCACGGGTATCAACACCAGGAAAAATGTATTGTTCCTAATTGCCTCGTTGATTATTGTCGATGCCATGGTAAAACAGTGGTAGGTCATGTTCTTGCTTTTCTTTCCGCGAAGGAGCAAAATAATGCATGGTACGGGAGTGGGTGTACAAGTACTCGATCTCCGTACCAGCGTCCAACATTTCCAAGCCGAGGTTGTTTTGGTGAATGCAGAACCTTACCACTTATTTGAGTAGATTGAGAGCCTGACTTTGAATTTCCCTCCCTACAACAACCTACAATGTTATAGCACCTCTCACGCTCCTTCGCTTCCTCTTCCAGACCATCCTCGCGCCTCTCGGCCCTTGCTACCATGGCGCCAACATTCGCCGACGTCGTCCCCGTCAAACAAATCTCCTCGCACCAGTACACACTGACCCTCGAGGATGGGTGGTGTATAGGGACAGGTACACACCCTTCTCTCTTGTTTGCTACCCTTCAACTATCAAGTCCCAGCTCGCTGACATCCTATTCACAGTCCCCAATGGCGGCTACGTGACATCAGCCTTCCTCGTCGTCGCTCGGACGCACATGTCCCTGACGCACCCTCGCCGCTCCGAACCACATCCCGTCAACCTCCACCTCGAATTCCTTCGTCGCACCTCCGTCGGCCCAGCCCGTTTCACCGTCAGAGACGTCAAACTGGGCAGCCGCATATCAAATCTGCACGTGGTGCTCTCCCAATCCTCGAACCCCGCCGACCCTGCATCACCCTACATAGACAAAGCAGAAGGCTACATAACCATGAGCAACATCCGTACTGAATCGGGCCTCTCGCTCCCGACGGCCTACAGCCTCTACCCTCCCCCACTGCCCGTCGATCTCCCGACCCTCGCGCAAGCCGGTCGCGACGTGAACTACACTTCGCGCCCGAGGGATCCATTCCCACAATTCCGCCGCGCGGCACAGAATATGCAAATGTTCCTCGTCCGGCCTGCGAGGCGTCCCGACAACCACCCCAAGGCCATGAACGACCAGTGGGTGCGACTGGCGCTCAACAAGACGCCCACGGGACGGTGGACGAACGACGCGCTCGGCTTCCTGGTCGACATGTTCCCCCAGATCGTGGAGAAATACGTCAACCCGCACATCGAGGAGGCCGCGCTGGGCCAGCAGTCGGACGACGAGGCGAACGCCTGGAAAGAAAAAGATCCCGGTGCGAGGGCGAAGTACTGGTACCCCACGCTCGCGCTCAACCTGGACGTCAAGAAACTTTTGCCCGAAGAGGGCGTGGAGTGGTTGTTCGTTCGGGTCAAGGCCAAAGCCATCAGGAACGGTAGATTTGACCTGGACGTCGAGGTCTGGGACACGGACAACGAGCTGGTGGCGACGAGTTCCCACGCCAGTCTTGTTGTGGATTCTTCGAGAAACACCACGAGAGGCGCAAAGAAGTCGCCAAAGCTATGACGATTTGATCCAGAAGAAAGAACCAATGTCTCGGCTAGATTACATTTAGAACGTCTCCTGTCACATGTGCTAGATTTATAGAGTCACCGAGTAAGACTCTAGTCCTGATATAGAGGAACGATAAGAGTAGGGATGTGACCAAGATACCCATTTTACTTTCAAGCATATTATATTACGCGGGTTTTTATTTAGTGGCATGTAGCCAATTCCAGGTCCATCTTCCTCCCTCGTGAACTCATCTTCATTACAACAGGCCTGGCATTCCTTGCACGGGTCGCGAGAGATCACACGGCGACCCGACACGTCCCCACCATGGATCATGCCATTATAGCAGGGCAGCAACTCCCAAGGCAGCGGCGCCCACGACACCAGTCCAGTCTTGAGTCAGGAAGTTTGCGGCACCGGTGTAGGTCGATGGCGCCTGGCTGGCGCTGCTGGACATACCGGCGCTGCTCGTCATGGTGGCCGGGGTCATGGGAGGAGCGGTGGAAGCTGGAGCGCCGCTTGTGGCGGGAGCGGTTGGGAGAGTGATGGTGACATTGGCTTGAGCGCAGAACTTGACGGCGAATTGGAGGGTGGCTAAAAGGACGTGGGCAAGTTGAGCATGTCAGATGGGTTCTTTTAATGGCTTCATTTCCGCCAGCAATGGAGAAAGCGTAGTCATGTGCTATGTGAATCGGCCCTGAACGTACCTTGTTGATCAGCTTGGCTGCAAGCACCTTGGACACAGGTCTCGACACCGCTGAGGAAGTTGGTGGCGGTGCAGATGCATTTGGCGTCAGTCAAGGCGCAGCCAGTTGAGCCGATGGCGCCGGTGGCGCAAGAAAGCTGTGTTGTTGTCCATACGTCAGTAACAGAGTGGTTGATTGAATCACAACGGCAGCAGCAAGACAACTTACAGCGCAAGATGGGAGGCCGGAAAGGTCTTGGGATGAGGCCAGGTTGAAGAGGGCAAAGATGCCGACAGATGCAATGGTGAAGCGCATGATGGGTTGTCTGGAGGGTTTGTTTGTGTTGAACGAGAGTGATGTGGTTTGGTTCTTTTCTGCGAGGTTAACGAGCGAGATGGAATCAAGGTAAGTGCAGTAAACTGTCGAGGTGACTGAGTGAGGTAGAGAAAGGATAGAAAGCAGACAGCAAGGTAGAGGAGCTTATAAGGTACTATCGATGGAGTAGCTTTTCTGGCAAGCTTGGACAAACGTTGACAGTTGGTTGCGCAGACGAACGAATCGAGCGAACGAAACTCTTGTTCCCGTGTGTCATGGATCTTTGGAAGGTACCTGCTACAATAGGTAAGCAAGCTCAAAGTTTGGAGCTTCAATGGCTCGAAGCAACTCGGAGCTGTACTGGACAGGGAAAGCGTTCATCTGGGAGGGGCTGGCAAAAGGCGAACATGGTTGAAGTGCTAGAGACGAGATGGTATGGACGGGAGTAACTGAACCAAGCTTCGGTTCAGCTGTACGTAGCGCAAGCCAACGGCAGAGAGAGACAAAACGATGATGGGCTGTATGTCTCAGGAACAACAAGGGGACAAGTTGTGTTCTAGGCTTCGAGACATTGGCACTAGATAGTGTTTTGGACGAATGGGAAGGAAGTGAGGCTTGATGTTGAGGTCGATGATTTGATGGATCCGGGGGTTAGACATGGGGACACAGACTCACAATGGAGTAGAATACAACACTAATGGATTTAGTTTATTGCGGAGGAAGCTGCAAGCACGGGAAGAAAAAAGAGGGGGAGATCGAATCCTGTCCATTATTCACTAAGCTTGGATCGTTGTCCTCGTTGAGCATGGCATGGCAACAACCGACGACAGGGATTTGTACGGAGTACTCATACGGAGTACTGTAGATGAAATGGGAAGTGGTACGAGTACGGTTCGACTCACTAACTAAATCCCTTCCCACCGGTATTTACTGCGTCAGCTTTTCATCTACGGCGTATTGAGCATTCACTGTACATGCTGAATTGAATACACCTCAATGAGCAAATGTGATCCTGTAGGGAACCCTATTATGAAGACAGTCTGGGTCGAGGTGGTTGCTCTCCAGCCTGTGGCACACCATATGGCGTCTCCCATCAGAATTCTTTCTCTGCTCCATCATATTGTCTCCTCTCGAAGACATACCAATCCAGACAAAAACTTTCCCTTACCACGTCTTACTCTGTTCTTGTCCGGAGCCCAAGCATCATTTTGGCGAGTAAGAAGTATCAGGGGCCAATTTGGCTCTCACATCTTCGACAATGCGCACACCAATGCTCAGCGACGAATCTTGACCTTTCCAAGGACGTCTACTGAGGATACACCAATTGTTGCAGTCGTGATTGAATGAGGTCATGTCTTCAGCGTCGGATAAACATCTCTATCGACAATATCTTTGAGTTTTTGAGTAATTGAGTCAGATCAAAATATCAAATCGATCTTCTGTTCTCCCAACGTCGTGATGCACACGGACTTGTGCGACCTATGGGCCGAACGGACAAGATATAAACCTCCTATCCGTCCTTCGAAACTACTTTTGCTGTCCATTGAAGCGAGGATATGATAAGCAACGAAGACCTTATTGGCGAGCCTGCGGGTCCCTCCTCTCACCAATAAAGCCAGAGTATCTGCATCAGGTATTGGCCGGCCCCTTGGCTTGAATTAGTTCATAAAAAATCCTCGCCCTGTTACGACACTCTGCATGTTGAAAGTTTTGGTGGTGGCCAGCTATACCGAATTATTGATCAGCCTTGGGGCCTTCATTGTGTTCCGCCACGTCCGGGCACTTCTCGCGGTCCTTGCTTTCTAGAAAAGCACTATCATGACGCTTCCTGCCTCGAGACCCCCGGACGTTTACGCAGGTGGAATCGGTCAGAGGCCCTATCGGTCAAGGAGACAGAAGCCGTGCAATGCATGTCGACAGAGACGATCAGGTTGTGTTCGGCGGGGCACCTCTGCCTGCACATTTTGCACCGTCCGAGGCCTGGACTGTGTCGTGGATTCGACTGCTACTACCAGCCCCAATTCCAGGACGAACCTTGCGCCTGCTGTAATCACTAATGTCCAGGCTCGACGGGCAGAGCAGGAACTTTTGTGCGCGAATCCGGGCCAGCCAAAGCCCTCCCCGACACGACCTTCAGCGATTCGGGCTCGATCCGACGACATCGTTCGAAGTACCTTGCAATACATTGGCCCGACCAGCGACCACGACTCCTTTATCTTGCGGCACAGCTCCTTGGGAAAGTCATCAGCCAACTCACCCAGCGACGCAGACTGGGCGTGTCAAAGGATCAGCACAGATCCAAGAAATCCCGTTCACTTCTCGGTGAGTACTGATCTATCCGTTCCGGTGCTATTCCAAAGACAAAGGTCGATTTAACTCATCCCTGGGGTGACTCCAGTCTTTCCCAGACGAACATCTCGACGCCCGACCGTATTACTACCCGCGAAACATTGTGGAAGAAGCCGTCCGGTCGTTCCGCGATGACCTCGTGCACGCCTTCTTTGAGTATGTTCACCCTTCCATGGCTCTTTTGGGCCCCCAGCAGCCCTCCACACTGGCCAAATCGGCCACCCTAATGGCCTCGATCTACGCCCTGGCACAGCGGCATTGTCCGGCGGCCCGCGACGTCGACCCTTGGCTATTTACAGACTTCAATAAGCAAGCCCTCAACATCGAGACACACACAGTCAAACTCGAAACCGTGGAGGCGGCATTGTTGTTTGCTCAGCGTCACCCCCATGTCCTCCGGTAAGTACATCTTCCTCGCTCCCAATCAGTGCTCGGTTTGACGGAGGGCCACAAAAGCGCACCGAATATGCCGGGGGTGTCTGCCGAAGTTGGAGGCGTGAGTACACCCCAATAACATTTGGTCGACCGTGGCGTTAACTCGGTATAGATCATAGGAATGGGCCATGATCTAGGATTGAACATTGATCCCATCGACTGGGACATATCTGACACCGAACGGCGACGACGGAGACGTCTCTGGTGGGGCATCTTCATTCAAGACAAGTGGTAATGACATGTCCTTTTGAGTTTCATGCCACTGACGTGAACCAGGTTTGCATTGACACTTGGTCGCCCATCGTATCTTCAGGACGATCAAAACAATGTCTCGATGCTGACACAGGCTGATTTCGCAGCAGAGGGCTTCGAACAGCCTTCCAAATCTCAGTCTCAACCTGCCAACATCTTTATTGGAATGGCTACCTTGTCTGTCATTCTCTCCAGGATATGCCGGGAATTCTTTACCGTGAAATCTACTCGCTCTTTTTGGGGTTCGATTGCCGAGTTACAACATGCCTGGACCCTGCTGGAGGAAGATTTGGACAGGTGGTACGCCACTTTCTTGGAGCCCTTGCTGGCAAGCAAAGGTTTTCCTGACCCGACAGGTTCGTGAACGTCCATTATTTTTTATTCAGTAATGTACTACCCCGAGGCATTCCTACTAACTCTCATCAAGGCTCTCTTGAACTAGCATTCTATACGGTTCAGATCACGCTGTGCCGTGGAGCGCTCCGGATCGTCCTCTCTCAGTTCTCAACCGACGAGGTATTTTGGAAACATTTACGCCAAAGAGGCAAAACTGCTGCGTTGTCCGTGGTCCGGCTGCTCGATCAACTTCCTGTTGCCCGCAGCTCGGCGTTTTGGTGGTCAGGTATGCTAAACGTGCCATTGCCTTCTCAGGCCGCTTGTGTCCCTCTTTCAACACCGAAAGTAACTTCGAACTAACTTCTCTTCCATTATCTACAGCCTCCAGGCTCAATTTTTCCATCGCAGGAAGCTTCATGATCAGCATGTTCCTCTGTTCGGTTTCGGATGAAGAAAGTCAATATTGGATGGATCAAATCGCCTTTTACAGAAAGCTTCTCCGTGCCCACGCGACCGGCTTTGAGGTCACGAAACACGCATCAATCCGCTTAGACTTACTGGCAGACCGGGGCGGCGTTTATGCGTCGTCTTCTACAACTGTATCGGAGCAATGTGCCAACGACCCTCAGCCAGTCTATCATCAGCTTTCCACCCAAACAGAAGATAATGAGACCGCAGCGACAACGTCAGCCACGATAGACATATTGCCGGCTATAGATCCGAACGAGGACTGGTTGGTTCAGTTGCCTTCTTTGTCGCCGTTTGGGGTGCATGATTTCGGTCTCGTATAGTACGAAAGAGAAAAATATAGAGACGAGGGTAAAGACGCTTAATTATGTTGGTACTATGAGAACCTAGACTGGACAAGAGCCTTTCGCTATATAAAGGCGACCCTCAAACGGTCCTAGGCTATCCCAATCCTTGATCTCCGACACAGTGGCAATCTCTAGCGAGAACAAGGACAAATCTAAGTGATCTGGTAGCCGAAAAGGCTTCTGGGATGCGGTCAGGTTGAGCAGAACCAGGGCTTCACCGTGGACAGATGTCTTTTGAAAACAGAACAACCCGCTGTCGTCGCCAGCATCGATTGGGAGAAAATCCCCGTAGGCCAAAAGGTCGGCGTGGTCCTTGCGAAGCCGAAGGAGTTTCCTCCAGAATGACAAAACGCTGTCTTTGTCGCCAAGTTGCCTTTCAACGTTGATATCGGTAAAGTTGTCGTTAATCCGCATCCACGGTCCCGCCTTGGACGTGGTGAAGCCGGCGTTGACACCGCCGGTCCATTGCATGGGCGTCCGACTGTGGTCTCTGGCCACCTTGCGAATGTTGTCCATGGCTTTTTCCTGAGCTATGGGGTCATGGACCGATTCCTTCAACACCGACTCCCAGTACCATTGTGTCGACTTGTCCTTGTATTCCTCAATGGGCCAATCGCTGGGGATGTTTGTCATGCCGATTTCCTGACCTTGGTACACAAATAGTGTACCGGTTGCGGTCGTTTGCAGCAGGGCAAGCACTTTGGCAGCCGCAACCATGTGTTCTGGCTTGTCGGACGTGAACCGGGACACGGAACGTGCAAGGTCGTGGTTCTCGAGGAACATGGTGGTCCAGCCGTCGGTACCCTCGATAAAGGTCTGCCACTTGACAAAGGAACGCTGAAACTCGCGCAAGTCCATGGGCTGGACGTTGAAAGTGCTCAGCGCGTACCCCAGACATACTGTCTCGAACTGGAAGCCCATATCGACACGGGATTCTGCGGCACTGACATATCGCATTGCCGTCGACGTATCACTGAGACCGCCAAATTCCCCCACCGTCATCAAGTCGCCGTACTCGTGCAGAATGTCGTGAATCTCGTTCAAAATGAGAAAGTTTTCCGGCCGGTGATTGAACTGGGAATGGGGGTCAGTCTCGGGCGCGTCTGTAAAAGACATGTCCTTTGCAAACAATCCCATAGTGTCAATTCGGAATCCATCGATGCCCTTGTCCAACCAGAACCGGATGGCACTATTATACACGGCTTCTCGTAGCATGGGATTCGACCAGTTGACGTCTGGCTGGCCTCGTGAGAACAGATGAAGGTAGTATTCTTGGCTGTGTTCGTCCCACTCCCAGGCACTGCCGCCGAACATGGATTGCCAGTTGTTGGGAGGCCTGCGTTGGCCGTCACCATCATATCGGGCTGGTCTCCAAATATACCAGTCGCGCTGGGGACTGGATCTTGACGAGCGGGATTGCCGAAACCAAGCGTGTTGGTCCGACGTGTGGTTGATGACGAGATCGAGGAGAATGCGCAGTCCCTTCGAGTGACAACCCCGGATGATGTTTTCCAAGTCAGCCATGGTGCCGTACGGGGCATAGATACGTTCGTAGTCGGAGATGTCATATCCGAGGTCGACTTGAGGACTGTCAAAGATGGGAGATATCCAGATGACATCGGCACCGAGGTCGCGGATATAGTCGAGCTTCTCCGATATTCCTTTCAAGTCTCCTAGGCCATCGCCGTCCGAGTCCTTGAAGCTCGCGGGCCAGATTTGGTAGACGACGGCACCCTTCCACCACTTTTTTCGAGGTGTCATGACCGAGCCCATGGCTGGTGGTTCTTGGGATGTGACAATGGCAGGTATGCAGAAAAAATCTCGGAGCCGTCTAGAGGAACTACCAGGTCTGTCCAGGGGAAAACAAACAAGAAAGGTCTTGTAAGTGGAAGAAATCCTTACGATCAGGAGTGATCACAACCTGAGACTGAGGACATTCTAACTCCTACGGAGTATAGTCTCGAGGCACCCCTTCCAATAAGCATATGATACCCTCGCCTGGTGGATAGGTATCCCATACGCCATACCGGACTGGGACATGCACGGAGGAATCCGTCCCACTTTGCAGCTGTTCGCCGAATTGCCGCTCAACTAGCCTTCGCCGAACTGTTCGCCTACGGTTCTGGCGATCATCAAGTTACAGAAAAACCTACACACATGGCTATGCAGGACCGTATTCTGGAAGTCTCATTAGTCACTCACAATCTCATTCCCACCGACGGACGAGAGTCGGCAGTCGCCAGGAAATCTCCTGGCGGCTCTAGACCGTCGACAGGGCCTGGAATCCGCGAACTATAAAGTGACACAACAACCCTCTCATGAGCCTTCTCCCAGAGTTCGATCCAGAAGGTACTTCGTTCCCAGGACGACGACTCAGACCCGGTTCCTCGCGGAAATCCAACACGCCATCGGCTATGAGACATGGATGCTACAAGCACCATGACCCCGAATACCACGGACACCATGCGATCCCTCGACGCTAACACGGGCCCGATCGACAAGAAGCCGATGGACAAGACGAGTCTAGGAACTCAAATATTAGAAACGCAGACCGTCCAAGGTGCCCTTGATGCACAGACGGCTGAGCATACCCTGTCGCTACGCACGGCGTTCCAACGATATCCCATGGCCATCGCCTGGTCGCTATCTCTCTCTACAGCCGTCATCATGGAGGGGTACGACACGGATCTCATCTACTCCTTCTTCGGTTTGCCTGCCTTTGCGCAAAAGTACGGCCGCCTCCAGCCTAACGGTACGTATTCGCTTACGGCTCCGTGGCAAAGTGCCTTGGGCCAGGGGACCATGATAGGCCAGTTCTTCGGTCTGATCGTCACGGGCTACGCGACTGATCGCTTTGGCTTCAAAAAGACCACCGCCGCCGCCTGCTTCTTCAACGCTGCCTTTGTCTTTATCCTTTTTTTCGCCCCCAGCATTGGAGCCTTGTTGGTTGGCGAGATTCTCCTCGGGTTACCCCTCGGAGTCTTTCTAACCTTGACAACCGTGTACGCGGCGGAGATCACCCCGCTAGCCCTCCGGCCGTACCTGGAGACGTACGTCAACATTTGTTGGAGCATCGGCAAGTTCTTGGCCAGCGGCGTCCTACGCGCTTACACCAACGACACAACACAGTGGGCGTATCGCGTGCCGTGGGCGGTTCAATGGATCTGGCCGCCGCTAATCATGGTCGCCGCTGCCTTTGCTCCTGAGTCGCCCTGGTGGCTGGTGCGCAAGGACAGGCTGGAGGACGCCCGTCGGTCTCTCCAGAGACTCTCGCGCGGGCTGGATGCGCAGCAGATCGACAACACGCTCAGCGAGATGGTGCTGACCAACCAACACGAGATGGCTCTCGAGCAAGGCACGAGCTATTGGGACTGCTTCCGCGGCACCAACCTCCGCCGCACCGAAATCTCATGCATGGCCCAGGCGATGCAGCCGCTGGTGGGATTCTCGCTGGTTCTGTACACGACGTCGTTCTTCCAGGCGCAGGGTCTTGGTGCTGACGAAGCGTTCGACCTCAGTCTGGGCCAGAACGCCGTCGGCATGGGCGCGGGTATCCTCATCTGGTTTGTGTTCCCACGGGTGGGCCGACGCACCATCTACCTCTGGGGTCTTGGGGCATGTTTCGTGCTGGAGATGATCATCGGCGGTCTGGGAGTCCCTACGTACACGCGGGCGACCTCGTGGACGACGGGTGCACTCATCATCACCTTCTACTTTGTCTACTCGCTTTCGGTCGGGCCCATGTCGTACATTCTGGGGTTCGACGTGCCTTCAACGCGGCTTCGCAGCAAGACCGCCGTCATCGGCCGTAACGCCTATCATATTGCCTCGGTCTTCAACAACACTCTGACCACTTACATGATCAGTGCGACGGCGTGGAATTGGCTGGGCAAGACAGCCTTCTTCTGGGCCGGCTCGACGGTCTTTCTCTGGATCTGGACCTTTTTCCGGCTTCCCGAGGTCAAGGACCGCACGTTTGCCGAGCTCGACTTTTTGTTTGAAAACCGAATTCCCGCCCGACAATTCCAAAAGACCAGAGTCCAAGTCTTTGGCGAAGATGAAGGCAAGGAGGGCAAGGTGTAGATCAAGCATGGGAATTTGTGACCAAGCATAGACTGAGCGGTCTCTGTTGCGTACCGTGGGGGCATCTGAAAATGCAGGGCGGTCTTGTCAAATCAGTACAAGAGCACAATTGGAAGGGGTCACAGCATCGTCTTGCAACGATACTCGGCTCGCGACTTATTCATACAACGATTGGACAAATTCCTCCAATCCCTTTTGGTGAAATATCACGACATAGTGTCAAGTATCTAACGGAGATTCATTGTCCTCGTTTGCTGAGTCCGATGAATCCATCTTTTGGTCTATCTAGGGAGTGAAGCGAGTCAGTATAATGGACTCAATAATGCGACAACAGTCAATTGTTGCGTTCATTCATAAATTGATTCTCGCTCACAGTCGCGTCACTTTTCTTTCACACACATCTCTCCAGAGCGGCGAATACCTAGAAGATGCATTTTTCATTCACAACTTCATCGCGACTATTTCGGTCTCTCTTTTCCCACCACACATTCTCTCTTACACATCGTCGCGACCTCATCCCACAACCTGAATCTAACCAAAAAACCTCTTGCTACACGGCCATCACCATGGCGAGACCTTTGGAAGACTCAACTAAGAAAACACCCATGCAAATGCAAATAGAAGACCGTAAGTCATTTCTCCTTTCATCATCGTTACTCTCACACGCACACGTCCTTTATGAATTCACCGACACATACATACACATATGCACACACAAAAGCAAGCCAATGCATCGAATCCCCAGGAGAATAGACTGACATGTACTCCCAAATGTGCCAACGTTTCAGAGGAAAAGTTCAAACTCGTCAACAAGGAAATCGACAATCTCACCAATCCCACCCTCGAACCACTACTCCCGATCGAAGAGCAAGAGAGGATCCGCAAGCTCGAAAAGGACATCAGCGTGGCGGCTCTCCGCGAGACCAATGTCGAATTCGGGCTCGAGGCGAATGAGAGCCACGAGGGACTCCCCCGGGATCGATGTCTCTCGTGGTTCACCCACCTGCAAGGCAAGCTCGAGGAACGCTGCGACCGATTGCGGGCCGAAGCCCTCTCGTACACCCTACAGCACGTCATGGGAGTGACCAACCCGAACCGTTTCCGCGACTACCTCCGGGCCCGCGCCAGGTTGTGCTGCCAGTACCGAAACGTGCGAGTGTTGATGAGGATGAAGATGGCATTCCTGCACAAGAAGGAGCCTGAGGCGGCGGCGGCGGCGGCGGAGTCGCGAGTGGAACAAAAAAGAGCACTGTCGTACCCCGAGAAAGTCATGCGTTGGCAGGCCATGGTGAAACGTGCGAGGCGCAGATTGGCAAAAGCACATGCTCGAGCGGCGGCAAAGACTACGATCCGTTGAAGTTGGCTATCCTTCACTTGCCGTAACATGACTCACCAACGACAACAACAAGAAGATGACTATGATGATAGTGATGGTAAGAGAGTGACAAAAAGAATAAAGTTGACACCACCTGAAAAAAAAGGTCAAAAGGTCAAAAGGCCAGGAGGGGCTCACATTTCTCATACTGGTGGTACAAGGCTGACGAGGCTGAGAGACCCCTTAAGGGTGATGGTGGGATCACGTGCTTGAGGCGTTTGCACCAGAGGGAAAAGAGGACTCGTTCTTTCGTTCTCTCTTGTACCTGAATCAGGTATGAAATACCGACCAAGTAAATAGGAAAAGAATGGTCGAATTAACATGAGACTGACATAATTCCAAAATCAGGTCGTGGTCTATACTCGGTATGTCTGTAAAAGAAAAGAAGCTTCAGGCAGTTTTCGCGCTAAGAGGTTGCTGCCTTGAACCATGCCCGATCAGGGACACAATAGTGCCTAGTAAGGGGGTCAACGACTTAACCTAACCTAACCTGGGGAGTACTTCGTATTCATTGTGAGATTCATACTACGGAATGCTTCGATGGCCATGTACGAGTGCGGAGGATACCATTTGTATACTGTACCTCAAGTATAAAGTCTCGACCTGAATCTTCTCGCCGTCGTGTTTCTTTCCTTCTTTCTTTTCTTCACAGCTTCTTCTCCTTCCAAAAGTTGAAACTTGTTGTCTTCCAGTCCTCTTCTAACACCGTCATCATATAACTGCCCACATAGGTATTCATCAGTGATAACCTCTTGGCAACAAGAACTCCCGTAACAATGTCTACTCCCAAACAAACCTTTACCGGATCTTGCCATTGTGGCTTCATCAAATACACCATTGCCCTCCCCGCCACCACCGATAAGTCTGACGGCGACGACGACAAGAACAACGACGACCTGGTGGTATCTCGATGCAACTGTACCATCTGCTTCAAACAAGGATTCACCAGTCTACGTTTCGACGAAAAGGATTTCAGATTGGTCTCTCCGAAATCCGAGGCGGAACTCAAGGACTACCGTTTGCCGTCCGGGAGGGACGTCCACAAGTACTTTTGCGGCACGTGTGGGATCCACGTCTTCTCGCGAGGGCGGATCGAGGCCGGAGGCCAGGTCCACGAGTTCTCGACGCTCAACGCCCTGACTCTGGATCAACCCCAGGAAGGTCTGGACTTGGGCAAGTTCAAGATCCAATACTGGGACGGGAGGAACGACAACTGGGCTGGCGGGCTCAAGGATTCGCCTTGGCCCGGTCAGATTGTTTGAGAGAGAAAAGCAAAAAAAAAAACAAAGAAGCAAGCAACAAAGGCGAAAAGTACCGATACAATTAAACATTTCCAAAGGCTGTCAAGGTAAAAAAGGACGGGTAAGGGGGAAGGAGGACAAACAAGCAAAAAGGGAGAAGGAAAAAGGAGGAGGTCCGGGGGTTTATCTTGTGTAAATCGTTGTCTCTTTTTCAGTGAAACTTGGGCAATCATTTTCGGTAAACCGCCGACAGATAGCAACACGTTGGGTCGTTTCTCATACAGTGTGATTGTTGATCACATTCCTCATCCGTCTCGTTGTACTCGTACTACTAGTCTACCCTCTTGCCGCCAGGATAATCTTCTTCTTCTCCTCACTCCGAACCTTGAAATCCACCGGAAACGGTTTCGGTCCGAACAACCTGGTCGGGGTATAATTCCAAACGTCATAGTTCACGGGTCGACCGGTGGCCTTGTCGACGGCGGGGAGGACGTCAAACGCCCACAGCAGTCTCGCCGTCAGGATGAGGAGGGAATTCTCCGCCAGGTTGTAGCCCGCGCAGACGCGGCGACCGGCGCCGAAGGACCAATGGTCTCGGAGTTTGACGTCGTTGGTGTGGATGCACTCTCCCGCCGTGAGGTTGTTGACCGGAGTGTCGTAGAATCTGTCAGGGTTGAACCGTTCCGGGTCCGGGAAGAGTTCGGGGTCGAAGTGTAGGGCCCTATGACCACGGCAAAGGACAACAAGAGTCAGCTTCCCATACAAATGTTTTTCGTGTGTACCTTCTCGGAGATTCGAGGTTCCTTTGTGTGGTGGCAGACACTCACCAGTGATTGATTACCACCGATGTCCCCTCTGGAATGAAATAATCCTTGTAGACGACATCGCCCTGGTTGTCACGAGGTCAGTCAGTTATGTTCACACGATCCCAATGCTTGAAGCCAGGAGAAAAAGAAGAAGAAAAAGGAAAAGAATCCGACCTACCGATGTAACGTGACGGACGTGATCATTGCTGACACTTCGCCAACGGAGAACCTCCTTGACCATTGCTCGAATATAAGGCAAATTCGGCATGTCCTCAAACTGAGGTAGACGGTCACCAACGACGGCGTCCAGTTCCTTTTGTGCCTTGGGAACAACTTCTGGATATGCGACCATTGCCAAAATCATACTATTCATGGACAGTTGAGTAGTATCTGAGATGGACGTTAAGCTAGCCCTCTTTGGAAAAAGGTGAAGAGAAGAAAACAATTACATACCACTTCCGGCTTCAATCATACTTCCCGCCACGTAAGCCGCTTGAACCTCAGAGATACCCATGGCGAGGTAATCCTCTTCTTGAAACTTTTCGGCAAAACAACCCGTTCGGATGCCGGCGTTCAACTGTTTCTTGAGATCGTTCCACAGGCCCATCCAGAGCTCGACTTCCTTTTGGTGGTAAGCCTCCCACTTGGGCCGCCACCACTGCAGTGACCTCGGCAGGTGTTCGAGGACGGGGAACTTGTCCACGGTCTGGATCTGGCTGCTGGCCTCGGAGAAGTGACCGAGCTCGTCGTAGATGGCCTTGAGGACCGGGTCGTTGAGATCCAGGACACGTCGGCCGTAGATTGAAAACATGATGACGCTCGACGTGTACCTCTTGACGTGGCTGAGGAAATTGACCGGGTCCTGCAGGACGTCGAGTAGGTACCGGTGGGATTCGAGACTGGAGGACGGTTTCATGGCGTCGGCCGATTTTAGATTCAGGCATCGATGGGCGATGGCTCGAATGTTGCGCCATTGTTTGCCGTATGGCTTTGAAGAAGAGTCAGTTTTGGGTCAAATTTTGACAATGGGAATCGGGTATAGGTCGTAGCTCATACCATGACCAACATCCTGTAACCACCAGAAAGAATATTCATGACCCTGAGAGCCGGTCGACTTCCTGTCAAGGCGCCATTCTTGTCAAAGATGTCCTAATCCAGAAAAACATCAGCACACTTGACCTTTGCTCACGAGGGAGTGTTGTAACTTGTAATGGGGCGAAACAAAACAAACCTTTACAGCTTCTGGCGAGTTGACAATCACCCAACGCTCGACACCGAGTCGGATTTCGTAAATCTCTCCATACTCTCGGGCCCATTTGACCAATTGATTCTCACTCGGGTTGTGGCTCACGTTCGATCCCCAGAGATGAGCGTGGCCACCGAGTAAAGTCGCACCCGACGGTTGCGGTGGTCTCCTGAGTCCCTTGGGTGTGCGAGGGCCACGGATGCTAATGACTTCCCAAGCGACGATGGCGGCGACGGAGAGAAACGCGATGGCAGCGAAGAGCGCGAAGCCTGGTGGCGCCGTCACCAGATTATCGGGTATCGACAACATTTTATTTACGAAACAAGTTGTAATAAAACTTGGTTTTCAACGAGGTCGGACATTTGGATCAACCTCTAAAGTTGGGTTCAATCCTGGATGAAGAATACAAAGTATGTTATGGTATAAAGTAGACATTATTGTCTCGTCGTCCACCGTCCACTACCATCTCCCTGCTCCAAATCATTCCCCCCCCCGGGCCCCCCCCCCCACTTACTCCGATCAGATTAGCGAAACGCCCCCCCAATTTGAATCATTGGTGTATATTGTATTATTACTTTCTACATTTTGATTGGGGAAGAACCGCCACAGGCATCACTTACCCCAACATTGCCCTTCCTTATCCGACACGAGTTCCCACCCCCAGATGGAAGAGACTTGCCCGCTAAATGAAGTACCTATTCACCCTGGAGGTCTATTGGCCCTTCACACACACCCCTGGCGTCGTTGAGAAGGGGAGGGTCACTGGGGTAGAAAATGCGGAGGAGAACTTTACTTGTACTTATACACCGACACATTCCCAGGAGACATTTTCCCGGCTTAATACACTGTGGATCCTTCTCGCTTCGATACACGGATAGTGAAGTGGGCGTACCGTCCGTTCCCTTGGTTTTACTCGCTCTGGATATTATCGGAAATCACCTTATGAGACAGCAGTCTTCTACCTGGGGGAGGGGGTTACACCGGGCCGAGGTTCCTGTTCACATAAAGTAGGTAGGTACACTATGCAATTGGAGGCAGTCAAGAACATGACATGTTATGAAGCAGTGCCATTACTACTCACACACGACCATCTAATCATCTCATCCCGCTCCACCCTATCGGCACAGCGGACAACTATAGCCATAGGTGATTTGTCCTGGTTTGTCCGTGGACGTGGGAAGGACAAAAGTCACCTTCTTCTGATGTTTGCAACGCAGGAGCTCGTTGCCGTTCAACCCGCTCACCAATCCGGCCGCCCACTGTCCAAACTCCTTTTCCCATTCTCCCCGGAAGTCGTGAAACATCTGCCTCATGCCGGCATTGTGGTCGTCCATGACGCGGGTGGTCTCGCGATGGTTGTTGATATCGTCGTACTTGCTCAGGAGGAATTGAGTCGCTGGCATCCTAATGACCTTGTCATTGTAATTGGTGTTCTCGTACAGCATGCTAACGACGCTGTGGAAGTCGTCTACACGATAGGCCTTTTTGAGGTCGTCCAGGAAGCGACTGGCGGCCAAGTGCTTCAGGTGCTCCATTTGAGCCATGTCTGCAAATTTGTACACCATGATTCCCACCTTCATGGCTCTGCCGAGTTGCTTGATGTACAATTTTTCTTCAATCTTGTTCGACGAGTGGATGGTGACTCTGGCTGTGCTGGAAGTCGCGTCTGCTCCTGTTCCTGCCCCTACTCCTGCTGCTGTGTCTTGTGGAGGAGCCGTTGTCATGAGGATATCGTCGTCGAGCCGAATGTCGAGATCGTCAATTTGAAGCTCAGGAGGATCGAGACAACGCAATGTGTAGATGTGTGGAACGTACATGGGATCATATTTGCTGGTGTAGATGTAGTAGATCACCCGGCTCATGACTGAAGGTATCTCTTCTGGAAAGTCAATCTTTTGGGCCATCGCCTCCTGAAAGCTTTTGTTAGCATATCCCGTGCTCATGTTCGGACGCCGACTTTGTTTCTTTGCTTACCTGAAAGGGCCCGGTGCAAACGGTCTTGAAGTAAGGGGATGCTTGTGCAATGAACAGGCGGTGGACACGGAAAGCGACACCTTGACAACAGATTGTAAAGTCGCAAAACTCTTCATCCTTGAGGAAGTTGAAGTTTCTAATTTTATTCGAGATTGCCTTTGGTTCCGCCATGGTTTCGAATGTATCGAAATATCAATTCTGGAATAGATCGTGGATCAAGAAGAGGTTATATCACCACTAGAGTTGCTATGCTTGTGATGGATGAGAAGGTCACAAAGTGTTCACTCGATGGTGTTTCTTTGTTCTCGTCCGCTCAAGCCGCGAGGCTGTGAATGTACTGCCGCACCAGTCGTGTTCACCGTCTTTGTGTTCAAAGATACAAACCCTCGTTCACAGTACTGCATGATTGTCTGAATATTTCAAACAATGTCGAGTACTCGCTCATCAAACGTTGGGCTAATCAGACCAGGTAAGAGAGCTCCAGAGTCACGTTGACGGTTGCACAGCGTCGTTATATATATTAATAACATAGCTTTGTCTGTACTGCGCGTGTTTGGCAGGTATTTCTTGGAGATTGAAGTGCGCTTCTGTTCAAGACTCGGATCGAGGTGCAGGGCAGAGAGCCCCTTTCTATAGGGCAGCCTGACACAGCCTCGTCACATGATAAGGCTGCAGCCTTGTGTCACCGCCCAGCTTACCATCGGACATGAATTGAATTGTGTTTCTTTCACTGCACTCCGTATCCAATTTATGTGTTCCTTAGGGTGAGACAACTACGAATTGATTCTGTGCTTCACCAATCCGGTGTTCTTCAATGGGAGTCATGTAGCCATACTTCAATATGGATCGTCTACGTCGACCCGCTTCAGTGGCTTCCTTTGATGTCATTGCCAACCCTACAAATCTCACAAAAGATCCATCTTTCGAGCTTTCCATTCCATTTAGAAAGCCACAGTCCATCGGAGAGTATGGGTATAACAAATTCACCAAGGATGACAAGGGGAATATCTGCTTGCGTTGTCTGAAATGGTCACTGAGGGTTGACGGGCGAAGGCCTCGGAAATTGTGGGATGCCGAAGGTGGACATAAAAATCGCATGGCGCGCAAGGAATGGGGATACCCTGCCGAAATGCTGAATGCAGATTGTCCACTGTGCAGGCTCTTTGCCATGCATGCGTTTGACTATCAATACATCAATGGCCCGATGGAGGCCCGCCTTTACGACCTACGACGGCTGGTCTT